GGGGGGGGGGGGGGGGGGGGGGGGGGGCAAACAGAGAATTGGACATTTGCCGCTGAAAACGCTTCAAAAGTCGTCAATTTCGAACGATTGAACAAGCAACAAAGATTAATCATAAACCCAAAACATTCCCATCGAGTCCAAATTCCCCCTTTTTAAACGCCGCTGAAAAGTAAAGTGGCTCATTTCAGAGAGCCTCTATGTTCTCTGTCTTGTGTTCGCCTTTCAGTTCTTCAATGCAATGATGAGTATGTCAAGTTCGTCTTTTCCGTTCCGATTTATCTCTCACCGGCTTCGGCATCATCACTTTTGCCGTCGGTGTGAAAGTCACTCTTTTCCATGGCAAAAGGTAATTCATCATCATCGAATCGATTCTCGGGTCGAGATCCAGATCGTCGTCCGTGTCTAGCCCATGATTCGTTCACACTACTGTCAGCACGTTCCACGCTAGCTCCAGTGCCGCTAAAGCTCGACGTCGATCCTTGTGGAGGAACGACACCTCTTCCAACGCTGCCTCGGTTCAATCGAGTTCGATAGAGATTGGCGGAGGAAGGACCTGATGCCGATTCAAAATCTCCTCTATCTGATGTCAGCACTGCAAGGCCGGAATGTCGATGGGTGTGAGAAGCATGACGAGCAGGTTCATCTGATCGGGGGGCGTTCCGTTCTTGTCTCCCTTGCACCTCTCCCACTGTGCCGTCGGCATCATCCTGTCGAGCAGATTCTCTTCGATGTCCTCGACGATCTGCTCCCATACTGGCGCTGCGCATTCCATACAGGTCGGTTATATCATCTTCTGAGTTGAGTGGTCTCCGCTGAGCCGAACTTGAACGTTGATAGCCTCGGACGAACGGTCTTGGCGAGTTAGGAATGTCAATCGCCGGAACGTTCGCCGTAGACTGAGCTTGTGCCGTTTCCTCCGTCGGTGCCTCGGACGGTGAAGGGGGTTCTTCCGCAGTCAGGCGATGTGGGGTGTCTGTATCGTCATGGCTGTAAGCAGCACTGAGTCGAGACGGTGCGAACGGAGTATGCGGCGTATGAGGCGAGATTGGTTTTCCTGGTGATGATGACGTCGAAATAGATGTCCCTGCTACCATAGGAGGAACCCCTGATAATTGTCGACTGGAAGAAGCCGATGATCTCTGTAGCATCAACGACGACGACATCGAATCGGACAATGCCGCATTCGAATCTCGCATCCGGTGAAACCTGTTCAGGGCAGCCGAGGTTCTTCGGGTAGATACTTCGGCGGCTGAAGACCGGGGAGACAGAAGATCTTTCTGGAGTTCCAGCATCTTCAAGAAACCTGAGATGTTTTCGCCGTCATCCTCCGCCACAGAACCCGAACTCCCCCCCCCGGGAGCGGCCTCAGTCGTCAATCCGGAACCGGGTAGAGCCGAAGACGTCGCACTTCCTCTGCCGCTACTCGTCTGATCGTCGTCCGTTCGGGCAGGCAAACCGCCCGAGGAGAGACGAGCTCGCCTGTGGCTGAAGCTACTACTGTACCTTGCACCAGGAGCCGGTTTGGGTGAGCTTGACGTTGACGAAGCAATGGCATGATCTGATGCCAGAGATCCTGCTCTTCGACCGGCCAATGTGACAGCAGCGGACGGAGGTATTTCTTCTTCCGTGAGAGATCCCAACGTCGGAACTCTAGCATGGGTTCGAGGTGAGCTGGCTATAGGAGACGCACCAAGGGGCGATGCGGACAGTGTGGGTGCCTTGAACGGTTGAACAGAGAATGAGCTTCGACGATTGGTTGCGACCGCTCTGAGTGAAGTTCGTGAAGTTTGGCCGGTTGTGAGGGTATGACTCGGCGGTCGAGCGGGTTCTGGAGTGGGTGGAGAGCTGGAATGGAATTCTTGAGCATGTCGCAGGGCCGAAATTGGGCTGGTTCCCGTAGCAATACCGGCTTGGTGGAACGTGGACAGACTTCCATAGGCCAGACCGAGTTCTGGTGATTCCAAGAGATTCTGTCGTCGGTCAGTAGGAAGTGATCCGATTTCGGCTCTTGAACCCTTCTCGTTCGACAAAGATGGCCGGAAAAGCTCATCGTCGGCTCCCAGAAATCGTGAACTTAACAGTTCTTCGGAGTCGTCTATCCGGAAATCACAGTTTCGTCGGTATTCAACCTTGACAGAGAAAGGCCCAGCGGGAGAATCTGTCGCGCCAAAGTCATAGGACAAGAGGACGTCGGAATTGCTGTCGAACAATCGGAGGTTGAGGTTATCCGATCGAGGTAAGCCGCTCATTTGCGATCCATCAATCAGTCGATATCCCAACTTCATTGCCATGGTGGACCGGCCTTTTCCGACCTTTCGGGACAATTTCCAGGCGGGCAAGAAATTGCTATAGGTGTAAAGGGATCGGAAGAAGACGATGCTCTTTTTGTAAACCAGAGGCAGGAGCGTGGCCAAATCCCGAGGGATCGGAGCCGTGGAGTCTCCCAATTCGATCGTCCAACGCTCCAAAATGACTTCGTTGGCATCTCCCATCCGGCGATGGCTTCCCCGAGAAGCACTGTGAGCGGATGAGAGCGTATTCATAACATCCCACCTCTTACCATCTTCGTCCACAATGACGAGTCTCTGACCTTGTTGGAGTGTCTCCGTGGTCAGGAAGACTTCGATGACCAAGGGAGGAGGTCGGTTGTGGTCGACGTCACAAGTCTTCCATCTCCTGATCTCGTCCTTGTACTCGTCCGTCTCATCTATGTCCAGGTTGAACCAGCGATTAACCCTCTTGGTATCTGTCTTTTGAGAGTAGGCAGGAGCGAGTTCGACCCTAGATTGAAGAATGATCAGGGCGGCTTTGGTGTGGAAATTCTGGATCACTTGGTTGAGTCTCTGCATTTGGACGACGGGGTTGTCCGCCGGCTGATCTTGTCGAGCAGTTGTAAAGTCCTCCGAGGAACCGGAGCCGGGGGAGAGGGGGGAATTTGTTCTCAGGCTCGGTACGTCTCGATCTCTCGGATTGTTGGTACGTGTGGGATTTGTTTGTTCAGAGATTGCCGGGGACGCCGTTGCGGGTGGTGGGCGAGGATATTGATGCATTGCGTCAACAGGGATTGGTTGATGTGCGTTTTGTATTGTCGTTTTTCTGCGATGCCTGGCTTAGCGGAGGAGGGATGGATGAGAAATAGCAGGTATCCGATAGCCATCCATGCTTTCAGTGATGCCTTGGAACCGTTCAATGGGACTAGGATGTGGATCGGGCGGGCGGTCAAGACATTGGGGACTAGCAGCAGCGGAGAGTTGGGAGGTGCTTTTGGTAGCTTCGGCGATGTCGATGGAACGATGCTGGATTAGATAAATGAAGGAGTCATTGCGGCGACGCAGAGAGAGGATGGTCAGAGAATTTGTTGAGGTCGAGGTTCAAGATGGTCTCGAGTCGGAGGCATATGACGGAAACCGCATGTGATTGGGAAGTTGCACCGTAAGTCACGTGGTAGCGTGCCCAGTAGTCAGGCGACGGGAGGATCGTGTGGGCTGAAGGAGCCAGGCGGAGATAGGTTGGTCGAGGACAGAATAATGATGATGGATTTAAAGGGTCATGCAGAATGCTTGTGGGAATTGATGTCAAGATCTGATGCTGGTCACCTTGTTCCTACACAGAAGCATTCCCGAGGACTAGGCCGGAGTCGTACTTAGCCCACGCCTTAACTGACATGAGGACCGATGATGTGGGGGAAAGCTCTCTGTTGTTTGTTGTACGGACCAGCAGCCGCAGTAGCAGTAGCCACAGTGAATGGGCCTCTCGCATCGATCCAAACAACAAAGATCTCTGCTGACCTTGATGCTGAGAAAGTGTCTACGATAGCACACCCAAGGCATGAGTGGATCAATACCCCAGTCCTGCGCGCAGCGTCGGTGTGTGATAGGCCGCCTTCCAATGTGTAACACCCCCCCCCGCTGCACAAGTCCAATGCAGCTCTTTCGCTGTTCTTCTTCTCACTCTCCCCCAATCGCCCTCCATATTCTTTGCTTCTCGGTCATTCACCAATTCAATTGAAATGCTACTCTACTGATAACTGATCCCAGTCATAAACAACGGCATTTTCCTAGGCCTGAAATGGCAAAGTCTTCCTGCGTCTATCCTTCGTCGCCTCGAATCCTGAACAAAACTCTATCGGCTCATCTTCCGACTTTGTCCTCGATCTCTCAGGCTCCATGGCCTTCGAATCGGGATCCAAATTTCTCCCCCCGTTCACTCCGCCCTTCCCACCCGCGACACTCTCGGTTAGGGGACTCCGTGTGGATGACTCGTACAATCAGGCTCTCACATCTGAGACAAGGAGCTCCTCCGATTCTTGGATCAAGTTCTGTAAGAAAAGGGAAAACGGACTCGGCCGCCTGCTTCTAGGCATCACCGTTGCGAACCACTACACCCCCTAAAGGCCGAGTCTGATTGGGGGAGCCTGCTGAAAAGCCATGCCATCTCTGGTATGGCCTTGTGTGAACATGCTACTCATTTCAGGACAACACATTTCACCGCGCACAAAGCCTCGAGTCACTTAACACACCCTCTGTTGTGAATATGTACAGAATGATTCATTGCTCCTGATCTATCATTGATGCCTTGTCCCTCGTAGATGCATGTTGCCTTGGCCCCCTCCCTCGACCTCCTCCACTGCCACGCTGGCTACCATTTCCACGGCCAGAATCCTCGTATGTCGTCAGCGACATCGCCGGTGTTCTCTCCCGGCCACTCACCGCCGTCCCAGATGTTGCTTTGCCTCTCCCACTGCCCCGACGATGTCCGCCTCGGCCACGACCTCCTTTTCCACGACGAGCTGCGGCGGCACTCGCCTGGGCCTCTTCCTCTTGTACTCGTCGACTTTCATTATCCCACCATTCTTGAAATTCTTGTTCCTGTTGAATGTCTTGTAATGATCTCTTTGCAACTGCTTCCCTGACTGCCGTCTTTTCCGTCTGCTGCTGTGCCAGAATCTCCGCCATTGACGTCCGTGCATCGATCGCCGACACTGTTCGAGACGATAAGGGAGTGTGCCGAATCGATTGAATCTGAGGTGCTGCTGGTTTGGAAGGTGCCGTCAGACCTGTTGAGGGGTGGGCACTTGGTGAACCACCGGCCACAGTCTGACGCATGGTCATCGCTTGCTTGATCGGAGCTGCTTTGGGAGCCTCTGTGTCTGTGGGCTGACTGATCGACGAAAGTCCGGGTCTGGGCGATGGAGCGACTATTTGCCACGGTGAGGAAGGCGTCTTTGCGGCTGAGGTTTCCGACAAAGTAGCCGATTGTGATAGCTTGGTCTCATGCTCTTTGACTTGCTGCTGTTGTCGCTTCCGCTCCTTCTGAGAAACCTTAGCTGCGGCTTTTGGTCGAGTTGAAGCCGTTTGCATGGCTTGCGTCAGATTTGACACACGAGAGGCTGATGCTTGCTCCATTATGTCCTTGAAATCGAGCTTCCTCACACTTTGAGCCGGCATTTGCCACGCTGCTTTGGCCAGTTCCAACCCACTGATTGGTTGCACCAAACCGCCCCCATTCACCGAACTGGCTGGATTGGACCGGTGCAAGCTCGCAAATTCCATGTGTGGAGTCCCCACGGACAGCAATGATCCAGCACTAGATGGTTCGGGAGCAGCATTCTCTCCAAACGATGAAGACCGCGCGACAGAAGACGGTGTGGGTTCATGTGCTGCGGCAGGCGGAAGGCGTGGATTGTCATCATCATCATCATCCATGTCGAATGGTAAATCGTCTCCGGCATCATTTGCTACGACTGCCGGACTGGAGGTGGGTTTGCTTACTGGCGACCCATCCACTCCAGTCGGGCGCTGACTTCTGGTAGGAGGTGACGATGTCTGGCGTTCGAGGCTGCCGATCCGGAATTTGGAGGCGGCGACATGGCGCTCTTCGTCCTCGGCCAGTCTGGATCTTAGCCTCATCGAGTCGATTCTCCTCTGTTTTCCTGCCTCAATCTGGCTGGGGAGGTCGGGATGATTTTCCAGTAGTTCCGTCTCGGCGCGTGCACTTCGAGCAAATGGAAGAAATGCTAATTGGTTGGCTTGAACAACCTCGTCGAGCTCGGCAAAAAGATCTTCGTCTAATTCGTCCAGCAGTCCCATTTCCAGCATCCCTTCAAGGTTGAGACAGATATACTCGAGAGCGGCCCGTTTGAAGCTGTCCACGGAACATTCCGCAACGGTGTTGAGCAGCGAACAGACATTTCTGACATTGACATATTTGCCGAGAGTCTGTTGACAGATCTGTGCCAGTCGGTCGAGCATGAGTTCATTCGCAGCAGACATGAGCTCGATGACAAGATCGATGAATTCATCCAGGCTCTTGGCAACAATATCATCAAACAGTTCTTCCCCAGTGTCAGCATAGAGGTGTCGCAAAAGCATGCCGAAGGTTCGCTCGTCGATATGTTTGAGATCCACCCTCACAGCCTCGGACTCGTCCTCGGCGGTGCCGCGTCGTGAGGCCATCCACCTTCCACCGGCTCGCCCATTGAACAGGCTATCGAAGAACGGACAACGCGTGCAAAGAACCACGCTATGCGCGGGCACTTCAACCCCATCTGCAAGTTCAATTATCACATCGGCATCGGAGAAAAAGTCCACATCGACGACCGCACGCTCCATATCGGTGGTGAGGCTCCGAACCGGATCAATCATGGTCCTGACAGCCTGCTCCAATTGTCGAAGCTCAAGGTGAGCGGCGATCTTCATAAGCTCAATTCGAACGGATCTGTACCGTGCTGCAGACCCTGACGCCCTTGAGGTATCGTGCCAAACATCGACGACATTGTCGGTATATAGGTAGAAGATGAGATTAAGGAGAGTCAAGAAGTCGGCACCCGGGAAAGATACTTGTATTTGACCATCTTGCCCATATTCAATTGCCATGACATCGGGGATGGAGAAGTAATACGTCTCCTGGAATTGCGTCAGCGCGTTGCGCATAACGCGGCTCCGCCCCTTGAGCATGAATGAGTGCACGGGAATGCGAACGTCAGTCACGTGGGAAGTGATCCAGAGATCATATTGGCTGTTAGATAGAGGCCCGTAACGCTTGCAGGTATTCAATATATCTCGTTCCGCCGTTGGCGTGGTTATGAGAGCCCGAGAAATTTGGGCAGGATCGACGTCATGTTCAGCAATTCCCTTCGTCGTGCCATATTGGGCGAAAGGGAGGAGTCCGAGTACATCGTTCCAGAGGGACGGAGGATCAGGTACAATCTGGTCGCGTGTTACGGTACTGTCTTTCCGCACAGCCGTGAAGGCTCCAAAAGCGTTACTTCTGACAGCGATTGCGCCAGTTAAGTTGGGAATCCTGACAAATTTATAGTCTTTCGGTCGTGCGGTGCCAGTATTCACTTCCCGAACTATCTTGGTGTTTGCCCGCTTTTCTTTTCGCCACACTGATCCCGAAGTCGTGCAGAGAATGATCGAACCGTCTTGTCCGACAGCAACATCAATTGCCGACATGTGGGCTTTTCGAATCGACCACAGACGTGTAGGCTGAGGCAGAGCGTTACGGGCTTTGGTAGGATTCGTTGTCGACATGTTTGACGGCAGGGTTTCTGATACCTTGGGAACTTCAATAGAATATACCTCTCCAAAAGAAGACATGGCACAAATCGTATTCCCGCCACTTGTGATATTGTTGATATAGTTGGATTCAACATTGGGTCTTGTCGATACATGGTCGGACATATAGTAATTGGTGAAAGTCTCCAACGGGAACAGAATTTTGGTCCAACCATAATGGGTGAAGACAATCACATCGTGATTTTCAAGCAACACAATGGTGGCACGGTCAATGGCCGTTACCAGTTGAATGGGAGACTGCAGGACCGAGACACCGACCCGACGTGGTAACACTTGGACCTCTAGCGACCGCGCATCCGCATCCATCAAGCCAAGCTGACCCTCGTTTTTGCCGAATGTGTACAAGGCCGATGTGGTATACACAGCTGAATGAATCGCCGAAGCGGCGGCACCCGTGATGGGTTCCTTCTTGATGTACCCGTACAGTTGGCGTGGTGTCAGCTGCATTGGAATCTCGGTCTTGGGCACCTCCGGAAGTGAGTAGCCCAACTGACCATACCGATTACTTCCCCAGGTGAAGACTTCACCCTGAGAGCAGACCGCCACGGAATGGTCTTGCCCAAGGGCGATTGCCGAAATGCGGCGTTTGGCGAGACCACCAGCCTGAATACAGCGATATGTGAAAGAGGTGTTTTGGTCGCCGGTACCGAGACGACCACCAGGACCAAAGCCACACATGTAGAGATTAGAGATAGGATCGTTTGTCAGAACGGCAGTGTGAAGCTTTGACATAACCACATTTTGAATCGTGATTGGTCGATTGCAGATAACGGCGGGCAAATCACTTTGCGACCGGATGTCTCCAATGCTGTTTGCAAGATCTTCGTGAGGCATGGATTTCTGTCTTGCAACACGGTGGTCGTCCAGAAGACGATGGAGCAAATGATCCGGTCGAGTAAATTGAAGTCGCTCGGGGAAGTGTCTATCATCCCCATCTCCAAGCCCCAGCGAGAGATTTTTGTTGCTGCCAAACGCGAAAACCTCATCACCGGCAAGGTCGATAGAGGGGTTGACGTGGCGCTTGGGTCTGCGATGATCGGGGCCTTCTTCATTGTCGTCCATGCCATTGGTGCTATCATCGTCTTGCAGACCGGGGCGCAGGGTCGGCGAATCATGCTGAAGAGAACGAGGCGCGATAGTCAGACCAAAAACCTCAAAGGGACTGTTGCCTTCGTGATCCTTGATTTTGACCAATCCTCCAGCGTGCGTGTGTTGAGTGTTGGTGGTATAGTCTGTGGCGTCCTGGATGTCTCGGGCCATCAGAGCACGCGCAATAGAAATACGGCCGAAATACAACGCTCGATGGAGAGGAGTCCATCCACTTTCCATATCCTGCGCATACAAATCCAGGAATGGCATTTCCAATAAGGCCTTGACGAAAGCCAGCGCGTCTTCAGACCGCGACGAGGCGGCATGATGAAGAATTGTTCTTCCGAAGCTATCTTTCGTGTTTACCTCAGCTCTGGTAAGAATCAATCCGGCATTCTTTCCAGATTGTGCGCCTGTTGGAGTGTTTCCCGAACTCTTTCGAGACTTTGATGGGGTCTTTGGGGAGACAGCTAGATTTCCTGGGCTTCCGATCCTTAGAGAAGGACCTCCCATTTGGCCACCAGCAGAAGTCTTCGGAGCACTGGAGGCAAAGGTGGCCGCCGCCAGATATTGTCGAAAGGTATCGACATCGTCTTCGAGAAGGTAACGCCAGAGATTGTGGCTCATATGGTATATGGGTCTGATATTGTCTCCGGTGACCCTGGATGCGCCTCGCTGTAACCTCACAGGACTACGGCTTATTTAAAGGCGCACTGGGCAAACGGGGACGGAGCAGAGAGGTTCGACGGGGGAACGATGACTCAAGCGGAGGTCATCTTCGAGGAGCTGACTGTTCTCGCGAGGAGTTTGCTACCCATCTGGAGTCGGATACGCGTGTAGAGCAAAAACACTGGGGTCAGATATGGAGGGGCAAGATGAAGCTGTGGCCGCAAACTTTATTGCGATAAAGGGTGCGGATCGGGAACTTTGATACTGAGGATGGCCTTGTGGCCAATCAGATGGCCCCGTGCTGATACGACCCGTGTACGATGGAATCGCCATGATGACTTGTGAGAACTTTGACAGCGGATGACTTAACAGGAAAGCAATACATGTCTGTAACTTTGAGAGGCTTCCCCCGTTTCATAGCTGCAATCTACACGTGAGCCCGGGGCTCATTGTTCGACAAGGATTTATTACATAATCTCATTCCCCTTTTTGAGCCCTCGAATTGTGATTTCTATCAACGATAAATTCTCCCACGACCATTCCTCTCACGACAAATTCAATTTTATGCTCAAGAGTTAATACTTTGTGAACTCGACAGATTACTCAACCTCTGCTTGAAATGTTCTTGAATCAACCAACTAATCATCGAGTCGGTTCGTCCAAGAACTAATATATCGGGGCAGAGACTCTAGGTAGTGTTGACCTATGAGATGGTCGCCTGCTATGCTACAGCATAGGCAACACTACTAAAGAATACTGTCCAGATAGGTTGTATATATGGGCTCTATCCTGCGCTCATTGGAAGAGCCAGAGCATTCATTCAAATTCAAGTTGCACACCAAGTTTGACAGGTAAATACATTCCCACTAATATGGTTCCAGGTCATAAGCTTTGTAGCTATTCCAAGTTGTATCACTACGATTAGTATCGCTTCGACTCGTGTTGCTTCAAGCTGTATTAGTGCGATTAGTATGATTTCGGCTTGTGTGGCTTCAAGCCGTATTAATGCGACTGGTATCACTTTGACTCGGTTTACTTCAATTTGTAAAGTCGTCTCATGTCCATTACTACAGTGCAATCCCCCCAATCGTGAATCCTTGGCACAAAATAGGACCCAATCAGTTCCAGACTTTTGGGCTCATCAAGTTCCGTCGAGTACCAATGATCACCCGGGAGAAGAATCGGTTTTTCTCACTCACATGAGAACTGTCCCTCACCCGGAAAACTTCGAAATTCTCAGCTGGGTTGAATGAGAATGCCTCGTGAAGTGGACATATCGAATATCGAGCGAAATTTCATACTTGACGCCCTCGAACAAGATGTACGAGTCGATGGCCGACATCTTGACGAATTCAGGACTCTCGATCTGGACTTTGGAGATGAATACGGCACAGTTACCCTATGCCTAGGGAAGACAAGGTTGGTTGGCGGAATTCGAGGAACAACAAGTACTAACTGAAATCTCAAGGGTTCATGTCCAAATCTCTGCAGAAGTCACCAAGCCACTAGAAGAGCGGAAGTTTGAAGGAATATTCACTATTGTCACTGAACTCAGTCCCATTGCATCCCCAGCCTATGAGGTTGGCCGGTTCGTTGACCCGTCTGTTCCCATTTCGCAGCCCTGACAAGAAAAATTGCAGACAGACCGAACAAGAAGTCATTCTCTCGCGCATCCTCGAAAAGGCCATACGCCGATCCCGTGCGATTGATACGGAATCATTATGCATAATTGCAGGAGCCAAATGCTGGTCCGTCCGAGCTGATGTCCATATTCTCGATTCCGATGGCGGATTGATCGATGCTTCATGTATCGCCATTGTTGCGGCATTGCGACATTTTCGAAGACCCGACGTATCGGTTGACGGGGAAAATGTCACCATCTATACCGTGGCCGAGCGAGTCCCGGTGCCGTTGAGTATCATGCACAACCCTGTTTGTATCACATTCAGCTTCTATCATGGAGGAGATACCATCCTATTGGATGCAACACGGAGCGAAGAGCAAGTTCGAGATGCGGAAGTTATTCTCACGGTGAACGACTTTGAATTATGTCAGGTGGCCAAACTGGGAGGGTGCGCGATCGACGCGGTAGTTCTCCTCAAATGTATCAACACAGCCTTGGCCAAGGGAAAAGAGATCAATGGGATCGTGGCTAAGAAGTTAGTGGAGGATTCAATCAAGCGAGACGTGGGTGGATTAATTGCCGAGCTAAGAGCTGAAAATGAAAGATGATCATGGTGTAGGCAGTCCGTTGGCGACTTAGTAGGACAGTCGCAGAATAGGCCCAAGTGGCGACGAGGTTGACGACGACGTCTGGGCGATGGGCCAAAAGTAACAAAGGGTATCTTGAATTGCAAAATGTCTTCGTCCCTAGGATTGCGGTTGGGGTGGCAGTGTAAGTCTCAAGATTGAAAGGCCATCTTTATTTTTATCGTGGAGACGACGAATCAGACGCTGAGGGTATGCCGTCGGAGGGTCTTATGGCCATCTTGCCGGTGGAGTGTTTGGTGCTCCTGTTGGTAGGATCTGCTGAGCACGATGCTAGGCCTCAACTCTGTGACCGCTATAACTCTAGGCTCCAGGCAGATGGCCACGGAAGAGAGGGGGCTCTGCGGCAAACGCAACTTGGCCGCAGGCGGACTCTCAGTGAGCTAATGTCTCGGTTGCTGATCCACGCCGCACTTATCAGCGCCGTTGAAACTGTCACTGCCCTTCTATGGCATACCGGACTGGCTGTTCTGGTATTGCTGCGGCCACGCATCTTCTCGTTCTAGTTCCCTTGTTCTCTAATTATTGCAATTGTTCACTACTCCGCAACTCGTACCTCCATACTCTACCACGCCGACATCCCTTCCCGCCGCTCTCTTTCAGCGCATTATGCTCTCAGCGAAACGGCAAAACTACCTCTGAGAGCACGCGGATCCGCACAAAGAGTCCTATGGCACGGTGACGCCACTCATTCTCATCTTGTTAACTATTTGGCGCTTTCCGAAATGGACGGGCGGCACCATGCGCCTCAAGCTTCCAACCATCGCAACAATTTGGTTGACCTTGAAAACTCGCAACCCGTCTACAATTCAGGACAGCGGCCGCCTGTCGATGATTCTCAACTTTTACGTCAATATAACATTGATACTTCCGACGAACCTCCGCCGAGACCGTCAACCAGTTACGATGACTTCGTCGGCGGAGGAAGAGGTGCATACGGTCCTGGTGACGCGCAACCGGTGGCGTCTTCCCATCGACCTTTCACGGCCCCTTATATGGACGATGGCACGCGAAACTACTCGCAGACCTCCGACCTAAATAACTACGCAACGTATGGGGATGGCGAGGAATACGGTGAAGACGAGTCTGGATACAAATACTATGATGGCGCCGGCCCCTCAGACGAACACATCCCTGGCGGAGGAGTCAAAGTGGTCGGACGACATCATGGACGGAATCGGAGTAGTCTCATGTCCATGTCTGGTGTTATGGACCGAGCAAAGGGAATGCTGGGCATGCGAGACAGTAATTATTCCGACATGAACCTCCCTTTGACCGAGGCTGGCATGCAGAATTCCAGAGTTGACACCGTTGGAACCGAAGATACCCCCCCGCCGCGGGAGAAGAGAAGCTTAGGTTTCGACGAGGTCAAGGCAATGTTTATGAGGAAGAGGGTCGACCCATCAACGCTCGGACCCCGAATCATACATCTCAACAACCACACGGTGAATGCGGCGAACAAATGGGTCGACAACCACATTTCCACCGCCAAATACAATGTGGCCACCTTCCTCCCGAAATTTTTATTCGAACAGTTCTCAAAATACGCCAACTTATTCTTCTTGTTCACGGCCATCCTGCAGCAAGTCCCGAACGTCTCTCCCACCAATCGGTATACCACCATTGTTCCTTTGATGCTGGTGCTCTTGGTGTCGGCCATAAAGGAACTGGTAGAAGATTATAAACGCAAAGCGGCCGACAAAGCGCTGAACGACTCGAAAGCACGAGTTCTCAAGGGTTCTAACTTTGTGGATACGAAATGGATCAATGTGGCTGTCGGGGACATTGTCCGAGTCGAATCCGAAGAGCCGTTCCCGGCCGATATAGTCCTGTTGGCAAGCTCCGAGCCCGAAGGATTATGCTATATCGAGACCGCCAACCTTGACGGCGAAACGAACCTGAAAATCAAACAGGCTATTCCGGAAACGGCTCATCTGGTGAGCCCTGCAGATTTAGGCAGACTTGCCGGCCGTGTTCGGTCGGAACAGCCCAATAGCAGTCTCTACACATACGAGGCAACTTTGACCATGGCCGGTGGCGGCGGAGAGAAAGAGCTTCCCCTGAACCCGGATCAATTGCTCCTGCGTGGAGCCACACTACGAAATACTCCTTGGGTGCATGGAGTGGTGGTTTTCACGGGCCACGAAACCAAACTGATGAGAAATGCCACGGCGACGCCAATCAAACGGACCGACGTCGAACGGATGCTCAACAAGCAAATTCTCATGCTGGTCGCTATCCTTCTGGTCCTCAGCACAATCAGCACGATCGGTGACATAATTGTGCGATCGACGGCCGGCGAAAAGCTGACATATCTGTATTACGACGGCTTCAACGCTGCCTCACAGTTCTTCTTGGACCTTTGCACCTACTGGGTTCTTTTCTCCAATCTGGTTCCCCTCTCGCTTTTCGTCACCATCGAACTGGTGAAATATTATCAAGCGTTTCTCATCAACAGTGATCTGGATATCTACTACCCCGACACCGACACATCTGCGGTCTGTCGAACTTCGTCACTTGTGGAAGAGTTGGGCCAGATAGAGTACATCTTCTCGGACAAGACCGGAACCTTGACTTGCAACGTGATGGAATTCAGACAATGCTCTGTTAGCGGCATCCAATATGCCGGTGTAGTGCCGGAAGACAGAAAGGCCAGTGGTCCCGAGGATATGGGAGGAATCCATGATTTCAGACAACTGATGGAGAACTTGAAGAGCCATCAGAGCGGTTCGGCCATTCACCAATTTCTCTGCCTCCTCGCTGTCTGCCACACCGTCATTCCTGAGCGCAAGGATGAAAAATCAGAGATCAAATATCAAGCGGCCTCTCCCGATGAAGGGGCTTTGGTAGAAGGAGCTGCAATGCTTGGATATAAGTTCGTGGCTCGAAAACCACGCGCCGTCATTGTTCAAATTGACGGCCGGGACATGGAGTATGAGCTCCTCGCCGTGTGCGAATTCAACTCGACCCGAAAGCGTATGTCAACAATCTTTCGATGTCCCGACGGGAAAATTCGGATATATTGCAAAGGTGCAGATACTGTGATCCTGGAACGATTGGCCAAAGAAAACCCCATCGTGGATGTGACCCTGCAACATCTGGAAGACTACGCCACAGAGGGTTTACGGACACTTTGTCTAGCCATGCGAGAGGTTCCAGAGGAAGAATTCCAGGAGTGGCGGCAGATTTTTGAGAAAGCGGCCACAACCATTGGTGGAACCCGTGCTGAAGAACTTGACAAAGCAGCAGAAATCATCGAGCATGATTTCTTCTTACTGGGAGCCACCGCCATCGAAGATCGTCTGCAAGATGGAGTGCCAGACACTATCCATACGCTACAAACGGCAGGAATCAAAGTGTGGGTTCTCACCGGCGACAGACAAGAGACGGCCATCAACATCGGCATGAGCTGCAAACTGATCAGTGAAGACATGACTCTACTGATCATTAACGAGGAAAATGCCACAGCAACGAGGGACAGTTTACAGAAAAAGCTGGACGCTGTACGAAATCAAGCCGCGTCTGGCGAAAACGACACCCTCGCCCTCATCATCGACGGAAAATCTCTGCTCTTTGCTTTGGAGAAAGATATGGAAAAATTGTTCCTCGACTTGGCCGTCATGTGCAAAGCTGTCATCTGCTGCAGAGTATCGCCATTACAGAAAGCGCTCGTCGTGAAGCTCGTGAAACGTCATTTGAAAGCGTTACTTTTGGCGATTGGAGATGGTGCCAACGACGTTTCGATGATCCAGGCCGCTCACGTCGGTGTCGGTATCAGTGGCGTTGAAGGCCTTCAGGCCGCTCGAAGTGCCGATGTGGCCATTGGACAATTCCGATATCTCAGAAAATTGCTCCTTGTCCATGGCGCATGGAGTTACCAACGAATCAGCAAAGTCATTTTGTACTCTTTCTACAAAAACATTGCCATGTTTATGACACAATTTTGGGTGGGCCAAAACATCCGTGTCGAGGATTGCATCGTTACTGACCATGTTTCCATAGTACTCATTCCAAAACGCCTTCTCGGGTCAAGTCATTTACGAATCTTGGACTCTATCCTTCTACAACGTCATCTTCACGGTTCTCCCCCCATTCGCAATGGGTATTTTCGATCAATTCATCTCCGCTCGACTCCTGGATCGCTATCCGCAATTGTATCAAATGACCCAGGATGGCCTCTTCTTCCGCATGCACTCATTCTGGTCCTGGGTTGCCAACGGCTTCTATCACTCCATCCTCGCCTACATCTTTTCATCGTACTTCTTTTACGAAGACCTGATCCTCACCAACGGCAAAATTGGTGGGCACTGGTTGTGGGGTACCTCAACATACACAGCTATTTTGTTGGTCGTACTGGGCAAGGCAGCATTGATTACCAACGTGTGGACGAAGTACACCGTCATCGCAATTCCGGGTTCCTTCATCATCTGGCTCGCGTTCATTCCCGCCTACTCATACGCCGCGCCGAATATCGGATCGGGCTTCTCAACCGAACTTGACGGTATCATCCCTGTCATGTTTACCACTCCCGCCTTCTACCTTCTATGTCTCATTCTCCCGCCGGCCTGTCTTCTGCGGGACTTTGCCTGGAAATACATCAAGCGCGTGTACTTTCCCCAGGACTACCATCATGTCCAGGAGATTCAGAAATATAACATCCAAGACTACCGTCCGCGAATGGAACAGTTTCAGAAAGCAGTCCGCAAGGTGCGGCAAGTCCAACGAATGCGTAAGCAGAGAGGTTATGCTTTCTCTGCGGGTGATGAAGGTGGACAACAAATGCGGGTTCTCAACGCATATGATACGACGAGAGAACGTGGTCGGTATGGTGAAATGATGAGCGTCAGGGATTCGGTTGGTTGAATTCGGTTTGATTTTCCGGCGAGATGTGACGAGATGCTTGAGACGAAAGCAAAACGAAGAAGACAGATTTGGGGGAACCATTGATTGGGTGGCCGTGATGCTGACAATGTACCTCATCATCTCAAAACAGGGCTGACCTGGCCTGGAAGCAAAGTAAGGGAGTGCAATGGAATGACTCTTATCTGGGATCACCCCCTGCCTACTACGGTACTTCCTCTTCCTTTCTTCTCTGCTTGTAAAGTTCCAAGGAACTTAAAAGGGATCGTGGGAGAGTGAATCTTGAAATCGATGGACCTCGAGAGTTGACATAATTCAAACGAAATATAGACATTGCTGGTGTCTCGGAAATTCTATAAAGGTATTGGGTATAGGGGTATTGCCGCAGCACGGCACCACACGAGATCTTGTTTCTTCGTATCTAATAGAGATGGAAAGCAAGCCACCCTTCCCTCTTCTCTCATGAAAGTAGAGGCAGGTTAGGTGAAATTCAAAGCAAGGCAAGGCATATAAGTTCCTCCCAAATCAGTAGTCTCGTCTCTTTCATTTCCAGCGTCAAGTTCGAATCAAGCGTATGTAACGAATCGCAACTCATCACTCAGGTGGCTCTATCCCTCCCGAACAGCGCACCTAGTCCATCTCCTCGTGGAGTCGATCCGGCTCCAGGGACAACGACACGCTTTTTGGCCCAGAATTCGGTGTCGTCGTGGTCAGGGACAGAACTTGCGATCACGTCCGATGTGGGAGGTGGGACATGCGGCGTCACCAGATCAATGCCCTTCGAGTGCCCTGCACTATTCGAGTACATCGGGTTCTGGCGCGGGGGGAGAGGGCGCAAGCCAAAGTCGTAGAGGCTGATGCTGTCGAAGCTAGAGGACGCCGTCGTGGGCGTGTTTCCTAGACTTGGAGTCGTGGTGCTCGTCGTAGTCGTCATGCTCGTTGTGCTCTTGTGTCGTGCTGTCCGTGGGCGGTCTATTTTTACATGCTCGCCCCCCTCAGATGCAGTCATGGTCTGATGGAAGCGCGAGAGATAGCGAAAGGCCTCTGAGGCCCCACGATGTGGTAATTTGGGCTTCCATTCGGTCGGGTCAAGATCGGGCTTGTGGTCATGCCTGTCGGCTGGTATTCGGAGGACGGGCGTGTGCTTGTCGAAGTCGGGAGAGGCGCTTGAGGTGCGTAGAGGTTGCGTCGGGCGGGGAGAGGAGGGCGTTGATGCTGATCTTGGAGGGGAGGGAATGTTTGACGCAGACAGGGGTTTGACTGAGTCTTTGCGACGACAGCTAGTGTGTTCGAATCAGCATTTTGGCATCATATTTAAGGATTTAATGGGAGACGAAACTCACGCTTCACTGCAGTAAAGGATCGAGTTGCAGGGAGTCATGATTTGTTTCTCGCACATGGCGCTGGTGTGTTGTCAGTTGGAGCAGGAGGATGTTTGCTCGCCATGGTGTCTCACCAGAATTGCAAGAAACTGGCCGCCATCTCCTTCTCCTTCTCCCTCTCTTCCACTTTGGCCGTGTTTTCGGTAGGAGACAAAACGCGAGGAACTGTGCCACCAAAGGCGGTGCTCGTTCGCTTCAGATGTTTTGGGCGGGAAGCTTTTCTAGCGGGAGATTTGCCATAAGGAAGAGGTTTGGCGTCTGGTTCGGTGGCGAGACCTTCCCCCATTGAGAGCGGTGAGAGAAAATATAAGGTAAGTCATGAATGAAGGGAAATAAAAGGAAGAGCGTTGATGCAGGACACACCGCATTCCACCACGAAATAACCAGTGACCAGGAGATGAATGGTCTTGTGCCCCAGGCTAAGACATTGGCTTGCAGAATTCGCAACAACAAGAGCATGTGCATACCCGTGCCCCACTAGACTTGATATAGGCAAAGTCTGACGGGAGAACGAGATGTGTTTTGCTAGCTGCATGCCCCTAATCCAGATCGTTGCGTCAGCCTCATCCACCCCTGTGGTCCCTTGTTTCTCGCAGCCTCACAGCATTTGTGTTCGCATATCGATCTTGGACAAGGCTTGCGTTCACCTGAATCATCATTCGTCATTTTCTCACGTCTACTGGGAGCGCCCCCAATCAATATCTGAGAAGTCCGTGGACGCTGGCCGGGCCATTTGAATGATCCACTTGGGTATGAGATCTCAAGACAGTTGGTGATCTCGATCCCTCCATGATATATTCAACCATCACTTTTACACAAACCCTTCTGGCACACCCCGGGCTACAACTCCTCCAATTCGACCGACATAGCACCCGAGCATACTGCTCCATGCGAACCGATGTTCTTTCAATTCTTGAAGCTTTTTGTACGCCGTCACATTAGCATAACCGATGCCTGTCGACTTATCTCTGTATCGGACAGGCAGAGTCGTGATTGGACACAACTCTTGACTGTGTTTCACTGGTTTGGCTGTCTTGCGATTGTTGTAGAATAGACCATATTCTTGTCTCGACTCGCCGGAAAGCTCGTCGAACTTTTCCAATATGACCAGGTTTCGTGTCGAGTATTCCACAACTGGTTCGGGTGCAGGTGTGGGTTCGGATGCAAGTTCAACAATAATCGGTGCTTGCGATTGGTCTGGGTCTGGAGTTTCAGTCTTAATCGTACCATTTTTGACAGACTCGACTGATATTTGCGGACTGGGATTGGTCTGGGCCTCTTGCACCGTGTTATCCGGGTTGCCACTGGAGGCTGGCTGCGACGCTAGACTCTTCTCGTTATCTTTTTGGGTATTCGGGTTGGGAGAAGGACTAGTTCGATCCTTATCCGGCTCATTGTTATTTCCTTGTATGGTTATGTGCTCGTGAATCCCCTTCAGGAAAGAATCTTCTGGTTCCAGTGCAGGAGCAAGTGGTACTTGTGGCTGTTGCGATTCTTCCGGCACGGCGGTGACGTCCGGTTTCTTATCTAGAATGGGTTCCTTGGACTGGTCCAACGTCGACGCGGGGGGCGGTAATGAACACGTCCCATTTGTCTGCTCCGTCGACGACGATGGCAGATCGACAGACTTGACTGCTGGCATCTGTTCTTGAAATGCCTTTGATTTTCGGCCGCGCCTTTTGGTTTCTGCACCTCCTTCCATCACATCCCCAGCATCTTTTGTCCCGATCTTAATTAGTTTTGATCCGACCCATGTGGCTTTAGCACTCCACCAGCTCACAACCGGCCCCTCTAGTTTCCTATTCTTCAATGCTGCCAGCTTGGCAGCCTGTTCTTCCTGCTTCTTCTTCTCCATTGCCTCCCATCGGTTGAGACTCCTTGCATTTTGTCTTTCCACTCTGGCAGCTTCGGCTAGACGATCGGCTTGGGTCAGTTCCTTAGGGGCGTCTTTGGCTCGTTCCCTTTCTCTCTGTTCCTTCAACGCCTTTAGCTTTTTGCTTTGGGCTTCGCTCTCTTTGAGTCGGGCAATCGTCTCAGCTCGATGGGCAATCGTCTGCTTTCGCAATGAACTTCGGCCAGAGTCCTGATCATGGATCCAGGTCACTCGTTCCTTTTTCTTGGACGGCTTCGGTTGAGGGGAGGCGGCAGCCGGTCGAGTAGGACCAGTCTTCAGTTTCTTTCTTAACCCGGCCGTACTCGTAAGTGCGAGGCCCGCCTTGCGCTTCTTCGCTCGTTCTTCTCTAACCTGTTTTTGTAATTCTTTCTCTCCTTCCAGATCATCGACCGGAGCGTTTGGGCCTTGATCATCGTCGTCGCTTGATGACATGTCGGCATCTTCATCCTCATCGCTACTTTTGAATTCTTCATCCTCTTCTTCTTCGTTGTCCGCAAAGAGCAGTGTAACCTCATCCGGGTCTTCATCAGCTGCCGCTTCTTCTAGAACCATGCCTCTGTCATATCGGTTGCCTGCTGTCTTTCGTCGCTCTCGACCTGCGACCAGAGTCTCAACTGGGTCTTCGTCCGATTCATCTTCGCCGGTGTCGATGCCTGAGAGTTGTGACGTGTCATCGGTGGGATCGTAGTCGGTCATCTTCAGTATTCAAAGCCCCTATCCTAGCTCGAGAACCCTCCTGCACTCTCGGCGAAAAGCGAGGAGTTTTGTCGAAACTTTTGCTCAGCAGTAGGCGCTTTCCGGCAGGGGAAAGTATGCCGAGAGGGGCTTCTCTACGCGTCCAACGCGCGGGAGAACCCCCGACACATATTACATTGACAATCACGCCGTCGCCATTCAGTTGACAGACTCCCAGCGTCATAATGCCGAAACCTCGCCAGTCTGATGCAGTCACTGTTCCAAGTCCTATTTTAGGGAGTCCTAATAGCAAAAAGCGCAAGAGGGGTGAACCAACTCTTGCAGAACACAAGACTGCCAACCATTTGAGCCCCAAGAACGGAAAGCGTACGAAAACAACCGACAAACCTCCACACGGTGCTCAGCTCTCACCAGCTTCGCCCCGACATCGACGCAAAGAGGCCAATTGGCAACTAGAAACAGGATTGACTACAGAGGTAAAGGCAGAGGAGCACGGCACGGTTACGACAGAAAAAACCAAGGTCCGCATCAAGGAAGATACAGAGCACCAAGCAGGCAAGAAGGCGACTCGGAGACGAGATAATCCAAAGCCTGCGAAACGAGAATATCTAGACCTGGATGAAGACGACTCCGGGGACGAGGAAGAGCGCCAAAAATCCAAGCGAAAGCGCAAGACTAGGGAAGAGAAAGAGGCTGAAGACATGCCGCTCGCTGCCCGAGCAGTCGGCTTGAAGATGTTTGTTGGTGCGCACACGAGCATAGCCAAAGGGGTGGAAAATGCAATTACCAACAGCGTCCATATCGGCGGTAACGCATTCGCTTGTTTTCTCAAATCACAGAGGAAATGGGACAATCCACCCCTAAAAGATGAGAACAGAGATGCCTTTCACAAGGCTTTGATAGAACACAAGTACGATGGCACGGCACATGTTGTCCCGCATGGGTCATACCTGGTCAACCTGGCCACAGAAGACAAAGCCAAAGCCATACAATCTTACGATGCATTTATTGACGACCTCCGTCGGTGCGAAGCCTTGGGTATTCGATATTACAACTTCCACCCAGGAGGAGCCGGACAAGGTCCATTTGGTGAAGCAGTCACCCGACTGGCCAATCGACTCAATCACGCACTATCCGAGACCAGCACGGTGGTCCCCTTACTCGAAAATATGGCCGGGCACGGCACATTAATTGGAGGGCGATTTTCCGATCTTCGAGACGTCATCTCTCAGATCAAGTCTGAATATCAATCCCGAATTGGCGTTTGTATCGACACATGTCATGCTTTCGCGGCGGGCTATGATCTCCGAACAGCGGAAGCATTCAAGAAGACGATGGACGAGTTCGATGAAGTTGTCGGCTTCAAGTACCTCAAAGCCCTGCATCTCAATGATTCGAAGGCCCCGTTCAACAGTCACAGAGATTTACACCAGAATATTGGCCTGGGGTTCCTTGGTCTCCGAGCATTCCACCACGTCATGAACGAACCACGTTTTCAGGGCTTACCATTGATTCTCGAGACGCCGTGTGAGAAGCCAGACCCGAAAGATCCCAAAGGGAAGAAGACAATTGAGGATAAATCTGTCTGGGCCACGGAGATCAAACTTCTGGAAAGCCTCATCGGGATGGATCCCGAAGGCGATGACTTCAAAAAACTGGAGAAGGAATTGAGTCACAAAGGGAAGAAGGAGAGGGACGAAATGCAGGCGCAGTTCGAGAAGAAGCTGGAGAAGGAGAGGACGAAAATGGCCAAGGAGCGCGAGAAGGGTCAGAAAAGTCTAAAGGACATGTTCGGTGCGAAGCGGGATGTGAAATCTTCCCTGAAGAAGAAAAATGGTAGTGAGTGTGATGATGTGAGTGGGCTGGGCGAGGATGAAGATCATATGTGAACGAATAAAAGAAGCAGAGTTGATGTTGAGCTGAAAACTGGACGGAGATAGAGTAAAGCTAACCTGTATAAATATACATAGAATCAACCGACCCCACATGCTTACCTCCCATAAATCCTTGACCTAACTAAACAGTACGCGCCGTATCTCATCAACTCACGTCCCCATTGCTTGATGCACTAATGGACCACTATTGCATACAGCTCTACTTTGCCGACGGATCGCAGTTTCAATTGGCCCAGGCTCCAGTACTCTTCAAGTAGACCTTGAGACCATTCTTGGGTCGAGCGGTGGCGCCGCCCTTGATATCGATGACCTCGTCTCGGTCGACCATCTTGATCTCGAAGGCACCAACAAAGACAGCAAGCAAACAGGCTAATTCGGCCTGAGAGAACTTCGCGCCGATACAGCTGTGCGGGCCGTGCAAGAAAGTCAGGAAAGCGTAGTTGCTGACGGCACCACCAGCGTTGGCCTGGCCTGGGGCGGTCCAGCGGTCTGGATTGAATTTATCGGCGTCTTCGCCCCAGAGCTCCATATTTTGGTTGACAGCCCACGGCGCCAGGATGATCCTGGTCCCCTTGGGCACGAACTCGCCAAGGATCGTCGTGTTTTGGGCGGCATCACGCAGCGTCAGAGGTACGGGCGCCCACAGTCGCAATGTCTCTTGACATATGGCGTGGAGGTAGGGCATATTTTCGATGACTTCGGCTGTGACGTTATCCTCACGGAAATTCGAGATGTGCGCATGGATCTCTTCGCGTAGCCGCGTCTGCATCTCTGGGTGTTGGCAAAGCTCGTAAACTGCCCAGACGAAGGCCGTGGCCGTAGTTAAGTGGCCAGCCGCAAGGAAGGTCATCATGTTGTCGACCAGCTCCTCATCCGTGAACCCGCCCGACTCGAGCGCCACGGAGATGATGTCCGGTTGCATGGGCTCTTTGTGGGCGAGCCGTCGCTTTTTCTGCTCCACCAGTCGGCGGCACGTGTCGCGGGCAACCTGTGCAGCGGCCCGAACATTCCTATTCCGGGCCAAGGGCAAGTTGCTGATGATGACGTCGGGGAGGAAGAATGAAAGAAAGCTCAGGACTTGGGCAGTGCGGTCGGGTTGGAAGACAGAACGATACACACGGTTCAGCTCGTTCGTGGGGTCCTGTAGCGCATTAAAGTCTTGTCCCATACCAGCGACGCCGATAATATCAAGAGTTGCCCTACTGCCCCAGCCATAAACTTCAACAACAGGATTGGAGTCGGAGGAGTTTTTCAGCTCGGCTCGAATGCATTCTACCATTTCTTGACCTTTTGACCAGAAAATGGGGTATAATTCCTTGATGTGTCGGAAGTGGAAGGCGGGCATGAGATTTTTCCTCTGAGTCTTGTGTTCCTCGCCTTCGGCCAGAAGAACACCGTTACCCAGCACCTTCCCGAGACTTTCACGAAGAAGATCCGGCTTGACAAAGTCGTAGCTCTTGGTTGTCAAGACTTCGGCAAGAGCCTTGGGGCTGGTGATGAGGAGGCGTTCGCGGTTAAACAGGTGCAAATAACGAATGAGGCCATCATTGGGAATTTCATTGGCCCATCGCCGAGTGGGGACGCCAGAAGGTTCCTTGACAAGAGCGTAATATTGACCAAAAAAGAATGTTCCGCCCGGGACAGCAGGAAGATGGCGTAAGGGGCTGACAAAGAAGGGGTAGATGAAGACGTTGTAGATGCCGTACACAGCACCATGAAGAATAAACAGTACGAAGAGAGTCAAAAAATGTGACCGTTGAATGGAGTATTCCGGGAACACTCTAACCAGCAGCATCGTGTTGAGCATAGACGAGGTGAGCCAGAAGCGATATGTGCCCAGGTACTCGGGGAATATGAGAGGCATCTTGGACGAAGGAGAGACCGATTGTGTCTAAGCTCACCGTGTCAATTGTTTGCGATGCTCGAGGTTGAAACTGAGGGTTGACAAAATAAAAGTCCAGTGGGCCAGGCGACGATGAAGATGTCGTGGCTCAAGGCTGAACCGGGAGCCGGACTCGGGTGTTGAAGTTTCAAAGTTCAATGCCGGCAGGCAGAAATCAATTGCGAAAAGGACATTGGGCTGTCAAAAACGGAGAGTATGGGAGAGTGTGAAACGAGGAGATTGAAAAATAGTTCAGCGGGAGGGGTGGAAGCGGCGGACCAATTCCCAATTGAGTAAATGGTTAGGTTGGGTCTGCGTCTGACAGAAATATATATGAGAAGGTGCTCTATTCGGATCGCTTTAAAATCTTCATAAAGATTTGCGTCAGACGACACCAATTTCATTCTGTCTACCTGGCGTGCAGGCTGGCACCCACCAGCCCACGTACTCCTTACCTCAACAAGTCCATCTTGCGAACTCGGCCGGCCCACCAACTCTCCGAAACCTTTCAATTCCAATTTCCCCATCGCTAATTTGCTGGTTTGAACCACGAGCTTGCTTCTTAGCTGCCATGGGCTCGTGGTACCCTGCCTACCCGCGCTACTCATAAAGGACACATCTTCTCATGATAGGGTCGTATCGGCATTCTCCAAGCTCGTGCATACAACGGGCTCCCATCTCCTCGAATCGACCGGACGGCGCTGGAGGACTTATCGGTCAGAGCAAATTTAATCGGCAAATAGTCAGGGAGCAAGAGTGTCCAGAATGATGAATCATCCACAGATAAAAACCCTTTGATCCATGACTTCACCCGGAAAGATATCGTGTTCAATCGCATTTTGTATACTCTTGCTCGGAATTGGACTCGTTCCGTTCCTCCATTGTCACGATTTGCACCCTGTGCATGGACAAGCTCCCTGACTCGACGTCTCTACTCGCTCGAAGTTGGGTTGCTGACCCAGACCTAGAAAGCAGCCGTCGTTGTCGTTGTCGTCGCATGTTCAGTCCAATATCGATGTCAACTTTGCTCCTTTCGCGGCCCAGTTGTCGATTTGGGCTTCTTCGGTCTTCGGCCTTGTTGATAGACTCTATCTCTGAGGTTGGTTCGCTCACACTGCTTTCGTCAATCTCTCTTTCAGCCATGGTGAGCCCTAGTCCATTTCCTTTGAAAGATCCAGCCCTATAACCTGCTCCCAACGATCGGTCTTTGGCTGCCGCCGACTCGACTTGGAGTTCGTGGCTTGACTCCCTTCTTGGGAGAGAATTCGGCGTCATCATCGGGAAGAGATATGCATCATCCGATTCCCCCTGTGACCACGTCGAAGATTCGTTAGATCAGAAAGTTGGGTCGGGCATTGACCACGCCCAATGGGTTTCCGTTGCCTAACAGTCAGGGAGATGCAGTGTGGTACGTTGATTGATATAGAATGTGCCATCTGCGAGCAGATTAGGAGAAAGCGCAGCATTCGGGTAGGACAGAAATTGACGACGGGTATTGCCTAGGGAAACTGAAAATGAAATCCGGAACTCTTATACCAAACCATAGTGGCCACGATACTACCTTCCACATGACTGATGAAGAGACTCCTTCAACTGGCACCGAAATGCACGGGTTGCAGCTAAGTGGGAAATGGAGACGCTTCTTCTTATATGTGGATGAAAGCGATCCTTTGAAGACACGATGGAGGGAATGGAAAGAATGAGACTGTCGAAGAACCCAAAAAAATTGCGGTAAGGATCAACACGCGAACCTCAAAAATGCTGTTCAACGATCGTGCAGAAGAGGTACTTGGGCCATCTAGCCCTGAATGACTGATTCTTACCTGACTCGGTGAATATTGAACGCGAAGCCGTGAGTACCTGGGTGAGGAGTTGCCTTGGATGTTGTGGAGACTCAAGAACGCCGGAAGGTTTATTTCACCAATGTTAACCAGCCGATTTCGCACCTAGACCGATAAGATGCCAGCGATCTGCTCCTGTCTCATGATGATGGCTGATCTAACCCGATGGCGTTTTCCGGTTTAGAAACACGAAGTCGAGGGGGTTCTCAATGCCATCGACCAGCAGAATCTTATTCACATTGCAAACTCAGATTCATGACAGACTATAGGAGTGTTGAGAGCAACAAGTTTCGAAGGCAAATTTTTCCACCCACAATCTTTTGCAATGTCTTTAGGCCAAAATTCCTGCGTTCGTGTCAAAATCCACGAGGCGACGAGTTGTATCCGATTTCACAACATGTTACTCGAGACTTTCAAGTATTTCGATGAATGACGCATTAGTAAGTCGGATATTTGGGGAATGACTTTGAGGATGTGTAGCTGACCTCATATGTGAGCGAAGGCCCGTATTTTGCAACAGGAAGACTTATGTCATTGTGTCTCTTCTCGCCAACCACCTTCACCCGAAGGATACGCTTACCAGTCATACGAAATTATGCCAAACAGCCATGACTGACCTTCTGATGATACCTCTGTTGAGGTAGCATCCAACCACGGAATTGGGTGACCGAAAAACTTCTCAGAGTGCCGGATAGCTCTACCGTCTCTGAGAACGTCTTCCCACCCCAAAGGAGCCAAGGGGTCAGATGCTCGCAGTCCAGGACCACTGAAGAAGATGGAAGATACCGCTAGGAGCTAATATTCAACATTCAATTTGCCGCTCAGTATACCGCAACGGCCCTCCCTTTACCGACATAGCCTCCACACTCAGCGTGTCTAGCTGACCTTCCTTTTTGGCTTCTGTAGGAATTCGAGCGAGCGACCCCGCTCTCTATGCCAGGAGGTACGCTCTATGGCAATATTCGCTCTCTCCGGACCTGTGTGTGGGTACTTCTGTTTCTGCTTTGCCTCATATCCCAGGAGCATGAGCAGGTATAATGCGCACACAACAGGATCTTCCCTTTGAGATTATAAAACTGATAGCCTTCTGAGCAGTTATCCTCTGTGTTGCCACACCAGCAGACCAATTGTGTTCTGATCAACACTGACCTGGTATATTCTGAGATTCCTGGCTCAGAACTGACTCGAAATGAATCAATGACGAGATCGTACCTTCCTGCGGTGGTCAATTTATATTTTCCAGCGAAAATGCAAATTCTCCCACTTGATACCCTTTCATGATCCTTCCCTCCATCAGCCTTATCTGATGGCGGCTGAGTCGATATTCCAGACTTGTGCTCGAATCAGGGCAACATTCATCAACCGTTCCCGTGAGTTTTCTCCCTGGGTAGTGGATCTTCAAGCTTCCCAACCCAACCGAGTGAAGGCGAGAGTGTCTCCGTACCCTGAGCAACTACGACAAGCAGGTACACACCAACCTCGGATCCTTCTGCAGGCTACATCGACATTCTTGCGACAAATTCGGAAGAATACTAAGGGAAAGAAGCCTCCATTCCGGAATGTTAGAACATTCGACCACGTCTGCCGTATGCGCCGTTTTCTGGGATAAATCCCCACACCGAACGGACTGCGAGATCCGACGAAGAGAGCAGAACCGCAAGATGCAGAGCAAGGACGAGATGCGCCGCATATATCACGAGATTTAGCAGGCCAGTGATGTTATCGAGTAGGTCATGGAGTAGGCTACTCGTACCTACTCCTCATGTAAACTTGCCAAGACGCACGATATATTCACTTACAGCCAATCACGTAAACCGTTATGGGACCCCACGTGTGCGCCGCCAAGAATTGCCAAGATCATCGAGTTTTTAATCACACGATCCGGAAAGGATCAAGTATTTATCCGGGGTCTGGGCGCCGAGACCAGTTTGATGAGCAGGCTACTCGGGAGTAGGCTACTCCTACTCGTCGCCATCCTCGACGAGTAGGTCATTGACATCACTGTAGCAGGCAAGGCCCCCGCGTGGTCAAGTGATGCATAAGAATGAACCAGAGGTTGGCTGGAGTGTTTGCACAAGATGCAAGAAACTTTGATGCTGTGTTTTGCCGAACCCCTGAATCAACGCCTTCTGAACGTCTTAGTTTCGACCAAAGCAACTGCAATGCGTGAGATCATGTTCTCTACTGAAAACTCGCTCTACGCCTAAAACGCATGAAAGTTCGGCGAATACATTTCGAACAATGTCATGCTGTACTAGCCTAGCTATCATCCGACTTGCTCTGATGTATGACTCCGATCATCTCCAATACTACATCAATGCCAATCCAGTTCTTCGAGAGAAAGGAGCGCAAAGTTGCCCATTTTTACATTCGTCTTTACGCAAATCTCGATGCCAGAGCAAGTCAAGGAGCCGAGTAACCACGGCGTTATGAGAGAGATCACAAATGGCATTTAGCAGGTCGCTGCTAAAGGCGCTGCCCCGAGATATTCCCATCATCTCTAGGGACCAGAATCAGTCCCCCTTCAGAAACAGTAAGGAATCCGCCCAAAGCGACGAGCGCCTTCGACTACACTACCCTGACCATCAGGCCTCGAGGACCTAGAGGGACGGTCCCTTGGATTTCCTCACACTACCACAGAAAGAGAAGACCCTTGTCCCACCTCCGCAAAATCGACTCGAACTGCGTCCTATCTCCCCTCTCCCATCTCCTCTCATGCATTTCAGCGACTCTATCCAACTTTGATGCCTAGACCCGACCTTCCTATCCTGTTTGTCGGTAACGGCTTCGCATCATCTACCCCTATTTGTAGAGGGGAGGAGTTGGGGGAAAGGAGGATCTTCCCGGAGGCGGGATGGCCGTACAGCCTCAGAACCAGAGACCAGCAGGCAATATTCGACCAAGCATTATCGACAACATCGTCAACAACTTGCTGACAGGGTCCTGTGAAGGAATCACCTGCAGATTCCACGAAAGAAAGAAAATATTTGGGAAGTGATGGAGAAATGGACTCGGTAAGGGTGTGCACTATATGGGACCTACCGACCAGTCACTGTCATTTTCTGGGAGAAGACAGGCTTCGCTGCCTTGTGCGCGCCACAAAGAAGATATCATGACCTTCCTCAAGTGGATATTGGATGTTTATCCCCGAGTCCGGAAAAGAAACACTCTGGATGAATACTGGAGAGTGTGGTGCATGTTGTACCGAAAGTCGCCATAATCCATGCGCGTAGCACCCCGCTACAATGGTAACGAGGAATCTCAAGAGATCCTTGTATAGCTGAATGTTCCACTGTCACAGCCGAACAGATCACCACATACTGTTCAACACATTCATCCTGCTCATACTGCTGCTTAGACACCACTCATACACCAACTTATACACCACTCTCGTAATGTTGAACAGGAGCAAAATGTCCCTTTACCGCGAAAAGGGTTTATCACTCGTATGTAGGATATAGGGGTAGGAATAGGAGAAGAAAAGGGGTCAACCAAACGTGTATAAATACCAGTAACCCGGCAGGACCAGTTGATAGATAGACAGAGTATTTAATTCATATTCTCTTGGTATACCCAGTTTGACATATACTATCTCTCCGGATGATCCATGGACTAGACCCGATCAGAGGGGTCGTGTGCGCAAGGGCGGCATTTCTACCCATCCCCGGATGGACTATAGACTAGATCCGATCGGGGGTGTCGTACGGGCAAAGGACACAGTCAACGACATCGTCCACACATGGGCCATGGACTGGGTCCGATGAGGTTGGATGAGGGCAGAGAATTTGGGAACTGTCGGATTATGGATTTTCCGGACTACGGGTGCTACTTTTGGCTTGGCACTGTTGCAACTTGCACCCTTCACCTACTTATTCAGCCTTGCTCTTTGTCAGGGGGAGACCTTCTCCCTAGGCCTGGTTTGGTTAACCAAAGTCCAACTTCTAGAGTATCAATTTCAATCTCTATTGCATACCGCTCAGTCCCAGAAAGGGGGCAGACAGACCGATTTCGTAGGACTTCTTAACCCAAAGGCATTCGATGCCGCGTGTCACAAACTGATGGTTCTCCGAATGGAACAAGAAGATCGACGACAACAGCACGATGATCGCTCATCCAGACTTTGTCATCAAACCTACTAGGAAGAACGCCATAAGCCTGAACCATTTGACGTGTTTTGTCTAGCCCTGCGTCATCATGACTGCCCTCTGTAATTCCCAGATGCACGAAATCGATCCTATGCTTTCCCTCTACTCGGTCGTCCCGTTCGAACCCGGTAAATGTTCGCTCATTCCCGTAGGCGTATATCTTTCCCTCTGAATTATTGTCATCTGAGATCAAGCTCCATGTGTCTACGAAGCCAGATCCCGATTCATTGAGGATTCTATATGCGTCACCGCTAGGGCGACTGTTCAAATCCCCAGCTAAGAAGGTGAATGCCGGAGAGTATTGAGATCGCAGCCGAGAAGAAACCTCAAGGATCAACTTGGCCGCTTCACGCCGGGAAACATCTCCCTGGTCGTCAAGATGGGTGTTGAGAGCGAGAATGATTTTCGGAGTGGTGGAAGCAGTCTCAGGAGAGAGGACTGACTCCAGAACTGCACAGGTCAAGATGCGTACACTCGATGCGTCCCATCCCTTCTTCCCCACCTCTCCTGTCTCGTTCAACCAGACAGTTTCGAAGTGTAAGCATCTCCAGGCCGACTGACGATAAAAGATGGGACTGTACTCTCCTTGCGTCTTGCCGTCGTCTCGACCAACGCCAAGATAAGCCCAGTCATTCGCCTCAGGCGATGTCTGGCTAGACTCTTTGGTGAGTGGATTGGAGTTGGGGGAATTGAAAGTCAAACGCATCAAGTCTTGTAATTGCCGGTGGAGGACCTCTTGCATGCAGACTAAGGTCGATTGAGGGGTGAAGTATTCCCGCGTGTGATACTTAAAATGGCTTGAAAGATGAGGGAATCGATCCTCCCATTTGCATTCGTACTCTTCGGGGTTGTCGTTGGCAAAGCGGATATTGTGGGTTAGGATTCTGATTGGCATGAGAATAGGAGAGTAGACTCCCGTACGGGAGGTTGGTGGTGGTGAAGATGCATCACCCATGTCGAATGGTGTTCAAGGAGGGAATACGTGGAGGAGGAGTCTGCTTGAAGAAAAACACTGCTAGTAGCGGAGAACGAAACGGCTCTGTGGTCTGGATATAATTTGAGGGAAGATATTTTCTGAATGAGATACTGTACCATAGGAACGAGTGGAATGACGAGGCAGAAAAGGCGGAGAGAAGAAAGCTTTGTAGCGGTGAAACTAGAACCTGCGGCTGACTCCTGGTTCCTGGGGAGGGGAAGGGAAGGTCTAGCTGCTTCGTTTGCGATCGTCAGGCACGGAAAGATGGGGAGTCAGGGACAGGATAAAGCACGGAGGTTTCGAGACGGCTTGTTCGCCATTGTTCAAATGACGTCATTTATATAGGCACAACGACCACGTGAGTCGAATCACTGGCTGCCAAGGTCCGTTAGAGGAAGGGCCGTTATAGGGTTCCACAGACAATAGATAGCTATACTAACAATGGGAGGATTGATCCTGCTCTGGTTGTGCAATTTCTCCCGAAATGTTTCTCTTCAGAAGCCCAGCTGTCCATTGAAAATGCTATTCGAGTAACCATCGCTGACCTTGAGGTGCCCGACTGAGACCACAAACTAAGAAAGCCAGGTTTCACAGCGTCTCTCAGACCGTCACGAATTACCATCGTATTCATAATAACTAGCCAACCATGCGGGCAATTGACATGACCAATCTCATCCGTAACATAAGCCGCGGACCGCCAAAGGCAGCGGGTTTTGTCTTTTTTTTTTCCCCCCATCCATCCTCTAATCAATCATCCAGTTCCTGCCAGAGTCACTGGCAGAGGAGTCCCGTACTTGTAGAGTGTCTGATACTCCTCAAGAATGTGGTCTGCGCGGTGAGAGAAGGTGGTTGGTGCTGATCGTATTTTCGGGGGGATAGGAAGAAGAGGGACATGTTTTGTTCACTGCAATAGGAGAGGTCTTGCTATTTTATACTCGTGAGACACTGCAGGAGCTGTTCGAGTCGAAACAAGACTAAGGGATTTTCCAGATAAGTGGCCTTAAGCCTCAGCCATGCAGTGTCATTAAACCATCGGGTTCAGCGTCAACGGTTTTCTTGGACTCGTCCCTGTTCAGCTGTTCACCCCAGGCTGAGTCGCTCAGGTTTGCATGCCGTGAGATGAGGACGATTTCGGATCAAGAAACGAAGTTGAAGGTTTGGCCTCGTTGATGCTGGAAAAGGGCAAGCCCGAAAAGCTAAACCTAATCGGGGTATGCTAATTCCGAACGCGAACTGAGGCAATTCTGAGTCGAGCATGATCCCTTCCCAGACACGTTTGTGCGCATCCATCTTCAGCCGAGGCGGATCTGGTATGTATTCCATCCTTTGCTTACTACAGAACCTGTTTTCATGGGAATTGGCGATGATGGCTCTATCTGGTGATGGATCTGTCCCCGCCACCCAAGTCCCCCTCGCCTCCTCACCCAGATCTCGTCTTCAGATTTGCCCACATGGCTAACTCCATCACTAGAAACGCGTTCGGTCGCGATTGGCCTTTCTGCTCTTATTTTCTTCCCATTCCCAGTGATATGTTGTCGCTATGAGCGCTTCCCCCGATGGTGCGACTGCGGTAGCCGCGCCTGCAGAATCCTCTCCTCCCCCAGCCACCGTCAATGCCGAAACCATCGCCCAAGGCAAGGAAAAAGCAAAGGAGATCCTCGCGGCATCCGGTATTGATGTCACAAAGGATGATGCAGCGGCAGCAGCCAAATATGATACCACAAAGGATGATACTGCTTTAGAACCCAATGGCCAGAGCGAAAGTCCCGGCGCGAATCGAAAGCGCAAACGCGAAACCCCCATTGATCGTATCCAAGCAGACGAGTATGTTCAGCGCGAATATCACTACAAAGCCCTCTTAGCAGAACAGCTCAATCACCCCGTACCGGCGCAAGAAAAGAGGCAAGAGCTCACATTTTATCAAAATCTCCGACCACGACGAGAACATGACCCTGGCTCCATCTTTGGATATGGCTACGCAGGCTACGGCAATCCCAGGACCGATGAGAAAAACATTCGGGACCCAATTATATATCCCCGCCAGAGGAGACCTGGGAAAAGAAAAACTCTGCCGCCGCGGGTGTCCCGAAAAGAACAAATCATTCAAGCAGAGCAGAGCGAGGACCTGGTCCCCATCCGTCTCGACATCGATTGGGGCAAGATCAAATTAAGGGACACGTTCACCTGGAATCTCCACGACCGCACGACTCCTATCGATTATTTTGCTGAGAAGTTGGTGGAGGATTTTGGTCTCGAGGTGCAAAATTGTCGACCGCTTGTCCATGCCGTGGCAGCCAGCATGCGCGAACAAATCAGCGATTATTGCCCTCAGATTTACACAGATCAAGAGCCATCAGAACCTTCACTGCCTTATTTTGCGTACAAGAACGATGAAATGCGGATTCTGGTAAAGCTGAACATCACAATTGGCCAAAACACCCTCATCGATCAATTTGAGTGGGAGATCAACAATCCGTACAACTCTCCAGAAGAATTTGCTCGTCAAATGACCAATGATCTATCGCTCGCGGGAGAGTTCACCACGGCAATAGCACATTCCATCCGCGAACAATGCCAACTGTTTTCCAAGTCCCTGCATATCACCGGACATCCCTTCGATGGTCGTCCTGTTGAGGACCCAGATTTGAGAGAAAACTTCTTGCAGTCGCCGTTACCGAGCACATTCCGTCCTTACCAGTCAGCGAAAGACTATACACCCTATTTGTACGAGCTCAACGAAGCCGATCTGGAGCGAACCGAGCTGTCTATCTCGCGCGAACAGAGAAGACAGAAACGGTCCACCAATCGGCGTGGAGGCCCAGCCTTGCCAGACCTCAAAGATCGTCAGCGTACTATTCGATCGCTTGTCGTTTCTTCCGTCATCCCTGGAGGTGCCCTGAGTCTGGAGGAAAGTCGTATATTCAGAATCTCCAAAGCCAGTCGCCGATCGGGGCGTGGGGCCGGACAACGAGATGGTTTCGAAGATTCCGACGAGTCAGACAGCGAGGATTCCGCTCCAGATTCACCGGCCATTCCCACGCACTTGTTACAACAAGGAACCGCCCGCACGAGGGGCATTAGAAACGCTGCTCTAACAGCATCAGCAGGAATTCGGTCCAATCTAAGCGGATTTGCCTCCGTCCGGTCTGCAACTCCAGAGTCCGTAACGCCAGGTCACCATGAAGGCCGAGCCTCTGCCAGGAAGAGAGATTACAAAGAAGAAAGCGACGAAGAGTCTGGGCCGGAGAAACTCATTGTGACATTGAAAGTAGGCAGGGCAAAACTTCGTGAATGGCAACGCGCACAACGAGCCAGAGATAGGGCGACTCTGGTCTCAAATCAGGGCAGTCCGCGTCCCGACACTCATTCAAGGTCTGTCTCTGCTGCCCCATTGAACCTCGCCGCCATGCCACCTCCTTCGCCGGTCCCAGATATCCGAGGTGCTGTAGATGCTACACATCATCCTCCCAGTTCCACACATCCTGCCGTGAGTCATAGCCCTGGGATATATATATTTTTGCCTACTATCCCCATCGGCGCTTTTGATATCCTACAAGAATTCTATGCTAACCATGCATTCAGCCTCCGCCACCTGACTGGCTAGTTCAAGATTTGGAGCGACTACGGAAATCCTACCCGAATGATCGATTCGAGGGTATCATGAAGCATACCGCCATCGATCCTAAAACTCAGAAGCTTGTTCCTCCGAACGAAACAAATCAATCTTTTCCACACAAATATATCCCGAGGATAAGGTGCCACGATTGCCCGGGCCGGATTTATCTCCCCGATCCAGACAACTTTGACAATCATCTGAGAAACACGAAACACCGAGCGAACGTGAATGAGCGACTGGGAAAGAAAGGGGCTTGATAGATTTGTGCGGGATGCCGCGGGAGGAATGAGCAAAAAGCTTGTGATATTTTATCATATAATCGCTGACGACCTGTCGAATCTCATTCCCCAAGAAAATACTCGAAGCAGTCCAGGGCCACTAGCATTCCCACATAGAGATGTGCCACCGGTTTGCTACGCATCGTGGCGGGGTAAATAAATATATTATTGCAACAACTCCTACTTACCGCAAATGCTTTGCGCCATTTGTTTGATTGCAGTCCCACCGGACAACGAGGGGGCTGCTGGTATCAATCGTCGGCCGGTAGGACAATATGATGCTTTGGGTAACGTTAGGGAAGGCGGGAGACTTTTTCAATTTCCGAAAGCTTTTGAGGTTCAAGTGTTTGAACGAGTCAGGCCATTATTAAAAAATTGGTGAAGAAATATGACACAAGATAGGCGTTGTTATCAAGTGAGGCTGTAAGTCACTTGGTCCTTACCTACATAGTTTGAAGCTCGACGATATTGTTAGGCAGAACAAAATCAACCTGCGCGTGCGGGGATCGACAGCGCACACAGTAGAATTCCAAACCTTCCATTTAAATCCCCACTGCGCCTTGTTCAAGTGACTGTACGAAATATCCACCTTTGTATGCCCCCGACATGGCTGAGTCTGCCGCGGATCCCTCGGTTGACCAGACCATCTCCAATGTTGATGTCTTGACGAAGTTCAAGACTGCGGCCGGAATCTCTCAAAAAGTCCTCGAAGAGGTCTCAGGTTGTCACCACCCCCTCATGATCACACGACGAACCCTAGATTGACATTTGATCAGGATGGTGCGTTGCTGGCGCCGGCGCAAAAATTGTTGAACTGTGCGAGAGGGGCGACAAGCTCCTGGCCGACGAGATTGCCAAAGTCTACAAGACAAATAAATGTTCCAAAGGGCCTAGCTCTCCAGTTACCATCAGCCCTAGCTCCTACGTCACACCGTTTACCCCTTTGATTTCGGATGCTGAGGATGCTGCAATGACGCTCAAGCCCGGAGAACTAGTCAAGGTTCAACTGGGGGCACAAATCGATGGCTTTGGTGCCATAGTCGGCAACACTGTGGTGGTGAATCAAGAGAAGGGCAAGAAGGCTGAGATTACGGGCCGAGAGGCCGACTTGCTTCTGGCCACACACTACGCCAATGAGCTATTGCTGAGACTAATGGTGCCTCCTGGACTGTTGGCATCAGGATCAGAGGAAGAAAAGAAGAAGGCCGCTGCTGAAAAGCCGCCGACTCAGACCAAGATCATCTCCCTGGTCGAGAAAGTGGCCAAGGCCTATGATGTCCATGTTGTCCAGCACACGACCTCCTGGCTATTTGAGCGTAGCGAGATCGAAGGCAAGAAGAAGATCATTCTGTCTCCGGCTGACGGTGCTAAAGGAGAAGGCTCGGTCGAAGTTGGCGAGGTGTGGGGTGTGGAAATGGGCCTCAGCTTGGGTTCGGGCAAGGTGAAGGAGCTGGACAAGCGGTCAACTCTACTGAGACGGACCACGACGACTTATGGCCTGAAGCGACCCAGCTCAAGGCAGGTTTTGTCAGAAATCGTCAAGAAATTCGGCACCTTCCCATTCAGCCTGAGACAATTGGACGACGAGAAAGCCGGCAAAGTGGGTGTGGTCGAATGCATTAGATCCGGTGTTCTTCGCGAATACAAGCCGGCGGCAGAAGCAGACGGATCGCCAGTCTCGAGATTGTTCACGACGATTGGTAAGTGGTCACAATGTCCAATAGTAACACAGGCTGACCAGATATTTCGTAGCCATAACAAAGAATGGCATCACCCGTCTGGCAGCTCCTCCGGCCTTGGATCTGGAATCAATCACATCAGACAAGAAGATCGAAGATGAAGAAATCTTGAAGATCCTGGAGCGACCAATCAGCAAATCTACGGGCGGCAAGAGCAAGAACAAGAAGAAAAAGAAGAAGCCAGCGAAGAAGGCTGTAGCTGAAGAAGAGGACGATGATGAGGATGAAGACAGTGACGATGAATGAGCGAATTGCCACATGCTCTGGCTAGCTTAGGAAGCCGCTTTCAACTTCTCGACCTCGACAAGAGTTTGCCCGGGTTGGCCTCGAAAAGGGAACTCGAGAAGTCAGAGGCGTACGACGTGGACGGAATGGTTGGGCTTCATGACGCGACCCTTGGCCGAACTGATAGGAAATGTGTTTCAGGGCGGGATTTGCCAGGGATAGAGCATATCATCGTGCCCCTGCCGAAGCTCCGAGAGAGAGTGTGTATGGAAGCAGTATACGGACTCTCAAGGACATAGGGCAGACGATGAAGCAATGCCCAAAAGTTATGGAAATGATTGATTCAATTGCGAAGCCTTCCCACTCCCCACTCTGTAGAGCTCTTTTAAGGGACAGGGGCAAGGCAGCGCCCTAGAGTTCGCCACGTCACAGTTGCCTAAGACAGTTTGCTGTAGGTGAATGGAAGATGGGACCACGGGTCCTCGTCGTCATCGGAACTGACGCAAGGAGTCATAGGTGACCGAAAGGTCTGATAAATGAGCGGTGGTATTTTTGAGGGGGGGGGGGGAAGGTTTCGAATGCACCGAATACCAAGAATCAAAGAAGCGGGAAAGGGAGGAGCGCAGCCTTCAGCCTTGGGGGCAAGAGAGCAACTTCAGGAGAGGAAGCTAGTCTGGGTCTCCTACAGTCGCACCGCCAGTGGCCCAGAGTACTTAATAGTGGGTTGTCAGTGGTAGGGTAAAAGGCCGAGTTGCCGCTGGTGCCCGGCCCCTTGCCCGAATCTTGCATCTCAAGACCCCAAGTTACGTTTGCGGACAAGATAGTGCTTCCTTCATACTGACTTCTCCTTCCCTCCACGACTTCCAGCCTGCGCTCACTGGCCGCTGAGCCTCATATCAGGCTACTGTAAGTATTTATCTTCTTCCTCTTGACATGTCCCTGAACTGATCGGGTCGTAGTCGGTGCGTGCGGCGCGGAGAAGAGAAGGATGTCGACAAGATCGCTGCGGCACCGATCCAGCCGCTATTCGAGTCCTGCGACCTTTGCAGAGAAGGAGGTGCCCTCCAAACCTATCGAGGCACCAGTGACGAGAAATGGCCAGCAGTCCTCCCTCGACAGATGGATTGAGCCGGGGGTGCGGCCTGCGGTGCCAAGTTTCGAAGATACAAGAGGTCTCGAGAGGGTTGGTGTGCTGGAGAATATGCAACCCCTAGGCACGGCTCCTTCACAAAAACTTCTTCAAAAACTGAAATTGAACTACGTCCGACCTTCTCTTCGCACCACATCCGCCCAAAATGAGGAAACCGTCACGCCGGTGGCAGAAGCAGAAAAGATGGATTTGGCCTCCCCCGGGGAGCCTGAGATATTGCCCGATCTGCCTCCCGATCCCCCTCGACAATCTGACACCATTGTCATTTCCAGTCCTCCGCGTGGTCGACCACCGAGGAGAGAGGTCGCAGAGATGCCCCAAGCCGTGAATGTGTCGCCTTCGCCGAGCAAATTGTCATTTACCCCTACCACTCACGTTCCTCCGAAGCCTCACTCGATCCAGGAACATCTACGGCAGGACCGACTTCAAAATCACGTCGAACGTGCGATGCAAGAAGCCACCCAGAAAGGAACGCCAGATCTTGTGCCTGGATTGCAAAAGCTTCGCGAGGATGCTCATCTGTATCCCGAGTTGTGGAATGTGTTGGAGGCAGTGGTTCAACAGTCACCGACCACTTCACAATTCAAAACCTTCAAGCGCTACATCAAATCTGGCCTCAAGAAATACCGGCGTTCCAGTCAATTATCTACCAGCCCCTATCAACCTTCTCCTCATCAAATGAACAACCTCGCTTCCCTGGAACACAACCGCTCACCCGTGGCTGGACATTCCGCCATCCCATCTACCGGATTTCCTGAAGATTCCAACCGCAAAATCTCACTCTACTTCAATGTTCCACGCAACCGAGGATCGTGTCGACCGGAGGATGCGTCAGTCTCGCCTTCCACAGCGCCGCGCTCGACGCAACTGACCGAGCCCGAGATGGGACCATTTCAGCAAGCCACCACCTCGCCGCACAAGCGAAAGCGATCGCGCAGCGTGTCCAGCACATCTTCGCTATCATCGGCCCAGTCCATACCTGATGAATTCGGCCCCCCTTTAGACCGTGAGCACCAAGGTGAGGGACGAGGAGCCAGCGGGCGATCCAGATCGGCCGGGCAGCGCCAAGCCACAAGCCGAATGGGAGCGGGCAACAGACTCCGTTCAGCTGCCAATTCCACACATGCTCTATCTGCTCCAAAACATCCATATTCAGAAGTCGCGACTACCGCTAAATTCGCATCCAAGAAACTGAAGAAAGGTCGAGAAGACCCCGAGTTTGACATCAATGAGCTTGCCCGGCGAAAGCGCCACTGGTTAGATGACAGTTTTCATGATTACAACACCATTCCTCGGCCAGAAAGCCACGAGCGTGGACCCATCCACGGTCACCCCGAGCGTCCTGAGGCAGAGGAAAGACCGCCAGCGCCGGTCATTCATCCCAATCGCTTGCTCACCACGCTGTCGTCCCCAGTGAGCGCTCAGGCTCCGCCTGAGAACATCCTATCCAACGGAACCAGCCGCAAGAGAGCGTACGGTGAAATCGACGCAGACGAACTCGACGTTATCACTCCCGAATCATCGTCTCCAGGTCCGCTGCTTGTGCCACCGTTGTCGGGGTTGGCAAACGCCGCGTCACGGGGCGCCACGCCTCGAGCTACCCGACTACAACCAGCTCCCAAAACTCGTAAATCTGCGCGTGTAATGGTATCGTAAGTACAATGGTCCTTTTTTCTTTTTCTAGTTTCCCTGTTGTGCTTCTTATATCTCCTGAACTGAGGAGGCGGACACGGGCGGCGGGCGTGGCGATGGAGTGATAGAGACGCCACATCAGATGCCCTGCGACCCCAACGATGAGTCGGCGGCCAGAGTGGACCTACGCAATTCCGCACTCTGCGATATTCCTCTGAATATCTCACTGACATGTATCTCGCCAGACCCAATAAGCCCAAGAATGGCGGAATCACGGCAGGAATTTCACGTGCGGGGCCTGGGCGCGACGTTACGATCGGCACCGGAGCAGAATCAAGTGCAGAGGTAAGCCAGACTCCTGCAAAAGACCTTGCCCGATGCCTAACCAGCGAAAACGCCAACTCGCCCAACTCACCTATTTCCTCCGGCTTCCATCTTCCACCTTGCCACGATTGGCTCGCCCTATTTCCCCCTTCTACCCTTTCCACCCTTCTAATCCTCTCCGTCCTGCTGGCCTTTCCTTGTTTCTCATCCCTTGATTCCATCTCTGCCTCCTCTTCGTCACTCTCTTGCTCCCCCTCGAGGACCCATTCATCTTCCTTTTTTTCCTTCATCCGCCCTGGGCCAGGAGATGATTGATGCACCATCTAGCAGGTGCTGACTTGGTTTATCAGGATAACGACGAGTTTTGTGCTTCGTGCGGTGGCGAAGGAAAGCTTCTGTGCTGTGACGGCTGTCCAAACTCCTTCCATCACGCATGCTTAGAGCCACCGTTGAATCCGGACGAAGAAGTTGAAGGCGAATGGTTTTGTCCACGATGCGTCGCGCGACGAACCAAAGAAGCACCTCGGCCATCCGGTCTTTTGGGCTTGGTCATCCGCCGTGTTGACGATACCATCCCCAAAGCTTTCGCACTTCCCCTAGACATTCGTGAATACTTTGAAGGCGTGCGGACGGGTGATGAAGGCGAGTATGAAGAAGTCGGTCTCCCCCGCACTCAACACAACGCCGTCAAGATGAATCGAGCTGGATTCATCGAAGAGCCAAACTACAAAGAGACTCGCGACGGTAAAGGTCACCTCATTGTCTGTTACCGGTGTGGTCTCACGTCCAATGGTCGCGACATCATCCCATGTGACTACTGTCCCGCGCGATGGCACCTGGACTGCGTGGATCCTCCGCTGGCGGTCCCCCCGCGTCGTCGCGGCAACGATAAGCCAGGCTCTTCATGGCGATGTCCTCTTCACGTTGAACATGACCTGTCCGCCATCGGCCGTCAAGCCGAGGCGGCCCCTGGAGATCTCGGTCGAGTTCCGAGACTGCGCAAGCCGAAGAACGCCGTTCCCTTGGACGTGAGAGTGACGCGAGGATTCAGAAATAACGGCATCATCGAAATTGATTTCATGAAAGACGAACCTCTGGTGGACAAGACCAAAGAGGTGCAAATGTGTGGCAAAGTTCATCGAATCCCCGAAAAAGGTATCCGCTTGGATTTCATTGATCGCGTCAAGAAGAGCTGGTACGAAGATCAGTCATTTCCCAGACAACTGGACGCGCCGAAGAGAATACGGAATCGAACTTATCGTCCTGACAACGTTGTCCTGCACCACCCACCCCAGGAAGTGGTTGTCAAGGTCCGCGAACCCGATTTTTGGACAGGCGCAAGCGCCCTGGCGATCGCTGAAACAGCCAAAGCCAACGCCGCTTTGAGAAATCGGTCTTTGAGAGAACAACAAGCTGTCCTCAATCTAGCCGAGATGTCACAAAAGGGAATTGATGGCTATTCTGGTGATGCCTTGGCCGAATTGACCAATCAACTCGTCAGCGAAGCTCCTCCTGAAGTGATTGAGTCGATGGAACACAGCGAACTCGATCAACTGCTCTCTTTGCAGGGACTCATCCAGAAGAGACTTTCCGTCCTGGGTCACGCAACCCCTTCCGTGTCAATGGACAGAAGCAGTCGGAGTGAGACTCCAAATGGTGATGCATCTCCCCGGAGGGAACCTCTTCCTCCTCCCGGCAAAGAAAAGATGGTCAACGGTGATACCCCAAAGTACGAGGATTTCGAGACACATGGGGATGCAGATGATGAAGACGTCGAATTATAGATGACACCTGGATTCTTGTCCATTTCTCGAGCCAAGATCAGAAATTTGCCACCTTCAATGTGAGGGAGTGTTTCCGGATAGATGCAATACGGGGATTCATTCTCACGAGACCGGAAGGCATGCATTTCTGATTCAAAGGGAAGGAATGAAGACAGCTCGAGGTTCCATCTCACGTCAACATGAAAGAATAGAAGGAAAGAATCGAGTCCGGCATACCTGGCCTGGAGCAACGCACATACACGACATCTCAGAGTGGATGTCGAGTCGAATGGAGACCAATGAAAAAGGAAGACGAAGACGGAGCAGAGAGATTGTGACATGGAGAACTCGTCGAATGGAACTTAGTGACTGAGTGACGGAGAAGCAGTTTGGCTTCGAGAGCATGGAAACTGAGATGTGAAAAGTACGGAGTACGTATGTGTATCAACTCCATCGGGGGTAGCATTGGATCGATCGGATGAGACCAGATCAGTCCTCTCAACTGGCAGTTCTCAGTGGCTCACGTGTACCCTAGCTTATCTTGCAACGTCTTGACCTTCATTTGTCTTCTTGTTTGCACCGCTGTCATTCCTCTTGCCACAACTGCCTCGCTACATGGTAAGCCGCTTCGCCGCGCAGACAGATCACGTATACCCATTTTGGTTTCATACAAAAGGTCGTGTCGAGAACGAAAGCAGGCAGAGAAAGCATAATAAAGAGGACGTTGATGGATGGTGAATACAGACTGAGACGGGAGATGACCATGCGGGAGCCTCATCTCCTCCTACGGTGTTGCCCGAGACTGTGCCGATTCGTGCCGTGTCGTCGGTGACCGAAGAAGGGAACGAAGAGACGGGCTGCCTGCTACGAGTACAACCTAACTGATAACGTCGAAGCATTTTTGGGATGATCCGGATCAACTTGCTCGATCCACGGTGCGGTATGGTGTTGTTTAGATGGACAGGACAACATAGGAGAAGGGAGACGAAGAAAAAGCGTTGTGGTATGTAGTGGACAAATGTACACCTCGCTACATGCGTACAAAACATTGTCACTTCCCTGATCTCCATGCTGTTTGTTGATTTGATATTTTCTCCATCTGCTCTCTGGTTTGCCTCGTTGTTTTATTTCTCATGCCATTTCACCCTTCAGTCTTCAGAAACGTTGACCCTTCGAAGTATACCACATCTGTAAGGAGATCTGAAAATGAAAACAAAAAGGAGAATGATTATCCGAAGAGAAATAGCATTCAGTGTATGAAGAAGCATTCAAGAAAAGCAAAGGGCATTCGATTCAATTCAGCTCAATTCAACAGCACACAAAGCCAGTGAATCTTCGCCATGATTGTCAACTTCGAACCCGCGTGAATCTGGTCGAAAAATCCCTGCAGGGGAAAGGGAGAAAGAAAAGGAACGATTCGTGGAGAGTTGACTTCAGGACTTGAAACGCCATCGACGCCCGCCTCCATGAGATAAATTTATCCCTGCTTCGAATGTCGCCCCACCCTTCGACTTCACCAGTTAACGCCCCAATGGAAGTCTGAGAAAGATTCCCCTCTGAAATTCTTTGAATGTTCTTTCCATGCCGTTTGGAAGAATGGATGAAAAACGGTGCTCGTGATCCTTCGCTGAAGCCCATATGGGGGAAATTTCTTGAACCTGTGATGCCCAATGTCATTTTGTATCTTTCGTCCAAAACAACTCCGAGTCCTCCAAGGTGACAGGTCGAAAGGCGAGAGAAGAAATACTAAAAGAGAGGGAAAAAAAAGAGGGGACCAAAATTAGCTTGAGAACATGATACAGTTATTGTATCACCAACCTGGCCAACCCCGCTTGTTCGAATAGATTCGAAGTTCCGTCAAAGAATCGTACACTTCTTACTACTCTTCTTCGGTGGAGGCTCTAGCGCTGCAACGATCGCTTCATCAAACACGTCTTTGAGCTTGTATTGAGTTAGTGCACTGCATTCGACGTATTTGACAGCTCCAAGTTCCTTGGCCATTCTCTCTCCATCCTCCTTGCGGACAGGTTGCATTTTCTGTTTGGCCAACTTCTCGCGAACTGATGGATCATCTCGAAGGTCGGTCTGCGTGCCAACGATCAAACAAGGAACTCCAGGACAATGGTGGTGAACCTCAGGGAACCATTTCTCGCGGACGTTTTCAAAGGAAGCTGGCGAGGTGACGGAAAAGCAAACGAGAAAGACATCAGTCTGTGGGTATGATAATGGGCGAAGTCGATCATAATCCTCTTGTCCGGCCGTATCAAAAAGTCCAAGGGTGTATGGTTCATCCCCGATCCTAAATTCGCGCCGTCAGCGCACGTGCTCCCATAAATGTTTCATAAAATGGGCGTAGAATATTCCGTCAGATTTACAAGAAGTGGAACCGCCCGCCAGATTTGAGTTGTTCCAACAGCAAGATCAAGGAGACTTTTGGGGCATCATAGTTCCCAATCTCTGTAATCGTCGGATCTCCAGATGGGTATCTCCGATCTCGACACGGCCATGAAGACAGGCGGGTAGAACTTACATCACCGTCACAGCATAGTTGTCGAAGACCGTGGGAACATATTCGGAGGGGAATTTGTTTGTGGTGTAAGAGATGAGCAGACATGTTTTGCCAACCGCGCCGTCGCCGACAACAACACACCTGCAACGTGTCAGGCCTGATAGGAAGTACAGGTATTGTTATCACAAAACTCACTTGATCGTGGCAACAACCATTCCGTTCTCGTCGATCTGGTATGGTTCGTTCTCAAGGCGTCGGACTTGAACGGGCCTGCTTGGTCTAACGACTCTCAAGTTTAGTTTCTTTCTCTTGTGCGCGGTCATCCTGATGTTGAATGCTATTGTGTCGGCTTACCGAATGGTAGAGGGAGGAAAAAGGGGTGTCGCACGCGCACGCGCGAGAAATTTATATCAGGTGTTGGCAAGATTCCAGTTTTCACTTCCGAGGCGCGGCAAAAATGACGGTGGACAGACGAGGTGGACGTGAATCGATGAAATGTCTCGCGTTTTACCTTTATCGTGTCAGGGAGCTATGATCTTATCAGGTTCTTGTATCCAGCTTTTGCCCATTGTATTGAACTCACAGGTGGGAAAGCGAATGCAGGTAATCAATCGCAGGTCGTCGTAGAACAGGGCGGTCAACAGTTCCAGGACCTCACAGGAAAAGAGAATTGGCCAGCAAGAGAGGGAGAATATATTCAAGGCAGGATTGGGAAAAGTCTAGTCGTCAGAAGAGAGCACAGGCATTTACCGGAAATGTCAGAGGGAGAAGAGTGAGAATTGGAGAGGAAGGTGGTTGCGAGGCCGAAGTTGCTCGAGAATGAGGGAATGGAGAAGGGATGCAAGGCGAGGCGCAGGGTGCAGGGTGAAGACGGGGTTTTGGAGGAATTAAGAGTTTTTGGCGTCGTAGGCAATCGGCGTCGAATTGTTAGCTACCAGCAAACGCTTACGACGGACGTGTACTCCCGTACCCAGGCTGGCGCCGACCGCAGAGAGAATCTGTAACTCACCATCGACGGAGTAACTTGTTATTTGCTAGGGTGTATAGCAAACCTCAAATGGTGAATCCGTCAACCCCCCCATTGTCCAGAAGACTTTGGTCCTTCCACTTGTACCAAATAAGCAAGGCCATGTCCATTCTTCGCTTTTGGTGATCCATAGCTTCGCCCGCGCCTCCATTGGCAACGCGAAAAAGACAGCCTCATGCCACGCATAGGGCAGCGGAGCACGCAACTACTGGCTGCTACTGGTGATTCCTTCACTGTGAGCAATCTCGACGAATACCGCTTCCTGTGACAAGCTGCTCTGTCAACCGTCGATCGACAATCACAGAACAGCACTAAGCCTGGCCTTCTCGTGCAGCAAGCTCCGGAACTCTGGCCCTGTCAGAGCGCGTCAAAGAACGGGAACGCCATCCCCTTACCATGTGCCCTATCTCATCTCGAGCAAAATGGATCTCCGTAGCAGCCAGATACCCAAAACTCCCCTCGGCAATTCCTCTCTTCATCGGCGCCTCCCGGTTTTGGCGTTCAGTCCACATGGGACATTATCTAATCCAAAATGAAAAAGTTGAACCTTGGGGGACATCTCATTGCTACACTTATCTCAACAACGGCACCGATATCTAGGAAGAGGGATATACCTCCAATTCATCGCTCTAGTGCATCATGCTCATCCTTTGTCTTCTGCCACTCCCTGTCCGAGACCACATATATGTACATTCAATGACATGGATTGTGACTGGGGCAAAGTCCGGATATCGTCTTTTGGGGGCCCCCAACAAGAGAAAGCCACAATAATAAGACAAGGTGCAGTTCCGAGCTGCAACAGAAGGGCGAAATGCCGCCATCGGAGAGTAACCGTACTTTCCAAACCACAGTATTAGAACAGAAATATTGCCCAATGCCCAGGACCTCATTCAATTCCGAGGCCAAAATTCAGATCCCATAACTCAACCAGAAAACGAAAAAGGAAATCGGTAATTAAAATTTGCTTATTTTGCCCCAATCTCCTCCTCAGCCCAGCCAGAGAGGCCCCCGCGGCTGTCGCTCGTCAGTCCAAGTCCATTATATCCACTGGTCCCAAAGCCCGTGCCAAAGGCCGATCCAAAACCCCCAAAGCTTCCTTGGGGTGCATGTCCACCGAAGCCGCGTGACGATGATGGGCCTTGTTGAGTAGACTGTTGTCCGCCGAAAATCTCCTGTGAGAACGCAGGAAGAGAAACAGCTCTTGAATGCGCACTTCGACCGGCTCCGAGCCCCGTGTTGGTGGGAACCAGGAGACTGCCGGCGGTTGTCGACGCGCCATTGTTGAGAGGGTTCGAACCAAATCCACCACTAACACTGCTTTGTCGCGGTACATGAGATGGAGTGGTGGCATCAAGCCCGCTATGGCCATTGGGCATCTCGCCATATAAAGCCGCCTGCTGGCTTGCCAAAGCTTGATTTTGTTGCTGTTGTAACGAGGCGAACGTCAGGGTATCTTCGCGCATGTCCTGCTCCGCTTGAGCTTGTTGTTGAGACACGTGGGATAAATACATCGTCAGCGGATTGTTGCTGCCCGCATTCAAGATTGCCGAAGGGGTCGGAGCCGCCATATTCGGTGGATGCTGACGAGAGGCCGACTGAGATGACCCTAATGAAGCCTTGGGTCCCACGGGAACGGTCGATCTTGTCGGGCTGGAACCCGACTGCGACACCGGATTTTCAAACCCATTTATTGCCACCGGAGAGCCAGCACCGTCAAGGGAGCCCTGGAGGCGTGCGTGGTTGCCACTGGCATTGCTCAAGTTCTGACGAGGAGGATTGCCACATCGGTCTTTGCCAAAATTGATCTTGAAGCGTTTATATTCTTCCCGACCCCGAACCGCCTCGATGGCCTTGATGGCATTGGCAATATTTGTGAAGTTGACAAAGGCACAGCTCTTTTCTCGCAAGGTGTTGACCAACTCAATCTCGCCATACTCGGAAAAGTCCTGTCGAAGTCGTTCTTCACTCCAGCTCTCGTCCAGATTACCAATGTACACATTTCGCGACGCACCTCCGCTCACGGCCAAAGCAATGGCGGGCGGGAGAGCTCCAGAATGCTTCCCCCAGCCAATTTTCAATCGTCGGTTGTGAATCATGAGGCCCTGAAGATTGCTCAATGCATAAAACGACGCGGCCGATGTCGGATCGATAAATGTCACAAAGCAGATGTGTTTATCGGGAATATATCGGATATGGTGAAGGAGACCTCCTCGGACCACGTTGCAAATTTCTTCGATCGTGGTCTCGGGGTGAATGTTTCCCAGGTACACGGTCCGGTTCCCAAGGTTGTTCACGCCACCAGCGGTGGTCGCGACCGCCGCGGCAGCGACTGATTGCTGTGCCAGAGCATTTGAGATCAGATCCCGGTCGGCTCCATTCAGGACGTGTGCATAACCAGGAGCAATGCCCAAGTATTGTGCCGCGTTCTGCTGCTGGGTCTTGGAAACATAGGCACATCTATCCTTTCCATAATATACCCGACGAGGAGGGCCCCATTTGGGTTCTTGAGGGAGCTGTGCCACGGCCTTGATGGCATTGCCAATGGAAAGGAAATGCACAAAGCCAATAGCCTTCTCCCGAACCAACTTGACGGTATCAATCGGGCCAAACTTGCCCAAATCTTCCCGAATCTCTTGTTCGGTAATGTCTTCCGGGAGATTGCCCAAATAGACATTCCGTGATGCTCCCGATTGCTGAACAGCGAGTGCAACGGAGCTGGGCACTTGAGATGGCTTGCCCCAACCAATCTTTATATCGTGACCCTTTATTGCCAGCTTTTTCAGGATAGCATCCGAATGAAAGTGGGTGGCCGAACTGCTGTCAAGGAATGAAATGAATGCACAATTTTTCTCTGGTAACAGCCTCACAGACTCAATCTGGCCGCTTCGGACATGGCTTAAAATTTCCTCGGCAGAAGTGTCGGCGGGAATGTTGCCCAGATATACGGTTCGGCTGGTGCTTGTTATGTATGTGTGACCCATTCCCACCATCGGTTGATAGTGGCCAAACGCAGCCCCTCCTAAGCCGGAAAATCCCGTCGGGGACTGTGCCGTATAGTTTTCTGGAGACACAACGGTCTGATATGCTTGAGGCGACATCGGATTGGCATTGCTTTGGGTTGGGCTGGCAATCTGAGCTGGAGCCTGCGGATTTGGTTGATACTGCTGAGTCTGATGGTGTAGAGCATTGGTCCCCTGGGGGAAACGATTCAAGCTCGGGAATTGGGGCGAAGCGAAGGAACCGGGAGAGCCAGGTTGAAAGGGGCTGCCGAGTAAGAGTTGAGAAGGCAAAAGAGGTGTGAAATTCATATCGAAGGTGGTCCCCGGCGTCTGCTCGTTGGCGCTATAAGAATGTGGTAGTTGGTCTTTACTGGCCGTAGCTATTGACGGAATGGTAGGTTTCCGCAGGTTGCGGTCTCCCAAAGCCGGATACGGCCCATGATTCGAATGGAATGCACCATGACTGAAGCCTGTATTATCCGTGGCAAATTTCGATGATGCAAATCGACTCCCCAAACCTCCAAACACGTCTTGACTCTGCATTGCGGCGAGCATATGGGACTTGTAACCGGTGGTGTCCCCAGGACTAGGTCCAAGGACAGCGAGAATGTGTTTTGATACCCGTAGAAAATTCGACGAGGACGAGGATAGAGAGGTGATGATTGGTCGCAGGAGGTAGAGCCGCGGCGTGGAGATTTCAGAGCCAGAAGATCTGTACAAATACGAAGGGGGCCGATTGAATATGAACTCGTACAAATACTGTCTATGCGGAAAGCGAGAAATAGGAGTAGCGACTGTTGGAACGGAACGAGTGAATAGAACGGAAACGGAACGAAATGATGGAAGCGAAGAAAGAGAGCAGGATAATAATGAGGAGGAGTATGACGAAGAGGTTCAAGATGCAACGGATGAAAAGAATGAATGAATGAACGAAGGGAGTGAATGAATTATTGGCAGGAGTAGCAATGGGTAACCGTAGGGAAGAGAGTTTGAAAAGTGAGCGTGCGAGTTACTCCAGTGAGCGCCAGTGCCAATGAAGCGGGTGGGTACTGGGGAGCTTACCAGGTGGTTAGGGGAACGTCAAAACGGGTGGCTAAGACGGATTAAGGGGGCATGTTAGTACTTTACAGACAACGCGGCGTGGTATCGAGCCAGGGCTGCCGCTCACCCTTCCCATCAGAGAGCGCCATGTTCTCTTCCATCTGGTAGAAATTCTTCTCATGGCGTCTGCCTGCTGTTTACAAGGCTGTTAAGCGGGCACGACCACCGATTTGCTATGGGGAATTTCTACCAGATCATAAGGTTGGGGCGAAAACCAGGGATTGACAGCGGAAATGACAGCATTCCCAGCATTGAGTCTCTCCCTTTTCCGTACAACGGCACATGTTCCTTGGCTTCTAGGGAAAAAATGTTTCGTCGATCCATCCGAGACGCTCACAGCAATCATTGAGGACGGGAGCTTGACCCTGGAGGTAGTGATGAGCAATGTTATGTGTGGCGCTGAGTTTGATTGCGCTCCAGATCCTGGTCCTCAACAGCCAGTCATCTTTCTTGCGCTTGGAGTATCTGCTTCTGTCTGCTTGAAACGATTTTGATGCAATCAACAGCTATCTCGTCTGTCTCGAGATTCAATTGGCTGCTCTACCGCGCGTCAAAGAGTGAAAGGGGGTCAGTGGCCTGTCTGACAGTCATCCTTCGGCGGTATATCTCAATTCTGAATGGCGCACACTTCGTCAGACGGCCGCATTTAATTCCCCGCCAAATCCTTTATCAGTCACTTTTTGTTCGTTGCTCTTCTCAAGGCTACACGTTGAATTTCAGCACCGTCCCCCATTTCGATCACAACGGTTTGTTCGACTGTCTTCAAGGCTCTCTTCTGTCATCCCCCACCAATAACGCTGACCTGGTTGAGCTCCGCCCACGGATCGTCTGGCCCATCGCCTGTTTTCAGTGTCGGATGAGTCACTCATAAACTGAGAGGGCTTGTCCAGCAGCCGTCTTCCCACGCAGAGTCTCAATCAACCCAAATGGCCTCGCCTATTTACATTGACGAAGACGTCGGTCGCGACGACGACTCCGCGATTGGTACTGAAACTGCTCCCTACAAAACCCTCCTCTATGCCATGATCAGCCACCCTCCCGATACAGCCACATATCAAACCCGGAAATCTGTCACAGGCCCCGTCGATGCCAACGGAGATCCAGCTACTCGCCTAGAATGGAAGCCAGCCACCAAGTCGGCCATGAAGAAAGCCACCCACCTCTTTGAACAGTACAAAAAGAAGCAAGCCAGGGCTTCTGAATTGGCCATCCGGGAAAATGCTGAAGCAATGAAGCGACAACAAGTCCTCGAGGAGGCCAAAAAGGTTATTATCAAGGAGGATGCCAGTTTACCTGCTCCCATCAAGATCCGACTTGACGAAACCGATCCCGGAAAGATCAAAGTCGGTACTGAAGACACACCGGGCACCCGTGTCCGTGTCGTAGGCCGAGTTCAACATTTGCGGTCCCAGAAAGACATCATCTTCGTCACTTTGAAGGACGGCTACGGACACATGCAGTGCGTTTTCGCCGGCAACCTCATCAACACCTATGCCGCCATGACCCTAACGTTGGAGACCTCGTTAGCTATCCACGGCGAGCTTAAAGCCCTCCCTCCCAACGCCCACGCACCGCTCGATCGCGAACTACATGCCGATTTCTTCACCGTCATCGGAGCAGCCGTAGGCGATAAGGAAGCCATCACCAACAAAGTTCAACAAGACGGTGACCCCCAGACCCTGCTTGACAACCGCCATCTCGTTCTGCGAGGCGACAAGGCATCCGCAATCATGAAGGTCCGCGCCGCCGTGACTCGAGCATTCCGCCAGACATATGTCGAAACACGATGCACGGAAGTCACTCCTCCCGCGATGGTGCAGACACAGGTCGAGGGCGGAGCCACCCTGTTCGAATTCAACTACTACGGGGAGAAGGCATACCTCACGCAATCATCACAATTGTACCTAGAAACCTGCCTTGCGTCCCTGGGTGATGTCTTCTGCATCTGTCCGTCATTCCGCGCCGAGAAATCCCTTACCCGCCGTCATCTTTCCGAATACACACACATCGAGGCGGAGCTGGACTTTATCACCTTCGATGACCTCCTCAGCCACCTCGAGCACGTCATTTGCCGTGTCATCGAGCTCACCCTGGCTGATCCTGTCATCGCCGCCTATGTCGCAGACCTCAACCCGAAGTTCCAACCTCCCACACGGCCGTTCCGCCGCATGAAATATGCCGAAGCAATTGAGTGGCTGATCGAGCACAACATCCCGAACGAAGAGGGCCAACCTCACGTCTTTGGCGACGATATTGCCGAAGCTGCCGAGCGCAAAATGACCGACGAACTCAATGTGCCCATTTTCTTGACTCATTTTCCCGTTGAGATCAAGGCGTTCTATATGAAAAAGGACGAGTCAGACAAGCGCGTCACCGAGAGCGTGGACGTGCTTATGCCCGGGGTCGGCGAGATCGTCGGTGGCAGTATGCGTATCGATGATTACGACGAACTGATCGCCGGTTATAAGCGTGAAGGGATCGACCCTGCGCCGTATTATTGGTATACGGACCAGAGACGGTACGTCAATATGTTTTTGCTCTCGATTTCCGCCGTTCACCCTTCGCAACTCTTCATGAAATCGATCCGGGAATGCATCGTCATGGAGCGCGACGTTACTGACAACCCTGTGTATTTATTAGATACGGAACATCACCCCATGGCGGATACGGCCTAGGTCTCGAGCGCTTCCTTGCCTGGATGTGCGGCCGGTGGACTGTGAGAGAGTGTTCGCTCTACCCGCGCTTCGCTTACAGATGCACGCCTTGAACGGGTGTCAAAGGATGTCAAGTCAAAGCAAGAGAAGAATTTTTGCGCCACTACTAATGGAATGACACAGAAATGGGAAATGATAGCTAGACTCGCATTGCACGGTGGGTGGAATATGCCGATCGGACTAGAGGACGCCGAGTCTTGTGTCGATCAGAAGCCGAAAAGAACAGCCATCTTGATTCGGCGCTGTGAACAGACTCGATAGAGTTGGAATTTGGCTTTAGTAAGCCCAAATAGAGAACGAGGCACGATTAGATTTACGATCATTGCCCTGTTTTTCACTGGCATACCAATGACAAACCGGTGTGAATGAGGCTGATTCTAACTCTCCCCATGTCTGCTTTCACCAGGACCATTTGTGCCTAACACCAAGAGAAACAAATCGCCATGCGATTGCACGACCATCCTCATGACCAAGTCTTAGCAATACAAGGATCAGACAGATGTAGATATAGATGGAAATCTCCGGACCCAGGGTCAGAGAGCGAAGCCCTCATACAGGCGCGCTGAAACGAGTCTGGTGACGTCTGAGAAGGTTTTTCAAGCGCCTTTATGAAAAGCTGAGCATCGTTCGAGTAACGTGTTGTATGTTTGTTGACTCAACGCGGATTTGTATTTTTGACCAAAGTTAACGGAGGTCGGCTTTTTCTTCCGAGGATACCTCTGCCAGTACTTCGCCAATGTCGCCCGTCGCCATAGCCGTGATATCAGCAATTCCCAACTGCGCAGCAGTGGTTCATCTAAAGATATTTCTTCGGCATCGTGCTCTTCCGCCACTTGTACCACACAAACCCACCGATACAACACGTCTGGAATGCCATAAAACTATACAGAATGAACCCGATCCGTGGAGTGTGTGCTTGAACATACTCCCTCAATCGCTGTGGCACGTGTTCCGTCACGCCGACATGTGTCTGCGCTATTTGTTCGGACAGCTTGGCAAACTGCGTCTTGTGATCAGAAGTCTTGAGTTCGCGCTCTAAGTTGCCGATGATACGGTCAAGATTGGCAACTCGCGAGTCCAACGACGAGATTATCTGTCCGTTCGGCATGCGCGACAGGATTTCTTTGTACCGTGCTTCCTCGGCGGCCGTGTGGCGTGTGATTTCAGTGAAGAGATTTGTGATCGATTTGGAGATCAGATTGAGCCGATTGTGCAGGTCTGCGAATTGTGACTCGGACGTGGTGTAGTATGATGCTGGATGGTTGTCCATTTGCGGCATACTAGCGTCAGGGTCGGATTGCAGCGGTTGCTGGTCATTCCGTTGATCTGAAGCAGTGACTGTGATGGGAGAAAGCGTAAATGCGAACACTTCGAACGAGTCTGGTGGATCAGCCGAGGCGGCAGTTATGCCGAAGCCATAATCGGAGGGGAGAGTGACTTTGCCTGTCGCAAAGCACATCTTGCCATCGACTCGAACTTCGAGGCCGTTGCGCGAGGATTGGACGTTGATGTGTGAAGGTCGGCCCAGATTGCGGTAGACGTAATCACAATGGCCGAAGGCCAGCCCGTCAACATTCTGGTGGCTCTTGTATTCGACGGACCCATCGTTCAAGAATCCTCTGATCTTCTGCACGCCTCCCACTGTGTCGACCACAATAGCTAATCCCTCCCATTTGCCCACGGTGTATATGCTTGATGTGCTTATTGACTTTTCTCCATTGGGGGCGTACCATAGTTGCAGATTGCCGCTCCCTCGGTCAACTGCGCCAGCTCTGAATTTGAAATCCACCGCCCAGTCTTGCAGCGAGTTCTTTTGTTCCGTCCACAACGCACCTCGCATGTGCCCGCCGTACGGGGGTGTTAAAATGACTTTGTCCGAAAGGAGTTGTGGGACGTGTCCTTCACCTAACATGGCCCAGCCAGGGATCCCGAAGGAGTTCGGAGAAAGGGTCTGTTTATGACCAAAAGACATTTCTTCAATGACATTTTGGGCCAAGATAGCGGCTACCCAGAGCAGAGAGAGCCAGACAGAAAGAAGGGCAAACATGGTGAATGAGAGCGTAATTAAACTGGAGACTAGTCAGTACGATGCTCGCAACAGGGAGAGGCTGTGGCAGCCACTCACACAGTTGTCTCGAGAAAATACAAAGAAATTGAAGAGCAAAAAGGACGCTCAAGAAGAATCTCTTCGGCTTGCAGTTCAAGTTCGAAATAATGATACAGTGGCCGAAGGGAGACAAATCGCAATTACCCAGTGACGAATTTCGCGCACGAGGTCCAGCGTGACTGAGGATGGTTCAACAAGATGTCTGACATTCAAATTCTGGAAGACAACATGATGTTTGAATCCCTCTAATCCATCCATGAAATCAAGAAAAGAAAGGAATAGCATTGAAAGGGGTGACCTTAATGCGCAAGGTGGCACTCGGCCTTGAAGAGCGCAGCTTACTAGAGTAGACTACTCGTAATTCTAAAAGGGGTCAGGCTTTGCGGGGCACCACTCTATTTGGCAAAGTGTCACGTTTTTAGCGAACCACGCCTATTAAGAACTATACATATTTATTTGTTTCCGTTATACGGGTGTCTTCTGATATGGGATACCCGGTTTTCTCATATTGTCTTGATATGGATGGCAATACTGTCTCGCCTGGAGAAATATGTCGAAGACGGGTCGGTCCCGACATGTGATCTCACGTGATAGATAGTTCTCAGACTGGTACTTTGGGAATGTGCATAACTACCAACACCGTTTTTCTCTTTTTATGGGCGCTGTGAGAAATCGACAGTCCTCGATCTTTACATTTGCTGCTCTAATTACGGACAGTGGCCTTATGCACGTCCGTACCTAGACAGGAAGGCTCTTTCAGCCTCGCGCTGACATCAGGTGGTAGTTGACCCCCTTTCAAACTGCCAAGAAAAGCTGGCTCCGAAGTTGCGCTCCGAGTTGAAAGAAGTATTTGTGTCTCAAATTCAACATCAACCTTCAAGCCGCCATGGCATCTGTCGTCTCACAAACTATCAGCCAATTTCGGGACAGAAGCCCCATCATCCCGGTAAGATGCCAATCCGAAATTCCTCCGCCTATGGAGGATGCAACGGCTGAAGCTTTTTCCATCCAGGACCGGCGGCCATCAAAAGCAAAACGACAGCCTGGACATGACCAATGGCCCTCATTATTTCAGACAGCTGTGGTGGCCACCGCCCTGAAGATTCTCTTATTTCCTGCTTATAAGTCGACCGATTTCGAAGTCCATCGGAATTGGTTGGCCATCACCCATTCTTTGCCTGTAAAGCAGTGGTATTATGAGGTCCGTCTCCTTTCGGCGCCGAACGGAACGCACAGGTCTAAGGGTCTTATTAGGCCACGTCAAAATGGACGCTTGACTATCCTCCAGCCTTCGCTTTGTTTGAATGGCTTCTCTCGCAACCGGCGAGTCTGATGGACCCGGCGATGGTCAAAGTCCAGAACCTGAACTACGACTCATGGGCGACTATTTGCTTCCAACGAAGTTCTGTGATTGTTGCCGAGCTGCTCCTAGTCTACGCCTTATACCGGTATGTCGAACGCCGTCCACGAAGTGTTGACGCTAACCTAACAGGTACACGGCAACCTCGGCTGCCTCGACCCGGCGTCAGAGCCATGCAGTGGCGCTGTCGATTCTGCTCTCTCCAGGTTTCTTGATGATTGATCACATCCATTTCCAATACAACGGCTTTCTTTACGGGATCTTAATTCTCTCAATCGTTCTCGCGAGAACAGAATCGACTCTGCTTTACAGCGGCGTTCTTTTCGCACTTCTTCTGTGCCACAAGCACATTTACCTCTACCTGGCACCCGCCTATTTCGTTTATCTCCTCCGGATGTATTGCCTGCAACCCAAGAACATGTTTCGACCGCAATTCACAAATGTTCTTAAACTCGGAACATGTGTCATCGGGATTTTCGCGGTGGCGTTTGGCCCGTTTGTCGCTTGGGGTCAGCTTGACCAACTCCAAAGTCGACTATTTCCATTCGCCCGAGGCCTCTGTCACGCCTATTGGGCGCCAAATGTGTGGGCTGTGTACTCCTTCGTCGACCGAGTCTTGATCATTGCGGCCCCGTATCTGGGTCTGGAGGTGGATAGCAAGGCCGTCAACAGCGTCACTCGGGGCTTGGTGGGCGATACCTCCTTCGCCGTGTTACCAGACATCACGGCTCAGCAGTGCTTTGGACTCACCCTGGCCTTCCAAATCATCGCTCTAACCAAACTGTGGGTGGCGTCCAGCTGGGAATCATTTGTGGGTGCCATTACCCTCTGCGGATATGCGTCCTTTCTTTTCGGCTGGCATGTCCACGAGAAGGCGATCCTGCTTGTGATTATTCCCTTCAGTCTGTTGGCCGTCAAAGATCGATCATATCTAGCAAGCTTCCGTCCTCTGGCAGTCGCTGGACACGTGTCACTATTTCCCCTGCTGTTCACAGCGGCCGAGTTCCCCATCAAGGTGGCGTATACGATATCGTGGCTTATTGCTTTCCTCTACGCTTTTGATCAATTGGCTCCGCCGCCATCGAGGAGGCGAGTATTCCTGTTGGATCGATTTGCGCTTCTTTACATTGCCATGTCTGTCCCTTTGACGGCTTACTGTTCCCTGATTCACCGGGCAGTGTTTGGGAAGAAATATGAATTTCTGCCCTTGATGCTCATCAGTACATATTCGGCCATTGGGGTGCTGGGATCGTGGCTGGGGTTCATGGTTTGCTATCTGTCTTGACGGCAATCCTTCTCGGGCCGATCAATCGAGCGGTGATATAAGAAGGGGGGCGTGTACATAAGATAGTCTCAGAAACCTCATGAATTTGACCAATACGGAGAACAGCCTTGCCCTTATGAATGAAGCGTTTCATGAGAGTCACATTTGGGATTTCCAGAGGGCCCGAGCTTGCCATCTTCTCTTTTTTGGCTCATTGGTTGATGAAGTGGTTCTAGAGCGTCGCGATCATGGCGAATCGGAGGACCACACCCCATGGGAACAGTACGACCCATGGGATGGCCTGGGAACTATTAGGTCTGATCGAGTGATAATGGGCCTTTACGCGTCGAATATTGGGTATTTTGAATCGAAAGTGGCGGCATTGGACTCAGCATGACCGTGGGAGTCGAACGAGTACCTTTATGCCTATGAAAAAGTGGTGGTGAGAGATTTGATGAGTGACCATGCCTAGACTAGGAGTCGAATGGGAGGTGATTGGATGCGAACGAGGAACTGGAGGGCTCCGCCGGCTGCGGCCTTGGCGCAAATCCTGCCGGTACGTAGCAGGCGTACGGCATCAGTATGGAAGTGGATGTACCTGGGATGTTTGTCGATGCTGATGCATTCGCCTGCTGGGGATTCAATATACGGCTAAAGACATTCCTACGTAGAGTCCATATCCTAGCGGTACTCTCAACCTAGGCATATAGCATTTCCATCTGGGAGAATAGCTGAAGCATCGGAGAGCTGCGAGACCAATGGCCATATGCGGCTCCACAAGACGACAAGCCGCCTCCACTCTTGAGCCACGGGCAAACTGTCATTCTGCCACTGCCACTGACCTGTTCCTGACCCTCCCTCGCTGCCACTATCCACTATCTTATTAGTCCTGGGCATTATTGTGTTTCTCTTCCCTCACCACCATGTCGGAATCTTTCATTCTTCTGTTTTTTCCACTTCACCATCACCAAACAACTCCCTCTCGCCCCCTCGTTCAACCATCCACGTTACCTCTACCTCCCTCGCTTCCGATTACAGCCTCTCATTCTCCCTCCATGACGCGTGTCAGTGACCGAATGTATGTCTATATTTTCTACCTCACTCGGCCTTTGCAAGCACATCACCACGCATACACCGCGCTAGACTCTTCAACTACCTTGTAACACGTGCAAATACTGACTGCTGCTGTTGTCTAGGTCGTTGTATCCGTGAATCATTGTGCTGCGCTCCTTGCCCGCACAACCTTCCCCCCCTCCCGGCCCGGCGACTCGAATTTCACCGTCCTCTCTATCCTCCAACCACCAGCGATGGTGCTATTCAAGAGAAAACCTATTCGGTACCTACCACATCCCCGCATAGACGACCAAGAATGCGATGTATGGGTCATATCCGAGTCCAATGAAGTCTTCACGTCTTATGATGCATATCTGGAGCGCATGGACTTTTTCAAGTCCAAACGGTTCACCTGCGAAGTATCAGGACATTCCGGTCTGACATTCTTCGACGCCCTGCGAAGTGAACAAGCCGGATCGCGAGAAATCGATGAAGCCTTCCCTCAGGCCTTGCGCGAGCCTGTTTTGCGACGAGTCCAATTTTCCACCACCTCCCGCATAGACAACCTTGTGGAGGAAGTCTACAGTGAATTCAAGAATGACTTCTACCCCGGTGAATTGGTAACCGTCATCTTGGACGACTCGTCAAGGTTGGCCGGCCGAGTAAGAGACAAGGCAAAGTTTGAGGAAATCAGAGCCCCAGATGGAACTTTGGTCCGAGATGGTTTCTCACGTTACTTTGTCCGCCTCGTGGATAGTCCCGATGAAGAGGCTCTTGTCGACGACGATCACATCGTCCGGGACCGGAGAGTCTTCACAAAACAAATGGTCCGTTCATTTATCAAAAACTCCGTGACCCGAGAGGGCTGGAATGGTGCTCCTTGGCTGGTCAAACCAGAAATTGCTGAACGATTCCGGATCGACACAAATGTTCCTCCACACCTCCAATACAGCCACAAAGCTGCAGCGAAGAAGGCGGAGAAGAAGAAGAACAACAACAGCAACAACAATAACGGCAATAACGACGATGCTGAGCACCAAGACGGAATGTTTGGGATCTGGCAGCCACAAAGACTACCCGAGTTGAAGCCAGCCCCCAAGGGACGGAAAAATCAGCAGCAGATCCCCCAGGAACAGATGAACGCTGCCGCACGAGGATACTACGAAGACTACCGGGCCGGCGTCATACCTGAGCCTGGATTGTTACCTCGATCATGGGGTCATATGCAACCACCACCTCCGCCAGAGTTTGAGCCCTACTACCTGCCTTATCCGCCTCAATACATGCCACCCAACGGCCACTACTATCCTCCACCTCCCCAACAGCTGGTTCCCAAGCAGATAGAACAACCTCCACCGCCACCACCCCCGATCAAATATCCAATTGATGACCTCGATGTCGAACCTGTTCGAGATGGAACTCATAGACCCAACTTGAAATTCGTCACTAAGGAGCAATGCATCGACGAAAAGTCGATGAACAGCGTCATCCCCGGTCTCAAAGAGGAAACCGTCGGTCTTCTCCTTGAAACCTGGAATACGCTCAACGTGTATTGTCAAGTTCTCAAACTGGACTCCTTCACGTTTGATGATTTGGTAGAAGCCATGCTGTTCTCCTCGGTGGAAGTGGATTGTGAGCTATTCGTTGAGGTGCATTGTGCGATTCTCAAGCAGCTGGTCAACGCGGAAAATGAGGATGACGGAGCGATTCAAATCTCACTCCCCGATCTACCCGATCCAGACGAGGATGAAGGGGAATCGGAGGAAGAGGAAGAAGCCAAGCTTCCCACACCGACTCCGGAGCCCGAATACCCAGCCAAGCGCACGCGAAGCAGCCTCAATAAGGTTCAGTTCGTGGATGACAAGCCTGACACTCCCGAGAGAGAGGAGGTCGTCCTTCACCGGGCTGCCGAAATGTTCGACGATTATGGTTGGATTGAAAGACTTCGGAAACGAGATTTCCGACACGGTGGGTGGGAGCTTGTCATGGTTGGCTTGCTTCATCAACTGGCTGGAAGACCGCGAATTAGCAATGTGTGCAATAAAATCCTGGCCCATCTTGCTCCTCTAGACGCCGATCCGACTATGGACACGGCCCGCATCCAATACTCCACCATGGATATCAACTTGCGTGCAGAGGCATTACAGATCATTTGCTTACTCTTCCTTGAAACCAAAACCGTCAAGATCTTCTTGGAAGAAATGAGCAACACAATGACCCATTACCGAAAAATCAAGATTGAGCATCAACGAGCCCGGAAGGATGCTTTGGCGAAACTGAAGGAGCTCCAGGTCCAGCGAAGATTGCTAGCGCCCGAGCCGGAAAAATCCCCTTCACCGATGCCTGAGTTGGAGGAAGCCGTCGAAGCTGAGAAGGGCGAAGATGGTGAAGTCTCTATCCCGGACTCCGAGGATGAAGAGCCAATGGTCACGCGTTCCCTCCGGCGCGGGAGTGACCGTGCTGCCGAACGGAAGAGAAAGCGCGAAGAGGAACAAGAGCGGAAGGAAAAGGCAGCGGAAGCAAAGCAGAACAAAGGAAGTAAGGAATACCAGAAAGTTCTGAAGCAGATCGAAAAGGAGCGGGACCGAATTGAGACGGCAGAAGAGCAGATCCTCATTGTCGATGGGGACTTACGTGAAGCCGATTGTCCTCGAACACGGGTTTTGGGGAAAGACCGTTTTTGCAACAGATATTGGTGGTTCGAACGAAATGCCATGCCACATGGAGGACTACCGGACAGTTCGACCGCAGAAGCAGAGTATGCCAATGGTCGACTTTGGGTTCAAGGGCCCGATGATATGGAACGCCAAGGGTTCATTGAAATGTGCGAGGCAGACCAAAACGCCTACTACCGGCGGTTCCAAATGACTCCAGCGGAGCGCAAGAAGATGGAAGAGGGTCCCACCAATCTCAATTCGGCCAAACAATGGGGTTTCTACGATACCGCCGAAGAGCTGGACATGTTAATTGGCTGGCTGGATTCCCGAGGCGTTCGCGAGCTGAAACTGAAGAAAGAGCTCAATATGCAAAGAGACCTGATCATCAAGCATATGGAAAAGAGGGCGGCATATCTTGCTCCCCGCGAGAAATCCGAAGAGCCGCCGACCCGAATGTCCACGAGAACCAAAACTTACGTCAGTGACAAGACGCATCGATGTCTACGATGGAAGAACACAACGGCGGTTGCAGAATTAGGACATCGCCACATTGATCCACCTCCCAAACCACGAGGACGAGGAAGAAAGAATGCTGGTTATGAGGAGCCTCCACTGATCAGAAATGTACCAGCACCTCCACCTATTCTGAATCGTCAAGGGAAACCTGTCACGAGACAAGGTACGAGATACAATTTCTAAGGCCACCAAAACGCGTTTTCTTGTTTCTTCGGGTACAAGATTCACGAACGATGATGAGATGAAAAGTGGTTATCATAAATAGAAAGCATGGCGTTCCCTGGAACATTTCCTGCTGGATAAAGGGTGTGAATTGCATTTCTTGCTGGGCTGGAAAGAACGGAGGATTATTCTGTGACCAAATTTTGTTCGACTGGGCCGGGCTAATCTGACTGTTGACTGGATGTTCATGACGCAAGATGTGAACCTTGCCGAGGACAAAGAAAAGTCAGCGCGTACATTGCTGGATGTGTGAAGACGGGCGAGAGTCATCTGTGAGGGGGTTTGAGCCGTGGTTACTCGTTGGTACATTGCGAACAATGCTCTCTTCTCTGCAGGCTACGATGAGATTTAAGGAGAGAACTTTGTCCTCCTGTAGGACGTTACTAGCTCTTCCAGAAGGACTCCTGCTAGTAGCTGATCCATAAAATGCGAAAAAGATTGGAAACAAATTTAGATCAAAGTACACACCTCAACACCTCTATATTGAGGCTACTAGGAAATCATGTTGTCCTAGTTCGTCGTATTTAGATGGTCTATGAGTAAATGTTCATCAGAAGTCCGCCTAGGAAAGGTAAGCTAGATTCCACGGGTCATTCCCTTCCAATTTTACATATCGTTATCTTCCTATAGACATAAATCTCTTTCCTTATCTCATCATCACAGCTCATCTTTCACCCCAGCCTTCCTATTTATTGGTGGCAAAATCTTCTTACCCGGCTTAGTGCGCACGACATCCTCGCCTCTCTCTTGGAGCCCGCGCTTGACCATGCTCGTGAGGATCTCAAAAGCGACCTGGGCGCCCGCAAGAGCCGTAGCCTCACCCATCCCGTCGTACGCGGGTGCCACTTCGACGATGTCGGCGCCCACAACGTTCAGGCCCTCGACGCCGCGTAGTATCTGGATCAGCTCGCGTGTCGTCCAGCCGCCAGGCTCGGGTGTGCCGGTGCCGGGCGCCAGGCCTGGGTCAATCACGTCGATGTCGACCGAGAGGTAGACCGGGGCTTCGGTGCCGATGCGGGAGAGAATCGCGTCAATAATACCTGACACGCCTAGAGCATCGATGTCATCGGCTTCAATACGCAGGAAGCCCTGGCGCTCGTCATCTTCGTAATCGTGGAAGTCTGTGCCTAGAAGCCGGGTGCGCAGGCCGGCATGTACGCTACTGCCGTTGGCGATGAGGCCTTCTTCGCTTGCGATCCAGAACATCGTCCCGTGCGTGAAGTCCGCTTGGGTCGGTGTGCTGGACCATGCGGATGGGTATGCACCCGGATGCCATGTGTCCAGGTGTGCGTCGAAGTGCAAGACGGCAATAGGTTGGCCGTGGATCTTCTCTAGGGCTCGCAAGGCTGGAAGAGCGATGCTGTGGTCGCCGCCCAAGCTGACGAGTTTCGGGTGCGTGTGTGATGGCGGATTGCTGTAGGAGAGTGGGCGGCGGGAAACGAGTTCGAGGTACGCGCTTGACATTTGGTGTAAGGCCAGGGCATTGTCGAACGGCGTGATGGGGATGTCGCCGCAATCCAGGATCAAAGGCCACGAGGTGTACGGGTTCAAGCCTGCTCGGTGGTTGAAGCCACGGAAGGAGGTCTGTCTGGCGGAGGCGGCGCGGATGGCACGGGGCCCAAAGCGGGCGCCTGGTTCATGTTAGAGCGGTGTTGTAGAGCGAAATAGAGATGGGAGGGACGTCTACACTTACCAGGTCGGTAACTCACGGCAGTGTCGAACGGAGCCCCGATGATGCCTATGTCAAACGGCTCGTAGGGCGTCGTTAGGCATTTTACATGCCTCAGATGCGCAAATGTCGATATGCCTGAGAATCCCCACTGAAAATAGACATCATTAATATCTTTCTTTTTTCTTCATCTCTTTCTCGAGATGGAATTGGACCTGGCTTGGAGGAAGGTGGAGTGTCAAGCAAGAGACGCTTACGTCGAAATCCCATTTGGCCGTCAACTCATCGAGCGGACTCCCCGACTCCGGAGGGAGTTCAAGCTCTGGATTGTCGTAAAAAGTCGAGCTGGCAAAGGGAAGGAGGAGAAGAAGAAGAAGAAGAAGATGTGATAATGCTGATATTGATAACATGTTTGGCGGTCCCTGGGTGAGGTGTCCAAGGAGTAACCCAAGATGAGTTCAAAATCTTAGTGGAAGAACATAAGAAGATCTAAACTTACCACGCGTGTGATGACTATATTATCAACATCAATGGAAATATCGATTGAGTAACTCAACCTGCATAGAGCGTGGAGGGGGGAGCATCTTCGTCGAGAAAAAGAGCAACAGTCAGCGAGCTACGCAGACGGTTTTCTCCGGACCGTTGACGATTCCTGGCGCGGCGATTGGCGACATCGTCTCTTCTCTCTTTTTCCTTCTGCTGCTTTTTGCCTTGAGATCCGTCCAAGTTAGAACAAAGAGGAGATCAGTCGGAAACTACTGTCATTGGCTCGACGGGAATTCCAATCATCATCCCTCTCCGCCGAGAATGAGATGCGCAGAGTGGTGGTGACTGGGTTGGGAGCTGTCACCCCCCTTGGTGTCGGTACGTTTCCTTTTCACCCAGCTGCCCTTTCGATGAAGATGACCGCTGAGTAGACCTGCTGACGGCCTCCAGGGGTTCGCCGCACATGGAATCGACTTCTTCATGGTGACTGTGGAATCGTCTCCACTAGACCTCTTGGTGACGAGTTCACGGCCATTCCAAGTCAAATAGCTGGTCTTGTGCCTGTTGGCTCCGGCGTTGAGGGAGCCTGGAAAGCCACGGATCATGTTACGCCTACAGTAGGGCTTCCCTTGTTCCGCTGAATTCCATGGAGCGGACTTCTTTGACTCTGCTCAGGAATTAAGGCAAACGGCCAAGTTTGCTCAGTACGGACTCGCTGCCTCATCCGAGGCTTTGAAAGATGCCGGCTTTGAGGATGGAAAGGGCCTTGACGCTGAGATGACGGTGCGCATGAGCTTGACAAATGTGTGTAAATCTCCTCATGAGCTGATTCTGATTATTAGGGCGTCTGTCTCGGATCAGGGATTGGCAACCTCGAAGAACTATACACCACCGCGGCGGCCTACCACCAGACTGTAATCACTCCCCCTCCCTTCCCTGGAGTCCCATGACTGGTACCTTGCTGATGGAGGAAAGCAGAAAAATTATCATAAAATCCACCCTTTATTCGTCCCACGTCTCCTCATCAATTTGGGCGCCGGCCACATCTCCATGCGATACGGATTGAAAGTCTGAAAACTGTCCTCTCTCTCATATTGCCCCTATTGATCGTTCTCGCAGGGTCCCAACCATGCCGTCACTACCGCATGTACCACCGGAGCGCATTCCCTCGGTGATGCATCACGATTCATCCAGTCTGGGGAGGCGGATGTCATGGTCGCCGGGGGAGCGGAGTCTTGCATTCACCCACTGGCAATCGGTGGCTTTGCGAGATCCCGAAGTCTCGCAACCAAGTTCAACGACGAACCACACTTGTCCTCGAGACCATTTGACGATGACAGAGCAGGGTTCGTGATAAGTGAAGGAGCCGCTTGTGTGGTCCTAGAGGTAATGTCGCTTTGGTTTCCTAAATGGTCACCTTCTGAAATTTTGGGTACAGGAACTGGAGCACGCGCAGAAAAGAGGAGCGAGAATATATGCCGAATTAGTAGGTTACGGGAACTCCGCCGATGCATATCATCTCACCGCTCCACGAGAAGACGGCAGCGGCGCCCTTCTGGCTATGAAGAAAGCCCTGAAAGTGGCGCAGATTCCGCCGTCCGCCGTTGACTATATCAATGCCCATGCCACATCCACCCCTCTAGGTGATGCCGCTGAAAATAAAGCCATCAAAACCCTCATGTTGGGAGAGCATGGCAGGGACACCGCCTCTAAAATCAACGTCAGTAGCACCAAAGGTGCCGTCGGCCATCTTCTGGGTGCTGCTGGAGCTATTGAGGCTCTCTTCAGTATCTTAGCCATATATGAGGTACCTATCACCCATGACGGATGTGCTGAATCCCATGCTGATATACCTGAAGAACGTCATGCCTCCCACTATAAATCTCGTGTCGCCTTCCCAAGACTTTGATTGCAACTACGTCGCCATCACCGCGCAACAAGCAGATGTCCATGTCGCCCTCACCAATAGCTTTGGATTCGGCGGTACAAATGCAAGTCTGTGTTTTAGGAAGTACGACTCACCAAGATGGAGCGCATTGTGAACTGGCCGCGGGGCAGAGTCACCAGCCACACATCTCGGCCATTTTTGAATTTCATCTGCGGATTTATATGAATCAGCATATCCGCTGTCGTCATCGGATTCGTCAACATAATCCGCGTCTTTTCCGATATCGTGAATAAAAATCGTCATTGCCGGCATCAATTTCGGACTTGTCCTTCTAGGCGACGTCGATGGATGTCTTTCTGGGAGGTGCTTTCAGCCCCGGTTGAGCCATACCCACGCCTGCTGGCGCGGGCGAAGCCGACACTGTCGGTGGGAAAGCGTCATTCGTCGCAGACGGAGGAACTGCACTTCTAGCACTCTCTGGAGGTACACTGAACAGTCCTCCACTTCTATTCCCGCTCAGTGCATTAGACAGCATCTCCTTCATTCGAACGAGCTGATATTTCCGTTTCGTCGGATATAGTGTTCGAGTGACGAGTGGTTGAGGACGAGCCAGGCTCCGGGAGATGGCTGTCATGACTGAATCTCGTTCCTCGTCTGAATCGACGGGTCCGGTCAGGGTCGCATCGAGATCATCTTCAAGCAGAGCAGGTGCATTCGCATCGATGGCAGCTTCTGTACATCACATTTGTTGATTAGCAACGACACAGACTTAGGATCATCTTGTGTGTACCGCCACTTACTTTGCTGCCGTGCTTGATTCTTCTTTTGATATGCAGCAAGCAACATGTCGTAAGGCAGACTTCTACCCGGAACCGCACGTTTGGCACCCATAGAGTGGCTCTTACAAGTCAAGCTTCTTGCACATTGAGCACCATTCGGCAGGGTAACACCGCATTGTTTCTCGACATCGACCGGTCCTTTGGGCTTGGGGGCTTTGGGTTTCTGCTCCTCCTTTTTCTTCTTCTTCTTCGGCTCTTTATCGTCTTCGCCATCTGCCTTGCGTTTCTTGCTCTTTTTGGTGCCATCATCACCACCTTCGCCGCTGATGGCGTCCTTTCTCGAACCTTTGCCATCTTTGCCATCGTCGTCATCGTCATCGTCTTCTTCGGCCCGTTCTGCTCGCTCTTTGGCCCGCTGAGCCGCTTCTCGAGCCTCCTTCTTCTTTCGGGCCTTTTCCTGCTTGGACTTTAAACATAATGCAACGTGTTCTTTAGCCGTCCGTTTCAACACCACCTTCTTGCAATGCTTGCAGATAAGGGTATCCAGGGCTTCTTGTTTGCCGTTCGGGAAGTTGGCCATTGTTTCTTCATCAAAGTGAGGCAGGACCGGTGACGGGGCTTCACCCGAGGCAGTGCCATCTTTAACACCTGGTGATCTCATGTCAGAAGGAGTTGGGATTCGGAAAAGAGGCCATACCGTTTGCTCCATTTTCCCACTGGGCTGTAAACGAGAACTTCTTCAACTTAACCTTCACGATCTTTTTATCGTCTGTACTGAACCTGTATCCAGATGCGCCGACTAGGCTCTCAGTACTGGAGACCACGGATGAGGCTATCGCTTAGAGTTAGAGCCATATCCACGATATCTCGTTTGGACGAACCTCGAGCCCCATTTATTGCCATGGCGGTGCTTGCCGTAGGTTCTAATGAGAATTTATAGTTGGACGGTTATGGGGGGGGGTAAACGGCTAAGGACGGCCTGAACGCGGTCTTAGTTGTGGCATGAAAGTGTCAGTCACCGGTTCGAAGGAGGGTGTGACCGTCTATCTGGTGTGAGGCCAGGCCAGACCAGCCTCGGGTTGAAGCCATCACCAGACCCTTGCGCACAGAGTAGTAAGCCACGGCACGTGATAGCACGTGACTGCAAACCCTGCGCAATAGGTGGGCGTTCTGTACCGCTACGTAGCATCGAGCCAGCAACCCCTTGGCCCTCCCTGGCACCTACAACTAATAAGTACTGAGTACCCACTCTGTAAGTAGTATTAGCTCGGGGCCAAAGTACCATTTCTAGCCCAGAAGCCCTGTCGGAGGTCGTGAACACCATTTTACAACCTCATCAGCCAACATCAGCCAACTGGTTTCTTCTTACTGTCAAAGGACTTTTTAAAAAAAAAAAAAAAAAAACTCGATGGGCAGGATGGACCAAAATAGTGTCCCATTGCGTGACTCGTCTATCGCCAACGATGTGATGTCGCCATGGCATGGATCGAGCAGGGTTGGAAAGCCACGGGTGCCCTTTGACTCCTCTCTCTTGAAGAGGTCTGGCCGGGCGCCAATATACTGTACCTTGAAGCCAGGGTTGAAGACGCGCTAGATGACAGTCAACCTTGCAGTCTGCATGAGGCAGCGACATGACCAGCCCCCTCTGCCTGAAGCGGAAGGTCAGTCAGACACGGCCCCAACCTTACTCTCCTGGTGGCAGACCGATTGAAATTCTTTCAGTCGGAAGTGTGCCTTCCAGACACAATCGGCAGTCATGAATTCACCTTCAGTCACTTTACAGGTCGATAATGACTATGCCTCCCACTCTCCAGCTCCTGCGACACCGGCACTGGACTGGGCTGAGACGCCTCCAACGGCAGAATACCCGCAGACCCCAGAGGATGGCTTCGATTCCGATGGCGGTATACCTTTGCCTCCCTCTCCTCTCGCAGGCCGCGAGAACGGTCGAAAGGAACGGCAAATCACCATTCTGGATTGCTCCCAGCTCGACTCAGATGTATCCGGACATTTACTATCAGACCTACCCAGCCAGGCGAGCCAAAGCAAATGCCTTTTCAAGAGGAATCCTCCCAGGGCCACCGTGATCGCGAAACCTCAACAACAGCACCCTCCATCAAGAGACGATGCGCCTGCTGTCGTAGGCCATCACGCCAGAGTCAGAGCAGAGGAAGGAACGTGTTTGCGAGGTGTCTCGAAGGTCTCTTTCTCAAGCTTAGGCGCAAGTGATGAAAGAAATGCTGCTCTAGGCACGAACGCAGCTGGAGTCAGTGTCGCTGCTGTTGTGAGCAGCGTCAAAACTGAAAATTGTCTCTTCGAATTCAGCGGAGCAGTCGTCACTGAAGCCCCTACTAAGACCGCCGCAACCATAACGACAGCTACACCTTCTTCATACGCGACAAAGAAGCCACCTTTACCGCTCTCATTCGTGTGGGGATTGAGTACGACGCTGTCTAAGATTCTGCCCCTCGAGACCGTCGAAAGATTACAGGCTGACCCTCTGCGCTGTGTGGCCACAACACCGCAAGGTTCAAGATGCAAAAAACAGAATGCGGCAAAACTAAATGAACAGATTGCCACTAAATTAGTCAAAAAGCTCTCATCTCTCGAGCGACCATTGAAACCCGAAGCCTTTGCGAAGCGCATCCTGGCGGTGGTATATCAGGCGACCTGTTCGCACCCACACAAGAGGGTTGCCGAGAAGCATTTGGACAAATTGTGTTCTTACTCATGGGAGTGGAGCGAAACCACGGCTGGAGACGCGCACCGGTTCGGGGCAATTATGAACAGCGCTGTCAGTATATTCCAACTCTGGATTGGAGCATTGATAAACTTTCCAGCAGATGCCGAAGATGGAAACATATCTGAAAATCAGGACACTGGCACCGTGCGGCGAATACTCACCCGAAATAGTGACCTTGTCGATGCCCTAGCAACAGCGAGACTGGTTCCTCCTTGCCATACCACTCTGGAGGACCCGGCAATTTCACGCCCAAACATTCGTCCCAACGCAGACAGGAACATTACCACTCGACAAAGCGCACGGCAAAAGACGGTAACTTCGAACCCCTTGCACCGCTACTTCCAGAAATTTCCTTGGCCTAAAGAGAAGATGAATATCACTCCCCAGGAATTGATCCGCCAAGCTCTCCTCAAGCCCCTGACACCAGGCGATATGGACCGATTCGGATTCATATATATCTTCTGGCAGCAAGGCCTGTTTGGGCACGTCAAAATCGGCTATTCCAGCGACGTTGACCAACGGCTTCAAAAGTGGAAACGACAATGCGGGTACGCCGTCGAGCAGCACGAGCCCGGAGAAGCCGGCGTGAGGCAGGGGGTTCCTCACTTACACCGCGTCGAATCACTGATTCACGCCGAGCTGAAAGAATATCGAGTTTGGGAGCCCTTCTGCACGAATTGTGGGAAATCCCATAAAGAATGGTTTAAAGTTAAGCTGGACTATGCATTGAAGGTGGTGGCAAAATGGACGAGCAAATCCCTCTACTTGGATGGGCGTTTGAAAACCAGCCTCACTCAAGCGGATATCGAGAAGCTTTGCGAACTGACTGTGGATGAAGCACACACCAAGTCACAAAGGTCAACGCGGCATGTGAAGGTCTCTAACGTGCGTAGTCGTGGCAGTCGGGGTCGAAGGAACGTCGCTCACAAACGATCAAGTCTCGCGTAGTGGTCTCGGTTGATCGGTCGGCCGGTCGTTGGTTACCGCGAGATGGGGCTAGTCAAAGATAGGGAAATGCCGTGGTACGGACAGGTAAGGAGACATGTATAGATATGCAGTGTTCAGTTGCTAAACTTTTCCGAATTTTGATCCATTAATGCTAATAACTATTGTATAGGTGATGAACGGTTTAGCACTTGAGTGCCTGTCATGCAGGGAGGATGTCGTCGCCAAAGCTGTTGAGCAACTACACACCAAGCTCTAATTACAAGAAAGGCTCAATGCTCTCGCCATCTTTCTACCCACCCATGTTTGCTTGCCCCTTACATAAGCCATGCACGTAGCGCCCCGCTACACTATATTTTTGTTTTTGGTTTTCGTGTTCGTTACTAGCTAACTCGTTCCTCCACTTTTATCTCAGCCTTATTGCAGACCGTCATATATACTTGCAGGCACCTCACTGACCTTTGCTGCCCAAGTCCGCTGATTGTCGTGACAGAAATCCGCAGACGAGGGAGGATAACGCACCACGTCAGCAACTTTGTTGTAAAAAAAAAAAAAAAAAAAAGAATCCTCGCCAAAGAGGAATGGGTTTACACGTAAAGTCCATCGATATGCTCCCATCGTCCTTTCCCGCACTCGTTTCGCAAAGGCACCAAATTCGTCTCCCACAGACAGATACCTAACCGCTGCCAGTATTCCCCATATTCGTCGTCGTGCTTCTTGAGAGCAATGATCCCCATGCAGTAAAATACGGGACCGTCGGCTCGGGACCACAGGCGGTCCATGAAAAAAAATACGCGCAAGTCACACGCGGTGGCAAAATGATCTACGAGCCAATTCACGAGTGTGGTCCTTTCGCTGCTGCGCAACCGAACTCCGTTCAGACGCGATGGCAGTCCGTCGAAATGGGCATTCTCATCCACAGCGATGGACTTCAATGGCCCGACGGCAGGCCGGTGTAAGAAGAGCTCTCTCTCCACATCCGAGGTATTCGGATTTGTCTGTGTCGGGCTCCTCCATCGCTCTGCAAGTGCTTCAAACCCATAGGCTATGGCGGAGAAGCGCAAGCCCCAGCGATGGGGCTTCGCATCCCAAAACTGCATGTACATCTCGTTACTGCGGAACATGCTGGGCATAAAATCATCCGTCACCTCAGATTGGAGGGAGAAACGCCACGACTTACCCAGCAGCGCTGGCTGGGTGTGTATGAACATCTGCGAGCTCGAGCCATGGCGGTTGGTGAGCCAGATGACGAGCTCGTCATTGAGTTCCTCCAGTGACTCCGAGTTTGTGAACAGCCTTTCGGGTCTTCCAAGGTGGACGTTGAAGATCTGCATGCAGCCGTACACGAGGTCGAATTGGAGCTGTGGCCGTCGGAATTTTGTGGCGTGGTAGAGGGCAAATTCACTCGTCGTGCCGAAATAGCAGAGGCCCGACCGTTGGATGATGGAAAATAGATTTGCGGTTTTTGCATGCAGATCGCCAGAGGAAGGGAAAAGTCATCTGATAATAGCGATAGTAAAAGTCCGTGCACCAGTGACAAGACTGTTGCCAGGGTTGATACTGTCCAGTATTGGCCGTGGGCTGATGTCTCATGGATATCATAATCGTCTCTCCACACTTGCTCCGCTCGATATCTGATCAGATTTTCAAGCATCGTTCGGGTATCAGGATCTAGCGGAACAGGCCGGGCTTCAAAAAAAAGGAGAAGGGCGTCCTGACGCAGGAATGCTTCTTGTAGAGTCCAAAGGGAGTCGAACCATGGATCAGACAGAAGCCTCTCAAAGCGCGTCGTAGCAGCGTCCAACCACGTTGATGTCACTAGTCCATTTCCCATGGGACCCCTTTCCGGAGACGAGTGTAGGCCTTGCTCGAGGCATCTTGCAAGGCGGCTAACTTGCAGTAGAATGTTGATGAGATTGTCTGACCGGTGGTGACTGAGCCAAACGTACACCGTTTCAGCTCGACCGAAGATCACGCCTTGCTTGTTGATCTCCTCTAGCCGCTCGCAGGCATTTTCAATCGAAGGTCCCTGGTTAATACAGGCTACATCAAGCCAAATATGTTCCACTCGTTCCTTGGTCGCGGTCTTAAAATCACCGGCCTGGTCCTTCTGCCATGACTCATTCGATTCCTTGCTCGGAAAGTTTGGGTCTGTCAAGCTCGAGATGATTCTTTGAAACTGCATCGGGGTGAAGTAGGAAAGATCGACTTTAGGAGCCTCCCAAAGGACATCGTTGATCTTGAGAGCATCCCCACTGTCAGTGGCGAAGCGACCCCACGTACGACGGCTCTCGTGCGCCACCGTATGTCTTTCTCGCACGAGCTCATCGAAGCAACATGTAGAAGCCGTCCGGGCCATTCCGACGTCCTGCGGAGAGGATTCTGCAACCTGGAGCGAGCGTTGACATTTTCAAACGGCGTGGAATTGCAAAGTATTTCTAGTGGCCCAGTGAAAAGAATCTAATTATATGGCGTTCGCCGACGGTGTGCCCGTGACATGAACGTACTTGTGCTGAGCAAGGCTTCCATATAGTACTAGGATCATACCCCTGAAGTGAGTAACGCTACAGTGATGGCACGATGGCTATTACTTAGGATGCTTTGCTTGCAAGGCTAACGTAACCGCATAGGCCGAACAGCCTGCACGGGCGTCATCATCAATCAATCAATCCATATCACTCTTAACACTACATGGACTGAATAAGGTAGGCGGTCCGGTCCACAGGTCCTAATGAGATAGGCGGTAAGTTTGAGGCTTCTGGACTGGACCCATCGCCTATTGAGAATACTGCCCGTAGCATTTGCAGATTCGTCCTGTTCGTGTCGTTCGGAGAGGTCGATACTCACAGATTGGTGGGGCCATGTCTGGCTCAGCGGCTGATGTAAAAGGGTGGAACGTCGTGATCGCTTTGACCTGGCGCATCATGACTGTAGAAGTCACTAAATTGCTGCGCAAATGGACAAAGAACACTGCGTGTGTATATGAAGGAGGATCGCATTTAGTTCAAGCTTAGTCGCCGCACGGCAAGGCGCAGCAGATCCTGGCTTTTTGTGGCGGATCTAGGCCAGGGGAAGATTCTGAAATAATAAGGTGTAACGTTATAAGAAATAATGAAGAACGTTAGCGGCAGAGGAAGCGTATATGCGTATCAGAATGCGTATTCGGGTGACTTTCCGGACTAGGATATGTGGGCTGCCCCTTTGTGACAAATTAAAAAGATTGTAATTACCTAGTAATTTTGACAAACACAGCAATCTTTCGCATATTCTATTTATTTCCCGGTGAATGCTTTGAAAGGGCCCGGCTAGCTCAACAGCGTGTGGTCCTCCTTGCCCAGTACACGTCCCGTGACTTAATCGTACAGTCCCCCAAGGCCACGGCGTCGACGGCGCTCTTGAATAGTCCTCAACTGTCTGCAGCAGCGCATTTCAACCATTGTCCTTCGGTAGTTGTCCTACCCATCATCGTATACAGTCTTGAAACTGCTGATTTATTGTGTTCATTGTTGGTACTTATACAGAAGCGCCGCAGTATATCTGGAGGGGACCTTGTACATTCGCCCACCTGGAGCCTTTGAGTCACGGATGTCTTGTGTGAGAGATACAAACACCAGCGCATACATTTCTCCACTAGCCCCTGATGAGCTTTGCTTCTCATCCACACAGAAACCTAGGTACTTGCCATCCATCATTACTGAGCGGAAGGGCATCAGCAACCTCTCTATAATCTCGCCTTCAGCAGACATTTTTCACTCCCCGCCACCGAAGATGTTTCCTGAGTCGCGCTGGCTCCCGGATTGACGAAGTAGATGCGGCAATGTCGGCCAAAGTTACCAATAATGTGTGCACGCCCGCTGATGGCCCAGGATCAATCGCCGTGACACAAGAGGTGTTAGAGGCTGGCAGAAACGTGGCAGTCAGATTATCTCTATGTACAAGTCATTCACTATTCTACAATCATGCTAGCAATGCCCGAGGAAGAAAAAACACACAAAGGGACTGGCATGCCCATGGGAAACAAGATGCTAAAGGAAATCTCAACATCCTAGGAAATCGAAATTTCCCTAATCCCCTTGTGACCTGAAATGCTTCCCCCCTCGCTTCAATCCAAGCGCCCTCGAAAGTACCACCAGTGGGTGGGCCAGCGCTTTGTTTGTTGGTCTTGGACGCGAGATGTCGGTTCATCATGTGGTAAGGGGAGACGTTCTCCTAGTGGTATGGCGGTAGGTTCCCTTTATGGTACGGTGGGGGATTTCCCACCGGGGTGGTGTCATCAATGATCGAAACAGGTTCCACTAAGCCGTGTTGTAGAGCTTCTTGAGCTTTCGAGGCGCGCTTCTTTTCTTTATGGGTGCGAACCTTCTCAGCGGTGAAATAAATGGCGGCACCGACAGCGAGAATGAGAGCAACCATTGGAGCGAGGCAACGAAGAGTTTGAAAAGGTTTGAAGAATGGTGTATGAGTTTGACGAAGTGATAGGTATAGTCTTGGGGGAGATTGCAAGAATGAAGAATAGGCTAGAATGCTTGATCAGAGACTTTATATCCGAGGCTTTGTGTAGGATGGTGACCGTAGTGTAAATGCCGAATGCGAGGCCGGATCGAATGATTTATAGCTATCTATTGAAGCTGTCTATATTCTTCGTCGTGGGTCGAGTCATCAACTTTGGGGCGGTGTTGAGAATACGTGTCTCAGCAATGTTCGGTGGGGATCGAATAGAATGAGTTGTGATGGGCTTGTTCGCGGTTGATTTGAGTTTCTTTTCGCCAGCCTCATTCGCTCGTGTGGCTAAGCCCTCTCAATATAACTTTATCAAATTCACCATCTAGCGAAGGACATGTACTTGGGAATTGCAAAGCACTGCAGTCCTCCAATCTCCGCAATCATATCGACGATTGGTGTGAGAAACGCGAGTTCAGCCTCGCCTTAGCCTTCACCAGCTTTGGGCTCAAATTTTCAAATCATTTCTTCGTTCGATCTGCTTGTCATTGTAGGTAGAGTATCATGTATCGATGTGTCGTGCCGAGTTCTAGCCAGATTCTCAGATTTCAATCTCGTCAAACCATGGGATACTGAACTTTCCCCGCTGCCTTCAACGTGCCTGAGGGTATTTCACAAGCGAGGAAGGCCAATGCAAGTCTAAAGATCAAGTCCCAAGATGTAGCTTTCATGATGGCGGGCGTTTCGGGCGAGATCGCCTTCAGCAACCATGTCGTTTCCAAACATTGAAATGACCTCGAATGACCAACACTACTAACTGCCCCAGCCTTCAGGAAAAGGGCCCCATATTCGTGCACTGGGATTTGTCAGTCATAATGCTATGCGACCCTGGTCAACAAATACGACCCTTGTCAGTATAGCAAGTGTCTGGCCACCTGTGTCTTCCGTGTATCTGCAGCACCGTCTAAACCGTTGGGATGAAACTCAAAATAAATTGTTCCTAACAGGCCTATCCGTTCTTTGCGGCTCAGCAGCATGAAAGATCTCGCCCTTGCCGGAGGGGGGCAGGCCTCCCCTACATTCGACTTGGGTCATTTTACACGAGTACGACGCAACGATTCAATCTCTTCTTCAGATGAGAACTCCAGCTGTTGCCCCTTGGTTCCATCTTTTCCAGCTTTGTTATCCAAACCAAGAACTTCAACATAGCTGCCATGACGTCCCAAGGACTGCGCCATAATCTGATTTTGTATCAACTCCAGCCGAAAGTTCCCACGATCCGCGCGTCTCAGATTCAGACTGTCATCGAAAACACGGCCTTCCGTAGCTGGCGGTCGATATCACCTTGGCACTGGGGCGTCATAGTTCGAAAAATTGATATTGAGGCGGTGCTGCTTCTCTCTGCGACTATATAAGCTACTGACTTCGCTGTCATTGCTCGAGCGGATATGTGATTTACATCCTCCCATAATCTTCGTTGATATCATCCCTTGACATTCAGCAATGGCCGCCATTCTTGTCATCGCCTTGTTGGCCCCTTTTCATAGTATCTCAGCGTCGAGCATCGATGCCTCCCAACGAACCTACGGGTACTGCAAACAATTGGATATCCCAGTGTTCGCTACCTCAGACAGCGCGATCTATGACCATCCAAGGGTGGACAATAATATCGAAGCGAGAGCCTGGGCCATCTACGCTGATACTTGGGACACTCCCGTCGGTGTACAGACGATCGTTGAGAACACTACAACTTCGGCTACTTTCAATATCCATGCCCAACTGTGTGTCCCCAAGTTTTCCGGAAAGAAAAAGGACATCCTGCAGATTGCCACTCATGGCGCGCATTACGATGGAAGATATTGGGATCCTGAACTCGATCGGGAGAACCAGTCTTATGTTGAGGCGTCACTCAAAGCAGGATATTCCATCCTCACCTACGATCGTTTAGGAGCCGGTCAATCAGATCACCCTGACGCGTACGACGTGGTACAAGCGCCTCTGGAACTAGAGATACTTCGACAGTTGACTTTGATGGCGCGCAATGGCACCTTGTACAGCTTCGCAAGGAAAGCACAACCTGTCGATACAGTATTCAACACATTGGCCAAACCAAACAAAGTCGTACATGTCGGTCACAGTTTCGGATCCTTCCTCACCTCCGCATTCATTGCTACGTATCCCTCTCTGAGCGACGGAGCAATTATCACGGGTTATATTTACGGCAAGTATTTGGGAAAACCTGGGATGGCGTCATGGGGTGTGGACTTTGCCGCCACGAGCTCTCCTCCCTTTAATCGATCGAGTGGCTACGTTGTGTGTCAAAAGACCGGCATCCAGAATCTCTTCTTCGGTGGTGACCCCGACACCGCGTTCACCCCAGAGATGCTCGACTACGGCGATGCCCTCAAGCAGCCCGTCCCGATTGGGGAACTCGCCTCCGCTTTTCATATCATAGGGCTTCCGGGACCGGATTTCAAAGCGCCGATACAATTCATGTTGGCCGAATTCGACTTTTATATCTGTGCCGGTGATTGTAAGGGGGCATACACCTTGCAGGATTTGAAGAATACCTACCCGAACGCCGCCGTTGTCGAGGACTATATCCAGCCGAATACCGGTCATGCCTTCCCGCTCCACAACAATGCCACTGCTGGCTACCAGGTCACATTCGATTTCTTGGATAGAAATGGGCTATAGTTTCATGGGATCGCTGCTATAATTGTAGTAGCGCTTGCAATAGGACGCTCTGTCTGGGCTCCCAGGCTAACTTCACACATCATTCTCTTCTGAAATACACTAATTAGATAATATACAAAGCTATTTGCGGTTGGAGCTATCTGCCAACTTCGTCGAACATGAAGTGAAATGTCAGACAGCTGGTGCCTAGTGCCAAGAGCCCCTATTCTGGCCTATATAGGGGGCTTCCCCCTCCCATCCATAGTTGCACGAGTTTTCACTCCTTCTATCCGCCCTTGCTCTGTTCGACATGAAATTACTTCTGACTTCCCCCATTCTGGTCAACATGGACCTGGGGCGCGTCATTGCTGACAGCTTCTTGGCTGGTTTGCCACGTGGTTAATGCAGGCTCCTACTTTGGCGGCGTTTCCGCTGGCAGCTTTGACAGCCGGCGTCGTAGTTTCGTCGCTAGGTGCTTCCTTGCAGCGGCTTAGTCACCTTCTTTGCATCCTCGCTAGCTTCTCAGCCGCTAGTAGCTTTCTAGTTGCTTGCCGCGGAGAAGACCGTTCCAGTACCAGTCCCACCAGTTGTACCATTTATCGACTAATAGATTTCGTTGAAATGGAGTCGATGAAGCGCGGTTGCCATAGCTCAAAAGACCGCGATTGGGGTATGTGGGATCGCCGAGCACGGAGTCCCGAGGACGATTTGAATCCAAGGTATTCGAACTCCTGTTCCTCATTCTTTATATTCATCGTTTCGAGATTACCTGCAGCGGGAGGTTGGGTTTGGATCGAATTATGCCGCCCATGTACCATGTCCCGCAGGTTACGGACAAGACCACCAAAGAACTAGAGCTGGAGAAATTCCAAATGTCATTAGCGGCATTGGCGGGTGGCCTGCTGCAAGGCCACCTCAGCCTCAGCCTAGTGAGCCTGAGCCACCCCGAGGAGCCGATGACTTCAGCCGAGAAACGTATCTGTGCGCTGAAACAGAGTTCATATCCAGCTCCGACATTGTTCTTGCAATGGGCACCGAGAATAAAGGACTTCTCGGTTCTGAAGGTCCTTAAAGGAAGAGCGATTGAAGATGTCTTTTTCTTGTCCCCAGACCTGAAGTAGTCTGACTCCGTAATAGCGCCCATGAGATGCCCCTGAGGATCAGAGGGTTGTATTCAGGCATGGACACAACTGCAAATGACTTCGGAGATACAAATATCAATGACCCTTCCAGAGGTAATTCAAAATATCTTCATATCCAACAAACCATGGATCAGAAATCATCATCATCTTCATCATCACCATCCTCCTCCTTCGGCCCAGGATTCCGGTCAAGGCGATCTCATCGAAAATCTCGAAACGGCTGCTTGACATGCAAACAACGAAGGAAAAAAGTGAGTATATCACTGTCACATTGAATATATCAACTAAATGGTCACAGTGCGACGAGAAACGGCCGTCCTGTACGCTCTGTGAAATGAGTTTGAGAACGTGCGTGTATGCAATAGACCAGCTTTCCCCTGGATCAAGCGAATCCGGTGCTACATCCAGGTCTTCCGTTCCATCTCCAACTCCACCGCCATCTGGACCATTCAGCAGTCTTTTAACCCGGTCCAGAAGGCCATCTCCTGGACCTTTGACGCCTCCTCGTGCTTTGAGCCAAGTTGGGACTGACGATGCCGTCACCAACTTCACAGACGCAAACCTCTACCTTCACTTTCTGAACCATACATGCAAATACGCTCCACGTTGGCACAAAGATCGGATAGTCTTGCAGATCGGAATAGCTAAGCTGGCGCTCGATAGCGAGCCCGTTTCCCACTCCGTCCTGGCGCTATCTGCCGCCTGTCTGTGCTGCGATACCATCTCCCATGGAAACGCTGATCCCGAAACTGTCCGTCAAATCCTAGATGTGGGCTTGCAGCATCATACTTTGGCTCTCGAACAAATGCGGACCATGACATGCCGCCCAAGGGAGTCGGACATCCAACCTCTGTTGGCCAATGCGCTGATGCTCGTACCCTTTGCGCTCGCCTTCCAACACATTCAACACTGGGTGCTCTTCGCCCAGGGATCACAGGATATCAACCTTCTTACGCCTCGCGACGCGATCTTGTTACTGAGAGGTATACGGACAACTATCGTTGTGTTGAATTCCAACCGCGCAGATAGAAGTGATGAAAGGAGAAATCCAAAGTCCAAAACACCCTGGGACATAAACTTTTCATCACCGATTACGGATTCCAGCAACTTCACAACCATTCCCGAGCGCTCTCACACCATGTTTCCTGTTCTGGCCGCTACATTTCACCAGGCTTTATCGCAACTCCAATGCAGGATTGAGAGTGCTCTTGCCACCCATCAAGCAGACGAGAACACGGCCTCGGCATTCGACGCTTACAATATCCTGAACGATCTAATGTCGAGTACTTTCTCGAACTCCGAAAAAATCGAGAATTCGTTGGAGTATGTACCCCATGTAGGTTTCCCTTGCCGACTGTCGCATCAGGGACATGGCTAACGCAATCAAGTTCTCTGTCGCTCCCGGCAGTCTACTGGCGCAGGCGCCGGGTTGGCTACGAAACTTCGTACTCCGACGACCACGACCCACGTCCACGGAGCCACTGGCCAGATCGTTCTTAGCATTCTTCTCCCGTGCCTCCAACACCTATGTCGACCTCCTTCTTCCACTTCTCGATCCCCGAACAGACAATGTAGACGATGAACCCGAGCTCACGACTGCTGAGGTCCTAGCGCTGGACGTATATGCCCATTGGCTGGTGCTTATGTTTCTGGTGGAGAACGAGGCTTGGTGGGTGGGCGATTTCCCGGTTGTAGCACTTCAGGGCCTGATTGCGAGATATGGTGACGAGTTCTTGGGCACTTCTTCGATCCAGGAGCAGTGGTGGCCGGCGAGTATGCTGGAGGTCGCGACGCGCTTGAAACAGTGGAAGTAGATCCTGGGCACCTTAGGATCGTACTCCGTAGGATAAAATCCACTTTGGGGGGAGGGTGTGTGATTTCCTGGGCTACAGATGCAGTATCACGTGCCACAAAGTGCTGGCATGACTTTGATAACTGAAGCCCCAATTATCACATCCTCGCTGCAGTTCTTGGCATGCACTTTATACCCATGACACCAAAACCTTCAGTCACCATCGTCCCGCCAAATGTGCCACTACTTTCAGAGCTCAGCCTCGTCATATCCAGTCCGACCGCAGCTGGGATGAGTGTTAGAAAGCGAAATAGAATGGGCGCTATTGCTCAGATGCCTCGCCAGCGAAAGGGCTCAATGGTGAAGTACTTGGCAACTGCCCCCAATGCCCGCCTCCAAAAATTGCCATTCTCAACGGAGCATATCCGCTTAAGACAATACACGTAGCCATCTTGTGCTGCCCCGTAGCCGAACAAATTACCTAGGAGACGGTTTGAGGCCGTGAAGTCGACCGAGATCTCAACCGATCACGGCGCCTGACTTCAAGAAGGAAGAGGAACTCATGACCGTCAAGCAATTCTCCAAGAGGCCAATCCAGCCCATCTCGCACCCATGCAAGTGCCTCAAGTGGTTCGGTGTGATCAACAAAAAAGTTGGTATATACTGACGAAACAACTCCGTTTGTCTCCCTAGTATGAAAGAGACTACCACGTAGATCGGCGTCTTTGGCGTAACCGATCGGAGATGCGTTCATGACAGCTCCGGCATGTTTGCGAATGAAGTCGAGGCGCACAGTGCCGATACCATCTATGACAAACTTTAGTACTGATTCGCAGTATGAACCAAGTATGCACTTACTTCCGAACGCTTTTGCGGCTGCCAAACACGCAGCTGGGTGGGAACTCATAAGGCCGTAAATTTCGTCCTCATCCTGCCTAATTTGAATCAACAGACTGACTGCAATTCCACGCTCCCGAAAATCGCGATGGACAACCAACTGAGTGACCCAACACACGGTTTTGCCATTATAGTTCCATCGGCAGGCAAACACATTACCGGTAAGACGATCTTCAATTCTAACTCTAGCGTAAGAGCAGGCGGCACCGTGGGGTAGATACTGTGCTCGAAGCCGGTCTTTGCTGAGCCTCACACGACTTCCTATCATTACCATCAATAGATGAGAGCAGAACAACCCAACTCGGCTGACCTGGTTTCGCGAATGCGCCTGATTTCGCGGCATCTTTGCCCCAGATTCCGTAGTTTTCATTGAACAGCTGCGACGCGCTTCCGCCAACATATCGTCGGTGACTTCGCCTCCATCAAACTTTTCAAATATTTGCTTTGACATGTTTGTCCTCTTTCGAGTCCTTCGGCTAGGTGACTTGTCGATGTACCGTATGCCAACTCCAAGCTATTAACTCACTTGCTTCGAGTTGAGCTGGGATTCGAAAGTGTCTGTTGGGGGGCTTGGTCTAAGCTCGGAGGAGTCAATATCTGCTTAGCCAAAAGGAGCTGTTTGTCTGGTTTGCCTGTTCTTGGCAAAAAGTCTCGTGACAGACATTTTAAGGTGAGACCGGGATATTTGTCGGCACAGAGCACGTATTATCAGCCTTTTGAATAATATTATTAAAAGTCAACTAGCGATCTTTGGTAAAAAGCATAGGTTCTGTATTTTGGGGGTTAGCCCTCCAACCCCCCAGGGGTCACTACGGTGGAGATTGCCAAGCCTTCGAGATCATGTGATTGTGGGAAAGCGTTTGAGGGAAAAGTCCCTCCTAAAGCAGCGGGCAAAACCTCCAAATTGTCGAAGACTAGCCTAATCTATGAACAATCGTGGCCGTTTTATAGGCGCCGTCCTTGGCGTCTTGGCCAGCACCACAGTAGCTTGGTGCTACGTCTTGTACCTAGATCTTGATGCCAGCTGGAATACGTCATTGGATCCTTGACGCTGGACCTTACTGTGATGTTTCTATTTGACGTCACGTTCTCCAGTAGACATTTTGAATGCAACGTTACCAATCTAGGGAGCTCGTTCAGTCATACCAAAAGAGTTTAGTTAATCAGCCGCTATGGCTCATCTTAGTTGGTGGCCTGAGAACACACAGCCTTGGATATCAAGCATCTCGGGCGATCGATGCTTCAGCACTCTACCACGGTCAAAGAATAGTCCACGAGGCATCGCATAAGGCACATATCTCGAGAACCTCCTATAAATGATCCATAGCCAGGTAATTTCAGACACGAATCCTCAGCTAACCTTTGATTTTATCTAGCTACGCTTTCTTGCCAACCTAGAGGATGAAGGCTCTCAACCGCATTCTGCTTTTTAGTTTGGGACTATTGTCCGTACGGCGCTGCTCCAGCGCACATACAAGGTCGATGCCTTCCCTCCCTTTGGAGCCGGTCCTCATCCACGACTTTCCGTTGGGGACTTATGTGAACTCCCTCGCCATCCGCAAACAAGATGGCGACATCTTGGTAACGCTGGCCAGCATTCCCCAAGTCTACCTCATCTCTACCCGCGACGAATTTGAAGCCACCAAGGTTGCCACTATCCCAGGGGTTCAAGCTGCCCTCAGCATTGTGGAAACACAAGTCAACGAGTTTTATGTTGTCGCGGGCAACCTTTCCGTCACAGAAAAAACGTCCGAGAAGGGCTCCTATTCGGTTTGGAAGCTGGACATGAGAAAGAAAGACCGCTCGGTCGAACCAGCCAAGGTTGCCGATGTCACGGATGCTGCCCTGCTCGACAAAGCTACTCCGCTGGACTCCACCCGTTTGTTGATCCCCGACAGTATACTAGGGTCCGTTTGGATGCTCAACATCAAGTCGGGCCAGTCCCGCGTGGTTCTGAATGACACGGCCAGCATGTCACCAGTGACACCTAGCGGAGTTGGTATCAATTCTGTCGGCATACATGGAGATTTCCTGTACTACGACAATTCCCAGAAAGGGTCGATCAGCCGGGTCCCCATAGACCTACAAACCGCCACTCCCGTCGGCCCGGTGGAGCCCCTGTTCCAGAACAACGACACTGTGTTTGCTCAAGGATTTGCGTTCCGCGGAAATAGCCTTTGGCTCGCAAATGGCTTCGACGAAATCAACTTGTTCTCTGGCGCCACATCACCGCAGATATCCACTCCCTTAGCTACCGAAGTGGTTGCGGGAAGTCCGAACGAGACGACTTTTGTGGGTCCCAGTGATTGTAAGTTTGGAAGGAAACCTCTGGATCTAAAACGTGGAAGTCTTTACGTTACCACCACAGGGAAATCTAGTGAAGGATACGTCTATGGTGGTTCATTGTTCAGAGTGGATCTTGGTCCTCATTTGTCATAGCGGGAGTTTGTTGGAATGGGGAGGTGAGCAGATTTTGGAGCCCAGCTTATGATAAAGTAGTCTTCTCGGCAGTGAAGATGTTGCCCAACCTAAACCGCCGACCTTATTTCCTGGTTCTCCTCGCCTGGGAGATACCTGACGGGGTTTCTGGTTCGTCACGGGTTTCCAATGAATTTACAACCGCGTTGCGCAAAACCAGATCATGGTCATCCCCGTATCCCCTCGCGCAAATCGAGTGCTCCGAGCCTCCTCAACGGCATTAGATTGAATCGGACCGCACTCCACTTTCCACTCAGAATCTGTGGCTTGTCCGAGCTTGTTCCAAAAGTCTTCCATGCTCTTGATATTATGACGGTAGTGAAATCCGGTGGGGGCGAACTCACTTTTCAATTCGTACGACCCAGCATTGAGACTACCTACTTGATTGCCAGCTATCATGGATCCTGACTGCGGTTTGACCAATGCAATCAAGCGTTTCGCGGCCTCGAACATGTCGTCGTAGTCGTAGATGTGCAAAACCTGGGAGACCTGGATCAAATCCATTCTGCCTTTGATCCCATCCAATTCGGGGTTTGCGTCGCCTATCAAATCAGCAGCAAATAGGGTCATGGCTCCTGCTCGGTCGCGGTCACGGAACAATTCATATCCCAAGTTGATTAAACCCGGTTCAAGGTCAAATCCGTACAGTTGAGAGGGGCTTATCGCATGGTTGACGATCAGGTATCGCAATTCCTGTCCCAAGCCACATCCAACATCCAAGAGCGCTGCGCCTTCTCTGAGCTTTGACAAGAAATCTTTGGAGTACGGCAACACGGCCCAGCGGTCGGTCAGAAATCGGGCGTGGCCGATGCAAGCGTAGGGCGCAATCTTGAATCCTTTGTCACGCTGTATTGAGGCGCTAAGATCAGCGACCGTCCACGAAACATGGATCAGAAAGCCTATCGGGTCGCTCACGATGGCAATGACATGCGGAAGCAACTCTTCCTGCCGCAATCCCGCGTAGTCTCGGAGTAACTTCTGCCCTTCGAGAGGGATGTCATCCAGGCATATATTATCGCGGTAAAATTCATTTGGTCCTGATGATTTCGAATCCATCTGGGCTTCGTTCGAATCGAATGTAACGTTGAGGCATTCAAGGAAGTCTCAATTCAGACTAGATCTGACGCTGTCTGGATAAGCCTGTGGAGAGAGCACAATGCCGCACATTGCAGGATATAATGGGAAGAGCTAAGTCAGAGTTCGAGGGAAGCATTCTGTTTTCTACTCAAGAAGGGGGGAACGACGGTAGGCCTAATTGGCCTAGCGAGGGGGGACAGTGGATGATCAAAAATATTGTCGTCGTCCGATCCATATGAGAAAAAGATATCGTCACGTGATAAGTTAGGTGACTAAGGCTTGATAGAGCATGTGACCATCAAGCGCAACTGCGTTCGCTGAGGCGGGACTTTGATAGTCATCGAGCCAGCTAAGATCAAACATCAAACACTACTTCTCCTTGTCACGACTCCTCTCCCCGTTCTCCGCCTTACAAGGCGAAGGCGATAGCAATTTGTTTTATGAACGCTTTCCTCCGGAGGTCTCGTCCTTCTGCGTTCTCTGCCTTGCCATGACTTAACGTTTCTTACCCCCTTACGACCCCCATTGTCGTTGCCCCTCATGGATCCTCACACAGACCCAGACTCCCTCATTGCAAGAGTCGGTGGGCAATGGGCAGGACCAGAACTCCAGCGGGAATTCCAAAGAGAAGTGGCTGATCTCCTCCAACGATCCAACCGATCCTTCCCAGGCGCCCAACCAGTCTCGTTCGCGGCCAGGCACATTCAAGAACTCAAGAGCGAAGATTATTATGTCTGCGAGAAAACGGATGGTCTGCGGTATCTCATGTATCTTACCCAAGACGGCGACAGAGATATCCATTACCTGATTGACCGAAAGAACGATTACTACTATGTCCCCGGCTTACACTTTCCCCACCATGAAGACAAAACCTTCCATCGGTTCCATACGAATACAATTTTAGACGGAGAATTGGTGGAAGATAAATATCTCGATCGACCTTCTGTCATCAAATTTCTCGTCTTTGACTGTCTGGTATTGGACAACACCCTTCTCATGCAAAGACCTCTCGACAAACGCCTCGCATACTTCAAATCGCACGTATTGCAACCCTACAAAGCAATGTTCAAACAGAATCCATCGATCCCTCGACCCTTCGTGGTTGAAGACAAAGCCACGGAGTTTAGCTATGGCTTGGAAAAAATGTTCAGAGAAATTATTCCCAAGGTCAAGCAATTGCATGGAAATGATGGGTTGATATTTACATGCAAGAATACCCCCTACAAGACCGGCACGGACGAGCATATCCTCAAGTGGAAACCGCCTTCAGAAAATACAGTGGACTTTCTATTGCACATCAACTGGGCTAAGATCAAACCCGATCCAGACGACCCCGATCAATCCCCGCAAGATGACTATTTCTCCTTTCCCGAAAGTTTTGGTCTCTATATTTATTATGGTAATGATGGTCAATACGCTCATGTGGGAGAGCTTCATGTCGAACCGGCCGAGTGGGAAGAATGGAAGCAATTGGATCGACCACTGCAGGACTGTATTGTGGAATGTTACCAGGAGGATCTCAACAAAGACCAAATTTACGGTTATAATGGACGAAACGGAATGACGAATGGCACCAAAGATCTAAACCATATGCGCCGCTGGCGCTTCCACCGCTTTCGGGATGACAAAACCGACGCCAATCATGTCAGCACATTTCAGAGTGTGATCGAGTCCATCAACGATCATGTTACGGAGGAGGATTTATTGGCCAATGCGGATGAGATTCGAACGGCGTGGAAGCTTCGGGACAGTGAAAATAAAAGGAAGGAGGCCGCAAAACGGTCTCTTGCAACTAAAGGGTGATCAAAGTGCACACATCATCGAATGAGCTTTGCTGTCCTGGTCCCAAAGTCGCTGGTGTTTGTTTTGAAAGGAAGACTTCGACAAGCCAAACCAGGTTTAACAGGCACTACATCCAACAAGTCTTTCGACAGGCCTTTTGACGTCCAACATGATCATCCCCAGACGGGCAGGAGTTTGTACCTCGATTCAGGAAGAATTCTGTGGTCACTATTGAAGTGTATGATATGGATGATCTAAATTCTCCATGGGAATTTCCCAAATTGGGCATTTACTGTATGCTGTACCGAATACGATATTGGAGCTGGGATGGGACGAAATTCGACACAAGGAAACATTAGGAGTTTTCTTTCGAAAACACGGCATAGCATGGCGGGTAAGTATGTATGTGTTCTTGTCGGCTCTATCCTGATCCGCGCCGGTCTGGTGTGGACCGGAAGAGTGTTCAACATGGAACAATCAACATCATGGGCCAAAAGCAAAAAAGGAATAGGCAAAGGTAAAGGCGCTAGGGATAGCACAGGAAGGCATGGTTCTGGGGAACTTTGAAGGGAAAGGAAGAGTGAGACGCAAGATACCCCGTTCAGCTATTCAATTTTATTCGGGTTTGAGATCGGAGATTCGTGGTGCAGTCCTATATGCGTCTAGCTTTTCATGCCCAGCCATTTGCTTCGTTAATACCCTATATACTGCGCAACTCCATGTCCGGCGAAATGATTCTTTCCTCGATCTAAGCTGTATCCCTCCACACCTTTTCCATCCGGGCCAGAGTTATTGACACCATCTTGACTCTGATTCCTCGCCACACCATCCATCTCGCCCTGGGCATCTCCCTGTTGCTGACGTTGCTGTTGTCGTTCAGCCTGGGCCTCCGCCTCTTCTCGCGCCGCAATGTTCCTTAATATCTCCCCGCCCAGGAATCTGTAGGGTGCACTGGACCATTCTGCATTCACGTCAAGGCCGGGAGTTGTCATTGACGTGTTGGGGTCAGAGACTCCAATTCCGACTCCGGCTCCAGCACCGTTGAAGGTCATGGGTATGCTTCCGCCGTCGTTCACGGGGAGGATTTCCTGGTCCGGTAGAGCCATCCACTGGTCGAGGAAGGCCCAGTCAACGTCAACATTTAGATTCGGATTCGGATTCGTGGCTGTGGAGTCTGGCGACGACATGTTGGTGTTGGCGATGCTAGGGTGAGAGGAGTGCTGGTTTGGAGGATAGGATAGCGAAAATGGGAGGAATGATGTGAATGGATTCGGGCCCAGGCTCGGACTCGGCTCGAGTCGGGGGGTCGGTAGAGGCATGTTCAAGTTGAAGAATTCTCCTGGCTGATTTGCGTCGGCCATTTGCACTGACGACGAGGAACTCGACATGTCACGGTCGTTAAGCGATAGAGGGGCCAGGTTGAAATCGTAAGGCGATGGGAAGAACGCGGAGCCCCCGAATCGCGAGGGCTGCAGGAGCCGTGGAGGCGGTTGGGTGGAACTCCCGGATGACGACGAAGTGGTAGAAGGACCCTGCTGTGAAGTAGACATGGAGGAGCCTGACGCTGAGGCAGATCCTCTCCATGCCGAACCAGGCGTACCCATCTCCCCGAGCACGACTCTTAGGACATTGGCGACGCGCTTTGCCTCCGTACTAGTTGGGCTGAGCTCTTCGCAGATCTCAAACGCAGATCGGAGCAGCGCGTGTTGGCTCTCCATCCTCTCGTCCTCATTGACACCCTTGCCGGGGTGGGCCTTCTTCCACATTGAAATACCCAAGCACAGCACCATGCTCGCGAGGTAGAAGTCGTTCATGGTGAAACTGCTCAGCATCCAGCGGTCTGCAAACAACTGGCCGCCGGGTTGGAACTCCTTGTGCAGGTCCAACATGTGCTTGGTGATCGCAATTGCTGCGTCGGTACACGCCGCGGTGCTCGCCGGGTACCCGCCCTGAGTCATGTACTTGCGATGCAGGACGCAGATGGACTTCTGGAACAGAAACTCACAGTTCAGGCGCACCATGATCAGGTATGACGGGTCCGCGAATGACTGCGACATGGGCTTGATGCGCAGGGTGTCCGGCACCGTCTTGTACGTTTCGCGCACTTCGGCGTCCAGTTCCATGAGTTCCTTCTGTTTGCATTCTCGGAAGGTCAAGGCGTGGGCGCAGACTTTGCCAAATGAAGTCATCAGGCGAGACTTGACGATGAAATAGAGGATCTGGGTGGCTTCGTTTTCGGGCCGGGAGGGTGGGAGTATGGTGGTGTGTTCGTCAAAGTCGGTGTCGAGCAGGTTCCGTGGCGGCAGCGTGTCCCAGCTGTTGGGCGGAATCAGGTTTGGGAGACCGAGCTGGAAAGAGACCATCAGATCGAATTGGCGCAACATGGCCCAGGAACGCCGGCGCATTTCGCCTTCAAAGACGCTGAAGTGTGGGAATTGCGACGGGTCGCGGTGGTAGCCGCTGCGGAAGGCCAGGCGCACGAGAACCGTGAAAATGATGCCCACCTCGCGCGCCGGGTCCAGCGTCGACATGTATTTGCACTGGGCGTGGAGTGCGAGGGCTTCAACCACGTAGCGCTTGGGCCGGACGAAGCCACCGAGTCGGAGGCATTGGCTGGCCGCGGTCAAAAAATTCATGCGTGGACTGGGCTGGTCTTCCGGTGTGGAAGGCTCGGAGCCGACGGCCTCGCTCAGCGTGGCCGACATACAGCAAATGGAAAAGAGAATGGAGACCCATAGAGGAGGAGCCTCAAGTGGTGCCCGCCAGAACTGCTCATATTGTCGCTGGAACTGGGTCGTGTGGATGAAAGGGATCACCAGGTACCTAGAATTGAAGTAGGTGGACAGACGTCGATCGACCTGGAGTCGGGGCGGAAGAGCTTGAGCGAGAATCTGCGCCAACGACAAATTGCCGGGGGATCCGAAGAGACACTCTGGACCTTGAGGTTCGATATCTTCAGACTCGTCGAGTTCGGTGCTGGAAGTATGTTCGGAGCCCAGCGCAGTCTTGAGCTCTTGGATATTTTCCAGGATGGCGGACCAATGAGTTGAACCGACGTATCTGGCTTCAGATGAGCCGACCTGAAGATGTCCTTCTGTCGCTATGGTTGGATTCGGCGCGTCTCTCTCGGGGGACGCGGCGGCCATGCTCTCTGATGGCTGGGATGGGCCGACACTGTTATCAACCATCTGCATGACCAGCTGCTCGAGATGACGCAGCCTCTCCTGGGCTTTGCTGCGGCCATTGTTGTTGTGATTGTTGACGGCATTGGTGTGGGCTTCTGACCTGTTGAAGATGGGCGCCGTCTTGCCATAGGTACAGCTGGCTTGATCTCCTTTCTTAATACATGTCTCGCACGGATGGCCTCTGTCGCACTTCAGTTTCTTGATTCGGCACGGGGCACATGAAAGAGGCTGTCGGTTGCGTTTACTGATTTTATTCCCACCTTGCTGTTGATGGTCCAAGTTGGCTCGGAATTTATGGGTCAGGGATGAAAATTCGGCCATGGTTTGAAGACACCTGGTGGATCTCTTGATTAAATCTGATGTGTTGACGCTGATTGTGATGAAGTCAAAGACCCGTGAGCGCCGGACGTGGAACTACTGTCGAGTCGTGTGGGAATTCCCGCACGGATCTTTGGGGTCGAGTCGGCTTAAGTCCGGTAGAGAGGAAAGCCCGTCCGTAAGGGATGATTGACGCTCGATCCGGACGCAGGTTTGAGAGATGAGGCTGCGAGAAAGCCCTTCATAGATTGAAGAGGATAATACCGGCGCGGAGCTAGATTGGTGGGTCGGTGGATGGTGGATGGAGCAGACGCGGAATATAACACTACTGTCCAATATCGCCACCGCACCCGGGCCATGTTTTATCAGCCTGGGCCATTAGAATAAAAGTTGAAATACAAAGGCTGTTGGATAAATCAGACTGAAAATTGATAATAATTCGTGCACATACTCTGGGACAAGCAATATCATCTCTCTCCCCCAGCCTTCCGAGAGGAGATCGTCTTCGAACACTCACAATTCCTTTGTGCAGCCTGGGTTGACATCTTCGTAGACAGCACTCAATTCATTCCATAGAGTCTTTGCTGTCCGGTCACCCTCCGCGCTCTTGACAAATGCACTGTACTTCTTGACTTCGCACTCACTCAGGTATTGGCCATGGGTTTCCTTCCCTGCTGTACCAGCATGTACCAACGTTCGAGCTCCGTATTCACTCGGGCGTCCCATCACTTTGACCAAGACTTTTGTAGATGTTTCCGTATGTGTTCGGAAGAGGTTGGTCGCGCACAACCCGGGCGCCACGTAGTTGATGACCACCAGCGGCTTGCCATTCGGATCTTCTTGTGCCGACTTTTCCAGAACCGACGCCAGATATTTCACGAGTAGCATCGCAGGGAGCTTGCTGAGGAAGTAGCGGCCTTTCATATCTGCTGTCTTTGGATCAGAAAGAGACTTCAGAATTCGTCCCTCCGCGGGTCCAGTGAGATCTTTGTCATTGGCCCAGAAATGTACCGCCGATCCCACAACGGCAATGGTTGGGGTGATGTCGTAGTTCTTTGCAGAGCGGCGGAGTGTCGGCACTAGCAAGGTGGCTAGTAGAAATGTGGAGATGACGTTCACCGTGATGGTGGCCTCGTAGCCTTCCGCCAGTGTAAACTCGGAGAGGTAGACGCCGGCATTGAGAATGGCTCCGTCCAGTCGTGGAAGTTCTTTGCATCGCTCCGAGAAAGCCAAAACGCTCGAAAAGGAGGTCAAGTCCAATTCCACGACGACGACGGTCGGCTTTTGTCCCTTTGAGCTTGACACAGACTGCACGATTTCTCTGGCGCTTTCTCCCTTCGCTATGCTTCGACATGCGAGCACAACTGTACCACAATTCAGCTGGGCCAACAGCTTGGCCGCATCAAGACCAAGGCCAGAATTGGCTCCCGTGATCAAGATAGTGCGCCCGGTCAAATCAACTTGGGGCATGGGCGGAGTTGAGAATTGGCCTCGAAGGAATTGAATCACGCCAGGCATGATGTCGCTAGACGGTTTGATAGGAAAGAAAGATATTCGTATCGCAATGAAGATGAAAAGTTCTTGAAGACGAAGTAGTCTTCGCGTTTTTGCTGTTCAATGATGTGCTCCTATTCTCACAGTATCGAGCAGAGAAAGACAGGAAAGACCGAGAAATTCGGACACCGCTTTGAATGAGGTATGGGAAGTTATATCTCTCATTCTTAATCTCCGAAAAGGCATCCGATATCCCCTCACCGTGCATGATGCAGTAGATTTGCGTCGTAGTGAGCGCTTCTCGAGGATAGCAAGTTGGTATCGGGGGGTTCATGACGTCGAATTGGTATAGTCTGGTATCGAGAGTCCCGTTTGGGGATTTCTATCCCCGAGTTCTCCGGAATAGCCACTTTGGGGGAACACCGGCTTTATCGACTTCGTTGGCGTCATTTTAATTTCAGACGTGAACAAACTGGGTCATTCTGTCTGCGGCCTAAAATGGACCCACGCCGAACGGCTGTCGCTGTTGCTACGGTACCGACCCCGTGCGCCTGATTGAGTCGACAAAATCTCGGCCTTCCGGACACTGTCCCGTCAGCCATGCGGCATCTTCATTGTACTTTTGCAGTGCCATTTTAACTCTTTCCTGGCCAGGCATATGCATAATTGGATCAAGCATGTCAAAAACTTTGTCAGCATTGTCCTCGGAAATGCGGACGCTTTCGACAATGGTGATGAGCAATGCAATCAGAGACTCGAGAATCTGCGTATCAGAATTCCTCATGACTCTGCTGCCTCCTCCCACCTCCGGCGGTTCCTGGATGATTTGCTGGTGGGTCAAATACCCCAAACTCGTGGATGTCCCATTCAGCATCCTCGAAGGGAGACTCTGCTTTCTCGATTGCGCAATAGCCAGATAATATCGCTTGAACATTGCTTCTAAGTCGGGGAACAGGTTTTCAACTCGGCTCGTCATGAAATCGCCCGCAGCCCAACAGAGAATAGACATTGTCTCGGCCGCAGCTTGGACAGTGTAGGGCATATCGGTTGACCCGTCATCGCGTTTGCCCAGCAGGCGTGGAACTAGCGCGGGCCATACGGAGTTGACCAAGGGCAAAAACGAATTCTCATCTTGTGCCAGTACAGGGCAGATCTTTTGGAGCAGTTCCAAGAGGATGAGACGTACCTTGGGTGACGGCGATGACATGTGAGGCACGGCAGACTCGGCAATGTTGAGGAGGAGCTTGTAAGATTTTGGTACCCCAGCTTCCTTGTCTCTGCTGCTGGGCTCGAGTGTATCATCCCCTTCTTCCTTTTGGGCCTTGTCTGCAACAGCTCTCGGTGTCTTGGCCTCTTGATCGTCAGCGGAAGATGTCCATGGTCGATGCGGAGCAGTGGTGAACTCTCTATGATCTGAGTGGGATTTTCTCTTCCGATCCTTTCTGGCTTGCAAGTCGTCCAAGATGTCATCGAGCCCAGAGGCGTGAGGTACTCCATGCTGGTGTCTGTCGCGTTCCTGACTAGGTTGGATACCTAGGACTGTTGGATTTCTGGAGCTTTCTTCTACTACCATCTTGAGGATGTCAAACAGTTTTTCGACAAGGTGGGAGTACCCGTGAAAGTTGTCGAGAGAGGCAAAGATGCTTCCAATAAGATCGTCGAGATGTGGTAGGAGTCGAGAACCACCAAGGCGAATCATCATGGCAAGAACCTGAAGTCCATCTCTAGAAACATCAAAGGCATTTAAGCGGAGTGCGATAGCATTGACCAAGTAGTCAGCGTTCTCAACTAGCATTTGAGCGGCTGATGAATATTCACACGCCGTAGCAAGAAGGTTCAATGCCGCCATGGCATGGATTTGGAGTCTTGCATCGTTATCACCAAGGAACGTGAGCAGAGGGAAGAGGGTTTCCACTAGCTCAGGACGATATGATTCACCTAGCTGAGACGCCTGCAACACTAGACATTCCAAAGACAATGCCACGAGCCGCGGATCTGAGTCGCTCTTGACGGTGGACTCGGCATGCTGCAGGAGGTGCTGCAAGGTAAGGGAGTACAAGTCAGATATGAGAAAGGGACGGGACGTTGATAAATCCAACGCGGACGAAGGATCGTCAACCCAATCGGCGACATCAAAAGCATCGTCGCTATCGGATCTCAGAAGATTGAGCGCCAGCCATGTTGCCGAAATCCTCCTGCTTATATCAGGATCCCGTATGTGGTTGACAATGCTGCGTGTAATATTCGGGCTGTAAGCGCGAGACTTGATGGAGGCTAAGAAGCTTGTCAATTCTTTCAACGAGGATTGCTGACTTGGGTGATCAAGAATAATTGGCTTGAAATTTCGGGCCACTTCAGAGGATTGCCGGACGAGGTCAGTGGGATGAATTTGAGGAGCCTCATCGATCAACTTTGATCTTGCAGAATTCGTCTCCACGCTTGCCGAAACGCTGTCAACCAGAACTGATGCAACGGTGGATGACAATTCATCCGCAGGGATCAACGCATCCGTCAACACCGAATATGATATTGCAAGCTGTCCCAGCATCTGCTGCTTGGGTTTGTCGTCATTGCCTTGCATCACCCGTGGTAGGACCCGAGACCAGTCGGAGAACTTTCCCCGGAGTATATTAGCGATCTCTGGCTGTGATATCACCAGATGCCTCAGAGCTGCATTGGCCTCGGACGAATCTGAGCGTCGACAAAGGATAACGAGAGTCTCCACCATGAGAGGCACAGAACGTGCCAATGTCCGAGAACAGTCCTCGAGGATCAGCAAACAGAGTTTCAGAAGCGCTTGAGCAACGTCAGACCCTTGCTGGGCCCTAATTTTGACTACCTGTACCAAAGCGAGGTCGATCTGAGGTGTGGTGGCATCGAGCCACGATTGGTCAAGTTTGGCAGCTTGATCAAGATCGTCTGCCTTTGAGGGCTTTGTGTCACTCTCGTGAACGAGAATCTGGGAAACAACGTTGTCGGTAAGAACCCTCTTCAAGGCTACCGTCAGGAGTTCCAGGTAGGATACAAGGACTTTTCTCGTCCGCCGGGCTTGAGTGTTTGGCCGCAGAACTTTCACCAAAGTAGAAACGGTCCGGGGGAGTAAGCTAGCGAGTAAAACGGGACTTTCAACAGCATGATAGAGCTCGAGCAGGGCGTACGTGGCAGAAACTTGAACATTTTCCGCCGTTGTGTTTGTGATTGCCTCCAGCAGCTGGTAAACAAGTTGGTCGACAATGTTCTTATCACCGACCTCGTCTAGGATGCCTGCCCCGAGACGAGAAATTTGACGGGTGAGAACAGAGATGCATTCGAAAGCGGCAACAATGAGCTCGTCCGTAGGTGGCTCATCCCGTTGGTTCGGATTTTGAGAGACCAACAGTCCCATGAGAATGAGAAGTTGCCGCGCCATTTCCGGAAGCAGCTTGTCTCGCCATCCTTTGGAAACCAGAACTTCGACGCACCTGATGGTGACCTCTATAATGTGGGAAGATAGCCGTCGAGACTGATTGAAGATATGGGTGAGCGGAAAGAAGGCATACTCGGCCAGTTTCTCATCCAGAAGATTCTCATCACCCAGCGATTGTAAGGTCTGGCGGACCGGCTCTAGAGCAAGGAGTATCGCTTTTGGGGAGGCCTGATCTGCTTTAAATTTAAGTGCAACTGAGCTCAGCTCAACGCATGGAGGACGTAGCTGAACAAATCTCAATGAATGAAGGCAAAAGACGAAAACGGGAAGAAACTTACTCGCTGAAAAGCCTGTTGGCGTGACTGATTCATGGTGAGGGGATTATCTGCTGCAAGACTGGCATCTCATCAATACAGGAACAACCCACACCTGGTGGTGTCGGCATTGCCACTGCTACGAAGGATGACGGCGAAATTGCATTAGAGTGTTGATTCTTGATGGCGACAACTCAAAACGGGGAGTGCTGAAAGACGGTGATGCGGCACAGCCACATCAGTAGATGTGGCACAGTTCCAAGACGCGGCGGTGTTACCTTCATTAGCCTCTTGGCGCCGTCTCAGTGGCTTGAAAGGCCCGAAAGTCGACCTACGCGCTCAGGTCTGCAGATGGCCTAGTCCTTTCGATGTGCTTCGTATCCACCGTCGGTTAAGGACGATATCACGGGCTATCTGATGAATGATGTTGACCATTGCTTAGGTATATGATGCATGGACGATCGGTAATGCCACATACGCGCACTTCGATTTAGACAATAATACGATAGTACGGTCCAATGTTTGAAACTGACCCACCAAATCAATAAACTGAATACGTACCGATCTCGAAGGTATTGTACCGGAATCATGCTAGGTGGTATCTACTGTACGTAAATGAGTGAGAACCCTGGAGCAAGCGACTTCGGTTATCTCCCGTCCGTATAGCTACAGTATGGGTCATCATGCCAGACACGGAAGAAAGATCAGGATGGGGCCCTGTGTGGGTACCTACTCACTGGGATGTCGGTGTGATCAATGACTCCCATTCTTCATACCTTTGGCCATTGAACTTCGCAAGAGAAATGGTTATGCGGCAACCGTCAATTCCTGACACCCCGATAGATTGGACTCGAGAGTGTAAAACCCCTCTGAAGCCCGATGCCGATCAAAACCGCATTCAGGTACCGATGATGCAAGAAGGAAGTATTATGACCCATCCTTGTCGCGGACAGCTGTCAGGCAGCTTGTGGGCACTAGACATGAGCTAGGTGGATAGGGATCCGTGCCTGAGTGGTCTTGAACATGGTTGCTTTTCCCCCGTGTGAATCGTGTTCTATGATCACTTGTTCTGGATCTACCTCGTGTGGCACATCCTGCTAATACAATGCCAGGGGCAACCGCACAGACCATTTCGGACCAATCCCGGCGAGGGCGCCAGGGGTATTAGGGCTATGATTTGGTAGCTTGACATCAACTCGCTGAATTCTTGGGCTGCAGCTTCCCGGTTTTCGACTGTATCTCGCTAACCACGATCAAGGCGAAAGGTGAAAAGTTTTCTCCTGCACCCGACAATATTGCGCCGGATTGATAGGTTCTTCTCGCGGTTGGTGATCAAGTTCAGCAAGGAGATGTTGTGCCCTTCCCATTAGCTTCTATCCCTCTCTGGCCTGCATATCATGGTTGGGGTCATATATGACCCCACAGAGTCCCAGATTCAGGTTTTCTTGAGCGCTCAGGTCAATTTCCACGCTGGTTTGTCTGTAGCAGATCTCTGGCAATGACCTAGATTGCCGTGTGTCCGAAACAGGATTTCGCGTGATGGAAGGCCGGCGGGCGATTGGGTCTTGGTCGCCGGTATCCTGTGAGCTTCAGCTGGGATCGAATCATACTAGATTCACTTGAGTAAAGAGAATACATCGCCATCCGGATACGCGCCGCCCTAAACCCTTGATGCTCGAGCGAGCGAGATGTGGCTGAATTGGCAAACGCCAGGGTTGTGACGTTAGCGCGCAAACATATTTGGTGCTCTAGAATAGCAAACAGCCTGCTTGGAAGACTGGAGGTGCACAAGATTTGTTTTTAGAGTTCAGACTGCGCAACAGGCAAACTCTGTTAAAGTTACTCTGCCGGAAAATTGAATGCCACCGCAGCTCTTCATAGGACATTCCTCTGGTGCCACCGCGAAAGCCTGAGAGGAACTGAGTCCGTAACTCTCAAAGGTTATCGACTCCGTCTGTACCATAAGGTTTAACACACAATCCACCCTCTAACCTCCCCTTTATCGTCACTTGCCCGCTTCCTTGTGGCTGCTTCCACCGTGACCTCTTCGCAACTTGGATCTTCACTGCTAGATACTTATAAAACCCCATTGGCGTCAGTTCTGCGCATTGACAATTCTCTTTTACTTCTCCTCCGTTCTTCGTTGGATCGTCGTCTCTCCTCCGAGTTACTCACTCAATCTACCGTGCGTCCTCAATACTCTCCACGAGACCTCATATCCTTACCGTCAGTCATGAAGACACTTATCGTCGCTGCCGCCTTCGCTGGCGCTGCTCTCGCACAGTCCCTTTCTGATCTGCCGGAATGCGGTGTAAGTTCATCCAGCCATAACCCGCTTCCACTCCCATTGTCTGTACTGACCTGGTCTTTTAGCAACTCTGTATCAACAACATGCTCGGAGCCGCCTCTTCTCTGGGTTGCCCTCCTGTCAACGGCCAACCTGACGCCACCTGCCTCTGTGCCAACCCTGACTTCGGATATGGTGTTCGCGATTGCGCAAACGAAGTTTGCCCTTCAGGCACTGATACCAATTCCATCATCCAATACGGTTTGAGCTACTGTGCAGCTGGTGGGTGATCATAACCATGGATTTTCATCATCCTCAAAACGATTTCTGACGGATTATAGCGGCCCCTGGTACATCTGCCGGAGCACTCTCTGCAACCTCTGCTTTGACCGCTGGCGGAACCGCTACCGGCACAGCTGGTACCACTGGCAGTGGTGACATCGGTGGTTCTTCAACTCCAATCTCTACTGAGACTCTCTTCTCAACCCTCACCACCGATGGCAGCACAATCACTAGTGCAATTGGCACGTCAACCCTCTATAGCGCAACTGGTGCGGGGGTCAGTTAACTTGATTTGTCCCTGAAATTTGTGTTTGCTTACTGATGATTTCTAGGCCACTGGTCCTTCGCCCGCAACTACCGGCGCCGAAACTTCGCCCGCAACTGCTGGCGGTGAAACTTCACCCGCAACTGCTGGCGGTGAAACTTCGCCCACAACTGCTGGCGCTGAAACTTCGCCCGCACCGACTGGCGCTGAAACTTCGCCCACAACTGCCGGCTCTGAAAATGCCGCCAAACCCATAATGTCAGTTGCTGCCAACGGCCTAGTCGGTGTCGCTGGTGTCGCCGCGATTCTGTTGTTGTGAAGGGTGCACACTTGAACGACCAAGGGGAGAATACCAGATGAACTTTTTCTAGTTTGTTTTCAAATCAAATGTTGATACCCGCATTCAATCGGCGTGGGCTTTGCATCATCACGTTAAGGCCGGGGAAAGGACAGTGGGCGATCGGAATACCACCACGATTGGCTTGATCCATGAATCACTGCAAGGTGCCTGTTGATGCCTTTAACGGATTTGCGGATAACCGAACAATACCTCTAGAGAAAGTGCATGACGCTGTAATAGGCCCAACGACGGGCTGATAACTAATACTGACGGACATCGAAACAATGGAAAGGGCATTGGAAAACTGGATGTCGTCCTAATTTTTGTATGTCGTTTCTTTTAGCCCCTTGCTCTGGTAGTCTCCCGAGGAGATCCGAGCGTAAATCATCAGCCAATTGTGTTTTCTTTCTCATTTTATTTAGCCTTTCTGATACTCTCGAGTCATTGGTCAATTTTATTTCAGCCCAGGAGCTTGATGCGTGAAACTGGGGCTAGAACACCTCGAGATTTGGACTTTCAAGGCAGCAGATGACTAGCCCAAACGGCGTTCGAGGAGAGAAATCTACCTAGGTGCATTTGGGTTATCCTCGTGCGTACTTCCGCAGGCAGCCAAGTGTTTTGAGGCAACCAAAATCCTCCCTCCAACACGTCATTCACTCAGGTGGATAATTGGCGCCTTTTCTCCTCCCCACGCGTCTTCGACGCGACTATGTAAAATCGAACGAAGAACGAGAAGCAAACAATCATTGTGAGAATCATAGCAGCGCAACACTCAACTGAATGCAATTGATGCACCAACCTGGAATTTCATCAACTCGTTCCACATTCAACTCGTTCCTTTTCCGTCTTCGTCTGTCTCCTTTAATTTTCATTACGAAGGGTCAAGCTATTCGCCTGCCTCTTTTCCAGTGTCCTTCTACGTCCACGTTCCTTCACCGTATTGAATCTGTCCACATCCTCTCGTCACCTCTCAGAGTCCGCAGGCACTCCATCATGCCGCAAGGAAGGCAATCCACTCTTGGGTACGTTGATACCTCCACGACGACAGGCTTCTTGATGATTGACCTTCATAGCAAATTTCTGAAGAACAAGCAGAATGACACCACGCCCAAATCTCAATCCACTCTGTCCTTCCATCAGAAGTCCGCATCCAAGAGCGACCCAGCCTCGTCTGACAATGAAGATCAGCCTGTCAAGAACCAGGACTACGCCACTCCTGACGCAGACATGAAGGATGCGGGAAATACTCTTAAGAATGGCAACGAAGAGAGTGACGACTCTTCGAGCGGGAAACACAAGCGGCAGTCTTATGGCAGTGAAAACGACGTAGATGACTCTGATGACCAGCCCGTTATCAAGAGGAGAAAAACAACCATGGCCAAGCAAGGCTATGAAAGTGAATTTAGCAAGCCGTCGTCACAAGCAAAAGGCCTCAATGCGAATGGCGCATCCCAACCCAACACAGAGAACCTGACGGAAACAGTCCAAAAATCAACATTGGAAGATTCAGTTTCGTCGGACGAGGACAAAGCGGTGTCTGAGCATGAGGATCACCTCTCGTCGAGTGAAGATGAGAAGCCCAAGGTAGACAAAAAGCAAGTCGCCAAAATTCAAGCCACTATTAGATCTTCGGGGAAAGATCCTTATCCGGACTGGAAAATTGGAGAGCCTGTGCCTTACGCAGCTCTATGCACAACCTTCTCGCTCATCGAGCTCACAACGAAACGGCTTCAAATCATTGCCTATTGCTCCGCTTTTTTACAACAAGTTCTGCGCTTGACACCACAGGATCTCCTTCCCACCATCCAGCTCATGCTAAACAAGCTCGCCGCTGATTATGCGGGCATCGAACTTGGAATTGGAGAATCCCTGATCATGAAAGCCATTGGAGAGAGCTCTGGTCGTTCGTTGTCGGTCATCAAAGCAGACCATCAAAAGATTGGTGATTTAGGCTTGGTTGCCGCCAAAAGCAAGTCTAAACAAGGACAAATGTTCAAGCCAAAGCCACTCACTGTCCGAGGCGTCCACCAAGGGCTACTTGACATTGCCAAAATGGAAGGACAAGGCTCCCAAGATCAGAAAGTCCGAGCAATTAACAAACTGATGGCGTCTGCCGACGTCTCGTCTACGAGCAAAACGGTAGACATCAACAAGGACAAGGGAGGTCCATCCGAAGCGAAATTCCTTGTTCGGTTCCTTGAAGGAAAGTTGCGACTTGGTCTGGCCGAGAAAACCGTCATCATTGCACTGGCACAGGCTGTTGTGACATATGAAGCGATGAAGAAGGGAAAGGTTCCCAGCACCGACCAGTTGGCGGAAGGAGAAGCCACGCTAAAAACCGTGTACAGCGAATTGCCCTCGTACGAGGTCATCATTCCAGCCATGCTTGAACATGGCATATTCAACTTGCATGAGACCTGCAAGCTGCGGCCAGGGGTGCCGTTGAAACCCATGCTTGCCAAACCCACCAAATCGATCACTGAAGTACTTGACCGATTCGAGGACAAAAACTTTACTTGCGAATACAAGTATGATGGAGAGCGAGCACAGGTACACTATGTTGCTCCGGATGCAATGTCCGACTTTCCTGCGGCAGGGAATACACTGGTCAAGGATTCCAAGGCTGTCAAGGGTTTGGCTTCCATTTTTTCACGAAATTCCGAAGATTTGTCAAAGAAATACCCCGATATTTTGGAAAAGTTGAATACTTGGATCAAGCCGTCAACCAAAAGCTTTGTCTTGGATTGTGAAGTTGTTGCCTGGGATCCGCAGAATAAGAAAGTCCTTCCTTTCCAGCAACTCATGACTCGAAAACGCAAGGATGTGAAGACGTCAGAGGTGACGGTCAAAGTGTGTGTCTTCGCCTTCGACATGCTCTTCTACAACGGAGAACCGCTGGTGAAAAAGACGCTGCGTGAGAGACGCGAACTTCTCCACCATGCCTTTGAACCAGTGGAAGGAGAATTTGCGTTCGCGCAGTATGGTGACACGAAGGATGTCGAGGAGATCCAGCACCTCCTGGACGAGTCTGTCAAGGCATCTTGCGAGGGTCTAATGGTCAAAATGCTCGACACCGAAGAATCAGGATACGAACCCAGCAAGCGCTCGCGCAACTGGCTCAAAGTCAAGAAAGATTACCTCTCCGGTATTGGTGACTCTTTGGACCTAGTCGTCTTAGGAGCCTATCATGGCAAAGGGAAGCGCACGTCCTGGTATGGTGCCTTCCTCCTAGCGGCGTACAATCCGGACACGCAAACCTTTGAAACCGTCTGCAACATTGGCACCGGTTTCTCAGAAGCCGTCTTGGAAGAATTTCACAAAGACTTATCCGAAATCGTCATCGACCGTCCCAAGCCGTTCTACTCCCACTCGACGGTGAAGAACGATCAACCAGATGTCTGGTTTGAGGCGCGCTACGTCTGGGAAGTCAAGACAGCCGACCTGACGCTGAGTCCAAGGTACCGCGCTGCGATTGACGAAATGGGGGGAAAGAATGGGATTAGCCTACGCTTTCCGCGGTTTATTCAGAAAAGAGACGACAAGAATCCGGAAGAGGCGACGACAACTGGTGCGATCGCCGAGATGTATCGCAAACAGGAGGCTGTGGCGAAAGAAGGGCAGGCTAAAAAGGGTGTTGACGATGATTTTGAGTATTAGATTTGAAAATGAGGCGGGATGTGGCTGTCTTCACCAACGGGGCACAAGGTAGAGAGAGTTCCTCGTCATGATGCTGCATCATTCTGTGGGACCTGCCTCCAGGAACATGATTTATGAGACGGAAGGGTATGTTCTCCAGGAACTTATGGGATCGTAAATTCGTTTGTGGCCTTAGTGTGGCGAGTATTTCTCATCCAGCATTGGCAGGGTCGCCTTGTTGGGCCTCAAAATGAGATGTAAGTTAGTAGATGAACCCAGATCACGTGCACGGCTCCGGAGGCTTAGGAGGCCTAAGATGACCACCCCTGGGTCCTCGATCATCAACCACAACCTCATCATATATTAATTGCCTTATTGGCTTCATCTCGTCGACTGGCCGACCTCCTTCGGTCACTCTATACGACAACCTACGCTGTCTTGGACAGACCACTCGTTGCACTGCCCCGAGTCACATTCTTCTCTTCGCCAGAGTTTACCTCTTCACCTATTCTCGTGACTTTCTGAACCTTCTCTTCCTGCGTTTCTCATCTATATTCTTCATGGATCTCGCCTACGATCATATAGCCGAGCAATCGTTTACTCCTGGAGACCGAGCCACCACACCTACACCTTCCGGTGGTAATGCGTCCTCCTCTCACCCTTCTCAAGATGGCGTGAACCCCAAAGCCAGCCTTCCGGCCGCAAGACCCAATCTCCAGACCGAGTTCCAAGAGACCTTCAAAGCCTTGTCCAACTCTCCCTGGGGAGCGAAATTCGGTGGATTCTGGGGGAATGTAAGAAAACAAGGAGAATCTTATTATGAAGAGGCCCGGAAGGAGGCCGCTGAAGTAGCCAGCGAAGTGGAAGCGTTGCGGACGAAGGGACTGAAAGGATTGGGGTTTGGCGGAGATAAATCCCAAGACAGGAGGCAGGGAGCGTCACCGGAAAGAGAAGCAGAGCCAACCAAGACTACGGATGAGGGCCAACACCACAAAGATCTCCATGAAACCGAGTCCTTCCTGGAACGATTCAAGGCCGAGGCGGCAAAGCGATTGAAAGATGTGCAGAAGGCAGAAGATGCCGCCGATGAAGCACTCTTGAGATTTGGCACGAATATTAGGAACTTTCTGAGAGATGCAGTGGCAGTGACTGCCCCGGATGACGAGGGACTTACAAGCCGTCAACCTGGCGAAGTGCTGTTTGAAAGCAAAGACCCCCGTTCTGGAAAGAGAGTCATCCATACGAGCAGGTTCGATGCCCAGTTACATGTCATCCACACTACTTCAGCGAGCTTTACACAAGATCCACGTGGGGCTGGTGGTCAATGGGATGAGTTTAAACAAGGATTTGATATTGATAAGATGACGGGCCGAATCGCGGAGGATTTGGACAAATATAACGAGCTGAGAAATTGCATGGAGAAGCTAGTGCCAGAAAAGGTGGAATATAAAGATTTCTGGACGAGATATTATTTCCTCAAACATGTGGTGGAGGTTCAAGAGGAGAAGAGAAAGGAGCTCCTGAAGGGTATGTCTTGACATCAGCTCGCTCATGTGGTCCTTTCATGCTTGCTAACATATGTGCAACAGCATCAGCGAACGACACCGAGGAAGTCGGCTGGGATGAGGATTCTGATGATGATCGAGAAGCCTCTTCTACTCCCCAACTCCAGGAAACCCAGGGACCACCGCCTAAACTTTTGGTTGCACAAAACACAAACGATTCATCAACTACGATACATCAGACACCCGTGTCGGCTGACGCAGGCTCTCTCAAACCCGAGATTTCGGGCCGCAGATCGCATGATGAAAAGTCGGTGGCAGACAGTGATGCCAGTTATGATCTCGTTAGCGGAGCGACAAGCCGAGCTCCAGGTAGCCCGAAAGACGACGCGGGTAAATCATCTGCGAAGGTGGAAGAAAGTGACGAAGAGGATTGGGAATGATTCAAAACTTCGGGACACTCGCAAATCTTTTGAGATTGTATGAACTTGCGCAAAGATGGAATTGATACCCCGTACTTGTAGTCTATGAAGTAAGATCCTCCTCAAATTCTTCAATATCAAATCACTTCAGGGGATCGGGCCAGGAGGAGCGAATATTGTTGTTTCGAACCCTTCCAGAACAAATTTGGATAACACCAGACTTAATCATCTATTCTACAGTGGTCCAAGATCTGACACTCATGTCGAAGTCGGCCTTTTCTCAATTCATCCGCAAATCCGACTGTCCCTTTCATGCCTGCGTTGAATTCAGTAAAATGTCGCAGCTACCGCAGGCATTGACTGATTCTGGCATACCACGGTCCAAGCGAGCTCCCAGCCTCCAGGCCAAATCCATATGAAACAGACCGATTGACAAAGGGGGGGACTCAAACATCCGCCCAACCAAATGGATCACCACCAAACCAGTCGGCAGCACCAAGCCGTTCAGTCAGCCATTCTTGGTCCCGGGGGGCGGGGGTTGTTTCCTGGCAGATTGGCGAACGTGGAATAATTCGAACCCTCTCTTGTGGACGCTCCGACGAATCTCGTGCGCGACGAATCGCCGTGCACCCAGCGGATGATGAAGGATAGGCTTGGTCTCTCAAGAATGTAGAGAATGGGACTAGGTTCACACAAACACTTGGTGTTAGGACTTGGTTTCCCTCTCGGACTCGTCCTTTTACGCGTGGTTTTGTGCCATGCAGGGTGAGGAACGTTTCTGACACGCAAGTCCTCTCTGCGGAGTGCCAGAAAGTGGTCTGGTTGTTGGGAAGTGATCGTATCTGACTCCAAAGCGCCCGCTTCTGGGTGGAACCTCTGCTCTTCCCACTAAGTAACTTAAGTATGCGATATGGTCGGCGGCTAGGCGGCAGATGAGGTTTTGCCGTATCTTCCTCAGTGTGGTTACGGGAGCTTTGTTTCACATATGTGTCCTGCCAGCACATGTATAGGTCTGCGAAAGAAGTTTGTCTCCTAAGTGATCTTCGGCGTCCAGTCGAAATTGCCTTACCCACAATCAGGACTCCATGCGAGGAAAATATCAACCGGCTGAATGAGAGCACCTCCAGCCACCTTGCTCGATTCGTCATCCCATATCTTGACCTCAACAGCGTATGCTTCTGGCTTAGGTTGGCATCATACCGATCCCTCCCCGGGCCGGGCCACCTTTGCTAGTCTTGTTAGAAAGAAAACTGTCCAGCCCTGCATGACTGGGATGGAAATGAGAGCTAGAGCTGCCCTTTTTCTTCTTTGGAATAAGCCCTGTCCCTTTATTTCGCGCCCGAGAAGCACTGCCACCCCATTTTGACCCTCGACCTCCACGGTGGCTCCACGAACTGGACCTGGATCGCATCTCGGACTTCTTCGAGGAAGACTTTCGACTTTTACTCTGGAAGGTTGGGATCTGAGACACTGCAAGCAGTCAGTACACCGATGGATTCCCAAACATTTCCACAGCTCACCCTTCTCGTTGAATTGACCGACTTCATCAGCTACGCTGAAGTAGTGACTACTCTCAGGGTCGTCCAGATCAACATCGCTTTCGGTCAACATTTCTTCTTCGGCTTCGTCATCGCTGATTTCTACTACGGCCCTGTCATTGGGATCACCGTGTTGGTCCTCCTGCGCTGCTTTCATCGCTTGATAGTTATTGTAGGCAGTCGTGATCAATCGGAGTAATACCGGACCGAATATCTTGAACCTTTCAGTGTTCATTCCAGTCGCCTGCTTGAGGTCTTCTTCATTTCGCGGAAAGCTGATAGCGATCTCCCGTAACACTCTGTCCGACACGGGTTTCTGTCTCAGGGACTTGGCAATCACAATCCGCTCGATATCGCTCTTCGCTTTCTCGACAAAGTCTTCCAGGATGTGCCGATGGATGTTGTCCAGTGGCGCCATGGTCGGATCAGCTGTGATCGGTGGACCGACTTTGTTTCTTTCGGGGGGCCGACGAGTAGTGGGCTGTCGTGCAGGCTCGAACATGTCCTCATCCTCGTCTTCATCATTTTGATTCATGAACTCTTCGTCCGATGAATCATTCAGCTGTCCACGAACAAGTTTGCGACGTGATCGAGCCTGGACCGGAGATGAAACATTTGTGGATGCAGGATAATCATCCACTGCTGCCCTAACTCCAGTGCCAGCTTTCTTTCGGCTCTTTGGCGTCGTCGCCTTAGCTTTTGGCTTGCCAGCTGGCGAGGTAAGGATTTGAAGCTTCAGTGGCCTGCGACCTCTCTCAAAATCATCGCATTTGGGACCGAGCTTGATGTACTGCACGGCAAAGCCCGAGTTATTGACTTTATTATCCTGTGCTAGTGCATCTTCGGTGATAAGCCGATAGAACAGACGTTCCACATCCCCTCTGGCCAAGTCAGCACCGAGGCCGTATTCGTCTAGCTCATCGTGTTTGAGTTCACTCATTTTTTTGTTCTTCCCGCCACGGTATATGTCGACGCAGTGGAGCACCGTGACTTTGTCGTGATGGATCTTCTTTACAAGCTGAATTGCGTTTCGAGCATGCTCGGAGAAATCATGGGTCTCAAAAGCACTCGTTGAATTGCAGTTGTCGCAACCGTTCTGACATTCTTCCCGCCTAAAGTGCTCGTTGAAGTACGCGAGCACCTGGACCCTGCGACAGTCACTGCGATTTTCGCAGAATTGAACGACGTTCCTCAATAGCTGCTTTTGTCGCTCTTTTTGCTCCCATTTGCCGTCGCCTTCCTCAATCATCCGCTTCAACGAAGTTGTGTCGCCGTACCCATAGTAGAGATAGCAGCCTGATTTCTTTCCATCTCGCCCGGCTCGACCGGTTTCCTGGTAGTAGCCTTCCAGGCTTTTGGGTATCGTGTGATGAATAACAAAACGTACATCGGGCTTGTCGATCCCCATTCCGAACGCAATGGTGGCGACAATGACGTTGAATTCTCCTGCCTGCCACCGTTTTTGGATGTCTACTCTTTCTTCAGAAGTAAGGCCGGCATGATAATGTCGGGCATGAATCTTATACTTGTCTCTCAACTGCTTGGCAACTTGTTCACAATTCTTCCTTGACAGACAGTAGACAATCCCTGCCTGGCCCCTGTATGAGCTTTTGATGGTTTGTGCAATGCTATCAAGCACCTCGTAGCTCTTGCCTTTGTGCCTGACCTCGTAGGTAAGATTGGGTCTGTTGAAGCTTTGAGTGAACACTTCAGAATTGTCCATGCCGAGATTGTGCATCACATCAATTTTGACATTTTCGGTCGCCGTCGCGGTCAATGCCATGACAGGTACGTCCTTGAATTGACTGCGAACTTCACCCAAGGCTTTGTAGTCTGGCCGAAAATCATGACCCCACTGGCTGACACAGTGGGCTTCATCGATCACGATTCGGGCAAGAAGCCCCCTCCTGTACAGATCCTGAAGAGTTTGGCACATCGCCTGGCTCTTGCTGAGCATCTCCGGGGTGACATATAAAAGCTGGATATATTCCTCAGGCTTCGAAGCTCTCAATGCGGTGAACACATATCTTCGGTGTTCCGAAGTTGTGTCTCCGTTCACCAAGTAGGCTTGGATATTCAACTTTTGCAAATGGTCCACTTGGTCCTGCATCAGACTGAGCAACGGGGAGACCACAACGGTTACTCCGTGTGTTCGTCCACTCTGCACGATTGATGGTAGTTGGTAGCAGAGGGACTTTCCACCTCCGGTGGGCATCAGCACAAATGCATCTTTGCCGCTCAGAGTGGCATTGATGGCTTCAAGTTGATTGTGACGAAAACCGTGCAGGTGAAATCTTTTCCTCAAGGCCGACGCTACGTCCTTTGACCAAGGGTGTTGCATTACCGCCGAGTTGGACAAAGTTCCCTGTGTGGAGATTTGTTTCTTTGGCGAAATCCGGCGAATGTTGTCGCTGACCTCGCTAAGAGCGACACGTTCGCGGCGGGAAGGCGACTCAACACTGAATGTCGGCAAGTTCTGTTCGAATTCTTCCGCTATTTTGCACATCTCTTCATCATCCATATCATCCTCGAAGTCGTCGTCGAATGAGAATTCGCGGGGAGGGCTCCTCATTGTCCTGGGGGAAGTTTTGGTGCCATCTTCTGCATCGCCGTGGGCAAAATTAGGCTCAGGCTTTGGCGAGGAACGCTGAGGACAAGGACATGGGACGATGTTAGCAGGATCGAATCGCTTTGCAAACGGCGTTTGGACAACAGATTGTGTTGAAAGGTGAGCAAACTCTTTTGCGTCCTGGTCCTCAGTCGTTGCGGATATCTGCTGAGGGGCCTTTTGCGTAGAGGCAACCAGAACCTTTTGAAGAGGAACATTGTCAACAGGAGGTCGCAAGCTGTTGTACTGCAAAGAAGCCCTCTCTGTCACACTGCGGTTGGTGGATACTCCCACCTGTTCCAGAAGCTTGAAAATCAACACCTCGCGAGTATCAATGTCCACCTTGATGCGTCGGATGTCCATGCAAATTGATGCAAGCACATTCTGGGGGTCATCAGGATCGATTTCGTGTCCTGCTTCCTCGAGCTCGTTGCGACGCTCAAGCATCCGTTTCCGTTGGTCCCGGAGTTTCGATATAGACGCGTGCTCCTTCAATAGTTGTGCGGTTGTCGCGATTTGGTTTTCAATAGTCTTGTTCATTTCCTTGAGATGGTCAGAAGCAACACCGCTGTCACACATCTCATCCAACATCTCTATGCGTATCGCCCTCTTTGATTGCTCCAGTTGTTGCAAAAGGCATTGCAATTGATCATGGCCCTCCTCAGCGAACTTGGTGACAATGTGTGTCTGCTCTCGAGTCAAAGGGCCGCATTGCTCAGCACTCGACCCGCTGCTTTTGAAGTTCGGCGCCAACTTTGGACTGGGTGGATAATCTGCATCCTGTATGATTCGACGAAATTCAGACTTCGGCGGCGATTGGGAGGTCTTCGATACAACGGCTTGATTCGATGAGCGCAAAGGACTGCCTTTTCTGTCAGAGTGCCGAACGGAAGAGTCAGACTGTGGCCGAAAACGGTCACCAAATCTGGTCCTCGCAGGTGTGGTTGGCTTCAGTTTCGGAACTGGGTCGATTTTCTCTCCGTCGTCTGAGTGCGAAACAATATTTCGAGCCTTCTGCGAGCGATTTTGCCGCGTAGGTGGTCGAATATGAGATTTATTGAAGTGCTGATTTACTAGCTCGAGCTCGACTTCATCACGGTTTCTTCCTTCCACATCAAGATCCGGGAAATCGTCTTCTAGGCTGGGAGCTTTTGTCTTCGCTCGGATCATAGTTTGTGTCAAACTAATCTCTTCTTGAACATCCTGCTCTTCCGTGGCCTGCTTTGCGCTTCCACGAAACGGAGAAACGGTCACCATTGTGTCCTTGAGCACGCGCTTGGTTGTGCTCCGACTAGATTGCGGGGAGAGCAAGTCCGATTGATATTCTTCGCTCTTTCTTTTCTTTCCCCTTTTCTTTGGTAGAGGATCTACCCGAGACGCCGAGTCCTCGCACCATAACCTCGTCGGCGGGCCAAATTCTCCGAAAGAAGAAGTCGTGATGTCTCCTGTTAGGTCAATTTCGTCAATGTCGAAGATGCCGTGAGAATCGTCGAATTGGATGTCGTCAAGGTCAGTCAGAGGAGTTCGTGGCGGAAGAGCTTGTCGAGAGATGGATGGCGATTCGGCTTTGGGGCTTGCCCTGCCGGATGTGGGCTTCTGCTCCTCTAAGGATCGCGAGGGGCCTGGGGTGGGCAATCCATGTGAATCGTTCAATTGTGTTAGTAGTTTCGTTCTCGGTGGGAGTTGCGGTGCAAGTTGCAGCCTTGCCATATCCTCATTTGTTGGCCCAGGTTCATCATCACATGGGCATACCCCCGTAGTAGCAACAATAGAAAGATGCTCCAGAGAACCAAAAGAATGTGGGTGCTGTAAAAGCCATCCGAGACAGTGGCTGAGGTTGTTCTTGGTCATAGGGGTGTTACATTTTACAGCATTGCCGTCGCCGGGAAAGTTTGTCGGTAGCGAAATCGTGGACAGAGGTTTGTTTGACTGCGCAGGCTAGCGAGAGAAGCAGCACCAGACTGTGCGGAACGCGTCGACGGTCAATTGTCCCCACGACGCGTTGTTAAAATTTGCTGACTAAGGTCCCGTTAGCACGTGATGCTAGTGGCAAGGCTCAGAGCCTCGTCAACATTGGATACTGTAGAGCAAATGATCACTGGCGCAACGATTTTCCTGTCAAGATTCACCCAGTCATTCAGGTTGGAGGCTCCCAAATCGAAAGCTGTAAAGACTTAGACTCTGTCCGTGCCAAGGGCGCAACGTCTGTAATTGTGTTGTCGAGGTAGGATTTGTAGGACTGAGAGAGGATTGATTGATTGAATCTATCTGAGCGAGGTGCAAGTTGCAAAAAGGCCCAAGGCCAAAGTGCACGTGACTGGGCTAGACTCAATGTGGACTGCCAACAGGCAGTCCGGTTTAGGCGACCCTGTCCTTTCGGGTATGGTCGCTTTTGATGTCGCTATAAGAATCTCCGTCCCTCTCTCCGTCGCCCTAACACGATCCTGCCTGGATCCTCCCCCGGGCCTCATCAGGCTCCCGTCCTCGATTCTGCGTCGATTCTCTACCACCTCCTTCAAAGTCTGTCTCGCCTCTTTCATTGCACCCCGATCACCCTCTTAATCCCCGATGGTCACGACCTCTTATAAATCTGGAGGAAGGGCCCGTTTCGATTCTGACAAGGACGAACTTCGTAGAATAGTTAGGCCATGCTGGGAGTAGGGGAGCGGCATCACCCTCGTCCCGATCGGGGGTGAGCTGGCTGCAATTTTTCCCGAGGCCGTGGCTTGCGCCAAGCCTAGGCAGCTGAGGAAATGCAATGTGGATGTTGCGGCATTTTTTGAAGGACGAACGCGGGCATGAACATAAGTTGTAAGGATAGGAATGCGTCCTATGTTGTGCTGCACTGGGAAACGCTAATAACGTGGCGTAGACGCCATGCCCATGGTTTCGACGAGCACAAGAAAAGCTCAAGACTCTCGCTTCAGAATCCTTTGTGATCTTGAAATTCTCCTCCTTCCACAGCCTCAGTACCGCATGTGTCTTTCAGTACCCAGAAGCCAGAATGGGGTCGCCAACCACTCAGTCCCCCACATCAAGCCCGTGCTTTGACACGCTTGATCTTATTGTTGTGGTGACCTGTCTGATGATACTTATCTATTTTGCCAGCCGATATAGAAGGCACGCAATATCGGCAGCTGTGACAGCGGCCTGTTTGCCATCATTGATACTATTGCCGCGCACTTTGGTCGAGGTTGTGTGCTGGCTAGCATCAAATTACGCTGAACGATCGCTGTGGATTTGTTGCTCTCTGCCGTTCCTGATATATAGATTGGCTGGGCAGAAAGCGCTAATCGTCACCGAGAGCAGAAGATTCTCGACCCACCACCTTCTTGGAGCGTCGCCAGCCGTACTAACGGTTTGGGCTTCCGTTAAATATGGGTTTATCGAATCTTACTCCTTTGTGATACCAGTCTGGATTGGTTCCTTCAGCATGGCCCTTGTGTTACTCAACTTTTCAAGCATCCGACACGTAAAGCCCTCTCTCTTCACTGTTGTTCTAGTTTATGCATCCTTGGTGCTGATATCTATCGACCTCGAAGATGTACGTGTGCTGCAATTCTGCTTCACGATTGTTTCTGCGAACATCATTCTAGGCTTCGTGTCCTGGATCATGTCCTTTTGCTGGGAGGCAGACGTTACGTCCGACTTTGGGTCGATCTCAAGTCTCAGTGCCAATGACGACATAGAAACCTATGTGGCTATCCATGAGTCATCAGCGGTACCCTTGACGAACGGAGAAGGTTATGAGATGTCAAACTCAGATGGGGAAGCCCCTGTTTCGAAACAGGAGGTACAGCCTCCACTGGCTTCTTCCAGCAACAAACCAGGGCCGGAAATGGGTCAGAAGAGTGACAAAGTTATTCTCGCCAGACCCGTTCCGGTTGGACGGCCGTCGCGTCCACGGTTTGAACATGAGCCACTCAAAGAGAAAGGAGAGGAAATCAGGATCCTGACGATTCTACCAAACAAAAGCGATAATCTGTCTGCTCCACTCGAATGCAAAATCAGACATGTTTCAATCGAAAAAGCTAGAGGATACACGGCCTTGTCGTACGAATGGAAAACCAATGTCGCGAAGGCAAGCATACTGATCCACGGAGCAACCTTTGCCATCAGTGACAATCTGAAGCACGCACTGCTTATTATGCGCCATCACGGACACGAGGACATGTGGGTGGATGCGATATGTATCAACCAAAGAGACGAGGGTGAGAAAAGTGCACAAATGAAGAGGATGTATGAAATCTATCAGCAGGCCTTGGAAGTGGCTGTTTGGCTAGGTCCTGCAGCAGACCGATCAAACGAGATTATGGACGGTCTGGCTAGGATTTCCCGGACAGCCAACCATCGATTGACCCTAAAAGAATTACCGGCCCCTGCCGAAACTGAAGCAATCGACAAGTTCTTGTCGAGGTCGTACTGGGAGCGTGTCTGGATTGTTCAAGAAGTCGCAGCGGGTTGTTCTGTCCAGATTTATTGTGGGTCGAAGAAGGTGTCATGGGAGTATGTCGCATACCTCAGCGATGTGTGGAAAGAGTTTCGACAAGGGGAGGGGAAGCTCTTGCTGGCATGCACAGTGTGCGATATCCGTGCCAGTCGAATCCACTATGAACGAAAACCGAAGGATACCCTTCAAATCCTGTCGGAGACGCGGCACTCCAAAGCCACACATGATGAAGACAAGGTGTTGGGCTTGTTGGGTCTCACCTCTGACTGGGCCCGATACAACACTGAGATCGACTGCAGCCAACGTCCTCGCGATATGTGCCTTTCAATGACTGCAGGAGCCATCACACAGAGCCGTTCGCTTGACATCATCCTCCTTGGTCGCAAGCTCGCTTCTCAAAAGCCATTTGTCAGAAATGGTGAACTGCTCGACAACCAGCGACCTCTACCGTCGTGGTGCCCAGATTTTGTTCACTTTATGCCCTCTCGATCGGAGGAAGCGATGATATCATACCTTGGAAACCAAGGAAAACGCGTTTTTGGGAAGCATCGTATTCGATTAAGTACCACTGGGAGCAGTACCCTCCGCAACGTCGATTTCAAGTTGGACTTGTCTGCAGAAGTGCTGCAAGTCCGAGGGCTGGAGATTGGCCTAATTAAGGCCCTTGGATGTGCCGCTAACGAGGATGCAGGACACCTGAATCAGGATGAGAGTGAATTTCAAGTGCGCAATCGGGACGATGAAGCCATATACAATGCGCTTAGCAGAACGCTGTTAATGTACGACGAAGAGTACGATTTTTACGGAGAGTCTCCGACATTTCTGAACTGGTTCACGCAGGGAACATATCAGAGTTGGTTTGGTGAAGAAGATCACCGGGACGTTTACTCCTGGTTCGACAACAACGAAGCGCTCATGATCCACGGCAAGACCATGCAGGAGAGAGTCGAGTGGGGCAAGAAAAAATGGATTGGGCCCCGAACCTTCGTCCGGAAAGTTTTCGAACTACCTCAGGCGGTTTTCCAGCGAAGGGCTCAGCCTATATCGTTCTTTGCCGAAGGCCATATAGTAGCGGCAATCCGTTCCGCTCTGGATGAAGGCCTTCGACTCATGACGATCGACAGGCACCGGCGAATCGGCTGGGCAACAGAGGGAGCGATGGTGAATGATAAAGTCTTTCTTCTTCCTGGATGCACCTTGCCCGTCATATTAAGGCCCCGAGCAAACAAGGGTGGATATAGTCTTGTAGGTCACGCGTACGTCCACGGTGTCATGGATAACGAAGTATGGAGCCAAGTGACCAGCTCACAGATGCTGGAGCTCGTCAAGATTTACTGACGGATCCATGGCGGCGGCTTACTTGTCACTAAAAAATCACAAGATTAGGAACAAGAATAAGTCCGTTGGACAAACGAAAGCACCATGAGCGTTCACCAAACCAACAGCCATGAGATCTTCACAAAGTCCCCCAGCCTACTTACTACCAAGACTACGGTGATCGTAGAGGGAAAAGTCGAGCCCTCGACGACTACGGAGAGGGTGCATATATGGGACCATCGAGGCGAGCCTGAGTTGAAGAGTGAGTCGAAAAGCGAGCAGAGGTGACCTGGAGAGTCACGAGAGTTTACCGTGCGCCGTATTGTCTCTGGTGGCTTGATTCGGGTCGTCGGCCTTCTAAACCGGATTAGATGGTTCTAAAACGGAAGATCGCACACGGCGGCCATGAAAGGTCTTGAGCATTGTTAGCAGCTCTAGAATTAGAAGTCACTCTGGACGACCGAGCAAAGATGGGGAAAGGGACCAAAGTGGGGGGGGGTTTTCTTGGCATCGAGGGAAGAAGTCCTCCAAAAGCGGCGGCACTCACCGCCGAATTCGGCAGGAAATTTCCCTACCACTTGCGTTGAGCTGAAATCTTCCTCACACCTCATGCCGGGGGAGAGAGGAGGGGGAAAAGGAAATCATATCCAGATTTGTCAGATGTTGTTCGATTTCGATCCCCTCAGCGAAGCTCACCGCCTCTTGATGCTGACTTGCCGGTATATCTAGACGCTAGACATTCAAAATGGGCAAGAAGAAGGCGAAATCGGCCGAGCAGAAGGCCCGGACTCAAGCGAAACAGTCCAAAAAGGCCGCTAAAGGGGAGAAGAAGAATAAAGCGAAAGCCGCTGCGTTAAATGCCGACTCTGACGCCGACGACGATGGTGACCTCGATGCTATCTTAGCCGCTTATGCGGAAGAGCAAGCCAAGTACCTGAAAATCACCGAGCAGCAGTGTGGTCCTCCCGGGCCCAGATCTTCTAGCACCTTGGTCGCCTCGCCGTCCAACAGGAACGAGCTTTTTCTGTTTGGCGGAGAGTATCATGATGGTAGCACTGCAGCCTTTTACAACGATCTTTTTGTCTATCTCATTGACAAAGGGGAGTGGCACCAGGTGGTTTCAGGAAACAGTCCGTTACCCCGTAGCGGTCATGCTGCCTGCCGAGGAGGTAATACCGGTGGAATTTACATTTCAGGAGGCGAGTTTTCGTCCCCCAAGCAGAATCAATTTTATCACTATCATGATTTCTGGCATCTCGATACCGTGACTCGGGAATGGACCAAACTCGAGCCTAGAGGGAAAAGCAAAAGTCCTCCGGCTCGCAGTGGTCATCGAATGGTATATTTCAAAAACTATATTGTCCTCTTTGGAGGGTTCCAGGACACATCTCAACAGACAAAGTATTTGAATGACACATGGATCTACGACTGCAAGGAGAACATCTGGCACGAAATGAAAGTTCCACCTGCATCTCAGAAACCTGATCCGCGATCCTCATTCAGCCTCCTCCCTCACGAGTCAGGCGCAGTTCTTTATGGAGGCTACTCACGTGTGAAAACCACATCCACGAGCGGCAAGCAAGGAAAAGGAAGCGGCCCTGCCACCCGCAACATTCTCAAGCCCTTGGTCCATCAAGATACCTGGTTCCTGCGAATCACTCCCCCGGCTGTGGACTCTCCGAGTGGCACACCCCCCACCCTGCGCTGGGAACGGCGTAAGAGGCCTGCCAACGCGCCAAACCCGCCTCGTGCAGGAGCCACAATGGCCTTCCACAAAGGTCGCGGCGTGGCTTTTGGCGGCGTTCACGATGTTGAAGAGAGCGAAGAGGGGATCGAGAGCGAATTCTTCAACGGGATGTTTATCTGGAATATTGACAGGAATCGATTTTTCCCAGTTACGCTACGAAGACCCAAGACGGGAAAGAAGCAGATTCAAGCATCTCGAGGCCGGGACAGAGGAAAGGCAGATGAAGAGGAGCTTCTGCGCAACCTTGCGGCTCTGGAAACCAAAGGACCCATTTCTGCAGCGGAAGACATCGAGCCCAGTGTGGAAAATCGGGTCGAAGAACCTGAGCCGACTAAGAAAGATATCCCCGTGCGCTTAGAAATGCCTCATCCTCGCTTCAACGCCCAACTGACAGTCCAAGAGGATGTGCTGTTCGTTTTTGGCGGGACCTTGGAGAAAAGGGACGTCGAAATCACCTTTTCAGATCTCTACGCCGTTGACCTGGGGAAGCTAGATGGGGTCAAGGAACTCCATTATGTTCAGCCCATCAACTGGAACGTTACGAGTCAAGAGAGTGACGAGGAGATGAGCGATGACGAGGACGAAGATGAGGAGGACTCGGAGATGGACACGGACGACGGAGACAATGATACCATGTCGATTGGTGCACACTCGACGGCGCCAACAGAATTCACGGCACCTTTAGGGGACCTGGAGACAGCGATGGAAGCAGAGCCCGAAACCAGCGCACAGCTGGACTTCCGCCCCTTTCCACGCCCGTTTGAGAGTCTACGGGATTTCTATGCGCGAACATCAGAAGAATGGCAGAAACTCATGCTGGAGTCGCCAAGTGCAAAAGCTCGGGCGTCGGCGGAACAGTCGGTCAAGGAACTCCGCAAAGTCGCCTTCGAGCAGGCGGAAGAAAGATGGTGGGACTGCAGAGAAGAAATCCGCAGTCTCGAAGACGAGCAGGAGGCCGCTGGCATCGGAGAGGTGATCAGCATGGCAGATCGAGGCACAGAGAGTGGAGGGACCCGGAGACGCTGAATATCCATCATAGATCTGATGCGCTTGGTTCGGGCATCCATGAAGGATTGGCGCAAAAATTCTATCAATCCAACGTATCATCCCTCAAAGCGAAGAGACGCTTGAGCAGTTCTTCACACCTGCTACGAATCGCGTCGTGATAGAGGCTATTAGTGATAAAAGACTTGCAACCTCGGACCATCGCTGCAGTCTCCCTGGAGAACTCAAAGTCCACGTACATATCGTCCACGAAAATCGCCGCATAGACGGGCACTTCGTTCCTTTGCAACTGCTCAAGATCATACAGTGGCGGCCACTCGGTGTTCTTCTCAAGCAGTTCCGCCGCAGCTCCCAGAGATTTCAGCTCTCCGTAGTTTTCAAACGCGCTGCGAAATACCATCTCGCCTGTGAAGAGTGTTCCGTCGGGATGAAGACCGGAGCGAAAATCAGGGAACTCCTTGGAGATTCGATCAAAGACCCAATTCGGCGCATTCTTCTGAGCATAGACAGATCCGTGCAGGAGGGCGTATAAGGGCTGGTTGTTGAACCATGACATATTCTCGATTTCTGACAATGTAGGTCGTGTGAGATATCCGAAAAGCTCGATGTCGTTGACAGCTCGGAGCACGATGTGGTGGACTTGATCGAGGCCTCCGTGGAAGCCGAAGAAGAGGCCCATCTCGAGAAATCGGTTCACGGTCAACGCGTCTCCTGACGGCAGGAGGATGTTATTGTTGCTGTGGGAGATAAACTCCAAGACGTTGTATACGTTGGCTTTGTCCTCGGGATACTTTGCGTAGTACTTCCCATTCCTCTCTTTGACTTTCTTGAACAGTCTCCGAATCGGCTCGTCAGGCACCGATTGGGAGACAGGTCCTGCGCCGGCTGATATGAAGACTTCGCGGAGTCCTTCAGAGTGGAAGCTGAGATAGGTGAGACACAGATAGCCGCCGTAGCTGGTGCCCAAGATCGTCCATTTCTTTTTGTGCTCGGGGTACGACGTCGTCAGGCATTTGCGGATAGCCTCGAGATCTCTGACCGCATTGTCGGCTCTGAAATATTTGAGATACGCCGCTTGATCTTCTGGCGTTCCTTTCGCGGTGATGGTAGCTGCTGTAGCGGGCGTGGACAGGCCCATACCGCGATGATCCAAGCAGAGAAGCTATGAGTCCACGGTTGTATCAGCAATGTCGACACGCCTGGGTCGTGTGTAAAACTTTTCATAGATGATCAGCTTACCTGGTAACCTCTCTCCAATACTTCGGTCGTCAGCCTCATCATATTCTGCGGCGGTGGGGAGCCGAAGCCTGGTCCCCCGGTGATGAAAACGAACCATGGTGGCTCATCTTCACTGCCACTCGATCTCGCGGCAGCAGGTCTATCCAACTTCCTTGCGCTTCTGCAGAATATCCGTATGCGTTCCCGTCCTGGATCGAGATGATCAAGCGGTACGTCAAAGAACAATTCGGTCACTATGAGTTTTCCGGGAATTTGGTGAGACCGGGACGAGGCAAGTCGAGCGGGTTCAATCTCTCTGGTGGGGAGTTTATATGTCATTGTCTTCGTCCTCCAGACTCGTGTATGACTTATCGTTGCATCGACCTGTTGACGTATCCGACCAATATGAGACACAATGGTTCCCTCTGCGAGAGGGATTTCCTCGGTTAGAGTTCTCAGGGGAGTACGGCGCCCACTGTCTCAGATAAGGTCAGATGACGAATGTGATGATAAGACCAATCTGATGAGGATTCATATCTATTCTACTTTCTGGTTCTTGCCTCCGAAGCTCTCTTTCAACGCTACGACTGTCCCGGACATCTTCTTGACTAGCATGCGGATCTTGTTGTCGCCCACTTCATCCACCGAAACGAACCGTCTGACCAGCAGATTGTATATGCTGCCAAACGCCAGAGCCATCACTGTACTCGTCAGAATAATGACATTGTACGGCATGCTGAAATCCGGTGTAGGAAGCGGCAGCAATAAGCTCGTAGTCCTAATATAGACGTCTTTGGAAGATCCGTCCGCATTGACCTCGTTCAAAACTCGGATCACTGCTGGCGCAACGTTGAAGCCTCGATTCGCATCTGGAGGATATTCTGTATACCTGAGGATTGCTTTTTCGAAGTCATAGGTTAACATGACCGTGCTGGCGGGAGGCACCGATATGACGACTTCCAGTTGGGTGCCACGTCTCCGGTCAATGGCAGGTCGATAATACAGGTCGGTGATGACTTGCCACTCGAAAGGAAACTCAGACTGCGTAATTTGTGCTCTCAAGGTGTGCACAAAGGGCCTCATGAACCAGGGTAAGCTCTCGAAGTAAACCAACTCGACCGGCTCTGTTGGCGACGGGTTTGTAAAGATGGTTCGCATTCCTCCTCGCGCCGCACCATGGCCTGTGATAGACCTCTCCGCTCTAAGCAGCTCACGACCCAAGTCAAACTGGGTATTGAGCGTCTGCTGCGGAAGCTCAAGATCAAATTCTTCAAAAGGCATCAATTGATAGCATCTCGACTCGGGTTGGCCTGGGTCCGATTTGACCTCGAACCCGCTCACGCCGATCAAAACCATGCGCTCATGCGGCACATTGAGACAGACTGATTTTGCGTCCGGTCCTTCATCCTCGGTCAGGGGACAAGCGCCAGCCATGGTCCTTCCGAAGACGTCTTTGAGTGACCATGGCATCTCATCAGTCATATCTCGAGGATAGCAGGTCTCATGAGAATGATAAGGCTTGGTCTCGTCGCAGACAAGTTGTTCGGCGGGGATTGGTCGGGGAATGGGATTGTCGCGGGGTCGTTTGGAACGCTCGATATCAAGCACGACGTCAATAGTCTGGCTGATCTCCATCTGGCATTCGCCGAAGCCTGGAGTACATTTTGGCCTCACATCAATGGACATGCTCTGCCACGACGCGTCGAATACCTTGTGCCCATCCAGTAAGCTCGAAATTCCAGCCTTTCCCTTGCATGGTAAGAGTTTGAGAAACGGCGTCAAATTTTCCGTGCAAACCACTTCTCCAGGAAGTACGCCGTGGAGCAGATGGAGATTTTGACTCTGATCATTGTCTGTTCCTGATGACCGAAACGACAGGACCGGTTGTGTGGTCCTCGTCGAATCGATGAAATTCAGCGAGGCGCAGAATAAGCCAGAAAGTGATTGCGTCAGAGTCGCCCATTTTCCAAAAGCCTCTTCGTCTGATTCTGCATCTATCCAAGCCCACAATTCCACTCCCGTGCCCCCTTCCTTTGTACCGTCCCACGGTCGGTCTCCCCAGGTATCTGCATCCCATCGTCCCGTGGTAAACCTCAGATGGAGCTCTTTGGTGTCTGCATGCCGTAAAGCCTGGCCTAAAGAGCGCGGAAAGAACCTGAAATTTTGGGACTCGTAGTCTGTTATCGTCTCATTGCTCCGGAACTCGAACGAGGCGAGGAGTGAGCCGAGGGGCAGGGGGGTCAGGTTCAGTCGTTCGAAGTAGTCAGAGGCTGCGCCATTCAGGGCGAGAAGGACCACAGATAAAAGGAAGAAATAAAACCGGAGCATGCCAGCATCATCGACAAAAGTGCTTTACCGTCATTTGACAAGAAAGAATGGAATAGGATGTTGCCTTTCACATTCTCTGTTGGGGCCCTGTTATCTGAAATGAAAGTAGCACGTTTGCCGAGAGTTCAGCCTCGCGACTCGCCCACCACTTTCTCGGTGTCATTCAATTTTTTTTGGCTCACGCCGGTCTTACAAGGTTGAAACACATCCAATCCGAATATTTCTTGCATAGCTGAAACCGGTGTCTCCGCCAACGGGAAACGCTTGCACCAGCCATATCATATAAGCCGGCGATTTGACCCAGAGACAAGCCCAACTCAGCATGGCCGCCGAACAGCGCAAGCTGCTTGAGCAGCTGATGGGCGACCAATTCATGGGCGCCGGCACATCTTCCAAAAGTTCCAATCTCACTCTCACCTCCCCCAACGTATGTCGATCGTACCTAGTCGGCACATGCCCACACGACCTCTTCACAAACACCAAGCAAGACCTGGGTGCTTGCCCGAAAGCGCACCCGGAAAATCTCAAGATGGAATACGACGGCCTTTCAGCGGCGGAGAAGTCAAAATACGGCTTTGAGTACGACTACATGCGGGACATGCAGAAATACATCGACGAATGCAACCGGAGAATCGACCAGGCGCAGAGACGGCTAGAGAAGACCCCCGACGAAATCAGACAGACGAACAACCTGCTCAAGACGATATCAGATCTGACGAAGACGATAAACACGGGCCTACTGGAGGTCAATTGCCTGGCCGAGATGGGATCCGTGTCACTGGCGTGCTCGGAGTTCTACAAAGTGCGCACGGCAAAAATCGCGAAAGAGCAGGCGGAGCGAGACCTCAAGTCACTTTCAGATACAAGTGGACCGTCGGGCCATCAGAAACTGCAGGTCTGCGATGTCTGTGGCGCGTACCTGTCTAGGCTGGACAACGATAGGCGCTTAGCAGATCACTTTTACGGGAAGATGCACTTGGGCTACGCGCAGATGCGGAGGACATATGAACAGCTGCAGAAGGAGCTGAAGGGCCGTCCGCCACCGGTGAGGCAGGAGGAAAGCAGCCCTGCCGGTCCACGAGGGCACGATGATGGAGGATATGGCGATGGAGGTGTTGGAAGCGGCTGGGGAAGTCGAGGCGGATACGGCGGGCGTGGTGGCTATCGAGGAGGTGGAGGGTATCGCGGGCGAGGTCGAGGGAGGTGGTGAGAATTTATCGTTTCGGCCACTTGGTTTTATTCAATACCTCGTTCTCTTCTTTTTGGTTTCCACCCTTTCGTGTATGTGTGAGTACGCAAAAAGATACCCAACTGCATGGTTACAGGACATGCTCAATAAAAGTCCAAATCCCAATCGCTTGAACGCTTTGACACACACACACACACGCACAAAATGCCAATGTTATAGTCTTCTTCGTCTTTTACCAGAAACCCTTGGGCTTGCTGGCATTGTCTCCTACCTCGCTGGATTCGACTTGCTCAGCCCAAGTACCTTCTCCGTCGCCTTTAGCTGAATCCCACCGAACAGGTCTGGGTTTTGAGGCATGGGCGTCGGATGTTGAGGGCTTCTTCTGTGAGGTGACCATTGTAGAACCCGGTAGAGCAGGGAAATCTTCTTCAGCAGACCAATTGGGCTGTGGCTGAGCGGTAGAATCACCGTCATGATCTGAAACTGCTCCTCTGCTGATACCACCGCGCCCTCGACCTCTCCCGCCTCTTTCCCTGCCTCTCCCTCTTCCCCGTCCTCCTCTATCTCCATGCCACTCATACATCTTTAAATCGTCCTCTTCGGCCTGGAACTGTTGCTGTGGGGTCATGCCACTCTGAAATCTTCTGCCGGCACCACGCCCGTTTTGGGTAATCTTGAAATCCTCCTCGTTCTTCCCGGCATCCCATTCTCGCCCGCCCATGACCGCCATCTTGCGCCGTCGATTCTTCTCCCGCTCGCTATCCATCACCTTCCTCTCGACACGGTCTTTCTCCCGTTTCTCTTTGGCAATGCGCTCGCGCTCCTCAAAGCTCGCGGCGTCGGCCTGGGCACGGGCATGTGCTGCTGCTAGATTTTGCGACCGCTCTTTGGCCGCTGCAAGTTTGGCACTGAGTTCTTCCTCCGTGAGCTTGGGCTTGCGTACGCCGCCGGTGGCCGTCCGGTCGCCGCGCACGGCTGGCGGTCGAGGATTAGTTGCTGTGTTGGCAGGCCCCGATGGCGGATCTTGTGCAGTGGAGTTTGATTCTGATCCTGGGGCTTGCGCTGCTGTCTCGGTGGGCTTTTCTTCTCCAGGGACGTCTGCTTGTTTAGGCAGTGATCTTACAGAGTTGTCGCCTGCCGTCGGCTCTGTTGAAGTTGATTGTGCCGGTTTTGTTGCCCACTTAGAGTCCGCCAATCCGCCTTTCTTACTTGTGCCACCTTTTGCAGAGCCATGGCCGCCTCTACCACTCGGTTTATGATTAAATCCTGGGAGAGTAGGATCGCTTGACGTCGGCACGGTCTTCGCTGTCATTGCCGGGGGAACCGCCGTTTCCTCAGAAGGAGGTCGTGATGGTGTTTCAAGGGAGGCTTGATCCAGTTGGGCTGGGAGGTTCTCTGGAGAAGGAGGGCCGTCGAAGGGAACAATTTCGTCGTCAAAGAGATCATCGTCGCCGCGAGACTGTGAAAAGTCCTCCATTTTCCAAGATAGGAGCTACCAATGTGAAGAAATACGATCCCGCCCTATTGCGACCTTTCCCCAGCTTGAGATGCTTCAAGAACTGGTAATACATTTTGCTAGTAGTAGTTCTTGCAGAGGATTGGTCATGCCATTGTTCGCACTACAGAACGCCAACTTCGACCTTGGCGGGCAGTGGAGCTCATGTTTTGCCCGCGCTGCTTTACACTTCAACGCAGGTTGCAGGGAAATTTCCCGCCGAATTCAGCGGTCAGTGCCGCCGCTTTTGGAGGGTTTCTTTCCTCGATGCCAAGATCGCTCCCCTGGTCCCCCTCTAGATCAGCTCCCCCCATATCGACTTTCCTTCCCATGCACCACGCAACCATGCAACCATCACTGGGACCAGAAACAGTCCCCATTCAGACACAGTAAGGGATCCGTCCCGACTCCTCGAAAACGATGGGTGCCTTTGACTGCACTACCCTGACCATGGCAACTCGAGGACCTGGAGGGACAGTCACTCTGGGATCTCCTCACACTGCCACAGAGAGAAGAGAGGGCATTGTCCGACCTTCACAATATCGACTCGGACTGCGTCCCACCTCCCACCTCTTTTCATGCATACCAGCGACACTACCCAACTTTTGACGTCTCAATAGAACGCTGGGTGTCTCATAATTTTGCTTCCCATGAGGCATTCCTTCCCCGACCTTCCTGTCTGTGTTAATGACGGCTTCGCGTCCTTAATCACTATGGGTTGAGGGAAAGAGTTGGCGAAAGGAGCATCTTCCCGGAGGCGGTATTAAATGCTGCACTAGAGATAGTGCGAGGAGGAAGAAGAGAAGGGCTCTCGCGCTCTTCGATTCAAACATCCCTTCCAAAAAACCTCCAATTAGCCGTCCCAAGCCTACGAAGGCTCCTTCGACCCCTCCTCTATATACACGACCCGAAATCCGCCCGGAATCATCTATACGCTCTCTCCCTCCACTCGAATCACGTTCGCTAGCTCTAGAAGCTCCTCTGCTTCCGCCCGCTCCACCACCCCCTCCTGTCCCGCCCGCGGGCTTTCTGCCGACGGATCAATAGAGGCTGATACAAGACTTTTATCATGTTTTGGATGAGGTCCAAATGGAGTCCTGTCTTCGCTGTAGAGAACGGCGGTTTACGATGAATTTAAGGAATGACATCTGCAACGCCTGTTTCTTGAGGGATAAGGGTTCCCAGCCTCCCAGTCTCCTTTTCTTATGTCGGCGGATAACAAGATGGATCCAGGAGAGATTCCGGCCCATTTACCGGCCCTTACACAAGTCGAAGAGATGATTATTGCCCGTTCTCACGTGCAGATGTTGGTACATCGATATCAGGCCAACCAGTATCATTACTCTGGACGTTGTGTGAGTCTTATGCAAAACAACATTCAAACAGTTAATATGTTACCTAATTTACCCTCTGAGCTAGATGTCGTGGTGTTGCGGCCGTCGAACCAAGTGATGGAGAATGATGGAAGGTATCGTTCCCAGTTTCGAGCCGATTTTCGGGTCCGGAAAGGGTGGATTATCACTTGGCTACGTCATTTAAAGGCTAACCACCCCGATTATCGATACATCACCATCTCTCTTGACCGGCTCGAAAGGTTGCCTGTCGATGATGATATTTCCTCATCGTTCCCCTCGATCATCGACGAGTCAATCATCGGATCATATATCGACGCATTTCGGACCTGTCGACGTTTACATACACACCCGCCAGACTTCTACGACGACCCGGAAGGAGAAGGCTCGGATTCGGACGATGAGGATCCCCCCGGAGGAGGCCGGAAATGAACATCCCCTTGCTCACTCCGAGGTTTTGGGGCGCCGGCGGCCGGGAGCAGATTTTCCCACCCATGGGGACTTGCTTAACGGTTTAGGGAGCCGGGAAATCGACCGTGCGTATGACTGGTCGACGCAAATCGGGCGGTATGGTGATCTACGTCCAGATGTCTGGGAGCAAATCAAGGCCGAAAATCCGATTGAGTTGGTGGTGGATGCGGATTCCTCGCAGACTTCTCAGTAATCAATATGTATTGATTGTTAAGCGCATATTTATTGATAAGCTTATCGATATCGATATCGATATGGACCTTATCAATAAATATCTTAATAATTATTAGGGCTTAACAATAAATCGATAGCAATACAGCTTCTATATTGATTGATTGATTATTGAGAAGTCTGCGGGCCATCTTTCCAGGCGCGTCCGATACGCCCTTCGGGTTTTTGTTTGAGGGGCCTTTTGATTTGGATCACTTCAAAAGGGCAAATACTGTAATGTCCCAAGACCGGGACTTGGACTATATGTGGAGAACGAATCAGTTGTTATAATGGATAGTGCTTCGAACTAGCAGATGCCGATCTCACCGTCGATATCTAAGCCCCATGTATCGATGTTTTGCTAGATATATCCCCGATATCGTTGTCGGCTTTCCTAATTGGGCATACCGTCGTCTACTTCATGAGCCATGAATCGTACGGCACAGGACACCGTGATCAACATCGTCTACACACGGTCCATGGACTGGATCCGATCAGGGCGGCATTCTACCCATTCGTAAGTGGGCCGTGGATTGGATCCGATAACTTAGAGCACGTGATTACGTAATATTCGGATTATAGATTTTCCGGAGAAGAGAGGCTTGGCTAATCACGTGACACGAGAGCCCGGGGGTTATCCCGTGGACTGGATTCGATAGAGCCATATAACGGTCTGAAACGTGAAGAAGCTCAAATCGTGGCGCAGCTACGCACCGGGAAAAGTCGTCTCAACAGTGCCCTTCACAGCATTGGCGCGACAGACACGAAGCTATGTGAATGGTGCCAACGGCCGGAAACAGTGCGACACTTTCTCGTGGAGTGCTCACGATGGACAGTGGAGCGTAGACATCACCTTCAAACGGCCACCACAAGATGGTGCGATGTGTCCTATCTCCTTGGAGGTTGGTTCAACGAAAGGCTAGACGGCCCAAGGGACAAATGGAATGCGAACATGAAAGTTATTCGTGCAGTGATTGAATTTGCGAAAGCCACCGGACGTCTGCAAACGAACTCATGAGAGAGATGGCTGCCCTAAAGGAAAGAACGAGAGTCAACACCAGTAGTTGCTGCACCGTTGAATGACCAGTAACACTCAGGAAAAGGCTCTTGATGACCTGGTTGATGGCTTGAAAGGGGCAACTGTCTGGTAAAGGTGAGATCTCTAGCAGCTGGGCATGGAATGAACCGGTGGAAAACGGAGGTAGCGCGTAGTGATTAGCTAGTCCCCTATGGGTTTAGCCCGCACAGGGTGTATGAAATCATCATCATCATCATCGATAGAGCCAGCCAATCAGAGCAAAAAAAATTAGTAGTCGTCGGATTATAGATTTTCCGGATCGAGGGTTGGCCAATCACGTGTGCGCCGCCAAGAATTGCCAAGACCAAGGTGGCCAGCTTAATCACGTGATGTCTCGAGCGCAGCGAGCCTGGGGTTTGGGGGCTTGGACAAAGCTACGCTTTCAGCCCCCGCGGAATATCCTGTCCGCGGCCCCTAGTTTTTTCCTAAAAGAAAAAAGGTCACGTGAGAATGGCCTTGACTGCGCATATTGGCCGACCCCAATTTCTGCTGCAAGCCTGTGAAACCATCAACCTAGCCAAATATCGACCACCTTAAATGATCGATGTGATATGCCCCCGGCGACGCCATATACGGATCTGGCCCTTGACATATCATCTCCCCCATCGACTTTCTCCGCCTCTTGTGATTGGACGCCGATCGTCGATCGAGCAGGTCTTTCTCCTATCCCTGACTTTGTGTCGTGTGGACCTTTGGTACCGCGAGATTACTTCTCCTCTCCTGATTCATCCTTTTCTTTGGATCATTACTGTTTCTCGGTAGGCCGTTATGGATTTCGAAGCCCATGTGTACTGTGGAGATCATCACCGCTCTCTGCAAGGACGTGGACTTGATACAACAACGAGGGCTACAGAAGTCTCTTCCCACATTCGCTCATTATACGATGCTGGGGTGCCCCTTTATAGTAAAGAAATCATTCGGGACGTTGGCGAACAGCTTAGGAGTGGGAGCCAAATAATCTCGGTGAGAGGACTCAACGGAATCGCTGTTGATGTCAATATAGAAACTGGACAAGTTTTTGATGCAGGTGATCCGGATTGGGACTTCGTTGTGTACGTCAATTAATACTCTCATGACGATGAAAGTGCCCTTTTTATAACAGATTGCTAACGGCATGATAGGGGAGCTCCTTTTATTCAGTATCTTTCTATTCAATGGCTTACATCTAATGCTCTTGGATATATCCCTCGCCTTGCCTACTGCAACCTCCGAATCTTTCATTATTTGAAAAAGCGTTACAGATCAACGAAAGAAATCGTCAGCACAATCCCTCATCAGTCACGAAAGCAAGTTGAAGAGTACTTTGTGACGAACAAACGAGCCTGGGAAACTAGCGAGCAGCGGAGACAGCTGCAGTCGATTATTTCTATGAAGACTTTATGTCATGTCAACAAGATTATAGCCTTCGCATGTGGGCCGATGGCTTTCAGTGACCAAGCGCCATGGGCTATAAGATCGGCCTACCAGCACGCATTGGTTATAACTCTCCGAGATATCTTAAGTGAGCTCCAAGGGCACCCTATAGGATGCTACGCGCAGGACCCAGGCTATACCGATATCGACCGAGATGTCCTCGAAAATTCTGCGATCACCATCCTCGATGATCCACAAGGGTTTTTAGAGGTCGATGATTCTACAGTGGTACTTTCGTTTGGCGCCGATATACCGGTGAGGCAGATCATAGCGGATATTGCTCGACCAGCTATGATGATCTGGGACCGAAGCGAGTTCTTTGAGGACGAACTCACTAAATCATTTGGGTAAGATCCTTTTAAGTTAGTCGATTACGTATACTTATAAATTCCAGGACGGACCCTGATTCCTCTCGTGTGACCAAAATGATTCGAACGTTCTACGAAGAGATTGGGTTTCCTGGTGATCTTGAAGCGTTCAGACATGTTAGCATCTACGTCAGACACGGGCCATGAAGCTGTGGGTGCACTTAAACTAAAAGGCTCTGGATCTACTTTCTCTAAGCTCTTTACACTAGCTTCATATGCATTCATTATGTCCTACTACGCCTTTAGATCAAAGGTGTCAATTGAAACTAACCTACAGTCCTCTGTGCCTAGATTCACTTGCATCAATCACTTCACAGGACAGGGTTCTCAACGAGCTGAGACGGTTTTGGCAAGACTGAGCGCTCGCTTGGTCTTGGTGGCGCTCGTCTCGTCTCGTCTTGGTTGAGACGAGACCAAGACGAGTGTTAGGGTGGAGGCGTACTAGAGAATGAGGATGAAGTTTCGACGATATTTCTATTCGATGCACTATGAAGTACAAGACGAGAGACAAAGAACATGAAAGCAGTGTAGAGCTATCCTAGATACTTATAGCCAGAGGCACAGTCATGCCGCCAGGCTACCACGCAGGCACACGAAGCTAGAGCCAGGCACACGAGGCTATCGGCAGCCACAGTGGGCCCGTCAAGACTGTTGGACGAGTTCGTGCCCTAACAACGAGCGGGCAAGACCTTAGCGAGCCGCGGTCTTGCTCGTTTACATATATTGCTGCAACTTATTGTTCCCATTGAGTTTTATCTATAAGGGCAGAGGACGTATATATAATCCAAATCCTCCTGCCGGGAGGCTCTATCTGATACTATCTAATTATCAAGCACCAGAATGCTTCCATGGTTGATTTGTAAGTCAAGGTATCATATCACAGTGGGTGTCACAACAGTTGTTACACTCTGCTGCTGCCTATCGTTGCCTGTTACCTAGAATCTGTCGAACGGAGCGAGGTGCGGATAGAAGGGGTGAAAACTCGTGTGTAGATTGCAACTATGGATTGGGGGGGGAAGCCCCCTATATAGGCCAGAATAGGGGTTCTTGGCACTAGGCACCAGCCGTCTGACGCTAATGGTAGGGGTGTGATAATGAACGAAGTTGACTACATAGAGTATCGAGGGGTGAGGCCACGACTATATAGACATAGGTCATTACCCAAAGGGGTAATAAATTGTGACATGTTCACCTGTTGACCTGCCGCTAGCTCATAGATCAATATCTCAACAGGTCAAGTATTGCCTCTTCCGGAAGTCACGTGCCTCAGGCACACCTTCCTCTCGTGGGCCTCGTATCCTCCTACGAGGCCTTTGCTTGTGACATGGATCCGATGGTCGAAGGGGGATTTCATCGGATCCAATGCGTGAATTATGTCAAATATGATCAATCGAGCTTGTCAGGGTGGTCCATAGACTGGATCTGATGGGCGACGGGGGGATTTCATCGGATCTAATGCGTCAGATCAATCGAGCTTGTTTGGGTGGTCCATAGACTGGATCCGATGGAGATTTCATCAATGTCACGGGACCACGTGCCAAGATTTACGTGTTCAGGAGTTCTTCAGCACTTCCTGCGTAGCATCTCATCTTGACTCTGGATGGACAAAGAGTCTGGATCTTTTTCAGCCGGAGATAAAAGAATGAGTCTGGATCACCTGTAGAATACATCTAGAATAGCGCTAGCACCCTATAGGCTGTACAGCCTGCACGGGAGTATGAGTAATAATAATAAAAATAATAATCTCATCTTGACTCTCTTCGTGCTACGTCTTGTATCTAGAACTCGATGCTAGCTAGAATACATTGCTTGAATCCTTGACCCGGAACCCTCACAATCAATTCATGAATCACATCGAGTGGAAGGGCGGGTCCCTCGCCCCCCGGACACATGGTCCACGGATTGGATCTGATGGCGGTGACCCCGGAAAATTGTTAATCCGAAGGTGACTAGGGGCCGCCGACGGGATATTCCGCGGGGGGTAAAAGCTATGCTTCTGTTGGAGGCTGGCCGCCAAGCCCTCAGCATCACGTGATTGCTAGACTAGGGGCCGTGGACGGGTTCCACGGGGGGTTAAAGCTACACTTCTGTATTTTGGAGGCTGGCCGCCAACCCGCCGGGCTCATCGTGTTGGAGGTTGCCAAGCTTTCTACACTAGGGGCCGCGGACAGGATATTCCGCGGGGGTTGAAAGCGTAGCTTTTGTATTTTGGGGGCAAGCCCCCGGCCTCGCTGCGCTCGAGACATCACGTGATTGAGCCGCCCGCATTGGTCTTGGCGGTACACACATGCGCCCTACAACCATTCACGTGATTGGCCAATCCTCGGGATCCGGAAAATCTATAATCCGAAAACCACCAAATCCTTTGCTCTGGTTGGCTGGCCCCATCGGATCCAATCCGCGGCCCATCCAGGAGGGGGGAATGCGCCGTAGCCTGGAAAATCTATAATCCGACACCTAATCACGTGCTCTAATTGGCTGACCCCATCGGATCCAATCCACGGCCACCCAGGAATGGGTAGAATGCCGCCTTTGTCTGCCCGCCCCCCCGATCGAATCCAGTCTATGGATCACGGTGTCCTGTGCCGTACGATATCGTCCATCGGATCCAGTCCATGGACCATATGTAGACGATGTTGATCACGGTGTCCTGTGCCCGTACGTTATCACCTTGTCGGATCCCAGTCCATGACCGTGAAGTGGACGACGGTATACCCAATTAGGAAAGCCGACAACGATACGGCGATATATCTAGCAAAGACCGATACATTGTGCTTAGATATCGGCGATGACGCATAAGAAGGTTGAAGACGAAAACCGGCCAGCGCGGGTGCCGGCCGAACCTGCCGTCGTGAAAGCACATCAAATGTCGCCCGTAATCGCTTAAACTCACCTTTCGCATCCGGGGTTGTTGAAATCGGCCTGGCCCGTCGGATACAATGTCGAGAAGGCCACGGCAAAGATCCGATCTTTGCCCAACGCTTCGTCGATGGGGGTCTGTCGAATCGAGGGTGCGGGAAGGTTGGAAAGGGGGGGAATTCCGGCTGGCAATCTCGTACGATGAGATCCACCTCGGTCGCGGTGACATTGAGATTAGGGACCATCGGTTGAGAATTCGGGGGGAACGGGTTGTTCGGGCGCGGGGGGTTCCTCATCCATACCCGTATCGTCGATTAGAGCGAGAAACGATGAGGATATGTCGCCGTCGATCGGCAGAGTGTCGATCCGGTCCGGGGAAATAGTGATATACCGGTAATCCGGGTGGTGCGCCTGGAGAAACCGCAGCCAGGTCATGACATGTCCCTTTCGAACCGAAAATCCGACCGGAACTGGAGTCGATACCGGAGATCATTCTCGACCACGCGATCCGAGGGCCGTAACACCAGCACGTCTAGTTCCGCGGGCAGATTAGGCAGTATATCGACCGTCTTCATCGTGTTTTGCATGAAACTGACACAGGGCCCCGAGTAGTGGTACTGGTGGCCCCGGTAGCGGTAGACCATCATTTGCACGTGCGATCGGGCGATGATCATCTCCTCGATTTGAGTCAGCGCGGGCAGATGGGCCGGCCGCTCTCCCGGGTCCATGCCGTTCTCGGCGGACATGAGAAAGGGAGTCTTGTCGCCCTGATCCCGCAAGAAACAGGCATGGCAGATCCCATTCATCAAATCCATCGAGAACCATCGTGCGTGACAGCGGCTGCAGGTCTCCATCTTGACCTGATCCATGGCCGCATGAAAGCTTTGGATGGACGCCCATTGTTCGGCGGGGAGAAAGCCCGAGGCGGGAGGAGGAGGTTTGGGTTGAGATTGGAGGGGCGTCGGAGGTTGAGGAGGGGGAGAGAGAGCGTGTTGAGGGAGAGGAGGCTGTCCTGGACGTGTAGGAGCTTCTGTGGGCGGCGTCGCACGCCTCTTGGACGGAATCATCGGTGGATGAGGTTGGAGAGGTCATCCTGGACGTGTAGGAGCTTCAGTGGGTGGTGTCGCACGCCTCTCGGACGAAATCGTCGGTGGATGAGACTGGAGGAGAGGAAGCGGCTCTGGACGTGTAGGAGCTTCTGTGGGCGGTGTCGCAGGCCTCTTGGACGGCTGTCGAGCCATCCTCTTTCGGCGCTTGTGTCGACAGGCGATACAGGTCGAAAAGACCTTGCTCCCGGAGGGGGCGGAGGCATCTTTAAGAAGACGCTTTTGAAGACAGGCGGAGCAGTATTTAGCATCTTCGTCGGACATGACAGAAGGAGGAAAAGAAGGGTCGCAACGTGTCGAGGAAACACGAAGGCGCGCACGCATCGCGAGATCATGTGATTAGTGTTTTTCGTCGACCAATCAGGAGCGATTTTGTCGACCAATCAGCGACGACCTAAGTCACGTGAACAAAATTGATCCCCCTTACGCAGGGGGTCGGAGTCTAGAAAAAGCTTCGTTCACGCTACGCTTTAATGAGACGAGACGAGCGCTCGGCAAGATGCTCACTACTGGGACCGAGACGAGACGAGAGCTAGGTTTTTGCCCGAGCTCGACTACTTAGTCTCGGCTCGTCTCGGCTCGTTGAGAAGCCTGTCACAGGACCTCACGACGCCTCTTCCGGGACGCTCTTTCGCAAACGGAACCAAAGTGTTGGAGATACTGCTATCCAATGGCGCTGAACAGTTGTCTGTGTTGTGGCATGAGGCCTGACTGATCAGTATGTTGGGCTGAGAGGAGATTGATTGAGTGAATCTATCTGACCGAGATGCAAGCTACAAAAAAGGGGCACCGAAGGGTGCGGTGCACGTGACTAGGCTAAGCCCAATGTGGACTGCCAACACAGTAGACCATGGAAGTATCGTGACATGAGGCTTTTATTTGTAAATACCTCATGGATGCACTCCGATGCTTTGAAATCAAACGGGATGATTCTGCAGGAGAATTTGAAGTATATATATATTACCTTCTCTATCCTCAGATAGAAGAATAACAAGAGTAACAACTCATAACTTCACAAAGTTCCTGTCGAACAGCTGGGCAACATGTTCAGCTGTGGTGGCGAAACATTCAGCTATACAAGGATCTTACCATCGGAGACGCCGAGTGGCGGTGGCAAATTTTCTCTATATATACGTGCGAGGCAGGACCTCAACTTGAAAGAAAAGGAAGCACACAATGTAATAATCAATGTAACAATCAAGAGATATTTCCTCTTCCCCTCTCTTTGTTCGACAGTTCCCAACCGAACCCTATTGACCACTCGGGGCTAATACTAGAACAAGGCATAGCAACTGGTAGAACGACGCTTATGACGACGAAGAGAGCGTTTGCAAGCTGAAAGGAGGCTTTTGACGAGATTATTTGTGGAAAGAATGCTGCGTAAGCAAAAATGAGTTTGGTCTGGCCCTAGTCGATTTGAATACGATCTGAGCGGTCCAGCTCAAGCCCCAACGATCGGAGTCCCAGTCGCGCAGCCATGTTGATGTTGACCGAGGGGTCTAGCTGGGGAGGTATCTTTTGCTCCTGAAGAAGCCCTCTCAAGCACAGACTGGTTTTGAATTCTGCCCAATCCCAAAGACAGCCTGGATGAAACTGTTGACCTTTACCTGGATCTAATACCAGGGTCTCGTGAAAACAGCGCCAATTGCTGCGCCATTTCTCCGGAAGTCCCGTGCCTGGAAAGCAAGTCCAGCTTTTCTGGAGGACTAACCGGGAGTATTCGAACACGATCAGCAGCTGTTCGCTGACTTCGACCCATCTTCGTATTTCAGAGAGCTGCGATTTGAGCTGTGTCAGCATCGGAGTCCAATTACTCTCTGAAGTGGCTGACTGTGGAATAGGGGTTCGTATGAAGGACCAGCAGAATTGACGGAGGTCCCATTGGTAGGTCGATGGAAGTGTTAGCCCGCAAAAGCGCTCGCACATCGTCGCTTCCAGCTTATCGAATAGCACCGTGCCTTCACCTAATAGATCTTCTTTGCTACCCGCGTCCATGTCTCGGAGAAAATGCCAAACGGCGACCTGATCTAAGAACATCCATCCAAGCTGTTGTTCTAAATTGTTCCAGATGTCCCTCAACCTTGATTCCACTTCACTAAGCCCCGTCAGAGACAATAGGCTAAAATCAAGTACCATAGCTTCTACCGTTGGAGATATGCTGGACACGGCGTACTCCTGTTGTATGTCTAAATGAGTCTCGCACAGGATACTTAAATTCGAATGAAAAGCCAACAGCAAATCATTCTCAACCTGAGTAAGTTTGGACACTTTGGTTGTGCCCTGAAAGAGAGACGGATTCTTCGAGGGTAGCAGCCAAATTGTTCCTACCGATGGAGGCCCGAACGCAATGGCGCATACGGAAATAACTGAATATGAATCCGTACCGGGGTGATGTCGTAGAACGATCGGATGATCCCACCCATGTAATAAGAAGACAAAGTCCGAGCCGATTCTATATGTCCCATCAAGGACGCTAAGAACGAGCGTTCCGCGTCGTCCCTTGTTCATTATGACCTTAGTCTGATCGTGCCCTTGAACAATCTCTCCTGTGACAGCACAGAGCCTCCACGCACGAATCTGCAACGATCCGGTATTGGCATCAATTAAGATCTCGGGCTCGGAATCGGTAACGCTGTCGAAAACGACCGGCGTTACCACCCTTACAGCGTCATTGCTCATATCCACCTCATCTTCCTGGCCGAAACCAGGTCCCGGTTCCGGAAACTTCCAGGTGACAGGGTGAGACCAATCAGGTACCCAAGATGGGATACAGAGCTCTCGTTTTGCAGTCGTAGCAAGTGCGAAAATCTCGAAGGCCCGGCAATTCTTGATGAGATACGCAGCAACCCCAATATAGACACTCTCGACACACAGCCGATAGTCGGGAGTGAAATTCTCTTTGCGAAATAGCCCGAGTATTCCGAACACTTTATCACGAGGGTCCGAGCACTGGCAAAGCGAGCTGTAAAGCAGCAGGCGAACCAAGCCTCGGCCTGTAGATCCGTGACACAAACGGCGCTCTAGCAACCAGGACGATACTTGAGTATCAATGAAGTCACATCCAGAATGTTTTTCGGGCCAGGGCACAGCTCTCTGCTCGTACACAATTTCTAGCCTTTTGGCAAGGAGAACTTCTTGGATGGCCCAGACCCTGGAAAAGCAGAGTCGTTGAACTAGAGACTGCAGGGCACTCCGCGATTTTTGATCTCCTGTTGCTCGACGACCAGTTGTTCGTGATGTAGATGCCGTAGACTCTATAAAGTCCAGAGCCATACCAGTGTCTGCTGACGCGTGACCAGGGTAAATCAATGTCCCGGACGCATTCGTGAGAATCTCACGCAACAAGCTAACTTGTCGAGTATTCTCATCGACGTCCTCTTGATTAATACACAGGAAGTCCACCCACATGGTCCGGTCTGCCTGCTTGTATCGGATACTTCGAAATGCCTCCTCGGAGCTAAGAGGAACATATACGATGTCCCAATATGGACCAATAAATATCGGGCAGCGCTTTGTGTTGTCTCCGAAATCATCGGCCTTGATATATGACAAGATGTCGTATGGTGGGAATGAAGAATTTTTCAGACAAGCCACCTCAGCATGGACATGGACGGGTTCTCCAGGTTGACCAGCTGTTACTCGTAGAAGACGAATCTGGTCGTCGGTGTTGATCCTGGGGAATAGGGCTGTCTCATTCCACGGCTTGAAGGCATCCCCATGGTGTCGCGCGCCGCCTATAGGAGAAGAACTCCTAAGCCTTGCATCCGCAGCTGATCCGTGGACGCTGCAGTCATCCGAAGCGGGATCGGTGCGGCTGTAATGGACAACAGACGGCCAAGTGAGATTCATCTGGGACTGACTCCGCACTTTATGAAGTGGAAGTATGGGTAGAGTGGCATTGTGTGTGATACCGTCATGCAATGCGATGGCAAAGCAGTAATTGCAGAAAGGCAGGTTGTCGAGGAGAGCAACATCGGGGCTTCGGCAGCCGGACTCATGCCAGCGAGACATTGATCCCTGCGCAGGTTGTCACAAATAGCACTAATTATAATAAAGCGTCTAGAAAGTCTCAGGTCGACCTTTAAAATGCCCGCCGACGTTTGAGGAGACAGCAGCATCGACCAAAGGTACATATACTTTTCGTCGAGCCAGAGGAATATATGTCAATGCAAGCATGAGGCCGTAAGCGCTTACCCCAGCGCTTCCTGAAACCGGAACTTTGTTCCAGGCTAGCCATCTTTAATTTTTCTACGATGCGTGCCATAGCACAGCACCGCAGGAATACCCAAACGAGAGAGTCGAGAAAAAATATATATGACAGCGAACGACGTAATAGCGGTTATCGTTATGAACGAGTGACGATATACATATGAAATGCAGACACCAACGGACACCCTAAGACCCTGGAAGCGATTGACTAGGTACAATAACAGTAAATGAACCGTGAACTCCATGATTCATGACCGACACCCACCCGCACCTCAACCCATTTATTGTGAATGGGCTCTGCTCCCGGACCGCCTAGTCCTCCACCTTGTGTAGATGTTGAGCAGACATTTAGTGGTGACGACCTTTGCGGCGATTCTCAGGCGACGGGAGCCTGGCGCAATTGGGGCACTTTCCGTTCGCGGCGTTATCCCAGTACTGGGATCTGCAAGTTGGGTGGAATCTGCAAGGTCGGCCAACCATTGTAGTGATCGTGTGATTGCACTCTTGATATCGAGTCCTTTGATAAACGCACATTTTGAATCCTGGGTATATGTCAGCCCCAGTACGGACCTGTGATGGTTTTCCATTGTGCTGGTGTCGTCATAGGTCATGCGAGGATGCGAAGAGTCTGCTTTACCGTGTAGTACTTGATACCTGCGAGCTCAGGCGAAGAGACGAGTAACCGATTAGAGCAATAGTTTCGATGTAGGACGTATGATCGAGGACAGCAGTATGAAGGCTATATGATATTCACAGCGAGTACGAGAAAGTAGTTGCTTGGTGGCTGTTGAATGAAGCACTCTGGAAGGACGAACAACATCAACATCCTTTATATCTCTTTCTGGTCGGTGCGGGCACACGTAACCAAGAGTTTGGCTTCCTTTGTGGGTCGAATCGTCATGGTACAAAGCTTTCAAAACAGGTTGATATGAAACCACGACGACTTGCAGCGCTAGATGGCACGGTAACTGAACAAGCTTGTCCCAGGATCCCTTTTTTTTAAAAAATTGATTTGGAGTTAAGGGCACCGAGCGGTTGTCATGCCTTTTCTTGTCTTCTCCTCAGCGCCTAGCGGCGAACCTCTAACAAGGGGTCTGGGTCGCGGGCTGAACCCGAGGCTGCAATGTGACTATTTCCAGGGTCGCCATGATGGCAAGTTCCTCATAGCGCGAGAGTAGAGAGCGGTAGATCAGAACAAGCTGGGCGTTTCAGGAAAGGGGACTCTTCATGAACCCCCAGTATGGACATTACCGGATTAGAGTTGACTCGAGGTAAGGATGGTCCGTTTGCCTGTCTGGCTCGAACAGGTCAACGCAGCCGCTGCTATTGATACAGTAGTAATTTGCCGCCGACGGTAAATGCCTTCGGCCGGAGCCAGCGCCGGCCCGCCCCTTATGTACTTGACCCGGGTCGAACCCACACGGCCCACACATCAAGGCTGTATCTAGAGCCATTAGTACGCTCTTTAGTTGGGTACGGTTTCTGCGGGAGGCTGTCATGGCATATCGGCACGGCGATACGATGTTGGGTTGCGCTGGCTTGCTGCGTCACAATAATAGCCGCCGATAGATGGTTAGAAGGGGACTCCTGAGGATTCTGGAATGCTGTCCCGGCAGTCCTAAGCTCATTGGCTCATAAGTCGGGGCAACACGAACTGACCTCCCACCAGAAGCAAGGTTTTCAACGAGCTGAGACGAATTTGGCAAGACTGAGCACTCGCTTGTTTACATACACCGCCTATATTGCCGCAACTTATTGTTCCCATTGAGTTTTATCTATAAGGGCAGAGGAGGTATATATAATCCAAATCCTCCTGCCGGGAGGCTCTATCTGACTCTATCTAATTATCAAGCACCAGAATGCTTCTGTCGAACGGAGCGAGGTGCGGATAGAAGAGGTGAAAACTCGTGTGTAGATTGCAACTATGGATGGAGGGGGAAGCCCCCTATATAGGCTAGAATAGGGGCTCTTGGTACTAGGCACCAGCCGTCTGACAGCTTCCATGGCTGATTTGTCAAGGTTTCATATCATATCACAGCGAGTGTCTCAACAGTTGTTACACTCCGCTACTGCCTATCGTTGCCTGTTGCCTAGAATCACTCCTGGGAGGACTAGGTGGATGTAAATATTAATTATTTGTTAGCAGTAGCTAAATCTACTGTAGTTGATTTTATTAGCAGACCATATTGGAACTAATCTAGTTACATACCGCAGCTTGCGCCTCGTTCAGATAGATTCAATCAATCAATCCTCTCTCGGTCCTACAAAGGGTGATCAATCGAGCTTGTTTGGGTGGTCCACAGACTGGATCCGGTGGTCGAAGGGGGGATTTCATCGGATCCAATCCACGGAGTTGGGAGGGCGGCCCCGGGGAGGGGCCACGTGATTCCGGAAAAATGTTGATCCGATTGGCGACCGGGGGGATTTCATCGGATCCAATCCGTGGACGTCGAGGCTCGCTCGGTTACGAGGGATGTCGAGTGTGATTCGTAGAGTTATTTTAGGTGGTCCATAGACTGGATCCGATGGGCCCCAGGGGGCTGTCACGGGACCATGTGCCAAGGATTACGTAATTAGGAGTTCTTCAGCACTTTCTGCGTAGCATTCTATCTTGACTCTCTTCGTGCTACGTCTTGTACCCAGAACTCGATGCTAGCTAGAATACATTGATTGTATCCTTGACCCCGAACCCTTAAAGGGGCGAGGGGCACACGGTCTACAGACTGGATCCGATGGCGAAGGCCCCCGGAAAATGGTTAATCCGGTCCATAAACGAGACGAGACGAGCGCTTGGCAAGACTCTCACTACTAATGAGACTAAGACGAGACGAGCTAGGGTTTTGCCCGAGCTCGACTAGTCTCGCTCAGTTTCGGCTCGTCTCGGCTTGTTGAGAAGCCTGACCAGAAGTCGTGGTGTTGTTTTCAGGGTGGTCGAGAACAGGTAAATAGTCACTAAGAACGGTAGAGGAAGGATGAACGATTGGAGTTCGGGTAAAAGTGTAGTAGATACGGCAAAGAGTGCGAAAGTACCGCCCTAAAGAAAGCTTTAGAACGATTTATTAAGGAGGATAATTTCGGGGAGGACGAGTTGGCTATCTGGTAAACATGCTCTAGGGGAGTAGGCGGCGAAAGTGTAGTTGCACTGCCAACTGCTTTGCAAGAGGACCATTAGGGGGTTCTCCGCGCAAAATTGGAGGGGTGGTGTAAAAGGACTCCGTAGTCCCCAGCATCCCAGATGGACCCCATTGTCTAAAGTTGACGAATGACGGTTGGAAAATTATGGTGGACAAGATAGGCAGTCCCCTAGAGCGGGAGACGATGAAGGGGTGGAACACGATTGTATACGCCCCGATCGAGGATTCTGTGCTAGAGATGGTCGCTGCCAATTTCTCGGCTAAGTATGGAGTCCCAGGTATTGTTTAAAGTGTGTGATACGTCAATCAGCGTCCTGTCCTATTTACGAACCAACTCAATGGTGATCACAATTCAACCATATCACGACAAACCACTCTTAGGCATGCAGCCTCGTCAACAGCAGAGCGATCTCCCTTACAGCTCATGGAGGCCATACCTCTTCCTGAACAGCTCCTCGCATCGCCACCGTAGTTCTTCGCCAACAAGGTTCTCCATCGCGATCAACGATGGTTTCCATGTGACAAGGCACTGGATGGAGCCATCTTCCCCTAGATAGACATCTTCAATGTCCGCCACCTTGCCAATCACTTTACCCTTACCGGAATTAGGGCCAATGAAAGTGAGTCTGTTTCTTCCGGTATGGGTTCAACAGTGTCTGAGACAGCTTGGCCTCGAACTTCTCCTGTGCCTCTCTGGTCTCTCTTGCCTTCCACGTCTCCTTCGTTGCGCAGTGACGCCGTTTGCGGGTAGCGTTATCGTCGGAGAGAACTGCGGGTTGGGTACATGGCCGAATTCGTTTTCGATTCGGTGCTCCTTGGGTGTCAGCGCTAGCATCAGGTCGAGTAGCCTGATGCGTGACCATGGAAGGCGTCGATGGCGGAGGTCCTGTAACGGTACTAGTACTTTCTGTTATACTACATGTCAGAACCAGGATGAGACTTAACAGCGCCGATATAGAACTCACCCGTGCGACAGTCGCTAGCCGATGTGGAAATACACTGGGACTAATATCCTCGGTCTGTGTCTTTTGTCCATCGCTCTCCTGTCTAGATTGGAATGTGGTCCCATTCTCGATCTCTTCCTTTGACAAGTAGTTACAGCCAACATCACCGCTTACGGCCTCTGCAAGTTGCTCCATGTCCGCGGCGCCGTCGACCGCAGCACGGACAGGGCGTGGGATAGAGCGTGCTGTGACGTCACGATCCGGACAGTCACGTAATGTCGTAACCGTGTTCTGCTTCCGCCTAGCCATGCCGAAGGTCTCCTCAAATTCGGCAAAGACATCGTGGATTTGGCCAATAGATGCTGGTGCATCTGAACCTATGCCACTTTCACTACGCTCATTACCGCCATTGCCTCTGGTGAGGGTACAAGTGTGGAAAGCGTTGTCCTTGTGTGATTTGTTGCTTCCTCCTTTCTCGTCGCGTACAGGGTCACGCGTGTTGTACTTCGCTAGACTGTCTGAAGTATCCTTTCCATCCTCTGTGTCTGGCTCGGCAAATCCTCCAGACAAAGTTAGCGAGGGGGAGAGTCCCCTGTGGGTTATCGGGTCCGTGACTTCGAAGGTGGGTTTTTCGTCGTCAGAGGCAGCAGCGTCGGGGATATCAACTGACTGGTCATCGTCCAGCACAGTCGGCTTGTCTGGAGATATATGTCAGTATACAGCGGGGGTCATGCGATCTCCATTACTCACCTTGACTGGCACCGAGCTGAACGCTTGTGGCTGCCGTGGCGGCAGGATTGCCACTATCCTCACTATCACCCCCGTGACAACTCTCCTTGCTAGTCCTATCAATAGGGACGGGCGATGTGGAAGCCTTGGAGCTGAGGTCGTCACTCCTAAACCTGGTGTCGCTCCGCTGAAGGATATCCGCGAGCGACGAAGGTCACTGGAGTGGTCGTAGTCAATGTCGTTGTCATGGTCGCATTCTTTGCAATTTTCAAACTTGTCCCTGTCGGTCGTCCTGCTGCGGGCTCCGGCAATTCGGATGCCGCGTTTATCGGGATCATGACCAGTTGGGTCCAAAATTCCTCGCGCCACCAGACATTCTCGAGCGGCGTCCTGGCCAAAGGCAGTCAAATCGACGAAATCCGCATTACCAGCAGGCACCGCCTGTTGAGGAGATTTTGAGCTTTGTCCGCTCGACACCTAACTGGGGAGGCCGATTGTAGGAGAATTGCTGAAGGTGTGACTCCCGAGAGACGGTGCGTTTTCCCAGGGTTGATACGCGATGAAAATCGCCATGATTGGAGCGCACTGTTCCGAGAAGTGCGAAGCAGAAGAATAGGTTTGACGGTAGAGAATAGCGAGGGACCGGCGCCATTGAAATAGACATTCAGCACTGCCCAACGCCCTCCGCGCTTTCCCTTGCCTCACAGGGCGCAGTTCCAAGTCTTCCACAAATGCCGAGTTTGAACCCTGGCCTGCCAAAGGTTCCTCTGTTGGTGTTTCCAGTCCTCGTGAGACGGTTAGAGGGAAGATCGTCACGACAACGAAGTGGAACGGGTCATGTCACCGAAACATCATGAGACAAGGGGCTGCCGTTATCCTGAGGGTGGGATTGACCCCGGCGATAGTGGTCACGAGAATGAGGGGACAATATGGGGCGTTGGCCCGTTCTCAAGGATGTGCCCTCTGGACCGAGACAGCCCCCTCTTCAGTTGTTCTTCGATGACATTGCAGTCTTCTTAGAGACTGGTGACCAACTTCACAAGTACACGCCCGCCCGCTATTGGGATCGGCCGCAACGGAGAATCAACATCTGGATTCTGTCCGAACGAAATCGTGCCTTGCGAGTCTCACTTTTCTCCTTCATAGTGCCGTTCGCAAGAAGCCCTTGGGGAACCACTGTACATCATTCAGCTCAAACGAGACAGCAGTTAAGAATCCAGTTGCAACATGCTAACATGTCCCTGTCGCCGGATGGCAACTCTTTCGTTCGGAACCGCTGAGGGCCGAAATGGAAGACTCAGCCCCCTCAGCGTTGCAATTTCGAGGCGGAGCGCAGGCAGCTGTGCACCTGCACACTGCCGATCACCTTGTGCGGCATTTTCGTAATTGGATGCACCGGGTGGGCACTCAGCTTTGCTGCGCTGCCTGTGCCAAAAGACCCGCTGCGTGCTGTCACCTTCCATGTCTTGCTTCACCAAGTGGAGATGTAGTATCCCTGCCCCGACGATACAGCATGGAGAGTTGAGTGCCTACCACGGCGTCCCCGGAAGGATGTTCGATTTGCTGTTGTCGATGATCTCGCAGGGTCTTTGCAGGTCTGTAACAAGCGCTAGAGGGGAGCCCATTACTCGGATTCACCTTCGCAAGGTTGCACACGGAGACTTGCCGATGCCGAAACACATATTCTTAGGACCCTTGTCAAGGCGTGGATGCCGGGCGGAGTCAGCTAAGCCTGCACGATGTGTGGCCAGCGAACTCAAATGTGCCATCGAGGGATTAGGCGCATGAGGGGCCGAAACGGGTCCCCCTCGGAAAGTGTAGAAGGAGCTGCGAAAGATCGAGGGTTGAGAGGCTGATCGAGGCGTACTCGAAGGCAGACTTTGAAGGAGCCGGAAAGGAGAATCGAGGGGAGCCCAATGCGGTAGGGGGAGAATTTTGGAGGAGCCGGGGGAAGAATCGACGATGGGGGCCCTGATGCGGCAAGGGGGGGAATTTAGGCGGTGTCGATGTGAAGCAGGACAGGGTGCGTCAGGGCGAATGGAGGTGAGAGAAGGGAAAAAACAAGTTGGAAGAGAGTGAGAGAGGGATGGGGATGGGAGACGAGGTTCTTATAGCGGTCAAAAGCGGCAGCGCGCCCAGCCCACGACCATACCCGAAACGGCCGGACCGCCTAAACCGAAGGCGGATTTCCCGGCAACAACTTTACGAGTACCTTGGCCTGATCACGACTCACTATCCCCACACCTTCACCATCACTTGATATTGTAATGTCGTTGCCGGGAAATCTGCCTCTGGTTTAGGTGGCCTATCCGTTCTTGATATCGCTATAAGAACCACTCTCCCATCCTGGGTCCCCTGGCATTTCTGCCCTGCCTCACATGATCAGCCGGCGCCCTGTATTCTCAGGTCTCCTTCCTGTCCGCCCTTCCGCGGCCCTCTAGACCCTTAGGAAATCTATGGCTCTTGTCCTGAATAAGCTCTTAAGTGAACCCTCGGCAAGGATGGTACTTCCGTTACCCCAAACAAGCCATTAGAAAACCTGGGAAAGTGATGACACTTCCGTTGTCCTGTATGCTGTACAACAGCGCAGCATATAGCCCGACCCACCATTAGCCGTTGCTAGTCCCACAATGTGTCCCCCCGATCCTGCCATAACCCTTGCGATCTCTCTACTTAAGGCCCCCCCAGAAGAAATCCGCCCAGGCCGCAAGATCCGCGTCATTAAACACGACGTCCCCTTCTGGCGGTACAGCGGCTCGGAGGACGATTTCGTCAAATTCGAGAATCAGAGGCGCTCCAGCAACGTCATAGGCTGAGTCAGTGTCTGGCTGAACGGTGACAATTGGCTGACCGATGATATTCGACTGAGCAGTAGGACCTAGTTGTGGAGTGGGATTTTGGGTGATAGTAAGTTCTTGAACTTTTGTCGGAATTGGAGCGTTGGGATTTGGGTGGCTTCTGGTAGCTGGTCTATATGCGGTAGGCGGAGAAGAGCACCACTTTTCGACCATTAGCGTCTTCTGTGCTTGATTAATTGAGATGATGATGACAATCTTGACATCTCCTTCAGCGTTGACAATCCACCATGCTGCGTCATGTCGAAGGCGAGGGAGTGTTTCAGAGAGTCCAGACTCAAAAACAATTGTTGGCCAGTCAGATTCCCTTTCCCGGCCCGGGAGGGGGGCAGAATCCCATATCACCCTCTTTAGAGGAATTAGGGAGTTTGTACGTTGTTCCGCCAACAGGACATATGCACTTTTCTGGGAGGCCCATTCTGGAAAATATGCGATCAAGTTTCAGGGACAGTGTGAGGTGCGCTCCTTGGTGTTCCTTTGAGGGCATCAACTTGATAACCAATAGATTGCTATCCGCGTAATGGCTCATCCGAGTATGCTTCCCTATGTTGGCGCGCTGATGGTCAATCTTTTCAAGGTGGCCTTTTGTGACACCCCTGAAAACAAGGTACTGCTGATTCGTGTGGCCGTCCATCAACGCAGCGGACTGCGAGTGGACACGTTCTTTTAGATCTCGGATCCCTTTGTACGGATAGATACGAGCGTCTCCTAATCCCCCTAAAGGCGACATCTCCGGTGCTGAACTCTCCACTGCCCCATCGCTGGGTCCGCAGATTGCATTCATGTTGAAGTCCGAAGGGCAGAAGACGCAATGTTGAAGGAGCAGAAAAGCTGGTAGAGGAATCAGGCAGGGAAAGTTGTTGATGAATCAGACGTGTACTGAGGCGAGAGGTGGATGCACTGAGGTAGGAGAGATTATGAACGCTTAAGTAGCCCTTCAGTAGAGAGAGGCATAGGTGAAAGCAGATGTATAAGTGTTGAACAGCTGGACAGTAGCAAGTGGCCCTTTACTGGGAAAGGGGGTTATCGCTCCTATGTAGGGTCAGTCAACGTGTATAAATATCAGCAACCTGGCAGGACCAGTTGCTGGAGAACAGAGCATTCAATCCATATTCTCTTGGCATTCATTGTTTGACAATAAGTGTTGACCTATGAGATGGTTGCCTGCTAGGCTGCAGCACAGGCAACAACACTAAGGGATACTGTGTAGACAGATATATATATATATGGGCTCCATCCTGCACTCGTTAGGAGAGCCAGAGCGTTCATTCTGTTGAACAGGGCATTGAAACACTGGTAGGAGGTTTCATAGACGACGACGTTGCTGACAGTTACTCTGCGCGATGACGAGGTATTCGCATGTCTATAAAGAAACCCTCAACAGCTCAACAAGTAAATAGAGAACAGAGCACTCAAGTTGCACAAGAAGTGTCACTCTCCCGAGGCTGTGAGACTTGGCGTGCCAGCCAAGCGCTCACGTGAGAATGAAGGCGCGGGAAGAGCGGATGGTCTTGGCATCTAGGGAAGAAGAACTCCAAAAGCGGCGGCAGGTTTCCCTGCCACCTGCGTTGTGTTGTAGTAATACAAACTCGGATTTACTCCGGCTAATCATTTTCAAGGAGGTTAGGCCATGGTAGACGAATGCGCAATACGGAAAAAGGGGTACGGGGGTACATAGTAGGGCACGTGACCAAGTGACAAGGTCACTGATTTTGCGGAGGAATTTCGAAGGGGTCCAGGGGGCCGTTCAGACTATATAGTAATCGAAGCATGGACGATACGTACATCCTTTTCAAGGGTCTTTACGAGCCTTTGGCGCCACTGAATATCGCCTAGATTTAGACACCTTGTGCGGGTTAAGCCCATAGGGGACTAGCTAATTTGCTCCGTGCTCGTTGTTCCGGCCCTGAATGGGTGGTCTACAGACTGGATCCGATCGGTGGATCACGTCGATATCGAAGATATCGACTTCTATCGAGTAGGGTGGCCCCCGGGCCGCATGGTCCACGGATTGGATCCGATGGCGGTGGTGTTTCATCGGATCTGATCCATGAACCATGTCGAGTGCGATCAATAGAGCTTGTCAGGGTGGTCCATAGACTGGATCCGATGCGTAGGTATCGACATCTATCGAGTAGGGTCCCCCGGGGGGCCATGTGGTCCACGGATTGGATCCAGTGGCGGTGGCCTTCGTCCTCACGTGATTAGTCGACGCGACAGTCTTGGCGTAATCACGCGCCGTGCAACGCCAAGCTACAACCAGGTAAATCCCGAATCAAAATTGAAGTTTATATTTTATTCCGCCAAATTTACCTCCAGAATGACACCAATCGTGGTTGACCTATCAAGGACGTTAACCGAGTGGTAAAACACTCGGCTTTCAGTCGAACCGATAGAATTGAAGGGCCTTTCCTTTTTTTTTTTTTTTAAGAATTTTGAGCTGCTAGTCCCTCGGTTAACTTATTCGACTAACCTAGTTAACTTTAGTTGAATAACTGAGAACACCGGTGTCGAACCCAACGCCCATGACTCCATGGGGGGGGTCTGCGAGAGCCAGAGCGACTCCGATCTGTTGTTGGTCGAGAGAAGGAGAACCTCCCACAGTTATCGCGTCCGTGGCCCAGTCACCAGCTCGCTGTCACCAGGTGCTGCATAGGTCTGGCAAGAACTGTGTTAGCTGTGGCCGGCCTTGACACATTCTTCGATGATTTGCCGGTCTGCTGAGGCCATGAACGGACGGGGACGTACAGTATTGAAACCACCTTGGTCAATCACGGTATAGGTGCTTGAACCAGTCGGGTCAAAGCTTCCATCGTCGCATTTGCCTTTCTTGCAAAGGCTGCTTGAAGCGGCTGGGACCATAGGTCAGAAGAGCCAGTGTCGAGAGTGACGGCAAGATCCTGCGGGGGCGTTCCAATGGTGATATTGACCAAGTATTCGAGCTTGTTGGTGTTCTGAGTCAAGGTGGCATCCACATCGCCATTCGAGTCTTGTCGGCGCATGAGACGGCTATCGAATGGAGAGCTCCTATGGACGTCAATTTTGAGGTATCCTGGTGAAGCGAGGCATGTAGTTACTAGTACTGCAATTGCAGCTCCGGTGAGAAGATACATGACGATATTCGTGGCGTCGCAGACGGTTAGGATCAGTCGCCACCGAGAATGAAAGAGATGTGAGAGGGAGCGAGGAGGACCTGAAGGAGGGTTAAACATGTACTGGAACGAGACAAATACGACTCAATGTCGTTTGTTGTCGCACACAAGCCAAAGGGAGACGGGGAAATGTGTAAATCGGTAATGTGAGAGGATAGGCATAGAGAGTGTGTGTGAGACAGCAGCTGAACTGTTTGTTTCTTTCTTGACCACGTCACCCTGCACAAATTTACAATACATTGTGGGGTGATCTGGCGTCGGACTGGTCGGAGGATGCAGTAGATTGGAAGATCCGTCGACAACTTGAGGTCCTGAAACTCTCTGCCTTGCTTAGCGTCAATTATCCACTCCAGGTTTGGAGTACGGAGCAGCTTGGAAAAGGAATTCTTTCGACAGGTCCGGGTTGCTTCGGGTTCTGTCTGCTTGACCCAAGTCACCAGGCGAAATGTATTCCATCGTCGTGGTGGCTATTCTCTGTCCGGCTGGCAACCCAGATTGAAAGCGAATGAATCAACTCTGATCTTTCGGAGCTGAGGAATGGCCAAACTGCCGTTGGGACCAGAACCTGGAGCCTGATCTTTCTCAGTGGAGTCGAGGAGGGCCAAGCTGCCAAAATAAGAACCTTGATGAGACTTGGCTACTTGCGTCTCATAGCCAAAGAATGATTAGCCTAGAATATAGCTTGTACTTAAAACGTGTAGCTAGTCGACTGGCGGCAAAAGGTCCAGATTCCAATTTTCAAGAAAGCCCAGTCAATGCGAAGGTCATTCGTAGACCGTGTATGAAAATCAAGGATACGAACCAGACCACCCACGAATGCAATGTTACAGGCATAACCAAATTTCCTTTCCAGATACTCCACATCAAATACATTTTCGCATTTACCTTGACTAACACTCCCCCACCCAGTATTTCGTTCTTGATCAATCTCAGCTGCCAAATTCTCCAACATCGTATGCATCCTGCTAGGAGGATTTGTCCTTCTTGCTCTCCGTGCTTGACCGGCGGAAAACCAACTCGTCACGGCCCCAGACAGCCACGGCCGCAGTGCCACATGGACCCAGGACGGCCGTGATGATGGCAATCTTGATGGACCCAATGACGATCTGAATAGGCGAGGACTTCTCATATTTGGCTGCGACACGCAGGGTTAGGCCCCATAGTAGTGTAGAGGCAGCCCCGACAACTATATCCCATTGCAGAAACCATAACGCACCATCGGCCAGCACTGTGACACGATGTGGTCCAAACGGCACAACGGGGATGAAAATCCTGTGGGGCTGTAGTTGAGGCAGATATGTTGAGCTGAACAGGACTGGAAACGCATAGGCTAATAGTGACAAACTCAACGCAGTAAGATGAGATCCAGTCGATGACATGATGGCAAACACATAAGCTTGTCGCAGATACTTGATGGTCTTTGCTTTCTTGTCGCTTTCGGTCAACGTCGACGCTCTTTGATCAAGGGTCATAGCAAGAGTTGACAAGACGAATTGGGTGATTCCGATCCAAATCGGCCAGCCTTGTTGGATACCTGTCCAAGTTTGCTTGGTTTCAAACGACACCACTGTCGGCGCCGGAAGGCACATGAGAAGTGACGGAAGACCAAATCCGACAAGGATGCTGATGGGAGCAATGGCAAGTTTGACGGGCACACCCACAGTAAGCTGATGGTCTTTGGGATCAACCGCGGTCGGGGAAAGCCATAAATGTAGGGCAAACCAAAGTGGTGCAACACATGCATAACCAATGATTGCCACCCCGAGACCCAACAAAGTCGTGCTGCAGGCGGTCAGCCAATGTCCATTTCATGGTGACACGAGGCTGAAACCTTACGCTGTGAGGAGAAATTTCCCCTGATTGCCGGCTCTCAGACCTTCAATTGTGATCAAGACCCAGGCGGCAAGGACCTGGCCTCCAAGGTCAAGGAAGGACAGGGAAACGTCGGCCCGATTGCCGTCTATGGCGGTATAAAAAAAGCTGACCAACACTGTCAACTGCTTGTCCACCACCCCAATGCCCGTGTACGTCTGTTTCATAGGTGCCGGCGTACGACCTGGTATGACAGCTCCAGGCTCCGTCTGACGACCTAGGATCTCAAGAAGGCCATTTTGATACGGAAAGCCCCACAGAGTCCAGAAGCCGGCGACGGACAAGAGAATTAATAGGACTTTAAGCGTAGTGGGCGCCATGAGAAAGTTGTTAGATACTGAGGTCTAGGGACTGTACAAATTTGGTCCAGATAAATGGTAGTCGAAAAATGACAATGAAACGCGCCAAGAGAAACAGAAAAGAGGCTGACCAGAAGAGAAGGAATAGATGACTTGATATAGAAAGCCAAACAGATAGGAGCCTGAATGCCAGGGCTTAGCTGACAGGATCTCATCAAAGGGCCAAGCGTCAAACGCCAACCAAATCCAAGGAGTCTGACGGCGGTGTCTACCGCAGCCTTCCGTGCCCTTCACCCCCATTTTTCTCTAGGCCACGAGATTGCTCTTGGCGTTCTCTTTGCCACTTAGCCGAAATGAACCTGAGCAGGAAAGATGGGGAGCACAGAGAAGCACAGATACCAATCTGGCAACTTCACCTTTGTCCCAATGCTCTGCGCTAACGCTAGTCCGCACCTCACTTCGGTCGACGTGAACGGCACCGCAAAATGGGCTGATGCGGTGCAGACAAATATGCGGTAAATTTTGGCAGGCATGCTGATTGCTTTTCCCTCTGATACGCGAAGTTTCATCCGCGAACATGTCCAAGCGGAAGCGCGAAGACGACACCGAAAACGGTGAGCCGGGCATTCAGGACCGAGCCCTTCGAATCCAGACATCAAGACTCAAAACAAAACTGGACCAGGGATTCAAGAGCTTACACTCTGCTCTCAAACTTGCACGTGGATTTGAACGACAGAAGCTCGGCCGCCGTCAAAAGAACGCCAACAATGAACCCCACACTCTTTTACGACTTCGAGAGGAAGTCATTGTGCTCAAGCAACTGCCACTTGATCAAACAGCGAGGAACTACCTCATGAAGCAGCTAGTCAAAACGAAACGCATCAAGGAACATCCAATATTTTCAAGCGCGTATGGCTCGGGCCCTGTCTTTGTGCCGGCCAAGTCCAGTGCGGAGGCCAATGTAATTGGCCGGTTGTTCAACTCGGCGCCTGTGAAGCAAGTTATGCCAACTATCATGGCGACCATATTTTCAGTGCTGAGAATCCCTCAAGTTGCATCTCGGAACTCGGTTCGGAAAGATGCGCTCATGGATGGAATGAACAAAGAGGGGCTAGATTCGAACGGAGACGAATTCAATGGGTTTTCGAGGGATGATCCTGCAGACAAAGTCGTCGAGAATCCTAAACAGCCCCCAGCGTCAGATTTTGAAGAGGATGAACTTCTCGATAACCCCGCACGGGATCGACTGGCTTCCTCAGAGAGTGAATCTGACGATGAAGACTCTGGCCAGGGTAGTCATAGTCGTCTTGCCGGTCAGGATCTTTCTATCTCACCCAGTCCAAGCGAAGCATCCGATCGGCAAGAAATTTCCGGGATTAAAAGCCTCGAGAAGACCGCACCGAGAACAGTATTTCTACCGTCATTGAGCCTTGGAGGATACTACTCTGGATCAGAGTCTGAGGATATTGACACAAATAAATATCGAGGATCCGCGCAGCCGAAAGTCCGCAAGAATCGCCGCGGACAACGAGCTCGACAGAAACTCGCAGAAATGAAGTATGGGGAGAACGCGAAACATCTTGAAAAGAAGAAGGACCAGAATGTAAAGAGTGCGGAGTGGGATTCCAGGAGAGGTGCCATAAGTGGACGAGATCATACCAAGGGACGCTTTCGGAAGGGACCACCTAATCGGGGATTGCCCAACGGTTCAACCTCCAACCCAACCAGGCCATCAAGGACAACCCCAAAGCAAAATGCAAGAGATGATCCAGGATCTTTACATCCTTCCTGGGAAGCGGCGAAGAAAAGGAAGACGCAGGACCAAAGCCAGGCCAAGTTCGCGGGAAAGCGAATAACCTTTGACTGAGGAGATACCGATTATGAAAGCCTTGCAATGACTAATTGTACTGTCAAGCCTAATTGCCCTACACCTGGTGGACAACATGACCAAAATTCCATTACAGCATTCCCTCTCGCGATGACAACCAAGGAGTCATTTATTGCCCGCCGCCATGGAGACAACAGCACGCCATTCATATTGACACCCCTGCAGGCAGAACCTTTGAGCACCACTCAGTGATGACTGGATGGATGAAGGGGCGCTTGAAGTCGCCGTCTCGTGTTGGTCACAGGTCACACATGTATCAATCTTGCCCACAAGACCAGCTCAATACGGTACAGGTTGAGTTGATGAGTTGAGTTCTCGATGGAGTACACGAGATGTTTCGAGGAAGAGAAAGAGTTCTTGGAAAGAGAACCCGGCAATATGTTCGACCTCACCCGACGACGCCGCTTTTAAACCACCACTTCCCACGGTCGCGCTCCCACTCACCCTCCCACTCACCCTTTGACGACGGTGCGCTCTTTAGCCTGTGGGGCCGCGTCTCAACTTAGAAAACTAAAGGATCCAAAAATGGCCGCGACGATTTCGATTCGGTGGTCATCCCTTCCAATGAGACCGTCTACCTCGCTCACCGGTCGAGGAGTCCTCAAGAATACCGGTTCGCAAAACACCACCGGGGGTTTTCTGCCGACTAGTTCTGCACTCTCCCCCTCCAAAGGAGGCCTCTCACATCTGCATCATCCTTCTTCTCCTTCGTCCAGGCCCTCCTCAGGATGGAGATCTGCCGTGCCGATGTAAAGTGGGCCATAGCCAACGCCAAAGGCTACCGCTATGGAGCACACAGAGAGACAGATCAGGTCCGTGACCAAGGGAAGTACGCCGAGAAAACGAAGAAGAATCACAACGCGACACTCGAGCGCTACCTGCCGTAGGACATCACTTTCATTTTCATCCCCTCTCCCCTTCAGAGATTCATTCGCTGACCTGCTCCCCTAGATGGCATCTCGGTAGATTGCGATATGACGCCGTCCAGTGTGAGCAGCCGATTCACCTCGACCCCGATTCTCCTCTTTTATCTCCCCCATGTGAATTGGCCACGTTGGACATCAACGACAAAGGATCCGATCTCGACCCAACTGATGACCCTCTTCTCCTGGATGACACATCAACTCACATTGCCGACAGCGACAGCAATGCCCTTCCAGTTTATTCGCTCGCCTCCCCCGTCGGATTCGGCGATGGGAGGAAGCGACTACAGTGGCGAGACAGTGGTCGCCAGTGAGACTTCCGGCTCAACCACTCCATCGCTGTTGAAGGGGTCTCCAGCGCCGCCGCTGGATGCCTCTGACATTCACCAGGATCCATCAGCTAGTTCAGGAGGGACTCAGATCCGTCTTCGAGTTGATCCTGTGAGGCTCAAAAATCATCCTGCGCCTTACCCGTTCCGAGCCGAAGCCGAATCCAGGTCGCAAGCCGGGTCGCAAACGAGCCGACAAGCACGTGGGCAAAGATGGACGCAAGAAGGTGGGCAAGAAAGTAGGCAAGCAGGTGAACAAGCGAGCTGGCAAGCAAGCGGGCAAGCAACAGAGCAGACGGGTGGGCAACCGATCTAGCAAACGGCCCTAGCGGTGCAGCCAGGATATGCTGAGGCGGTCTATGGAGACTGTATATTATACCTTAGGGACGAGCTTGTTTCCCGGGTAGTCGATGCAATGCCGACAATGCTCCCTCTACCTCCCTCTCTGAGCGACTTATCCTCTTCGTGAGTCGGCGAGCCTGTGAGGAAAGTCGCACGTTCTCTGCGTCACGTAGGTCTCGCTTTAATTGATCTGATTTCTCCTCCGCAAGCCGGTATGCATCTGCGTCTGCTCGAGCCTTTTCCTTGTGACGGGAGAGTTCGTCAGTTAGTCTCGCGTTCTCTTCTTGCAGGCATTTGATCCTCGAAGTGAAGCTGATCGCCGATGTTGATGCCTGTTGACGAAATGTGAGCTGCCTTGATTGCCCTGATGTTCGCCAATTTGGTATTACGGTCGAGAGCCACTTCTTTCTGGGTATTTTGGGTTTGCAACCGGTCACTTGGCGATTCCTGAGCTTGTGGCAACCGCGAAAGCTGCGCCTGGTGGGCGTGCACTTGGTCCACACCTCTGCCAAATACGAGGCGCAGCGTCCTGGAGAGCTCTCCACTGGATCTGGCGACAAGAATCACTTCCTCAAGCCCCTTCAGATTGGTGGGCGTACGAAGCAGAATGGTCTCATTGAATCGTCGCCTGGCATTCAACACCACAGGCGGTAGTTGTTGGGCCGAGAGAAGATTGATTGATTGAATCTATCTGAGCGAGGCGCAAGCTAGAAGGCCACGAAGGCTGCGGTGCACGTGACTAAGCTAGTCCCAATGTGGACTGCCAACAGTACCGACGTGCCCACCTCGACTGGGGGTAGAAGGACGGAGAAATCGGAGCTGATCGCGGCCGAGATGCCGGACAAACGTAGATCCGAGCTTCTCGTCAAAAGCAGCGTCGACAGTTATGGCTAAAAATCTTGGTCACAGAGAAGCATGTCTAGGCCTGACTGCGTCGGGAGGAATATAATGCACCTCCTACCTTTGACCCTTCAGAGTTCTATCGACCAGTTCTGATCTCAGGTTTTTCGACGCCCGCCTTCTGTGAGTGGCCCGGCATATGGTTTGTGTCAACAAGACGACGAACTAGACGGACGCAATTCATATCGAGTACTCATCCTTCGCCGTAATCCGCGTCTCCCATTCCACGCCATATACTAGTATTTTAAAACGCACTTTAGTATTCTACTCAAATAAAGGAACTCTTTCCGTGCAAAACAGATTTACCCTGGGCGGAGCATTGCCCTAAAGTCCCTTGATCCTGCAAGATTCTTCTGTCACTCCACAAATTCCGGCCGACGATCATGTCCGATCCTCGCCCTACAGGTCCAGTGAGACGACGTTCATCCTTTGCCTATGATCCTGCCCGAGACACTTTCAAAGAGCTTCCAGATACTATAGCTGAAGATGCTATTGCCGAGGAAGACCCAATTTCGTCTGCTCGTGTGATCTCAAGTCCAGCAAACAAAAGAACACCGGATGAGAGTCGGAAGCGGAGACGATCAGTTTCGCTCGAAAGAGAAACCAAAGATGGATCACAGGAGAAAGACAGTGGCCAGCGGGATTCTCCAAGCGCAAAGAAACTACGAACGTCGGTTTCGCCTTCACGACAGGAGAAACAATCACCGAAGCCTTCAACGAACGGAGCTCGTCAGGCCAAACCCATACCAAAAACACCCGCAGACCTGCCACGAATACCTCGAAAACCAAGAGAAGAAGGCGAGATTTCTACTTCGCGTCCGGTTCCAGCAGCGTACAGTCGACGACCCGAGCCAGACGACCGACATCCAAACGGCAACTTCCATCGAAGATCCCAGTCCCCGCGCCATCGGTCTCCTTGGAACATCTACCACCGCCGATCTCCACCTCGAGAACGTCGCAGGTCACCTTCGCCGATTCGTGACTCCCCGCCTCGTGAAATCATTCGTCCAGGTGGTGCCCGAGGCCGGGGTCGTAACGTCCTAGCCGAACAACAACGTCTCGCTGCTGAACGAGAGCAGAAGAACGCAGCCTTACACGCCCAACACCACCGCGGTGTCCAAGAAGTCTCCAATCAGTTCTACAACGCACGACCCGAGTGGGTGAAAGAGCGGGGACGAGACTGGCGTCGGAATGAATCCCAAATCAAAGGTCTGCGCAGCTACAACAACTGGGTCAAATCGTGTCTCATTCACAAATTCAGCCCCGAGGAAAAGCAGGAGGTAGAAGAGTTGGGATGGGGTGAGGAAGCGAAGGAACCCGAGGAACAGAAGCCTCTTCTCGTCCTTGATATCGGTTGTGGTAAAGGCGGTGATTTAGGGAAATGGCAACTCGCTCCTCAAACCGTGGGACTCTACGTTGGTCTCGACCCGGCCGAGACCAGCATTCAGCAAGCACGTGAACGGCATCGACAAATGCGGGCCGGTCGCCGCCCCATCTTTGACGCTCGTTTCGTGCCACAAGATTGTTTTGGGGCCTGGATCGGCGACGTGGGAATTGTTCGAGAAGTTGGGATCGATCCAAATGCCGGCGATGGGCAGCCGAGCCGCTGGGGGGGTGGTGGATTCGACGTGGTAGCATCTATGTTCACCATGCACTATGCATTCGAGTCAGAAGAAAAGGCGAAGATGATGTTACGCAATGTCGCCGGGAGTTTGAAGAAAGGAGGCCGATTCATCGGAGTCGTACCCAACAGCGATGTCTGCGCAGAGAAGATCCGGGCATGGTTCGCCAGCAGGAAGGGAAAAGATGCCGCGAATGGCGCTTCAATGCCTCCCTCCAACCTGGCAGACCATGAAGAAGGTGAGGCAAACGAAGAAGAAGGCCCATCTTGGGGCAACTCACTGTACAAAGTCCGCTTCCCAATCGACTCTCTCCGTCCGCTACAGCCCGACGGATCCTTTCGCCCGCCCTTCTCCTGGAAATACACATACTGGATGGCCGAAGCCGTCGATGTCCCTGAATTCGTCGTCCCCTGGGAAGCCTTCCGTGCCATCGCCGAGTCGTACAATCTCGAGCAACGATACCGCAAACCGTTCCTGGATATTTGGGACGCGGAGCAGGGGAATCGAGAATTAATGTCTGTCGCAGTCCGCATGGGTGTGACTAAGTACGAGGGCGGAGATCTCAATTTGACTCCTGAGGAGATGGAGGCTGCTGGGTTCTATCATGCTTTTTGCTTCGTTAAAGTGTAGATACAGACCTTGGTTACTGTCATGGCGGGAGCGAGTGGGACCGGGCAGCTGGCTGAATGGAGAGATTCATGTCTTCTCTTTCCTCAAACTTAGTCTGTAGTTGATTCTCGAGCCGTTTGCAAGACCAAATCGTGTTTTCGCAATATGGATTGGAGAACCCGCGTGACCTATCCCTGTGTTATGAGAGCAATAACACCGTCCATCCATCAATCTATCTGATTCCCCATCCACGATGGACGATTTTTATCTATTCCGCAGGTTCCCAAACACAGCAAGCACCGAAATCCTGCGCCTTGCAGCCGTTCGCATCTGGTGGTATCTGAGAGCGGTGTCCATTCATAAATTTATCCATCAACAACATTGACCGGCTAACCGGCCGTGGCCTCCTTGATACGCGGGTCCGCTACTTTGGCAATCTGCCTGACAAAGTCTTGCCTGTTACGCTCCTCCAGGGCCCCGGGCTTCCAGTACTCGTATTCGATCCATTCGCCCTCTTTCATCTGCGCCTCGACCGCCTCGTGGAACCGCGCCCCGAGTTCCGGCTGCAGAGGGACCACGCCCGTTTCCTCGCAGTACGTCTCCCAGAGCGCGAGCAGGTCCTGCAGAATCTCCGGGTGTTGGGTAGCCAGATCCTCGGTTTCGCCGGGATCTTTCGACAGGTCGTACAGTTGCCAGGCAGACGTCCCCTTGGGGTAAGGGATGAAGTCGGCTTTCCACGGGCCTTTGCGGATTGCGGCGCGGCCGCAGAGTTCCCATCCAAAGGCCTCGTTGGGGTCGTGGATGAGTTGGGTCTCTCCTTTCAGCCAGGATGACATGTCCTTTCCACGCATGGGGACGACCTGGCGGCCCTTCCATTCTGGACTGGGGTGTTTGATACCGCTCAGTGCCAGGAGCGTCGGCGCAATGTCCATGACAGTGGCGAAGGTTTCGCTTATTTCTCCTTTTCGGCCTTGGTGGATTGGGGGATAGCGAATGACGCACGGAACGCGAACACCGCCTTCGGTGGTGTATGCTTTATACAGTCGGCTAGGGGCCGTTGCGGCCTGAGCCCATCGAGGACCATACCATACAAAACTATCCTTGCTGCCGATATTGCCGAGGGAATTGTCGTAGTACTTGCCGATATGGGCCATCAACTCGCCGGCAACCATGGGATATGCTTCATATGCTGCTCCCTCAGCACCGTTGTCGGAGAAGAACATGACATAGGTGTTGTCCAGCTCGCCAATTTTCTCGAGGTAATCGGTCACTCGACCGATATTGTGGTCGAGACACTCGACCATCCCTGCATATGCTTCCATTGCCGCACAGGAGGCCCTTTGGTGGAAATCATCCATCTCATCCCACCCTTGGACTTCGTCTGCGACAACTGGGTGGGGTTTGACATCGTGGGGTATCATGCCCAATTCAACTAGTTTCTTCAATCGTGCCTGACGGAGCGCTTCCGGCCCATCTTTATAGACGCCTCGATAGTGCTCAATGTACTCTTTGGGTGCTTGCAGAGGCCAATGGGGGGCAGAAAAGGGATAGTATGCAAAGAATGGTTTGGGGGAGAGTTCCTTGTCCTCTCTCCATTCCTCCAGGTATTTCAGCATTCGGTCTCCATAGCCATTACTGGAGTACCAGCCCTCGGGGAGATCCTGGACATAGTGGTCATCCTCCATGTGCAAAGCAATGACGCTCTTTTCCAAGAATTTGGGAAAGTCCGCCTCTGGTCTCCAATCGTAGTGATTTGAACATGCAGGTAACAACGCCAAACTTCGGTCAAAACCACGCGCGTGGGGGCTTCTTTCCTTGGTAAGACCGAGATGCCATTTCCCGCTCATGATAGTATGGTATCCTCCGTCTTTCAATATTTCGGGCAGTGACGCCACCCTCGAGTTCAAGTAACCTTCATAACCCGGCATGCCTCTCTGAGGAGCGGTGGAATACTTGCTCCCCTTGGGGAAATTCTGTCCGCTGAAATCGGTCCATTCGATCAAATTGCCGAGACCGGCGATATGATGGTCTGTTCCAGTGAGTATCATCGCTCTTGTAGGGGAACAGGCGGCTGCAGCATGGAAACCAGTGAGACGAATTCCATCGTTTGCCAGTTTGTCAATGTTTGGGGTACGAATCTCTGAGCCGAAACAGCCAGCATCAGAAAAGCCCATATCATCCGCCACAATGATGAGAAAATTGGGTCGTTTGGAGGCCATGGCGGATTGCGATTTTGTGAGTGATGGTATTGCTATTGCGGTAGACTGTCAGGGAGGAGGAGAAACCTGAGAAACCTGTAACGCCCAAAAAGGAAAAAGACAGAGCAGGAGAGGAAAAGTTTGCATCGTCAGGTGAGAGGCTTCGATGTCGGAGCATTGATCCCACAAGGGGGTCGGTCAAGTCCATGGCCAGGGGGAATGGGCGGTGGATGTGAAGCCGCAGGTTGCAGGTCGCGTGCAGGACTCCACTGCGGCGAGAACTGGTCGTTCAGTGCTACCGAGTTTAGGGACCAGGAGCAGTGTGCGGGGGTAAGTGCCTGGCAAGCCTCGGCCAAATCTGGGGAAGTTCCAGCGCCCGTCCGCATTCAAGATGTCGTGCCTGCAGTCATTATGAAGGCTTTTGAGCGTCGTCGAGAATGATTAAGTAGATGAGTTGAAGGCAGAGCCTCCTCTATCAAAAGGACGATACTCGATATCGGAGACGGATTATCAATGAATCCGGGCTTGGCAAGCTTGTATGGACGTCAACTGGAGATTCATATCGATGGCGTGCTTCTCTCTCTCACTTCCATCACCACCAGCCAATCTTCCTTTCTTCTCCCTTCCATGTGCTTGTCCATTGCTTATTCCTCAAGCCACAGACCAGGAACCCCGTACCCCGGGAACAATCCTAATACCCACCCAGCCCGAGGCTGCCTCATCCAAAGATACTCCGGTGCCAGTCACTCGTGAGGGATCTACATCAAAGTCCTACCGCTTCCAGACCCAACCTCTCTTTCCCCGCACATATGGTGTGATCGCCTGACCACTTCTTGTCTGCAATAACCTTGATCCAACTCGAAAGGACGTCCGCTTCGGCTGTAACCACCCCTGGGAACGGCAGGGTAGCATCACGGACCGTTACATAAATCAGCCATGGCCTCTTCCGCTAGATATCATCTCCTCCAGCAAGGCGAGTCGTCCGAAACTTCTCCGGCATATCAACCTCCTGCCGAACAGGAAATAATCATGGGCAAGAAACTCGGCCTTTTCAGAGCCTGCTACGTCGTCGCGCTATGTTCAATCGGTTCCTTCTTGTTCGCGTATGACACTGGCATTGTCGGAGGGGTCTTGACCCTGAAAAGCTTTCAGAATGACTTCCGCTATACTAAAGCCGAGAAGACCCAAGTCAATTCGAATTGCGTCTCCATTCTTCAAGCCGGTGCCTTCTTTGGTTGCTTCTTCATATGGCCTCTAACCGCCTGGCTGGGCCGTCGATGGGGCTTTATCATTGCCTCGGCTGTCTTCTGCGTTGGCGCCATTATGCAAGTCGTCAATACTCATTCAATCGGCGTCTTCTATGCTGGTCGCGTCATCTCCGGTCTAGGAACCGGTGCAGCGACCGTCCTCGTTCCCATGTTTTCGGCAGAAATGGCTCCCAAGGAAATCCGAGGCAAACTGGGCTCTTGCTTCCAACTCTTCTTCGCCACCGGAGTCTGTGTCAGTTACTGGGTCGACTACGCGGCTGAAGCAGGCATCTCAAGCGACTCATCAACTCAATGGCAAGTCCCAGTGGGGCTCCAACTGGTCCCAGGTGCTCTGCTTGGACTGGGCATGCTTCTGGTTAAGGAATCTGTTCGGTGGCTTGCCAGAAAGGGTCGCAACGAAGAAGCCTACGCATCTCTTCTCTGGGTCCGAGGCGGTGTCGACAGCCCCGAGATCCGGGCCGAGTTCTCAGAAATCCTCTCGGGCGTGGAACTGGAACTCCGCGAATCTGAAGGGCTGACGTGGAAAGAACTCCTCCTCCCATCTAACAGACTCAGAATGATCATCGCCATCACTATTCAACTTTGTCAACAATTGACCGGTAACACCTCCCTCGCCTACTATGCCCCTCAAATTTTTGCCACCATCGGTGCTGGAAACAAGACGCTCTTCATTACTGGCTTCTTTGGAATTGTGAAGATCGTAGGTGTGTTGGTCTTCCAGATCTTCGTCGTCGAACGCATCGGCCGCAAGATCCCATTCATGGGAGGTGCCTTCGCCATGGGCAGTTTCATGCTCATCATTGCATTGATCGTGGCCACGCATCCACCGAAACCGTCCGCTACGGGAATCACTTCATTCGGAGCTGCGGGTATTGCCATGGTCTATCTTGAAGCTTTCTCCTTCAATATGTCTTGGGGTCCTCTTCCATGGTTGTACATTGGAGAAATATTCCCCAACCGTATTCGTGAGATCGGTGTTGCCACCGGCGCAGCCAGTCAATGGTTGTTTAATTTTGTCATGAGCCAGATCACCCCTCATGCCATTGACAATATCGGATGGAGGACATTCCTCATGTTCGCCATCTTCAACTATGCCATTATTTTCTACAGCTATTTCGTGCTGAGGGAGACCAAGGGCAAGAGTTTGGAAGAGATGGAAGTCGTCTTTGGCACTGTCGAAAGACTGCCTACCAAAGATGATGACGAAGTCGAGTCCCAGGCTGCTCAGGACCGCCCCAATGAAATTCATGAGACTGTCAAATAACATCTGAGAATCAAACAGGGGAAGGCGATTTAAGACATTCGTATCTAGGACATGTACGAAGCAACATGACGAAGAACGCGTCATTCTTTAGGTTCATCAAGAAGAATCACACCAAATTTCCAAGATACCAAACAAAAGTGCATTGTAGATGTTCCAGTCCTCTCTCACGTGACATCGCGAATGACTCAAATCTCATGAACTAAACGCAACCACGACTTGATTCTCAATACACGTTGCATTGGAGGGAGTACCGAGACTATGCGTAAGTGCTTCAGCACATGCGCGAGAGTACTCAGCCATGAGAACCCTCTAGTACGTGAAAACTACAGCACCATTTCCGTTTTCCTGCCTATAACTAAAGGAATTAATTTCCCCGGCATATAGGGTCTCCCTTCCTCTTCTCGGAAGCCAGTACCACCCACGATTCCGCGTGCCCAAAGGGGCCTCCCCCAGAAACGCCGCCTTCGCAACGTCTCACACACCATCGCCGTCTCCAGCGCCAAAGGCGGTGTCGGCAAATCCACGTTGGCTGTGAACCTCGCACTCTCCTTTTCCCGCCATGGCTTGCGCACAGGCATCCTCGACACCGACATCTTCGGCCCATCGATCCCCACGCTGCTCGGGCTCAGCGATGCAGGCGAGCCCAAGCTCACGGAGTCGAACCTGCTAGTCCCACTGACAAGCTACGGCATCAAAAGCATGAGCATGGGATACCTCCTACCCAGCGAGGTGGCCCCCATCGCATGGCGCGGGCTCATGGTGATGAAAGCCCTCCAACAGCTGCTGCACGAGGTGGACTGGTCTCCCGGCCTGGACGTGCTAGTGCTCGACCTTCCCCCGGGCACCGGCGACGTTCAATTGACGATCGGGCAACAAGTCGAGCTGGATGGGGCCGTGATCGTGTCGACGCCGCAGGACATCGCGTTGAAAGACGCCGTCAAGGGTGTGGGAATGTTCCGCAAAATGCATATTCCCGTGCTCGGCATGGTGCAGAATATGAGCGTCTTCGTTTGTCCGCATTGCCGGGCTGAGACAAAGATCTTCGCTCCAAATCCACATGGCGGCGAACTTGAACATAATCAAAACCACGGCCTCGACGGCGCGGAGGCCAAAGCCAGAGACCTCGACGTCGACTTCCTGGGTGATGTGCCACTAGATGCGCGAATTTGTGCTGATGCCGATCGTGGTATGCCCACCGTCGTTGCCGAGGAGGTTAGTGGTGTCAAAATTAATACAGGCTACTACGAGCGGGTTGCAGAGAAGACCGCGAAGAAAATTGGCCTGGAGTGGACCTGATACGTGTTTCCGGCCGGACTGCATGGCGTGCTATGTCATGGTCCTTGCACATGAGACCAGGACATAGCTCTGAACCACCGATGGAGAAATGAACTTAAGGACTCGAGAGAGATCCATTGGTATTCCCAATTAATTTACTCGTCGGCCAATATACACTGGCCATTCTCTCTTTTCCTCTTTCTTCCCTTTTTCCCTCATGGTACCGTGCTGTTTCTGTTTTCGACCATGACTGTTGTCTGAAACTTGAGATTTCATGATGTGCGAGGTATACAAATCATCCATATAATCTATAACGTGTGTTTTATTCATACCCAAACATCAACCGGCAATACGGCACCTTCTCCGTCGCAGTTTGGAATTCCGTCTTGTGCACCGTCAACACTTCTCATGGCACCTGGTACAACTAAGACAGCCTTCGGGCTGGCGTCATCAGAGGTCACAGCGCTCCCCCCGGGCTGTTCACCTGAATCGTCGCGGAGATGCGACGCTGGTTTGAACTTGGGAATGAATCCTGCTGACGGCTCCGGGGACACTGTGTGCGCTTCCTAGCTTGAGGTTGCTGTCGTCGTTGCTGGAGGCTGCGCGGGCATCATTGAGGGGACGGTTTCGTGAGCGGGATTGGTAGCGACATTCGGCGGGATTCGTAAAGGTAGCGGCATTTCGCGTCCTTCAACTTGTCCTGTATCTGCAACGGAAACGGTGCGTCTTCGTCCACGGCCTCGAGACTCACTTGCACGACATTTTGTGCTCGTGCTTCGGCTCCTCGTTGTGCTTTGTCGTCGACTTGCCATCGGGGTCGTTCGATCAGAGCCTGGGGGGATCTCGACTCGTCCATCTGTGCCTTGAGACTGGGCCTGAGTGTCATTGCCCCATTCAGTTTTGGCCACCTGCGATTTCTCCATTTCTACCGCTTCTTCCTCTCTCTTCAAGGTCGATTCATCGTGTTTACTCCCCCACATACTCCACATTGCCAGACCGTAGCTCTTCCTCTTCTTCTTGATCAAAAGGTCTTTATCAGTTCGTCGTCCAGCGAGCGCACCGGGCGGAGGACTTTCACCACCCTCAAATCCTCTGATCTCCCCACTTGCCAGAGCCCTGGTCCGCTCTCTGCGCACTTTTTTGCTCGTGTTGGCGTACATTGTGTCCCACACTTTCCTCGCCGCGAGCCACTTCCTGACAGGGCCGGGTTTAATGACACCCACTTCATCTGGTGGCATTTGTAGGGCCGGCAGGTTTGGCGCTTCAGCCAGAGGATAGGTTCTTCCATACCGATCAATCCGTTGGCGAATCATGTTGTTCTCGAAAGGCGGTAACGGATCACCAGCTCGACCCACACTCCCTGTCGTTTTGCTCGAGTCTGGTTTCCGTGTAGCCGGATTGTTGCACGAAGATCCGGTCTCCATTTCCATCTGTGAATCAGAATCCGAGCGTGAAGAGATGATTGAGATGTTGTCATCGTCCATGATCTCGATGGCTCTTCTCTGGGCTTTTGCAAGGACCCAGGCTCCAAACTGTGCCACTGACCGATACATAAATTTGGCCGGACGGGTGAAAGACAATGTCGGAGCAACATGACAAAGATCTTCCCACACTTGCAATTGAACCGGAGTTGGTTTATACTTCTTCACTATGGTGTCTTCGGGGTCGTACGAGGGTCTGTAAGCCGCTCCGAGGGGGTATTGGGACGGATGAGCCATTTTGTGAGCTAGATAGATCTGCTCGTCCCGGAGGATCTCTCCTCCACCAGTGACAATCAAAATAGGAGGAAGGCCACCAAGCGATGGCTGTAACACAGGAGACACCAAAGGGTGTGCCAACAGCTGATTGGTCGTATACATTTGAATTTGGTCCTTCAAGGTTACCCGCTTCCCGTCAAGGACAATGGACAGCTGAAGTTGAGAACCGGGCATCACTTCGCCATCATTCTTGACGGGTACGGTGGCATGACGCTCTGTCCCGTTTTCTGGCTCGCTTGAGGAACCCGATAACTTCGGCTCCGAGAAGCCATGTTTTCCTTCTGATGGTTTGGAGGCTTCCGCAGATACGCCGGTGCCGGTAGCCAGTTTGATGATCGTCGAGAGTTCTTCTTCGTTCGGAGGAGGCCATGACGCAGACGGCTTTTGCATAAATCCACGGGAGGGAATATAATCCAACTCGTCACTGCCAAGGAGGCTCGGGAACGAATGGGTCAGATCAACCCAAGGCGAGATGAGGATGGCACCCGCCGGTAGAGGAAGTCCTTGATCTCGAAGTATGCAGAGCATCGACACCACCATGCCCCCGCCGGCGGAATCACCTGCTAGAATGATCTCGGTGGGGTCATGGATTCCGAGAAGGTAGAGATAAACCGCTAGGCAATCCTGCAAGCCACATGGAAAGGGGAATTGCGGTGCCAGCCGATATCTCGGTGCGAGGACGCGGGCTTTCAGTTTTCGAGCGTGTCTTTGCATCTGGTACCGGTGCGCGTCAACACTGCCGAAGAAGTATCCGCCGCCATGGACGTACAGCATGATTCTTCTACTTTTGGTGCCATTCCTCTTGTGCTCGTTGTAGTCTGCCCGCATCTCAATCCACTCGGCTTTTAACTCAGCTCCTTTGGGACGCCATTGCCACCACTGAGCGCCTCCTACTTGCTGAACGCCGCACGGTCCGAGTTGGTCGATAATTGTCTTCGCAGCCTGAGATGTGTGTTCGCTGGAGATGGTGGTGTTCTCAGTCCTGACCCAGGATGGACTCGGTACCCATTGAGCAGTAAATGCCTGCAAGTCTTCGACGGTATGGTGGGAGGCATAGTTGAGAAAGGATCGGATTAGATGTAGCCCTTCATCGTAGGATATGTGGGCAGTGGGCTTTTGTCGTCGGGGCTTTCGGTTGGTGTACTAGATGTTACGGTTAGAATTGAGCTCTCATTGGAGTTTTATCTCATACGTGAGAAATGTAAGTCTTCACCACCGTGGGTGAGACAGCGGCACCCACTCCCAACGTAGTGATGGGCATGTTGATTAACTGGTCACAGTGTTATCATCCTGCGAGCAGCTTGTCACGACAGCAAAAGAGCAAAGAAGGTCAAAGACGCTGCAAGGACATTGAAAAAAGACATTAGAGGTGATATTTTGACTTCTGGAGGGTCAATGCGACGGGCCAATTTGAGACCCTTCCACGGTTACGTCATACAGCCTCGTGAGAGTGAGAGGCTTCGGCCTTGTTATACTTCGACATGAGTGACAACATTCTTTGCTTGACTCTAGCTGTGAGATCAGCTACCTACCTATGACTATCGCAACTCTCAAGTTTGATATATCGTAAAAGGAGGGCCATCCCAATCACCGGCAGAATGCTCACCACCTCCCCGAGGGCCGCATACTCGGGAGGGATTCTCCACTTGACAAAAAGACCAGCCGCAAGAAGGACTGCAAAAAGATTGTAGGTGAAGGACCAACAGAAGTTGAAAATGATTCGCTTGACCGCTGCATGGGACAAGTCAATCAAACACAAGATCCCACTCAGGAATGGTCTCACCAGAACGGCGTCGGCCGCACTTTGTGCAATCTCGCTGCCTTCATTCACATGAATGCCGATGTTGGCTTGAGCCAGTGCCGGTGCGTCATTGGTGCCGTCTCCACAGAATATAACCACAGATCGCTTGTCGGTCATGATCTCTTGGAGGAACTCCAGTTTATCTTTGGGCAAGCAACGAGAGCGCACCTGAGACGGTGGAATGCTCAAGGTGGAAGCGAGTTTCTGGACAGCCCCATCATCGTCACCACTAACAATGGACACAGATATACCGCGCCTTTGGAGTTCAGAGATGACGCTGTAGCTGTCCGGCCGGACAGAATCTTCCAAACCAAAAACTGCATCAAGTTGCGTGTCCATCACCACACAGAAAACCGTCAATCCTCTGGAAAGGAAGTCCTGGACGGTAACATGGTTTCCCATTCCGAGCCAACGGCAATTTCCCGCAGATATTTTCTTGCCTTCTGAAAGTCCTTGTACGCCTTTCCCCACGATAGTTGTAACCTCGTCAACGGGAGCGGGGATGATCCCGCGATCCTTCAGAGATTGAGAGACAGCAATGGAGACAGGGTGTTTGATATCCGCTATCAGGCCCAGAATGATTGGCTTGATAGAGTCCTCCTGACCGCCAGGGAATGATTCGGCCACAACGGACAGGACCCCCTCCGTGAGAGTCCCTGTCTTATCAAAGACTACATGATTGGTTTTCTTCGCGACCTCGATCGTTTGACCGGTCTTGAATATGACTCCATGCTTTGCAGCGACGCCTCCCGCAATCACAATAACCATGGGCACACATAGACCAATGGCACACGGACAGGAGACAATGAGTACTGCAATGGCGTAGGTGACGGCATTTTCGGCGGCCTCAGAGCCTAAATACCCTCTTCTTTCGATCCCATATCCTGTCCAGCCGGCAAATGTGATTATGGTGATGCACACAATGACCGGAACGAAGTATCCTGCGACGCGGTCAGCAATTTCTTGAGTTCTCGCCTTGGTCATCTTTGCCTCGTCTACCATATCGGCAATTGCGCTTATTGTGTTGTCACCAGGGAGGCGACTGGGGCGAATATGAAGCAGGCCCGAGCCATTCATCGACCCAGCAATGACAGCCGATCCCGTTTCTTTGAACACAGGGCGTGACTCGCCGGTCACCATGGATTCGTCCACCTCGGAAATACCGGACACCACTGTACCATCGGTGACAATGCGTGATTCGGGGCTTACTTTGAAAATATCCCCGTATTGCAGGAGACGGGCGTCGATTTCCAAATCCGTTTTTGACTCGCCGTCGACGAGAAGGGCCGTGGATGCTTGCAAGGTCCGGAACGAAATTGACTCGGCCGCTCGCTGACGTGCCCACGAGCTAATAAACCGCCCCAGCATAATTAGGCTGACAATCAACGTGCTAGCTTCGAAGAAGTCACCCGTGCTTAGAGGTTCGCCTTTCACTTGGTATGCGAAAGCAATTACTGAGAAGAGATATGCTGTACTAGTGCTGAGCACGATCAACAAATCCACTTCAATAAGACGGGAGAATACCAGATTCTTGAAAGCAACGGGATAAAATGGACCAGCTACCACGATTTGGATGATTGTTGCCAGTGCGAGAGATACCGAACCATATATGACAGGATGGTGCGGTAAAGGTGCCCATGCAAGGACTAGAACGGGTATCGTCAGGAGACTCGAAAACAGGGTCATCATTCCATCCTTGCGAACTTCCTTACTACCGGCTTCGATGGATTCGGGAGGTTTCATAGGAGCAAGTTGCAAAGGGACGTCGAAGGATTTATTGAGTACTTCTCTCGCCCCTCGTACCACCGGGTCGTACTCGATACGAGCGATCTCGTCTGTTAATGCCTTCATTCCCGTGACGCCGAGCGGCTTGACTTGCCGAACAAGCGCTTTGGTACCTTTGGGATGAATAACGTCAATTTCGTGACCTTTCTTGACAATCCTTTCATAGGTGAACTCCGTTGCCCGCCCCAGATAGTCGATGACCTGGTCAACTGTCGCTTGGCCTGTATCGAGGTCAAAGGCCACCCGAGCAAGAATCACACTAATTTGTAGATTTTGAATTCGCGGAAAGGCTGTGACCAAGCACCTGGAGATTTTCAGCTCGCATCCAACACAGGTCATTCCGCTGACCCTGAGAACGACGTGCTCAAGTTGAGCTGCGCCTTTCTCGATATCAGATAGGTCAATCTGGTAGTGCCGCGTCGAATCAATCATGGGCTTCCCCGATGACCTTGATGATGATGAACGACATGATTGATCTTGAGTTCTTTCAGTTTTCTCTGCAACGCATTTACCGTTCTTGCAGCATTTGGCCTTGGTCTGCTTTATGCAGAGACTAGGGCTTCCATCAATGCTCTCTTGTGATCTTCTCGGCGCATCGCATTTTTGAGGTCGGCAACATGATTCAAGATTTTTCGCTAAGAGATACTTGCAGATACAATTCATCGTCCCTGCAACAGTTTGGTGTCGATGGCGAGCACTCTCGATGTGGTTATCGCACACTTCGAGAGAACCAGTATCGAGTGAAGGTTGCTGTGAATTCTTCGACGGAGAACAACAGCCTGACTCTTTGCATCCCATTGGCGGTAACATATTTGCGGAGCCACATTCAGCCCTGCATTCTATCGCAGCTGCCCGCTCGATACATCTTTCATTACAACCATCAGGCTCTCCAGAAGAACATTCTGAGCAGTGTTCATTGACAATTTGAGTGCGAGGAGCGATTTGATTACAACAGGATGCACCCATTGTGTATTCCGGGCGTTTACAACAGTTTCAAAAAGCGGATGATACAGTATAGCATGAAGTCGGCGCAGTTATCTTATCGAACATCCCGGGTTTATTTTTCCCTTTTCGGATGGCAATGGCATCCTCCCCTAAGAACTCTCCGCAATGCTTGAGTAGCATCAATTAATCAGACATGTCGACTGAATTTCTCACTTGGTTTTTGCTTTGCCATGCTGTTGTCAATCGCCTAAGTCATACTAAGTGGTAGCGTGGCTTCATCACAAGATGGCCTCCACATACGTTTCAAGGGAAATGTATTGTTTGTATAGGGGTGGAAATAGAATATTATGGTCTCGGTGTAATATCGTATTTGCGTATTACCCTGAAGCAAATGCGTATTATGCATGCCAAACACGCGAGACTGTACAATCTCGCAGTCTTCCCCCCCAACAATTCAGATTGATCCAAACAAGCAGCATTCAAACAGTCTCATACGTACGACACCAGAAATGGCCATAGAAATGGCCATAATGCCGAACCAGGCGTTTGATTTGCGATTTCTATGTCCTGATAACCCGACGCCAACATTCTGGAACTCTGATACAATGGTATCAAGAACGCATTCTCCAATCCTTGTCTACTTTGCTGTGTGTGGGCGCGATTATAACAGCCTTCGAGACGCCTTTCTCTTGCTGAACTCTGTTTAAGGAGATACCTGACCAAGTACCCTACCAAATTGAACCGGGCAAAGATAAAGAAGTAGGCTGACAAAGAACGCGCGAGCTCTTCAGAGAGAGAGAAGAGGAGCAGGGAGTCGTGTGCCGCAAGCCAGCATTCAACAAGCTGCAGCCCTGCCGCCAGTAATTGGACCCCGTTCACTTACTACAAGAACCAAAGCGACCACGACCTTATAGTGTCGGGGATTTGCATTGGCCTGCAATCACTCGCGACGTTGATGGGGATAATCTTGAGGTTCGTTCTGGTGAGCCGGGATAAGAAGCTCGCAAGGCTGGAAGATGAGAGAACGTGTAATTATCTGAACGAGAAGTGAACAAGTTGAGGAAGACGGCCGAATTTGAAGGCATTGATATTGATACGGCGAGGAAAAATGCAGAAGAGTTATCGCTTCATGATTTGATCGAGCAGATCGCTGCTATTTGCAGGAAGACAGGAAGATCGCGTCGAGGTTGTATCACTATCTAGTAACAGGCTCTATTAAAAACGAAGGCCGATGACATCATTGCTGTTGAAGCTCTTTCATTTTCAGTAACAAACGACCAGCAATACATGTCGTCAGTTGAGTCTCAGCCGGGGGGACATGAGCAATTCATTAAAGCTGGCAGGCTGTATTAGAAATGTGTTGCCCTGGCGTGGCCCTGTTGGTAATCCATCATTAGTAACATCGAACTCTGACATGAAACTCATAGCTCCCGACTTCTGCCCCGGCCCAAGTTCACCCATTTTGAAGTCGAAAAGCCTTGGCCACTGACACATTCGCACATCCGTAGATCAACCGTTTATGATGATCCCGCCATCATCCTGATGCCCCAACTAGCGCCATGCTGTGAATCAAAAAAGGGGGGGAAGACGGAAGAACATTGTAACACCCAACCCAGTGACAACTCCGCCAGCCACTTTCCATCGCCTGGCTCGCACAATTGAAACCAGAGTGCCCCCCTGAGAAATGAGTCAAGATTTGGCGGAACCAGACTGAGCCCATTCATCCAGGATATCCCGTACCATCCTCACTCTCATGTTCTCTCTTAACACCCCGCTTCTCATCTCGATCGCCCTTATCTATCAACTGGAGCAAGTCCGTGATGAGATCCCGTAACGTTCGATTGGCACTCAACATGTGGAAAATCACATACTTGTGACCACCAAACAATTTATCATTGAGAGGTATGCCATCCTTTTCAAACGCTGAACCATGCTTGTTGGCGTATCGTGCTAGATTTCGCATGATCATCACGCTCATCCAAGCGACGCCGCAGGGATGGGTAGTGAAATCTGTCGGTGTGATATGATAGGTGTGTTTTGTCTGTACGGGGTCAGGCTCTTTGACGTCATACGCTAATTCGTGTATAATCTTGGACATTGCCTCTGCGTTTTCTGGAATATGCATACGAACGTGTGAGACGAGTTCATTGCTTTTGGAAAAGGGAGAATGTCTTGAGCACAGCGTCCAGCGGCACGCCCAGTTGTCTGAGTTCTGGCTTGAAAAGTGTCCATCTGCCTTTCTCTCAAACTTGAGATGCTCGGTCATGATATGACTCAAGAGCCTCTCGCGATTGACATGCCACGAGCTGCACAGGTGTCGCTGACTGGTGCGACCATGGGGGTCCAGTGTATCCGATGGAGCAACCTCCCATAAGCATTTGAAAAGGGGTCGACCCTGTAGATCGAGCAATACTCTTCGTGGTTTGATGCCTTTGATGATAAACCTTGGTTGGATCCCTTGTATGACTTGCGCTTGAGCCGATCCGAAAGTTTGCGACACATTCTTAATGAAGTCTGCCGCGGCAACCGGACTGTGATTTGCGAATCTTTGTTGATAGGCCTGCCAGATTGTGATTTGTGTGATGTCGCCGTTGGGAGATTCCTCAAAGCAACAACGTAGCCATCGTGACGATCGTTCAGGTTCGCCACATTTTATGAGCTGTTGATGTATTTCATAAGGAATGGTGGGGACTGAAGGGGGCAGCGCTGGCATTTTGGGAGAGCGACCGGCAATAGTGGTTTCTTCTCCAGAAGATGACTGGTGCAGTAAAAGATTCGTGAGGCGGCCGATCATGTTCGGTAGGAGGTGGAAGTCTTTCGACAGCAGCTCGGTGTTGTTCTCCGGAATGGCTGTGTATTCGTAGAGGAAATCCAGAGTGTTTTCCAGGAGCTCAATGTCCGAATCGAGTAGGGTGAATGAAAATAATCGTTCAATGTATGTCAGAGGCACGTCAATCAAGCGATGAGTTTCGGGTGTTTCTAATCCAATCCTATTGATCGATCGGAGAGCCGAAATGAGCATCCCCCGATCGCCAGATTCGAGATATGGAAGAAGTGAGAGGTAGAGCGGATCCTCGGGATTCATCGTCCAATACCGCGTGACCTGCTCGATGATTTCGAGGGCCGATTGTTTGAACTCGTCGAGTGCTGGTTCATCGGGGAGGCAAATCGCGATCGTGAGCAGGTCCTTGAATAACGGAAACCTGGAGAGGAAGATGGCATTTTCCTCCAGAAGCACCATGTTGCGAAGAACAAGTGCGGCCTCTTTCAGTTTTTCCAGTCTCTCGGAGGATTCCGCAGTTTCCAAGTCTCGACTGTGGACTCTAGAAGTGGTGGTCTGGATGCGCTCAAGTAGATTCGGTGTCCCAACAGCTGCATTTAAGGTGTTCACGGGAGAGCCGTCAACATCTTCATCGTAGGTAATTTCCCATTTCACTCCATACACCAGTTCTGTGATCTCCAACGCCTTTTCCATCAGAGACTCGGCGAGGAATGGGAAACCTTCAAATTTGTACTTGTCACCTCGCTCGAAAGAGACTTTCACAAGATGATGTAAGGCGAAGTCCTGCTCTTCTCGGATACCAGACCGCAATCCGTAAAGACAGCGCAGGTAGATATTAGGACCAGTCATGCCCCCCGGTACAGACTGTTTAAGGTACTGCTGAGGCTCTGGAGGAGGTCGCGGCGTAGCCTGTAATTTGGCCTGCAATTTGCGCGGATAGTAGAGAGGGTCATTGCCGGGAGTCTGGACTTGTCGAAGGGTCAAGGCAATATTGGTGCGAGGTTCATACTTATCGTGCCAGTCATATCCTGGATTTCGAGGGTCGTTCGAGGCGTTCGCGTATGACTGTTGAGGCGCGGCAGGAGTGGCGGGGGAGTCTGTTGCGCGAACATTTCTCGAGCGGGTTGGCTGAAGATCTGGCTGATACATCTGTGTGCGTTTCGGATCTTGTCTCAATTGGCCTTTGATATAACGCGTTAGCGGGCTTGATAAGTGGTGGGAGAATGTTGGTTTGTGCCAAAGAGGCGCGACAACGCCGATGACAGGCAAGGACGCATTGCGAAATACGGAGGACATACGTGTTGGGTATCTGCTTCCACTTCCTGGCTCTTCCGCTTCAGTCTTTTCCCGCTTAGGAGTTGTCTGTTCTTCATCTACCGACTCTCCTCCATCGACCACGGTGGAGTCGTTTGGTCGAGAGGCCGCTTCGGGAACTCGATAATTCTCGAGGGTGCGCGTCCGCAAATTACCCCCCCTGGCGCTGAGGTCTTCAAGAATCTCCTTCGGTGGCGGCTCTTCGCCCCAGTATTTGGCGATCTCGTATGCTCTGCTCGTGGGGTACGCACATCAGTAAAGAGGATGTTCGCGAAAATTTACTGCTGCATCGTCGTGTGTTGGAACGAAACTTTGAGATTCACTCACGCTAGGTTTTTATAATACGCGGTTTTCAATTGGAATGTAATGACACCCTCATGGGTTTTGCCAAAGCCAAATTCTTTGACGAGACTTCTCCATTGCATTCGTTCAGCCGATAAGACATCATAACCACCTCTTTCCATAACTAATTTGTACAATTTGTGCAAGGAGATGGGGCGGCCACTGACTTTGCCCTCGCGGTCAAAGGTGGTTCTGTTTGGACGGGTCGTCAGCAGGGGGCGTGGCTTCAAATGGCAGGAGGATGAGAAACACACCCTCTCTTCTCGTGAAATGCAGCGACATCGTCCAGGAATTCTTCTTCATCTTCAATGATCGTCTGCGGCACGGGCGCCATTGTTGCTCGTGAACGAGTGCAGATAGCGCTCGAAACGACTCGAGGTGTTCAGTGGGCGTGTCTGTATTACCAACTGGAGGTATTTCACAAGAGGCGAATGCCACGCTGGTATGGGGAAAGATGTGATGTGAAGGAATCACGCAGCAGAACAAAGCAGAAGACTACCGCACAGTGCGCAGAGAGGTCTGGTACGATTTGCTGCACTCGAAGTGAGGATACTGGAGGTGCTTTGCCCACGGTCCTCTTCTGTCAGTTCTTGCCCTTCGCCTGCGCCCGTGGGCCTGCCGCCCCTACTCTCGGCTTGATCCGCATCGGAACGTTCTTTCCGGCAGTGCTTCAAAGCAGAAGGTAAGAAGGCTCTCTTTCAGTTCACTCGACATCTCGTTCAGCCATTTTCAATCTTCTCCTCCTCCTCTTGTGCTCTCTTCTCTTCCTCGTCTATGTCCCATTCAGTCATATCTTCCTTGCCAAAATCTATGACCCTGGTATTTCCTATTTCCCGGTTTCTCATTTGCGTAGGCCATCTGCAGACCCACCATGCCATCACAGAGATCTCAAAATTTTTCTTCTTCTCCTCTGTGTATTCCCCTATCCAAGTTTTCCTATGCTGCACTTCCCAATGAAACTATTGGCCCGATACCGTGGATCCATCTGAGCAGCAAGCACTGTCTTTTCGCCATCTTCGAGAACAGTCCGACTCAGCTTGGGGATGGCCGGGTCGAAGAGAGGCAAAGGTTCAAAGTCTTGCAGGACCCCGAAGTAATGGTATATGGACGGGGGATCTGATACGTTTCCCTTGGCATTGTTCAATACTCATCTGTGCATAGGAAGAATTGGATGTCAATGCTCTTTCGGTTGGAGCTCATCGCGCCCTCGATCAAGTCTCCAAAGGTCAAGTTCCTTTAGTCGCTGTTGTTGTCAAAGTCCCCAATATTGCGATAAAATATCCCATGACGAATGGACAGGTGATGGGTTCCACAGTTCAAACTTTCTTTGCTCACCATCGTCTAGATAAAGCGTTTCCAGATACGATTCACCTGCGATGAGGACTATTATGAAGCCATGAAGATGTTTTCCCGAGCTAATGTCCCCATGGTCGAGGCAGGATCTTACCCTGTCCTCAAGCCAAAGACGGCTCCACGACCGGCATCGTCCACTTTACTAGCACCGAGTGACTCTGTATCACAGATCAGGTTGCCTTCGAAAGCTCAAACTTCGTGCTCAACTGGCCCAACAGATAGTGTAGCAAACGGATCCAAACTAGGGATATCTTCGCTCTACCATCCGCCTCCTGCTTCGAAAGCTCAAAGCACAATGCTCCCTCCAAACCATTTGCCAGAAAGAATGGACTCTGCTCCATATCGTCCTCCAGGACAGCCTACCGTCATCGAGCAATGGCAGGTTAGACAAGCTTCGAATAACCAGCAGGTGGGGCCTCGATCCAACATCTCGCTTAGCATGGCTACAACTCTGGTTCCTGCTGGTGAACAACGCGATCCCGGTGTTGTAGCTGTTCAGTCCGAAGCTTCCGGCGATGTCTCACATTTGGGACCACAAATGGTTGATCATGCCCGGCAGAAGACTGATCAGATGGCATTTCACCTTGCAGCGCCGGCTCCGGTTAAGGAGTTGGATGTGGACCTAATCCTTCCTCCCAAGAGAGAGTTACCGTTCCGGAGAACTGGTTCGAGAACAAGAGACAAGGCTACGTCTTCAACTCCAAACCAAGACATAACGGAGCAAGATGAGAAGAAGAAGAATCCAGCCGGACCGGAAGCGGATGACCTAGGTTCTGTCGCCGAAGCAGGGGCAAAAGGCAAACGAAAGCAGTCTTCTACCAAAACCGAGCCCAAGACTCCAGCTGTCAAAAAATCTCGCACGACAACGGCACGCAAAAGAGGGAGAGGAAAAATTTGTCGAGAGGAGACACCGGTCCCCACAGTTGAGGAACTTCTTCGGCAACCAGGAAATCATTTGTTGCGACGAATATCACAGCAAAGTACCAAAATTGATGCCCGGAAGAGAAAGGCAGAGGTTGGGCAAAAGAAGAGCACGGAGATCTCTATTCCTGAGTCTCTGTTGCCTTCGCAAGAAGAGAGCTCCCACCCAGCAAGCCCATCTTTGGGTGGAACTATGCGCATGACGAGATCGATTTCGAGGTCGCTTGCATGTGTCTCTAAGCAGGAGAACGAGAAAAAGGACCTGGAGCCAAAAAAAGGACCACCACGCGCACCAGCGGATTATGTCATCGCCCCCCTGACAACTCAGTCAGCAAGACCTGATACAGATACATCACGCCCCCAGATGAATAACACAAATGCTGATCAAACGCACAATACAGAGTCATTCAGTTGCGCAGGCCCACCATCCGCTCATGCATCTTGCCTCGACTCCCTAATCAGCCAGAACACTCAGTCCTATCTTGAGTCAGACCCTCAATTCGCGAATTCTAGAGAAAGACTTCAATCGTGGTCCGACATGCCTGCTCAGACACGAAATCCCGCTTTGAGATCGTATTTTTGTTGTCTCTTGATGGATCCAAATTTTATTTCCCTATGCAAGGCTGTTGATGGATTTTGGGAAAGGGTGCTGCTGGAACCGAGACTCAAGCAGTAATTAGAGGCGCAACATAACTCAGGGAGAAATAAGAGAAAGAATTTCAACTGGAGGGGGATGGGATCCGTTTGCACTGGAGGCAAAGACATGGAAGAAGACGCCATAAGATTATCAATCCGGATACATGCTGAGAGCTTGGTGGACACGGGGAATTCAAGAGCTACTATGTAGACAATGGTCGTGATACAGGTGTCAGTTATGATTAGATCACTCAACTCTTACAAGACCGAGGAACTCAGAGCGATATCTGCATTTACCAACTAGTCCGAGAGTACACATATGGGTCTAACACAGTATGGATGATGACAATCAATTCAACCCAATGCAACTTGCTATCCCTGCTGATTTCGTAAACGAGTTCTGCTCACTATGTGTAATGCCTATTCGCTGCAATGCTCGATGCCAAATACAGTCGCTAATCGCTATCGCAATTCAGGTTGCTCCAGGTATTATTTGTCCGAGTCACTCGTTAAACGCTGTGCAGGCGGCAGGATACAAGTGAGAAACAAGTATTGACGCCTTTCCAAAACCATCTTGCAGCGCTCCAACAAAAAGTGTCTGCTTCGATCCATAAAATACCTCAGATTTATCCGGGGTGAATGTTAAGGATAACCGATCAGAAAACATTGTGTCTTTGGTCATCGTGCCGCCAGTGCACTATGTTTGATGCGTGCCACTCACAATGAATGACGGCACACGGTCCGGAAAAGGTGAAGAGAGAGCACCATAAATGCTATGTCAGTTGTCGTTATGTTTTGACAAAGAAAGCTTGCTGAATTTCGTAGCGTTGCCGACGTTTGTCGTGTGCATGGCTTCATGATCATTGTCTAGCAAGTCGAAGTAAAGAAGTTGGCCCAAAAAAAAAAAAAAAAAGGTTTGTTGTGTCCGACCGTTCTTGTTGGTCTGTCATAGCATGGTCAAAACGTTCAACATGCAGTGCTGAGCCATTTGGGGGCGGGAAATGGATATCCTTTCTCGGTTCCCAATGTGAAAGCCGCCACCCGAGCCTTGCCCGTGCGGTATAGCAAAATGATGATGCGAGAAGAGGCAACCAAGTATAGCCTCAGAAGACGCAAGCTAGAACCGCTGTCAAGAGCATCAGGGTCATATGACGCCCAAAACCCCTGGTAAGAGATACCCCTCCCAACGCCAGGCTGAAACGCAATCGTTGGTGCAAGGAAATTCGCTAATATGAAAGCATTCGGTGGTTTCGGTCACATAGAGCATCAAACGCTGATCGTGATGCCGCTGCAGGGGTATAGTCCAGGCCCATGTCCAGGTCCATGTCACAGTCAACGTGACTTCGACCCATAGCAGTAGGACTTGAATCGATCGAAGGAGAATGTTGGCCAAAAGCAAATGTCTGAGCTCGAACAAGTTTGGATCTCTGTTTCACTTTCCCGAGACCACGCTCACAGTCAAGAACATGCTCTTTCGCATCCATCTCAACATAGTTCTGAGGATAACATCGAGATCGATAATCTTTAAAGAAAGTGCTATAGCCACCATCTAGGATGTAGGTCTCGGGGTAAGTCAAAGCAGGATAGCGATCAGCATTGACAGCGCGATCTTTGTTGCGTATGAATTTGGCCATAAGAGGCGCACGATGGGCAGAGTATTCGCAATGAAATATTAGGAGTGCCTTCGATGTGGGTTCGACGTCGAAAAGCTGCGAGGACAGCTTTTCTTTGTCATTGAAGTTTACAGCACCCTCGATGTGACCACCATTATACTCGTACTCGAATCTGCAGTCAATAATGACCAATTTCTCGTACAAATGGTTGAAGTTACCGTCTAAAACGTCGATCATTGTCTCTTTCGTGATTCGTGGAAGGGCGCCCGCCTCGCCTTCGGGGTTGAAATGTGGTAATTGCGGGACATGAGGCGCCTCAGCATCCATAATGGAGGGCAACAAAGGTGGCGGCGGGCTCAGTCGTTCTTTCTCTTGCTTCATCACATCTTCGGGATGTTCGAACATACTCAAAGACCGTCGAAATTGCTTACGAGGCCGAACCAGAGGGTTGGAGCTCTTTCTCATGTGTCCTCCAATGGGAGACCCGTTGCGGGGATGGCCCGCACCGGACAAGCTCGGACGAGACCGTGGAGGAGCGAAGGCCGGGGTAGCTAGCCGTTGTGCTGGTTTATCTTGTGTGGGTGAGTCGGCAAACATCTCTGACAGAGACAACGAAGACGAGGTTGCCGGCTTGCTCGAGTAGTTACCAAATTTGAATGGGGGGAGCTGACTCTCTGGAGCGGGCCTTGGTAGAAGATTTCCGGTGCTGAAGCCCTTAGCCTTGGTCAATGAAGGTCGCTGCGGGACTGATTTCCGGCGTTCCTGGGGAATATTGATCTGCATTGAATCCATGGGACGATCAGAAGTCGGCGGTGAAGGCACGGATAACATCGAGGAGTCGATAGGTGCGATGTCTGGGGTGGGTGACTGCAGTTCTATTTCCACCGTATAGGGTAACTTGTGTGGCAGAGGCGAGAGGTCCAGTTCCATTGAACTTTGAACGCCAGGAGAAGACGACGGTATCGGTGGCGTGGTGGGGTTTTCTTCCATGCTGGTCAGTCGGAAGAACAATGTGAGTCTTAGGCCTTGCACTTACGGCGACCGTCTTGTCCTGTAAAGATGCTGTTAGGAAAGAGAGCCCTTCGAGGAGTGGGTAGCTGTGGACTAGAGGCAGGTTAGCACCTCATTGATGAAATCCTGTTCCTTTTGGTCGTACCTCTGGTCAATATGGAAATTTTGTGAAAGATCGGCAGCGAGGCTGGCGGTGGGCGAGGAGCCTCGAACGGGGTTGAGACTGAAATAGTCCGGATGGGACTTCTGCACTGTTCTTTTCATGGACAGATCTCTGAAATTGAAGCTGTTGTTTCCAAAGGATTTGGCAGCCGCAAAGGAGGCATATGATGAGGGCGCATCTGCTCGAAACCCACAATGGCCCACGAACGCTGGAGGCTGCATGGCCGCCAACGGTGATGAAGCCTCAATCATGTTTCTTGAATTGATGTTTATGTTCAATTTCTCTCTCTTTATATTCGCAATAACCCGTCCCCCAGATAATTGTCGCGCGTAGCGGAACCAGGGCCAGGTGAGTCTGAATCCCGTCTGCGTAGACCGTTCCACAAGGACGATCAGGACCAGGACTCGATGAAATGCTAAAGGATCGTCGACAGTTGGAAATTCCCTGGCTTCCCTAGCGGGTCCGTGTCGTTGGAGGCTTCAAGAAGCCGTCGAGCAGTCTTTAAGCAATCATGATCCTCAGTGGTAGGGTGTAAAGAGCGACTGGTGGTGGTGATTGCGTGTCTAATAACCGGTGACGACGGAGGCAATGGTGAAAGAGTCAATGCAAAGGAAACGGACCACCGTGCAGAAGACCTCTCCTCCCCCGCTGATACCACTTAGCAACAGGATTGAGAAGGAGCCTCAAGCTGCAGCTCGGTGGCTGAGAAGAGGAGGAAGAGAGTTTTAAGCTGGGTGCAGGTGTAGGTCCTTGTTGTTGCTGGGCAGCATGAACTTGGTGCCAGTGAGGAGCGGATGGAGCGATGGAGCAACGGGAGCGCCGCAATGGCGCCAATGCAGCCGCCCAGACGTTTGACACAGACGAAAGCGCGGGCCTTGGCTTGTGGAAGACTTGAACCTTCGAATCCAGGAAGGCGAAGTAGTACGAACTCTTACAGCTGTGCTATGGCGCTTGACATGATAAGTCAGGCTTCGATCGTGGCTGGCGGGATGATCGTATAGTGTTACATGGCATTATCTACACAGGTATGAGCGCAGGTACGGCATCAGGACGTCAGTACTGCAATCCAAGTTCTCAATGCGTATATATAAGTTAGGATGCTGATTCTAATTGTTCGATAGGTATAGTGAGCAAGGACCGAAAGAGTCCCCAAAGGTGGGAGAGATAGAACATAGCTAGGGGCTAGGGCGCCTCGAGGAATATGCCCATTTGCTAAACGCCGATGGCTTATTAAACCTTAGCTATGGGCCTACCTCCGCCCACCAAACAAAATTCAAACTTGCCATGCGACCATTTCACATACATCTCTCGGTAACCACCTGAACCTTGGAAACGCGGGCAACGGCCTCGCTCAATGACTTAGCTCGTACCAGCAGCAAATGACTTCCCAAGGTATTGCGTTTCATCCACAGACAATTCAGGCCACCCAAGTTGCCTGTTTTCTCCCTTTTTTTTCCCGCGTTCCCTGACATATGTCATAGCCCTTGCAACCGTCGACTGATCCATTTTCCGATCCTCAGGTACTGGGTCGCAGATTCCACGACCCAAATCAGATCTCGATTCAACATCACCTCCTTTGTCAATCCCTCGAGAGCGCATTCCCTCCCCCCGAAGTCTGTCAATTTGACCCAGAGTGGGGCCTTGTCCAATCCTCAGCACCAAATTACTCCTCCAAGCTAGCTCTCTTTTAGGAAGGCTACAGAACTTTCAGCCCGCCTGCAAGCCCTAAGAGGCTTGCTCCTGAGAAGAGCCGACAAGGTTTTACGCCATGACACAAGGTTGCCCCGTGCGATAACCGACCTTTTGGCTTCCTATCACTGTTGCAGGGGAGCGCGTCAAAGACCTTCTCATCCGATGCCCAGCATGAGGAGTTAAAGAACTTTTGATGGTAATCACATTACAAGTGGTATTGATTCCAGTAACGCGCGCGTGTGCGGAGGAATGCCTTGCCCCGTGACCGAGCATGGGACTTTCTGGGGATTTATTCTCGGTGCCTGCGAGGCTCCTCTGACGGCTACCGAGGTTCACATTCACATTGAGAGATTCAGAGCAGAATATCAAAGCCATCCGAAGGAACCGCTTTTCAGTCAATTGTTGATTGCGCCATTCTTCCACTTTATTCATTTGTTGGTCATCATGGAGCTTATCCTATTCGGCAAAGCTTAAGGCCCTAGGCGCTTCATATCCTCGGTTGCGGCTTTGTCGTTCACAGGGATACGAAGCTGCTCATGACTGAATCCACCGAACAACTCCTTCCGCAAAGACATTCAGCTCTTTGCTTCTGTTACTTCGCCTCGACCAATACGCCATCCGGAATAATACGAGGCGGAGTTAAGAAGCTGATGGGTCTTTATCGGCGTCTTGTTTCACACTAGTCCTTATTGTTCTCGGTTGAGGCGTCATGCTACCAGATCCTCCGCGTAGTCGATTGATCAATGATAAGAACTTTGCACAATAGTTCCTTTGACCGACTTGCCGATCCCATGGAAACTTCATTATAGTCCATGCCATGTAATCAAGAGTTGTCATTTTCCCTTATAAACACTCGATTCGGGATTGCGGATTCCTACGTCGGATCGAGGATCTCCTTGAGAAATGACAACAACACACGCAGCCGGCCTCGCGTAATGGTGTTGCAGCGATGTTCGACTAGGGGTGATGAGGGGCCGAAAAAGGGAATTCTGGGATGAATCGTCACGCTCGTCATGACACAGGATTGGATCCGGGGGATTTCCTGGTGTAACTTTCAAGCTCCATCTTCGGTACTGGTTCCCTTTCCGCCTAGCCCGCGCGTCTTCATGCTGCAGCCAACAAGAGCTGCTCGTTCGAATTCCTCGGTCTGGCGGATTTGTCAATGGTCGCCTCAGGGATTACATTGGCCAAAGGACCTTTTTTCAACAGCAGAAGCCAAGTTTCCTGGCCATTAGTGTCGGCCAGGGAATCAGGCTCCAGAAGCTGTTGATCTGGGATACGTGTTCGCCAAGCTCTCTATCAACAATCAAACGCGTCCAATGCGCATGATCACGTGATGCAAGACTGGGCCCCAGCCTTTCTGTGACCCTAACTGTCCCTCGAGACAAAATTGTTCAAGTTTCCTATGATTGAGGTGGCGTCCACGCAGATCAGAGGATCTGTTCCTGTCTTCGTGGCCTAAGACAAGTCATTGCCACTTGGCAAAATTTCGCCCAAAGTGTTGGAAATGATCGTGGAGATTTGACAGCGAGTCATAGCTTCTTGCGAGAGAAAAGAACCTGCACGCTGCAGCCTCCAAAATATCCCGACGGACTAGGCACGGTTCTAATAGTTCCAGCCTTGGAATTCGATGGTAATTAAGCATTGTCACTTCCTTTTCGACCACTACTGTCGGATGAAACCCGGGATATCCATACCTATCGACGAATATTTGATTGATCGGAATGGCCTTACCGACATGGCCCTTGCCAACCCAGAGAGGATCGACCAATAGATGTTATTTTCTTTGAGATTTGACAGATGGAGAGTTCATGGAAAATCCAGACATCCGTCTACCGTGGTGATTTTTATGTTAATGCAAGGTACCAGGTACCATGATCACCCATCACTCCAGGCCTTCCCACTCAGAACAACATCATATAGCTTCTGCAGTAAGAACCCTCTGAGGAAAAATTGCCACGTCTCTCAAGAATGCTCCTAGGTACACACCAGGGGTACGGGTGTTTCCAAGAGTTGATAGAGTTTGGCCTTTTTCCCCTTCCTCTTGTCAAGTGAGTACTCCCCTTTACTAGAGCAACAGATCTCCCGGCTTCAGAAAAATGACGGCTTCCCAGGCCTTGGACGTTGTTGTCCGAGGTTATTTAGTCTTTCTCTTTGTATTCTTAGGAAAAAGGATATGAATCTCGCCCTTGAAATCAACGTGCCTCAGTGATGATATCGATGGAAAGCAAATCGCACGTCTTTTTCTATTGTCAATATCTCCAGCCTTGACGTTGAAGTCAAGCCAATGCAAAGCATCAAGCTTCCCCGTGGTGATATGGGCGTGTCTATGTATGTTGTCTTATTCTATCGTCAATCATCATGTCGGTTGAATCCACTCCTTCCCGGTGACAACTATTTTTGCCACCGTCGTCATCAGCGTCCCAGGACATCCAGCTCAGCCCCCGGAGCTCCTTGAACCCCGACCTCATCCTTCACATTTTCGGTCCTCAGAAATACCCTTCGAACAACCACCCAAGCCTCTCCAATGCCTTCTCGCTCCGTCCTGCAGGATACGTACTCACCCCGAATTTACGTGCTCCTGCTAGATGCGTCGCACGAACAAGCTCCGCATGTTCTTCCTTAGACAACTCATCCAGCACGGCGGCAATAAATCGTCGTGCATTCAGCGCGTTGGCACGCATGTGGCCCATGACCATCTCGACGGATACGTCGCCTGAGTCATGCCAGCACTGCAATATCAGATTTAGGTCGGCACAGAGAACAGAAAACGTATAGACAACAGGGGAAGGGAAGTTACGGGTTTGAGGTAATAACGTACGTCATAGTCCGTACTCATGAGGATGACTTGGTACGCGATCTCGGCCTCGGCGGCGAGTTTGGCCTCGGGAAGCGTGGACATGTTGATTACGGTGCCGCCCCAGCTGCGATACATGTTTGACTCGGCGCGAGTGCTGAATTGTGGTCCTTCTATGGTATGTCAGGCTTTATCAGTAATCACGTCTTGTTGTCCATCAGTTTGTAAGTGTGGGCTCGAGGGGATTTTAGAATAATGAGTCAACCAAAATACATGAGAACCGGTAATGAATAAATCCTGAACCCGACCTCTCTTCTGTCTGGGTCTCTGACACTTCTTCGACAAACGGGGCTGGAGTTAAGTAAGAGCTCCCAAAGGTCGTCTCAGTGGTGCGCGGGGAGCCTCGAAAGATAGAAGGTTGAAAATAAAAGTAACAGATGTAGAACATACGTACCCATAACAATCACACATCCGGTATCATGCAACCTCACCCCTTCGCCCTCTAGACTATGCCCGCACTTCCTCACCACCTCGCCGACTTTTTTGTCAAACGGATCGGCAAACGGCACGTGTACCACCATTCCATCCTCGAAGAACGTGTGCGGCCGGGTCCCCTTGGTCCGATCAATACACTGGTCGGGAACCACAAAGTCGCGGGGCTTGACTTCCTCGGCCAGCGAGCCAGCGGCAGAAAATGCGATGATACAGCGCACGCCGAGTTTGCGAAACGCAGCGATGTTAGCCCGTACCGGGATCTCAGAGGGGTTGAATTCGTGGTGCGGACCGTGGCGGGCGACGAAGGCGATGGGCACAGTCTTGCCGGTTGTAGGCGAGGCATGCTCGAGAATGGTGATCGGGGACGACGGCATGCCCCATGGCGTCGACAGGGTCAGGACGGCGGCTTTACGGAAATGCGGGAGGTGGTCGAGGCCGGTACCGCCTATCACGCCAATGTGGACGGGGTCTGCGCAGACGGAACTCTGGTTAGTTTGTAAGTAGGAAGCGAGAAGAAGGATTCGGTTATAACCTGGTAAGCGGAAACGGACCTGTATATGTGGTGGAGACGTTTTCTTCTGACGACATGTTGTATGATGGTGGATTGGGAATGGTGGGGGAATCTATTCGGTTCAAGGAGAAGTGGTATTCTAAGATGTCAGCAGAAGGCACTGCTTCACGATCTCTGGTAGTAAAATCCAGGAAGTGATAGGGTGAGAAAAAGGCTAGCGCCAATTGGATCGGATGGAGATTACACACTCGATTCAGAGAAAGCAGGATCTATTTCATCAAATGGTGTATCAAAAGGTAATTCATGTTCAAAAAGGCCGTCCCGTCCAGTTTGTCCATCATCGGCGGTATCGCTTCGCTAGAAAAAAAAGTTTTGGAAGATGGCGTACTCGAAGTTGGAGGTCCCAAACCAGCCAATCACAATCAAGTTCGGATTAATATTCCACCGACGATTCTCCTCGTCACTTCTATGAGGCCAAGTATATGCAAGGCAATAAAGACAAAAATGAAACCAAGATCCCAAAAAACTCGTACATTTCCCCTAACGCCTCGAACCCACATAAGCCTCCCTGTGCACACAGCAGCCGCTAAAGATCGGTAGAATCAGGGCCGAGTCGAAGCAGCTACGCAGCCCAAGGGTTCTCATATTCATATCCATAGGTAGTAGTCGCTGCTTTCGACAGTATAACATCACCAGCACTCTGCGACCCGGTTGGAACTCGAGAAGCGACCACCACAGCGGCTCCGTGATCTGAAGGCAGTTCAGCAGGCCGAGGCACTTTCTCGACTTCCGGAAACTTAATGTCAAATTCGTTCTCGGTGCCCGGTTTCGCACCATTGTTGGTAAATATCAATGGCCCTTCAAGTAAGGTCTGGTCCAGGTAGGTTCCCTGGTGAGTTTCCAGGTGCGAAAGCAAGACATTATTTCCATGATAGACCCCAGAGTTGTTTCCCTGCATCATGCACACCAGACAGCGATACAATGATGGTGGCTGTGGATCCGGCTGCTGTTTATGTGACTTTGCAAGGAAAAGAAACCGATATTGAAGTCCGGAAGTAGTCTTCATTACCCGGTCTTCGATGCGATCTCCCTTGTGAGCAGCACTGACGGTGAAATGGCATTTGCTGCTGGCACATTTGTACGTCTTTCCATGCATTCCGACCGGAGCCAGTCTAAAGGCATTCTTGATTTGTCCATCGCGGAGATCATATGCATATTTGCAGGTCCCTTGGTACCTGGTGATTGGAGCAAGGGTGGATGCAGTCGATAAGTTGGACATACCAGACACGGCTGATAAGGTTGACATTGCGGACATGGATGACATGGTGGACAAAGCGGTGCTCTGCCGTGAAATGGGCGCAATAGAAGGTGACGTAGTATTTGACCGAACCGTCGAGCTTCGGCTTTCTGCACTCGACCATGTACCTGTGGAACTAACGGATGTCCCGGTATTTCGACGAGAACTTCGGGGAGCGGCTCCTTGCTCCGACGTCATAGGAGACAACTCAGGCTTGTTCGTTGGCGAGATATTATCCATCTGTGTGGATGTGGCGGAATTTTGGCCATTCTCCTTTCGTCGGAGGACAATGTTGGTAAATGTTCGAGATTTCTTAACCTTGGGCAGTTCTGGAGTTGGAGGAGGTGTTTGCTCAGCCTTGGTTATGGTCGCCGGCTGGGCCTCTGTCTTTTGTAGGCTTGGAGGTGCGAGAGGATGAGGTTGTTGTAGTGGTGGGGCCTGCTGAGAAGACAGGTTCTTTTTCCTTTCTATTTCCTCATCCAACTTGCGCTGGAAGAGTGCATGCAATGCGATCAGAGCATCTACCCGGCCCTTGTCGGATGTATCGATGCAGGTGTCGAAATCGATTACGCCATCATCATCTCTGGCTTGGGTAAGGCCGGCCAATAGGGCATTCTGAGTAGCGATTGTGATCTTGTATAATGCGAGCTGGGCGGTCGCTGGTCCCAATGTTAGCGAGGTGATCCCCTGAGGCTATGGGCGCCTCCTTACCGTCGCCTTCTTCGAAACTCGAGCCAAATCGTTCGTTTCCCTCTGCCACAACTTGTTCTATTTCTCTTTTTCCTTTTTCGATGGATTCTTCGAGGAGATCTGAAGGTGGGAGGGCGTCGTGATTCTGCCGTCGAGCCTTGATCTGTTTGACGACGCGGCTGCCGGCATCGTAGGCCTGGATCAACCCCGCAACGCAGCTAACAATCGCAAGAGCCTCGCCGACTCCAGACATGGCGTGGTGAAGAGTGATATTATGGTGGTGCTCAATGCAATAGGATGATGCGCAAAGTGTTCTTAGAATCCTACAGGAATCGAGCAAGAAGGAGGACGAAGGAAGACATTCTGCCGCACGAGGCTGCGCCTCACCAAATGACTCGAATCGGTCAAAGGTTCCTCTTCCGCCTGATACTTTCTTAGCGGGCTGCCACACCGGCTTGGTGCGTTGTTGGTGTGAAGATTGGTGGAGGCAGTTCACAGGGTGGGAAGCAAGTGGTTTTCCTGCAAAGGGGGCACATGGGGTGAATAGTTCCTCGGCTCAAGCTCTTGAGCAGGGCTGGAGACATTGGCGGCGGACTTTGCACCATAGCTATCGGTTTCCACCATCACATCATCAGATTCGCTGTCTTGATGGAAGCCCTGGAAAAGCACAGCCTCACCAATTCCATTGTTTTCAGAAGGTTGCACCTCTCTGAGAACGTGGGTTGGTACCTGCGGTGACGATCTGAGTGGCTGCCACGAGCTTCCTCCACCCTTGACCCTTCTCCCGCCAATCCGATTCTCAGCTCCCCATCAAATGAAAAGTCCCTTCTGTCAATAAAAACTCCGTAGGGCTGAATATCACTTCAAAATTCGCTCATTTTCCTCCTGAAGCGTTCCCTCTCAAGGTTCGTTTCACCATTGGGTGCCAAAATGTTCGCAGTGCCGGACGCAAAGAGGTGAGTGAATCCCATTTCATCAAGAACCAATCTAAGCATCCTGGTAGAATCAAGCGATCTGAACTGTTCCAAACAGACGACAGCGCTCGTAACTCTTCCTCTTCCTCGCCAGTCAATACCCAAAACGACCCGGACAATAAAATTTTGGCTGCTGATTATGGTTTCGAATACGACTTTATCGCTCCCAAAGACGCTTCGTCAACGACGCCTCGAGAGTTGGATGGAGTACAAAGTCTAAAAGGAGCACAGGAACAAGAATATTCATTCCGGCTCTTTACACCAGCCGCGAAATCAACACCTCAAGGATCAAGCTCCCAGATTTCTTCTTCAAAGCCAACAACAGTCCAGCTCTCGCCTACACCAGAACCAACCACTCTCTCTGATGCGCTCTCACTAGAAAAAGCACATTTCATTCACCCCAACCGCCCCGACGGATATTACTTCACCTCTGCGTTTCCCCCAGAGACCATCCAGGCTTTGAAATGCCAGTATGCGGATGTCGCGGTTTCAGCCTCGGACATACTCTCTCGGGCTAGTTCAATGGAATGGCCCGGCACCGCACTCCCTTGGCGTGTCATTCATGTAAGATTGGCAAATCGACGGAGCCTAAAATCTGAATCTAGCTCAACCACAGAAACCACCACAGAAAGAGCTCTCGGAAGGACAGGCGTGAAAAAGCCGTCGAAGAAACGTCGCATCCTTCTCCGTCGACGGCACACGTTGCGCACAGAACTGGCTGCTCAGGCGAAAGTGGCGGAAGAATCAGAGCGGGAGAAACGCACGCGCCGAAACCGCGAGAAGAAGGTGAAGCGGAAGGAGAGGGAGAAGAGAAAGAAGTTGGAAGCGGAAGGTCAAGGGAAAGATGAATATGTGGACGGGGTTGATGATGAGGTACCAGGAGCGCCGAAAGAGAATATCGGGGATGAACCAAAACCAGATGCCTCGGCGGACAACAGGGACAATGAAGAAAACAAAGATCGAACACTCGAAACGTCGACGTTGGCGCAAATCTCGACAGTACTTACTCATGATGGGAATGGGAATCTTGATAAGGTTTCAGCGGCATCAACAGCGCGATCAGCACCCACAGCGCCCACGACAATGATGGCGGCAGTACCGGCAGAGGCGGCGACAGCGACATCGAAACCCCTCCAAGCGCCAATCCGTCGTGTCCCAACGGCCAGAGCACCAACATCAGTACGTCCGACAGGTCGACAAAGCTGAGTTGACCGGCAAGGGAAAAGGGCTCAGGACCCTCAGTCTTACGACTGTATTTTCGCATTCATATTCAGGATCGAGGAACGTTACGCATCAACTTTGTTCTTCACTAGTACTTTTCGATTGGAACCTTTCGGGATTTCACATTCTCTAACCTAGCCCATTTCTTCCCCTTGGCCGTTTCCCCCCTTGATTTGGTTATGTATCCGACCGTGCTCTTGCACCCGGACCAGTTGCCGTAGCAAAGCAGGTTCGCCAGACCACGGAAGTGGCACACGAATAAGAATCTGAACAAACATGTTTCACGGCATTTGCAGAGCTAACATTCTCGTTCGTGTCTTGAATCTTCCTCTGTTCAATTCCGATCGACTCGAGTTTCATCATTTACTGCCCATTCGAGATGGCGCCCGCAAGCCGTTTGCGCATGAAATCAAAAAAGGCAAACTGGCTGGGCGTAGCACCGTACTCGTACACAAATCGACTCGCCATGTAACTGCCAAAGATAGACCTGAGATACTTCTCAGGAACTCGCTGGAGAATCTTTTCCAAGCCGACCTTGCTCTGGAGTGTCTTGGGGAGCGCCTCCTTGAACACCGCCACCCGTAACGGTTTGTTGTCCCAGAGTTCAGTGAAGTTCTGAAGTTCCTCATCAAGCTTGGTGATCGCAAGGGAGAGCTGGTCTGAAAGAGTCGAGCGCGGAACTCCCGTAGCGGCATGCTCGCGCCAAATCGCCTCAAATTCGAGTCGGGCGTTCCACTGGATTGTCTCTTGCACTTCCTTGACGTACATCTTGTAGAATTCAGGAACTGTTCCGTCTGCATCAACGCACATGTTCTCAATGAATCCTTTGTCATCGAAGGACAAACTGGCCAGAACTTCGAGTGAGGACGACGTCACGCCACCCTTGTTGGCAGAAGCGTCTTTGTATATTATACAGCCAGCCTGTTCAAGGCGGAGCTTGGCGTCCTGCGTGATGAAGAGGTTGGCGCCTTCGACAATGTACGGGATTGTGCATTGGCCGTTCACGATCAGTTTGCTGGCGGTTGATAGGTCGATAGACTCGGGGCGCCCACCACAAGGGACAAAGATGTCATATTGCGCGCCATCGCGGAGGTGGAATGTGTTCCGGAAGGTCATACCGTTATTCACTTTCTCTCCAGAAGGCAGTGTGACGTTGGCGTCTTCGACTAAGACACGGTATCCTTGCGGTGAGAATTTTGAAACATCGTATTCTTGGATCATCACACGTTTCTTCGCCAGACGTAGTAATTCAGCGCGGTCCAGCCCGGCAGGATCGACAAGAACACCAGATCCATCAACGATGGCAGTGTATTTTTCATTGCTGAGGAGGATTTCATTGGAACCCAGGTCCCCATCAGGTCCACCGGTCTGGAGCTTTCTGACTTGTCTTGGATCCAGATTCAACTTGCGATAGATTCCGAGCACATACTCCCGAACTGACAGGGTCGTCATTCCATAAGCGTCGTGAGGAATGCCTCCAAGTTCGGGACTCTTGCCGGTAAAGAATGACTTCCACCACGGAGCGCCCCGAACACGGGCATGTTCTGTAGCCCAGTCCACCAGGTCAGCGGTGTTCTCATCAGGTCCCATGAAGAGTATCTCTTCTTGTCCGTGGAGATCGACGATCGGATCTTTGATGCCAGGGCTCGTAGGAGGCAGAAGAAGGTCCATAATGCTGTCGATATATTTCTCGAAAGCAACACGGGCTTTGTCTTGGTGGTTGTAATCAAGTAGAATGACTCCTTTGGATCCGCCTTCAGGGATATCCTTGTTCTTCCGCTGCTGGGTATTGGCAAGATTGTAGTTCTCGTCGAATTGAGTCCGGGCATTGATGGCGTAAAGTTCCTTGTTACGGGACTTGACGATTCGGATGCCACCACGAGCGATGTCGCGGAATCGAAGGTGGAAGCCTCTGAATTCGGACCCAATGACCAAGAACATACCGTATAGCGGTTGAGGATACTCATGTTCAGGTAAGAAGTCGGTGCTTGGCTTCAGTCTGAAACTGAGGGCGACCTTGGTGGGAGTGTAGAAGTTGGTCTTCAAGACGGCTTTGTTGAAGGTCAAGAAGTATTGCATGACCATTTCATCATGTTGATTGACGACGGTCCTGGAGATCATTTCGGACAAGGTATCGTCGTCGAGAACCTTTTCCACATTCAACCGCAAATAACTGAGGGTAGGAATGAAATCGTCCTCTTCACCCCTAGTCTGGACATAGTGCGTACTGGCAAAGGATAGATACAGAGATCGAATGAGATCCGGATATTTGTTGATAATCTCGAGAATATAGTCGGAGGTAAATGTTTCCGTTCGCAGACGCTTCTTGATTTTGGAGAGCAGCTCTGCATTTGAATGTGTATCTCCCAAAGCGGCTACCAAAGACGTGTACTCGGAGCCAAGACGGTTGAGGAACTGCTGCACAAAAACATGAACGCAGTGAGCGTAAATACTCTCCTGTAAGCTCAGGTTGCCGCTGGCAAATTGTCCCTGGAGCTTGTTCTGCGGGATACAGAATAGGAGAGAAACTTCTTTGATGATTTGGTGGATGGCGGCCTCGATCGGCGGGAATCGAGATTTGGCGATATCATTGCTGGCGGGTTTGAGATACAGAGAGATGACCGTAATGCCATTGGAAAATTGTTCGACGTATTTTCTGGAGCTTGTGACTCCGTAGTAATGGTAGAGATCCGACAAAGCACTGAAGACGCCCATGGCTGAACCTTGACGGTAGGCAATCACCAGCCTCTTCTCACGTGTACCCTCCATTTCGAACATCTCAATAACGGGACCCGTCCTATGGACCGCATAGGTAATGATCTCCTGATAGATCTCTTTCGTTTTCTGGGTGGCTTTCTGGAGGAATCTCTTCTCGCCAATGACTTCAAGATCGGTCTCATTTGGTTTGGGGTGGGGGTTCTTGAACTGACATTGATATACGAAATAACATCGCAATGACTCGTCTGGGTTCTGTGGGAGAGCATTGGTGGCTCTGAACGACTCCACTCGGTAGCTCCTAACAGGTGTAGAGCCGTCAACATATTTTTCGTCTATCCTTTGCTCGTATCTTGGTCCATCAATGACGCTGATTCCAGGCTTGCTCGTGTCAATATAGACGGCATGGTCGGAGGCCTCCTTGGCCAGCCTGATCTCCAATTTGTTGTCATCTCTCGCGTAGGCTGCCAGCTTTGCAGCATATAGGGAGAGGACGTGACTGGCGACAGCTTCGACCGTCTCGGTGGAGAAATACATGTCGTCGATCCCCAAGGCATTGTAGAACCACTCTGTCTCGGAGGCCACAAATTCGGTAGGCAAGAAACCCTTTTCTTCGATGAGGTCCATAACTGCGACTCAGTCAGTATGCAGAAGATTCGTTCATCGGCCAGCTTCCTCACCCTCTTCCATTTGGGCCTTCTTGCCCTCAAATTTGGGAGCCACGTAACCGGAGCTGTGGTCTGACAAGGTTCGGTGTAGGGATTGGTTCGACTGGGAAGCACCGGGAACTCCTAGCAAGGTCGGCTGAGGAGAAGGTTGTCTCCCAGGAGTTCGGATGACTTGCTCGACGAGTTTGTGTTTGACTGGATTCGGTGGCTGGTCGCCGTTCACCGTTGAAGGATCCATATTGGTGTCTCAGAGATATCAAAGATGACAAGGAGAGAGCGACAGTCAGAAATGAAATGGAATTGAGCGGAAGAAGAAGCTCAAGCGATGCCCAGGAGATTTGAAGAGGTTTATCTTGCTCAGCTATCTCTCGGTGTACAGGGCGCAAGGAGGGCGTTCCGCTGAATTGTAGTGCAATTGAATTTCAATTCGGCGCCCGCATCAGACAGAACCGTTTATCGGGCAATACCTTGCGATAAGAGCCAGGTCTCACCACAGCTGAAACACTCTTTGGGGCGAAAGCTCGCAACTTGTTTCTTTCTTCTAAGAGTAGATTGAATACGTGGCCGCCCATAGCCCCCGCAGTGGATTTATATTGAGACATAATGCGCAAAGTTTTCCACCGTCTTGCATCACATGGCTCCAAAATGAGAGAATTCATGAGGACTTGTTACGCGACACTATCCCCCGCAATTGGACACCAAAGCGCCACTATGAGATGCTGGTGGCCGATTTTTCAGGCACCCTGCAAATCCTGTTAAACCAGATCGATGCTAGTTTCTTCAGGCACGGCCACAGTCCTATCAAGCACGCCAGCATTCCCCGACCAGCCGACTTGCCCGCTTAGCGTCGGAACGGGTAGGAACCTGTGTCCTCAGAACCATTTATGACAGAGCCGTGAGAGGAGAGAGAGAGGAAAAAAAAAGGTCCAGTAAGAAAATAGATTCGAAAGAGGCTTTTCGAGGTGGAACATATCCGTATCTCGTGTGCTGCGGGCATGCCATTCCAAGATGCTACCCAATGCATGTACTGATGTACTCGGTACAACTGATTCCATAATCTAGAACTCCTACATCGCCGTCAAAGAACAATTCAAATCATACGCGCGGTCTGTGTTCCACCGCTTCTTCTTCCGCGCGACCGGTGAGGCTACTGCTTCCGCCATGGCGGCTGTTTGTGTCCACTTCCCCGTCTTTATCGGGGTCATAATAAGGCGCAACAATCCTTGGGCTTAGGATCTTGGGGTCGGCATCGTCGGCCTTGTATACCACGTCTTCATCAATCGATCGACCGTGTCCCGGGACTTCACCTGCCAATAGACCACCACGTTCATTGTCTCCTCCGTCACCCACGTCTTCCTCTAATTCATCTCGTGGACCTTTGTTGCTCTTGATAAATGTGTCGATAATATAGTATTGTACCGCGTTCATGATCAATGGAAATATGAGCATGACAAAGGCAATCTGAATGGCCTCATTCCCCTCTGTCCACCGAAGCGCCCAATCTCCCACTCGCCCAAGCCATGGACACAGTTGGAAAATCACGAACACGCAGGCTTTCATCCCCATCAACCCCAGAAAGTAGATCAGACATTGCTTGAGCCACCAGGAAGCGTCAGGAGGGTTGCCATAATTACCGGACTCGATTGACTCGAGGGGTTTGGCAAGGCATGTGTAACTGGCTCCCACGGTTAAAATCCTGAGAATCCCGATCAATATAGGTATGCCAATGGTGGTATCGATGGCTAAATTGAGGAGGTAGAATGAGCAGGGATTTGGCTGATATTTCTCCACTCTCTCTTCCCCCCCAGCTCTTGGAGTAATACGGGCCCAACTTTCTTGAATCTGTCCGGAGGAAAACATCGACATGACGAGATTGGTCAGATGGAGGAGGATTGATCCCACCACTTGCTTAGATACATCAAATAACCAAACTTTGATCGGTCGTTGTGGTCTCTCCCTCCATCGTTTGTACACCAACGAAGTCAGCGCAAGGGCTCCCAGCGCTCCTTGAACCAAGATGGCGAATGGACCTAATAATTTGCATTCGCCAGTATTTTCGCCATCGGGAGGAGTCGTTGAAGAGGTTGCGGAAGGGGTGGACGAAGCCAGCGGCAAGATAGAAGATCGAGCAGCTGAAGCAGCAGTCGCTATACCGACGACGATAGAGGTAGTCGTCGTTGCCATGCTTGAGGACGCAATAGATGAGGGCAATGTAGGGAAAGGAGCATCGTGAACATCTGCGGTCGATGGAGCCGGTTCGGGAGGGTGCATGTGCGGGCTTGGGGGACAGCAAGCTGTCGCTATTGTCCCATAGAAGAAAGAGGGATGCAGATTTCAGCCTGCTGAGAATTTACTGCACGTGTTTAGCATCAAAATTGGGAGAATACCTGTTCATAGGAATGGTATCTAGGCAACGAGGTACTTGTACAAATTCCGCTGCAAGGCAACTGACAGTGGCATCAAGATGGCGAGAGGGGAGATGCCTGTCTGGGATGAAACTGATGCCGCCCTATCTGGGCCTTGGCGAGTGCAAAGCTAACGCCATAAAGCAGCGTTCACGACCTTCTGGACTTTGCTGACGCAACTTTCATATACACAATCCTCAATCAGCCTTGAATGGTCATAAGGAAAGTTGTGTCAATAGAGACGCTGACCCAAGGCGCGGACTCAGTTTGATAAAGCCATTCTAGACCCTTCGCAAAGTGGCCTACTCTCTAACCCGCAACCCCCACCCATCTCGCACTGATGATCACATAACAGAGTACGCCGAAAGCGGCTACTCGAATTGGTCCGTCCATTTCCAGGGCATGTGTCGCGTCATCGAAGCCGGATGACGCGCTGAAATCGCAGAACACAACTTCTCGCTACGAAGGCAAATTGCCATGTTGGCATGATACGATTTGACCAGTGCTCTCATTTCGCGAAGAGGACCCATCTTCCCAAGACGATATATCGAAGCACTTATGACCTGGCAATCCGAGACCGAGTGGAGTCTGTTCGCTCTCAATGGCTTCCTGACATTTTACTCACAGATATTTACGACATCGTGTCTGCGGTATCCTGGGGCCCTTATGCTATAGGCCAACATGTCTCTCGTGTTTTCAAAACGTCCGCAACCAACCCTTTCCAATCTCCCATTCAAGTTGACTCCGGCGAAGACAGCGTTAGCAGCAGAAGTACTACTTGCTCATTTCCTATCAAGCCCCTGTCCTCTCTCGCGCCCCACGCTGAATCTCCTTTTCCCTACTCACAACGCCGACCGCTGTCAATGGGTTGCGGAGGAAATCTTCCGCTTCATGGTCGGTCTTCCACCAATATCTCACCTCCAGAATCAGCGTCTTATCCCCGTCATCTTTGCAGTGTGCGAGATGAAATCCACCTCCGAACAATTGTCTTGCCACCTTATGGCAGTGGAATATTACCAGAGGTGGAAAGTACAGAGTGACCTTGCCGTCTTCAATACGGTGATAGGCTTGATGGAGACAGTTTGGCGTCTAATTGATGACGGATTGGACCTTGAGAACGTTTGGTGGAGTGATGTCCCAAGAGTGTTTTGGACCTCGTCATCCTCGTCGGGTGCAATGAAGGCCGCTGTGGCGTGGGAGGACGCAGGTCCCGGGAAAGACTGAAAGCTAGGTTAGGGGCGGAGTGAAATTGATCAATTTCATCAAGCTATTTATTGTCCCTTCTGAACCATGGAGCCAGTGCCTTCGCTGGATGTTCTCTCCTTTTGTCTGTCATTCCTTCAAAATAAATCTTTGTATTTAGCCTCACCAGGATGCAAAAGCACTATCGGATCGTTCAAATTGACCCAGCCCAAAAAGGGCCTCGACAATCCCCACCCAACACGCTGCTGTAGCCAACCCGGCAACTCGCGAATCTTTTCCCAATCATTAGCAAGATACTGGTTCTCTTCTTGCCTCATCCAGCTACGTGTGAAGAAACACGAGAACACCAAGCGTTCCTCGGTTTCTGTCTTGTTGGTGCTTCCGCCATGAAAACAGCCCGATAGGACCATGAATGCGTCGCCCGGGTTTAATTCGGCGTAGAAGGTCTGGTCTTCGCGCGGCGGACCCTCGTTGTAGTCCCAGAGATGCGAGCCAGGTATGAAGCGCGTGGCGCCGTTTTGTCGGGTGGTCTTCTTTCCGGCGACGAATAAACCAATCCCGGCGTCGCGGCCCATTTCGCGCTTTGCGATGGCGCGGTGGTCGCGGTGGTGGATCATATCATCTCTAAAGGCACAAAAGCTTTTCATCAATCCATCAAAACCGGGAGGGGCGTTCAAGGTGGAAGAGACGGAGTAAGAGGAAAAGCTAGGAGCTGACCGACCTGTGAAGAGCTTGGTCTCGTGCCCCAGGCCCAATGCTGAACACAATGGTATTATTGAGCTGGGGCTTTGAGACGCTCTGTTCTCGCTTTTCTCCAATCTTTGATTTTGATTGAGGTACCGTCAGTTCTGATGTGTCTCCTGGCGCGAAAGGATAGAAACCGTCAAGTGAGAGTACATCTGTACCGGTAGGACACGAGATGCGGGGGCGTAACTATCAATTCTCTTACCCAATTATTGATACTCTCACTTGTCAATAAGGCATCGACCACCTCCAACCAGAGCTCATGACCAACGACCCTCAGCGCGAATGTCTTGGACTTGCTAATAAGACCAAAAGCTCTTCGTGTTTCGGGCGGGAAGAAATCTCCATCCCAGGGGGCATCTTTATCCAACCATGGGCGAACATCGGCCTCGATCTCACGAGTCTCTTCACGGGTTAAAAAGTTTCGGATAACGACGCCTCCAGACACTTTGAGGGCGGTGACCAAGCCGGAGGAGGTGCATGTTGCCGCGTCATACTCGAGGACAGGCGGGAGGAGAGACTTGGAGGATTTGGGTTCGTCGTTGTCGATGAAAGCAGCCAGACTTTTAGTAGAGGGCAAGTTCTCTGGTGGGAATATTGCGGAAGGTGCCATTTTAGTAAAACTTGTGCCGGTAGTGGATGATACTAGAAGAGATTTGAGTTGAAGAATCGAGAACAATCAGATCAGTGACTCGGAGAAGGAGAAAGTCGTCCGAACGGCCGTGCGGACGTCTTTTATTTGCCATGAGAAGCTCACAAAGCGCCCGCCGTTATGACTCGGTTTTGAAAACTCGGCTCGAGGGTCACCACCGTCTCTCTCCTCTTCCCTCCCCCAATTTTAATGCGCACCGCCACCCACCAGTGTATCGACATATTGCCAGTACTTCTTGGCTGAGAGCTTTCGCAATTTTTTACCAAAGAAGATAAAGATCAAGAAACTGAAAGTACATGCAAGCGAGAGCATGCCGACAGCAACAAACGTCTTGACCAGTCCCTGATCGTCCAGCCATGGTGTGATACCATACGAGAAACCGAACCCCATGGTGTTGCGGATGACAATGACAAGAATCAAAGTCTCGCCTGCAATCTCTTTGAAGCAATCAACGTCATATGAAATGGCAGCCGAAGCACCAGCCACGACCGCAAACTCAACCATTCCCACGCCGATGATCAGTCCCATGTAGTGAACTTGATGAGCGGCACCCACCCCCCAGAGAATGAAGCCGCCCGCACCGATGGCACCGGAGACAAGAAGTGTCCATAGGCGATGTTCCGGTTCTCGAATCCCGCCATTGCGACGAGCGAGATACAAGGCGACTTTATCTCCAACCCATCCAGCCCAAAGCGCACCGAGTAGAGCGCCCGTGAAGACCGAAAGATATGACGTGCCAACCATGCTTGGGGCGAAGTTGTAAGGGGCGCCGCTGAGAATTAGACTCATGGTTGCATTGACAACGGTATACCAGGATAGGTTGCTTCCATAGAGAAAACCAGACCAGTCGACGGATGGGAAGTAAAAGAAGACGAGGAGTGGTCGGTACATCATAACGAACATTTGCTTGACTGAAGGACGACCCGGCAAGTTTTGGAAAAGGGACAGTTTCTGGAGGTATGTACGAGGCTTCGGGTAGCGAGAGACGCGTTCGGCTGGTGGAGAGGAAAGTCCACTTTCCACATTAGCAACAGGTCCATTCTTCTCGGTCGGTGTGTCAGTCTCGGAAACGATCTTGCTGGATTGTCGTTCTTCATGGATGGCATCTCCTTCGTCAACTCCTTCAATCGTCTCGCGAAAGTACATCGTCTCTTCGAGGCCAAAATAAATGATGACCGTAGTCACGGCGAGTACAATGGTACCAAACCAGATGGCGGCTCGCCATCCGTAGGCATCGGCAACGAATCCGGCCAAAAAGGGGGCCAGGGCGTTTCCTCCAAAGACAAAGAGTGCGTAGATGCTAGGTTGTAGCGGTTAGCAGAGGAAGAGATCGACCTGCAAGACAGAAATTCTCACCCAATGTAGAATCCTCGCTCGTGGGCAAAAAAGAGATCCGGCACCGACACTTCGGGCAGTGATTCAACTGGAGCACAAGCAAGCCCAATCAATATTCGGTGAGCATACCACTCTCCAGCTGAGCGAGTATATGCTGTCCAGACCATGGGTCCGATCGTGAGCAAGCTTGTGAGGACATAGACACCACGGCGGCCGAAGACCAACCCGATTGGCTGCCAGATCAGACAACCCCAACCGAGGAACAAGAACATCAATCCCGTGCCAGTATTGAGATTTGCAATGGAGATACCAGTCTCTTCGGCGATGTCGGCAAGGATGGAGTATTGGACCGTGGTAGCAATGGCCAGGCCGAAAATATAGGTGTACACCATCCAGATGGCCAATTGCTTACGCCATGGTTTCCAGTTCAGAGGATCTTCAGGATCAGCGCTCGGACGAGGATTCAGAACAATGTCGTGGTGATGGCTGGTGTGATGCTCCGTATCAACCAGATGAATGGTCCCGGGAACCACATCACGGGTGTCTGAGACCATGATGAAGACGGCTGGTCACAGTAGTAGTAGAAGAAGAAATGACTAGAAGGACATCTGCTCTTTCTCCGGGCTGTGTCCCACATTTCATTATATAGCCCAAGACAGACATGATATGGACGAAGGATCTTCTAATTTATCCTTCCAAATCCAGAAACGTTGTCCACCAAGAGATAGGATTCAAAAATTGCCCACCGAAGCGGCTTTGATTTGACACACTTTCTCCAAATCACCTTATCTTACCTTCCGTATATGAGGGATCTTCCCATAATAATAAGGGAGCGGACATGATAACAGTATGGGCCCCAAGCCAGAGACGATGGAGAGGCAAGGCTAGTGGTCGAAAGGGGATGAAATTTGAGGAGATGGAGATCATCGGCGATATACAAGTCCTGATAAGTCCAACGGTACGTCTCTGGGTCTCGTCCTCGGTTGCTGCTGTTTCTAAAGAGGAAGGAGAGACCCACTCACCTGCCATGTCTTAGGTTCTAATTGACTCTCCGGCGACCATCAGAGATAATGGATATTACCGTGTCGAGCCTTGCGCATTGCCTTTGTCCTTGACTCCTCCTCGTCCTCGAATCGGAGAAAAGCGAATTGATTTCTCGTCGACCTTGAGCATGCACCAGTATTGTGGTGCTCTCCATGTCCCACCCTAAGTCCAACCACTAGAAACGCACGCTCCGGCCGACTACCATCGACGCTGGCCGGTACGCTCCTCTGACGGGGTAACCACTATAAGAACGACACTTTTCCTTTCCACATCTTTGCCAGCATTCTCTCTCTTCACCACCGTCTAATACTCTGCATTCCATCTTTGCCATGGCCACCATCTGCGAGCCACCATCCGACTACCCTGCTGAAATCATCGGCTATGCGGAGCCATGGATCGTGAGTCCTGGTGACACAGTCGCTATCAAGGTATGATTACTTGATTCTTACCATGGGAGGACCTCGGAACAGGAAGGAAGATCGTTCTGGTCCTATCGTCGGTGGAAACAGTGATGGCAGTCGCTTCACTCTCCTTTCCTCTCTGACGAGACATCCAGATCTCATCGACAGAACCTGAATACAAATATCGTACCGTCCGGATCATCCAGAGTGTCGATATCGAGCACTCCCCGAGGAAACAGGAGGAGGTCATCTCCGTCATTCCGGCCGGGGAGGGTAAGGGTCGATATCAACTTGCACGACCTGGGTCCTACGCTCTTGTCGAGGACTGGGTGCCAGGCTCAGTAAGCAATGTGAAAGGACTCGAAATTTCTTTCTACATGCAACCATGGTTGCCCAAGTCTGGCCACACTCAGACCCTCGTCTCCGCGCTTGACGTGGATCTCAAGACAGGGTTTGCTGCGGTGATCACGGAAGCCGGAAAGCTGGATTTCTGGATTGGCACGGGCAAGGATGTCGAGGTCATCACCACCGACTTCGGCCCCGCGAAGAAGAGATGGGTTGAAGTCAAAGTGGTCCTCGAGGGGATTGCTTTCGCCGGTTCGATTACGCCCGTTTCGCTTTTCGCGGAACCTCCTCTGCCTCCCATCAAAGTCGAACGTCAACTTACCAATCCATTTGCCATGCCCGCTTCTACTTCTCTCCTGTTCGGTGCAAGCTACGCGGAATCTACAACTGCGCCGTTCCCACGTCCGACAAACTTTTTCAACGGCCGTTTGGACAGCCCGTCCATCAAAACAACCAACACGCCAACAACTACCCTCGTCAAGTACGACTTCTCTCGGAATATGTCTAGCGACTTGATAACCGACGTCTCAGGAAATGGCCATACCGGCAAACTCATCAATGCGCCTACTCGAGCAGTTAGAGGTTGGGATTGGGACGGCACCGAATCCGATTGGACCAAAGCGAAATACGGCTACGGAGCGATCCACTTTCATGAAGACGATCTGGATGACGCGCAATGGGAGACCGACTTCAGCATCACCATCCCCGAAGATGCACGGTCAGGTGCATATGCCGTCGAAGTCGACGCAACGAGCGGCAAAACCTCAGACAGCATTCCTTTCTTCGTCCGACCCAGCAAGAAGGCCTGGAAACAGCGAGAAGGTAAAGTAGCCCTCGTCATCTCTACATTTACGTACCTCGCATACGCGAATGAACATCTATGGGAGAAGACGCGGCTGTCGGCCATCGACGTCGGACCCAACTTTGACCCAACCAACATCGCCCAAAGCGAACATTTTGAGCGGCTCAAGCGACGCTCCGACCTCGGTCTATCCAACTACGACGTGCACAACGACGAGTCCGGCGTCGTGTATTCTTCTGCAAAGCGACCAATTCTCAACATCCGACCAAACTATATCATGTGGGCATTCAAACGGCCCCGGGAATTCAGCGCTGATACCATGTTAATTGGGCTGCTGGAGCGGGAGCAGGTGCCCTATGAGATCATCACGGACCACGACCTGCACGAACGAGGCGTCGCAGCTATCAGCGGCTTCAATACAGTCATCACGGGAGCCCACCCCGAATATCCCAGCGTTGAATCGTACAATGCCTATACCGCATATGCGACACAGGGAGGAAATCTAATGTATCTCGGCGGCAACGGCTTTTATTGGGTCACTGCTACCGACATGGCGATGCGGCCGCATCGACTCGAAGTCCGTCGCGGAGATCAAGGGGTGCGCTCCTACGGTCTTCCCGGCGGCGAGCACGTGCTCAGTACCAACGGCCAGCTCGGCACGCTCTGGCGCACCCGTGGCCGTGCGTGTAATGTGCTCTTTGGCATTGGCTTTTCCGGCGAGGGCGCCGGGCCGGGCGTCCCCTATAAACGCACAGACCTAAGCAAGACAGACAAGTCCGTCAGTTGGATGTTCGAAGGTTTCGCCGACGGCGAGGACCTCATCGGTGAATTTGGCCTCGGCGGCGGCGCCAGCGGCGATGAGATGGACCGCTTCGACGAAGCCATTGGGAGTCCCTCATGCGTTAAGATTCTAGCATCCAGCACGGGTCATCCAGACGATTTCTGCATTGTGCCCGAAGACCTCGTGTTCCCGCCCGTGCACACGCTGGGTACACAAACGGATCTCATCCGCTCGGATCTCACGTATTACGTCAATAGTGGAGGAGGGGGGATTTTTTCTGTCGGAAGTATCAATTGGATGTGTTCGCTGGGCTGGGACGATTATCAGAATAATGTTGCCAAGTTGACTGCGAATGTGATTAAGGGGTTCTTGGGGGGATTGAGATGAAGAGCCAGAAATAAAGGAGGTGAATTTATATAATCTGCTTGATATCATCACATCACATCGTGGCAGGGAGTGACATTGAGCGCGTCACATGATATCATGATAGTCGCGTGACAAGGTCGACCGTTTCCACTTGTAGAAAATCTTGAGGATAGGAAAAAGATCTTGGAGAGCACGAGTCAGCGCAGAGGAGGGAACAGTACAGAGAGAATCGGTTCGGTTTTTCAAGTCTAATTCTCATTCTCCAGCATTGGCACATACGCACCCTGTAACCTCAGTAGGGCGCATTGGCAAGCCCCTAACCCAAGTCTATCAAGCAAAACAGAGACTCCGACCAGGGTCTTGTAACTAAAACTCAAAAACCGTCAAGGTATGGGTATCATGATGCTGTGTGGGCGTTGGTCGTCAATCCCGGAAAATAAAAAAAGGATGTCGCAGAACACCGAGCATTGAAAACAATGGGGCGATTTCTCTTCCTTTCTTTCTTCGTCATTTCTCATCTCATCTCATCTCGTGGACTTGTTTTCATAGATCATATAGATCATCTTCTCCATTCTCATTCGTCAGGTGTAAACGACCAATTTTGTCACCGCTACTTAACCAGTTCTTGATCACACATGGTGACTCTTCGGGTCCGGCGCAGATCTTCTTACGGTCGAGATCCTTGAACTTGGGTCCTTTAGGTCCGTTCACATAGTGATATTGGCCCGCAAAGCGGTATTGTCGTTTGTCGTTGAGCGGGTAGAACTTGTCACCCCAACGGCCTCTGAACTGGAACCACTCAGTCGGCGCCGAGGGGGTGAGGTTGGACGAACGTAGGATATCCGCTTTGTAGTCGTACGTATAGGCGTGCGAGTTCAGCGCGGGGTCCCACAGAGGCCCGCGATCAGTCACATCATGGAGGATGCCCCATGGTAAAATGTAAGGGTGTGTTCCCGGGGTCGAATACATGGCATGCGTGCCGTACGCGGAGTAAATGACTGGACGTTTTCCCAGTTTCTCGACAGCATCGTAGCTGTAAGCGGAGCCAAAATTGTGTTCACTGAAGAAGACGGCTTTGGGCTTACCGTGTTGGAATCGGATAGCGGTGTGCTCCCAATCGCCCACGTGGTTGCCAAAGCGAATGTTGAGGACCACGTTCCCAAGATTGAAGCTGTAAAAGAAGAACCAGAAGGCGTCGACGATGCCATGGCCCTTGTTGACGGTGACCAATACTGCAGGAGCGTCGCTTCGGCCACCTCGAATCTTGCCCGGCGCGTGATCTCGAATGGTTGAGCGTCTCAATTCATGATGGACGCGGTGTGCCGCCATGCTCTCCTCTGATTGGCCGGAGAATGTCATTTGAAAATCTTTGGTCTGTTCCAAATCCTCAACATCAGGTCCGAACCAGTCTTTCAGATCGGCCATGGCATCCTTTAACCCTTGGACATATGTTCGACCGGGCTTGTGGACCCACCCTTCGTTGTCTTCAAACAAGTCATCCGGATTCGAGGGTTCACTGGGAATGTTTTTTTCACCCTCCAACCATTCTGGCCGTTCCTCCACGTTGTCGTTGCTGGTCAGAAACACCCACCTACCGTTCTGCCACTCGTTCAGCTGGTTTAGATTGTTCAAATTTGGGTGTCTCTGTTCCGATTGCAGAGGGGTATAGTTCAATGCCGGAGTGATGTGATAGAGATGCTCGGCAACATCACAGGGCCAGAATTGCTCTCCGGAGTACAGATGGACCAGGGGTGCGTATTCCATCACATAGTCGGGAATTTCTCTCAAGACACGTTCATCATCAGTCCAATCTTCGGGTCGATCATTTCCCTCCGTCCAGGCATGCTGCCAGTCCCAATCTGGTTTTGGATCGACTAGTCGATGTCTGTTTTTGAGAACGGGACGGTGCCCAAATCTGTCGCCTTCAGTAACGAACTGCACATGTGCTCCGCCGCAAACTCCAAGCCATCGACAACACTTGCGGTCGATCCATGACTTGGAGGTTGCGATCCAGCTCGCCTCTTCTCTGTCTTCAGCTGACCAAATGAATGCTTCGGGGTTGGTTACTCTCAGTATGCTGTTTATACACATGTACGATATGATGGTCGACAGGACACCAATAGTGGCCTTGGTCTTTGTGCCCGTCATCGGCTCTCCCTGCAGGGCGGTGTCTGTTATTGTTTCATAAGGAGTGATATCTTGCCCCGGTCTCGGTGTACTCGACTCGACTCGGACGACGACGGATGTAGGTTCAACGGGTGTATGGAAGGGCGCCTGCGCTGTCGGGATAGCGAGGGTAGGGTCGTCGATGGGGGGACTGGCCCGAGTCGTAGGGAAGGTAGTTATAGAGAGGAGAGAAGGCACCGCCGAGAGGGTATATATTGGTTGGGTAAGCGGTACACGCCCGCCGCCATGATCAAATTCCAAGGCCACTATAAGAGCGAGAGGCCGAAAGGATTAGCCCGAATATCACGAGGAAAGGAAATCTGACAACGAGGGGAAGGACATGATTTGGTTGGTAGTCATTTACCCACGCGGATGTAGCGGCGAGAGAGCGGAACACGGCTGAGTAGGGTCCCGGAAAGGGCATGGGGTTGACTGCATTGAGAAAATGTCTTATGTCAGGGCAAGCCAGAGCCGGACATAAGATCAGGATCAGTAGCAATGCTGCAGAAATAGGCTCCGCCCTGAGACCCATGAAAAGGCCAGTCCGCTGTTGGGGATGAATAATGGGGACTTCCGCCAACATCCGCCTAGTGCAGCGCTGGTAGCTATTGAAGGAGTACAAAATGGCTCGAGGTACCGAGCAAGTAAGACGCGGGAAGGTTCGGGCGGTGGGCAAACGGCTTGGAAGGTCTTGACCTACTAGTGGGTGTTGATTGGGCCTGGCGGCCGACCGAGATCGGGTATCTGGCTTCTTCTATCTTGGTGTTGAGGATGGGAGGGCAGCAGGTCTGGTCATGCTGCTAGGGGACCTTGAGAAGTGATGAGACGTACAGGCTTGTCCCATGTGATGGGAAAAGAGTCGTGGAGTAGGAGAAAGAAGGTGAATGAAGAAATTTGACGCTGATGGCTGAAAAGACTAGTAGATAGTCGGTCATTCGTCAGGCCGCGCGGTGGGCCACTCACACTGGTTCCCTTCAGGCGTGAGCGAGAGAAACGAAGAGGGACATCGTCCGAGTACGACGAAGTCCGACAACTCAAAACTGTAACGAGTCCGCCTGGCACCAACGACCAACGCCAGACCCCGTGATGGCATTATACATGGAGCATGTTCACAGCATTAGTACGCCTTGACCGTACCTCTTAAACGAAAATGAGAGGGTCTTGACTTGTTTCATATCATCACGAAGACGGCAAATTATGTTGTCCGAAGGTCGACCACTGCAACCCCGCCCCCTTCCAATAGACCCAGCCTCCTATTCAAGCCCATCACTGTTGGTGGGCTGCTCCTCAAGTCCGCACCCAAGTTCCTGCGAAGGAAGCGAGATCACGTGACGGTTCGTTTCTGACCTCTCGGATCCCCGATTTCTCTCCCTTTTAGTCACCCTCGACTGGTCCATCAATAACGACCCAGGTGGCAGAAAGTGATTGGACATCATGTATCAATCCGAAAACGGTTCTGAGGACGAATTTGAGTACGAATATCATGACACTGAGAAAGAGGTAGGACTTGCGGTTGAATGGAGACGCTCCCTGCCCAATGCCAATCTAACGTGATCATTCCTCACCTTTCTTGACAGACATTTCTCGTGGACATTGATCTCTCATCCTTAAATTCTGTGGTTCAGCCCAATGTTCCTGGAGCCCCCAAGCCGGTGATACCAGCCAAAAGAATACATGACAATTCTGTTCCCCAGGCTCCTGACCGGGATGACCATTCTCCCGATCCAGCCGAGCGCGCAGAGGAGGAAACTAGTCCGGCTCAGGCACCACCTGACACCCCTTCGCAGGAGGTGGAAGATGACGACGATGATAGCGCACGGCCGTTTCCATCACAGGTACAGATTCTGGATCTGAACACCACCAACCCGATGATTTCATACATGGATCAAGTTTACAGCTGTACCTGGACCGACATGGTTGGCACTAACATGTTCTTTACCCATCCGGGTTTGTTGGACACCATCGAGATTCTGCAATCCACCGATGACTATGACTTGATTGGCATGTCACGAATTAAACTCGTTGGCGACCGAGTCCAAGTGTCAAAGAAGAAGGGATCTAAGAAAGCCGATGTCGACGCTCCGGCTGAGCATGACGAACCTCCAGAAGGCCGCAGTTTAGGGAACCTCAATGGTACGAATCCGGCGACAAACATGCAAATTAAGAAACAAGCGGCATTTCTCGAGAAGCTCATGGATATCAAGCAACAACGTGGAGGGAGCGATATTGTGAGGGTATATGTGGACGAAAATACCGCACCGGGTGGAACTCCGAGAATACAGGATGCAATGCATGACGAAATCGCCGAGCTAAATCGAAAAGTGCTCAAAGGGGACGCTAGAGCTCTTGCAAGACTTCAAGGAATCTATTCTCAATTAGAGGATAGCGATCACAGTCCCCAAGAGACGGATCAGAGGCCCGAGGACGAGGTTATATGACATGAAAATGCTAACGCCTATAGTTTCCCAAATCACATTCCCAAATATTGTTGCCGCAACTCCAGCTATTGTTGAATATTCCGTCTCCAACAAGCCTGGACAAAGGACAATCGAGAAGCGAAGTAACCCATAAATGACAATATTTTATTCTGATACAACTTTTGCCAGACACGAAACATTGTAGTGTGAAGACCTTGATTCATCGGTCTTGTTTGTCGCGATTCCAATGCACGGGAGATGGTGGAGGTGGAGGAGGCTGATGTTCAGGATACTTTCGTCGATCCGAGTACGAGACATATTTGGGACGTGGTGAGGCTTCGACGGCTTTGTGCATGTCTCTGGTCGAGTTTTCGGAGGCGAGGACCGTAGAGCGATAGGATAAGCGTTGCATGGCTAGAGATGGAAGATGGGGTGGCGAGGAGGATCGTCTGGGGGGTTGTTTCTGGATAGGAGCTGGATAGATGAGGTGTCAGGAAACAACTCGAATATGCTGTGTGGATGGAGAAGGCTGTTTGGCAGCCCGACAGCAGCCTGGTGGCCAGACTGATGGGGGAGCAAACTTACGCAGATGGCGGGTGTTGGTGGGGTCGAAATTTTTTTTAGTTAGCAAGGTTGATCGGCACTTGCTGCAGGTACAAAGGTACAGTACCAGGCGATAGACTCGATGGCGAGGTTGATCGACAGAGCAACAGAAAGGCACCTCTTTTGTGTGTGAGTGTGAAAAGGGTGGTGTGAGAAAAGAAAGGAGATTGTCAGGACTCGGGAGCAGGGGAGCGGAGCTCTATTTGAAGGAGAATGAGAGTCAAGTAAGAATGCTCAGTGCTTCTGAACCAACTAATACTAACCGACTAAGTCCTTCGTATGCCAGTCTCAGTCCGCAGGGAGGCAGCGGAAAGAGAGTAAAAAATTGCCAGTGCCAGTGCCGTCCAGAAATCTGGCGGTCAAGGCGACGTGGGATTGTCGCATCAGTTCAAACAAATCCGGTGGTCTAGTCCACGCAAAACCCCCAAAATCTGAATACGCCAGAGCGCCAAAAGCTGTTTCCCCGGAGCGCCACGAGGCACGATTTCGGATGAGGCTTACCCAAAAGGCAGATACGCTGGGTCACTGGTGATGCGATGACGCTGATCAAGGCCTGGGTGTGCCACCTGCGTTGCCAGTCGCTTCCATTACATCCCATCGCACCCATTTGCTCATTCATCCAAAGCTCAAAGTGACTTTTCCCTTTTTGACGTTTTGTCTTTTTGTCGGCCGGACTGAGACATGTCCTTCGGTTGCCAGGTGTCAGTGCCAGTACCAACCAAAAAGTGTCAGCGACCAGTTAGGCATTGCCTGAATGCTGAAGCTGATTGATGGCCCTTCTTTGTTCTCGCCTTCTCCCTCTCTCTTTTTTCTTTTTCCACCTCTCTCACTGGCTCTCCCCGCGCTGCCCACGTCTTGACTTGCATTTCGTAATTTGAATCGAATTGTTTCTGGCATGATGATCGAAGCAGCGGACCCGAAATTTCCTGCAACCCCATTGTGTGGGTGCTCCACCCCCAACACGTCAGCCATTTGGAAGACACACTAAGAACTTTGGAGGCGCTCTAGCCCGTCCCTGGAGAGCTGGAAACGAGGGAGCTAGGGGAACTAGGGAGCGTGGAAGCTAGGGTGCTTGCGAAAAGGCCCATCCCGCGCCAAAGATCCGACGCCAGAAAGTCACCGAAGCCTGCTTTTGTTTTCTTTGACCCCTGCTGGTTCGAATGACAAGATTGTAGGAGCGCCGGCGTCTGTTGCGGGAATGCAGCCCGGAAACCGATCATGGGGCAACCCACGGGGGCCTGGTAAGGAATTCGCAGGGGGTCAGGGGCCATTGAGAAAATGGTCGACGGGGGATAGGCGGATTCGACCGGATGCAGCCATTCAACATCCTAATGCGTGGACTTTTCATTAGTGAGGATGAAGTAAGGAGCAGTCGAGACACAAACCTGGTCTATGATCCGGTTGCAATTTGCAAAGGAGAGGAAGAAGTTGGTAGATTGATGCCTGAAAACAAACTTCGCTGTCAGCAGCAGGTAGGGGGGAAGGACAATGCAAGGATTTTCCCCCCGCAAAGTGAATGAGCCCTGAAATTCTCGAGAAAAGTGAGTTGTCCTTCTGAGGAGTACGGAATGAGTGGCTCAGGCTCCAGTCCTTTATCACACCATCTTTCGCCGCCTTTTCCTCGTACGACATGCTAGGTTTTGGGTATCTGCGGTAGCTTCTCATTGATTGCTTGTTTTCACCGAGGCTCAAATCCGAAGATGTACCATCAGCTAGACGGTGCAGTCACTTCAAGGCTGTATTGCGGTTTCTTACTCTTCCCCGGGCATCTCTCTCTGTTCAGACACTCTATTATATCGGATAGTTCCTGCCGAGTTCATCTCCAACAGGACAAAATGACGCTTTGTGGTACACTCGACGATTTGCCAATCATGGTTAGCCAAAAATCCCCCCAAAATTTACCTAACATCCGCAGATTTTTGGCCAGAAATTCTACGACGTAAAAATACTTCGTGAAACTCTCTCACCGGACTGACCGTGATCTCAGAGCAGATTTCCAGTGTGAGCCCGGAGCCCATGTGAAGAATTTCTCTTATACTTGTTTTGTACCACGGTGTCTCGTATACGGGCTGAGGCAGCGCCCGCTTAATTTTCTCGATCCGAATCATTTCGTCCTACTTCTTCCACAAACTCACCGCCAACCCACTTGAATAGGAGGATGGATAGCCATGTTGTCGGTGTTTTGGGCGGTGGCCAGCTTGGACGAATGCTGACTGAAGCTGCAAATAGACTTAATATCGAGGTAGCAGCTCTCGACAGCGACAGAGCACCCGCAAAACAGATTGCATTATCTGACAAACACGTCACCGGGTCTTTTGCAAAGGCATCGGATGTCAAAGAACTGGCTTCCAGATGCGACGTTCTCACGTACGAGATCGAACATGTTGACACTAAAGTGCTGGAAGAGCTCGAGGGGGAGAAGCCTTTTATCAATGGTACACAATGGTCGAGAATTCAGCCCAGTTGGAAAACTGTCAGAACCATACAAGACAAATTTGTTCAGAAACAGCATTTTGCGAAATTCGACATTCCCACGGCCAAGTCGATTGCCGTCGGCACATCTCAACCTCAAGGCCTGAAAGACATCGCTGACCGCCTCGGATATCCCCTCATGCTGAAGTCGAGGACTGAAGCATATGACGGACGGGGGAATTATCCTGTCAGGTCCGTCTCCGATATTGAGCCCGCATTGAAGGCCCTGGAGAATCGCCCTCTGTACGCGGAAAAGTGGTGTGACTTCAAGCTCGAGTTGGCTGTTGTGGTTGTCAAGGTCGCCCAGGAAGATTCAGTCGATTCCTGGGAGTCGAGCACCTTGGCCTATCCCACCGTCGAGACCATTCACGAAGACAGCATCTGCAAATTGGTCTATGCTCCAGCGAGAAACGTCTCATCTAGCGTTGCAAAAGCAGGTCATGCGCTTGCTCGCCGCGCTGTTTCAACCTTCCCGGGGACGGGCGTTTTTGGCGTCGAGTTGTTCTTGCTCAAGGACAACAGTCTTGTCGTTAATGAGATTGCACCTCGACCACATAATTCCGGTCATTATACGATCGAAGCCTGCCATATGTCTCAATATGAAGCTCAAATCCGAGCGATCTTGCCAGGCCTCGCCCCGACGATCGCCCCGGAAGCAACCGAAATGGTGACGACGGCGGCTATCATGCTAAATATCCTTGGAGGACCTGAGCCCGACTCGCATCTCCTTGTAGCTAAAACTGCACTTACCATCCCAGGAGCAAAGATTCACTTATATGGCAAAGGCGATGGACGACCTGGACGCAAGATGGGCCACATCACTATTCTCGGCAAAAGCATGTCTGAGTGTGAGCGAAAGATACATCCTCTGATTCAAATGGTCGACGCAGTTCGCGCCCATCGAACCGATTCATCGCTTGCTCCTGCCACCTCGATAGCCTCTATTGCTGCAGAGCTACAAAATACCCATCCAATTCCAGCCCCTCAGCCCGTCATCGCGGTCGTCATGGGTTCCGACACTGATCTGGCCACTTTGAGACCGGGCCTCACTATTCTCGACACGATGGACATCCCGTACGAAGTTCACATCACCTCCGCACATCGAACTCCACAATACATGCTTGATTTCGGTAAAGTCGCAGCTGCGCGTGGTTTCAAAGCTATCATTGCGGCCGCCGGGGGTGCTGCCCACCTCCCCGGGATGATGGCCTCGGAGACCCCTGTTCCTGTGATCGGCGTCCCGGTCAAGGCCAGCAGTATGGACGGTCTGGACAGTTTACTCAGCATCGTGCAGATGCCTCGTGGTGTTCCAGTGGCGACGGTCGGTATTGGAAACAGCGTCAACGCGGCGATTTTGGCGGCTCGGATTGTAGGGACAAGCGATACGAAGGCACGGGAATGGGTTGCAAATCACCTGCAACAGATGGATGATGAGAACATGGAGAAGGAGCATAGACTTCAACGGGAAGGGTGGAAGGTATATAAGAAGTTGGATGGATGATCTATCATGGGAGCGCTATTTCGACGGACCATCTCATGACTGCGAGCTTCTTACTGGGCTTGGTGCTGAAGAGGCTACTCTTCGCGGCTTGCGGCATCACGCAATATCCTCATATTTGTTCGTTTCGAACATTCATATTCACAAACGACTGCCGGAGACTGCCTGCGCAGTCGGGTGAGCGGCACGGTATCTCTTCGACGACAATTGGAGGGTCATCGCTGTGCTTTCCCATCTGACTTCATTGCCGCATAAACCTCTGTACTCGCTGAACCGTGTCCTCCGGAAGTCATTTGACCGAGTTGAGAATCGCCTTTCATAGATTCGATCGTGTCAAAATTTTCTTTGAACTCATTCAGCCGTTTGCGGGTCGGCCTCGGGCGAGCCGGCCATTGCTAGCAAAGACCACTATTCAATTCCATGCTCTTTCTTCATTCTTTCCAGATTCTCCTGCCTCGTAGCTATATCTTCTTTCATTTCGACCTTCATCTTTTCCGGCTGATGATATAGCACGACGAGGTATCGGTTCATGAAATTGAAACCGTTTAATTTGTCACACGCCTGCTTTGCGTCCAAGACGTCTTCGTAAACCACAAACGCTGTTCCTTTCGTGGAGTTCGACGTTCCGGCTCGAATCTGTCGGATAGGTCCGAATTTGCCAAAGAGATCAAAGAGTGCAGGAGTGTCGATGTTGTAGGCAAGATTTTTGACAAAAAGAATTCGGTTCGCCTCTGGGGCCAACTTGTTGCTGCGGGACATCTCGACAGATACGAGGCAAAACCTCACATCTACAAGAATCAAAGATCAAGGAGACCGAGTCTCCTGCCCGATTGTGATCTCTTAGGTTGTGAAAGCTCTCGAAAGCGGAGGACTGCGTCTTAAGATTGTTTGTAGACGTTAGTGCGCTGCTCAACCAACGACGGAAGAAATCGCGCACAAGCGATATAGGAGCGTCGTTTAGACGTTAATATAGGATCAAGCTGGCAATCAGAGGATTTCCTTGTTGCGAACATGAGTTCGTGACTGTTGTGCGGTAATCCGCGCCGCAGGCTGGTACCGTCGATGCTTTGCGGTTCTGCTTTAGCGCCAATTTCATTTCCCTCTTCAAGTCGAACTCTGAGCAACATCCACGAACATCCTCGCGCACCGCTCCACAACACTCCTTCCTCTTGTCATTGCATCTGGCCTCCCGCCGGAGGTCATACAAGCTCCTTCACCAATGTAGCCAGCCTCGCTTGCTGCCGTTCTCCAGTTCTCAAATTGTTCGACTCGTACCCCACCTCCGCAACGCATCGCAAAGAATCCAACGGATGACCGTCGACGACGGCGACAATGCCTACCTCAACGCTCTGGCGCCGTTCTGAAGATCCTCTGAGGCCTCGTGGTGTCAGTCCCGTACGGCCGTCCGCTGACTCCATCGAACGCCTATCCCCTGAACCCTCCTTCGGACCTACTACCCTGAGCGAGCCTTCGCTTCCCCGGCACACATCGCAAGAGAATGGTTACTCATTACGGGGACTCGGGCTCTCCGACGTTGAAAAATTAGAGAGCACCGGAACAAATATACAGCCAGACCATATATATTACGATCAAGATGGTGCTGCCCATGTCGGCGCCAGGATAGTCGCTGGTGCGGCTACACAGAAGGGGCGCCCGCTACAAGATTCTCAGGACTGGCCATCCAGAAATTCCAAGCTCCCTCAAGACACTCGATGCTCTCAATTCAAAGGTCATACTCGCTCCGGCTCGACAATTGATGACCTTGCAAGTGCCGCGATTGCGACTAGTCCGGCATTAGCCAACGCGAGCCCACATTCTACGACTCGACCCTCCACGTCCTATATCCCCCTGTACAATTATGACGATAGTTCGAATGGCCCGCCAGCAAAACGAATCAAGTCCGAGCGACTTCCGAATCTTGAGTGGTCGCCATGCGCAGATAGACCGAGAAACAACGGTTACGATACTACAACAGAAATAACACACGAAGATGCATTGCTTCTACTTGGGTTGAAGAACGAGGTCAACTTCAAGAATAATACACCATTGTTGAATTCAGCGACAATCCATCCGCAGCCCTATCCTCCTTCTACGGCACGCCGTCCCTCAGAGTCATGGACCTTCCCAGAGAGCCCTGTCACACGCCTTCACCGGAGTCCGGAAACGGGATTCGTGGAGAACAACATCTCACAAGACCGTTTTAAGCAGAGATCCCAGAGCATGACGAACACATATCGAAGTCAATGGCGTACGTCGATAACTCAGCATTCTGATCGCTTGCAAGTTCAAAAGGAGGACAAGGCGAAACAAGATACCGCAGGAACCGAGCCCACGGTAGGACCGGCATATTCAGAACCTCAACAACGCTCTGAACCGACATCCTCTACGAATGCTCCCCCCAAAAGACAGCGGAGAGTCAAACCTGAGGTTCAAGCCGAGGTCTGCGCGGCATGTCAGCGTCTTCAGCTGGAAAGTACTGATGATAAGGACTCTGTCATGTTTTGGATCAGTTGTGATGCATGCGATCGCTGGTTCCATGCCGAATGTGCCGGATTCCAAACAAAAGCTGAAGCGAGAAGCGTTGACAAATATCTCTGCCCGGACTGTGAGCCTATCCATGGGAAAACCACCTACGTGCGAAAGTCATCACGCCCACGAACTGCCATTGATTATGCCGGTCTCAATCAAGGCGTGGTGAAATCCTCCGCCGAAACATCGACGCACCATTATATCCAGCCCATCAAGGAAGGAAAATTTGCCTTGTTACCTGATGATTTCGCGCGCATCCGACCGGAGCTGCTTACGATGGAGTTCATGGAGAGCTTCGAAGGGATGAAGAGACCATTTGTGGTTCCAGCATCCTGGAACCCACGCTTTGGGGTTAAGCCTCCTTTGGATGAACCATCCTCTGATTTGTCTATGGAGGAGACTTCGGCTTTCCCCCTCATCAAGAGTTCAGGGGAACTAGCAGGGCCGGAGCCTCCAACCCCATCCGAAGTTGTTGAGGAGGAAGTCATCGATTGTGACCAAGACTTGTTGGATATGGTGATCCCTCGAGATCTGACAGTCCGCAAAATTGCCGAGCTTTATGGACCTGATGAACCTGTGCCGGTGATCGACGTCAAGTCCCAGGAAACAAAAGGTCAATTCACCCTGCAGCAGTGGGCGGACTATTATGAACTTCAGGGTGACAAGCCTATTCGAAATGTCATCAGCTTGGAAGTCTCTCACAGTCCTCTCGGCAAACTGATCAGACGTCCGAAAGTAGTTCGAGATCTGGATCTCGAAGATCATGTTTGGGACACTGATACCGAAACGCGGACTAAGAAACGACCGGTTCAATTTTACTGTCTTATGTCAGTAGCTGACAGCTACACGGACTTCCACATCGACTTTGGAGGTTCCTCCGTGTATTACCATATTGTCAGAGGAACAAAGACGTTCTTCTTCATCCCACCGGAAGATAAGTACCTCAAAAAGTACGAGGATTGGTGCAATTCGGACTCACAAAATGAGACATGGCTGGGCGACTTGTGTGGCGGTAATTGCACCCGAGTTGATCTTCGCGAAGGAGACACGGCGTTCATCCCTGCCGGTTGGATTCATTCTGTCTGGACACCCGAGGATAGCTTGGTCATCGGAGGCAACTTTCTCACCCGTCTCGACTATGAAATGCAAATCAAGGTTGCCAACATCGAAAAAGTGACCAAAGTGGCCCCCAAGTTTCGGTATCCTTACTTTCAGAAAGTTATGTGGTATACCTTGATCAAATACCTGGAAGATGATCCGCTCCCGGAGGAAGTATTGCAAGACTTCCGCGATGATCCGGACTATGTCTTCTTGCGTGCAAATCCGGTGTGGGATGAGATCGATGATTTGGAGAATACAGCAGAGCCGGGTGACCCTGCTTTCAATGCCAGATATTACCCAAAATCCGAGGTCGCTGGGTGGCCGCCTCTCAGAGATTTTCTGTACCGGACGGCTCGGATAGATGCTGGTTTGCCCGTATCAGACATCACGAAAAAGCAGATTGAAGCAGTCAAAGCATCCATTCCGAAGGGACACGGCGAGCCTCTGGTGATGATCAAGCTATTTGCGATTTGGTGTGCTTGGAAGAGTGGTAATGTGACAGCGCCCGATTGGGTACATTCAGATGGTGCCCTCGAGCCAGAGAAAATGGAAAAGACCAAAAAGCCCGAGACTTTTCGATTACCTGGAGAACGAAGTTCCTCTCGAAAGGCGACACAAGTCTTGGCTCAGGCGGAGGCGGAGGCGGAGACACAGGCACAAGCGCATGCACGAACTCCTCCCACGGAAGTCAACAATATGATTCCAGCAAAACAGAACTCTAAACCCGGACCTAGGGCGAATGGATTGAGAGTCGCCTGTGAGCCGTGTCGAAAGCGACGAATAAAGTGCCGACACAAATCGGGTAGTGAAACACCCACCAGACCAGCACCAGAAATCCGGCCCCGGAGCTTTTCCAACGCTGAGCCATCATCTGCGTTGACAGCTATTCCGAATGGATCCAAGGCTGAGCAGTACCCGTCACCCGAAACCCGGATTTCGGAACCTGTTGGAAGCAATTTTGAGGTAACTCAGCCTGTCCCCGCAAACTCTGAACTCCAGTCAACATCGAAGAAGAGTCGGAGCAAAGCCTGTGAAGAGTGTCGGAAGAGCAAGGTAGGAGGTCCCGCAGAAATGGATTGGTCACAAACTGACTTGCCCCAGCGCCGATGTGTGCATGATGAGTATGGTCGGATTGATCCTGCAAAGGCAGCAGAACCTTCGAAACCTCGAGGATCCACTAGTACCAAACGCCCAGCTCGCTTAAGCGATGAGAGTGCGCATATCAAAAAGGCTCGGATGGACATTGATTCGCTCGATGACTTAATTGATCCCGCTTTAACCAACGGAGACGTTTCTCAGACCGCAACTGAAGCTGTTGAGGAGGACTTTCACACTCCTGGACCCTTCAATGACAATGAAAATCACGTTGAAGTAAACGGAGCATATCCTGCACAAAATGCAACCTTTGGGGAGCAATCAGCCAAAGACGTTGGGGTAGAACACGTACCCGTCGACCCTGCTTTGGAAGCAATGGCCGCTCCAGCGCCCGAACAACTTACTATTAAGACCGAAGTCGATCAAGTGGAAGAGGGCAATCTGACAGACGCAGGAGATTTAGATTCAATAGCCTCGAAGCGCAACACGACCTTTTCCACTCCGGGTCCCATCAGGACGGGTTCTTCCGTCAATGGAGACGATTCTGGTGGCGCAAATCCGACTCCTCGATCAAGGCACTCTTCCCGGCAACCAAAGCAAGTTGAACGATATACGCCAGAGGACAAGAGATCTCCGATTAAATCATATCCGAAACCCCAGCCAAACGATCGGCGGGCTTCAAGCGCTGCAAGCGCCCAGACAATGGCCACGAGTGTCAAAAGCCGACGATCTTCAAGCAACACTTCAGGGACCACACATCAAATGGCAGGCATCATGGCAAGACGTAGTGCGTCTCGCGAAGTATCGGCTAGACCAGTGAGCCGAGGAAGCACAGGAGGAGAAAGTGACTTGGACGCGGATGAGAGATTTGCGAGAGAGCTCCAAGCGGCTGAAAATGGCCTGAGACGACGGACAAGCGTGAGGGCGTAGACGAAGACTGCCTCTGCTGGATCGTTGACGGTGTTTGATGATGGATACGACGGGAAGATGGGCATTAAAATGAAGGGGTTTGAGAGGAGCAGGAAGACTCCGCCCAGCAAGGCGCTCCCAGGTGTAATGGAGAGGAGCGTTGGACCCCCGATGGATTCAATCATTTTCTTGATTTCTTTTTAATACCCTCACGGCAGGAGAGTTCTAAAAGGAACGAGCTTATAATGAGCTGAAAATGGTACATCTTGAACACAATTGCAATTATAAAAGGACCCCCGTCAGAATGTACTCCACGTGATCGGACTCGGTATCAATATAGATCGCCCTGGGAAAAGTGTGGGGTAAATCGCCTATATGTTCAGATCCTCACCATCGTCATTCTGGGAACTCCATGACCTCCTTTCATCTGCTACTGTTCTATCTGCCCGATATGCTACGCCAATTCTGAGCGCGATCATGCGGGGAGATCACTGCCGCTATGGCTGACATCTATAACAGTCAACTTGTACGTATATTGATGTCCCGAACGCAGATGGTTTTTGACTTCCGACTAATCGTCGCAGGATGTGTTCGAACTCTACCACAAGGTGAACAATCGGCCCCGGGACTCAGCAGGAAATACCTCTGCTCTCGAAGCACTCGGCCATGGCATTGCTGGAACTGCAGGCGCTGCCATCTCTAATGCTACTCTGTATCCCATCGATCTAATCATAACCCGATTTCAAATCCAACGTCAGTTGCGGAAGGACCAGTCACAGCCTCCTGACGAGGAATATAAGAGCTTTGTTGATGCGGTCCTAAAGATATACAAGAACGAAGGCGGTCTAGCTGCGTTTTATACTGGACTACTGCAAGATACGGGCCGGACGATCACCGACTCCTTCCTGTTCTTCCTGACATACAGTTTCCTCCGCAACAGGAGGCTTGCTTCGCATGGTAGTGCGAAATCACTGCCTGCCTTGGAGGAGCTCGGGGTGGGATTTGTCGCTGGAAGTTTGACCAAACTTGCATCGACGCCAATCGCCAATATCGTCACCAGAAAGCAGGTGGCCACTTTACTGGCGGCTAAAGACTTGAATAGTCAGGGAGAGTTTCGCGTACCAAGTGCGCGGCAGATCGCTGCGGATATACTCTCTGAGCACGGTGTGTCAGGTTTTTGGTCGGGCTACCCCGCTTCACTCGTCTTGACTCTTAACCCTTCAATCACCTTCTTCCTCTTCGAAACATTAAAGAGAATTCTCTTGCCTCGGCACAGACGAGCGAATCCGCCTCCCTCATTGATTTTCTTGCTTTCAGCATTTAGCAGAGCGTGCGCGAGTTCCGCCACATATCCGTTCGGTCTAGCCCAAACTCGGCTTCAGGCGGGCTCCAAGAAAGAAGAGAGCGATGAAGCCAAGGTGATTGGCGAGGACATTGAAAATGAAGGGGCCAGAAAAGCGGCTCGGGCAACGATACTCCACACTGTGTTGACAATCGCTCAAAATGAAGGAGCTGGTGGCCTTTACGAAGGACTCTACGTTGAGATGATCCGAGCATTCTTCAGTCATGGTACGACAATGCTGGTCAAGCAGGCTATTCAGCGCTTCTTGGTGAAAGCGTATTACATCACTTCGATCATCCTGGGGCGATATCAACGAAGGTCGACTGCGAAACGGTTGGCACAAAAGGCCAAGTCTAGTGTTGAGTATTATAGTCTCGCCATGGCACGGGCGAGCGAGAAAATCGAAGAGGCATCTCATGCTGTCAAACAGAAAGCAAACGAGACGGCGGAATTTGTGGGGGAATACGTCGAGGAAGAAGCAGGCGAGTGGCGGGAGCTTTATGGAACAACCGGTCTTGCTCGATGGCTGGACAGCGATCGACGTGAATGATGGGGAAGGGCTTCTGGCGACCATTGAGTTGCTGTATGACGACGGGAAAGTGGGAAGTGTGTGAAGGGAACGTTGATCCTGAAGCTTTCACCGGTATGCGCCACGTTGGCCTCCTCTCTTTTCCATCTTCGTTTGTCTCTTGCTTTGTGCACCAGGCGCCCCTCCTGCACCGGCCATACCACCAAGCATACCCTTTAAACCACTAGCCGTGGTCACCGCGGCGAAGATTGCATAGCCGGGCACCACGAGGTACAGCCACCAAGCTCGATCACCAAACACCATAACAAGGATTAAATTGATCCACGTCCAGTAGAGGATATCCCACATGAACTCGGTCAATCCTTTAGCATCGAGATCATCCCCCGCTCGGCGGAGGGAACCATCAGGGTTATAGCTCGGTCGGGCCAGCCGTTCTAGGTAGAATTCTATGGCGAGACCCGGGGCAGAAAGCAACGCGTAGCGCTTCAGGGATAGGGAGGTGGGAAGAGTGAAGTGCAGCAGGAGAAAGAGGCCATGGATTGCGAGTGTGGTGAGATGGGTTTGCTTGAGGCGAGAGGTGTTGCGAACGGCGAGGGATTTGGCGGCTTTCTGTACCATCCAGTCAGTTGCGGATAAGAATTGCGGCAGAGAGGAGAGGACTGACTTGAGCCATGTTGAGAGGGTTTCAAAATAAGCCGTTCATCTAGCTTGACAAGTCGTGTGCTTTTTTTCTGAGGTAGCGTTGTGAAGGCGTACTCACCGAGTGGCTGCGGAGAGTATCACCGATCGTACGCGGCGAGGACTAAGTGAATCAGATGCTCTGTCCGAAGAGATTTCTGCGGCTGGTTGGATTGTCCGGGTGTGGAATGTTTCCAGGTTCCCAGTTCCCCGCCGCCACGTTTGTTTCCAGCCACAAGGTTGTTGGCATTGGCGCAAGGGCCCAGCTGCCAGCAGCCAGCAGCCAGCAGTAGACTCGCCTTCAGTTTTTGCCTACGAACAGACTTCTACTGTCAAAAACACTGACAGTCTCCATTCTAACCGCCCGACCTCGCCTCTACCCGGTTCCTCCTACGAGCCTCGTGTATGCTGTACTTGATGTCCAGTATCATTGAGGCCTCATAACATCCTGATGAATCGATCTACTTGACCGCGGCACATTGTTTTGGAGTGGCCCGCCTTCACCTTTCATGCCCTTCAGACATTGTGAACCGCGTCTTGTACCAACCTCACACCTTCACACTTTTCTTGAGACACCCGCTTTCCTATAATTTGGCTCACTCCTCACCTGTCTCGTCATTCATGCTGCCATGACTCCAAGCGTACCTCACATTGCGGGCCAGCTCCGACAACTGGTGTATTATCACCTTGATAACAACCTTTTGAAGAATGCCCTCTTCCTTGCCGCTCGTCTAGTCGCCTACGAGCCACGATCGACCGAAGCAGCATACTTGCTCTCATACTGCCAGTACCAATCTGGATTCGTCAAAGCTGCTTGGGACACTAGTCGATCTGCAGGTCTAAGAGGATCACATCTGGGATGCAGCTATGTCTTTGCGCAAACCTCACTTGAATTAGGGAGATACCTTGACGGTCTCACGGCACTGGAGAAGAGCAGACACCTATGGCAGAACAGAAATACCTGGGGTCAACACAACGAGACAAGACGACAGCATCTCCCCGATGCTGCAGCAGTCTTGTGCCTGAAAGGGAAGTTATGGAAGGCTCATAAGAATGTCGACGAGGCAGTGGAATGTTGGGCCGCGGCGTTGAAGTTAAATCCTTTTATGTGGGATGCTTTCATGGGACTTTGCGATGCCGGTGCCAAAGTCAGCATTCCTAATATCTACAAGATGTCTGCGGAAATGATAGCCATGGTCCATCTGTCCCAGCAACAAACGGCAAAGATTGAGAACCTATCAGCAGCCACCACCGAGAAGACCTCGGTTTCGAACCATGTCTCTCAGCCCAATGGAAACAGCCATCCACCAGACCCCTTCGTGTCAGCACGGAAACAAAATGGAAACTTGCAACAAGGTAGCTCTGTTCTTTGGGAAAAGCTGAATGGCAGTAAAGTGAGCGTCAATACTGGAAGTACCGTCTTGGACGAGGAAGGCCTGAACACTCCTGCAGAAGCAGAGACGGAAGAAGGTGTCCTGCGAGGCGGAGCCGTCCATCAATATCATGAGCCACCTCCGGCTCCAATGAGAAAAGCAAAGAGTGCGGCCGAAGCTCCTACGGACCCTCCTCCTAGGTGGAAGACCGGATCCACACGAATGAAGACGAAAAACAAAAGCAACTCTGATGACACTACGGTTTTGCAGGACCCTCCACCACCGTCGGCACCTTCTAAGAGAACTGTTTCTGGTCAACCGGCTCCTACGAATCACGCGCAGTCAAGTACTACTGAAGGGACAAGAAGAAGTAATCGGCTTCTCAATACCACCAGACCACCGAGTACCAGCGGTACAGCAGGAAACAAGATGTCATCGTTGGCAAACACACTGGGTCTACGAGAAGGACGAGATATCAAGAAAGCCAAAGCCCCAGCGGTGAGAGGTCGCACGGCCAATGCTTCTACTGTGGGGAGAGTCGTCAGTGGAAATCGAACTAGGACGGGATCAGCAGACACCATGGACGTTGATTCCAAAGACCCGAAAACGGTTGCCAATGCTCCCCCAGCGCCACCGCTCCCCAATCATAAGACCAGAGTTGAGTCGGCCGTCAATAAGGATCTGGAAGCAGTTCAGAGTCTTTTGGACCTCTTTGGAAGAATCGCATCAGCTCAACTGTGTTTGTCAAATTACGACTGTCAAACCGCCATTCAGATCTACAATTCTCTTCCGTCGGCACTACGAGAGACACCGTATATCCTGGCTCAGATTGGTAAGGCATATTATGAGCAAGCGTCATATGCCGAAGCAGAGAAATTCTTCATTCGAGTGAGATCAATAGCACCCACTCGTCTAGAAGACATGGAGGTATATTCCACGGTTCTGTGGCATTTAAAGTCGGAAATTGAGCTTGCGTACTTGGCTCATGAACTTATCGAGGTCGATAGACTGTCACCTCAAGCATGGTGTGCCATTGGCAATTCGTTTTCGCTCCAACGTGAGCATGAACAAGCTCTGAAATGTTTCAAACGCTCTACGCAACTTGACCCTCAATTTGCGTACGGCTTTACTTTGCAAGGCCACGAGTATATCGCCAACGAAGAGTTTGAGAAGGCCCTTGAAGCTTATCGAGCCGCAATTGCTGCGGATGGTCGTCATTATAATGCCTGGTACGGCCTCGGCAAGGTCTATGAGAAGATGGGCAAATGGGCAGTCGCCGAACAGCATTATCGAACCGCGGCCAAGATCAACCCTACGAATGCAGTACTCATCTGTTGCATTGGCTTGGTCCTTGAGAAATTGAAGAATCCTGAACATGCTTTGCAGATGTATACTCGAGCATGTAGTCTGGCGCCTGGCAGTGCGTTGAGTCGATTCAAAAAGGCCAGATGTCTCATGAGCCTTGGACGACCTCGAGAGGCGTTGACCGAACTACTCATATTGAGAGATGTGGTCCCGGATGAAGCAAACGTGTGGTTCTTGATGGGTCGGCTCTACAAGACTCTTCGACAGAAAGGCGACGCTGTTAGGGCGTTTACCATGGCTTTAAATCTGGACCCCAAGGCATGTTTTCAGATGTGTTATGTCTACCAGCGCGCGGTACTGACTTTTGTTTCCAGGCTGCACAATTCATCAAGGACGCAATGGAAAGTCTTGACGACATCGATGAAGATATGGATTAATGAATTCGAGCTTTGGCCTCACACTGTTATCCGTCTCAGATGGGCTAATAATCGATGGGCATAATTACTCTGAGTTTGAGACCGCAAGGCCGATGCTGCAGAGCCTCCGAAACAAGAAAATCACACTCTTCCCAGCCAGGAATAATGGCACCAGATCAGAGCAGAGCATGAGGCACCAACCCACTTTCTGTTCTTAAAGCACGAACCGCCAAGTCTCTTCATTCTGAGTTCAGCGCCACAAATCAAAATGACCAGATTGACGAATTTCGAATTTTGTTCGTGGCTAGTATCTTGAATTGTACACTGATGGGCACGGCGTGGCATGACATGGCGCAGGAACATGGCATTACAAGGCCCTTTGGGGCCTCTGATGATGGAGTTGAAGTTTGGCATTCTGCATTGGTGCATTGATGTGAGTGACTCGATTGGCATATGGCATAGCTAGGGCGCACTTGATTTTCTGACAGGATGGGAGAACCAAAAGCGGGACAAAATGGGGCATCCTCTCGAATTGCATCGGGAGGGCCTAGTTCAAGGCGACTCCTGGGACGATGAGGCTGGAAAGAAGCTTGCGTTTCTGTATGACTTGCCACCTACCTACCTACCAATTTACCTATGAAATGGGAAGCATTTAATCGAATATTCTCATGGTTTTCCCTCATGTTGTGAACTGTCCTTTGCCGGTTTCCCTATGGTATATGCTGCGTGAAATTGACGGTCGAAAAGTGAACATATGCTCGTATTTTCGGAAGTGACGAGGCTGCCATCCTCCCATTGACCACTCTCACACCAACCTACCCTCGAGGTTCAAGCTTCCGATGTTCAAATTATCTAGACAAGAACTTACAACACGACGCAGTCGACACAGGTGTCCGGGACCTGCATTTCTATAAGAGGGGTAGGATTCCGAAGCTTGCAATCTACAACAAGGAGAATTGATTCGAACTTCAGAATGTTGGCAATTGTTGATAATATCATTTTCTTCGGCATGAATCCGGTCAAGAAATCGTGTCCATTGGCAATAACAAGAGGATTGATTCCAATTCAAGAGAGCCGATTCAAGCAAGAGGGTCCCACGCGCAAGACACAATTGACTCAGTCAAGAAGATTGATTTTCAGCATAAGAGGATTAATAAGAGCAGATTTGTTGACATGATTTTCATGCCAAAAATGGGATAGCAAGGGGATTGATGATGAAGGGTCTGGTTGGCATATACTGTTGGGATCGATTCAAACACAGGGAGTCTTAATACTAGTACTCAGCAGTATTCTTGTTGGCATCAATCAAGACAAGGACTCGCTCGAGTTGTATTCGCTAAGGTATCAGGCATCTTAGAAAAGGGAGGCCGACGATCGAAGGACATGGACGTGGACAAGAACAATGGACTTTCAGTCAAACGAAAATCAATCAACTCAATCAATCAAGCCACGCAGAGCACCGAGAGAGATATTAACGGAGTCCGTCCGAATCGCCAATTCCAATCCGAACCCCCCCGTTCCTGTAATCCCAATTGCGACTAATTCATGATAAGGGGCATGTTCTTCTTGTCCTTTCTCTTCGCTCCCTTGTGCGTACTTTTGTGTTCTGTTTCCTCTCATAGGATTTCGGAGGATCATATTTTTTCTGTCGGTACCGTTCCCACGCTTCCTACCATCACAACTCATCTTTCACAGACTTCACAGCACTGCTGGCCACGCCACTGGCCTGGCTAGCCATCTCTTTCACGCTACTACTAACTGCATCAAACATTTCTGTACCAGTACCCTCGACATCGCTGACCATTGACGCAATGGCGCTCTTTGCGCTCTCCACTGCATCAGCGATCCTGGAGTGTGCACTTTCCAACGCACTCTGTTCGGGACCATAAATGACCTCAGACACCTTTGCTTTCATGGCGTCGACTTTACTCGCCGCTTCGCCCGGGATATCCCCGACCGCAGAGGCTGCCGCCGCCACATTGTCAGCAACGACGGATGACACAGATGAATGCATATCGGCTGCAAGACTCGTCAGAGATTCGACTGTTCCTGTGGGCGTGCCGTAAATCGCGAATGAAATAGCCTCTTGACCACTTTTGGCCACGTCCAAGATAGATTTGACAGCATCTCCAGCTGGTGATCCGTCGATGGCTTCACTGACAGCAGAGCTCGCTGAAGAGTACGAGTCTGCAATGGTAGAAGTAGCTTGCTCGACCGTTCCTTTACGGGTTCCATGAATCTGGACATTTGCTGCATTCACAACTGCGCCAAGCTGGTTGGTAATGGAGTTTAGAATCGATGAGACTTCGGGCGGAGGAGTGAAGTATGTGGCAGCTACCGAGGCCACCGAGGATGCAGATTGATATGATTCACTGGCAAAGCTCGAGGCGGAGGAAGCGAGGCTCTGATGACAGCCCGTGTAATATGCGGAACTGAGTCTGCTCATGACCGACTCGGTAAAGTCTGGTTCCTTGCCAATGATTAATTCAGAAACGTAAGATTGAATAACGGCATATTGGTCGTTTCCAAAGTCGGCAACTTTGGCAGAATATCCTCCTGCTTGAGTAGCAGGTTGTTCAGAGAAGGGTTTCGGAGCCCCGTAGATTTGTTCACTGGCTTTGGATATGAGGGCTTCCCAGTTCTGAGATGCGACGCTTGTGATGGACTCCACAGAACTTGTCGGTGCGCCGTACATGGCGGAGCTGGCGGCGGAACGAGATGAAGACGCAGCCGAGATGGCGGCATCATATTGAGATGAGATTCCATCAAGGATGTCCTGTGCGGGTGATTCCTCCTGTAGGCCCATTGCGGAGGATGCGACGTCAAGAGCGCTTGAATATGCTTCCATTGCTTCATCCAGCAGGCTTTGAGCAGGTGTAGCAGCTGAATTGATGGATGACCGGTCAGATTGCAAGCTAGCAACTGCGGCGGAAGAAGCCTCCGAATATTGTGAGGCGGCTGCACCAATAAGGCTTTGGTAAGCAGGAACTGGCGTTCCGGACATGGCGATTGATGCAGCACGTGACGTCCTACTCAACGCAGTAGTAGGTGTGCCATAGATTGCGCTAGAGGCCACCGCGATGAAATCTTCGTACTGTTCGTGCGCCATACCAATGGCCGCATAGAAATTCATTTTGGCTTCTTGCAGATATCTTTCCTGTGCGGGAGTTGGAGTCGCGCCAACAGCTGCTCTCACCTGAGAATATTGTGCTGATGCCGCAGTCAACGCATCTTGCAACACTGACGAAGCGAGTGATGTAACAGAATCAAGTGGGTTTGATGCCGGGAAGGCACTTGTCGCTTGCTTACTCACAGAAGAGTATGGCGGTGAGGCTGCCCTCCGAGCAGCATCAAGCCTGTTCCGGGCTATTTCTCTAGCGCCGGAATATGCTGACTCAATAGAGGAGAACATTTCTTCATGAATTGGCTTAGGAGTTCCAGAAATCTTCTCAGACGCAATGGACTTGGCGGCAGTATAATGTTCCTCCGCTCTGCTGATGGCGTCTGTGTACGACGAGCTCGCTTGAGTCAATAATGATTCCGCGTCGGGGGTCGGCGTTCCGAAGATGACAGAGCTCGCTGCTGCCACTGCCTTTTCATATTTCTCTGAGGCGACACTGGCAATGCCCTCTGCAGTTCCTTGAGGAGTACCATACAGAACACTGGACGCTGCGGCCAAAGCACTAGCATATTGTTCACTTGCAACAGATGTTATGCTTTCCATAGACCCTTGAGATGTTCCAGACATTGCCTCAGAGACCGCTCGTGTGACGTCTGCGTATCGATCCCCGGCCTCATTAACGACATGTTGGACTTTCTCCGAGAATGTCAATGCTTCATTGCTGTCGAAAACGTCGTCCAAGATCGGGGTTGACCCTTTTACTTCTTGCGCCATTGCCCCGGCAAAGACTTTGGATGATACCTGGCTGGTGGCTGAGTCGGCGACCGATGAAGCGGAGCTGGCCTTCTCTTCAGCTTCAGAACTCAGCGAGGAAATATCATCCGTGGAAGGAGAAGTCACGGATTCCACCAAAGACGACACCGAGCTAATCGAATCAAGGACATCCTCGCTCCGGCTGGGACTCGATTCTGAAGCTTGGGAAAGGACAGCTTCAGCGGTACCAGTACTGGTGCCCATTATGACTGAAGAGACAAACTCGTAGGCGTCTTCGACGGTAGCGCTAACCTCAGACATCATCGATTCGACGGGATCCTGGGTTGAAACTTCGACTGCCGACGACGCGGAGGAAGATGCGTCATCGGCAAATCCGCTGGCCTTGGAAGCAGCTGATTCAAGAGTGCCAGTACTGGAGCCCGCCGCGGCGGATGAAGCCGAAGACAGTGCTTCCGTTGCGGCCTCACTCGCCTGGGACCAGACCGAGCCGGTCGGTTCGACCCCCTGAGAGGTGGCACCTTCAAGCTCAGCGGTCAGACTGGAATCAGCAGACGCCGCCTCTGCAGGGGGCCTGCGCGACCCAAAATCATCTGTGGCATCACGCTCTCTCAATTTCCATTGAGCGACTCCTTTGAGTCTGATCAATTCTTGCGCCGCATCCTCGGTGATTGCCATGCTTTCTTCCATGATCTGTCGAGCAGCAGATATGGCCTCGACTGCCTCTGGAGATTCCATGGCGACGTTTCGAACTTCCAGTTTCCATTCGTCCAGCTTCTTTCGAACCTGGTGGAATTTTTTCCAGTGTTTGTAGGTGACTCCCTCCATCCAAGCCCAACGCATGCCAACTTCTTGAAGCCCAAGATCCTTTATGCCATCTAAGACTTCCAAGGTTGATGCGGAGGCAGCAGCTAGGCGTTGTACCAGGCCTCTTTCAAAATTCTGAGACCATTCTCGTACTTTCTTAGCTCGGTCCTTGATCGCCACACCCGATGATCGGATTGCCCCAAGGATATCCGCTGCGGCTTTCTTGACCTCCTCGGCGCTGGCATCATCGGGGAGGGCGCCAATAATAGATTTAATCTTTGTCTTCACGTTGTCAAGCTCGACCTCCACGGTCTTTTCCAGGGCTGTAGCCAATCCTCGTCCCGTTCCGTCGAGATCGCTTTGGACGAGAGATGCAACGATTTCCGTCACTCTCTCGCGAAGGTCATCAGTTCCCTTGTCGGCTGCTACCGCGAACTTCTTCTGCCAGGCCCTGAGATCCTCAGTGATCTTTTCTTCGGTGGCCACCTCAGGTGGTGGTCTCACCGGAGCTTGCCTTGTTGATGCAGTTTCTTCCACGGTCGTGGTGGAAGAGAGTTCTTCATCGTCCGTCTCGAACATGGCGTATACCTCATCCATTCCAGCGGATCCCTTGGGGGTGGGAGAACGAGGAGGAACCGATTGTGAGATGTCAACCTCGTCCATAGCAGCTTTCAATTTTCGACTTTCTTGGTATTTGGCAATCCTCTCGTTTATCATAACTAACTGGGGTCTCACGTTGTCAATGTACAATCCTTTCAAAAACGGCCAGAATGTGCCATCCCAAAAAATGATCAACTCGGACCAAGCATGTCGTGCAAAAGGATACACGGTGTTCAGCGCCAGGTCTTGAGAAGAACGGTAAGCGTTCTTTAGATATGGTCGGGAGTACTCCACCGAAGGGAGAATGTGTCGTTGATAGATGTTGCCAGCATTATCCCGAACCGAGGTGTAGTACGGACCGACCCAAGCGGTGAATTCATCAACATGAGGACCAATATTTGTGTCATATGTCTTGACCGCATTTTCTCGCATCCGGTTGATTTGTGGCGTAACAGACTTTTCCCATTGGGCGTGAGAGTACGCCTTCGCAGCATCGATCTGTGGTGCTGCGTATTTATCATAAACGTCTCGGGCAAGTGTTGATGCCGGCCGAACCAGCCGTCGATTGACTGAATCGGCATATGGCTGGGCCTTCTCAACATAGGGGCCAGCGTATTCATCGTAGTATGGCTGCAGATGAGGTTGGACGTATGCTTTTGCTGTCAGGTAGGGTTGACATATTTTGGGACAAGTTTCGGCGAGATCATTCAGTGTCGAGGGACACCGGAATAGGATGGTCAAAAGGACATACCATACGGTAAGCCTGTGAATTGGTCAGAGGTCAATTAGATAGGTTAAAGCGCCGTGAACATACCTGGCTAGATTGTTAAACAACCAAAAGGTCCAACTCCGTCGCCGAGCAGGAGCCCGCCGCGCGACGGGACCGACTCCATGCCCATTTGGCCTGTCTTTGACACTTTCTACAGGCCTCCCATTCTCAGCCACGGCCATGGCAGCGTTGTGCGTCTGATAAGACGAGTATTGAACCACTCCACCTCCAAATCTTTTGCAGCTTCCGGGGATTATCTCCGGCCAGACTTGCTGATGACGACGGAGCAGGAGGTCAATCGATACCCTTCCCAATGAATCGAAAGAAGTAGGTGACAGGACCAGACACAAGAAGAGCAAATCGATGGAGAGGAGGATGGAGGGATTATCTGGACGACGGACCGAGCTCGGTGGTGAAGAAAGGAACAGATCGGTCAGTTCAAGTTTATGGACAAGCGAGATTTTTTGTGGAGGTGTTGCAGGTCGGAGTTTGGAACAAACATGGGGCTGCAAGTCAGAGCGAGCAACCTGCAAAAAGGTGGCCAGCGACTGCGTCACCGGCCTCAGACTATTGGAGTCGCAGCCTGCTCCCAACAAGCTGCGACGCGATCAGTGACAGGATGGTGTGACTGATAAGCAAGATTGTGGCCTGTTCGTCCAGGAGAGACCGATGCAAGATCAATGCGCCCGTATCTGCCACGAAATGCTGATGCAGATCAGACGGGACATGATGTAAAAGAGCATATGATGCAAAACTGGTGTGCAGGCTTTGGCAGGTCATTAGCCTGTTAAACCCTCCAGGAGCCTACTGTGTACACCTCAGCTGGCCCCGGAATCTGGAGCGGGGAGGTTCCGGAGGATTCCCCAATTGAATGCTCGTCATGTGATCAACGTAAGATGCACGTGACTGCGCCGCTGTACACTCTGACTGCGCATCCTCCATATTCCAACTCCTCTTCACCATCCGATCACCTCACGACCGATATATTCTCCCTTGACTGTCCGGTGGATTTCTCCAGGTGCGATGGCCCCGAGGTAATTCGCCATCGAAATGCACCCGTCACCGTATCATTCCCATTCAATGTTCCTCAGCATTAGGCAAAATGCCGTTGCGGATACGAGACGAGAAACACCCTATTACCTTGGTTCGTGAAAAGGCTAGGAAAGAAGCCATGGAGGCCACCGCGAACGAAGAAGGACAGGATTATTGTAGGATTTGCCGTGGCGAGGCCTTCCCCAACCAGCCTTTATACTATCCTTGCAAATGCAGTGGCAGCATCAAGTTCGTTCATCAGGAATGTCTTATGGAATGGCTTTCTCATTCTCAAAAGAAATACTGTGAACTTTGCAAGACACCCTTTCGCTTCACCAAACTCTACGATCGGTCCATGCCCGCCACGTTACCATTTCCCCTGTTTCTCCGCCGACTTGTTCACCACGGAGTGAAAGGAATCTCTCGTTGGATTCGTTATTTGCTTGTCGGTCTTATCTGGATCTGTTGTCTGCCCTGGTGCATAAGACAAATATGGCGAGGACTCTTTTGGCTTGCAGATGGGAGTTGGCTGGATCAAAAAGACGTGCAGGTGGCGACCAAGGCTGGCCCAAATGTCACGGCCACTCTTTCTGCGGCTCAGCACTCCGAAACTCTCGCCATCAACTTCACCGTTCCTCCGTATCTCGAACGGATCACACTGGTATTTCCTCCCATGCAGATCTCCTTGGCCGACATTGCTCGAATCTTCTTCAGCCAGGGCTTGATCGGCAAAATCTTTCAGCTTATATTGTCGAATTTCCTGCCTCGGTCGCGACATGGCGGTGGTCCGGCTCACACATCTAATACGACGCTGGACTCATCATATCCCAGAAGACCGTCACTACTGTCCGAGGTCCGATTTTTGGCCCAATGGTCCAGCTCTCCTCCCGTCAACCATGCAACCATTGATGTGGTTGAAGGTCAACTGATTTGCGTGCTCCTGGTCACAGCATTTATCCTGGTATTCCTGATTCGAGAGTGGGTGATAAACCAACAGCCCGTTGCAAATATGCCGGAAGACGATATTGCAGATGCCCCTCCTCCAGTCCCCCAACCCGAAGGTGAGAGACAACGTGCAGCAAGACCACGACACAGACTTCATCGTCACGGTGTAGAAGCGAACCCCGAAGGCGAAGCGATGGCTTTGGACCGTGGTCCGCGGCCTATAGCAGTTCCCAGACTACGCAGAGCCATGACCGATGATGTCACCTTAAATGGAACAGAAAATCAGGTCGATCGGCCGACTCTGCCGGTCCCATCTCACAGCCTGTCGAATAATAGTGACCGATTGCGAGAACAGGATGTTGAAGATGTCATTGGGGAAAGCAGTGTGATTGCCGATGACGTTAAATCTCGACCAGTCCGGAGACACAGCTTGAGCAATTCTATTCTTGTGCAACGAGAGGTCGAAGTGGCCCCGAGTATTGATCCTGCTGATCCGAACGATTATGAGAGATGTCCGGATTATTTCCAAAATGTCTCCACTTCTGCGCTTGATTCGAGACAATTTCATCCACTTGAACCTCAAGAATTGGATCAGTCCGCGTCAGGACCATCAGATTCGTCTCGGGCACGAGCACCCTTCGCCGCAGCAGCAGAAAGCCCCCGTGAAGAAGACCAAGATCGAGTTGATCAAGATGGGAGTGCGGATGAAACTGATTCTGACGGGCCTGCTATACCAACGCCGAATTCAAGCGATGTTGATCATGCGTCTCAACCCTCCCAACCATCTTTGACGGATGGCGATCATGAATCGTCTGAACAGGCCCCTGTGCGAGCCGATCAAGCACCGGTTGAAGAACCATCTCTCTGGGGGAAGATATCGGCATGGCTTTGGTATACTGAGGATCAAAGCAACGACCAACCCGGCACCGCCATGCAAAACGATGCCGGTGCAGAAGGCCAAGATGATGAACATGTCGTTGAAGACGTCTTCGCTGAAGCTCCATTTGTACCCAATCATAATCGAGAACGTCAACCGGTTCTTGAAGCACCACCTGCAGACGTTCGTGAACCGAACAATGCTCCTTTCGGAATCGACCTCAACGATCCTAACGCATTAGAGGATGCTGAAGATTTGGACGGTGTCCTTGAGTTACTCGGTATGGAAGGCCCAATTTTTGGCATGGTGCAAAACGTTATCTTCAGCCTCTTCCTCATCACCGTCACCCTGTCCGCCAGCATCTGGTGTCCGTACATTTGGGGGAAGATTGCATTATTGTTCATGTCGAACCCCACCGGGATGTTGGTCAAAGTACCCTTGTATGTTCTCTCCAAAACCGCGGACATTGTGGTTGATATTCTCTTCTTCGTCGCTGGACTCGCTGGTTTTTTCCTCAATCAACCCGTCAAGATCATTAAAGCCATCACGTCCCCCCTGTTCCCGGCATTCAGCAATGTCCTAGACACGGCCCTGATTGAGGGACTCACACTCGATCTCAGCCAAAAGAGTGGTGCCCGCCTTGAAAGAACGTTGTCCGGAGCGGTTCTCAATATGAAGCCGGATGTGCCAACATTCTCTATACTGTCCCACCACGCCCTTAATTCCTTCAAGGGCTCCTTAAACGAAACCCTACAGGGGACAGTCTCGATCGTTCTCTACGCGCGAGACTCGCTGGCCGCCGAACCTGTCACATCTCGCACCATTCTCCTTGGTTTGGGGGAAATGCTGAAAGCAGTCTCCCAGCTGCCGAAGATGATTTCACAATTGGTGGAACTCGTTCTCGACATCGTGCACCGTGTGGCCAAAGACCTGACGCCGGCCTCCCCAAATGGGGATGGAATGGACTTGTCATTGGTCGAGTGGAGCACGGAGGATCGAATTCTTACCATCGTCCTCGGATATGCCTTTTTGGCCATCGCGGGCATTGTTTTCCTCGAGGTTGCCCGTCTCATCCTGGGTCTCAAGGATAACGAGAAAGTCGAAGGCTATTTTGCCGATTGTCTGCGACAAGCCGGTGGTGTGATGAAAGTCATTGTCATAATTGGAATTGAGATGCTCGTGTTTCCATTATATTGTGGACTCCTTCTCGACGTCGCATTACTCCCATTATTTGCGAACGCCACCCTGGCCGGCCGCATCTCCTTCATGATCCAAACGCCTTTCACTGGGATTTTCCTCCACTGGTTTATCGGAACCTGCTACATGTTTCATTTCGCCCTGTTTGTATCCATTTGCAGAAAAATCATGAGGACCGGAGTTTTGTACTTTATTCGAGATCCTGACGATCCCACATTTCATCCCGTACGAGACGTCCTCGAACGATCTGTCCCGGCCCAATTGGGAAAAATTGCATTCTCGGCGTTGGTCTACGGTGGCCTGGTCATTGTATGTCTGGGCGGCGTGGTGTGGTCATTACAATGGTTCGGGGGCATTCTACCGATACAATGGGCCACTTCTGAACCGAGGTTGGCGTTTCCGGTGGATATCATTTTCTACAACTTCATGCTCCCGTTGGTCTTGCGACAGGCTGAGCCGTCCAAGAAAATCTCGGCCATGTATGAATGGTGGTTCCGCGGATGTGCCCGAGCTCTGAGATTGACCGATTTTCTCTTTGGGGAACGCCGCACGGATGAAACATATAGCCGCCTAAGACGATATGGCTGGATTCCAAGAGACGGAACCGACATCCTGTACGACGGCAAATATGTCCGAGCTCCTGCATCCGATTCGGTACGAATTGCAAAAGGACAAAATGTGTTCCTAGAGGTGAACGAACAGAATGAACGAGTGGACGGTCAACCTGATTCGGATTATGGAATTCACGGTAAAAAGAATCACCGATTCACGAAAGTCTATCTTCCTCCACGTTTTCGAACTCGGATAGCGACCTTCGTGTTCCTTCTTTGGGTGTTCGCTGCCTCCACCGGAGTGGCGTGCACCATTGGGCCTCTTGTGGTCGGCCGAAAGGTGACTCGATTTCTTTCTCAGTCGAATCTTCCACCCAACGATTTGTACGCCTTCACCGTCGGCATCCACGTCTTTGCCGCACTGGGATATGCCATTGCCTATGCACGCCCCGCTCAAATCTATCTCAAAACCAAAATTCCACAGTGGTTTGGCACTCAGCTCATTGCTTCAATCAAGTATGTTTTGGGGCTCGCTTATCTGGGAATCTTCACCACCGTGATTCTCCCTTTCGTCCTCGCAATGATCACCGAGTTGTACATTCACATTCCACTGTATACCTACTTGGAATTAGGGCAAGAGAAGTCAAAGTCTCCGAATTCACCTCGGTCTGATTATCCTGTGGCCACGATTTTCATCCTTCAGTCATGGACGATTGGTCTTCTCTATCTCCGACTCCTCCTCCGGTTGTTTATGCACCATGTGGCCCCTGATTCTCAAGTAGCCACGGCGCTTCGTGCCATCACTCGGGATGGATACCTCAAACCAGACGTCAGACTGGCAAGCCGCGCCTTCGTCCTACCTGCGACCGTGATCTGTACGGTCCTCCTGGTCACTCCGCTGGCATATGCCAAGATGATCATTGTCTTGCTTCGAATTCACGACCCGGAAATGAAGATGCGTCTCTATCGTATGGCATACCCTGGTATTCTAGGTTTGTTCATGACATGGGGAGCAATTATACTCATGCAACAACAGTTGGCAAGTTGGAGAGTCAAGATCCGCGACGAGGTGTATCTCATTGGTGAGCGATTGCATAATTTCCATGAACCGGGACCAGAAAAGAGTGCAAGACGGAAGGGAAAGGAGACGGCATTGTGAGCAAAAGCACGTGAGGTTGGCAGAAAGACACCTACCTACCGGCTTAGGTATGTGAGGGCGGCAACGTCCAACATTGAGAGTGTTCTGCAATGACTAAACAAGGAAAGCGTTTGTGTTTTTATGAGTATCGATGCCTTTTAGAATATTCTTCATCACAATCAAGACTCCTCGTCCTCAATTCATTGGGCAGTTTGAAGCCCGCTAACTCGATTTTCTATCTGTATGAACATGCCCGGAGCAATCATTCTTAATCCCTTTCCTGACCAGGACACCGTGACGGGAAACGGAATGATACCGTGTCAGGAACGAAAGTCGACTTCTCTTCTGAGTCGATCCTGGTCTTTTTCATGGCCTTTCCATCAGATGACTAGACAGAACACTCAATCAAGACCAACTCCCCCGCCAGGTCAAATCGAGATCTTCCTCCGCCGTGCCCTTGCGTTTCTTCCTCGCAATGCCTTCACGAATACACTCCGCGACGTCCTGCACGTCTGTGCCCCGCTTGCGCTTCTCCACTCGCTCCTGCCCGAGCACTGTATCGTCCGCAATCAACCTGTAAATCTCCGCGATGCCTTCGAAGACGCCGCTTGCACCGCCGTGGGTACCATCGGTGTGGAGGTGATTATTGTTGTTCGCGTGGTGACCATTGCCGTGAAGTACAGCCGGGCTGAAGCCGCCTTCTTCCACGAAGGTCTCGTTGATCTGCCTCATTTCCTCGACCCAGCGGTACGCTTTGGGAGGCATGTCCGTCAAGCCACGACGGGCGCTCATTAGTGCGTAAGGGTTGAATTCTTCCAAATGCTCGGTCAGTGAATCCAGGATACCACATGTCTGTGCTGTGGTGAAGGATAGGATGGACAGGGCGGTGAAACCCTTCGAAAGCGCAGCGAAGCATGACTTAAGAGCGGACGCCGGCCCGATTTTGTCGCTGACGATTTTCACGTTTAAGAGGTCGCGGAGGGATGAGGAGAGGAGATCATCGTGTTTGGGTCCTGAGATGACAATTGAAGGGCGTTTCCAAGTTTTGTCCGGACGGAGCGAAGGTGGGCCGCCGATGATGCCACCGTCGAGGAAGTTGATGGAGATCGGGTCCAGTTCGGGCTCGGAGTCTTTACGATGGAACGTGAATGAGCGGGTGATGGAGTGTCGGCGTGGTAAGCTGGGTGATGCTGGCGTGCTGAACATTGTCGCGATGTTTTTGGCGGTATATGAACTGATGGCGTTCAAATCAATGTAGGTCAGACTCGGGGCCTGGTTCAGCGCCGCGGTGCCTTTCCTCTCGCTGCGGCGTTTGATGGCCTTTTGGGATCGACATGCTTCGAATGCCCTTCTTGCCGTTGCTATGGCGTCTCGTGGGGGGACAATGCTGAGGATTATGTCGGCTTCGGCGACCAAGTCCTCATCTGAGTCTAGCGTGATTATTTGGGACGATTTGATCCGGTCGAGCGTGTGCTGGCTTGTGTGAGTTCAGCGATCGGTGTAAACAGTTTGGATTGAAGAACGCTTGCCTTCTGCCTATGGCGACGGTGTAGACGGTGTAGTCATGATGACGGAGGAGACGGGCGACACCTATGCCCATGTCGCCGATGGAGAGGATTCCCACGGCGGGGTCGATTGGGCAGGAAGAGGATGATGTTGTCATTTTATTTTTTTTGGTTAGTCGATGCTAGGGAGAGGAAGAGGGTTCGAGAAGGGGGTAAATTGATAAGATGATTGTTTTCGAGGGAGATCACAAAGTCGAAATAGTGGACAGTAAGACCGTAGCACCGCCGAGATCGAGGCGGATGGACGTTGACATTGTGGGCATGCAGATGGGGTCAGGCGACCAGGCTTGCTTCCCCACCACATCTCGGCTTCCGTGTAAATACGAAGATCAAAGGAGCGGATGAGGCTGAATCCGCAGGTGAACAATTACCTAATGGCAAAAGACGAATCTGATCCTTGCACTGGACTCTGTATACCAAAGGCAATCGGTGACCATCTCCTTGAATTCTTGTTCTGTTGGTATTCAAAGGCATGACGTGGAAGGGACCAATCAGAGGGCGTGAAAAGGTGCTTATGCGGGGTGAAGCTGATGGACAAACGTACTGCAGATCTTGCATCTTGTACAGAGTATATATGTATACTTATCAAATTGTCTTTTTTACTCCTGCATTGTCAGAAGCAGGTGTCCAGTGGCATGAATACAACCAAGACCTGCCCCTACCACATCGTCCGTAGTAGGATCCGACCTTTTTGTCTCGCAAATCCTAGATCGAAGACCCCGACATTGCTGAGCGAGATCCGAAGATATTGGTCAGACCACCCGAGTCCTCACTCTCTTCAACCTCGATGTCAGCATATCCTCGCAGATGTTCAGATACACCCACAAACCGCTAAGATTGCAACAAGTTCAACGACAAAATCAAAAGCCAGAATGAGCCGCCGCGTCCCCATTGAGCCTCAACGAGTCGACGCCCCACTGACCCAATCAGCAACTTTCCTTGTCCTCACCATCACCAACAGTGCCGACGCCGTCAAGACCGTCCGCTCCACTCTCGCCGGCATCGACTCTCTCGCCAAGAATGTCGCCATTCGCGATCTCAATGCCTCCTTCGCCTGTACCGTCGGCATCGGCAGCGACGCCTGGGACCGCCTGACCGGTCTCCCCCGGCCAAAGGAACTTCATCCTTTCCCTGAAGTCAAGGGTGCTGTGCACACGGCCGTCTCCACCCCCGGTGACCTCCTCTTACATATCCGCGCGGAACGTCGAGATCTGTGCTTCGAGTTCGAGCGCCAGCTCATGGACCTCCTCGGTGATGCTGTATCCGTCGTGGACGAGACCGTAGGCTTCCGGTATTTTGACGTCCGTGATCTCCTGGGCTTTGTCGACGGCACCGCCAACCCCGTCGGTCCTGCTGTTCCTGAATCAGTCCTCATCGCCGAGGAAGACACCTCGGCCATCGGCGGCAGCTACATCGTCCTGCAGAAGTACGTGCACGATCTGAAGGCATGGCGCGCCTTGCCCACCGAACAGCAGGAAGCAATCATCGGCCGGACGAAGCTGGATAACATCGAGCTCGACGACGCCGCCGATGACCAGCAGAAGGCCCACAAGCAGCTTACCACGATCGAAGACGAGAGTGGTGTCGAATACGACGTTCTCCGTGATAATATGCCCTTCGGATCTCCCGGGTCCGGCGAGTTTGGGACATATTTTATCGGCTACTCAAGGCGATTGTGGGTCATTGAGAAGATGTTGCAGCGCATGTTTATCGGGGATCCCCCTGGGAAACATGATCGTCTGCTTGACTTCTCGAAACCGCTGACGGGTACGACGTTCTTTGCCCCATCTGCCAGTTTACTTGCTAGCTTGGACCCTGAATGATGATGATCTCTATCTGTCATGTAACTCAGTGGTGTAGTATATGTGTGAAGTTCAGGGCGGCATATTTGTGGGTTTAAATGGATAAATGTAAAAGCCAACGAATGCCATTAAGGTCCGAATCTGGTCGCATCTCATTACCACTTTTTGCCATACGATCTCCTATTCATTTTGTTATGCTCCACCTCTGTCCTCGACATGAAGGAACTAGATAATCACCATGAGTGTCCCGATTAATGCATTCACACCCACTCGTTGGGTCTTTCAAGAAGTGTCCCTTAGTGTTGAAAAGGGATTTATTTCTCCTTTTCCTGAAAGACTTCATCCATGACATGCAAATGAATTATTAAAGGTCTGGTTTGGCTTCTTTTTGGTTTTTTCCCCCCCCCTTCTCCATGGGTGGAGATCCACGTGAATAGTCTCTAGGCGCTTCTTACCAGTTCTGCTATCTCTTGACGAGCCCGCCTGGTGCATTTTGCAAGATGTTAGATGCTAGGAATTCTAGCGTTTGCTTGTCCCTCTTCGAGCAATTTTTGCTTCGCGAACATTAGCGCAGGATTGGACGAAAAGGAAATATGTACCGACACGACCCTCTCCGCTACTTCCGTGTAGACAATGAGGAAGAACAGTGATGGTCCTGCAAACGTCGTCCACCACCTTGCGATTTGTTTGCGTTTTACCAGGCGTCGCCGGGAGACATTCCGCTGCTCCTGAGCAGCGAGGGTCGCGTTGCCCTTCCCACGCCCCCCCAGGATCCGCCGACCTTTTCTTTCACGGGCAATGATATCCTCAAGGGATTTAAATACGCGTATTAGCTGTGTATGAGCAAACCTGGAGCGTATGCTCTCGCTCCCGTCTATAGCGCCGTCCAGCACCTGAAAGACGGTAATAACTTAGGGATCCGAACTCGCAATGGTGCTAGGCAACCTCGTGTGCGCGAGGAATGTTATCCAGTCGTCTAGAACGATTTCCAAATTAGCGTCAAGAAAAGTTATCGCGTCGTATCTCACAAGCCTGCTTAGCAGCCCGTAGCAGCCCCGCATTGGCCCCCCCCCCCTCCGTACGGAGTCGCTTCCCTGGATTCTTAGGCTGCATGGCGTGTGAACCGTGGATCGGTGCTGCTAGCTGCTTGCGGTTCCCTTCTGGCGGGACTGGCTGTGGTGTTCTCGTTGCAGACGGCCAACCGACAGCGTCGGAGCCAAGGTCCATAGGATCTCCCATGGCCCCGAATTTACTATCCGGAGCATAAGTAGCCTCTACGGAAATGCTCTACAGGCGGCGGGCGGGGACACGGTGAGCTTTATCTAGCATGCACCCCGATTAGCGATCCGGTAGTCCATGTTCTGGGATGTAAGCGCACTCCTGGCTCCAGGCCTCCTCAAGCCCGGGGTCCCGGACCGCGGCCACGGCGTGGTGCCCGCTGAGTTCGGACGTCGCCTCCCACGGCTCCCCTGGCCTTCTCACCGTGAAGTGGTTACTGGTCCTCGCAACGCACTAGGTCGAATTTGGTGATGGCGATGAATCGCTCCCTTCGGACATCGGCATTCTCAGAGCAATAATTCAGTACGATTCCTGATGCCTAGATCTCCTATAACGTAAGGAGTGAAGGGCAGTTGGAGCTAATGAACCCCCAAAACTGCAGAATACTTTTACACATCGGTCCTGCGGTCACAATGCCTAATGAAACCTCACGGCCACTCAAGTGCCAAGCTGCTGCGGCAAGCCAAAGCTGAGTACGACTCATGCGACCACGCTATCATGATACATGCAGAGCCTCATGTTTGTGTTGCTGCGCCTGTGGAAGGGGAAGATTCGTTGTGTATCTTGAGGCCGGGTAGACGTTTCCTTGAGCCGGAGCGTCCCGCTGCCTTCCCTAAAGCCTTCGCCAGCCACTCACTAAAGTTCAGGACGCGATTGATCTACTTTTGGAGCAGAGCATAGCTCGCGCAGAAGGCGAAAGCACCGAGTCCATATTCCTTGGCCTAGATTAGGGGGCTCCACTCCTGTTATGCGCTCGGTGTGAGTTAGCCAAGGGTGTTGAAATAGCATCCGGGAAAAGCATCTCGTGGTTTAGTTCGGCTGCGCCAGCGCGTCACAGTACGCGGCGAACGGCTCAGCAAGGGGTGGTGACAATTGTACCTAATCATGGGCTCCACGAGCTGTGTGACCGAGTGAAACCTCCTACATATGAGCAGTGAAGATCACTTGATAAGCTACTAAGTAGCCTTTCGCCTGCCACGCGCCTTTAGATTTAGATCTCAGCTATTTCTGTCCTCTTCACATTCTATCCCGACTTTATATTATTCTCTATACGGCGGTTCCTGCCCTCGGACAAAAGGGATTCAATAGGTCATAAATTTCGGGAGTGCCTTCAAGGCAACCTGGCCAACGCCGACCTTCCCATCCTCAAAGAAGAAGCAACTTAGCAAGGTCGCAAGTATGACAACATCCTGGACCAGGTCAATGCGCTTCTCCAGCAGCGAACAGTTCCGTCCAAAAGCCCCTTTCCGCAACCTCGAATTCATCCGGCATCCAGAACTCGCCTCCAGTGTATTCACCAGCAATGGTGTGGATGCGGCCAAAGCCGGCACCGAAAGGCAGCGGGGTGGAGAGTTCCCAGTCGATCAAGGCGTTAACCTCGCATTTCTCGTTGATGAGCACGTTCACGCCGTTGAGATCGTAATGGGCAACCCACAGCGGGAGCTGGGCAAACTCGTCAAGCCTCTTGGCGAAGCTCTCGACAGTCGCTTTGTAGGGGAGGATATCTTCCAACGGCGACACCAAGATGGCGTCCAGGTGCGGTCGAAGCTTGGTTTCGACAGCCTCATAGCTGTTGTCGCGAGGAAGCCCTTTGAAAAGACGCGGCCCAATGACTTGTTGACGGCAATACGCCCTTCGGCTCCCTTCCCTGCGATTCCACGCTGCCACATCTTGAGGGCGAGGGAATAAGCCCAGGCACCCGCGCTCTCTAACTCTTCATTGCCGAGAGCTTTAGCGTCCGGGACAAATGAACCTAGCGCCACCTTGGCAATCTTGAACGCGTCGACGTCGAGCGGTTCGGTACGAAATTGCACAACCACCTTACGGCCGTCAGCGAGGGTAACGAACAGTGTCCTGCTGAACATTCCCTGCATGGGAGGCTTGTCGATGCACGTCGCAGCACTGTTCAGATGCTTGGCGACCAGCTTCTTTGCCAAAATGGAGGTGTACACTAGGGGCCGCGGACAGGATATTCCGTGGGGTAAAAGCGTAGCTTTCATCATCTTGACCGGGAGCAGGCTGCACGTGAATCGGTCTAATGTTGCTCCGGGGGTTATTTGGCTAAACTTTACGAACGTGATCCCTAAAGCTTTAACTAAATCCCACCTATACTTTCAGGCTGACTTAGGCCTTTGGCGCCGGGAGTCGCAAACCGATAGTCACGTGCGTCAACCCCCACCGACGAAAATTACGACCCGCCCAGAGCCAATCATTTCCAGCGGGCCATGCTAGTCAAGTGTGAACATCGGCGCGATGCCCGATCCAAGGACGACCTGATCTTTTACTTCCACTACGTCCGAATAGAGCACTTATAGGCTTCTTCTGCAACACATGTCTTACAGCGTGACAGAACTCACGCTCAACACGCCCTTGGCGCGGACAAGTTCCAACTTAACTGCCTCACCGACCTCCTTATCGACGCCGAGAATCATGAGGGCCTCTGTTGTTTCTTTGGGCTGTGGAGGCAGTGATGGTGAAGCCACCATCATATCCTTTTTGGTGGAAGGAGCTACCATCAGAGGGGAAAATGTGACTGGTGCTACGCTCATAAAGTTGATATTCACGCCTTCGCGACCGAGGATGCTACCGACTACGCCGATCTTGCCGGGCTCGTCGTAATTGTGGCAGATAAGCAGTGTGCCATCGGGAACGAAGGAAGTTGCAAAACGGTCCACGCGCGAGATGATGGGGTGGTTGTCGCTGCAATAGCCAGCGATGACGTGTTGTTGGTTTTGGTTCTGGTATTGGCTACCTTCTTGATCTGATTCAACGGTATGCCGACTCAGCGACGATGCGCGGCTGGCGGGACGAGCGACGAGGGTGACAAGACTGCTGTAAGAGTGAGAGCTGGGGTCGCGGGACTTTTGCTCGTTGACGAAGATGCCGCGTTCCTTGGCAACCATCTCTGCGTTGACGATGTTGACGTTGAAGCCCTCGGCGTCGGAAATGGGTGAGGTGAGGCCCTTGATCAAGGCCGCGAATAGGGGCTTGGTGCTTGACATTTGAGCGATCTCGCCTTCGTAGATGAGGTCGAAGGTGTTCATGTTCCGCAGGACAGGCTGTTTTGGCGAGGTGAAGTGTTGTGTATATAGCGAACCCATTTTCTCGACAAGGCGGACAAATGGCTGTAATGTCTTGTATTCGGCCGGGAGGATGATGGGAGCATTGACGGCACTGCGCGGTAGATCGCCGGCGAGGATCTGGAGGACTTGTTCACAAACGTCGATTGACACGTTTTCTTGTGCTTCGACGGTCGAGGCGCCGAGATGGGGTGTGGCAATGCATTTTGGATGCTGGACAAGTTTGGTAGCGGGAGAGTCGGGGAATTTAGCTGGCGGTTCGCTGGTGAAAACGTCAATTGCAGCGCCAGCGATGTGGCCGGATTCGAGGGCCGCCAGCAAAGCTTCTTCGTCAATGATGCCGCCTCGAGCGACGTTGAGGATATGAGCCCCGCGTTTCATTTGGTTCAATTCGGACGTGGAGAGCATGCCACGAGTCGATGCCAGCATGGGAGTGTGGATGGTGAGGAAATCGGCGACAGGGAGAAGTTGGGATAAGGATTCGACGAGCTGAACATTGGCAGCGGCCGCAACGGATTGAGATGCATAGGGATCGGCGGCAACGACGTTCATCCCCAGGCCACGAGCCATGCGAGCCACAATCAGTCCGACTAAACCCAGCGTGGTGAGACCATCAAGACTAAATGGAGACAGCTTTGTGGTGACGAATGGGACGTACCTTTGCCCAAACCTACCACGCCCAGGGTCTTCCCTTTGACCTCGACACCAACAAGCCTACTTCTCTCCCACTTACCAGCTTTCAAACTGGCACAAGCATCGGGGACATTTCTGGCCATGCTCATCAACAGGGCTATTGTATGCTCCGCTGCGGCCTGAATGTTGCCACTGGGACTGTTGACGACAATGATACCCAGCTTGGTGGCAGCGGGAACGTCGACATTATCGACACCCACTCCGGCACGGGCGACGACCTTGAGTTTCCGGGCCGCATTGAGCAGGGCAGCGGTTACTTTTGTCTCAGAACGGACAAGGAGCGCGTCGTAGTCTGGGATTACTTCGATGAGCTGTTCAGGGGTCAGACCCCGTTTCTCGTCGACCTGTAATGTTTTTTGTAGTAGTGCCAGACCATCCGGGGCAATATTCTCGGGACACAAGACTCGAGCTTGTCCTATGTGACAGTTGGAAGTATCCATTGTGTAAAAGGGGGAGAGGTTTGGGAATGATGACTTCAGAGATTTTGAATAACAGGAGTGGCAGTACGTCGTGTCACGAATGGAAGGGGGGAAAAAAGAGTCTGACATAGAAAGACTTACTTGACGTGAATGAAGTCCAAGGATCGGTAAGGAAAGCAGGAAGAAGAAAGGGAAACAGCGAGAAAAGCTCATAAAAGACCAATTGAGGATGACTTTCCTTATTTTCGAGCTTTTCGTTGTCAAAATAATTTATGCAATGAGCCCACATTGTGCGAGAGACGAACAGCTGCAAAACTTGACCTTTTCGGTTGGCCGAATTTTGTGCGTCACCGTCATCGTCCGAAATTGCAGAAAGGTGGGGGGAGCAAGTCGGTGCTTTTTGCCCCACGATTCTCCCCGTGAGAAATTTGGTGCCAATCCGGGGGAATTCGAGGGGATATCGCAAACAGTGCAAACAGTGCAAACAACGCAGATAGAAGAAACCCAAAATCCCACCGGACGGGTTTCAGTATTCCAATGCTTCTTCGAACAATCCGCGTAGTTGTTCTCGTTCCTCGTTCTCTTCTTCGCTCAAATTGGGTGCCAGCATCAGGACTCTCCTTTGAGGCAGAGTACCTTCCACCAGATCATCAATACTTTCCCGTGTAAACCCTAACGACTTCAAGCCTCGAGGCTGGTCTCCAAGCTTGATCAGGAATTCGGCCAGGGCTTCGCTCAGAACTTCGCCTGCACTTTCTTTCTTGACGTTCGAGACGTCTTTACCAAAAGCTTCTGCTGCCGCCAGATGACGTTCAGGATTGCTGGAAGCGGTAAACCTGAACACCGCTGGAGCAGTGACTGCGACGCTCACGCCATGGGGAATGATGGGGTCCTCAACCACGTATCCCGCATGTTTATAGCCCGGATTTTGTCCGCTAATGGGATAACTCATTCCATGACATAGATGTACACCTGCATTACCAAATCCAACTCCGGCCAATGTGGCAGCCAAGAGCATCTCACTCTGAGCCTCCAGGTCCTCTGGATCTTGGGCCGCTCGCGGCAAGTATTTGACTGTCGACTTGAGAGCCTTCAATGAGAAGATATCCGAGATAGGATTGGCACCTTGATACGCGGGGCGATTGATTGGGTTTGGAGGCCGCGGAGATCTTTCGTGGTATGGGATAGCCGTCCAGGACTCCAGTGAATGGCACAATACATCCAACCCCGAGGAAGCGTGAACGGCCGATGGCATTGTGCGGGTGTTGATGGGATCGCAGATACCCAAGGTCGGTTTCAAATTACGGTGGGCAATCCCGGTCTTCGCGCGTTTCTCGACCAAGTCGAAAATGGCCGTTCCCGTCGTTTCCGAGCCCGTTCCGGCCGTCGTAGGAACCGCCACAAGGGGCTTGAGTGGCTTGGTGATAGGCAAGCCTTTTCCCAGGGGAGCATTAACAAAATCCAAGAAATCTGCATCGGGGAAGCAGGTATACAGATTCATCAGTTTGGCCGTGTCAATGACGGATCCTCCTCCGACGGCCAAGAAGGCGTCCGGCCGATACGGCTTTGCAAAAGCAATGGCATCCTTGACTGAGCTGTCTTTGGGTTCAATCCGACATCTGTCGTAGACGGTGAATTCAATGCCTTCTTTGGTCAATCCTTCCACCACCTGTTTCATGGCGTCCAACTTTGCGACGTTGCCATCTGTCACAACACAAACCCGTTTGGCACCCATATTTTTGAAGTCCATACCCACCTCCTTTGTGCATCCGGGTCCAAATCGGATCGAACTAGCAGCCATCTCAAACGCATAATCCTTAGATCGCGAGGGATCAACGGGGGTAGCCAATCGCCTTCGGGCTTCACCGAAGACGGCGGGAGCATGATGATGGCTGGGATTCGAGTGACAAGGGCAATTTGGAGGATGATTGTACTGAATGGCGTGTAGCAAAGAGGTTGAACGCTGAGCAGCCGTCCTGGCGACTCGGACCGCGGGTGAAAGGGACATGGTTGAAGATGAACAAGGACGATATGCCCGGTGACCGCAATTTCGTGTGTGTAGAGGAAATGACCTCGGTCACTCGATCGAAACGCGCCTACCTCTCACGATTGCATTGTATTGAGATAGAGACCAGAAAGATATATTAAATCCATGACGACCGTGATGGAAGTCCCACTTTCGGAACAACCCCATAAAGTCATCATAGGCTGGAGAGTGGAGGAGACCGAGGTTGATTGTGGAGAGAGCTCCGGAGCTCGAATCAGCCATAGCTTTGGAACCTAGAAAAGTGGTGACAGGCATCATCTTCCACCGGAAATGCGAACGATGGATGAAACTCTAGGTAAGGGGAAGAAGTCCGCACCCGAGCAGTCGCCAGAACGCCTGCGTTCCCCCCCCCCTCCACCTTATGTCATGCATGTCCATCTTTCCGTCACCAAAAAGTTGCCAGGCTAAATTCGAGCATCCAAATAATGCTGTCGAAACAATTAATGGTCCAACTCTGAAACACTCCTTCTCTCCAAGCACCTCTGGTGATCGATGCCCTTCTCGCGGATCGCCACTCAATCTCGACTGCAACAGATAGCAAGCCATCTACGATTCCCATCCGTGTTCAAACCACACCCCTCTCCGGCCACTCGGCGTTCTCCTCCATCGCAGACATACGCAACCATGACGGACCATTCGAAATGGAAGTTCAACCACACAATGCTGAGGGTGAAAGATCCTCAGAAATCTCTTGAATACTATAAACTTCTCGGGCTGAGTCTCGTCAACGAGCTCAGGTTCCCAGACAACAAATTCGATCTATATTTTCTGGGTAAGGATGTAGCCTCAAAACCTGCCAAATGAAGACTGGAGACTTACCAGAAGGATTCCGGCGTAGCCTACGATAGCCCCTCGTCCGCCTCCTCCGGAGCCCATTGGACCGACCGCGAAGGTGTCCTTGAACTGACACACAATTACGGCACCGAATCTGACGACTCATTCAGCATCAACAACGGCAACAAAGAGCCGCACAAGGGTTTTGGGCACATCTGTGTCAGTGTGGACAATATCCAGGCGGCATGCCGACGTATCGAAGATGCCGGGTACCAGTTTCAGAAAAAGCTGACCGATGGACGAATGCGAAGTATTGCTTTTGCTCTCGATCCTGACGGATACTGGGTTGAGATCATCGGGCAAAAGCCGGTGGATGAGACCAAAGACATTACCACCACAGACACTTCGTCCTATCGATTCAACCACAGCATGATTCGGGTGAAGGACCCAGGAAAAAGCTTGACGTTTTACCAGGAAGTGATGGGCATGAGTCTGATGCGGACTTCTGAGCAGAAAGAGGCCGGTTTCACCTTGTACTTCCTCGGTTACCCAGGCACATATGCAATCCCCAAGCCCGAAGACACTCCGAACGGAGTGAACCCTCTGGCCGGCAAGGAAGGGCTCCTGGAGTTGACGTGGAACTATGGCACGGAGAAAGAGGATGGCAAGGTGTACCACAATGGCAATGACCAGCCGCAAGGGTTCGGGCATATCTGCATTAGCGTTGACGACCTTGACAAGGCGTGTCAATTCATGGAGGAGAAAAAGGTGAATTGGAAGAAGCGTTTAACCGATGGTAGGATGAAGAATGTTGCTTTTGTACTCGACCCAGACGATTACTGGGTTGAAATCATCCAGAACGAAACGTTAAAGAAGACGACTAATTGGTGAAGAATCGAGTCCGAAGATATGAATCCGAGCCCCCGGAGAAGGGGGGGAAACTGCCGGTAACGGCATCTTTGTATGTCCTGCGCCCGGCGATAACCATCACTGAAGACCAAAGGCGGGAGTGCATTTTGTCTCGAACTTCATTTCGGCTCCTTCTTGTGTCAATTGTTGATCATTCCAGCCCCATGGACCCTTCATGTCATTTTGCCTGCTCGTTTTCCCTCGTTTCCTCCCCTTCACTTCTTTCTCGTGTAGTCTGCTTGAATTCTTGGGCGAAAACCGCCGTGCTTCTCCCGTATCGCGTATCCTTACGCACGGAAAGCTTTGTCCTCAATAAAGCACAGCACCACACATTGGGCCGCATATCTCGATTCTTAGGAAAATCGGCAGGGCATTCATGCATACGGAAATCTCCACAGCATCATCCAACTTCTGTTTGGATTAGTCTCAAAACCTGGGCTCGATCGATCAGCAGACGACAGATTTACTACGGATAGTACCTGGGCGTTTGAGAGTTTGACACCTTTTTCAAGCGACCCTGATCGAGCGCGTTCGATCTCGAAATAAATTTATCATCGGTTTTTGGAACCTATGGACCAATGGGCGTTCGACAAACTCTCTCTTGGAGTCCTTACATCTTTTGCCAGTGCCGGGTCGGGTATCGAGACAAAGAAAAACAAAAGACGTACGAGACATGCGAACAGCCTCTGCGTTTCGTTTGTCCGATGGATGATTATGATCAGGTCGTCTACAGAAAAATGAACTACAAGCCCAAGTCCCATCTTTCCCATGGAGGCCTTATTTTTGCTTGCATGCATTTCCGTATCCGGTTCGATCAGTAGGGTTGGGTCACAAAGACAAATATCACGAAGGACCGAATCCAGTCCTCCACGATCTACATTGCCACCAGAAAGTTCTCACTTCGATTCGGCCATTTGATCGCAACTGGTAATCAATGCTTCTTCCTTATTGTTACGCACGTTTTGTCGACTGCCAATCTGAGACCGTGAGGCACTGCCATTTTCCGGGGGATTGGCTGAGTGTGCCAAAACGTTGTTGTACTGGATTTGGCCCTCTCCTTGTCCCTGACTCAGATATCATTGGCGACGTCGAATCAGTAAGAAATTAAGACAAGAGGTCTGAGGCCAGGCAAATGGTTTAGGACGTACCCGCCCCTACAAGTAAGGGAAGGAGAAGGGGAGACATCATTCCGTCCTCCGATTCATAGCCCACAGGATCACCGCACTAATACGATTGCCTAGGATTTTGTGATGCGGTCTATTTCCTCATCGGGTACTCGATGAATCCTGAATCTCGCGGCCTCCGAAGTGGCCTCGTCCTCCCGTTGCAAGGTTGCTCGCGAGAAGTGTCTCCATATTAAGACAAGGTATGTGCATTCATCCGAGACAAGCATTTTCCACACTCACCCGTTTGATGGATCATGCCATGCTTCCTAAATTGGTAGTAGCTTTACGTCGCTGGTTCATGAAGTTGTATTGAATCGACCAACAAGGCAGGCAAATTGCTTCATTCAGTTAATTGAACAGAATAATGTCAGCTGTTCACATTTCAGAGACATCGGACTGTCACGTCGTGTCGGGGCCCTATGTGGCTCAGCTTGTTTTCCCGCCCTGCGTCAAACTTTCTTCTGGATTGAGGAGTCCAGCTGAAAAGATTCTCCGTTGAGTGCGGACACCCATGGTATCAGACATGCTTGATCTTTTGCTCTGTTTTGTTATTACAGGGCCGTCAGGCGAATCGACATTTTTGACCCTTGACGAATAACTGCCATGGGAAGCTCCAGGCCTTCGGTCCCCTACACACTAAACGCCTTTTTCCGACGGATCCTCCAACACTTCGGCAAGAACAATCAATTATTTGCTACCGAACATGAGAAGTCTCATCGAACCAAAATGCACAGGACCTGCAGCGTCGTAATACAAAACTTCCATCCAAGCCAACGGGTTGCAGGAGACCATTCCCGGGGTCCGGTCAGAATTTGATTGACGAGGAAGAATGCCACATTTTTCTGTAGTCACCTCTCGATGCAACTCAGAAGTACAGGAAGCAATTGCTAGATGAGAAAGACGTGCTTCACATATTTTACCTTGCAAGAGACCTCAACTCTTGGAGGCGCACCATTAAAAGAATCATTATTCTCATTGAGCAGGATCCCTATCTTTCGAGACGACAGTCCTCTTCAACAACGTTACTTCGTGTAACTGTTCCCTTCGGTTTCGAAGTTGTCGAAGAAAGCTTCTTGTTTGGACCAACGTCACAGCTTGTTCGATTTATTGACAATCTGAAAGCTTTGATGCTGTTATTTTGTCAACAGATGGCCCCTTCGCAGTGAGGAATCCAAAGTCACACCCGAGGTGAGACTGATTGACTTCTCGTTCGTAGAGACCTCGATATCCCCTGCGACCAACTCGGTCCAGCCACGGTTCCTTCTCAGCTTTTCCTGGAGGGGAAATCACCCAAGACGTATTCTTTCGCTCGGCAATTCTTCTGTTGATTTCCTGCTCCTCGACATCTAGAAAGAGCTTGCGGTTCTCAACGTCACACACAATCTTGTCTCCCATCTGTACGACCCCAAAGACTGAATCGAGGTCGGCAGACTCGGGTGATATATGCAAGACTATGGTACCTCCAGCAGTGCCGCTCATTCGGCCATCGCTGATTCGCAGCATGTCCGTGACACCTTTTCTGCCCAATTTTTGGGGTATGGGGATTAAACCAGCTTCAGGCATTCCTGGATTGCCTACTGGACCTACGCTCTTGAGGATAAGCACTGAGTCTTCGCCAACGGCAAGTTCTGCCGCGTCAATCCGCCGGGCCATGTCAGCGGTGTTCTCGAACACACATGCCGAACCACGGTGATGCAGGAGTTTTCGATTTTTTGAGGCTGATGCTTTCATGACGGCTCCGTTGGGACAGATGTTGCCGTAAAGAACCACCAAGCTTGAATTTGGGTAGAGGGGCTCTTGTAGAGATCGGATGATTCGTCGGGAGTAGGGCAATAATTTGAAAGGAGTCCTGTCTAGCACCTCGCCCAGAGTTTGACCCGTATAGGTTCTCGCATGGAGATGTAGTAATGGTCTCAGCGTATGCATCAATGCCAACATTCCCCCCGCATTGTGGAAGTCTGTCATGTAATTATCCCCGCTAGGCTTAAGGTCCACCAGTAATGGAGTTTTCCTTCCGATTTCATCAAATGTTTTCAGATCAATGGTGCCCGCCACTTTTGGGTGTCTGTTGATGATGGCCATCAGGTGGACGATGGCATTCGTGCTTCCGCCTATGGCCTGAAGGACGGTGATCGCGTTCAAAAAGCTCTCGCGCGTCAATAGGTCCTGCGGTCTCATTTGATCCATCTTCAGCATCCTCACGGCATCCCCCCCTGCTTGCTCCGCGACTCTCAATCTCGCCGAACTCACGGCCGCTGCTGTAGCGCCGGCACGTAGATCAAGCAGACCCAGCCCAGCAGTCACGCACGCCATTGTTGAAGCTGTGCCCATGACTCCACACGTACCGCCCGTGGGTGCCAATTCTTCATTGACGGACATGATATCCTCGACATCGACGTCACCCGCACGATACTTCGCCCAATAGCTCCTGCAGTCTGTACAGGCACCGACCCGGAGTCCTTCGACGGACCCAGGCATCATCGGCCCCGTAATGAGCGGGATGACCGGCTTGTTCGCACTGATTCCGCCCATTAGTTGGGCAGGCACAGTCTTGTCACAGCCTCCGATCATCACGACCGCATCGATCGGCTGCGCCTTGATCGTCTCCTCTGTATCCATACTCATCAGGTTGCGTAGGTACATACTTGTCGGGCTCGCGAAGCTCTCGTGGATACTGATCGTGGGGAAATCCACCGGTAGGCCGCCTGAGGTGAGCACGCCGCGTCTTACAGCTTCGATCAGCTGTGGCACGTTTGAGTGGCATGGGTTGAAGGACGAGTACGTGTTGATTATACCCACGATGGGTCGGGACAGGGCCGTGTCTGAGTATCCCAGCGCTTTGATGAAGACTTTGCGCAGGAACAGGGAGAAGTGTGCATCACCGTAGCTCGTGAGGCCAGACCGGAGGCCAGAGGTAGATGTGATGGGTTGGGAGAGGTTGTAGTCCTGGGATGTCGACGTCGTATTGTCCTCCAAGTTCTGAGGAGCTGGTGTTGATGTGCTGTTAGGTTCCATGTTCAATGAGGTGTTGTCGAGGAAGGTACGTGACAGATTCCTGGATTACAAAGGACTTGCAGCGGACTAGCCAAGGTCTCGACGACAAAAGTATGGATGAAGAAGAGAAAGTGCTATATTGGTCCCAATGGTCATCATGTTGGAGGCAGTTGTGGACGGAGGAATGCCGGTCGGTGATGTACGGAGTAGGGGAACAAAGAACATCGGGCGGGGAAGGGTTTCGCAAAGCAATACGTCACATTGGGTTATCGATAAGATGAGCCCCACAATCAAAGAGAAATCAAAAACTGTAAAAAAAAACGGTAGGACCTAGATCCAACATTCGGAGTCGAGCCGCTACAGAAATGTCAGTACAAATTACTATACAGAAGAACTCAGGCGCTTTACGATGCGGGACAGCAGAGACTGTCAGTATTTCAAGTTGACTTGAAAGCATCGAAGAAATTACCTCGAACCCGCAACCTTGAGGTTAAGAGCCACACGCTCTACCGATCTGGAGATAAATATTAGTTGGGGTATCTCGAGGTACGACACAGATTTGCACATACTGAGCTAACCCGGCAGGTTGGGTGATTGTTGGAACAAAATTCACGAATTAAATAAATAACTTTCCAAAATCCAAGCCCTCCTTAAGCGCCTTGGCGAAGTTGGGGGACGGTTCTTGGTACAATGACGTGATGGATGCAAGCAAGCTCAGCTTTCGCAACCGAGCCGCATGATAAAGCTAAGGAATTTTTCACGAACGAACAGTCTACAATAGAGATCAGGGACGAGGGTGGATGTAGGAATTTGTGCAGGCATGATGCTCTTAGGTAGGCGGGCAAATGCCACAATAGTGTTCCAGTATCGAGACGAACGAATGAAGATGAATATTGGCCACATTCCAAGGACATGCGATGTGATGGTGCAGTCACGCCGCTAGGAAATACAATTACAGTCTCGGGTCTTTGATGAGTGATGATGAATTGATTTCACCAAGCACTCCGAGGTTGAATAAAATGTCTCAATCAAGGACAGCGTTTCATGTCGTTTGGCTGAAGAGGAGGCATTTGCTTCTTGAGTTCTCTTTCCCCCGATCTTTTCTATTGGCCATGGTAGAAGCTCTTCCACTTTTTCTTCTCCAATCCTCGTACAAGCTCGGCCACTGCCCTGACAATTTGGGACCTAACTCCATGTAACTACCAAGCATTGTCTAAAGTGTATAGTGTAACTCCATACGTACGCCAGGACAGTCAGTGTTGCCGGATGGCGCTCTTTCAAAAGTGTATGGTACTGCGCGTCGACAAACACCGGCCATGCAATGGCGCCTGGAACATCGCGACCCGGCCTTTCCAAACATTGGAACCTGAACAGGAGCCCAGGAGTTGTTGACTTCCAGCTGTGGTCATCTTCTTGAGTCGCACCTCATAGCTTATCGGGTGATAGTCAGAAAGCCAACCGTGCTTGTCAGGATATCATAGCGGTTCGAGATTTGCCTTGAAGGCGCAGTCGTTGCTTCGTAATGCTACGACTCTAGCACCAATTAAAAGGATGAAGATTGAAGACCAAAGAGGCCATGGCAGCGTCGTGATGCATCAATTCCAGATCGTCCTTTTCTAAAGTTGGGTGACTGTAGAATGATGATCGCTTTCAATAGCGGTTCAAGCAGGCTGGTGGGCCCCAGGTTTGTTTGAAAGTACAATGGTGAACGTGGTGGAAATATCGTATTTCATATACTGCATGTTTGAGTGCACTATTGTAGACTTTTCTCCATCCATAGTCTGTTCTCAGCCACATTACATGGGAATTTCTCTCGCGGAATTACCTCACCATTTTATATGATCTGGAGATGCAGCAGTGGAATAAAGACAGCCGGGGACCGGATGGCCTTGGTTGGAGCGGAGATCGAGGGCGAGACGGAGGCGGCGCGCAATTGAATCAGTTCGTAGAAAGGGACAGGATGGTGATCGACAAACGTCTTCCCTCACACAGCGTGAATTTATGCCATGAGCAATCCTGCGGGCGGGAAGAATGTTACTTTCCCTTCCCCAAATTTAACCCCTACTTTCCACACTCAAGCAGTTTCCCTTCTCAATGCCGAACTCACCCTCAGGTCCTCGGGGGTATTTGCTGACACATCAACCGTCGTTCTTTTTCGATCATTGCTCAGCCTCTGCACTCGCTCAGCAGTGGCCTCAGTCACATCGTCATCGCTCTCCTGTGTCTCTAGGCTTCCTTTCTTGTCCGAGTCCACGGTCATAGCATACAAGTCTTGCATGTCCCAGAGTTGGAGAATTTTTTGTTCAAAGGATCTCATCTCGTCTTCCATCAAAGATACTTTGTGTCTCTCACTCACCCATTGAACAGCGGTCAGTCTGCCCGGGCCTTGGGGTAACGGTAGGTGCGTTTTGTTTTCGGCATCGTGTACAATAGGACTGTCTGGTTCAGTCATCACTGCTTTCATCGTAAAATCGACAAGACCAGCTTTGTCATAGTTGTCGATATTCTGAGACATGCGTTGGCGAGCAGTCCAGTGAATTGTTTCGTAAGTGTTTCTAAGACGATTTGGTGTTGGTTCGCGGCTGACAGGATCCAACGATGTGAACGTCCCCGGGACGCGGTAGTAAGAACCACCGAGGAGAAATAGGCCCCTCATGGAATTGTGGATTCGACCTGCACCATGTAAGTGGTTGTGCGACGTGGGTTGGTGGATGATACATACCAATGAAGCTTGGAGAAGGCCCCTTTCCTCTCATGAACTGCCCGACTGCCAGAGGATCAAAATTGAGAAGGCCATCAAGCTGGCTCAGCATCCAGGCCAGAGGAACTCGAGCAGCCTCATCGTCTTTGAGCCCGCCGCCAACATCTGAGTGAGAACCCGGAAACCAACATTGCTTCAGCACTTTAGGAAATATCTGACCATCGGGCTTCTCCCAGAGAGTGGGCTTGAACTGTCTTCGGCGCTCGTCAAGCGCGAGGGCTTGGAAGGCGTATTCGACATGCGGGAGGACTTTGGTGTTAACAAAAGCCAGTCGCTTGGATACGGGCTGTGGAAGGAAAAAGGGGCGTGGCAGGCCCAGCGAGCCCACAGTATCCCAAACAGCGCAGACTTTGATGGGGATGGAAGGCCGAGTCCATTCTTTGTGCAGGAGATTTCGGAAGTAGTCTTTGACTTCTCGGTCGTCATCGAGAGCTCCCTGGACTTTCTCCTTCTCGTTTTGTCTCTCCCATTGCTCGAAAATGGAACCCAGTTGGACCAAGCCACGGTGATTGAGCAAACCCATGGTCCAAATCAAATGTGCTATACTTCGGGCGGTGAAAGCGCCTCGCGAAAAGCCAAAGAGAAATATTTCATCTCCATGCTGATAATTGAGGCAGATGAACTGATATGCCTGCATGATGTTCTCACGGACTCCTGTTCGGGTTGTCAGTTCGATGTGGACCAAGCCCGTGGGTACAAAAATTCCTCTCACCTCTGCCAGTAGCTCCTTCAATGGCGTTTTCAATGGGACCAAAGATCCGACCGGCGACTGAACCGATGCCATGTTGATAGTACACAATCTGTTTTATCTGGACCTTCTCTTCGCCTTGCATGACCTCAGCCTCGGCGTCGATGCACCGGGCGAGCTTTGCAACATTCGTAGGGACTTGGCCGACTCCATCGCTGTTATTCCAAGTCCCGTCGCAGCATACGATGATTCTTTTATGGGGCATTGTGATAGTGTCGAGTTTCGTTGAATATCCATGATCCAAAGTTCGTATCACATTAAGAAATAAGTGAACGAACAAGTTGTGAGATATTTGATGAGGCTACCTCAGGAAGTTCAGGCCCCCAAGCTGGTAAGGCTGTTTCATTCCTGATTGACAAGCCAAGCCTGCATTGCCACCTGGAAGAGGCTGAGTAAGCCCAATTTATTATGTGGGCAATAATAGCATCACCATCATTCTCCTGGACTGAGACAGAAATCTAACCAAGGACGCTAGAATGAAAACAATTTTTCTTTGGATGACCCCCGCCTGATTTTGATTCTCTGGGATGAGAAAAAGAACGGCTTCGAAGTTAGCGCCAATGGAGCTTAAAGAGGACAGTTTGCATGAATAAAGGCTCGAGGCTCATCCCTAAAATTTACTTAAGGCTCTAGTCTGAACAGCCTTGGGACATACTCCCTGATCTTCCCCACCTCCTCGTTTCCGAAGCCAGTTGGCGGCGAAAAGTGGCCCCCAACCTTTGATTTGACTTGTGCAGGAACAAATCGACTTCTACAAACGTGTGTCAAGAGAACTATCTGGCTTTTAGAATAGCGGAAGAAATTCTCATCTACACCCTGTTAAGTACACATATAGGTTGAGACCCTTCTCAGCCACCTTTCAACGCTGTTATTCCTGTTTCATCAGGGGCACTTGTGAGCGCGAACCAGGTGGGACCTGATCTCATGACCGAGAAAATCTTAGGTGGATGGTACGGGAGGCTGAATCGAGTCAAAGGCCATCAAGTCCACATTGTTGTCAGTTTGGTGATGTGACCCGCCGCCACAGCCTTGCCAAGAGGACGAGAATGCATTGCCCCTTCACGCTGACCACCACCCGCTCGATAGGCTTCAATTTCTTTCAACTTTCCGCTGGCTATCCCAAAGCTCATCTTCGATCCTGTGAAAGAATATGTTTGACTACCCGAAACAACACCGGCTATGAAGTCGCCTCCTATCGTGATATCCAAACAAAATATTCGCTTCAATCCTTATGCCCAAAGGCCGATACCTACACTGATTCGATAGGGAGATGATATGTGTTTCTCGCAAAAACAGGGTAAGCACGGCCTCTGAGACCTTGCGGCCTTTGTACATCGCTGTTGCTGTTTGCCTCTACGCACTCGGATCCAACTTGTTCCAGTACCGTCCTGAGCCCGCTACCCTATGCAATGCTCCCAGGACTGGAAGTTGTGGACCCAGCCCTTTGAGGTCATTGTACGTTTCTTGCAGTCACGATTCAGCAGCATTGCCGAAATGATACCCTCCAATGAAGGCATAGAAGCCTTCGGGTTGGACCACAGAAGACGATGCGGAGTCAGAGAAGCTCTTCAATACATATCTGGCGATGTTGATGGTTCGGACATGTGAGCAACCGGTCAAGATGACATGGACCTTTGCCTGTGGTGGAGGCGCGAGCTCAGGCTGAATGAAAAAATGGAGTCCTTCGCGAGAATGGAAATGGGCGGAACAAAACGCTTTGCAACAATTACCTTTCAAGCGACAAACCACTACTCTCTCCATTCTCTCCCCATCCTGAACCCATTCCCCTTCTTCCCTTAATTCCACCTAGAATACCAGTTTCATACGCCATGAGTCGAGGAATTTGCCGGGTCACGCCGAAGAAGCCGTCGAGCACGGTACGGATGTCAGATTTCGACAACTTCCGTACCTGCCATTGCGAGTTCGTCACCGGTAGGATCAGCCTCAAGACAGATTGGACCAAAGTGAGTTCGAATACCACAATGTAGAGGACGACCGGGTGGAAATCGACCTTTGGCTTAGAAGATTGAGATCGCCCCGAATGGATCATTTCAATAACTTGGTGAGTCCTCCAGAATGGTCTCTGATGCCAGTAAGACAAGACAATATGCTCTACGTCACCGATCATGGTGCTGTTTCCATTGTCGATATTCAAGCGGAGTCTCTTGACATTTCTCTCAAATGCTTCTCCTTCCGGGCCGGATGAAAGCAATGTACAATGTACACTGTACACGGGGGAGGGAGAATGTGAATACTGATACTTACAACAAGCAAACTCAACCCGTGGGCTCCACAACAGATCTTGTCCATCCTCATCTTCGTTGGTTTCTCCATTCTTCGTCAATGTCGTACGGGGTACTTGGGACGTCCCATAAACGAGCCAGGGAACTCTACGTCGGAATGTTGCGAGGGAAATATAAGGTCGACTTCATTGCTGATGATAGCCGTGAAGGTCAACGAGTTGGGCACGACGAGTTTGTGCTATTGCCGCCTGACATATCGACATCGGATTTAGTGAGCTTGGGTATCTTGAATCTGTCAAACGGTATGGACGGAAAAGATATCAAGCTTTTCTCTTTTTTCCCCTCGAACCAATATTTCGAAGGTTATCTTGTCCAGGGAGCCATTGCTGTTCCTAATATATAAGATACGGCTATTTAACAAGATTGCGCCACCAGAGTCCGAGCCATCATCCAATGTTTTATGGAGCCTTGTGGGAAACATTGGCAGACGCCAGACGCCGGTCATGAACCACGATCGCCATGCTCCGCCATTGGCTCATCCAGATCTCGGTTCTCTTGCCACATATGTATTATTCAGCCTCGTCTCGAGTTCACTGATCGGTAGCTTCTAGAATTGTTGCTTTGAGTTCTGCTTTCGGCCTTTTGGGTCTGTTGGTGGACCACGCACGAACAGCACCGTTGATCCACTTTTCTTATCAGCCATTGATATGTATCTACCGATAGATCTGAAAGCGGATAATAGTGGCGAGCTTTCTCGAGGCTGAAGGTGGTATAGATCGTCTTCCTCAGCCTTGATCCTTTTTTACCACGCTCTCCTATGACAGTGTATATTCGCAGCATAAATACATCAAGCGTCAATTCAAAGCCATTCGCTTCTTGGTCAATTGGCGCTATTGGTAAGGACAACCAATATCAGCCCCGTTGGATTTCATTGCTATGGGCGCTTTGGGGGGGAATAGTCCAGTATTTGCCCGCTGGCTATTTGGGGAAAACAAAAAACCATTCCGTTGGTTTCACTTCCCTCCAAAACACCGGCCAATAATGTGGCTGCTTTGGAGGGAAAAAACATTTTGGGACCACGATGAGTTTCGAATGGATGGCTCGACCCCAATTTCAATCCGAGTTTGATGCGATATGAAGATATCTTCATTCTTCGTCTTTCTTATGTACAAGTTCGCAATTCGATTTGCACGCGCCTAGCCTGAATACTAGTATGAAAGTTTTTTTGACACAACCAAGAAGAATTCCAGATAAGGGCACCGCAAACAGCTTCCTGCTTTTAGTGCCTTACTTCTTTTCTTCTTTCTTCTCCTCGGGTTTCGGGGTGGGGAGTTTGAATTGTTCCGGCTTTCTATCCACACCAACACCCACCTGTTCCCAGGAGCTCGAACCACCTTCAAAGTTTCGGAATGCCTGTGTGAGCTCAAGAGGCTCCACCACGATTCGTTTCTTCTCTTCATCATATCTGATTTCGGTGTATCCCGTCAACGGGAAGTCCTTGCGCAATGGGTGTCCATCGAATCCGTAGTCGGTCATTATTCGTCGGAGGTCAGGATGGCCTGTGAAGAAAACCCCAAACATATCATATACCTCCCTCTCATACCAATTGGCGCCATCGTAAAGCGATGTGATCGACGGGACTGGAGTGGCTTCGTCTGCGTACGTTTTCACCCGTATCCTCGAATTATGGCGTACGCTGAGAAGGTTGTAGACGACCTCGAATCGATAGTTTTTGGTAGGGAAGTCCACTGCAGTGATATCTGCGACCATGGTGTATTCTGCCGCGGTGTGGTATTTCAAAAAGGTGAAAACAGGGATGACGCCGGTCGGACAGATGTAAATGCACAACTCATCTTTCCAGACGGAGAATTGTTGGATATACTTGGGGAGGCAGGACATGAGATATTGGCCGTATTGGTGGAGCGGGACAGCTTTGTCTGAGTATTTGTCGGCCTCGTTAATGATGGGGGCAGAGAGCTTGCCCATTGCTAGTCGAGAGGTCAATCATTGGGTCGTCCTGACGATGCCTGCTATACTCACGCGGTCGGGGGGCCTTTCGTAGCTCTGAGAGGATATCCGGGCCAGCTGTTCTTAGATCTGAGGTCTTGTGCTTGTCGGCGTAGCGAGGGGCTGATTGCGAGAATGAGGCGTGTTGAACACATTTGGTCGGCTTGTGACCTGCACCAAGCGGCCTCTTGCCCGCTAGACGCAGCATTGTCTTTGTCGACGACATATTGAGTACCTCGAAGTCAGACCGAGGGATTGCATTACACGAGTCGGAGCTTCTCAAGCTGCCAAGCTCAGATATTGGCACTAGTCCGAATTGGGATCTAGGCGGAGACGCGGCAGCATCTGGCGACTTCGATTTACTAGACATTTCCACCCAAACGCAACCTTTTGCCTCACTATTGCCATCCCATCTCCCCTAATCCACCCGCACCTGCAAACCTGTTAATTTAGATTCGCCTGTGTTATACTTGCCTGCATCTCCTTCGCGCTCTACTCACAATCCCAGAACCCCGCCAACTGGTGCATGGAGGACAATCTTCACGTACAACCCGTGGCGAAGGAGTCGAAAGAGGTGGAGCAAATTACGCTCAAGTCATCAAATCTGCCGATATGAACAGGTCACAGGATACTGTCATCGATGATGACGAGGAGACCTGGTGAGTTTCTGCATATGTTGAATGATGGTCCGATTGCTGACCGGTGACAGTCCATTATGTATTGAAGAGTTTGACTTGACCGACAAGAATTTCAGGCCCTGTCCTTGTGGCTACCAGGTATGTTTCCATCATTATCACCTATCTACAAGCTATGTCCATATCCTTTTGCATTCCTCTGGGACATTCTGTACTCTCAGCGATCCCCTCTAACAACAAATCCAGATCTGTCAATTTTGCTTCAACAGCCTCAAGAACACCTACGAAAAAAGTACGTGCCCGAACTGTCGAAGACCTTACGACGAAAAAACAATTCAATATAAGATTCCTACCGCCGAGGAGTTCAAACTCGACCAGCTGAACAAGAACAAAAAACAAGCCGCCGCGAAGCGAAAAGAGACGGAAAAGCGTGAAGTCGAGAACTCGGCCCGTCGTAACCTGGCAGGAGTTCGCGTCAAACAACAAAACCTCGTCTATGTCATTGGCTTAATACCACAAATCAAAGACGAACAAGCGTTGCTGCAGACTCTGCGGGGTCCAGACTATTTCGGTCAGTATGGAGAAATCGAGAAAATCGTCGTCAGCAAAGCCAAACCAGGAGCCGCAAACCAAGGAATCGGTGTTTACGTAACGTATGCGCGCAAAGAAGATGCAGCACTCTGTATCAACACCGTTGATGGTTCTCCTAATGGTGACCGGGTGTTGAGGGCTCAATTTGGTACGACCAAGTATTGCTCAGCTTATCTTCGGGGCGAGACCTGCAACAACAAAAACTGCAGCTTTCTCCACGAGACTGGCGAAGATGGTCAACACAGTTCTCTTCAAAATGAGCCACACGTCACCAAAATTCCGCCAAAGCCACCGATGGGGTCCCAGTCCTCCCATGTAAGCCTTCCTCCACGACCTCAATCCACCACGCAAAGTACGACGACTCAACACCATACCAAAGAGGATGATAGCAGCAGGAAGAATAGTCATGATAGCTCTGCTCTTCCCTCCACTGCAAGCTGGGCAAATGCCAGTGCTCCAGTTGCTCGGGCTAGACGGGCCAGCCAAGCAAACAGCAGAGCGACTCCTAGTCCCCAGATGATCCATGCGTCACTGTCCTCCCAGAAGCCGGATGAGTCCAAAGCCAAGGAGACGACTCCTGCCCCACAATCTTCAACGGTGTCAACCAAGGCAGTGCCTCCCACCGACACTTCGGCCTCGAAACCCAAGTCCAAACCGGTGGACTATGTACAACAACAATACGACGCAGTCCTACGAGGTGTATCACCAAATTTCCGATTTGTTTACGATGATTCATGTCTCAGTCCCGAAGTTCGAGCCGCCGTTGATGACATGCCGCCTTTGATTGATCCTTACGGTGGAGCCAAACGTCGAGCCATGCGCGAGAGAGATGAAGCAGAACGAGCAAAAGTCGAAGCCGAGGCGAAAGCCAAACTTGAAGCTCAAGCAACATCAGCTGCCGAAGACACTCTAGATGATGAGAACGTCGTGGCTGGGAGCCTGGCTTTGGGTGGTGAGCCCGAAGACGATCCGAGAAGCTCATCCGTTCGTGGAGCTATCGGACGTCCACCACAACCTCTCTCAGACCAGTTTTCGTCGATGAATCTCAATACTCACAGCTTGACTCCTCAACAACGACAACAATTGGCTCTAATCAACACCGGCAATCTTCAACAAGCAGCGGATCTTGGCCAATCGGCTGCACAAAACACCGCCTTCGAAATGTCAGATTTTGATCGACGAGGACCACAGTACAGCCAAGCCCAATATGAGCAAATCAGTAGTCATCAACGCCATGGTTCGAGATACTTCAACAACGACTCCAAAGCTGCCAGCAACGCCAATCGCTTCCAGGGCCAACAGCAAACTTTCTATTCCAGTGGTGTGCAAGGTCCTCCTCCAGGCTTGCCAACTGCCGGCACGCCTCCTGTTAGTGGCGGAGGAATGTTTGCTCACGGTCAGAACTTCACCAATCCTGGGTTTGGTCCCTCGAAAGATACCAATACAGAGGTCTACTCGAGAAATCGGAGTGGGACAAATCAAGGTCATGACATGTCTAAGCGTGAGTTGCTCCTTTCTTTACAAAATAACCCCCTTCGTTCACCTCCATTATCAGCCCCTGCCCCTGGCGTTCTCAACCCGCTTTATGGCCAATACCAGGGAACCTACCAAGATCCTGGCCTTGTCAAGCAAAGGAAAAAGGGGAAGAAGCACAGACATGCTAACACTTCCTCTTCAGGAGGTGGTGTAGAGCATCTTGCGGACCCGAGTATTGTATCCACGAGAGTACACCAGGGCAACACCACAGGGCAGGGGCTGTTTGGTGGTAACCAAGGTGGGTACCAACAGTCGAATCTGATGTACGGTGGCGGCGGGTACAATCGATGGTGATTGACGAACTTTCTTCGACCGCTTCTCTTCCTGAATGCCCAGTCTCTTTTCTTTCCCTTGATGGAATTCCTTTTTTGTTTGGCGTTGGTCGGTGCGAAATACCTTTCCGGACAGCGAGCAAATGCATAAGTTAGTAGCTGGATGGCGAAAGCTTAGTGGAGTCACCGCATGGTCACGGTCATATCCCCGGCAAGTGGGAAGAATCACAAACCATTCCGTCGGCATCAGGCTTTTTCTTCAGCGACATCCCTCGTCCCAGTTCAGGGCTATGATTTCATGTATGTTAGTACCCTTCCCTGATCAGGTTACAAAGTTCAGGCAGATCAAAAAACAACTTCTTACACATCATTCAGGAGCTTGTTATAACTCAATGTAAAAATTTATGTGTGGATGGGATCATGATGCGAAAAGCCTGATTGCCTTTTGCCCTTGTGTCAATATTCGAGTCGTCATCACTTACCCGCCGTCACTTCTTTGGTCCTGTTGTCTTAGGCATGTCTTCTCTTCTTCGGTCGGTCTACTAACTGGGCGGTTTAGTAGATGAGAAGAATTTTCCTCCGCTGCCTATCCGTTCAGAGATTCAACCGACACCTATTCACTCTCGGGTATCGTCTTATCATAGCTTCCAGAGCTCTGGTCTTCGATCGTCCACCCCCAAAATCCCTCCAGGGTTTGAGCTCATTCATGGTCATCCGATGCCGCCTTCAAGACAGGAATCACCTGCTCAGGCTAGTCAAGTTGCTGGACAACGAATCACATCAACGGCTTGTGCCACTGTTGCTCCCGCTGTACCTCTGGTCCCTGTAGGCCCACGCACATCTAGCCCAAAGCTGAAGATCCCAGAGATCACAAATGAAGGGACTAAGAACGTTGGGGAGGATGAGAACGTTTCTATTCATGCCGGAAAGCAAAGAAATGAGGTCAGCGACGCCAGCTATGCATCTCCGAGTAAGGAAGCTACCCGACAGAAGTTTGAAACAGATCGAAAGCCGGATGTGCTGGATAAAAGTGAAGAAAATTTCGCGCAGAAAGATGAGGCTCTACTTCCCTCAAAATCAGGCGACACCGAGAGTAAGGGTAAAGCCGTTGCCCAAAAACCCGAAAAGAGAGAGCCGCCACCTCCAGGGATTTCTGCAAATGCTACCGCAGCACCATCTGCCGCGTCGGCTCCAACGGGCGGAGTGGGAAAGTCTGGCGCACCCATTTTGGACGCTGCTGTAGTGGGTACATCAGGAACACTGAGTTCACGGCCAGCTACTCCCGTCACCACAACCCCATCCGATACGTCCAAGGCGTCTATGGCTAGACCCAGAACCTTACGTGTGACCACTGGTATGACCACCAAAACGGCGGAACCTACGCCGGCATCAGCGACAACTGAGAAATCAGGCATTTTGCCTCCTATTTCAGTGACAAAGAGGGGCTCGAGGAGGCCTTCGCTGTCTTCCGCTCAGCATAGCAGACCATCAACACCAGCGATGTCAGAGAGATTTGTATCCCATGATGTTTCTCGAGCAAGCTCTCCTCCACCCAATGTTGTAGGTTCTGCGCCTGAACGCGTCAAAAGCAAGAATCAACAAAAGAAAGACCGACGAGATAAGGCGAAAAAGACTACCGAAGCAAGTGAGGCTGGAAGCGCCTCAACTCCACCAACCGTTGAAGAGGTTGCGCCGGTCATCGCGAGACAGAAGAAACAAAAACGAAGAATGGAGAGTAGTCCTGTGCCAATCGTGGATGACAAGCCCAAAGACAAGCCAGCCGATGATGTCGAGACTCCGACTTCAAAGCCAGAAGAAGTAATCGATAAGCAAACTCCCGAAGCAGACTCGAAGAAAGCATCCTCGAAGACTCAAGAGAAAGAGAGAACACTATCAGCCACAAACAAGACGGCAAAAGGCCCAAATCAGGCAGAAACCCTTGGAACCCCGCCCCCGGCAACTCCAAACAAGGAGCCCACCTCGAGAGGTGTGGACCTTCTCAAAGCTCCCTACACACTTCGGGACCTCTACAATGAAGTTGGTAAGGTACCTAGTCATGCTGAGAAGGCAAATCTCGTGCAGAAGCTTCTGGACGAACACGTCTCGGCCATGCCTAAGATCATTTCGTCGATGATCCAGTCAGGAGACCTGTCCAAGGATCACCCGTGGCTCAATCCACCGAATTTCAATTCAGCTGCTTACAAACTAGCTCCTGATGCCAGACGTGGACAGGAGTATCTGGACGGAAATGGCTACAGTGCGAACGATGCATTTGGATATATTTATCTCCCGTTGAAGGAGAAGCAAGCACTCAAGGACGGACATGCCGTCAGTGTTGCGGACGCCGGTGATCGTAGAGACGACCTCCTCAAGAGATGTCTCGTCACACCTAGTGGCTGGGTCTTAAGACACCTCAGCGCAGATGAAAGCGAAAAGATTTTGGAGTTGGAAGAGAGACGGCAGATGTATATGGAGGAGTTCGGTGAAGTTGGCACCATGGACGGCCTCGGCGTGCTCGAAGCAGACGATTTCACGAATCTAGGGGGTGGCATGGAACGACTCGGTCGTCAAGGCGAGCACCATGGCGTGGTCTGGGTGACGGGTGATGCCGACCAGATGGGCGAGGATGACGAGTTCGATGCCTTCGACGACGAGGACGGTGAAATCGATGGTGAGATCGGTGTCAGTGACGAAGAACCCGAGCTCGAACATGAAGGCCTCGATGATGATGATGATAATGCTGCTGCTGCAGACGCCGCCGCCCTCGATCTCCAGGATAGCGTCAATATGCCTGGCGCATGGGACCTGCTTCCATCGGCTTCTCACAGTGGGACCAAGTCCACTGGCATCGGTGCCGGCCGCGTCATGTCTCTCCCTGGCCTGAACCCGCACTCCGATTTGCCCTCTCTGCGATCACCGAATACCCAGTCGAACGTGGGCAACGCTCCACATGCACCTCTGGGTCATCGACATGGTAGTAACACGAGAGCCATGTCTTCCAAGGCCAACATGGCGTCAAGCGGGCAGACCCAGAGTCAGAATTTCACGACGGCGCCCACCAACCTTCGCGCTTTGGACTCCGAGACGCTCCAGAAGCGCGTCCAGGAGAAACAGAGGGAACTCGAACAGGCGCGCAAGGAGATGGATAAGATCGAGAAGCTCTGGACGAAGAAGAGTAAGGATATCGGGAGGTGGAGAGAGGGGTTGACCAAGGCTTAGATGGCGGGGGCATCGAAGAAGCCGATCTTGGAGGTGAGGAAAGGAGCGGCTCTTGACTTCACTGGGGTTTGATTTGCTGGTTTGGCTGCTTGATTTTGCTTTGCATGGTGTTGCGGACTCGAAGAACAGAACTGGACCGTGATATGGCAAGGAACAAGGAAAAGAAAAAAAAGGACGTGTATGCATCTTTATCATTGGTGTCATGGCAGAGCTGTGTCCGCTTGAGACTAATTGCATCAGCATGAATCCGGCTGGGGATACAATGGGACGGGACAGATGGGATAGGATGGAACTATGGACTAGGGAATTGTGTGAGTACGAGAACTCCGTAGGAGTAGCAAGGATTCTTTGATGTTCGTACGATTCAGAACATAGACAAGAAACGTCACTTTTTCATCACCAGGAATGGTGCACTCAGTTCATTCGGTCGTTGCCTGCCTCTTTCCTGTGTGTCTTGATTTTTGAAGCCCTAGCTTTTCCGAATGTTTAAACTTCAACGTTGCTTCGAACTCTCGTACTCACATGCTCATCGATCTTTCGTACACAACTTGGTTATCTTCGGCTCTTCCATGTTATTATTTGGTCTCGGCATGGCTGAAAACGTGAAATCTTCCCGTCTCCCATCGGATTTTTCTTCCCCATCACACAAGTCGTTCCCCATGCTGGATTCCGAGTTAGCTCAAATTTTCTTTCCTTCAACATCCTCTTTCCTTTGAGAAAATGATTCACTCTATGCCATCACAGCTCAATTTTTTGCGCATGATCGAGAAAACTCTGATGGTTCCTGCAACGGGACTGCCTTCACCCGTTCCACCTCCTACCAATCCATCCGCTGAATTTTCAACAGTTTGATATGGAAGCAACACTGGAGATTCCGCTATTGGTTTTGGAGTTGCTTAGATCATGGCTTGCACGAGATCGCCCGGCTGGAGTGCGCCTGTGCTATCACCTGGTGAAGGGATTGAGTCCGCTTCCAAGGTCGGGGCGGGGCGGTCCTCTCCTTCCATTTCAGGAAGATGGGCCAGACAGATGAGGAGGACGTATTGGGAAGAACAAGTCAGCAAACTTGATAGGTCGATATTCTCCGCCGTACTGTCCAGGGCGAATGTGAGCGAAGAGTTCGAGCGCATTAATGGTGTATTCTCCCCATTGTTCTCGACGGACAGGGCGGTTTTTGAGTCTCGGGATAAAGACAGATGGCGTAGGATCTTGGCGATGCGGAAACAGATTGGGATGCGGTGTCGAGAGGACCACAACGGTAGTAGCGAAGTATTGGGTGATTTTGCTGGCGTAGGAAGAGGATTGACCTTTCGAATGAATGGTTGAATGGGAACGGTTGGTTGATTGGGGGGACCGGTGGCATTGAGCCTTCCACAGTGGGTAGTGTGTGTCAAGGTGTGTCAGGAGTTTTTCTCGGTCTGCAGTTTGTGCTGATGGAGGCAGTTCAGCTGGGAGGGCAGAGAGTGGCGTAAAGCTAGATTCGAGCTTGACCTCTTGACTTTCCTTCTCCAGTTTTATGGCTGTAGAGGTTGAATACAGGTGCAGTTGCAACGTCCTCTGGATCTTCAAGGAATGCATTGGAAAATTTTCTCTTGTTGGCAGATGAAGGGATGTTCAATTTACTCGCAGGAACAGGCGAGAGGTAGTTAGTGGCTGACGGAGGTGTGTCGTTACTCTTCAAGTCTGCTCGGGAAGGCGTCATTGTCGTAGCACCCTGTGATTTGGGTATCTGGCGACTGTCTTCGGCGACCTGGAGCCTAGAAAATCCTACTGAGCGCTTCTTGTATAGATTTGGATGTGACCATGTTGGGCTCTCTCGTTTCTTTCCCTTGGAAGCCTGAGCAATACGATTGGCTGAGGCAAGAATGGAGTATCGAAGCGGACTGATTAGAGAGGATGGATTGGTTTTGTCGTCATGTGGTTGGGGCAATGGAGGCGAGGGTGGGCATGCGGTCACTGGTTTCGTCGGACTGATAGGAGTCCAATGGTTTTGCCTGGCAACATGGGTTAAAAGGGCTCGAAATACTGCATATGGGGAATGGCTGGCACCAGGCTGGCCATGTTGCCTTTGGCTCAACCTCCGCTTCAAGTTTTAAAAGCTCATTGCTCGATGGAATCTGACGAGTTCATTGAAAAAGTAGGGGAGCACTAGGGGCAAAATGATGGAGGAAGAACATCGCCGATCTAAATGGGTTTGGAGTCTGGAAGAATCGGGACGAGATGGGATGAAGAGAGTTTAAGCAGTGCAGCCTCCACGATTCGTTCACTCAATACCGAGTTATGCTCTTCAAATGTGAGGCAGTTGAACCAGTTTGAATAAGACCGACAAGGCAGACGCGCTGGGCAATGGTCGCGCTGCCTGGTCATGGTTAGTGAATGGAGGATTGATGGTTAGCTTGCAACGAGAAATTCATCCCATGAGGACGCTCGGAGCCCATTCTGTCATCGTGGTCTCCTCTGGGGGTCCTGCTTCATCTGTAACACCCTTGGTGTTGGTGTAGACACAGATGCTGATGTACGTCAACGGGGGTTGAGAAGGGTTGATACGTGGAGAAGTAGAGATATTTTGTGGGATATACGCATGCACTAACCGTTCACAGAAGCAGATTAAGGCTGTTTTACCGATTGCATTTGGGAAAATGCAGCCTCCCGCCGTTAATTGCGCCTTCACTGTACTGCCACCACTCGTCTGAAATTTGCTCTCTCCGGTTAACTCAATTGATCGCCAGAGTGAACCGTTATCTCGACCACGCCATCACCATACATTATGTCGTATGCTGTAGAAACGAAGAAACGCAAATTCGATCGCATCCTTGAGGCCCTGTCCGACAGTGCGGCAACAGCCTCTCGCACTTCGCTCAGCTCACGCAACAACACATCATCCACCTCGCTCACTCAAGATACGGCCTCTGAATTGTCAAAGCGGCGGCGAATAACCCCCACATCGCAGTCCCCTACTTCCAGTCCCTCCCCCACAACACTCAGTGGGCACTACCTTCCATCGAGCCGCGCTGCCTTTTTGCAGCGACTCGAGACTTTCCGACCCGTCACGAAATGGCATATTCCCTCGACAGATTCAATCAATGCTGCGGCTTGGGCTAAAAGAGGATGGACTTGTGTCGACACGGATACAGTGTTTTGTGGCGCTTGCAAAGAAAGACTCTATATTGGTCTGGATGTGGATAGCGAAATTTTAAAGGCCCGAGGCAAGGAAGGCGAGGAGAAGAGTGACTCGGTGGATGAGGATGACAGCTTTGCAGTGGCCTCGGAAATATATTACAACATTGTCAAGCGCTATGAGGATATGATCGTTACGGCGCACGCAGAGGGCTGTCTTTGGCGCAACCGTGGCTGTGATTCTTCTATCCAACGCATCGAAGGACTATTGAACACGGGCATCGCCATTTCCGGACTGAAAAATCGCTACGACAGTATCGCTGCTCGGCCCGAGGAAATACCTGACGTCGTGTCACTGCCCTCAAGCCCTCTGATCAACCCTCAAGACTTGGAACAATTCCGATTCAACGAGGAGGAGCCCCCTGAAGCCAATGCACTTCGATTGGCAGTCTGTGGATGGGAGAGAAAATGCGAAGACGTCATTGAGTGCCGCCATTGTTTCCGGTCTCTGGGGCTTTGGCTATACCGGGGAGAATTGCCTGCTATTGAGAAATTGAATGGTGTTGACAATCATCTGGAATATTGTCCGTGGCGATCGGCCGAGGCACAAGATACGGAAATTCTCATAGCTCAGCACAGAAAATATGGTGATTCGGCGCCGAAAAAAGAGCGAGTTGCCGGTTGGGTCTTGGTGTATCAAGCTGTGGTCAAGAACATGAACAAGAAAAGAGGGTCAAGACTCATTACAGTTTCTGCCGCTTCGTCCGAAGCTGAACCGGCTACGGGCAGCAGTGAATCCATGACACCAGAACAACGAGAGAAGATGATGAGGGATTTATTCCGAAGGATCAAAGAGATCAAAAAGCCATTTAACGTCAAGGCTTTACTAAAACGGAAGGGCAAGGACCAAACGTTGATGGGATAGCATTATAATGGGGGGTCTTGGAAAGACACTAATTCCAAAGTATGGGTCTAGGATTGGGCATGATTTTTTGGCTGGTAAACCGCACATACAATGCCGTGTGGGAAACTGCGGACCGGCAGAGGTCTCCCCGTTTCGGAACGTAACAGCGTACTCGAGTACGAGCCCGGACTAAAGCCGAGAAATTGCTGTACATACCCGGTAGAAGCAGGTTTGCTGGGGGGCACCTAGGGGGTGCGTCGGAAAAGCCGATCGGAAAAAATCGCGAGCAAGTGTGCAGCGTATATGGGACGGTGAAACTGAACTAGATGAGCCTGTCAGAGACTAAAGAGAACAAGACTAAGCAGAGTTCGAACAACGAGTGGAATGTGCCCTCATTGCAGTGGCTGAGGGAGATTTTGATTGAAACACGGAGTTGAATATGAATATCGACGAGGCTGAGGACGGAAGAGAGGAAGAAAGAGGGGGCCGAAAAAACTTTTAAGCAGCAGGGCTCCAATAGGCCTGGCCCGTCGGGTTGCACGCCTAACAATTAGCCTAGGGAGCCTTCCCCAGGTTTGGGGCCTTTAATCAGCTCCTAGGCCTAGTTAGAGGCTGCTAAGTGGGCCAGTCAGAAGCAGTTATGAATGAATGGCATCAACCGAGGGGGATCCGAACGTGCAGAACAACTCGCAGTGCCAGTAGCAGCGGGCATAATAATCATCGTGGAGAAACGGTGAGAAATGGCAGGCAATGCTGTCACAGCACGATTAGACAATGTTTAGATCAGCCTTGAAGAAGATGTCCAACGTCGTGGATGGTTGGGGGTCTGATTTCCCAACCCAACCCGCATCCGAGTCTACCCGCACGAGCGGCCAACCGCAGTCTCTTCTGGGTGGCTTTGTCGCATGGCCGTTTTCGAGATCGATGCCCATCGGAAAACAGACCATGTCATTTTGACCATCGGTGGGGTTTTGGGAAGAAAAGAAAACAAAGCCACAAATCAATACCAAGTCGTGATGGCATGTGACAAAAGCGAGGACCACATCCAAGAAACAACCAGGACAGCTACAGACAAGAACGACAAGATATGAAGAGAGAAAACGGTCAAACGGCAACGACGTCAGAAGGAGGTGATAAGACAGGTGAGATGTGTACCTTGGAGACTTCTTGGTAGAGCAAGAAGCAGCTGCAAGTAGAGGGTACAAGGTTCAGAGGTCACTTCCCCGCATCTTGTCAGCCCTGATATTTGATATCGACCACTGGGCGATGGGAACAACAGCGTCCCATCACATCGGCTGTCTACCCAATCCTAGCCCTTCGAATATGAGTCGCCTCCTCTCCAATCCTAGCAGCAAAGACTAGCAGTCTGAAGTAGTGAGGCACACGCCCACTTGGAGATTCTCACCTACCACCAAGGGTCAACCCGTCGCTGCCACAGCCACGGCATCGCATCACTGGCATAGAAAACTCAAAAACTCCCGGTGACACTCCTTGTGCGGACGACCATTCTTCCGACCGAGCTTCTTTCCCTCCTCATCTCTCTTATACTCCAGTTCATCGCGTCTCGATTCCATCAAGCTCTCCTCTCTCAGTTCAATCCTCTCCATCCTCGGTCACCGACCACCTGTATGCACACTTGTCGGCACAATCGGCCTGTCAGAGAACCATCCCCCAATACAAACCTTCCCCGCCCAAACCGTAGACCGCCCGTCAACGAACCTTCTTTTCTCGAGTTCAACCATCTCGAACTGTTCGAGTCCCGCCTGTATAGTAAGTCATTTCCATCTCTCTGGATGTGCACCTTCGTCTCAGAATCCATGCATGCCGTCGTCACACCCAGACAGCAGAACAACGTCCCAGATTTACTAATGCCGGACGCGCAGCCTAGATACAAGCAGTATCATCCCTCTCCCTCTATCTTCCGTCCCGTGGCCTCCCTTCCCTCCTTGAAAAAATGTCTGGTAGCACCGCCAACCGTATCAAGGAGGGCGCTCGCTCAGCCGCTACCAAGGTCGAAGAAGCTGCTTCAGAAGCGGTCAACAATCCCATGCAAGCCAGACAAGACTTCCTCCACCTACCTATCACCCGAGCCGCTCTCCCTTTCGTCAATGGAGGTCTAGCGGGCATGTTTGCGACCGCTTGCATTCAGCCAATCGATATGGTCAAAGTGCGCCTTCAATTGGCCGGTGAAGGCGTAAGAACGGGTCCCAAACCGTCTGCTTTCGGTATCACCAAGAGCATCATTGCCCAGGGCAAGGTGCTTGACCTCTATACCGGTCTCTCAGCAGGGTTGCTGAGACAGGCCGTCTATACCACCGCAAGATTGGGTTTCTTCGATACCTTCCAAACTTTGATGCAGACGAGAGCCGAGAAAAATGGCACAAAGATTGGCTTTGTTGAGAGAGGTGCGGCTGGTCTCGCAGCCGGTGGTCTGGCGGCCATGGTGGGAAATCCCGCCGATTTGGCCCTCATTCGAATGCAATCCGATGGCCTGAAGCCCAAAGAGGCCAGAGCTAACTATCGGTCGGTGTTTGATGCACTCACCCGCATTGCCAAATCCGAAGGCATCACCGCTCTCTGGGCTGGAGCTTACCCCACCGTCATCCGTGCCATGGCTCTCAATTTTGGCCAACTCACCTTCTTTGCCGAATCCAAGGCCCAACTCAAACAACACGCGCCAAATCTCTCGGAAAGCACCAATCGATTCGGCGCATCTGCAATTGCCGGATTCTTCGCTTCATTCTTCAGCCTGCCATTCGACTTTGTCAAAACTCGACTGCAAAAACAACAGAAGGGACCCGATGGAAAGTTCCCTTACAACGGCTTTTTTGACTGCGCCAGGAAAGTCATTCGTGACGAGGGCTGGTTGAGATTCTATCGTGGATTCGGCACTTACTATGTCAGAATTGCGCCGCATGCGTAAGTATTTACGGGGGCATGATTAATTTTGCTCTCGAGCTAACATATCGAACAGAATGATCACCTTGATTGTGGCCGACTATTTGAAGTTGATCACATCTTGAGCTGTCGCCTGTCTGAGATGCAAGCAATATTGACAGAAATGTCGAATCAATTCGTCGAAGTAGCTGAGTCGGGAGGACATTATTTCACTGAAAGAGGAGGACTCGGGTCAGGGTACAATTCACCTTCCACGGCCACGTCCATGATTGATGTCAAGGGTCAGGGGCGGTTTATGGCTGGCTGGTCGGCGTTTCCAAAGTATCTTATGCCCCATGGCAGTAGAGCTCCATTGTTACTTAGCACATATCACACACCAAAACAGCATCAGGGCGTTCAGGTAGCTGCTCATACACAAGATAATAGATGCAGAAGACAAAAAAGAAAAAAAAATTCTCTGAAAAATGGTGTGTACCTGGAAAAAGAGCCACCGATACTTTTCGTCCGTCGGTCATCGGTTATCGGCCGTCGGGGGTTTGTTATTCCGGCCGCAAAATTTTCTGGGGAAGGTTTGGCGATGTTTGTGCTCGAGTGTTGCATCCATTAAAAAAACTGCGGCGTGAACTTTTGCAGCCAAAAGGACAAGCCAAAAATGACACCACCATGACTGTGCGTCTCAGACTGTATCAGCATGAGTGCCTCTATTCTTCTGCAACTTGTCCTGACCGGTACGCAAACTCACTACGAGAACAGAGGGTTGATCGATGACAAGAGACTGGATCATCTGTTGATCGCCGGAAAACAGATTCTTTACAAGTCACACCAGGAGAGTGATGTTCGGTCTGCCTTAGGGTTTAATCCTCGAGTATGGGAAGGATTGACAAAAGTCTTGACCGTCGCTATCCCAGCACTAGAGCAACAATCCTTTGCGTGGAAAAATCCCCCCACGGCCAACTTCAACGGTAGCAGTTCTGAACTGATCGCGGCGCACTACCTTTCTCTCGTAAAGGACATTGAACGACTGAACGACCTGTGCACGATTGCGCGTAACCTGCTGGCCACCACCCGGAAGGCACAAAACCTTGCTTCGGAAAAGGGCTTCGACCAACAAATCCTCAAGTTAGTCGACATCTGCGTCCGCGTTACGGCAAGAGGCTTCGATGGTGAAGCGAATCCGAGAAACGAGGAGAGATGGCAAAACGTGGTCAATCTGTACAAAAGACTCTTGATCACATGTCTCCAATTCTTGCACAACTTTATTATGCACAATGAACAGCGAAAACTGGTTCTTTGGCTCGATCTCTTTGGACAATCCCAGACAAGCGACAATGACGACCAGCTCATTACGGAGGGCCCTGTCAGTCAGGAGGATAAAGAGCAGGCTGCCAAAGAAGCAAGAATCAAATCTACCGTGGAAGCATTTGCAAAGAGAAACCAACCTACGCAGCTCGGGTATAGCATGGATGATGTCCATGCTCTATTCGACTTGTTGAGTACCAACAAGGAAGCCGATAGATATGCGCAAGAAGCCGCCAAAGTACTGATGGACAAGATCAGAAAGGATCTGGAGAATCTGTCCGGTTTGAATGCCAATCAGCTTGATAGCAACCCGGACGCTCTGCTCAAAGTGGGAGCCGAATTACGTGCGCAAATGTCTGTTCAGGAAGAATCTGAGACGACCTCTCAGCCTCCGGCGGAGGAGCGCAACCCTGACAAGGCTGTCAACGGTGCCAAAAACAGTGGCGCACTGCGTCCGTCCCATTGGAGTAATCTCCCTGATCCGGGATCATACGGCGACTTGAATGAATCTGGTCATGATCTGACAGATGAGGATTTGTCCATGCCACGGTCGGCTCGGTCGGCGGCTGCCACGCTTCAGGAAGCCAAAGATGAACTCATGGCACGACTACACGAAACTGGCCCGATCATCGATGAAAATGGAGACCAGACTTATGACGACGGCGATCCTGGAGGGGAGCTTGATGATGACCTAATCGATAGTGTCGAAGATAGTATGGAAGAAGATGATGATGACGATGATGATTACCGTGGATCAGGGGATCAAGAACGAGGTTTACTTACCGATGTACCTCTGGTACTGGGACCGACAGAAATCGAAGCTCTTCCAATGATCATTCAAGCAGGTATTGTCGACAATTTTGGAACAAGGAACGGGGATCGACAAGGTGTGAGGAACATGCAAGCCGTTCGATGCCATATTCTCCTCGCCCAAGAAGCCGGCCGCAATGTCTTACGAGAACTGTTGATTTTCATCGCGGCGTGGGATCTTCCCGATGATGAATTCTATTTCAAAATGATGGTTCAAATCATGGAAGCAATTCTCAAGAACGGACTCATGTCACATGCCTATTCCGACTTCGGTCAACCCAAGGATATCATTTCCCCGGCTCAAGCCGTCGTCATCAAAATACTCACCCATATCTTTCGAGCCAAATACAGTCCGGCCTCGGTGGTCCAAAACTCGAACGACCAAGCATTACCAAAGCCTCGAATTCCTGCGCCTCTGAGCAGAGTCGACGTCCTGACGGTTCGATACATTTTCATCGTCTTCCGCGGGAATATTATCCCCGAGACTTGCGCTCTCATATACCTCCAAGGACAGATTCGAAATGGTCTAGCTCTGGCAGAGGATTTTCCATTGAATTTGTGGGACATGGAACGCGTCTACGAAGGCGTCTACCAATTCTTGGAATTCTTCGCCGTCCTGACAGAAAACAATGACTGGAAGCGTCTCCTGGTTCAATGGGAGATTGTTTATGATCTGGTCACTTTGATCAAGGAACTTGATACTAGCATAGCCAAAATTCCACTGACACAATCGATGCCACCTCCAGCATCTAACGCAACAAATGGTTCATACTCGCACAAAAAGGATTCAGCCGGGCCAACCTCCAATAGTGCTAACGCAACTACACAAACAGCTACCCCCGTCACTGTGGAACGACCTTACGACACCTCCAACGTTAATCCCGCAACCCAAAAGCCACAAGCCTCCACAGACATGGAGAATCTCCCTCCTGCTCCCAATTCTTCCCCCCCGCCAGCTGTGACAGAAGAACCTGCTGATTTCGAATGGCGTAACCTCAAAAAGCTGATAGTTTTGGTTCTCTCGAGCCTGGTGTGGAAATCTCCCACCGTCCAAAACCAAATCAGAGAGTATGGTGGTGTTGAAACGATTCTGAGTTGCACTCAACACGATGGTATGTTCTCCTATCACGTTTGTCAAATGACCGAGCTGACGCCTAGTGTCTAGCATGCAACCCCTACATTAAAGAACACGCGGTTATGTGCCTCAAGTTCCTGCTGGAGGGAAATCCGGAAAACCAAGCTCTGGTGTCGAGTCTCGAAGCTAGAGAAGTTGTCTCGACCCCTGAATCCATGGCGATCTCTCAGGATACTTTGGATAAGATGGGCGTGAATATCGTACTGGGTGAGGATGGCAAGCCGAAGATGGCTAGGAAGGCTTCTTGGTTGAAAAATGCCATGGCCGCGAGGGAGAAGGAGAGGTTGGCTAAGTTGGCTAAGGAGGCCAGCGGGGTTCTTGGGGGGGCTGTGGATAGTGATGGTGAGGAAGATGGTCAGGAAAATGTGCTTGCCAGTACTAAGCGTGATGGCCCGGGGGATGAGGATGGTACAGGGAAGGGGAAAGAGAAGGGAAAGGAAAGGGCAGAGGACGCAGACGACATCGAGTTCATGTGAGGATGCTAGAGTCGCCCACATCGGCAATGAGTGTTGCTGTGACAAGTCTCAACCTTCGGCTTATCCTTGAGATGGTCGTCGATGGCAAAGTTCCTGTCAAAGTATGCAATAGCAATAGTAAATGAGACTCAAACTCGATGCGGCATAGGGCATTCGGTTTGAAGAGTCAAGGTATTTTTACTGAACGAGTCGATTCAACTCATATTATCAGCCTTTCCTCTACGGACGACCCATAACCAATAGCCTTTCATTCACGAAAGAGAGCGAGGCCTCTTGGGCCGCTCTTGCTTCCTTCTTGAACCGTGCAGACCTCCTAGTCGCACTCTAACTATCTAGCTACCACCCATCGACCTTCCCTCGGCCGATTCCCAAGCTCGAAGCTTAGAATCGTACGACACCGACGCCTCTCACGCCTATCGGACCTCCTCTCCTTTTCCTCATATTCTCCTACCGTAGTCCAAATTCCAAATCATACGACGCCCTACCGCCACTTAGACGCCGCATTTGTGCTCATCTGTAGCCTACCTTTGGCTGCTCAGCTCCCCTGATCGTACTAGGGTTTTGCTTGCGATTCCTTCTCCGACATCTTCTTTTCAAAGGCTTCCCACGAGAGGGCCTGCCCTTCAATCTATTAGGGAGCTGACCTCCGTCCCGTCATCGCTCGATCCTCTTCGGCCTCTTCAGTTTGGGTACCCCATGCGTCTAGACTCAATCTACCACCTCGACTCCCCTCACTCTACCCTAATTGGCACTCTAGCCCCAATGCTATGCACCGTCTTCTGCTAAAACGACCCAAGGGCTTTAGCACGGCAATTCCGCTTCAATAACACGGGATGGGATGGATACGTATGGTGTGGGTTAGAGATTGAATGACCCTGATGCAACATGATTTAGTTGGCACGGCGAACTGCTTCCACTCGCATATGATGAGTATACGGATGCGGATGTAGATCCCTCAACGCACCTAATAACAACATGGATAATGCGACGGCGAATACTGGAGGCCGATGGCGGGTTCAGAGCCTCCACGGAGGCTTTAAGGGTCGCGTCGCAACCTTTTGCAACATGCCTAATTCCATAGGCGCTGTTTCCGCGTCGCTGCGCATCAAGGGATCTTTATTTCGTAAGCTATTTCGTCAGCCTGTAGTTCGCGTAGCCCGTGCAGTTCCTGCGGAATGACGGTACAGGGCCGCTGCTGCATCAGCCTGCATCGAGCTGCTTTGAAGGGCGTGCTCGCGTCCTGGCGAATGGTTGGTGTAGTAGGGCCCGCGTTCGCGATCCTCTCAGACTTTGGTTTCCCCTGGCGCGACATCTGACGATTTTACTCTTGGCAGCCTGCTGTCTCGTCTTCGTCACTGATTATGTCCTTTCACTTGCACGACGGCTCTTTCCCTTCCGTTGTATAGGTTCTTGACCAGCGACCATGAAAAGAAAGCAGAAAGCATCCTCTTACAACGAGATGTGCCGCTTGGCTAAGCGGCATAGGATATCGTTCAAATCGCCGGACTCAGAGCTCTGGCCTGCTTTGCACAGAAACACTTTCGCACAGATCTGTAGTATTCGAGATCAAAAGTTCGATGATTACTGCGCGGATAATTACTATGGACATCCGTGGAGGGCCTTTACAAAGATAAGAGCCAAATTTCTGACCCGTCTCGCTGCGACCCTTCTCGAGCGGACAGCGAATGAGACTGAATGGAGGAACGCCTTAGAAGGAGAATTCTTGCTCCGATTTCGTGCAGAGGTGGCATGGTGAGTTTGGCCATCTTCCCGTCTTGCAGCAATCTACTTAAGAGAATCCAGTCCCGCATGTCGCGGAAGAATTTGGAAATCGGATTTTGAAGCCTATATCGAACCTTCTGCGGATATCAACGACCTACGAAAAAGGAGGAAACAGCGGGTGTTCTGCCATTGCCCATCTTATCGCGTAGAGGCCACATTGTGAGCCAATCATGCTGTCCAAATTTGGGAAAGAGTGTCCACTGACCTCTTAACTAGATATGAGATTGGTGGCAGACGACTATTTGACAGTCGACTCGAACACGTAATCATACACGATGCCGATGTGCAAGAGAAACTTCAACTTCCAGATAAGAAGCCTGATCAAGTCATCGGATTGCGAGAAACAACAGCTTTTGAAAAATTATTTGAAGAATTCTCCAAAAAATTCGGGAACGATGATATTGTGGACCGCCTCACTCCCTTCGACGAATCTGAGCAACCTCTGTTGCTTCCATTCCTAATTCTTGAAGCCAAATCCGAGGACAGTGCAGATGGGTTTAATAAGGCCCGAGTTCAAACCGCATTTCCCATCTGGGCGCTCTTAAAGCTTCAAGAAGGCGTTCGAGTTCAGACGTCCGGAGATCCACCTAATATCTCCCCCCTTGTTTGGTATTTTGCCAATAGAGGTGAGTACTGGAGAGTATACGGTTGCTATATTTCCAATGGTACACCAGAGAAATATGTGAGCCACTCGCTCTGCAGACGGTTGCCTATGAAGCTAATTGCAACCCAGGAGATCGTGCAGCTCTGGGACGGCTGCGTGACGGAAAAAGATGCTTCCTTACAGTTGCTTCTCATTGTCGATTACATCTTTGATTGGGCCCGGGATATCTATCGACCGTCTATTCTGCGGATGTTGAAATCTGCTGCTAGTGGCGTGGCATACGACCAAGTGACCCTAGCTAACGATAGCGACATCTTCTCCGATGGCCAGCGGATTGCTAATTGGATTCCGGCACCGCCTACTAGTCCTAATGCACTTGTAATCCGTTCGGATGTATCCTCGGGTTCAAATGCTGCCGATCACGAAAGCGCGATCCCAGTCTCGAAGCGAAATGCCAGACTTAAGACGATTCGTGAAGCGATGATCTTCCATGCCACAATCAACTTCGAAGGCCTGGGGGCCCCAAAAGATTTGCCTCAACAACATCGGCATCATTTCAGCATCATCCGAAGAATCTGGGCAACGCGGTACAGTGAATACATGCAACGAAAGGACATAGACCCGCACATGATTAACCAGCAGAAACAAAGGGTGAAGGAACTTCGCAATCGTGCATGCGCGATGCTAAAGAGTATCGGGACCAACGAGGGTACATGGAGGGATGTGGAGATATTGGTCTTTAAAAGATTTGATGAAGAAATTGTTTGGTGAGCCTCTTTGATAACTTTCGGAGCCATTTGCTTATTCGTGCAAGTCAACGCTGTAAAAACGAGAAATGGAAATCGGACTATGAGGCAGATCCCTTCGATGAGGAAGACGAAGCCAGGTTGGAGAACGAGCGAAAAGATCGGAATGCATGTCGGTGTTACCAGAACATCGAGACGATTCGATTTGCGTATGATGATAGGTACGCGACGGCTATTACCACGGGGCCAGTTTGAACAGGAAATTAATTGAAATATCAAGCGACGACGAATGTGAGAGCGCAATTTTCGACAAAGCTGTTTCTGCGAGATTAATCCGCGATCCTGATGAACACTTCCGAAGGCGGTACATTTCTACGCATCCTGACAGGGTTCTGGGTTTAAAAATGACGGATAGATACCGAAGACTTATTGCATCATGTCCACCAGAGCTCACACACTGTCCTGTACAAGGAATGAACTTACTTTATCCCTTTATTATACTTGAAGCGAAGGGTCCCCATGCTTTTGGGAGCTTTGAAGAAATGAAGGATCAGGCCGCTTTCCCACTACGACTTTTCTTGGAACTCCAGGACGCTCTTCGGAAAGCTAGCCGCAAGAGTCTCGATCCACTGGTATGGTTTTTTGCTTACCGAGGCGAAGATTGGCGACTCTACGCTGGAACCGTTGTCAAATCAAATTTGGTAATATTCTCTATGTAACCCCCATGCGTAGCAATGGAGATTGCTATGCAGTTGCCAGGAACGAGGCTGACAATATCCATGTAGCGTCTATTCGACCTCTGGCATGGCTGCATAGCGTTTCACGATGGTGCATTACAGCTTTTCCAGATCGTTGACTTCATTTGGACTTGGGCTCGCGACGTTTACGGCCCCCAGCTTCAGAACTGCCTACGAGAACTCGCATGGCTTGGGATACATACAGGGGAAGGAGGGTTGAGAGAAACCAATTAGAGAAGAAAGCCTCGGTGCTGGCTTACTTAAGCACCAGTCAACTAGAGGGAAGACGAAGCTCTTGAATATGTGACTTGCTGATGTAGAGAGTTCGCTGGTGGGACAACGAATAGCGGTTGGATTGAGGGAACCTTGTTGCGCTGTTTGCATAGACGATAGCGGAAGTAGAAGAGAGATGTCTCAAGCATGCAAAGTAGGCATAACTCCGATAAAGAACTCTGGGGGTGCCATTATCGTCTTGTGATCTGCTGTTTCTTGAGGGTAGGTTTTAGGAACCTCAATTTCTTGGATTCTTGCTTCTTGTCCGCCGATGCACTGATGATGGGGGCCATAGCCGGGGTTGTGCTTAGCATCGAGGGAAAAGAGCCTCCAAAAGCGGCGTCAAAAGCATCCATATTCGGCCGCGAATTTTCCTGTCAACCTGCGTTGACGCGTAATATCATTTTCTTTTCTAGCCAGCCGCCCTCTGCTTCGTTTGCTATCACAGAACACAAGGCGACTCAATCGATGAATCAGAATCAGATCGTCTTCCGCCGAGGCTATTTCCCAATGGTGGTCAGAATTGTCCCGAAGCACTTGGAGACCAAGCAAATCGATCACCACTCATCGTGGAGAATACCCAATCCCCGCATTGTGGACAAGATCCCACGGGAATGGCATCATTTCGCCTTTGCCATATATAATCCCCGCAATCTCGAGACACTCCAGAGCTGAATGGCAATCATTGACTTTTTCGAGCAATTTTGCTATTATGGCGACAGAGACACTAACAAGACCAAGCTATCTATCTCTACCTCAATGGACACAAGTCCCAGAGACAGAGCATGATTGTGGGGGTACCATCACCTCAATATCCTAGCATCTTCTAACAGCGTTGTACTCTAGTGGAGTGGGCCGATCTCGTAACACTAGACCTCAGCCAATTCGACACCCCTGGTGGCAAAGAAGCATTAGCATCTCAGCTTTTCGATGCTGTTAACAGAATCGGTAAGCAGACCATACCACCACGTCCTTATTCGGTATATTGACCGTCCCTCTTTTGATATGTTGATTAGGATTTTTCTACATAACCCACTTTGGCCTCACTCAAGAACAAGTCGACCGCCAATTCAGTCTTTGCAAACAGGTCTTCGACTTATCTGAATCCGAGAAACTCAAATATCGTGCCGACCTCGAGCACGGCGGCTACAACGGCTACAAACCATTCGGCCTCCGTGAAATTAAGCCGGGGATCAAGGACAATACGGAAATCTACAACATCCCAAAATGCAGCGAGCGGTATAAAAGAGATCATCCTGACGTAATTCAGCAACACTGGGATGAGATTGAGTATTTCGCCAAACACATTCATTTCCAGATCGTGCGGAAATTATTGGTCCTTTTCGCGCTGATCCTCGAGTTGCCTGAGGATTATTTCCTGCAGAATCACAGATATGAAGAGAAATCCGATTGTCATTTCCGGTATATGAAGTATCATCGTCGTACGCCCGAGCAGAATGCAGACTTGGACAATGTTTGGGTGAAAGGGCACACGGATTTTGGAAGCCTGACACTGCTTTTTAGGTAAGAAACGTCTTGTGAAATCAAGACGACCTCTAGGCTGATAATTCCCCTGTTTCAGACAACCAGTGGCGGCGCTTCAAGTTCGTACTCCAGAAGGAGAGTGGAAATACGTGAAACCATATCCAGAGAGCATCACGGTCAATATTGCAGATGCCCTACAATTCCTTACAAACGGATTCTTGAAGAGCAGCATTCATCGGGTCGTTGCGCCTCCTCCGGACCAAGCGGATATCGATCGCCATGGAATCTTGTACTTTGTTCGACCGGAGGACGATACCGAGCTTATACCCGTGAAAAGCCCTGTACTGGAACGCTTGGGATATGATAAGGCCTTGGATCAGGCTACCGTGGGATTGACTGCTGGAGAGTGGGTGAGGGCTCGTGTGGCGAAGAACGTCAGCCGACAGGGAAAAGAGGAGACTATTATCAAAGGTGTCAAAGCCAAGTACTACGACTGAAAAGAGTGCATAAATATATGCACACTATGCAAGAGTGGGTAGAAGCGTGTTAGCTTAGAGGAATTCAACGTCTGTATGAAAATGTCATGCCCATTTTCTTGCGAGCCTTCGGAGAACTCCCCTCTTGGGGCCCCTTTTTACTTGTCCCCCTCTACCCCGTCTCAGATCATAACAGAGAGGGAAACATAAACCAAAGTATTTGGAAGGATTGTGATCTCCTTTCTAGCTCATCCTTACGGGTGGAGACAGGTTCTGGTTATGTGAGTGGCTGGTTACGCTCTGGCGTCCATTATGCAACAGCCGGTCTGATGGGAAGAGGAAAAGAGCCTGAAAAAGCTGGATGGATGTACAGGCAAGATCGAATCTAAAAGGTTTCGAGCGCAAAACTTAAATATAGGCTTCGCGCTATGCGCGTCAAGGAAAAAGTCCGAGTCTGCCGTATTCCAATCTAACCCCAAAGAATCATCCGCATCAAGCCGACAGAGAATCTAACACCCCGGAACGCCCAGCGCGGATAGGATACTTTCTCAAATCACATAGAGTCATCATCATCCATATGATCCCCACTCAACTCTGGAGACAAGCGTCTCACTGAGTTGACATTTCTGTGGGTTTAGAATACAGGGTACAGAATTAGTTCACATGCCGAGTTTTGCCAACTCTACTGCTCATCGCAATAAGGCGGAAAGATGACCTTCAGGTGCCTGCGAGGGGTTGTCTGGATAGATATTTGGGCTGTCCCTGAAATCTTGCTTGACGATACTCAATAGCTCGGGTGTGTTCTCTTGCGAGCCGTGTAGAACCAAGAGGCCAATTGGTACGCTTCGTGCGTTGAAATTTGGTTATGTCTTCTTACACCCAATTCCAGTAGCCGTGAGAATATTTACGGCGTCATGGGAATGCCGTTCCTTTGTCACCGTATATCGCAACCTTGCCAACTTCAGGAAAGAAAATACCTTGGCCTCGAGTCATCAAGCGAAGAGCGAAGAAATGCTCATCCATCTCAATGCTCAGAACAGTCTTGATGTGTTGACCATTACACTCCCCACACCCAAAACTGAAGTCCTTGGTGTCGTAACAACGTTGAAGCTGACAGATTGAGCATCACAACCCCGGTGTGGATGTCGTGGTAGGAAGATTTGTCCAGATTCGGGTATTGGATTAAAAGGGTCAATCTGATATCCCAGGGACTTGTTGAAACGGCTCGAAAAAATCGGGAAAAGAAATGTGTGCCTCAGTTTAATTCCTTGAAAGAGCTGTGGACATTTCATAGAACAGATCGCTCATTATTTTTCCCAAATCAGCTCGAGAGCAGGATTGAGTTGGTCAATCGATGGGCGCTCCAGAAACAGGTTCCTGAGTTCAGCTTTCCCATAGTCGTCTGAAGGGGAAATTCCGACGCCTGTGGCGATATGGTAGGTATATCGACAGAAACTTGTTGAATGTCTTGTTTTGTCGATAGACACACGGACTCTCTTGCAGTTCCAATGGTTAGCACTCATCATCGGGCCAATCAACCCAACCGGCCGAAACGGACAGGCAACAGAACAGAAATGAATGACAATGAGATAAGCGTAGGCCTTACGAAAAGGGAAATGCGAAATCGAAGTTGACAGAGCGAAAGATGCATGTCGCTCTCCTTTCAATGCGGTTGAAGGTGCTATACGGTCACTCTGACTCAGGCATCATAAGCGTGGACACCACTCCCGCACGGAACCTGCCCAAGCGGTGTAGCAGGGCACGGGAAGGTTGAGACTGACCTTTTCGCACGTGTTCGAACTTGTTAAGATTGAGATAGTGAGGTATCCAGACTTGCCCTTCATGATTAAGTAGGAAGTGTCCTATCCTACCCTTACGTTACCTTGTACATAACGCGCGCCGGTCACAAGGCTCTCCACTCTCAGATGAGATTATGCCAGCGGTACTCGTGGTTTTGGCCACCGACGGTTCCCACTCTTAACCGGTGTGTCTGTCTACCAACGAAGCAGTTGTGTGGGCGTGGCGCGGGGTGTTCTGGGTGCATACTTTACGTAGCGAGTTTTATGCTCCGCAGTATATATAATTCTGGGCATTCCTTGGTGATCAGGCTACCTTTTCCCGAGAGAGCCGGATAATGACCACGTAGCGGGAACTCTCCTGGAAAGGAGGCTCTTTACTCTGTATCGTGAAGATTTTGTTCTCCGGCAATGGGGCATTCACATGTGATTTTCTCCATGCGACGCGTCTGTGATTGTTGAGTTCCAATCATCATTCCCCCAGGGTCCGCTCTCGCCATGGCCGAAGTGATTGGCCTGGGGGCATCGATTCTGGGTATTGCCGATGCCGGCCTTAGAGTGACCACCGCTCTCTACAGATTCTCAAAGTCTTACTCCTCCGCCGATACCAAAGTGGAAGGCATTGCAAGCACCGTCGCCGTCACCGCTGCGATCTTGACAAAACTGGGCAATGTCGTCAACGAACACCCGGATGACTTGCACAAGATGAGGCGATGGAGTGTCTTTCCTGACACTATCGCCGCATGCCAGAAGCAGTATGATGGAATAGAGAAGGCCCTCCAAAAAGCAAGGCCTGGTAACATGCGCCCCTGGCAAAAACTGGTATTCGCTTTAGGCGGAGACGAGGAAATTGAGGAGCTCTTGATTGAGTTGGAGAGGACCAAGTCAAATCTGGAGTTGCTCCTGGGGGCAGTGAATTATGACATCCTGAGGAGACTAGAAAAGGCGTGAGTTGATATCCGTACCTTGATTCTGTCTTCGCCCGCTAAATACTATGTGGCAGGAATGAACTAAGCCCGCAGCTAGCAGAACAGCTCGCTGAGATAAAGGCCATTCTCCCGTGGCTTGTGTCGAATATCGCCCTACTTGGAGGCCTCCAAAATCCGGGCAATGGTGGATCAAACGACGACACCACGAAAGTTCCGCCACAATCGAATGTTCTGACCGTGGTGCCTGTTGGCGAGCCGGGAATTGCTCCTTTCGAAACCCCAGGCAGCAACCCTGGCAAATCTCCTGCTCTCAACAACACCTCAATCGCACGATTCCCAAATGGCCAAAGCGACGGCAACCAAGACGGCAACTATGGGCGGGGACAGCCCTCGACCTGGCCTCATAGGTTGGGAAATTCTCAAGGCAGCCCTCGACTGCTAACGGAAGCCTCTCCCAATCAAGCCAAGAACCCAGATTCGAACAAGCCGCCCAAAGATGAGAACACCGCCTATGATGGCCCTTCTCAAAAACCTTTGTACCCTTGGGAGACTGATATGTCGGGCCCGTTTTATGAAGCTTGGTCTTTGATATATCAAAAGGAGACCAGGCAGAAAAAGGCATCCTCGTACGATTCCGCTCATGAGATCTCTATCAGCTATTTCCCTATCAAGCTGACTGTGGCTCCGGTGTCCGTTAAACCCCCCCGGTATTCTTTCATCGAGCTTCGAATCCCGTCCTCGCAGCTGCGTGATATTGTCACGAAAAAGAATCCTTCTGGGCCTCCCATCAGCGACATCTTGACAAGTCTTCCCGCCCCAGCCCAAAGAGCAGTCAACAAACTTCTCCAACACCGATCATACCGAAGACCCTCCATAGAGATGATCGAAGTAAGAAAATCCTTTTGGAAAAGAATGACGTCCCGGGGTTCCAATCCATCGCTCGTGATATATTTGAAGTGTGACGTTAGGCCTTCTTCCACCGAGCAAAAGAAGGGCGCGTCCATCCCATCACTCTCTTCTGTGGATACGGACGGACTATACGACGGCCTCGACGAGGGTACCGATGCAGACGCCGAAGAACGCCCCGAACGTCCCGTACCAGGCCTCGTAAATTATGGACCTATGAGCGGCACTGAATACGCACGGACACCCGGGGCAGCAGGCCGTCTTTTCGGAGAACCCGTGGCGTACCAGAGTGAGGTCAAACCGAAGATACTTCTTGGTGAAACCATGGAGGCACGACCGCGCCAGAAATCGCCCACGCAGAGGATGCCCACAGAGGACGAAGCAGAGAAACTGATGGATGAGTTTCTGGCCGGCTTGGAGGCAGAGGATAAAGCTCAGAGAGCTGATTGATGGTCCTAACGTGAAAAGCGCTGAAAACCCCAGCAATCCCTCACTCAGCGTCTGAAAGCGAGATATTAAACATTTCACTGTGCCACTACATTGATCGGTATATATATATATTTGATAATTCGACCTAGATTGTGGATACAGCGTTAGAGCTCGTCTCAACTGTTGTCGGTAAACATTCTTACTTCGGCAATGGTTGAAAGGCGAGCGCTGAACGGCGGGTCACCAGGTTCTTTGAATGGTGGCAGGAATTCTGCAAATTTATATGAATTGCAGAAGAGCATACGCTGTTTAGTGTGGAGGTCACCTGCGTAAGGAAAAGGTATGAGGTGGAATAGAGCTTACCACAGCTTTCTCCTCTTTTCCTGCCAAATATTACTCCCTGTTCATGAATGTTCCTCTGTGCCCTCTCCTCCATCGGTGTCTCATCCACACGGTTGCTCGCTACGTTCATGTGTTCAAAATGTTCCATGACTCGTACCCCAGGCTGATTCTGTGGAATTTGGTCCTAACTGATGACGATATTTTTACTCTCATCCCATATCTTCCAAGCGGTGAACAAGTCCCTCGTGGGCTGGGAGGTAATGAGTTAGAAATATTTCTGATAAGAGCGAATTTTGTCCGATCTTAAGAAGGATCTATCCGACGTTTTTCGTCCGACTCTACGTTCACATCCGATCCAGCCCATCTTAAACCACGAAAGAGCTTGAACGATACATCCAGCCTTTTGGTATGGGATGCCTGAATGCTTACCTTGCTAAGCGAGCAAAGTCACGCTTTCGGTCTTCTAGTTTGCGGAGGATGATCAGATGTGTTCTTTTTACGTATTTCTGAGCGGCCCGATCTGGTCCCGAGACGGAAGTCTCCTCGAAGGCCGATGAAGGCTAACAAATGTCATTGCTGGATCCTCATTATTTGTGGTACAGGATGCTGAACACGCCTGCTGCCAGAAATGAATGAGAATTTGAAGTTCCTTTCACTGGATTTGGTCTGGTCCATATCTGGGAGCTGTGGAGAGCATGTGTTAGTCATTCAGATGTAAAAATAAGCGACCAGGATCTTCTGCCGATTTCTGGCATCAGTCCAAGTAAGCTTTATGCCGAGGCTGCTTGAAATGGACAAGCCTTGCCTAGCCGATGGCCCAGATCCACTTGGGTTTATGCTTAGGGGCCCAATCCACATTATTCCACCGCTAATTGTACAGCGGGTGAAGTAGTCGCCATCAGCACTAAACCTACGATGCAATCACCACTATTTCCCCATTCGTGCCAGCGCTGACCATCCGAACAACGAATTTCCAGGTGAAGACACAGCTCAACTACAAGTTCATTGCTTTCTCGGATACTGTCGACCGCTGTTTGCTCCCTCAGTACTCTGCCTGGTACTCTCTCCATACCGCCACTGGAAATAAGTGCTCAAGGGGGTTTGTACAATGCCGCGCTCTGCCTTTCCACATTTAGCTCCCGACGTGTGACACCGCAATAGAAATTCCTCAGATCAACTCGCTCACAGCTGATCTTGGGGCTGGACGATTCGTCAGCCCAATCAATTCATGACCTTCCAAACGGAGCGACACCATTGGTGAGTCTAGAGCATGGAGGTGAGCACAAATGCAACATCCGCACCGACAATGGTACCAGGATGTCAGCAATATCGTAATTTCATCCTCGCTCCCTCGGCCCCTGACTTATTCAAGTCATGGACCGCAGATCAAGCTTTACTTAGCCCCCAGGAAACGGAAAGACAAACTTCCAAGATATATAACTTGGCTCCAATGACTGGCTCTCGGTTGGTTTAGGCTTTACTCATACAATCTACGAATATCGGTACACTCGCTTCTACCTAACGCAAGCATTTACCTTTTCCTAATTGTTCGGCCTTTTCTATCTCTGCTCTCGCTTCTTCGTTTACCCAAAGACTACTTGCTACGTCAAACATCTTCTTCCCCCCCCACCTTTCTGTTGAATAGGTTCACTCGAAACAATTTATACAAAATGTATTTCGATAAATTGGCACTAATCCTCGGCTCCGTGGCTATTGACTCGCTCGTTTTAGCCGGTCCCGTCGATGTCGAAAAGCGTTGGGGCATCTCATATGGAAACCGTGGTGATCATGTCAAGGCATATCAAGACTGGCAGTCGGCCTCGTACGATGCAGGAGGCGATGCTCCGTCTTCCACTGCGTACAACGGGTATAATGGCGGCAGCAATGAGGGATCCAACACGGCATCCGCATCCAACAGCAGGCCTCCTCAACAGACTCCCCCTTTCAGCAGTGCTGCTCCTTTCCCAACCAGCGACTCGGGCGACAACCCGTTCATCTTTCCTCTATCCAACGGATTCCCCAATATTGCATCCCACTCTTCCCAGCTCAATGACATTGAGAACCAAGCCCACGGAACTCTCCCCAATGGCCCACCTCCGCCAAACCGACCGGCGGACGACGATCTGACATCGCTGCGCCTAATCGCGTTCAATGAATTGTGGGAAGTTGCTTTCTTCACTGAACTCCTTACCAACATCACCCAGGAGGTGCCGGGATACCAATTCCAAGACCAGATCCAAAAGCAAACCGTGATCGACACCGTCACTGCCGTTCAAGCACAGGAAGAGCTTCACCTGCTCAATGCCAACGGCGCCCTCGACCATTTCAAGGCCGGCCCCATCCAACCCTGCCAGTACATCGCCGGAGTCGACAACTTCCAAGACGCCATCATGACAGCCGCCACCTTCACCGATGTTGTCCTTGGCACCTTGGGCGATGTTCAAACCCACTTCGGCGACAACGGAGATTCCGGTCTCATCGGCGGTGTCGCCGCCGTCATCGGCCAAGAAGGCGAGCAGAATGGCTTCTACCGCAATCTGCTCCACGAGATCCCCAGCGCCGCACCATTCTTGACAGCCTCGACCCGTGAATTCGCCTTCTCGGCCTTGAACCAAAACTTCGTCGTTCAGGGATCTTGCCCCAACATCAACACCATCGACCTACCCGTCTTCGGCAAACTTAACCTCTTGACCAAGAACATCCAAGCCCAGGATCAGACTCTGCAATTTTCCTTCTCGGCTACGGGCCAATATAGCCAGTGGGCCTCCGGCCAGGGAATGAGCTTGGTCTACATCAACCAGCAGAACGTGCCTGTTGTGGAGCCTCTCACCCAAGCCTCGACTAGCCATGACGGCACCGTCACTTTCTCTGCCAATTTCCCTTTCGTCGAGAACAAGATGTTTGGCCTAACTATCGCTGCTGTTGTCCAAGGATCTGGTCCTTTCAACAATGTCACCGCTGTCGCGGACGCCGCCAAGTTCGGGCCTGCTTTGATTGAGATCGACTAAATCATGGCCCGAACTCGGGTCGTACGCGGTGACGGTTAATGAGGAGTGGAATGAATGGTTCTTCCCGAGACTTGGCATGACAGTTTTAGAATTGGTCGGAGTTTTGGCGAACAATTTACTTATTGATATCTATATCGGGATAAAAACCATCCAGCGTTAATATAGTTGTTTTGGCTCTCAGGCGACAGGGTGTCTAACACTGAGCTGGTCCTTCTTATTAGCGAACTTCGAACTTCAACACTCTAATCGGAGCAATTCAAAAGCGCCTCGTATTCATTGCTGATCGCGTTTTCGTTAAGGGCTCGCCAGAACCGCAGCGTTTTCACGTGAGAAAAAGTTCGTCTCAACAATGGTACTAATGCTTGCATCTCTTGCTGGCGTCTCAATTTCATGTACTCCAGAGCAGAAAGCAACGATTCACCGGGTGGAAGAAGATCACCTGGACCTGTGCCTGTGCCTGTGTTTTGGGCTCCGTCCAGAGCCATGTTCCCAGGAGAGATAAAGAAGAAAACATCAAGTTGCTCGAGGTTTGGAAGTTGGAGAATCGGCCTCAATGAAGGATGTGAGTGGAGCTGCAGGAGTATACCCTCGTCGATTGCTGCTTGCTCCTTTTTGCTACTTGACCGAGATGACTGGCGTGAAGATCGTCGCACAATCTGGCGGAATTCATTGGTAAGTCTCCGAGAAAGCCAGAGACGAAACGCAATCATTTTCTGCGTCCAGGCAGGTTCCCCCGTCAACAGCGATACCAAGGAGTGACAGTCAGATGGGAGTGTCCAAAAACTCGTCGGGCCTAGAGCATCTTCGTCCTCGGATGGCCACAATTGCCTCGCAGTGATACCAACCGTTGTAATGCCCACGGTCCAGCCGAGGGATTTAACATTTGGAATTGCTGAGGCGAGCGTAGAAAATATGGTCATGGGCGCCGACACAGGTTTGCAAGCGGACTCGAGTTCGTCAAGTGGTTGTGTAGTAGCGGGAAGAATGGCGCATTTCCTGATCAAGAGCTCCAGTTTTTGGATATATTGCAGAGTGGCAGTGCGGTTTTCAAGCTCTGAGAGCGTGTATCTTGGTTTGCAGAGGTGGTCGAAGGCAATTACAATCGTTGCGTTTCGATAGAGGACGGCGGAACCAATGTGTCGGAGTGTGGAACAGGAGAGAAGAAGGGAAGGGCAGCGGAAGGGGCGTCGGGCCACTCCGCAAGAAAGACAGTGACGTGAGGACAGATGGAGTCTCTGCTCAGGCTTGAGCGAGGACAAGAGCGTGAACGAACAGATTAGATCAACGATCTCGGGAGGAAGGGACAGCAGATCCATATTCGGGGCGAATGGGATGAAATGCCATGGAAGGGATGAGGACAACAAACATTGACAAGCAAGGAAGGGTGTTGAGGAAATTTACAATGAGTCAGCAACCGCCTAAAGGTAACTAGCGATCGACCGTAAGAGGTGGTGACTTTATGATTCACCGTACCGCATTTCTGAAAATGATCACTGCTAAGGGGGGGGGACCGCTTTGTGTCATGACTGATCATGAAGATAGATAATGAGATGCCATATCAAGACAAGCCAAAAACATGACGTATACTTGGCGCTAGCAGCTCGTTTTGAAAGTTGGATAAAGGGATGCATGGCGCCGTCAACAGCACGCCGAGACGGGTTAGGATGAGCCAGCATCACACGTCTCCGCCGTTCTGCCTCCTCCGGCCCGTTAAGCGGAACAGACCCGACACGGTCTCGGCAAGAGCGAGGGCCATCTGTCGCAGAGCGAAGGCCATGACCATCCACTCAGATGGTCTGCGCTCGCCCGCCTCGGACCGCTGGAAGGCCTTGAGCCTGTTGGCCAGCCAGCTCCACTTGTGGTCCCGCTCCATCTGCTCGACCAGTACGCGCCGTCTTGGGGCGTAGGCCCTGTGGAGGATCCGAATCAGATTGTTCAGGTTGAAGGTGACGAAGTAGGTTGGAAGCGCCACCAGGGTGGTCACGATGACGAGGGCCTCGCGGCTATACGACTCGTTTATGCTCCAGATGGCCTTTTAGGATATGAGCCGTCAGCAGATAGCAGATATTTAAAGCGATGAAAGAGGAAAGGGAGGGAGCGACAGCTTGCCATGCAGAGCCCCAGGGGAGGAAGAAAATGCTGACAAAGGTGAGGAGCTTCACGTTCTCCCCCAGCTGGGTCGACGCCCGACTTTCCATGACCGCACTGGCGTTAAAAAGCTGGAGAAAACGGTGTTAGCGAGGAGTCCGCACCAGGACTCGATCAGTTTCGTATCAGGAGACATCAGATACTCACGCCGTCTCTCATGACAGTGATGCGCTCTAGCTTCTCCTGGAACGCCTGCCGTAGCCGCTTCAGCTCCGTGCACGCATCCGCGGCTTCCTGGTCGGCCCTCCTAAGTGTGGCCTGCGCTTTCTCTTGCCAGTCCTCCACCTCACCCGGCACGCACCCGGTCTGCCTAAAGGGCGTCACCGCGGTCTTCTGGTACAAGGCCCACTTCTGGATGTTATCGTCTAGTAGGTTGACTATCTCATGGACGACGTTGATGGCCCAGAAGTACCGCTTCGAGATCGAGAAGGCGTTGTCATCAAACAAGATGTCTTGCAGCCGATCCGGCTCACGCAGCGCGTCCCCGCTGTCCACCAGCTCATCCAGCTCCTGCAGAACGTCGTGCCAGCGTGCGGCCGCGACGCTCAGGGCCTTCGCTACGTAGTGCAGCGACTGTGCCCGGAGCGAGGGCGACTCGCTAATTGCATACGTTTCTTCAGAAGGCCAGAAATTGGTAGGCGTAAGGCAGACGATGGTCCAGTGGATGACATCTGGCAGCGGGAGGTCTTCCCCTGAAGGTACATGCAGCATCTGTAGACCGCAAAAAGTCAGCATAGACCTAGCGTACGCTTAAGGTCGTGGGTCAAAAATTACGGTGAAGCAGCTCTTCCTCAGGAACTTGGACTTTCTGTCATAAAATGGCACCATGTTCGGCAAGCTGGCGACTCCGGCCGGTGGTTCGCCCAGGTGAAGCAGCTCATAGAACACTATATGGAACCCCTGGTCATCCTTTCCAAGTGTCCCCAGACCTATAGGGCTCTGAAGTCTCCGCGGGGTTGCCCCAAGATGCGCGGTGATGCTCCGAACCAGGGGGTGAAGAAAAAGTTCAGGTGTTTCTGGAGGATCAGAGCAAGCGTTGTTAATGGCAACCCACGGGAAGACGGGCAGGTAACGACAGTTGTCGGACGTCATCAATCCCTTGCCCCTAACGTCTCCTGCTACGCTCGCCAGACCTTGACAAAGCCTGCTAGCGTGATTAGCTGTTATCCTCTGTCACATCAGCAGCGCAGACTCGCGATCTGCACCACTTAACAGTTAGGACGCACAACAGTCTCCTCCACGGCTTACCGCATCCCCTATTGTGTCCTCCCTCGTCCAGCAGTCGTCGCAATCCAAAGGTGAATCCGGCTCGTTTCCACCGTCCTTGCGCTGTTTCAGAAGGACTGGACGCTGATGACCCTTGGTGCCGCAGCTGATATACGCAACCTGCTTGCGGACACCATCGTGTTCTTGGCCAGCCCCAGTCGACGACATGGAAGTCGCCATGCCGTTGTTGGAGCGCTTCAGTGAGTTCGCTCAGTCGGGTAATGAGTTGGGAGGATGGGTCGGGCCTACGGCATTCGAAGAATGATTTCGAAAAGGCAAGAGGAAGCCGTCCATCGTCTGGAACAGAACACGCCGTCCCGAACTCGTGTAGGAGTGTCTGGGTGGTCTGCCGTCCTGCGGCTTGGTCTTCCTTCTGGGATAGGTCTACATACAGCGAGCTCTCAGTGACGAAATCCCAGTCGTTTCGCCGCCCCGTCATCGCAGTGTACGCCTTGATTACGTCGTCCAGAGTCAGTGTTCTTCTCTTGGCCGATGCTCGGTCGACTGCGGTCACGAACAGACCTCGGATCTCACGGCCCGATGCCTCCCAGTCTGTGGTGACGTCTTGGAACCACTCTAGGATCTCACGTTCGACCTCCGTGTTTTCCGTTTCTGCGCGCTCGAGAAAGAAACGGAATATCCGAGCGGAGGCGTCTGCGGACAGTGGCCGGAATGCTACCTGCTTTACATACGCCTTGAGCGCACGGTCCAGGGCAGAAACATGGCTAGTAAGAAGGATCAAGGCTCCGTGGAAGTGATTGAGCCTGTCCAGCAATGCTGTGATTTGTAAGCAGACTCCACGCCTGGGTCATGAAGGGATCATGCATACTTGCCACCAGTGCATTCCGAGCCATGTCTTCGTGTAGGCTTCTCGCCTGTAATAGGTCATCTGCTTCAGCGCTTCCCGAGTATTAACAGCGGTGAAGGTCAGGCACGGACGCCAGGCTCTTACATGACAAGAATCGCGCCCCAACGGGCACTGAGATTCATCGTCTCGGACAGGTTTCTGTTGAACGTTGACGATCCGAGGCCCAACTCGGCCAGGCTTAGGAACAGGAGAGGGCGCTGGCTGTACTCTGCCAGCGCCTCAGCCGTTAGTGTCTTCCCCACACCACGGGGTCCTATCTAGAATGAGTAAATAGCCATGGTGATGACTTGTTGACATGAGGTTGGGGAGGCTGGCACCCACGACGCCGATAAGGAACATACTCACCATGAAAATGAAGGACCAGTCCAGGTAGGTGACCGATGATGTCGGAGGATTCGTTGTAGTAGCGATTTCTTTTCTCCAAATACGTCAGGATGTCCAACTTGAGGGACTCCTTGATTGCATCGTCCAATACGACGACATGGTCGATGATAGTAAGTTCCCACTGGTCTGAGGGCCCGTGGAGACCTCTGAGGGGCACGCTTACCCACTTTCTTGACTTGAGAAGATATCCCTCAACCCTCGTTGGGACGAGAAGGCAATGTCTCTCGGTGTTTGAGACGTCATCAATGCTAAAAGGTGCCGTGCATGTTGGACAATGGCAGCCGAGGGTCGGCTCTGACGTCGACTTATCCTTGTGGTGTTCTGAGAAAGCTTTTGGGTCGACAATCACACGATCTGAGCTCTGCGTGCCTTTAGCTGGTGTTGGAGAAGTTCGGGTAACACAAATGCTTGGTCCTACCTGTGTCTTATTGCCATCATCAAATACCTTTCCGTCATAGTGCCAAAGTGGATAGTCCCCTTTTGCGGTGTTCTTGAGCTTCTTAAAGACCTCGAGGCTCAGCTCACTCTTGCTAATCGCCTGCTTCAGATCAGCTAGGGACGCGTCAGAGTTGATCAAGGGGCGGAACGGCAGTCCATCGATCCGCTTTGTCCCGGTGTAGTGCTCGATTTGAAATCTACCTCCAATTTTGGTGAAAGCTTCCCCGGTCCACCTAAAATGCCAGTATTCCACCAGGCAGTGCCTCAGTGACGACGACGTGGAATCAGTATCACAAGACAATACCTCTACAACTTGCTGGTCGTCTGCATCCGCGGCGCTCGAGAGCAACGCCCCCGGAGCGAATAGACTCGGTAGATGCTCAAACCGAACCAATCCTCGCTCAGCATTGGCGCATCTCTCCCCGATACAGCTGCGGCAGTTGGCTGCAAATTCGATGCAATGTAACAATTCGCTGATATCTTCTCGGAGATCCACTCTGAGATTTCTAGGGCACACAATGCTTCTAAATTGTGGCTCTGTCTGGGTAGACTCCTTGCAGAGCAATGATAAGGCGTCCCAGTGAGCCACAAGGTCTGCGAAGGGAAACATACACTTCTTTTGCCTCGTATCATCGTCAAGGTTCGGACAGGGATTTGACATTCCCTGGAGCAGAGCCAACAGGTCGGGCCCGAATATGGATATCTCTTGAAGATGCACTTGCCCGTCGGGGTATACTTTCTGTTTGGTTGTGAAGGAACGGAACTTGGATTCGGAGATGGGAATCTCACCCTTGTCGTCGGTTGCTGCCGAGAACTGAGAAAGGGAAGGCAACGATGGTTGTACAAACTGAAGTCGCCGATCCATCTCTTCCAGTCTTGCGTTGATCTGGCAGAGTACTGCTAGGATCTTGGAAGAAGTCGATTCATCGGTCGAGCCCATCCTGATGAATTTGTGTTACCCCAACGTGATTGCAGAATGTCCACTGAGCGAAGATCAGAGGCTCACTCAAAGGTTTACTTCCGGGGGGAGAGCTAGGGGCAAAACAATATCGGAGTCGGTGGTACGGAAGTTGCCGGTGCCTAAATGTACGTAGCAATGTTGGGAAGACGAGCAATAAGGCACCGCCTCGCTCGCGATGTCACATGTTCAGGCGTGGCTGGTGGATGGCTGGTGACTGCTGTGGCGCTGTTACAGTGTACCAGGGAAGCAAGGAGCACAAACTCATGGTCCTAGGGAGTGGCAATTATCAACTCCTTCCGTAGCTACCCATGGTGTTTCTTCTCTTTTTCCACCCATCAATCGCGGGTGGGCGGCTCGATATCTGCACGGCGCACCATCACAAAGTGACCATGTCGGCGATGATGGAGCCCGCCAATCCTAGGCTAGATATGGTACATTACCTCTGTCCTGGCATACTCCACCACTAATACAGTACGTTATCACCATGATGTGACGCCTTTGTCAAGGTAGAGAAACGAATATCGTCGGGGAAACCCTTTGACCCCGCAACCATTGAGGAAACCACGGTATTTAATTGACCATGTTCATCAAGGCAATCGAAATGAATGCAGCAATGCAGTTGACTTTTCCACGGGTTTGACACCCATTACATACATAGAGGAGGTGGTGGTAGTATCATTTACAATACCACGAGGGTGTAAGCCAAGAGAACACTCGGGACGAGTATGTTGGTATTCCAGTTATTTGGATTGAGGTCTGTGGCATCACAACCCGTAGCAAATCGAGGAACACTGTCATCTTGTCGGCCAATGATAGCTCAACCAAACATGGTGGAAAGAAGGAGCAACAAAAGGGCTGCGGATAAAGTAAAGAATGTAGCTGAATGCATCATGAATGAAGAGGAGGGAGAAAAACAGAAATGAAAAAGAGTAAAACGAAATGATGGGAAATGTTGGATATTGTGATAAATGATCGTATCATGCAAATACTGAAATAGATGGAGAGCATAGAGAGCGATTGAAGGGGGTTAACGACTTATCTATACAGGCATCAAGTCTCGTTGAGAGGTGGCGGGGCTCCATTCTGATCGCAACGCTGTAAATAGTATTCGGTTAGCATCCTCGATGACGAGTACGGGTTTCAGCCTCCGACCCTCAAGATGTGGAGGCTGGTGATGTGGGCCTGTGAATGAGCGATACGGCATCAATGCTTGGTCGGCCTAACAATCAATTATGTTGGGCTTGTCGTATGGTAACATTTTTCTGGATGAGGGAGCGCCGTGAATTTGCGAGGCTGGCGAAGGAGAAATAGGAGATACTTAAAAACCAGGAGTAGTGGCTCGTCGCTGGAGCCTCGTCAGCCTTGCGAGAAGCACCATACTCTTGTCAACGAGCTCCGCGGAAGTCACATGGCGGTCTTTCCCCCATGGGGACTAGTCTGCCTCTCACTCTGTATGCGCGTCTATGAAGGCTGAGCCTGAAACCCCACCTTCATTTGGATGGCCAATCTTGGATTACTCTTCTCAACCCTGTTTCCGCGGCTGCTAGGATGGGTTCCAGATCCAACGGCAGATGGTGCATATCTCGTCATGCGAGCACTCACGAGCCTCTTCGTCTACCTTTCTTGCTCGACCCATAGCTGAGAAGTTTGACATCCAACCCCGTACTCTGTCAATATGCAAGGCTTTAACATGGGACGCTATGTCCCGCCCGAGCTTGAAGGAACTGTATCATTCAACACCGCCTCTGGTAAAGGCCATCCGCTTGGCAATCGAGCCCGAAAGTTGAAGACCGAAGGAGTCTTGACAGTTCGATTCGAATGCCCCTTTGCGATTTGGTGCACCCATTGCCAACCGGAACAGATTATTGGACAAGGTGTTCGATTTAATGCAGAGAAGAAAAAGGTGGGCAACTATTACAGTACTCCCATATGGAGCTTTCGGTTCAAACACACCATTTGTGGAGAATGGATTGAAGTGAGAACCGATCCCAAGAATGCGGAATACCTCGTTGTGGAAGGGGGAAGGCGGAGGGATACCGGTGAAGACAAAATACTTGATGGTGAAATAAGATTGGGAGTGTCGGAAGAAGACAAGGAAAGACTCGAGCGAGATGGCGGGTTTGGCGCCTTGGAAAAGAAAGTCGAGGACAAGACTCTGTTCAACAGCCAGAAAGAGAGATTGGATCAATTGTTGAAAGCTAGCGACCGAGACTGGGCGGACCCTTACGAGAAAAGCAGAAAACTGCGAGCCGAATTCCGCATAGGAAGGAGGAAACGTCAGGCAGATGAGAGGACCGGAGAAGCTCTCAAAGACAAATTCGGACTTGAGGTGGAAATGTTAAGTGAGCATCCCGAAGACAATGAGCGGGCCAAGTTCATTGATTTTGGCCTACAAAGAGAGGCGTCGAGTTCATCCAAACCTATGTTTCGCAACTTGAATGGTGTTTTGCCATCGAGATTCAAATCTGACGCGAAGCTGGACAAGAAAAACGTTCTACAGAACCAGTTAAGAGGGAACACCAGAATTGTTACGGATCCATTTCTGGACAAAATAGATGGCTGGCAACCACGAACGAAACGGAAAAGGGTCGAAGAGGACGAGAATGAACAGAACAAAACAGCGAAAGCGGATGGTCTGGCGTTGGTTGGTTATGATTCGGATTCATCATGATACCCCGGACTGAGAAGTCCAAGTTCTGGCATTATCATACTTTTCGTTATACGGGGACCGGAGCCTAGCTGATATCCTGATATCAATGCTATTCCCGTCCAGCCCCCGGATTTTGATTTGATTTGCTAGCGGCCTCGTCAGGTGGTGGCATCGGTCTTCTCTGGGCCGCAGCAAACCCACCTCGCGGTGGAGGTGGTGCTGGCGTCCTGCTTGCCCATGGCGCCTGTGTGGCCCCATCGACAAAACCCAAGGGTGGCTGGGAAGGTTTACCCGCCCAAGGTGCTGCAGTTCCAGCACCCATTTGTGGAATCCCCAGTCTCATTGTGCTTGGGGCATGGCTGTCCATTGGATTTCGGAGTGGTTGACTGGCGGCATGTGTCGTTGGCAGTGGGGGTTTAGCTTCTGGATCCTTTTCCCACTTGAGAAGTGATCCAAAAGGGAAGTGCTGAACAACGGGAAACTTTGATAGGACCTCTGCATTATACATCTTGATCATTCCCTTGTTGATCTTCCCCCAACCATCCTTGATACCGGATATGTCGAAGAGCATGGGACTGTGCTCCCAGAATGGTCCTTTTTTCACGTCGTAAATGAACGCAATAGCCGAGAAGTACATGTTTTTATCCCTCTCCTTCTCGACCAAATTCAACTTGCTTATCGATGATACCTCCGGTGCGCCAGGAAGTGAGCCCTCCGTAGGGGTGTCGTCAGTTTCTGTGATAGCAGGAGCCAATTGAGCGGAGCCAAAAATGTATGGCAAGAAGGAATTGTCATCAAGGCCCCAGACGCCATGCGATCCTGCAGGTTCCAAAGTGTATGTCTTGATTAATTTCCTAACGAGGAACAGATACGGCTCAAAGACACCCAAAACAATGCTTCTTTCTTCTACACCCGGTTCTGACTGAGGGAAAAAGTTCAACTTCCACAAGCAAGCCAGAAAGGCGAGGAAACTGAGCTCGTGACCCGTTCCATAGTCCAACCGCTGTGCACTGCCAAAGCTGCCTACCAGATACACTCCTATTTCTTCATGTGCCACACCCAGTGGCTCGGGAAGATACTCTGTCAGTAGCTCGTCGATTTGGGCCTCGACAAGCTTGTACCACTGTCGAAAGCTGACATTGCCGAATCTTCTGGGACCCGTATCCGGGGGAACATCATCGATCAGCCTCGTCAGTTTGTTCAATAGGTCGCGTAGTCTCCGCACCGAGTCCGAATAAACAATGTCTTTTGAATCTAGTGTCCAGGTCAGAGTCGTGGTTGATCCGTCAACCTCAGCCTTTCGTGGCAGCACCGATCGGTTCAATTGCAGCATGAATATCATGATATCTCGGTATGCCAGAGACGTTAAGAAAGAGGAAACATCCGGTCCATCATGAATTTTCTTCACTGGTTTCTCGAAACGGTGATCTTTGATGTCGTTGATTTTAGCAAGCACTGGAAAATTCGTCATTATGGCCGACTGATAAGGGATTTATGTTGGCGAAAGATTGAGTTTGCGCATGAATAGATTGTAGGAGCTGTGTTTTCGGAAGAGCATTAAAGATCCTGACGCAAGTCGTGGTGAATATTCCGCACACCGTGTTTCAGCTATCGACCTCTATGAATTCTACACATGCTCTCTTCCTTCCTATCCCGTGTAGGCTCCATAATGCCTCTGTCCACACAAAAGTCTGTTGCTCAAGCCGACGAAGATGACAATTCGGAAGCCGAAGCCGTGACAGCCATCCTCAACGAGGAAGCCAGCATTGCAGTCCGAACCTCTCCTCGAAACCGGAAGAGGAGTTCGAATATTTCAGCAACTGGAGATGGCTCGCCCAGAAAACGAGTTACAACCAGACAGTCTTCAGCGTCTGCGCCAGTTACCTCCGTGTCTACAGAATCACCCAGGCGACAGTCGGGAAGGCTGCAAGCGCGAACTTCACTCCCTACACTGAAACCTGTGAATAAGCGCAACCCCTACGATTTTCCAGACGAGCCTGAGGAGAATATAAGGTCCACGGTTGTGATCGAGCCCCCCCCCAAATTGAGAAACCTGAATAAACAAAAGCAGTTGGTGGAATCACCTTTCAAGGGTAAAGGCGTGTTAGAGACCAAAACGACGGCACGAGTCAATCTTGACGACTCGCCTAAAAAACAACCCAAAAGAAAAAACTTTCTGAAGATAGGAAAATCAATAAAAAATTCAAGGCGTCCGATAGGTCAGAGAAGATCTGCACGGCTCTCCGGAAGAAACCTACCTTTTGACGGAGAGGATATTCTGGACGCTGCCCTCAGGGAAGAAAATGAGCCAGAGCCACTGTTACTTGATCCGAAGCCAAGTCCGGCGAAATCTTCAAAGAGATCAGCCCCGGCCCAAACTCGCCTCAACACAGCTCTACCAAGTCAAGACAGAATCCCGGAAGCCCAAACCGATGTCGTGCAGGAGATACAGCATCAAGGTGACGATACAGCAGAGGTGACCCGTATACCAGACGCTCACACTGACAAGGCTCGAGAAGAACAACATGAGAGCGAAGAAGGACCAGATGTGGAGAGTGGCCCGGCGGGTGATTCTCAACCTCCAGTGCGACGCCCCGATACTGAGGCAGACCGAAAAGGAAAAGAACAGGCAGAAGCCGAGGAGAAAGAAAAGCGTCGACAAATGATTGAAGATAGTCTGCGTGGAATTGAAGAAGCGGTAGAGCTCCATGAGTGCAAAGAGTCCTGGCAAGAAGCTCTCGTTGCTGCCGCTGAGCTTAACGAGGGGCGAAGCTCGAATGAGCCAGCTTCACCTGCTGGCGAAGCTGCGCATTGTCGGTTGAAATCGCTTATCAAAAGCTATAAGATGCTCAGTGGAAGCGACATATCCTCTCCTCAGACACGAATCAAATCGATTCAAGAGGATCTTGCTGAGTTAAAGGGGCGTTGCAAGGATATCTGCGGTCATAGTTATCGGCCGGACCAGCAACGTGATCAAGAGCGCTCAAAGATGATAGGGGACATCTACGAACATTTGATTCCGGGGTCCCTCACATTAGCAAAGATGGCACTCAAAGCACGCTATCGGGACAATGAGTTGAGCACCGCCGCCCACTGGGAAATATCTCAACTGTTGAAGATCACCCGCATGTTATGCGTGGCGGCCGCTAAGTGGAGGCCTAGACCCCAACTCGGGAACACAGCGAAGTCCACCACCAAACAGGCCATTGCACCTAACGTTGAAATTATATTACGACGATACCTGGAGGCAGCAGTAGCGGATGATGGCAAGAAATATGTGGACGATCTTGAAGTCCGACAGAGGGCAGACCTGGAGAAATTGAAAGCTGCGAATGAGCAAAGAAGAGCCGAGATACGGACAAGACGTCACCAGTATTTGGATGCGAGTGCAGAAACGGTTTCTGGAGCCCATCCTTGGAGAGGACGGCAATCCCAAGTTGTAGATATTGATGATCTCCACATCGACGAGATTCCGGCGGCAAATGGTCCTCGTCGTGAAAGAGTATCGCATATCCAGTCACCAACTTCTCAAGCAAGGTCTCAGCTCAAGAGAACGCCGGCAGAATATATTCCTCCTTGTCCGCACAAGTGGGACGTGTCCGAGATGGTAGCGTTGCTTAATGCTCTCCAGAAACACCGAGGCCAAACTCGATTTCAAGATATCGTCAGTGTACATGGACGACCGGGAGGGAGACTGGAGAAGTACGATGTGGATGAAATCATGGCCCAGGCAAGATGGATAAAGCAGAGTATGGCGAGACAGCTGCAGAGTGAATTGGACGGGTCGTGGGACTGGTTGAGAAGTGTCCCTGGTTGACTGCGGTTGACAGAGACAAGTGTACGATTTATGTTTGGATTGCTCAGAGATACCCCATTAGCATGCATGATATAACTTGAGCGACCTGTTGACGGAGAGCCACGTGTATAGTGGTCTTTTGAGTAACGAATGAACTGCTTCCAGGTATGGACTTGGGTAGCAAGAAGGTACAGGGATCGTATACGGCGGGGTATAACGCTGCCTCTGGTGACACTTGATATCGAGACCGTTCTGGTGGAATGCTGCCACCCCTTGTATCGGATGTTGACAAGACTCGGTGATAACATGTTGAACCGGGAAGGCAATCTCGGGGAAGCAGAAACAGGGGCGAAGATGTCTGTGAAAGTGAATGCGCAGTTTATATGCTCCACCGTATCACGAAGTGAGGCATACTGAAGCCTTGTCGCGTCGCGCACCAACTGTGCCATCAAGCGGTCAAGCCTGCAATCCCGCCCAGTCTCATCCCTCCATCGCCAATCGGTCGATCCAGCAATTCTGAGACCGGGAACATTATCCTTGACCCTTTTTCTTCGGTTTTCCTTTCTTTTTGGACAGGGTATTTTTCCTTTTTTTATCTTTACCTCAACTTTTTTCTGCTGCGTTTAATCATGGACAAACACGCCTCTTCGCGAGGTAGTGCCGCCGATGAGACTTCTCCGCTTAAATCCAGGACGACGCCTTCGACAACAAAGCCGACCACGAAACCAGCAGCTCCTCGACTTTCTACCGGAACTCGCCCTACCACTACCTCTTCCGCCGCCAAATCAACAGTAGGAAGTTCACTGAGCAAGCCTCCAGCCCGGCCTACGACAACAACTGTTCGAAAGCCTGCTAGCGCGACCTCCACTTCTACGTCTGCGACTCATCAAAAGAGACAATCGGCCGGTTCGGTAGATGAGAAACCTTCGGGCGAGGAGAAGAACAAAGATGGCATATCGGCAAAACCAAAGAGGATGTCGTTGGCTCCCTCCACGACCGCGGACAGGACGTCCGCCTCCAAGTCTGTTACGGCCACTCCCGCTCGACGGACAACTCTGGCGCCTACGTCATCGACCCGACCCAGTACGAGTAGTCCCGTTGGAGTCAAGAAGGTTGCTGCGAGCCCTAGTACTTCTCGAACCCCCGCGACTACTCGAACCAAGCCTCTGACTTCCACCACTTCACGAAACGTCGGCGCTGGCACCTTAGCCGAGAAGAAGCGACTCAGCACGATCCCTGCGTCTCCTGCGGCAAAAGCTGATGTGGAAGAGCCGGAGGATAACAAAGAGAATGTTGAATCTCCCTCTGAAGAAAAGGCCCCGGTTCGTCCGGCCTTGGGATCAAGGAAATCTACCAGATCCGTGTTGATCGAACAGCGAATACGCGAGTTTGAACTGGTCAACAGTATGCTGCAGGCTGCGATGACGGCAGATGGTGCAGATGACCAAGAGCAGCAATCTGTCAATCAAGAAGCCGCCGCCACCATTGCAAAGCTCAAATCAGATCTTGCCAAGGTGAGGGAATTCGAGCAGCAGAACGGTCGGTTACCTACGGAAGCGGAGTTGGGAGAAATACAGTCTGTGCTAGCAGAACCCGATGTCCAATTAGAACATACGGGTGAGAATGGAGTGTCGGGATATGCAGTGGTGACGGAGCTGCAAAACGAACTAGCGCAAAGCAGGGCCCAGACTGAAGCACTACAAGCCGAATTGGCTGACCTAAAGACCAAGCTTGAGGAGTTCGGCCGCAGTGCGGAAGAAGAAAGTCTGCGGGCGCAAGAGGCTGCTGAATCAATCAGAGCGGAGCATGCGAAAAAGATTGAAGAACTATCTTCACTTCACCAGAATCAGTTGCAAGAGTTGGAAAATTCACACCAGGAAAACGTGCGAGGACTGAGTGACAGCCAGGAGGCCGAGACAGAAAATTTGAAAGAACAATTATCTAAGGAGATTGCTTTGAAGGATGAGGAAATTGAAAAGCTCCAACTCGATCTGGAAGCGAAGAAACTCGAATCCGAGAAATCTGGCGAGGTAGAAACACAGATTGCCACACTGGAAGCTCAGTACAAAGAACAGATGACCGAGCTTCAAATTCAACTTGAGCAGGCTGGAGCAGAAGTGGCCGACAAACAAAAGGAAGTTTCTCAGCAGCATGAGGAGTATGCCAAAATTCAAGAGGAGATGTCACGTCAGGGCCAGGTCATTCAAACCCTCAAGACGGAAATCTCCAATTTCCAGCAGTCCAAGAAGGAGGAAATTGACTCGCAAACCGCTTTGATATCTCAACTCCAGGGTGAAATTAAGATTCTTACCCAGGAGAAGGCGGACGTGGCTGCGGCAGCTGCATCATCCCTCGCAGCAGCAGAGAAGACATATTCCGAAAAGATTCAAGCGATTGAACAGCAATTGAGTGCAGTCCAAGAGGATTTGAAGAAGGCAGAGGCCTTGCATGAAAGCAACCTCCAAGAAGTCTTGAAGAAGTCTGAAGCAGAGCTCGGTGCTGTTCGCGCAGAGCTTGAGGGGTCCACGACGTCACAAGCAAGCAAACTCCAAGCCCTGGAAGCTGATCTGGAGAAAGCAAATAATGAAGCAAAAACAAAACAGCGAGCTCATGAAACCGCTCTTTCTGAACTGCAAACTCAATTAGATGCAGCGAAAGTGGCTCTTGACGAAGCGGCAACGAAGCACGATACTCTTCTCAAGGATCATAAATCTCTCAGCAACGCTGCCGAACAGGAACTGGCTGCATTGAAATCTCGCCACGATGAGGAGCTGCAACGACTACGGTCAGGATTCCAGTCACAACATGAAGAGGAAATTGCGGCATTGAAAGTGGGACACGCTGATCAGATTCAACAGCTCGAACAAAAGGTTCACTCATCCCAAAAGGAGATCTCCTCCCTCAAAGAGACGCATGCTGCGCAAGTCAAACAATTGGAACAACAAATGCAGTCATCCCTGAAAGATCTTGACGCTCTTGAAGCTGGACATATGGAAGAGTTGAATCGGGTGAAGACTGAAGCCTCGGGACTGCAGCAGCGAGCGGTCGAGGATGCTGAAAAGACTCATATTGAAAGAGTCCGGAAAATAGAGCATCAACTGAATGCCGTTGAAGCCGAGCTGGCGGAGACCAAATCTGCTCACTCCAAACAGCTGGAGGACTTGGAAAAACGGAGAACCTCAGATCAGGACACTGCTTTGAATGCGCTGAAGGAGTCTCATGCAAATAACATCAAAGATCTCCAGGCCCAACTGAAGGCTGCACTGGAGGCGACAGATAAGGCCACGGCGGAGCACTCGGAACAACTTAAGCAGCTCGAAGAACAAACAGCATCTCGACATGCCGAGGCAATCGAGTCTCTAAAGGCAAGTCATGCCAAACATCTTGAGCAGGCCGAAAATGATGCCAAATCGACCAAGGATCAAGCCCTTGCAGAGTTACGGGCCAACCTCGCCGAAGAGAAGCAACAACTGGAATCTCAATCAAAATCCCTCCAGTCCGACCTTGAGGGCACCCGATTCCAGCTTCAGAGTTTGAAAGGAATCTTGCAATCAATGGAGGAAGAAGGCAAAGAAAAGGAACAGATGCATGCGGCAGCACTCAAAAAATTGGAGGGCGAGTTGTCAATGTCCGTTATGAAATTGTCAGAACAGTCGACGCTAATGGTGGATTTGCAGAAGCAGCATGATCAGGCTTTAGCAGAGGCGAAGAGAGTTTGGGAGACTAAATCACATGAAGATCTGGATAATTTACGTGCGGAGCATGAAAAGGCGCTTGCGGAACTGCGAAGCACACTCGAAAAGCAACATAAGGAAGCAACGGATAAAATCCGAGATGAACATGCGAAATCCATCGAAGCAAGCCAGGAGGCCAACAAGACTCAGTATGACGAATTGAAGAGGAAGATAAAGGAGGAGCACGACAATCAACTTGACGAGGTTATGAAGACTCTCGAAAACCAATGGAAATCCCAAGTTGAACAGCTGGAAGAACAGAATGCGGCCGCTAGTGCCCACCTGGAAAAGGCCTCAGCCGATCACGATGAAGCCCTCCAAGCTATCAAGTCGGAGCATGAAGCCGCCCGTGCCAAATTGCAAGCGGAATTGACAGAGGCCCGTAATGTGTCTGAATCGACCAAAGAAGATACCACTGAGCTCGATGAACTTCGGAAACAACTTGCGCAGGCACGAGAGCAAGCGCAGGAAGCCGAGAAAAAACACAACGAAGCTATGGCTGCTGCGGTTGCGGAACGAGAATCTGCCTTGGCCGTCATGAAACAAGACCTCGCCGCCGCACAACAGGCTGCTGAACAAAGACCTGATCCGGCCGAATTCGAAGAACTTCATACCAAACTCATTACAGCCCACAAGGCCCTTGATGAATTGCACGAGAAGCATGAGCAAGCAATACGCGAAACTAAAGCACAATACGACGGCAAACTCGAAACCCTTCTTACAGAGTTAAATGAGACCAAGCAAGCGGCTGGTAAAGTTGCGGACGCCACGGAATTGGAAACTGCCAGTGCCAGTCTCGAGGACGCAAAGAAAACGATCGCTTCACTTCAAGCGGAACTAGAAGGGACCATGCTAGAAGTCAAGACTCAACGAAGTTTGGCGGAAAGTGCTCAAAAGGAAGCCGAGCAATTGAGACAACTTCGAAAAGACAGCGAAGCTGTGACGCTACCGAGCCCCAGATCTGGGCCGACTTCCGAGGCCCGAGTTGTGGAATCTATATCCGGATTGCGAGGTGGAGGTAGTGACGATACTGAAAGTGCTGAAACCCAGGAAGCTGCACCAGCAGACCAACAGCCTGCGAAACGCAATGTCGCTGGCCAATTAGCGGGTATTCAAGAACAGATCAAGCTATTGGATGATATAAGTGAGGACTTCCTTGAGGAACACCAAAAGATGGCACGCATTTTGAATCGCGCTGATGATCGCACGGCGCGCACCGTTGAAGTCACTGAAACTGAAAATGAAACGCTCGACAAGTGATTCTCGATTGAATAGCAAGGAAGTACCCTCCTCAAGGGAAGAGCAGGCGAGACAAGAGAGAAAGAGAGACGAGGCCAATATGACGCCCCTCAGTCGAGGTTAGGGGTACTATTAGTATTCATGTTAACTTTCATTCGCAGTTTTTGTTCTGATGGTCGTGCTGAGGTTTGAATTGTATTTCCTTTGGTTTATTGTTTCCCATTCCCCTATCAGCAAGTTAGTCAGTCTTTTCAGACATTGAGCAAACAAGCAAGCGAGTACAGCACCAATTCACACGTTCTCTTCTCTGTGTCCTTGACCAGATGGGGCTGGACCTCCATTTTACTTTATATCTTTTGTCCTAGTTGGATTTCAATTTGTCATCTCGAGAATCGACTCAAATTCGCAAAGCGCAGAAATGCACTCGTTCACGTCGCGTTTGAACTTGTGGCTGGAGGGTTTAGTTCAGATGCGACACCCCTTACATAGTCCTTGCGAAAATATAGTTTTCAATGCAGTGTGCACTCAAACAATAAGTCGAAGATGTGAATGAATCATGATTGATTGCGGCCGTGGACCACAATATTCCCAGGAGTTCTTGAATTCCTCTCCGCCACGCACGCGGCTGAAATGTCCACAGCACAGTAGTTACGGTGCGGGTTGCACAAGTCAGAGATTCAATCCTTAATCCATCTCCCCTAAACTATTGAGTAACCACTCGGGCTCTGCGTCTTCTTCGTCCGGGTCATGCGAAAGCAGCGACGTTTCGGAGCGAAGACTTGGAGGCGAGTGTGGCGGTCTTGATGGTGCCTCGTTTTCTGTGTGTGTGGTTTTGTCACCCCGTTTGGATGGAAGTACCTCGTCGTGGTGCTGGGGTTGTGCTGTGCCAACACCATCTTCGTGCTTGGAAGCCATGGCAGTAGCGGCTACAGCATGTGAATTTTCGACTGCTTCAGAGGTGTGAACGCGAGGTGCTGTCTCTGAGGGCTGAGATTGACCGTCGTCATGTAAGAATCCGCCCGCTGTCTCGTTGATCCCCATATCCCGTTCTACGGTTTCAGCAATGGTTGCGTGATCGGGGTCTTCTTCGTGTCCATCCTCCTCTTTGGGCATGAGGCCACCGCCTCCCTGGTCAATGGGTATGTCCGATCCAGTATGAGCTCGCCCTGAGCTCGATTCAGGGTTGTTGTCATATTCAAGGACAAAACCACCACCAACATCATTGTTCTTATCATCGTCTTCGATGATGAAGCCTCCACCTTGACCTTCGTCCGTCATGTTCTTTGGATTCGCATGCTTGGATGCTCTAGTGTCTGAGTCGGGGAATTCGGGAAGATGATTCGGAGAGCTGATCACAATAATCTCCTGATGAACCACCTCCGGTGGGAGAAGCTGATCGAGGGATTTGAGGTTTGGGAATGCAGGTGACGTAGGGGTATTAGTGGATTGTTTTTCCGTTTCGTCAAACATGAATCCCCCTCCACTTCGATCAGCATCGTCCTGGTACGTTGCGTCGTCTTCGTCATCCCGTTCCGCTCTATCACCATACTCCTGATGGATACGCTCTCGCACTCGTAACGCAGTAAGCCATCTTTTCCACATCCCGAGAACGATTTTGCTGCGGGCTTCTTCCGCCTCTTCCATGGCCTGAGACTCCAAGCCTTCTATCACCTCGATCATCGCATTGCGCATGTTCATGCTCACCACCACACCATCGATGACGGCCGTGCCCTGTCGTCCTTTGAATTCAAATCCCGTCACGGCATCGGTATAGTCGATATCGAGAACCAGAGCAGCCTGCGCTGCAAGAGGGTGTCGAATATGAATTGCCCCGGCTGGAATCATTGTGGAGACATAGACGTCAAGATTTCCGTATGCATTCTTGGGGATTTGCCCGTCAACGACCGGTGGCGGCTCGTAAATACTCGTTTGATATTCGGCATACAGAGCCATGCCTTCGTCCGGCTCCTCGTCACCATCTCCATCGAAATCCCCGGTCGCGATGGCCACGGCATGAGGATCTCGTCGGCGTTTTGAGATTACTCGCTTCAGTGGTTGTTCTCCTTCATTCACATCTCTTCCACGCCGATACCATGCATCCGATGTCCGACATAGATGCACGTCTCTTCTGCGAAACACGCTTTCAAGCTTTGCATTCTTGCTGGGTCCAGTTCTCACTTTGCCGACTTCATGTCTTGGATGAATAACTTCGTTCATCTTCAAATGTCGCTCTAGCACATAAACAGGATGTCCCTTAAAATCCTGCACATTCCGCGGCATGGGCTCGCTTTCAGCACGTTTGAGCAAGCTTGCATCTTCAATTTCGTCTCTGACTTCAACGAACGGTTTTCGAAAGACTCCCATTGTTCTCTCCCACCATTCTTCTCCGCCTTTGGTGCTTTCGACACGCTGTCTTCGAGTTTTTGCATTGTACCATTGGGTATATCGACGTGTTACGTCTTTGGCGGAGCCGTCGTCTGCGACGGCAATCACGTATGTCATACTGTTCAATTGATCAGACGCCGGAGGCTCGAACCCGGTCTTTGGCTTGTTGATTGTATTGCGGACTAATGGATCCAATGGAATCCAAGTTGATATGGAAGGGGAGAAAACTTCCGCCCAGAAAATGGGGAATGGAGACTCGATAATTCGTCTTTTCTTCGGTGTTGCCCGTTCAGGACGAGTGATAGTCGTGTGCTGAGAAGAAGAACTGTAGTTTTGAGGAGGTGCATAGTAGTATTGCGGTTTTGGTTTTTCGGGACTTGGGCCCTTGGCGACTCCAGAGAATGGCAGAACTTGAAGAGAGCAAACCAATCTGGCATCCACCGCGACAGAACGAAGTAGAGCGCAAAATAATTGGGCGCCTAGATCTCGCGACCCCGATCGGGATTTTGCAGCGGCTTTGAAATCATCGAAATCGACATCCTCGGCGTCCTCGCTTTCTTTGACTGCATCGACATTGTCTCTCCAGGAAGCCCGTCGCATCCCTCTTTCGGTAACGGTCCATTGCTGTTTCCATAGGGAACAGATCTCTTCAATGCCCTTGTTGAAGGAGTGGGAACGTTGATATTGAGGTTTGGATTCGTCGACGTGGAGCAGCGCAGTCACTTTCCTAGGCACAAGAGGCTTCAGAATGCTCTGCACCGTGTCGCTTTGACACCAGCGATTCCGACAGTTGAGATTTGCCAACAAGCAAATTAAATGCGCCTTGTGCACCTCTAGACGGCGTTTTCGTTCAGCCGGGCCAACTGGTTTTCGGCGTTGAATGCCACGATTTCGTATGTCTAGGGTTGTCCGAGAGAGATCAAGCTCAAGAGACTTCTGTTCGGGGGGCGGCCCTGTGGCGTCATCCTCTGCGACCGGTTCGAGTTCTACATCTTCAAATTCGACATCGGATTCGTCTGAACCTTCGAATTCATCGTAGACCATCTGCTGCAATTTGGGAGGATGCTCATTTTCACTAGCGTTGTCCAAATTCAGATCTGTGGCGCCTGCCGAAGACCCGAACAGATCGACGTCGAGTTCAATCTTGTCCGGAGGTTCCTCGCTAATCCTCCTACGTTTGGAGGGTTTTATGTTTGAAGAAGATGCTTGTTCCTCGGCTGCGGCTTCAGCAAGCATGTCATTATAGACATCTGGAATGCCATCATCAATGATTTCGCGTCGCCGTGCCGATTGACGCGCCCTTGTGGTTGGCTTGCGTCCGGCCTGGATCTGTTTAGGTGGCATTGGGTAAGATGATCTGGACGTGTCGTGCGCCAGTCATCGTTCTTCGCCGAACCAGGTTGATTGTTCTGGAAGACGTAGTTGCCAAAGTCGAACAGAAACACTGACACAGACAAGCGAGCAAAATGGTGGGCACGGCACTATTTTGAAGGACGGAGGCACACCCCACGTGACTCACAATCTTTGTCAAGTCAAAAAAAGCGAAAAATAAATGTTTTCAAACACTTCTGTCTGTACATTTCAACAGAGTGGAAAAGATTCCATCCTGTCAAAATGACAGGAAAAAGAAATCTTTAGGGCTGAACTGGGAATTGAACTGGGTGATTGTTAGAATCAATGCAGGCCATGAAGGCATTTTTAGATGTTGCTCACCCCAGGACCTCTTACATTCAAGAATCAGTGACCCAAAGCAAGAATTATACCACTAAACCATTCAGCCATATTTTAGTAGTCTTGCTAAACCCTAAATTATATGATTGCATTTAATCTGGTGAGTGGAAAGGCTTTGGTCATCGCTAAAATACTCTAGCGCCAGCACCAACGATGTAAGTCCGCTTCATTCTCTAATTTTTTTCTTTTATCCAACATTCAGCATTGCTCTGCTTGCCGCCGAGGAGTTTATCTGTATTATCAGATCCACAAATGGATGCCGGGATTAGACGATGCGCATGTCCCACTCTTTTACAACGGATTGTGCTCCAGACTCGAGCTTCGTTCATATCTTCGACCAATGTCGCTACAATTGCAAATGTCCTATTTTGTGGTCTGCCAGGACCCAGTTACAGAGAGATATTGTGGACGGTACCATAACTCGAGTCGAGTAATCTGTTCGTCCAATTGGTCAAGCTCGCAGACAGATCAAGCATACTCCCCATGACGGTTTGAGGCTGGAAATACACATCCTTGAGTATTTCGACTTTCGAGAGAACCCGCGCCTTCGATGAAACAGGAAGATTGAAGCGCGAGGAGGTCTCTCGAACAACAATCTTGGGCCACTCAAGGTGAGGACGACGTGTGACTGCAATCTTCATGTCGATCGCATCCAGCCATTCGATCATACCCGTCAACTTGCCCACTGGCTTCTGCAAGTCACGCCAATGGTTTTGTCCGGCGCGGAAATCTTGTACCGCATCATGGACGAGCATGACGACCAGGAGCTGTAAACCAATGAAGAAGGCCCATAGGATCGGGCTTGAATCGCGAGTCGACAGGGCGGTGAATTGGAGTGTGTCTTCTGCGAGCTTGAACCAAAGAGCATAGAAGCTGAGGAATTGAGTGTATCCAGCGCTTGGTGAGGACTGCAGGCCCATCAATGTCGAGTGGATTGCGAAATAGAAGTTCTGTTCGGCGGCATGTGTTGCTGCAACTTGTTGGGCCGAGCGAAGAGATTGAATTCCTTTTGTCATCAAGACTTGGAGGATTGGCCCAGGTGGGAGGCACAGTGCTTCGTATTGCTGGGATGCCGTGAACTGGGTTGGACATCGACTTGGATCGTCAGGTAATTTGAATCTCGTATTCTTTCCCTCATTCTGAATATGCTCGGTGACCAACGCACAGCCTCGAACAAATGTGGCAAAGTCAAGAGACGCTGTGGGAACGAGTGCGGATTGAAATGCAAGGGCATAACATGTCGCCAGCATTACGTCGGATTCGAGAGAAGAATGCTCGCGCTTGGTGAATGCTTCTTTCAAACCCGCTATCGCATGACCCTTGTGCACCAAGGCGGTACAATTATCCTGCTCAACACCATTCAGGGAGCTAATGTGAGAGGCACTGAGAGCTAGTAAGGCGTGCATGAGCGGGTCGAATTCATGCACCAGTTGAGGTATGTCTTGTGTCCACACTGATTGATTGCCGAGAGGGAGGGACGGGTACGCAAAGTAGAGAAAATGATGAAACAATCGAAGATCCCGTAACGTGAAGGAAGCCGAGACAGGGGATATCTCTGCTGGCAACCTCTCCGGTGAAGAGGTTGGCGTATGATCGATCACTGTAGAGGCCTTCTTGCCTCTGTCCTTTTTGGTCTCCTTCGTAATGGGATATTCACAGATTCTCTGTTTAGACAGGCAGTTTTGGCATTGGGGCCTTTCTTCGCCACATTTAATTCGTCTGGCCTTGCATGTCAAACAGCCTTTCCGGGATTTGGTGTGCGTTCGACGATGTACTGTTCCAGTCGGTGGGCCGACCATATTTTGAAAGTGCCGCGGGTCCAAATTCTTCTTCATTGTGTTCTTTCGTAATTGCATTCATCAACGCGCGAGACCAAGCGAACGAGTGCCACTATGCAATCGAGAAACGAACAACCCCCATCGAAGAGTGAGCGGTCACATTTTGGTGTCGCAGGGCGGTAGATTACGTGCCCAGAGACCAAGGGAATGAATCAGGCACCCATGGCGGATACCTGGCTGGACCGGCTGGCGTGATCAGACTGACCTTGGGTCGGGATGGGGCGGAGATGCGGCTGAAAGCCAGCTGCTCGTGGCATATCACCACCCAATCGAGGTAAGGCTCCCGCATCATTCGTATTCCTCTTTTGGGGAATACGGCGCCCTTTTCAAATATTCCCAACACAGCCATACGCACTTCAATCACATAGAAACGACCGGACTTGGGAAACATTGGAAATTGAGTCATGGCAAAAACACTGCCTCACGCAAACGAGATGGTAGGATTCGCTAATCCTGATAACGACAGGATTGTCAAGGAGAAGTCAACGACGTGAGACGTCCGGGGGAAGACACTGTCTAGAGAAGGAGAAAAAGTGAAGTATAAAATCCCCTCTCCTTTAAATCTCTTCCTTCTTGTCAAGATGGTCCTCAGTCGTGTGTAGTCATTCTCGTGCTACACTTTGAGCAGATTCAGCACAGCACCTACTTGCCATTGGAACATCAACATTCCAGAATGGCTTCCCCGCCTCCAGCATTCCCTCCCGGCTTCGAACCACCAGGCCAAAATCTCTTGATTGCCCACGCCTCCCTCATGTGTGTTGTATTTGTCCTTTTCCTCCCTATCGCAGCACTCACCACTCGTTCCCCTTTGAATGCAAGGGTGACTCGCGTCCATGCCCCGTGGCAACTGCTCAATGTGGTCATCGTCATCATCGGAATGAGCTTGGGCATATCAGTGGCCAAGAAGCGTCATATCCCCATGGGGTCGACACCACACGTGGTCCTGGGATTTGTCATCGTCGGTTGTCTGATTGTACTGCAGCCGGCATTAGGTATCGTCCAGCATCTCTACTTTCGCAAACACGGACGTCGAGGTCTTTTTGGCTGGACACATATCCTTCTCGGACGAATTTTGTTGATATTGGGATTGGTCAATGGGGCTCGTGGGTTCAAACTAGCCCGTGATAACAAAGACGCACCTTACTATGCTATTTTGGGTGTGATCTGTCTTGTCTATGTGGGCGTGTTGTTGTGGGATTGGTTCGGCCCCAAGTATCTGCGAGACAAACAACAACGACATGGCACTTCGGGGAGGAACAATTCCAACAGTGCCAATGGCGATGAGGTAGAGATGCGTACTCCGCCAGAGGACAGAACAAAATGAATCCACCGCGGTGGGGGAAAGATGCATACCAATAAGAACAGTCAAGAGAAGTTCTGACGTATTAACCCCCGGTGCCTCCCCAAACAATTGGAGGAGCAGGGCAGGATACTTTGGTGGAGATTTGGTACTCAATGGGTTTGTGAAGATTGTCTGTTTACATAATTGCATATGAGATAGCTAAGAGTATGTAAATGGGCCCTGATGGAAAGGATGGCGGCATCTGTCCTTGTACCTTGTAAAATCCTCCCAACCTCTCATGCCTATGCACACTCTTTCAAGAATGAAGGCAGCCCCAGGGGCTCTCTGTTCATACGATCCCGTTATTTTGTTCTTCAACTCCGGATGTGCTATCGGTCCAGGAGCAATCGATACTAAATTACAGTGGTTAATCTTCACTGTGGAAGGCTCCAGCCTCGCAGCATTGTAGGTTCCAACTTTACCATTCATGTTGCTCCAAGTGAAAGCCGCAGGATACTGGCATTCGCTAGTAGGTGTGGCTCTCTCAAAGCTTCTGGGATTCCCCTGGCCCTTTCTTTAGAGATGTGTCGAGAGAAACTTCCATGACGACGAATCTCTTATCTTCGTTGACGAAGAAGGGAGATTGAACGAGCGGCTCTTTGATCCAAATCATTAAGTACACTCACGAGTCTCGACAACTTGGAAACCGTCCATTTGAGAAAAGCGATCTTAGCGAAACACAAACCCTCTTAGACAGAGCGATCTTCCGTTTTCAACTGGCTTTTGGCGACATCCGTCACTGGCCAGCACCGTCCTCGCCATCTGCGGTCCTCTACATCTCAAATCAGGATATCACAAGGAGAGTATCAGCTGCTACAATGAAGCTTGGCTCCGTATGGAAAATCTATTGGGACCCGACCATCCATGCACGATGGGAAATTGTCCTAGCAAAAGCAATAGCCCTGGTCCAAGTTGAAGGTTCACGAAAACGGGATCCACATGGACGAAGCTGAGATGCTCTGCCAATGAATTGTCGACTTGAAAAGAGAGGTATTCAGCTCTAGGGACGATGGGTATCTTTCGGGCTTTGGACGACTTGACAAGACTATTGTTTGGCCGTGGGAAATTTGAAGAGGCCGAGGCCTCCTTGGATGAAGACAATGCAGATCGATTAGGAGTGGTAGCCACCCTTACATTGATACTGACCATGGCAAGAAAGTACCCCGAAGCAGAAATGGTGTATTTAGATTGCATCACCCTCTCGACCAAAGCCACTGGGAAGGGCGACGAACGAACATTGGATTTATCGGCGAACCTTGCGTAAGACATGGAAAAGTATGGACCAGGAAACTCGAGTGCGCATTCTCGGAGCAATTCAGAAGAGCAAGGAGTGGTATGGAGCATTGCATCGTGTCTATCTTCGCGGAGGGGCGGTGGTAGTAGCAATTCGCTTTCGACAAAGAGATCGAACAACGATTCTTGAAAGTGTATGTTGAACAACAGTATTGAACAAATGCTAGCCAATCATTTATGACAGACTAGGATATTTTGCAACCCTCGCTCAATAGGCTGTATCACCATTGACAGGCAGCAATGGCGACGTACACTCGTTAGATATATAGATGGGCTCTATCCTACACTCATTAGGAGAGCCAGAGCACTCTTTCAATCCACGAAGTTTGACAGTGTATTGGCAACCTTTTCCTGCGCGACGGGGGGTCCTAGGGGAATCGGCTCTGAAGAAGTCGATGGAATGGCCGCCCCCAAAGCAGAGTCAGTTCTGATGCACCCAGGGAACACTTCGATATTATCGGAGCGCACCCAGTGGGGGTTTAGCCGGCATTTCCTCTACGGAATAGCCTGGGTCTTGGCTGCCCGCCGCTTTTGATGTCACCACAGTATAAGAACCACCCTCCCATCCTCCACAATGTCGACCTCTCCTTCATCCTCTTCTCTCTCCATTTTGGCCCCTTCCGGGCACTCTACCCTTGCTCAACATAGTGCAGATGATACCCCATACTTTCAGGGGCCCCCAACCCCAAACTCTCCTTGCGCCGGCCTCCGTGTACCGCCAACCCCCCCCATCAGCGACTCTTCCTTTACCACGATCTCGACTTGAATAGTTACGGCTCTTCATAGCAGCGATTTCTGCCTGCCCGATTTTGACTCTGTCTGTTACGCCATGTGCTGACGTGGCTCACCATTTTCGTTCTGGTTGTGCGCCAGCCGACTCGCCGTCAAGCCTACCGTCTCACACCCCCTTCCTGCTGTGTGACCGTTAGCGATGATCTCCCTGAGTTTACCCCTGTCAATCACCATAGAAGCGTCGGCGAAAGGGAGGTGGCTGCGACATCAAGAGTTTGCAACCAGATTTCAGCACTACACCGTTGTTCGCGTTTCTCCTCCAATTTCGGTGTGGAAGCCTCGATAACTTGACTGCCTACATCCCACGAACACTGTCTGGAAAATGCGCCGCCTCAGAGACCACAATTTTTCGGGCATCGATTTATTTGGGTTAAGAGTGTTTGCGCTGGAAAAGGGCTCTGCGTACAATCGAGCACGATGCCAAGATAGCACCGACAGAGGAGCACCTCCCCGTCGTCCTGACGTGGCATGATCATGCCACTGCCGATCACGGTCCCGGCGCCAATGAAGGAACTCACGGCTCAGGCTACGGGAGACACAGAATCGTGTGATGGACGCGTCCCGTACTTCTGATTGTCGACGATCCTCTTCAATACTAGGGCTTGAAGCGGTGGAGAAGGCCCATCAGCCAGGGAGATGACAAATACGACAAAGGAGTCAGTAGGCCAGAATTTGGCCCTCTCGTCTCGACCTCTCACGACAAGAACATGGATTGGCCATCATTTCTGTCTGCCATCTTGTTCACCGACAGCTCGTGGCCTCATCTTCGCCTGGGTCCGGTAGTGACCCCGCTTTCAAAGGAAGAGTGTTGACATTTATCGAAGAACGTCGAAAATTGCTCGATGCCCATTATGCGTGGGACGTCCATCACTCCGGACCACGAAAGGATCGAACGGCACACCATATGGCCGCATCTCTTCGTCATATCCCTACCATCGTCTCAGCTGATAGGAACCTGGATGAGTCCCTTGTCCGTCACGGCGTTTCGGCGCCATCTCGCACCCTGGTGCCAGGTGCGTGCAGCATAACGCCAGTGTGGCCGGGATTGTGAACCCGGCAGTTGAGAAATCAGGCTGTGTGTCTTTGAGGAGGGTTCGAGGGAGAGGTCGGCCGTTGGATGTCTATTAAAAGGGCGCTATTTCTTCGGCCTTGACTTCCATCCCGCCAGCTCACATCTCCCAAGACACTCGTCAGCTATTTAGTGCATTCAAGTCCCGTTTCGCTTTTACCATGGCCGCCTTCATCTCTTATCAACCTCCAGAAAACACTCCATCGTTCGGTCATGACACCATTACCATTTCCGCCTCGGCCGACCCTCGTGATTCAGTCCCGAGCTGGCCAGACGGGCAGTATGCTGAATGGACGTGGCCTGGTTGCAGTGTGGAATTCGTGGATCTAACTGGCCCCAGCCGTCACGGTGAGATTCACGAGCCTTCGCCGGCTCTCGAAATTCTGGAGTTAGCGAGGCGTGATATCATCTGGCACGGTGCCCAAGGTGCTAGTAACGCTAGTGATAACGTCAGTGACGCAAATGAGCTTTTAACTGTCCTAGAGATCTTTTCGAAGGCTGAGGAGCAGTTTAGGGCTAAGAAGCAACTGCCGCATTCTCGACCTGCTCGCCTTCGTGTGATCCTCGCATATAGCCCATAATATTCAGCCAGTTTCCAATTGCAAACAACGTGGGCTCAATCGTCTCCAGGACGAGGTTGACATTCAACTATAGCGCGTAGTGTTCGGGTTGTATTGTGAGGGTAGGCATGTTTAACAACTAGGTGGCCCTTGGCCACATCATAAATTTGTGACACTGAGGTACATCAGTAGCGGACTGGTTTATAGCGTACAAGCACAGAAAACCAAACCTCTGTCCCAGTGGGTGGTTTCCTAAGTTCGTGGAGAAAGACAAGTTTGCGGGGAACCGGAGAGCTTGTGGACGGTTCACTGTATGATTCTCCGCATCGAGGAAAGGCAAAAGCTTGGCACACTTGTCCGGCCGGCGACGACGCATCCACCTAGGCATTTATCAAACCTACGTTCATCAGACGACTACCTACTGGAAACCCCTCTCGAAGCTTTCCCTCCTACCGTTGACGCTACCTACCCTCATTCAAAATAGCACTCGGCAAATAAAGAATCGCTTCACCCTGCGTCATCCGACTCAATAACTCTCTCACGCGATAACGCCCCCGCCACGGATGCCTCGGATCTGCAGGACACTGTAGAGTGTCTTCAAACTCTGCTCCCCCATTAAACACAGAATAACCACCTCCCCCTCCTACAATTGCGCAAAAAAGACATGTGGAGTTGGTTCGGCGGGGCCGCGGCGCAGAAGCGGAAAGATGCGCCCAAAAATGCCATCTTGACGCTGCGGCAGCAGCTCGACATGCTAAAGAAGCGAGAGAGGCATTTAGAATCGCAGATGGCAGACCAGGACGCTTTGGCGAGGAAGAACATCTCTACCAACAAGGCAGGTAAGCCTCCTGCACTTCCCCCCTCCTGGTGACAACCGTCAAGATCCTGCATCACTCATATTACCCCAACAGCCGCGAGGGCTGCGCTTCGCCACAAAAAGCTGCACGAGCGCGCCCTCGAGCAGACCTCCGCGCAAATCCAACAAGTCGAGCAGCAGATCTGCAGTATCGAAGCCGCGAACATTAACCAGGAGACCCTGAACGCCATGAAGAACGCCGGTGCCGCGATGAAACAGATCCACGGCAACCTGACGATCGATAAGGTAGACGCAACGATGGATGAACTGCGCGAGCAGCATGCTCTCGGGGAAGAGATTGCGAGTGCGATCACGAACGCGCCGATCGGCGAGCCGATTGATGAGCAGGACCTGGAGGATGAGTTGGAGGGGATGGAGCAGGAGGCGATGGATGAGAGGATGTTGAAGACGGGCAGTGTACCACTTACGGGCGAGGTAAACAGGTTTCCGGCTGTGTCGAGTGGGCCTCGTAAGTCGAGTTTTGACTCTACGTATACGAATGTATTTGCTAATCATGTTGTCATAGTGACAGGCAAAGCGGAGGAAGAAGATGAGGAGGAAGAGCTGCGGAAGCTACAAGCCGAGATGGCCACGTAAGAGAGCCTGGAAGGTTGACATCCCGTTCACCGTACATGGTTTCCAAGCACCTACCTCCCTTGCCTGCCACGGTCTTGCGGCGGAGGCCAGCGTAGCCAACCGAGTCCCGATCCAGTCAATAAAATACCTTACGAGCTGGGCGGCAGCGAGCATGCCTTGCTGCCTGTGGTGGATGCGTCTCTGCCGAGCGCGCTCTGCCTTGAATTTGCACTGAGGGGGTTGGGCTTAGATTGCTTCACATTTGGGCTAAATGCCGTGGTACCCCTAGCTCCGCTTCCGCTCCTGAGGCCGACGGTTCAGCGCGCAAGAAGACAGGGGATTGGGTGGTGGAGTTATACCACAGTCGATTGCAGCCGTGGCAGAGATTCTTTACCCATGACCCGATATTGCGAAAATGGACGGCTACGGGATTTCACTGCCCCAACATGGGCAGCGGCGATGGCATAGGCTCACATGCACCGGCGTCTGTCGGCCTGATCTATGACGTCTTTACCGAGTCTGAGATGGCTTTCGGCATGCCTAGGCGGAAACAGAAGGCAGCTCGTTCGACTCCGCATGATCGTCAAGACAGTGATATAGCAGCTGGCTCTGTCCCACGACCTATCAGCCATGAAGATCCTCATGCAGTTGCTGACGACGGTGTCACTGGTATAGGGCAGTGGACAGAGGTGGCAAGTGATGATGTAGGATCCAGCTGTTTTTCAAGAGGAGCTTTTGAGAATGGGTCCACGCCTCGAACAAGACAGGAAAGCTATCGACAAGAGGCAGAGACAGACGATGCCAGGTCGGAGTGTCTCCTCAAGTTCACTGGTGATTGTCGCCCAGGTAAGTTCTATAACAGTCCTGTTGAACCCCCATTCTTGATTTAACATGCAGATCACAGAAATCGCCCTTAGACTTCATATGCCGTCGCCGCCTCGTATGCCCGCAAAACGAAGCTACCAGTTCCAATCCTAATGCTATCATTCAAGAAGCACGGACTCGAGAGCGATCTCGCTCATCTATTAGGCCCACGATCCCTCCCGACGATGGCGCTACTCCGAAGCGGGCCTCGCCGGGCAACGAAGGAGACGTGGAAAGCAAAGGAGGCACGAGAGGAGGTGGAGGCTAAGCGGTCCAGGCATCATCGGATCCATACCGAAAAGAAGACGGTCTCTCTCTGTTGGCCCGGGTAGGAATGAAGTGGATGAAAGGGTGGCAGAGGTCGAAGATGTCTATCTAGGGGTGGATAGTGCCATCCAGTGCGTTATCACTTGGAAGGCATCATTCATCGTCATGGAGAACCTTGTTGGTGGAGAACTGTGACAGCGATACAAGGAGCTGTTCAGGAAGAGGTATGGCCAACGGGAACTGTAGAATAGGGCTGCAATCAAGCGATAGATCAAGACGAAATGAAAGCTTACTGGTTCCATCTCATGGTCTTGGACAACGATACGAATTTTCACAATGGATGTTTTAGTCATGGTTGTGCAACACCCAAGAGTTAGACCATAAGCTGAAGATCATTATGATCGAACTGGATAACTTTGAGACTAGTATGACTGGTCGCTAAAAATTATACCTTTGGCGACTTAAGAGTGCTCACCGTCTACCGGATTAGGCTTGGCGCTACGTGACCCAATGGTCACTCTTTTAATAATGGCATCATAATCAGTTGCTTTGGATGATTGTGCTCGCTAGTATTAATTTCCGTTGCCAGACCAGACTAACCATCCAAGCTGTTGCATCATGTCCTTCACTGAAGACGTTGGAACCCCACTTTGGGCTTCGACTCGGACAATGATCCTTTGAAGTGAGTGGATGGCCTTCAGATGCCCGTCGATATATGTTAATGCTTCTCGGAGAAACTGTTCTGTCCTCATGAAGAAACCGGAATTCCTATAATGGACAACGGTTTCTAGTGTTGATAAATTTGTGCACTTGTCTTCGAGAAGCTTCAAAATCTGCTGGCTGTCGTCCCTGAGTCTCAATTTTCCTGGTTCTTCATCTATGCTTACCACGATCGGAAAGCTGATGCATAGGTGGGATAGTGAAGCCGCATTCACGGTTCCAATGCAGTCTAGAAACGATCGCAGGACGCCGATTTGCTTCTCTGTGATATCGACGAGTTCAAAATGATTCGCTCTATAGAGCACTGCGCTAGCCTCAACGGAGATCTGTCGGTTGGTATGTAGCAATGCAAGCCACCGGAGAGGTTTGTCAGGTGCAAAAGTTTCCACTTGAGAGCCTGGGTCTTGGAAAAGATAGACCGGATGCAATACGACGAGCGCTTCTTCGTAAATTTTGTCGCGAACCAATTTCGGCAGATCGAGGAAATTGATCGGACCTGAATTTGCTGACCGTGAGGAACCCATGACGATGCGACATTGGCGACGCAGGAGGCTTGTGCGAAGAAAAGTTTTCGACTCTCGGTGGTCAAGAAATTTTGAAAAGATGCGAAAGTTGCATTCCAGCCCGAGACCTCTAGAAAGTAGGTGATTGCTTAGGATTGATTGATGGGTTAGATTTCGTTGTCCACGGGTTGCCCCGCGTATGTACTGTAGCTGTGACGAATGGAGAACTAGCGCAAGTTCTGCTTGGGCTAAAATTTTGCGTTGCAAAGATAAATGCAAACGACAAAAATCGGGCGATGTGGAATCTCATACGGGTGTAAATAAAGCTTGAACATCGAACGGCGCTTCGATTGATCTGGAGCACTTCCGGACATAGTAGTTGCGTATCTTCGGCATTATGGACACAAACATAGCCGCAGCAACCGTGGTCGCAGCAGCTCTCCCTCATTCAGCAGCACAACGGAAGATTTGCTCCTCCTTGACATTAATGTGGTAGACTTCCATTACCTCGACGCTCGCGATAGAGCGGAAGACTGACCGCTCATATTCCGGATAACATCAGCGGAAGATCCGCACCGCATTCCTCACTCGCTTTGCGTCCTACGAATTCTACACCCGACGGCGCCTCCGACCACAATCGCCACTCTCTGACTTGCGCAGCAGCTTTGGGCTGTATACGAACAATACAACTTTGTGAAATGCTATGGGCTGGAGCAGCCATTGCAATCGTCGGCAATAAGGGTTTGGAATTCGCCTCTCACGGGCATAGGTAGATATCTGCAGCCTGAAGAGGTGAAATTTGGGTAAACAATTTCAATTTGCCTTCTCCTTCCTCTATTTCTCATATTGAGCACTTTGTGGTCACATGTGGTTACAGTTAGCACAAGGTAACAGCACCTGTGCTTATGGGCGCATGGGTGGTGATCTGACCGGTTCTGATAGGCTTGAATTTTAAGTGCCTGGGGTACGACCGACGCCTACAAATCAGGCTTGGTACGGTGCGGGGTGCTCTTCTCGGCGGTCAGCACGCACATTCCACCTAGCTACAACCAATTCCACTATCATGGGATATCTTGAAAGATAATAGAGCCCTTCGAGATTTCTATATGGCTATGGCATCTTCATCCACACAGCGTGGGGGCTTCCGGCACGGGCTGTCCATGCGGCTAAATAGCTTCCGGCATAGGTTCCAACGTCATTCGGACAATACCAGTACTCAAAGACCTCGCGCAGATTCACATATCGTGAGCAAGTGGGTACAATAATTTGGCCAGTGGAATATACCAATCAAGCAAATAGTGTCGGTTCATATCCGTCCAGGCAAACATGCGACGTGTCTACGGAGTTTGCTGCCACGACAGACGGTGAAGGTCATACCCAAACGAATCACAGTGCTATTCGCAAAAGTCATCCTGAACAAGCGTCTGCCCATCATTCGACTCGCGGTAACGACATTGGCACCATAAATGTTTCCTCTGATCTTTGGAGCGCTGCCTATCGTGAGGCAATCGACAGTTTTGGAGATGACATCGATGTCGCTATCCTCATGGCCAGTAGCACCGCCCAGCTGCTAAAAGAACTTGAGGAGATTGAGAAAGATGCAACACAAGAGTCGGTCTTTCTTCGCGGTGTGGCATATTTGCACTCAATACAAGTGCCACTCGAGAGATTCAAGCTAGCGTTAGACCTCGCGTCCCCACTGAGCAAATTTGATCCCACTGCGACAACTGTTGTTGGTGTGGTCAGAAGCGTGACAGCGGTAAGCCTGTTTTAACAGAGCATTGCGCCCATGGAGTGCAAGTGCATCATTGTACTGACCTCTCTGAACACAGATTGCCATAAGCTTTGCAACCGCTGATTTGCAGTTTGCGAAGCAGATCGGGGAAATGCTAGAACAAATTTCCTACATTGATGATTGTGATACACTTGGCCAGCGAACAAATAGAATAGACATTCACAAGGTAATCCACGCTGGATTTTTGGATCTTCTCTAACCGCCTACAGGCACTCGTGTCTGTATATCGGAAAATTCTCGAATTTTACAAAGTCGCACACGAGATTCTTACCAGGAGAGGAGCCAAGTTGGTGATGAAGATGGTTCTGGAGACTGACCGCTTGCCAAACATCGTACAAGACTTCTTGAGACATGCTGACAGTCTTCGAAAACTTGTAGAAAAAGCGACATGGGAGATCGTTGAAGACATAAGGGCTATGCTTTACGACAGTGAAAGTAAGTTCTTATAATCTAATGCTTGTTAATGTACACTTATACGACCTCAGTTTCTAGGTGGCTAGGCAGTGACAAGCTGAGTCTGCAGAGCCAATACCATTCACTTTTACAAGAACTTCGAAACGATGACGCCTGCGGGTTCTTGCTCAAACATCCTGCCTTCATCGGCTGGTATCAGGCCTCCGATTCCCAATGGTTGGCGCTCCTTGGTGATATGGGCTGTGGGAAAACGGTCACCATGGCATTTCTTGTGGACGAGCTGAGTCGAAGAAATGAGTACCAAATACCTAAACCCAAGACATGCTACTACTATTGCCGAGACGACCAGGCTGGCCAGGCTAACCACATGTTCTCTACACTGATCCTAGCGCTACTTGAACAGCTCTCCGGTCTCAAAAAAACGTTCTTTGAATGGTATAAGCAGAATCAGGCTTCCGGAATCTTTGAGCCAGCGACAAATCCAAGAAAACTAGGAGAATTCCTTGAAACGGTGCTAGGAACTCTCGATCGCCCAGTCTTCATCGTTATTGATGGCCTGGATGAGTGCAACAGAGCATCACGCAAAGCTCTTTTCAAATTGTTGAGGAGCCTATCGCAGAAGACTCCGAGGCTCAAAATCATACTTTCTTCCCGGCCCGAAGAGGAGATTTTAAAGCAGCTAGACACAGTGGCTAGGATTGACCTTAGTTCCGACGCTCACAGAGATGCCCTCATCGTTCGACACACAGTTGAGATGCAACTGCCTTATTTGTCCGAAGATGTCAAAACACTGACAATAAAGGAATTATCTCGTTTGGCCCAAGGAAGTGCCATATGGACGAAGATGGTAGTAGAGCTCATTGAAGTTCGCAGGATCACAGCGCTTGGGCCGATGCGACTTTTCTTGAAGGAAATGCCTTTACCCGAGCAGCTCTCAAAGCTCTACGCCACCGTGATTTCACGATATTCTTCAGATGACACCGAGAATAAGGAGCTTGTCGCTACAGCTTTGAAGCTTCTCGCTGCCGCGTGGAGACCTCTTAGCATACAAGAACTCGCCTGGGCCGTGGCATTGGCTGCAGCTCGACATGAGATCACTACCGTCGCTGCTCTCGCCCAGCTGGTAGACCATGAAAGAGTGATCAGTCTGATCCATCCCTTCATTACTCGTTTGGATTACAGTGATGTCAGAAAGCGTCAAGTTCGACTTGTACACCAGTCAGTGAAGGAGTTCATCATCCGAGAATGGCCTCGTCTGCAAGATCCGTCAACAGCACTTGATCGGACGGATACACATCTACGAATTGAGAGTTCAGAGGCATATATCTTAGATGTCTGTATCAATTACCTTCTATTAGATGAAATCGGCAGCGTTCATCTATTTTCCGAAGAGCAAGTTGCAATCAATGAGCTGCCCCAAGAATTCGACTTGTTCGAGGACACAGAATCATTCGAGTACGATCCATATTGCACATGGGAGGCGTGGGAAGAGAACATGATACGCTATGATCCGAACGAGCGAGGCTTCGGTCAGTTTTTCGTATACGCAGCGAGCCATTGGATCAAGCACTTCGGCGCCGTCCAGGCCGGAGTTCTGCCACAATTGGCAAAGATAGAGAGCCTATGCCAAGCAGGCTCAATTCGACTTGACAATTGGATCAATCAAAACTGCCGTCCAGACTGCGCTATGAAGGCGAGGTTTGAATTCGACAGTCGCTTGTATGATCCTCTCAGCATCACTTCGCTCTACGGCTCAGAGGCCATGCTCCGCAATATGCTCAAGAACTCGAATTTCGACAAGAACCAGTTTCTTCCTTTGTCGGTTTTCAATGCTGCTCACCAAATTTTTCAGTGGGGCGACTTGTCTAGGCTCCAGATACTCTTCTCAGAAGGCAAATTCAGTGACCAGCTTCGGAATCTGGATTTCTTCCGACTCATCGTAAGACAATGGTCTGATTATGGTGCGCGCCATGATAATTGGAACGTGGCTTTTGAACTTGTCGATTATGCGTTGGACTCACTCGTTGAGAAGCAATGGGGCCGTGAAATTCTTTGCATAGCTGCTCGCGCTGGCTGCATGCCGATGATCCAGCATTTGCTTGGCAGGGCTCAACACAAGCCCGAGCTCCGGACTGAATTGTTACGTGGCTTTCAATCAATCGGAGAGGCTATATTGGGAAACCACACTGATGTGGTAGAGTATTTGCTAGAGCAGGAAGGATTCGAAGCACATCTCCGGTATGTCAATTCCCGTGGTGAGACTGTCCTGCATCTAGCATCGAAAACCTGCAACCCAGCGATTTTCCGCCTTCTGGTACCCCGCCTACAAGAGAGCGTGCACCAGACGGATAACCAGGGAGACACAGCCCTCATGTGGATCATTAAGAGCCACTTTGATTCGAAATCTCGGTACGAGTCGGCAAGAATACTGCTCCTTTCGCAGGCTGATGCCGTTTGGGATAGTCACTTTTGGGACGAGCGGCATGATCCTTTGCAGATGGCTGTCAGACTGGGGGACACGGGCATGTGCCGCCTTTTGATATGTGATGGCAAAATGAATCCGCACTCAGCTTTAATACGTGGCAAGGACGGGCAGTTGGTGCTGAAGGATAGACCTTGGAAGAACGACGAGATTATACTGCAGTTGCTACGAAGGCATGCGTCCCGTAACTGACCTAGTTGGTGCCGGGAATAAGAAGTGTCTATGCAGTAAATTTCAAATTGGCCTAGTTTCCACGTTCAGCGGACAGGTTGTGTAACACTAATGTCGTGAACCACGCCACACAAATATGGCCCAAGATCGGGTCTGGTGGGAAGTGGGCTTGCTGAAACACGAGGGATTGGGTCAGGAGAGATTGGAAACTTTAGTATGGGCTAGACAATATCGGAGATATTTCTGCGTCGAGCACCGCGCCACCGGAGCTTGAGCCCCTGCCGGGCATTTGCTGATGTTTCAATGATCATAATTTCGACGTGGTTTCGCGTCCCATCGGCGCAGTCAACTCTGGCAATGCAAGATATATTCGGTGGCTATCCGAAGGCGAGCTTCTGCTAGGCTTGCTTACGAGCTACGCTACGTTTTCTCGTGAGCGGCACATAACCAACGGGGTCACACATGCATCAATTTTAGGATGGCGTTGGAACAGCAGAGTTCTTCTATGGGACACTGACGTACACTTCCCACCAACGGAGTCATGGAGTTCCTCTATAAAAGACTGTACCGGTATAAAAGGTTGAAATGGACAGCGCATCCTGCACGACCGGATGTGTCAGACGCTGCATAATCTTGACATTGTCCATCGTTAACTGCAACCCAGCTGTACCATTCTCAATAGAAAGAACCTGGCTTTAGTGTTCTGCTTTGGCATTGAATTTATGCTTTTGCAAGCCTTGCATTAAGACGAATGTACATACTATCTAATTGCTTAGTGAACGAGTGTCTGCTGTCGTTTGTACAGCTGAGTGATCCTTCCATAGCTTCGTGGGCGAACGGGGCTAGTGCAAAAGACCCTTTGCCACGAAGTCGGACCATGAGCAAGACGAAGCCATAACCCCCTTCCCCTATCTGACTCGTATGGAAATCATCCTTGCACAGATCGTCGCGACATAACGAATGGACTAGTACAGCCGGGAGATACAATTGGACTAGTGCCAGAAATAGCCATGCCCTTCTAGTAACAGCGAATCACGTAGCCAAACTCCAGGCTCCGAAAACGTCCCCATCTTCTTCCTGTGTTAGGATATTCGGTTCCTTGAGCCCAGAAATGGGAGCCCCCCGGGGGAGGTCTCTTCGTTCCAATCTGTAGACAGGATCACGAGAATGACGATTCTAGATCCACACATCTTGGACGTGTACGTCGAAGGGACTTGGGCTGAAGGGGGACTGTTTCTGGTCCCCAGAAATGGTTGCGTGGTGCACAGGGAGGCCAGTCAATCTGGGAGACGACCGAGGTGGGGGCTGATGTGGGGAAGGGCCCAGGGTAGCTCTCTTGACATCCGGGGGAAGAAACCCTCCCAAAGCGAGCACTGACCGCCAAATTCGGCGGGAAATTTCCCTGCAACCGGCGTTGAACTGTAATTCCGAAATTTTCACACCTCCGAGGCAAGCTTGGGTCTCTAGGGAGGCGTCACAAGGTCGAAGGATGTGCTCTATAAACCCTGGAGGATTAGCTTTTCATTTATATTGAAGCATAACCCTTAACCCTTGGACGAAGCGCAATAGTATTTCTTAAGCTTAACATAGTATATTTTAGAGTACAGTAGCTTAAATTTGCCGCCCCCTTGGCGGCGGCAGGTGCGCATCGGCTAAACTTGCCTTGGCTAACATCAGAGGCAAGTTGCGGCGAGATGTGAAGAAAATATTCCCATCCTTCAAACTCCCTCGCAATATCTGTCAGGCATGTGTTAGACCACAACAAAATGAAAAGCTTGAAAGACCAGGTGCGCGATCTGGAACTGAACAAAGCACAAGGTATTCCATCTGCAATCACTTGTTGCATGCAAAAAAATACTGAGCAGAAATTGCAGATTTTGACCCAGAAGACAGCGCCTTTTCCTGCTCCAACGAAGACGAGTCTCAAAATGAGGAAGAGCTGAAAGACGATGCGGGCCGCGAACACTATGAAACAGTGGGAAAAAGTAATTTGAGGAAACCGGAACAACCCGTCCTCGGAGTGAAATATGAGGGCGTGGCAGTCAGCCGCAAAGTATTAGTGGACGATGAAGATTATGCCCCCTTTGCACCCGTGGAGGAGGACGAAGATGAAGATCCCTTTGCCGCGAAGAACGAAGATGCTAGTGCCTCCGAAGATGGGTTAGATGTATTCGGCGGTCTAGATCATGGATCTGAGGTAGAGGAAGACGAAGATGAAGAGATTGACAGCGACGAAGCAATGGGCGAAAGTGATGCACCGAGGTTTGAAAATTTCCAGTTCCGAGACAGTAAGGACAATAGAATAGAATCTCCTTCGGAAGATGAAACGTCTGCAGAGGACCTGTCAGACCAGTCCGATGGTGGATCTATCGATGATTCAGATATCGGCGTGGACGACGAGGACGAGGATCAAGACGACAATTCCTCCGTTTCTTCAACCACCTCACCGCCTCCCCGAACGACTAACCCCCCTCGGAGTTCAGACCGCGAAGAACTCAAAAAAGTGGCCTTCTCATCCACATCAACGGCAGAACTGGCATCTACACTATCAGCTGGAGCCAACGCAGACGTCAAGAAAGGCCAAGCAGTCAAGCAACAACGACAGTCTTTCGATCGCCTTCTCGATGCTCGAATCAAGTTGCAAAAAGGCGTCAGCGCGATGAACGAGCTTCCTTCGACGACAATCCTGACCGACGAGGAGATCAAGAAAGCAGCGCAACAAGCAGAAGACGCCGCATTGACATTGTGGTCAACAATCGACTCGATCCGCTGCGCCATGCTTTTCGCTCAAGACAAAAGCGAATCTAAGCTATCGTCACGAAAACGCCCCTTCGAAGCAACCCGGTCCACGCCACTCAGTGAGACTTGGCAGCAGACCCTCTTGTTGGACTCTGCCGCCCGCCCTCTCTGCCGGGGCACCCTCGACAAATGGCACACCAAAACACAACCTGTTCTTGACACATCGACACGATCTAAACTGCTCAAACCATCCCAAACATCACACTCCCGCATCACCGACGTCCTCGACACATACCTAGCAACCGAATCCGCTAAACTCACTGCTCTCTCGACCCCAACTCCAGATATATATGACGACGGCCCATTCTATCAGACTCTCCTCCGCGACCTAATTGCGTCACGCAACGTCGACAATCCCATTTCCGCATCGGCACTTGGTGGTGGCCAAGGGACATATCTACCCACGAAACTGCACCCATCTGGCTCGCGCGGGAAGAAAGTCGACACCAAAGCCTCCAAGGGCCGCAAGGTACGGTATACCGTGCACGAGAAGCTGGAGAATTTCATGGCGCCGGAAGATCGGACAACGTGGACGGATGCGGCGAGGAGTGAATTTTTTGCGAGTTTGTTGGGCAGCTCGGCGCCGTTGAATGAGGATAGTGGTGGCGAGAGTGAGGGAGGGAGAAGTGGTGACGAGGATATGATGGATGGAGAGAGCCAGGCGCTGAGGTTGTTTAGAAATTAAACACCAATGCGCACGGGTGGTGGGAGTAGAGGGTAGGATTGAACACACGTGTATGAATCATGAATCATCAAAAATGTGTCGTTTCCTCATCAATGCAGAGTGTCAATTTTTCTCTATTTTGTGATCTTGCACTTTTGTCCCCGCAGTCCCTTTCGACGACACAAGTCCGTGCGGATGCTAAAGGAAGCTGAACCCCTATTCCATTCCAGCAGTCCAGATGGAAATACACGAAAAGTTCGAACGCTGGTAGCTCCCCCATCCTAATATACTACAACGTATGCCACGGTGACTCCGCCATGATAGACCATGCAAGAAAAATGAGGTATCATATCACGTCATTTCCTCCTAGTATACCCCGGAACCTGATAAGGCGTTGGGACAAACCATTTTGGCAAAATACCTGCCTGTCGCTGCCGATGGATATACGCTGCAGTAACATGTCCGCTCTGCGTAAAGTTGGATTGTGTCTCGTTGTTGAAGCCCGGGATCGGGGAATATTGTCTCTGCAAAGGAGGCAGGTTTGGTGAAGACACAGGCGAAATTGACTGGGAAGAGGAGGATTGAATGGGTGATTCGACAGGTTGCGGGGGTTGGCGGCCTTGTAAATGGGATGGAGAAATTTCTGGCTCATGCGTAGCATTTTCTTGCTGGCCCTGTTCTGGGGCTTTTCCTTTCACCACTGCAGGGACTTCAACGCGAATCTTCGCCCGATTGGGTGATGGGAATTTAGGGTTGAAATGGTCGAATGAGAGTCGAGCGGGTTGTTGTGGAAGTGAAGGCGGGTCGAGATCGAGGTCTTCTTCGTCTTCAGTGTCGAGAACTTCATTCGGGCTCAGACCGACGTTTAGGGGCGCTTGGTTTTCAGTGGTGTATTGAGGCAACTGGCTCATTTGAACTCGGCAGGAACTGGAATCCTTGACCGTGATATTCTCAGGCTTGTTGTCGATGTCGTCTTCGCCATTTGGCTGGGGGAAAGACGACATGTGTAAGAACCCTTGTGTCGCTTCCTGAGTGGAGATCTGCGAGGGATGTGGCATGGAGGCAGGTCGAATCGATTTCTGAGTTACGGACTTCGTCGATGGCAGTGGAGATAAGGATAGCTGCTGCGACACATCGTTGAGAGGCACCTTGGTGGTTGAGGCCTGGGTGCTTGATCGATGGATCCGAGCGGGTTTGGGTAGGGCTACCTCATCAGAATCATCATCACTGGGTGGCCTGGTAGGCTTTGGCAGAACCTTCCCAGTAGACTGCTCAACGAGTCTGGGTAGTGGAAGGGGTGATTGTGGTGCTGCTTCATCATCAAGAACAGCCGCCCGGGAAGCAGTGTCTCTTAGGCTGGTAAACGGTCGACGGGGAGTCCGGAAAGCGGCCGGAACAGGGACTTCCAACTGCTCCGGAGATTGCGGCCTAGCTGGAGGAGGCGGCGAAGATATACGATGCTGTACCTGGATATTGAATTGTGTATCATTGGCGATTAGGGAGCCAAAATCATGGTCGTCAACATCATCCTGAATAATTTGTTCCGTGCTGTTGGATGTTGCTGGCCTAGGTTCCAAATATCTCGGAGATGACGGAACTTGTACCCATCCGTCATTGCTTTCTTCATCAATTTTCCGATTTATAGGATTGAAGGCAAAGTCTCGAACGGCGGTAGTGTCTGGATGCTCTTGAAAAACCACCCGCGTAACTCCCCGATTTCTCGTACTTTCGGTCTCGGTGTCACGAGCGTTCTGCTCCGTTACGGATCCACCGAGACTTGGTATCGTATCCTGGGTGCCAGCCTCTGGTGGACTCGATTGGGCCTCCCGTCTCTGGCTGCTGGCTGGGATCTCCGCGTCACTCAACGACCCATGGGCCGCTCGAGGCGCGGAAAAATTCGTCGGCTTCGCTTTGTCTCTCAGTTCTTCGGGCGAAGAAGACTCAGGGATGGACCAAATGTCTGCCTGTGAGTCCTCAACACGGGAAATCTGTCGAGATGATTTTCGCTTCGGAAGTTTCAAAACGACAACTTTGCTCTTAGGCGACACACGCTTGAGAGTTTGTCGTGGCTTTTTGAAAGAACTCTTGGAAAGATCCACCGGAGGAATATTCACCGGTCGTTCCTTTAGCGGAGTCCGCCGAGACAATGCCGGAGTTGCATGTGCATTTCGGTCCGTTCTTCGAGTACTGGGAGGTAAGCTTTCTGGAGACTGGCTTGACGGAACGATGCTGCGGGTTTTCTTTGGAGTTTGTGGCCAAACAATGGATCGCCGCTCCGAAACGGTGGTCGGGGTGGCCTCCTCAACGCCGTCATCATCGGAGTCACCAATCTCCATGATGGAATTGAGATTCCCCTCTTCGTGGACTTTTTGGGGGTTTTGTGAATGCTCCGTCAACGCCTCCTCAAAATAATTGAAGTTTTCGACCGGATCTGTGAGCGCTTCATTCTTCGATGCGAGACGTGTAGATGTCCTTCTTCGAGAGACCGGGTGTTCGTGCTCAGTGGCATCAGCCTTCCTCTTCCTTGTTCTAGGTTGGTATTCTCGACTTTCTGGATTGGCTGTCGTATTCCTCCGCTTGGATGGCGCTGCGGTCGAGATTGACTTGCGCGGTCTGTGCTTTTTGGGACTGTTATAGGTTCCGTCAAGCTGTGGGATTGGGCTACATCGATTGGCTTCAGTGATAGGGCGAAGCATTGTATCATTTATCTCCTGATCGCCCGGCGACGGCAAATTGAAAAAATCCATCTGGGTTAAAGTGGAATCGCGCTGCTTCAGTGAACGAGGATCCTTCTTCGATGGGACCTTTTGCGCCAAGTTGAACTCTAGAGGTCGCATATCATCTTCATTGTAGCTAGGAGGAAGACAAGTTACCCACTGGGCTTGGGTCAGAGTCTGTTGACTCCTTGTGAGTCGAGTGTTGGACCTGCCTTGAATGCCACTGAGTTGCTGCCGTTTTCGAGATGCCGGGGTTGTCGATTTCGTCTTATGCTTCGTGCTGGTTATGGTCCATGCGATTGTCGACATGGTACAAGCAAATGATGACAAGATCGAGAAGTGAAATTCGATGCCCATGGAAGAATGGAATTCAGTGAAGACGCGCGAAGCTAGAATTTCCGAGGTACGCGTCACCGCGTTGCGACGCGCTCACGAGGTCACATGACCATATCCTTGAAGTCCTTTTCTGGGCATCTACACGTATTCCTGACAACACCCATCGAAAGGTCACCAGAGTCGCCACAGATGGCATGATTAGGGGGTGCGCTACAACGACTTGGAAGAGCTCGACAAGACCCAACAATATTTTTGGGAATCGGTCATGAGAAAGAGAACAAACCGGAATCCGAGAAATGACCCCTTCAATATCCCGAAGACGACGGACGGGATAGATTTACAAAGTTATAGGTGAGATCGTATCATATTTTCCATTTGGACGATTTGTTCTACCTTTGCCAATACCACCGAACCAAAAACTCCGTTCTTGGCGGCCTCGTAAATTCGAACGTCATGGACAAAAGTCCCGCGCATGGTGTGGTGGAGGCATGTATCATGGCTTGTAGCCATTCCGAGATCATGCTTGAGGTTGGAGTCGAGATACTACTTCTCGACGGATTCGGAGAGACGCACTACATTATCAGAGCGGGCCTCAAGGAAAGGGTCGACGTAAGTGCGGCGCTTCAAGCCGGACGAGCCAGAGCTGTGGGTGCGGTGGCTAGGGTCGACGGCTTCGTAGGTGCTGAGAGCCGAGCATTCGTCCTGGAATGTCTGCTTGTCGGCATACGCGGGAATTTCGTCTGGTCTCTCAATCCATTGCAGGGCGAGACCGCCGTCGCTGTGCCATACAACATGACAGTGCATCAGCCACGCACCTGGATTGTCGGTCTCGAAGCCAATCACGGTATATCCGGCTGGGTTGCCCGGGCCTAGAGAGCCGACTAGCATGGCGGTGTCACGACGAGGAGGATTTTCGAAGTTTAGGGTCGAGATCAAGCTGGGGTCCCAGGCGACGGTGCCCTGACCCAACAAACTCATATCGTGGCCGTGCAAGTGCATTGGGTGGGCGGCGAAGAATTGGTTCTGGATGACGAAGTACACCCACTTATTGGCCACGTTGAGGGTGACGGGGTTGGAAATCAGTGGGCTGTTGCTGCCACCGCCCTCGGCCAAGACCTTAAGAGTTGGCTGGGTGTAGTTGACGTTGATAGCCCCGTTATTTATGAACCAGCGGAAAACGGTGCCGTCGTCGCTGGTCGAGACTTGCGCCACGTTACCGGCGGGCAAGGTGGAAGCAGTAGCGGCGAATTGGTCGATTGTGCCAGCTGATTTCTGGAGGAAAGGAACCAGAGAGGCAATCGGCTCATCCAAGCAGATGGCGAAGTCGGCGGGAGTCTTGTTGCCATAAGTCGAGGTGGGGAGGGTAGCTTCAGCGCCCTTGTACAGGATGATACCGTTAGCATCACCAAGACCATTGTTGGCGCAACTGCTGAGGCAGCCAGTCTGGGTGACAGCACGCAAGAAGTAGCCGGCGACTGGCTGGTTCATCTCGACGACGACATCATATCGTTGGCCGATACCGATGTTGAGCCACTCGGTAGTATAAGGCACAATGGGGACGTAGTCCGCAGCGATGACGGTCATGACGTGGTTGTCAAAGTGTACCGAGTACATGTTCTGGGAGGCTGAGTTGATTAGACGGAACAAGTGTTTCTTGCCCTGCTGAACGGACCACAGAGCATGTTGGCCGGCAGAGAGGTCGGGTTTGGTATTCTTGCCATTGAGCAGGTAATTGACCGTACTAGAGATGAACACAAATTAGCATTTCATGTATGGAATGTCCTAAAGAATTGAATAGCCAAGGATAGTCGACCATGGGAGCTGGGACGAGACTGAAATGCATAGATAATCAACATCGTCGAGGCTGTGACTTACCCAGTCGGACCAGTATGCGCAACTCTTTCGTACTGTTGAGCAACGGTGACGTTGAAAGTATCGTCGATCATGACCGTGCCCATGTCGATATCGTAGTTGGCCGTGGCAGGTCCGTGGATGATCATCGGTCCGCGGACACCGTCGCCATATTGGGTCGAGACGTGAGAGTGGTACCAGCCAGTTCCATATTGGCGGAGTTTCATAGTGTAAGTTCTAGAAGAGCCAGGAGCGATGCCGCACTCGGTGATACCTGGGACACCGTCTTGGTCGTTGGAATCCTTCTGCATGATACCTGGAGTAAGCGTGTTAGTATCTTTGGTGGACGAAAGAAAAATCCCTACCGTGCCAATGGATGGTGGTAGCATTGTCCTGCAGCTCATTGTGGACGGTCACCTGGAGGACATCACCCCAGTTGCATTCAATCGGGGGCCCTGGGACCTGGCCATTGATGGCGAAGGCTATCCTCGCACCGCTGCCGTCGAAGTCGATGGTGGTGTTGGTAATGGTGAAGTCGTACGAGCAGGTCCGGCCAGTTGAGTAATTGGTGTTGTAGTGGTCGGTGCTGGTGCTCAATCCGCCACACCACTTGCTTCGGTCGGCAGCGGTGTTGCAGGAACCACCACCGTTGCCCTCTTGGGGAGTGGTCACGTTGGATGATGGTGAGCCCGGTTCGGGCAATGAGTTTTTGGGCGCGCTGTTGTTAGGGGGAGTGGACACCAAGGGGGGAGCTGATGGAGCGTCACCGGCCCAAGTGAAGACGTCACCATCGGTGCCGATCGTCCTCACATCGTTGGCCCAATCAATCCAGTGGCCATCGGAATGCATAGCAGGATCAACGGCGGCAGTGGTAGCAGCGGTCCAAGTGCCAATAGCTGTTCCGGAAGCTAGCTCTACGAGCTTATCGTCTGCTGGTGCTGATGAGGCGGCGGGATTCGGCGCGGGAGGCAGGACATGCTTGCCATTGGCATCAACAATCACGGTCGAGGTGGTCGTGGTGGCAACAGTGCTTGTGAGAGTTGCCCAGGTGAGATAACCGGTCACAGTCGTCGAAGCAGAGGACGCTGAAGCGGGCCAGCTATCCGCAACTGCATTTCTTGCCAGACCCAGCGCCAAAAGGCCCGGTGACTTGGTGAATTTCATTTCGGCGGTCAAAGACAAAATGAACAGCAAACAATAGCTATAACCGGGTCTGGGAAAGGAACGGCGGGGAGAATTTTCAGTTGCCTGCCACAGAAACGTAGCGAGAGACAGGGTCCAAGGAGTGGACGAGGGAAAGAAAACCCTCCAAGGCCAGTGGGATATGCAGGCTGGGAAAAGAAGAATGGTAGAGTAGACGGGTTGGCAGCGGTGAGGCAGGGCGATGGTTTTGAATCCATTGAGGCCATTGCGTGATTTGCTCTGCAGATCTGGAGACACCAGTCAAATCCCTTTCATCAAAGGAGCAGGACGTCAAGTCGGAGAGAAGGCTAATGTCATGGCTTTCGTATAGGGTTTGGATTCGGCTGTCTGTCGAGAGCTCCACGCACCCGTATCAAAGGAGCCCGGAGTATGTGGTCACTGGAATCCGTTGGGCCGTGTGCTGGCCTTTTCCCGCGCCCGAATTGTGTCTTCCGCAGAAGTCTCTGCTATTTGGACAGAATATTGGATGGATGCTGACTCAGTATTTCTGGCGGATGGATTCTTGGATCACTTGTCGCATGGAGCAATCTCATCCTCAACCCAAAAATCGAAAATTCCGGCTATCAAGACGCCTGAGACCGGCCTACCGTGCCCGCGCCGTTGACAGCCCGTCAAATCGACCCCTTTACTGGGGAAATAGGCCCATGTGGCGGGCAAAGATCAACAACAGCAGTCAATAAAATTGAATTCGTAATTCCTTCACCAAAACAATTCGGGTTTTGGCTGCTCTCGACGTGTTCTAACACTGCAAAGGTTGAGTGCTGCTAGACCTGATATGGTTGAGATGGGTAACACGATCCTTATCGCAACTGATTGATCCGTCTCGGCAATGGTTCTCTAAACGAACACATTCCGGTAAGGTCTGTGTGGTCGTTGATCACTTCCAGGGTCTCACCATCTCTTCCAAACTATTCTGACATCGATATTTTGGGGATTTCCTGCGCTAACAGGACCGATGGAGTTTCCTTTTGTTGTTGTTGCATTGATTTGTTTCGCTCCTCGTTGGGATGTTTGCGCGATTGCCTGTAAAGTTCCCTGAATTCAGTCGGCGAAACCATCAAGGAGATCCTCTAGCGTCCTCCATGCATCGTGTTTTTGTGTGCATCCCAGGACGGATTCGTCGCCTTGCAGAAGACAGTTGCGGCCAGCTAGGAGCGCGAGGCTAGGGACCTGGACCTGGCGAGCTTGAATCACAGCCCATCATACTAGGGGCTGCAATCTAAACTGCTTTTCCTCGCAAGTTTTGCTGAAGACCAAAGGATCGAAATTGGATGGTGCTATGATAACTCCCCGTGTTCCAGCGGAGGCGTTTGTAGGTTACAGTGACAGACATATTTCACGTGTAGAGATCACTTTAAACCTGGAGATTGATAGGCTGTCAACCCGTTGACGGGAAATGAAAGAGGCCTTTTTATTCTTATCAAGTCGTCACTAGACCGCTGGTACTCTAGATGAATAAGACTCCAGAGATGGAGATTATATCACGCCGACAGTCCCTCTGAATCCAGCGAATTGGAGCACACGTGTCGTAGTCCAGAAACTCTACCGCTTTTTGTCTAGGGGACCATTCGCAGACACGGTCGCAAGGCAAGATCTATGTTTCGATGCAGAACAAGGCTGCCCCCATAGTCGAAGTTAATATTGTAGAACGTCCTAGGAGCAAATGATTGCTTACCTGACACAGGTCTTTGCGAAGGACTATGATCTCAAACAAACGAGATTGGAACGATAAAGCGGTTTAAAATTCAGACGAGTTGCAACATTCCTTCTTGCAATTGCATCATTCAGCCCGAGAGTTTTTCTCCTGGATGTTTCAGCCTTGGTGAATTTGGAACAGCAATACCACGATATGGTGAGTGTGAAGAGATGGAGGCAGCTTCAGGAGATTTGCATTTCTTGTAAACATGCACTGAAATCCCTGGGTATCTCATATGTATCAAAGGCAGCCGGTCAATACTTGTGCCGCCCAACGCTCAGACGAAAAGTTTCCTAAACGACTTTTTCCACGAAAGATCATCCTTCACTTCATCGCAAAATCAAAGTCTTCAAAGTCCTCTCGCAAACCTTGTGCATCCTCTTCCTCCGCCAACTGCTCACTACCGTCCTTGCGAAGTAAGGCATCTATCCAGCTCAATCTGTTCTCGAGCTTCAATAATCCTGCCATGACCTCCCTGCCAAACCAGATGTTGAATTTCTGGTCCGCAGGCAGTGGGAAGTACATGGACTTTGTTACCCCAACGTCTTTCTTGCCGTCGCCATTTGTACGATCTGCCATCTCAACTGGATCCGACACCCAAGTCCACACGCGGAAGTAGTCGGACCGCTGAGGTAACTGACTATCAGGGTCGCAGGTTTCGAAAGGAGGATACTGATTCCTCTCCCTAGATACCTTGAACGCTGCCTCCACCAAACCCTTCTTCACCTGTTCGGCCTGGCAAGCCAACAATTGCCAGTGATGGTGCCGAATTCCAGTGCGATTAACTTCCCAGCAGATTGCACCTAATTGACCTTGACTTTTCGAGCCGATCATTTCGCTGAGGGCTTTACGGAACCTGGTCATCTCTTTGAACTCAGTGGCCACCTCCTCGGCTGGTCTCTTGCCTTGCGCCAACTCGTCTGCGGCGTGGTAATGGGGAATGATCATCACGTGGCCAGAGAACGAGAGCTGCGGAAACGTCGATGGTAAAGGCAACGGGCCTCGCGAGACCGTGACCATACTTTCGTCACCGATCGACACCACCATATGAGTCTTGAATTCAGGCTTGTTCAGGCACATGAAACAATCACTTGGATCCTTACGAGCATCTCTGCGGGAGCGTTTGTGATGGCGTCCTTCATACCCACCATCAGCATATCGTCCACGTGACTCTTGATCTTCCGTGGCAAGTCGCTTTCGTGGTGGTGAGGATCTGATGAACGGTGAATCGAGTGGAGGGTCGACTGTTGCTGGCGGCCGTGATGTGTCCACGGTGAAGGCTGTCATCCATTCCTTCGCCGGGGCAGATACACTAGGAAGGCTTTTGAACCTGGTCATAGCCGGTTGTTCCAGAGAATCGTAGTCCTGTATATGTTTGAAAGGTTCTCGCTCCCACACGCCACCGGGGCTGCTTGAAAAATGATACCATGGCTTCAACGCTTGACACAAATTTGAGATAGACTGAGTACCTGAATTACCATCCACGCCCACTGGAACATCGATTTTGGAGCCGTTGGTGATATTGGTGGGCCATTGATTCGTGATGAGAATATGAGCAGAATGTGCGCCATGAAGTCCCCGTGCATCGTTGTCCAGATACAACGGGTCACACGTGCCCAGCTTCTGTGTAACTGATGCCTCATTTTGGACGAGTCGACCTCCGATTGAAACGATTTTCACGCCTTCGGCTGTAGTCATGGTTCCTTTGCGGCCAAGATAGAAGAGGTTCGGGCAGATATCACTTTCGGCTTCCAGCTTTACCTTGATTGTGTCCGGGAACGGGGAATCGCCAACAGCAAAGTATGTTGGAAGAGGAATATCGATCTGACCTTTGATCAAACTTTCCAACTCGTCCGAATTGCCCTCACCACTGTCTGGATTGAAGAAATCACCGACGACAACAGCCAAGGCAAAGTTCTGTTTCGCTTGTAGCTTTGCGATCTTTGCGAATGCCTTCTTAAATTGGCCTTGTATGCTTCCAACCACGAGACTGTCATTTGAAGCTTAGTAATTACGATCGGGCAAATCAACTCAAGGTCAACTCACATCTTTGCGATCCCCATTTTGAGGGCTTGGTCCTAGTATGAAACTCGTCAGATCGAGGCGGAATAAAATTCATGAAAGTTGACTAGATCTGCATCTCGAGTCCTCGGAATAGATTTGGGCCCTGGATTCATCTGACCGAGGTTATCAAGAGCAACGATCTGAGTAATGTGACTCAGGTTGGTGCTTGCAAGCCTTTGAAGATCGTTCGCTTCTCTAGAGGTTATGTAAATTCTACGTCTGGTAAGGCGCAGAGGTGAAGTTTTCCGGGGCAAATTCGTGTACGGTGGAGTACTGGCGGAATGCAAGCTGCCACGAATGCTCCACCGTGGAAATTGCGGGGGAGAAAATCTCAGACTCCAAAAAGTCTCAGTCACGAAGATATATTGTTTTCAGTTTTCAGACCTTCCTTTCGGTTCGGAAGCCAGTCATCTATAGGCACACGATGAAAATAATTCTTTCACGGTGACCCTGGCAGTCATGGCCCCCATCTCCCCAGGCTTTGAAGCCGCTCCGCCTCGCAAGGTGAAGAAACTCACCTCCTCAAGCAACCTGCACCGATTCGAGTCCTTCACGAAACGTATTTCTCGGTTGAAGATTGACCCTGTCCATACAGTTGAGAAGAGAAACTCGAATAATGAGAATGATTTATCTCAGAGCTTTTTCCGAACATCACTGGAGGAATGGGCCGAGCTGAACTTGTCACACACATTCACGAGCTTTTTGAACAAAGCAAGCCCTCTCTGCGAAAATCTGCCGCAGCTGCTTCACCATGCCGACACAATTTTTGACTTGCTCGTACAACACATTGAAAAGAAAGATGCACTGGCCTTGGAGCCTCTCCTGAGCCTTCTCGCCCACCTTGCACATGATCTTGGTCAGAGTTTTGAACAATACTTCGCGAGGAGTGTGACATTGGTCACTCATGTTGCTGCCACTCATGAGAGTGCCGACGTGATCGAATGGTCATTCACGTGCTTGGCCTGGATGTTCAAATATCTCTCTAGATTACTCGTGCGAGATCTACGTCCTCTTCTCAACATTATGACGCCATATCTGTCCGCCAAGAAAGATTATATTCTTCGTTTCAGTGCGGAATCCCTTGCTTTCTTGCTGCGGAAGGCTGCTGTCTTATATCCGAAAAGAAAGGCTCCGCTAAGCCTCGCAGTGAAACACCTCATGCAAGAATGTTCCCGAGACGACAGGTCAGCCTCTCTACACCCATACAGGAATGGGGTCATAGCTCTTTGTGCTGAAAGCGTGCGAGGAATCGATGGACAACTACATTCGAGTTCTGAATCGCTTGTACGCTGTCTTTTGGATACCGCCGTGTCAATGGAAGAGGAGGTCGTCCGACCTACTGTCGATGGAGTCCTCATCGCACTGATCCATGAGACAAACCGCGTGGGGTTTCAACCGGTCTTCGAAGTGGTGCTAGACCGCGTTCGACAATGCGCGGCATCTGTTCAACCGGGCCAGCTGTCATTCGCGCTTAGATTGCTCACAGTGGTGATGGGGACGAGAAAAGGTTCGAGGATCCCTGATTGGACTAAGGTGATACAGGCCTTTCTGGAAATCACCGAGGCTTGCGGCCAGACCGAGAGCATGGAGATTCAAACAAAACGAAGATCAGCAACTGTTTCGGCGACAATTCTTCAGTATGCTCCGATGGATCATTTACTACCAGTGTCACAGAAGTTATTGGACTCTGCGACGAAAACATTTTCACCGCGTGAGTTCTTTGGCTTCTGCACACTATGTGCCACCCTTGGAAAAGAAAGATTTACCATTCTGGTGCTTCCTCGACTCCAACAGTACATCGTGACCTGTTGGTCAGATGATGAAGTCAGCGTCTACTATCTAGGGGAAAGACTCCATCAAGATGGGATTCTCTCTGTTGGAGAGAAAACCACCGGATCTATGGACTGCCCACAGCAGCTTCAGGACTTCATCACCGGTCAACTGTCCATAAAAGCCTCGGAATTGGTTGCTTGGCCCGTGCACCTCATCGCTGGACGAGTTCACTTGGCTAGAAATCTTCGCTTCAGTCAAAACCCAGAGGGCGCCGGTGCTCTCCTCAGTGCTTACCGATCGTTGATCGCCGATGCGCTGAACGAGACCGGAAGTGGTTCGGACCTGCGTTGGCGCGTCCTTCTGGGCTGGGCTTTTGAGACCTACCTTGACATGTTACCCGATGACGATTCTGGCATCAAACCTCTCCTACGACTCGCCCTAGGCACTTCCCCTACTAATTTTCGACTACCCTCCTTTTTACACGCTAGTAACCGCCTGTGCAATATGGCTGCTACTTTCAAAGGCGTTGAAAGCAGTGTTTTACAACGTGTCCGATACATCTTGGTTCAAAATCTGCTTAGCTCTTCAGTATCACTGAAAGTGGAGTCTTTGCGCCTGCTCTCACTACTTGCAACTCCAGACCTCAACGAATGGATCTCTGAATCTATCGATCTAATGCTTCATATTCTGGGAACTTCGTACACTCCAGCCGAAGCTAGACAAATTGCGATGCTTCTCAGACGCCTTCCACAGCGGCAAATCAAGGTCGCTTCAGATTCGGATTTTCAGAATATGATTCCCTTCTTCGCTTTAGGCCTGCTCTCAAATTACCACGATCAAACAAGGAAAGAAGTCTGCAACATTCTAGCACAGATGGTGGAAGGAACATCGGTCGAAGAAACTGTGATCGACGTAGCTATGCAATGGCTCCAAACACCGCCAGAACTTGCAAGCAATCTCCGAAAGAATCCTGAGCAAACGAAGGTAAAGCCATCGGCATTCGAATGCATGAATCTTTCACAAATCGATGAGCTTTGTGATACAGTCTTTGACGATTTTCAGAATTCGAGCGAAAGACTTCACAAAATTGCAGAAAACGAACATCATTGGGAAAGCACAAGGACTCCGGTGACCGGTCGAACTTTGGCCCTTCACGTTTTATTGGCGATGCCGGCCTCTGCGGAACGTCGGTCTCGTTTGTTTGTGCCAATATTTTTGGCTGCCCCGATGCGTCGTGGACAGCTAGAACACAGGCCTAACTCAGATGCTTCTATGTCGTCGCACACAATGAGCCCAGAATTGGACGACTCCGAATGGTCACTCTCAGACCGCAGGGCCTTATTGACACTATTGGGCAAGTTTGTCAATCCTCGGGTTCTTTTTAGATCCAGCGAGGTGTATGACAAGCTTATTGATCTTTTAAGCAATGGAAATCGTGAGATCAGAAAGCTAGCACTGCAGGCGGTATTCACGTGGAAAGAACCCGTTCTAACTCAGTACGACTCCACACTGCTGCAGGTGGTTGAGGAGAAGTTCTCGACAACATACCTAGAGACGTTGTTGAGCGTTGATGAGGAACAAACGACCATCAAGCCGAACGATCGCAATACTGTTCTCCCAATTCTTTTGAGACTTATCTTTGGTCTGATTGTTGGCCGAGCAGGCACAACGGGCTCACAAGAAGCGAGAAGAAAATCGATACTCCGTGCTCTGTTTCGGATGCGGGAGGGCGAGATCGCCACATTTCTCAACATTGCGCTGGGCAACCTAAAGAATATTCCGCCTGCAGTTTTGCAGCCAGACTGCATCGGGCCCGACCCAATTTTGATTCCTGACGATCAGCAATATGGATTTCTCCGATTGCTTCTCTCAATGCTCGAGACGTTACAGAGCCAGTTCGCACCCTATGGCGTGCAAGTCGTTGATGCAATCATTTTCTGTATTGTCAGATCGTCGCACCAGAATCATGCTCCCGTCAATTCTTCTAGTGCAGGATCAGCTCTGTCCCGAAATATCAGACGCAGTGGCTTCCAATGTCTCGTGCTTCTCTTCGAGCATTGCCCAGGAATTGATTGGCCACGCTATTTGCCGGTTCTCTTCAGAAATGCCATCTCTCCCCGTCTTGAGAACTTCGCATCTGAGACAAATCAAGGTATATCTGGGCTTCTGCGTCTTTTTGCGTCTTGGGTGCACCTCAACGACCTCATTAGTTACTTGAGGGAATATGATGAGAGAGTTCCCGATGTGCTTTGGCAGTGTTTAACTGTGCCATCCGCGCAAAAGGAAGTCAAGGTTTTTATTTTGGAAGAGATCGTTTTGCCCTGGATACATCTGGCCGAAGATAAGTCAATAACCCCGAATAAAGCTGCCGAACTGCTTCGCACGGTGTCAGATGACCTTCTGAAAGCGATCATGGTACTTCTGGAAAGACAGCCACCCAAAGAAATCCTGAGCGCCATAACCTCTGTGCTGCCAAGGATTCCACATTTTGCGACTTCTCCCAAGTCTCAGCAGAATACAGTGAGTTTGTTAACCGGCCTTCTCAGTGATTCGGCCTACAAAACCCCCCCAAGTATCAAGAGTCAACTGCTTCTCTCGATCCGCAACTTTCTGAATGCTGGCGAAACCGTGGTGGATGAGAATTTACAAACCAAAATCTTCAATTTGGTTTCATCTTTGTTCAACTATTTCAAGGACCAACCCAATCGTGGCGTTCTCTGTGACATTCTGGAGAATTTATCGAATTTGCGGGAAATCTTTATGCAACCAGCGCGATTATGTCACGACTTGAACGCTGTTTCGGCAGAACACCTGGACGAGATTGACTATGACAGGCGGCTGCAAGCTTTTCAAGCAATCAATTCGATGGACGTTGATGAGCGGAGCTGTATTGTATGGCGACCACTAACATACAACCTGCTTTTCTTTATGAGGACTGTCGAGGATTTCTCCATTCGCTCCAATGCGCTCAGCTCCCTGAAGCAATTCATTATCAAAGCATGTGCGGCCGACATCCCAGAACTGATCGTTCTGATCAAAGATTCGATTCTTCCTTCAGCCAAAAAGTGTATCAAAGACGAATCGGAGCTTGTGAGAGCCGATTTTGTTTCCCTTTTTGGTCTTCTCGTTCAGCATATTCGTGATGACCCAGATTTGGAGAATATGGCCGTCCTCCTTGTTGGTAACGACGAAGAAGCATCTTTCTTCTCCAACATTCTTCATATACAGCAACATCGTCGTGTCCGAGCAATCCACCGCCTCACGTCCGAGGTCGAGAAGGGCGCAATCCGTGCGCGAAATAATGCAGAGGTTTTCATCCCTCTGTTGGAAATGTTTGTTGACGATTCTGCCACTGATGAGTCAGCTCAGAGCATTAAAGGCCAAAGTATCACTGCCATGGGGACTTTGCTACAATGGATCGATTGGAAGCACTTCAAAGGGTTATTTCGCAAGTACAAAAACGAGATCGATGCAAATGAAAGCGACTCAAAAGCCGCTAGCAAGCTTCTCGGATATGCGGCAGACGCGTTGATGTTTGCAAAAGACCCCCATTCCGCTCCCACACGATCACATCTCGCCGAGACGCTGCCCGATAATGGAGTGGTCGAAGATGAACTGAGGACGCATTTCATACCCAAACTTGCAGAACTCGTTCACTACAAAGACGAGGCCGAGATAAGTTTCCGAGTTCCCATTGCGGTCACCGCGATCAAGCTTATCACGATGCTGCCTCAAGAAGAGGTCCCTATGGTCGCCGCACCAATAATCCTCGACATTGCGCAGATCCTGAGAAGCAGAACACACGAGTCCCGTGATGTTGCACGCAATGCCCTCTGCCAGATCGTCCTGAAGCTTGGCCCCTCTAGCCTACAATTTGTCCTCAAAGAACTGCGCACAGCCCTGACTAGAGGATACCAGTTGCATGTCGTCTCCTACACCCTTCACGCAATTCTTGTTGCGATTACTCCTGTCGTCAAGCTTGGAGAATTGGACTACTGCGTCGATGAACTTGTCATGGTCATCATGGATGACATCTTCGGTACAGTGGGTCAAGAGAAGGACAACCAGGATTATGTGAGCAGCATGAAAGAGGTCAAAAGCCGCAAAAGCTACGATTCCATGGAGTTGCTGGCGCGAACCATAAGTATTTCTACATTGTCGAAGCTAGCCTCGCCTCTTCAAACCCTTTTACTCGGTACTCTGACGACAAAGCAAGCTCGACAGGTGGATGAGCTCCTCCGAAGGCTTGGAGTCGGATTGTCACAAAACCCGGTGGCAAACAAGCGAGACATATTGGTGTTTGCATACCAGCTAATTCAAACAATATATCAGCAAAAAGGGAACAGTCGAACTGAGACACTCACCTTGGATGAGAGAAGTCGTCAAAGATATCTGGTGCAACTGGGATCTACAAACAAAACGACCAGCGCACAAACATCCCCTCTGCTGTACAAGCTCACTAAATTTGCCCTGGATCTCGTGAGATCTACACTGCAGAAATATAACGACGTTCTTACAGCAGAGAACGTCCATGGATTTCTTCCCATCATTGGCGATGCTTTGATCGAAAACCAAGAAGATGTGAAGATTTCAGCATTACGCTTATTGTCTGCAATCATCAAGCTCCCAATGACCGAACTCGATGAAAACACCCCCTTGTATGTTATGGAGGCGGTGAAAGTGGTGAAGAACTCGACAAACACCAACGAAGAAGCTGCTCAGGCGGCGTTGAAGCTGGTCGCCGCCGTCCTTCGTGAACGGAGGAGTGTCAAGGTTAGAGATTTAGATATTGCTGATCTTTTGCATCGAATCAGTCCCGACATTGAAGAACCGGACCGGCAGGGAGTAACCTTCAACTTTATTCGGGCGGTCATGGCACGGAAAGTTCAAGTGCCCGAGATTTACGAGCTGGCCGACAAGATTGGTATTATGATGGTGACCAATCAGGCCAAGGGATCACGAGACCTTGCACGAGGTGTTTATGTTCACTTCCTGCTGGAATATCCACAAAGTTCCACGAGATGGGCGAAACAGCAGAAATTTTTGATGAAAAACCTCGAGTATGACTATCCAGAAGGCAGACAATCTGTCATGGAAGCCATCAACACCTTGGTTGGGAGGATCAAAGGCGAAACTGCGCAGAACCTGATCTCGACATTCTTCATTCCAGTCCTGCTCCGAATGGCGAATGATGACCACCAAGGCTGCCGAGAACTGGCTGGAGTTTTACTGGGCCAACTCTTCCGCATAGCAGACAGAAGCCACGTTAAAGACCTTTTGGAGCCGTTGAGGTCCTGGGTCGAACAGGAAGAGAATCGGACACTGCAGGAGATCAGCTTGCAAGCTTACGGTGTCCTTTTACGCACTGAAACTCCCCTTGAACGTGAGGAGATCGGGCACATTCGCGACAACCTGACCAAAATACTTTCAGCGCCGGTGACAGACGACGGAGATGATTGGGGGCTTCCCTTTCAAGCTCTTCTGTTGTTATCAAAATTGGTGGATTCCCATCCCGATACGGTGTTGAACCAGAGGCAGACGCAACTTTGGTCCCCAGTGTGGAAGTCGCTCGAGCGCGAGAATTCCTGGATTCAAAGCGGTGCCGCCAGCTTGATTCACGAGTTTCTTCGACACTGTGTTTCGACAGACCATTCGACGCTCCCCCTGACGTGTGACCATGGTTTGCACCTGCGTGCAGATGAGTTTCTGAATGTCTTAAAGACTAGTGCCCGAATTCTCAGGCGCAAGGAGGGGGGTGAAGATCTCAGCGCCCAGATGGTCCAAAATCTCCTCTTTCTAGGCCAATGTGCGGATGTCAACGGGCTCATGATGGAGGTGGCCGACAAATCGGGTGACGAAGAGGACAATGACTCAGAAATCGAGGAGCAGTCGGATTCTGACGATGATGCACCCAGAAAAACCAAAGATATTCCCGCGATTCAATACCTGCTCGACCAAGTCACGCGTATATTGCGGGCAGAAACCAGCTCCCCCACATCTGCGGCTCTTCTTCCAAAACGATCATCATTGACACTGCTCTCTCACCTCATTCCGACTCTCTCGATGACTAGTCTGACCCGACCAAGGATCCAAGACATTCTTCTACCCCTACAGCACCTAACCGACCCCAACACCGTCCGGGCTCGATCAGCAGATCCCACGTTTGCGGTCACATATCAGGACCTCATTGAACTCGCACACGACGTGATGGAGAAAGTCCAGAACAAGCTCGGAGACACCGAGTACGTCAAAGCATTGACGGAAGTGAGCAAGATTATGCGTGAAAGGAGGGAGCAGAGGAGGACGAAGAGGAGAATTGAACGTGTAGCCGAGCCGGAGAAGGCTGCCAGAGATAAAAAGAGGAAGAGCGATAGGAAAAAAGAGCGGAAGAAGGAGATTGGCAGGGCGCATCAGAAGAGACGAAGGGAGATTGGGATGCGATGACCATTGTGAAGTTGTGTTTGAATGCATAGCGTCGGCGTTGATGCAACGATGAGAATGAACAGCATGATTCTCCGTGATATTGTCACCATCCTGTGCTCTCTATATCTTTTCCCTCGTTCATGTCGTCGCGTCTGTTACCTCGCCCAGCATCAGCCCAGTCTCAGCCTCGCACCGTTCCCATCTCATCCATTCACACTAGCCGACTTGGGGATATCCGTACCCACCGCCGCCGTCACACCCGCATCAACAGGTAAAATCACGCCCGTGATCCATCTCGCCTCTGGTCCCGCAAGAAACCTCACTGCACAACCGACATCCCACCCATTGCCCTCGGTCTTGAGCAAACTCCTATTCTTCCGGGCCTCACGGGCCTCCTCGCTCATGCCCCCGGCGTACATCATCGGCGTGTACACCATGCCCGGACACACGCAATTGACTCGTATGCCCTGCGAAGCGTGATGCGCAGCCATCGCGCGTGTCAAGTTGACGATTGCCCCTTTACTCGTCGGATACAGCAGATGGGGGGTCCCGCCCTTAATCCCCGCCACACTGCCCATGTTAACTATACTGCCTCTGTACCCATTGTCGAGGTCGTTGCGCAGCATAGCCGGGATCGCATACTTGGCCATCATTACCATACTCGAGACGTTGATTTCCATCGACTTGGCCCAGGCTTCCATGTCGACGTCAATGGCTGTTCCGGGCGCGCCTCCGACGCCGACACAGTTGAAGAGGATATCGAGCCTACGAAACTTCTCTAGCGTCGTCTGAACGATGCGTTCGCAGTCCGACTGAACAGTGACGTCTGCTTGGACGGCGATGGCGTGGCCTTTGCCCTCGGCGTGGATCATTTCCACGGTGCGTTGCGCAAGGGACAAGTCGCGGTCCACGCAGACGACGCTGCAACCGTCGTCGGCGAGGAGAATCGCGGAGGCCCGTCCATTGCCTATGCCGTCGCCCTGGGCGCCGGCACCCGTGATGATGGCCACTTTGTTGGCAAGAGAGCGTGAAGGTTTTGGGATTTCGTAGTTCATCCTTTTTCTTCTTTTGGCTGTCTGGCCGGTTTTTCTTTTGCTGCTTCCTGGGTGTGACTTAATGAAAGCGATTGATGTGAAGTGTCATACTCTTGACTAGTGACGGATTTTGCGTCTTTTCGAAGTTGTATCCGGAGGCCTAGGTAGTGTTCGATCTGTCGGATATGTTCCTCCTTTCTCCGCAGGGTACCACGAGGTTTCCCCAACAGTAGATTACGAGGAGCGTCTACATCGTCTCCAAGACTGTAGATGGTGTGGCTCAAGTATCACTGCTAGATTCATTTTATGGCCATTTCAAGGGATCTAAGTCGTGCAAGTGAAGACGAGATATTGTCGCCACTCATTGGTCAACTTTCCACGGTCCAAAAATACATAGTTCGTATATAATACCAAACAGATTTCTCTTCCTAGAGGGGCCTTCATGGCAAAGAGCGTTCTGATCCGTCATGGCATCCTTTCTTTCATCACTGATCCCGGCTATTCGTTCTACGATATATATCGTCAACAGGTGTCCTCCTCTTTACAAATAACATCTTGCAAAAATAACCCAGCGCTGTCAGTACTCTCCTCTTCCTCGTTTCCGAAATCGATGTCTCCTCCTTTTATAGACCTAGAGGATTATCGGCAGTCTGCTCTTTGCCACCAATTTGTTCTTTCATTTTCTCTCCCTCTGCTTCCATTTGATTGGCGGGACCGCCTTCGTGGTTGCCGAAGCCCACACCAAGTTGTTCTCCCCAGCCCTTACCCATCTTCATAACTCCACCGACTGTTGGCTCAACGACTCCACCGACAGGTCGTGCACTATGCGAGAATACTGGGCCCACGTGCTGGCCTACGGGGGAGAGGACTTCTTTCAGCCTGTCGCCCACTGTGTTGCCCATCAGTTCGGGCTTCGTGTACCATGGTTCGCCTTTCCAAGAATACTTAGCATGCGGCTGTTGCATACAATTTCGAGGGAGGCAAGAACAGGAGAGATTGAGATAAGGCATTCACTCACCTTCCTGTCCTTTTGCCGGTTGCTTTTCTCGTGGCATGTCGTCGGATCCTTCTCTATGGATATTTTCAGTGTCATCATTCAAGCTGGTTCTGTTTTCCTTGATGTTGTCCTCCATTGTGCTCACGGGGATTATATAGAAGTAGAGAAGTTTGCTGAGTTCGGGCAACCGCCGACATCATATTCGACGACCCAGAGCAGGGACCTGGTGTCCTGGGGGAATAGTCCACACACTGGCTGGTGTGGTTGGACGGAAGGCGAAACAGTTTGAAGATGACGTCGGTGATCGTCCGAGACGTCTTCGGCGAGCAGGGATCTTTCCAAGCCTTGCTAAGTTGGTCGACCATATGAAGCAGAACCTAATACCTGGGTGCCCCCCTACCGGTGCTGGGATGGCGATTGGTAACGGTCTCGGCTCTGTGGTCGAACGACAAGTGAGTATGAAACGTCCAAATATATTCATTCACCTGTTTTGCATGTTATGATTCCCTATTTTCATCGCATCCACCCTCCAATCATTTATTTGGCGGGGTTATTTCTTGCAGGCGTCAGCAGATCTCGATGTCCTCTTCTTTCCAGAAATTGGCAGCCAAGGCTTGCCCATCCATGAGATTGTGGACATAACAGGATCCCACCAGCCGGTAGTGGTCCTGGAAACGACGAAGAACAAACGGCATGGGACATCCGAGGATAATGGAGATCCAGTCGCCATCCAGGGTTTCTCTGGGTACACAACAGGTTATCGTGTGACTCCGAGCCGCCGGCCGAAGCTGTACCTGAAACTCTCAGAGAGAATGGCGTTATACCTTTCGAAGTTGTCGTCTAAAGGCATTGTAGGTCGAAACTCTTTCACTGCATTCCTACGCTGAGCAGATACAAATCTGGCTGCGTTGTCGATCGCTCTCAGACACAGCGGAGTCACCTCCTCTTTGCTGGCGCGAACATAACCCCTTCCTTCGCCTTCGGGCGGAATGATGAGATCAGCAATTGCAGTCTGCCAGCACTGCATGGTAAACTCTTCAAGTGGCAAGTGTTGAAGTTGCTGCACAGATATCATCCAGTCCCAGCTGTCTGGAAGCCAGGAGGATAGGCCAGTAACGTCATCTTGCTTTATCATACTTGTGTATGGTAGAGCTGGACCTCTCGAGTCAACCCTATCGATAATGCAGCCACGCACGATGAGTGCAGGTCCGCCACCGCCATGGTCGGGCTGCATCCAATAGTTCATAATGGCCAGTCTTCTCACACGCTCAGCGATGGTCGGTTGTGCTCCTTTGGAATTTTTGCCAACCGGGCTCGGTCCCCATTTAAACTGAAACTGGCTCCTTCCACATGAAAGATACGCCAAATTGTCGAGCTGTCCTGTTGGTCGATACAAATCCGAAAATGCATCGATGTTAGGATCGGTCAAGACAAGAGCCCACGACATTTTGTCGCTCCGGACACCAAGGCAGTTGTACAGAACATAAGGTCCTTTTCCGGATTCAATAAGATATTGTGCGACTTGCATACCGATACCATGTATGCTCTTAGTTCTATAATTAATGGAGATCCTGTCCTTTACCGCGCAATCTTCGACAAGGCCCAGGACCGCATAAACTTTGTCTCTTGGGTCAGTGGCGTCAAATCGCTTGGTGCGCCAAAGAAGGGTGTTGAGCGGCATCCCTCCGGGCTGGAATTCTCTGGCTTCCTGGATCAGAAGGGCGGAAGTATGTGGTCGATCGAACTCCCACACGCACTTGGCGAATTCGTCGTTGGGTTTTTCTTCATGGGGCTCCCTGCAGTCAGAATGGTACAGCCAGACCATGTACTGTAAAGCGCGAATGATGCCTCGAGGTAAGTAAGAACCGGGTCTGATCTCACTGCCGATGAGAAAGCTGGCCTTCTTCGCAAGGGCATATTCCTGTATTATCCATACACGACTGAACCAAGGCCGGAGCATGAATTTAGTATATGCAGGCCAGAAGGCGTCTCCGACCTCCGGAAGCTCGGGAAACTGGAAACAGGCCCGGAAGCTTTTTGTTTGAACAATCACGCGAGCTCGGTCCCAGATATCGTCTGGAATGTGGTGGTAGTGGTCCAGACCCTCCAAAACGTCTGAAGCCAGATCACTACCGAGATCGATGATGACTTCTTCCGCCTTGGAGAATGTCCTATCCATTCTTCGAACTTGCTCTTCCTTCTCAGCAAGGCCTCTCCGGCTCGGGGCTTGATCGATACAGAGGGCGTCCGCCCAGAGGAATCGGCTGGCGGTTGGGCTGCGAAGCCGAACGAGAGCCGAATGAAAGATTCGGAGTCAATTTGGCCAATCGTCTGTTGCAGGAGATGGCAATTTTCAGCACCTCATTATCATCGCCCCAGACATATGAAATGGCAGTATAAGAATGAGTAGGTTGACGGTGACTCATGTGATGGATACGACAGCAGATTTGGTCCTCTTCCTGTTGAGAAGGGAGCAGCTCAATGACGCGGATGTGATCGGCAGTTTCAAGGGGGGCATATACATATTTCTCAGCGTGATGATAAGAAAGGATGCCATAATTGACGCATCGCTCCTTCAGAAATTTCAGACAGAGGGGCAGAAAGCACCAAAAAAGACAGACAAATAGTGAGCATGTAGCGAAGGTGTTGACTCGAAGGAGACAGAGTAGGCCAAAACCATTCATTGTAGATCTACTCACTCACCCTCATAACTGCGAGGTCCAGTACAACTGGTCACACGATCTATGGATCTTGAGGAGTACCTCTGCCATCACGAACATGGCTGTGGTCATTCGAAAGGGCGGCAGCACTGCCCCCCAGTCAAAGGGGCCGTTTCAAAAGTCCCGGCAATCTCTTCGGGCGCCTATGCAGCCTTCGTCATTGACCAGCTTTTCCGGTGGCAAGGGCCTTAGCCAATCAACAATGGAATGCCTAGAGAGGGTATCGGGTCGCTTCTCAGCAAGCGTCGTTGTTGTATGACTGAGCTCGTTGGCCATTCCGATCGATGGGAGAATAAAATCTAACTGGACAGTGTGAGCACAGAATAATAGGCTTCGAGACTTGAGATGCCTCACGTGCATTGGCTTCATGCAAAGGTACAAGAGCGGCAATTGCACTGATCGAGATTCGGATCAGAACTAGCAAGAGAGAAACACCGCTCTTTTCCCGACTGAACTGATGACAGTTGTATTAGGAATTCATATAGACGACTTCTATTACCAACTCAGATTCACTTAACAATGATTAGTCCATGTTTTCAGCTATATTTTTAACTCCCCCGTAGGATAATTTTCCCACAGCATCGACATAGGATGTTGCCATTCGACATTAGGACATTGAGTATACTTCAGGTGGTGGACCGTCGCTTTTGTCCACAGGATGAACTCGATACTCGTACCTTTGAAGATACCCATCTACATCATAGCCCAGTCCGGCCCACGATTCAAACAGGGATCTTTGCCAGGCAAGGCGGGAGGTCGAGTTTGGCTGTGTCGGAAAATGATGTCGTCATCAACAGGGGTGTATTAGGCTTGTCTCTCAGGTGGCCGTGAATAAATCTGCGTGGCCAAACAGTCAATTTAACTGACAGAATCGTCAGCCTCCCTGATTGACTGATGTCGAGTTGCTTGCCTGATTGACTGGACTGATGAAATTCGCGGCCTGATTGAAACTTCAGTCGGTTATCTGACATAAAATTCTAGGAGACAAGATTTCCAGCTATCCACTGGATCCGATGAAATACCACGGCCCATCGGATCTAATCAGTGAATTATCTCGACGTCAAGGCTTGTCCGTTCACGCTCGGTTACGAGTCATCTCGAGTGTGATTAATAGAACTTCTCTGGGTGGTTCACAGACTAGAACCGATGAAATACCACGACTCATCGGATCCAATCCATGGATCATCTCGTTAACGCCCCGTTACGAGCCATTTCGAGTGTGATCAGTAAGAGCTCGTCTTAGGTGGTCCACACATTGGATCCGATGCAATACCACGACCCATCGGATCCAATCCATGGACCACGTCAACATCGAGGCTCGTCCGCTAACGCTCGGTTACGATCCATCTCGAGTGTAACTAGTAGAGCTTGTCTGAGGTCCACAGGCTGGATCCGATGCGTGGATCATCTCGATATCGATATCTATCGAGTAGGGTGCCCCCCTGCCACATGGTCCACGGATTGGATCCGATGACGGTGCGGTGTGATATGTGGCGACGCCAAGGCTTGTAAAGACCTTCGAAATAGGACAAGTCCTCCGTAAAATCACACCTCGGGGGGAATTTGTCACGGGACCACGTGCCAAGGATCGCGTGTCAAGGATTACGTGTTCAGGGGTTCTTCAGCACTTCCTGCGTAGCATCCCATCTTTGAGTCTCTTCCTTGTACCTAGAATTAGATGATTGAATCTTCACCCTAGAACACCCCCCTGATCGGATCCAGTCTATGGACCACCTCGGGGGTGCGATTAGCCAGGGTATTCAATTAGATCCGTTTGACAACAACTCCCAGCCCTAACAGGTCAATAAGAGATTTAGTTAACTATCTCGAGGTGTTCATCTGTAATACAGTTGTTCCCGAAACCCCCACTCCCTTGCGGACACATTGCGTCTTCTGATTAAATGTCAAGACGTAGATGAGTCATCTGTTGCCTGTATGGTAAAACGTGGTCCACTCGACGAATCATTATTCGGAATCTCAAATTGTCTCGTGACCAACTGAATAGATGCCTCAAACGGTAACTACGCAGGACAACACTATAGCGGCAAGAGAATGGTACTTGTCCCACCGACGAACTCACTGCGCAATTTGATCTGGGTAATTGTGTAAGATATATTACAGTATAAAGGCTTCAGCGATTAATTGCGCAGCACTAATTAAAAGATGGAATGAAATGAAATACTGTACATTTCACGACACGCTGTTGCAAAGCATCCTTACCGCGCTATAACGCACTCTACTAGCGAAGAAAAATCATAAGTCACTAATCGACTCACGTAACAGATCAGATTGCAGCTCGTTCCGTTTCCTTTACTTCGGGGCACCTCTATCAACCCGGGCTCCAGGCATACGGTTAACACCTCAGCCCTCGATAACTCGTATTATCCCCAGCTCCTGACCATGTCATCAAAGTCTTAAGTACGCCTCGGGTGCGGTGATCTGAAGGACCGAGTACCTTTACCATCAGTTCCTGGTAGGAAGTCATCAACTCTATGGCTTCCTCGCCACGACTTAGGTTTTTCAATGTGTAGGCTAGGTTGCGCATACTAGTCAGCGTGTCGGGATGTTTCGGCCCAAGCACCCTCTTCCTTGTCTCCATCACTTGCACCTCCAGCTCCTCTGCCTCCTTCCATCGACCTTGATCCCAAAACATCGACGCCAGGTTGGACACGCTGGTCAGCGTGTCGGGATGCTCCTCCCCAAGCACCCTCTTCCTCATCTCCGTCACTTGCACATTCAGCTCCTCTGCCTCCTTCCATCGACCTTGATTCCTGTACGTCGACGCCAGGTTAGCCATGTTGGTCAGCGTCGAGGGATGTTCTGCCCCAAGGATTTCCTTCCGTCCTTTAAGAGCCTTTTGGAGGTAAACCTCCACTGCAGGGAGGTCACCCTTCAAGTTGAATGCCTCTCCAAGGTTGTTGTACGCCCCCAGGATCTGTTCTTTTGAAGTCTCGAGACTATTCTCCCTCCACTGTGCTACTGTAATATGTGCTTTCACAGCTTCATTGTACTTCCCATCGACAACAAAACATAAGCCCATCTTTTCGAGTAGCTGGTATCGCTCGGGGAGATCTCGATCCTCGATATCTTCACAAAGTCGCTGGGCGTGTGGTAAAAGAACTGTCCAAGTCCCTTTGTGTTTATAGTCTCGTGTCGGGAAGAGCTCGGCCACTCGCAAAACGCCGGCTTTCGTCCAATCAGAAAGCGTACGTTCTGTTTTCAGCCAATTTCGAGCTGCAAGGCGTACCAATCGATGCATGTCATACAACACTTCATGATTTTTGCCACCACGATCTTCTGTCTGCTTCGTTATAAATGAATATCCCTTTAGCGTGGCAATAGCATCAACAAGATCTTTCTTCGAGCCGACTTCTGGCAGTAGAGGCTGCGGGATATTCTTTTCACAAAGGCAAGCTATGAAACTCAGAAATTGTGCGGGGAGTGGGTGATATTTCCGGATTTGTTGGAATGAGATGAGCCATGTTGTGGCAACTGCGTTGTGAGCATCTGAGTATCGTGATTGGTCGCCAAAATCCTCACTTAGAAGCTTGATAACTTCTTCTTCAGGTTCATCCATGAGTTCAAGATAGGTTTTCACAGGCTCTTAGGTCATATTTATATATGAGGCAGCCTGGACGATAGCGAGAGGGAGATATATCAGCTTATCTAGCAAGGCCGATATTGCATCCTCGCCCGCAGCCATGTCTGGTTTCTTTAACGCATTGGTGGACACTGTACTCGCTTCATTCACCGACATCGCCTGCAATTCGGTCACCTCTTTTCCAGCGAGATAACTTGCCACACGTCGTGATCGAGCGGTGATGAGAATAGTGCTATGGGTTGTGCTCGGTAACCAGTCCACAGGTGTCGACTGCTGATCAGTAGCTCTTGATTTCTTCCCCCATAGTTCTTCGTCGTCGGCATTGTCGAGTATCAAGAGCCATTTTCCAGTAGAAAGATTTCTCAACCTCTGCTTAACTAGATTCTTGATATCCGCTTTGTCGTCTTCAATCCCCGGAATTCTAACCTTCTTTCCGATCTCAAACACATCCCTTTCAAAGCTCAGCCGCTCCACGGCATTAATCCAAAGGATTGAATATTCCGGACGCTCCGTCGTGATTTGATAAGCCAGCTCCAGTGCCAGCCGACTTTTACCGATGCCTCCTAAACCGAGTATAGACACAATTCGACAACCGTTAGAGTCGAAGATCCGCTGCTTAAGATGTTCGAGCTTATCTTTACGGCCAACAAATCCCGGGATTGGATCGAAAGGCATATGCCTTATCGGGCTGTACAATTTATCTAGATAGAAAATAAGCGGTTATTGTAGGAACTAATACTGAGGAGGGAAAATCAACCTTCGTCAGCGAGATCCTTAGGATGCTCTAGTCCCGGCACAACCCTCTCGGCCATAGTAAGAAGAAGTTCCCGCGCGTAAGCAGCCGCGGTGGCAGCCGCATATTCCTGCCAGGCTTTATTCTTGTGTGAGTCCGAGTAGTCGCAAATACCTCGAACAACTAGGCACGGAAAGACATCCATCAATCCAGCCGCTTCCATCTCGAAGCAGAGAGCATTGTGAAATTGGCCGCTGATCTTGTCTCGAGTAACTTCCGACTTCATCACTCGATCTCCCGACAAGATGGTACTATAATGCATTCGGATTTCATCTGGAGATTCGCGCTCGGCGCGCTCGACCTCGAATTTCTTGTCGTGCTCGTTACAATCCGAACCGGCCTCATGATGGTATTCCACCGAAAATAGACGGTCCGGGACGAAAGGGCGTCTATATTGCTCTCGCAAGCGTGGAAACTCGTGAAATCGACGGAGGTGAGTAGCGAAAAAGCTTTCGTCGCCGGGTTTTTGCCTCAGGTATTTGTCTTCCACGGCATTGACCACCTGCAGCAACAAAGTGGGTGGTTTGTTCAGTGTTCGAGTCACTTCAAATCCTGTGGTTGTTTCCTTTCCCAAGTCATACTGGACCACTGCAGGGCCTACCTCCGGGGCCCCAATGACGACATCTCCCAATCGCACATCTTGCTTCGGAAGGTGAGGTACGCCTCCTCCAATCCCCACCAGCAAACCAATGGACATATTTCTAAATGACCAATGGATACTACCCACGACGTCTGCGATAGCGACTTTTCCCTGGGCACCTCGAGCCGGTCCGACGATGGCGACATTATGCCCACCTATGCGGCCGAGTGTGTATTGATTCTTATCTCCTAGGGCTAAAGGGACTGGCTCGTACTCTTCATCCAACATAACTGTGATGGCGTTCATCTCGAGCGGTTTCACGTAGATGACCCCAACGGTGTAGGCCTCCGCAGGGATAAGTTTTTGCGGCTCATTATCGAGAGAATTGCTAGAAAATATTCTGTTGATTATTCAATCTTGTTTCCTGCGAGTTGTGCGGGGGAAGTGCTGAGGCCCTGTAAGAGAAGCCGTGAGAGAGAGTTGTATTAGAATATATTCGAGATCGAAGGTCGAGTGAAAGTATGGGAGAGACGACACTTCTTGTCAGTCCACAGCTGCTATCGGCGGTTGACGGCATTGCAGGCACTCGCATCCGAGAGAGAAGCAGAACCGTCCAGATGGATTAGAAGGCTATATGTTGAAGAATGCTCGATTAGGCTGAAGAGCCGGCGTACAGGATCATGACAGCTCCAGGCGCAGCCGAATTTAACTTAATTGCCACGTGATTACACCTTCGATGACATTTTCTAAACCTGGCGTACCAATCACCGCTTCATCTTACTCCTAGGGAAATGCTACATACTAGCTGTTCCATCGCCAGAAATGGTGGCATTCATACTTGACTTTCTCGATGTTTTCAACCCCCCAGCTGCACCTTTTCCCACGAGATCGTATGGCGCGCTCCCGAAAAGACTCGCTCTGATTCGTCACTCATGGCTGGGAATTGACAGGATATCAATTGCCATATACGACGGCCGTGGCCAACGCTTTCTTTCTTGGTCCTGACACCACCACTGAACGGCATACATGTCACCAAGATCGTACGGTTCCCCATTGCCGTAGTCTTCGTACTCATCCTGGCTCACTGGTCGAGCAAACTGGTTCAAATCCAGTGCAATTCGACTATACTCGGAAAGGTCTTTAGAGGATTTTTTTTTTTTGTTTTCGATTGATTGATTGATTATTCCTACGCCCGTGCAGGTCGCTCGGACCATTGGGAACTACTGTAGCTCTACCACGTGATCGTCTACCCCATAGTCTGCATACGCAGTTCCTAGCTCTCCAATCCCTTCCTTAGCTTGGGCCTTCGAATTCCCAGCTTCTCGACGGGTTTTCTTTCGTACGAGGGTGTAGCCGTATGGAGAGGGGTCTTTTCTCCGTAAACCTCCCAAAGCGCCTTCACCTTATTCAACGCAGGCTTTTGCCAATCCTTTTTCCAATTATGCCGAATGTACTTCGTCCGACGATTTGGATAAATGGGAGGGTTGTCTTTCTTGCTATAGTACTTATCTCCCAGCCTTTTTTAATTCGAGCAGAAAACTCCTTGTCGCACCCGCTATAGTGTATCTACCCGTACGACATGAGTCAGATTCGATCCGATTAGAAGGTGACTTACTAAACCTCTTTCAAAGTGTTTAATGAGGATATCCATCGTGAAAAGTACTCGAGATCAACTGTTGCTTGATCTCCTGAGTTTGAGAGTGGCTTCGTGAAACGGCTCAAGAAACTTGCCGGTTGTACGAAGCTTCTCCCACTCCTTAGGAGGAAGATACTCAGCCTGAAGAGTATCAAAATGCTCCTTCATGTAGGTGTCCACGGCCTCCGCGTGATCAATCGCCACCCGCAGCATATCGTACCAGCTATTCCATCTGGTACGATTATCAAGCGGAATCATTCTTCCCGCCAGATCCTTAAATTGTTTCGTTCGACTAGCAGAACTCCGCATGTATACGATGATGTTGTGAAGCTTTCCAAGAGGCTCGAGGGCTCGAAAGGTGTCTCGCCTCTTTACGTCATTTCCCTCTTCTTCTTTAACTTCCTCGTCGGACGAGGCTCGTTATTCCACTTCAATTAAGCCTTGAAACAAGAATGCTTGAACGGCTAGATTAATGACGTAACCAGTGCCGCGAATTCGTCGAAATATCGGATCCCACTCGATCCCTTCTTCTTTCTAGAGGTACTTGCTCGCCGTTCGACAGAGCGTATCGTTAGAAGTAGCGTTTTCACCAACGACCTACCCGATCTTTCGTACGATTCCGTAGTCCCGAAGGGCGGAAAGAAGAGTGGTAAACTGCTCGCGGCCGCTATGATTTGCCATCGTACGAAGAGCAAGAAGTGCTTTGAACAACTTCTCTTGACATTGCTCGACAAAGCGAGCGCTGATCTCGAGAAGAAGAAACCTATTAGGCGAGGTCCAGATATCAAGCGAAAGATGAATACTCGACAATGCTGATTGAGGCTTCTTTCGTACGATATCTTTTTGTGCTTGCCATTATCTTTCGATCTTCTTGGGAATTTGAGAGTGTGCCGTGGTGATATAGTCGTCTGATTGCGGATTGAGGACTTGACAAAGTATATGAAACTCAGACCATTCAACAAGCCGGAATGGGATATTTCGTGCAACAAGTAATGAGACTAAGGCTTCGCTAATTATATCTTGATTTAGGACTCTTTGGAAGATTTGAGTGTCGATCTGTTCTGTTAGAACCGAGGACTCTGCTCGAAGGTATAGCTGCTGTAGTTTTTTCGTTGTTGCTGCTTTAACCGGACTCGAAATGTTTTCAATATCGATCTCATGTTTTGACTTCAGGTGGCCTCGCATATTTGTAGTAACGGACGTACCGTACGGCTCCATCTCACAGTGTATGCAATAAATTATGCGAGCCCTTCCTTTGGTGTATTTGGGCTCCCATCATGTGCTTCACGGGCATGGGCCGATGTGGTATGAGCTGACTTACTCCTTTCGACCGAGTCTAAGGTAGTTGAAGGTTAGAGAAGGGATGAATTCGCTTCAGAATCCGTATTTTGTACGATGAAATAGGGGAAGGTGGAAATCGAATGGATATCTGTCAGACAGCTGGTGCCTAGTGCCAAGAGCCCCTATGTAGGGGGCTTCCCCCCTCCCATCCATAGTTGCAATCTACACACGAGTTTTCACCCCTTCTATCCGCCCTTGCTCTGTTCGACAATATCCTAAGCGGTGAGGAATTTATCGACATCGATATCGACAAGCCGGATAACGATTTTCCAAGACCGGGTTCCCCAATTTTGCCATGGTCCTAACGCTTCATCTGTGGATTATACAAGAATTACGCCTTGCGTGAGAAAGAGTTGCTTCGTGCCGTAATTGCGCGAGCAGCACAACATTTGGGCATCTTATACTAGCATAATCGATTCTACAGTCCAACCTTGCACCTGGATGGTCCTATTGGGGAGGTATATTGGTACGTGTTGGCAATCAGGCCATCCATCGAATATGCAGCGCCCGAACCCCGGCAAGCTTCTCCAAAAGGCTTTGTGAACTGCTCAGCGGAATGACTGTCTTTTTCAATGCTCCCGATTTGCGCGACAAAGTCTACGCTCTTTTGGATCTTGCAAGCAATGAAAATATCAAGGATGAGTTTTTCATCGACTACAGTGAGCCCGCTCCTGCTTTCGCACTTCGAATAAGTCAGTACCTCAATCGCCGACACTATAGCATCGGGACGGTGGTGTTTCCTGGGCGCTGAATCTCATCGGCACTCGAGACCACCTTGCCAATTTAATAGGACACTTCGGCTATATCGCTGGCCGGCTATTCGATACCTGTGGAGGAGCACCGATGCCTTTCATTCGCAAGATCTCTGGCCTTGAAGCGGGGCAAACTCACAGTTCATGGGTGCATCTTCGACACCATTGAAACAACAATGGCAGACAGAATGCCGTACGACGCCGAACTTCTGCTCAAGACACAGAACGACACTCTCTCTAAGGCGAGTCCAAACTCTCGAATGGATGTTGTCCGTCGCGCATACCCAGCCTTTAACGTGGAGCATTAGGACTAGTAGCTCAAAATTCGAAACGAAAAGCCCCCCCCCCTCCTATAGCCAGTGTATAACTGTCTAATAGATGGGGCGCCACAACCAGCGAAAGTTTTCAATCAGACAGGTTCAACTTCAGGAGAGTTTCAATCTCCTAAACAGTATCAACAAGTGGACATCAACAGTCGCTGGCTGGAGCATTACGTTTACCCATCTAGGGCACCTAGAAGCTAGGCCGGACAACCCTCTTGCCTCACCTATGATCTAACACTGGTGAGGTCCCTCAATTCTATCGGTTCGACCAAAACCAAAGTGTTGCCACTTGGTTTCGTCCTTGATAGGTCAACCACGATTTGGTGTTCGATTGTGTCAATTTTGAGGTAAATTCTGGGGGAATAAAATATATACCTTATCCCAGGCGGGAATTACGTGTTTTGGACTTTAACGTGCGTGTAGATGCCAAGACTTGCCAAGACCATGGTATTGGCAAATCACGTGAGATCATGGTTTGGCAATGTTTCGAAACATTGCGATACTGCCAGCCACTAAGCGTTTCGATACGCAATGTCGAAGCACTGACGATGAAGGCCATGGATACCGCCACCTGTGCGACTGGGCTCACTCGTCGTGCTGCATCGACACCATGGACTCCGTGGTCCGCACCGGGGGAGGGGGAAAGTACACAAGTCTTGTACGTTTTTACTCCATTGTCCCAAGCACACGATTCTTTATCATCTTATTATTTTCTTGTCGACTTCTATTCTTGGCGATTGTATGGTGAATTAACTCCGCGATGCAATGCTAACAGAGGCACAATGATACTCTGCCTCTACCTGTGTGTGGACTGGGTCGACGATTTCGAAACCAACAACATGATTCCCAATTTTTGGAATCTCCCTCTTCCACATCCGTATCGTACATTTTGATGCAATCCACACACGAACTAAAATTTATCCGTGTAGACACCGACAGGCCGTGTGACAAAGCGATTACTCCTCCTCCGAGCCTCATCGGGTGTCGCCGACCCGTTACCGCTCTCACTTGCATCTCTTGCTGCGCTCTCAGAGCCGGGTCCTCTGGATCCGGCGCGCATTCTTGCCTCGAGCATTGCCAGGGCATGGTCTCCTGCTGCACGGGCCAATTCAGCTTCTCTCAAGAGCCCTTTTCTAGTCATTTCTCTCTCTTCTTCCGGGAGGACGAATCGGTGAATCGTGCGGTGATCCATGACTCTTTCTTCCTCGTCTCCTCCGCCTTCGACCCATGTGCCTTTTCCGCACCTTCCTTTCCGTCTGTAGGCACTGTATTCGATTGCGGGGCTGCCTTTCTTCCCGCGTCCCGAACCCTGCGACTTACGTTCAAGGAGTTTGCGAGGATCTGGATCGGTTTTCGGCCACGGAAAGCCGTAAAGCATGCTATGGCGTTCGCATCGGGGGCATTCGCGCCGGGTTTGGTATCCATTCGGTTGAATGAAAAAACCAAAACATTTTGGGTTGTGGCACTGGACCCAACGGTCATGTGGCTGTGCTAGCAATTTCCGGGTCAAGATATAGTCTCCGGCTATGCGAATGGTGCCGGTGACCGGGTGGACGGTTAATGTGGCGACAGTTCTCGACGTGCTGTCTGGTTCTATCGAAGGCAGGACGTGAGTTTCTGTAGTCATGGTCTCGGTCGATTCGGATTCGGGTTCCGGCTCGTGAACATCTTTGGTAATAGTTGTCGTCGAAAGTGTTGATACAACATGGGGAACGGGCGGTTCAACCGGTTCGGGAAATGGATCGACTGCGTTTTGCTGTCCCTCAACACTGGGCGGATTCTCACTGATTCTGGCAGAATTAGAGCGCGAAGGAGCGACAATGATAGTATCTTCATCTGTTTCCACTCTGGTTGTCTCCACAGACTCAACTTTGATCGTGACGGCTGTATCTGTCGCGGGATTTGAAGGTAATTGTTGGCTCACGGCCCTAGTCTCTGTAGCAGACCCATAACTAGAGGGGGATGTAGGCGCCGGGGATATCGGTGCCAGTGCCGATATCTTGCCCAGGAGTCTGGCAGTCATCTTGCTTTCACGACTACCTCTTCTGGGCTTGGAAGTGCTGGGGGGGGATTTGGGCCTGAGATCTGAGGGCTGATCCACGACGTCCGACGGGGCGGATAAGGCCGAGGATCGATGAGGGTCTTCACGAGGCTCGCGCTCTTCCAGCTGCGACGGGCTATGAGGCGGCGAAAGTGCAGCTTCCTCTCCCAAACCTGGAGCATGTATTGGTTCGGCGGATTCCAAAGTTCCCACGTAGTCAACCGGTGGTGCAGTATCCGAGTCTGAGCTGTCCGGTGGAGTCCACGAATGCTGCAATTTCGAAGGAGACTGCATGACTTTTACATGCTTAGGCGGAGGAGCAGAAGACGATTGCGAAGACGATTCCGCTTCCCGTTTTCGTCTCAGACTGTGAGGCGGAAAACTGGGAAGAGTTTCCCGTAATGGTGTGGAAGCATGACTGCCAGGGTCGAGAATGGCGGCCTTAGGTGTCCAACCATTGCGTTCCAGGACTTCGCACGTGTGGCATAAACAATCCATATTACCAGGTCCAAAGTAGTCGTCACCGTAAGACACCGTGATCTCGTCCCCGACCTCGATATTTTTCATGGCGATCACCTCCATGCCGTCAACCCCTCTCGTCACTAGACGCCCGTTTGCGTCACAATCGTGGTTGGCGAAGCGGGCCGGACCTAGGAAAATCGAGGAATTCTTCTTACGACTCGAAACAACGATACTGAAATTGCGATTAGTCAAGTCCAAATCTGCGGACTCCTCAGTGGTCAGGGGAACGAGAGTGCCGGTGAGGTATTTGACGGTGTCGCCTTGCTTGATACGCCGCCGGGCGGTCACGGCTGCCTCGTAAGTGGTGATCGTATAACGATTGGTGGTGGATACTTCCCAAGGACAGTCGGTCTGGTACATGGCAATGTACTTGCGAAGATGATGAAGAAAATGCTCTTGTTCGATTTTGCTGCGCAGACTTTTCTTGTACCGTTTCAATCCAGGAAGTGCCAGTAGGGCCTTTTCAGCGGCCACCAGATCTTTATCTACGATGACTTTGTGCAGGAGGATTCGAGGCACCTCATCCTCCTTGATACCGCGAACGGGAATGTGTTTGGTGCGATTTTTTCGTATTCTCGACTTGTAGTAAGCCTGCCGGGCGGTTAGTGCATTACACCTCTGCTTGTTCGATGGATTGGCTGACATTGTCTATGAGGGCGTCCGAGCAGACATCATCATGAGCGGCCAGTTCGGCAAGGGAGAGCCTCTGCGCCTTTTCAGGCTCTTCGGCAGGTCTTCTTCGTGACATGGCCGCGTATTGTTTTCGCGTTTGAAGAAATTGATGTAGCGAACTGTTGTATACGTTGCAGGCCGTAAACGTTGCGAGGGACTTAAAGGTAGAATTATGGGTATTGCGCGACCTCGAGGTTGCAGCTGGGGGGCGGGCTGGACGGGGGGGATCAATGAGCGAAAGGGGGCTGATTGATTATGACCATGCAGTCTGGGTTCAGGCCAGCCTGAGAGTGACAATAGTCAAGTGAAAGTGAGTGTGATGCGACATAATGGTCGCGAAAAATTAATAAGGCACACCAGACCTTTGACCGTGGTGGTCTCGAGCTGAGAAAGAGACTCAGCTGTTGCTTCACTCTGTCGTGCAAGAAAAAGGGCGAAGAAGGGAGGAGGGGGAAAGACAAAACGGCGAGGCGAGAGGCGAGCGGCGAAACGAGACGAGCTGGAATTTGGACGGGCGTGCTGCTGGTGTTGATCTATCCCCCTGGGCTGTGCCCTTTGACAAGACCGTTCGATGCGACTTCGGCCCCCAGTGCGGATCTGCCCAATCGAATCCACTTCCTTTTTGGATGCCACTCACGAACCTGCACCTAGTTTTCGGTCAGTCCATCACCAATTCTTGAGGGAGCGAAAGGCCACATTATGCTGCCACGATGATACAACTCAAGGTCGGATACTGTCTGACAGGATTGGGATTATGCACAGCTAACGTTTGGTTCAGACGCTGCTGAATTGCATCGACAATTCCGGAGCAGCCATTGTCGAGTGCATTGCAGTAATGAGAAAAAAGAGACAAGCTGCCAGAATAGGTATTGCAGCACAAATGTCAAGACTCTTATTTGAAGAGTGTGTTCGGCTGACGCTTATCCACCAGGTGACAGAATCATTGTCGTCGTTCAGAAGCAAAATTCCTTTGGACCCGAAACCCCCGGCGGAACGAGCTTGGGTATTGCGAACAAAGTGCGACGAGGTGACATACGGCACGCAGTGGTGGTGAGAGCCAAAAAAGAAATCAGGAGGAAAGATGGAAGCCTAATTAGATTCGACGATAATGCGTGTGTTCTCATCAACAAAAATGGCGATCCCATCGGTACTAGATTATCGAGTATGTCACTCCCCTCCGGGCATGGTCAATTGGTGGAGGATATTTACTGACGTGGACTAGGTATCGTGGGAGCTGAGTTACGAGATCGAAAGTGGTCCAAGATCCTATCTCTGGCGCCGATGCACATATAAGTCGTAAGTCGAAGCCGAGTTGGTCCAAATATTTTGCTTTGTGGTTCATCCACTGGTGGGCATTCTGGGTTCTTTCGAGGATGAAATGGTTCAAGGGATATCGAAAATCTAGGTCAGAAAGTGACAAGATATCCATCCCCTTCCATGAAACCCGTGTACGATAGAAAATACACCGTGTATAAAACTCCCTGAACTGCTAGCACTTTCTGCACTTCTTGTACATGATGCGTTTTGCCCTCGAATTGTTGATCCCTTCTTATCAACGCCGGACCGATGACGAGAACCTCGGGTATCCGTAAATTCCACCAACGCCATGCTCAAACGATAGTGTACACATAATTGCAGGCTGTGCAAACGTAGTAAAGTTTCTAAAACCTCGTCATCTCTTAGGCTCGGACAGTCAAGACATGAAGGTGTACTCACCATTCCCGTATCTGCTGCTCGCTGTTGGGACTGGAAATAAACCGCATCTGTTTCCCTGCACTTCGGACATCGTTGGCTTGTTCGCGGAAGCTAAACCAAACACAAGGAGCAACCTGTCAGCCAGAGTTTGCCTAACACGCAGAGGACGCAAAGAAACAAGAGACTCGGTCAAGCCGCGGAATATTCAGTTCATTCCGACTCTTCTCTTATCTCGCCACCACATTTGCTGCATTCTCAGCTGGTCTCCACCACAAGTACAGAAGCGGGGGCATCTCGGAAGGAGCAGAACCTACAGTTGGATCATTTGCGACATCGGTGGTTACTCCAGCCGTTTCTTGGACAGTGGCACCTAGTTGATGACGGTATGTGCATGCTGAATCGTGCTGGATCGTTGCGTGACACGCTTTGCAAATATAGAGCAGGGTGGACGTGGAGCGGTCTTCCTTCGGGTAGAGGAGATTTGAACTATAATGGCGATGTGAGCATCTCATAGGGTATGTGCCTTTAGAGTAGAAGGATTGCCTGGTTTACCATTCTTGACAAAATCTGTATGAGACCTCGCCGCGCTTGGTTTCGCCCCCACTGGGGGCGGGAGATGCAGCTGCAGACATTCTCGAAATTTTGAGATTCTAAACGAAAGCAGATCTGAAGTATTCGTTGGAGGAAATCGGTTTTGACCGTCGTAACTTGAATGTGTCTTGAGCGCAGGGTTGATATGTTGGGGGTCTCTCAGAAATTCGGGGTAGTGAAAATAGGACGGAGTCACTGGAGCAGCCGATTTGCGTAGTGATGGTGACGTGTATTCGCGAAGTAAACGCTGAGATCTGGGAAGAGGTGAAGCGACTTTCTTGCCCCGCAGTTGTTTTGGATCTATGAGGACCCTCTCTCGTCGGATTGGGCACTCGTGGGAATTGGCAGGGTCAACAAGAATGTCAGTACTACAGTGCCCTGTATAAATATTGTTTACTGTTTATTATGCGACCACACAAGGTACCCTAGGTACCCAGGCAAACCATTTCACTTAGAGGGCACAAATTCACTGCCCCACTCTGGCTGCGCGCGTGTGATAGCAACCCCATCGCTCGACATTGGGCACCACTGGGAACATACACATCAACAATTCCAAACAACAGCCTTCATCAAGTCCTGAAGACCCAAATTCTCTTGGTCCTCATAAGCCATGGTACGCGATTATAATAGAGGCGATACATCTATCACAAGACTGACCACCAACTCAGACTGAGACCGGCCTACCCCCAGACTGGGAAGTCCGCCATTCCAACTCCAAGAACCTCCCGTACTACTTCAATCAGAAGACCCACGAGTCCAGATGGGAACCTCCAGAGGATGCCGACACCGACAAACTCAAGGTTTATATGGCTCAACACCATAGTTCTGCCAACACCCGCATCGATAGTGCTGGTGCCGCCGAAGGAAAGATTCGTGCGGCACATCTCCTCGTCAAACACAAGGACAGTCGTCGACCCTCTAGCTGGAGAGAGACCAACATCACCCGCTCAAAAGATGAGGCGATTGAGATGTTGAAAGGTTACGAGGACCAAATCCGCTCCGGCCAGAAGACACTGGGTGACCTCGCTGTCTCTGAATCTGATTGCAGCAGCGCCCGCAAGCGTGGAGACTTGGGCTTCTTCGGCAAAGGCCAAATGCAGAAAGAGTTTGAGGATGCCGCCTTCGCCTTGCAGCCAGGCGAGATGAGTGGCGTGGTTGAAACCGCCTCAGGAGTACATCTTATCCAACGGTAAGGCTGAAGACCCGTGGATCATGGAACCAATCCGGATCACTGATCAATGATACAGAATCCAGTAAACCTGGGAAGAATGCCGAACAACATTGCACCTTATCTGCCCGTTAAGAACGAAACATCGGGAAGGGGCCCAGAACAACCGTCCGAGGGGGGAGAAAAGGGGGGTTTTCGGCGATGTTGCAAAGATTTCTGTGACAAGGTCGGCATGTGGTGGCATTTATCATCACACTGATGCTGGCATACAGAGTTGAACGAGTCCCTTATGGCTTTGATATTTCTACGGCATGTTCTGGCTCCCCAACCACTTGTTTACCACTCATACGTCACAAGAACCGCACGTTGCCTCCGGCTAATACAGATGTTTGGCAGCATTTCATCGACCATGATCAAATAGGGAACATCGCGATCCCCTCCCCTGTAAAATCCCGCTCCAATCAGAGTACATATTGTTGCTACCCGGCCCCCCTGGCTCATACCCTCGAGGACCGCAGTGTATAAAATGCTGTGGGCATCAACGTTGCTCGACTTCTTTACAATTCAAGATCTTCATTTCTCCTAATTCTTTTTCTTTACACTTCCTCCCTGCGTCTTCTGGCTCAATCCATCCTCGCTGTATTCCCCTTTTCCCAGCCCATCCTTCATCTCTTTTCCCCGGGCCCCCTCAAAATGAAAGCCCACACGCCTCCCGACGCCCTATTCCTTGCACCACCGCATTCACATGATCCTAGCGACGTCTCTCACGTTGCCGCATTGCCATCATCAATGCTTCTACAGCTTCCTGAGTCCGTGCAAAATGCTCTGTGGACATTGCAAGAATCGACTTCAATTGTCTATGCTTCTTACATCAGGTTACAAGCATTGTTGAATGAACGCTTTGATCGTTTGATCCCACTGCCGGTCCGGCCAGGGGCAGCATCAACAGGATGTAAGTAACCCCCGACTGACCTGGCATTCATGTAAGGGGCTAAAAAGGGGGCAGTCTCTGAGGGAGCGTTTTTCAACTATGTCAATCATCTCGCTGCTGAGCGTCGTTACCTGCTCGAAGATGCTCACCCTGACTGGAAACACAAGGCATCCCGGGCGGGGTTAAACAACTACGGCGAACTGTTGCTGACGTTCCGGGGAAAGGAGATGACGGTGGCCGAATGGTTCTCCCAGCTTCAGGCGGCGGAGGCGTTCTGGATTCACGAAGCCAAACAAACGGAGCTCCCCGACTTTGAATCTACCGTCTTGGAATACCAATCCCAGTCGTCAACTCCTTCAAGCGAGGTTGGTGAGGACGATGAGGCAGAAGCCGAGGATGCCATAGGACCACAACCGGTAGCCGCCGGAGGTAGGGTGGTCGGTGCACGAAAGCAGGTCAACTCAGATGGGCTTGGGCTGAAGATTGCGAAAGCATTGGAAGCCCTCTAGTTTGGTGTGCTTGGAGGGGGGTGGTCTGACGTATTGGAGGAAGAGACGTGGCTTTTATTGCTCTTCCAAACTAACTTTCGTGCAATGACGATGAAAGCTTGGGGAAATGTTGTAATTTATGAACCTAACGTAGCTTATGGGAGGGCCACCCAATACATCAGGATTAGCCACATGAAGTCATGTTGTAAGACGCTCAGACAAGAGACCTGGTATGAGAAGAGCAGGCGATCGACAGGAGAGTAGCGATGATCCAGCAGCGGGGCAATAAACCTTTTTTTGGAGGGGGTCCCTCGTCGCTTAAGGCCGGCAATTACCATGTATGCAAAATCCTGCAGTCTGGAAGCCCACCACACGTGGCAGAATCTCTTGGTTTCCAGGTTGTCAAATTCTGTGGATCAGTAAGGTCTAGAACTTTGGTTCATTGAACCGAGAGGAGATGGCCACACTATTCCTGAGGAACTCGAATAGAGAGTGTTGTAAGCGTATATACTCCATTTGGTGAGGTGATGCCAACTATACTTAATCAGCTGGCCAAGTTGGGTTAGACGTTGGTTAAAGTTGTCTACATCATGTCTGTTGATACCCCACTAGCGCCGGGAGAATCGACCCTAAGAGAACCAAAGTCGCCAACGCTCAAATTGGACCTGATTCTCTATCTATGCACTGTAATATACACTAGTATGTACCCATATGCAGCTTGAAGCTGCAGATATTGAACTCAATCCTCTGAATCTGGGGTCGATTGGCCCTGCGAAGTCCGGCGTTGGCCGAAGGTTCGCGCAACTCCGTATCAGCCATGGCCTGCAAACATATTTACAGAAGTGAAACAGCCACCTCAAAAGTTCGTACTTCGAGAGATGTCCTCAGCAAATGGAACACCTTTCCGGCCAGCCACCGTCCTTCTGCAGTGTAACACCGGATTACCGTAAATGGATTATGTCTCGCCTTGGCATCACCTGATCTGGCTTCGATTGAGTACGATCAAAACATCATGGGTTATCAACTTGAGAGCCAGTTCTCCAACCAAAAAAGAAATATGTCATCATGACCGAACAGATACTGTGTCGCGCGATCGGATTTGATGAACTCGGCAGGTTTGAGAATCACGAGTCTTGATCTTTCCGCGCTCTTCATCCAAGCTTTCAGCCCGGAAACGTCATCCCTCTTCAACACCAGACAGGAGCTGGAGCGTGCGATCAAGTCTTTGAGCAGCGGGCTCCTGAGTCCCTTTGCTGTAATGTACCTTCTACCAGAAAGTTCAGAATGAATTTGTGAGTCGATTAGTCTGACGTCATGAATGACCCATTTGAGATGCCTCTCGGCATACCACCATGACGATGGCATCAGAGCAATGTTGACCGACAGCAAGACTTGCCATTCAGCGGACCATGTCGTCTCCGAACGGAGAAATTTGTCATATATATACTTCCATGTACGTTCTAACCAAACCAAGACTGGGGAGCAAAACTTTCCAAAAGCTGGAGGGATATCCAACCAGACATGATTCCATAATCAGGTGACACAGCCCGACGGCCTCGTCAGCTCTGTACAACTATCAACCCGAATATCACATTTCCATACTTTCCAAGGTATTTCAGGCCGCCCTTTACTTCTCGTACTGCTTCTAGGGCAGTCGCCTGTGAGCCGCTGAGCGTCCATTGATTCCCAATCACCCCCGTATTAATGGCTGGGTTCTGGTAATTTAGGACCCTGTGTCTATGATAATTCTCCAGTTCCAGCAATCAGAAATGTTGTTGGAATCGCACAAAGACATTTTGCAGCCATCTCATCTGCCTCTGATGAGCTGTCTCCATCTAATTACGCGGTCACTTTCAATTGGAAAGGTGACTGCGCCCATGTGTCGGTCGAAAATTCCAAATGCAATGTTGACAACACAAGGATGACCGAACTTCATAGATGATGGAGCTCCAATTATGGAGCGAAGATGCTGAACTGCAGGACACCTGATCTCTGCCGTCCAGATCGACCCAACATACCAGATTATAAAAGGGACTATACAGACTTACGACAGATATCCTATGAATCTCATCTTCAAAGTTCACGAGGTGCTTTGTATAATTCAGCAAGATGAAACTTGCCTCTGTTCTTTGTTTTTGGGTTGCTACGGCACTCACCAGTGCCCAAGGTGTCTCCAACGACAAGGTATGCTGGTGCCTCACCTATGGGAAGAGTTCGTACTCACCAATTTCACAGCTACGGCAGCTTCAAGCTGCCACAGTCAACACCGACGGCCAGCGAGAGACTGCGGATAATGGGGTGCCCGCCAACACTTCCAATTCTCTTCGCGATGGTCCTCGTGGATACAATCTTCTCGAAGACACGACAGTGCGCAAAAAGATGCTTCACTTTGATCGAGAACGAGTACCTGAAAGAGTGGTTCATGCTCTTGGCCACGGGGCCTACGGAGTATTCAAGTCATACGGTGATTGGAGTAATCTGACATCTGCCTGCTGGCTTCAACGTGGCGCCGTGAGCGAAGCCTTTACCAGGTTTTCGGTCGTTGTGGCCAGTGTTGGCGGCAGCGAGGTTGGAAGAGATACACATGGTTTTGCAACAAAGATATACAGCGAGTGTGGCAACCAAGACTTGGTCGGAAACAATCTCAATTCGTTCTTCATACAGGATGGGGCAGACTTTCCCGACCTGATCCATGCGGTTAAATTTGAAGCCGACAAGGGTTTTCCTACCGGTGGCTCTGCTCATACCACGGCCTATGATTTCTTTACGCAGCACCCCGAAGGCAAGTGTAGAAGAGATCCAGGGACGATGTTGCTGACATCATACAGGGGCATTCCAGCTTATGAATGTGCTCTCCGACCTGGGTAGGCTTGATTCCCCAATCACCTCCTGGCTTGGCTTGTACTCACAGGTAGCAGGAATCCCTCGTGATGTACGGCATATTGGTGGCGCCGGTGTTCATACATATCGTTTCGTCAACAGTCAAGGGCGATCACAATTGTTCAAGTGGTACTGGATGCCCGTGTTAGGCCATCGAACCTTAGTCTATGACGAGGCAACCAAAATTGCTGGAAAGAATAACAACTTCCAGCGTGTTGATTTATACAACAACATCGCTGCAGGAAACTTCCCGGAGTGGGAGCTCGCTGTTCAACTCTTCCCTGATGACGGATCATATATGTACAAAGGAATTGACCTCATCAGTCCCACCCAGATCGTGCCCTTCGAAATCAATCCTCCCGTCAAACTCGGCAAATTGACATTGAATCGAAATCCCACCAACTATTTCGCCGAACCCGAATCAATCTCTTTTGCGCCTTCAAATGTTGTCTCGGGACTTTCATTCGTTCCCGACCCACTTCTTCAATGGCGGCTCATGTCATACGACGATACATCAACCCACCGACACGGCTCTCCAAATGGTTACTTACTCCCTATCAACAGAGCCATTGCTCCCATCAACAACAATTACCGCGATGGCTATATGCAACCTTTGATCTACACTGGCGATTCTACCTCCTCTCCCAACGGGATTGGAGGAATTATGGGGTCAAATCAAAATGCCACAATTGCCTACACGGGGCAATCGGTCACCAGTGCCGGCTCCGGCCCCATCGGTCGCTTTACATCCGTGTACGATTGGTTTGGACAAGCTCGAACATTCTGGGGCTCCTTGGACAGGTATGCCCAACAGCACACCGTCGATGGCTATCGATTTGAATTGGGAAATGTAGCCAACACTTCTGTTGTTCAAGTCTACATCGATAACATCCTTAACAACATTGATAACTGTCTCGCCCGCCGGGTTGCATTTGGGCTGGGTGCGCGAATGCCTGGCATCGGTTCCGGTCCTCGGACGAATCTCACCAACAGCACGACTCCATTTCCAAGTTTGTACCCGATGACGGTGGCCATGGAACCGAACAAGAGCAATGTAGGACTAAGCGTCGCTGTGGTTGCCAACGACACCCTTTTCAGCCTGTCCGATATGGATGCGATGATGCCATTGCTGTCCTCTCAGAAAGTCACGCTCACCGTCGTGGCTCCCCACATTGGCGAGCTGAGCTCGGGAGTCAACGCCACCGCTTCCTATATCACCGCAAGCAGTATCTTCTTCGACGCCGTATTCATCGGCTCATCTTCGGCAAACAGCACCGGATCGCCGGCTCTCAGCACTGACGCGAAGAATTTCATTACAGAGGCTTATGGCCATGGGAAAGCTATCGGCGCGTTGGGCAGCAGTGGAGCAGCATTTTTGAGAGATTTGGGCCTTGAAGTGGATCAAACTCTGGGTTTGTATGCAGGCGAGGCGAATGCGGTGACCAGGAGCGTGCTTAATGCCTTGAGTGGTCCAGTGCGATTCCCGTGGAGGTTCCCGACAGACGATGTCAGCTCGATCTGTGAAAAGTGATGTAGAACACATTGCTGAATCTCATCGAACTAAAGGTGGTAGTGAGAGTTGCTCTGGCGGTCGGTCAACGAGCTTGGACCTGCTGAGGCGGGAAGGTTGCATATCGGGGCTGCATGTGTCGATAAACAAGATAGTCTTAATCCATGTCTTTCGCTTCTAAGGTATGCTTTCAACGCGGAACGACGTCCAGTTCCTGGGGTTGTGGTCCAATACCAAAGATTTCATCCACTTACTCCGATTAATAGTACGGTTTTGCACACTCTCAGAGAGTGAGAAAATATTTCCTCGATCAGGAAAGCCGAATGGTTCTGTAACGGGAGATCCCGATCCCGGATACACGAAGGCATTTGATTGGAGGGTCCTCTCGCTCCGATCCACGAATTACGCCTCAGGCTATCCAAGAGCTTTTTCTTACTGTACAAAAGCGACCCCTATCTGCTTCCTTCATTTTCCAAACACCTGTTCATCTTGCCAACAAATCCGCTGAGCCGGAGACCAATCACAGGTGCGCTGGACTTCGACCCGCCATGCGCCGCTTACGACACTGCAACTGCTTATGGGACAAGCAGATATGTAGGACCATGACGCATACGAGAGATCTCATGACACATACCGTTCTGGCCCCTTGGAAGCCGCATGGCTGTCGGGTAGACTCGGCTGTCTCCTGATGTTCCTATCATGGTGTCCCTATTCTTTACAATAGTCAAGGCTGTTCCTGCAGTTCTATGACTCGGTTTGTTTGCCACGTTGTTGCCGGCAAGCACCGTCAGCCCTTTTGGAGGCTCGTAGGGACAACATCCTCGATTATTCAGGCGAAAATTTCTTCCCTAGGGATTTGTATTTTTGGCCTGGATGAATCGGGTATCCCGCAAGCGAGCTTCCGTGCATTTCCGCCCAATCAGCCTGGGCAAGCACACCAGTCCCAATATTGTCGATGTTTGAAGTACCGACAGAAAAGAGCCGGAGTCTTTGGTCTGTACAACAAACTGGAATGGCAGGTTGATGCGACTCGACAGCTTCGGAGGCGTGGATTTACTCTCCGAATTCTTTCCGGCTGTGATCGCGCAAAAAGCTGTGGCCTCTTGGGTACTCTGAAGGAGGGTCAACTGGGAGTAAAGAATTTCGCTATGACCTGATGCCTCGGGTCTGGACAAGCCATACGTGGCTAGTCCATAAGCTTGATCCATATGGCGGGTTGTCGCTGAATCACGTCCAAAGCCCTTGCAAAGCATTTTTTGCCCAAGAAAAGAGGCTCGGATATGGCTGACAGATCAAGCCCGGTGTTAGTCCGGCCTGAAGCAGGGTATTGGTATTGGTATTGTAGCTTCTATGATGCCTTCAAAGACGTGAATGTGGCACTTTTCGCCAAGTGCAAACCCTCCCAATTCTCAGAGCGCATGCCGATGAGCACATGGCCTCCCTATTTTACGGGGTTATTATTTTATTGTCCAGTCTTTCTACCAATTCTGGATCTGGTGGGGTAGATTGGTGAGGACGGCGGGGTGGATTAAGGAAACCAGACTAGGAACTTCTGCATACATGGTCTGTGAAGATTCCAACTGCTCTCCCAGTATCTGATCCTTCTACCAGGTTTGACTTGAGCCGATGTTAGAGAGCGGAGAGAATCATTCCCTTGGACACCCGGCAAAAATGTGAGTTTCTCAAGTCAGCCAATGTGGGCTTGAGTTTTTGGCTTTTTATCCTCTATTTCGTCTTTTTCATCAAAATTTCTTTCTCTGTGTGTGCGTTTGCGAGCTGTGGAAGAATATGATGGTGAGTTGTATGTTGGCGGCGGCGCCGGCGGCGATTCTGCCCTTCTGGTGTTCAGGTGGGTGCTTCACCACTATTGCTTCCGACACCAGCAGAGATGGTTGATTTATTGAACTTCGAGAATCGGGACGGAAGCTCCTGAATTAAGAGCCCCTTTCTCTGGTAGCCTTGCATGCACCACTCCACTTTTGTGATTTAACTTTCCTCTTGGAGGGAGCCATACTCCTCCGATGGATTCGATGTCTTGGAGGCTAATAGTCCCCTTTCCCTCCAGGTTCGTCAAAGATCAGATAGAGGCAAAATGTTCTTCTTTAGCAGGGCTATGATGCTTCAGGTTGAGTGGAAGTCAAGGGCAGCCTATCAGGTCGTGGCGATAACTAAAGCGGCTTATCGCACCTAAGGAGCCCCATCAGTTCATGTCCACCACTCACCTCGCACCTTGACTCCTTTGCCTCTTCAGCCCTCCCCTCGCATTCTCGTTTAGTTGCGCGGAGAAACCGATTGACATCACTTTGTCGAAGCTTCAACAATCGTATTGTAAAGATGCGATCAAATCATTTCCATCATGATTGGCTAGATAGTAGAGATCTTCGCCGACTCATTAGCTGTGGGTTCTGATGCTTCTCCGGGCCGCATCAGAAGACTCCAGCTGAGGGATGCCCTAGACTTTCTCTCCAAGACGAGGCAAACATATGATATTTCTTTTTGATCAAATCGGTTCGACTAACTGTGTGAATATTCCAGTTTGAGACACGGCTATCCCTCCTAGAAGCAGCTTCCTGCGTTAACTTTGGCTCTCCGCGCTCCCTCTCTTTCACTATGCCTGGCCCGATGACTATACAAGAAGAATCCGATCATTTCTCTCCCTACCGAGCGGATGGAAAGCTCTATGGCTTTGTGTGCGTGGTCACTGGAGCAAATATGCCTGTTGGAGGCGCTATTGTCACAGAGTTAGCAGGTATGGCCACACTGTGGAATTGAAGAGATGTTCAGAAGACTGACGACCACTACTCATTCCAGCCCATGGCGCAGCTTGCATCTATGCATGTACTGCTTCCAAACAACCCTCTGGCGTCCAGACTTCGCTTTCTACACTCTACCCCAATACCAAACTCATCGACTACCCTTACTCGATCTCCTCCGAACAAGACACCTTAACTCTGATAGACGAGGCACTCAACGCTTGGGGACGACTGGACGTTTGGGTTTGCTCTTCAGGTCTTCTGGGTCCTCCCTCCATTGACCTGACGACGCCAGCGGACCTGCAGAAATGCTTCGAGGCCAACAGCCTGGCACCGTTCTTCGCCCTGAAATACGCCCCTCATGCCATGCAAAAGACAACTCCCAAAGGCAATTATGCCAATGCAGCGCCGAAGGACCAACGGTATGGCAGCATCATCGTCGTGACTAGCACTGCGAGCACCTACGGTGGCTGCTGGGGGCCATGCTACACAATGAGTTCACATGCCGCTTTGGGCGTGGTGCGCTCCGGCGTCGCCGTTCTCAAAGGTACAGGAGTGCGCATCAATGCCATTAGCCCCGGCCAGATCGATGTGGGTGTGAGTTTGAACGGGTTTGATGCGAAGGGGATGTTCAACAATACACAATTGCCGCCCGCGGCGTTGCAGAATACGGTCGCGCAGAAGAATAATATCGGACTGGAGAGGGCAGGGATGCCTGCAGAGGTAGGACGAGTTGCAGGCTTTTTGGCATCGGGATTCAGTAGCTATATCACGGGTGCGAATATGGTGGTGGACGGCGGTGCGAGTGTCATGTGTCCTTTAATGGTGCCCATATGAGATACAAGACCAAGATACAGGTACCAGAAGACATAGATGTAGCAGAAATTGAATGGGCTGAATGCGACCTGGACCCTCTTTGACGTGTTCTTGTAGGGAGTTACTATCTAACAGTACCGGCATGAAAAATAAATACTTGGTCCTGCTAGCGAAATAAAAGACTCCCCTGCGTGATATTTTCTGGGCACCGTGATAATGATCAAAGAGCTATTGATAGAAGAGCATTTGATGATAAGGATTAGTGCCGTAAATGGTATACATGTGAGGGAGGTGATCCAGTTTTCTGTTTAGTCCGCACCTGGGTGCTGGAGGATGTTGAGTGGGCGCAGTTGAAGAGCATCGCACGAGTGTTTGACAAAAGAGTGGGATTTCTCTCGGGAAACCTGCCGTTCTCATCTGGAGCTAGGCGCGTTCTCGCTTGGAACTTTTTGACCTCGAACGACTGCAAGATTCAATGTTTATGGCGCATTGATTTGTTGCGGAAACCCAATTCATTTTCAAGGATGTCTCCTCACTCCAGAGGTGTGAAACGCATCGTTGATGTGCTCGGTATGTCTGCCCGCATGTTACTGATGGACGAATGCTCACATGACCAGCAATTTCATCTCGGAACACCCACGTCTGTCGTTCATGTCGACAAGCTCTCTCACGGAGAGGTTACGCATCGGCAGCGACAGCTAAAGCAACCGTTGAGGCGCCTCCCATCACTCAGCTCTCCCCAGAGGGAATTGAAGCATCTTCCGCCCCCCAACCCGTCTTCACCATAAGAGCTGGCGTTGTCGTCTCTCGGCCACCTCTCATTACTCCCGACCCACATCCCTTCGAGACGGCCTACTACCTCTACCAACGACGGTTGAATGAGCGACTCGCTTTGCCCTTTACGCAGTACTTTTACTATAAGCGCGGAACCCCTTCCTTTCTCCATTGGCAGGCCAAGCGTAAGGAGAGAGGAGGTGCTGCGGCTCGAGACATCGGAAAATACAACGCGTACACCCCGGAAGCATGGAATGATGAGGTTCTTGTTGGCGACCAGACCGGATCACCTGCACAGATTGTCGAGCAACTGATAGCAGAAGAGGGCCGAGCGGCTGAATTCACAGGTGATGGAGATCCGAAGTTCGCAGGTTTAAAGCGTAGGACCGAAGCGGATGAGAAGAATGACCAACAAAGTCTGGAGCGGAGTCTGAGTCGGACGCTATATTTACTGGTCAAGACCCGGAAGGCCCAGGGACAGAATCAGGAGGAGAGTGAGTTGTGGAAATTTCCTAGCGGCACCCTCGTGGGGCATGAAGGCTTGAAAGAGGTAAAGACACGCAAAAAAAATCCGCTTTGGACCGGAGCTCACATATACAGGCCGCACAACGGATTCTCTTCAGCTCCCTCGGGCCCAATATGAATACATTTTTCGTCGGTAACCATCCCGTGGGCCACTACGTCACGCACTTCGCGTCACCACAACCAGCACCACCCGCAACGACACAGAAATCCAAGCCCTCCAAATCAACACCGTTGAAGCAGGACCTCGCGCAGTCCGAGACGATGGTTGATGGGGAAAAGACGTTTTTCATGAAGGCACGCATCATGGCTGGCCAGGCGGATTTATCTGCCGCCGAAAATAATGATGTGGAAGATTTCAGATGGCTTTTAAAGGAGGAGATTGAAAAGGCGGTACATCCGGATTACTGGATCCGCATCAGGAATATGCTCGTCGCGCAGTGAGATGGGTTCCAGGCCGATAAGAAAAACTCCCGTGCAAAAGGGGGGCCTTTTGGATTTCCGGGTTTGTACCATACGATGCAAAGTTGTACAATTATTCCAGAAAGTCTTGGATATTGATCAATTCTGTTCGGGGCTCAAGGCAATGCCTTCGTCCCTGTGCATCACTTTCTTCTCTTGTACACAAAGTCTCAATTATGCTGGCGGGCATCCACTTCACAGTTGTCACAGGGCGTCATGGCTTGCCTTTGGACGAAATCCTCTCATAAAATGTCCAAAGGCAAATATGTTGACGACACACTGCCGTGTAGGCTTAGTCAATATTGAATGGCGCCTTGCTAAGATGAAATGGTATCGTCTACCTATAGGTATGGTATGGTCTTTGTGCATCCCGCTGTTTCTCGAAAGAATCATTAACTTAAGCTTAACCTCAGGCTAATAAGGCTGCCGCCGGGCCGCCGCGTTTTAACGAAAAAGCCTAAAAGGCAGCGAGGTACTTTATCTCTACCTCTCCAGTGCTCCTCTTTGTCTACACTGCCGGGTTCATCTCTTTGATATTCACCTGGTCGTTGAGCACAGGACCCAACATAGCCATACATCAAATCCGCACCTCCAGACCAATTACGTTGAAGAGGACCGGCTTTTGTTCGACCCACGTGTCGCCCCCGATGCGGCTGAACCCATCGAGGCTAATCAGGCTGTCTCATTGGCGTCGCAAAAAAAGATTGCCTGACCCGAGACGAAAGGTGCAATTGATCACACCCGCAGGTTGATGAAAGATGCCGGTGCGGGGTCTGCATATGCAAGAGTCCTTATCCTCCAATATCTAGCAGGAGTATGTAGTGGCTGAGGCGCAGCTGTCCAGGGTACGGTATTCTCTACTGAGACAGACCAATTCTCTCCGTGGGGAAGTTGTCGCCTCAGAGAGGAGCCATGTACTTCCTTCTCCCAAACCAAAAATCCCTTCCTTCGAGGCTGCCTTGCGACTTCGCCTGCCTTCTCAGACTCAGCATTTAATACGGACGAAACGTTTGAAACTCAAATGCCGTGGCAATCAGTTAGCGCCTACCGTCTCTCCGCTGCAAATTTGACTGCCTACCTTAGGCGCCGATTTGGCTCCGAAAGGGACTATCAGGTCAATGTAAGTTCCATACTTCGTCGGACTGGTATGGTATTCTGATCATTATGCACAGCTTCAGAACGACAGATATCGTTTTCGCTACAGCCGGGCACTGACTGAGGTATGTGGGCAACGAGTCGTACATATCGCAGTCCTTACACAGTTTGAAACTCTGATACCTGCTGCGCCACCACAATAGGCTGAGCGTGACGAGATTGACGACCTACGCACACCACCATCGTAGAGTATTCCTTTTGCGCGGTCGATCACAAGTCAACGATATCGACCATTGATCAAGGCGAAATCCTTGTCACTTTATTTCTTACCGTCACTCAGCTGTTACCTCGACCTTTTCATCTTTCTAGTTAAGCATTACGAGCACACCAACGTGCTGTGCTCCAGAAGAAAACACAGGCCATCGGTCAAGACATAGCCTCCTCAGTCGGCAAGGGCAATGTACAAAAGGATCCGCTGCTGGATTTATTTTTCTTTTTGCTAAAAAAACCCTGCATATGTTCATCACCGCTGATCATCTTTCTGAAAAAATTTACGCTTGAATCATTCTGTTCCCTTTGCGTTTTCTAGGATACTTTGGAACTAGCTGTCTTCAGACCTTGAAAGGGAAAATTGTCGGTTTCGAAAACATCATCTGGTTACATATGGATCTTTTGCGCCAATCCTGCCAGAACTCGTCGCAATTTCCTCAAAATATCGTCCGCTCCAGACATTATGTCTATGTTCTTGGATCGTATGCCAGATTGTTGAAGAAGTTACAGCCACGATTGTTCACGGACGAGAGAAAAGTCTGCGTTGATTTGTGGCAATGCGATGAAGACGGACAATTTTGCCACGTGGAAGTTAAGGAGCGGACGCATCTGAAACCTCATATGGAAGTGCAACTTCCGTTGCACCGGCGCCATCCTCAATGTCGGTTTGTTTTCGTACACGCTCATAAGGAATCTTCTCGCGAGAAGCTCGCCGTTACAAGCGATATGATGACCGACATCTTAAGTTATCACCAAATTACGCCTTCTTTCGTGGAGCTCATGGCGTCGTTCGGTCGTGATGCTCCGCAAGATTTCCAGTTCTGCGGTTTCAGAGGAGAGATACGATCCTCGTTGACTGATGGTGCGTTGGCCGTGCCCGAGCTTGGTAGATCTGGGCGGCTTCTAGAGCTTTGCTATAGCCTGCGTGCTATTGAACCCAGTACATCATACGCAAACTGGCCGTGGTCAGTCAGGCAACTAGCAGTATCTCACTCCTTCGATGTGAAGACTGGCCAATCTGCCTGGATTGTGCTCAAAGCCGACAAACTCATGATGTCTCGTATAATATCGGCGACGAGATCTCCCGGTCTATCAGATATGTGCTCTTTTAATGATTCGGCACACTCTCTGGCTTCTTCACTATCAGCCCACCTTCTGTTTTGTGAATGGGCAGCAGAGCATTGGCGGTGGTATGTCAATTTCTTGGAAAAACAGGTCCAAGACATCACGGGCACAAAAGTATTCCTTCCGGTAGCGGCTCCGTCTACACTCCGAGAAGCCGAAAAGACCGTTGAAATGACATCAGCACCACTGTTGCCAACACGGGCGAGAACATTCACATTTGGCAGGGTCAAACGCAGCGAGACGTGGAAATCTATTACTCGATCTCTGGGTCTGTCAAAAGATACTGGCGGCGGTATAAATGGACAGCAACTTGACATGAATACTTTAACCTCTGGGGGTCGAAGTCCAGCCCCAGGTGGCGAAGAGGCCAGAGATCAAGGAAATTCTGATGATGACGATGATGATGATTTTTCCTTTGATGATCTCCAGCGCATTCAATTCATCGAGGAAAAAGCCAGTGAGATGATTCTAGTGCTGATAACCATTGTCAAAGTCTTAGATCAGATTCGCGGCCTATATGAAAGTGTCAATGACTATGAGGACTGGCCGGCTGACCTCTCTCGGAACTGCAAGAACAGCCTGACTCGCTTTAAGAACCGAATCCAAAACATTCAGTATGACCTGGGTCTGCAGAAAGAGCGGGCGGAGACATTGACAGCATTACTCGCAAACCGGAAAACGCTGGTATGTGTATACCTTGATCTATGCGAAGCTGGATCATTTTAGTGACATTGGTATAGCTTCACGGCATCCTCGAATGGCGCAGCATGGAAGCGAGCAAGCTGATGGCGAAACAAAGTCAAGCATCTACGAACCATATGTTATCCATGACCGAGGAGATGCGCGAATTAGCTGTCAAGACCAAGCAAGAAACAGTTTCGATGCGAATCATAACCTTAGTGACCCTGTTCTTCCTTCCTGGGACTTTTATATCAGTGAGTATTGCTGAGCAACTGCGTTTGGCCGATGGTTCTCATTCGAGTGTACAGACCCTCATGAGCACCGATATAGTCAGATTCGAGAAGTCCCAGGAGATCTTCTCCTCCGCCGCTTTAAAACTGTTCTTGACGATTTGCATACCTATGATGTTGTTCACGTTTGTGGCATGGTATGCGGTGTATTGGTGGGTCAACAATAGGGAAAGAGTGGCCAAAATCAGGATGCAATTTTCTTCGAAAGTGTGAGGGATGATTTCGAGAGACCCGCGAAAGTCTCTTGATGTTGCTGTGACCTCCCATACCTCCGGTCTCCCTGAACAGACGAGAGGAGAGTTTATGAGGGTGAAATTGGCAAGCAACGAATTTTCTATATCTATACGGGAATATATGGGTTCTCCTGCCCCTGTCAGATGCCCTGTCATGTCTATCACATGCTCTCACATGCGTTCTCACGTGGATGCAGGTGAACACCAATTGCAGCCGCATCCTCTGCTACCGTGAGGCTGAAAGTCCTGCCTAAGCCGTCGCCTTTTCCTCGTGATGCCACACCGGCTTCATGCTTCCAGCCCCAATCAGCCTGATTCACGTTAGTCTTAACCCTATTTTCCTTTTGAGCCAGACGACTTTGGTGGGATGGAGCGGATGAGATGGGGGGTGGTTCGTAGACCTCATGCGGCCATGCGGCCTCCGGCCTCCCAGCCTCCCAGCCCGATCGTCATAAACCGCGCTCTGTTTCCTTCTTCAACTCCTTTTCCTTCCGTATCCTGCCTTCCTCATCTCTCCCTGCGCCCTACACTTTTGCCCAATTATTCCTCGAATCCCTTTCGCTCATCTCATTTGTTTCCTGGCGAGATAATGGGTTCCAATCAAGCCCAACCTACTCATAAGGCTGAGATTCAAGATTTTATTCGATGGATCGACGACAACTCTATTCAAGGACTGACCTCAGACAGCTCATCGGCACCGTTCATGCCGCAGAAAAGGCTGACTGAATACATTCGTCAGGGTACTCGCTTGCGCAACCTCCTCAAGGAATTATTTTCCCCGACCGACCCTCCTGTCCATGTAGAACCTGATGCTATCCTAAAGAATTGCACTGCCGTTCTCGCCATACTTGTCAGAATCGAATACGGCCGATACATCGAGGAATTTGTGCGCCATCGAGAATTGTTCGATAACCACCTTCCCTTTCTTACGATGCCGGCCAATTTCCCTCGCTCAAACAATGAAGGCGTATTTTTCAAGAAATTTGACGAAGAGCAGTGGCGGTTTTGTGCTCACATTTTCTCCAGAGCCCGTATCGATGACCAAATATCTGCCTCCTATATCCTTCCAATCACAAGCAAGGAAAAAATTGCCGAGGGGGGAACCGCCAATGTGTTTAGAATACAAATCCATCCCGATTACGATGAGTTGGATCCGCCCACTGGCGATTCGGACGAATCTCATGTTCGTAAGGTAGGAGTGGCATCGTCACGCTGCTGGTGCACATTCGCTGACGTTGACCGAAGCATAATAACACATATGTTTTGAAAACTTTCCACTCTCGAAAGTATCCTGCCAAATGTTTGTATAAGTCTGAAACAGCCGCCTTTGCCTACTTGAAGCGGTCATGTGCTCTGGGCAACAACTTTATCGGATTCCACGGGAGTTTTGTCTACAATGACACGTACAATATTCTCCTCGAATACGCCGACATTGGATCACTTGAAGACTATTTCACCACCATTTCTCCACCCTCCACCGGTGAAGATATCCTCAAGCTTTGGACGTCTGTGTTCGGACTTCTCACGGCTGTAGAAAACCTTCACACGATCGAAGCTGAGGGGAACTGGGAGGAACCAGTGTTTAATGGGTGCGTATTATGAAATGACCACAATGAGTGTTCAAGCTGACCATATTCTCAGATGGCACCAGGACATTAAGCCTGATAACATCCTGGTATGCAGTGGACCATCAGGTTCCCCGTATGATTTCAAGTTCAAGCTCGGTGACTTGGGCCTCGCTCATTTCCGGAAGGAGAAGTTCCGACATGAGAATGCTCGAAAGCTTGGGCGAGGACAGCTGCAATCTATATTGGACAAGGACTCTGGTGGCACCAAGATATACGGTAAGCTTTTCCAATGCGCAGTTCCAGTGATCTTCTCTAAGTGTTGAGTAGGTGCACCAGAGTGCTATCAAGGTGACGATTCGCACTACTCGCCGAAGCGCGCCATCGGCCAGTCAGTTGACATCTGGTCACTTGGTTGTGTGTTCAGCGAAGTTGCCCAATGGATAGCACAAGGGAAAGAAGGACTTGACAAGTATAGGCAGCGTCGCATGATTGCAACCCGAAAAGTCCCAGGCCACCAAGACATTGGCTGCTTCCATGACAGGGATCATGTTTTGGAATGTGTTAATGATACACACGAAAGCCTCTTCGAGCATGTCAGAGTGTCTGATGTCATGATGAAGCCTGTCATCAAGAAAATGGTCGAAGAAATGCTATACGAAAAAGAAGCACGACCAAATGCGACGCAGTTACTGTGCAAAGGAAGAAAAATTATTGAAAAAGCCAGGCGCGATCTCAACGAACAACGGTATAACGAGTCATTGTCGCAGAGCCCAATGAAGCGCCCCACCAGTGCAAAAGGGGATGAAGTGATCTCGATGCAAGACTTTCAAGATAGACAAGGCTCTAAAGGAAAGATGCGGCGCCGCCGCCGCCGCCGCAGCAGCAATTCGAACCAAGGATCCAAAATGCACTCGCCTCATGATGAAGCTTCCTTCTCGCACCCAGTTAGCGTACAGAACCCGGATGAACTTCCCAGCCAAGATCAATCCACACATCTTTCTCCATCTCCATTGTCTCCCCCATCTCGACCGCCGAAGAACTCAAAGGAACAAGCCCTCCCTCACATGCCGACTGATCAAGCACTGTTTCAAATCATCTCAGCAAAACATGGCCATGAAAATATCTCAAAGGAGTGTGGGAGACTTCTAGACACTCTTGGCAAGAGGGATCATGTAAGTGGCCACTGGTTCCCGATTTTTCATTCTTATTTCTGATCTTAGCTTTCACAAAGGTCTTTTTGATCGATGACGCAGCTTCGATGAAGTCACATTGGGAGGATGTTAAAATGATTGCTACGATATTAGGCTACTTCCTAAAAAAATATGATGACGACGGCATGGACATTTATTTCTCATCATCCATAAAAAGGTTCAAGGCCAAAACAACTACGCAATTGTTGAATTGCTTGTCGGGCTATGAACTACAAAACTCGTCAAATGTTGGCTCAAAACTGGGAGAAATTGTGACCGAATACATTGACACGATCGAAAAGTATCACTCCCACAAACTCTACACCCTTACCAGATCCCGACCAAAACCGCTCAACATTTACGTCCTGACTGACGGTATATGGCAACCTGGATCTGAAGCAGAAACTCCGATCAGGCGGTTGGCCTCGACATTGAGTCAGCTCAATCGAAAGCAAGGGCATGTAGGAATCCAGTTTATCTTCTTTGGCGAAGACAAGGAGGCCGAAGAGAGATTGAAACGCTACGATTCTGGACTGGGCCTGGGGCAGAACGAGTAAGTCGTCCATCACAATTTTGTTATTGTAAAGAGCTACATGATCGCGATAAATCATTTGCTTACGTCTACCACAGAGACATTGTCGACATGGAACCCGCCAGAGGTAACGTGTTGAAAATGCTCGTCGGCGCCGTCAATAAGATGTTCGACGATGACTTTGGCATGTCTCAATCCTCCCTATCGTCAACTTGATCTTTCTCTCCCAACCATCACTCACCGACTCCAGATCACAGGTAGCACTCGATCGACCCCCTCCCCCCCCAGAGTTATCGGGTTGGAACACTGCGAGAAATTGTCACCATGCCTGCTGGTAATGATTTACCTCCACCTCATAAAGAGAGCACCCTGCAATATATGTCTTGGCGATCCTGCAGTCATCAGGTATGAGCACGCTCCAAAAGACTTGGGAACTCCGGAATATCACGCTATATTATCCGTGATGCTGGCACGGTATGCTATGGTAATGAACAGGATGTTGCAGTGTTGAACTGTGAGACAATGTGTGGCAACGATTTTAGCGTGGCAATGAATGTTCAGCTGGACAAGGATTTCGTCTACGAGCTGAACACGGACACCGAACGGTGGCAACAACCTTTGTCCGTATAAACATGCGAGGCAGGACCTCAACCTGATAGAGAACAGAGCACTCCTTCAACTCAAGTTGTACCACAAGTTTGACATGCAGTGAAACATGTTACAATACATATTTCCACAAACAAATATATCAAATCAAATCGAGTGTCATATCTGGGACAAGAGGGGGAATGAAAGGAGCAGGGGACTACCGCAATGGCAAAGGTTGACTGAAGTAGTCGTTGTTATGGTCTATGTATCAGTGTCTTGTTGTTGAACTTCGTGAATTAAAAGAGTGCTCTGGCTCTCCTCATGAGTGTAGGATAGAGCCCATCTATATATCTATCTAACGAGCGTACGTCACCATTGCTGCCTGTCAATGGTGATACAGCCTATTGAGCGAGAGCTGCAAAGTATCCTAGTCTGTCATAAATGATTGGCTAGCATTTGTTCAATGCTATTGTCCAACACTTGTTCTTCTGAGGGTTGTGTGGAGTAGCGTGAAATATGCCAAGGCGCTAGTAACTGGGAATAAAAGCGGCCTTCGGCACGCCCTCACTTAGTTAGCTACAAATACAATTTCCACTCGTTATTTTACAGCAGCAAGTAAACGAGTGTTCTAGTGAGCTAGTCCCAACTAGGCCTAGCGTTACACGTGACATCGAGCCTCGAATTTGATTTATTTGGATTCAGAAAAGATCGATTCAGTTCGATTTGATTTGATCTGAATCAATTTGGATCAATTTGGATATTTGGATAGCCCCAATCCCCAAGATGATATACATTGCGCGGCGCCGATAATATCCGCTCGAAGTCGGCTTCTCTGAGCCGTTATGGCAATGTCCTGAAGCCTCGCTTCCTCTATCCAAGGCCTGTGGTCCCTTTCTTGTACCTTGTATTCGTCCTCCCAGCCTCCCTACATTCCTACTTAAGCACGGTGGTTTGCCGTTACATACGGTGCATTTCCAAAATCCCATGGACTGGATCCGATCAGGCTGGGGGCTGCGCCGTACACGGTGCCGAAGGAACGAGACCACTCCCCCCGGTCACCACTCGGCCACATGGTCCACGGATTGGATCCGATGGCGGTGGTATATCATGGGATCCGATCCATAATTAGACCATGTCGATATCGAGGTTCGTCCCGTTAACGTTCCATATCAGTAGAGCTTATCTAGGTAGTCCATGGGTTGGATCCGATGGTATACCACGACCCATCGGATCCAATCTATGGATCATCTCGACGTCGAGGCTTGTCCGTTCACGCTCGGTTACGAAGCATCTCGAGCTTCTCTGGGTGGTCCACAGACTGGATCCGATGGCGGTGCGGCAAAGGGAGTGCCTTCGTGATCACGTGGTGTGCCAAGCCACAGACCAACGTGATTGGCCAATACGGCGGTCTTGGCGTCGCTACACAACACCAGGTCACTGCTGGCGAGCGCTGATTGGACAGAATTTTTATCCAAATATCCAAATAATTAAATCAAAGCATCATGATTTGATTTGATTTGGATTTTATCTGGATATGATTTATCTATTTGCAAGCCTGTGTGGGTGTTCAATATATATATATATATATTGGTGGTTACAGAAAAGCTTGAACTGTTGACATGACAATCAACCAGACTTGGGCTTCGTTGTATCGTAATGATTCAGTTTCATCACACTAGTCCACTCTTGTCTGCAGCCCCTTTTGCGTTCAGAGCAGAATTTGTTCTCCGATGCTGTCCAATTAGCAATTTTTTACAATTCCAATTTTGCATTCCCCTCTTTCAAATTATGGGATTTCATTTTGTTTCAATTTAACTTGGCCTTCTTCATCTCCTCCTGCAGCTCCCTCTCTGCCTCTTCGTCCTCAACGCCAAAACCGCCCCATCCATCGAATTCGCTAGCAAACTTGACCGCTGCCTTGAGATAATATTTCTCGCCATTTGGCTCGTCGGGCCAGACACGTTCTGCTTCGCGCATTGCCCGACATCCCTTGATGAAATGCGCGTCGAATTCCTTCTTGCCTTGTAGAGCCTGAGTCGTGACGAAGCTCCAATCTCGGCCCGCGAGATCGAAGTCCGTGATATATTCGCGCTTGATCAGGGGGCGGAGTTGGCAGATATAGACCGCGATTGTGAACAAGAGCCATTCGCGGATGAGTGGAACATGGTATTGGGCGTCGAGGAAGGGGATCAGGATACGCACAGCGTGTGATGTCGTAAGAAGGTGTAGGAGAAAGAAGTCATAGCCATGGCCGCCGACGTTGGTGGCCGTGGAGATTAAGAGTGCTGAAGCCAATGCTTGTGATTGGCTGAAGTCTTTCGTTGGGTCGGTGATTTTCCATGCGGACCAGTGTTCGAGGAGGATCGACGTCAACACCGGGTCGGCGAGGAGTTTGGTCAAGTTGTCGCCACCGTAATGATGGAAGGCCGAGTCGAGACGTTTATCGCCGTTAATCCGGGCAAAGAGCTCGAAGAGATTATTCGTCGAATAAGTCAATGGATTTGCCGTGGATGTCTGGGACAATGTGGACGCCGATTCAAGCAGAGTCGCAAGTTTCGCGTCGTAGCATGTTGCTGCAAGCCCCAATGCTTCCATGGCTACCTCGCGGTTGTTTAACTCGTATGCGTATCCAAGGTGGATAAGCGGATGACCCAGGCCACCTGTTAAACAATTGAACATGGGCTCTGCGTTGGCGGATTTCCTTGGACCACGCTCGAAGATAAATTTTCGCACGACTTCCTTCCAGTCATATCCTTGGAGGACAAGTTGGTCTTCGAAGAAGTCGACGAATGCGCGTTGATATTCACGTTTCCCTAGAAAGTCGCGGTAGTCGTGCAACGCGATTTCCGAGGGCGAGTCCACCCAGTGGTCGTGCCCTTCGTTGGCCGCCGCATCTTCGTAGATGTCGTTGAGATGCTCGGCCGGGCTGCCGAGGAGGTAGGCAGATCCGAGAATCTAGAATCATGTCAGATCAGACATAGGGAAGTTTAGGGTACAGATGGATGGATGGGCGGGAGGGGAGGGGGAAATATATATACGTGAGGCGTATGATTATGGAATCTTAGGTGATTGTAAAGAATGGAAAAATTGGCATGGTTGAGTTTGAGGAGGTGCTTCAGGCGACGACTGCGCTTGTCGCTGGAGACTTCGATGTCGTGGACCTCGACAGATGGGATGGCGATGGGTTCAGAGTTGGTAGAGGCCTGACCGAAGCCGAAGCGAGGGAACGAGAGGTTGAGGAAGGATGAGAACATGGTGGCGAGATCCTAGATACAGCTTGATGATTCAATTGCCATGGTAGATGAAAGGGAGCTTGATGTAGAGATTGACTCGGTGAGCGAAATAGGTCAGGATGATGAGATGACGTTGAAATCAGCCTTACCCCGCATCAGGCTTTACGGTGAAGTGGGAAATAATTAGTGCAATATCAAATGGTGGAGCGTTAATTCGTTCGCGCAGATATTTGCTTAGGTGCATCAAGACAGGTCAGGTCCCCCGTTCGTGTATATGAGGTCAACGGCGGGCTTCTTCAGCCTCGGGGCTCTGAATGCGTTCATAATCACGATTGGATTTAGATCTGGGTCTCTCTTTCTTCTAGTGTTGCTCAAACATCGGCCCATGAACAATGAATGTGGAAACCATCTACCCCTGACATTCCCTGACAACATTCTTGCTCTTGATACTAGTTTCAGCATCGACATCAACCGCAATAGTCGCAGGTGCCCCTGGATCTGCACTTGTTTTTGCACCAGAGTCATTTTTAGCGTCGGCATCAGTATCAGTATCTTCTTCGAGAATGCTTTGCGTAGAGCGTACTCCAACAGCGCTCGGAGGACGGGATAGAGTTGAGTCAGAGCTGTTGTTGGAATTGCTGGGCGGGAGGGTTGAAGTTTCGGTGGTGGCATCCAAGTAGCTGTCGTTGCTCAATGTCCACGGTGTCGCGGTCGAAACTGAGCTTGATGCAAGACCCCTACTGATCCCCTGCTCGTTCTGGAGGGTGCTTGGTACCGCATTCACATTTGACTGCTGTCCGACGTTGCATGCGTGAGATGAATCTCGCACCTGCAAATTCGGAGGTAGTGTTTGACGATTGTCCAGAGACATATTCAATAGCTGTTCATAGGAGTTGGCATGGGGGTTCAGCATCAAATCATCAGCATCGCCAGCAAGAGGACCTGTAATGGCATGGGGATTGACAAATCGTCGCGTCCAGGGAGCAGTGGTTTGGTGTTGATTGGCGAATGGGACATATGTGCTAGCAACTGTGGTTTGCGGCATTTGATACACAGATGGCATACCCATTGAAACAGGGAAGACGCTCTTGAATTGGGCAGGGTCCCGAGTATTCACGTAGGTGCTGGACAACGGGTAACCGTAGCCAGTTGTTGGAATGTTGTATCTAGTCATGACTGGCGTTGCATAGTCTGAAGTGAAGGCATTTGCTTCTTTCTTCAGGGGAGGTGAATTTACGCCAGAGAGATCATGATCATGCATGGTTGTATCCGGTTCCTGTTTGGTAGTGGTTGAGGACGTCACGAGTTGGCTGGATGTAGTCGTTGACGAATCAGGATCCTTCTTGATGAGAGATGAGGTGGCGCTTTGGGCGGTGAGGCTTGGATCTTTAGAGTATGATGGTTCGACTTTGATGATTGGATAAGAGGCAATCATATTTGCATCCTGGTGTGTTGCGTTCATGAGAGAAGGTGCCCATACCACATCCATGTATGAGGACGGTTCAAGCCTGATCTTCTTCTGATAATGATCTTGTGAGATCCTATTTCTCATCACGTTCTGCTCATTGGCAAGCCTCTCGTTTTCTTCTTCCTGAAGCTGTCGTTTTCCTTTCGATTTATCCTTGAAAGATTTGTTTTCTTCATCCTTCTCTTTCTCTGCCCTTGGTGGTTTTGGCTGGTTGGATATACCTTCAAATTGTGACCTCATTCGACTGTATCGCATTCGTGCTGCATGACCATTGGATATATCAAGAGCATTTGCCACTTGATTCCAATCGATCGATCTGAGATCCAGTTGTTTGAGAATTGTGTACAAAAACATTGGTGTCTGCCCATCATTTGCCAAATTTTTGGTACGTCTGAAGGATACCATAGCTGGAACGAGTGATGATAACTGAAAGCAGTTGGTCAAGAGTGTGTATAGATTACTGAAACTCCCGGACAAGAAGGTGTTCAGAAAGTAGATGGTGATAAATTGTGCTGATAAATTTTCAAGATTATATCATTGAGATCGGGGCCATGCTTTGTGAGTAAGTTCCATCAAGAAGTCAACGACCATTCTTGGGGGAATGGTCTTTGATTCTTTGTTCGACGATTGAACTTCTTTCAGTGGAAAAAAAAAAAAAAAACAAGAAGTTGGCAAACATCAAAGATCATGAAAGAAGGTACAGAGCTTCAAGCTTTTTCCATAGATTCTTCTTATCACAACTTGTTGTCAAATTGCCGGGCACCACTCATAGTATATTCTTGTTCCTCGGGTTGTTCTCCGAATAGAACATGTTCACGACCTCCTCTAGAGGTCCACCAAGCCACACAAGCAGCAGCACGTTCAACATCCATTTCGCCATTACTGAGCGTATCCCACAATCTTTGTTGACATTGTTGTTTCTGGCCTGGATTTTTGATCTTGTGTAGGAGTTCGGCCGTTATAGGGAGCCATTCCTCCAAAAGTGGAACTGGTAAAAAGTTCAAACAATCAATGACGGAAAGAAGTAAGACTGCTCTCTCGGACAAAGGTGAACTCGCTTCTACCGGAATATCCGGATCAGGTGGGAGAAAATCCTCTGATGCATGATCCATTCGTTCTCTAAGTAGATCAAGAATGATTGCTTGCATAGCTGGCATGGATACAGCGATAGGGGATGGTGGTGCTGCAAGTCGAACGATAGATTTGATGGCCAATCTGAATTGCCGAGGAGTCAGTGGTTTCGGAAAACTTGACAGTAAAGTTTCGACGTAGAATGGGACATTTTTGGTTGACACTTCCGTGTTTTGTGGTGAGGCAAAAATAGCCAAGATGACGCTGTGAGCGGCTTCGTATAATTCTCCCAATCGAGGATCTCCTTGAGGGTTAACATATGGTGTTGCTGCGTTAAATAATAGGTCCTGATTCACTTGTGGGGGTAGAACCAATGTGAAATGTTCTGCAGTGTTGAAGAAGAATAGATCATTTATTCTGTCGAGAGGATGAGGAGGTATTCGACCCAACTCGGGGGGTCTGATCGCCTCCAGAAAGCTCTGTGATTGTGGTTGATATCGGCTGAGGATGTCAATGGCCGTAAAATTGACGAAAACATACTGGGATGAGGATGTCAACCCAAACCGATGCGCGATGAAGTATGTGTCTCGTAGAATGTGTAAGGTTTGCGTGGTCAATCCGGGAGCATTGATGTCGGATGCCAAAAATCCATCGCAGAGAAGCCTCCCAAGCACAGATCGAAGGGCAATGACGATGGAAAACATGGTATCCCGGAGTACTTGCAAGAGAACGGGGAGAGTTTTGCTGGTCGTCTCCGGATCCAAATATTGAGTTTCTTCTCTTGAATCGATTTCAGACAATTTATTCTGTCTCCACGAGATGGCAAGATTTCTTGAGAACTCAGCAATTCTGTTGGTGGTGTATACAATCAACTTTCGATCCTGGACATTGTCGATACAATGGGCCATCAAACGTGATAAGGCACCGAGTGCAGTGATCAAGTTTCTTGATTTGATGTCGGCGACTTTCCGGAAGGAACTGGAATTCGACGACCAGTTGAACGTCTGTCTGGAAGACTGTCGCACATCACCGTCGATGAGACCAAGCCAATATCCATGCTCAAGACCTTCATGGGAGAAGAATGTCGCATCCACTATTACCGGCAAGAGGAGGTCGTACTCTACCTGCGAGCGGTGAAATTCTGAAAATATGGGGAATGTATGGTTCAAGACAAATATCACCGCCAGCTCGCAGTTTGGCTCGGAATCCTTCTGTCGTAAAGCAAGATTGGACGCAGTCACCAACGCAGCCTCAAGTTTATTCCGCAAGTCCGATGATAGCTCTTCGAAGTTCCTGGAGTGGAAAGCGAGAAGAATCCCCCCAAGTGCCAATGTGTGTCTCCATCGTGGAGATTTTTCGTCCGCTCCCTGTACTACGGCTTTCACCCATTCAGAGACCGGCAGGTTGCTTCGTGTGTGTTCATGCGCAGGGCTGTGTTTATCTTCGATAAAGCGCAGGACTGCGGTGTAGAATACGCCGAACACTTGTCGACATCGGACGAGTTCGGTAGGTCGTAGATATAGGAGATCATTTGATAGTATGTGCGACGTCAACAGATTGAGATTCAAAGGATTCGACAGCCTAGATAGCAGATTTGTGGTTGTAGGTAGTAATCTGTGGTGGGACATTAATAGGATATCGATTTTAGGAGGGGAGGGGGGTCTTTCACCTTACTGCGTCTTCTGAAGACTCAGAGGTCTGTAAAGACCGTAGCAAGGTCGCAAGCGACCTATCCATTGCCGTGTCGCATTCAATTGCGATGAAGCAGTTCTTGTTGGGTCCGAGCATACACTTTTTTTCTGGCTGGTGACAGTTTGACAGCCGAGGTTCGGCTCGATGGAAATTGACCAATGAAATCACGCAAGGCTCGCCCCTTAACTCCCGCACAACTCGACAGCTGGAGATCAAAATCCACGAATATGTTTCTTCTACTGAGCATACCACCCCCCCCAAGATTACCAATTTCTTGCTCAAAATAATCAGATCGAGCCTGATTCATCAACATCCATTTCTTCTACGTCAACCCAGCTGATGTAGTTTTCGCCAGCCTTCCCACAATCCTAACCATAAACGTCCTCGTCGCTATCTCCTCAGCATCAAAATCATAATCCTCATCGAATTCTGGTCTATCGAAGTCTTCAATAGGCTCTGGATGATCGATTGGACGCCATTCAGACATGTCTGAATAGTCCGACAAATAGTCATTTATGCCATCATGATCTGCTTCGGCATCCGGGTCCCGTTCGAATACTCTCCATCGTCGGTTGTCGAAAGGGTTCGCTCCTCCATTATTAATGTATTTGAGAATGGCAGTACTTGACACCCGAGCTGGGATCTTTAAATCCTCGTCTCCTTCCTCGAATTTTTTGTTGTCGTGATCCCAAGGGCTACGCAACTCGAACGAACACAAACTCCAAATCTTCAGACCATTTCTTCACCAAGTCCTTCCAGTGGTCGTGTAAATATGGTCTGAGCAGGATCAGGTTCTTCAGTTTCGGTTGAATGAAGAGCCAGCGGCATATCTCTCGGGTGGAAAAGTGGACCTCTTCGAATACCAAAATGCGAAGCTCTGGCAAGGATTCGAGTGGCAGCATGTTTTTGAGTGGGATGGCTGAGCGGGATGGCTGAGCAGGAAATCATGATAAGACAAATCTCCAAGCTGCGAAGCTTTGAAGCTCCAGCAAGAGCACTTGCCCACAGACGCGACTCTGGAAGGCTTTCCACTCCTTGACTAGTATTCACCTCGAAGCAGAGACTGAGGCTTTTCAAATGTCGGAATCCGCAGATCAACGCATCATCCCCTAGGTGGTCAAGTCTTTCGAGAGCTATACCACTCTTGCAGAGAATATCTGGATCTCACCGGATCTCCAAATGTTGAATCCTGGGATTGGAATACTCATCACCAAGCGCCCGCCAGATCCCCAGGAATCCATGTGCGGGTCAGGACGATGCACCTCTCCGGAAGGTCATCCGTATCGCTGAATCGCTCACAGGGAAGATGTAGTTGAGCTTCTGCAGAGACAGTGCCAGTTCCGTGCGCGGATAATCGATGGCGATGCCTCCGGCACTGACTTCGGTACGTACGATGCGCTGGAGATTCTCAAAGCGTGGAAGTGTAACGCGGAACGCTCCATAAAGGTGTCGAGGCTTCTGTAAGACGGCACCTTCAGCATATTGTTGCAAAACACTTTCAATCATGCCTTGATCTCTAGTGGATCAACCACATGCCTGAGCCCGCGAGCTTCGTATATACATCATGATGACCTTCAGGATGCGATTGTGGTACATCCCAGTCCTTAGCCAAAAACCCTTGTGGATTTGGGCATTTTTCAATGGCATAACCCATTTTCAGTGATCTCAATCTCACAATAAATTCAAGAATTAGATCCGTGAACCATTCGACTTTCGTCTCCTGTTGTGGATCATCTTCGCTAAGAATATCCTCGAATTTCATTTCTTGATACTGTAATTCCTCGCGAAAGCCCCGGTTCACCATCCGCAGAGCCTTAAGATCCGGCGGCTCCAATGGATGGATGATGTGTTCGAAGATCTCCTGTGGGATGTCACCAAGCATTTTGACGGACTCCTTTGATCATCCGTAAGACAAAGAGTGCAGTTGAATATTTGCTTTTCCATACCTCTTGGTGTGGGATGCTAGGCGGCGGCGAGGAACCAAAATGACGAAGTCTGAAACCGCAGCTAGTAGCGCCTAACTTGCACCAATCATTCCATCCCTTCCACTTCCAATGTCTAAAACCTGCGGGATCACAGTAGCATCTTTGTCCACCGTATTTGATGGGTTGCAAATAGCCTGGAGAGAAGTGAAAAAGGGTAGTGGTCACTGGGGCTGGGCGCAGAATGTCCCCACCCTGAATCCCGGTGAACAGAATAGAACTGGTAGAGAGAAAGAAAAAGGGTACTTATGCATAAAATTCAGAGTTTTGGTCAACACCTCAAGTCTATCCCAGGTCCGACCCTGATAACAGAGACCAAAACTAGGCTTGAGTCGTGGCATGAAGGTGCGTACATCAGACATCGGACTATTTGCTCCGGAGCAGGACGAGAAGCCTAAAAGGTACTCCTCCGATAAGGTGAACTACGATATGATCCCCTCTCGAGGGGTGAGGGGTGATTTAGTTAGACATGTGTGTGCGTGTTAGGTGTAACCCAAAAGCATAGGAGAGCAACAGACGATAACACGACCGAGAAAAGCCTGTAAGAGGCTTCCCCTCCGACAGTGGTTGAGTTCCAGGTTAGGGAAGACCGTTGATGTTGCACATGGGGAGATCGAACCCCGTATGGGATTCGTATCTTTTGTCGTAAAGCCTTGCCGATAGCAACTCACAAACAAGGCTGCGCAAAGATGTTTGGCAAGGTAGGGAGATCGATGCGTCTTCGGTACAAAATAATGGTTGAAATGCAGTGTCACACAGATCACCGGAGGGCCAGAAGCAATCAGCCATTCGGAGAAGTCCCGCGTGATGAAAAAGAATCATGTCAGGCAGTCCAGATAGATTCTCAGGATAAACAATCAACGATGATCGAGAAGTTACATATATGTTATGGAATTCAGTAGTTTCGTACCACTCTGCCAGAACCAGATCGATTTGGTATCGCAGCAGAGTCCGACTGGCTTCGATGGCTTCGACGGCTTGCAGCGGATCTGATATCCGGTCCTAACGTCGTACAAAGATCCTGATGATCACATTCCGGTGCGGTTTGGCCGACAAAGATGGCTTGGTTCGTGTATGCAGTGTAATGTGTCCGATTGCTGTGGCTTTTCCAATTGCCCTATAAACCTGTCATGATCCCAATGCGGTAAGTGGTATGTCAATATACGGTGGTCTTGCTCCAGCAACGGCTGCCTAGTCCAAAGTCCCATTGATCAAAGTGAATATAGCTCGGCTACTTTACTCAGGCTTGAGTTTCGGTCGTTGAAGCAGAATATTAGCTGATGAGAGAAGTAGCTAGTCGCAGAGGAGAGGACCGTTCTCCTGCGAAAGTGTGGCACATATGGAGAAGATCACCGAGATGAATGGCCGATCTCTTCTAGCGTAGTCAGGTTTTACAGCTGGATTTCCTACGGAAAAAAGCTTCCAGAGGAACTTTTGTAAGAGATTTCCAATCAGTCCTACATTTGGCCAACGACGACCAAAGGATGAACTGTGCAGACCACTAGATCGCAAGCTGTCCGTTCTGGTACCTTGAGACCTTTTCCTCACTCTAAAAGATCTACAGGGTCATTTGAGAGGAGTCAGTTCTTGTGGTGGGTGATCGATTTTGACTAGATTACGTCCAAGTCAAGTCAATATGGCCGAGCGGCTGTCTTTCACCTGCCTGAGAAGTGCATACGGCTTTTTAAAGTACGTCGATGCCTTGAGCACAGTTGGGGAAATATCAGTAGTGAAAGGTGATGGAAAACGAATGCTCTGTGAACATTGAGAGGTGGCTTTTGACTTGGACATGGACTTTGAAGGATTTGTGGGTTGGTCCCCAGGACCCTACAAGTCAGTTAAAGTCATCCAACGGTTGTCCTGCTCTCCACGTTGCGTTGTCCTTACCTCATGCCTCGAAAGGACAGACAGCAGAAATGCTATTTTGTACAAATGATTTGCACTCCTGGGATTTGCAGCTCCTTCAATTTCACCAGAAGAGCAATCTCGATCGTCCATCTAGTGCTCCATTTCAATTAGAAACCGAAATTCGGTGGCAAAACCAAAGAACCTGAAATTGTTTCAGGAGAAGACTTCTGGTCCGTCGCGTTATGAACAGATCTCCGAGCGAGCGTGTTCGAACTGAAATGTGCACGCTGAACCAGCAGAGCCGAACCCCAACCAATGCCCATTCCAGGACCACCTACCAGCCAGTGCAACGAATTCGGCACAATGCGTCCCCTCATTCACGTTCCCGTCTTTCCGTGTGTCTTGCTTAAGGTAGATCAAAAACCCGTCTTGAGAAGTTCCCAACGTGTGAAGGAAGTGGCCGGCGCTGATCCAAGCGTCAGGTGCAATTTGAGACAAACTCCAGGCACAGACAGTAACAGACTCCAGAGACAGAAAAGGCTTTGTGCCTTTTGCTTGTTGTTGACATCTTTGACTGAAATTGAAACTTGGGCTGAAGCCTGTAGGTGAAATCGGCATGACTTTCGCGATCTCAACTCTTTGAGAAGCGACCGCTTAATTCGGATTTGGAAAAATGAACCCCTGAGTGGGCAGAGGCATGGAGTTGGAGGTTTGTCCGTCAAAATGCCAACACCAAATCCCATCAAAAGCTTAAAAACCACTTCTGCAAACTAGTCCTCTTTAGTATTCCTGCATGACATAGGGCCGCAGGAGCATTTTACGTGAAGATTCACGCTGCCTAGGGTCAGGAGTCAAGCTTCATGATAATTATTCCCTACGTACTATACGTACCTGCTACTACCACTGCCCTCCCTTGCAAGCGCCGCTAAGCAAAAGGGGGGGAAGCAGAGGATCTATGCGAAAACGGCGCTACCCGATCGAGCTGGCTTACTGTCGTTTGAGGTCGAGTCCATGTTGTGCAAGGCGGGAGGGACCTGGGACATCCGCCTTTGATAGATCTCGGTGGTGGGTGTAACTTTCTCTGTCAATCTCCCCTCCCTTGTCTCCCCCCGCCACCAAGGCTAGACTTACCATCCATACAACCGAGCCTGTTCAACACCATCGTCCGCGTACGTAGACTCCGGATGCAAGATACGAGGTTCGGATGTCGAGGATTCGCTGACGATCGACACAATCATTGCCAGCCATGACGCTTCTTTCTCGGGTTCCAAGCGATGAAAGAGGGGAGCGAGAAGGACTAAACGACCAATATGAGGTAAAGACTAAACCGCGAACTCCATGACATGTCAAGGGAGAGTCATTTCCTGTCTATCTGAGACCCCCTGTCCGTCATTCATGAACTTGAGCGAGGACGATAAGCGAGCAGCCGGCGCGCGGGGATTACAAGGGTTGAAGGACAGTCGAGTGATGAATATATGGTCCATCACTTTCACACCCTTGTAGCCAATCTGCTGTGCTCATCGAAGGGGATTATATTGTGATGCACAAGCCTTTGTCCTGTATGCCCGCGCCTGTGCCTGCAGCTCTGCTCATCACACCCTCGAGCTTGTAGTTCCTCAACTCTCATCCCGTCGCTATCCACCTAAAGATCGAATTGCCTTCTGAACCTAGTTGTACAAAAATAACGCGTGTACCATAGGTTTTCTTTCATTTTTAGTTTTTATCCCGTCCTCAACCTTGTAGTACTGTTGAAAAGTCCCTCCTCGGGATCAAGAAAATCATGGAAAGTCCTTAAATTCCAAATCTTTATCTTCATCGTGAAATCCTGTGGCGCGGCAACTTGCGCTGATGCGCCTGAGCCCCGAAAACTCCATCTGTGGGTATGCCTTGTATCGTAACCCAATCATGGTGAAAAGTAGTCAATATCTTCCGAAGAGAAGTTGCATCCTTCATGAACCCATTCCTCGTGAAGTCCTTGTATTCCTCGTCCTGATTCAGTAAAGTCCATTCATTTATTTGATCCACAGACACCGGAAAGACAATTTTCATGCCCGGCTCTGGAGGGCTTTCGCCCTTTTCAGTTTAAGTGCCGGAAGTTGCCGGCGACGAGCGTTGATAAACCAGTTGCTAATCTGTGTGAGGTCAGTCAGCATGGGACAGTCTATCACAGCGGGTGACCTTGGAGAAGCCTACCTGACTGATAGTCAATCCGGTGCGTTGGATAAAGATTTGTTTTTGCTCGTCAGTCGGGTACGGGTGATCCAAATGCTCTTGCAACCAACGCCGAAGAATATCAGTGATGGGCTTCGGCAAGTTTCCTCTGCGTCGTCGACCATTGGCGTGGGAGCTATATCCCATGATAGGATATGACAACAACTGGCTATACTTCATATGATAGGGGGAGGTGTCAAGTGATCGGTAGCCGCCATCATATCCCAGGGGGCTCCGGTATTGATCAAAAGACTGACCATACCGTCCGTAGTCGAGAGATGGGTTGTACGATCTCTCGGACATTAGGTATGGGTTATATCTTTGCGTTGAACCGACTTGTGGGGTTCTCCATCGGGAGAAAGAATCCGGACTGTCATTCCCGGTCGGGACTTGTCTTCCCAGAGAATATGTTGATGCGTAGTCTGGAGTATCTGACGGGATCATAGGCTGACTCATTCCCGCGAATGACTGCGATTGCGTTGATAGTGCAGGTTGAGTATTCATTGATACGGCAGCGTCGGTGAATGAAGATGAAGAGGACCATGGTGAGCTGTATTCTGCTGGTGTCCTGGTTGGAGTTTGTAGTTGATGAGACGACCCCAGTCCATTCACCTGTATCTGGCTTGCAGCATCTGCTGGGAACGCCATTGGGCTAGTTTGCGGCTGCACTGGAGCTGGTATAGACGCCACATTCATGCTGGTTGTAGGTTGCGAGCTCAAATATGGCACCATCATAGTTCTTGTAGTTGATGGTATCCCTTGTACATTTGATTCGAGAGTGTTTGCGCGCGGTGGAGGGATGACCTGGTCACACTTGCGGTCAGCCGGAGCGACCTTGCCAGGTTCTTAAATATAACTTACCTCGCGGATAGATGGAAGCTGTTGTTCTGGCTGAGTAACATCCAGCCTCGTCTGCGAGGCAACAGGGGTGTTGTTGGAGGCATAAGGCCTGGTGGTGGTTTGGCTGTAGTGCTCCATGTCGTAGAACGCCTCTATGCAAGTGATGGAACGGGAGCAAGGAATGGGACGAAAAAGGGCAGACTCCAAGATTGATATTCACTTGAAATAGCGGCGGGACCGCACGAACCAGGTCTGTCCTGCCCTGTTGAAGACTGCTGTCTGCCAATCACCAGATGTCTGTGGGGGAGAGCATTGTCCAGCTGCAGGAGAACTGCAGGCACAAGGAGTTTTGCAAGAGGTTGACAGGGCAGTGACATCAGCAAGTAGCAGTCGAAAGACAAGGCAGAGACAAAGTGGCAGTCCATGCTATGAAGCCCTCCCATATGGTGTCCGCCAGTGACCAGAAAGATGGTCGAGTATGTATGCATGACAAAAGTGGACGTCGGTAACCATTCCACATTCAACTCATGCCCCCAAGGAAACACCCAAAAAGTAATCCTTAGAAGGTGGGGAGGGACATACAACGTACCGAAATGGCTGAAGTGTGTGCTGTCTACTCTCGCTCTGACACGCTCGATACTCGAGCAAGCGGCGTCGACTCGGAGATGGACAGTCCGGTGGCGTCGAGTCCACCACAATTCCAGGCTTTCCCACCACCTGCGTTAATACAGTCTACGCCTTACCCGTCATGGCCAGGGATCATTCGAGCTGGCCTCTTGTTTGGGTGGTGTGGGCCCGCGATTCTTCACATTGTAGCTCTTTGGGGGGGAGGATGGGCCCCAAAATTCATGCCTTGCAGCTGCCACTGTGCCGTTTTCAAACCCCCTGCCACATCAATCGGGCAAGTTCGAGGGCCGACATCACCTGCCAGTTTTAAGGAGCGCGGTTTGACCTCTGCTGAGGGGGTAGTACTTGTTGGCTCAGCTAAATTACCACAAGTTAGCACGTACCAGAAAAGGGGTGCAATCTCGCGCGGGGTTCATCCGGCATTTGCAAAACCTGTACACAGGGCTGCTTCGCTTAGGAAAAACGAGTATACTTCGATTTGGGCAGTAAAAACGATAATCCTCCCCAGGGTATCTTCGGATGTGGCTGGTGGATCGTTATTGGGGCTGGCCTGCACGCGGGAAGGCTGTGGCCGTACCGTCGGAGGAACTTCGTGCATGGTTCAGTCCACCACTTCTATGGAAAGCTCGCCATTTGGAGTCACTTTGTTTGGCCAGGCAGATTCCGCTTCATCTCCGACTTTCAGCATCGAATACCGGGACGATCTCAGACAAAGAAAGTAGAGCATGCAAGATCGAGAGGTCAATGTAGCAGGCTAAGGCTTTGGGTTACCGCCGGCCGAAGCTGGCTCATCCGAGACTAGGCCTGGACAAGGGTAGAATGGGCAACTCTGGGTCAGCACCAAAATCCTACCGTGGTCAGATGGCGTTATTCGGCGACCAGACCTGGGCCGCGACTAGCTTGTCATGCTATATTCTTGTGCCATGGTTCGCGCTGAGATGGGAGGTGGTTGACTAGGAAGTGTGCTCGCTACGCTGAACTATACCAGGGTTTTACACCCGTCTCGCACAGGTCCGAACCAAGGCCTAAATTCCCCTCAAGCTGGTTTGCAGTAGTTCGCAGAGTAGATATGGCCAAAAATTGCAAAAAGATGTTTTGTTTGGAGAACGAGTTGCGGACCCATTGTTAATATAATTAACATCGCTTGGCCGATCTGATGATGTCAGGGTAGCATTGCCGTATCAGATCTCAACGTCTATGGGAGGTTCAAAGATTATTCTGCAGAGCATTCATCATCATTGAGGTTGAGTTCGCAAACTCATCGAGAATATGTGACAAGTCGTCTGCAACTGGGCGAACTTGTCCGGAGTCTTCAGGTGGACTTTGTGCGTCACTCTCCAAGTGTTGTAAACTTTGTTGCTTCCCCCACCTTCGGTGACCCCCGGTCGCGTCGGACCGACATCGAAACCAATATGTGCAAAGGCGCAGCTAGTATCAGTCTGCTTTGCCTGCGCATATCCATAAGCGTCGAACGAGCTGCTGTGGTTGAAAATTCTAATTCAGATCATGGGCTACGTCGGTGGAGCCAGAGGGGTTGGAAGTGTAAAAAAGTTCGGATCGTAACCGATGAACCGATGCATCTGGTAAATCCGGGCCCCTCGCCAAGGTTTGTTCCAAGAGGGTTTGGGGGAACCTTGGACTGGGGATGATCGAGGAGAACCCTGTACATTGTATGTAATAGCAGAGTTTCGACACAATTAAGGAACTTATAGTGTTTGGACAGACTGTGGGACAGTGTCTTCTGTCTGCACTGTATGTGAGAAGACTTTCCACCATCAAGGAACACAGTTTGATCATCGGTCCAAATTGATTGTTTGACTTCGCCCCATCTTGTAGATGTCGTGCCTCCATATTATGGCATCTCACCTTTGAGAAAGGCCGACACTTGGCTTTTCTTGCATACGAGCGTTATCACTTTAGTCACATTGAGGATTCTAGAATTGAATCACCACGGCCGAGACAGGGGCACGGTGAGATCATGCATCAACGAGATCATATGGAGACTCTCCACTTGGTGTAGACACTGAGTTGCAAAGTTGGGAGCCTCATAGTAAGTACTGTACCAGTAATATAAGGTACCCGCATGGCAGTTCTGCTGCATTGGGCTCTAAGCGGGCCGTCGGTTGCACCGTATGTGCGCACTGAGCGGACCCTTTTTTTCCTCCCCCCTTTCGTTCGCAAGTAGGAGCAAAGAGCAAAGGTCAAGGTCTTCCTGAAGCTTATTCAGTGTTGATGAAATAAAGTTCGACGGAGTGAAGATACACCAAAGGTTGCCCTAGAGTTGCACTTAGGTTACGGGCGGAGGACGGTGACATGTTCCGTTCCGCCGCTAGGTCAGATTAGGTATGAGCATCTATCTGTCTCCATACCCTCCCTGCGAATGCGACCTCCAGCCCACGTCAAGCCACCCGAGCCAGCTCCAGACTTCTTGAAGCTAACGCACAGCAACGATTTCTGACAGTTAGCCTATCCTCCATCGGGTATCGGGAGAAGGCTTTTCCTGCCGCCTTTTTCTTGTGTACTCCCGTCTCTCCCGATCTTCACTCTTCTAGCCCCCGCTTGAGATGTAGCTCCTCCATGTACAAAAAGGTTGTAACATGACGCGATCCGCAGATATTCATGCCTGTTTCTGCATCGAATCCCTACCGTTGTTCCTGGCTTCGATGGCAAAGCGCACAATGCCTTCTGGATCGTACCGAGATTAGCCCAATGTCTTCTGGTTAGCTTTCATCTCATGATTTCTCCGGATTGACATGTGCCGTGAATTGCTGTTTAGCTGCCATCGCCATATACTCATGCTTCCGCAGGGATAACGCCTCCTCGCTGGTGGTTTATTGCACGCTTCGATGCGTACGAAGGAAGTACCCACATTACCCTCCAACTTGGAGAGTCCAGGCCAATCATTTTAAGACGAGTTGTCTCACTCAACGACATGGTCACTTCTCCAGTAACGCGATGGCGGCCACCTTTGGCAGCGCATGTATTTTCCCCAAATGATGGAGGCGTTTTTCAAATCTGATGCACTGAATTGCCGCCACTAAAAGTGCAGAGAACTGGTCAAAGTTTCGTGCATGGTACTGATCGCCTTCCGTTGGATCCGAACCGAATACCTCACCGCAGGTTATCTCTGTTCCCAATGACCTCCTAGTACAATACCAGGCGTCATATCTGATCAAAAGTACTTGCGAGCCGGGATAGTTCATATGACATCTCACGGGTATCCACGGATTATAATGAATCAGGTATTGATCTGCTGTGTAAGAGCCCCATTCTTGAAACAACTCTCTGGGTAACTTCGGTCTGTGCCCCGAGCCGGACATGGATCACTCCAGCTTGATCCCCCTATTCATCTCGTGATACTTTCACCCTTGGGTAGATTTTTCACTCTCTCTCTTTGGATTGTTCGAGTTTTTCGATTCTGAAGCACTTGTTTCAAGGACAATTCAAAAGTTTTCCGCTGCTGAAATCCCGATTCTTGCACAAGGCAGCTCGTGAAAGCCTCAATTAACAAACGGAAGTTCGTTGGACTGCAGATGTCTACTCCGGTCCCCGAAAGCATCTACGCCAGGAGGCGCGTATGGCATGATTTGGTACGTCGATGAGGATGGTAGAAGAAGAATGACTTGTATCCTATCAATTTCCAAGGAATCTCTGTGTCTACATGACCACTAGCTAGATACCACCGATCGGCGCCGTTGCACCTCGAGACCATTGGGCATGTTCACGTGTTGTCTACAGCTGACTGAGGCTATACGGTTGGTTGATCCCTGCGCGCTCTGAAGTTTATCGAGTTTTGAGATCGAGATGAAAAGTCAACCATATATTGCAAGGTCGAATGTTTTGTCAGCATCCCCTTTGTGCGGTTCAAGATGCCGGAAAGTTCAAGGACTATTGGCTTAGGCTTCCCCCTCGGTGCCTTTCCTAATGAGCCAGCCTGTTGCTGGACATTCTTTTGTTGTCTGGCAATCCAGAGATCCGGAGCTCACCATATTCCTTCGACTCGTACAGCAACCCAAAGTTCCATCTTTGGCGCAACCCTCACGAATCCTGGATTGTCAGTGCTTTTTTGTATGCGCCCTTAGGATCTTGAAAGAAACCTTGAGGATCCTCACGCCAGTTTAACTTTTCCGGTCGAACGACGCGCTCCAGAGAGTACTCAGACGGGTCTGACTTGCCGAAGGGTTTTGTGCGGTTTGTACATTAGCGCCAGAGACGTTGTCGGATAATCATTCTGTTCCCAAGTGTCTGGAGAAATTCTCGGTCAAATACGTTTGCCACTACGTCCCATCTTTTCGCTCCAAATTAATTTCCAGAAAGGTCTGGTGACTTCAGTTGACCAATATCAGCGTTCTATTCAAGAAGGAGTCAATACCATGACATCAAACGGCCAACGGCAGCATTTCCAGGACCATATCTTAGAATCCGTCTACCAGGCTACACGTTGGTCTCTTGTTTCTCCGAACAAGATGTTGAAGCTTCAATACCAGGTCTTTGCACTGCCGCGAGATCAGAGGTTTAAGGCCTCTAGGAAGGCGGTCCGCTGTCTCTGTTGAACATTTGCTATCCTTCTGGGGGTATATTATTCGAGGTCTGTTTCAGAGGTGTCCTTGCCAATTCAATTTTGTCTCTTTGCTTTTCTGTGCACTGCTGTTAGAGTTCGTTCTGTTTATGGGAAAAATCCCATTGAGAAATTGAATCAGTCGCTTGACTTCGAATTCACTCTGCAACGAAGATGTCCGCCACAAAGCCTAATTGGTGGAAAGCCAGTACGTGCTATCAGATTTGGCCTGCGTCTTACAAAGACAGCAATGGCGACGGCGTTGGTGATATTCCAGGAATCATCAGCACACTCCCCTATCTGAAAGATCTTGGGGTTGAGACGATATGGCTTTCTCCCATGTACAACTCGCCGCAGAAGGACATGGGCTATGACATATCCAATTACCAAGATGTTTATCCTCCTTATGGCACACTTGCCGACATGGATAAGCTCATTTCAGAATGCCATGATCTGGGAATGAGGTTAATTTTGGACCTCGTTATCAACCACACAAGCGACCAGCATCCGTGGTTTCTTGAATCTCGAACGGATAGAACAAACCCCCATGCTGATTGGTATGTCTGGCAAGATCCCAAGATCATCAGTGGGAAACGGAACCCACCCAGCAACTGGAGGTCCATCTTTGGTGGAAGCGCATGGGAATACTGCGAGGAGCGCGATCAATATTACCTCCACTTGTTTATGAAAGAACAACCGGACCTCAACTGGGCAAACGAAGAAACAAGGCATGGCATCTACAAATCAGCCATCGAATTCTGGCTTGACAAGGGTATTGATGGTTTCAGAGTGGACTCGTGCAATTTCTACTCCAAAAACACCTCTTACCCAGACGCACCGATACGGCTACCCGGCGAAGAATTCCAACCGGCATTCGAATACTTCGTCAACGGTCCACGCATACATGAATGGTTAAAAGAACAACGGAAACAAGTCCTGGACAAGTACGGAGATGTCTTGATGGTAGGTGAGCTGCCTGGAACTGGAGCTGCCGAAGTCCTGCGATACGTATCCGCTGAATCGAGAGAACTCAGCTGCGTCTTCGACTTTGACGTCGTAAACTTAGGCGGCGACAAGGAAGGTGGCGCCAAAAAGCACCACACCGCCAGACATACCTTGCCAGAATTCAAAGAGGCCATCCGCAAGGTTCAAGATTTGATCCGGGGGACGGATGCCTGGTCAACTGTGTTCCTTGAGAACCACGATCAGGGTCGGAGCCTGTCACGGTTTGCGACCGATAAGCCTCAGTTCCGTGACCAAGCGGCCAAGATGCTTGCCGTGCTGATGTGCTGCCTCACGGGGACGCTCTTTCTCTACCAGGGCCAGGAGATTGGCATGTACAACCATCCAGAGCATTGGGGCATTGAGGAGCTGAGAGATGTTGACTCACTCAATGCATACAACGATGTCAAGACTCGCCACAAGAGTGATCCTCTGTGGTTGAAGAAGGCCACGAAAGGTCTGCAGCTCATTGGCCGTGATAATGCCCTACTGCCTGTGCAATGGGACTCATCCCCGTACGCAGGATTTACCGTTGGCAAGCCGTGGATCAGAGTGCATGACGACTTCAACCAGGTTAATGTGGCAGCCCAGCTCTCTGATCCGAACTCGCCCTTGAATTTCTGGAAGAAGATGATTCAACTCCGCAAGAAATATGCGGAGCTCATGGTGTTCGGGCAGGACTTCCACGTCTGGGACTACTTTGATCGGGACGTCTTCACTTTCACTAAGACGCGCCCGGATGGGCGAGAGAAGCTGCTTGTGTTTCTGAGTTTTTCTGATGAAGTGCAGCCATTGCATTATCCCACCGGATTGGAGAAGGTTCGTAAAGAGTTGCTGGTGAGTAATGTTGAGGAGATAGGAAAGTATTTGAGTCCGTGGGAAGCCAGAGCTTATTTGATCACGGAGAGCGTCGTTAATGACCGTTAGAATAGATGGCTTGGGATGTTTGGTCGGCGACTGATGTCTACTTCGTGGCTTGCAGGTCCCAGCCTGATAGTTGAGCAAATAGTACAAAGTGAACGAGATGAGAATGCAAAGATCAAAACAAGAGATCCTGAAACCCATTAATCGATGTTTTTACAGGAGCGCCAACCGAGGCATGCTGGATGGTGACCAATATCCTTGCTGCTGTAAATGCATATCCGGTCCACTGTATTGACGGTGGATTATGTAGTACCGCAATGATTGTACAAAGTGTGGCAGGCACTTTCCAGGGGATCGGCGGAGCGGATTGGGCCGAAGGAAACGTCTTTATATCGCTAGCAAAATGGCGAAATCGGAGAAATTGTATGATCGCAAGTCGAAATAGAACAAAATTCAAAGCTCATACCATCACTCTTCAATGCTGATAGTCTTTGCAATTCAGCTAGCCGCGTCAAAGATTCTTCAAGACGAACTTTTGTGGCCAGAGCAACTATGTTATAGGTGCCGCCACCGCCTATTAATGATCCCGAAGCCGTGCACCGACGGGTTAACATCCATTGTCGAATATTTGAAGTCTCTGAATTTGCAGTTTGGTCATTCCAGTCTTCCTTTCTTTGACATGAAACTCGGGGAGCCGTCCGCGAAGCTGGCCTCATTGCTCCTTGTTTTGCTGCGCGACACTCGAATCTGATGGTGGTAATTGCTTTGATTCTGTCTTGGGTTGGCGTACAGTCTCTGTACCATCTTCCCAGAACTCAAGGTCTTCTTCACCTTCGTTTGCGACCAAAGCGCCTGGCCGAATACCCAACCGTCCTTTTTTAAGGAGCTTGGTGAAATCTTGTCCCTCCTGCAACTTCCTTCTTAGAATATCCTCCAGCGTCTGACTTTTGTCCAAAAAGACTTTGAGGTGATCTGATATAACATGCCGGGACTTGCAAGAAGGACAGGTAACGAGAACTGTGCCATGATGATAACCATGTTTGGTCACTCGGTGAGATGAGCGAAACCTGCAAGGTTTACAGGTGAAGCTCAGTTCGTATGAGGGATCATCTCGGGCCTCAGGGGTTTTAGGCTCTACGCCGGTCGTGGAGAGTGAAGATTCGTATCGTTTCGAGGATGCGAAAGAGTGACGGGGTGAGAAGGGACGTTGAAGGGGGGCGAATTGAGGCCTTGATAAGTGGGACTGAAAACGGGATGGAGTCTGGAGTGCTTTCGTTACAGGTCGACTGGAGATCAGTCTCCTCGCCGAAAATGAGAGTGATTGCATCGGTGTCGTTGACAATGACCGTGTTGAATCTGAAGAATTGGTAACACTGGCAGTGACTACGGTCTACAAAAGGTTTTTGAGGCCATGGTTTTTCGGTCGCAGCACAGCCTTCAGGCAGCTTCCCCGACACTAGCCACAGATAAGGCTAGAGCACGTGGATAGGCATCGGCTAACTAGCTACTTGAGGTTTAAAGCGGCAACTTTGGTACCTGCAGCACCTTTCCTCCGCAGGCATCTCAGACCAAGATTGAACCGCAGGCAAGCGATGAGGCGACAAAACACCACGGCTTTACTTTACTTCGTGTTTCGGTGGGATCGAAATAAAGAACGCGATTCCTTTCGCTTCACTATTTAAAATTCTTCAAGCCCTTCTCTCTCTACTCTATAATCCTCCAAGTACCTCGTGTGAACCATTTCCCACCCGAATTCCACATTTCCCCACTGTTCTAGTCAGAGCCGATTCTTCAAAAATCATTCTGGTGCTGGCCACGCGTCGTGACTATCATGCTGGCGAAGGGGAGAGGCGCGAAGATTAGAGCTCCAAGAAGAGTACGTGAAACCACATGAAGCAGAGTGACACCCGCAGAATCTGCCCACCACCTCAGGGACGTCCCGCTTCGTCCTGCATCTCCCATTTACTCTTGACTCATGTCTCAGTCGAGATTGCTCCCCGACAGTATGTATGTACACGCCGCTGACAATTTGGGCTTCGTCAAGGGTCTGACGAAAGACGATGTCGATTTCGATTCAATATGGCTTCACTTGTCAACTGCGTTCCAAGAAATCCACAGCAAAAATGCCTCAAGATTGTCGTTCGAAGAGCTCTTCCGGGGTGCCTACAAGTTGGTATTGAAAAAGAAGCAGGATTTATTATATGACCGGGTCGTACAACTGGAAGAAGCATGGCTTCGAGACAGTGTCCGGGCGAAGATTACACCGTTGATCACGCCAACCCTCACCATGGCCAATTGGGATCAGACCGCCGGTGCTCAATCAAATGAACGAAGAATTGCGGGCGAACGATTTATCAAAGCCCTCAAGGATGCCTTCGAAGATCACCAATTGTGCATGGGTATGATCACAGATGTGCTCATGTACATGGTAGGACTCAGCCCTTCACGCCAGGCGTTCTGATACCATGCTTACAGTTCCAGGATCGTGTCTACGTTCAAGATCAGAGGAGGCCTCCGGTTTTCGCCACGGCAATGGCATTGTTCCGAACCCAAGTTCTCAGAACTCCATTCAGTTCCGATGCTACATTTGACACACTGTCTCTGCTTGAAATGGTGATTCTTGACATGATCAAGATGGAACGCAAAGGAGAAATGATCGATCGAACCCTCATACGCGCATGTTGCTTCATGTTGGAGGGCTTGTACGAGACCTTCACTGAAGACGAGTCAACCAAATTATATTTGACTTCATTCGAACCCAAATTTCTCGAAGCCAGTCGGAAATTCTACCGAGATGAGGGACAACTACTCTTAGGGGAAGCCGATGCAAGTACATTCTGCATCCACGCGAGAAAAAGATTGCTCGAAGAGGTTGAAAGATGCCAACAAACCATATCTCCAATCTCCGAACCAAAAATCAAGGCTGTGGTTGAAAAGGAGTTGATCTCCAATCACATTCGCGATGTCATCAACATGGACGGTACCGGTGTCAAGAGCATGCTGGACAATGACAAGATCCACGATCTCAGCAATGTTTATGATCTCGTCGCGAGAGTGGATCCGAAGAAACTGGCACTCAAGGAGGCCGTTCAGAAACGCGTCATCGAGCTGGGGACTGAAATCAATAAGAACGCAATGGTCATTGGTGATGCTCCCCCGTTGCCAAAAGCCGCACCGAAGACAGGTACCGACGGAAAAGCAGCGACAGAGAAAACTCTCAACCAGCAGACGCAAGCCGCAATTACGTGGGTGGAACAGATTCTGGAATTGAAGACGAAGTACGACAAACTCTGGATCCAGGCATTCAAAAAAGACGCCGTGATGGAGAAGGCCCTGGAAATATCTTTTCAGGACTTCATCAACGTTAACGAACGCAGCCCCGAACATCTTTCTCTCTTCCTCGATGAATACTTGAAGCGTGGATGTAAGGACAAGACTGAAGCTGAAGTGGACGCGCTTCTCGACAATGGCATTTTGCTGCTACAATATCTTGCAAACAAAGACTCGTTCGAGACATACTACAAGAGACATATGGCGAAACGACTTTTGATGAAGAAATCCGTCAGTCGAGAGATGGAACGCCAAATGCTCTCAAAGATGAAAATGAAGATCGGAAATCAATTCACTCAGAAGCTTGAGGGCCTCATCCGAGACACTGAACTGTCCGACAATCTTACGACACAATATAGAGAATATGTCGATCGACTTGGCGATCCAGATCCGAAGAGGATCGACCTGGATTGCAGAGTCTTGACCACAACGGTATGGCCATTCGAGACACTATTCAAGGCCGATAACGAAGAATCCCAACGAGAATGCAAGTTCCCTGCTCCTGTAGAACGGCTACGACAACGGTTCCAGAAATTCTATCTCGACAAGCATACAGGGCGGAAATTGACATGGATGCCTAGTCTAGGTGATGCGGACATGAGAGCTACCTTTACCGCGGGCGGAAAGACTCGCAGATATGAAATCAATGTGTCAACATACGCCATGATCATATTAATGCTCTTCAACGACCTTCCTCCCGGTGAATGCCTCACATTTGAGCAGATTGCGGCCGAAACGAACATTCCTAAGCACGATCTGATTCGGAATCTTCAATCATTGTCCTTGGTTCCTAAATGGAGAGTGCTCAAGAAAGAACCCATGAGCAAGGATATCAAGCCCTCGGACAATTTCTATTTCAATGAGGAATTTTCTAGCCAATTTCTCAAGATCAAAGTCAGCGTTGTAGCCGGTGGTGCGAACAGAGTCGAAAACAGTGAAGAGCGTCGGGCTACTCAAAAGCGCACCGACGAAGAACGTGGCCACGTTGTTGAAGCTGCTATCGTCCGAATTATGAAGTCCCGCAAGACACTTTCGCATTCACAATTGATGACAGAGACCATAGCGCAGTTGTCCTCACGCTTCCAGCCGGATGTCAATATGATCAAGAAAAAGATTGAGGGATTGATAGATCGAGAATATTTGGAAAGAGGACCAGATCCTGAAAAACCTTCTTACATGTACCTGGCTTGAAGCGAGATTGGGTAAGGATTTATGTTTGCGTGGTTCATGGTATCTTAACTTTTGCACAAACACAAGAGACGGTCTGAGACAAAAATATGACGACCACGGGAGTCGATAACAAATGCATTTAGCGATTGCGTCTGGACATGATTCATGAAGACGTCGTTTCGAATGAGAGGGTAAGCAGGGTGGGGGAACTCTGACGCTCCATGGCATGCAACGGGGGAAGTTGTGTTCAACATGTTAAACCCCAGTATGAATGACTCTCTCGCCCTGTTCAATGGTTAAATTCATTCCAAGTGCGGCTGGTAGGAGATAGTGGTAGCACGTGTTGACACCCGACAAGGCTGCGGCTGTGAAATCACCCGGCCAAGGCCCTCCCCTTTTCGGCGCGTTCCATCATTAGTGTCTACCTAGATTACTCGAGAACGAAAAACCTGATTGCCATTTACGGTTTGATCCTTAGAGGGTGAGCGAAGGCTGCTTTAACCTGAGGTTTAACTGAGCATTTGACTGAGCATCGCTGAGTGCTCCCTGAGCAAACACACCCGGGCCTAATCTGGCCCCTTGCGATCGGCTATACTTGCCTCTCGGCTAGGGTATCTGTTTCAGGCGGGCGTCAGGGAACCTGCCAGGTTCCCTGCCCTTACGTTGCTGCTGGACAAACCATAGTACGGAGATCGGTGACTCATTGGACCCCGCGATACCGCCCAACCAATGTAGACAAATATCGTATTCAATCTTTGCTGAGCATAAAGGGTCTGCAGATTTTGACAAGCGATTCCATGTCACAATACAGGCCATTTACAGTATTCCTCACGTTGAAGGTAAGGAATATACGACTTCTAAAGTGCTCAAGCCTACTTTCCAGTTGCCAGTCTTTTTCACCATCTTCAGAGACAGTGTTCAGGGAACAATTGCTTTAGCCACGCCAGTGACTTCCCAGGCCCGTCGTCTCCCGATGCAGCAAGTTGGTTCGCATCATGTGGACTTACCGAGGACCTCTGGGAAGTCACGCAAAACATGCGTATCTGGGTCAAAGTGCTGAAGACTTACTGCGATGGCGCCATTGCAAAGCCTCAGCTCGGGTTTCTGGCTGTCCACCGAAATTTGCTCCTGTATAAACTCCTTTCTACGATTCCCGAAGGCGAAAATATAGAAACACAGCTGCCAGTGGAAGTGAACACACAAATCCGATACGACAAACGAAGACCGACCGAATTCCAACCGGCTCATCCAACTAGCTTTGATCGTCTTTTCGATCGGGGTGACTTTCCCATGTCCAATCCCAGGCTTTACCAAGTCCTTGCATATCGATTGAAGGCGCAGATCAAGCATGATCTGGCCGCACTAACCGCAACATCAGAGATGCAATCGTTTGCAATCTGGTTGGCTATGCTTGGTTCTTGTCTGCCGTACAGGTTTCCGATGAAGTATCAAGGACTTGGTTCCCGGACAGATTATGCCCATCGGCTTAGAAATATACTGCTTCCGTACATTCGTGGACTAAAGTCGAGCAGTTTGCTCTCGAGCCTTCCCTCTGGTGCAGCGACGCTTGTGATCCGGGCGCACAGATGGCCTGGGAAGAAGTTTCATGGCGTCTGAAGGCCCCTGTGAACAACCAACCCTTGGTCGTCACATCTGTCAAGGAGGTACCCGTTGACATCTATCAGAGTGAAAGGACTCTTCTTACCTTCTGTGCACGTGGAGGCCGAGGAAGAGCAAATGGAAGAGGAAACAAGAGTGTGGCAGTTTAATGGCAGCTCTCTGACTGTGTCCTTCCCCGATCGCTCATTCGTTGTTCTGATAATGTCTGTTCTTTTTGCCGGAGCTGTAGTTTGCTTGCTCCATGGGCTTGAGGGCAAATTTCCGGATATTGATCTGGGTATCTGACAGGATCATCTAAGAATCTTTTCGGCATACCTGGATATTCATGAAGGCTGAAGCTCGGATTACCGGTAGGGTGATCCAATGGCAGACCACGTATTTGGCTGATGCTCAATGCAACCTCCAAAATCATTATGCGAAACCTACTCTCTCAGAACCCACGGAGAGTTATCTCCTCCGCAATCAACTGTCGCATACATCGGCGTCGGAGTGCGAGAGGGAAATAAGGTCGGGACATTGAGGACAGTATCTCTCAGAAGTTCAGGGAAGTGGTCGCCGGTCTTCTGTTAGGCGGTTATGAAACGGTTCAAGATGGTCTCCGCTCCAGAATCCGTCCCCGCGTCTCCATGACCAATTCACCCATTTCTCCCTGTTTTGTGGAAGAGGAGGAAGTCTTTCACTGTCTTCTCGTCTAGGGGATTGGGCCGTGCTGCTGGGATAGAGCTCGTGGTAATCTCGAGCAAAACTAGTCCGGTCACAGCCGAATCTCGAATGCCCATTCTGGCGTGGGCGGGTTTAGAGAGTCTCCGTTTTGGGTTTGACCAGCTTCAGCGTGAGGGAAGCATTCGGTCCGTTGGATGATTTCGCGAATCCATTTACTCTCCGTCGCTGGTCCTGTTCGTAATCACACAGCCTCTGCACCACGGTCATGACAATGGCCTTACTCTATTTTCCTCAATATTGGGGATGGTTAAGTTTACTGATATCGAGTCTTTGGTTTCCACGTGATGGCGAGTCACTGCACGTGATTTCACGTGAGTACTGCGCCAAGCCCAGCTGGGTCATTCGCGTCGCTGCCGCAGTTTGCGGCGCGCCTCCAACTTTTTTGTTCTCTACCCGGTGCATGAAATACCGACGCCTAGGCTCGCGGCCAAAGAGTACATCTTGATCCTCCCATGCACTTGGCGCTGATCAACTCCTCGTCAAGATCAAGATGAATCCAATGATCAAAGACCCAGCGGCCGCAGTGCCTTCCCAGCTGGCAAGTAGCTGTCCTTTTTTTCAATTCAACCTCAAGCGTAACTGATTGAATTAGCTGCCTCATATCCACCTTATCTCGAAATACCGATATCCTATTACGAGTAATCCATCCCTAGAGACGATCGTTGGATATCTTCTCGAGGCTCCCAAGATCGTGCGCGACCTCCAGCCCATGCAATGGCAGTTCATCGAGACCCCTCCGGATGGTACTTTGATGCTCACATGGCAACCTCTTGATTACTTAGGAACAACTTTTGCAAGTGACGGCTTCATCTGGGCTGATCAAGAGCATGTGTTCAAGTCGGAAGTCAGAGGATATGTACGTAACAATGATCGTTGCTGTGATGAACGCTTTGTGGACGCTAACACCCTCGACAGACTCTAGAAATGTTCCTCCAAAGATCGGGATATCGCGCACAAGGTGAGGCGATGGCCACTCATAGTAGAAGACGATATCGACTCCTTCCCGGAAATCCTAATCTGGGACTGCCGAACCCCGACCCCAGTTTGTGGTTAACCCACTATTCCAAAGCCTCTCCTCGCGACCACGTGCCTGCGGCCTCGATCGTTGTTCCGCCTTACACCCATGCACAACTACAGCAGCGACGGATGATTCAGAGCCAAGGACAGCTGCCTCGCAAAGAATTCATGTTGAGTGATCGATCATCTTGGCCTACCATTCATCTTCCTCCAGCGATCGCAAGAGCGAGTGCTCCGCCAATTCCTCCGGCGGCGTCACACCGAAGAGCGACGAGTATAGGGCAAGATCCCACATTGGAGGAAGAGGAGGACGTCTCTCGCGGTGACCTCCTGGATTTCGTGACTCCGAGAGATATCAGCCGAGTCCGATACGAGCAACATCACGAATGGATGGAAGAGATCCTCGAGTCACCCTATCCGACTTCATCGATCATCCCCAGTGACCTGGGGTTAGGACGCAAAGGCCAACTCGAAGAATTGACCAAGGACTTTTTCGATGCTCCAGTTTCAGCACAGAAGGAACCCAACAGTGGTCCCCCGCCGCGAGTGGGAAAAATGCCAGCCGGACAAGCCGATGATTTTGTAAAACGAGCAGAGGCGAAATTGGCCGACATGGGGGCAGAGTTGGAAAAGATAAGAAAGACGCATGCTCGAAGAATGGAAAAGTTCAAGCGGTCTTCGACGCTGACTGTTGCTGAAAGAAAACTACGAACCACTCCCAATTTCCCAGAACGACAGAGTCTTGGGAACGACGTGGATAATGCGGGAACCGCTTCTAAACCTCGTGATGCAGTTGAGGAGATCATGGCGACCGTGGAAGCGGAGACGGGCAGAAAACTCGTCAAGACCACCGCTATCACTATTGCCTCTAGAGGAGGACTTGAGGAACGGGTGAAGATTCCACCAGCCACAAATGGACTTGCTGCTCTGGCCGTCGCATCCTCGGAGAAGGCTGCAAATTCTACTCCTACTAATAACCCACAACAGGCACAGCCACCACCCATGACGACAACAACAATCACCACCGCCGCCGCCGCCGCCAGCAGCGAAGAAAAGCCCCAGGAAAAGGCCAGTGAGAGACCGACCAACACGAACACCGATGCACAGCCAACTCGATCGGCCACTCAAGATGATCAATCTACTGCTGCGGATTTGCAAGGCGAAACAGTTGACCAACATCGAGGAACTGATCTCCCTCAACTCGATGACATTGGAGTAGATGTGAACATGGATGGTCTGGATGACGAGAATGGCGATAATGGAAATCAGGGTGGAAATGAATGGGTCATGATCGACGAAGATGGTGGTCAGGATGCCGAAGAAATGGATCTCCCAGACATCCCAACCGGGGATCAATCAAATGAGAATCAGGCGGCAGCGCCGGAGAATGCTACCCACTCCAGTGAACAGACGACAAATCCGCCACAGCAAACAAACGTTCAACCGGGTCACGATACGCCGCTGGATACTCCCGATTTCGATATGGGGGGAGACTTTGACAATGTCGAGGTGGACACCGCTGGGGATGCTCTTGCCAGTTATGGGAATGATGAGGATGATCTTAACCTCGATCCTATGGAAGATTCGGCGTTTGGGGATGCATTCCACCCGGAGGAGGATGAGGATATCTCTTGAAGGGGTTGATTCTGGTGGGGAGAATCCCCGCTTGCTGATTCTTGCAGGGCTATTGGAACGATGACGATGACCACAACCCCGATCCTATGGAGGATTCAGCATTCGGAAACAGATATCACCCGGAGGAGGGTGGGGATACTTGGAGGGGATTGATATCAATGGAAACATCCCCCCTCAGGCTCTCGCGATGATTCAGGTCCTCGAATTTGTGCCATAGGGTTGTCAGTGTACCAAACTGTACGGAGAACTAGAAGATTCGACAACCACACCTCGTTAAATGAGGTCTGCGAATGCCATGGTAGCAAAAATGTGGTCAATCCGGGCCGTCTATTTCTGTAACTGTATTTCTACCACCGCTGAGGACCCACGTGCTCGGGGAGTTCGAGCACCTACAGAGTTTGCAAATTTCTTCTGCAACTTGAGAAGTTTTTCTCTTCTCTCGTCCACAATCCATTGAAATTGAGAACAAGACAGTTTGTATCTATTGGTACACTACTGGTCCTGCCTTCCACGTCCTTGTGGGTTCATGACGATGTTACGCGCTCCATCGCCAAGCAGCCTATATGGCTTGGTTGATATGGGGAGGTATGTGACCTTCTCTTCTACTATTCCTTTCCCTTGTTTCTAAAATCTATTCTTGCACAGCAATGGCATCCGCTTCTCCATCACCGACCTCTCCCCCTCCACCGCCCGCTCTCTCCCTACCGTCTATCAGGACCGCGAGGGTATCTCCTTGTTCGATGCCCAGTACTCGTCAGGCGCCCAAGGGCCGATTCCTCAGGAAACCATCGACGAAGTTCTTTCTTCCCTGTTGAAATTTAAAACTGCTTGTGCCGACTTCGGCGTCCCAGAGACCAATATCAGAATCCTTGCCACAGAGGCCACTAGGAATGCCATCAACTCCGAAGACTATCGCCACCAAATCAAGCAGGCCACAGGATGGGAGGTAGATATGCTCCCCAAAGAGGCTGAGGGCAGGATTGGTGCTATGGGCGTTGCTAGCAGTTTCGCCAGTGTCGAAGGACTCGTCATGGACTTGGGCGGTGGGAGCTTTTTTTTTTTTTCCCCCTCTCTTTCTCTTTCTCTTCTTTTCTTTTCCGGTTGTTTGGATGGTTGACCTATGATATGTTTTCTACAGGAGGAAGCACTCAAATAACATGGATGATTGCCAAAGACGGCCACATCCAAACGAGCCCCAAAGGCAGCTTCAGCTTCCCTTACGGCGCGGCAGCATTGACTCGACAACTCGAGGAGCTCTCCACCTCATCACCGGACCACCACTCAAAATGTAAATCTACGACCACACCTAGCAGGCGCGCCGAACTGGCAGAAACCATGCAAGCCCAATTCCGCCAGGCGTACGCAGACCTCGACCTCCCCGAATCCCTCCAGCACAAAGCCCGCCACGGCGGACTCACACTCTACCTCTCCGGCGGCGGATTCCGAGGCTGGGGCTACCTCCTCATGTCCCAGCACAAAGTCTCTCCGTATCCCATCCCCATCATCAACGGCTTCCACGTCACAAAGCGCGAATTCCAACAAACCGCCGAGATCTCCGCCGTCGCCGCAGAGGAATCGGTCTTTCGCATCTCCAAGCGTCGCGCCGCGCAAGTGCCCGCTGTAGCGTTCCTAATCAACGTCCTCGTCGACGCCCTGCCCATGATCCAACAAATCCGCTTCTGCCAAGGCGGCGTACGTGAAGGCTTTCTTTTCGACACGCTCAACGCCGCTACCAAAGCCCTCGACCCCCTCCTCGCCGCGACCAACCAATACGGCACATCTTCCGCCACGGAGCTCTCAGACCTGCTCTTCTCCGGCCTCCCCGGTGCGAATATCTACGACCGCTCGCTTCCATCGACGTTTACTCCGTCCTTCGTCCGCGCTGTCACGGACATGATGTACCTGCACCTCCCGCTGCCGAAAGAAGGCCGGTCGATCGCCGCGCTACATGCCCCTTTGACAGGCGTTCTAGCTGCCGCCCACGGCATCTCACACGTCGATCGCGCCCTGCTCGGCCTCACGCTCAGCACGCGCTGGAACGTCGATCTGCCTCCGCCCTACGCAAACTTGCAGGCCCGTCTCCGTGCCATGCTCACGAACCAAGAAGTCTTCTGGGCAAACTATCTCGGCGCGCTCGCCGCGCTGGTCGGCGCCGTGTACCCGGCCGGCCACATCGGCTCTCGTCCGCGATTGCAATTCGCAGCGCGCTGGGCTGACGGGCTCGGCAAGAAAGGGCTCCATATGGGCGTTGTGCTGGATATCAAGTGTCGGCGTGACGATGCTATGACGGTCCCGGTCGCTTTGAATCCATTGGTGCATGAGATTGAGAAGCTTGGCAAGAAGAAGAATCGCGCGGGTGGAGAGTGGGGATTCGGCATCGCAATCGAGGTAAGGGTTGAGAGGGTATTGGACTAAAACGTGTGAAATGAGTCCTGTTCAGCACTGTGTCCAGCTGGGAAATTTGTCGAACTCCAGGTCGAGATTGTCGATGGTATGTATTGATAGCAGCCGCCGTAAAAAAGTCTCCATAGGGCTATTGTCGCAGTAGTTGTAACTCGGGTACGAAGATATGCTCCTCTTCGCATGTGCAGCGGATTGGCACATGTTGAGCGTCCCGGTCATGCTATGATGGCTAGGGCGGCAGACCATGCTGTTAGATGATTGGAGTATGTCGAGTTTTATGAGGAAATGGTAGTGTGATCGTTCGTAGTCGTTGCGGTGAGACTGAAGATTTAGGGCAGAAAAAAAGGAAGGAGAAAGTCGGTATGGCGACGGGGAGGAATGTGAATGTCACGCGCGTCTAAAGCGCAGCTGCCCCACCTTGTGGCTTAGTGACATCTAGGCTCCGGCGGCTGGTTGCCGTTGCCGTAATGGTCGATGTTGAGAAACACTGGTGTCCATTATGGGCTGGTCGACGTAGAGTAGATATTCGGGATATAATGAGCATTTATCAGATCTCAAGTCATTGGTCCGTGAGAAATCCGTTACGAACAATAGAACTGTGTGAGACACCCTGTGGCTTTTCATGAGATTGATTGGCAGTCAAACATTGACGACCAGAATGCCGGTGACTCAGAACGCGGAGATGGATAATATGCAACTTTTAAAGAAATGGCTCGATTCTCAAAAGGGGGAAAGTTGACATGGCATGTCAAATTAAAGAAAATCTATCATTCGACGGATCACTCAGATTGACCGGTGTCACCAAGGACGCAAGCCTGCAGAAAACCCTGTGAAGACGAATTGTAGCGGGCATTAAATGGTCAGTGATATTCGACATCCTGGCCCGGCCCTGTAGATATTTCCTCGTGGCCATCTAGAAGCGAGATATTGACATTCTGGATCCGAGCTGTTGGTATATGCAGAAAGTCCAGGATCAAGGTCAAGCTTGGACATACTTCCACACGAGGAATGGAGATGTACCATGATCTGGGGATACCTTCCCTGACTGTTGCATAGTGAGGATGGGTATTGGGTTAAGAGGACACAACTATAAACAATGAGTAAGATCTGGCGGCTTTGATGTCAGCGTACGTTTTGCCCAAGAGGAAATTCCGGGTCAGTGGCTGAGTAGCTAAGTTTGTTTCTCACGGTTTGCGAGACTGAATTTGAAGCTGTGGCCGCCGAAGTCCGTTGCGGAGAATACAACCGTAATCGATGTATCAAGAATGAGTAAGCTGGGCTTTGTAGGCATCAACACGAGGACAGACCTGCATCAGGAACGTGCCACATCAAGAGCGAGCCCAAAGAACAAATGATAAGGCATGGTAGGAAGAATAAGAATTAAAGTAAGCTTTGCGGGAAAATTCCGCTAGGGCAAAGCTTAAATTAAGACTTGATGTTGGGAGGCAAGTCAAACGACCCGAAAGGGCCAGCCAAACTCGAAACCATTTTCCTCTTTCGAGTTTGTAACAGAACTGCCTGGAAGTGTTCACGACCGCACACCTCCGTTCAAAGCAACTCAGATTTCTCTTGACCTCCCCAGGCATGGATCGACAAGACGTGGCATGCCAGCTGGTCGACTCTTCTGCCTGTTGGTGGTGAATCGATCGGCCAGCATCGGATTTTGAACCTGTTAGTTCCTTTAAAAGCCCATTTTTGTCCACCATTTCTATTACGCAGGCCCTATTTCTTCCCTTTTCCTCCTTTGCTGAGCTGTCCCCTTCTGTCCGTCCGCACTGATCACAAAACTTACGGTTCATCATGGGAATTTCATGTCCATGCATGTAGCCCCCACGGAGCATCGACTCGAGGATGAGTGGCCAGACGGATCGTGCAACAGGAGAGGATATTGAGAAAGACAGGGGGTGCTTCGGTGTAGTAGGAATCAAGCAGCCCACGTCCTTGTGCAAACCCCGCGCCGGAACAAAAGAGTGGTACGAAAGATCGATCTACACATCAACGCCGCTCGTTACATTTTGGTGTGTGTAAATACCTGAAACTCTCTGGATCAGGAGACCTTTGTGGCGGACCGAACATTCTTTTCTTGACCTGCAGCTGGCAAGTACCAGTCCTGTTGTCATTTCCGGATCGATCAAACATCGGACGGGGATAGACATGATTAGCTGCCGACGATATTTTATTTTATTCCCGTTTAGGTGAGATATTCTTCTCTATTGTTCTTCAGACCCCTAGGAAGACTGATTGTCCTCCGGGGATTTCTGTGGAAGATACTTTACGACTACCAGCTAAAATAGCAAATGTTTTTCGCTACTAACTTTTAGCAAGCCTCATACTTGCGACATGCAAAGCCACTCTTGCATGGCGATTTGCTTTTCTCTACTGAAGCAAAACACATCTAATGGTATAGTCTAGGGCCATTGTTGCCACCTGTCAAGCAGCCACACAATCATGGGGAGGAGAAATGGCTTTGAGGTTCTTGCTTGGTGCTGTCGAGACTGGCTTTAGCCCCATCATGCCATACCCCTGTCTTTCTTCTATCTGGGACACGTACATGGCTTCGGAAGCGGCATTTTCCTGGCGGCGGACCCACTGGCCAATACATCGCTGGTGCATTGGCCTATGGGATCACGAGCGGCCACTCCAAGCTAGCCACCGGGAGACTCTTTGTCCTCGTGGAGGGCATACCAAGCATCTTGGCCGCTCCGTTGGCCTGGCTTTTCCTCCCCGATCGTCCCACACACGTCAAGTTGGGGACAGGGGAGGAAAAGAAAAGTAGCCAAAGCCAGAATCATCAGGCGGGATGGGACTCCGGAGGAAGGACGCAAGATCCGCCTAAGGGAGATCGGCCTGACACTCCTTGACGCAAAGGCCTGATTCACAGCTGTAAGTTGATATGTGGGGGCGACAGATTGCGAATGCCAACTCCGGGCCTAGCTAATGTGCCTCTCTTGCAACGTCTCATACTCTCCAGCTGGGCTTTTCATCAATAAATGCCCAAGGGCTATCAGGTCCCCTTGATTTCGACAATTGTGATGGTCAGCAGCTATTGGATAGCTGATCGAATCCAACAGCGCGGTATGATGAATGCCCTCTTGAGCTGTGTGGCAGGAATCGGTGGCATTCTGCTGGCCACCTGCACGGCGGTCACTCCGCGAGTATTTCGGAACCCTTCTCTGCGCATCAGAGGTGTTCCCCGCCATTGCAAATATTTTGCCCTGCCGTGGTTAACAATCGGGGGAACGATAGTCGAAGAGGCATGGGACGAGTCATCTCACGGGAACGGCCGTTGGACAGGATTTCTTACAACCTTTGTTGATCCATGTGAACCGCTCCGTGGAAGGCCAGAACATTTGTGCAGCGTTCATGTTATTCAATGCCTTTCTCCTGCCCCGAGCTTACGACCTCTTTTAATGTAGGAGAACAAGAAAGCTCGACCGAGGTGGACGAGAAACAAGAAACTCAGACTGGAGACTAAGTTTGAGAGATTTTAGCACGACTTTGATGTTCTCGCATACCACAGCCCAGGAATCTAATTACTGGTTCGACAAAGGCTTCACACCGAGCTACCCAACCAGGCTAGCAGAGACGTGGTGTTGACCATTCCCATCCTGGCAGGCATGCGTCATGTAGCTTATCACCGTGCAAACTCCGGCGGGGTGATGAGATTCGCCCTTCTAACTCCCTTTTTCCCCTCCTTCGTTGATGTGTCATCCTTTGACCACTCATGTTTTATTTGTTTTAGAAACGGCAACCGCGATCCTCCAGCGTATTTCACTTCCCTCGGCGGAACACACTCATCCCATCCCCTCTGCCGAATCCCGCGCTAAATCACGGACCAAATCCTATTCCAGCCTTAGTTGAAGAGGCACATTGGATCCTCCCTGCTGACATAGCAAACGTTGCTCTTACCCACCTCCCCGTCTTGACGGCCTCGATCGACGCCAGACAAGCATTGGTATAAAGGAGCAACCCACCCCTCCCAGGCGGCTAACCTCATCGCACTCTCCTTCTGAAACCACCCGACTCGAAGATACCTTGCCCTTGAAGACAACATGGCCTCCTATCCACCAGGATCATGCTGTTACAAGGGTGTCAAGCATGAAGGCACTCCAACAGGAGAGATCTCCACACTGGGTGACTTTGAGATCTATGTCAAGTACCCGGAAGACAAATCCACCGACTATGGCGTCCTCATGTCCGTTTGTCTTTCCTTCGCCCTGCTTCCTCACCCTCCTTACTACCTATGAGTCCCTTGTTTGAAACTAACAGCTTCCGCTAACAGCATCACGGACGTCATTGGCCATCGCTTCGTCAACGCCCAACTCATCGCCGACCAATTCGCCGCTAACGGCTACTTCGTGATGATGCCAGACCTCTTCTACGGTGACCCCATCCCCCTCAACCGGCTCGGCGGCGACTTCGACATCATGCAGTGGGTCCAAGGCAAGTATAACGAGAAGGGAATATCCCATCTCCCTCCCGTCGTTGATCCTATCATCGACTCCTGCCTCGTCGAGATGCGCACCAAGTACAAGTGCAAGGTATGTAAGAATCACACAAATACACTCCTGGACCATTGGGGAAGGGACGGGGAGTAAAGCCAAAGTGGGAAGAGGTTGAGCTACCAGCGCACGACTATATTCCGACACATCCCCGACAAGCCAGCCGGACAACGAGCTGACATGTGTGTTTGTTCTGCACAGAAAATCGGCGCCGTCGGTTACTGCTTCGGTGGTAAATACGTGGTCCGACACCTGCGACCCGACGCCGGCAAAGTGGACGCCGGATACACAGCACACCCTTCTTTCGTCGAAGCCGACGAGCTCAAGGACATCAAAGGCCCGCTTGCCATCGCTGCCGCAGAAACCGATAGTATTTTCCCCACTGAGAAACGTCATGAGACCGAAGCCATCCTCAAGGACTTGGGCTTCCCCTATCAGATCAACTTGTACTCCGGCGTCGAGCATGGCTTCGCAGTCCGCGCCGACCCCAGCAAACGCGTCACTATGTACGCCAGGGAGAATGCCTTTTTGCAGGCTGTCCAGTGGTTCGAGGAGCATTTGAAGTCCAAGTAAGTCAAGTTAGTGGCTTGAAGCGGGAGGGGGTCGGTTAGTGCAAGTCCTGCACGGTGTTGTGTGGTGATTAGCGAGTGCGCAAGCAGCACGGACGAAGAAAAGCCACACACTGTTCAGAATTGAGGCTGGTTGGTAGAGAGATTCTGACCGACTATTTTTTACTGAGTAGGCTTGCGACGGACACCGCGAGGCTGTAGCGAGGACACGGGGAACGTAGTTCAGGTAACGCACGAATAAGGAGATAGAACAATCTTTCCAGCTGTCCAGAATGCATCTCATTGTGGCTTAACGGATGCCTGTCGATGAACTGCGAAAATACGAACACCGTAAAGACTCAAAAAGCCGTTCGAACATCTTCTCATTTCACCAAGGAATTGTCTTTTTGTTGTCTGCTGCCCCTCAAAAAGTGTGTGGAAGCAGACGTGCTACACGAAACAGTCGCGGACGTTCGCCCTGTAGTGGTCATATCAAGATTTTCTTTCTCAGATTGAGTTATCGACTCGCTTGGGGCGTCATGAGAACACAAGGGAGATGCCATAAAGAAAGCTGGTTGAAGGCCAGATGAGATGAAGCCCCACCGACTGAGACCCCCAAGTGCCCCAGCGCCACATTCAGTGCTTGTTTCCACTCGTTTTTCGCCCTCGGGATTCTGTCAGTATTCAGAAAGGGAAATTACACTCCCATTTTCTCCGCGGTTCGCATAAGGGCACCTAATTCTTTGCGTCAGTGTTGTCGCCATTGAGTTGCCATCATATAAGCAATGCGCTTTCAAGGAATTTTGCTACTGACCAACGAAAGTGGTAACCAGTCTGGCGCGCCCTTGCACGATATCATCTGGAAGAAGATAGATGGTGGATCCTAGAGACCTGATCAGCTCGTCGTCCAAAACGAAACCGACACAGAAAACCTTACCCATCTTTCGAGCAATGCTGATGGACAATTTGGCATTGGCATACGCATCATCAGGTGTCCTTCCAGGAGTGACGAGTTCGTAGTCGACATAGCTGCTCTTCATTCCATTCAACACATCCAGAAGGAAGATACCGCTCGTGATGGCGGGATCTTTGAATGATCGGACTGACGAGGTCTTGCCGCCTTTGCGGGACATGTCGTTGGCCCATTTCATCATGTCGGCGTCGGACAGGTCACGTTTGCCCATCCGCTGGGCAAGTCCGGATAATGTGCTGACGATGTCACGGCGCATAAGCTGCCAGACAAGGCCAAGCGTCAAGGTGCGTTGGCCGTCCGTGATATCCGCCCCCTGAATGCCCACGAGCGAGAATCGGTTTTGCTTGCCAAGTTCCACAGCATAGTTTGTGTTCTCCACCATTTTGAATCGGGACATCTCACCGCCATACGCCGGAGGCTTGTTGACATGACGGAAATTGACACTCCCAGGAATGACCTTGTCGTAAGCTTGGAGAAGGATTGTTCCATCACGCAAATCATCGAAGAAAGAGTGAACCGGAGGTTGAACATCCAAACTGTTGAGCCACAGGGTGAAGACCCGGGCTTCGCGTTCGCCTTCAGCGTCGAAGTCTTCGATATCAGGCTTCTCTTCTTCCGTAAGCGGATCAAGACCTGGATGAGTGTTGAAGAGGTTGGCGACGAACGCAAGGTTGAGTTTGGGGTTACCCGCTACCAGAGCGGTTGGAGTCAAAAACTTCCGGCAATCAATCCTCTCAGCATTCTGCAAAACCTGTTCGGCGCGTTGGAGAAGATCTCTCGTCTGCAACGGAGCTCTGGAGCAAATATCCGGCTTCAATTGATGGAGAAGCACGGTGTAGTTTTCACCATCCTTCACATCGCCGGAGAAGTTGGTCACTCTTCGGGGCCAGCCAGCGTTCTTGAGATGGTAATTGAACCAGCGGAGCAAGATCTGCTCCGGCGGAAGCCGGAGGAATTGGTCCAGTGTCTCGTCTTCCTCGAGCAACCGGTAGAGTTCCGGGTGTAGTTTGATGTCAATCTTGCCCAGCAGGCCCCGGCGGATGATTTGCCAGATCAAGCCCAAAATCAAATGTTCTCGAACTTCAATGATATCGCCACTGCCAATGTTGACCACGGAGCAGCCGATACCTTTGGCAGACTCAATGACGATATTGTTATTTTCGGTCATGTGGAATGCATTCAGCGTCTTGATTTTCGTGCCGGGCCTGTTCAAAACACGCTCATCGATGGTGTCCGGCACACTGTCGTTGATGAGTTTGGCCAGCACCAAACCATCTTTGCAATGGTCGAACATCTCGAAGGTATCGGTGGGGAAAGGCAAGAGGTGACCAATGTCGGGATCACCGGCAAGGACGGCATTGATGTGAGTGGTGAAAGCAGTACGTTCTTCCTCGTTGATCGTGTGAGTCACGTTGGTAGAGGATCCCTGGACTTGAATCTTTCCACCCGAACCTCCCAAGCTGGGTTTGGAAGCGTGCCCCGGAGCCGGCAGCCCATTGCCCGAGATCGGCCTCTGTGCGCCGGTTGACATGCGCTGCTGAGCAGGAGACGACTCGCGAACTTTGGCGATCAAGTCAACATAATCTTCGAGCTCTACTCGTCTTGAACTGTCGAGTTCCACCTCTTTCAACGCTTGTCTGACCACGTCGTAAGACTGTCGTTCGGACAGCTGGGTGGCTTTAATGACGGTAGCTTCGTCAAGATATCCTTTGTCATCGACATCGAGCCTGCGAAAGGCATCTTGTAACTGGAAGATTTCGTTCTGTGGGAATTGGGGATATTTGCGCTGCAGTTTGAGAACGGCTGCCATGGTGGATGGAGGGGGCGGGGCAAGGGCCCGCAAAAGAGAGCGGTTAGAAAATGGTTAGGGCAGAGGAAATGGCGAGGATGGTGGAATTGAGAGAGAATATTCTGATAAAGATTGAGGGCGATGATAGATATGTAGAGATGGTTATGGTGGTGCCTGCTGAGGTGTCGCAATCAATAAGCAGGGTCGATTGGGCGTCAAAGGGCAGTTTTGAGGCAGTGTATGAGTAGGCACTATGACATACTTTGGCATTCCCCGACCAGTCAAATCGAGCCAGGTCTAGATTCCAAGGTCACGTGCTAAGGGTGTCGGGTGATGATGCCGCTTTAACCTCCCGCGCAGGAATCCCGGCAAACAACAGATACGAATCCCCACAACATTTCCGCGCCAGGGTGCTAGCAAGACAAGCTGCCAAAAGCCACCAATTTACTCGATCCCTCTGAAGGAATTTCTCCCTATGGCTCAACATATCACTGCCTTCCACAAACCTCCTGTCAATGTCCCAAATACACGTGTTCGAATCTTTGACCGAGCAATAGCATCGCGCAAAAGAGTGGGATTTGACATTAGCAATCCAAATGGACAGACGATTCGGGACACCGCTGATTGCGATTCTGATCAACGACACTCTTTCTTCGTGGGAGCTCTTGAAGGTATAAAAGAGCTCCTCAAGCCTCGCATGCTTCCAAGCGTGATGACACCCTTGAGCCACGATCTTCAGGCGCTGGCCATCTTACACTTGTTGGGCTTGTCTTTAATGAGCCGGAGGCTAATCACCAAACGGAAACTATTATAGACCTTGACGGAGCTTTCATTGCATTCACCCATCTTTTGACCGGCTTTGACTCAGTCAGAACCCTCCTTGGGGAAACCCGGATGAATTATAGGAAAGAGAAATTCGGTGCATCAATATCATCAAACACTGCATTAGACATGTACGACGTTCGGAGGCAGAAGAGTGTCATATATCTGCATCTCGTGGAAGAGTACTCAAGTGTTACTGTGGAGCACATTACCTCGGCCAAGACTTCGATCTTAATCATGCAGAAATTCCTGGAGGCGACTTCAACTTCGCTCTGTATGATTTCTCAAAGACCATGTTCTTCCCAGTAACCTGGTGTTATATGGGTACATGACAGTAACCAAACCCGGATTGGTTCCTCTACATCGGCCCGGAGCATACAGAAGACTTCTCTGCAGATCACTCGAAAATGTCAAACCGCAGGGAATTTCAGAGAAGATAGAGCTATACTATGAGAAATTCTTCCAGATTTTTGTCTCACGGTTCCGGCTCTACAGAGATCGGCAACTAACGACGAACATACTCGTGGATTGTGCAATGCTTTGAAAACCGGCCATCTTCCTCTCAATGTGCTTTTCGCTACTCAGATCTTCCTCGACATTTATCACATTCTACGTGGCGACGTCAACTGCAGCTTTGCAGACCTCCGCAGGATCACTAGCGCAGCGGAAGCCTCTGTTCGAAATTTTGACTTTCACAAGAATATCAAGATTGGTACATGGCCACCATCAAACGACATGTTCTTGAAACATCTAGCAGACGCTATTCACGCTACTTATGCTATTGACAAGCTTCAAGGAATCCCAAGGCGGACCAGGGCCTCTCAACAGTTCATTGAAGACCGTCGTCTCCTTGAAAACCGCCCTATTGACTGCAGGATTAGCCTTTACGATATCAAGGAAAAGCCAGAATACCATTTTCGAACATCTGGGCTCTCTCTTTTTTCCCCAGCCATCCCTACAACGTATTCGGCAAGAAAAGCTGGTGAAGAAAGATTGGAAAGATATGGAGCTTCTCCTGGGAGCGCAAGTCAAACAACATAGGTTCGCTGGCGATCGTCCAAATTTTGCAGAACAATACTTCCGTCGCTTTTGTCTTGCAGCGGGCTATCCTGCGACGAATTTTGCTCAGAGCAGAAGACCTCAAAACACTGGAGCCGCGTCAGTCACTGGACATCGATGTTTGTGTTGGAGTAAGCCCCTGTTACGCGCATGTTCACGCCAAGGCACCGCCATGGAGTCGAGAGAACGGATGTGATAGAAGATATAGAGAGGATCCTAAACAAAAGCAACTGGCTTGAAATCGAAGATGACGAGGAGGGTTCTCTACTGACCGTGGGGCGACCGACTATGTCTGAAGCCAAGTCGAGCCTTAACAGGAAGTGGAATGCCAGACACCAAATCAGTATCCCACAACCTCTGCGAACTCTCCTGATATCCATGCCGGCCAACAAATTCGAATTCTCATATGATTATTTCCTCATGCATAGATTTTGCTGGCGATTACTGTGAATTCATGCCCATGCCACAAGATGCACAACCAGCGAAGCAGATTGGGTTGAAAGTTCCTTTGGCGGATTCCGCACTTGTTGCGAGGGAGCTTCTGGAAGTAGCGGCGGAAAAAGTCGATGAGATGGTCGTGTCGATGCTGGCGAGATAATTGTGAGCATAGTGGAGCAGATCTACAACTTGAGACTTCAAGTTGAGAAAGACTGGATGGTGGACGGATGAAAGACCCTGGAAGCGCTCTCGTGTCAATGAGCACGGCATCACTGGCAATGGTCTGGAAGGTTAGACTGATCTAAAGCAAAGGGTCGCGAAAGCTGAAAATTTCATTTGATGAGAACATCGCTAGCTATAAACATCCTGTTTGATCAATGCTCTCTAATTGAGCAATGCAGATCCTTTCTGGTTTCTTTATATCATGTGAGCTTAGAGCGGCATCGCCCGCCCTCCCAATTGGTGTCAAATGACGTAAGGGGGCGGCGCAATCATGAGCTATACCATATCTAGAAGAACATGTGGCTGAGTCTTGGCAAAGCACATCTTGCAGTGGCGTACCCTGCATCAAAACCTCAAACTTGATTGTCCCCCTGGCAATCATATCACCTCAATTGGCTTCCCGAACGAAGACTAAAGATAATTGACAAAAGGAAGAGTATACCATAAGGAGACATTCGTATTATCAAAATCGCCACTCCGGCTCAATCGACCCCACGGATTCCCGATCGCGACCTTTGTCATCTTCTCCCTCGCTTCAGCCTGGTACCTCTCCACGAGCATCCAGTTACATGCCGTCACATTGGAGCGCTTTCCGGCCCTAATCAGGGCTTTCCGGAAAGGCATGGCTGAAGCCAACAGAGCCTCCGCCTCCTTTTTAGGATCCATGTCTCCTTGGAGTAGAAGCAGTACTCCCCCGCCGAAGTCTCCTCTCCAGAAGCCCAAAGAGGATCCTCCCGCTCTGAAGCAATCCAGCGGCCTCGACCATACCATCAGTCTCAGACCTTCCCCTAGTCTTCGCAGATATCCGAAGGATTGTCCCCCTCTCAAGACGAGATGGTTCTATGCGGTCGATGTGGCCAAGCGGAAGCCCTTCGCCGCCGAATCAAGTCCCGAAGACAAGAACAAGCCACCACCGGTTCCCAAGAAATTCGTACCATTTTCATCGACGGATTCACAAGCCATTGAAAAGGCATACCAGTCACTAGATGATGAGAATCGAAGTCAAGCTGATAGTCTCGGAATCAGCGGCACCAAAGTCCCAGTCAACGAGGATTTCTTGTTCGATGTCCACATTGAAAAACGTGAGCTAGAACCAGCTTATTGGCTAGGTCCGGTGTATGAGATCCGCAGAGGCAGTTGGTTTTACGCAGATAGCTCACCTCTCAAACCTTGCGATGAAAATCTTGCCAATCAACTCGAGGAAGGGTATTTAAAGCTTGCACCATGGAGGAAAGCAAGCATCATATCTCCTCGTTCAACATCGCAGCCGAGAAGTCGACCCGACTCAGTGGTAATGGATGGGTCATCGGGTCGGTCACCGGGCAACGCACCTCCCTCCCAAGATGACAGCCAGTCTTCTGCTCCCAACACCTACCGACTCTTCGGAGCTCATATGAACACGACTGTCACTTATCAAGATGCGACTGTAGCCTATCTATCATCTGACGACTTTATTTCTCGTATGAGCAGCACCGTCTATGGCAGATTTGTTGGCTATGGAGGTACCAAGATTGTTCGAGGCTGGTCAGATGCCAAGCCCGCCGACCCCAAAGCAGACTCAAAGACCGATCCAAAAGCTGCCGAAGCAACAAGCGCAAAGGAGAAGCGCAAGTCTGCCAAAATAAACCCAGAAACTGCCGCCGCCACTACAGATCAAATAAATGATCAGCCAAAGGCTAAGGACAAGGTTGACAAACCTCGACGATCAGCGTTGGAACGTCAAATCTCATCCTTGGCAGGGATGTCAGACTCTCACGACTCTGAAAACCTGGGAGAGGAAGAAGCAAGAGAGCAGGAAGAAAAGGAAATGGAAGATGCCCGAGAAAAATACGGCGACGAACAGGCCAGGCAGATTGACCACTTGGTTTTGGTTACGCATGGCATTGGTCAACGACTTGGTCTCCGCCTCGACAGCATCAATTTCATTCACGATGTCAACACTCTACGAAAGACCATGAAGGCCGTTTATAAAACCGCCCCGGACCTACAAGCATTGAGTGGCGACCCGAAAAATTGCAGAGTCCAAGTTCTCCCAATCTGTTGGCGACATTTGCTCGACTTTCCGAAGCAAAGTCTCAAGCAGAATCGTAAGGAATTGGATCTCGGAGACGCGGATGCAGAGTTCGACGATGAGTACCCTTCTTTGCAGGACATCACGGTGGAAGGAGTGCCGGCCGTGCGGAATCTCATCACAGATCTGGCCATGGATGTCCTCCTCTACCAGAGTGCGTATAGAGAACACATCGCCTCTATTGTACAGAAGGAGTCGAACAGAGTCTATCAGCTCTTCAAAGAACGAACAGGCTTTTCTGGCAAGGTCAGTTTTTGTGGTCATTCCCTTGGCAGTGCCATTATCTTCGACATTCTCTGCCGACAAGAAGAGGAGATGAAGACAAGGCCTCGCCGAGTATCCAGCAAGACTTCACGAGAGCCTGCTCTGGAGGGGGAAGATCTTCGCCTCGACTTCGACGTGGAGAACTTCTTCTGTCTTGGCTCGCCCATCGCTCTGTTCCAAATGCTCAAGGGAAGGACCATTGCTGGCCGCCAATCTCTAGGTGCCAGCGCCCTCAGAGCGACCATTGTTCCCACGTCACCATTCGATCCGGACCCGATGAGGAATGACCCATTTGACAGTGCCGCATTGAAAATAAAATCAGGTGTAAGCTCCAAAGATTTAATCCCTATCACGACTTCGTCACCAAAATGCAACGAGCTCTTCAACATCTTCCACCCTACAGATCCCATTGCCTACCGCATGGAGCCTCTGATCTCCCCAGCAATGGCACAGCTCAAGTCCCAGCCTCTCCCATACACCCGGAAAGCCCTCTTTGGCGCGCCGGGCATTGCCAACATTTCAACCCGTGTCGGCCAACAGGTGATGTCGAGCTGGTACAATCTCACATCTGGCGTGGCGTCTAGCCTGATTAACAAAAGTCTGGGCATCACCGGGGATGAGCAGGCATTACCTCAAGACAAAGGCAAAGCGACCACCACAGGTGGGACGTCCACTAATCCCGGCGGCCAAGCAAATTCCCCACAAAACATGCCCGTCGCTGATGAGAAGAGACAACAAGACCTGGCCGACGCAGCCAAATCTCCTCCGACTACAGAACAGGCGTCGACACTCATCGACTCTGAGCTTGAAACGCTGTACTCGGGCTTCCAGCAACGCCAACGAACGCAATATGCTGCCAGTGGTGAAGATAACGATGAGACCGCTGCCTCAAAATCCGCAGAATACCAACTCGTGCAGGAGCGTGCGCGGAAGCTGAAACGTGAGGAAGCCAAAGTACGTGCCTTGAATAGCAATGGTCGAGTGGATTATCATATTCAGGAGGGCATGTTCGACGTGTCATTGCTTGCAAGTATCGCCAGCCATTTGAGTTATTGGGCAGATGAGGACGTGAATCATTTCATGATTGGGCAAATGTTGAAAACAAGAGGGAGGGATAAGGAAAGGGATCGCGTTGCAGCATAGTAATGGATAATGTGGATCAAACCACTCACTCAGCCCTACATTGATGAGGCGGTCTGTCCATCCTGATAAGAGAAGAACGTCAACGGTGTACTATTTTGGAGATTGGAAATACCCTGTACAGCACATGCATATTCTTATCGCTTCTCGCCCATAAACTACTGTATAAAACACAAGGCGGCCGGCACGCTCGCCATCTTATGTACCCATCGTTTCTGTTCTCCATGACTCCGGTCTTAACATCTACACCCACTTGCCTCTCCTTTGCGATCGCGATCATGTTCAATTCCAATATCACTCTCCCCAACCGCATCAGCCGGGACACGATAATACGGCACAAAATTGACGCACAAAGCGTACGTCCATGCCGCAATGAAAAAACACACCGGCACCACCATCGAGGAGGGCGTCGAGTTGTGCCAATCTGTCGTCGCACGTATCCCTAAAGCGACAATCGTCGGAAAACACACGATCCCAAAGAACAGTGTGAGCATGAGCATGGCGATGCCCGTGTCGCGTCGCTACGTGATACACGCAGAACAGAAAGTGAGAAAGATATATCGCGGGTGGACGAATGTTATGAGCAAACTCTCTGAGAAGCGGCCGGCTGCGAAACAGCCCTGAGCATGAAACACGTGATATCCATTTGAAGAGACTCGAGGATTAAAGAGAGCAGACGGACTAGGAGAGTATGTATATAGTCGTACCATTTCATTCCTATTTTCGCCTCATTCTGCAAAGCAATGCCACCGCCAGATCAACATAAATGTAAACCCAGTCTGAAATGCTGAAGTTTTGATTCAAACTCCGACGCTAGATTGGCCAGACAATGGAACAAAAGCAGAAGGGTATAAACCACACCGTCAGTTTCTCGAGCAAATCCCCAAGTCAGAAACACCAACGTTTCTTCAGGTTGCCGTCTCCACATAGTTGGAAGGGAAAATACCAGTGCGACCATCTTCTGTTCGTCCTGTCCACCAATCGGTCTTGTTTTTGGTTCGCTTCGTAATGGTGATGATGTCTCCTTTCTTGAACCCGAGATCACCATCTTGATCAGGATCAAAGGTGAACAACGCAATTGCTTGATCTGGTCCAAGCGACCCCGTTCGCTGCTTGAAAACAGGCTTGGGTGCCGAAGGTCTGCTGGGTCTGTTGTCCGAATAGCTGTAATCATTCTGCAACGTACTCGACCGGCTTCGGTTAGAGAAACTGTCGAAAGTGTCCGTCCTTCGTCCGCTCGGCATTCGATCATAGACATCATCAGCCCAAGTATTGGCACGTCGCGGATTATCACGATATTCATAGTTGTCGTCTCTGGACCCAAAGGTGGAGGACCGGTCACGATTATTGCGAACGTTGGCCCCATAGGCCTCGCCGGTTCTCCCTTCCCATACCAGGTCGTCATGTTGGTCGTCGTAGACGGGCATGTCATTGTACATCCCGTCATTGAATGCGACGCCGGAGAAAACCCGTGTGTTGAGGACTCTCATCAACGGATCGGCGGCTGGGGGTGGTCTGACGGCGCCTTCCAACAATTGTCTTGCAGTGACCCGGCCATTGTAAAGTTTCTCGTTTGCATCTCTTCTCTCAATCAGGACGCTTCCTTCCAAACTGACACCAGCAAACAATCCTTTGGTTTTACTGTAGGCAAAAATACCGGCCACCCCCTTCAAACTGGCGGCACCGGCCGCTTCAGCGTTTCGGCCCACCGGACCAGCAGCGATACTGACATTACCGCCTAAAGTGACGGATGCCGCTTGGGCAAATGATCGGACGGCATTGGCATCATTGAGGATGAAGACAAAATCGGTCAGTTCAAACCCAATTTGTCCACCGAATCCACCTCCTGCTGTTGCAATCGCTGATGGTGCTGACCACGAACCGTCCGCCAGTCGGGCGACAACGATACCGGAACCAAATCGACCAGAACCAAGGAAACCGGCTTTGAGGACCGTTAAGACTGCTAGACCCTGGCTTGTTGTCAGCTTTGACCCGGTATTGAAGTCTCGTGAGAGCCACCTTTGCATTGGCGAGAATCTGAGGAGGAATGACTTTGTCAGGACCAAAACTTTGCCTAGGGTCGACAAACGATGCTAGAATTTTAGCAGCTTTTCTACACTCGCCTGGAACGTGTTAGAATTTGGATGCTTAGAAATCGGATTTGATCTGACATACTCCTCATGGACGAGGGAAGCGGATTGTTGATACCGAACGGCATATTGAATCACACCCTTTTTGCTCAATGGACAAAAAGTTTTTTTTTTTTTTTGGGCCCACTCAGTCCTTGCGTTCAGGCAGGAATATTGTCAGTGTGGTAGAGCGCAAGTCGGAAGCCGACGGGCTGTATGGCGACTTGGCCGTGACCGAGGCGGGGGGAGTGAAAATGCGATGGGGAGGGTCTCGTGTAAGGGATCAATGGGAGAGGTGCTCGGAGTGAGCGAGGATGACAGAAGGAGGGGTGGTAAGAAAGAGTAATATACACAGGCAACAGAAAATGAAAGGCGCAGTAGCTGAGTTCAACAGTTGACCTCGTGCTGAGTTTGCGGGACATTCTGGAGTTTTCGGCCGGATATCAGGCTTGGCAGCGTATACGCAGAGCCAACATCGTCGTCGCCATTGAGGCGCAGGCATTTGGGCCTTGGAGCACACAACTCCCAAATCTCTTGTCCTCTCGCCATCGCCTGCAATACGACGGCTAACTACACCTTCGCTCTCCTGCGGCTACAGTTGGCGTCATGATCATCCAACTGCACGCGGCCTGAATCCTTTACGACCTCTCACCCCCCCGCATCCAGGCTACCACGTAGATATGAACCGACGTGTCTGAGGTAGACAATCACAGAACCCTGACATGGCCACCGTCAGAATATGTGTCTGCGGTGATGAGGGTTGTGGTAAGTCCAGCCTTATCACGTCTCTCGTAAAAGATACCTTCGTCAGCAACCGAATCCAAGCCGTCCTCCCTCAAATCACCATTCCTCCAACACTGGGAACCCCTGAAAATGTTACCACTACCGTCGTTGATACCTCTGCCCTCCCGCAAGATCGCGCAAACCTCGCCAGAGAATTGAGAAAGTCCAATGTGATCCTCCTGGTGTATTCCGACCACTACAGCTATGAAAGAGTTGCGTTGTTTTGGTTGCCCTACTTTCGTTCTCTGGGTGTCAATCTGCCCGTTATCCTATGTGCCAACAAGTCGGACCTGGTGACAAGTAGCACCTCCTCACAGATTGTGGAAGAGGAGATGCTTCCTGTCATGTCCGAGTTCAAAGAGATTGATTCGTGCATTCGAACCAGTGCCCGTGAACACTACAATGTCAATGAAGCATTTTTCTTGTGCCAGAAAGCTGTTACACACCCCATTGCACCCTTATTCGATGCGAAAGAATCAGCCCTCAAACCTGCCGCAGTAGCTGCTTTGCTTCGAATCTTCTACCTCTCCGACAAGGACAAAGATGGTTACCTGAGCGATAAAGAGATGGAAGATTTCCAAATCAAGTGTTTCGACAAGGGGTTGAGTCCTGCCGACCTGCACCATATCAAGGAGACCATTGAAAATCACATTCCCGGAGCGGCATCAAGTCGAGGAATCAACTCCCAGGCTTTCTTGTTGCTCAACAGACTGTACGCGGAGAAAGGTCGTCACGAGACAATCTGGGCCATTTTGCGGACCTTCCAGTACACTGACAGTTTATCCTTGCAAGAATCATTCCTGCATCCCAAATTTGAGGTCCCCGAATATGCATCTGCCGAACTGTCCCCTGCCGGGTACCGATTTCTCGTGGACTTGTTTCTTACCTCCGATCGCGATAACGACGGCGGTCTGAGAGATGAGGAACTGGCATCACTTTTTGCCCCGACACCGGGAATTCCTCAACTTTGGATTGACAACAATTTTCCTTCTTGCACTGTGCGGAATGAGGCTGGTCATGTCACGCTGCAGGGATGGTTGGCCCAATGGTCAATGACCACCTTCACCTCACCGAGGACAACGCTGGAGTACCTCGCGTACCTGGGTTTTGAGTCCACGGACCGTTCCAACACCAGTACTACGGCTGCTCTCAAATTGACCAAGCCCCGAAAACGAAGAAGACGGCCTGGTCGGGTAGGCCGAAACGTCGTTCTTGCCCATGTACTTGGAGCTCCTCACTCGGGGAAGTCGGCCTTGCTGGATGCATTCCTGGCCCGGCCATTCAACAATCTCTATCTGCCCACCATTCAGCCCCGAGTGGCCGTCAATACAGTGGAGCTACCTGGAGGAAAACAATGTTATCTCATTCTGAAAGAACTCGGAGAGTCAGAAGCCGCCGTTCTCGAAAACAAGAACAAATTACTTGATCAATGCGACGTCATTGTCTACACGTATGATTCATCAGATCCCGACTCGTTTGCGTACATCCCCAATATTCGGAAAACATATCCTCATCTGGAAGACCTACCCTCGGTCTATGTTGCTCTCAAGGCAGACCTCGATCGAGCCACTCAAAGAGCAGAACATCAACCGGATGAATATATTGCACAGATTCAACGAATGCCTCAGGGTCCTCCTATATCCACTAGCGTGACCTGGCCTTCGATTCAAGAACTATTCGTGGTAATATCAGAGGCTGGTGTGGAGCCTGCAACAGCATGTCCTCGACCCCTGGAAGATGATGACAGTGGTCAACTTATGAGATATGGTCTAGTCCTGGGGGCGGTAGTATGCGCTAGTGCAGCAGCGGTGGTGATTTGGAGAAGATCAGCTTCGGGAATGGGATGATGATGCTGATGGGCCGGACAGTTTGATAAGGCACTCTGGAACCTCCACTTCCCCGACCGGGGGCTTCGTCGATAGCTATCCTCTACAGAGAATGTCGCTTTGGACCTGATGATGAGGCCACATCACTGGGTTCAACTTGATCTCGTTTTCAAGCGATAAGATTGGTAGAAACATCTCCATTTGGCCATAGGGGTTTCCGAGAAAACATGTGACTATTTCTGCTCATATAGATTATCGCATATGAATACTCGCTTCTGACTGAGCAGAGACGGATCCTCCCTCCAATACCTCATGAGGCTGAAGCTGACGACCCTTGAATCACTACCCTACTTAGGTAAGCCCCAGACGTTACTTCAACACTTCATTCTTCATTTCATTCGTGGCTTTTAGTCGTACGGACCAATTGACTGTGATCCCCTTCTTAAGCACGCATTTAATGGAATGAGCTTCCTCAAATATTCTTCAGTTAACTTAGAACCTGACCTTACAGACGACCCCACTGGCAGTCAGCAGTGAGCAAAGTGTCAACAACCAAGCGACCTACACTGCAACAACTACCCAAAGAACACCACATTCACCTATCTCCGAGGCAACAACGAAAATGGCATCTTCCAACCTCCTCATCCCTGACCACGAAACAACCTACGCCCAATTTCTCCTTCAAAACCCCCCACCCTCGGAATCATCATCTATCCTCAAGACTATCTCCATGCTCTCACTCCAATCGCACATTGAAGGCGGCTATTTCGTCGAAACCGACCGTGACCCCTTGCTCGTCCCGAACCCCTTCCAGCACCTCCCACTTCTCACCAACGCCACGTCAAAAGATACCTCGTCCACCCGCCACGCCAGCACCACTATTTTCTACCTGATCACCCCCCGCAGTCCAACCGGCTATTTCCACCGCAACAGAGGCCGGACCGTGCACACGTTGCACCGCGGGCGTGGACGGTATGTGTTGATCCACGCGGACCAGCGTGATCCTCAAGGCCGAGTACCCGTCGAGACGTTCGTGGTCGGGCAGGATATCGAGAAGGGTGAGAAGCTGCAGTGGATCGTGGAGGGAGGAAAGTTCAAGGCGAGTTTCCTCCTTCCGGACCCAAAGTCAGACGTGAGTGAGCAAGGGTTGCTGATTAGCGAGACGGTGGTGCCGGGGTTCGAGTATATGGATCACGATTTCATGACGGCAGAGGCGATGGTTGACTTGCTGAGTCCAGAAAAGAGGGAAGAATTGAAGTGGTTGTTGAAGAAGGGGGAGCAGGAAAGGTGGGAAGAGGCCATTAGTGAAAAATAAAAATCGTACATCTGGTAAGAAAGAGAATCTCGAAGGGATGGAACCCCAAGATCGCATTGGGAGGCACTGACCCTTGGATGGATAGACGGTCCACGCCTTTGGCCTCTCTGTGAGATTGTCGTCCGTTCTGAATTGAATCGGACCCTTGTCATTTAACATGATATATGACCGACATTGACAGAATCCCAATTCCCCGATATTCGTAGTCACGTATACACCGCCGCCACTTCCTTATTCCATTCTCCTTTGGGGAAACAGGGCAGGTCTGTGTCATAAGAGCTCCAACTCTCCCCTTTCCACCCCTGGCTTCACATCCCGCCATCTCACCACCCAAATCTCACCACGACGCATCCTCAACTCGACACTCGCACCTTCACCCTCTACGTCCTCATTTCTCGCCGCCGACTGGTCTAGATCACGCTCATTACTCCAGATCCCTTCGCTCAAACACCGTACGACTACCGCCTGCCCGCCATCCGGCGGCTCCACCATTGCCACACCCCCGCTCGAATCATCCAGCCGTCTCAGCGCCGCTGGGAACGCTGTCAGAAAACTCGCGTCGTACAATTCCGAAAGTAAGGCCTGGTGAGCGCGCAGGAACTGTACTTCCGCCGGACTCAGGTACCTAGTTTTGATATCGGACTCCAGCGTGCGTGACAAGTAGAAGACGGCGTGCTTCGTGAGCTTTGCCAGCCGCTGGCGGAGCAGGCTCCGGACCAGGAACTGGGTGCGCGACAAATCGGTTTGAAGGATGGACAGGACAAGGTTTGCGTTTGTGGTCCCGCTACCATTTGTTCCTGCTCCGGTGGCACTGGTGCTGTACTGGTCGCCTATGCCGCTGGCGAGGTCTTCAATGCGTGAGATCTGCTGTTGTACGCGCGTTATGACGCGGTCCATCAGTTCAGAAGGGTAAGGGAGGAGGTCTGGCGCGCAGCGTTCGGAGGTCCATGCTCGCGTCAGGAGTTGGTGGTCTGTACAGGCGTCGGTATCGTAGTCGGCGGACAGGCTCGATGTGAGCCGGTCCTGTGGTCGTGAAACCGAGGCGAGGATGTCCGAGATGTCCTGGTCCATTGCTTATTTGTCGTTTGTATTCGGCTACAGATTTACCGAACCTAGTCTAACCGGAAGAATTGGAACTCAGTGAGGAATCACTAGGTTGTCTGTGGAGAGATTTTTGAATGGTGCGATTGGTAAGTCTACTGAAGTTCCTGTGCACGTACGGTCGGTAGGGCGGCGAGTCTCGGAAAGTTGTGATTTTCAGGTTGTATGTGATAGAGGTATTGATTTCTCTTTGAAATTCTTTTCGAGGATCTTGATGAGGATGAGCAAATTCAATTGGGGCGGGTGGATGAAATGAAATACTGAGGTAGTATTACGCGAAAAAAATTATCCTCCATCGTCCCTTTATAATTAGCCACCCGCCGCTTTGCTTCCCCGCTGCTTCCTGAGCGATCCCTGAGCCTTGCCTAAGCCCTTTGGTCTTTCCTCTGCCTCTTCATTTACAACTCCAACTTTTGTTAACTTTAGACAATGGGACCCGTTTGGGATGCTGGGGGATCCTAACCAGGGCCCCTCTTTAATGCACTCGAACTGCTTATGTGTTTCTGGCGCAGATGGTATTGAACACCGGCGAACTACTCTAGACCAGCATATGATTGAACTATGGTAATTACTACGCCATCATCTACGGAACAGCTGGAACTGCGCGTCGGCCCAGAGAAATCCATCAACTTCAATCCACAGGCTTCACTTTCCACTTCTCCGTCGTACCGAATTCCAGTCGTCCCTCCCTGAAACGCCATGGATCGATGTAGATTCTGACACCAATTTTGTCGCTAAGCAGGTTGTACACGCGGACGATACAGTAGACCCTGTTTCTCTCGCTATCCTCTTGGGTTCCAAGTTCTCTCATCTATAGAACCGCAGTTAGTCTCAATTTCTTGTGGGGTGATGACCGTTGACAACAGCACATGTGCTGCTGCAGCATTCATGGATTTCACTCACCGTGTTGTATTGATTCGGGCTCATGTAGAACTCAGTCTCACATGGTCCAAGTGTAGTCTTGACCTCAAAGAGCCATTCCAGAGGTGTCTTGGGCCTGTCAGCGTAAAGACATCAGAGGCACACGCTGGATAACATTACTTGCGGCAGATTGTCTGAATCTTGGTACCACGGAGGATACCAGTCCTGGAATACATCGCTCACCGTGTTCCACGAGTGTGAGAATTGAAATTCGAGATTCTTGTCCTGGTCGTAGAACACAATATCGGCCGTCTCTGGTTCACTCCACCGAGTTACGTGTCGGTAGGATTCATGTGCTTGCACAAGGTATCGAATGTTGCTTTGCCAATTTGGCAGTCCGAATTCATCGCCCAGCATGTGTTTGAGGACTTCGTATACCTGTATATTTAGGTTAACGACCGTGTTGTGCCTGAGAAGGAGGAGATGTCAGCTCACAAAAAGCTCACCGGCCGCGCCCAATCTGAATTTGCTGAGCCACACATCATTACCAAATAGGTTTGGACAGTCGTTAGGGTCGAGTACGGTGTGGTCAAGCACAAGACCAGCGAATTCTGCGGCCAAATCGTCAAAGTTGCCAGCCTCGTAATTGCGCCGATGAAGCCTGTTTCCAATTTTCGACGCTTGCTTGTGGACATGCTCGATCACCTTCCAGTAATCCGGTGCATCGATCTCATGCTGGATCTCTACGGGTAGAGCTCGATAGGGCTGTCGGTAGTTTGTTTGAATAGGGTCAGTGGGAAGGTTTGGTTCGTCATCGGCCAAGTCTGAGGTCTGCGGAGCTATAAGTGGCGGCGTAGGTGCTGGCCGACGTGTTTCTGGCAGCCATGACACTCGTGAGATACCCTCCTCAAAGAGAATGTCGTCTGTGCCGGTCTCCAGCTCATTGAGGATTCGATATATTTGCTTCTCCGCCCTAGAGTCAAAGATGTTGAGGAGCTCCGCAGCGATATAGCCCGGGAGTTGCGAGCGCATGCACTGCCTAGTTGCTCTTTCTTCAGCCGGAAGCGTGATTTCAAGCCTATTGTGTTCGTATTTCGGGATTAGAGAAGGTCTGGAAGTGGGAACCTTGACTGGATGTTCGTCTTGCGTGACGACAAGGTAGGTAAACATCTCAGAGGAGGTGTGAATGATCGCATTTGCCAGGGCGTCATATAGGAGTCTGCTCTGATTTGAGAATAGTGCACTGCGGTGCGATATGGCGCAACTGCAGCAGCATGATCAGCTCCTGTTCCGACCACGAGAAATTCGGGTCATTACCATGAAATAGGATAGGCGCATTCATGAAACTGAGCCATGAGGGTATCGCTCGGTGTCGAAACGCGGGCGGAGGTCTCCAATAGCACATGTCGTGCGAGATAGTGGTCGTCTAGACCAAGAAGCCGAATCAGCTTGTGTAAAGAGTTCACTTGTTCATAGGTGAAATCGAGCATGACCAGCTGGTCTCCAAACTCATTAGCGTAGGTTTCATTGTCAACAATGAAAAATGATTGTGACTTCGAACGGAATTCGGTAGCCCCGGCGATTGATCTACAAGGCAAGTAGGCGCATTCGTCGAGTACTTCCATGCTGCTCCTGAATTGTGATCCATTGCTGCCCATGTCCAGCAATTCCGAAGCAGCTAGCATAAGCTTTTTGATGTTGTCGACCGTCTTTGCGTTACTTTTGGCAGCTGCGGCGAGCTGTTTCATCATGAACATTGGAGTGACGGTCTGGACCCCAAGGACTCCTATAAAGAACTCTTGCAACTCTGAATACGTTGCGGCAATTGGAACATGGTTGCTGATGTCCATGGTAGAATGCCAAACGCAAGATTTCGATTGCAACCAGTCATTGCTGCGAGGATTATAGATCAGATTCTTTTCCTGGAAAGAACACCTGCAATTGTCAGCATGTGCGTCCTTCTCACGGCGAAGTCGACCAACCTGATAGTCTGCTTCTGCTCCACGGTGCTATTCATATCGGCGAGATGGTTATACACTTTTGAAACAGTGGTTTGCAACTCCGCATTAGTCTCAGGCCCACGCGAGTCCCTCAAATACTCAAGCTCCTCGATCAAACATTCGACCGATACGCTTGGGACTTGGAGATGTGTTTCAAATAGGCCGGAGACCGTGGCCTTCTCATATGCCGAAATTATCACAAACCTGCGATGGAGTGCAATGTGGCTCTCCCATACACACCGATCGATGGTTCGCCACACGTTGCTAGTTGGATCCCAAATGAGAGGGCGGTTCTTGAAATCGTCCTGGTGGTTGTTAGCAAGGGTATCAGTCAACAAATAATCACGAACCTGAATAGTCTTTCGATCCTCTAGAGTCACCCGATCAGCCATATTTTTGTAAAGACATCCCAGCTTCACTGACCCGATTGTCGGTCGCTGTCCTGTTTCAGAGAGTAGTGAAATCGCTTGGCGATAAAACCATAAGTCAACGGTGTAACGTATACCCAAGTCTCTTAAGGCTGGCCAATCGGAGATCAGATGTTCCTGAGGAGGATCGGGCAATGACAGGATCGGTAGTCTTTTTTCAACGCCATATTTCCGTGCCACGGACAGAATGTTTTGAGTTGGAAACCAGCTTTTTGAAAGCTCTTCAGTTCCGCCGTGTTTACAAAGCACTTGGCACTCCCGGAGCACTTCGTCCAGCTTTGGGTTAAACCGACACGTACTGCTGTACTCTTGCGCCCAATAAGTTTGGATCACAGATAAGAACAGAATTGAATCCCGGCCATGAACGACATCGAGTATCCAGTGTAACTTCTCGCGACTTGAGAGATCTTGAAGAGGTGGATACCAACGTACACCAGCAACTTCAACCAGCCACTGTTCCCAGGTCTTGCCGCCACGTGATCTGGTTGCGACCTTGGAAGACTGATAAATTTTGTTCAAAAAGTGCTTGCCATAGTCTGGATTTTCATCGAGGCGTACCAGACATTCTGCATGGTATTGCTCACGTGAACGCATAAACAACTGGTTTGTAGGTTGATAGATGCCTCCAGACGTCGAGGCTTTGAGCTCGTCTCGAAGAGTCAAAGGCTTGTAAGAAAACCAAAACAGGAGTTCCAACGAACGCAGTAAGTCAGAGACATACCTAGTCCCAGACTTTGTCATTGCTTTGGTGATAGCAGTGCAGATCTTGGCAGAAGAGGCCTGCTGGACTCCTAGGGTTAGATACACCTCACGTCGTTTGGGCGCTGTAGCTGCGTCCGGTTGAAGGACCACAAGATCAATATCGGTGGGCATCTCGATGAGGATACATTCAGGACCAGTGCCTTCGTTGACCGCGTGGGGGAAGAAGATGTTTGGTCCGGGGCGGTACCATTCCAGCGCCTCATCAACCCGGACAGGGATGATAGGCATGTTGTGAATTCTTTTCCTGTAGCCCACATTGCCGAGGGCTAGCCCTTTTTTGATAAATGTTGTGAACGTGTCATGCCAGGCATCGTGCAGTGGTCGAGAGCGTAAACGCGAGTCATTACTCTGGAGGTCATCTTCAATAAGGTCGAAAGCGTCATCGAAGCTCAGCCTCGAAGTGCCAAGGTCAATCAACGCTGGATGATCGGATGATTTGTATTTTTTTGACAAAAAACACCAGGCCTGTTTGGAATCTGACATGAGAGCTTCAGACTGATGGGTGAAATCGGAAGTCAGTATACGAAGTCGGCTCGGCTTGTGCAAGGAACCATTCATCGAAAAGAACAACTCTTGCTCCCTCAATATCTGCCGTATTGAAGCCGATAGAGGCTGCAAAAATCCGACCATGGGCTGAAGTGGAATATAAGCAAGCCACTCATAAGACAGCTTACTTTTTTCAAGAGCCAGTCTCTTTGCGAGCGTGCAGAATAGGGCCGCAATCTTGTTCCTTAACGCTTTGTTCCAGGCGTTGTCCGAAATGGCTTGCCTACTGCCAGTCAGGATAAAGTCTGCATGTACCAGAAAAGGGAGCTCTTTTATCTGCACGATAGGCAGAAATGCAAAGACAAATTGACCTGCTTCGTCGAGGAGCGGGGAGCCATCGTTTGGGGCTGAGATTGGCAGACCAATTGTGACATTAGAGGTTGTCTGGGTGCGCTCGACGTTTCGGGGCATGTCCGACGCTTGTCCGTCGAGGACTCGGTAGAAGTACTCCGTGGCTTTTGCATCCTCTCGAGAAACGATCGTCATAATATTTCGGTCCACATCGACAGACTTTTCGAAAGAGACCGTCCCGTTTCCGGCTTCAGCAATCTCGAAGCGCACAGAAAGCTTCTTGATTTGGCGCAAAGCAAAGATAATACTTGGGTGCAAAGATCTCATCTGGGCGCAAAGAGTCTCCAGTCCGTCTTTTTCGCTGAACGAAAGTTGAAGGCGGAATCGGGTACGAACATTTTCTGGCAGTTGCTCGCCAGGCTCCCAGTAGGGCTGAATCATGCCGATTCCATCCTCCTCCCGTTGATGCTTGAAGCGAAAGGACCACACTCCTGAGGTAATGTGCACTTGGTCTGCCACTCCAAAGACAGATTTGAAACCAAACCCCTTTTCTCCAGTGGAGTTTTGATCCAGTGTCTTGGAGCTTTCACCAATGCTACAGATTGCCAACACGTCCGACAAGGAGAAGCCGTCTTCGTTGAGGTCGACAATGAGCTCTGTTTGGGAGACGGTAAAACTAATGGTGGGTGTATCGCCACATCGAAGGTAGCGGGCGTCATCCGCATTCTGGAGGAGCTCATAGAAGAACCGAAAAGGGTCGTCATAGAGCTGGTTGGAGATCCTAAAAGTGTCAATGAGAAAGACGCCTCCCGGCCCAAAGATTTACCTACATCTTGGTGAATTGAGCCAAAACCTTGCGTGACTTGCTTGCCATCATAGTAATCTTCTTCCGGAAAATTTCCGAGCCCGCTTTCCGTAGTTGATCATCATCTTCATCATCGAGATCTCCGTGCCCGGCTCTAATGCAAGTGAGGATATTCTTGACATCCTGTTCGTCTTTCGGCTCAGTCAACGGACTATCATACAACTTCTCGTAGAATTCTGAAAGCTCTGGATCAATCATGTTGGCGGCGAGATGGACGTTCTCGTTGACAGAGTTGGAAGCAGTCAGTTGACAGCAAGCCGGCTCTCAAATGCAAATCGAAGATCCAAAGAAGACAACGCAACTTATCAAGGAGGCAGAGCGCTGGGGCTAAAGTAGCCACCAGGTTGGAAAAAGGGCTGCTGACGTACGTCGAGGCAGATAGAAAGGCAGTATCCAAGCAGTTGAAGGAGCAAAGGCGACGCACGTCTTGTAGTAAGCTAACAACTGAGATACCTTGAGAATGCGATCGTGAGAACGAAGATGTCTTGATGCAGGATATGCCGATGCTGGGCATGAGGACGGCGATGGATCGATGTCTAGGTAGTTTGGGTCTATCGGCAACTAGAGGGAACCCTCGTCTAACGCCTGTGGATGCCGTCGCGAGGAAGCTGAGCAGTTCGTGTAGGATCGGCCGGCCATGCCGACCGTGTTGGGGGCTGTTTCACGAAGCGCAAACCCTGCAGAAGTGTGCATTAGCAGCACATTAAGCGCGGTTCACTGACGAGTGAACGTCACAGGCGGTGATGCAGGTAGCGTTGAATAACGCGTAACTGGGGTGTTGCAGGAAGAGGTTGTGCCCGTTTTGGCCAGCATCGGAAAGTGTCTCTTTCCTTCAGGTACTCCACTTCGCTAGGGCGGAGTGGGTTGTGTCGTTCCAAGGTGCTGGTGGTCGTGGCACGAGATAGAGTGGATTTACAGAAGACTGCTTCATGGGCGCAGAAGTGAGGACAAAACTCAACGGCTACATGACCTAATGGGCCGCGCCGTGTTTAAGACGCCGCCGAAAGGATTGTTTGACTCCACGAGACCAAAGCTAAGGTCTTCCAGCGTTGCTAATGATTATGTTAGTAGAAAAGCGTAGGCTTTCTAGTAAATTAAGACATACCGTGATCAATGCTAACGTCAAGATCACGAAGCCTAATCAGTTCTTGCTCGTCTTCGATGCGTGTTTGTGAATCCTTGTATTCGGCTGATGGATCGCATGAGTCGTCGTGGAAAGGTTGGGTCCTGCGGACACTTTGGAAACAACCCAGTCCGCTGTTCTTGAGGCGTCTCTCCAGCGGTGTGGGTGGTGATATGCTCTAAGATTTGCACTGCCGTTGACCCGCCTGAGTTCTGCGTTCGACCTTGTTCTCTTGCCCTCTGGGAAAAGTTCTGAGGCGGTTGGAATGCGCCGTCACGAAGACGTGGAGCGGAGCTCATCAATGATGGATAAAATATCGCGGTCTGGAAAGGTTATGTGTCGATCGGATAATATCGAGGTAACCGATGCTGGGAGCGACACCTGAGAGAGTTAGAAAGTCAATTCCCCCTTTCAACTCGACCAGCCGGTAGAGAGCCATCTGGTGGCCATCTGGTGGCTACCGATGAGCGGCTGTCTGCTATAGATGTTGGGCCACAGCATATCATGAAAGGGCGGCTGGAATCCTGGTACTGAACTGTGCTCGTCCTTGCGCATAATCTGTCTCGCCCGGGGCCGCCAGCGTCACAATACTAAATAGCGTCGCCTCACTTATTGTAGATGGACCGTGGCGGTCTATGTTCTCTTTGATGTACTGAAGTGCTTTCAGAAGGTGTCGGATACTTTCGCGATGGGTCACCGGTACTCCTGTCAGTCCGCTCAGGCGAATTTAGTGGTTACGAAATGGGAGGCCATCCTTGCTACCCATGTACTGGGTCTTGGACTGTGGTAGTGTAGGCGGGTTCTGCAGCGGTGTTGTGGTCCGTCTGTGACCTACTGTATGTCACCACGGTGCAGGTTATGCATTATTGCCTCAGTGGGTGACAAATATCTGGGAGCAGAGACACAGCGAATCCTAGTAAGCTGTACCGCCAAAACTATTGAGACTGAAGAATTTTGGCGGCAAGCACTAGCCATAATCCTTACCGGATAATCATATCCACACGAGGAGGTTGTATGAGATCTAAAGGACCTCAGGACAGTATCACCGAACGCCCAGAGAAAGAGAAAGACCTTTGTTCTATCCTTCACTGACCTAATCTAACCGGTTCTTATCAACATATCCCCACAACGACGTTCCGCACATCGTATGTCCAAGTCAACGGATTGTCTTGAAGCGCCGCCCGATCATGATCCGAGAGTCGTTTGAGCGCCTCATCGAGGAGATTGTAGCTCGAGGAGGAATTGGAGGCTGTCTGCTGTGATGATGAAGTGGAAGCGCTGGCTTTTTGACGAATTCGCTATCCCTAATCCGGCTGATGGTACGCTCGACGACGTTAGAGTTTGCGTCGACAATGAACCAGGTGGCTTCGCTTTGGAGGATGTGGACGACCCGGTTGAGAATATGGATGGGCTCTCATGATTGCAACTTTTGATGTACGGTACATTCATGCAGAGATAGGCCCAGATCGCCAACCCCACTGGTGCAACGTTTGGTGAGATTCATCACTTTCGTGATGGCAGACTTGAAAAGATCATCGGGAAGGTTGGTCGCGCGCTCGCCGAGTATACTTGCGTAAGTGTACATGCACATACCTGCCATCCTACATCAATTCGCCCTGCAGCATCATCTCCCAAAGGAATCCTTTTCTTTCCATCAACTCCTCAAACGTCCCGGCCTCCACCACTTTCCCCCGATCCATAACGAAGACGCTCTCTGCCATCTTCATGGTCTCAACCTGGTGCGTAATACTGATGATGGTTCTGTCAGTCACAGCCTTATTGAGAGCTTCCCTGACAAGAACCTCGTTCTCAGGATCCAACGCGCTGGTCGCTTCGTCCAGTAGCAGGATCTCTGGGTTCCGCAGGAGAGCGCGAGCGATAGCAATGCGTTGCCTTTGGCCGCCGCTGAAAGCCTGGCCTCGTGGGCCACATTCGGTGTCATATCCGTCGGGTAAGGATACGATGAAATCGTAGATCTTCGCATCGCCACAGGCGGTGTTGAGCTCTTCGTCGGTGACAGGACCGTCGACACCGAGGAGGAGGTTATCACGTATGGTGCCTTGGAAAAGATATGTTTCCTGTGACACAAACCCGAGCATCAAGCGGTAGGCTCTGATGTCTATCGAGGAGATATCAGCCCCGTTGATACTCAACTCGCCACTGGTGATGTCGTAGAAACGCTCGATCAGAGCGATGATGGTCGACTTGCCACATCCGCTCGGGCCAGTGATGCATACCCTCTCACCACGGCGCACTTGGAGGTCTAGCTCATGAAGGACTTCAATGTCGGGGCGAGCCGGATACCGGAAAGAGACGTGCTTGAATTCGAGAGCCGTTTCTGCGGGTGGCTGCTGGCGCGGATCTGTGCCTGCGGAGGAGTTGATCGATGGCTTCTTGTTCTTCATGTACAAGATACGATTCATAGCCGCCTGAGATTTCGTGATGCCTCGAAGTCGAGATTTTAGTCCCAGATCCTGAACGGTGTCAAGGACGTCTAACTTACTTGTGGTATATCCGATGGTATAACCCGCCGACTGTCCTCCAAAGATGATCGCCGTGTAGACTATGAAATATGCGGACACCCCGACTTCGCCATACGACACAAGTCGGCCTCCGTACCAGAACACCAGAATCATGGCTTTTCAGATCATTAGAAATACCGCGCTCGAGGACATGTGGGTTGGGATTATCTTACCAAACAGGTCGAGCGTATCCGATAGAGCCAATAGGGCCATCGAGAACACGGTCCGTCGCAGAGATCTGGCCATAGCAGCTTGCAGCTTGCCTGCATATCTCTTAGTGATTCTTGATTCCAGGGTCAGAGAAGCGACGGTCCGAATCGCGCCCACGGCTTCTGCGCCAAGGCGGGCGCTCTCCAAAAAGGATTTCGCGGCTCGATCTTGTGCTTCCTTGTCCATTCTCAGACGCACGTAGCCCGCCACCAGCAGCGTGGGCACACAGCACATGACTCCAACAAGCGCCAACTTCCAGTACACGGCGAGAGCTAGCAGAGAGCATGCCACCAGGTCGACAATGAAGAGCGCGAGAAGACCGACATTCATACTGACCATGGTCTCCAATTCGTCGCCATCTAGAGCCAGCAACGCAGCCAGACTGCCTGATGAGTTGCCATCTTCGAAAAAGCTCGCATCCTGAATCAGGAGGCCTCGGAAATACTCTGCACGGTATTTCGAAGAGCTTATGGTGCCCACGACCGAGAATAAACCCCAGACCGTTGCGTAAGCCACGAGATTGGACAATGCGAGGACGAAGAACATGAGGGCCCAGAAGTTGGCACGCGAGATAAGGTCATGCCCTTGATATTGGAAGACGGTCACGAGCTTGGAGAAGAGGAACGCCAGAATCGGCATGGCGGCGCCCGCGAAAACCGATCCGAGCAAGCCGCCGGTAAAGATGGGTATGATGCGTCTTTGCTCCGACAGGATACTGATGATGCATCTGATCAGAGAAAAGCGGCGACTGATCGATTTGGATTCAAGGATGGTAGGTGCCTCAGCAGTTAACGCCAATCCAGGAGATCCCGGAAGTGGTGTCTGGGTCGTGGGGCTCTGCCTTCGTTCCGGCATGGGTCGAGTCTTCAATTCTACTGGCCCCTTGTGTGATCTTCTCTCGTTTCTGATCAGGTTCTGCGCGCGGAGAAGACGAGTATAGATCCCTCCGAGAGACAGCAAAGACGAATGCGAGCCTTGCTCCATGACATGGCCGTTTTCCATGACCACAATCTTATCTGCCCCTGCGATGGTCGACAATTTGTGGGCGATCATCAGCGTCGTTCGTCCTCGAGAAACCTTGGCGATAGCGGCTTGTACTGTTTGTTCCGATTCCGAGTCCAGGGCCGACGTGGCTTCATCAAACAAAAGGATTTTGGGATCGGAGATGATGCTGCGGGCTATGGCAATTCGTTGTTTCTGGCCGCCGCTCAGGAGATCCGAATTCGCCCCCACCATGGTCTCGTATCTTTCGGGAAGCTCCAGGACGAAGTTATGGGCATCGGCCGTGATGCAGGCTTCCACGACCAATTTTCGTAACTCCTCTTGACCCAGTCTTTCTCTCCGGCCGTCGTGGAGTCCATTGAGGACATTTTCGTATATAGTGTCATTGAAAAGAACGGGTTCCTAATTCTGCGTTAGACCGCTAAACTCTCCCCACAACCACCACCGGGTGGGGATGTCACCTGTAGCACCAAACCAATTTGTCCTCTCCACCAATTCAAGTCCAGATCTCGAATGTCGGTGCCGTCGAGGCAGATCGAGCCCCGGATAGGGTCATACCAGCGCTCCAGAAGCCCAATCATCGTACTTTTGCCGCAGCCACTGTGGCCTACGACTGCGGTGATTTGGTTGGCATCGATGTCGATGCTCACATCGTGGAGGACATTGACCGATGGCCTGGTCGGATATGCGAAGGAGATGTTGGCGAGCTTCAGTTGCCCGGTGACGGTCGCCGGCTTGATGTGGAGATTCTGACCCGCCTCACTTCCGGAGGGAGTGTCGTCGTCCAGAACCTTCAGAACTTGCTGCGCGGATGCCGTTGCTTTGATAAATGAGGGCAGGGATGGCGCCACCATCCCCATGGAGGAGCTTCCGATAACGACAGAAAATAGCACACTATCCGTCTGGTTAGCTGGCACCTGCCAATCCATCTGTCGGGCCTAGTGGCTCACCTAATGACGGTGCCGCCGTCCTTCACCTGGCCCCGGGAGAGTAATTGGGCCCCATAGTACAACGCCAGGGCATATCCGCTCTGAACCGTGAAAAACATGTTCCCGTAGATCGATGCTTCCAGTGGTCCTTTCCAGAAACCGAGAGTCTTGGCCTTTTCGATGATCTGTTTGAACCGCTGAACAACTCGGTCTTCCGCGCCGAGGGTGGCTATCATGATGACACTCCTGAATGCCTCCTCGGCCACATTGGAGGCATTCGAGTAGATGGCGCGGGCTTTGGCCTCCATCTTGGCGTCCAATGCCGCAAGCAGGCCCGTGGTGAGCATCATATATGGAATGGTCGTCGCCGTCACCAGGGTGAGCTTCCAAGACTTCGTGAACGCAATGGTGAATGCGGAGATAATCATCGACGCGGCTTGAAACAGAGTCGTGACCTTCTCCGCCAGCCCGACTTCAATTAGATTCGTATCCGTCGATAGACTCGTAGCTACGGAGCCGGGGTTATGATCATCAAAGTAGGAGATAGGCCGGTGCAAAATGACGTCAAGATACCGGAGCCGGATTCGGCGACCCATCCGGGAGGCACTGACGCAGTGGAACAGATGGGCACAGTAGGCCAGCTTTGGAGGCACCCCGTTAGCAATCCCCAAAAGAGGACATCAACCAACTGAAAGCACTTGCCACAAATTTTCCGACGAAGAGATACAAAAGCCACTGGGTGTTCCGATTGATGGCATGCCGAAATTCGGACGGTTCGACCGTACCCAGAGCCCAGTTGTTGAAGTCTTGGACGAGGTCCCCGAAAATGATGGTCATCAAAGGTAACGCTGTTCCAGATGCCAGCGCGGTGGCCGCGCCACATACGCGAAGAATGATGTCAAGAGTGCTGGCATAAGCAAAGAGACGAAAGTACGCTCTCCAGGCCTTGGACTGGCTTTTCTCGCTCTTCTTCTCCAGAGTCTCAGGAACCTCGATCTTCAAATCCCCGTTTCCGGCATCATGCCCCTTGGGTTCTCGAGGCCCGGATATGAGTTTCTCCATGCCCGTGCTTTTAGAGCAAGTTTAGGACAAACCGTCTGTAATACCACAATAGAGTGGCTCTCCATTATGAACGATGAAAATTCCGGAAGAGTTGAATATGAGGCTATTTGAGTGCATCTGCCACAAGGCACCAGCATTCGGAGACCGTTTATGGAGGACATGACTATGCCAGGACGGCCGAGTTAGCAGGTATCATGATTTCGCGAGTCCGGCGGTCAGGCCACGGGAGAAAGGCTTCGAGGAAGCGGCACCGCATCTCTTCAGCACTACAGGCGTTTACTTGACAAATTGTTCGTAATGTGCCGCAAAGCATGGTTGCTCCGTTTTGACCTCGTACAAGTGATTGGAAGTGGTCTGACGATAACTTGGCGATGCACCGTCTTCGATCAAAAAATCCCCCAGGAGCGAAGGAGGTTAACCATTCTGGGTGACCATTTTAAGGCGCTCAGGAAGATGGATATGACAAAACCTCAATGTCTCGTGGTCTTTTGAAAAGAACGTCTTGAATAAAGATTCTGATACTATGAAAGGCACTGGCCACGAGGGCGTCGTTGACTGTCATCCGAGCTAATATACGCGTAGATACCGTTTTCGTGAGCGAGAGCGGAAGCACAAGGTCCGACCCTATAAAGTTGGTGACACCAACGCACCCCGACTGGTCCGCGCATGATTATCCCAGATCGTGACATAGCGACACCGACTCCTACACCGCAGACCGTGAGGAGGCGTGCTGCTCCTGCCTTCGAACTTGGGACCGACGAACGAGACGGCAATGATGAGGAAGACGGCAACCACGGTACCGCTGGCCCAGGAGGATATTTCCTTTTAGTCCTCCAGTCAGCCAAGCGGTCTTTCGTGCGTGCGCTCTCTGCCCAACCGTACTAACGACATGCTTCACAATCCACCACCTCTCTCCCACCCACACCGTCTCCGCCGTTCTACCCACCATTCTACAACCGCCCTCTCACTCCACTCCTGCTCTCCCTAGTCTAAATCCCTCGTGCGCCCACCCTCCAACAACCCCGACTCCTCCGACGTCGAAACCCCCCAACGACGCCGAAGCCGCGGTGGCTCACTCCGCTCGCCGGGCACATCCCCTTCTGCCCACCAGCCCCAAGGTCCCTCCTTACGAATACTACGACTTCGTCCTGTACTTAGCCTCCTCACTCGCATTCCTGATCTACATCCTCTGGTCGTACCCCCCTCACGCTCCAGACATCACATACTACCCGAGCCGGTGGTGGTCGCTGCCCATTCCAGCATAGATCGTCGTTCTACTAGTCTTCGTTTACGTCGCCTTGTTATCCTACTACGTCGAGTACCTCAGCTTACCCCTGAACAGTCTCGAATGTATAGTTGATGAGGCCGGCAATATTGCCGTGGTGGACGAGTACGGGCGCGTAAGGAAAGAAGGGTTCAAAGAGTTCGTGAAAGAACTCGAAGAACGTGCGAAGTTGCAACAGGAGGTGGAGAGTAAATCTAGAGGAAAGGGAAAGGGCAAGGGCCGGAAAGCCTGCACATAGCGCTAATGGGGGTTTGAAGTCATCAACACGGGAAAGACGACGCTCCTCTCACGCGGAGACCGATCAGGTCCACTCGGAAATCTCCCCAGAGATCCCGGCGCGTGATTTCTGGTCCGATGTCAACTGGAGCGCGAATCACCAACATCGGCACTCGACAGGTGTAAGCTATGTAGCGGAATAGTCGAATGGATATGCTCCGGGCGGAGATTCGGGGTATCTGAATTGGAAATTCGTTTGGAACGAGAAGGACTGCTGCCGTCATGGACGTGCCGATAGGTGGCGTTTGTGGGGTCTTGCGTGGTTGATTTCCAATCAAAGAGTAGAGTTGGCATATATGAGTGAAGCATCTGTAAAGTGCAGAGCATTTGTACAGCTAGAGATATGATAGGAAAGCATAGAGGCAGGCGTTTGGTATATAGGTTGAGGGTCAGATCGGATGTGGTCTTGTACAGATATCTAGAATGATGGGAAAAATTTCTAATAACAAAGTTTATGTCTATATCCGAATCTCGCACACATGTCTTTTCCTGCAAAGTCTTTGGTGCTGTCCATGGATGGATCAGTCGGCGATCAGTGAAAAGGCCAGTTCAACTAGACTAGCTCTTCTTTTCTTTTCTCTTTCTTTCCAAGCATGCGAGATTCGCTCCGGGACAGAGAGGGTTTGCTGGCACCTGTTCCCCAACCCATACGAATAGAAATAGGGTAAGCGTTGTCCTCCGTTGCGTTTGTTTATCTGTCCTATACTCATTATTCAAGTCGGTAATTAATCTTTCAAAGGGTCGTGGGACCCATTGGACCATATCGAGGATACTTTCTGATGATATCCCGAAATCACAAGCTCTCGGGCTCCTCTTTCCTCAATCTCTCGGCCGACCTTCCCTAGGCGAAGTCATTGGCCTGCCAAGAGGCATGGTGCGATGTCATGCGTGGCGAGGTCCCCATACATCGCACCTCTGATACCATAGTCCCAATCTCCTTCCCTGTACCATTTGGTGCCTCCGAGGCTTGTGAGATCTCCGAGATAGATTGATAGGAGTTTGAGCTGCCACGATGGATTTCCGGAAGATTCTTGGACGAAAATCGAAGTCGAAAGGCCAGGCTGAACCCAGCCTTGCCCACTGTTCTAGCGGCGCTTCGAGCCGTACCGAGTCGGTAACCACTCTAGTTGAGGTATGCTCAGTTGAGAATACATCTCGAGGTGCCGGATGACTGATTTGCTGGTCTGAATGGCCTGCAGCCATATCCGCCACGCGAAAAATATGGTCTTTTTATTCTACATGAGCCCCCAGCAGGGGAAACGCAAGTCGAGTGAGCCGCCAATCTTAACATTTGTCGAGTCTTTTTGATAACAGCGATTAGCATCGTCGCAGTTCATGGTCTTGGTGGCGATTGGGAAGGGACCTGGACTGATGATACCACTCACCAGATGTGGTTGCGGGACTTTATACCAAATCAATGGGGAGAAGCCAGAGTTTTGTCGTTTGGCTACGATTCCACTTTCGCATTTAGTCATTCCGTGGCGGATATTGACGACTCAGCAGTGGACCTGATCAACAGGCTAGATGGCGAGCGTCAAGTGCAATCCGCCAAAAAAAGACCCATCATCTTCGTGGCCCATAGTCTAGGCGGTGTCGTTGTCAAAAGAGTACGTTCTTCATAATGGACTCCTCGTTTAGACCAAAGAGCTAACACGACGAAAAGGCACTCATGCTTGCCAATGAACGCTCAGATCACTGGGGAAATTTGAGAGATCAAGCAAGATGTGCCATCTTCTTTGCGGTACCTCATCGAGGCTCAGACTTAGCATTTTGGGCCAATCTCGCGACTCGTGCACTGAGCTTTGCATCTCTTGGGACTCACGGAAATACCAATTTTGTGAACGCGTTGAAACGAAACTCGTCAGAGTTTGCGAAGATCTCAATGGGCTTTATTCAGCCGGCTGGGAAGTTGTCCTCGATCAGAACGTTCTATGAGACTGTCAAGATCACAAACCAGCTGGTTGGCGTCGATTATCCTCCTTGGGCAATAGGAATATGCTGATTAGTTCTTCAGGTTGTTGACAAAGATTCAGCCAGCCTTGGACTCACCAACGAGTTGGCTGTTCCTATTTCCGGCGCGGATCACCGAAATATTTGCAAATTTGATAGGCAAGACAGCCAAAAGTATAGACCAGTCGCAAATGCTTTGGCAGCAATGTCTGAATTATTGGCAACGTTAGAACCTTCTTGTACGTAGAGCTTGCTGATATTGCTCATGGCCAACTTTAGCTTCATGCTCCCTTCATCGAAAGCCTAGGAGGATTGAAACTGGGGTAATCATTCTGCGAGTGGCTGACGGTTCGTCTTGACATCTAGCTATCAGAGAACATGCTGCGCATCTAGCGCGGAAGGCTAATCAAGCCTGGGAATCCCGAGTCTCCAGTGTTCCGACGATCAACGATGACCTCACCTGGCCACTGCACATGCCGCAGTATCAAATGTGGTATCACGATTCGAGTCTCGATAATTTTCCAAGGCTTTTGCGATTTCAATACGACTGCACCAGTGAATGGGAGGCTAATCTGGCGAAAGTATTTCAAGAGAATTTGCGAAAGAGAAGAGAAGACGCCCATGAAAGCCGGCCAGCCCACATAATAACGTTTGTCGGTCCTCAGACGCGCTCAACATATTCTGGAAATTTGGCGGTAGCCCTACCACAATCACTGATTGGCCAGATATTTACACGTTTTCCAGAGTGCATCGTCGAGACTACCAATCGGCATCAGGAGACACGTAAGGATTTTCTCGACGCTGATTGGGATATTGGCGAGTTGGACAAAGCATCCCGGCATTGCTGGAGGGATCTCCTAGACTCCCATGCTTCGAATTGGCGAGCTCTGTGGATTTTACTCGAGCTCGCGATGAGAAGTCTCAAAGAGCCGATTGTTGTATTATTGTCAAGTTTCGATGAAGAGGCATATACTTGCCTCAGGAACGGCCTCGAATACCTACAGTCCGCAAATATGTTTGAGTCTGGCAGTGTCAACAAGCGTCGCTGTCGATGGCTCGTGATGGGCAGGCCATTCTGTGACGTACCTGGCCGCTTTAAAGAGAGGAGCATCATCCTGTCCGAGGCAGAGGAGATGGAAGGTACGGTTACCTTAAGTTGTTCTCCATTGCGACCTCGGGCTTACTAGCATTCAAGAGTGCCGCTCTGCACTTTACTTTGCAGAACTTCATGCTCGACGAGATCGAGTCCATACTCCAGCGAGCGGAACAAATCTCTGGATATGGGAACACAAAGAGTACAAGCGATGGCTCAAACAGCCCTCCGGTCTGCTTTGGATTTACGGCAAACCAGGAAGCGGAAAGTCCACTTTAGCCAAGACAATATTGCAGGCTCACGACTTTCGAGCTGATGGTTATCTACGAGCCGATTTCTTCTACAGCGCGCGTGGCGGGCCCGTGGAAACAGGCCACATTTTAATGTTGCGATCTATCCTCTATCAGCTACTAACCCAAAAAGAGGAGCTTTTCTCTTACTTTCAACCCAAGTTCAGAAGGCTGAGAGGAGCTGAACCTGGAGCAATTGCGTGGACTTTTCGGGATCTTGCCTCAATATTGCTCTCATTCGCTGAAGTTCGCAAAGCAAACGGACCCTTTCATAACCCGGCGCTGAAATTCTTTGTCGTCCTTGATGGCTTCGATGAGTCCAATCCCAAGGTCGATATCGATCACGGACCCGGAAATAAAGGAAAGGAAATCGAGAGACAGAGGGTGCTCAAGCTGTTCCACAGTCTTTGCTCCACGAAGGGCAGCGCAATTTTCAGGGCGGTCGTCCTAAGTCGGCCGGACCGCGACATACGAGACCTTTTGAGAGGAACATTTGCTATTGATGTAAAGAATGAGAATGAGAATGACATCACGAGAATCGTCCAACTCGGCTTAACAACGCTGTGGACGCACATGAAAGAGGAGGAAAATGAAGATCGGTATGTGCAGCCATTCTCGGAACGAGACTTGGCCTTCGACCTCGACTCAGATGAGGAAAGTATCGAAGAAGGTGTCAACGTACGTTCCTCCGGAGCACCCGAAATCCTTGAGACACCTCAACTGGATTTCGCGCGGAAGTATCTGTTGGACAAGGCCGATGGCGTTATTCTCTGGGTGGTTATGATTATCAAGGAACTAATCAAAATCGCTAAATCTGGTGTCTTCACGGTTGCAAAGCTCGAATCCATGCTCTCAACAATACCAACGAGTGTCCAGGAACTTTACGAGGATATCCTAAGGAGGATCAAGTCTAGAGGAACCGAGGATAAGAGACAATCTCAGTATATCGTCTCTTGGCTATTGTTTACCGAACGAACGATGCGAGTAGACGAATTCCGTGACGCATTTGCAATGTTCTCCTGGACCAGCTCAAATCGCACCCGAGATTTCCTCGACAAGAATCGGGTAGGTTCTTTCGCATCAAGTTGGTCTCCGGTGCGGTCACTGCTTGAGAATACGTGCGGCGGACTGGTCGAGATAGTACCAACTGAAAGAAAATCCACCCAGACACCCTGGGAGAGGAAAGGGGTTTCACCTGAAGACCAAATTCAACTTATACATCAAACTGCAAAGGACTTTCTACTCGCTAACCCGGATCCAGTGCTTTTCAACGTTGATTATGCCGAAAGTCTGCGAACTATTGCAACGACTTGTGTTAACTATCTCATAATGACCTTTCCGTTGGAACGACGGTGCTACTTTTTCTCGCAGACTCTGATACCAGAACGGGTCTATGAGATCTTTGTCAAATACATTCAGGATCGACCACTGTTGATATACACCTTTGAGTATTTGCAAAGTTTGTTTGAGGATGCAAATTGGAAGGAGGACGAAAGGATTTCTACGTTCGCTCCGTTGGCACATTATCTTTCTCAATCAAAAATTGCAAGAGGATCTCTCTGGTGGCTTGTCCAGGTCCTCCAATCTCAAGCCATGCCGGACGACGTCGGACTACAATCAGCTGCTTCACGACCAGAGAACGCGTGGCCAAGTGTTCAGGAATGCAGATGGGATTCCACCCCATCAACAAAGCTTGCATCGGCACAGCTCGAATTCCAATTGCTCTTCGACGGCATAGAGCCTAATCACAGTTCGGAGTATTGTAGCTATGATAGCGAGGAAACCGAGTTTCAGCGCCTGCAGCTCCTAAGCCTCCGACGCAAGAGGTATTTGTGCGAATGTCTCATGGCTGCATGCCGACTAGGGCTTTTGAACGCAGCCAGGACCCTCGTAGCTGCAAAGGCGCCGTTCAATGGAGTCAACGGCCTTCGACCTTCCATTCCACTTAATGAAGCTCGACAATACCAACACTATGACATTGAGAAATTCTTGACCAGCACCGGAGCAGATTCGAACCTGGGACCCATTGGACCGCGAGAACCTGAGGATCTAGTGTGGAACGTTCGGAGTGTTGACAGTCCACATTGGGACTAACCTAGTCACGTGCGCCGCAGCCTTTGTGGTTGAAGCGGCGGGAAGAGAAGTTTAGCTAAATTACCCCCGGAGCAACATTAGACCGAATCACGTGCAGCCTACTCCACCGACGAAAATTACCCTTGATACCCACAGTATGTTCCGTAAACGAATGTAGTTTAGCGTAAGCCAGAATCCTTGGCAGAAATCCACACCTTCGTCGCCTTTTTATAGCTTTCACCCAGGCTTGCAATCAAATCAAATCGAGCCTCGAATTTGATTTGATTTGATTTGATCTGGATCGATTTGGATCTTATTTGGATATTTGGATAGCCCCACTTTTCTCCCAGGATGATATACATTGCGCTGCGCCGATAATGTCCGCTCGAAGTCGGCTTCCCTGAGCCGTCACCATCTATCCTACGAGACTGAATATCGTTCTGGCTCGGAAGACATAGGGGGAATTGAAAAGAGATCTATCGCCATCCGCGACAGACGTGGATATTGCCGTAGGGTGCTTCCCCCAGGGACATGGTTCATGGAGGCATAAAGGTGTGGCTTTATCAACGGTGCAGTCTTGTGAGTAAAAGTCGAACAGGAAGAGCTTCATCTTGGCAGTACCATGGGCCGACGTACGACCTGGATGTCACCCAAATTCGCCGGCTTTTGTGACAGACGTCCATCCGGGGTTTCGTATAGGGTGCAGTTAAGCCTCCAGCTGCAGCAAGTATACTTCATTCCATACTTTTCTACCCGGTCGTGGTGTTATTTGATTCAGACTTGTATTTCCTCCCATTGCGAATCTCTGCCCAAGAATCGACGTCGGAGACACATGAGAAGACGGCACCACCAGGCAGTATAGTGACATTCACTGTCCGGTTCGTCATCCATTTCCTCAAAACTCCTAAGCCAGGCTTCGTATGCGACCGTAGCCAGCTTCCTGCGAATGGGCTGGTAAATGCATTGGACGGTAACATCTGCGAAGAACCGGACAACGACGAAATTTGGAAGTACGATTAGAATCCATATGGGAAACCGAACTGCTTCGCGTAATTTTATCGCCAACCAGCTGATAAACCACATCCATGGACAAATGATGGAAACCCCAATGAGAAGAGTTACTAGCAGGGCTAAGGGGGGATACTGGTTGAAAGTAGGCCTCCTAGAGAGGTTTCCATGCCAGAGGGATGCATCTGCACACCAGTCTAGCCTGTTAACATGCGATGCTTCCAGCCTCCAAGGGTCTGTGGTTATAGACGGGGGTATTGGGGCTGTGAGAGTGGGAGGAGAATTTCTTACCGTATTTAATGATTAGTCTCTTACGGAGAGGTACACTCTCCATAACGAATAACGAAAGGGGACTCCACAACTCTCGGCGGTGGTACCACCATTGTTTCGGTGTCCGCGCGATCAAAGGTGCGTCATAGCTCAGGTCCATGTGCATTCGACTTCGGGCATGGACCAAGAAGCGTACCCCTCGGGCAGCGAATCCCCTTGCCCGCTGCGTCCCATATGTTAAGTCTATTACCATGCAGGTTCCGAGAAAGTCTGTATTGGCCTCACGGCCAGTGTTATGAGACTCTTGAATTTGAGGCGAAGGAGTGGTATCTTGTATCTCGATGATATATTCTTGAGTCTCAGTGCCACTGTCATTGCCCATGGGAATCTGCACTCGGAAAATCTCCGCCGAGCGAGGAATGCACTGACCTAGTTTTGTAGCCACAATTAGGACAGATTGTCGATATCTTTCGCTTCGTTCAACGGAGAACGCGACCCTGTCATTTGTTTTCCGGGTTTTAAGTTTTCGAATAGCCGCTCCAACTGTGAGACAGTTACCGGAGATGTCCTTAGGGATCCATCCTAACTCTGGGTGTCCTTCGATGTGCACCCTCCTGCCCGTATTGTACATGAGCGACAGGGGCAGCTCATTGCAACTCTGAATGACCGCCATCAGCCTCTCTTCTCCGGAGAGGAGCCTCAGCGGATAGACATTGAGATCAAGTAGATTTGCTAGAATGAGGACACCATCCTGGGGCTTCGTGGTTGATCGGTTGACGAGAGAGTTCCACGCCCAGACAAACTGGGGCAGGAGCAGCGCCTCGGCAAGGCGGCTTGCTCTACAAAGCCCTACGTCGAAAGGGATTCGTTTCCTATCCTCCAACAAGGCCGTCTTTAGAAGCATCACCATTGACCGTCGGCTCTGAACAAAAACCCTGGCCAAGGGTGAATGATGACGCTCTATTTTGGGGATCCGATTTGCTAGTGATGGTGTCAAGTAGTATGGCATTCCCATCAGCTGCAATACACAACTCCGAGCAAGACAGCCCTCTTCCAGCGTCCAGCCCCTCTCCATCCACTTAGAGCCAAGAATGAGGGTGGCCAACTCGTCTCCACAGACCTGGTACGCCCGATGGGGAACTAGGCTGGTAGTATCCTGCAGCCCCCTGTCGAGTATGAGAGTATTTATGGCTCCAGAAAAGATAGGTGCGATCTGCTTAATGGCGCGGAATCGCAGTTCTCTGTTATCCACGCTTTTCTGCGACCCGAGACTGACCGGGATACAAAGGGTATCCATCCAGAAGAAAATCCTATTTGCGCCGAACGGTGTTTCAAGCCAGTCGGGTCGTAGCACGTGTGAGATTTCCCACCGATGTATGATCGTCCACCTCGTCGTCATGGGCCCATCCTCGTTGAGCGGGCTGGGGTATTTCTCAATGTAAGTTTGACGGATTTTCTCTCGCAGCCAGAGCAGTTGGCAGAGTGGCAGAGCGTTCTCGTTCGGATTGCCAAGGCCGTCAGACCAGACGTGCGATATAGCCGTGTAAGCCGTCTGAGCTGTGCACCGAACGATCTTGACATCAAGTGGACCTTCAATGCTGCACGAGATGACGGGTATCCCTCCAGATCGTACGATGTTGGCGATTTCTTCATAAGGGACACGGACGAATTCGCAGTTGCCATCGCATTCATGTCGAAACGGATACGTACTGGTCGGCTTGATTTCAACGTCGTGAGCAGTGCACCTCCGCGTTTCCAGGCATCGTCCATGATCCTCGACAGAAGATCGATTTCGTATCAATCCAGCCAAATTGTTCACTGTCATATAATCGTAAGACTGGCACACTTGGCGGGCTCGGTACGGGCACCATCCATTGCGCTCCAGGAGACGGATCAGTAGACTGGCGGCGCGTCCGCTGTCTGGCTCACTTGGGTGAAGTGGGACAAACCTCGCTTCATATCCGTATACGTCTTTTGTGGCATTGCTGAGGCTCATTTCGGAGAAATAGTCGTCGACAAAGCTAAGCTTGGGATTGTTGAGGCCGCGGTGCAAAGGATCCAGAACATTCGCAACCTTCACCATACCGAACGTTGCTCTACCGAAAGCAGTGTGGATCCAACGAGTCAAGACGCCAGAGGATTTGACGTAGGTGTCGTCCAAAACCGCAATCAGCAAGCAAGCCAGCAGCTTGACAGACAGGGCGACACGATCGAACCCGTCGTCTCTCCGCCCAAAAGAATCTGCAGCTTCCTCGAATAAATCGCCTTTTAACAGTGCGTAGTGGATCATGTCTTGGGCGGCGTGCTGAGCCTCTCGTCTCTGGGCATTGGATGCCCTCCAGAGCATCTTTTTCCACCGCCAGAAATGGCCATGGACAGCCTCCTGATCAAGGTTGATGAATCCATCAGTGACAAGATCGCTGCGGCTCACGGGCTGACCAAGGAAAGCTGAAAGTAACTCAAAGAAGAGCCAGGACTGCATGAATGATGCTAAGGAGGAGATGGTGGGAAAATTGCGCGCGAGGCTGGCTACATCGTCGGCCGAGACTAAACCGCTATGACGGGGAAAGTCGTAGAAAGGAACCTTCCCAGGTTGGTGCGTGGAAGGTGAAAGACAAGGCACCTTCACACACGACATCGGCGACAGCCAGGGTTGCGAAGGTAGCACGCCTTCCATGTCTGCATAGGCGCGACTTTGGTCAATATCTAGCCATAAAATGTGAGGTCTTTGCGGATTCCCGGCGATTTTCATCTGGGGAAGGCTTGTGATATGTGGCGACGCCAAGGCTTGTAAAGACCTTAAGAGGCGTTGTACGCTTCGTACACGCCTCGAAAGTATATAGTCTACGATACGATACGATACGATATTCATACACCCTGTACGGGCTAAGCCCATAGGGGACTAGGTAATTGCTACGCGCTACGTATATAGTCTAACGGTCCCCCGGACTCCGTAAATCACAGGCTTGAAATGGGGGGTAGTCACGTGTGAAAGGGCACGTGATGGGTTACCATAAGTCCGGATATCCTCGGACTTTGGGAACCATGCAAGCACCATCCGGGCCGTATGCGCAAAACAATATAGGCGGGGGTTTTCAGTTCAACAACGACGTCAGCAACCAATAAAATGCCGGTGTTATGCATTTTGGTACGAAATAGCCTTCAACGGGATGGTCCGCTGATACTATTTCCATGAGATATACGCGATTAGCTAACAAATTTGAACCCCGCACGCTTTATACTATCTACTCAAACTCGAGCCGGAAACTCGGAAACCCGCAGTTGGCAGCGATCCTACTAGCCCATCGCCCACGATGCAGACATGCTTCACAGACAAGCAAGCAAATTTTCAGTGCATGAATGCCCAAAGCTTAACGAGATCTGCACAGAGTCCAGAAAGGCCAGCAGCCGAGTGCAGGAGCTGGTCATGACAGGTTACCCTACACACCATCACACATTTGCGAAATCCAACTAGCGAGTGCCATAACATAATCGAACCTGCAGACCCTTTGCACTGCAGCGACACAAGCTGCTTCACTGGACTCAGATAGGCGATCCAAACGTTTGCCCGAGTTTCTGTTTCCCTCCTCGCCAATATACAACGATGCAGTTCAGTGATGAGTCCATGCCGGAAAGGGAATACCACAATGCAGTTCCCGTGCTGCAGACAAACTGAATGCGAGTGAGTGCAGCTCGTCAATTTTGCAGACCCAGACAGCACGTGGAAGTCAGATATCTGCTCAGTCAGCAGACTTTTTGTGTAGCTTACAATATGCAAATGATGAGAGTACCCATGGGAGCCCTCGTTCACTGATGCAATCCGGTGCCGACGGCCGCTGTGCCTCTTCTCCTTCAAAAAATTGTCGTACTCGAACCTTTGTCGGTGGAAAAGGGTGGTTCGTTGGATGAGCGAGCCAGATGTGGATTTCTGCCAGGGATTCTTGCTTACGCTAAACTACATTCGTTTACGGAACATATATAAGTAAAGCGGCCACCCCCATCAGATAGTTCATACATTCTCTCCCCGCCGCTACAACCACAGAGAGCCCAGTGCACGTGACCCACTTGGGCGCTAGCGCATGGTCCGATGAAATACTCACTCACTATCGGATCCAGTTTGTGGACCACCCTGACTAGCTCCACTGATCATACTCGACACGGTTTACGGATCGAATCCCATGAAAATATCACCATGATCGGATCCAATCCGTGGACCATGTGGCCGGGGGGCACCCTACTCGATAGAGGTCGACATCCTCGATATCGAGATGATCCACGCATCGGATCCAGTCTGTGGACCACCTGGAATCCCCTGATGCTCACTTCTGTCTAGTTCCGAAGCACACGTCTATGCATGATTGGGGCGCAACCACGCCCGCTGGCACACAAAATCAACCATATTTCTTATAGGACACGTCGCTCAACGTAAACTGGTAACACTCGAATATCACAATCTTCGGCCTCTTGTCAAACAAGGGGGCAACTTGAGACGTATTGAATGCTCTGTCCATCTAGCAACTGGCCCTGCTAGGTTGCTGATATATATATATACGTTGGGGTTGACCCCTTTTCTTCTCCTATTCCTACCCCTATATCCTACATAGGAGTGATAACCCTTTTCCCAACCAAGGGGTACTTGCTACTATTCAACCGTTCAGCGAAACCTTATTCGACATCACCATTGACAGGCAACCACGATGACGTACACTCGTTAGATAGATATATAGAAGGGCTCTATGCCACCCTCTGACCGAATTCGACTAGAGCACTTGTTCAATTCAGGAAGTTTGACAACATCGTAACCCTTTCAACTTAAAGTTAAGAGCCCACTTTGGGTCAAGATTTCCAAATCGAACGTAGCACGTTCTCATTAACGTCAGCGACGGAAGGATGTTCACAAAACGTCTAGTAATAAATTTGAAATTTATTTATACGCTGTCACTGGATGTACAGTGCGACTGGTGCCGGAAACTCGGTCGATGCCTTAGCATCGTATGGCAAATGGTAATTGGGCTTGATGAACGGGCAAAATTTGGCAAAATTTGGCCTCCTCCTGATCTATTCTACTTGAGCATTGTGCTACCGAGTACGTGCAGCCATCAGACAGCGGAAAGTTCCAGGACTGCAACTACGCGCCTGAAGAGGAAGGAGTGAAGGAGGCTAATTCCGAAGAAGTCGCAGAGACCGCGGCTGCGTATCTGACCCTGAAGGCCTCACGTTCCTGGTCGTATCTCCTCTTGATATCTGCTTCTGCCGTCTCAGCTTGTATTCGTTGGTCGGGGGGAATTTCGAAATATCATCCGCAGCCTTCCTCCTTCGCCGGTCCTCTGATACTGGAGATATCGGACGTACCTAGCCTTAGACTCGGTAACTACGACAATTAGCGAAGCTTGAGAAAAGTAAATTTCCACTCCGTCACTTACGTGTTAGGAGATCGTTGGTCAAGCCGTTCTTCCGATGCCTTCTCATCATACGCCATCTAGATGCGATTGGCAGTTTTGAAGCTGGAGGAGAATTTGAATTGTCGCCTGGTGATTCCATTAGCATGGTTAGTCAATTTCGTGCGTGTACTTACCAGAGGTCAGTGGAACAAAATCATACTCATTGAAAGGTGTGTCAAGAAACTGACTCTCCTCATTTCGTCGGACCCAGCGAATAAAATGGAGATCACAGAGAGAATATCGTAATCTTCAAGGTCGACGAATTCATTCTTGTACACACTGAAGGCATCTAATTCTTCCAATGTACCGTTTCCCAATAGAATCTCGGAAGTAAGGCTGTCTAGAACATAAAAGTCTCAGAACTTACTCTTTGGCGCTGAAGCCAAGTCCAAATGGAACAGAACCGACTCCGGAGAGCCTCTTTTGGGAGCCATCTGCAAATTGCACGTACTGACGATTGGATTTTAGATTGCGGAGTCGAAATCCAGACTGTCGAACATACGACGATGATATCAAATCGAGATCCGAGCCTGTATCTGGATTGGCCAATACTGTGCTGTCACCTACTCGGCAGCTAAGTCGCCACCGGGGTAATTCTATGTGTAAGTCCCTCAAATTCAGCCCTTTGCTCGGAATGATCTTCTGAAGGCAATGTCGGAGCTTAGTCAAACCTTTCGTTTGTTCAAGGAACTTGCGGCCAACCACGAGTGGTACAGCCATCTTGGGAAATATCCAAAATCTCGTATCTGAAAATTGCGAAGGCTCTTCCCGCAAGGAACACCGAATTTCTGCGTAGCCGATAGCTTTGATATTTTGACCAATAGCATTGACGAAGTTATGAGTCGCTTCTCCTAGTTTGTGAACGGTCAAGTTGAGCTTCCTAGCTAGCTTCTCTGACATCACATTCTCTTTGGCTCCCGTGTCAACAACTGCAGACTCGCTCTGGCCATGCAGAATCAAGGGCAACTGTGATCGGACAACTTCTGGAGAGTTGTGTGGGAATGTTCGTTGGATTATTTCCTTGCTCTTGTACTTCTTTGTGCCGCTACTTATAGCTTGAATGAGTGACGGTTTGCTTGCCTCGCCGCCAGTGCCTATGAGCGGACTGAAAACTTCCAGGTCACTTTCGGAACGAATAAGTTAGCAAATGTGTATCCGTAAATTCTTTCACTCACGTCGAAGCCCCTGAAGAAGGGGGCCTGAACATATTGCGCCGGGAGCTGGGAGATTGTCGTGTTTGCCCCTCTGCAACTCGTCTCCCGCCGTATCTGCAGTAACACCGGTATATTTGGCACTGTTTGAAAATGTATGGAACGATGAGGTGTTAGAGAGGATGAAATGGTTACAGGCACCGCGGCCAGGGAATGCTACTTTTGATCCAGGCAGCAGTGACTACTTGTAAAGGATTTGTCCAGTAGAAATTCGTTTGGCGACGCATGATGGTGCCCAAAGGCGCTTCTTAGGGCCCCGCCAAAGAGAGGCGTTCACTCACCATGACACGTGCGCTAGGCAACGTCAAAGATCTCCCTGTGCAAAAGTATCATTGCCAAAGGTCGGGAGAAGGAGAGATGCATCGAGATATCGAAAATGATGAGGTGGCCGTGTATTATAGTGGTTCTCAGAATCGGCCTGCCCACTAGCGTGCAACACACGCATTCCTAAAACGGACGCCAAGACATGCTGCCTGAGGCTTTCCTGTATCCCGTGGTGCCCACGCAATGCCTCGGCAATAGAAGGATAATAATAGCGGCAAGGAATTCAGCCCGACGTCCCCGCAATTATGAGGGTGATGCGGTAGCGTCTGAGGGAGTCTTATTCAGGGCCACTTTGAAGTGTTGCCAACTATGACGCCGCAGAGCGAGCAACAGCGCGAGATGAGCAGAACTTAGCTGCTGAGCAAGCTCGAGTGCTGCGAAGTTTGGTTGTTATACTGCTCCTCCTCCCCTTGCTTTGTCTTAGGCCGTGCTTGTTGGCAGTCCACATTGGGACTAGCCTAGTCACGTGCACCGCAGCCTTCGTGGCCTTTTTCTAGCTTGCGCCTCGCTCAGATAGATCAATCTCTCCCGGCCCAACAGTGCTACTGCACTTGACCGCTTTCAAAGGTCTCGTCGACCGTAAAATTGATGCCGCACATTTGCAAGATATGAATCTAGTTTCTCTAGCTCCTCGGGGTAGTATTCAATAAATCCTGGTTCGAAAAACTGATCATCGTCCTGGTTCTCGGAGCCAAGTACCAGAGAATATCGCGCCACCAGCTGGTAGAAGTCCTGCCGTAACTTCGATACCATTTCACGGTTAACGGACTGTGCTCGACTGTTGCCAAAGATCTCAAAAGTCGAGTCTTGATTCCTCTCACTCCGGCGGACACTTCCTGTGTGGTCTGCTCTAGGCACTTCCTGATCCTGCAGACTGTCGAAAAGGTCCCGATCTGGCAAGAGTGATGCAAGCATGACCCCGGATATTCCTTCAAGGTCATTTTGATTTGGATTGACACCAGCATTGAGGAGGATATTGACGGTTCGTTTTAGAGTGCTCTTGTTCACGTTCAAATAATGGTAATATTGCCCCTTTTTCGTTGGTACCACAGACATCAATGCATAGTGCAGCGCCGTCCGACCGTGCCGGTCCGTCTGGGGGGGGTGAGTTCCCAATTGGAGCAGACAAAGCACTCCGGCAAGATCAGTGCGAGCCGCTGAAACCATCAGGGGCGTGACGCCTTCTTCGTCCTTTGCATCAATGTTGACCAAAGCCCTGCTCAGAATTGCCCACTCCATCGCAGAGAGACGTGACCACCCCACAGAGGGGCATGGACGTGCTGCAGCGAGATGTGCGAGCGATATATGACCGTTTAGTGGTCGATCGAGCCCTGGATTCAGTGACAGTAAATAGTTAGTCCAGCCTGCTTTGTTCTTCCACACGGACATCATGACCGGCGTCACCCCCCTGTCATCCTGCGCGTTAGATTGACCGCGGAATTTTTCCCAAAGGGTATTGGCGAGTGCCTGATCGAACGTATGTTGCACAACGCAGTGCCAGATTGTTTTCCTATCCGCACCAATTTGGAACGCACATCCATATTCGAGAAGGGTCAGCACGGATTCTGTTCTTCCCTTTTGAAGTGCAGATTCAAAGGGGGTAGGGCCACACCGACCTGGTTTCTGAGGATCCGCCTTATGCTGAAGAAGCCATAGCGTCATTGTCTTGTCACCCTCCAGAAGAGCGACCTGCAAAGGTGCGCCGTAGTCAACATCCACTGCATCGATATCGAAATTATGCCGGAGAAAGAGTTCAAACAAGTTGATTCGAGTGGATTTCGCCGCATCAGTCTCATTCTGGTGGGAGCATGCAATCATATGGAAAGGCCGCTCGTCTGCGAAAAGAGATTCTTTGCGTCGGACAGCCAGATCTGCGATCAATATCTTGACAAGTTCCACGTAGCCATCATCTTCTCCGGACCGAGCTCCGAAAGTTGGCCAAACTTGCTTCGGCAATCCCCTATTAGTGAGGCCCAAATTAATTCCTGGGCATATGGCTGTTTCCAAGGGAGTTTGACCAACATGGTTCTTCCGGCTTAGTGGGAGTTCACCCTTGCCTGTTGTGTTGTTGACCAATGCGGCAGCTAGTTTCGGTAGACCATAACAGGCCGCAATAAATATCCCAGGATCAGGATCAAGGTAGAGAGCGAGTTCTTTGGGGTCCAATAGGTACCAGGGGGGACGCCCTTGGCCCGGAATATAGAGCACATCATACCACAGCCTAATAGCATCAACCCAATTTTCATCGCTCAACACATCTGCAACCATATTCACCGCGTCAGTGTTGACCTTGTCGGAGAGCCGAATAACAACAGCGCAATGCCGTGCCCAGTATCGGTACGCGTAACTCAGAAAGTAACTGCGAAAGGCCGAAAAAAAAGCCCCTCTACTAAGTCCAATTTTCGGAGACACTTCATCAGGAGTTCTGACATTGCAGCCTGGCAGGCACCGAAGGAAGTACAGACAGTGATACATCATGGTCGTGTGGCAATCGAGGTCTGTGAATGTCATGGTTTGCATTGGTTCGTCGGCATGCTTAAGAAAGTCAACTGCTGACATATGGGCGAATTGGACGTAGCCTTCTGAATTTTCCTTGACAAAATTGTAAGATATACTTCGGAGGTAGTTCAGGTTGACGTCTGTGTTGATGTTTCCAGAGTCGCAATCTATATCCTCGGGCTTATTCACTCGAACAGCTTCCAAGATCATGGACATGGTTAGTCTTTCGAATGAGCAGAGCATTAGCCTGAACATCCTGGTCGCATCCGCCCTGGCGTGAGGGTGGCTCAGGTTCCGTTTCAAGATCTGGCGATAGGTGTCATAGAGAAGTTTATCGCCCTCGGTCGAGTCCGTCTCAATGGCAAGAAGCATTTCTTCAACATCTCGGCGGTTCTTTGGCGGCGCTTTATCGACTCCGTCACAAAAGAAAAGAGAAAGCTGCAACTCGACCCATTTGAACCTGTGTTAGTTAGCGCACTGAAATATGCCTATGGTATAGAAAACTCAATGCATACATGCCACCAGCTCTCCTCAACAGCACAGACTCTAACCTTTCTTCAAGATCCTGGTGCTTGCCTTCTAAAAGTCGATCAGGTTCCTCTCGGAAGAAGATTTCGCTGTGAACAAACTGTCGCATGTCATTTTCGGTTAACTCTGATGTTAAGAATTTCGTAGTGCAGCCTTCAAAGTAAGTCTCCACTTGAACCCCAAAACGGCTGGTGCAGAAAATTTTCAGTTTCCTAGGATGACTTTTACCTGCATCTCGTAAGATTCTGAGCAGCTTTTTCCAGTCTGCACACTCGTCCAGGGCATCTATTACTATGCGAGTGTCTTCTCCCCCGGCAAAGATGTCTTTGAGGAGCTCCTCGATCTCCTGGTCGGACAAATTAGCAGTACTTGAACGGTCGAGGGCGCGATTGTTATATAAGCTCTGGACCGGTGGGGCCAAATGCCTCTGGCCCTTAATTTCAGCAAGTTGGCGCATTATGGAATGCAGAACGGAGGAGGCGTTCGCGGCTTGGGTTCTTCCCATGCTAGAGCAGTAGACACGGGCCATATTGGTTCCTTCGAAAAGGGCTGATCGCTCTTCATGCCACTCGTTAACTCTGCAGCTGGAGAACTATTAGTGGGAATGTTCCCGATTGTAGGACGAATTCAATGATATCTTACCATAGTGTTGACTTTCCGGTTCCAGCTGTTCATTTAGCGAGATCTTGTTAAGAGTATGTGTGCGAGGCTTACCTGTGCTGCACAGCCAAAATATTTGCATCCCTTCCGAGTCGTTCCATTGTTTGAATTCTTTCGAGAGAAGTAACCACTCTCCGCAAAATGCATACAGAGCATTAACTTTGGTCCTATTCCTGACTTCCCTGTGAACCTCATGAGGATTCTCGCCTGAGATCCATTCGAGCACTTCTCCGTTTTTTTCGAAGAAAGCATCATCAGAGCTAATGGTAGCAAAGGAGTTTTTGCATTCCTCATGTATTATATCAACTTCTTTCTTGGCTCTGGTGATATCCGTGATTTTGTATGTGGATTTGAAAACTTGTACTGAAGAGATTTAGCAGATCAAACTGCCGTGAAGACATGGAACATACCCAGTTCATTGCTTCGCACGTACAAAGTCACCATGACTTGGAACTCCATAACCGTGGCATAGAGTTCTGTCAGAGAGTTCTCAGCCCTTGTTTGCTGCTCGGTACTGTATATTTGCTTCCTTTGCAGTACCTTTAACTCTTCGTTTGCCCAGAACAATAACTTTGAGCAGATATCTCGCACAGCGAGAGACATGGTATGATCCAAGTCGTCCTTCTTGAGAATGACCTGAAAGTTGTTAGTCTGGGTGGTCATCAGGCGCATAGGCAAATCTTACGTTTAGTAGTGAAGTAAAGCCAGCCAGCACCGCCGAACTAGCACGAGTTGGATCGAAACGTGCAGAAGCAGTTAGGACATCTTTCACAGAAACAATGAGGCTTGCTGCCTTGAGCAGATTGCGGCGAACTTTTGACTGGTCGGGAGAAAGCTTTCGCTCTGTATCTTGAAACTCGGATTTCAATTGTTCCGTGAAATCTTCGGCTCTTGAAAATGCATCGGGGAAGTCGTTGGACTGGGTCGATTTGAGCTTTTCAAATTCAGCGTACACATCCGGTTTCGCCGACTTCAGCTTTTGTTCTGCCCTTGCCCACAAGCTGAGATTTTCCTGCTCAGGGAGCCTCTGAGCACCGGAAGTATCCCCACTTCGCACAGACTGTGAACCTCGATCTTGCTTATCACTGGCACTGCGTAACGCTGCTCTTTGGCGAACTACGAGATGCCGACTATCACCTCTCTCCTGAGATCGCGTCCGTATCTGCTTGATCCGGGAAGCCAAGTTCGATATCCAACCCCGAGCTGGGACTTCCGATCTAGCAGAGGTTTCGTGAGAGGGGGACATGATTGATTCAGCGTATGATCGAAACTGGCAGAGAATCTGAGCTGCAGGAAGACATGAGGTATTTGACCGTCGGGGGGTGAGACCTTTTAATCTTCAATGTAGTCCGAAGGCAGGCCAAAGAAAGTAGTCTGCCTGCATGTCTTATCACCAAGTACACCCATATCCAACAAGGAGGCTGCACCCGAGGGCGGTGGAATGAGTGATGCGAAGAATGTCCAACAAGGCAAGGTGTAAGATGGCCAATAGGGGAGAAACAAGCGTGGTTGTGCACGGGCCACAAGCTCAGCTGTGGTGCTTGAAGCCCGTGCGGGGGATTTGGAACATAACATTGGCAAATCCCACACTTAGCCCACGTGGCCCCAGGAAGTTCGCGTTGGACTCATCAACCAGTCTACATAAATACGCCGTATTAACGATACGTGACTATATTACACTCGTCGATGATTCGTCATCGCGACGGGCGGTACTTTACTAAACACGGAAAAAACTGAGGCAAATGTCTCGGCGTCCGGTTTGGGAATGTGTGTGTCGTACCTTAGTGGGTTGGCCAATTTTGAGATCTTCTGTACATATCCGGATTTATGGATCTGGCTAAGGCGATAACCAGCGATATTGACGGCGATGTCGCAATTTTCAAAACGATTTGACGTGCTTGCGTCGCGGAATCTGTTATATTTGCAAAGCGAACTTGCAGAACTCGAGGCCATACAATGGCAATTTAATCGAGAAAGATGCTGCCGATCGTGCGGGGGCCGACATGTGGCATAAAATTGGACCAAGTACTCGGGATTGGGGTTCTTTCGCTAAAGGCGCAGGAGCACCCACATCCTTGGGAGATCGCCTGAAGAAGCGAATGGATCTTGTCATCGCTATCAGGGAAAAGTTGAAGGAATATCGTACGTCGGAGCCCTTTCAGCTCGATGCCGCAACTGATACATCGTTCAGGCGATGCTCTTATCATGGAGTCCACCATACTTTTGCTGAGGAGGCCATCACGACAAGCCCATGATGCTTTTATTCGAAGGTTCTGGGATGAACGGAATGGCGAAAGGACCATCCCAACACTTGACGGATATAGTGAATCTCTCTATGAAGATCGAAAAGACTTGCTAGTTCTGAAGCGGGCAGAAAGCGAGGATCGACTCACACAACTACTGCGAAAATTCTGTCCACGGCTGTTCAAGGTATGTGCCTATCCAGGAAGTGCGCGCCATTCTCACCCGAACCCAATAGATTGGCCGTCGTCAAAATGGTGGATCAGATATCGAATATATTTCGGCCCATCGCATATCGATGGTTGTCAACGTGATCACAGTCTTGCTGGCGGCCACGTTGCTCTTCGGCGCCATATACAATTTGTACTATGTGCAGCGAGGGTAGGTGAAACTGGGACTGATCGCCGGTTACACGCTGGCCTTTGCCCTCAGCATCAGCCTCATCTCCAGTGCGCCGAGAGCGGAGATTTTTGGAGCATGCGCGGCGTATGCTGCTGTTCCCGTCGTCTTTTTGAGCGGCAATCTTGGAAATACTGGTGATTCTGGGTAGTTGTGCCTTCGGATTGTTTTGAGGTGGAAGTTTCCCAACAGTCCTCCGGTTGCGCAAAATACGATCTTTCACGGTGGACGCCGATTTGGGTATGGATATCTAGGATGCTCTCATAATTGTAACTTCTAAGATGGATTAAAGAGTCAATTCAGGAGTTGGAAGTCAACCAGGAAGGCGTGACATGATGTGTACATTCAAGAAGATCAAAGGAAAGCCCGACAGCCTATCACCCTAACTAGCTATGAATCTGTAGGGGAGGATGCAGGACACTCCGGTGATGAGGAATTGTCTCCAGCAGATCTCAGCAAAGCATCGTCTAATTATCCAGTCTCTGGTTGTCAGGGACTTCCCCGCTCCGGACCTGCTGGAATTTGGACTCTCCAGCCAAGCAAGCTGCTACTCCCGGCGTCTATTATAAATACGAGTTTCGCATGCCAGCCTGCCACGAAAACCGAGCCGAGGCCCCAATTTGAGCACTTCGGAGACAGGAAAACTGTTTGATGTCCGAGTTTCGCAATCAGTGAGAGAGCGAACAAACATATTCCCCAGACTCAGAATCTCCACCTGGGGCTCCCACAAAACTCCATGTGATATTCTACCAGGTAATGGCGGGGAAGCTCACCTCGATACAGCATAGTTCCAACAAGCCGGTGACCCTTTATATCAGCCACAACTGACTCCTTTTGGATCTTTCGGCTCTTTGTGTGCTTTCTACATCAATCTCGTCCCACATACATATATAAAAATTAGGCCTGTACTCACTTCCAAGCAGCCACCTCACCATGGGTTTCAGGAACCACCGGATCATCAGCGCCTTCAATGGTCGCTTGGCCTTTGCCGTCTCGGTTCTGATGCTCTCCCAGATCAATTTTGGAATGGACATCAATGCCTTCAGCACCACCCAAGCCATGACCGCTTTTGAGGAAAAATTTGGGGTGTGGAACGAGGAACGTCAACGATCCATCATTGAGCCCTATTTTCTCTCTCTCCTCAACAGCCTGACTTATGCCGGCCAAGTCGTGGGAGTGATAACTGGTGGCTATATCGGTCGTCGATGGGGGCGACGCATGTCTTTTTTTGTCATGTGTTTTTGGGCCGTTATATCCGCCATTTTGCTCGTGACTGCTCAGCACAAGGAACAAATGCTTGTTGGCCGTATTCTCAACTATATCTACATCGGCCAGGAATTGGCCACCGTGCCCGTCATGCAGTCAGAAATCGTTCCGGCCAATGTTCGAGGGTTTGTGGTCGGCACGTATCAACTCGGGACTATGGTGTGTGCAGACCATCCATCCTCAAATGAAATTGGCTTAACGCCTTTGTCCAGTTCGGCTCTTTTCTCATGTCCCTCATCACCTACGGAACCTCCCGAATGAGCAGTGAGGCATCTTTCCGCATCCCTCTGGGCCTCTTCTTTGTCATCCCTGTTGTAGTTTTTGCCGGTGTATGGTTCATTCCCGAGGTACGTTCACGTTCTTGGTATCTGCATGGAAATCGGCTCACGTTCCGTCACAGTCACCACGATGGCTTTTGGTCCACAATCGCCCAGAGGAAGCCATGGTATCCCTCCGAAAATACCGCCAGGGTCGATTTACCGAAGAGGAAATCGTGGAGGAATACCAAACTCAGGTGGCCTTTGTCCGGATGAACCACGAAAAGGGCACGTTCCAGGAAATGTGGCAGGGCACCAACCTGAAACGATCGCTTATCGTCATTGGCGCCAATATCAGCATCCAGATCAGTGGTCAATCGTTTAGCAGCAAGTATGGAGCAGTCTTCCTGAAGGATATCGGAGCAATTGACCCCTTTGCCATGTACTGTATAAGCACCGGCCTCTCGATCCTGGTGGTCATGTTTAGCATGTATTTCCTCGACAAGATGGGCCGCCGGTGAGTATCAATTTTGCTCTTACGCCCTCCTAGAAGTTACGCACCGACTGATTTGATTCCAAGGCCTCCTTTAATCGCTGGGTCGGTCCTCCAGTCGGGTTCCATGTTGGCTATGGGCGGTCTTGGGACGAATTCAACCCTGACAGACTCTCAAGCAGTGGGCATCACGGCACTCTTGACCATTTTTTATGGAGGATTCTGTCTCGGCTGGGCACCAATCTATCATATCCTCACCGCGGAAATACCCAACTCCCGTACGTCCTATGCTCACATCGGCTCTCCAATCTTTTCTGATTAAAGTTAATGTGTCATCAGGCATGCGAGACATGACATACACCGTCGCCAGCGTCGTCACCGTCGTCACACAATTCGCCGTCGCATTCACCATTCCATATCTGTATTACGAGCCCTACGCTGCCCTGGGTCCCAAAATCGGACTCATCTTCGGATCCTTGGCCGTCTGTACCCTTGTTTTCGCCATCTTCTGTATCCCCGAGTGTCGGAAGTTGTCGCTGGAGGAAGTTGACCACCTGTTCATGAACAAGACACCGATTCTGAAGTTTGGCAAGCACAAGCACGGCCAGATCCTCCCGCCGGAGGTGTTGGAGATCACCTCGGAAAAGTTGGAGGATGGGCCAAACGTGGAGCAGAAAGAGGTTGTCGCCTAGTTAGCTTGAAACGTCCCTGTGAGATGTGCGATGTCGAGTAAATGACTATGGGAACGGGCAGTTCGTGCAGTCCCCATCAGAAGGCTGCTCGGGCTGAGAGTGAAACAAAATACTCAGACAAAAGAACATTGTTGAGAGCAAAATAGGTTGTTATCTACCATCTCCTATGGGGACAAGCTTGCCAGCCAAGCGTCCATTCGAAAAATTCGGCAAGACGCTCAATCCAAGCGGCGGAGCTTGAGCTCGGCACAGTGAACGGTGCGAATGGTCAATATTACTAAAGAACTCCAAAAAGTCGATGTCGAAAATGAGTGTTATGAGAAAGACGCCAAAGGAGTGCGTTAGATACTGTTTTAGACAAGAGGCTTTCATGACTGCATTGTGCCCCTGTCCCTGACCCCCAACCAATCTTTAGTTTACTTACCTATCTCACGATTGCAGGCATCTGAATATTGTCTCCATGGCCCCACAAAGACAGACATATTACTTCCACAAGATACACATCGGCCCCAGTGCCAACGTCATATCGAGCTCGCCTAGCTTAAGTCGGCCCTTGACGTCTTTCATCAGGCCTGCCTTTAGATCTCTTTCAAAGACCACAATGTCTTGAGTCAGTTGGTTGGCTACAGCAAGCCATTGATTGTCTTGGTCCTTCGAAAGCGCGAAATGGCGCGGGATCTTGCCCTGTGTCTCGTTGGATCCGAGATATGTTAAGCGGTTGTCGTGGACGGAGTAGATGGCGAGGTTGTCACTGTCCAGACTCAAGGTGTTTCGATTCGATGCATACGCAAATTTCCCGTCGTGCGTAACGGCAATTTCGGCAGCGAGGTCTCGGTTGTCCGGAAGGCTAGGAGGGAGATCTGGACCCAAAGTTGAGATCGTCTGCTTGAGGGTGATAGTGAGGTTCCCCGCCTCTTGGGGGAATCTAGGTCCCCACGGGTTCTCGTAGTTTAGAGTGAAGAGGCGGACTGTGTTGTCCAGCTCACTGATGAGATACATATCGGCGGTTGTCGCGTTGAGTTGCTTGAATACCACATGTCGAGGCCCAGTTCCTGGTGGCAGGGTGATCGATTCTATCTCTTTAACCTGTTCGGGGCCTTGAACCGAGTAGACGTAGACGCGATCTGCGCCGCGGCAGGGCACGAACAGGAACTGACCGGACGGATCGAATATTGACTGGTGAGGGTTTGCTTTCACTTGGCTATCTCGGGTGCCAGGGCTGGGTTCTGTCAGGTTGTACTTGAAGACATAAGTCGCTTTGCCAATTGTACCGTCCTCGGACAATGGGTAGATTGATACGGTTGATCCGTCGATGTTGGCAGCCGCCAACGTTTTTCCATCTCGGTTCACATCACAATACACACCTCCATCCCCGTTGCTGCTCTCTTTGTCGAGAAACGTAAGGAGTGTTCCACGTGCGGCCGAAGCGGGCGGTTCTTGGAATGCAAATACACCACCGGACTTGGTGTCGTTGTCGGGGAAGGCAGTCCGACTGATACTGTAGATTTTATGGTGGTACGAGGTGAGCCATCCGGGCATTTTGCCTGCATTCGTGTTGGTTGCGATGATCGACAGAGACTCGTTCACATCTTTGTTTGGGTCGAAAGAAACTTCCAGGATACCAGTGCTTTGGAGGGCAACGTAAAAGGTGAACGAGGCTTTTTCTTTAGCTGCCATAGACGGTGCCACCAGAGTTGCGGATGCTGCGAGAAGAATGATTAGCAGCTTCATCTTCGGAGCCTCGGGAGAGAAAGAGACACACAAGGCCTTTCTTCGTTCCTGAAGTTGGACTTTATGGCCTGCTGCACTGCTTGGTTTTGTACCCAAAATAAGTGCTGATCGCAGGCATGGATTTATTCGCATCACCAACGGCAAGCTTGTGATGGTACAGGGTATACTGTCAGGCCTTCTGCCAAGTCGGACTTCTTAATACATACCTTGGTCACGGTCACCCATAGGGTCTAGTTGGAAAGTCATTATTTAGGTGGTACTGAGGCTTTATTGTGAGATTACCAGCGCTAATCCCAAACACACCGATCATGTCGGATCTTTAAAGCCAAATTGAGGGCCCCTTGGAAGACCACGTTGAAAGCAAGGAACGAGACGGTTCTTTCCTCCATCGGTAAGGCTATGCTCGGCGTTGCTCAGCCTCACAAGCTTCGATCAGACAATTCCGATCGGAGACCTCAGGAATAGGAGTTTCACTGCGGAGTAGTTCATGAATCGGGATCTGAGAGAGATGTTTTGGGGGATTTGTCGCTAGTGGAGACCGAGGCGGATGAATCGGACCGGCAAAGAGGGATTGCGGAAATCGCAATGGTCCGATGAGGCTCGTTCCCAAACATATCCACCGGGTGCACGAAATAGCCGAGTACGCTGCAATCTCTGGTAGGCTTCGTGGAGAGAAAGCGTTCGGGTGTCGTTTATATTTGCCTAGGTAGAGCAGTGGTGTGAGTCGGTTTTCAAAAGGGCGATAACACCTCGAGCAGTGAACATGCAGACAGAAGTATTCCGCATTGCAAGTTTGCCGAAGTCAATGATTTGATACACACCGTCATCTCAATGCAAATAAGCATAGGACTGGCATAAGCCTAAACAGGCTGTTTGGGCCGTGATTTGAACGTAGATTCATTGTATCTCTCCTGTAGTAGCTAGATCAATCATAGAATCCGGTCCTCATCGTCCATGTCGCCATCTCACCGCCTTCTTGAATCTGTTGAATGTTTGAACAATAGCTAGTGCTCCTCTATTTCGAAAAGGGGTCATCACTCCTATGTAAGATATAGGGGTAGGAATAGAAGAAGAAAAAGGGGTCCACCAAGCGTGTATATATAACAGCAATCTGGCAGGACCAGTTGCCGGATAGACGGAGCATTCAATACGCATTCTCTTGGCATACTCTGTTTTGACAGAATCTCTAGCCTCTTACAAGGCCAGTAAACGTAGATGGCCAAATTCCTCAGCACTAGTGACTTTTGCAACGCCGACTTCATACCGTGGCGAAGCTGCTGCCACGGCCGTAATGGTCTTAATAGCTTTATCGCGATATACCCCAAGTGAATTGCGACGAACTGAGGAGGATTGTCAGGGGCAGGCTCGCCAGCGGGCTGTAAAGACGTCAAAAGGATACCTATCTATCTATATAGGTGCAGGGGCGACATCGACTTCCACGCTTGGAAGTCGGATAGGGGTACCCTGCGTAACGCATGCTATATACATGTTCTTGGCATGGGGTCTTGGCGCCCCATGACAAGGATGAAGAGCAGGAGAAGGATGGGGTTCTCTGGGTGCTCGCCATTGGCCCCACTGTGGTTGTCGATAGCCTCGTGTGCCTGCGTGGTTCGTAACCGAGCGTGAATGGACGAGCCTTAATGTCGACATGGTCCATGGATTGGATCCGATGGGTCGTGGTATTTCATCGGATCCAATCTGTGACTGATCGCGCTCGAAATGGTTCGTAGCTATCGACTTTGACGAGCAATGTGGACTCGATCACCACTTCGCTCCAGGCCATGTCATTGAACACCGAAACCGGTCGTCGACTACAGGAGATGTTGCAGATTTCCAAGATGCAATACTCCAAGCTCGTCGCGAACGGATACTGAATGCGTTGTATCTCGAAGGTATGAGTCGGCGTTATCAAAATGTGAAAACGGCCGTCACGCAAAACAATCGGTGTGACCCCTTCACAAATCCAGGACGCCAGAAGGGATCTGGACATATGGATGCTGGAAGACTGCTCCATATTCCATTTAGTCGGCAAACCTGGCTCGGGCAAGAGCACATTGATGAAGCTCTTATGCGACCATCCGCAGACCTGAGAAAAGCTCCAGCATTGGGCTCAAAACCGAAAACTGGTACTCTCACGCTTTTACTTCTGGAGACCGGACAATGTCTTACAGAAGTTAATGGAAGGTCTCATCAGAAGCCTCCCGTATTCCGTCCTCAAACAATGTCCAGTGCTGATTTCTCCATTACTCCCGGCTCAGTGGTCTTAGTCGAACGTAACGGGGTTGTCGTCATCTGCTCTCATATCGGAAGCCGATGAGAATCGAGCGCGCTTTTCATGGGATGCTTGATCTACCACAGATCTCTGACTGTCACTATTTCGCCTTCTTCGTGGATGGCCTAGATGAATTTGAACCGCACGGCACGAAGCACACCTGGTGCGTCACCTTTCAACTTGGGCCTCAAAGCCTGAACGGAGGCTCAAGTTGTGTGTCTCGAGCCGGGAGTATCCTAAGCTAGGGAAGGGACTCTGGTTATCTGCGAATGAGATTACAGGATGTCACGTCTGGGGACATCAAACGTTTTATCGACGACGACTTCGCGACAAGTCAACAAATCCGGCTGCTTGAACCGAAAAGGTCCAAGTTAGACTTTCTCAAGTGGGACCTGCAACGGCACTGCAATGGGGTTTTTCTTTGGATCGCGGCAGTGTTGCGCAACATTGAGCAGGGATTGATAACGGAGATACCTTGGTCGAGCCGAGCACAAAGCATTTGTCTTTGCCAAGCGAGGTTGAAGAGATGATGGTCGGTCTCTTCAACATGATGGACGCCTCGCAACTCGACTACTGCATGACGATGATCTGTTTGATCTCGTTGCTAGGAGGAGACGTCGTTATGCAAAAGTACACCAATCTCAATTTTATGTGTTTTGTTGAGGCAGTATTGTTTGACCGACCACTTGATGAGAGGAATGTGCTCATCGATGGTCGTCTCGATTCCGCCACAACACTCAAGATCTTGTGCAATAAGCTTAAGCAGTTCTCAAACCGCATCAAATCTTGTTGTTTCGGACTTCTAGAGATCAAGGAGGATAGTGACCGGTAGAAGCTATCTACAGCTTCTATAACTCCAAGAGTTCAAACTCCGACAAACATTTCCCCAAAAACAGCTGGGAAGAGGCTGCTGAAGACGTGTGCCTTCAGATCCTTGACTCATATGTCTGCCTGTCACACCGGTCAGTGGCCGATTTCCTAAAGAGCAAAAAGTGCCAGGTTCTAGAGGGATTCCGCTATGATCATGTTGTGCTCTCTCGGTCCATATGGCAGTCCTTCCTATCGTACATCATTGCAGCCATATCAGGAAAGGTACCCCTGCCTATTTATGGTGATGGTTTTAGTACTACAATTTCTGGAGTTTTGTCCACCGAAGTCGAGGCAATAATCCAAATGGGCCGGCTCAAGAGTCGCAACGTTTTCTCTGCGGTAGAGCTGTGTGCTTTCGTTACCAAGACAGACGAGGTGCTTGCAACAGACTTCGACTAGTCAGGACGAGTCGTCCCTGGTACTGGTCGCCGTTTTCGAAATGAATTCGATGTTGAGTCTGCTGTGGCTAGTGCTGGTGCATTTGAATACTTTTGCCATAAGTATCAACACGAGGTGAATGGACTGCGAGGAAAGTCTCTCCGGCTGCTGCTTGCAGCGTCTGAGGACCACCCCCTTCGACGATGTCTTGATACGGCTGGAGCATTGCTCAAGCACGGCGCTGGGGAAGAACTCATCTGTGATTTGGTGATTGCTGAACTTCTTTCCCGCCTTTCAGAGGATATTCTGAGTCCGTCTGCGGCCGGTGTTGGAGACATCGTCCAAACATTGACACTCAAGGGTGCTTCACTTTCTTGTTGGGCCTTTTTTTCAGACACGTCCTACCGTGCATACAAGCAGTGGCGCGTATCCGCTCCTCCAGAAGTCATTGCAACAATGGGCACACCTGTTGAGTTGCAATCGTGGATCATATACAAGGCCGATCCAATGTGGAAGATGGCGACTTCTCGAGATGACTCAAACATCCTAACCATGGAGATGAGCGGAATCTACCTCCTTTCGGAGTTGTTCGAATGCTTAGGAGTCACCTTTTCGCCTTCGGTTCAGGACAAACTCACGCAAACGGGGGCTCATCTGCGCTCTTTATTGGGTGACTGTGAAGTTATACACGCTCGTCCCTCAGACAACGAATTTAGAGCTAAAGAGGTCAGAATTACCACGTACACCAGGGCGCCAGCACATATGATACCTGAAGGGATTCGACATAAGACAGGTGGTAAATTCATGTTAATGGACGATATGGAAATCATCTATCACACATACAAGTCCTAGACTTCTCGTACGCTGGAAGATCAAGGTGTGGAGGACAAGCCTTGGCTCCTTGCATCACGATTGTCTACCGAAAGAATGAAAGGAAGCTAGAAATGCGAAGAGCACCTCGAAGTGGTTCTACCATGTAGCTAGACCGTCAAGAGCCTCAATGTGGAACTCTTTCATGATCCAGACTCTAAATCTTCTTTGCTCTCGTAACACGAGCGAGCCACATTGTTCCGAATTCTACTGTCATAGGATACTCGTAAAGCAGTCGGTGGCATGAATCCAAGCAACACCCCATCCTTTAGATCAATGCGAATCTCTCCCTGTTCGTTTTGTCATATAACCCTCACATGACCCCACTCATAGGGCACGCGCCACCACTTGTTAGTTAGTCGACTTCAGTTGCATCTCTCGCCTGAGAGAACTTAGCCAGCAGCCAACATCGTGACAGAGTAACACATGAGGCACTGCAGCCATTCACTACGCGGTGAACAACGCCGGGGTGTCGGGGAGACCTAGACTGCGAACTCACGAGCTCGAGGTCGACTCTTATGACCGGGTCCAAAACATCAATCAGCGTGGCGTCTGGCTCTGTCAAGGGGCGGAATTGCGGCAGATGCTGAAACAGGAGGCCATATTGATCACGAGGTTTGCCCCCTTCAACCAAACTAATCTACAGTTCTGTAATGCTGACAAGTTTGGGCCTTAGAACGGGTGCGCCGCCGCAGAGAGGATCCATTGTGAATACCTCGTCCATCTTTGCTCGCGTGTCCCAGCCGTCGGTGGGTGCAGTAAGTCTATCCACCTTTCTCAAAGAGAGTGCTCGAAATGAATGCTGAACCAATCCAGTACTCTGCCACCAAAGCCGGGGTGCTGGGCATCACCAAAACAGATGCCTGCGCATATGCAAAAGATGGTATTCGCGTAAACTCGGTCTGTCCGGGCTCCATCCTCACTCCACGTACGTAACAAACTCCTGCATTTCCCCTGAAATTTGATCGAAAGAATTCCTCATCTAACTTGGGCAATCCCGAAACAGTGCTTGAAGTGGCCCTGAAAGCTGGAACTTACTCGTACGGTATGGTCAAGGCAATTCCCATGGATCGTTTTGGAGATTGCGCAGGGGGTGGTTTTCCTTGCCAGCGAACGCGCAAGCTTCATCACGGGCGAGGAGCTCATCATTGACGGCGGCTCCACATCTTATTAGACGATGGGTTCGATTTGTATGTCTTTGCCATTGGACCTCTTTGTTCAAAAACATTTTGATTGAGACACTGACCAATAGTTCTCCCTCACTAGGAAGCGGCTACCGGGGACACTCGTGGTTCACGGATCCAAACACGCTTCATTCAGACCAGTGGATTATGCAACCCCACGCTCGATTTTTATATTTTATGTGGTTGCTGCTTGACCTTCCTGGCACTTGCTTCACGAGGCCGTCGCGTCTCTCGGTATGCAATAAGCAAGATACACCTTCGGTTTGGCGACTAGGCTGACGTAGTTTTGATTAAACTTGATAGGATCGGTCAGTGGTGGAGCTTCCGGCGCGGTCTGGATTCGGAAAGACACGATCAGGCGTATGACAAGGCCGTAGAGAATACGGTTTGAGATCTGAGCTGCCGGGCAGATCCTCGCCCCGGCCCCGTAAGAAAAGTGTGGCAATGGCGATGATGACACGGGAGAGGATTTATCCAGAAAGCGGAGTGGATTGAATGTGTATGCATCCGATCCGTAGAACTCCGGATCTAGTTGGCTGTTAGAAAGCCCAACGTTGAGTGATGAAGAGAGGACTAAAACTGACCATGGTTTCCATACTCAGCGTTCATGTAGAGTGTTGTTCCAGCTGGGATCGTCGCACCACTCTTCAATTTGACATCCTTGGTGGCGAGCCGGGGTAAGCAGTAAGGGATGACGCAGTAATACCGCAGCATTTCCTTATAGATGGCCACGATCAAGGGAATGTCTTCGCACTCGAATGCATGTTCAAATGCCTCCTCGGGCGTGCCCCACCGTTCCATTATTTTTTCATAAGCTTCATCTTGGAGCCTCAGGCCGTCGGCGTCGGCACAGAGAGACCCTAATCCACAAGTCAGGGTGCCAGAGATAGTCTCGGACGAGCCTTGAAGCATCGAAACACATGTAGACTTGGTGTCCTCTAGGGGATTTTTTGAGCGTCAGCAAACACCGCAAGGGATTTGTGGGAATGGAAAAAGAAACTCACCTTCGGTCATTTTCGAGCCCCTATCCACCAAAAGCGCGGCTCCGATGCAATTGACGTCTCGACCCTGTTCCAGGTCGGCCTTCATCGAGTGGAAGAGCGCGTCGAGGTATGGTTGGCGTTCTGCAGCTCCCATTTGGGCCCGTTTGACGGTTGAACTGGGTAGCAACCGCGGGAAGGGGATATAGTCCACCCAATTCGACGAACCGACGCGGATACTATCAAAGGTTTGTCAGACGCAACTCTGGTAAAGATCAAGAAACGAAAGCGCCTCGTACTCGGTGATCTTTCCGGCCGCATCAAGGAACCCATGAAGGAAGTCCACTCCGCCAACGTCCTCCAATTTCTTGCCATAGGCCAGCTCGAAGCCCAAACTAATTGCGACCCGGGCAAGGTATTTGCGAGGCTCCAGTGCCACCGCGCCGTTTTGGCCGTGCTTGCGCATGTCCTCGATTGCGGACGCCGATGTCTTTTTCAGCAACGGATAATACGTCTGCCAAGTTCCCGGTGCCACCGATTTGATCGCAGATTGTCTCTGTCGCTTACAGCCTTCGGTCCAGGGGCAAGCCCCCATGGCCAAGCCGACGTACTTATTCATCGTGTAGGGGACTGGACGGCTGATCAGCGCGGCCGAATTGGACACCCATAGCTCTTTGATATCGGCGTGCTTGTTGACGATCACCACTCTCTCATTGCCGTACCGAAGTTGAAAGATGGGCCAGTTGAATCGTTGGAACCAATTGGACCAGACAGTGGCATCACAAGCACCAAGTGCGCCCCCGAGCAGGTGCAGATGTCCAGCGAAGGGCAAAGCACCGGGAATCTCGGGAAGCTGTTTGATCCTCGGGATATTCGTATATGTCGAGTACTTGGGTTTCAATCAGCCGGGGCGGCTTAGGGTTCTGGAGTGATCGGAGGTACCTTGTACAACGCAGTCAAAAGCAGGGCCAACGCAATTGCAGCAATGTAAGGCGCTCGAGCTGAAAGCTCATCCGGTAATACAGTGGTCATGACTGCAGAGAAAGGAGGCTTGAGTCCCATGCGGGAGAAACAACCGACTCGAATGCCGGACGAGGGGGGTTGCTTCAGGAAAGGCTGAGGTTTCTCAACGGGCGTTTGCTTTATACGCACACGACACCGCGGAGAAGAATGGCAGGTCGCCGCGAGCGCCGTATTAAGTCACACTGACCCCGGATAAAGTGGCATGTTGTGCAGATGTGGACAGACCTTGACACTCCAGAGGCCTTGGAGCCGCGAATGATAATTTTGCTAATTAGGATCATGATTAGAAAAAGCGCCGGCTAAATCGACCGCCACCAACCTGTTACGACCAAATACCCCGTGGCCCTCTTGTGCCGCAGAAAGGACGTACGATCAAGGCAGCAACCACGACCATCTGCCAAGGCACTAACCGGGACCGATTTGTCGTGTGTGATCAGTAGGGCTCCCATCGGATCCATTCCATAGATCATCTCACGTCGAGGCTTGTCCGTTTACACGCTCGGTTACGAACTATCTCGAGTGTGAGGTGGTCCATAGACTGGATCCGATCCATGCCCCATCCTCGATATCGACTTCTATCGAGTAAGGTGCTTTCCCGGCCACATGGTCCACGGATTGGATCCGATGACGAGGCGGCAAGGAGAGTGCCCACGTGCCCACGTGACACTGCCAAGCCATAGGCTTACGTGATTGGCCAGCGTGTCGATCTTGGCGTCGCCATACAACGCCAAGCCCTAACAGGCGATTCGAAAAATTAGAAAAATTCAGGTTTATATTTTATTCCGCCAGAAACTGCTTCAAAATTGACACCAAATCGTGGTTGACCTATCAAGGACGTAACCGAGTGGTAAAACACTGGGCTTGCAGTCGAACCGATAGAATTGAGGGGCCTTACTAGTGTTCGATCATAAGTAAGGTAAGAGGGTTGTCCGGCCTAGCTTTTCTAGGTGCCCTAGATGGGTAAACGTAATGCTCCAGCCAGTGATTGTTGATGATGTCGTCTTGTTCATAAGTTGGAAGGTTACTGATTCAAACTCTTCTGCTGTTGAACTTGTGTGGCTGAGGCTTTCACTGGCTGCGGCGCCCCATCTATAAGTTCGTCAGAGATGGATTATAGGAGGGGGGGCCTTTTCTTAACAATTTTTTGTTTGCGTGTATATGAACCATCTTGCCTTATCGAGTCTATATTACCATGCAAGTATTCAGACAGTCCCAATTATCCGGCCGAAATCAAGTAGGCAGTCTAGACGTAGAGGAAATATCGCGGGATTGCCTCGGGAGAGCGAGTCGGGAGAGCGAGTTTCGAAACAACAGCGAGTGGGTCTAGGGTTGTCTAAGCACTAATTGAGCCTAGCTGTGCGAGCGCCGTCCGGTGGATGGCGAGGTACCCCAAATCCTTAGTAAAATGGGGGGTTTTCAGGTACCTTTCCATCCACTTTGCTTCCCTCGCATAATTGCCCCGTCGTTAATCCCTTTTAACAGAACCCTTTGCACTCGCCTTTACAGGTCTTTTTGCACCCGATTTTGACGATGTTGAGTGGTCAGAGCGTCTCTGTTGTCTATGAGGCAGAGATGCTCAGCGCACCCAAACGGGGCTCGCCAGATGTCGCCAATGAAGGAAGTGGACATGAGGGCGACAGCAATAACAGGGTTATTCAAAAAGAGCTCAAAAAGCCTCTACCGCCAGGAAAGTCTATACAATTGTAGAGGGCTCGACAACAAGCTAAAAGAGCCCGTAAATACCGCAGGTATGTCAGTGTCTCAATTTTGATGTTTTGGTACCTCGATTTAGGCGATTTTACTAGGGTTTCGGGGGGGGGTTCAGGTACCGCGCCATCCACCGGACAACGCTCGCACCACTAGGCTCAATTGTGCTTAGACAACCCCAGACCCACTCGCTGTTGTCCGAAACTCGCTCTCCCGACTCGCTCTCCCGAGACATTCCCAAATATCGCTAAGGGCTATTCGATTTCGATGTCTAACGCTAGACAAATTCAGATATCTAACGTAAGCCTAGATATCTGATCGTAGTGACAGAGGGAAGAGTACTCACAATATTTGAGTTTGGCGCCAGCCTAATCTAGTATCGGCTATGCTATTTGCGAAAGGTGTCCATTCGAACTCAGACTAGAACAGGATTCGGACAAGTTTATAGGCTAAGAGGTCCAAGTTTCTGTCATGAAATGACAGGATCCTTAGTCTTTTTGGGCGAGCCCCAAGGCACCGTGGACATCTTCCTGACAAAAAAGCCGAGACTAGGAAAGGAGAATTAGTCTTCACATGATAAGTGCAGCGCTGCGGCACTGGTGAGATTGTGCATCGATACGACAGTAAGATATAGTCTCAGTTTATTTGAACGTCGTCATTGAACTCCTCACGCCTGCAAATTTGAGACGGTCTTTGCTAGAGGTCAATGCAACAGCGGCAGGTGTACATGGGAGATGACATGAGGTCAACCAGATGTTCCCCAGTCCATCAAGCCACCAGGTCGACCTGAGGGAGCGAAGGACAACACCAAAAGAACCTAAAATCATGTCGAACAAGGTCTCATTGAACGGCCGAGTAGTAGCAAGTGTCCCTTTGTTGAAAAGGGGGTTATCACCCCTATGCAGGAGTTAGGGGTAGAAATAGGAGAAGAAAAGGGGTCAAACCAACGTGTATATATACCAGCAACCTGGCAGGAACCGGTTGTGAGGTAGACAGAGCATTCAATACATCTGAAGTTGTTCCCCAGTTCGACAGGTACATCTGCAGAATCAAATCCTAGTCCGAAGCCCCAGACTTTCAGCTAAGAGCATACATTGCCCAAACCATCACCATCATGATCGCACCGGCCTTCACCGCAGCGACCATCTAGGTCACCTTGGGCCGGATTATCCTGGTTGTTGACGGTGAATCTCCCTCCCCGATGAGGCAAAAATTCCTCACACTGGTTTTCGTTTGCGGCGACATCCTTGTCTCTTCTGGTACAGTCCCGGAAACCGTATGCCTCTACTTGTCCTTTGTCGAGTACAGCAAGCATTTATTCCTTCGAACTATCCGCAAATCGGCGAGATGTGCTAGAACTAAGAGTGAGCAAATACTTGAGTCTATGGCGATAATCTAGAATCTGAGATTTGGGAAGATATACTTCGTTGTTCACTGTAGACCTAGCCGAGCAGAATCTCGATCGTTTCACGTCGTAAACGATCCCAGATATCCTGATCTACACGCCCGACTGCTCTTCTATATGCTACCTGGTCCGTCCTGTCGACCAACATGACGTTGTAGAACCGATAATACCCGGTCTTAATTCTTCGCGAAACCTCCCAGCTGTGAAATTGCATTTCCGAAACCCCTAAAAAGTGACCTGGAGGTACCAGATGCAGCTCGCCTTTCGAAATCGCAATGCATTCCGCTCTCTTCTTGTCTTGGGACTTGTCGATGCAGCTCCAGATTACTCCAACTATGTCACCACATCCAGAAAGAAGGTAACGCCATCCGAAAGCACCGTACAATGGCTTTTCGCTGTATTTCCTATCGTCCAAAGCTACTCCTCCAAGACGTAGATATGCGCGCTCCACTCTTCCAAAAATCCTAGTACTCCAGCTCCCTTCTTGTGGAGCGAAGTTTGCTGTACTTTGCCTGGGCAGGACAGGAATGGGGAAGCGAAATATTTTAGATTGGCCAATATCATGATGTTGGAAACCGCCAGACGGATCCTTTCGCCATTTCGAAGAGAAATTTTGAGCGAAATATTGCCCTCGATATGCCGAAAACCAGTTATATATCGGTTTTCGGGCCCCGGACCGAGTGTCGATCTTGAACCAGCTGACCATTGGGATGGTTTTGCAAATGTTTTGTTCGTAATGCGAAAGAAATAAACATTCACCAGCTGCAGCCCATGGTTCGAAGTTGATTTTGCCTTGCCATCTACACCAAGACCAAGTAGGTAAGTGTTCAACCGGTAGCCCAGTCGATTCCGCGAGCGCCATGCGGTCCTGAAGTGGTGTACATGGCTGCCAAAGTAAGGCGACATCAAAATACAATTCTGGTAGACCAAAAAGGAAGCCTCCGAGAAAAGAACCATGTAGAGAGGCGAGAACGCCTGAGAAAGCTGATATCGAGTCGCATGGATAAGTAAGTGTTCGTCTAGTGTAATTTTCAACAAGCCGTTGAAACAAAAGCATATCCGGCCACCCGGGTGAGACGAAAGTGTCAAAACGACCTTTCTGGCTTTGCTTCTCAGTGGTAAGCTCACTGCGGAAATCTTCCTGGCACAAGGATGTCCTGCATTTCCACACAATTCTACCATTGACAAAGATTGCCATCCGCCGAGAGAACATCTGTTCTTGGAAGGTCCAGCCTCGACTCGTCCAAGAACCCTTTGATGGTACTGATTTGTACCGTAATCCATAGAGAACCAGATATTCCCGAGTTTGGTGATAAATATTCCGCTTGCGGGCCGGAGTTATGCTGCCAGCTGAAGATCCAAGCCCTGGAAGTCCATTTCGCGCGTCGCCTTCCATCGAAACAATGGTGAAGCAAGCTTGCGCGTAAATTATACCCATTGCCATTACTTGCTCATGTTTGTGGCGGCCATCATCTTGAAGAATACAGTATCGATCGACCCAAAGGTATCGTTTTCCGACTTTCTGGGTAAAATCAATCGCAGATTGTATCAGTGCCGGGACTTTGAAAAACTCAGAATCGTTCATACTGCCTGGCTGGATGAATCGTCCAAGGTTATCCACTTTGCATTGGAAATTTCCGTTCTGCGGGCCCCAGACGTAACTCAGGGCGACATAGTCGGCGTCGACTGTTGACCGGACAAGACATCGATCCTCCAAATCAAGCAAATAGATTTGTGGTTTGTATCGAAAACCTGTGTCTTCTATCTCATTACAAATCTTTCCGTGCTTCTCTATACACCCTTCCAGGCAATGACGGGCGAAGTCGACGTCGACTGTGTTAGGTTGGATCAATCTTATTGAGGATTGATATGGCCCTGATTCGCTAAAACATGTGAAAGGAGAGACAGCAGTAAGGAAAAGTTCCTTGTCTTGAAGCAATGGGGAGTCAACGTAAATCTTAAACAGGAGCGGCCTTAATCCGAGCATGGATTTTTCATCAACTTCAGCTGTCTTTTTCCTTTCTTCTATCACCCGATGTATGTCAGAGTTCCTTAGGGGTCGCTCGTCTAGTTTGAATGTCAGATAAGTGTTCTCACTAATATCAGGGTTGTCCAAGTCCAGGATTTCGCAAAGCTTTCTGCACAACGGACACTGCCGTGGACGGAAACATTTGGAGCAGGTTTTGCTTCGAATTTGCCTTAAAATTCCCATCAAAGTGAGTTCCCCTTTCTCGGAGATGACTTGTGGAGGTTTGCTGCTGAGTGAATCTTTCAAATGCTGCTCAATCTCTTCGCACGCTTCGCATAATTCGTTATGGTTGCAGCTTGTAGTCCGATGTCGGGTTCTCTCAGCTATATGGACGTTGCTGATAAAATCTCCATCGCCACTCCGGGCTAATGAAGCAGAGATCTTCTTTGACATGTTGATCTCTGTGTCTGCGGATCTTGTTTTATTGTGTCCTTGGGTTCGTCGGAGCCAGACACTCGACTTGAAAGAAGATGTGTCCACGAGACAGTCCAGGTTGACAAAGTTTTAAGACTTCCATTGTTCAAAATGATGAAAAGTGGACAGCGGGCGAGACATAGCCTCAAATCTGCACAGTCTCGCACAGCCACCGCCGCCGCGGCCACTGCCGGCGGGCATTATCAGCCGCCTGGCCTACAGCTTGGTTTTACAAGCCTGAAGACAATAAAACTCCTCGAGCCCATGGCTGAATGTCGTGTCTTATCAATCGATCGACGAATTTTTCCATGACCTTATTGAGTATGATGGGGACGATCCTGCTAGGCCATGCTGATAAGACGTCGTTGGTAGATTTCTGCTAGGAAACAATATATCGTGGGTGTGTCTAGGCAGTGCGGGGGCAGTGCGAAGGCAGTACACTGGTCGCAAGGGTAAGTAATCTTAGTATGCCAAGACCTGCGCAAAACTTCGCCAAGCCACTCAACTTGCTACATTCTTTCTTTTTCCCCTTCATTAAGTGCATGTAGTCTGAGACCAAAGGGGCTACAAAATGAAAATGGGAAAAAGCAAAAAAGGGAGAGTAGTTACCTGGCGAAGTTTTGCGCAGGTCTTGGCATACTAAGATTACTTACCCTTGCGACTATTGTAAGTGGCACCACACCGCCAAGATTAGTTGACGGCGGGTCAGGGTGAGAACAAGGCTGAGCCGAAGTTGAGCCAGGTCACATGACACCTTAGTAAAGCGACAAAGCCATACTCCAAATTGGGTGCCGAGGCCATGTACATAGTTGGCGCTGAATACCGGACTAAGGGAGAAATTGAAACGGGTTCGACAAGAGATTGAAACCAAGGATGCGCGGTTTGGAAGGTCAGAGGCTGCTATCGACAGGTTCATCGACAAGAGTAACCAGGAAGGTCAGGCTTAGGTCAAGTCATTTCCAGACTCGACCAGTACATAGATACCTATTTTGTTGGCTTTCAGAAGCATATAATCTCCAATACGGTACCTTGAGTAGTTTGAGTTAATTCTTGAGCACGCAGAAAATGAATTTACCGGAATGAAAGGGTCGTAAAGCAAAGGGTCATGAAGCAGCCTATCGTAAAACAGTTTATCGTCCGGGTCTTTCTGCTCCAAGGCCATTAGTGGCAAGTGTTGGCCAATCACGTGGCGCGTTGCCTTGGCAACATCACGTGAGGCTGTTTGGCTTGGCAACTTGCGCCCTTCTTTTCAGTCTTGCTCTCTTGTTAGATAAAACAACACATTCCTTCTCTAGACTCCACAGTCTATCATAGCTTGATTTATGGGTATGTCAAACTTGGAGATATATTGAATGCTCTGTCTCTTTGGCGACTGGTCCTACCAGATTACCAGTATAAATACATGCCCGGTTGACCCCTTTTCTACTCCTTCTCTTCCCCTATATCCTGCATAGGGTTGATAACCCTTTTCCCAGTAAAGGAGTACTGCTCATTGTCCGACACGTCCGCTTCGTCCTAGAGAGAGTCGTCAATTCCTATCCACCTGAGTGGCTCGAGGAATCTATTACAGGAGAGGTTTTTAGCTCCGTCGAGGAGCGCCAGAACCGTTAAATTGCGTACTCTTTGTCTCAGGGGTTCGACGTTGTGATATCGCATTTGTCACGGGGTGCAACTTGAGATGTAAAGTTGTTGCATGGTAATCCACATACGGTTACCACGGCCTGTCCTCAACGAACTCATCTCGACACTGGGATGCCTCCGTTCAGCTGCCACCGTAAATGGGCCACTGATAAGGTTTGAAAGTTCAAGAGACCACTGTATCTCCGGTACATCGTCCTAGCAAAGAGTTCTCAATCGACTGGAGAACGGACACGAAATGCCAACGGCAGTGAAAGAAGAGCAGGCTAGGGTTCTAGAACAAGAAGAGTGTACGCGAATGCTCGAAAATTCGCAAGCACGCATCTATCGTAAGTTTTGACTATTAGGGGCCTCCCTCCGTAGACCAAGAACTCAGCCCCGTTTACTCCACTCAAGCAGATTCTACACCTACATCCGGGTTCTCTTGGTCCTATGCAGCCATTTCTTGGCAGAAATGCCCAGGGCACTGCCCGCTGTCTTCGTCATTCCTGCGACGGCTTGGTATCTGAATGAAATGACACTTTAGTCTTATAACAGCAAAGCCAGGGTTTCAAGTGAGCAGGAAACCACTGCCCTTAGGGAGGTTGCGTATTGGGCATTGGAAGGATGGACAATGCTGCTATTGCATTAACGAGGATTGCAGAACGGTCTCCTTCAGCGCAGCAGCCGTCTCAGTCCCAGCAATCACTCACTCTCTCCTCCGTCTTCCAATGTCACTAGCAACAACAACGTTCGAGTCGGCGCAACAGAAGACTCAGACCTTGAGGAAGAGGCTACGGCTCCCCCACCTGGAAGTCACAACAATCGTCTGTCTAGAAGAGAGCATTTGTCAAAGATTCAATCATTTCTTAACGGAACATTTGCGGCATGAGTGGGGCAGCCTGGGTGATGGGATCCATAGGGCTGATCGCCACTATTGCAGCCTTCATCTATGCAATCCTTTCCTTCCAGATGCGGCGCGCGACTTCGACATCAACCTACGAGCTTTCTACCTAGACCGTGAGGTAAGTTGGGCTTCACACAGCGGCACTCCTCAAAAAGCTAGGGTTGCATTCTCAATACTCTGTAGCGTAGAATTTGCTGGCACCAAGACCAGGAGGATCGATGTTCACGACTCCGTCGCACCGCGCTCGTTGGAACTTATCAGCAGTGTACCAAGGCCACCAACTCGGACCTGATGCTTTACCGGTGGCGCAAAAATCACCATTTATACAACGATTTACGACGGTGTACCAATTTCCACGATTGAAACCACCCGTCGGGCACAAGTTTTAACTTACGTGTACATGTCGGCGTTATCATGGTCCGCGATTCTGAGCCTCTTGTTCGTCGATGTTGGAAGTACGGACACCGCCTCTATCCACGCTGGTACATAGACCGCCGTCTTACAGGTCAGGGACTTCAATCACGTATCACGAGTGGGTACTCGGATGAAATTGATATACATGATTTGCCAGGGGCCGTTCCACCGGGCAACCGTCAATATACCAGTGACACAGCTGACACTGATACGGTCTTAAGCCATAGAAGGTCCTGGATGCAAGAAGATCCGGCCATAATGGCAGAGGAGTAAGGGAGGATCGAGGGAATAATCTCATTCCAGAGAAAACCGGACCAAAGGTAATAAGAGGGCGGCAGAAGACTGATGGTATAACTAGCCAAGTCGACAACAGAACTGCGCATCAGACGATCCATCTGACCAGCGACTATCGGAATAACGCATAGGTTCCGGGTGTCCGGGGTTCGCTGCTCAGCCTCGATCTCAACCAACTCGGTTTGGACATTCTCAATAACATTACTTTGTCGTGTGATGGTCTCTTTGAAGGTAGCGATGGGCTCTATGAGGGCCTCAAGGTTTGCCGCCCTGGCATCTGGTATGGAGAGCTCGGAGTTTCCTGTATGGAGGTTCATTTGATCTTGTTGTAAATTGTCTACGCTTTTGAAGCTTAAGTGCATGGTCTTTTGATCGTCACCGCTGTGTAAAGTCGTTTACCAAGAAATCCGCCTCCGGTTTAGGTGGCCCTGTTCTTAACGGCGCAGCCATATCTGCCCTTTGACCTCAAATGCTGTTGCCGTTTCTTTGGTCTCGGCCCGCAGCATTATTGGGTTTTTTCACAGGCCCGTCAGACTCACCTGATATAATGTCAGATGGGCCGGCAAGAGCCTTTGAATTGGGCTTTGATACCTTCAAAGAACCAGTCACGTGTTTGGCTTTTTGTCGGCCGACAAATTATATCATTTTGCAGTCGCTTGTAACTCCAAACCAGGAGGAAAGCTAGCCGACAAATGTTGAAGAGCTAGTCTATTTCCAGGGATCCGTATGAGTGCGAGAGCTCTATTGGCTGCTTTACCGGTGATCGGCTAGATTTATCTAGTTTCGTCCGTTGACAATCGGCGGTCCGTCTGTCTATTGCCCGACCCAACACGCTGCTGTCAGCGACGAAAGGATGAATTCGAAACTGCTAGTCCGTCTGGGGAGAAACTCTGCGATGCAGATTTATAATTTGGTAGCTATATCATTACAAATGCATGAAAATGCAAGTCCGGTAGGTCTTGGTAGATAACGGGTATATAGAACCAGGCCGAAGTTCCTTTGATTCCGTCGAGAGTATCGAAAACTTTATCGTCTATGCTCTTCTTTGGAGCTAGAAAACCGCACAGATCTCCCGAGATCAGTTAGAGCGGAACCGAATCGACAAGCACAGGAAATGGCATCCCAAATCAAGCCGATCAAAGTCTATGGCCAAGGCGGCCCGAACCCACCCAAAGTCGCCATCGTCCTGGCAGAACTGGGTGTTCCTCACGAAATCGTCCCAACCCCGCTTTCAGATGTCAAGAAACCCTATTATCTTGCTCTCAACCCCAACGGTCGCCTACCAACCATCCACGATCCAAACACCGACATCACCCTGTGGGAATCCGGCGCCATCATCGAATACCTAATTGAACGATACGACACGGAAAACAGATTGAGCTTCTCCACTGGGACCCTCGAGTCGTATCACGCCAAACAATGGCTCTACTTCCAGACCACGGGTCAAGGCCCATACTACGGCCAGGCAGCATGGTTCAAGAAGTTCCACCATGAAAAACTGCCCAGTGCATTGGAGCGGTACACCAAAGAGGTCGGTCGCATCTCGGGCGTGCTTGATGGGTGGTTGGCGAAGCAGAAAGAGAAATATGGCACCGAAAATGACGGTCCTTGGTTGGTGGGCAATAAAGTTTCCTATGCCGATTTGGCGTTTGTCTCGTGGCAGACCGTCATCGTTGTGATACTCAGCAAGGAGGAGTATGATGAGGACAAGTTCCCAAATATGAAGGAGTGGATGGACAAGATGAGAGCGCGCCCGACGGTCAAAGGTGTGATGGCAGCTGCTTTTGCGGCTAGTGGTTAGCCTTCGGGGAGGATGGAGATCCACGGTGAATGCTTAATGCTACCTCCACAAATGGCACCGTATTCAACCACCTCAGTTCTCACGGATCTTGCGTCCGCTCTCCTTTAGCAAAGATTAAACGAAAGTTCTGCACTCGTACATTTCCCAGTCCACTATTCACACGCTATTAGGGAATAAACTTTGCCACCGAATCCTGAGAGTTGTCGAACATTAGGTAATCTTCAAGGCCGGAGTCACAATCGGCCAATGGGATCGACTGAATTTCTCGCAGAGTTTCTCCCCAAAGGGGTTGGCTTGTTGGCCTGATTAGTAAGTATCATTCTCTCGAGTCCGGACTTTTGATGTCTTCCTCCCGCTATTCCCCGTGTCTTGCACATGGAGTTTTGGGAAAGGGATCATGTCTTGGATTCTGGTGCATATGTTCCTTGTGATCACGATCACCGTGACCAAGTCAAGACGCTTTATAAGTTCTCCCATCAACGTCAAGAATGCCCCGCTGATTGACCTCGAGCGATACGCACACCTCGGTAATTCAAAGGACATGTCGAATTGAGCCGTCGATTGTTCATGACTGAAGACATAGACCTTCCAGCTTTCAAAGATGCCGCCGAGAATCGTTCTCATCACCGGTAAGCACCGCGCATGTCCTGTTATCACTTCGCTGATGCGGCAACGAAGGCGCCAACAGCGGCGTCGGCTACGCCGCCTCGAAAGTCATAGCCAGCTCCTCCTCGGACTTCCATGTCATCATGGCGAGCCGCTCCCTTGAAAAAGGCGTCGCAGCCCAATCCTCCATCGAATCCGAATTCGCCACTACCAAAGGCCGCCTCTCCACCGTCCAGCTGGATGTCACCGACGAGAACTCCATCAGACAAGCCGCTAACTTCGTCGACCAAAAATTCGGCCACCTCGACGTGCTTGTCAACAACGCTGCCTCTGGTAACTGTGACCCGGACGTCAAAACCCGCTTCCAAGTATGCATGGACACGAACGTGGTCGGACCCGCCGTGGTGGCAGCGACGTTTCGCTCGCTCCTCCTTCGAGCTCCGAACGCTCCGTATTCGATCTACGTGAGCAGCGGCGGCGGGTCGTTGACGCGGGCCGCTGACACGACCAGGGCAAAGTTGCCGGTGCCGTCGAATGGGAATGCATACTGCGTGAGCAAAGCGGCGCTGAATATGGTGATGTTGCAGGATTACGTGGAGTCGATGAGTCAGGGTGCGAAGATGAAAGTTATCGCGATGTGCCCCGGGTTCGTGGTGAGTAATCTGCGCGGGACGAGCGAGGAGCTGAGGTCAGGATGGGGCCAGGCGGGAGATCCGATGGTTTCGGGAGAGACGATCTTGAGTATTATTCGGGGAGAGAGGGATGGGGATTTGGGGAAGTTGGTGCATAAGGATGGTGTATATCCTTGGTAAGACGACGACTGGACAGTTCTCGTTCCGAGGCGTTTAATTTGTAGAAACAGGAAGGGGATTAAACAGATGGGATCCGTTCTTCAAGTCTTCAATTCTTGTTGGATGGATTGCCAGCAATTGTAGTACACTGGGGCGAAAACCCTTCTGTTTTAGTACAACACCGGTCGAGTCTGTCTGGTACACCATGTCCTCCCCCAAGCCTAACGCCCGGTCAGCAGCCGATGCTTGATGCCATTGTAACCCATCTCAGCATGGCATTCATATGAGTTCACTTGTCACATTCGAAAATTCTCCCTTCTTCAGTTTGGTCTGCCAGAAGATCGGATTCGTGTCTGAGAAACCATGCTTGACCCAACCGTCCTCTTTCACGTGGTAAAGATTGATGTAGCCACCGGAGTAGGCATCTCGATGAGTTGCCGCCAAAATACTTCTTCTGCCCAGTTCAAGTGCTTCATCATCTTCCAGGTCGTATTGGTAGAGTGCGTCCAGAACTCCGTAGGCAAATGTTTGACCAGACCCCACACAGAATAGGTTGCCGGCTAATCTCGTTCCATCGGAGTCAATGTAGTACAGAGCAGGGCCTTCTTGAGGCGTCACTCCCGTGATCATGGTCCCCATCGACAATCCCATGCCTTTGTATTCGTAGACCAAATTTGCAAGAAGTTTGGATGCAGCAGCCACCGAGATGCGTCGCTTGTGTCGGAGCTCGTGAAGACGACACTGTTTCCCGAGGAAAGCAAGCCAATATTGACAGTCCTAGGGAGTGTGAGCAGGGGGGAAAATAAAAATCCACTTTGCCCGGCCTAGGATAGAACCTACCGCGGCTCCACCGGCCATGGTTCCAAGCAGCATAGGATTGATCTCAATCACTTTCTTCACCGTTTGTGATGCAATCCAATTTCCGGCTGTTGCCCTTGAATCGGTTGCGACTATGATTCCTCCTTTGAATCGGAACGCCAGGGTGGTGGTGCCATGCGCGATCTTGATGGGGCAATTCGGGTTGGAGTAGTCGTCGGTTGCGGCGCGGAGGAAGGCAGAAGGTTGAGGAACGGGTGGTAAGGCGAATTTGAGAGAGAAAGGAGGTAGTGTAGTGCAGTAATCATTTTGTTCTTCTGATGAGTAGCCTTCGTTGCCAAACGTCGGTTGAGTGTATTGGGCAACGAGAGTGTCCATGACTGATTACAGAGGACCAACGTGGAGGCGGAGGGGACAAGGATGGTCGAAAAACAAGGGAGAAATACAAGGAGAAAATGAATTGTTGGTACAGGGAGGGAGGAAGGTCCCAAAAAAAAAAGCGATTGTCTAAAGCAAGACAGAAGATGGATGATGATGGATGATGGACGGGAGGAATGGTTTGCTGTCGAAAATGCGCGTCTTCTGGCGCCTTGCGCTGCGCTTGTAGCTTCCTGCGTCATCACGTGACAGTAGCCTATTCCGCAGGCTGCTTTGCCGACCAGTACTTCCTTTCTTCACAAATTGTCTGTACTTCTTCTTGCGGATCTCTCCCGCTACCGTATATTGCAAAGATGGCAGGAGATGAAGTACCCTTTTGACCTGCTCGGTTCTGTACGGCAAGAGGGCCAGGAACATTGGTCGGCCAATTGCGAAAGAAACTCTGCTCTCACGCTTCTATGTCGACTTCCAATGGGCCCATTTACGAAGTCGAGGGTCTTCAAGATTCTGGATTCGAGACTTAGTCGATCTATGGAGTACGTCATGCAGAAATGTTTTCACGGGGCCCGATGTAATCTGCCGCATGAACGATCAATAGCGGTTCATTTTGCCTGTCCGACCAAAACTTATCATGCAAAGGCCTTTGCTGCTATCCACCAGCCATTGAGACGTCGATTGGGCCAAACCTCTCCAACACGTCTTTTCGCAGCTGAACTCTTAAGGCTAAACATTCAATTTCGATCACTTGAAATAACGACTGGCCTTGTGACCTGTGACACTGGTGAGGCTGTAACGCTCAGCTTTGCGCACTTACTGTACAATACATTCGCCATGATACTTTTGTCTCAAGTGATATCTTTGAATATTCATGAGTCTACCAGTGCATTATCTCGAGATCGGCAAGTTTTTCAAAATCTTGCAGCGATGGCAGCAATCTTAATTGTCCTCCTGCATATACCCAACTTTTCTCTCTTCTGATAGCCTTACCTGGACGATTTCCTCTTGTCTATTACGGTAAATACAACCAGCTACTACAACGGCAAGTGATAACCGTCCCAAGATTCTCATATCCTTTTAGAACGTGTAATTACTGTCCTGAAAGATGGACGTAGTTTGCACTTTCCCTCTCAAAATGATCTTTCCCAGAACGAACGTTACGACTTGACAAACTCTCAGCATGAATTACCTCGCATAAGGCGATCTTTGATCCGCACAGGGTAGAGTGATGACAGTGTAGATCTTGATTTGGAATCCGAAAGATAGTCCCGCTCAAAGAATCTTGTTCCCAACTAGTAAAACAACCAGAATTCCTGAAAGATTGAGATGGTATCGGATAATCAACCGGACAAGGGTATTGAATATATATTTCGTGTTCTCGTGCGCCGCAGTACTTGGTATCCAAAGCCGTAGTTTCCACCCGGCGCCGGGGTGGTATCATAAAATAATAATGTACATGAATACAATAGATGCCTGCTATACAATGATCCCCAGGCTGTGTCTCCATTTTCCTCATGTGCCTTTCATCTTGGTATCCCATTCAACAAGAGGATGATAGGTCGAATTTCTGACAGCGAGTCCAAGCTTTCTTTTTTTATTTTTATTTTTTTTCCAGGCAAACAATGTGGACCAAACTCGTCAACTCCCCTTTCTATGCGCGGACCAACTGAGAAGTCCCTCCATCGAGGCCATCGATCCTTTGTGGACTGCCAGTCTTCGATTGGTGGAGTCAAAGATCGACAAAGAGATGTCAATCTTTTCTGTTTTAACTCTGAAACGAAACAGGGCTTCATTTATCCCACATAGACTCCATACTCTTGTCCTGAAGGAAAAAAAGGGTCATGGTATACTATGACAAACTCTTCCTTTTAAACTTCCCTGAAACTGCCACTCACAGGCTTCCTTCCCACTTGCAAAAAGCTGGGGGGTCTTGCCTGATATTGAAGCTGAGGCTGAGGCTGTGGGTTATAGGGTGTGGGCATGCTGATTCTGTTCGGTTCATAATCGGATTGCTCGTAGCGGGTACTTATACTGCTTGGAGCATAAGAAGATGGCTGTTGATGTTGGAAGGACTGATGTTGTTGATGATTATATTCCTCCGGGCTTGGGCTGGCAGTACCGGCCACGAATTTGTCAGAAGCGACAGGTTGAATGTTCGAATTGGAACGATATGTGGGTGGTGGACTGAGTGGAACGGCTTGAAAGTTGTCATAACCTTGATTATTTGGGCTCATTCTTTGAGCACCAAGGTCGGAATCATAGGAATGCGACATGTCATTGTTGGCGAAGTAGTCATTCGGGGGATTGGGTGAGACGGGAGACATTGGACCGTGAGGCACACTGTTATAGCCGCCTCTCATCCTTTGCGGTTGTGTGTCAAGTCTTCCCATTTCCAAGTCACCGTTTGCCATCTGGTGTGGAGGTTCACTGGTGTCCTCAACTCTTCTCTGGGTGGCAGTGTCCCAACTGGGCATGGGAGGGAGACTATCTTCATTGACCTTCTTGCTACTTGGGTCATCAAACATCGCGAATTGCGTATTTGGATTGCCATGGCCATAGACCATTGGACTTGGAGCAGGTTGGTACCCAGAGTAAGGGGTAGGAGGCATACGAGAATAATCGTCTTTGAATTGCGAGGGGCGCTCACGACGTCGACCAGATGGACAGCAGCTGCCGCAGCAGCAAGAGCAGAGCTCGGCACCGCAGCAAAGACATCTAGCAAAACACCAGATGACCGAGAGGAGGATGAGCGAACCAACGACAATTCCTATAATTGCGGGCCACCTGTTGTAGGGTGAGAAAGGTTTTTCGAACATGACAGTCCCATATCATACTTGCAATAGTCTTTTTCCATGCATGTGTCCCAACTGGAGAAAGTTTCTGGAGCACTTTTCACATCATCGATAACATCGCGGGTGGATATAGAGTAGGCCATTCTGGGACGACGATAGACCACCGATTACTCCCGATTATGGTGAATTCGAGGTCGTGGAAGGCTTCAGGAAGAGTGAAAGTTCGTGCAATTCATACACATTCGTCAAACGAAGGCAGGATCAATGGATCGAGAAGGCGGATCTTTTGAATCAAGGGTGATTGGGTGCAAATCACCAAGTGAAGGCCGACCGGCGGACAGTGCACAACGAATGACGTGGCGTAAGGCCAGGAAGGGTCGAAGAGAGAAGGTAATAAAGTTGACTCCTCTGTAGATGGAGCAATTCAATTGTATGTCGAACGAAAAGAGAGGGTTTGTGTCACCAAAGGAGGCGGAGCACACGAGGCGCGCAGCTGCGAAAGAAAAGAAAAATGTGGGCGGCAGTAGTAGGGGCATTCGGCTGACAGTCCAATAAGGAGCTTGGAGACGAGCTACGGAGGCCTCAGTGCCTATCTCCAGGCGATCATCCCTGCCCAGCCTTGAGATGCTGGGCTTTGCTACTTTTTTTGCGGGTGGCAGCTCTTTCGCATTCAAGCTGAAACACCCGGTCCAGTCGCTCAAGTTACGACCCTGGCCACAAGGCAGACAACCCGATCCGAGCCCAGACTAACTGCATTGTGACATGGTACCATTGTCCCCCGCTTTCCGATTCCAGACTCACCTGATTCATATTCATGATATATCGCTCAAGGGGGGGAGGAGGGGGGGGGGAAAATCAGTATTGTGATATTATTTTTAGGCCGATCATTGCACTATTCTATCCGGTAGCAACGGCGGTATCCGTTTTCCTTCGCTGTCTCCAAGTCCATTCCATATCCATGACCATTTCATACCATATCATGCACATTCGTCACCACCTTCTCCCCATCGACGCCGGCCTATATTCACAATGGAGGAAAAAGGAGAATTTGGCGAGTTGAGCTAGGTCGGTCGGACTTAGTTCTTTGGCGGTGGAGGACCTGAGGGAGGTTCGTAGACATTGTCTCCTCCGCGATAAGCATTTTGCGGTGGTTGCATCTCGACATCCGTTTGCCTTCCGCCAAAGTACCCTTGATTTTCTCCGTAATATCCTCCATAGTTTTGAGTCTGATTGTAGGTGGGAGGTGCTTGTTGGTTGTAGTGGGGTTGTTGTTGCGTTTGATAGTGGGGATTGTATGTGGCAGGGCTATGACCCCAGGGTGTCCGTCCGGCCCAGCCAGTGCCATAAAATGGTTGGCGACCAGCACGGCGTCTTCGGCGAGCACTCCAGCAACTGCAAGGATCGTGAGTGTGGTGATCTGGGAGGAGTTGAAACGTGATATCCTACCTAAACAGGAAGAAGAAGAGGATGGCGGCGAAAATGATGATTCCGAGAGCTACCCATCTTCCCCAGTCATACCATGCTGACCGACAGCGATAGGGTTGTCCCAAAGAATCGTAGCATCTAGCCATGAGAAAGGGTATTAGCCAGATTGAAGTACCCCAAAATTGTGAGACTCCAAGTTGAGATGGAGAGATGGTGAATGGGATAAATAGGAAAACCAGCGGTGAGGAGTGCTTACATGTAGTATTGTCGTACGACCAGAGTCATGGCTGTGTGGTGATGTCAAAGTGGAATGGAGGGGAATCGCAGAGACGGTGGACGGAGGACGGAGAACAGTGGACGGTGTATGGGGAATATGACGCTGTGATAGATATGATTTGTATGCGTGTGCGTGCGCCTGCGGCGCCGAGCCTGACCAGATATTCAAATCAACGAGGCTGTGGGGATTTCGGATTGTAGGAAACGGGGTGGGTGAAGATGAAAAGGATGATGCGATCACGGGGAGTCAGAATTTTATGATACGATAGAGTATACCCGCCAAGTAGAGGAGCAGAAGAAGGCGCAGCAAATAATAAAGAGGAAAAGCCTAATTAATTGCGCATCTCTGACACTCGCCTGGTAAGTGCGTCCCTAGTGGCGCAGCATTGAGCCTGTTATTGGCCACGCAACCCGGCAAAAACAAATCCCAAAGCCTCGGCCAGCTTCCCGTTGTCCAATGTCCGGAGAGAACAAACAGCTTAGACTTGAGATTTGGTTACTATGGAGGACCTCGGGTGTCTTTTCTGTGTGGCCCGAGAACAATACTTCTGTAACAAACCGTGCTCAAATCTGAACTATGCCGCGACGGGTGACCGGTACTACTATTTTCTAATCACGGCTTGGCGTGGCTTCTACGTTCCGTGACAACTGGCCAACCACTCACACCTAAGCGGCGAAGCATCTTGGCTACGCGTCACAGTGATTGCGGATGAGGCCCTTGCTTGATTCTTTCCGCTCGCTTCCCAGTGGCATCTCAGCTGACCACTGCCGACGAGACCTCTCCTACCACGGCATGATTGTGGAGAGAGCTCTCCAACAGCGGAGTTCGGATATGATCGGCTCATCTGGAAAAGAAAACTGAGCGGTCCACTCTCTCACTATGCAAATGCGTACTTCGTGTTCGCGTTCATATGTTGTGCGTCTGCGTGTTCGTACCTAAAAAAATCCTCGGCCCCTGATGCCTTTGTGTTATCGAAACAAGCGTGCCGCTGATTGTAAAGGAGTTCAAGAAAAAGAACCATAACAGTCTGTTCACTTTCCTGACCGAGCCACAAGCCATTGAAGGACAGCGTCGAGGTTGGTTTCTTCTTTGGCACTGATCCCGTAACAACTGATCTCTCGGTGGACAATGGTCTTCAGGTCGAGTTGATCTATGAGTTCGTCGACCGACAGCTTGTTGGGCAGGTCTGATTTGTTACCGAGGACAAGAAGAGGAATGCCATCCAGGGTCGGTTTGTCGAGAAGCGTGTGTAGTTCTTCCCGAGCCCGTGGAACAGCGGCCTTGTCTGCAGCATCAACCACAAAGACAATGGCGTTAACTCCACGACAGTAGCGCTCCCACATGGATCGAAATCGCGGTTGACCTCCGAGATCCCAGCATCTGATTGAAACATGGCCCTTTTTCACTTCCTTTTTGTTGAAAGCCACCGTGGGGATAGAGTCGACCGTGAATTCATTTCCCTATATCCCCCAACTCAGCGGTTTTCTTCTCCCCGTTTCAGTGGGATTGGCTGAACTCACTGCAAGTACTCGCACCAGACTCGTTTTGCCTGCATTCTGAAGACCGACTATCGTGACATCCATTTCAGTGGCCCAGAACATCCACAGCAACCAGTCCCATAACCAAGTCAAGAACCCTGCCATCGCGCTCGACCGGAGGCGCAAGTCGTTGCAGTCATGTGCCGGCTGGCGATTAATTAAAAGTATGACTGAAAATGTCTAGTATGTAGATGCTGTCGGGATTTGGGTGTTTACGGTGTCTGTGATGAGGAATGATAGGCAAACACGATCTGTCAGTGCCGAAAGATGGTTTCATTCAACGAACGGCCTTTCGTCTCGAGATCAAAAAAAAGTGGAGGTGGCGCAGGTGGCTCGTGGGCTGGTTGACTAACCTGTGGCTGGAGAATATGAAAAGATCACGTGACTGTAACGTGGTCGTCCGGCTTATCGGGAGTTCCCATCAGCCATCTCCTCATCCTCTCCCCCCTCTCTTCACCTCTCTGAACAAACGTATTGAGAAGACGAATATAACGAATCCTTGCAATCAAATGTCCGGCAACCTTCCAATTCCGGTTTCATCAGACATGTAACAGAAATCGGCGTTTCTGTTGGGCTCCATTCCCCACAACGATGTCTTTCCCAGTCTTCCTTCGAATGCGATGATACTTCGCCATCATGGCCACACGATCGCGACATGGTTGCATTGATTGCAAAAAGGCCAAAGTCAAATGCGACGAGATTCATCCTTTTTGCGGCACATGTAAACGCCGCGGTCGTCAATGTGCTGGCTACAATCAGATTACCAAGGCCCAAAAGACCCGCGATGCTCCTACTCCTCGACCGACCACGACTCAAATGGCCAACTCGGCGTCGTCTCCTGATGCTACCCCGGTGGCGATCGAGTATGCCATCAACGATGCTGCCTTTCATTCCTCCCCAGGCTTCAGCCCTTCCAGCACAGCCGCTCCGTTTTCTCCCATCTCGAACGACTTTGCCCTCGCGCCGGCGACCCCGATACTGAAGACGGTCGCTACAATTCCTCCCGGCACTATCCATCCGGCCGATGAGCCGTTTATCGAACTGTACTTCATGCGCCATCCGGGGGAGTTGGTCTTTGGCTCCGAATTTGTCAACGAAATGAACTCGTCAGTTCTCAAAGTTTTTCAAAATAGCCCTCTCGCCGTCGGGGACTCGCTGTCGGCCATTGGAGAGGCATATCTACGAGATGGCTCTCTTCCCATCCTGGTTCCCGTTCCGAACAGAAAAGCGAGGATTCTGGCTCGACTACGAAGCATGGACAACCTCGGAGTCAGTTTGGAGCTCCTTTTGACCATAATGTTAGGTCTTTGTGCTATCGAGGTAATCCCGACTGGTCGGTCGGCCCATGCTCTCCGCTAACAGTTTCTAGCTGGTTGATGCCACCGCCCATCAACAGCCCGTAACGAGCGTGCCGGCGTTGCTCGACAATCTTGCAATGATGCTGGACCATCATCTCCGCAAGGGATTTGAACTGACCCAGCTCGCCAAATACTTTGTTCGCGCATTGGCGAGGCAGGACATGATGTTATCATTGACAAGATTTCATCGACCCCGAATTCCTACCTCGTACTGGCTCGATGACTATTCTCGACAACACGCTGATCGTTTCATGGGATACACGGGCACCTTGATGCCCTTGTTGGCCGAGTTGTGTTCGTTGGCCGAAGATTTCCGAGCGTCCGTGGCCGACAGCATCACTAATAATGGTGCGACCGACTTGTCCTTTCCAATGCCTCTTCACGATCTTCTAGATCGAGCTTCCCAGATCCAGTTGAAACTCGAACAATGGCATCCCACCGTCGATCCTACCCTCTCATTTCAGTCTTCTCGCAAGTTCTTGATGCACGCCAACGCCTACCGCAGTGCGTCATTACTCTATCTCCACCGGCTGCTCCACCCTCCTGGGACCTCGGTGGATGCGGATCAAGCAGCATTACTTAAGGCCTATGAAGTCATGGTACATACTACTGCTTGCGATGACGACATGAAGATGTCGTTGTGGCCAATCTTTCTTGCTGCTTGCGAAGTGAATACTGAGCCCGACAGGTTAAGTGCATCCCAAATGCTGAGTTCCATATGCAGAGGTCGAAAAACGGTTAACGCAATGCGGACACGGTCCTTTGTCATCAATCGAGTTTGGAGTGCAAGAGACGCTGGGCTCGATTGGAATTGGATGACCCTAGCTCAACGATACCCCAATGAATTACTACCGATTTGAGACAAAAGCAAAGAAGAGCATTGGGACTCGAAATCCCCCTCGGTGTACTCATTGCCAAACTCTTCATCATGCAGGATTTAATTCCACTGTCCAGTTGTCTAACAGTTCAAGACGGCGTCGATGGTCTCCACGTCTTTCAGCAATTGTTCATCTCCTAAACGAGGCCCAACGAGTTGAAGCGCAACGGGGGCGCCCGCCATGAGCCCAGGGTCATCTATTTCGGTTAGCAGAAGACTTGTTATTTTCAACCGGATGAAGTCGTAGTGTGAAAATAAAAACTCATGGAATCATTCAACTCACATAATGCTTGGACATTTTGGTCGAGTTCATGCATCGGAGCAAAATCTGCGTCCTTCAGATCTAACTTGGGATCCGCCGTGGTAAATGGTATGATCACCGCCGGGTACTACCCAAAAAAGCCAAGAAATCAGGTCAATTCAAGGATTCTCCCCCCGGATGCTCATAATGTCAAATGCGATTATACTTACGTCGACCGCATTCCAAGCCACTGTGTACATGTCGTTTGTCCAGTCTCCGGGTAATACGGCAGTGTGTGGACCGGCAGGTGCGAGCACAATATCAATTCCAGCTTCTTGCCAACGATCAAGCATCTGCTTTTGGATCGCCAGCTTCTTGGCATTCAAAGCCCATGCTTCTTCGTGACTCTTTCTTGGGATGCTCCAAAATCCAATCTTTTCAACCGAGGGTACAACAGGCTCTCCTGCTTTCTCCAATTGACCTTTGGGGTAGGAAAGAGAGTCGAGCGTGAAAAGCTCTTTGGTGACTTTGCGAATATCGTCAAAGTCTGGCGGAACAAATGGCTTGACCTCAAATCCGGCAGCGGAGAGCTTTTCGGCGGCTTCTTTGATGGCTCGACGAACCGGCGGATGTGGTGTCAATCCGCTTTTCTGAATGACACCGACTACGGGCTTTCGAGACTGTGCACCGTTTTCCATGACTTGTGGAATGATAGCTGGATCGAATTGCCAGGGCTTTGCATCTCGGACCACTCGGGTAAGCAGAGTCAGATCGCGAGCTGAATGAGCCAGAGGACCACAAACAGCGGGGACCCCCGTATTGGCACCCACCCAACCCGAGGCAGCATATCCAATCATGGGAAGGATCCCAAAGCTAGGTTTATAGCCATATACGCCGTTTGCAGCCGAGGGAATGCTAATTCGGTCAGCACAAGAGACCACGACGTTTTCACAATATCTCTTACCGAATTGAACCTCCCACATCCGTTCCAATACCCAAGGCACTTCCGCGGAATGCCATATTGGAACCCTCCCCTCCGCTGCTTCCTCCACATGTCAAGTGGCTCACTACGGGGTTCTTGGTCTGTCCGAAGACGTTATTGTGGCTCTCAGCCACTAACATGGTCTGAGGAGTATTGGTCTTGGCAATCACGACAGCACCTTGGGATTTGACCAGCTCAATAAGCGGAGTGGTGTGAGTGGATGGGTCAAATGTCCTCGAAATATAGCCATTGCTGGCATCATATCCTTTGACATGGAAACATTCCTAGGACCATTCATCAGTCCTACCCAAATCGAGATCGAACCCAAATAAAATGTTCTTGTCCTACTTTGAACGTCATTGGTAAGCCGTGAAGAGGCCCGACTGTTTGGCCGGTTTCTTGAAAGGATTTGTCCAGTCTTTTGGCATCTTCGATGGCATCTTGAAACATAATTTCGGTCAAGTTGTTGCAAAGTTGCTGCCCAATTGCAGCTCGTTTACAGAAAGCGGTGACCACTTCGACGGCAGTGTATGTGCCAGCTGCAAGAGCCGCGGCCAGAGACGTGGCATCATATTTTTCTCCCGTAATCAAAAGTTCTCTCTCTGACAGAATGCCACAAGAAGCGGCCACCGGACGAAGGTCGACAGTGTTGGTGGGTGGAAAATCATCCTTTTTCAGTTTCCATTCTTGAGGAATTCGGGCATCCTGTTCAGCCTTTTTGGCAGCATGAATCTTTTGCCACGACTCGGGTGTCGATTCCGATTCCTTCGCAATCATGATGCCTTGGTGTATCCAAATAGAGAGGCGAAAGTCGTAAATTGTAAGTGTGGCTAATATATATAACGCAAGCGGGATCGACGTATAAGAGCCCCTTCCCAATTATAGACATTCGAAGTCTTCAACATTTCTATTACACTAACGGAACAACAAACTTGAGTCCTTCTGGTCAGTAAACCGGTCGCCCAAGCAGGAGCGCGTGTGTTGTGGAAATCTCATTAGAAGAGGCTGACCGCCCACTCAAGAATGGAGAACACATTCTCGGGTCCGAGATCGAGCCACGTTCCTCTACGATTCCCGGATCTCGTTTGAACAGATAGCGTAGCTTGAGGGCCCATTGGATGATAAGGCTATATAAGCGGGGCGGAAAATACGCGGACAAGAAGCGACAAGCCTTACCAGAGGCTGATCACGGTACGTGATTGTCAGGGATACAGAACAGTGGGGATGTCGTCTGCAACGCTATCTCTACGCTATCAAGGAAGTTGATAGCAGGCCACTAACAACCACCAGGCACTCCTCCACGGCTCTTCTATTCTTTCGCAAACCATATTGTTTCCCGCCTAGGCGGCCATCTCCCAAATCCACCATTGTCTTAGCACGCTGATCATTGCATTGCCGTGGCCGTTGAATCGCAAATCTCCGGACTCGACTCACCTGTATAGGAAATTGGTCAGAGGGGGGAGATATCACTAGCATCCCATGCCCGGACAAAACCTCCGCATACACGACAATGGACAGTGGTACCATGCTTTGGCTTTCCATGTGAAGTGCTGATCAACTCATGCAAGGAATATCTACTTATCTATCTAGCCATGATAAAAGCAAGGCGGCGAACCCCACGAAGTACACCTATTTCTCCCCTTCTCCTTTCCGGATATATAGACCCGAGGATTCCGTATTTGTGTCCAGAACATAGGTTCTCTTTCTCTCACACAAGACCGAGACACAGCTTGATCAGTCGTCGACCCTGACTTTACGCAACGCGAGAAAATGGCTGATCCGGAGAAGAATCCCGCTCCGATTTCAGAGCCTGTCGTTGAAGTTGATTCAACAATCAGGCCGAACAAAATCTTGAGCTTTTGGAAGGGCAGGATTAATGATCCCAATGTACTGGGAAAGGAGTTGCTGGAAAAGGCCTTGCAGGTCGATGAAGCCCAACTCGAGCAAGATGCAATCAAGGTCCGTCGCAAGCTCGACTGGATGGTCATTCCAATGGTACGATTGTGATTGATGCGCCTCATTGCAACATCTCAAATAAATCAGGATGAAACTGATCTCAGTGCCATTGCATAGATGATGACCACCTACATGCTGAGCTTCCTGGACAAGCAGACGTGAGCTGCTGATCCGATCCCAAAACCAAAAGACCTCACCCTCTCTGACATGTCTGGTTTTCCAGGCTCAACTACTCTAACGCCTACGGACTACAACCAGATACACACATGACAGGCGACGATTACTCATGGGTCGCGTCGGCACTTTACTTTGGCTGGCTAACTGGAGCATATCCATGGAACATTATCCTCCAACGATACCCGATCGGCAAGTTGATTGGCTATATGCTTTTCGTCTGGGGTGTTGTGTGCATGCTTCAAGCGGCCGTTTTCAACTTCGCAGGATTTTTCGCAATTCGTTACTTCCTGGGCATGCTCGAGGCATGTATTTCCCCTGCCTTTGTCCTGCTGACGTCCATGATGTGGACGAGAGAAGAGCAGGCATTTCGAACTTCACTCTGGTTATCGACAAATGGCGTCTCATCTATCCTCGGAGCTCTTCTGGCCTATGGGTCCGGCCACGCAGATAATCTCACCGTCCCAAATTGGAAACTCATCTACCTGGTAAGTCCCTAATTACCTACCAACGCACTACACCCTTTTGGTCTTGGCCTGTCCGATATGAAGGCGGTCTGGCCCGACTAATATCTCTTTCCAGATCGTCGGCGCAATGACGTTTGCCTGGGGGTTCGTAATCGTGCTATTCTTGCCTGATGGAGCCCATAACGCCAAAATGCTCAACGAATACGAACGTATGGTCGCCGTCTGGCGCGTATCCAAGAATCAAATGGGCATCAAACACCACAAAGTCATCCCATATCACATCAAAGAGGCATTCCTAGATGGGCGCACTTACATCATTTTCCTCATGGGCATATGCTCCGGCATTCTGAACGGTGGCGTCGCCAATTTCATATCCAGCATCATTAAAGGTTTTGGCTTTGATGCACTGAAGACATCTCTGCTGCAGACGCCCGGTGGTGCCTTTGAACTTATCGGCTGCGTGGCGTTCGGATGGTTGGCGACGAAGAAGAATCTGCTCGGTCTGACCATCGTTCGTAAGTGGTATCCGTTGTCCTGTCTCCCGAAAAATTGTGTCCTAACTGCCCTGGACTATAGTTTCCTGCCTGCCAGGAATAGCAGGTTTAATCGGTCTCCTGACGATCGACATCTCGCACCGCTACGCCTTGGTCGCTTGTTGCTGGCTCCAGAACGTCCTCGGCTCGCCTATCGTGCTAGGCTGGACCATTCCCGGCGTCAACGTTGCAGGGCACACCAAACGCACGACGGTCGTCGGTCTATTCTTCGTGTACGTTTCTCCCCATGTTCCCGCTTATATCCCTTCTGTACTCCGATTCCTTTGCTCACTTCTCTTAAGCTAAATACCCTATCTGATGCCCTTTACTTTTCCCTAGATTCTACTGCGCTGGCAACATCACAGGCCCCCACTTATTTTTACCTTCCGAATCCCCACGGTACTTCACCGCCATCCGCGGTCTCCTCGGCACATATTGTGCCCTGGTATTTTTCCAAGTCATATACTCGACCTGGTGCTACTTTGAAAACAAAGCACGTGATCGGAAGGGATTGCATGCAGAACGAATCCAGGAGGAGTTGTTGGAGGGGTTTGATGATTTGACGGATAAGCAGAATTTGCATTTTAGATATAAGATTTAAGATAATGGCCGCAAGGAAGCGTTGTGGTAAATGAGAGTGGTCAATGGAAGAGGAGAGGAACACCTTTCTCATAACGACTCATTCATTGGTGTTGTATTAAGCTAGCTCACGTTTTCCTCCATCGGAAGAGAGGGAGGCTGGTAAGCAATGACAAAACAAAGACCGTCTGGTGCCACCAAGCGAGAAGCATTTCAAGACTGGTTGAAAGAACCTGCTCATTCGTCTGCTCTTCTTGTCCATGGAAACTCGGATTCGACATACTTTTGCTCGCCGTTGTCATATCTCTACGCACAGATAGCTCAAACTTACGCCGAACAGGATGGAATGGTCGTCATAAGCTCCCATTGCAGTCTTCATACCCAACTACGCGACCGACGCGCGATTGCCGCAGCCCTCCTACGGCAACTGGTCGGACAGCTGCTCTCGCACAAAAACCTACGAGCGCGTCCTTTCGACCTGTCCTTGACGGAAACGAATCAAGAAGATCAAAACCAAGATACATTCCAGCTGTGTAAACTCTCCAAGGAACTTATTGGTCGACTTCTGCCCTTTAATCTCTTCTGCTGATTGACGGAATATCTACGTATAAGACAAGGGATCGGAGAGATGATACTGACACCGCCCTAGCGACGCTGAAGGAACCGATCCAGTCTCAGCGGGGACGGCAAGGGCCAAAGACGACCACATTGTCTTCAAGTCGTTGGTCGCCGACGCAACTAGGAGGACCGTTGTGAATAAGCGCTTTAAGTGGCCGAGCGAAATATTGGAAATGAGCGCTTATGGCAATACGGACGAGGCAGAAAATCTAGTTCTTTAGTGACTTTTGATCGAGGAACAAGATCACACCCGAGGAAAAATGCCTTCTGTAAGACCGGGAAATTACTTGAGCGAATCAATCCAACTTTCCCCGATGGAAGCATGCTTATGTTCATATTCTCATATACATGTCGACAATCAGTTGCTTCTTCGTCTCACTCGAATCCTTATATCTCAGTCCTATTTCTAGAGGTCCGGTGGCTCCCGGCTACCAACCAACACGAGGTTAAGATGTCCCATCCCATTCCAGCCTCTCCACGGGCCTGGCATGTAGCGGGATTTCATTCGTTTCGTCATGTTAAATTTTCAAACCTCACAACTCAGCCAATCCAGCCTGGTTATGTAACCAGTTTGTACCGTCATTTTTTGCTTCGTGAATGATGCTTGACACAGTATGACATGTCACAAGCTAGGCCTGATCGATGTCCACCTCTTTGCTACTGTTGACATGTGCATCGCCTTCGCCGCGACCAGGCAGCAGATGAGGTTTGCCTAACTTGACGGCCACATGTCTGCAGAAATCCCTGTTAGTTCACATTCTTCATCATCGAAATTTCAGGATAGCATGGGAAGGGAAAGGCGGAAGGTGAGTGGAAAAATGGGGACATTTCGACGTGCCTGGTCAACGCATCATCAACGTTCCGAACGAACAATGAGGAGAGTATGGAAACGCCTATGCGAGTTTTTGGTTGTCAGCCACAGTTCTCTTGTCGAGGACTATTTTTTTCTAGAGACCGGGATCTTTTCGTTCTCTTCTCTTCAACTTCTCTTCTTCTCTTTTTCTTTTGTTCGGGAACGTAACCACTCACCCCCAAAAGTAATGCTAACCAAATAGACTAGTTGGTAAGCATTTGAATAGACGGTCTTGACGGCGTCTTCCGCCGCTACCACGACTGCTGGAGTCAGGCCTGGAACACTCGGAGGCGCGGCCCCGGTTCCTGACAGCATTGCCTGCAACGCTTGCAGCAGCGATGGGACCGATGTCGGTGGTAGTCCGGCTTTCACCGTGGCCTCGCTGACACTTGGCACTAGGTTGTTTGAAGACTGCTGGTTGATGATGCTAGTGTAAATGGCAATGGCGATAGAGCCGCCTGTGGCTCGAAAGGTTCCTGTGAGTCTGTCGAACAAAGCCTCCAGTTAGTATCTGAGACGTCATCTTTTTTTTGGTTGAGCCATACCCTGTGGCGACTCCAATTTGCTTGTCCTTTGCGCCGAATTGGACGAAAAGAATCCCAACGATCTGGGAAGCTCCGACACCAAATGCTGCAATCGCCACGAAAACAATGGCTTTCGCTGCGGTGTGTTGGGTAACGGATGCCATAGCAGCAATGAAAACGGCTTGCAATGCGGTGTACGCAACAAACTGTACTCGAGTGAATTTGATTCGTGCAAATAATGGGCCTGAAATGAGGGCACCCACTGCGAAAAGCAAGTATGTCAGTCTAAGGCGTATAATAGGGATATCATATTTGGGGAAAAACTAACACACTCCCGTTGCATTATATGCAAGGCTGTACCAGCCAACGGATTCTGGATCGGTGGTAAAGAGAAGTTGGACCTCTGTACTTCAAGTCAGCCAAAAAACAGAAGCACAGTGTGATTGGGAAGGTATTGATAATACGTTGCGGCCAGAGGACTTGAAGGCTGATCAGCTGTTAAGATAGTCGTTAGTATTCCCGCACATTCGAATAGCTATGGCAAAAAAAGCATACCAGCATCCCAGTGACAAAGATCACGATAAGAGGAAGTGTGAATCCTCGGACATTCTTGAATAAATATGGAGGGCAAAGTTTGGTGATTGTATCTGGAGAGTATATCTCCCAAATCGGGAAGAGGATGAAAACGGTGACACCTGGAATTAGGGGTTAGTATAGTAGTCTTTAGAGCTGAATAGACCTCATTTTGGGGGAAGGAATACATGCCTCCGATCAACAACGGTGTGAGAACAGTGGCACTGATCCAGTCATATGGATTGCCCCCGAACGAGACTCCCAGGAGGAAACTGGTCAAACCTCCTCCGAAGAGGAGGAGTCCAACAAAATCAAGCTCCTTGAATTGTTGCATGCGAGTCTTGCCCTCAGGATGTAAGCCAATAAATCCAGGAGGCCAATAGAAGATGATGACGAGGACGAGAGCAAGTCCGTTGGCAATAATCCCCAGATAGAACGCCCATCGCCAGTTGAGGTGTTCAGCCAGTGCATAAGCTTAATGTGGATTGCATGTTAGATTTTTCTCCGTAGAGGGCATCACCACATACCGATTACAGATCCAAAAGCCGATCCAGGAAGGGACGCGAGATTGAGAAAAGCAAGAGTTTCGCCTCGATTCCTTTTTGGGACGATTTCAGTTGCGCAGGCGAGTGAGAGTAGTTGAGGAGCAGTTCCAAAACCCTAGGCCATATCTGTCAGTGATTATTTTGGCAATGCAATGTCCAAAAGATGCAAACCATGAGACTCATTCCGATGATGATTGTGTTGACGGACGTCGCTCTAGAAGAAAGAGACACTTCAGTACACGGTCAGGAAATAACGCAAGGCTCCATCTTTCATACTGGCTAGCAATAATGCATCCTTGGACCGCCCAATTAGCTTCCCTGTGTCCTCAAGATTATTTCGACAAGTGATATAACGTACCAACCACACCAAAGAGATTACCAGCAATAGTGAAGTTTCGACGACCAAAAATATCGCTGCAACTACCAGCTATTGTCTGGGCCACGGCACCCGAGAGAGTCCACGAGGTCGCTACCCAATTGATCTGGTCTGAAGGGCCAATGTCGCGGTTGATGGTCAAGAGAAGTGCTGCAGGAAGCACAAAACATAGCAGATGGGCTTCATATGTGAAAGCCAGAGCCTAAATATCATACAAGAAATCAGACACTGTTCCTCATCTGCTCAGAAACATGATGTTATTATGCCTTTCACGTACGATGATGGCCATGAATGTACGGAAATCTAGGGTCCGGTTCTCGAAAGCCTCGATCTCTCGTTGGAGTTCCGCATTGAGAGTCGGTGTCTGGTCGTCGGGTTTCTCGTTCGCCGTATTTTCCAGATGAAACCCTGAGGGCGGAGGGGATCCCTTTGTCTCCGTCTCCAGCATCTTGAAAGGATCGTGGTAAGGGGATGAATAATAGGAGAACAATTGGGCTCAATTCAAGCGGTCTTCCAACAGAGATTCTCTCTTGAGACAAGACCAAATGTCAAGGAGCTGAAAGACGTAATATAGTCAAGACCACCAAAGCTAGATCAAGGGTGGAAGGCCGGCGAGAGGTCGGTCTTTCTAACATACCCCCTAGATTCCCCAGATGGTGGAGTCCGGAGTATCCCTCTTGTCTCGATTCTGTCTAGCCCTATGTCGACATATCTTGCTGATTGGACATGAAATGCGGGATGCGTTCAATCATGTCTTAACTCTTCGAGAGCTGACACACCAACGACGTGAGCCTGGACATCGAAACTCAAATCTTAGGTGGCCAGTAACGGCCGCTCGGCACCTGTCGGCACTAGTCGGTACGCGTCGGTATATCTTCTGATTCGCTCTAAGTTCCTCCGACGGGACGGTGGGCCAATTTCATCACATGAACTCTTACTCGGCTCGTCAAGCGTTGCGAGGGAGAGTCAAAATCTTCCAGAATCCGGGGGAGGAAGCTATTGTGTCACAGTCATTGTCCCGCAAGGCAGTGTTGCGAAAAGAAATAGAGCACATGATCAAAGCCTTTATCCTGTGGAAGCTCTACATTTCCAAGCAAGAGAATATACTCTCCGCGCGGTCAATCAATTTCTTTGGCAGACTCTTGAAATCAATTTTCCTATTATTGTAATACAATGCAAGACTTATCCCAAGAGATCCTGCGGGGGACAGCATCAAAATAGAATAATTATAGAGATGATCATGCTTGTCAACGGAGAAGTCTCATTGTTCCATCTTACCCTGATAGACTGCTTTCTCAAGCTCGTCAATGGCATCTCCATGTGGGAAGACCTGAGTAAATCGAGCTGCTGCAACCCCTGTGGCGGCATCGATCCACTGCAAAGCAATACCACAAGCCAGGGACAGGCGAAAGTCGACCAAAATCCCCGTTCTTCTCTAAGCTTACCCAACGAGAATTCGACACAGCCCTCCGCATGATGCTCTTATTCCGTCGCTTTCATGGGACATCTTCCGGACTCATCACTGCGCGCCTAGAGCCAAGTTGACTGGCAGATATATTGGAAATTCAGGACATTGAAAGTCATGAAACGGGCCATCACAGAACGTCTATAGATCCTTCGGGTCTGATAACTGCGGCTCGAATGGCTCCTGAACAGACTCAGGCTTCAGGTGTTTCTGTCGTCGCTTATCAGGGAGCCAATGGCTTTTCGTAGTAATTAGCCGCGGTATCGTCGCCAGAGCCAACGGTCCCCGAGGCGTCAAACGAAAAGGTATAGCTGCGTGGCGTTCCACAACGTCAGGACGTTTAGGACGGAGAAGGTCGAAGATGTCATGACAAGTAGTTTGAAGATATGTATTCTTGCGTGCACTCTAGAGAGCAGCTGTTGAGCGTTTCAATCACCCGGCCAGCCCGGTCGCATCTAATGGTATTCATCCAGCTGTTGCCGGGCTTGAATTTCATTGCATATACAAACCCTTCGATAGCCATTGGCTTGCGTGCATAGAACCACCGGCGGAAGTGGACCATCTCATCATGTCCGGGTCAGCACGGTCGTAGCAAGATCCACTTGACCGAGGAGACAGAGCCAGTAGCGAAAGGAGGAGAGTTGTCAGCGAATGTAAGATTCCAAATGAGTTGGAATGTGTAGTTTTAGTTATGGGTACAAGAGTCCGGTCAGTCCTATAGCCATTGGATCGGGGCCAAAGGCAGGGACATAGATCATAACACACCATTCTTGTCTTTCCCAATGAAGATGGCATTTCGCAAGGTGCCTTTCACTCCCCCACCACAGTTGATGTATCTCTTCAAAATCCCATGACCAAGGCAGTGTCGGCCGACATGCCAAGTCGAGTTTCAGAGAAGACAACCCTTCTTTCTTTGTGTTCAAGAGGATATCGCAAGATCGAATCTTTTTCCTCCTGGAGGAGTTCCTCCTACAGGGCTTTCTCAACTTGAAGCCATGACAGCATCATACATATATGAAGAGTACACTGAGAATTTATATCTTCATTGCTGCCGGGAAGTAGACTGAGAGAAGGTCGAGTGTAGGAAGCACTCTTCCACTCCTCCACCGTCGGGACGACATTGGCTATTCTATTAATTGCGATCATGTCCTCTGTGTTACAGTACACTAGGACTTCCCACTTCTCATCTGAGCTCTTGGCTCCAGAATATGATTCATTCTCGCCTCCCAAAAGACTAGCGAGATGCTTCGCTCGAACCTTCAGCGCAATTTGTGGATATTGACGGGTCCCTCACTGGAGGTCCCAAGATGCTTAGAAAGTTCCTGCACGATTGGCTGTCTTCTTTCGGTGTCTTCGGTATCCTCGGTGTGGGAGATTGTCGGTTATTCCAACCAATACCCTGGCTTGAGCGCTGCTAACACTCAAAGCCATTCTGAAGCGAGTCACTACCGGCGAGTCGCCTTTTCCATATATTCCGTTCCGTTTGTGGTGAACATGAACCGCGAAATCCTAAGCGAGCTCTCTAACCCCATTTCGTCCAACGACATTGCTGAACGACGGAGAAGCAATGATCTTGTATGTACATGTTGGAAGCTCCGAGTCATCTTCGTCAAACGCCCAATTCGACCTCCCACGGGCCGTTCTCCAGCCCTGCCAAATGACCAGGGTCAGGTACCAAGCAGTTTCTCCGCAAGATCCCTACAGGTCGAGCGGCGAAGTACACCGAACACTTGCCGCGCGGTTTCCAGGGACTAAGCGTCCCCATGCTGATCGACTTCACATAATATAAAGTCATTCTGTGCAACAGAATGCCTCGGTTGCAGTCAAATATTCGACTCGCCAGTTGATTGAGATGGATGCAGCAACTATGGCAGTTAATGGAACAGCAAAACCCGAGGCGCCCCAATACCAGATCGTCGCCGAAGCATTTGGTCCCGAGCACGAAGTTCAAGATGCCATGTCATTTGCTTTTCAGGTAACAGTTCTGCACATGATTTTCAGACTCTCAGTAACAACAAATAGTACGGCTTCCCACTGTGGTCGTACGGGAAATTGGTACAGGGATATCCGGATGCCAAAACCAATACATTCTATCACGCACGAACCCTTGCAACTTCCGAGTTCACAAGTGTGGTCCGACCAAACAATGATACCCTTTATTCGATAGTATTTTTGGACTTGTCTGCCTTCGACTTATCGGTCACAGTGCCTGAATTCGGAAGCCGCTTCTGGCTATTCTCTTTCTATGATATGTGTGTTCCCGAGCACTCCCTGGCATAATTCTTCTGACTTTGCAAAGGTACGGCAACAACTTCGCAAATATCGGGAGTGTTGGAGGCCAACATGCTGGAAATTACCTTCTGAGATTTGCCAACGACAGTTTCGGCCTCCAAACCCAGGAAATTGCGGGCGGATACAAAGCCTATCTTAATTGTCCCACCGCCTATGGCATACTCTTGACCAGAATTCTCATTGCAAATGACCCAGTCGATATTCAGACTGTTCATCAGCTCCAAGATGAAAAGGCAGTATCCCCTGTGCCGCGAAACATTGGCACAATCGCGCCACCTTTGGACCTGAGCATTTTCAAGAAGGTAGCTGGCGATCCGTCGTCTCCAGCTTCTTTAGAAGAACAAGTATTCCAACTCACGGCAGCTTTGGCCCCGTATAACCAGCCAATAGTTCTCGCAGACAGGAGCTGGGTGGCACAAATGCTGGAGAAAGCCGGCATACGATTCGGAAAATTCACTCAGCCACCCAACACTTCTTTGGCCACCGTGAAATCATCGGCGACGGTATCAGCAATGGCCCTACGAACGACAGCCGGGCTCTTGCATCCCTTGGGAAATGGCTGGGTCACAAGCTCTTCATTGATCAGTGGAAACTACAGATCTTTCTACCAGGCACGGTACGACACAGCAGTCCGGGGATATCTTCGACTGTGTTCCGATCAGGCTCTTTATCCGGTCTATTTCTCCCGTCCGGGTGTTCCAGAACTGGAGATCGGCCCCAAGCAAGCATGTCTGTTTACATTTATCAGCAAACCCAAACTGAATCCCACCGGATGGTGGAGTTTGTCACTTTACAACTGTCAACACTTCTTCGTGCAGAACAAACTGAACCGATATGCATTGGGCGATCGGAGCGAATTGAAATACCCGGACAACATCTCACTGAAGGACAGGGACAATGGCAAATTCCATATCTTGATTCAGCCGGATGATGTCGAACCGCCAGCTAGTTGGAAGGATAAGTAAGTTTCACTAGCTGCCGAATTTTTTGTGACGGCCGTTTTGACTGATATGTTTCTAGTTGGCTTCCTGCACCAGCAGGAGGGGGGCTTTTCTCAATAACATGTAAGTGTGTACATATGGCGCCAGACAACTGTCCTTTCATCTGCTCTCCCATACTGACAAATGGTTTTCCTGTACAGTGCGTTTGTTTGGCGCGTTACCAGAGATGGCGGATGGCTCTTATGCTTTCCCCGAAGTCAAGATTATTGATGCTATTATCGAATAAATCATAAGTGTAAATCGATGATTCCGAGTAGGAAATCCTTCATCGAGGAGCAGTGATTGTGTTACTGGCTTAGCCTTCCCCGTATTTCATTGGTCGGAATAACGAAGCCAACTAAATATCAAGATTGGAAAATGTGGAGGAAAAGTAAAGACTTCAGGGTTCAAGGCTGATGCAGGATACAAGTCATTAGACAACACTTGCCGTCTTTCGGTGGATAGCAACAACCTTAGACGATCCCTCACGTTTCGTGCTCCAGATCCGGCCATCAGTCAGGCCAGATGGCAGTATTCAAGTTTACCTGCGGCTTTGTGGTCTTGGACCAATGTGAGCAGCACGTCCTGCTTGCATAAACGAACGTCGTTGGTAGTACAAGACACGCTGCCAACAGGGTCCTCGAAAAAGAACTCGCGTGATAGGACCCAAGTCGTCTGCATACCTTTCCATACGCGGAGAGTGAGTGCCTCCAAGAGGTATCGACTGTTGCTAGACGACAGAAAACGCAGATAAAATGTGATATCAACCTGATAAGTGCCTGCCACAGCTGTCATAAAATGGTTTGAGGTACCGGCAAGATGACTTTTTCTTTTTATCACTGACCGAGTGTGACCGAGCGTGACCGAGTGCGACCGACAAAACCCCCCTTTTCTATCGGGGGCCGGACGAAAACCGAAAATTGACGAGGTCTATTCATTTATTCAACTTCCACCCCCACCTGCGTCTATGGAGTAGCCTCTGCAAGAATCCACCCAATCTTCAGCTCGTAGCCATGCCTACTTCCCACACGACTCCGGCCTTGACGACGGTGGAGACTTTGGCGAGTCTCCGTCGATCTCTTCCCACGCGGCTTACTTGGGAGGGATGGCAGTCATTTCAGAGCCGTCGCATTCTGTTGAGTATCAAGGGATGGTCACACTTGGGGAGAGTTTCAATGAGAAGTTCATCAAGTTCACAGGGGCGACCTCCCTACCTTCACAGATTTTGGTTGAGGCTTCCTTTGGTACCTATTATCAACATTTAACCCACCGGACACTCGTTCTGGACCGTGAAGATATCTTCGGCCAGAATCGTTTCGTTCTGCTATGTCAATGCGGCTTCCAAAAGAACAACCGTTGCTAGTGGAGAGTGATCAGTTATTCGTCAAAGTCAAGACGTTAATGTATGTGAAGCATGGAAAAGACTGTCTCATATGCACTCAGCTAGGGTAAAGATCAATCCCCACGGAAGCCCGATTTGAGTAATATAATCACAAGTCATGGCAAGTTTTGTACCGATGATACGGGATGTTGGAGGCTCCCTCCGCTGCCAAGGAATGAGCGAGTCACCAGCGGCGAGTCACCGGCTCCACGCCGAACATCCACCACCCCACAAGGCTGCCAACCCAGTCCACGGATGGATACGCCGTCTACTGTCCAAGTGTTCACATTGTTGAAGATACCCATGTTTTCCAAATTATAGTGTCTTCCTGCCCCTTGGCCTGCGCTGGTACTGATTGTGTGGATACGGTAGCATTCATAGCCAGAGAGTAGAAGTAAGTCCATGTGAAGTATGCTACGTCGTTTTAGATTGGCAAAAATTCGTTCTATCAATGTTGCTGGCACCATCCACCATAGGTCGGGACGTTGTTTGATGTTAATTATGAACCTGCTTTTTTGCTGTTCTACTTTTGCAGGACTCCTTGGTCTTCTACTATTGTGTCCTCCGCTTTGACCTGATTTCGTCCCTCACCAAGTTACGATTCCTAGACCATACGATATGGGACACGAAGGAAACGGAAAAATTCCCTTCACCATGCGCTCCCTTGCCACTGAAAAGTACTGCAAGCCTGATGAGTACCGGCTGCTACCACTCCCAGTCCCCCAAATCACCGGCAAAGATGAGATCCTGATAAAAGTCCACGCCGCATCGGTCAACCCTATTGATGTCAAGGTGGCGTCGGGATTGGCGAAGATGATATTGTCAACCAAGTACGAATTTTCCATATCCAATCTGTTGAGACGTGACAAGAAGGAAGACGCTGACATTACGGGTTGTTGCAAACAGATTCCCGCATAAACTTGGATACGATGTTTCCGGCACGATCGCTGCCGTCGGAGAAGGTGTCGCATCTTCTTGTCCCGAGCTCAAGCCTGGCGTCGAAGTCTACTCGCGCGTGCCCGAGGAGTGCCGGGGAACAGCATCCGAGTACGCTCTATCGACTGTGTCCGCAACGGCGGTTAAGCCCACTTCCCTCTCCCACATCGAAGCGGCATCCGTACCACTGGCAACGCTCACGACGCTGCAAGCTCTGGATATAGCCAATAAAAACCTTGACGGCGGACTGAAGGGGAAAACCGTGTACATACCAGGAGGCCTCTCGGCGACGGGGAGTATGGCAATTCAATTGGCCAAGAACGTCTTCGGAGTAGCCAAGGTCATCACCACGGTTTCGACGTCCAAGGTGGTCAAGGTGGCAGAATTGCTGGGGAAAGACGCGGCGGATCAGATAATCGACTATACAATGGAAGATCCCACGAAGATCATCACGCCCGGCTCTGTGGAATTCATGTACAACACCATGAACCAGGGAACGACATGTCTTCATCTCATGAAGAAGGGCGGCGTCATCGTCAGTATCAGCGGCGCCGCATTTGGGCCGGAGTTGAAGGAGATCGCGCCGGACATGGCATTCTCTTTGCGTTGGATTATGAACACGATAGGTGCATTTATCCAATACCGCTCGCAGAGATACGGCGTCAAGTATCTGCGTCTTTATATGCGGCCGAGCGCCGATGATCTAAACAGACTCAGTCAATGGTTCGATCAAGGGCTCATCAAGACCGTCGTGGGGAGAGTTGCGGAGTTGGATGATGTAGAGGACGTTCAAAAAGGATGCCAGGAAGTCTTTAGCGGGAAGGGTGGCGTTGGGAAATTCGTGATTGAGGTCCATAAACCGGAGAAATCGTCACAAGAAACTGTGAGATCATAACGTAGAGGCGCAATAGAATTAGTAGACTCGTTCCAGACATGATACAATGTCGTCAAGGTTCGAAATTTGAAATCAGACGAGGTCTTTTTCAAAAATCATGACTCGCTGAGGGTCCAACCCGACCACAAGTTCCGGGTACTCCGTCCAGAATGTCCTCAGAAGAACCCATCCCTCGACATCGGATATACGTTCCAAAAACTCCGGGTTGATCTGCAACTCACCGCCGCCACTCCTTACGACGAAGTCGGTGTTGGGACTATCGCGGACGCGACAAGTGCAGAAAAGCAGGCCGAGAACTTCTCCTCGACAGTACTTCATCCCGTGTCGGATGAAGTTGTCGCGCATCTGTGGCCAGACGATATAGTCCAAGACCGGGGCGTGAGGGACAAAGAGTTGCGTGGTTGTTGGGCGGAACGTGGACGGGATGCGATGGTAATTGTCTTGTGATGGGTCGATGATCCACTGCAGCGGTAGCAATACCGTCGGTCAGTAAGTATCAGCGGGAAAATCAAGAGCACTAGGGCAAGGTAAGGGTGGGAGATACACATACCCTGGTGATCAAATAGTTCATCCAAGTTGCGGCCAACTTTTCCGGGCGGCGTAGCGGAGTGTGGGTTGTAGACTGAAAAATGGCATTGGCCAGCTCATTCAGTGATCCGCCGAACATGAGATCGAGAGCCTGTGGTTGCGGGCTGCACAGTTCAAATAACTCAGGAGATGTTCGCAGATGTTGTACCATGGGACCTAGAGGATCAAGGCATTTGCGAAGTCCTTCGGTTTTCGCAGGGAGTCTCTGCCACTCCGGAAGTGCAAGTACACGCTCCAACTTGTGGATAGGTACTGTCAACTTGGATGCCTCGCTGTAGTGTGCGGGAGTATGCAGCGTTTGTTGCTGAATCAAGTCATGATCAGGCCTCATTCGGATTGAGACAGCTTCAGAGTGCTCTCCAGGTGTTGGTTGCTGGTAAATGCAATCAATCTGGCCGTTTAAGCTCGAGATGTTGAAATCAGCAAATCCCACGGCTGATGAGACCACGGTTTCTCCAGAAAGATCATGCACTTGTGAATCATCAATGGCATAGGATGTTGATTTCAGGAAAATGCTCCTACCATCCGCGTCAAGACCAAATAAGGCTTGACCACTGCGGCAGTTCGAAAATCCTCCTACGCAATCTCTGTCAACAGGAAGTGGATCACGGGCATTCAGCTGGACTGTTGAAGCATCTTCATGATCGCTGTTTTGGGCAACCCAGAGTCGAGCAAAGTTGTTGGCTTGTATCAAACGTTCGCTTAAAGTCTGGTTTCTCGCCTGCAAAGTTTTGACCATATCCGAAAGATGCTGGACATTTCCTTCCGCAGCGTCGTAGAGTACGTGTACCTGTCTCTCCAAAGACCTATTCCGTCGCTCGAGGCTCTGTAAGGCATCCTTTTCTTTCTTCCGTTTTCGTCGTTGATTTTGTTTGTCACGCTCACGTTTTCGTCCGCGAGGATCATTTCCTCGAACATGATCGTTTGTGGCCATCTTGTTGACAACTACTTCAAGATTTAGAGGGAGCTAGGCTATTTAACACCGTCAAATATCCCTCATGCTTCTTCTGGAAGGCAGGTGAGAGTTCTGTACACATGAAGCACGAATTTGTGGTAGTTGAAGAGGGTATGTGATGTTGAATCAGGCAGTGCTCTCCAGAAAAGTGATGTTCTCAGCCTCGGCACACAAACAAAATGATGTTGCGCTATTGGCCAGCCTTGCCAATAAAAATATCGTATCATAATTGGCCGGAGATGAAAAAATGCATGGAGCTTGCCGATGAAAGCAGTTCAACAGTCCCAAGCTTGTATTATCTCAACGGTCGTTGTATTATTCAATGCGGACAAAGATGGTTCCGTAGGATTATCATAGACCACTCCGCCTCGTGCGAATCCTGCATCGAGCACCAGACATCCCACCCGGCCGGCATTTGATGCATGATGGGACGAAGTGTTTTGAGCCAATATGCCGACAGACGCCCCAGTTGACGAATAATAGCGGGATGTATTACCGCGCCTTTCAATAATCACGGAGGTGGGGAAACCCCGTACGGAAAGTCCTCGCCGAGAAATCTATCTCGAATTTAACGGGCATCCCCCTTCAAGCATGGTCGGGTAATTGGCAGACTTGCCGCTTCCGGGCGCATCGGCCTAATAAGTTCCCCCAAGAAGCGGAATATTGTGATTCAATCCGTGACAAGACTCCCATACTCCTAGATCTCCAAGACATGTCCTTTCTCTTCTTCATGTTTCCATGTCACGACCAAGAGTTTCCTTGCTATGTATCACACTTCCTTACGTGGATCATGCTTTGATTACTTACTCTGCAGCCTTTTGATGTGCAAAAAGCGGGGGTTTCCAGTTCCGGATGGAATTAAGAAGTGATCTTCATTTTCCGTGACAGTCCAGTCCCTCGTTTTGGTGGAGATTGCGGCGTCAACTTTTACCTTTCATGAAGAATACTGACGCCAGATATTATGTGTCCTGCGCTCAGCGCCGTCGTAGATGCAGGCAGCCATCGCCGCCTAGCTTGGCCAGACTGTGCTTCTAGCTCAAGCGTCATATCATGTGCCAACCGGTAACTGGGCCACTGGTTTTGAGCAGAACGGCACCTTCAGACAGTCTCGTAGCATGTGGAAATACAGCCCATCATCTAGACATGACATGACGGGGTCCCTCCGCAAAAGGTTAAAATAGGCGTGACGGATGCGCCTTGAATGGGAGGGCAATGTGCTGGCCTAGCAGTGAGAGAAGAAAGTCTGCAGAAGCAGCACTACCAACCATCAAAATTGGTGGCGAAGTTCCCTGCAACCTGCGTTGACTTGTAAGCCATGCACATGACGATCACCTCTGCTAGGCATTTCAGTAAGTACCCCTGTCTCATGAGGGCCACGTCCCCACGCTACGAGAGGCTCTGGGAGATGTACATTCGAGTACATCTCTCGATGCTTCACAGCCAAAAGATGGTCTATTTGCCGGCTTGGCTTCCGAGGAGATATTGTAGAAATGTGTTCTTGCAAGCGAACATGCCTCGTCGTCCGCTAATCACCACAGCAATTTAGCCTCTGGCTGGCACTTTTTAGGTGCTAATAATCCGGGGGCTCTCGGGTTGTGTCAGGCTCGTGATGGTCAAAAGAGATCACCCTCGAGATGTATCGACTGTTCCGCATGAATAATACGAGGGCAGCATTCTGAGAAGCAGGGAAACTAACAGTTCAAGGACTTCAGAGCACTTCATTATGAGATATCATCCACATTCGCCTTTGGAACTGCCGAACAGTAGCCAGTTCCCTGTTATTGGAAAAGGGGTTATCATTCCTATTCAGGATATAGGGGGGGGTCGACCAAACGTATATATATACTGGCAATCGGGCAGGACCAGTTGCCAAACAGGCAGAGCACTCAACAAGAGTCAATGTCCATCCACCGATTGTGTGACAGGAACAGAGTGGATATCTCCGTTAACCCGCGCGTCATATGCAGAAGAAGAGTCTTCCCCAAGGACCTTGAGCATTCCGATAAATCACTTGGCTATTTTTGGTGTCACCCTCGAAGGCGAATCTCTTCCCTCCGACGATCCTTGTACCTAAATTTTCAAAACATACAACGATCAGTCCCTGCTCTTGTGGCGTCAAACAAGCCTTTTTTGGAAGGCGGACTAGTGGTGAGCGAAGCAAATCATGTCTGGGGACAAGATGAACCGGTAGCCGAGATACAGACCAGCACATATGCTTATCAATTTGCCATCTAGAGTATAATTTTGGCAGCCCCTGGAGTATTTCTCGATGATAGTGAAAGAGACTTTTTCAGAAGTGCCCAAAGGTCCGTTGATGTCGCAAGGTTAAACCTTTGGCAGGTGAAATCTCGCTGACTTCTCAACACCTCAACTTGAAAGCCGCCGCAAGTTCTTAGTACACTACCCACGATCGCGAGATGACAGTCCTGCTGGTGACATCGGTGAACGCTAAGGAATCTTGTCAAGGACGGGGATGAATGAAATATGCAGTCAGCAACGCGCGCGGAATGGGGGATGACTTTGGAGGACGGCCTTGAGCGCTCTCAAAGCCCTGGTGGGACTTCTTAGATTCGTAATCAAGGCCCACCGTTCCCCAAATTTTGAACATTCAGGGGTTTGCTTGTTGTCCTGTCAGAGCGTTGAATTTCGGCCGGGATATTGGTGATAATTGGATGGAGATATGATTCGCTTCGAGGGAAGAAATGCGATGGAAAAGCTTTTCGTGTCCACGTTCGTATCAGGTGGGAAGAACAGCCAAAGTGGCATTGGCGCAGAGGCATTGCAGAGAACTCGCAGACATTTTTCGAAGTCCCATGACTTCATACGGTGTTTCATGCTCTAGTTCGATGCAATGACTAAAGCATTTGAACAAAGCGACGGGGGATGACAAAGATTCTAGCTCTGTCGATTGGAGGACTTCAGTGCCTTGATACATGAGACAGGGTCTGGACATCATGGTTAATGCCGGGGAATCCATACGAAGATTGTGGGAGTCCTCTAGGCCGAAGTCCGGCTTCTGCAGCCTAGTCTGGACGTTGGAGGCTCCGAAACGACTTGCCCTCCTCAGATGAGATTGGAATCGTTGTTAAATGGCCCATCGCCACACAAAGATGGCGTGGGATTCATCTGATTGAAATTGAAGTAGTTCTTGAGACTTCTTCGCTTGTAGGCGCATCAAATACAACCAATCAGAAAAAATTCTTTCTTCTCAAAAAAGGGTTTAGTCCCGTGTCCGGTTCAAGCCACCAAGCTATCCGATTGGATCACAATTGAGCCTGTCTGGCCAGGTTCGCCGCATCCTGAGGGAACTTCTCACGCAAGTTGTTGTTGAATCGTGAGCAAGGGAACGCCGACGTCGTCTAAGTGCCTTAGCTGACGGGAGGCCAAAATTTTGGACTTGTCCTGGACACCGACCGAGGATTTGTATCTGAAGGCTCTATAACCCCGGGAAAGTTTATTGTCCACGGAAGAACTCCACCTGTTGCAGTTACACCACAACCAGGATGGCGACCAAGAAACGAGAAGGGAGGTCGTTTACCTTTGTAGATTACGACATCAACAGACGTGGCGTTACCGAAACCGCCCGAGCTCACCTGATGAAAAACCGCGTAAGGTCAAAAAGAGATGCGCGATCTGAATGGGTTTCTAGAAATCAATTTTTGCCGCTGCGATGGATGCGACCCAAGGAGGAAAACCCTGAGTCAGGTCCAAACGCGTCGAATGAACAACCTGACATTCCAGCCAAATCGGGAAAAGTGATAAGGAATGTCATTTCTCACTATTCAGCCGTCATTGATTTCCAGAAGGATAACGTCCGATTCTCGCCACAGCCGCAGAGAAAACGATCACGTTCAATCTCACCTGGGTCGGTGGCGAGGGAAAAATTCGACATAGTAGCCAATCTCGAAATCCGGGACAGTTCTTCGGAGGGAAGCCCAGTCAACAAAAGTGCCGGTCGTTCGCCAGAAGAATGCCCCAACCGAACAAACGGGCCTGGATCGAACGTTTCTCCTTTGCCGGAGGGAGAGTCGCCAGGGTTGAACGCAGGTACACTCGAGATCGACCGTCAGCCATCGCAATCGGACTCAACGCGCCGACGGGTTAGCCTGAGGACCGATTCCGAATTTGGATTGTCCCTAGGACTCAAAATCGGCAACAGCCTACCAGCACAACCAGCGATGTGGCAAAATCAGGGTTTTGAGTCCGACGAACCCCACCCCCACAATTTACGAGCTGGACTTGAAAACCCGGTTGCCAGAATAACTATATCACTAGTGCCTCCTGATTACAATCTCATTCGTTATTTCACAGCGAATGCGGTCACGATGCTTGGCTTCGACAGATATCCAGAAATCGTGCAAACTTATGACCCCGTACTCACATTATTCGTGCCGTTTGCCCTCTCGAGCCAATGGTGTTTTGAAACCATGGTGCTCTTGCTCAGTGTATATTATCACCAACGAAACTCATCGTCGACTGAAGATGATGGTGTCCCCGCTGAAAGGAATCAGTATCTTGCTTCGCGACAGAACGGTATCCTGGCGACAACTCGGTCAAGAATTTCCGCGCTGGCCAATCAGAAAGATTCGAGTGATGAAGATGTGGTAGCTTTTCTTTTCCTGGCGCTATCCGAGTATTGTGCAGGTGACCGACAAATCGGGCTAATGCACTTCAAAGCTTGGAAAGAATACTGTGAAATGCGCAGGATACTTGGCATCAAGCATTGTGGATTGCCCTGCAAGACAATTGTGTGGTGGTGCGTGTCAATGCTGGTCGAGACTGATGTCCTGTTGGACCCCGTCATCAACCCATCAACAAGGACCAAAGTAAGACAAGATCCCGGAAAATTATTCAGGTATTTTGCCAACTTGGACGCGACAATACCACCTGGTGGAAGAGAGGAAGTAGAACCTGGAAAATTGAACAGGCGAGTCACCTTTTGAGGGATGGCAATTTCTCGGCTTCAATGATATTAGTGACTTTGGTCCCGTTGGGTCGATATCATGTCTCTTACATAGCGCCAAATGAATTCACGATGACATACCTGATGTTGAATTGGACTTTTTCGAGTTTGAAAGGCTTGGGAGACGTTTTGATAGAAAAAATCGGATTGGTGATGTCTGTCAACGTGGTGAAACACCTCAAGCCGTTGTTTACATGCTCAAAGGCTTCAAGGATAATTCGGCGATTGTTTATCAGTTATAAGTTCAAAAGTAGATGTAGACTTGTTTCGAACGTGATGGACTCACGATCCCTGAGGAATTTCGGCATCTGAACCCGAAGATGCCTTGAAATTTCGCAATCTTGGAATAATATTCTCCATAAGACTTGGCGCCAAGCCTAAATTTTCCCACCTATAGCGCTCTGGCCAATCATCTGCTCCAATGTCGAGGGACGAGGCTGAGCTTCTCCAGACACCCTGGTGTCTATCCATCAGCTCCCGCTAAGTCAGACTTCAATACATGCTGCTAGAAGGCTGGTTATTTCGCAGCAGCATGCGCTTACATAAGACCCCAAAGCTCTTGACCCACTACCTCATCCACGATATAGCACAGTTTCTACCGCCCCGATCCGTCCGCTAATCACACTTATCGTGTGCGGGCAAGAGACGAGATGATCTCATGGGCTCAAGCCAAAGAAAACTTTTTTTGACGCTGACTCTCCAAGAGACGGGACGTGCCTCAAAACCAATCTGGAAAATTCCTCCAAGGCGTGACTTCGACATCAGATAAGCAAAAGGCTCAGCGCGTATATTGATCATTTTCATTCTCATCAGTGTGTATGAGTGACATATACCAAGGTTTGTTAATCATGTACAGTCCTTGTCCATGTCAGCCTCGCACCTCCGTACATACCGCACAGCACCTAGGGTCCACCCTCAGACGGCAAACGGTCTCCACTACTTTTCCTTCTTGGAGATTAGTTGCCGAAATTCCCTCCCAATCGGCAGATGTCCAATGCACCGCCTTGATCTTTTGGTTTGGTTGGTTCCGAGCTGCCGGAAAATGACATGGAATATGACACGGATTATGGCATGGTGCTGCCATGTCATCCAATCAGAACAAAAGGAGATGGAAGTCGCTGATTCCTTACCTATTATCGATACAACTTGCACCCCTACTTTTATATCGATATCGGTGCTGGTGCGCGGCCAGGTCCATACATCATCTATCATCTATCCATTCACCACTCGAAATCTTCCTTCCCAACAGGATACGCTGCTTTGTTCTTAGAGATACTTGTGTATATACATCTAGCCATCCATCAGTTTCTGTACACATATCAACGCTTAATCATCCAACTCAAACACAAAATTTCAAAATAGACGACATCACACCACACACCACACAACCAAATATGGGCTCCATTACACCGAGAGAATCGGGTCTCTCCCGTCTCTTTGAGCCCCTAAAACTCGGAAATCTCACCCTTCAACACCGGATAATAATGGCGCCACTCACCCGCTTCCGCGCCGACGACTCCCACGTCCAACTCTCATTCACAGCAACCTACTACGGCCAACGCGCCTCAGTCCCCGGCACCCTGCTCATTACCGAGGCCACATTCATCTCCCAACGCGCAGCAGGCAACGCCAATGTCCCCGGTATCTGGTCAACAGAGCAAATCGCTGCCTGGCGCAAAGTCACCGACGCTGTGCACGCCAAAGGCAGCTACATTTTCTGCCAGCTCTGGGCCCTGGGACGAACGGCCAATCCCGCTAATGCGAAGGCAGAAGGAATTGAGATCGTCTCATCGAGCCCGGTCCCCATGGACGGCGAGCACGCGACGCCTCGTGAGATGACGCACGAGGACATCAAGAACTTCATATCAGATTTCGCGCACGCCGCGCGCAATGCGATCGAAGCCGGTTTCGACGGCGTCGAGATCCACGGCGCCAATGGCTACTTGGTCGACCAGTTCACGCAGGATACAGTGAACCAGCGCACGGACGAGTACGGCGGCAGCGTGGAGAACCGATCACGGTTCGGAATTGAAGTCGCCCAAGCGGTTGCCCATGCCGTGGGCGCCGACAAGGTGGGCTTCCGAATCAGCCCATTCAGCCCGTTCCAGGGCATGAAGATGGTGAACCCTATCCCTCAATTCACAAACCTACTCCAGGGTCTCAAGCAGCTTAAGCTGGCCTACATCCACGTGGTCGAGTCTCGAGTCGCTGGCAACGCGGACGTGCATGGAGCGACCGAGAGGATCGACTTCGTCGTCGATACGTGGAATGGCACAAGCCCCGTTCTGATCGCCGGTGGCTTCAAGCCTGACTCCGCAATGAAGGAGGTGGATGAGGTATTCAAGGACAAAGACGTCGCGATTGTCTTTGGAAGATACTTTCTGTCCACTCCTGATCTGCCGTTCAGAGTGAAGAAGGGCCTCGAATTGAATCCATACAATCGGGCCACTTTTTACAAAGTCAAGTCTGAGGAAGGTTATATTGATTATCCTTTCAGCGCGGAGTTTGAGCAGGCATGCAAGAATCAAATCTGAAAGACTCGGGGATTTTTGGTTGTGCATGTGTAGAGAATTAGAATAGGGACATTATGATAGGAATGGAATGACAATGATTTCTCCATGCTAGGGCTATGTATTGTTCTAATGCGAAGCAGAATGAACGTTTATAAGATTAAGGCTTTGTGGCGCGGTGGCAACCGTCCTCCCGCATCCACAAATATCCGCTTCTCGTAAATTAGGTTGCGATCCTCACGGTTGCCTCCCTGAAGATTGTCCTTGAACCTAGTCTTTCGACTTTCTTCGGCCTGAACTTGTTCAACAACGTCCTTGACCATGACCGATTGTTGATACTCGTACCATAGAAACCAATTGAGTTTTTCGTACCCCATGGGCTTGGGACCAGTGTTAGGATCCTGCAAGATCATGTCTCATGCCCGGTTCTTTTCTTTCTTCTTTTCAATTTGGGCTGAATGTTCTCATCAGGGACGTCTCCCGCGTACCCGTCAATCTGGACTCCGTTTTCGACCAGGGTAGCCCCAGGACTGAGATACTTTTTCTCTAATAGCTCCCTTGGCGCTGGAGTTTCCAAAATCGGATTCTTCAGGTCATTCACGCTATCAACCAGCGGAAGGTTGAGATTGGGCATAGGGAAATCCTGAGGAGGAAGGTTTATAGCCATTGACGGTACAATATTCTGATCCTCTTGCCGGTGTTGGCTCACTTGAGATGTGGCTGGCTTAGGAGGTTGGAGCTGTTTGAGCTCTAGATTTTGATTCTCAGGCTCCAAAGCGTCATCTGCGTGTCCCTCTTCAAGGTAGTCGCCGTATCAATATCCAATATTGAGTGTTCTTCGCCAAAGTATTTTGGGCCCTCCGATTTCTTAACGCAGGGGACATTAAGAAGCCGTCGACGATGAATTGCACCCCGATCGATATCTTTGAAGAACGCATGACGTCTGATGATAACGGTGCTGGAGTTCCAGCGAGGGAAGACTCGAGACAACAGAGGGGCCTGGGGCAGGAGCGGCATACTCAACGGATTCATCGTCTCATTAGTCTCATCAAATAGGAGAAATCCTTACATGATTTTCTGTACCTCTCTCAACATTCAAAGACAACTGTAGGCAGGCCCCTTTCCTTCACAGCTGCTTGCACGTCCTTCTTCAGGACATTCAGAGCATCCTTCCATGAAAGCCGAACGTCTTCACTTTTGAAATTTTCGTATTCTAGCACCAGCCCAAGCCAGTTGACGACGGCGATGGCTTTAGCCATGTCCCGTTCAATAGAGACAACTTTGCCGAGATACGTAGAAAGAGCATTGACGTCGTCTTTGTCGGGGCTTTCGCCATCAGAACAGAATTCTCTAACCCAAGCTGAGATTGCATCTCTGAGCTCCGGGAGAGAGCTGAGCTTTTGAGAAGTGAAGGTGGGCTTCTCAGTCGGTTTCGCCAGCTGTAACCTCTGCTGTCCCGGTGTCAACGGCTCTCCTTTCTTGGTGGACTGAGGCTTCCTCTTGTTGCTCTCGAAGTTCAACCCAGATCTAGCCTTCATCCTGTTTCTTTTCTGTTCAGCCAGTATTTCAGAGCGGATGTCCTCGGGCAGCTCATTCAAAAAGGACTCCGAGATTTCGTCAGAAGCATATGAATCGAGATCATCTGTGCCAGAGGTCGACTTCGACATGGACACAAAATTGGATTGTGTGAGAGTCGAAGATGAATCACCTGTTCGTTTCGACCGCGTCTTGCCCAATAACGTTATCGATTTCTGCTTTTTAGTGGGGGTGAGCAATGTTTTCTTTGGAGGAACCGAAGACTTAGATATGTTTGGAGATTGAAGAAAACCATTTTGGCGGAAGGGTTTCACTGGCATCTCTTGGACCCTATACTGAGCTAGCACTTCTTCCCTCACATCGTCTGGAAGGGCCGCCAAAGCTTCAGGATCAAGCTGACTCTGGCGTGGAAGTGCAGTTTCATTATCACTAGGATTTGGTGAAACTGAACGGGACCAATGGTCGTTGGGTGGTGTTTCAGAGCGACTGATATTTTTGATGCTGTCCAATATGCTCGTTTGCCTTGGTGCGATTTTAGCCCGAATATCTGCTGGAAGTTCGGCCACTACAGCAGGGTCAATTTGGGATGGGATGATGAACTGAGTTCCGCTGACATTCAGAGGTTTCTGGTTAGATATATCATCTTTAAATGAACGATTCGCATCAAGAGCACTGGGAATAGTATTGTCGGCTTTGGATTTTTCCGGGGTCGGAACGTCTTCAGTGGAGTCGACCGTATCGTTGAGCTGGGGTGAAGGCTTTCGCGGTGGCGTGGTGGAAGACTCTGGTTCCAAAGGTGGTTTCGATGCGGCTGTCGACGGCTTCTTGAATTGTAGTCGACGCTGACTGCTGTCCCGCGCACTGGCACTGCCCGTGCCCGATGGTTTGAGAGGTTCCAGTTTCTGCATTTGGACTCCCAGCCCACGAAGCTCTCCTGGAGGGAATCCATAGCTACGCAGAATTGAAATTGCTTCTTTTCCCAGGACGGCGCCATCATATGTTGCCACTCCAAGCATCACGCTTTTGTTGAAAGTGTCACATTTCCCATGGCCCAAATTTTTGGGAGGATCCATTCCGGCATCTGCGGCTTTTCGCATGATCTTCATGGTTAATTGTCTCCCTTTCATGAGTTGTTCGAGTAAGCGCCTGGAAAGCTCGTCACAAAGACATTGCACGAATTCATCTGCTTGCTGTTGATTGATGAATCGAATGCCCCAATTGATTTCGGCCGACACAGATTTGCGGACGACTTGGTCCCCCACTTCTTGCTTGTCAATCCCTCGAGAAAAGTCCCAGATCTTCTCGCCAGTCCTGGGGCCTAATGCGCTGATGAGTCGCTCTTTGGTACATTCCCGGATATCTTTGACGTATTTGATCCCAATCTCTTCCAGCTTGTTGCCAATGCTCCATGCGACACCGGGCAGATCCGTGACGGTTAACTGGCCAATGAAATCCAGTTCTTCTTCCGGTTTGATGAGGTGCTGCCCAGCTGGCTTAGCTTTTCGGAGTGCTACCTTTGCCAGCAGAATATTACCTCCGATTCCAACAGACACATCACAGCCAGTCTTTTCTTTGACGGAGTTTCGAAGGCCTTGCGCGAGATTCCGAGCAGTTTCCTGCTCGCGGTCGATAGATCCTTCCGTGACACCTCTACCATCAGTGCCACCCGCCTTGATACATTGGTCGCTGACGTCGATAAGCGCCTCATCGATGCTTATGCTCTGAACGACACCGTCAATGGCCAGGATAGAGTCATAGAATTGCCGACTCGCTTCCTCGTATGCGTTGTAGTCATATGGCAACAAGTTCAGGTTTGGACACAAGCCCAACGCTGATTTCATCCACATTCCATTTTTGATGCCGTACTTCCTGGCGGGATAGTTGCAACTGGCAATCTCAGACCCAGGCCCACTACCATGGGCTATGACGACCGGTTTGTCAACCAGTTGAGGATGCTTGCGCAACGATACAGCGGCGAAGAAGCTATCGAAGTCCACGTGCATAATGTACCTTCTGGAACCAGGAGCTCTTTTCTGTTGGGCCTTTTGTGACGATGACTTCTCTTGGGTGCGTGCTTGGATTTGAGCTTTTAGCTCGGCTTTCCATGTTGACAGATGGTGCAATCTGGATTCACGATAGTACTGATTGAGAAAATCTGGGTTCGCTGTGCTTGACTTGGCCAAATGCGGATTCGAGAGTAGAATGGCATTATGCTCTTCAGCTGTAAGTTTGCGCTCCTCAAGCATTGGTCCCTGATTTGAAGACGAGGTGGCGCTTTGATCTCGGTGGGGCGTATTTGGTTGAGCCGGTCTGTCTTGAGGCGCATCGAGTTTTTGGGCATCGTCATCCACTGGAATGTCACCATCCATGTCAAGGGGAGGCTCCACGCACATCGCCACATCGTTATCATGGTCGACCTCATCGGCAGACTCGAGTTTGTCCAGACTATGGGCTGGTGACTGGACATCTTTCACGGCCCTCGCCACTGGATCTCCCGGAGATTTGCAAAGTTGGGAAGCATACCAATTGGTCTCGGGCTGATCGCGATAGCCCCGTCGTTGACTATTCGCCTGACTGACAATTTGACCATTCTCGAATCCTAGAACTTTCTGTGTAACGCCTTCATCGACCAATCTGTACGAATCCCAAGGTAATAATCTCCCGGCATTGATGCTGTCCACTATCCATCCCGGTTTGACAATGCGATACCTCGCAAAGTCGACAGCCTTCTTGGGAGTGAGGTTGCTTGCCACGACATGGGTGACAGCAGTCTTGCTATCAAGATATTGTAGGAATCCTCCTCCATGGCTGACAACCAGATTGTGAAGATCATTCAAGGAAGGTTGAGTGTAGCCATTGACATGAACGACGACGCCGCGGAAGATGGGAGGTTTATCGGTGGAATTCGAGCGGATCTCAACATCAAGATTTTGTAATTTGATCTTCTTCCTCCGCATGTAGTCGGCAAAACCCCCGAACTTGGACGCCTCATATTCTTCGCCTTGCTCGTCGCTGAAGGTATGGCTTTCGATGCGTTTCCGCACCAAGGTGGAGTTCTTTTCTAGTCGGGAGCCCATGGTGGATAATGGGACAACATCATAACGACACTAGGAGCGGAATATCCGCTGCTACCATTGGAAATATGGGACTGCGAGGGAGAATATCGTGAACTTGTGGCACAGACTTGCCGGTTCGCGTTACCCAAAAGCGCGAGCTTGCAGCGGGGGGAGCGCAGGCAGAAAAAGAACCATCCCCTAACAGGCAAGGTGGTTCTTCTTATCGATTAGGGGCTCTCCAGGGCCAAAAATTTTTGCAGTTTCTGTGGCAGCAAAATGCAAATTTAGGGTCACTTAAAAGAAACTCTTTCGTGGAGCCTCGACCCTTTCCGCTGCAATTCGCTACCATTCGCACGTGTGTCTGCATTGCATCTGCTACACAAGTCTCAACGCTAGGATCAATTGAAATACCAGGAAACCACACTCCATCATGTCAGGCATTCAGCCTGTGGCGGTCTACGCCATGCGAGTCCCTCCGGGCGACATCATGGTTCCCGCTGTTCCTGAATTCGCCGCGATGGTAAGATTGGATTAAATGGTAGTCATGGTAGTCCATTAGTCGTTATACTAACCAAACTTCCTCAGTTCCGATTGACCATGGCTGCCATTGACCCAACCGCCGAGCCTGAGTTTGAAGACGCAGACGACAAGCGTTCGGCTCGCGCAACCCTCAAAATTGTCCGTGTCCCAGATCACATGTTCGATGACTCTGATGACGAGGACGAAGATGACGAGGACTTTCTCGCCGGACTCGAAGATGATGAAGACGAGGACTCTGAAGAAATCAATGGAGGCCCCAGTGAGAAGAAGTCAAAATCAAAAGCATCAAAAGAAGCCCCTGCAGCTGAAGAGGAAGATGACGAAGAGACGGACGAGGAAGACGAGGAAGACGATGACGAAGTGGACGAAAAGGCAATGGCTCAATTAAAGAAGCTCATGAAAGACTCTAAGGGCAAAGGCAAGGCCACTGAAGGCGAAGAAGACGATGAGGAGGAGGACTCTGATGACGAAGCCGTCGAAATGGACGAGGTTGTCGTCTGCACTCTCGATCCTGAAAAGGTATGCCACGGCTCTTGAGCGACAAATATCATCCCGTCTAACGGCAGACAGAACTACCAGCAAACCCTTGATTTCGTTGTTGGCGAAGGCGAAAAGGTCTTCTTCAAAGTCTCGGGCACCCACACCGTTCATCTCACTGGCAATTACGTGATCCCTCAGGACGACGGTACGGCATCCCCCTACGACGAAGACGACGAGGACTCAGAAGAGGAGTACGACCTATCTCCGGATGAAGATGAACTCGACGCTCTTGCCGATGCTGATGAAGAATCTGATGATCTGGACGACCTGGCCGATCCCCGTATCACCGAAGTGGATTCTGACGAAGAAGCGCCCAAACTCGTTAAAGACACAGGCAAAGGCAAGAACAAACGTCCCGCTGAAGGCAGCGCAGACGACGAGGATGATGAAGATAAGGAAATCAACCTCGACGACATCATGGCCAAATCCTTGAAGAAAGAAGATGGAACTGTCACCTCAGCTGCTACCAATGGCGAAAGCAAGAAACTGACAAAGGCCGAGAAGAAGCGATTGAAGAAACTCAAGAAGAACGACGGTGAGGCTGCCCCAGTCGAATCTACTCCTGCCATAGACACCAAGAAAGAAAAGGAAACCAACGGCAGCTCTTCTGGCTTGGAGAAGAAAGTCCAATTCGCAAAGAACCTCGAACAGGGCCCGACCCCATCTGGATCGACCCCCGCCAAATCCGACAAGCCTTCGTCAGGGGCATCCCTCGGTGTGAAAGAAGTTGACGGCGTGACCGTCGACGACCGCAAAATCGGCACCGGACCCGCCGCGAAGAAAGGCAACCGTCTCGAAATGCGATACATCGGCAAACTAGACAATGGCAAAGTTTTTGACAGCAACAAATCTGGAAAGCCGTTCAGCTTCAAGCTCGGCGCCGGCGAGGTCATCAAGGGCTGGGATATCGGTTTGGCCGGCATCCAGCCTGGTGGCGAGAGGCGAGTAGTTATTCCCGCCCACCTTGCGTACGGCAACAAGGGTATGCCCGGGATCCCGAAAAATAGCAGGCTGACCTTCGACATCAAGTGCTTGAGTGTTAAGTAAGCGGGGCATCATGGATCGGCGCACACAAGAAGAAAGGCATTGCCAAACCCATGCCTGACCATCCTTAATCTCATGGACGAGTAACTCTCGATCGTGTCTCAGGGCACGCGTACAAGAGTGCGTATTCAGCAAAAAGTGTCTCCAAGGCATGTCGGAGTTTGAATCGGAGGCGTTTCGTTGATTTCTGATCCTGGTTGAGTGGCGTTAACGGTTATCGACAAACACCCCATTGAGCGAGTTTGTGATCATGAGCCGGGCCCGCCAGAGCTGCGATTTGGATTGAGATTTGGATTCCCCTATACGTAATATAAACCTTTTCTAGCGTAGGGCTGCGTTCCTGTGCGGAACAAAGCCGGTACGGAGCTAAGAGTCTGCGGAAGTGAAATAAAAGTGCTTGAGTGTGTTCCTCCTTTCCACTATAGCGATACCATTCAGCTTTGTTCGCGAGTCTCATGCATAATAATATCTCTTGAGAGGGCATGGGAATTCGTCAAAAGCAGCATTCCAAAACTGATGGTGGCGGTACAGTTTTCATTTTCAATGTACACGAGAGATTAATGTTTTTCTCCTGCCATCCGAGAGAACAAAACTCAATACACAGACCCTCAACCGGCCGACCTGGTCCCATGCAGTCCGTAGTATGCGATGCGACGCGATGCAGTTCCCCTATTCCCATTCCTTTACTTTTTCAACCATCCTTTTTGTCCTTAGTACGCCGATCATGCATTGCTTTGAACGCACGATTGTTCCCTTCCACCACCAATTGAACGAGAGAACACCTCGGTGTGCAACATGATATGGAGTATTCGTTTGTAATTGAAGATACCGAAAGAGAGTCGATCCTGAAAAGTACTACCGAATTGTTCGGTTTTGTGTTATGTGTTTGACAATATTCCTACTGTTTTCTCAGCCTTCTCCCTCGCAATCTTCATCACAATCCACCGTCCTCAACGCTTGGGTATTTCGATTGGTTAGGAACTAGGACATCGTAGGAGGAGCACCCATAAAGGCAGCGTTGTTGAATCCGTCCTCCTGCTTGATCGTGCCATTGAGCAAGGGACATAGCCTTGAAGTTCAAGATGTTAGTGAATGATCGAAGTAATGAGTGAATGCATGGAGAAAGAGGGGAATGTGAAGGAAATTGAAAATGGGGAATATCGAGCTCTTGGACAAGTTTCGCCAATCTTTCAGTTGTTGGGCCCATTTTCCCCTTCATATCAAGACATGTGGGGTGATTCTTGTATGAGGGAGCCAGGCAGGTGCGCACTGTAGAACCGAAACCAAGTCCTCGAGTCAGACCGGGGGACCAAAAAGGGTTCAGTGCAATCGCGTTATTCAAGGATTCGCGCGTGAAGGATCGACGATTTCAAGAAGAGCGATTCTGCCATTCGTCTTGACGTCGTTCAATCGTCAAAAACTCAGCGCGTCCATGAATGAGGACACAACCTTGCGATCAATGGGGAGATAGCAATTACGACAGTTGACTGACTTTTTGTTGGTTTTGATGTGGCCGACTTGACCACAATTGGCACACTTCCGCTGCGTCGGTTGGGTGTTCTTGCCACCACCATCGGCGTCAGGTGACAGGGCGGTGCCGCCCGGTGAAGTCGCAGCTGCGGCAGCTTTGTTCTTGTTGCGTTGTTTCCTGCGGGCGACGTTTTTCTCGAGTTTCGCCAGTTCTTCTTCAAGTCTGATGTGAATGTTAGCGAACTCTGTAGGATACCTAGAAGAGGGCTAAGTTGGTCTTGCCGTTTCCGTTGACGAGCATCGTATTCGGCATCGCCGGTAGGCACGATGTCATTCAAGCTAGGCATATGTCAGCAATATCCAGACTCATCCACACACCGTACAGACCTTGTAGATTGAGCTTCTTCCATTTCCTTGATCCTCATGTATTGCTTGATGACTGCTGGATCGGTTTCGTAATGCTCTTGTTGGACTTTTTCACCATCTCTCACGACGGTGCGAACAATTCTCAAGGCTCTCTGGCTTTGGCTATTGACACTGCGTCGGCTAAATGACGTGGTTGTCTCATCATCCCGACGTCGGGATGTTACCGGTGTGTGAGTTCCCGACATGGGCGTTGATCGGACATGGGATCGGTCGGGATATTTGTCTTCTTGGGCATCAACATCGCCATCCATGTCCAGATCTGACGGTTCAATTTTGGAGCTCAGACTCGCTTTCTGTTTATCCCAGATACCGCGGATAGACTCCTCGTAGGACTTTTGCTGGCGGGCGACGTTGTAGCTATGGCCGCCCAATTCTTTCTTCAGAGCAATGGCATCTTGAGCGGAGCCGCCAATGGGTCTGAAGCCACCTTTCATGCTGGTTTTGATGAACGAAAATGCCTCACCTCGGCCGGAAGGATCACCTTCCCCGTACAACTTGAGCATTGCCTTGCCTTGAGTCGCTTGAAGAAAGTTTTTGGTGGTTCTCCAGGGTGCCAATTGCTGCTCGACACTATCGTTGTCGTTTTCTTTGTCCTTGGTGTCATCTTCGTCATCGTTGTCGGCGTAACCCGCATCTTGCAGATATTGCGCTCCGACTTGCATCGATTCCAGAAGGCAGATGTCTTCCGGTCGGATGAGATTTTGAATGATGTCTTCCTTTGGCACTTCTTCCCCAGGTTTCATTTCCCACTCTTTGTGTTCTTTGTTGAATACCATGAATTCTTTCATTTTCTGTCGGTTTTGCATATCGGTTGTGTCGGGGAAATGTTTGGTGACCTCTTCTACACGGATGCGATGGCTCTTCTTCTTCCGAGCGATGCGGTAAGAAATTGCCTTCAGTCGATTCTTTGCCGCGGTGGTCACCATGCGAGAATGAGTCCCTGGAATGGCGGTGGAGGGAAGTTCCTGTCCCACAACATAAACATTGTCGAGATTGCGGAGATAGTGAGATTGTCCGCCGAGGCCAGTGGATTCTCTGATTACCAAGAAGTCGTGGGAATTGGCATCCTGGGGGAAAATGGGCGCCCTGTACATCGAATTATACACCGCGGAGATGGTCTCACCGGGTTCAATATGACCGAAGATATAGAAGGGGGATTTGTCTTCCGGTAGCAAAACGGACGTTTCACCAATTTCGCTCTTCGGTCTGGAAGTTTCTTCTTTGGTTTTCCTCCGGTAATAATTGACGATCTTACTGCCCATGCCAGTCTGAGATAACATCAAAGGGTGTTCTTCGGAGTACTCGAGAAGCAATGTGGACGAGTTGTCGGCCAGAGAGAGGTCCTTGGTGTGGACATATATTTCGTCCGTCTTGAGTTTTTTCAGGTGTTTTCTCTTGATCTTCGCTGGCTGAGAGAACGTGATGGGGTACTTGAAATTCATCTTCCTCCGGTGATAATTTCTGAGCTCCTGCAGAGAGAGTCTGACTTGGTAGTATGGGTACTGAAGACGTATAGCTGGTAGCGAATGCTCAATATTCAAATTGGTGAGCTGTCCTCGGACCTTGTGGTTCTGTTTCAGGAGGTCGTACTCGGCATCATTAGAAGTCTTGAACCGGGTTTGAAGGCGATCTTTCAGAGTTTTAACGGCGATGGTCTTCTCTCCTGGCCGGACCTTGGCTTTGACAGCCTCTGGGTCCACCTCCTCCACGAGTAAGCCTGAATCATTCAAATCTAGAACGACCTTTCGGGCGATTTTCGCCGTTTGTCTTTCAGGATCGTCCAACGAAGGAACTTCCAGCTGATGAATTGAGACGATTTCGTGAGGATGCAGGCCTAGACGACGCTTCTTCCGGGGCTGTTCGAATTCGTCAAAGTCATCGAAACCAAACATCTCATCATCGCTGTCGACGACACGAGGGTTGACTTCAATCACTTCTGTATCTGAGGGTGCGAGATGGGACAGGGTATCGAAGTCGGTGCACACAAATTCCAAATCGCGCATGGTCAGACCACCAGGAAGAGGTTCGTCAAGATCCGACTCGTCTGAAGATTCTTCAACCTTCTCAACGGTGGTGAGCTCTTGAGCCTTGACAAGATCGGTTGTGATCTCGGGCGTAGCAACGGCAACCACGGAGTTGAATGCGGTCTTTTGGTCTTGCTCAATCTCCAAATTGACTTTGGCTGGCCGGACTGGCCTGGGAGGCTTCAGCGGCGTCTTCCCCTGCCATTTGTGCGGTCTCGGTGGGAAGAGCTTGTTGAAAAAAGGTGTCTCGTCACGCTTGAAATGAGGGAATTCAAGCTTCAACCACTCTTCGATATTTTCTTCAGCCGTGGTAGGAATGTAGCCTTTGCCGGACTGAGCAAACAACGCCAATTGCGTTCGCCATTGGGCATCTTCGATCTCATCCAATTCCGGCTGAAGCATTGATATGTCCCGGGTGGCATCACCTTCATGCTCCGACGCGAGGTCCGACTCTTGATCAACATCGCGGAGAGGCCTGTCAACCGGTTTTGACGGCGCCACCACTGGCTGTGGCTCATGGGCCGTCAAAATTGGACTAGATGGTCCAAATAAATCGTCATCATCTAAACCATCCAATACGCTGTCCTCAATACCAGGCAGCAAGTCGGTACCGATCTCAACCTGAGTCTTCTTGGTCGGCTCCTCATCCGGCAAAGATTCATCATCCCCAATATCCTCGTAGTCAACCGCATCATCTGCTTTTTCTCCTTGTTCCAGCTCTCTTTCATTCAGTTCATTCAAATTCAGACCCTCTCCACCACCGCCTTCATTCAACAGGGCACTCAATTCATCGTTGGCTTCGGCGGGCAAGTTGAAACTTTGGTCGAATGGCGAGGCCGCTGCCGAATCTCCCATCACTTCATCATCATCGAAGAGACCGTCGATGTCGTTCGCTTGCTGGTACAATTCGGTCGCCATTGTGACGGTCTGCACAAACAAGTGGGAAGGGAATGCGTGATGTCTGCGAAGAACCCCGCAGGAACGTCCGCTCGCAGTGTGGAATTGCGCATCGCAGTTCCGAAGTCAGGTAGAACTCATCGGGAGGATATTAGGATTCATATGAATCAGCGATAGGGCCGAGTGCGAGGTTTGCAAGTCGTGTTCTCGATTAATATTTGGGACTCTTGTAGGGAGAAAGTTGCAACTAGAAATTTGGAGGCAACAGGCTACACACCCGAACAGGCAATTCTGCCGAGGACACGTCTCGTGATCACCCTGTCGTTTGCATCACGAACGTCGTATTACAGCTTCAATGTCCCCCAGTCCCCAAGATATGCGCACAAGGCTCGGCTGGTACCACTCGTGCAGTAATGTACGACTTGCGTTTTCTTACCCTCCTCACCTGTCCTGGCAATTTGACGCAAGTCACTAGTCCGGGGCAAATACATGACCAGGTTCGGGGTCAGTGTCCGCAGGGTTTCATAAAGATAGTGGAACGTATAAGGTTGCATTGACTCGAGATCGAAGATATCCGAGTTACGATAGCCAGGTCCTGCGGTTGGGTTAGCAAAAAACGTTCTCTCATTGACCAAACAAGTCACGGACCTCCCCATGGCGGACTGGCGAAGATGATGCCAAATTGACTGGTAATGGCTTTGAGTGGTTCGACCACCTTCTCTTTACTAGAATTCAGAGCACCCAGGATTTCAAAGCAGTCGCCGTGGAACCAAGTTATCTGGTCCGCCACACCGTAGATCTCCGCATTGTGTTTGGCGCAGGCCAATGTAGCGGCATCTTTTTCTATAGCATAGACCCTCTTCCACCGTTTGGACAGGGCAAATGCAATCGTGTTTCCACCCACCCCGCAAAAGGCATCAATTATGATTGACCTCTCCGGAGGCGCGGCATCTGCCATGTGCTGAGCGATTTTACTAGGTGAAATCAGTGACTCGTTCCAAGAATGAGGAGGGAACGTACTTTGCAACAGACTCGTGCGTCACACCATACCACGAGTCATCGGTCATCCAGATGCCTTCGTCATATTTGGAGAAGATCGAATAGCCCTGATGCCAGTACCTATACCATTGATCAGTATGAATATTGAGCACGATTCAATCTACACCGAAAGCTCATACTTTTGTAGGTCCCAGGGAACTTCGCCAAGGGACTGGTAGTGATGAACGCCTTCCGGAAGGGTGGTATCGGAGAGTCTCTTCTTGGTTGGAGGTTGGCTTGACGGTTCGGAACGGTCAACATGCTTTCTTTTTTTGGCCATGGCTATCTTGTCGTAGGATATTTCATATTGCTGGACGATTGAATAATTAGGCTGACATAAGGAGTTTGGAGATTCACATGTTCGGAGGAAAATTCCTAAACTCCGAAGAACGTGTATATTCTGCACCGCCTTTGCCTCCGTACTTGCAACCCGCTATGTTAGGCACCACCTCGGATTGATTTTTATTTCCTCCTATACGGTGACCAACAAAAGGAATCCCATGGACAATTCCCAGTTCCGCAACCTCCTCCAAAATGATCGACATTCAAAAGCGCCGGCCAGATCCCCGTCGTCTGGCATTTTCAAAGCACCTGCGCTTGGCTCCAAAACACGAGCTTCGATTCCTATGACACCTCGCTCGGTGATTGGATCTAATGCATCTAAAGAGTTTGTACGGCAGGTTGCCGAACACAAACGAGAACAAGACGGACAGCCTCCAATGAAAAGGTTCAAGTCAAGCGCCGCACCAAAGGGTGCCAAACTCGCCTCTGGATATCAAGACCGCACATTGGCTCGCCGGACCGGTCAAGATGGTGAAGACACAGAAGATGACAAGGAGAAACGGTTAAAGGCTCTAGAAGAGATGTACCAACGACAACAAATTGACGAAGCTACGTTTGAAAGCCTGAAGAGCAACCTTGGTATCGGAGGCAGTATCGATAGCACTCATTTGGTAAAAGGCCTAGACTGGAAGTTGCTTGAAAGAGTCCGACGAGGAGAGGACATTAATAATGACCCTGTGAAGGCCAGAGGGACCACCCCAGAAGCTGCCAAAGTTGACGTGGACGATGAACTGGATCAGGTACTGGACAAAGATGTCCAGACACGGGCTCCGACTTTCAGGAAGGACGAAACTGAGGCACCCATAGACGAACCGTATGAAGGGCAGCCAGTAACACGAGACGAAATCCTACGGCGCTGGAAAGAGGGTCGTGCTGGGATACAAAGGGAAACTCCCCCGGAACCTGCTCTTGGAGACCGCTTTAAAAAGGTGGGCTCCGAGAAATCGAGCAACAAGAGGAAGTTCATAGAGGTTGTGAATGGACGGCGAAGGGAAGTTCTCGTCATCACAAATAAAGACTGGACGAGAAAAAGGAAAACTCGATGGATCGACAAAGGAGGGGATGAAGAATACCGCAAAGAGACACAGCCTCTTGGAATGGAGGTGCCGGCAGAATTTCTAGAGAGGCAAAAAGCAATATCAGCTCAACAAGCAGCCGAGGATGAAGACGACGACATCTTTCAAGGTGTTGCTGAGTACGATCCCCTGGCCGCCATCAACAGTGATTCCGAAGATCCAGATGGTGACGGTGACGGAAAGAAGAAAACGGAAAGGACAACTGCGACGGAGACCAAAGTGGCCCCCGCAAGTGACAAGCCACGAAATTACTTTTCCACGAGTCATCAAACAGACGAGGGCGAGGACCGAATCAATCCCATTTCGAAAGATCCTACACTCCTTGCAGCTATCAAGCGGGCGGCGGGCTTGCGACGGAGTGAAGAGGCAGGTGGAGGGGAGATGGCTGATTCGGATCCCGACCGAGCAGCGAGGCAACAACAATTGCTGGCGCGGCTAAAGGCGCGAGATCGGGCGGACGCAGCAGATATGGACCTTGGATTTGGAGAAAGTCGTCTTGGGGATGAAGATGACGATGAAGATGTTGTTTGGGAAGCTGGTGAAGGCACCACGAAAAAGAGTGGCCGAAAGCGAGGCCCGAAGAAACGCAAGGGTGATAAAGACAACGTCAATGACGTGATGTCTGTTCTAGGGGGACGCAAGAACGAGAAATAAATGTCTTTGCTGATGAGAACATAGTATTTCGTACATCTTCAGCTTAACAGCACCTGCTCCGTCCAGGGTTGAGAAGGATCCCAATATAATATTTCGGTCCAGAGTTTGAAGGCCGGGTCATCAAGGACAGAGCTCCACCACAAAAACGTCTGCATCCGCTGCTTGAAGTCGGCCCAGGTTGGACACCGGACTATCATTCTGTACGTCGACAGCTGTTCGACGTACCACGTTCGATCTGTCGTGTACGTCGCAGCAATCCCGCCCATCAACAGGAGCCAGAGGAGCAGATTTGTATATCTGCCTGTACCGTCATCATGAACCAACGACAGGATAGGGCATAGGCGGCAGCGCAGTCGTCGCGCGAGCCGTGGTTTCACGCCCGCGGCCCAGGGAATCGGCCACAGCACCATGTCGTTATAGACCATGATTGCCAGCCGGCACGCGTCGAAGAGATAGTCTTCCAGCTCGAGGTCCTGGTTCGGCGGCAACTCGACGGGGAGCGAGTAGAGCTTGTGCTGGAGGCAAAGGGCGGCGGAGCTTATCTGCAGCATTCGCTCATGCTTGTCTTTTGTGCTTCTGTGATGGCATTGGTCCAGCCGGACTGTCAGGCTGCATGTCTCGTCGATAACGGCGTGGATTTGGCGGGTGTGCGGCGCCCTCCAGATTCCGTGGAGGCTGCTACCGAGCCGAGTTTGGAGTACGAGTGCTTCGGCGTCCAATTCGTACTCATCCTGCGGTGCTGTTTCCGGTAGGAGAGGGAAGAAAGGCTGGGTGCCTGAGTCAATGGCGGTGCTTACGTCGGCGCTAGCGGTACCTTGAATATGAAAATGCCCCAACTTGAGGGAAGCTGAAACTTACGTTTGCAAACGCCGCGCCAGCCCAGCAGAGACTTTGGATATCCCGCCAATCTCTTGCGTCAACATTCGCCAGGGTTTGACTTTGCACTCCACTGCTTGAAACCGATAGTAGGCCTTTAAATTGTTGGCCGCCACGAGAGGCGATTCCGGATGAATCTGAACGTCCCAATTCTCATAAGGCTCGGCGCCCTGGACGTCGAGGAGCACCACTCTCTGTATGAGGAGCTCCGACGGCGGGCCGCGCAGCGATTCGAGTTCCTGACAGATCAGCTTGATGGCCATGTTTTGATGGATCATGCGGATTCGATTGATGATGTCCAATGAGTCGGGATCCGTCAAGAAATTGAATGCCAGTGTCGCCATGTTGGACACCTGGCAGTGAAATTCGATGGTGCTTTGGACAGCGAGTCTTCGTCGAGAAATCATTTCAGCCTTGACGGCGGCGAGCTCGAGGCCGGGCATGTTCATGGGCCAAAGAATTTCGTATGCTGCGAGAACAAAGTGTCAAGACCAACGGAAGGAAGTGGATGCAAATTTCTTCAAGAAAACCTACCGAAGTCCATGAATTCCAGGGCAATCAGAGGCAAGTTGCGCACAGGGTCCGAGTTGAAGGGATCTCTCTTGTATTGGTTCAGAACGGATCTAAGAGATGCAATTCTGGCCAGAAGGCCAATGATGTACCGTTCAGGCGGCATACTTGGGGTCTGTATGGGTTCTCTTTGCTGGATAGTACGATCCTTGTCATGGCCTTCCCCATGCTCGCGAATGTTTATGGGAAGCCGTAGACCCTTTGTAGCCTTCGGTTTCTTGACCTTCCTCGAATGCGATATCCTGGCCGCATGGGCTCTGATTTTGGCGTTCTGCAGTTCGATGTCTCTTTGTGATGATGCCTTGGGCGGTTGATGTACAAACATAAATCCTCCCATATTGCCCGTATTGTGGAGCCATCCAGCCCAGTCTTCAGAGGCGGCAAGGTATTATACTGCGTACAGGCGAATAAACGAAGCACGCCACTTCATACGATTCTTCTGTATGTGCCATTTGGAGGTTCATCAAATCTTGGCCGCTTGCATTTCGAATATTCTTCTATTCCCAAAGCGGTTTCCCCTCCATTGGTCATGGCCTTTAGTCAGCTTACCTAATTACAGCGTCCTTTGATCACTCCAATAGAATAAAAGAATGGATCGCTCCTAGTCCACGCGGAAAGATAGAGCTAACTGATACAGACCTTTGAGATGCAAGTGATCCGGACCCCTTCTTGCTTACTCTCAATGTGCATACGGAGTGACTCGGCGAGGAGAGACGCACCGGTGCAGTATGTCCGTAGCGGTGGCACCACTCGTAGAGTCATGTTATTACTAAAATATTCTGGGGGTCAGTTCTAAGGGCGTCGGGCGCCGATGCAAGCAAATCAGACTCCTCGGTGGCTGAGACATTGATCGAATGAGGCATTGCGGTCCTTTCATTCTTTCAATGCAAGGTGCTGGATTTTTCACTGGGTCGATATCACCAGTTGTTCACACCTCTGGAGCCCTTATTACAACAGCTGTGCAACACTGATCAACCAAGCCAAATTGACCAGGAGGCTGAGTGGACAAATGGATCCGTACGCCAGAAAATTTTTCACTGCAATACTTTCGCGGACTCCGAAAATGTGCCCCAGATTCAAATCGGTGGAGATGGCCGAGGATGGATGGCAGGACCACAAGGAGTACGTGTGTCGTCCTCCAGGCTCCTTGTACGTACGGTCCACAGGTCGAAGCTGACGTGTCTTAAAACATTTCAACCAGAGCTTTCGGACTCGGGGGAGTGTATCGACTCCATCCACCTGCGCCACCGGCACGGAATAGGAGACCCAAGAACGCCCAAGAATCCAAGACCCAAGGGAAAGGGTGAAAAAAAGAGTAAGACAGAAGCCATGTAACGTATTCTGGGCCCTCGGACTTGCTAGGATCTGTCAAAGCAGTCGTCAGTTTCTTCCTCCACGATCACTCCTATAATCCCTATATCTGTCTTCAACCATAAGCGAGACTATACATCAACCACATCATCCTCCCTCTCAGTCCTTCCATTGGAACGTTCCCCGTGTTCACGGATGACGAAGAATGGGATCGTCAAGCCCCCACACAAGGAGGTGACAAACAAAGTTCGGGTTCCTGACAATAGCGGCCCAAGCTACGCCTATCTCGAACTTTGATAACCAGTCTGGGCAATTCCCCTGCATGGCCCCTCCAGGGCTGTTTGGTTTCAAGTGCTGAGCTGGACGCTGACTGGTTCCAGGGGCACCAGACTGTGAAACGCACTCCGAAAGCTCGCTTATGGTTGGCCTCATTAAGCCTCAGCCAGATGCTGGGCCTTTTCCCCCTTTTGGGCCCAAGGCTACTGACGAAAACTCCACTCCGTGTCTTTGGATGTCTGGCTACGGAGACCTCTTCTTCAACCCGCGACCACGTGGTAGAATTTTCTCTCTGTTTCATACCTGACTGTTACCACACTGTTACCACATAGTTTCCCATGTTGACCGTAGGTTGACCACCAGGTCCAGATTGAAACGACGGCCTGTTTACCCAAAGGAGACGTGTCGTTCCCAGCCTTTCCAACAAGGATCCTCGTCGGACAATCGATTATCATGAAACATGCCAATCCATCTCCTGTTCTGTTCTCAATCCCCCCAATCCTCTCCCTTCTCTGTCCCTGTTATATCTCTGAGGTTCTTGAGGTTTCAATTATTTCTCCTTCTTTTCCTTCCTCCCACACAACCCTTCCTTCTTGCAGGCTCTTGACACGTTTGTGCGACACATTGCACTTCGTCTTTCCTTCTACACGACAAGGCTAGCCCTTGATCCTATTCTCGTTCTCTCACTAGAGCTACGCTCGTGGTCACTCATTCACCAATCAGGTCCTTCATTGACTGAAATCCTGCATGAACACACCCCGGGAGGGCTTATCACACTACCTTCATCCCTGAGCTGCTCGATTATCTCACCATCCCCGCCTACGTCTATCAAAAAATCAGCATGGTTTCCAAAGTCGCATCTATCTTGGCTCTTGCCACTGCTGTCTTAGCTCATCCTCAACGACACCATCGCTTTCACTATGGTACCGGTACCGGAGGGGGCTTTGGCTTTGCTAAGCCTACCGGTGCTACATTCCCCAATGGTACGGCTCAGACCAACGGTACAGACTTCGGTGGTTCCCCTGTTGAGTCTCCCGTCATGCCTGTCAAGACTGTCACAGTCATCCCGATCCCTCTTGAATCGTCTACTGGCGATGCTGCCGACGATTTCTCAAGCTTATCTGTTGCCAACGCATCCGATACCACAGTAACTCCAGCTGGAGGAAGTAGCACCTCTTGTAGTATCAGCACGACTTCCACTATCACCACCACCTCCGTCCAATTCGTCACGGTCACAGCAGGTGCAAATCTTGCCGAGTCAGGAGATTCGGGAGAGAATGTTACCATTCCATCGGGATCTGCCTTATCTTCTGATGCCTCCAGCAGCAGCCCCGAAGATCTCTCTGATTCGACCTCGGTCAGCCTTGTTGGAGGAACCCCTACCGCTGGAGCTTTCTTCGGAAGACCTTCGACCAGAGCCGGGTCGTCTGGACCCGCTTTCCAGCCATCAAGCGTAGTTGAGTCAGCCACGCCGACCACTTTCGCGACCATCGCTGGCTCACCCCCTGCTTCAAGCAGCGATGCCAATGCCACTGCGTCGAGTCCGTCATCACCCTCGAGCTCAACAGCTAGTACAGATGGCTCTACTAGCGGCAAGAGAGGTTTATCTTACAATGATGCTTCCTTGACAAACGCCTTCGCGGGGAAGGGTATCAGCTGGGCATACAACTGGGGATCTGGACCCGATGGCGCCATAGTCTCAGGAGCCGAGTATGTGCCAATGCTGTGGGGCTCCAGCTCGGTTTCAGGATGGTCCAGCGCTGTCCAGTCTGCTATTTCCAGCGGATCCGAGCACGTTCTCTCCTTCAATGAGCCTGATCTATCAAGCCAGTCGAACATCGATCCTTCCACTGCTGCCCAACTCCATATTGAAAATGTTGCTCCTCTATCTGGCCAAGTCTCGATTGGTTCTCCAGCAGTGACCAATGGTGCCGGTTCTAATCCACCAATGGGAACAACCTGGCTGCAGCAATTCTTTGATGCCTGTGCTGGACAGTGCAATATCGACTTTGTTACTTTCCACTGGTACGATTCAGCCAGCAACGTCGACTATTTCAAGTCACATGTGCAGGATGTCATTGACACCGCCGCCAAGAATGGCGTGAGCAAGGTCTGGCTGACTGAATTCGGCGCGTCTGGCTCAGATAGTGATGTCGCGTCGTTCCTGAACGACGTTATCCCATGGCTGGACTCTCAGGCTGCCGTTGAACGCTACGCCTACTTCATGTGCAGCGATGGCCTCCTGGTCAGTGGAAACTCTATCTCGTCTCCAATTGGCGAGGCATATCTGTCATAAAGCGCCAAGCAATGTCGAGTATTCCATCAGGATTCCTATGACTTCATTTACGTTTCAGGAGTCACAAAAGAGCTGGAAATTTCAACGCTTCTATGTCAGGAACCATTCACTGTACAATCTATCATTGATCTTAGGGTCTAGGGTTGGCCTTCAACAGAAGCAAAGGGATACAGTCCTCGGGAACTTTAGCATTTGGGGATTGGAAATTCAGTTAGGATAGTGATATGTTGCGGCAAGAAAGCTCTTTTTCTGCGGCTTCAAAAAGGCCAAAGAGACCTTGACAACTGCAACTACCTGACGAAGAAAGGAATGTGTGTTTTCCATTATGACTGAAACGAAAAAAGAATATGTCAGCATGTTTATGGCAAAGAGGTTCTAGCATTAGCATGTCATGATAAGAAAATGAACATTGAGATTCAATTCAACTAGATAGGCAAATCTCCCCTCTACTCTAGCCTTATGAGAAAGATATGTCTGCCGACACTCCGCCGAGCAATGGCTTACGTAAATTCGTTATGTCCGATCACATTGGTAAAGGTATGATATCCAGTCTCACATATTGTCGTGCGACGACAAGCAAACGCCAGACGTAAAATTCGTTGATTCATTAATTCATTCACTCGTGCTGGTGGACCATATCGATTCCATATCTTCGTCTCCTAACGCCTTCGCCACCTGATCTCGTCTCGCTGAACTTGTAATCCGACCACCAGCCCAGCTGTATCATGTTGTTGCGCATGATGGAGTCTTTCTCACCGTCTCCGCCAGCCCCGGCCACTTCCCTGACTAGTGTGCTGCCCGCAACTAAGCTCGCTGCTCCAGCAATCGTACATGGATTATACGGCACGACTTCCTGCGTCGGATTGAGCAGCACGGCAATCAGGCCACAGATGAACATGATTGCAAGGAAAATCTGTAGTATGAGTTTCGATGTGTTATTTTGGCGAAGCACCGAGGTTGGAATGTTGACGAGTGTTCCGGGCAGGGTTGACTGAATGGGCTCTATGGCTCTTTTGGTGTTTGATGCCGACACCGTTGATTCAGGGATGCGTACTCGCATATTCGTGGAGATGGCTTGCGCCATGTATCGGCGGTAGAAGTTCTGAATACCCTGTCTAACCCGGTTCTGGCTGTCGTCATCAGACTTGCGCATGAGCTCTTGAGGGACAGGGGTACGGCCGAACAGCACGGCCTGGAAGAAGTTGTCCACGGGTGGCTGGCTTGACAGGCTGCTTGAGGAGTATTCAGTCTGATTGAATAGCGAGAGAGACTGGTCCATATGAACCTGCAGTCGATAGGGGAAAGCAGTTGGAGTCGTGCGGCCACTCGAAGTTTGATTGTCCGGTCCACTCGGCAGCAGCATAGACGAAGATTCATTGATGGCTGGTGGGCTTAAAGCGAAGATGCTAAAGTCTTTGGCATTGAGCGTCACTTGGGCGTCGAGCTTCTCAATGACTTGAGAGCATGCCATTGTTGAGACAACCGAGTTCGACATGTTCTGCACATCGATATATCCGTATATGAAGGCAAGAGTTGGACAGCCTGCTGGGTTGTTAGGTTGAGTATATGGAGAAAGCTCGTCAGAGCTCGCTGCAAATGGCCCGGAGTATGGCCCAACATGCAGATCGAGCATTTTGCCAATGAAGCTCTGATTGGTATTACTGGGTAGCTGGAAGAAATATTCGTAATCGAGGGTTGAGAGATTGCCTCCTGGTCCTCCAAACGGACATTGAGCTGGTAATGGAAACGAGGCCTCAATACTGGCTCCGGATGAAAGAATCCGCGAATTATACGATCCAGAAACATTAAACTGATCGTTTCGAAGTATACCGCAAACTAAAGATCCTCGATATGCCGGCATCTGGATTTCTAGTCTGGTATCACTAGAGAGGAACTCGGAGGTGTTCCTATCAGCCTTTAATAGAGGAAAGGCCAAATCTCCATATGTGGAAGAAGGATAGGTCAAATTGGCGGCTTCAATAAGGCTCGCAACAACGGCAGCGGAACTATCGTTCGTCACGGAATTGGTCCAGTCCGGCTGAAACGTGTCGAGGACTTGGAGCTCCGCTGGAGCGGTTATCGTGACTGTATCAATCACGAGAAGACCGGAAACAATAATGGTGAGAAGGCTGCCGAGGAGAGCACCGCTAGTTGACATAATCGCACTCCTGTGTCCATGTTTGAAAGATGCCCACAAAGCAGCGGGGGGTATTTTGCCGACGATGGGGCCGAAGATGCCGGTCTTCTCGGAGCCTTTCCTGGATTTCAGCGCATGATAAGGGGCAAGAAGAGCGATATTGAAGTCCAAAGCGTTGAAAGATGTTGATATCAAGAGCATGGCCAGCGCAGGAAGAAATCTCGTTGATGCTTCTGTCACAAAGTTCCTCGGATCTTGAATGCGAGCTATTCCCAATGTGCGCCTCGACAAATGCTGAAGGATTTCGAGGACGGTGATGAGAGCTGGTGGCAAAGCTAAAATGATTATCATGACGGGACGTCTCAGGAGAAGCGGTTTCCACCAATGAGTGTTCTCAGCCTTAGTCGGGTTCTTGCTCTTCTTTGCACCGATCAGTTCGATGGCAAACCTTAGTTGGCCGTCTGAATCAGCTGATGCAAATGAAACATATTTATACTCGTCGAGCGTTCGATCAAAGTCTTGATCCTCGACAGAGCTCCTGCTGCAGAGAACCTCTTCAAAAGCCGGACTTTCTGCGAGAAGGGTAACCATGCTGCTAATAAGCTCTGGGTCATGAGCCACGACATTCCTCGGTCGATATATAAAGACCAAGACGGATATCACGGGGAGGAGAGCGAAACCAGCGACCATGATCCAAAGAGCAAGCGCTCGAACGTAAAGTCTTTCCTCCATTGTATTTATGTCACCCGCCAGCGGAGTTGTTTGTTGACGTAGGAGATTTTTTACAGCAATTTGAACCGCAACATGATCGAACACTTTTTCTGCGGCCTCCATCATCACATTCGCATCAAGTAAGTTTTCGTAACTGCCGCCGCTGATCTCAGCCATGGTCCTGAACATAGTATCCGGGTATTCCTCTGCAGTTTCACTATCCGCCTTGTTGCCAAACATTAGTGCTGCCGCCGAGTATGCTGATGTGAACATCACACCGAGGTCCTCATCTTTGAATTGTTCCAACGAGCGATTTGATGACACTATTTCAGCTCCCAGAGTGATATTTGTGAGGGTCTGGGTAAAGTCGTACGAGATAGGTCGTTTCTGGATAGTGTAGCTAGGTCTGCACACGATGCTGCTGACCTGTGCAACTTCGGTTGACCAAGTTGAAAACTCGAAGTCAGAAACATCTGCTTCACCAGAATTGTTTGCAACGGGAGTCTGCGAGTATCTCATATCCGTTATGGTCAGAAGCTGCCAGTTGCCAACCGGAGTGGATGTGTTCTGGCCAGAACAGTCGACTCTTTGCATCAAGCCGCTCAGCTGTCGACTGGGACACTTGTACAGTTGAGGGTTGAGTGCGTATATGGGCATCGCTCCGGCTAGAAGCTTGCAAGGCGGGGAGAGTAGATTTATTGTATCGTCTGGATGTTGATCAGTGGTATTAGCTGGCTGGAGGTTTATGGTAACCTCCGCCTTTTCACAATTGAATGAAGGCACAAAGACGTCCACAACCGTGTTAATGGTTGCGTTCGTGCCAGGGACATTGTCTGTCAAGGAGAGAGACTGATAAGCAAAACGGCCTTGGGTTCCTTCAGCGTCAGGTAAACCCTTAGCCATCACTGCGTACGCTGTATAGAATAACGATGAATCAGTAACGCCCAGGTAGGCAGAGGCGTTGTATAATGATCCATCAAAACTGGTGCTAGTGGAAATGTTTGCGTGGGTAGTGAGAGCGGTCCGCAGGTCTGTGAAAAATAGGCCGGTGGATACAAGTGTGATAAGTTTTAGGATAAAGAATGCCAGTATTGTCAAACATATAATCCAGTGACGATTTTTCAAGGACGTCCAGAAGCTGACAATCTGTAGAGGCGATATATAGTCCAGTAATATGGTTGTATTCGATGGAGCATCCCCCCTCTGTAGCACTTGCCATGGCGTAAGGAGTTTGCAAGATTGATCCACTTGTCGCCAGATAGCAACGAAGACTACAAGAATGGCTGTGGGGCCATAAGTCCATGAATAATGATTTGTGGTAATCAGCTTGAACCCATCTTCTCGTACATTGTAGTGCCAAAGCGAGATCAACGCTCCAACGGATAGAGCAAAAATAGCAGATACCCCGCCCAATATATACCAGGAAAGCCACGCCGAGTTCCACATCGAGGATCGGGTGCTCTTAGGAGGTATATCGTTGTTTGTGTGCCTCCCATGTACCTTGTTGGCGGATATCCGGGAGCCGTATTTGCTCGTGTGCCGGTAATTTCCTCTCTTGCTGCCGAGTATATCCAAGGAAAATGGCCCAGAGGAAGAGAAAAGACGTCGGGCCCAGGTTGGTAGTTGAATAGTCATCTTGAATGGAGAGCCGGTTCGGGTGGAGGAAGGATATGTAGTCCTGAGCTTCAGTCGACTATGGCGCAATGCTTTCTGGCGCGCAGTGACTTTCATTATATCCTCGTAGTATGGCGGAGAGGAACATAAGAGACTGCGGCGCTAGATGAGGCTCGACATTTAGACCACGGCCTAATATCAGCCCGGCGCTTACCACTTGTACCTCTTCGCCTGGGTAATCGTAACACGGCCTTGTGGCTGCAGCTGAGCAAAGTGATACTTGTAGCACAGTGCCACAGAGAAGCTAAAGCTTGTGCTGCATACTGTAGAAGCATCTGTGACCCAAAATCCATTATCATTTACATTATCGAAGGAGAGGGACTTCCGCAAAAGTCGGGGACGTCCTAGCGGTTCAGATTGAACATCATCCTCAATTGACCCCTCGTGCATAAACATTTTCGTGCAGTTTCCCTGATCAAGACAAGAACGAAACACGACTTGAGATTGCTAAGAATAGAAGTTCGAGGCGGTTGTCGAAACGGAAAGCAAGCTTGTCGTTGTTTCGAATCGCGATTCCGGCGGAGCATTTGAAACAAAGTGCAGTATTTTCGGTTACAGGACGAGGGCAGCCAGGTCGGTTTCCTCTTGTCTTTATATGCTTCCGCAGCATTCTTGCCGACCATCAAGACCTGAGGGTACATCACTTGTGCTCTCATTGCCGCCCGTGTGAACCCGTCTCCCAAGCTTCTCGAGCTCCGAACCGAGAGATAATGACGTTGTCAGACTCGTGGGCGATATTTTCTCTCAGTGCCTCTCAGAACATCTGGCAATCGAAACATGACATTGGGAGAGGCGAAGTTGGCATCTGCGTTTAGAAGAATTTCGAAGCCACCACCTCACACATGGAAGTATTGCGGCAATTGGGAATCGCTTACCACGACCGTGTCCATTATATGCCATAACGATGAGTTTCCGGTTTTGTTTGTTATTCCTGCAAAGCCTCCTATTGGAAATTCAATCGACATGTTGTTGGACTTGACGATGTCTAATTTCTCTCTTTGAGGTCCCTTCCAGTGCAGAAGGCCTTGTCCTCTGAGGCTGTAATAACGGCACACTTCAGTTCAGGTTCAGAATCATACCATCTCCAAAGAAATACCCACTCAATGCTAGTTTTGGTCGTCAGGCAGTTCATCACATTCGGACGGCTGATCTTGGTGCATAGAGTGTACTTCTTTGGAAAAGATATGATTCTATGTCGTTGATCAGGGATAGAGGTTTGTGATCCATCATGGCATGGTATTTTGGTTCGGGGAGCTTGCCATGTCGAGCTCAATATATCTTGCCTCGACCGGTTGTGTCTTCTGGTCCGAATCTTTTCAAGCTTTTTCTATGCAACTTATGTGTCAGAAGGGCATTGCTGAAAAGAATGCTCTAGATCTTCCGTTCGGAGGAGTTGGAATCACTATTCAAGTTAGCAGATTAAGCGAGAAGGACGTAATGCTACATAAAAGACTACATTCCGCGGCGGGATACGAGAACCGATGTAGGCGACAAACATTCTTGGAATGGGCAACCTCTTGCGCTCGACTTTCGCGATTGAATATTTAAGGCAACAGGACAAATGTAGCGGTGAAGACCACTGCATCCACTCACCTTCTAGAAGAGATCATTAAAGGAGCAACTGGAGAAAATGGAGCTTCGTAAGAGGCCCAATGCTCCGCAGAAATTTGTCCCGCGCGTCGTTAACACGGTGGCTGTTTAGTTCAATTGAGATTCGCCTGTCCACGCTGCCTTGCGTTCAAACGCTCTCAGCATGTTTGGCGCTTTGAATCGTTTCATAGCTCGTCTCGATGCCGATCCAGGCCCACAGCAAGACAATTCAGGCCCCTCAGACACTTCGTACGGTTTCCAGGTCCTTCGAAATGTCAACAAAGATCTGCCTCTAGAACCTTGGTTTGACTTTATTATTGGAATCAATGGACATTTCCTGGTAATGCACTGGATTAATGCGCTATAGACCTGTAGCTGACCGTCTACAGGACTTCCCCGACCCAAATCTCTTTGCCACTGAACTTCGTAATTGCGCGGGCGGGTACTGTTCTCTCGATCTGTGGAGCGCGAAGGTCAGAAGCTATCCTTCCTCTGATGCTATACCTACTGACTCCTGCAGGGCCAGAGAACACATTCCTTGACCGTCACCGTTCCCCCTGCACCACAAACCTTGGGACTGAGTCTCCAACTGGCACCTCTCAATTCAACTCAAAACATCTGGCATGTCCTGACCATCCCTTCACCTCTGTCCCCCGCCCACCAAGCTGGTCTATTGCCACACAGTGACTACATCCTGGGTTCTCCCAGCGGCACATTGAAAGGAGAAGCGGCACTGGGTGAATTGGTGGAAGATCACCTCAACAGAAGTTTGGTTCTTTGGGTGTACAACTCAGAGTTTGACGTCGTCAGAGAGCTCGAACTCGTACCTAGAAGAGGATGGGGCGGAGAAGGAGCATTAGGAGCTGTCCTTGGTTTCGGTGCCCTCCATCGTCTTCCAGTCGGCTTGGGGGAGGAGGTGCAGGCTCCCGGTGAGAATTTATTCGACGCAGACGGAAAGATGGAAGATGGACAACAAGACGGCCCCTCCCATACTTTCCAACCGGCGCCAGCTCAGAGTCTATCTCCACCTCCAATGATGAATCCCAATGCTCCTCCGACTACTTCAATACCAGCCCGGGCACGAAAAGGAAGACATCACAGTGCCCTTTCGCCAAATAATGGCTTTGAGGATATGTTTGCCGAGGGAGCCAAAAAGAGTGCCGAACAAGATCATGCTCCATCGCGGAAAGGAACACCGTTGGCACCTCCACCCAAGACCGGATCTGCATCTCATTCGGCCATCGATGACAAACAAGATCCTCTTGAGCAGGCTGAGGAAGACCTGGGGGAGCCTGGAGAGGCCGAGGAAACTTGAATTGATGTTGATCTCAGGAGAGACATGTCCTCCCCCGTCCCACAAGTTCCCGCAAGACCTGGGTGACGCCGTCGGTGCTCAAGCATTTGAAGGTTCGAGAGATGTTGCTCACTTTCGCTGACCACTCTGGTTCGTGGACCTACGAGGCCACCTCATCCTGCCACCACGCCATGAATTCGTGAATTCTGCTCGACCTCACCTGGGCCATCGCCTTCCCGGTTTCGGTCTTCATCATTCCTTCAAGCTTCAACAGCTTGTCCTCAAAATGTTGGATAGAGTTATCCAACCTCTGGGAGCCCTTAGCACCGCCAAAGGTGAAGCATCGGCCAATTCCAATTGCTCCGATGGCGTCGAGTCGATCGGCATCTTGAACAATTGCCAGTTCTGGGATGATTTCAATGAGGTGTCTTACACGCGGTGGATCCTTCACTTCGGAAGAAAATGATACCCCATTCACCAGCATCTGCATTTGCACCGCATAATCCTCAGACATTCCAGCATCTATAATGGCTCGTTTTAAGGGTGACTCTTTGTTATCTGTGGACATGTATTTCTTGTCTTCGACATCATGAAGCAATGCCCCAAGGATGACGCTAAGGGGATTCAATGCCGGCAGAACTTTGCGTTTTCGGTCCTCTTCCTCTTTCTTGAGGATGACAAGAGCGTTGTTCACCACTCTTTTGACGTGGTCGAAATCGTGAGATGCGTCGAAACGTGGATTGCGGAAATACTCCTCGGTAAAGTCGTGGATCTGCTGGACGATGGATATTTCTTCGTCAGACAGGTTAGGATATGTGGCTGGATGGACGTAATTTCCTGCTGACATGGTGCCCTTGACGGCCGATGGTGAGAGCCGGAAAAGCAATGCAAGAACAAATTTGCGCACGACAAAGGCAATCAGCTCGACTTCACAAAGCTTTCATCCTCCTGACCTTACAGTGCGGTGTTCTCTAGACTGCTGTTCCATGTACTTTGGAAAAATGTCACTATGCACTGCCGCAAAGGCTGTCAAATTCATCGTAATTCTTCGCCAAGCCGGAATGTCGGGAAAGCCCTTTGGAAAGTGGCCCCTTGGGCCAGCCTTGCGAGGCTCGTACGCCTGAGTGGCAACTATCCTCTTGCAAACTGTCCACAATATAATTCGATCGCCACATTTTATGAGTTAAAGATGCACTGGACAGTTACGCAGACATGGGGCTCCGCTCCATCAATAATACCTACGCACATTTCGTTGCAGGAATCTAGGTTTTTGGTCTATCCGCAGTCCGCGGGTGGTTGATCGAGGCTCCACTTCGAGCCTTCTCGAGCACTTCTCAGCCTTGCGCCCAATGAGACAGGCTCGATGTCACAAGGCCCGACAATATTCCCGCGGGTAGTGATCAATGCCACTTCATCCATCATGCTACGACACACAACCAATCTATTACACTGGCACCGTACCCGTACACTGAGAGTTTCTGCCAATATGAGTTCGTCTACCAAAACAGACTTCCTTGTTCCTCCCAAACCATCTCTCTCCTCGAACATTCTACCGTCGACATCAACTCTGAGAGTTCAGATCATCAATACGTAAGTTCAATCGCGTTCCAACTTTCTGGCCATTCACATAACCAGAAATAACATTCCCCTAACCCGACTCTAACACTTGTGATCTTCATAGCATCGCACCTATTACCGCGCCCGTCGCCCCGTTCATGGGCCCTCCACTGCCAGGGCACGACAAAATGATCAGTCCATCACTCTCATTCCTCATCCATCACACTCCAACCAATACACAACTCTCTTAGACCTCAGCCTGCGCAAAGATTAGAAAAACCTTGCACCTACCGCCCTCAACATCCTCTCATCACCAGGCTGGGGCCTCAATGCGGACAAGGACGTCGCGACCATCTTAACCGAATCTAGCATCGACAATGTCGGTTTTTGAGGGACTTTGAACATGCGCCGAGAGCTGAAGCAGAAAGGGGTTTGGGCTAGAATGAAATGAAGTGAACAAAATGAAAGAGAAAAAAAGATGAGTGGTGATGGTATCGGAGATGGTTGGTGTGTTGTATTCATTTGAAACAGTTGAGTTGGAGTGAGCGTTGAATTCAGCTTCCGACATTAAATTTCATCCCGTCCTTTCTCTTCTTCGTCCATTCTTTTCGAGTCGAGTCGAGTCAGGTACAGTGCAGGCCTTGGGAGAAGATCTTCAGATCCACTCATGTCTTGTTATCATATCCAATCACCCCCGACGCTTGAGTCCGGCACATTGATATCTACGCCGATATCTACGCCCATGAAGTCCAGCCACATCCCTCCTCTGAGCGGCGCTATGTTCGAAACGTCGTCCAGTACACCGATTTGGTCAGAAACTAGGCAAAGTCCCCCAGAGGTTTGCCCAGATAACTCGAAGGTGTCAAGTTCTGAAACACCTCTACGGGCGGAACTTGCCTGGTAGTTGCTCCTACTGCGGTGGGGTCTGCTTCCAGGTTATTTGCACATGGAGGCCACGAATTCGAGATATGAGGTGCAGAGTGGGTATAGATTGAGCAGAATTTGATACGTCCGGCATTGCGCCATTGTTTGTCGCCCCTGACTGATGAGCTCCGTTATCTTCACGAGGATCGCATACAAAATCAGCCTCATTGTGGAAAGGTTTCAAATTCCGCCGCCGCCGCCGCCGCTGCTGCTGGACTCTTGCAACAATAAGATTCGAGATATTCAAGCACCACTCTGCTCCGTACTGGCCGTCGGAGAACTCCTGGAAGTCGCGCTTTCACTGTTCAAGCCGTTGATACCCTTCACGACGAAGCAAGTCGTTACTTGAAATCATGTCGAAGACATGGCTGATGCTGGCTGGGTAGGACTTCGTCCGGCCCTCCACGACGGTTCATCTCCCTAAAGACACAATTGGAACATGGTTTCCCACCTCGAGCATCGCAGCGAACTCTCTTCCACCGACAGAGTCCCGGGCATATACGTCTTCCTGCGCCATAATGGGTGGTGCAGAAGACATGCTAGACAGACAGTTGGAAGAGCAGCAGTAGCTGTGACTTCAGAAAATAGTTTAGAGCTTATTAATTAAAAAATGGATGATCCCGGATCTCCTTACGGAACGGTGGGCCCATAGGAATGCTGGGACGTTCCGGCTCTTGGAAAGCAAGTCTACAACAAATCGGTTGGAATGATCCCTTTCGCTGTCACAATTACTCTCTCAAGCCAATTTCTAGAACAGAAAGAGAACTTCCTGGGGGCGTCACCACACTGCGCAATTCTAGTCTGGGGTCAGCTTGGTTGAACAGTGACTTCCAACCCTCTAGATCTCTCTCAGCAGCATTGTAAGTCAGCATCATTTCTGCATCCAAAATCCTGAAATATATCCTGTCAGCTATTTTCTCACTCTGGTTATCCAGGAAGATTTACCTCAGTCGTCGCTCGTCAATCTTGCTGAGGGTACCGGGATCCGGCATGACCGAATCGACGAGAACGAGCCTGCTTTTTGGTCCCATGGCAGATACAAGGTTTTTCAGTATTTTGGCAGCATATTTGTCTGAATAGTCGTGGCAGATGAGTCGCAGGAGATAGACATCGGCACTCTTGATCGGCTGAGGTGTGAAGAAATCATGGACCTCGAACTTGATCTTTTCGGTTTCCTTGCCCTCTGGCTGCCTTCCCTTGGCCTCTGCTATTACTTTTTCGAGATCTTGCACGATGAATCGAAGATCTGGGGCTACTTGAGAAATCGCATAGCTGCAATGCCCATGATTGCCGCCGACATCCACAACCAGGCCTTGACCAATTCCTTTCCAATGAAACCCAGCAATCATGTGGTGGAGATCGAAACCCTCCCCTTCGCCAAAGGCTTTAATGGAGCCGAAAAATCGCTTCATTCTTGCCGGTTGCGTCTCGAAGAATTCGAAGATGGGAAGGCTCGTGCCGTGGGCTACATTCCATGGCGTTTCATTCCTTTCTTGACTTCCTGGAAACTTTTCGAAGGCTTCACAGATTTTTGAGCTCCCAGGGAAGCCTTCCTCAATTATGTATCCCAAGCCATCCCTCTTTGTAGGATGATTGAACAATTTGGAGCCTACCGTATGAGCAACATAACCTTTCCTAGGTTCCCGGAAATAGTTGTAAGTCATTTGCATTCGCAGAATCCTTGTACATCGACCCTCATCCACGCCGGCCTTAGAAGCAAGGTCCTTAAAGCTTATATCGCCTTCGTCGGGTACATATTCCGCGATTCGGAAATGGTAAATGAATTGAAGGCCAGCAGAGTGGAAATGATCACACATGAAGTGGAAGAAATGGTCCACAGGTCCGGTGACAAGTTGCGATAAGAGTTCACATGCCTCTCTCACCTGTTTCCTGGCGTCCAGGATTTCTGGAGGTGGTTTTGGGAAGGGTTCAATCCCTGGAGGTCCAGTACCCGGGAAGAATGGATATGCATCAGGAGATAGCGAGAGTGGCGAAATGGAATTCTTTTGCAGATAGTTCGAAACTGTCTCTGTATTGGCTTTGATTGTTTCTGCGAGAGCAATTATGGAGGGTGTGAGATCAGACATGGCGAGATCGAGTATTGTTGGATGATGACTGTTGATTGAGAGCTAACAGCAAATCTTGACTTAGGAAGACAAATATTAGGATACTAAATATTGCCCCAATCCGTTCTATCTTGCTAGAATCCTGCTTCTGAAAACGTCACATTCAGGCCTTCATCAGCAGAGTAAGCTGAGACTAAGCGAACCCACTTTTTCAAAGGATGTGTGGGGTGGGGGGAGAGGAAGGGGGGGGATTTGAGGCGACCACAATACAGATCCGGGAGTATCGTCTGAGAGTGTGGCCTGAATCATATCGACAGGTAGAAGAGGATATACCGGATGCTTAAGGCGAATGACAACTAGTATCAGTGCCTATTTGTTTAGACTGTGGTGACGAGGAGATCATCCTCGTCCTGTCATAGTTCGTGTATATGCGAGAGGAGCAAAGAATGCGCACCCCGATGCCGGCCGTTGATTGCCAGATTTGAAGCGTCGGAGAGATGCCTCTCCAGGACGGATTCTCCTCGAGTGTGCCGCCCAATTGCGACGCGAATGCTACCTGTCGATCGTCGTTTAGGGATGTGTTGCGGAAGATCCACACTGCGCCGTCACCTCCATCTCTGATCAAGGCGAGAGTATCCAATGGGAGCAAGTGTCTGAAAATGGGACTGATAATGGGCGATGAGAACTGACCAGACATCGACCAGTTCGAGCCCAGGCCTTGCATCTTAGGCGACGGGCAGACAAGGCTGAGCCAAAGTCGAGATGGTTCCACACTGGCATGACAATCTAAGACTTGACGTGAAACCTCGCCTAGACCGTGCCTCCTTGCCACGGTCCAATTTAGCATGAAAGTCGTCCAAGGACCAGTGCTGCTGTGATGGATCTGCAATACAGGAGCACAAGAAACTAAAATACTCTCATCAGCATCTTTACCAATATCGACCCGCGCTTCTTTCTTCCACTAGCAGTTTCCCAGATCTAAAAGGCTGCTCATGCGGTTGACTGAGCCATTTGACCATCCACCCTCTCCTTTCAGGCATCGGAATTGAATTTTGCTCCTGATCCCAGATCTGTTGCGCCTCGTCCTCGAATAATCTCCCGATGTCCGCGACGTCAACTTCCTCGAACCCGACAGGCTTGTAAAATGGTCCGTTGAACGGGACATTCAGGTACATCGTCAACGTTAGTCCCACGATTCCAACAATGCCAACGCCTTCAATTTGATTGCGGTTTTCGGAACTTGTGGGTAATCCGGGATGTGTCGAGGAAGGGAGCTGGCGAGGTGGACATGATGATACTATTTCGACAGCACGACCGTGATCCGATTTTGTACCTAAAGGCTGAGAAGAGGTCTTTCACCGAAATAGCCTAGATCCTAGTCGTTTTGACACCATCGATAGGAAGTCGCTTCGAAGTGGTATTGGAAGCGCGCTCGCGGCCAAAGTAGCCGGGGCCGTTACGTGTGTATAAGATATCAAGATAAGGAAGACCTTTCGGTGAGCCAAGTTCCAGTTCTCTCCGCTTCTTGGCGAACTATGTGATCCATTCTCGTGTTGAATCTGAGGATTGTGGTGAATTCTGGACATGGTTCGTGGCTATGCTCATCAATTTCGAGATTGAATGAAACCCAAGAAGCAGTACAAGCTTCATGCGCAAAAAGATCCGGCCGTCGATCTCGGTCCGCTTAAGCCGGATCAGCCATCAATTGAAGACAGACATTTCGTTTGGGGCCAGCACATCTGTCCTGGCCTTCAAGATCTCGTCCTCGCGCATCCACTTGTCCGCCTCCTCAAGCATATTTAGAGTCGGCGCCAGTGGGTCCAACGGTCTGGAAGACGACAGGATGAAATCTTCGGGGAGGCCGGAGCGGTAAATTAGCATCTGATAGTAATTTTCCACTTCATGAGTGCGCGGTGGTAAAGCTTTCTCGTACTTCTACGCAGTCACGTAGATGTGTCAGATAAGCCCAGGCATGCGGCATCGCGCCGTCAGCGATGTGAGCCAACGCTAGGGCTCCCCCTTAGTTGAAGTGTTTGGATGCCATGAGGATTTCCATCGCGCCTCTTGCTGTTCTTAGTGCTTCGCGGCCGTATGGCTTCCATGCAGAGAACATGTTTGGAAATCAACTAGACGTAGCTGAGCTGAGCAAGTTTGACGTCGCTCTGGCCAGAACCTGGCTCGTCCTCTATCAGCATGGTTTCAGATTCGACAAGGAAAGGGGGAAAAAAAAGAATCTGGTTAGTAGAAATTGTAGCGGAAAACCACCCGAAAGCAGTTTCTGGACGACACTATCATCTCTCCTTGATCTTTTGGTTCAAGGCGGCTGAGCCTGCGAAGCATGGACAATCGCATATCACATACATCGGGGTCCAAGTCAACGAGCTTTCCCAGTGTCGAAGCATCAGGGCGGCGACGCCGTCATGTCACCGCGCAAGACGGACGACGATCTCAATCAAGCATACCAGCTGAGAATCATTCCTGCCGCGAACGATGTGCCCCAAATACATAAAAGCTAGTCGCCATTGTCGAAAGGCCTGAGCGCTCTTTCTTGAATGGCCAAGTCTGTTATAACTCTGCTCCAACTGGCGATTGCCGAGACTGAACAAGAGATACTTGCCATGTTGATAACCAATAGCCCAAAATTCTCGGTGTAAGGGTTCGTGGATTATCGTTTCTTAGGTCCTCCAGGTAGAAGTCCTGACGAGTCCCCGTAGCTAATGGGGTTTCTCTGAACAGGGAACATGATTGACCTCCTTTCTGCGGGAGTCGTGAGCAAAATCTAGCCGGTTTCTGCCTCGGAACTGCTGACTGCATTATCTCATTCATATCGACGGAGCAATCAAAGCAACCTATCGGCCATGCGAAATACACTGGATTCTTCAATTTCTCTCCAAAGTTTGAGTCCATCCGAGTCATTGGTGTACTCAAACCAAAGAAACATTTTCAGCCGCTCTTTCAAAGACGCCCATGTCTTGATGTTCAGTCGTCGGGTAAGGCGATCCAAAGCAGAAAGATACCACGTTCGATCTGATGACCCTACCGCGGCAATGGCACCCATCACTGTTATCCAGAGAATGAGGTCAGGTGCTTCAGTCCATCGGGATTGGATGGAAAGTTGTGAGAGCTGTGACCGAACATCATGAGCGAGCTGGTGGAATGGTGCCGCGACTGCCGGGAGCGGAAAGACCACGAGAAGGCTGTAAATGACGGTAGCAAGACGGGAGAGTCTATGCATTGGGTGTTCCTGTCGGATTTCAGATGGGTCTGGTGTCAAAAGCATGAGATTGTGTTGGACGAAATTCCTCTCGTCCATCAAGGCAGATAAGGCTTGGGCCTCTGGCCTTCCTTCGACATGATCATCTACCGCGAACGTGTATTGGATAATCCATCGGAGAGCCGCAAGAAGCTTTGACACTTCTTCATGACTCAACATACCCGGTAGAACCCGGAACCCTTTGCCTAGGCCGACGAGAGGATGGGTCCTTCTCGATGCTGTGTTCAGGGGTCCGATAACATCATCATGCATTGGAACATACGGAAACATCGGTTTCGCGATATTTTGGCAGGCGACGACGATATCTCCACTAAGGAAAATCATGTCAGCCGTGTTCGTTGACTGAAGAAGACAAGCTTTCTTACAAGGAAATCGCTTGGGCCAGACCGGGCAGTGCGATCTTCGAGATGCCACCCCGCAGAGACAGCATTTTGGCGAGGCCTTGTAGATGGACTTGCACAGTTTCAAGGCGGCCACCATAAATGTGCAATAGTTGCAAGGTGGTCAGTGGCCCTTGAGATGGCGCTACGGCAGGAGGGTCACGCCGTAATTCCCCATGATAAGACAGAGCATAAACAGAGAGTATGTTTTCGTCTTCGCAACTCAGTATGGCGTCCTTGAATCTCTCGTGGACACCTCGGATCGTCTCATTGTAGCACTGCATCTGTTCCCGCGTCTCGGGCGCCGAGGAGAAGAAAATTCGATTTCTTGTGAGTTGGCAGAACAAGGACGCATGGAAAAGACCTCGATCGCGAAACGTTGTTCGAAGCCATGTCTCGGCGAGGGGACTCAAGAATTGTCCTCTCGCTGGCGGAAACATTAATGACAAAAACCCATTGACTGGGCCGAGAAGTTAGACAGGAGCTTTCACGGACCCTTGGGGACAACTCACCCTGGTCGAGAATGGGACTGACGAACTCCTTCGGAAGGTCGCACGGATATGTCTCGAACGGATCATGGTGTCCAGAAACAATCAGTGTCGTCAAACTACTGCTCGGCAGCACGATCAGCTTGCTGTGATGGGCCGGCGATTCTATCTTGTGTTCGTCGCGATCCACCTCATTCTTTGGCGTCGATCGTTCACTTTCGGTGGAAGAGGACTCATACTGCTGCGGAGTCAAAGGTGCCAGTGCCCTCTTGGAAGATCTGGTCTGGTTGTGATTTGTCGGACGTCGTCTTGATACACCTCGGTTGGCGGAAGGATCGGAGGATTTCTTAACTCGTCGCCAGTGAAAATTGGAGGCATTGGAGCGAACGAGAATTTTATTTTGAGAACGTTCAGCTTCGGAGGATGGATTTGCGGTAACAAATTGGAAAGTCCTTGGAGCAGGGCGCGACGCTGCAAGTCCAGCGCTTTCATTCGGCCGAATCGTTACGGCTTTCGCCTGTTGCATATCCTGTCACTCGTAGACATAATCTCCCACGGATTCAGGCCCTTGATGCGGTGATGAATGGTGATGCTTCGTCTCGACCGCAATTCGAGTAGGGCCTAATGCACTATGAACGGTATTTGTGTGGGGGGTGCGAAGACCCCAGGCTCGCTAAATCCTGGGGACTCTGGTAGTCACGAGGCCCGGCGCTAGAGTATGTCCGGAAACGGCCTCATGGTTCTTTCTGCTTTGGTCGGATGAGGAACTGCCGCACAGAATTTGGGAACGGTTGTGGGTTCGGGCTGGGTTGGAGGGTGGGTGGAGAGGGCGGAAGGAAAAGCGGGGGAGGGTTTCGCCTGTTGATCCTCCACATAAAAGGTCGCTGACATAATACGTCCAAGGGGCAAAATACCGTGTGAATACTGTTATGAATAACTGTGATGGAGCTATATTGATATATACATCATGCATTTGCAAATCAGTTCCAAACTCCTCGCTATGCACAGAAGAAAGTATATTGCTTGCCCTGCAGTCTTATATTTGGCCGAGATGCTCCTAGAGACCACCAGTGACCGTCGGCCGAGCAGCTTTTTCCAAAACTTGATGTGGAGGTCCTGCTGAGTGTCCATGAGTCCATGCAGGGGTGGCAGTCACAGTGACGATAGCAGGAGTAAGGCAGCCGGTTATGGTGGTCGTGGGAGTAGGCGGTGCTGGATTACATTTGCTGTTGAGCGCCGTAACAAAGCCGCAGTAATGAGACAGAAGAGTCGTGGCGGCATTGTCAGACGAGGCATTGGAAGGAGGGGGAACTGAGTTGCATTTTCCATTCAAAGCAGTGCCGAATCCGTAGTAGTGAGATACTGAGGTCGTGATAGTTCTAGACGAGTTGGTAGATGTTGGTGGGAAATTGCTCTTCCCGTCAAGCGTAGTGCCAAAATCCACAGGATTGTGAGACTGGAGTACCAGTGCCGAAACTATGGTAATGAGAGACACCTGTGGTGGTCAGGGTGCTGGTATTAGTTGAAGGTGGGTTGTATTTGCCGTCTAACGCAGTTCCAAATCCGCAAGAATATGAAGCGGATGTTGTGGAAGTGGAAGAGGTCGTGGTGGATGGAGGAGAATTGCACTTGCCGTCGAGTGCCATTCCAATGCCACAAAAGCAAGTCGAACTCGAAGCAGACGAAAGCCGAGCTGCTGATGCCCCATTGGGATGATGCACGAACCCATCAGCATTAGCACCAAAGCCGTAATAGTGGGAAGTGGTGGTTATGTTAGTCGGAGGAAGAACAAAAGCGCCTGTGGTGAGAGCTTTAATGAGAAATGAGACTGAAGAGTGTATGATTATTTTGTTTTGTCGACGATGTAGTTGGGAAATACAGAGGTAGTCGGTAGAGGATATGTTTCAAGCGAGTATAGTAGTAAAGGAAATATCAGATCTGAAGCGACTGTAGTAAGGAGAAACGAACCAAAGGAATACGGTAATTGTTTGTCTGTTGCAATGATGGTGGACAAAACGTATTTCAAACACTGGGCGACCTAGCCTTTTATACAGCATTGAAGCTCGCCAAATCCCAATCTGTAAACGTTGTCATGTAGAAAGGCACGGTGACAATAGAGACGTCGCATTGTTCGGTCACGAAGGAAGTACGCAATAATGTCGAGGTTCATCAGCGGCTGTAACGTGGTCGGTAAAAGCAGGTTGCTGTGGGACGATTGGTTCGCATCAGGGTTGCTCGTGCGAGAAAAGCCTCATGTGTAGAAAGAATAGAAAATCTGGGGAGAATAGAACCACAAATTGTTGAGCTATGTCCAGCTAAGAGCGGAACAAACTTTCCATACTGAGACATGAGGGCGTCGTCGAGGAGGCAGTAGAGGAGGTCTGGGCTGAGCCAATCAGAATCCTTTTTCTCCCCACTTCAACGCTGAAAAAGGCGGGTACGTTGTAACGTGTCCACTCCTCTGATGTACCAGAGCAGTGGTAAGACATCGGAATCGCTTATGGACATCTCGCGGTTTTGCCCATTCCAGAACGTCGAGTCTAAACCTTCACTATTCCAGATTCATGGTTTTAATGTTTGCACAACCAGCGGACCAAATTGTCAATTTGCTAGCGAAGGGGCGGGAAAACAGAGAGCGAAAGTATTTCTGGCACCGCTATTCAGCCTCCAGCATCGTCGTTCCCCGTCAAGTTCAGTGGCAAGGGAACAATTTCATCGTCGTAGTTGCAGGCCAACTCCTGCCCCATATTGTTAGACCCTTTTTGGGTCTAACCACGTTCCATGTGTTCATGCAAACCGGGCCGGAACCGTCAGGAGGATTTCATGCCATATCGATGGGATCCGGCGGAAATGGTTCACACGGGCGAGGAACCTGCTTGGTATCCAGAGTAACGAGTACAACTTTGTCGTGCTCCTGGATTTCATTTTCAACCCATGAGGCTCCAGAATCCAGAGATCAGCCAGTGATCTTCTTCAAGCCCTGCTCCGCCGCCTGAATCAGAGGAACTAGATTCTTCTCCTTCAATGTCGGCAGTAAACTCTGGAACACTTCGCGCGACTTGTTTTTGTCGCCGTTTTCTAATAACAAGTCGGCACGGGTCATCTGGGCCGTAAGGAGAGCCAAGTCACAAATCTCATCACGGTCTGCGGGTTGGACAACATCAGCGGCTGCGATGGCTTGGTCTGCCCATTTCAATGCTGCACGTCGTCCTTCAGCCAGTGATTTCTTGGTTGCTGGCTTCCCATTAATCTTGGCATTTGGTTTTTTCAATGCCAGATCCATAGCCGAAGCAATATTGCTAAATGTTTGCACCTCTTTGCAAGACCTTGTACCGTTGCACGATGCCTTTAGAGGTTGAAGTGTGAGCATGTACACTTGCACAGCATTTTCTTCCTCCCCGGTTCGGGCATAAAGGTCTCCCATTCGGGACAGCATTGCCGCAATCTCGCCAGTTGTTAAGCCAGCCCCGTTGTCATCACTGAAACTGTTGGTCTGGGGATTTCTTGACTCCTTCACGACTAAGCCCACTGCATCCGATAGAGTGTGTTTGGCCCTCCTTGAATCTTGCATGTAGTCACTCTCGTAGAGCGAAGACACTTTGACTTTATTCTGAATAATGCCCTTGATCAGGTTCTTTCGGAGATCGGCTTTGGTCATGTTCTCGTCAGATGCATTGTTCGCGTTAATGGGTCCCCCCTCGTCTATCTCGTTCAATCTTTGCTCAAGATCTTTGGTCACACCATCGAGAATTTCAATTGCAGCTTTCACATGTCCGAAATTCTCCAGCATTTGCGAGAAACGTATCCGAATGCCTAGCACCTCTTTGCTGAATGGATCCATTCCCACTTTTTCCGCATTTTCAATCGCCTGCATGAAATATTTTGATGAGGTTTCGGGATCCGGTTCAATGTGAGTGTAGTGCAAAGCAAGTCGTAACCGTTCTTCCACGACAGGAGGATATACCGAGCTTACACCATCTCCGTAGTACTGTTGATATGCCATCACGGTGAGCATGGTCACCGAACCAATGGAAGCGATAAGCAGGAAAGGAAAGAGTCTCGGGTACTGCACTCGAGCATCGATGACCATCTGTTCGATTCGATTAGGAGGCCGGGCGTAAGTTTTTGCCGTTCTCGCCTGGATTCGGCCACTAATGCCAGGCGCAGGGCGGACTCGAAGTCGAGCTCTAGGAATGCTGCGACAGCTGTTGGAGAATGCACACGAACGAGGAACATGTGTCGCCTTGAGGGTACAGATCATTTGACGCGCAATCGTGCTTGGCTCCATGGTCACAGAGTAGAATCTAGATATCAATTTGTCGAGCTGTCGAAATGAGGAAAGATTGGGAATGCACGGCGGCCAGAGAAAAAAAAAAGCCCCCATATAAATTAATGGGCGTGGCAGACGGGTGGGCCGAACCGTGCAATGACCCTTTTTCCCCAGATTTGTGCTCGACGTCATTCGCCTCGATCACGGCACCTCCTCCATAAAGAAGACTCGTTCTATTTGCCCACCGCGTTCACAAAATATCCGTCACCAAACATTTCAGACCTTCCAAGTGGGCACAAGATGTGCGGCAGATACGCACTAGGCATTGTACGTGTATCTCACCTTGCTCGATGGCAAAACTAACGTCTTCACAGCGCGCCGCGTTTATTCGCTACCAACTCCAACAACAGGGTATGCCTGTAGACGAAGCTCCGGAAGATGACGAAGCCCGCGAGACGTATAACTTTCCACCCGGAGCATACGGCCTCGTCTACCGAGCAGACGTCCCCGATCACGGTATTCGAGACGCTCATGAGTCGGAAGCAAGTGATGAGGCTACCGAAGGAGGCCAAGAACCGCCACAGTCAACTGAACCTACATCCACGGAGGCCCAGACATTCAAATACCAGATCAAAGTTATGAAATGGGGATTGATTCCATTCTGGACAAAACGTGCTCCCGACTACGGCTCCATGCTGCGGACAATCAACTGTCGAGACGACTCATTGCTTGAAAACCGTGGAATGTGGAATACCATGAAGCAGAAAAAGCGCTGTATAGTGATCGCACAGGGTTTCTACGAGTGGTTGAAGAAAGGACCTGGCGGAAAAGAGAGAATCCCCTACTTCGTCAAGCGAAAAGACGGTAACCTGATGTACTTTGCCGGACTATGGGATTGTGTTAAATACGAAGATGCGGAAGAGAAACTGTACACTTACACCATCATCACCACAGATTCGAACAAACAATTGAACTTTCTACACGACCGAATGCCGGTCATTTTGGACCCAGGCACCGATGAGATCAAAATGTGGTTGGACCCAACGCGAAACAAATGGTCGAAAGAGCTTCAAGCCCTTCTGAAACCCTACGAGGGCGAACTTGAGTGCTACCCAGTCGACACGGCCGTGGGCAAAGTCGGCAACAACTCTCCCAGCTTCATTGTCCCCATCGACAGCAAAGAGAACAAGAGGAATATTGCCAACTTCTTTAGCAATGCCAAAAAACCGAGAGACACGGTTGAAGAGACCGGAGTCGAAAAGGAGCCAGAAGAGAACAGGACCACTGTTGAGAAAGACGGAAGCGAGAACAACGCACCGCTTCCCGTGCCCACCAGTCCACCTCAAGAACGTCCTGGACCAAAACGAGCACATGCCGATGAAGCCGAAGATGGTCCGATGAAGAAGTACACCAAACTTTCATCCTCGCCGACGAAACTCACCTCCCCGCTCAAATCTCCTGGCGGCAAGAAACCCAAGAGTGCGACGAGTAACAAGGACATGACATTAAAGACCAGTCCTTCAAAGAAAGTGGAAGCTGGTACACAGCGAATCACGAATTTCTTCACAAAGTGACCAAGAGACGGCTTGAAATCATCATCGTTGAAAGCACTACGAGTGTATGGAGGTCTGGCTATCCCAACGCAGCGAGGTCTTCCCCTAAATCGACCTCGACCCATATCCCCCCGCGATCCTTTCGACTTGCTCGCAAGTATCGGGCAACGGACTGCGCGGTGCGGCGAATCTCAGCAAACCGCTCTCGCTCCTTATTATGGCGATACACTTTCCGCTCATTCTCGACATTCCACGATGACTCGTCCGGATCCGCTGGCCGACTCTCCGCTTCCGGAGGGATTGGCCTCCATCCAACTTCGAGAACAAGTCTCTCGAGTCCTCTCCAACCGCCATTCCATTCCGGCCCAAGGGTCTCGTGAGAATAAGACCCCGTCGCCGACGGAGTCCATTGCAGAGCAGCAAACCAGTCACCACAGCCCGTGAGATCCAGCCACTTCAGGCAATACAATGATCGACTCAATGTTCGGAGGATTCCCGCAGCTTCTCTCCAGTTGCTATCATATGGGGTGTAAATGTCTGAGCCGCCATACACCACCGGTCTGGCGCTCGGTGTCCGAATGACCGCTCTTGTGGAAGCAGCGTTGGGCGTGAAAGTAGGCTGGGGCCAATATGCCAGCGAGAGAGATGTCAAGGTCTGCAATTCCGCGGCCAGAGAAAGCAGAGACGCCCACGACGCGGCCGTCGCATTTCCCGGAGAAATCGCAAGTGACAAGTGCTTCAAGTTGACAAAGGTGGGCCCTGTCTTGGGACCCTTCTTGAACGACGGACTTGTCGGCTCATTGCCGTCATCGTCCGCATCCCAGCTATCAGGTGTGGACGACGAAGACGAGGCTTCCACCGTAGTCGCCATCATAGAACTCGAATCCGACGGCGTCAAAGGTGGCGTCTGTTGCTTGATCACAAGATCTCGTTCAAGTTGTTTCAATGTGGTCCATGCTCCTAATCCATTACTCAGATCCAAACGACGCACTTCAGCGCGATCCTCGGCCTCGGACTCGGACGATAAGAACAATATCCGGAGCGGATTGATAGACACTTCGTTGTAGACTGCAAGGTAACTTAATAGCGTCTCCTTCAGCTTCGTAGGCAACACGCCTAAATAGTCCTCATCGTGTTTCGCATGCCACGCCCAATCCCTCGCTATGTTCTTCAACAGGAGATGCTGGAGGGACTGGGGCGGCGGGAAAGTACAGTCTGGCAAATGGCTCGTGCGGATCAGGACTCGACGATTCTCGTTCTCGCTGGCTGATGTCAACGCAGTCCTGACGGCCGCCGGAGCGTGGATACTGTCTGTAAGCCAGCTCCTTGGAGGCGGAGGCCCGGGGACGCGCCGCAGACGATTTGGACCAGTGGCTCTGTCACCGAGGCGAGGGGCAGGCGGTTGAGGAGGCGGAATGTCAAGGACCACTCGCAGCGCAGGCGGGATGGAGCCCGTATTGGAGGACGGCGGAGGACGGCGGAATTCATTTCTTATTTGTAAGCGGCGAGATTCGCGAATGAGCTCGTTGACCGTGCGTTGCTGGGCGAGTTCACTTTGCTTCGATGTGGAGGACTTGGACAACGATAACGTGTTGGGAGTACTGGATTGCGGCTTGGTCAGGAGCGCTTTCTGTTGGTGTTTCTTGGGCATGTATTGCACTATCACCGCGGGATGCACAGAGAAAAAGAGATCCAAGCGGGAGAAACACAAGGAGAAAGGACAGAAAATGTAAGAAAGACGGAAAGAATTGTGGGTGTCACATTGCAGACGTAGCCCAGACAAAAGGATGTAAGCCTAACCCCAAAATGTCCTCGGTTTTGCCTTTTTTTTCTATTTCAGTTCTCATCGGAATGCTAGAGCACTTCTTTTTTTGATTGATTTGCTGCAAGAGTGTTGAATCTGACCTATATCATTGGCATTGCCATTTTGGCTCTTCCTCGCTGTTAATGCAATGTTCTCCGGAGGGATGTTGGAAAATTCGCCATCAGCAGAGTTGGGACATGATATTGTACATGGCAAAGCCGTTTCTCTGCATGCACCCCGGTCACATACAATTTATACTTGTACGGCCATGAGAAGTGGTCGATCTCCTTATTCTCTCGAAAACTTGCTCCGAATCCTTGGGCATAACCCCCTGTCCACAGATCGTCCCAAATTCCCGCAGAATTGTTAGGTCATCAGAGCAACTCGTCGCAACTGATGCTGTAGAATCGGATGAAGAGTTGTGGTACGTGCTGGCAGAGATATGGTGAACCCGCATAGATGACCCATGACAATGGTGGGTATTTTAGAAACCAGGAGGATTGACTCTTTGGCTGACTCTCGTCCATTTGGGAAGTTCTGCGCATCTCAGTCAATGAATTGAAAACCCCAAGTCGAGTTCCTTCAACTTACTATGTATGCCTTTTCGGTATTTCTTCTCTTTGCGATCGAAGATTGTGTATTTGTCCTTAGGAAGCATCTCCTCTTCCCGGGGCATCTCCTTATACCATCTCTCTACCGCCTTTGCCGTCATCCCTCCATTGTTCTGTAAAGCGGTGCTGACAGTGTCCACAACTTTATCGACCAGCTTTAATCGTTTTCGTTGACGCGCTTTCTGAGTTGGGGAGAGTCGCCACGGAATTTTCCTGCAAAATCAATCAGCATTGGAAGGACCTTCGGGTTGTCCGCAGAGCCGACGTACCACAACAGACCTCCCGACAGAGCGGCGGTAGGTCTAAACATGTTAACGCCCAATTCCTAATTGAAGGCCGGAGTAAAAGGAGGTCGCGGTAGAAATGATCAAAAATGACGGGATTTGCTCCGGATGATTGGCCGGAGTTGACGGTGCGGCGGAGCTGCTCGCAGCCAATGGCCCTCACAACTTTTTTCCTGCCCTGCATCCGCATCCATCGACAGACTGCGATCGGCCCATTTCTGTAAGTGACTGTACCCTTTGTTGATGAGGACACAAGTGCGCAGTCTGCGTAACTTGTTGTCTTCCACTCGATGGAAATCAACAGCCTCAATGTTTGCCCCTGATGACTACCTCCGTAACACAGAGCAACCCAGTCTATTCTGGAGGGCCGCCTCATACCAGACGATCCTGGTTGTCGCAACTCTGTCGCGTTTCTTCCTCTATGGCCTGAACAAAACAGAGGTTCACGGCCTGCCTCGATTCCTCGAACTCTTGAAGGCGCGTTCAGACTACAAGACGCGTTGCAGAGGGCTGTTGACCGTCTCCAACCACATTTCCGTCCTGGATGATCCCCTCATATGGGGGGTCCTCCCCCTTTCTTTCGCCGCCTTCCACGGCTACATGAACCACCGCTGGAGCTTCGGCAGCTATGACATTTGCTTCAAAAATACTCCTCTGTCACATTTCTTCACTCTCGGCCAGGTCCTCCCAATCCACCGACTGGCGCATTCACCGTTTGGAGGTCCGTTCCAGTCGACCATGATGGAAGGCGTCAGGCTCTTCTCCAAGATCAATAGTCGCCAAAACTCGCTTTGCCCATTTAATAGACCCCAATGGAACGAAAACTACCGTAAACCCAGCTGGCCGCGGGATTGTATCGACCCATTTTCCGAAATCGACCCCTCACCGTGCTACACGTCCAGTGCCAGTGATGTGCGATGGTACCATTCCCCTTCTCGGTACGCGAGCAATGCATATTCGTGGATCCACATCTTTCCCGAAGGAATGATTCACCAAGCCTCGAACCAAACAATGCGGTATTTCAAATGGGGCGTGGCTCGACTGATCCTCGAGCCCACCGAATGTCCGGACGTCGTGCCGCTGTTCATCGAAGGCACCGATCAGGTAATGCACGAAAGCCGTTCGTTCCCTCGCTTCATCCCGCGCATAGGCAAGGAGATCACAGTGACATTTGGCAAGGAGCTCGACGTGGAAGCTGTGTTTGGGGACCTACGGAAACGATGGCGCGAGCTTTGTGACGAGGACGCCAAATCTTCCGGCATGGATAAATGGGACGAGCACCACTTGGGCCTCGTGCCCGAGAACCTCGCCAGTCACCCTGAGGCGATTCAGTTGCGAATCGAATGCACCAAACGCGTCAGAGATGCTGTACTCGAAGTCCGTCGTTCCCGTGGTCTTCCGGACGAGGATCCCAAGTCGGGCCTGGTCGACACCTGGAGGCGAGAGGGTCCGAAGCGGGAAGGAAAAATGGACGACGGCACTTGGGTCAAGGATGGCTAGCTACCTCATCGCCATTCTCACAGATGATGTATTTGAAATAAGTTTGACCAGGTTCCAAATGACGTTGCCTTTTATCTATGGTATAAAGAGACATTATATTGTGGCCGCCAGACCTGAGACTGAGAGAACGGGAATAGAAAAGCCATTGATGTTGTCACTGAACTGTGAAGAAACATTGGTTTTCATTTCATCGATTGAGACGGAGCCTGGAGCCATCGGTGTCTAACAAAAAGGCAAGAATTTGAAGACTCGAGACTGAAAACGGAGACGCCGTCGCTTTCGGACCTAAGGCATCCTATCCTATCGCCATTTGTCATTTCCCCCCAGATACGAGCCATCGTCGACCAAGACCAGGACCAAGCAACTCAATTCCAAGTCCGCTTCCGTTCACCCCAGCCCGTGTGGTATCAAAACTGACAGAATTCCCCGGCACCCCCAAACCTTTGGTCCGCCAATGAACTGAAAAAGAATCATCCCAACTTTCATGCCGCAACAACTTGTTGTTGTGAAGCGGTCATGGCAGCAGGATCTTCGCTCGGACTGGTTTCCGCCCAAGATCCCCACAATCCTCTCTTTGCTCTGATTCGTAATGGCAAACCTATTGCTCGGTCTCCCTGCTCAACTTTGATAGCATCCTTGGTTGCCAAAACGAGTGTTTCGAAAAACATTTTGGTAGCTTCTTCTTTGCTCGTGGTGCCTTCTGGTACCAGGTCTTGTAGAAGAACCGATTTCTTCGCCGGGGATGAGGGATGTGTACCTCCCGCATCACCTAGTCGATCACGTAATAAGTGAACAGCACGCTTCGTCCCCAAAGATATCGGACCACTGTCTGCTGGATGGACGAGAGGCATTGTGGTGTCGTCGAACGTATCATCACCTCCAAAAATACCTTCATCGTCTTCTCCTGGAACGACATCTTCCAACGTGGGTGCTCCCTCACCGGTGCGAAGTTGGGCACTGCCACCGGGGAGGACACCGGCAATTCCTGGAGTGCGGTGTTCGTCAACGTGGACACCCTCATCCTCCATCGCATCCTCTGGACGTTCCAATCGCGGTGATTTTTCACTGTGCTCATCCTCACTGAGTCCACCAATACCACTGTCCCGTTTCCGCTTGAGTTGCCCTGGTCGCGTAACTGTCTCGAATGATAGAAGGCCTTGCAATTCGGGGGCCCAGTTTCTCGACCGGCCGTCATTCATCGCGTTCAGAACGAAGTCGCCATTCTTTTGCATATTCATCAAGGTGAGGAGGATCGGGTCTCGAGGAAGGAAGGAAGGCGCTCGCAAGATCTTGGATCGGTCTTCTCCTTGGGCTTTGATCTGTTTGTTGTGCAAGACCGTATCGACATCAGGGGCCAGTGGTTTCTGTTTTCGACTTCTCTGGCGCTGCTGAACGACGACCTCTGTAACATCTTCTGCCTCCTGGTTCTGGAAAGTCTCATCAAGTTCGTGCAGAACCGCCGAGCCCGCTTCTGACAGAGGAGATTCGGAGTTCCGCTGACGCTCCTCCGCCGCTTGTCGCAATTGCATGGTCTCGTCGTCTCCAAATGCAAGCGGTTCGTCATCGCCAGGTCCTGGGAGGGCTCGGTCGTCCGGAGCAGGCAGGTCAGCCTCGTCCATCATTGGTACATCGTCACTATCACCAAGATTCAGGTGGAGGTCGTCGTCATCATGAATGAGACCCTCCTCGCCAAAAATCTCCTCGCCGCCAGTCTTAGGGGAAGGCGCACTCCGGCCGACATTGATGCTGACAGTAGTCTCGTTCATATCCAGATCAGCTCGGTCCCCAAAGTCCAGATGGAGGTCATCGTCATTGTACAGAGGCTCTGCGCCAGGCGTCAGTAAGGACTGTGTGTTGCTTTGTTGAGGGTGAAGCGTGCTCGTCCAGTCTTCATCGAGATCTTGCGAGTGGGCTCCCGTGATGGCTGGTTGTTGTGTCATCGGGTATGCGAAATCCACGTTGGAAAAGAGATCGTCGATAGTGAGTAATTCGGGAAGATTGAGATCAACAGCAGTCGTAGTATGAGCAGGCAGATCATGACTGTTAGTCGATTTGAAAGTCTGCAGATCGGTGTGAGAGAGCGATCCTGCGCGACACATGCGACGGACTCACCATTCTAATCTTGATCAAGGCCTCATTGCAATCATCCAGCAAATAGCGGGCTTTTCTTCCGTAGATGCGCACCACGCCCAACATGAGTTGACCGCTTAAGCGCAATGCCATAGGCGCGTGCCCTTGATCCACGATCGCCCCGACGCTACTTTGAATATCTGACTGCAGGATTTGGGATTTGGAAAGCTTGCGTTCGACGTTGGACGCAAGCCAAACGCGAGCCAGAGGCCCGGTCTTGGCCAGCAATTGTTCTGAGTAAAACATGGTGACAGGAGAGGATGCGTGAGGGGGATTTGATCAGGAGCGCATGAGGTTGAGTGAAACCGACAGGGGAGAGGCTGGTAGAATTCAGGGCGTCGAGGCTCCGACGCGTCCAGCAGTGATGAGGCAGACTTGAACGGCGTCAGTGGATGGGATGAGGTATTTCAAAAATCGCGAAGACGATGAGATCGGTAAAGGAAGACGTGTGAGAGATAGCGAGGTGTGTAGACTGTGCTATGTAAAAGGGTGGTTGGAAGTAGAAAGTCGGATAGCACCAGCGCCGGGTGTTTTTGGTGGACGACGCGAAGTGGCATATGCTCTGCAGTAGCCCAGATGCGGTGGGATAAATGGGCTTCTAGTGCACACCTCCTGGGTGGTCGTGCCTGGAAATGGCCTCGCCGGCAATAGGGCCGTCCACTACTCCAAGTCCAGGGGGGCAAGGTTTTTTAACAGAAATCCTGACAGAGTATCCTCTCTTTATACCACTACCTTCTAGTTGAGCACTGCCGTCATCCATAGGCGTATACTTTCCGACCGCCGATTTATTGGTTGCAACAAATTGTTCCACCGCGACTGTGCTCCCAATCGCATTGTGCGTGGAGGATGGGGCGACGACTGATCTAGCATCATGCAATCATGTCAACATTATCGGTCCCTGCGCTGCCTGTCTTCAATACAGAATCTGCCCCTAGCCGATCACGAAGCCCAGCGCGTTTTGCAGGCAGCTCCTCCTCAATAACATCGTCCTATTCTCTTCTGAGTCCGCAGCAGACGGCCGAACGACTCCAAACCTCTCTCACGCATGGACTGTTTCAAACCGAAGCACATGCAAGGCTGGGAAAGGATGGGCCCAACGAATTACCCCATGAAGAGGAGGAACCGTTGTGGCAGAGATTTCTGAAGCAATTCAAAGAGACCTTGATCCTTCTCCTCCTTGGCTCGGCGGCCATCTCCCTCTTCATCGGTAATACGGATGATGCGGTGAGCATTGCGCTTGCTGTCACCATCGTGGTCACGGTCGGATTTGTTCAAGAATACAGGTCGGAGAAATCACTCGCGGCGCTGAACCGGCTCGTGCCTTATCATGCCCATGTCCGGCGTGCTGGTCTGCGATCGGGCGCACATGCCCGAGGTCACGGTGGTGAAAATGACGGGACAGAGTTGGAGCCTTTGGCGAATGGACCAGATGCGCCACCGGAACAGAAACTGTCTACCACCATACCGGCCGCTCAGCTGGTGGCAGGCGACCTGGTCCTTTTTTCCACCGGCGACCGCATTCCGGCCGACATCCGAATCACCCATTCTTCCGAATTGACCATCGATGAATCCAATTTGACGGGTGAAAATGAACCGGTGGAAAAGCATGCGGCGGCACTCGACCGAGCTCCTCCCAGATCCGAACATCACGGCACGCCGGAGCCTTACAATGCGGCGGGTACGGTGGGGGCGGACGTCCGCTTGAATGAACAGCACAACATTGCCTTTATGGGTACGCTCGTCCGGTCAGGCCATGGGGAGGGCATTGTGATCGCCACAGGAGGAAAGACCGAATTCGGAACGATCTCGTTGTCTCTGCAAGAAATTGAAGCTCCACGAACGCCGCTTCAACAGTCCATGGATCTGCTGGGAAAGCAACTCAGCTACATGTCATTCGTGGTCATTGGAATCATCATGATTATTGGTCTGATCCAGGGCAAGAAACCTCTGGATCTTTTCACCATCGGCGTATCCCTCGCCGTGGCCGCGATCCCCGAGGGTTTACCCATCATTGTCACGGTGACGCTGGCCCTGGGGGTCCTCCGAATGGCCAAACGAGGAGCCATCGTTCGAAAACTTCCCAGCGTGGAAACCCTGGGATCCGTCAACGTGGTGTGCAGTGACAAGACCGGCACGTTAACCCTCAATCATATGACGGCGACGAAAATGTGGCATTTTGATGCCGGTCAACCGTTTCCCATCGATACGTCGGCACATCCCACCGCCGCCATGAAGTCCGTTTTCCGAATTGGCAATATCGCGAACAATGGGCGACTCGCGCACACCAATTCCGGAACTCCCGCCACGGCCGCGTCGGCCGCGGTCCTCTCCTCGACGAGAGACTGGTCATCCACCAATACCAAAAGCAGATGGCTTGGGCAACCCACCGACATCGCCATGCTCGATTTGCTGGATGCGTATGGAGAAGACGACATTCGGGAACAAATCGGACCTCGAACGAGCGAGACACCCTTCAGTTCGGAACGAAAATGGATGGGCGTGGCTATTCGGAGTGCTCTCGGAGAGCTGACCAACGGATATGGTCTGGGCGCTGAAACGGCGTATATCAAAGGCTCGCTCGAACAAGTCCTAAGTCGGTCAGACACGTATTTGACCAAAGATGGACAGGAGGTGATCCTTGACGAGAATCGTCGTCAGGAAGCCAATGTGGCGGCGAGGGCCATGGCTGAGGAAGGCCTTCGCGTCATTGCATTCGCCAGTGGCACCTTCAGAAGCAAACGGGGAGGTAGCAGAAGCTCGACACCGGGTGGGATGAAGAAGCCGGCCGAGAAACCGGCCGAGACAGACATTTTCACGGGCTTGTGTTTTGCCGGTCTGGTCGGCATGAATGATCCGCCGCGAAAGGACGTCCATCGATCCATCCGACGGCTAATGACTGGTGGAGTGAGAGTCATCATGATCACGGGTGATGCGGAAACCACCGCCGTGGCCATTGCCAGGAATTTGGGTATGCCCATCAATCCGGCAAATTCCACGTCGAGGTCGGTGCTGCGAGGAGATGAACTGGATCGCATGTCCGAACAGGAGCTGTCCGAAGTCATGGGCAAGACGACGATTTTCGCTCGAACCAGTCCCGACCATAAGATGAAGATTATTCGTGCACTTCAATCGCGGGGAGATGTGGTGGCCATGACCGGCGATGGAGTCAACGACGCTCCCGCACTGAAAAAGGCCGACATTGGAGTGGCAATGGGCATGTTAGGGACCGACGTGGCCAAAGAGGCCGCCGATATGATTCTGACGGATGACGACTTTTCCACGATCCTTCGAGCCATTGAACAAGGCAAGGGCATCTTTTTCAACATTCAAAACTTTATCACTTTTCAATTGAGCACGAGCGTGGCCGCCTTAACGCTGGTGCTCCTGAGCACCATGTTGGGGTTCAAGAATCCGCTCAATGCCATGCAGATTCTTTGGATCAGTAAGTCGACCCCACACTGGACGTCGGCCCATCACTAACCCCTGACAGATATTCTGATGGATGGACCTCCGGCTCAATCCCTCGGGGTGGAACCGGTGGATCCTCGTGTCATGATGCAGCCACCTCGACCTCGAAACGCCAATGTGCTCACGAAACGTCTCATTCGCCGAGTTCTCACGTCCGCCATGATCATCATGACGGGTACTTTGACAATATATATTCATGAAATGGTCGACGTGGACGATCCAACGGCCAGTCTCCAGTCCAGCAATACTCCCTTACGCACCCGCGTGGTCACGAAACGCGATACCACCATGACATTCACCACGTTTGTCCTTTTTGACATGTTCAATGCGCTCACGTGCCGATCGGAGTCGAAATCGGTTCTCTTCGGTGAAATCAAACTCTTGGGAAACAAGATGTTCAACTACGCAGTGGCCGGCAGTCTTGCCGGACAGCTCTGTGTGATCTATTTGCCATTTTTACAACGGGTCTTTCAGACCGAAGCTTTAGGAGCATGGGACCTCTTGGCTCTAGTATGCATAACCAGCACGGTGTTCTGGGTGGATGAAGGGAGAAAATGGGCGGGGAGGAGGTCTTCTAGACTCGTGCCCAGTGTCGGTTATTCTGCCAGTGTATAGATTAGACAATGGAATAGGTATTCTTTGAGTATATCAACGATCCCATTCTAAATTCGTAGTGTACGCCTTTTCAGATTCCCGATGACGATACGCGAGCCTCGAATCTTGCCTTGGCTGTACCAATTTCCGATTGGGGGGATTGGCTGGAACCCGATAGAAGAAACTTCAGTGTCGATGTACACCTCTGATAAGCTCGTTTGCAAATTCTCGCCTATTTCCATACGATCTCCTCGTCTCTTTGTTCTGATTACGCATTGTACACAAGGGGCGTCTGACAGACTCATCCGTGTCCTTCTGGCTAGAATTACTTCGTCTGGAGGCAGGGATTCTTTTCCATTCATTTTCAATATAGACTCGGGTTCAATTTCAACCCGAATCCAATATTATTCAGTGCCCCAGAAACACAACTCCCAGTGAATCAACCTCACACCACTTCGTCCACAGCAGCGTCTCCAATCAGTCACGCAAGGCTGTTTCAACTGGGAAGCCGCAAGACCACCCATCTGGAAAAGCCAGAATAAGAAAGATGCGACCAGATGGCCCGCGAGATCCCGTCGCAGGGCCCGATTCAGGCCCCGAACCCCCATTCCCGATCAAGCTGTGTGGACCAGTCATTAAAGGGTTTGGAAGAGGGAGTAAAGAGGTGAGTATTCCTCGCGCTCTTTACGAGCTTCGATTTTGGGACATCGCACTGTGGGGGATCTGTCAGTCCACACGGTTGGCAGAGCTGAAGGAAATATGGTCGCCATATTAGCGAGAAGAGAAAGAAACTCTTGCCCTGAAATGGTTGTTCAAGGATCCATGACTGGTGGAGGTGGAAAGATCCAACCATCCAATTATGAGATATCCTATGGCTTGTCCTCCCAGTTTTCGCCCCGAAAGGCAGAGTGAAACTCGGACGACAAGCCTGAAGAAGAAAGTCAAGAACAACTTCTGAGTCCTTAACGGAATAATGTTCGACGATCTCAGTTCGGGTTGGGAAATATGATCCAAATCAGAGCCTGAACATGGACCATGAAGAGAAGAGAAAGCCTGTCTCTTTCACATCCCCTTTCCTCCTTTTGATTTCGATTTCGCACCAAGCTGGCTACTTTCTTCACTAACATTTTGTTCCCCTTTTCCCATTATAGCTCGGCATACCGACCGCCAACATCCCTCCCTCCGGTCTATCCTCCTACCCCTCCCTCTCCTCCGGCGTGTATTACGGCTTCATTGGTCTATCTCTCGCCTCCTCCCCCGACACACCTTTGTGTTCCATCCAAGTCCACCCAGCGGTCCTCAGTATCGGCTATAATCCTTTCTACCACAACACGACGCGCTCCGTCGAAGTCCACGTCCTCGCCGAGTTTGCTTATGACTTCTACGGGGCCGCGCTCAATTTGTTGATCCTCGGGTTCATAAGGCCCCAGTTCGACTACGTGAGCCGCGAGGCACTGGTCGAGGACATTAAAACGGATTGCGAGGTTGCGAGGCGTAGTCTAGCAAGGGAACATTACAGGAAATTTGAAGACGAAAAATGGTTGAGGGATTTCGAGTGGGTGGAAAAGACGGGGATGGATGCAAAGGAGGCGGAGAGGGAGGTGTTGAATCAAAATCAAAACCATAACCAGAACCAGAATCAAAGCAAAGACTGAGGACCAAAGCGAGGTACCTGGGTGGGTGTGCCGATGGAATCGGTGGTGAGGGTTTGAGAAGAAAAGGAGTCAGAGAGGTCGACGAGCGAGACGTTAAACTCGGCCCTCTCAACACGCAACACGACACAATAGATTTCTTTTTCGTGAGTCAGGTTCAACTCATCTTAACTTAACTCATCTTAGCATAAGGTATAGAGATTTGCCCCCACTCTCAAGGTGGTCACGAAGACATCTCTTGCGAATCGTGGCGGCCAACACAGAAACAGCTTCGCGCGATGCTGATTTTCCACTCCAATAAATGTTCTAACCCATACGGGGCCGCATCTGCACCTGAAATGGGCGTACTTGTTTGTAGGTGTGTGAACGACTTGCCCTCGTTAAAATCCCCATTTTTCTGATCCAAAACCAGCAATCCAGCACTTAAACTATAACTGATCGTAGGATGTAAACCATTCACAAAAAATAAAAAAGATTTGGGCGCCTATATACAAGGCAAAAACTAGAAAAGGTCAGCTTGAAGAGGGTCCCGTGCTGGGCGAGGGCAACTCACGTTCATCACAATGAGCATGGGTATATCAAAAACATCCCGTTTGACCGTCCAACAATATGTGCAATCCACTTTGCCATCCGCAGATCCTAATTTCTGCATCCCTTTTTCGCCCGAAATGCCATCCCTCTTCATTCGAGCGACCGTACCGTTTTGGCGTTGAGGTTCCACGGTATTGTTCTGTCTGGGTTCTTCATTTCGTGCTTCGGCTTCGGCGTTGAGGTTCTGTGCAATCTCGTCATCTTTCGTTCGATATTTGAGGAGTTTTCCCTTTCCCGAGACACTGCCACGACTGTCTCCAAATGCGAGTCGGGCAAAATCTTCATAAAACTGGATTACCGAATCATCGTCCAGTAATTCGGCCAGGAAGACGGGTTGCATTGTTTTTTCGCCATTTTCGGTTTCTGATGGCCCCCGTTGAGTTGGGGTATTGAAACCTGTTGCTCTGGCCGTGTTGGTACCAGATCCGGCGGCAGGAGTTTGACCAGATTGTCCTCGATTCACATTGAGATTGGGGGACTTTCCCAGAAGAACACTCTTGGTCCACCCGGTCAGGATTTGGAATTCTTTTCCGACCGCGGCGACCTCACCCGTTCTCCTGGCCACAATTGTGGGGGTGCCGACACCCTCGATAAATCCTTCATATTCCCATAGAGTCCTCTGAAAGCATTGTTCCATGAACACGAGATCTTGTCTATTCAACGTCTTGGTGGTCGCAATAAAGGAAGGTCGGATAGATGCTAAGGATTTGGCAATGGCCAGTGTTTTGGATGGATGATTTGCAAATCGTTTCTGCAAATAGGCAATAAATTTGTGAAATCCGGCCGTGTATGGATGGGGACTGGTGACCGTGGTGTAGATAGACGAAGGATCCCTGGGCCGTTTGATTGATTTTACCGGTAACTGAGATTTGGCCTTGAGTTGTGGGGTCGAAATGGGTGGCAGCTGACGAGATCGATTATCAACTGTATTTGATGATGAATTGATCGAACTATTGCCCATGGTGGAGGGCGGAACTTGAAGAGCGGCGTTGGTCAACATCGGTGAATCTTCAAACTTGGCAGCATTGGTTGGGGTGCCGTTGGTATCTGGTGAAGTCCAATGCGCCGCACTCGATTCTATCGCAAAGGCATTGGGCGCCATATGTCGACCCTGTCCATGTGTCCCATAAGGATCGCCACCGTTAGACCAGTCAGACATTATCGCATCACCATAGAACTGTTGGCGTGCTGTCGGACTTTCCCCTTGAAGTCCGAGAGGCATTCGATACTGCTGTGACATAGATCCTCTTTGTGTGGTGGTGTCACTACTGGGAGGAGTTTCGCCGGCATTTGTCGCCATGTGTCCAAGCATTCCAAACTCCAGTGCACCGTAATGGTTTCCAAAGTTCATGCTGGCAATGTCAAAATTGAACATTGCCGGATCATCAAACACTGCCCCAGGCCAAGCCGGAGCGTTCATGTTATTTGCAGCAGACTGGTCGGTTCCGATGACTGGACTCTGGAGCGGGACCTGCGATCCGGCATTGGTAAAATTGGTACTCAGCGGTGACTGTTGTGTGAAGCTGGTCGAGCTCATGCTCCGTTCATGGAGAATGGGAGGGGGCATTGGGGCGGGATTTGGAAAATTATGGAAGGGTTGCGCCTGTTGAAAGAAAGGTTGTTGGGAGGAGGTATCACTGGTCATGGTCGAGCTCCGCTTTGAGGTGGGATTATGAAAATGATTTCCACCCACTCCAGGCATGAGAGCCTCGTTGGGCGCATCGTGGAGATATTTGGCCTTCTTTCTAACTCCATCCTGACAAGCATCCTGCAGGCCACGTTTGATGCATCTTTGACAAGGTCTCTCGTCACCTGCAAAGAAGATTAGAGCCGGAAAATGGGTTTCCGTGTGGAAATTCAAACATACCACAAGTTAAATGAGCACGCTGGCAGGCGTAACATGCTCGGCGTGCTTTCTTCCTTCTGGGTCGGGAAGGGTCCTTGGGATTGGTGGGCTGGGTTCCATTCCGTTGCTTTTGTTTATCGTCCTTGGGCTCTCTTTCGGCCATGTTATCAAGGATGTGTTCGGCTCCGCTGTCTTCGGGAGAGGCCGAACGAGAATGGCCATCGTCGACTTCTGAGGCCGTCATATTGTTATAAACAGACCATCAGTTCCTGCCAGATCATGCAAGCTGCGAAGAAACTCGCACAAGAACGCCAATAGCGACGCCAGACCGAGAGATCGTATTGTTTATCCCCCCTTCCTTCCCGGGCTCGGAACACTGACCAAAGGGTTGTTCTCCCACGCAACCCTCGCTGTCAAGGGAGGTCTTTTCTGGATGGCAGAATCACGTCAATCTCGCGAAGAGTAAGATGGCGCGCCGCCCGCCCAATAGAGACCAAGTGCTCGGGTCTTTGAGAGTGATTGAGGGGGTTGCAAAGCGGTCGTGGTAAGTGGGAAAGAGTCCGTCAGATTTGTATGACAGCGGCGCAAGATTGGAGACCAGTAGCTGGTTTGGTTTTGCAGCCAAACTGCACAACCTCGTCGGGCGATTGACGTAGTGCGACTTTGTTGAGGTATGACAGAGGGAGGTAGACAACCATTCAGAGGTTGCTTCGCGCAGGGAGGACAAAGGTTGGTGATGGTGGATTCGGATCAAGAAAAAGAGGATTTTCGTAGGAGAGCGATATAAGGAGTCGATGGCTTGTCGAGGGAAATCTAGATGTTTGCAAGGGTTGTGTTGTTGTTTAGGACTGGGCCATGGCGAGGTTGTTCTAGGATTTTTTGGTTAGATGCGGGCAAATCCAGGCCTCGGGACGCGGAGTCGGATGCCAATGTGGCGCTTGTCCGGGTCGGCGCTGGCTTCGATGCTGTTATCAGTGTCGATGTCACTGTCGATGTCGCTGTCACCGAGAGGTAATGATCTGGTCATAGTAGTGGTGTGCGTATGGCATAATAAGAGTAGGGTAGAAATGGAGTCACAGAAGTGAAAATGGAATGGAGGGGGAAGTCGAGGTGCGACGCACCGCCAGGAGACGATTAGGGACAAAAGTTGCTTGCAGCATTAGTGCGAATGAGTAGGCGCGGCCAAAGAATAACGAGAGGATGGGGCTCCGGGCTGGGAATCACTTTCCGTGCTTGGTACATAATGTGTTGGTACTCTCTCGCCTGTAGCATACCAATGAGATACTTCTTTCTGAAGTTTTCCTACTCCAGCGAATTGCCCCGTTCAGCTTGGGCTGAAACTTACGCTTTGGCGCACAAGCGACCCCACAAAAACTTGGGACCAAAATGAATCCTGGGAATGAGGGGCCGATGGCCGCAGCCTGCTTCCCTCCGTCAAGGGCCCCAGACTTACAATACTTCGGGGCTCCCTTTCGCCTAACAAATTTCATTCTTTCCGGGCGCTCCCTCTCCCTCTCTCCGTCCTCCAGTTCGTAAGCCACTCATTTCTCCTCCATTTCTTCCCGTCTGCTCCGTGAATTATTCACCCCATACACGCCAATACCAACCGGCATCCTTCCAAACACGGCTGACCCGCAAACCTATTGGTCCTCACGGTCCTACGCCATGCACACGACAAACCCTCCGTCCAAAGAGAGTTTAAGGTCCTCCCGTTCCTTACGATCTAGCCTTGATCGAGTTAACATCAGGCTGCAAAATTGCATCGGCACCACCCTCTCGCTTTGCCCCTCCTCTACTCCCTCCTTGCGAGGCTGCCCGTTTCTACCCGATCGATGCCCCTTCAATCCGGAACTCCACGGCCGAGGCTCCCCAAAGACCCAGGACATGAGAAATCATCCATTGGTTTTATCAAAAGTCGCGCCTCTAAGTCGATCAAAATAACTCAAGTTTGCCACGCATGGTGACCCTCCACCAACTTGTTTGACATCCAATCCGAGGGAGAGAGGCTCCTGACCGGCACACGAACCCCTCAAACCAAGGGACAACGTCCACATCGACAGAAACACTCAGGCATGCTTTGGATTGGACGACGGTGCTTCGAGCCGGTAGGTTGTGCCATGATTCCGAAGCACTCACCGTATTCCTGTTTGTGTAACATTTCGCCTTTGACGGGCGTCTGCTATCCAATTCTTGACCCCTGATGGTATGCCTCTCGACGACGCTGCACAATATATGAAATAACGCCAACCCCTAATGCTTCATGCCACTGACAATGCGTCCCTCCGTTGTGAGACAGCCTTATAGTCCCGAAATCTTTGAGATCGAGCTCCACCGTCGACTCAGTCACTACCATTTTGCTGGGAACGGTTTTGGGGTTCCAGGATGAATTTCTGCGGCACCCGGCAGCATTTCTCAAGAAACTTGAAAGGATTCCTTGTCCGATGTCAAACATGTCCGACCGGAGAGTTTATAGGTGGGTGCGTCGACTATAAGGGGAGATTTTATCGGTGGCCATCTCGCTTGGTACCGGCCATACACGAGGAAGGCTTTTCGAGTTCGGCTCAGAGCATAAATCCCCTTCCCCCTTTTCAAGCCGAAAGGTTGGTGAACATGCTCTTTTGCCGCAATCTTTTGCCATAAATGAAGAACAGATAGGGGAAAGGGGCCATCGCCAGGCAAAGAAGACCCAAGAGGGTTGTTGCCCAATGAAAATTGAGTGTGTTATACATCTGCACTCCGAACAAGGGAAAGGCACCTGCAAATGAACTGCGAGCAAATGAGTTGGCGGAGAGTGCACTTGCGGCGTACAGGGGATAAGCCTCCACCAAGAACGTGAAGATTCCCGAGAAGCACAAAATGATGCCGAATCCAAAGAAGGATGTTGCGATGATGGGTACAATCCAGTGGATGGGCCTATAAATTGTCCACGCAAACCAGAAGAGTCCTACCACGCAAAACCATACTCCGACAATGGTAGGGGGAAGGCGATACTCTGGCTCGGATTTGCGTTCTCCAGTTCTCCTCTCATGATTTGAAAGCAGTCGAAGATAGTTCTTGTGCCAGAAATGATCCGAAGCCATGGCCAACAACATACCAATCAGGAGGCCAAGGAATGAGAGACCAACTTGCCACAATTTGAAGTCGTACACCTCGGAGAAGACCAGGTTGAAGGCGCCAAAGAACAGATACAGAATCCCCAGAAGGATTGACGATAACAGGCACAAATTGAAACACATGGGCTCCATGAATAAAAGCATGAACGGCCGGTACAGAGATCGCACCACCGTCCAGAAAAGAGATTGCTCAAGGATCTCAATCGGAGCCTTCCACCGGTCATCGCCCGTCTCTCTTCGTTTCTGCTGTGCCTTCTTACGCAAGACGACGGGCATATAAGTCTCTGGCACAAGGAGGGTGATGGCCCCGAGCATGGCGCCGGACCAGATCAGAAGGACGTAATACGACCATCGCCAGGAAGTGTTGTAGTTGATGAATCCGCCGATAATGGGTCCAATACCTGGACCGATGAAAGGACTGGCGGTGTAGACCATCATCGGTGCTTGAAGTGTGTCGCGAGTGAACATGTCGCCGACGGTGCCTCCGGCGACAGACAAGAAGGCACTTCCCGAGAAGCCGTCCAGAAACCGAGCCACCAGCATAGTCTGAATATTCGGGGCGGCGGCACAGGGAATGAGCCAGATGGTGAAAAAGATATAGGCCAAGATATAGATGGGCCGACGGCCGTAGAATTCAGACAATGGACCAAGGAACATGGGCGACAACCCCAAGCCGAAAACGAAAAGAGCCAGACCGAGAGTTGCGACGATTCGGGAATTTCCAAATTCGGCATCCATTTTCTCTATTATCCAAGTCAGTGCTGGTGCGCTGGAAGAGGAATGGGAGGTATCGACGAACCATATGTCGTCGTGTATAACGATGAGGTACAAGTGACGCACAATGAGCCAAAGGCCAACGTTATCACGACAAGCCATTTCCTGGCGAGGCTCGTGTTCTTGGGATTCATGGGATCATCGGGCCCGTCCCAAGTCACTTCGAAGGATTTCTCATTGGGGCTACCTTCCACATCAACTTCTTTTTCCCCAACCGGGACATCGCCTTGCTCTGCTTCCTGCCTGAAATATGTGCTGTGGCCATCGACATAGGATCGAGTCGAGTATAGGCTGGCAGGGGCTTGACTTCGATGTGACGAGATTGGAGTCAGCGGTGACGGTGGTTGCGGCTGTCCTCCCCCGAGAGGACTCAGGTATGTGTCTTTCTTTTGTTCTTCCGTCATCGTTGATTCGTTCGCCATGGTAATATCTTGCGAAGTGTGAATCCTCTGCGACAAGGACTTGGCGTCACAAAAAAATAAAAGAGGAATTCTCCGCTTGCAGGCCGGCTACGAGACGAACCACACCGTGAAAGTCGGAGTCAAAGTCATCTAGGCTCCATATGGGCGGACTGAGACATAGAGCTAAATAGCTTATAGCCGACGCGATGTTTTATTTCGACAATGAAGCCTGACTAGTCACAGGCCCTGACAGAATTAACTGACAGTCTGAACTGTGGTGGAGGGAAAATATGACGAAGCAGACGTACTCCAGCACACCAGCCCTGAGTAGTGACGAGGATGGGATGGCACCTCCGGCGTTAATTTCGAAAACCAGAGCTCGCTTTGTGTCCTGGGCCATGACTTCTTCGAGAGTAGCTTTTGAGGTGGAGGATGTACGATACGAACGTGGTTGGGTTTTTGCTCGATAGCCGTGCGTGGATTCGTGGGTGGGAATGTATGGGAATATCGGCCATGGTATTGGATCGAATGAATTTCTGGATGACAGATGCCGGGAGAGATACCGGCGAGATTCCGGCGCCCTGAACTTGAACATGACATGCGTGGTCTGACCAAGACATTAAAGAAGGCATTGTAGGACTAGGCGCGCTGTGTTGGGTTCCTAATATTGTCAGACAGCGCCTTTTTATTTTCCTTCAGCGGAATAACCCCCTATCTTGCGCTTCCAACTTCCGGTCACGTCATCTTTTCGTACTCAGATGGCCGCCCCAATGCAGACCCTGCGCCACATGCTAAATTTTTGTACGAGATACACCTTTGCTCACATGTTTTTGCTTACCAACCCTTTCCCATCTCGATCCACAATATAACGAAATACCACAGGAAAGACGTGGCTCATATTATCGCCTGGTAGCTAGCACTTTGTAAGCAAGCACAAGGCTGGCTCACTCGTGGCGGCTTATAGTGAGTTCGCGTTTTGTCTACCTCTCGAGCGATATGTCCGGATGACGTGCGTTGACAAATACAATTTGGTAGCCATGTATAGTAGGAGACCCTCAATCGAAGGTTTGAACGTCAGGCATTCTCCCCAGACCACTGCCTTTGCTCTTTGGGGCAGCTTGCACATCGTCGAGAACGCCACCAGCGCTCCGTTCTCTCACATGTTTTCGTAGCATGCACAGAATTTCACTCTCCTTCCATCGTTGCGGAACCGGTCTGTATGCCGGTTTGAAAGTCCCAACCGTCTGAGCCCACTCACCACTTCGTGGAGCTCCTTGTCGCCATGCATCAGTCTGTTGAGTTTGTCCCGGATTTGCAGAAGAGGTGTGTGCCTTGGGCGTGCTTGTTGAATCACCCTCCCCAGACGCGAGTGACGATGGTGAATTGGCTGGTGATTGGGTAGCCCAGTAGTAGATATCCCAATCATTCTCGTCCAGGAAAAGATCGTACTGCTCGAGTTGAGACCGGTTCATGGACGACAGATTGGCTGCCGCGAACGTGGAGAGAAGGAGGTCCGACTCTAATATCCCCCGTTTCCTGCTTTGGTCTAGAAAACATCAGTTAGCATGGAAGATCTTGTGAAATTCGAGCGAACTCCGTCATGATATTTCGGCACACGGAGCTTTTAGCACCAACATAATAATCTCGCTCGCATCGTCGTGAGATCTTCACCCGTGCGGCGTACGGGCTCAACTCTGAATGTAATTCCCTCCATTTCACCAACGCCAAACTCTGATGGCGGCCTTACTTGGTCGGTATCTCCCGCTTGTGTCCCTCCAGTCATTCTTTCTGTGTTTTCAGGTGCTCGGTCTTTGGGCACGTAGTGGGGGTCGACTGAGCTGAGCAGGTCTGGAGGAGGTTTATCCTTCCCTATCGAGGGCATATCATTGTGGAAGGTCGAGCTCGTGTTTGTGATATGAGGGTTATTGGGCTTCTCTTTCTGATATTTGCGATGTTCTTCAGCATTGGGATGGACTCTTTCGTTGAATCGGGAGGCTGAGGAAGAGATGCATCGTTGGGACACCGAGGGGCTCAGGGAGCGACCGGCGCGTGACCTGGCTAAGACTCGTGCGGGATTCATCATGAAGCACATAGAACAGTAATCGAAGTTCACACGAACGATTGACAGAGAAGGAAAGACAGCATCTTGCTCAGTTGTTGATGTAGTCGAAAGGAAGTTTGCGAAGTCGTTGACATCATCAATTTGCGGAGATTTTTTTCCCCTAATGATCCCTTCCACCGGTTCGTGCTTGGCTGAGGGCAAACCGCCAATGCCGAGATGGATTTTGAAGCTCACTTGGCATACTACATATGTGATTGAATACGCAGATACTTTTTAAAGCCTCCTGTATGGGAGGGTGGGCTTGTTCCCCAATATATCATCAATCTCAGCCATGACCTTGTCGTCCAATTTCGGAAGCAAGTCCAATGCTGTGACAGACTTGGCAATTTGTTCGACTTTTGATGCCCCCGTGATGGCTGAACTCACATGCGGATTCTTGAGAACCCAGGCCAGCGCCAGGGTCGCTTGATCGGTGCCTAGTTTCTCCGCCACCGGCTTCAATAGCCTCACTTGAGTAAGAGCCTTTTGCCATTGTTCATTCCCATAACTCTCCCTTTGGTTCGTGGTGAATCCTTCAGTGGATTTGGCAATTCTGCTGTCTTCAGGAATGCCATCGTTATACTTTCCCGTCAGAATCCCTGTCTTGAGCGGGCTGAAGATTGTGAGACCGAGTCCGTAATTTTCGTACAGCAGGGCGTATTCTCGTTCCACTCTGTCTCGGGCCAACATGTTGTATTCAGGCTGCTCCATCACTGGTCCGATGAGATTGAGCCTTTCTGCGCATGCCCAGGCCATTGCGATCTCCTCGCTATTCCACTCACTCGTCCCCCAGTAGAATGTCTTGCCTGTATTGATCAAGTAGTTCATCGCTCGAACCGTCTCCTCAATTGGCGTATTTCGGTCTGGACGGTGACAGTAAAGCAAATCGACATAGTCCAACTGCAATCGTTTAAGTGCCGCCTCGGTCCCTTCAATTAGGTGTTTTCGGGAAAGACCGCCATTATTGACGGGATTTTCACCAAACGCACTGCCCCAGTAGATCTTGGTGGAGATGACAAGGTCGTTTCTTTTCCATCCATACTTTTTGATGGCCTGGCCCATGACAATTTCCGATTTGCCTTCGGAGTATCCCTCGGCGCAATCAAAGAAGTTGATCCCAGCATCGTAGGCCGCTTTCATGCATTCAAAGGCCACATCTGATTTCTGAGTTAGGGGAGAAGTGAGTATTAAGTCGGGCCGATCTCTTACCGTCACCCACGGCTCCGCCATAGGTAACCCTGTTAGAGGTTAGCATTGTAGTTGTGGAGCAAAATGGAGGACTATGTGTTCCGTACCATCCACCGAGTGAAATCACAGACACTTGGAGTCCCGATCGGCCTAGAAACCTGTATTGCATTTTAGGAAGTTGGTCACCGGAAGGCCCCATGGCTCGGAAAACAGGTTAGGAAAGAGCTTGCTCAGTCTGATGAGAAGTGAAATGGAGATTGGATGGAACAAGAGATAGGAGATGCAAGAAGGCCAATTGCACTGAAAAATCCAGGCAAAAGATCTCTTTCAATAAATACCACTGACGGCGTGGCATTTAGCCAGCTATTCTCCGACGGCGGGGGTGACGGTTTGAGGATGAGATACGCCGTAGATTGAAGCGATAATCATGACTCACGGCGAACAAATAGACCTATATCATCAAATGGAAAAGTGAGGGGGTGCGTCGGCTTGCATATGAGGCTAGAGAATATGGGGATAATCATCCTTGCAGGTGTCAGGACAGCCAGCCTTTCCCCAAAGGTACCGATCACAGATTGAACCCACCGTCCTTGTTCGACAATCTTGAGGAAGCTCGATATCATCATACGAGTACACGTACATGATGGGGCCATTTCGAGGACGCTCACCTGGCGCGTAGGATGTTGAGAAAAATGCAGTCCTGAAGGTTTCTACTCCGCAGGATAATTGCAAAGATCTTGGCGAGTGAACTCTTGGCACACACAAGGTCGCGTTCGACCGCATCCGACCAAGACAAGGGAATCTCGCCGTAGCCACCACTGTGACTTTCGAGTTCAGCAAAAATTTCCAACACACTCTCTCTAGGGATTCTCGAGCAACCATGGCTGAACAATTAATTCAACGTGGTACCCTCGAAGGCCACAGCGGCTGGGTCACCAGTCTGGCAACCAGCTTGGAGAAGTCAGCCTTATCAAACCTTTCGCAACCTCGCTAACTGCGATTTTTAGCCCGAACATGCTGCTCTCTGGCTCAAGAGACAAGACCCTCATCATCTGGAACTTGACCCGCGACGAAGCGGCCTACGGTTATCCGAAGCGGTCTCTTCACGGTCACTCCCATATCGTCTCCGACTGCGTCATTTCCTCCGACGGTGCCTATGCGCTCTCGTCATCCTGGGACAAGACTCTTCGATTGTGGGAGCTGTCTACTGGAAACACCACACGAACCTTTGTTGGCCACACCAACGATGTCCTTTCCGTCTCTTTTTCTGCCGATAATAGACAAATTGTCTCAGGTTCTCGGGACCGAACCATTAAGCTGTGGAATACCTTGGGAGACTGCAAATACACCATCACCGACAAGGGCCACACCGACTGGGTATCCTGTGTTCGCTTCTCTCCTAATCCTCAAAATCCAGTCATTGTCAGCGCCGGCTGGGACAAGTTGGTCAAGGTAAGAAGGGATTCGCTCCCTCGTTTTGCTTGCCCAAGATGCTACGCATTACCAAAGTATTTGCTACTTCAGAGCCATTGGCTATGAGACAACCATTCACCGGCGGACTGAGGCAAGGCCATGGAAATTCATCACCCAGATATCTAGTTTCATGAATTGGGGCCGCGACTGACATGGACAATTACAGGTCTGGGAACTGGCTTCTTGCCGCATTCAAACCGACCACATCGGCCACACTGGCTACATCAACACGGTCACCATTTCTCCCGACGGATCCTTGTGCGCGTCTGGCGGCAAAGATGGTACCACCATGCTTTGGGACCTGAACGAATCGAAGCACCTCTATTCTCTACAAGCTGGTGACGAAATCCATGCACTTGTTTTCTCTCCTAACCGATACTGGCTTTGCGCTGCCACCACATCCTCGATCACCATTTTCGATCTGGAGAAAAAGAGCAAAGTCGATGAACTCAAGCCTGAATATGTCGAGAAGGGCAAGAAGTCACAAGAACCGTACTGTGTGAGCTTAGCATGGAGTGCTGATGGTCAAACCTTGTTCTCTGGATACACAGACAACAAGATCCGCGCTTGGGGAGTTATGTCTCGTGCGTAGAGGGTCATGTCGTGGAGAATTGAAAGCCATAGAATTTTCGTGGTGAAAAGGGGCGAAAGTTGAAAGGGAAGTGATCCTGGTCAAAAGAAAAAAAATGGGTTCACTTGCCAACTGCATGTCGACCAGCCATACCCGTCGTCAAGATAGCCGGATCCCGGAGCCGATGACACTTGAGGCATGCTAGAGGATGGTATGAGAAATGAACAAAATCTTCATCCCAACCAGATTCTCATTTTTTTGTCAAGTCTATTCAAGCATATTCTTTCACCATATTTCTGGCTCTAACACGTTCTTCCGGCCTCAGCTTGTCCGCAAACTCGCTCCCAGAATTGATCGACTCCTCCCACTCTTCTTCATCCATATTCATAATCATGCAAATCTGGCTACATCGCAAAAACGCCTCTCGAAAACTATACTTCTGGCCCTTGACCACCACCTTGACGATTTCGTTGACGTCGTGCTCCAGCCTCGCCGCGCCAACGTCGTTGACTCGTCCGTGATACGTCCACAGGCGCTTCTCGATCATTTTGCTCAGGTACGTGACGACAATGGCCAGAAGCTGATCAAAGGTTCGCTCTGTCATGATGCGTCCGATGGGTTTGGTCAGAGCGTCCCAACCGAGCTGGAAGCGCATGCGCACTTCGTCGGAGAAGCCGTCCGTTGCGGCATTGCCGTCCATTTCGGCTGCGAGCTCTTGGAGCTGTTCTCGGCTAAGTTGGTAGTCGGTGTCGCGGAAGGCGTCCATTAGGATGGGGCGCAAGCGGGGCTTCATCACATTGTGGAAGACGACGTTGATGCCGTCGGAGACGAGTTCGTTGGCTTTATCTGAGAAGATGGTCGAAAATGAGATCAATGTTGCGGCGATCGCTTCCGCTTCGCCCTCTTCCGGAAACAGGTCTTCGAGCGGTTGATGGGGAGAGCCCGGGGTGATCTCTAGACGGGCACGGACGATTTGATCGACGTAGTCTTTGGCTACGTCGAGGTTGTTGATGAGGACGAGAAAGGCCACGATGGTCGCTTCGGGGGGGAGTTGTCCTTGGATCGCGGCTTTGGGATAGCTTTCGTCGCGCATCTTGCGTTGTTCCATGCCGATGAAATCGGAGCCGAGCACTCGACCGAGGGTTGGGACCACGTTGGAGACGACCAGCTTCTGTGAAGTAGCCAGTGATTGCTGGAGGACTTTGTTGACAATGTACATGATATCTTCGATGGCGGAGGTGACATGCGGAGGATTAGAGTTAAGCGGCTTATGTGGGTTCAGAGATAGGTCAGGTGGCTGTTCATCCAGTTGGAAAGCCTTTTCGACGGAGCGGCGGAAGAAGAATGTTGTCATGGTGTTGAATGGTGAGAGGAGTTTGTCGTGAACCTTTCTCATCAAGCTCGAGTTGAGGAGGAAAGGTGGCATGTGGAGAGAACCGTTGGCGCTGTTGGGATCACGGCATTTGTCGGATATGAATCTGGTGTAGAGGGACCATTTGCCTAGCATGAGGGCCATCTCGTTGAGTAAAGCATCTACTTGTCTCATGTCGACTGACTCGTCCTCGCTGCCACGACCTGGTGCAGGAGAATTGGTACGAGGTGTGCCGGTAGATCCCCGCTGTGCGGGCATGAAGCTTTGAACCAGGAATGTGAAGGCGTATGATTTGATGTCGGTGAGCTGGCGATCGATCCTCCTTTCATCACTCCATGTGTCAAGAATGATCCCCCCTTGAAGATCAGCTTCGACTTGAAGCCGCTCGATGACTCGAGCCAGCTTGCCGGGTCCGTAGTGTCGTTCGACCAGTCCACCATGGCCGTCGATGATCTGTGCAATATGCTCGAACAATCGGGTCAGGGCATTCGCATAAAAGAATCCATCCTTGCTTTGATTTCCTCCGGTACCGGCATTGAGGCTGCTTCGAGCTCGAGTAGCCACTCCCTGGCAGACATAGCGGCCGTATACATCCAGACCCACGTCAGATCGATTGATGAGCGGGAACAATTTGAAGAATCGCGTGATGCGGGCACCGTCATTCTCCTTGACCGCCTTGTCGAATTCCCGGAGGAACAAATTACACAAAGATTCTGAGGCGGTTTCCAGGGTGACAGCTGGGGTGTCTGGGACTTCAGCCGTCGGCACCACTCGTGCGGCAAAGGACCCATTGACGACTTCGCCGGGGATTTTCGAAGCCCTGCTCAGATAACTAGCAGCAGTTTCCCAATCTTGAGCCGCACCCATGGAGCCTGAGACGCCTAAGACGCAGGCCTTCAACTCGCCAACCTGTTCGACGACAGTGAGCGTGGCTTTGACCCTTTCCTGCTCGAGGTCAAGCTTCTTGACCGAATTTGAGATGCGCTTCGCATTCGAGGCGGCGTCGGAAAGCATGCCATTGCTGACGGCTCTAACTTTGGAGGCTTGGGCAGTGGCATTTATACGAAACAGGTCAAGTCGACCCAGTTCACGCTGAAGATCTTTTTGTGCGCTGACCAAGGCATCGAGTTGAGAGGTCACTGTCGCTTCCTTTTCGTGAAGCTCTGTCAGAGCAGCTCGAATTTCCGATACGGATTTGGCATTGTACACGGTAATGGATTCTTGTTCGGTCTCAAATTCAGAGACGTGGCCATTTGGAATCATGATTGAGCAATGTTGGGGTGGGTTGGCGGCTCGACCATCGAAGCAGGGGTTACAGTGACAGTGCTGCGCACAAAATTGCGCTAGCCTTCGACTTCAGCCATCCTCAGGTAGAGGGTGCAAAGATGTCCATTAATGTTCTCGCGTGGTGAAGAAAATACACAAAAGATTACTAGCCGTGGTGAGAACCCCTCGGGCCGCGACGTTCGATGCATGCGGCGAAATATGACGTGGGGCATTTTGGCGCCACAACGTGATAAAAAGTCTCATTGGGGCTCTAAAACTTCCCCTCTTCCGTGATTGTTGTTGCTTGGATTCAGGCCATCGTCTACAATTTCTGGTTGCATTTCTTTGGAGTCAGTCTTACCCGCCGTCATCCTGTTTCGCTTTCTATTCGCAATCATAGGTCGTCGAAGACGAGATCGTCACCCGAATCCGCGCCCTGCTCACTGGAGATTCAACATGGGCAATGAATCGTCGACTCCGGTGGACGAGGCCACACCTCCTACCACTTTATATGCTCGTACCATTGAGGCTGTCGCTGATTATATCAAAGAGAAGGATGTCAAGAAAATCGTGGTCATGGTGAGCGGAAAGACTTGCAATGACAATGGGAAATGTCTAACCTGACTATGGCCAGACAGGCGCCGGGATCAGTACCTCTGCTGGCATTCCGGACTTTCGTTCCCCTGATACTGGACTCTATGCCAATCTCGCTCGATTGAATCTCCCGTACGCCGAAGCAGTTTTCGACATTGGATACTTTCGCCGAAATCCATATCCATTCTATACCTTGGCTCATGAACTGTATCCGGGCAAATACCGACCGACCGTGACACATTCGTTCGTTAGCTTGCTTCACAAGAAAGGAAAGCTGCTGAAACTCTTCACTCAGAACATTGATTGTTTAGAGCGCGAGGCCGGAGTTCCTGCGGACAAGATCGTGGAGGCTCATGGATCTTTCGCCACTCAACGATGTATCGATTGCCAGACTGAGTATCCCGACGATCTGATGAAGGAAATGGTTAGTAAGAAGGAGGTTCCACACTGTATTAGAAAGACTTGCAATGGGTTGGTCAAACCTGATATTGTGTTCTTTGGCGAGGCTTTGCCAGAGTCATTCCACATGAATCGGAGTTTACCTGCCAGAGCCGATCTGGCCATCGTAATGGGAACGAGTCTCACGGTCCAACCATTTGCCAGCCTACCGTCTTTTGTGAGGGAGGATACGCCTCGCGTTCTCATCAACCTGGAAAGGGTTGGCTCACTTGGTTCGCGGCCAGACGATGTGTTACTCCTCGGAGATTGCGATGATGGTGTACGAAAATTCGCAGATGCGCTCGGTTGGCTCGATGAGCTTGAGGAGCTTTGGGAGACGACCAACCCAGACAAGAGTCAGAGGGAGAAACAGGAGGCTTCCCTGAAGACTCGCCAAGAACAACTGGAGGAAGAGATTGAAAAGTTGACAAAGGACATTGATGTCTCATTAAAACTTTCAGGTGAGGCAAATGAGAGACTCAGAGCTGAATTGGAAAAGAACCCAACATCCACCGGAGACGACGACACCAAATCATCCACCGATTCCTTTGCCACCCCACAAACCCCTACGACGACTACAACTGCTTCCAACCTCGGTCATGTCTATCCTCATCTGAAGGACGAGAAGCCGTCTCTTTGAGGTAAATCGATCCTTGACGTCAAACCGAACCTCAAGTGGCTGGTCTTCTAGACCACCATTCATCTCATCTTGATTCGGTGAGTCTGGGGAAACACGCCTCAGAACCTTCCCCTGGTCCTCACATGACCGACTGAGTTAACCAGCAAGTGAGGCTTCAGTCAGCCACCCGCATGATCTCTTCTTTGACGAACACGCCGTCAGAACACATATTCACTCGATCCGTGGCACTCCAGATTTGGTGATACCACTCTCTTGCTTCGCTGATACCGCTCAATCCTCACATACTTTCTCATCACCTCGTTCCTCGCATCCGACAACCATGCCGTCCCCAATGCCAACCACGCCGCCCAGGCCTCGTGTGAATCCACGGCCCGCTGGCAGCGGCAGGTACAGCAGACAGACTTTACATATCACCGTCGGCCGATCAAAAGAACCTTTTCACGTTCATTACTCTCATCTAGAACGGACCGCGTTTTTCGAAATTCACGGTACCCCCGCCGCGGCGCGATCCCGGGCTCCATCTGTTTCTGGTGATCGAAATCCAACAGTCAGTCCAGATCCCGTGAAGCAAGAGGAGGATGTGGATGCTCCAGGAAGTGACGCAGATTCAAATGCGAACATGTTAGTGGAAGAGTCACCATCTACCCCAGTCTATCATCTTGATGGACGTTGCCATGACCCTGCTTCATTTGAAGTGATTGTGAACTGGCTTTACAACATATCACCCAAGAAACCTGTTACGAGAAATCAGTGCAGAACCCTCCTCAAAGCCTACGTCCTTGCGCTCACGTACAAGATCACCCTGCTTCAAGATGCGCTCATCGACTGCTTCAGACAATATCATCAGGACTACAACATTGTCTTTGAAGATTTAATTTGGCTGGTCAATAGGCTTGAAGAGACCCGAGAGGTATTGACCGTCCCGATGGTGAGATACCTTGTTGACCAAATTGCATGGGAAATATCTCAGCAAGGGTACGCGACCTTCACGAGCCACAACATCTTCTTCGAAACCTTCCTCATAGAAGGAAATCGCCCGATTCGCAAGACGATATTCGAAGCAGTTGCAGATCTCTTGAGACCAACACGACCAGGGGACCCAGCAATCGGTCCAAGCCGGTACAGAGTGCAGGATTGGGAAGCTCCACAGCAGACATTGCAGCGGCAAATCATTGAACTTGATGATTAAAGGGAACAAGGAATTTACGCCGTGTCTTTGTGACAAGCCTCGTTAACCTTGCTTGGTGGTGGATTTGGTCTTCAGGTCAAGGTTTCTAGGGGTCAATGAAACGCTAAGGGCAAGTTTCATAGGATAAGGTGTAATTGAATGGTGATGACATGAGGTGAATGGGTCTTGCGAGAGAGAGCATATCAGATATCTGGGTGTTTCGAGTAGGGTCGTCGAAGGAAAAGGACTCAGTCTCGTGAAGTCGTGAGTCAACCATGACCAGGTTAGTCAGTTACAACAGCGCTTCAGGAAAAGTTTGAAGATGAGCTTGGATACCGAACAGGAGCTTGGGGAATCTCTTGGATGATCCAAGGGCTGCTGGCTTGCCTGAGCTTTCCACAGTTTCTAGGACTACCAGTCTGTCAAAATAGCTACTGAGCTTTTCTTCGCAAAAGTGCTGTGAAAGCCGGTATTGGATTTTTTTTTTTTTTTTTTTTTAATCTTTTCCCATCTCCACGACCTCCGATTTGCTATCAGCCGAATGGCTTATGGGATGTGATGAAAGGAGCTCGTGGAGTCGCTTATTATTGAGTTGCTTCTGGCGTCTGGATCTGCCCCTCGCTTGCATGGCGCGCGCCCCTGCCACTAACTTTTGGTCACCAAACGTCAACGGAGTTCAAGCTCCCAGGAACTTTGAAGTTACCCCGCCAGCCAATTTGATCGTCATCATATTTTGGGCTCCCGTCTTCTCTGGCATTGTTCTTTTTTCCCCCTTGTCTCCTACGGCTCTCCCTGGCGGAATCTCTCACGGAGAGGAACCTATTCATAGCCGGAGACACCTTCTTCTCTCCCTCTCATTCTTGCGAAATCTTCCGGGTTCAACTGCCACGATGGTTGGCTTAGGTCCAAAACGCAAGCCGTCCCGCAAGGGTAAGTATACTTTCCGAATTGGGAGAGGGGACTCGAAGGCTGATTGTTAGCCTCGTGCAGGTTCTATGGTCGATGTGCCAAAGAGCTTGCTGAACGAAATTGCCAACCTCGAGGAACTGTTTACGGTAGACGCTGCAAAACTTAAGCAGATCACCAATCATTTCGTCAAAGAGCTGGAAGCGGGCTTGGAGAAAGATGGAGCCAACATTCCCATGAACCCTACCTGGGTCATGGGCTTCCCAGATGGTGATGAGCAGGGAACTTTCCTCGCCCTGGATATGGGCGGTACCAATCTGCGAGTGTGCGAAATTACGCTCACCGAAGAGAAGGGCGAGTTCGATATCATCCAGAGTAAATACCGGATGCCCGAGGAGCTCAAGACAGGGACCGCAGAGGAGCTGTGGGAGTACATTGCAGATTGCATGCAACAATTCATTGAATACCATCACGACGACGAAGATTTGATCGATCTTCCGCTCGGTTTTACCTTCTCCTACCCGGCGACCCAAGAATACATCGATCACGGTGTTCTCCAAAGATGGACAAAGGGATTTGATATCTCGGGCGTCGAGGGAAAGGATGTTGTTCCACAATTCCAAGCTGCACTGGAGGCAAGGGTATGTCCTTCTTCTTTTATTCACAGAGGATATCCCCCCACCCCCCGGTTGGCTAATATGGCTACCAGAATCTGCCCATCAAACTCGCTGCCCTCATCAATGACACCACCGGCACCCTGATTGCATCGTCGTATACCGATCAATCTATGAGAATTGGTTGCATCTTCGGGACTGGTTGCAACGCGGCCTATATGGAGAACTGTGGCTCCATACCAAAACTGAAACACCTCAATCTCCCCCCTGACATGCCCATGGCCATCAACTGTGAATACGGCGCCTTTGACAACGATCACAAGGTCTTGCCGATCACCAAGTACGACACAATAATTGACGAGACCTCACCCAGACCAGGTCAGCAAGCATTTGAAAAGATGATCGCCGGGTTGTATTTGGGTGAAATTTTCCGTCTGGTGATTGTCGACCTTCATGAGAACAAGAATTTGTTGTTTGAAGGCCAGGACATTTCCAAACTCAAGAAACCGTACACCCTTGATGCGTCATTCCTGTCATTCATTGAAGAAGATCCGTTTGAAAACTTGCAGGAAACCCACGACATGTTCGAAGAAAGACTCGGCATCTCCGCAACCAAGCCGGAGCTTGAACTGTGTCGTCGATTGGCAGAACTGATCGGAACTCGTGCTGCCCGTCTTTCAGCCTGCGGTGTGGCTGCCATCTGCAAGAAGAAAGACATCCAGAGCTGCCATGTGGGCGCGGATGGGTCAGTTTTTAACAAATACCCCCATTTCAAGGCTCGTGGAGCACTGGCACTTCGTGAGATTCTCGACTGGCCCAAGGGTAAGAAGGATCCGGTCGTTCTGCTCAGTGCCGAGGATGGTAGTGGTGTGGGCGCAGCCTTGATTGCTGCCCTGACCATCAAGAGAATTAAGGAAGGCAACACGTACGGAGTGAGGGATGTGAAGAAATTCGAAAAGATTTCGTCGGGCCGATAAGATCAGCGACTCGGTATTCACGTTCTCCGCACACAGCATTCATGTTCAAACAAAGATGATATAGAGTTGGAATGACATCGACCAGAAGGCAGACCTCGGTCATCATCATGACTGCTTATTCACGAATTTCCCACAGCCTGATCTTTCCTTGTTCGTTTGCGACCGCCAGATATCTTCCACCTGGAGAGAAAGAGACGGCAGAGATTCTTCCCAGTGGGGTTTTGTCCGTCGGCCAATTCCTGTAGAGGGTGCAGCTGGGGAAATGAATCAGCCTCAAGGCATTCTTTTTCCACTTGGATGACATGACAAGCATTTGGCCGTCATCTGAGAACTCGAGATGTGAAATCGGCGTCGTCAATTGATCCAAAACCCGAGCAGGCCTAGGCCTTTGATCCACTCTCACATCCTCGGCTGTCTTGCCGATCCATCCTCGGCGGTCGTAGAGATTCACGATCCCGCTCGAAGAGCCGATGGCTACCCAGCGACTCCTTCCACGGCTAGCCCATCCCATATCTCCTCCCAACGCAATGACTGTGGTGCCGACGGCGCCTTCATCCACCCACCGTGCCATCACTCGTCTTGTTTCAATATCATACTCGCTGACCTCGCCATTTTTGCCCACCACGGCAAATCCATTCCCGTCGCGCCACCACGCGAAATCGGCAACCCCGCCTCTTGAGTCGATCCGACAGCTGCAAACTAGTTGCATGCTCTCGGTCGAGAGGACGTTGATGCTCCCGCCGCCTTTCTTCGACGAGCCGATGAGACCCATGTATCGACCGCAGGGGGAAATCTTGAAGGACTCCATTGTTCGTTGTTCCTTGCGAGCTGGTCCGTAGAGGGCACGTGTTACTTTCGTCACGGTGCCTGTGGAGAGGGACCAGGTGTGGAAATATCGACGGCGGGAAGAGAGGAATATACGCGTCTGGTCGTGACTATCGGTTTCATTGTCATTTTGTTTTTCCCGGTGAACGTGCTGTGGCCGTGGTCGACAGAACGCAACCGTATGGAGAGGGGTGCCTTTCACATGTAGCGAGGTGAGTATCGGATTGGGATGAGGCGATTGAGGCGAGACGTGGTAGAGTGTGATTGTAGAGCTGGGGCCGGCGGAGAGGAGTAAAGGGTAATCAGGATGGAATTGCAGAGTGTCGATGGCCGAGGGCCCTGGGCCGGCTACGTCTTGGCATCGCTGGATATCGACGACTTCGGTTCGAAGTTTTCGCACACCCTTCGAACCCGGTTTCGTCGACTGTTCTGTGGTCCGTACCAAAGATCCGGATGTGCGAAGAAGCTCGGCTAGCGGTTGCGCTGAGAGAAGGGGTTCTTCGCCGTCATCCATGCATACATCAGAATCAGACTCCTCATTTTCTCGCTCAGTGTTGGTTGTGTGCGCTAATTTCCTCTTCTTCCTCGCATATGTCACCCATTCAGGTGTCGGGTGCAGTCTCTCGTATTGTCGACGTAACCGTTGAATGTACTCTCTCCCCGTGACAAGGTCGTCGTCTTTTGTATCCCGCAGTTTGCGCAATCGGGTGTTCGACGCTAGCGAGACCCTGATTCGGTCGTCGTCGCTGTCGTACCATGCGGGTTCTCTCGAAAAAAACCCCAGCTGCTGTGCACTTGGCTCAAGATCTTTGACAATTGAGGGTGGAAGGTCTCCGGTTCCGACGTCAACGAAGAATAACTGTCCGCGAATTGGTCAATTAATGAACGTGATGCGAGGTAAGGTATGAGATGTACATACGTCTCCATCCGCTACATCGTTGAAGCCTTTTGCTCCTTCTTCTTCTTCTTCGTCGTCCTCTGCGTCCGAAAATTCTTCCTCGTACTCCTTTCGTTCTCGTCGGATCAATGCTTTGTCCTCACGTACTTCATTCCGCTTCAACGAATCCAGAAAGCCTGCATCGTCTCCAAACAGCGCTTTCTCCAAGCGCAGTTCAGTCTCGTCTTTTTCCAGTGCATCTATGGCTTTGCTATTCTTTTCGGGTCGGTTTTCCAGTCGTGTCGACGCTTCCATCTTACCCCTGACGGGTTTTCAGCTACCCATGGGTAAATATGTCTGCGGGCAACTTTTTTCGTTTGGAACTTTAAAGGCTTGCGGAGAATCTTCAAACACTTTTTTCCCTCCAGATGATTGGTGTTCCCGTTTTGGAATAGCTCGAAGATATTAGCCTTGCTTAGTAAGTAGAGACGCCATCGGGTGCCCATCTACTGCTTTCACCGGTTGCCATCGTCTCGTGTTTTCAGTTGCCATGTCATCGATGCGGTGAAGGTTTATCACAAGACCATCTGAACTCAAAATGAGATCGATATGGCCTTCCGGTTACATACCTGGCGGGTGCGCGAGCCTCCAACCAATCGTTCATTGTATGCCTAGTAATAGGCAACTTGTCGCCTTGAACCTTGATATCAGCAACTTTTAGAGAACACCACTGCTATTTGAACAATCGTCATTGTCTAGCGGTGTCGATATGAATATGAATATGCCGTCTCCAGCCTCTGGAGTTCCGTGGACATCCAAATCTATCTTATCATCATCCCCGCTGTCCAGTTCTTCAACCTCGGCCAGGCTGAGGATGCTAGAGCAACCTCCCTGACCGCCGTGTGGAAGGACAAATCCTTCCAAGTCTCATTCAGCGGAGTCCCGATCGAAAGCATGTTGGCAGCAGCCAGCCGACAAGCTATGCAATGTGCGTAAAGATATTGATTTTGGACATTATCAACACCACAAGGTTCCCAGTGACATCCTACTTGGGACATGGCGCGAGATAGTTCAGGGTCAATCATGCCCCTTTTGCCGGTTGGTCGTTAGGGCTCACGCGGGAAATCCCAATCGCATGCCACTGAATCTGAGAGATCACATTGTGCTTAACAACTATGTCAGTCGGCAGCTTGGAATCGAAAGGTCACCATACGACCGACTACGGTCTGACGCATATTCTAATAAATTTGACTTAAGGTCGGTATCTAAAAGATGCTAAAACCCGGCGTATCGACTAATCGTTTCCAGCACGCGAAATCCTGAAGAACAAGGTTATATACAATACATGAGCCCTTCAGGGCGCGGCGAAGACGACAACCACTTCTTCGGTCGTGCGATCAACCGAGACAAAGTTCACAAGGGGCTCTTGAAGTCATGGCTCACGAGGTGTGACACAGCCAACTACAGCGTACGAAATCCTTCATCTCCCAAAGAGCAGTCGCCGTCCGTCATCTCGTCCTTTAACGCACTTCTCACAGCTAAGAAAGGTGCGCCCCGGCCCAAATTTCTCTGGTCCACGGTGAATTTGCTCCCGGTAGAACGAGAACAAGACCAAGTTGCTCGACGCATCGGGGTGGGTAGAGTCATTCTCGATGCATGGTTGGTGTCGTGGTCATTTCCTCAGGAGGTTCTTTTAGGTTGATAAGTTTAAGTCTTGGGTCCTTGAATATTATTATTTTGGGGGTTGGGGGAAAGAAGGAAGGAAGGAGGGCAATATTGTATGTTCACCTATCACAGACTCACGGTAAAGCCATCCCACCCATGGGCGGAGCTCAGTCTAATGATCACCAGTGGCCTCGGATCGGAGTGGAACCGTACGTACGTATTCTAGACCTATATCTTCCGTTTGTCAATGCTTATCAACTTGTGCATACAAGCCAATGGATTTTCCCCGTCGATTATCCCACAAGAGATATTTTTCAAAACGTCGATTTCTCCTCCCTACATCACAAGGACCCTTCCTCAGGAGCATCTGGCTCCGACGAGCCCGACTCACTGGAGACCATCGACACTGTCAGGGTGGGGACGTACGAGGAAACGAGAGTGGAGATCCGACAATGATATTACTATCCCAATGCGCTATAAAGTACAAGACGAGAGACAAAGAGCATGAAAGCAATGCAAACCTATCCTAGATACTTATAGCCAGCGGTACAGTCATGCCGCAAGGCTACCACGCAGGCACACAAGGCTATGAGCAGGCACACGAGGCTATTCGACAGCCACAGTGCGCCTGCCAAGCAGGCTTCGAGACGAGCCGAGACGAGCCGAGACTGAGCGAGACTAGCCGAGCTCGGGCAAAACTCTAGCTCGTCTCGTCTCGTTTATGGACCGGATTATCCATTTTCCGGGACCTTCGCCATCGGATCCAGTCTGTGGACCATGTGCCCCTCGCCTTCCCAGGGCCTACACAGTACTAATCACACTCGACGTCCTTCGTAACCGAACGTGAACGATGAGCCTCGACGTCGACATGGTCCATGGATTGGATCCGATGGGTCGTGGTATTTCATCGGATCCAATCTGTGGGCCACCTAAGACGAGCTCTTACTGATCGCGCTCGAGATGGTTCGTAACCGAGCGTTAACGAACGAGCCTCGATATCGATGTGGTCCATGGATCGGATCTGATGAAAGACTACCACCGGATCCAATCCGTGAACCATGTGGCAGGGGGGCATCCTACTCGATAGAGGTCGACGTCCTGATATCGAGATGATCCACGCATCGGATCCAGTCTGTGGACCACCCAGATAAGCTCTACTGATCACGTTCGAGATAACTCGTATGGAACGTTAATGGACGAGCCTTGATATCGACATGATCTACGGATCGGATCTCATGATATACCACCGCCATCACCAATTGCGAGGAAGAAGTGGAGCAAGACAAACACTGGCCGATCAGGCAGTATCTCTACAGTCTCGATCGTATTTTGCATAAAACTTACACTGTGTCCCGAGTAGTGGTACTGGCGGCCGCGGTAGCGACAGACCATCATTTGCACATGTGACCGGGCGATGATCATCTCCTCGACTTAGGTCAGCGCGGGCAGATGGGCCAGCAGCTCTCCCAGAGAGCCGAATTTTCCTCGCAAAACCGTTTCATCACTGTCGATTGAAAGGTGACTTCGCCTTCCTGCCGTTCTGTGTTGGAGACGGGACATTTCTCTCCATGATAAGCTAAGGGGAATGCTCTCGATCATCCTGTCCGTTTAGATCTGCTTGGCGCCTGTACGAGACGAGGTTCTGCAGCCAAATTTCCCTCCTTATCCATATCCCACAACAAGATATGACGTGACCCGACAACAATAACAAAGTGTGCCTGCAGCTCCAGACTATCTTTCTCCACCTTTTGCTGTATTTCAGTGCTCTTGATATAATCTCTTAGCTGCCGGGCCTCATTTGCCATAACCCATGATCCAATTGTTCCTTGATGGTGTATGTCCCAAGTGGCGAATTTAAGCTCAAGAATTTTAGAGAGGTCGTAGTTGCGCAGGATGTCTGCTTTAGCGAGAGTCGCATATCTGTCGACACCCTCTATATCTAGGAAGTTAATTCGATAGAACTTCCATTCGGTAACTATCAGTTGTCCGGGAACCTGGAGGATAAGATCGATACGACCGTTTGTTTTATTTGGCTTTATCACCTTGAATTCTGCGCGTGGAGCAAGAAAATGGTTTTGCAGCAGGCTGAAATAGAAGCTATCCCTGCGCCTAATTGAGAGACACTCTAGGCTATCGCAGGCGAGAGGTGCCTAAACGGCGAGAGCGGTGGAGAAAAAATCACAGTCATTCGAATTAGCGTGGACGGTGACTAGCCCCCAAACCCCCAGGCCTCGCTGCGCTCGAGGCTTCACGTGATTGAGCCGGCAACGTCGGTCTTGGCAATTCTTGGCGACACACACATGCGGCCCTACAACGATTTACGTGATTGGCCACCCCTCCAGGATCCGGAAAATCTATAATCCGGAACCAACCAAATCCTTTGTCTGGCCCCATCGGATCCAGTCCGTGGGCCAACCCTCGGCAATCCGGAAAATCTATAATCCTAGTATTACGTAATCCTGTGCTCTGATTGGCCGGCCCATCGGATCCAGTCCACGGCCCATCCAGGAGGGAGTGCCGTAGCCCGGAAAATCTATAATCCGAAACCTAATCACGTGCTCTTATTGGCTTGACCCCCATCGGCCCAGGTGAGATTTAGCCAAGTCTTTCCGACTTTTTTTAATCGAGAAGTTCTCGAGACGGTAGCCAGCCATTCAACTGTAACACGATTCTGGTGGACAGAAATCCGATTATCTTTTGTAGTCTCCCACCATGAAGCGCAAGCTGGATTCTAATGATGCTCCCACAGTGGAAGTCCCTCGGGAAAGCAAAGACTATGAAGCCTCATTCGACACTTTTGGCCTTGATCCTCGACTGATGCAGGCCATCGCAAAGTCAGAATACTCAGCTCCTACCCCCGTACAAGCAAAGGTGATCCCTCTGGCTCTCGAAGGAAATGATATTCTGGCCAAGTCAAAGACGGGGTCCGGCAAGACCGCCGCCTATGTCCTTCCAATTCTTCAGTCGATCCTCCGTCGAAAAGCAGCCTCGCCGAAAACGAGAGCTACCACTACTCTTATCCTCACGCCCACGCGAGAGTTGGCAGACCAAGTCCACAAGGCCTTCAAAACATTTGCAGAATTCTGCTTGAAAGAAATACAAACCCTAAACTTGACGCAAAGAGTGTCGGACGCAGTTTTGCACGCGGTATTACAGGATTCTCCTGATATTATTGTCACCACTCCCGGAAGAGCGATGCAATATCTGAATTCAGGCAGATTGTCACTCGAGAACATAACCCAACTGGTCATTGATGAGGCGGATATTGTTCTTTCGTACGGATATGAGGATGACATGGATATGATTGCGACGTCCATCCCGCGTGGTGCCCAGACTTTCCTGATCAGTGCCACCCTGACACCCGAAGTGGAGGCGTTGAAAACTATGTTCTGCCGAGACGCGGTGGCGGTCAAGATTGACGACAAAGAAGAGAAGGGCGAAGGAGTAACACAATACGTTGTCCAGTGTGGTGAAGACGAGAAGTTTCTGCTCATATTCGTCATGTTCAAGCTTCGTCTCATCCGAGGGAAGGCTCTTGTCTTTGTGGCAGACGTGGACAGAAGCTATCGCTTGAAGCTGTATTTGGAGCAATTCGGAATCAAGTCCTGTGTGTTGAATGCGGAGCTGCCTGTCAATTCCCGACTGCACGTTGTTCAAGAATTCAACAAAGGTTTATACGACATTCTAATTGCGGCCGATGATCAGGAAGTTCTTGGTGGAGTCGTGAGGCGCAAGACCAAGGCACCGGGAGGGGATGACTGCCCGAATGGGATCGGCGATGAGGATGGCGATGAGGAGCCACGACCGGCCAAAAGGACGAAAATCTCCAAGAACGAAAAGGACTACGGCGTATCAAGAGGGATTGACTTTCAGAACGTGGCTTGTGTTATCAATTTTGATCTACCACGAAGCTCAAAGTCATACACTCATCGCATTGGCCGGACAGCAAGAGCCGGCAAAGCAGGTATGGCGTTGTCCTTTGTGATTCCCAAAGATAAATTTGGCAAACACAAACCCACGAGTATTTCATCGGCCAAGAATGATGAGCGAGTGGTGGAAAAGATCATTGCTCGTCAGGCCCAAAAGGGCAACGAGGTCAAACCGTACCATTTCGATATGACACAAGTGGATGCCTTTCGATATCGGGTGAATGACGCGTTGCGGGCCGTTACAAGAGTGGCAGTTCATGACGCTCGTGCCAGAGAAATCAGGCAAGAATTGATCAAGAGTGAGAAGTTGAGAAAACATTTCGAAGACAACCCCGATGATTTACGACACTTGAGACATGATGGTGAACATGGAGCACTTGTCAGACGTCAGGCCCACCTCAAACATGTTCCCGATTATTTGATGCCCACTCAAGGGAGACAAGCCATCAGCGCCGACGAAGTTGGACATGTTCCATTCAAGAAGCATGATTCGGACCGAAAACAAAAGGACCATAAGAAACGAGGTGGTATGCGGAAAGGACGAAACGGAGGAAAATCCAGGGGCAAGGTCGACCCATTGAAGTCGTTCACGGCCAGGAAGAAGTATTGATGTACAGCGCCTAGATGAAAAATGTACTTCAACAATGTTCGGCCGCAATGGACTTAGGCTTTCCTTTCACTTTTGTGGTTCACCTAATCTTATTCTGGGCAAGGTGGCTTCATGGTCCATGCCTGGTGTCCCAATGACATGGATGAACATAGCGGCATGTTGACGGATCAAGCATAAGCTACTTGGGGTCAGTTACGGAGCAGTGTACCCGCATCTGCGTGTAATTGGACCACTGGCACATTTGTCATCGGGGCTGACACCGTCCAAAATCCAAATTCCGCGGGGGGGAAGATGACCTCAACTATAAGCCATGGCATGAAAAGACGATTGTATTTAAGTACGAGTCCTTCGACCAGCATCCGAGTCAAAACCAGAAAAGAAACTATTAGCGGTCACACTCTAGATCTTTTGAACTCAATCAAGACTACCATTTAACCAAGCAAGATGCCTACCGCCACGGCAAAGATTGCCGGCAATGTCATTGCCTCCTCCAACAACTATCAAACCGTCGAGGGCAACATCTACTTCCCCCCGGATTCCGTTGATCAATCAATTCTATCCTCATCAAACACCCACTCAACTTGCCCATGGAAAGGAAAGGCAAGCTACTATAATCTCACTGTCGATGGAAAGACTCTGAAGGATGCCGCCTGGTATTATCCAGTTCCTAAGGAGAAGGCCACTCATATCAAAGACCATGTTGCTTTCTGTACGTGATTGAGCTTCGACATGAACTCTAGATTGCTAATGTGGGAGACAGATGGGAGTAAGGTTGACATTTCGGTCGCTTAAGGACGGGGCTGGAATTGCAAATATATGACGGAGTCACTCTACGGTGAATAGTCGCCTGAATGAAATCAACGCTTGAAACAGCTCTGTGCTGCCATCCTCATGAACATTTTGGGACTTTGTTCACGTCGACCATTCGTCATGTGCATTCTCCTAAGTGGCCCCTTCGCATATTTTATTCATTTTGTCTTGTTCTCCGTTCGGCATATCGTATCCCTTTGACTACTGTCAGAGTCACGAATGAGAGGCAAACTGGTAACCACTTACATGCTCCTTGGAAGGAAATGTCTTTGCTAAAACTTCTTCCCTGTACTTCTTCAAAGCAGCTACAGAACGATCGCCAACATCGGCATATATTTTGTGCCACCTAAGAGAGTTAACCTTGGCCAAATTTAGGGGACTTGAACACTCTTACTTGGGTATCAGGGATCTCCGATATCCCAGTAACTCAGACTGAAGAGCAATTTGGGCTGATGTGGTCGGACCGCATCCTATACCAATGGTGGGTATATCCAATGTCTTCGTGATCATCTCCGCCGCTGGGCTAGCCACCGCTTCCAGCACCAACGCAATTGCGCCTGCTTTTTGGAGTGCCAGAGCGTCCCCAAGAACAGCCTTTGCACTCTCCGCCGTCGATCCAAACGCTTCGGCAGACTCAAGACTGGCGGTCAGAGCTCGTTGTGGAGTCAATCCGATATGACCGATGACAGGTATGCCAGCCTTGATAATGGCAGCAACTTGAGGAGCCATTTCTGCACCACCTTCCAGCTTAACGCCGTCAACTCTTCCTTCTTTCACGATACGAATGGCCGAAGCTGCAGCTACCAGGCGGTCAGCACATGTCATTGACATGAAGAGGCCTTGATCACCTTGCTCTGGCGAGGCTTCGTAACTTCCAAATGGCATATCGCCTAGAAGAAAGGGGCTTTGGGCACCTCGAGCAACTGCTTTGCAATGGTATATAATCTCATCCACTGTGACGCTTTGTGTATTTTTCTCTCCGAGTGCGACAATGCCCGTGCTGTCTCCAATAAGGATCAGATCTATTTCTGCTTCTTCCGCCAATACTGCCGTTGGATAGTCCCAGGCCGTAATACAGCTCGCTACCCCGGCCTTGCAAGCGGCCCGAAACTTCGTCACGGCGGCCATATTTTCAATGAATCTTTCCCTTCTGTGACAGGTAACGGGCTACTCGAAAGAGAAATCTTGACGAGACATCTATTTTACCACCCAAAAAAAAAAGGGCAATAGCCCCCAGAAAACTGCGTCCCTCCGTGCTACTCCTCACCATAGCACATCCGCGAACCTTACCCCATGAATATAAAACTCAATAACTCCAGAGTATGGACTGCCCCGCATGAGCGAGCTGTACCTCGGAGACAGGTATCCGGAAAACGACCGGAGGTCGACGTGATGGGGACATCCAGTCGGGGGACAATAGGACGCGGGGGTGTACAAGCCGGCCTCGGTTGTGGTTCACTCCGTGACAATATAGGAACCTTTCTGATGAGATATTCGTTTGATATCTCCTAAGGCCTATCCCGGAGGATGAGATGGCAACCAATTTCTGGAGTCAGCATGGCACAAATTTGACCATGGCGACGACCACGGAAACAATATCGATCCCCAACAGAGCCCTGGTCCTCGCAGGGTTGGACAATCTCGATGTGAAACCATGGCCGTTGATACTTCCTGCCTCGGATGGGAAACCCGTTGTACCTGCGCACAATGTATTGGTTAGAGTTCGAGCATCGGGGATATGTGGAAGTGATGTAAGAGGGCCCGGCACCTTGACCAAAGAATATAGAGGAAAAACACATGGTTTGACATCTTCTCTAGATTCACTTTTGGAAGGAAGGCCGAGCTGGTCCAGATATCATCAAAGAGCCATTCGTTATCGGACATGAGTGTGCTGGAGAGATCTATTTGGTTGGTGATGGGGTGGAGTTGTACAAGGTGGGAGATCGAGTTGCCATCAAACCCGCCGCGCCATGCTTGAAGTGAGTCTTCTACTCAGAAATTTCCCCCAATTTATTCTGACCCGAGAAAAGATGTGACGATTGCACCACAGGACAATCCAATCTCTGTCGATTCATCAAGTACTTTGGCGTTCCGGGGTCAGATGGGTCTTGTTGCACGATGAAATTGGTGCCCGAAGAGCAGCTGGTGCGGTTGACACCAACAATTTCGTGGACAGCGGCAGGTTTGATACAGCCACTAGCAATAGCGGTCCAGATGTCGAGGCAGGCAGACCTTCGTGCACACCAAAACATCATGATATTTGGAGCGGGCTGTATTGGCGTACAGTTGGGTGCCATGGCCTATGCGTATGTTTTTTTTTCGTTTTCCCTTAAGTGACATCAATCTGACAAAAGACAGGCATGGCGCTAAGAGTGTGACGTTCCTTGAAAAACAACCTCATCGAGCCGAATTTGCAAAGCGGTTCACTGGGGGGAACGTCTTTGTGAACCCAGAGCGACTGTCAGGGGAGACTACAGAGCAATACTCCCGCAGAGTTGCCAAAGACATTCTGGACCATACTCCGGGGCTCTATCGTGGCTTTGACGTCTGTATAGAAGCCACGGGGGCCGAAGAATGCATGCAAATGGGAATTACTGTCTGTCGACCCGGTGGCACCTGTACGGGCTTCTCACCCTTGAGCTGGTATAACTCGGCTAATTCCGCAACAGATGTTCAAGTAGGCATATATGACGGAAGAACTCCTCAAATTTCCATGATGGATATATGCTCAAAACAGATGACGGTCAAAGGGACTTGGAGATACACCACCAATTGCTTCGAGGAAGCAGTCAACCTCATCGATAAAGGGATGGTAGATGCGGAGAAGCTTGTCAGTCATGTCTACGAGTTTGAAAGGGCACCTGCTGCTTTCGAAGCCGTTCACAAGTTACGCGACGTGAATGGGAAGCCGCTGCTCAAGACAGTGATTTTGCATACAGAATCGAATTGAAGCATTGCCATTTTCTGTCAAGATCTTCAAACGAAGAAGAACACTGCTCCTATAAACGGAAGCTAAGCGTTGAGATCTAATAGCACTCTTCCACTCACTATAACCCCCTCGTAGCACTTTCCATCGTAGATGGCACATATGACAACCTGGATAAGTCGATCTTAGCAGTTATGATTCGGTCACGTTGAGTTTCTCACACTTCTTGTCCGACGTGCTGCAACATTCATTGGGCTCTCTGAGGACGTGAGGGCAGGTTCGCCAAACACTTGAATAGGGAATTGACAACGGGAATGCAAAGACATCCTCCTCGTCTGGAACCAGTCCACCATACCTGAGAGGTATTTTAAATCTGGTTCTCTGTGATTAGGGGCTTCATTGCTTCGGGGAGCCAAACATGGTTTGACAAGGCTGAATATTTTTGACCGAAATCATCATCATTTGCGCGCTTCTGCTCCCTAAATGCTGTAACCTCAGTGAAATGGCCGTACCACGATCTGGATGTCATGCTTAAACAACTGCAAACAACGTGTTTGAACGGGAGGGGCTTGAGAGTTGCAAAGGAAAGCTGAAATTGAGCTCAAAAGTTGCCTTGACATCAAGAGGGTTGTTGCACCGCAGATGACAGTCAATAGTAGTACATAGGCTGGATCACTGGTTAAGTCGAACCTCCTTTTTGCATGCTCTGGCTTCTTTCTTTTCTTTGTCGTCACAATATCACCAACGGTATTTCCCTTTCGGATGTCTAGATATATTATTCCCTTGAGCGCCGATCTGGTCAAACGTTGATCAGAGCGCTGGGTGTTCAACAAGGCTTTCTTGATGACGCATCGGAAGTCTACTGAACTTCTCTACAGTGGTCGTCCATGCTATATCCCAATGCGGGCGCAGATGCGACGACAGACTTCCCGGTCATCATATTTACAAGGTGTAAATAAAATCTGGCCTGTTGTCGCCGGCAACCCAAATTTGCTCAGCAGTCTTTCCCTCATGCATTCGGTCTCGTTTCCCGCTCTTTCGTTTGGCGTTCTCCATTCTCAACATGACATGCATAAAGATCGTCCCACCCATTAGACAAATGACCAAATATGCTAGGACCGTGCCATGGCCGGTCCAAAACCTCGGCGCCTCGCTTGAGATGTAAATATTCGAACTCACGACGCCATTGAGGTTGCCCCATCCAACGACAATTCCAATAGTGACACCTCGTTTGTAGACACCCTCAACATTATTAGCGGCCCAGGACAGGGTATTGGCAATCGTTGGATAGATTCCCATTGCACCCAGGAACGTGCCGGCATACTGTACGTGAGGGTCTTCTGTCGACAGAAGCATGATGAATCCGACGATCGCACTGCTCACCACCGCCATGTTGCAGTAACCTCTCCATCGAGTCCGATCGGCGACCCAGCCGATGAAAATCGTCATAGCGGCCGCAACCGCATACGGTGGGACCGAGAGAAGTTGTGCCCGAGTTCCCTGGTAACCCATCCCCCGGAGAATCGTCGGCAAGAAGAGAGAAAATGCATAAAGAGGGCACAGGCAGCCCATGTATATAAATGCATACCCCCACGTTTTCCAATCCTTTAGCGCGGCATAGATGTGCCTTTTATCGTACTCTTCGGCCGTACTGGATTGTTTGTCGCTCGCGAGTCTTCGTCGAATTCGAATGCGATCCTCAGGCGTCAGAAATCGAGCAGTGTCCGGCCAGTCGAATACCATCCACCAGCAAAACAGGCCGACAAACATGGTGGCCAAACCTTCAATGATAAAGATCCAGGACCAACCGGGTTTTCCACCGACACCATCCATCTGGGCAATGGCGGCGGCCAATAAGCCTCCGAAGGAACCGGCCAATGCGGCAGCAGAGAAGAAGGTGGCGGCTCGGACACCGAGTTCGCTGCGTTTATACCAGCAGGACAAGTAGTAGTTGACCCCCGGGAAGAGACCCGCCTCGGCGAGGCCGAGGAACCATCGGCATGCGAGGAGGCCATCGTAGTTGTGCACGACGCCCATGAGTGTCATAATCAGACCCCAGAGAAGTATAATTCCCGTGAAGAAGATTCTGGGCGTCAATCGTTTGAGGAGGACGTTCGTGATGGGCTCGGCGAGAGCGTAGCTGATCTACCACGCCGTTAGTGATACACCCAGGAATAGAAGCAAGTGTTCAACTCACAAAGAAAATGGTCAATGCATTATTATAGTCATGCCCGGCCATAGACAAGTCGTCTTCCATCCCTGCGAGTCGAGCATTGCCGATATTCGTCCTGTCCAGGAAGGACAGCAAGTAGAGGAGACAAAGCCATGGAATTAACCACAGGTCGACTTTCCACATCAACGCACGATCCTGTTACATTGTCAGGGCAAATAGAGAATGAAATGGAACAAGGAAGGACGTACGATCCTCTTCCGCTCCGCGTCACTTTTCCCAGCATCAGGATCTGGCAGACCATCGAGGCTTTCTGTCCGTTCGATGCGAACTTCTTGGTCTTTCTCTTCCGAACTCCCGTTGAACTCGGGATCTTTTTGAAGGGCAGACATGTTGTGAACAAACTTGACCCAAAAGATTCAAAAATGGTAGGAGGAAAGTAGGAAATGCAAAGGATGAGAGAAGGAAAAAAGATCTTATGGGTCCAGCGGAGCCTACCTTTCGCTGCCAGTCTTTCGAAGGCCGATCGACGGACAATCAGTCATGTCGATACAAATTGGTATCTGGGGGCTCCATGCCGTGCGATGTCGTTTCCTGTCATGTGCGGAGCCCAACACATGAAGATCCTAGGCAGATTTGTCTGCATTGTGGTGATGATGTCCCTGTCCTGGTTTATGTCCCTGGGATAGAACATGCAATGGAACGTCTTGTCGAAAACTTGGTGTGGGCCAAACTGGAGCAACACCAGCATCGTCAGTGAAATGATGTGATGCCGCTGCGTCATCATGTCGCCACGGCGTTGAACTAGACATTCTTGTCGATGACTTCCAAGATCCCAAGATCTTGGTATTTCTTGGAAGATGAAAGAGAACGGAGTTTATAAAAGCATGTTAAGAGGTCCAAGACCGGTTGGCATCGGTGGTATGCCGATTCTTGAATTCGCTTCTTCGGCAGTTGAAATTCTGGCATTCAAAGGGTGGTGACCCGGGCCAGGCTGCCCCTGGAGGTCCTCGCTCCACCCACTTACTCCTTCCGGTAACGGGGCCGTGGCGCAAGAGAATATCTGACAAGATGCCCCCCGCGGGTAATGCAAATCTAACCTTTCATTTGCCATCTAACCCAATGAAGTTGTTTCCGGAAAAAACCTTCGTAGTGGGTGGAGAATGTATATCCCTCCATGTACCATAAGCACCCTTGTCCAAACGAGGCAAAAACTGATACCTCGTTCTGCTTTCGATCTTCCTCCATACGTCCCCGCTTAGATGAGCTGCCCAATTGTAGGCTTTCACTCCGGGAACGAGTCTTACTTCCCCAAAGCAGCAATTCTCGCCTGAAAAGCGCCAAAACTCCGGCTATCCAGGAACTCGACAATCTTATCCGCCTTATCCCCTATCTCATTCATCGTATTCATTCCGATATGGACCTGCCACGGACTCGCCCGTACTTTTTGCATGGAAGACGACCTTTCTCGCCGCTTCGTCCACGACAATCTCATCTTCGTCGATCGTCAAAACAAATATTTTCAGAAATAATGGGAGAAATTGATCCAAAACGACGGTGAATGGTTCGTTATTGCACGGTGGGATACCAGCACATGTGGGCAGGATGATGTGCATGCAAGTCGGGCTTCGAGGGGCGAGGATGTCTTGATTCGTGAATTTGTTGTAGCCATCGATAACAGATTTGGCTGTCTCGATGAGCTGGGAGCGGGCTGGGGCCATCAGACCTGGACTCTGCTGTAGCCGCGCCATATATACCAAAGGAACTGACTGGATTCAAGCCAAGTCAACGACATCCAATACAGCCACGTCACAGTCACAATATCCTTTTATCTCGTTTCTTCGATTATGCGGCATTTGTGTTGTAAAGATGCCAGACCTTCTGTCGGAGACTCGAAACGAACGTCCAGTCCAGGAAAAGGGAGCTGACAGTAATCGACCTTTTGTTGTCCGTCACTAGATCGTTCTTGTATCTTTGTGCGGACTGGCATCTCCTACGCGGAATGGACCGTATATCGCGCTAGGAAACTCTCCGTGAAAGATTTTGCAGAGCACATTGAGACTTCCTGAGTTGGTTTCCACCGACCGCAACGATCTATTCAAAAGAGCAGCGTTTCCGTCGTATTGGAGTCACAGTTCTTGACCCAGGAAAGAGTTTCTCTCCATTTGACACCTAGGCCGAGAGGTTTCTGCAAAACCCGGAAAGAGGTCGGTGGGTTCAGTTCATGGCCTCGACGCGGCCAAAGCTCCACCACGTTGATAGGCACATAGAGTTGATGTTCAGACCCTCAGTACGAGCTTTTGGAGTTGCGAAGTTGAAGACCCGGATCGTTACCAACGACAATGATTTCAACGATGCTTTGAGTGCAAGTAAGTCGTCCAAATGGACATGCTTGTCTCGATGCCAGGCGTGTGTTTTGCGACTTGCAATCTTCCCCTTTCGATCCAGTCACCAATTTTGGTTCGTTCGTTACCATCACTGGCGTTTTAATGTCCATTGCTGTCGACATGATAACACTCTCGCTCAGCATACTGCCTGTCATCTTTAACTAGCAGCTTCACTCAAACTCTCATTTCAGACCATCTGGTGCAGCAATCTGCTTTCGTGCTCCTCGAAAGATGCGTCAACTATATCCACAATGTCCACTTCGATTACAATGAAAACCATTCTGTCAAGGGAGAATTGAGAGCCGTGTTTGGAGAGTGCAGCTCGAAAAGGCACATGAGTGCTATCACGAAATGGCCCGCGAACATATTCACCCAGATTCAGATTCAGACTCACATCCAGATCAACTTAGTTAGCTCGTTCCAGGAAGTTGTCGGTTCATGGGGATGTTTACATGCTTTCTCTGGCTCTGAGATTATTGGTTGATCAGAACCTGTCACGGTTCTACCAGCTTTTGCTAAAGGTCGTACCATAAGCTGATGTCACTGATCCTGAGGGTGTGTAGTTTGATGACGTTGCGCATCTGAAGAGCAAGAATCAAACGTCGACTTTTGTTTCCAAGGCGAAAAAGAAGAGTCGCTGTTGTTCCTAGACTCACAGCACGATTTCTGACTTATTTTCAGAAATTGGAATCACGGGTGGTGGCTTTTCTGGTCCGATGACCGGTCCTCTCTTCGAATGGTTCGGAATGTATAACGGCGCATCCATGAACAGACAAGCACGTTGGGCGGACGGATTCGCGGCCAAATATCTGAATGGCGCAAAACCTAAAGACTATCAGGATCAGGAGATGGGCGGCATGAAGTATGCTCCTCACATTGTTTGACAGAAATTCGCCTGATAGAATCCATAGATTTCTCCTCAACGTAACATACGCCGACACAAACGAGTGAGCAGAATCTCTTGGCCGAGAGTCAATTGGATCGTTAATCTTCATATCCAACACCCAGCACACTAGTTGGCCACTTCGGAGTCAACGACCGAATTGGAAAGGCTGCCTTGAGAAGAGAGACTTGTTTCAGGTTCCGCAAGGCTTGAGCATGACTTCGAGCGTCAGGGAAGAAACGAATCACAAAAGAGAGGACCAGTGTCACCGTTTCTAAAAGATCATCCTTATCCTCCCCCGAGGGGATCCTATCCCTCAAGCTCAGGAGAAGAGATATGCGGTCAACGACGTAGTCTATGATGTTGGGATTCATGGCATAGCTGAATCCTGCGACATCCGAACCTGGAAGCAGAGCCATGCCCACATTGAACAGGAGAACCAGTGCCGTCAGGTTGGCGGTGGTCGTGGACTCTTGATCCCATTTGCGGACGCTGTCAAACCAGCGACTGAGCAATATCTCGACGTCGTCGATCGTGTAGTCCACTTTCTCCCGGCCCTCGGTTATGCGCGCAATTCTTTCAATGTAGTCACATATCACCAGCCTCGCTTCGGGGATGGAAGACAGTCGCAGTCCGGTCCAGGGCGAGTATATATGGTCACGATAGTCGGGTTGGATCTCTTCTGTGGTGGGACCCTTACGAAGGACAATCGCCGTCAAGCCCTTGGCCAGCATGGATGTCGGTTTGAGGGAGTCCTGCACCAGCATTTGTGTGCCGTCGCGCCATTGCAGTGGCTCGTACTGCCGCAAGAGCGTGAGCGTCGCTTGCAGATGAATTTCGGCGGCGGTAAAGTCGTTCTGCATCATTTCCATGGTCCAGGCAATAAGCGAGGCGATCAGGACGTGTAAGATTGGAGGGTTGGTTTTCCTGATCGCCGTGATGGCCGCGATGTAGTGGGACACCGCTCTCGAAGTCATGTCGGCGGAAGCCAAAGTCACGCCTCTCACAAACTTTTCATGGGTCAGAGAGAGCGAGAGAAGCATGTGCTTGATAACAGGCGATTGCCAGGCAAATCGAGGTACGACCGCGGTGTAGAAGTCGCCCATGGGCCCGTAGTGAGACAACATCGGGGATGTCTTGAGAAGCCAGTGCTCCAGTGATCGATTTTCTTCTTGCGTGCCAAAGTGAATTCGAGGGGCTAACAACAGGATTGGATTTCCATCAACACCCGGCCATGGAGGGCTGGGTGGCCGATTCGCTTGTTTCTTTTGAGTTGCCACGGTGAAGATGTTCGCTTTAGGCACCGCATATCCCAGACATCGGCGTTTGCCTTTCAAGCAGGTTTGGCAATAAGGCTTGCCTTCATCGCATTTCACCCGACGACGTTTACAGGTGATACAGCCGGTGCGAACTTTGTGGGAGAAGGCCTTCTGTCTTGTCGGGCCAATCATGGTTGGCGCTCATACACAGGACGATGCTGATGGCCAATCATCCAACACGTAATCCATATGCCATGGTGGAGTCGATTCAGAAAACGGCCTTGTTCTCTGCTCTTGGGTAGTAAGAACGCCGGTACCACTGATCTGATGAAATTAGCCAGAGGAGGTGGAAGAACCCACATGACGGAGGGGGAGAAAAAGGATTATGGTCCAACGTGAAAGCGAACGAGAAAGTTTTGTTCTAACTATGAAAGGCCTAAGCGGTAACCATAATATCAGGAAATCGACCCACCGTCGGTAGGCGTCAGTTCCCAACTAATGCTCCAGCCCAGTCCCATTCCCGCGAGCCTTACGGAGCTTTATACTTGACTAGGGGTTGGTGGTAATCTTTCGGCTCGGCATTTTCTTACTACTTTTGTAAGTTCAACTTATTATTTCTTTTTCAGTTCCTCTCCTTTCCAAGCAATCTCCCGGCCCACCGCTTTTCCAGGACTCAAAAGTGTAACGGTAAACCCTTTCCCCCACATCAAAGCCTTGCCCTTCCACGGTCCACTCCCACACTTTTCCCCCCCATGAGTTGAACTTCCTTAGAAAGTTTTCAGTGGCGTGATATCGGAGAGAATTGCGTTACCGTCGAGTCTGTTCTGTCCACCGCTAAGCAGGATCACAGTGTGGGTTCCCCAAGGTGGCTCTTACCCTATCTCGACACTTTCCCCGTTTCTCCACCGTTGAGAATTGACATATCTGATCAAGTGATGGGCCATCGAGAACCTTCTCGCCATTGGTCCTTATCGGCCTTTGCGGAGTAGTAGGAAATGAGCTAGCGGGTATTGGATCGGCAACCGTCCCCGGGGTTGCCATCTGTACAAATAGTTCATTCGTTCCACATTCCTTTGCACATCTTTTGCCAACACCGTCGGTCGTGTGACTCTCCTTTCTTCGCAGAATCAATCGGACTCCCGCTCACACATCCATGGCGTCGGGAACCAAGGAAGACGAGGCTGGCCATCTACCTGGCCAGTCCAACAGTGCCGTCATCAGAAGTGCCAAAGCCGCAACTGATAAGGAACATGGTATGACCTTGATGCAGGGCATTCGACTTTATCCCAAGGCTATTGGCTGGAGTATCTTGATCAGTACTTGCATTGCCATGGAAGGATTCGACGTCTGCTTGTTACCGAATTTCTACAACTTCCCTCGGTTCAAGGAAAAGTATGGCCAGCCATTACCGGATGGATCCTGGGAAATCACGGCTCCGTGGCAAGCCGGACTCCAAAATGGTGCTCAAGTCGGCCAAATCATTGGCCTTTTCATCAACGGATACGTCTCGGAGTGGCTTGGATACCGATACACCACGATCTGCTGTCTCGCCCTGGTGGCCGGGTTTACGGCCATATTTTTCACCGCACAACGTGTCGAGGTTCTTCTGGTCGGATATATCCTGTCGGGAATTCCTTGGGGCGTGTTTCAAACCCTCACCATTACCTACGCCTCGGAAGTTTGCCCGGTGGCCCTGCGGGGATATCTTACCACGTACGTCAATTTCTGCTGGGGACTGGGACAGGTGATTGGTATCGGCGCCATCAAAGGATCACTCAACATCCCGGACGAATGGTCTTATCGGATACCTTACAGTCTTCAGTGGATCTGGCCCTTGCCTCTCGCCGTGGGCATCTTTTTGGCCCCGGAGTCTCCATGGTGGCTGGTGAGAAAGGGGAGAGTGGCTGACGCGAAAAGGGCTCTTCTTCGTTTGACCAGCCATAACAAGGAGACCAACTTTGATGCCGATGAGACGGTTGCTATGATTGCTCACACAACCGCTCTGGAAGCAGAATTAACCGAGGGAAGCAGTTATCTCGATTGCTTTAAAGGCACCGATCTCCGGCGAACCGAAATCGTCTGCATGTGCTGGGCCATTCAAAATCTGTCCGGTAATTCATTCAGTGGGTACTCCTCCTACTTCCTCACTCGGGCCGGCCTGGATCCGTCCACCTCCTACAGCTTTGCTCTCGGCCAGTACAGCATCAACATGGTCGGAGTCTTTGGCGTGTGGCTACTGATGAGTTGGGGTATTGGACGAAGGACCCTCTTCTTGTATGGGTTGTGTGGGCTTTTTACCATGCTTCTGATCATGGGTTTCCTTGGGATCCCGTCCGATCGAGACGCCGCTGCCATGGCTACGGGAAGCATCATGATTGTCTGGGCGGCTGTTTACCAACTCTCCGTCGGCACCGTGTGCTACTCCTTGGTCGCTGAAATGTCCACTCGACGCTTGCAAATCAAGACGGTGGTTCTGGGAAGGAACCTCTACAACGTCGTGGGCATTATTTGTTCCGTCATCACTCCCTACATGCTTAATCCCGGTCAATGGAATTGGGGCAATTATGCCGGCTTCTTTTGGGCAGGTGCTTGCTTTCTCTGCATTATCTACACCTATTTCCGAGTTCCAGAGCCTGCCGGCCGATCATTTGCCGAGCTCGATTTGCTTTTCGAACGGAAAGTGAGCGCCAGGAAATTCCCGACCACAGACGTCAATGTGTTTGATGTTCAGGTGCACAGAGCAGTTCTTGATCAGGCACACGAGAAACTGAGCATTCGCGGTGAACATGAAGAAAATGTTGCCGTTCGGGTCGAGAAGACTGCTTGAGCGGTCGTGTCGCGGAACCGAATCTACGCATATATTACGACCTCGATCCCACCACAGTGTATGTGGAAGTCGAAAGAAAGGTGAGGTACGAGCTGGGGCTGGAGCTGGTAATCGGACCAAGATACACCGTATTTAAACACAACACAAGGTAAGGGCGAGTGCGTTGTCAGGTGTAAGCGAGGAGCAACCTGGGTGGAACAGAGACCATCGTTAAGGTGAAATGTTGCAGGAGAATATCAATGGCAAGACGAATGGACGTATTACACAGGATGAGACGATCGAAACTTGACTCGCAAGCTCCAAGGCAAACCGCTTGAATATCGTCACACTAGAAATGGGAGAATGATAAAGTCAGACCACCTTGTCTTTCGATTGGTCAAAGGCACAAACCGAGGATTTCTCTTGAAGGATCCAAGGTAGACACATGACTCATACTCATATTAACTACTTCTATATCTATATCTCCATCCACATCTCGACCATGAGATTCTTATAGTATGCCCATCCTTCGAATAGGAAAGTGTGATTTTGATCTCGTCTAGCTATCCTTGAAATCAACGACAGCCACCTCTTCGCATTTGTCATTCAGTTCGTCCTAAACCGGGAATCTAAGTCCATACATACGTGTATAGAGTCCCTTGGTAAATACAAGACTACCACCATGGACCAGGATCATCATGTCGCCAAAGATGTAAACGTCACAGATGGGATGCCGATTGAAGACGATCCTAAACTCGCCGTCCGTAAGTCCTACGACAAGATCGCCAGCATATACCTCAAATGGACCGAAGCAAAAACTTCTCCCCGTCCCGCGTATATAGACAAACTCCTATCAAGACTACACGCGCCATCAACGGCTCATATCCTCGAGCTAGGCTGCGGCGCCGGCATGCCTGTCACAAAGCATCTATCTGAACGATGCACAAACGTTGTGGCAAATGACATCTCGGAGACACAGATCGAACTCGCACGTTCTCATTTGTCAAATACCAGGAATATCCAATTCATCCGCGACGATATGACGGATCTCACTTTTCCGCCCAATACATTTGACGCTGTGGTAGCATTTTATTCCCTGATCCACCTCCCCCGGCACGAGCAAGTGGAAATGCTGATAAAAATCTCAACTTGGTTGAAGCACGGTGGATATCTGGTATGTAATTTGGGAGCGAGTGATGATCCAGGTTCAAGTAAAGAATGGTTAGGTGGCGGGAGGATGTATTGGAGTAGCTTTGACACGGTGACCAGTTTGAAGTGGATGGATGAAGCGGACTTTTATGATGTCGAGAGTGAGGTGGTAGTCGACGACGAGGATGGGAAGAAAGTATCGTTTTTGTGGGTTTTCGCTAAAAAGCAAGAAAAGGTTCAGGAAGATGGTTGAAGTCATCTGAGATGTCCTCCCCAGCTTGAAGATTCATGGTACACACCGGTATATCTATCCATGTCCATGATCAAAGCACGCAAGATGAATATGAGAATATAGTTTTGATCAAAACAACATTCCGGCGCAGAAATCTCATGGGGCTCAATCAAATGAGACTCAGAGACCCGCAGCTTTGTTCAAAGCCAGGTCAGAGGCGTCGTTCATCAGCAACTCTTGCTTTTTCGCCCTAGTCTCTGGCCCTGTCGCCGCATAAAGTGCATCGAGCTTATTCTTATCCTCATCCAGGGAACAGTATGGGTCATTTCACGGAGGACAACAAAAAACATGCCCCTCTTCTTCTGTCTCTGGGTGGCTGAAGGCCTTGAACACGTCGTCCACCTGAATGTCTCACATGATGAGCATGACTTTTTCGAATCCAGTCATCCCCGGGACAGAAAACCTGCCATACCGCCGTTGATGAGTTTGAAGGCTTCTGCGAAGTCCGTGTGGTGTTGGGGAGACGTTCAGGCGCCAGGAGCGAGGTCAGAGACAACGGCTGCTCGGAGGCCATTATTTGGTCCAGGGGATTTGCGATGGTGGTTGGGAGTTTGTCCGCTGGCATGCTGGCCGGCAGGATCAATTTTAAGACTTTTTGACTTTCTCGGATTGGATATTTGGTATAATGTTCCGGTTCCAAATGACTGGCTATCCTGAGAAGGCCGATATTTCAATATTGGCACATTGGAAGGGACTTGCCGCAAGTCGGCTTTGACGTTCAGGTGGCAGGATAGCCTGTTGAGATTTGTTCATCTTGGGCGGAGGAATTTGATCTAGACGGTCTTGAAATATGTTCGATACATTGAACGATTCCTCTCGTGAAGTATTCACTATCTGTCAAGTCCTCATCGAGGGCGAGAAAATGTGTGAATGAAGACTCGATTCTGATAGGAGAGTTACAAGGGACCTTGTGAGCAGAATAAGCCAACACGAGTGTGTAGAAGAACGCAAGGAATCCAGCCTCAGATACGAGTGGTTTCTCACAGTTCGGGAAAATTCTGATGTCACTGCTGGTACATAGCGACAAGCGAGGTCTATTATGGAAACCCTTCAGAATGCTGTGCGGCCAGTTTTGACGGTCTTCAGTACTCCTGCATCTGCCAACTTCTCAATCATGTTCAAGAGAACAAAATCACACCCGCGCTTCACCACCATGTTGATGGTGACCGGAACCATCTCTTCATGAAAAGTCACGTTGCTGAAATATGGTACCTGGCCGATAGGAATCGTGAAATCTGCACAGCCGTATATTGGACAGATGCTGGCTCCGGTGATTTTGGCCGTCGGCGGCGTTACAGCCAAGTACGATGCATCAGGCGACTCGTTGAGACTCTCCTCGCGGAAAGAAGGCAAACCCCCTGTGCCGATGTCATAGAGCATGACCGACTCAGAACATGACTCCGGCGTACTGAACTGAAGATTTTCTTCGTACCATTCCACGGCCGCATTCTTTTCGTCCAGGGCGGTTTGATAATCGGCGGCCGTGTTCTCACTTTCATTATATCTTCGCCACCCTGGACGACGGGCAGGGTCGATCGGTGGAAAACGACCATCGAATAGATCAGCCCATCGGGTGATTAGCGGCTTCGCCACTTCTTCCCACTGGGTGTATGAGTTGATCACGCCCAAGGGCCCTGAAGTGAGATAGGTCAAATTATTGACTTGAGGATTGGTAGCATTTTGGACCGTGGCCGTAAAGTTGAACTTCTCGACCGTCATTCCAAATATGGACGTCACGCTACCGATGAATTCCTGCAGCACAACTTCCGCGGCCGAATTGTTCAGGGGAAGATACTCCACAGGGTACAGAATTCGCTTGGGGAAAGCGTCCGTGTCCGGGACCGAAAGAGGTGAGAGCCCCGTGATATCCGGGGTCTGATAAGTATCTGGTGTGTACCTATCACGGTCAACAAAGGAATATTCCCGTTTCAACAGAATCTCCTTACCAAGCCTTTGAAAATTTAATCCACTTATACGGGTCGCGCGAGAACACTCCTGCTGTGTCTGTAGCACCCCCCAGAGGCATGACACGCTCCAGCGTCATCAATCCTTGACTAGGCCGTTGACTGCAGACCGATTAGTCTTAGAAGACAAAAAGGGAAGGACGAAATTGACCCATATACGCCAGCTACCGCAGCTGGCCTTCGCATTGAAGAGCCCGTATCTGATCCAATGGCGTAGTCAAGCCAGTCATAGGCCGCGATGGAACACCCGCCACCAGAGGAAGAGGCTGAACACGTCAACCAACCATCGCCTCGAGGATTAAACGGATAATGTTCGTCCTGCCAATCCCATGGATTCGCACCCGAAGCGAATTGCGCGAGTTTGTACTTTCCCACCAGGACACCTCCAAGGTCGATGATCTTCTGAATCGAAGGGGCGGTGCCGTCGGATATGGGCGTGATGTATGCCCAAGCCTGGCTCCCACCCGAAGTCAGCAGCCCTTTAATATCAAAGAGATCCTTGATCGCAACACGTTCTCCAGCCAGTGGTCTATCATCTCCCCAACTGTAGATTCGTGAAGGAACCGGAATCATGGGATCCCAATATCTCGGAAGAGAGGTAGGAAGAGCAGTATAACTGCCGTTGTCATCGTTCGAGTCATAAGTCCCGAACAAGAAGTTTCTGTAGGAATCGGGGTAAAGCCGGTACACAGTCCCAAGGGAGATTGAGTCCTCGTCGATCGCCGCCAAATATGGACCGGATGGAGGGATGGAGCCTTGAAGAACAGTCACGGTCGAAGAGCCCTCGACATCGCTGGGCCGAAAGTTCCCACTGAGAAAGACAGAGCTGACTTCAGAGGACTCTAGATAAGTCATGGCCGAGGAATCCAGAGTAACATCCGCCGCACTTGCCGCGATGTAGATAGTCTCAAGGAAGTCTTCCTTGAAGACGTCATCGGCTTCGAGATAGCTTGTCACAATGCTTTGGAGGATGTCCTGGGTAATGAGAGAAGCATCAGTCCTAATTACGGTTATGGGCAATTTGCCTCCTTTAGAGGCTTTGGCAGCATTGCTACAGTCTCCCGTGGCCGAGGCTTTCGGATGTCTCAAGTTCGCGAGATACGTGAGGTTTCCCAGTTCGAACAATACATCACCATTCGCCAACGGCTCAACCAAATTGTACGAATTTCGTCTGAATGGTGCCGAAAAGACGGCAACGATGTTGAGGGTAAGAAAAAAGACGAAGCTCTTGGTTAGAGACATGATACCTGAATCGGTGTCTCTCTACTTGAGGATTTCGTAGAGGGTAAAAGATCCGCCTCTTGAATACCTGGAGACGGCGGTTTATGCACAATGTCAGGCTGCATTATGGCTTTATCCGGCTCTCTTTCGACGGCTTCTGCGGCCATTTCCTGATCGACAAGATAAGAGATATACATCTCATGTCCTGCCTTTTTGGTCTTAACCTTCGGTTCGATAGTCAGGGCCGATGGAGGGTTTTCAGGAACGTTTTTGTCCTTGGCTGCATTGTACTAGGGACTGGGCCTTCCGGCGGGGAAGAGCACGAAGAAACTTCGACGACATCCATTTGGATTCTTATCGGTGGAGGCGGATTCAGCGAGCGGTGAATAATAGGTTTGCTAATTTGTATCATGCTAGATTATCTCAGTTGGTCTGAAGCGGAATCCAGGTACTTATTGCTTCTGATGTTCCTCTGCCCGGCGATGAGGTCAGCGTGCTTCCCAGCCAACCACTCCCCGCGGGTACCCATGTTGCCTTTTGATGCCCATAGCATTAGTCAGTATTCTCGGCCCACCAATGCCTATAAAGCTATGGCGCCCTATACCGAGTCTCCCGGCATTGAACGCGTCATACGAAACGTAATGGGCCGTCGGTGGATTCGCATTCAAGTAAAAACTTCGAATTCATCTCACCAATTTCTTCCCTTCCCAGGTGAGGGCCCGAAAAGAAGAAAAAGTCGATAGAGACTCTCTCATACCAGCGGCAGTTGCTTGTCGCCATGTGTCTTCAGCGGTAAGCCTGGCGAATTGACAAAATCGCAGGCAGCAGACATTGGCGGTCTGTGCGGATTCGGATTTGTGCGACGGGCATTGGGCTGTCAGTACCAAACTGCAATGGCCTTTTCCATCCCATCTAGTCAGAACCAAACACCATGTCGTCGAACTCGTTCCGGCGTTCTCCTAGGATTGGCATTCCTTGGCCCAAGCCATTCATTCAAGAACCCGTCGATGATCTGGAAAGCGAGCCGAAAAAGACCACAACATCGTGGTATGGACTCGGCATCTTTGCGCTGTCTATTGCTGGGCTTGCCACTCAAGCGGTTGTGGCGTTAAGGTTGCCATGGGCGAGAATTATCGCCCTGTTGTGGGCGGCGGCCGCTGCCCATATTGCAATTTGGCGACCGAGGACGGCGTCCATACTACTGTTCATCGACTTCATCGGCATTGCCGCCGCTGAATTGAGCTTGATTGCTTCCGAATTCTCCGAAAATCTGCACAGCCAAAGTGCGATTCTCTCGGTTTCGAGTGCAATTCTAGCGGCTGTCGCTCTCATCGCTGTGGTGAACATGCCTCTTCGTGATCCGTCATGGAGTCGGGAGGAGATCAGCCGTCTCTTTTCAACCCCCACCAATAAGTTGCGTTCACCCGAAGATAGGATGACATTACTCCAATGGATGACGGTGTCTTGGTTGAGTCCTTTGATCAGGATCGGCAACGAGAGGCAACTTCATGATGAAGACGTTTGGTTGCTTGCTTATGAATTTCAGCACCGACACCTCCACGACAGGTTCCGAGAACTGAAGGGAACAGTTGTGAGGCGTCTCATAGTGGCCAACTGGATCGACTTGGCCATTCTCACCATGTTAGCCATCTTAGAATTGGCGGCGAATTACTCGGCTCCAGTCATCTTGCAGCAATTGCTGCAGGCCATGGAGACCATCCAGTTCGACAAACAACCCGCGATCACCTTTGCGGTGTTGATCCTCCTCACGAGACTAATTGCCGCGCAGAGCGCCGTTTTCAGTCTTTGGTTCGGGAGACGATGTTATGAACGATCACGAGGAGAGATGATTACCATGTTATATGAAAAGACCCTCAACCGAAAGATTCTCGGTGGTCTCCCTCAGGAGGCTAATCAGAAGGCCAACCACCCTGAACAAGATTCGTGTGCCTCGTCCCGCACGGGAGAGGCTGATGCGCTGCTAGAAGCAGAGCAGGCTCTCCAAGGGCAGACCAATTCAACCGACAACTTAACGAAACGAGCTCAAAAATTGATGCACATGGCCACATCATTTTTTGGGTCCAAAAAGAAGTCTGATGCGGAGAAGAAGCCGCCGGCGGCGATGGGGAAAATTCTCAATCTCATGCGCAATGACGTCTATGAGGTTGCTCAGCGCTTCTGGGAATTTCAGACTCTTATCAACAAACCGCTCGGTCTAATTCTGTCCATCGTTTTGATCTGGCGAATGCTTGGATGGTCCTGCTTGATCGGTGTCGCCGTGGTCATCATTGCTCAGATCGTCAACTACATTCTTGCACGCGTACTCATCCGCTGGGAGAAGGAACGTCGCAAGGCTACAGATACCAAGCTACAAAAGATTAGCTCCTACATCGAAGCCATCAGACATTTGAGATGGTATGGATGGCAGTTCGCATGGCTTGACGGAGTCATGTCAGCTCGACAAAAGGAACTCAATTTGAAAGTCGTCACGTTTCTCTGGAATTCTGCGATCAAATTCGTCAATTCCATCGCGAGTGGGATGCTTCCAGTGGCCACTTTCTATGCCTTTACGGTTCTTGCCGGACACCAGTTACGCATTGACATCGCGTTCCCGGCTTTGCAACTGTTCGCACTCTTGCAAAGCAACTTTCGCGAGCTTCCCAACTTAATCACCGTCTTGCTCAATGCCTCCGTGGCCGTCGATCGTATCTCCGACTTTATGGCAGAACCTGATAAAATCGAAGAATCGGAAATCCACGCGTCCCCAGATGACCGAGTGGAATTGCGTAATGCGACCTTCTCATGGCCCGGTCTTTCCGAGACCACATTACACCACCTGAATCTCACATTTTCTCGAGGCTTGACCGTGGTCTACGGCCCTGTGGCAGCGGGGAAGACAGCACTGCTACAGGCACTCCTTGGGGAACTGGATCTTTGCGACGGCCAATTGCTGAAGCCACAAGCCCCAATCGCCTACTGTGGCCAAACCCCTTGGCTGCAAAGCATGAGCATTCGGGACAACATTCTTTTCAATTCACCTTACGAGCACGGACGATATAAAAAGACCTTAGACGCTTGTGCTCTTCTCCCTGATTTGGCGAACTTCAAGCATGGCGACCTCTCCAATATTGGAGAGAATGGCATCGGCTTGTCTGGCGGTCAGAAGTCAAGAGTTGCTCTGGCCCGCGCCGTATACAGCCGTGCCCAAATTCTCGTGCTCGACGATCCATTAAGTGCTCTGGACCAACAGACGGCGGAGTGGATCGTCACCAAGTGTTTGTGTGGCAATCTGTTGGAAGGCCGTACGGTGGTGCTCGCTACACATCGAATCGATGTTTGTCAACACGTCGCCTCGCAGCTTATCGAAATGACACATGGCACCGTGATCTTGCATCGGAACGATGAAAATCTGAACAATCCAGACCCCATGAACACGGGAGAGGCCAACCAGGAAGATGCCTCCCAGGAATATGAGACAGATATTGATGAGTCAGTTGCAGTTCCCGACAAGTTCATTGAAGACGAACACCGAGCCCATGGTGGAGTCCGGTTTCTTGTCTACTGGGAGTATGTCAAGGCTGGCACGTTGAAAGGGTGGTGCATGGTCGTTTTAACGGCGGCTTTATGTCGAGCCACCTACGTGGGTGAGAGTTGGTTCTTGAAGGAATGGGGCGAAGCCTACAACCGAACCAAAAGACAAATCCTGACACTACAGAAATTCGACGTCGACCTTCATCTACTCCAAAGTCCAATCCCAGGCCTGTTTGATCGATTTCCGGATCCTTCGGTCAATGTGAAACCCTGGTTACTTGGGTTTTGGGTCATCGTGGCCTGCGAGACGCTGGGTTTGATTCTCTCGGACATGTCCATGCTTGTTGTCACATATTGGGCGGCGCGCCGGATGTTCAGAGACATCATGGAACGAATTAGTAACACGACATTCCGCTTCTACGACGTGACGCCAATGGGTAGACTGCTGAACCGTCTGACCTCCGACACGGGGACCATCGACGGCAATATTGCCGATCAGCTTTTGACTGTGATCTGGTACGGGGTGGCGTGGATCTCCTCGATAATTGTGATCGCCAGCGTCACTCCTCTATTTCTGGCGTTTGCCATTGCTTTGACTCTGGCGTTTTGGATCATCTTCCTCCGCTTTTTACCAGCATCCCAAAGTTTACGACGTCTTGAAATGGTGTCCCTGAGCCCACTGATGTCGAACTTTGGAGCGTTGGTCAATGGTTTGATGACGGTCAGAGCGTTTCGAGCACAAGCCGCGTTTCAAGAAAGCAATATTCGAGACACAGATGCTTTTCAGAAGATGGACCATTTCTACTGGAGTCTACAAGCCTGGCTGATGTATAGATTCGACACCCTTTCAGGTGTATCAACATTTCTGTTGACTCTGCTTGCCATATTTTCAAATTTGTCGGCCGGTCTGACTGGCTTTGTGCTCATCGCGGCCAGTAAGTTTGTCCAGTCGACCCACTCTATTTGCAAAGGATACGGTCAGCTACAACTCAACTTTGTGTCCGTGGAACGAGTGGTTGAGCTGGTCCATCTCGAGCAAGAACCTGTGGGTTCTATTCAACCACCAGCTGCTTGGCCGACGTACGGAGGTGATGTTGTATTTGAGAATGTCACCATCCGCTACCAACCTCATCTCGCCCCTGCACTTGCAGATGTTTCGGTTCGATTCCCGGGTGGAAGCACGAATGCCATCACCGGAAGAACAGGCTCGGGCAAATCTACCATGGCACTGGCTTTGCTGGCCACAATTACTCCTGAATCTGGAAGAATACTTATTGACGGTATCGACATCGCCCAAGTCGACAAACAGGCGTTGAGAACACGAATCACATTTCTTGCTCAGGAACCCGTTCTCTTTCCAGGATCATTGCGACACAATCTTGACCCGTTGGAGGAACACTCCGATTCTGCTTGTGAATCGGTGTTGTCAAGAGTATGTGGCAAGTATGGATGGACACTAAAAACACACATTGACAACGGAGGTCGCAATCTCAGTCAAGGTCAGCGACAACTCGTCGGGCTCGCCCGAGCCATCCTGAGAAGAAGTTCAGTCGTTATCATGGACGAGGCCACAGCGAGCATTGACATTGACTCTTCTTTAGAGATCCAGCGGGTTTTGAGGGAGGAATTGCAAGAGAGCACGATCATTACGATTGCTCATCGAGCAGCTGCGGTGGAGAATGCCGACTTCTGCGTGAATTTGTCTGCTGGTCGTGTTGTGAGTCAAGGAAAACCTGGCGAAATAGGGGCATACAATGACTAGGACTAAGACTGGAAAAAGAATGTCGTCTACGGTTTCGTATAGAGAGGATATTAGGGGGATATAGAGAGGAAATTCCTGGATATACCTCTGCACCTAAAGCTAGTACCATAGAAGGAAATTAATTAAATTGCGTTGAGTATGCCAACAGCGCCATTATCGCCCGTCCAACTTATCATTGTAAAGTCGTTGCAGGGGATCTGTCTGCGGTTTAAGTAGAGGCCGCTTTCATTGTTGCTCCTACTCCTTGCTACAATATATATCTTTACCTGCAGTCAGAAGGTTGGAGAGATGGAAGGTACAGAGATAAGTACGGTAGGTTACGACACGGTCCAAAAGGCGAGGTAGAGGTTTGAAAATTAGGTGTCAACATGTAAGAAATGGGAAGGGATATATCCACCGGGAAAGATTAGGAAACCAAGCGAGCCAAAGGCTCAAAAAGGCCACGGTCTGATATCAGTGCTTCCTGACAGACATCCTGCGATTCACTCCATCTCCAGAGAAAGCTTCCCACGAATATGAGAGAAGGATCTTTATTTCAAGAGCGCCGTTCTCCGAAGACATCCATGCATCTTTGTGTATGGAACAACCGCCTACACATCATCAATCTCTGTGTCCTTGAAGGCTGCCTCCCTGTCAGAACGTGCCACCTTTTCTGTCCCAGGTTCGAAGAGATGCGAGTTGCCATAGAATGGTGAAAGCGCACGCCGCAGGCCTTGCACCGAAGTTGGCTAACAGATGATCTTGCTTAGATCAGCCACTCACGCTCACTACCAAAAACGACATGGGAGCCCAATGAAAGAGGCACGATCCCATACATCTAGGTTACCGAAATAATATTCTGCGATCCGTTCCCGAAGGACGTGTTTCCATGAACCTCCCGGACGACCACAGCGGCAATATGGTTTGATCATTCTATTGTCGAAAAGTGGCATTGATATCTCCTCTCCCGTTTTTAGGCCGGCCAAGACCGCGTCCAAGTCAAAGTAAGAAGATATCCAGGGATCAGCCTCGTTGATTCTTCGGTAGGTGAGTAATTCCGTTTGGACGGCTGCCCAGACATGACCGATGTCGCTGCGTTTGTAGTACTCCGGAAAATAGTCGCATTCCTCGCCACATGCGCTACGAAAGTTATCATCCTCACAACCCGAGTTCGAATCATGGCTAAAGGAGTCTTCAGTGAGATCTCCCAGAGAATCTTGGGAGAAATCGATGACGGAATTGTCGAATGATGGCTCCCTTCGGCGCGATCGGGCCACAATAGGCTCGTAAGGGCGGAGAATGTGACAGAATATCTGCCAGCCTCGTCGCAACTCGGCGGACCATCCGTTGATGATCTTAGACGGCAATCTTTCAGCAAGATCAACGGGCCTCAGATCTTCATGAGTACAGCGGGTACCGTCGTCGATACCCAGGAGCAAGTCGATAGAGACAGTAGCCCTTGCCTGCGGGTCCATTCTGTTTGCTAACATACACAACAAAACAGCGATCATGCCGAAAAGGTCTTCACCCTCACACCCACTTCGAGCCAATTGAAAAGTGGTTAGGACGAGAACATGTAACGGTGAGAGTTGCAAAGACAGACCGCAACTGAAGCATCGTCTCACAAACAGTCCACTTGATCGCCCAAGGAGACCACAAAAGCCCAAGGAATCAATGCAGTGGCAAACAGCTAGAACGGAAGTATGGCAGAATTTGTGTTTCCAGCTGAGCGGGACTTTGGTCTTTCCAGACTGCAAAAGAGCCCGAAAGCATGGTGAATCAGCATCCCAGCGCCCGCACAAATCAACTTCGATCCCCGCGAAGCTCGAATCCCGTGTTAAAGTCTCATCTAGGATATCCGGTGAGCTGTTCGAATGACCTTTCAAAATGGTCAACATCAAATTGTCAAGGACTGTGTGGCCGTGGTCGTTGGTATAGAAAGTGTTCAGTCTGGGGAGCGATGAACACAGATGATCAAGGATATTGCAGCAGGCCGACCCGCCGTCAAGGTAACTGGTGGCTATGTGTAATGGGTACACCGTTTTGATATCAATGCCTGCGTCTGCGACTTTCCGCAACATCTGTTCCAAAAGAGGCTCATTTCTGGCCATAATACTGAACGAAAACGACTCTAGTAAGAGCTCGTGGGGTGACCTCTCGACAGCCTTGACGATTTGTGACATCGCTAGGGGTAGTCTGTTTGTTGCAATATTGCTGAAATCGTTGTTTTCGAGGGCATTTCGTAGCCGCTCTTCCAGCGGCGGTTGTTCCCATGTCGGTGGCCATTCAGAACCTGAGTTACCGACTTCGTCATAGACAGATTCGTATGGTTCTTCTACAACATGAATAGACCACCGACAAAGTTGTGATGGCATTCGAATCTCCGATGGAACGTCTTCGTGAGCGCCCGTCTCCACAGGCGAGCGGGCTAACAGGGCCGGCGATGCTGGAGAAGGGCGGTGGCAGGAGCTTTCATAGGCGTCGAAGTTTAGGTTGTCCCTAGTCCAGTCACGAGGTCCTTTGCCCCAGTGTTTAGACGTCATGAACGCAAACACCCAGAATTGGTATAGCCAGGTCGACATTGTGGCTTTCTCTGCATCGTTCATGGTCTTTGCGAGATCATCAAACCTACCATGCAAGAAAAGACGAACCCGGTCCAATGCCATGGTCTCCGCCACAGCAGCTGAAAGCGGTGAGGGCTCATCATGCGGAGAGGCCACTTGCGAGGGGGAATTGCCAGTCAGTGAGGGTGTCCGAATGACGACGCCGTCTGGAGTCGAGATGGGAAAGCCAAACGGGGGTGTGTATTTAGGAGATTGGGACATTCTAAATTTGCTGGCAGCTAATGGCATGTTCCAGTTGAGAAATCTATGGCTCATCAGCATAGTTCTTGTCGAAGGACAGTGGTCGCCACGACATTTTGTTACCAAAGGGAAGGAAGCGTCCGAAGACTTGGGACTGGTGTTCAACGAGACGAGAAGAACTATCCAAAATGGTGTACTCCTGTCTCGCATTGGCTTTGGCTTGTCGTTTGAGCCTCTTGCCATCGACCTTCCGGCCAGCGACCACTGCAGAGGTCGATTTTCCTTGCATAGCTCTTGCCTGCGCCCGGTGTAGAATGTGATTCTTTGTAAGTGAGGAGACGCTCTTGGTCCAGCCCCACTGCTTAAAATGATACCGGTAGGATGGTTCGCTGAGTTCAAGCAAGGTCAGCTGGCAACGACAAGCCTCCTTGGGACATACCCACTTTGCACTAAATCCATGTTGCTCCTTCATGATCCTCGCTATATCTTTGACCTTGTGAGTGTGGAACAAAGGCTCGAGAAGGTCCTTCAGCAGCGCCCACTTTTTGTCATGGGGGACGCCTGCCAGCAAAGCCGCCCGCGATTGCGGTTGAATGGAGCGGCTTTCTCGGTCCAAATTCATGGGCATGTCCATTCGGGGAGTGGACTGTGAAGTACAGCCTAGCAAATCTTTCGGCGTCACGGAGGTGATCAGAGGGGGAAAGATGGAATGGAAGCACAGAAGGGATGCGAGTTATTGATAGACTACCAGTCGGAGATGGAGAGATTGCATGTTATAAAAAGGAGGAAGAAAGATAGAAAGGGGGTGTGGGAAGACGGTAAGGCTGAGAACATTGGGAGACGAGGAACCGAGGAAATGAGGAGTGCGTGCAGCGCAGTATAAGACAAATCATTGATAACGGCCAGCAGGAAGTTACCGGCAGGCGGTGAGCAGCAGAAACGCGCGTCATGTGGACGAAAAGGGGTTGCCTCATGCCAAAAGGCTGCCGTCACTAATGCATTTTGCAGTGCAGCAAGAGACACGAAGTGTGAGGTCAAAACAGGCAACGATGCCAAGAGGGACAAATGCACACTAGCCAATAGAGTTAATATCTAACATTGCTTCCTTCTTTTAGATCCACCCTTGCCTTTAAACTACCTAAGATCCTGAATCCTCGTGTCCGCGAAAATAATACCAACCAGTGCAGGCCTTCCAGGTCAATCAAGCTGGCTTGTTGACCCAATTTGGACCTCTGAGTGTCAAAGTCGACATGATAGTAGCTCTTGTCGGAGGAGATCCACCTTCTGTTAACCCGCCTTTGTAGATCATGTACCCCTTCAGAGGATGTCCCAACCGGCTTCCATCAACATTCGTTCCCAAGGATCAGTATTGTGCTATGCTGTGGCTCCTCGCCAAGCGAAACAAAATCACACCGTCCAATCAGACATCCTGACCTCCCAGTCCATTCCAACCTAGAGGGTTTTCGTCGAGGATTAAGCTACCTGGATGGGCTGACTCCTTTCATTTCTGGCACTTATCAACCCGATGACAGTGCCCTGATGAATTCAATTAAGAGAATTTCGACGAACGCCCGATATCAAGGCATTTGAGACGTATGGTTCGAGCTAGGTGTGGGACGAGTATAAAGTCGACAAATCCTTTCCTCCATCGATCTCTTCCTTTTGGTTTTCTCGTCCTGGCCACAAGTATTCATTTTGACAATTAGTACCTTCTTACCTCTTGCTTCTTGACTTTCCATTCTCCATCTTGAATTTTTTAGGCCTTGCCCATGGCATCCCCGAAAGCGAAGACATCCTCGCCTGCAAGCATCCAGCCCCCTGTATATGAGTCTCATGGCCTAGTATCCTTCGCAAGCTGCTGACAAGGCTTGTAGGCCCATAAGCAGAATACTCCGGCACTGTTGTGGGACCCAGGAAAGATATCCAACTCCCCTCGCTCGTGCGCCTACCACGATCCCCTCATTCGTCTGGCATTGCCAGACAAACAACCTCGTCACTCCGGGGTCATGGATAGATTTCTGCTGGAAGGTCCTGCTGATCAATCAGCCATCTTCAATCGCCCCGACAATGGCATGTTGTCCATCTCCAAGGGGTGCACTTGTCTGAGCAAGGTTGAGAAAAGGGTCGCCCGTCTCTGATTCTATGCCTCGACCATCGGGTGGGTTATGACCGTTCTCACCTCATCGGCATCTTGCTGGCCAGGATGCCGGCCGTCGGGTGTAATGACGGAGTCGACGCGGTGTGCTCGGTGATCTTCATGGTGATAGGAGGATTTATGAGGTCAATCGCGTTCTCTAAATAGAGTCTTTTAGATCACGGTCATTGCAAACATTTTTCTCCCTTCCAATATAATGCTCCCTTATTTTCTCCGATGGGTACCGGCTGACGCTTGCTTCACCCTCTTTACACATACTCGAGGTCCTATGGCCAGCGCTATAGGGTTGGAATGCACCCATTCATTCAAAGAGCCAACGGCCCCGTCCCTATTTCCGAAGGGGGTAATATCTGCTCATCACAATGCTGGCTCGTGGAAGCAAATCTGTTAATGAGGAGCACAAGGTTAGCGTTCTTAGCATGGAGGGAAGAGCACAGACAAAAGCGGCGGCATTTACCGCTCAAGGCGGCGGGAGATTTCCCTACGCCTTGCGTAAAATTGTATCTCATGGTTCCTTGAAGATCTCCGGCTTCAGTAAACCTGATATTCCTGCAGTGTGTCGGTTGTATGTGCGCCAAGGGCCCCTACAGTTCACAGTAGACGCTTCTCCAGGACTTTTTTTTTTTTTTTTTTTTTGGACAACTCAGATTGTCATATCTGGGACGAGAAGGGGAAGGAAAGGAGCAAGGGAATACCGCAATGGCAAAGGTTGACTGAAGCAGTCGTTATGATCTATCTGTGTCTTCTTCTTAAACGGATGCTCTAGTGGGCTAGTCCCAACTAGGCCTAGCATTACACGTGACAACTTGCCCCCCCTTGTGAAAATGGCTGTCCTCAGCTACTGCGTCATAATTCTATATTTTACCAGACCGTGTCGTCGTAATATTGGTAGAATTGATTGCTTTTTTTCGGAATGACTCCACTTTCATGTTGCCCCCAATCAGAAGCGTTGCCGTCGCCTACAACCCCTGACCCCAGCTGTCGATCATGGAATGACGTTAAAAGCCTCTCTCCTGGCCTTCTAGAGAGTTCCAACCTTCTCATCCACCATCGAATCCATCACCCCGCGTTTCGACATCCTGGCGTCCGATCATTGTCAGAGCGAGAGTCTCCCTTCCATGGGGAGATTCATCGCTTCCAATTCTCCTTTGTTACCTTGCTTCTGCCCTCTATGTGATGGTCGAAATTGAATTTTACGCGTTGAATTCTTCGACTTTCCGGCATCATGGCTGACATACCCAATTCCACCGAAGATCAACAAGCAGCACGCGTGATATCGAGACACCTACCGTCGGGATATACGGCCGGTCTAGATGGGGAGACCGACGGACAAGATGCCCCCGGTGAATCGGCGGAGCCCGAAGCAGAATCATCTCTAAAACTCCACGGGGGAGACATACACCGGGACCTGTACAAAATTCACCGGCGAGGAAAACTACAACAACGTGCCGCCACATTCTCTCACCCCAACGAGCCGTCCCCTGCGTTTGCCAACAATCTATCGGTAGCTGAGCAATTGGCTCCTGGAGGATTTCGGCGAGAATTTGTTCAAAAGAAACACGGCCGTTTCAACCCGGCGGTTATCCCCATAACCAAGAACTTTGTCGAATTTCTTTCTCTCTATGGAAGCTTTGCGGGAGAAGACCTTCAGGATTCAGAAGATGAATCGGCACTGGAGGATCTCGAAGATGAGGAAGGCCGCCCCGCCACGGAAACCAGGCCGCTTCTGGGCCCAGGGCGGTCGAGAGCCGGCGTGAAAAAGGGAGATGCGAGCATGAGCAAAACCTTCTTCACCCTGCTCAAGGCTTTCATTGGAACGGGTATCATGTTCTTACCCAAGGCATTCAACAATGGCGGCATCTTGTTCTCCTCGATCACGCTGCTGACGGTTTCCATCGTCACCACGATCGCATTCCACCTTCTGTTGCAGTGTCGGCAAGCGCATGGGAAGAACGGTTATGGCGAACTTGGTGAAGCCATTGGTGGTTGGCGAATGAGAGCGATCATTCTCGGATCGGTCACCATCTCACAGCTGGGATTTGTGTGTGCGGGTACCGTCTTCGTGGCTCAAAACCTGTACTCGGCTCTGGACGCCGTCAGTCAAGGCGGGAATCCCTTGTCCGCCAACATTTTGATTGCATTGCAGTTGGTGGTCCTGATTCCACTCGCTTTCATCCGAAATATCTCCAAACTGGGTCCGGCGGCATTGGTAGCCGATATCTTCATTCTCCTGGGAATCAGCTACATCTTCTACTACGACATTGCCAGTCTGGCCCACCATGGGATTGATGACACGGTTCAATTGTTCAATCCTCAGCAGTATACCCTGACGATCGGGGCCGCCATCTTCACCTTTGAGGGTATCGGTCTCATCCTCCCGATTCAATCATCCATGAAACACCCGGAGAAATTCGAACCGCTTCTCTGGGTCATCATGCTCATCATCACCATCATCTTCACGTCGGTGGGGGTCCTGTGTTACGCCACCTTCGGCGCCGCCACCAAGATCGAAGTCATATCCAACTTCCCTCAAGACAATAAATTCGTCAATGCCGTGCAGTTTCTGTATGCCCTGGCCGTAATGGCTGGTACGCCCGTGCAACTCTTCCCCGCGCTGCGGATCCTAGAGGGGAAAATCTTCGGTCGTCGCTCCGGCAAAATCAACACTTTCACCAAATGGAAGAAGAACGGATTTCGAACCGTTCTTATGGCTCTGTGTGCCTTGGTCTCCATCTTGGGCGCCAGCAACCTGGACCGATTCGTGGCATTGATCGGATCATTCGCTTGCGTGCCCCTGGTGTACATTTATCCCCCCTGGCTGCATTACAAAGGCGTCGCGCGATCCAAATGGGCCAAGGGAGGCGATATGGCATTGATGATATTGGGAATAGTGTGCATGGTCTACACGACCTGCATCACTCTTGTCACCAGCTTTATCCAGTGAACGAAGTGAAATGGCACGTCGGAATGGGAAGGTCTCGGTTCGGTATCTTGTCGACATTGGAGCGAAATGATCCACATCACCGGATGCGCTTTTTGGGGTCCAGGACATGGCGGGCAGAAAAAGAAGAACTGTAGAGATGAGAACTTGGGAGAGCAGATCCGAGATTGCGAGTTTGAAGATCGACGTGGATCACTTGCACACGCCGTCAACAAGCGCCATGATACGAAATGAAAAGAGTTTGGGCCGATCACGCCGCTATACTGAACCCGACTGTGCCCAAAGGATTTTCCTCGTCTTGATTTCCTTCCTGCCAGCCTCACTGGCTGCAAATTCTGAATAGTAGGACCCTATTTGGTCGATCAGAGGCCTTACAAGCAGTTAGCGAGAACGTGATGACTTTCCTAACAGAGCGCTTCTTTGTGTGACTCAACGTCCTCCCGGCTCGTCTCTTTGGCCCACCATCATCGAATCCTTCGCGCCCCAATGAGTTCGGGCCCGTATTGAAATTGGTCACCTTCCCACCAATGACCCAGCTACGCGGATCTGAATGTTGCAAACTCAACTTGTCGGGTATTCTATGGTTTGAACGGCCCCAGCGGCCTCCTCGTAGATTCCGCCATCGAGAAGACAAAAGAATCCGTTTCTAGGTGTCACGCCGGTTACAATAAAGCATGACCATACTCATTGAGCGAGCTCATGTCGACTTTTCTTTCCCCACGATAACGTGGAACAGCTCCAGCTGTCCTCACAGAAACGGTAATTGGTCTGAGATCGTTCTTGGAGTTAGCGCTGAGTGGCTGGCTACGGAAAGCAAACGGCCCGAATGGGATCGGTTAGCAGTGTGGATTCCAACAGGGTAGACGAATGGGACTCCGCCTTGAACGAAGGGCAAAGAACGTGGTGCAATCATCACCGTTCACGCCGCTGTGGAAATCGATTCCTTGTAATGGGAGCAGGTGTGATCCCAGACTGCCTTTCCCCATCATCAAACCCCATTCCCACTTTCCGATGGAGTCGATCCAGCGAATCAGGAGACGACAGTCGGACAGTTTCAGATGACTGAACCTTCATCTGAGGCAAGTGGCGCCAGACACGGAGAGGTCTTGATTCCACGTACAGGCATAGGTTTCAATATGATTCACCGCACATGGATATCAGTTGTACCCTGCCTTCTCACGGTGATGAACCACGACCGTGAAAGGGCAAGGCACCTAGACCTGAGAATCATCATTAGATCATGAGGGCTCATCGACCTGGACAAGAGAACGGGTCGCATGTCAGCCCAGCCTCGGCCCGGGGGTGCCACAACCACCAGCGGAAAATCTGGCCATATTCCCACAGGATCATCTTGGTAATCTTCTTTTTGCTAGAAACAAATACGAACCTAGACCAGTTGCCAATGACAAGATCAATCATCACACAAAATCCCCTCACTCATCAGACGAATACGAGGGAATCGAAACCAATCAGAATCGTCGAAAGAGGGGGGGAATATCCCTCCTTAGGTACGATTTTTCTGCGAGGCGGCTCACTCAAATGAAAGTTCTCCATCTTTCAGCCTCATTTGGTAAGTTGATCGGGCCTCAAGGGCCAAAACATGTAAACCTAAACCCTAAGATACTTGTCCCCCTGCATTTGCCAAGGGGCTCGTCCAGGGTCACCGTTTTCTGTTTAGGGAGCTCCGTGGGACCAAAAGGAGTCTAAGACGGTCTAAAAGATGGACAAATTTATGATTCTGCATATCATTCGTTGGGCTCGGTTATCATGCCCGGAGATGCCAACTCCTTCTAATTTCGCCTCCTCAACCGTTGTCTCACGTGGTCCAGACAAACCGCCCCCAAACAAGCTCAAACTGGCCCTCTCCCCTAGTCTCCAGCAGGATCTGCTATTCGGCTGCCTTCCGATCCGGCGACATCAACGGGGCCTGAAAAGTTGCAAGCTTTCTCATCGCACCCATGATTCAGGGTTATACTCGGGGATGGGCTCCACCAGGAAATTGCAAACCTGGGGGTAATCCCATTCCACTCGGCAGCCTTGCCAACTGATCTCGGTGGCAAGGTTTCGACCATCTCTAGCTGCTTCGACTTTTTCCTTCTGCGGTCACATCACGGGAGTTGTGGCAGCTGAATCCACCGACGTCCACCGACATCCGGCCAGATACCACCAACAGCAGCGACCAGAAACTTCGTGCGGGCGTTCCAACGTGGCTTAGAACAAGACGACGGGACAAGGCCCGGTACCTTGCAGAGGCGGCTTCTTGCAAACAAGCTTAGTTTATGCCAATAATTCTTTTTTGCCGCCAGTCCAGACTGGGGCTGGGAATACGAAAACGTCTGGAACTGTCACCAGAACTCAAACGGTCTGCCTGACACCAAGAGATGTCTTTCACGTCACTTATCTTCGCGACCATCTCTCCTTTCTGCCAAACTCACTCCAGTCACTCGTTACATATCTCTGCCGACCTCCTCCACTCGTTCAACGCCAGCTCCGAAAAGCTCACCAACGCGACTCATCAGCAAGATGAAGTTCCTCAGTGTCCTCGCACCGTTGGCTTTGGCCTCGACGGCCGCTGCCATGCCCCGTTGGAGAGATTGGCATGGAGCTGGTCCCAAATGCCCGGAGAGCACCTGCCTCACTCAAGTCGATGCCGAAGACATTGTCTCCAAGTTTGCCTCTGTCCTCGATCACCCCGATGTTGCCGCTTCCAATAGCACTGCTCAAGCCTTGATCGCCGATGGTTTCTTCGAGAAATCCGACTCCATCAACATGCTTGCCGGTCACCCCGTACGTCAAATCTCTTGATCCCCCAGATCCCAACACTCCAAGCTAATTTGACATAGATTGGCGCCGTCACCTTCTCTGGTAAAGCATCCTACATCCAAGGTGTCCTCCTCGCTCCCTCCATCACTGGTATTGAGACAATGAAGGTCATGGTCGCCGGCTGTACCAACGTCCTGTGGTACTGGAAGTTCACGGGCATTGGCACCAAGCAACTCCCCATCAACGGATTCAACTTGTTCGAAATCACTCCGGAGAAGCAGATCGCCGACATGTATGTGGAATTCAACAACATCGCCTGGGGTATCGATACGGGCTTGACCGTCTACAGCCGCAACGGTACCGAATTGCCCTTGGCATAAACGGATTTGTCTGTCCCGGAAGATCTTTTAGGGGATGGGGTTGGGGAAAAGGAAAAATATAAGGCGTCCGATGAAGATCACGGCAGCAATTTTTTTTTTTCTCCTTTTTTAATGAGCACTCACAGTACCTACCTTTACGATTCTCATCCTTGGAAATAGGTGCTAGTCATTTCCACATTGGTGTATCTCTATGTCGATGTGACAGGTATATCCCGGTCTTCAACTTTGGCGAATATGCTTCAGGAACCCCAGAGATATAAACAGTGGTAGAGCTTCAGATGGTTCATCCATCATCCAAATGTGCAACTAGGCAATCCTATTCTTTTCTTCTGGCAGCTTCAAAGTGCCCGGTTTCCTTTCTTGTGCCAATTGTTATTTGATTTGCCGTCCAGCTGGCTTCATCTGATGTCATTGAGTGTTTAAAATTGACTTGACGTGATAAGTCGTCGATGTGGCATAGAAGAGATACGAGCGGGCAGAGATGACTGCTGTGTCGGCGTAACGAGGACTGATGTCGAGTGGGTGGTGACATTACCTTTATATATTCCAACTTCACACCGTCATCAAACAGGTCATTCATTGGTCGACTACCTATGAACGAACGAACCAGCCACGTACTCTCCTCTTTCTTTTTGACGAAGCCTCATATCATTGTGTCCATATTGGTGAAACCTAATCTCAGTGATCGAGTGTCACATTGACGAAGCTTCTGGGTCAAGCTCATATTCGCCATGAAAGCCCGTGATGAGGAAAAATTCGGCTGCGAAGCTCAGGCTTGGTGGACCCACTTGACAGGGGTGATGTTAGCCTGTGCTCAACGAACCACGAGAGCTCTGCCAAAGCCAGCGATTGCCGAACTCCATTTTCACCGGGCTTCCATCTCCATCGACCGCCTTACCAAAGAAGGGGAACAAGGAGTCCACTCCTCTCCCAGTGCTAGAACACCGCTCTAGGCAAGGGGAACGGCAGGTCATCCCCATAATATGGGCGTTATCTCGGTCCGTACGGTAAACTGCAGATACAATGACGAGGACGGAGTTAAGAAAAATACTCTCGAACGTTTCTTTCGTCCTGGCGCCCAGCAGCCCATCATGTGCCCTGGCCCCTTCCTATACCGGATTTCTCGCAGGGTTTCCCCCGAGACGGTATAGCGCGTGGGACTAAACCATACAAACAGCCGGCACGCGTAGGTATACTAACTCAATAGATTCTCGACCTCAAGGGTCTGAAGCCTCGTCAAGCGTCTTCTCACTGGCTAGAAGAGCCAGGTAGAGTTCACTGATTTTCATAATGACGGCATTAAGACAGTTCTGTCCCGTCCTTTCCAAGCGGCTGTTCGGAGTTATCCATCTGGCTGCGCAGGCGGCAGGTGGGTATATATATTCCTATTTGAATGGACCTGTTTGCTTCCTGAACTTCACATCTCATCGTTGTGCACCCGCTGAATATCCTCTTTGATACCTTCAACCGTACATCATTTGTCGGAGTCTGTACTGGGCCTTCCCGCCCCAATGGGTTTCCTATGGTCCCAACTCTTCGTCAGGTTACCATACCCCACGAAATCTTTCGCCGGGCAGACCATCATCGTGACAGGGTCCAATGTCGGCCTGGGGAAAGAAGCAGCCCGTCATCTTGCTCGTCTAGGAGCCTCGAAAGTGATCCTCGCCGTCCGCAACACCGCGGCCGGAGAAGAAGCCAAACAGGACATTGAGAAGACCACACGATGCGCCCCATCCGTGATCGAAGTCTGGCCTCTCGATCTCATGTCCTTCGACTCAGTCAAAGCCTTGGCGACTCGTGCGTCAAACCTCCCTCGTATTGACGTCCTGCTCGAAAATGCCGGCATGGCAGCTATCGACTTCAAACTTGCCGAAGGTCACGAACGCTCCATCACCGTCAACGTCATCAGTACATTCCTCCTCGCATTCCTGTTGCTACCCAAGCTCAAAGCCACGGCCAAAGAATACAAGATCGAACCCCGCATCACCATCGTTTCCAGCGGAGCCCACGGCCACACCACATTCCTCGAAAGGACGGCCCCCAATGTATTTGAGCTCATTAGGGACCCGTCCAAGGCCAACATGAGGGATCGATACCCGTTGAGCAAACTGCTCCAATTGCTGACTATTCATACCATCCCTCCCCGGCTCGCCGGCTCCGGGGTGATTCTCAACTACGTTAACCCGGGCCTTTGTCATTCGAAACTCTCGCGTGACGCGCCCATCATGATGGAAATCTTCAAGTTCTTCCTCGCGCGCTCGACCGAGGCGGGCAGTCGGACGTTGGTGGCAGCTGCCGGGGCCGGGCCAGAGTCGCAGGGCAAATATATAGATGACGCGAAGATCGATGATGGGGCGTTGTCGCCCTTTGTCCGGAGTGAGGAGGGCAAGGAGACAGCGGAGAAGATTTGGAATGAGTTGAGGGAGATTTTGGAGAAGATCCAACCGGGGGTCACGAAGAATATTTGAGTGTGTTGTCTGTCACAATAATGTTGTTTGATTGTGTTGGGTGTTTGCGATATGAGTATCGTTCATCTATTCCCTCCAATAAAACCTGGCAACTCACCTCTATGATAGATGGACCTCGTTTTGATCATTGAACTCAATTGAGACACCCGTTCTGATTATCAGGAATGCCATCAGTAATCTCAGGACATGACTGGTTGCAACTCCGACGTCGGGGAAGGAAAGATATCGTCTGTCGGCCAAATCCGACCCAAGATATATCAACCTTTCTGCCAAATCTCGAACGCCAAACGATGTTAGGATTCGACACAATAAAGACGGCAAAGCCTTCCGCAGAGCGTAGATGACCAAGCCCTGGTTGTTACCCTTCCCCTTCCAAGAAAAAACATACGAATGGAGCGATGCTGGTCTTAAAAGAACACGATGTCCTAACACTGCTCTCCCATCTCACTCGACCAGAATGTCTTCGCCTCCTACATAGTCTGCATGACATCCTACGCTCCTACACCCAAAGCAAAACCTCTGGTGCCACAGCACCAGTCCAACCAATCCACCAACCCGAGCGCCATGTCATCACCACGTCCCTAGGGAACACAACGCTCTTCATGCCATGCTCCATTACTACGACCACAGCAATGAAAGTCGTCACCATCAGTTCGGATGGATTGAAAGGCTGCATTAACGTCTTCTCCCCGGTCGGCGAATTACTGGGCATCCTGAACGCCCAGGAAGTCACGGCCTTCCGCACCGCGCTGGCCGTCATGATCCCCTTCGTACGCCATGCGGGCCCGAAATCTAACATCGTGATCTTCGGCGCCGGACGCCAAGCCGAGCAGCACATCAAACTAGCTCTTCTTCTCACCGACGACGTGAAAAGCGTCACCGCCATAAACCGCAATGCGCCACGACGGCTGGAGTCACTCTTCGCTACTCTCCGGGGAAAGTACCCTGGCATCGCGTTCAATTTGCTTCTCAGGACAGCAGAAGACTTTGACACACGCCTTCAAGCACGACTTGCCGAGTCGGATGTGATATTTGGCTGTACCCCGGCGACGGTACCCCATTTCCCTCACAGTTACTTGACCAACAAGAGGAGATTCATTGGACTGATAGGCTCGTATAAACCGGCGATGCAGGAAGTGGATTCGGAGACGATACTTTCTGGTGAGGGGCGGCGCATATACGTGGACACGAAGGAAGGATGTTTAGGGGAAGCGGGAGAGTTGATTAGGGCGAAGGTGACGGAGGAGCAACTGGTCGAGATTGGCGAGCTGGATGTAATTAGTGAAGAGTCGTTGGGAGGGCAAGGGAATTTGATTTTCAAATGTGTCGGGTTGGGGATTATGGATCTGGTCATGGCAAAGGAGTTGATTGAGATGGCGAGGGAGAAAGGAGCAGGGTTGACTGTTGAGGATTTTTAATGTATACCGCCACATTACAGTAATGTCCCATGAATGTGAACCACAAGGAGAAGCGGCCTCCTGAGGAGGACTGAGGTCTCTATCAACGTGAGGCTGAGTTGTGGCGGTGTGGCAGCTTTGTCCTTAGTGAGGCCTCCCAACAACGAAGTATGACGGATGCATACTAATAAGCGTCCTGGAGTCCTAGTCAACTTTACGCAGGCACCACGCCGCGGTCTCACAGAGCCCCAGCTTCTCGTCTTATGTGAATAAGAGTCTACCCTCTCCCTTGAAGCCTGATCCACTGGAGAGCCTGAACAGGTGATTGAACGAGAAACCCGAGAAGCTCGGATGAGTCAGACTCGAGTCCTCTGGACTGTGTCCTGTTGGTTTGAGAGAATTGAATCTATCTGAGTGAGGCGCAAGCCACGAAAGCTGCGGTTCACGTGACTAGGCTAAATCCAACGGGGTGTGAAAATGTGTGTTCAAGACGAACAATTGTGGCCGTTTTAAAGGCGCCGTCCTTGGCGTCTTGGCCAGAATCACAGGGGAATGCCAACACGTCCCTCCTAAAGTGCAGGCTACCATCCTGCCCAAGCGCCATTCAACCAGGCGAATACTGGATAGCACAGGCCGACGACGGTACGATCGTCCAATCATAATTCAGGTCCTTGACTTCTCTCAGTGTTGGGCGAAACTAACATCCGTAAGATTTCTACTGTGTTGCATGCTGTGAGAAGATCGCAGATCTGTCTCGCGCCGAGGTTTTCGACTGTATCAATCCTGTGACCCGACGAACTTTTGCTTTACGTGGCCTCAAAGTCAATAATATCCTCGTGGCAATTATCTCTACGATGGAGGCGCGGAAACGCTAGTGCTGGAATGGAAGTGTTACGCCCTAGCAGGTATACTACTTAAAGGTCCAGAACGCTGCTATGGAATAGCAGGATTCTCTATTTTTGTTTTGGGTTGTTGTGGGGTGGGAGGGGGGAGGTTGCGCCAGAGCATCGGGACCTTTCTTGACAGGAAAGCTCAATCTGTTGAGGAGGACAGGCTCTTTAATTTTCAAGTTTGAACGGGTGGACAACCTCCCACGGCATGAAGAACTCTTACTGTGCACCACACTTGCTCCATTCGAGAGTGACGGCGCAGGGACACGGAAGAGTGAAATCTCTTCGATGAATATCTACCTAACGACGATGAAGAAGACAAATTCAAGGCCATCGCCAGCTTTCTGCTGTTCTAATGCCAGACTTTCAAAGTACATTTTTAGGATTCGGAGAATGAGCCGTCACCAATTATCTCGATCGGAGGTCGGTGAATAGATGGCAAAATCAGACGTGGTTAGTACGAGGCTCTATTAGGCATATCGATTCGTTGAGAGGCAAGGAGAAGAAAAGGGAGAAAACTGGATCGAGACAAGTATCGCCGGGATATGCAATAGCCATTCAAATTTCTGTATATCGGCCAATGCTGCCAACTCCGTATATCATGACAAAGTATATCTAAGGATGAACAGAATCCAAGTAATTCTGTGGTACAAACACCTGGCTGCATCCTGGTGCTAATATGTGGATGCGCTCCCGCGTCCTGGAGACGTGTTGGGACCTCTTGTTGTCCGGATTGGACGATGGTGATTACAGCATATAGGACTCGGGGGTCGCAATTTTCCGAGTATGACGACAGGTCAAGCAAGAAGGGGACTGGCATCTATCATGCGCGTTTGGCCACTGCTTCGCAGTCTCTCCTCCTTTAGATTCCATCGTCAAAAGTGTAATCCTTTGCCCACCGCGTGTCCCAGGGGCGGGATTGATTGACAAACCTCAAATCTGTGCCTAGGCGGATTTTGTTCTCTGGATCATGGTTAATTGTTGAGGCGTGGATCTATCCCACCACAAAGTATTAGCAAAAGGCACCACATACCCACGGACGACTCAGGTCGATACAGAAGAAAGAAAGGAAAGGCAAGGTAACAGTATGGGATGACATGGGACGTGTACACTTACCGCATATGCATTATGAAGCACCACATCGCCCGCCTCATACTCGGTCACCAACCATCGTCGGCCGTGCTGTCTTGCAAACTCTGCAGGTCCATCCGCAAGTAATCCACCATCCATCATATTCTTGTTGAACGCGCTCTTCGCCTCTTCGTCGGAAAGACCCGAGGCCTTCGCCTTGGCGGTAAAGGACTCCTCGATCTCGGCACCCAACGTATGTCCCCGTTCAAGATAGATCAAACCTCCGCCTTGTCTGGAGATATCGCCCATCGGCACCCACGCCGTGACTGCCGTATCTTCTCCACATCGGAGGAAGATCTGGTCATAGTGCACGCCAATGGCCTTGTTACCTGGCGTATTATTTCGGAGAAGCGTACGTCTGATGGCCAACGTGTCGTCGCCCCAACCTGTTAATTGGGAAATATAGTTTCGCAACGCGGGATGTTTGCAAAAGTCCTCTTTGTACCAGGGTTCCGTGTGTGCTTTGAGCGCCAAGTCGACAAACATGCTGGCAATCTCCGGGTGAGGGCCGGTAGGTCGGCCATTGGCGTCCGCAAATCCGGCCCCGATACCGGGGAAATCGAGTTTGTCCTTGGAAGAGTCAAAGATGCCGTCGACGGGGCTGGTGCCGGGTCTTAAAACGCCACTGGGGGAGAGAAGGCGGAAATATTCTTCTCGGGCTTTGAGGACGTCGGCACGAGGGAGCAGGCCTTTGACGAAGAGGTAGCCGTCTTCTTCGTATCGGCGGCGTGCTTCTTCGATGGGAGTATCCAGTGTCGTGGATCTCAGGTCCGTGTATTGCTCGGGTGTCAATGGGCCGTCGTTCACGAAAAGCTTCTCCCCCGATGGGTATTGAGGTTCAGGCGATTCGGCGTGAGGCATTTTGAATTCGCTTGATATGTTGTCTATTTGAAAATCCAGCAGAGTTTTAAAAAGACCAATATCGAGTTCGACGATGAAATAGAAATGCAATAAAGAGAAGAATCAATACCGAATCCTCCAGGACAGTGAACACCCCACCCCCATCCAGGATCCTCTACAGAGGGAGTCGGAGTCGGCTGCGTATGCGTCAGACTTTTTGATCGACATCGGAAGATGCCCGATCGGTCGGATAGCATCCGAAAGAGGGAATCTTTCCCCGCTCTGTCCCAAGAGAAACCTCGAAAGGGGCAATAAAAGCCCGTGTCGTCTTCCCTCCCATACTGTCGCCTTTCTCCTCCACAATATGTCCTGCCAGTCTTGTCGGGAGAAACATGCCAAATGTGATGTGTCATTTACCCTTTTTGTGGTCATGTCACCTGGAGCTGATTTACATTAGGTGACGAGCAATATCCCAGATGTGGACGATGTCAAAAAGGGAATCGGGAATGCGTCCGAACGCCAAGGAGGCAGTACGGAAGTAGAAATGCATGGAAAGCCGTCACGTTAGGGCATGTGCAAACTTGGGTCTCGGTCCCACCGAGAGGTAGGTGGTGTTGACTCGTCGAAATTGTGAAGAGTCATTAATTGATAAAGGTACCAGTGGATTTCGTGGATGAGACTCCGTCTTTGCGGAGCCACCGTTCGACGGCGGACGATGCACGGCTTGGTGCAAGTCAGTCGAATTTTCCGGATCAAGTTCATGCCATCAGCCCTCCAAAGAACGCAGAAATATCTCCCGAGATCACAGAAACGACGTCGGTGACGGAGGGGCCACCACCCGCGCAGCCACCAGAAATACCCGATGGTGGTCTTCCCCGAAGAAATCATTCTTGCTCACCATTCGCGACGAGAGAGGGCGCGGAATTGATGAGATATTTCATCGACCATTGTTCATGTTTCTTCGATTTTAGCGACATCCATCGACATTTCACATATGATGTCCCGCTCCGAGCTCGTGGGAACGCCATGTTGGCCAATGCCATGCTCGCACTGGCCGCGAGACATCGGAGTCGAACCAGAAACTGTGATCCATATATTGCCGACCGTTACTATCATGATTGTCTTCAATCATTGATTCCTCGACTGGGCGATAGCACGGCCGCAAGAGATGACGAGCTCTTAGCGGCTATCGTGATTTTGAGGCTTCTCGAAGAGATGGACGGTTGGCGCCGTGTGTCCCCCGATTGGCTCCTGGAACTAACCGGTCGCAGTCTCCATCGTCGGATCCGATCCTCAAGGACATTTGTTTGGTACTCAAGCCATTATCACAGCTTCCCGGTCTCAATCACCTTCACCAGTAACACCGTTGAGAAAAGCGTGTTACTGGGCCGCGTTTCGACAGGAGATCTTCATGTCGTTGACAATCCAAAGACCATTCAAACTGCGTCTGCCGGAGATGGCCCCCTCATCGCAATCTGGTGATGATTGGTCATGGACGCTGAGAGCGACATATCTCTGTGGCAAGGTTCAAGACTTTGTTTTCGGAGACGAAGTGGCCAATGTGGCCGAGTATCATCAACTGCTGGACGAAGTCGAAACCTGGAAAAGTCGGCGACCCGCCGGGTTTGAGCCGGTATATCAGCAAGCAGGTAGAAAGTCTGAGTCGTTTCCAGAAATTCGCCTGCACATGGACTGTCACGGTAAGTATTTGTCGTCGGCAAGATTTCCGGACGAGTCGACTGACAATATCATCAAGTGATGGGCTGGCAATACATACAAATGGCCCATTTGCTTCTGATTGTCCATCAGCCCTTGCCGAGAGTCGGACCCGCTCATCAACAGGCGTTGAAGGATATGCAGCAAGCTGCCAAAGAGGATGTGAGGAAATTGTGCGGAGTGGCTTTGTCGAATGTCCAGACGCCTCCAGCAAGCTTTGTCGCTTGCATGGCGATTGCATTATGTGAGTCTCCAGTCTTCCTGTCGTCGACTCTCATCATGACGGTCGTAGTTGGCGATCGATTTGAATCTCCAGCCGAACAAAAGCTGCTTCGAGATCTGCTCATTCACACCGAGAGTCGCAACGGCTGGCCGACTTCGGTCGCAAGAAAGCAGCTGGAAAAATGTTGGGATTGGTTGGAAGACAACCACCATCATCCCAAGTAACGTCGCGCCCCGCGAATCGTCGCCGAGAAACCTGGGGGAAACGACTCCCCGCAAGGCTGGCGGACTAGCCTTTTCAGAACAGAATTTGGTTAGAAAGCTCCGGCGATCGACCCTTTGCATGGCGGGGTTTCTCCAAACAAACATGCCCCTTTGTCGAATCCGCAGCGGAGAGTTACCATGATACCGACAATGGGTCCGTCTCAAGGGTACTAAAGGCCTCTCGGTCCCATGGGGATATCTTGTGCTCAACCAGGTCACCGTCTTGCACTGTCCCCGCAAGGCGGCAAATCCCCTTTCAGCATGTTCACCGTCAAGCAGACCAAACTCATTCGGCCACCATTCAACCGCAGTGCCGACGAACCTCGACCAGCCAATCTCGTCCATGTCTATCTCGTCACGGCGTTCGTCTCCATCGGTGCCCTTCTCTTTGGCTATGATCAAGGTGTCATGGGCGTGATAGTGGCCGATGAGCGATGGATCGACCTTATGAAGCCGGCAAATTCCTGGGTCACTGGTGCCGTCGTTTCCTTGTACGATGTTGGCTGCTTTGTCGGCGCCATGAGTATTGGATATCTCGCCGACCACTATGGAAGAGAACGAACGCTCTCCATAGCCAGCGTGGTCTTCATCGTCGGTGCCCTCATTCAATCCGCTTCGTATGATGTCCCCACCATCGCCGTGGGTCGCATCATCCTGGGATATGGTGTGGGTGCTTGTGCGGCCGGTGTGCCACTGTATGTATCCGAGATTGCCCCGGCGCAACTCCGTGGGAGAATCATCGGCATCGAGCAGATGATCCTGTGTTTAGGGGAACTCATTGCATTCTGGCTCGATTATGGCTTCGCATACCTGAAGACTCCAGACTGGTGGCGGATTCCTCTGGCCATCCAAATTGTCCCGGCGGCCATTCTCGCCATTGGTTGTTGGGTATGGGTGCCACCGAGTCCACGGTGGTTGGTGCAGCAAGATCGACACGCCTGTGCACGAGAAGTTCTGGCTCGATTTCATGGAGATCAAGTAGCTGAACAGGAAATGCAGGAAATTGCCGACAATGTCGCGCTCGAGAAAGCCGTCACGATGGCGTCGTGGGGAGATATGTTCCGCTGGCCCGTCCTCCGGGTGACCCTGCTGGGGACAGGCGTCCAATTCTTTCAACAGATTACCGGGACCAACTCGATTTTATATTACACGCCTGCTCTATACGAGAGGGGAGGGATCGACAGCGCGCACACTCGTAACCTCGCCACAGGAGGGGTGGGGATTGTACTTTTTATCTTCGCGTGGATTCCCATTTATGCCTTCGACAGGCTGGGTCGCAAAACCTGGCTCCAGATCGGGGTGATTGGCATGATGTGTGCCATGATTGGAATAACAGGTAAGCTGTTCACAGACCATCCGGTGTCGGTCGAAACTCATTCCCGCTTCAGTTCTTCAGTGGCACGCCGAAAAGTACCCTGGTGCAGCGGGGAATTATGCCATTATTGTCTTCCCATATCTCTTCTATATCTTCTTCAACATCAGTTGGGGCGTCGGTTCGTGGACATATGCGAGTGAAATCTTTCCGGTGACGTACAGAGCCAAGGGCAATGCACTATCGACGATGAGCTTGTGGGCCGGGTGTTATATTGTCGCCCAGGCCAGTCCTCCGATCGGCGACGCCATCGGATGGGGTCTGTACATCATCTATTCTGGAATTTGCGTCCTGGCATTCATCTTCGTACGGTATGCCATGGTCGAGACTCGAGGGCGCACCCTAGAAGAGATGAGTCGTTTGTTCGGCATCGAAGAGAAGCTTGTGGTTCGAAGTGGCATTGATCCGGCGGAGGCGTACGGGACAAAGAGCAAGGATGTTGTCCAAGAGCAGGTAGAGGAAGTCACCAAGTAAAATGAGTAGATGAGTGGAGAGTAGATCCAGAGAAGATCTGGAAATCTTTCAGAATTCAAGGCGGTCAATGAACGTTCATAAATTGCGGGGGGTAAGGGAAGAATCGGACGATCTTATGCACAGAAGTACAGGTGATGGTTACCCCCGAAAGGGCCCGAGCCACCCCCAAACTCGTAGGTACTCTCGGAGCCCCCTGAGGCTTTTCTTAAACACTCCACGTCGCCTGCTGTGACCATCGATGTCGTGATCGCAACATGAGATTATACCTTCAGACCATTCTCAGAACAACCACTGGACGACTATACGATCGCAGCTTTGTCGCATTTGTCATCATGGCGGTGATAAGTGATCCATCTGCCAGTTTCGCTCCCATATATACAAGTACGCTCAGGAACTTTGTCTCGCTCCGCATCCATTGACCATGCTCTCGCTGCCCGTAAACTCTAGAATATATCACACTCATGTCGGAGTCCAAGCCCAAGTCACTACACCTCACGGCATTCATGCGGCCAGTCAGCTTGCATACCAGTGCATGGCGATATCCAGGCGCCTATCCAGATGCCAACTTTAACTTCACTCATCTCAAATCCTTCATTCAGAAGCTGGAAGAGGCCAAATTTGACGCCTTCTTTATGGCCGATCACCTAGCTGTATTGAACATGCCGGTCGAAGCGCTGAAGCGAAGCCATACCGTGACGTCTTTCGAACCATTTACTCTCCTCTCGGCCTTGTCGGTCGTGACCGAGAAAATTGGTCTTGCGGCCACGGCATCCACCACGTACGACGAGCCATACCATATCGCCCGTCGCTTTGCCTCGCTGGATCATCTCAGCAACGGCCGAGCGGCCTGGAACATCGTCACGACCGGCAACCCAGAGTCCGCCAAAAATTTTGGCCGGGATGAGCATATGGAACACGGTGACCGCTACAGACGGGCCCGCGAATTTTATGATGTCGTCACTGGCTTGTGGGATAGCTTTGCAGATGATGCCTTTGTCCGCGATCAGCAGAGCGGCATCTACTTTGACCCAGAGAAAATGCACGTCCTAAACCACAAGGGCGACGATTTGAAGGTGCGGGGACCGTTGAACATCGCACGGCCCGTCCAGGGCTGGCCCGTCATCGTTCAAGCTGGACAATCCGAGCCAGGAAGGCAGTTGGCCGCGGAGACGGCTGAAGCTGTATTCTGCTCGCCACGAGACCTGGAGTCCGCAAAGGCCCTGTATACAGACATCAAAGGGCGGGCGACCGCCGCGGGGCGCCATCCCAATCATCTCAAGATTCTGCCGGCCGCCTTCATCGTCATCGGCGACACGGTCGAGGAAGCCAAATCGAAACGCCTGAAACTCGACAGCCTGGTCCACTACGATAGCGCCATTGCCTCTCTGTCGATCGCGCTGGGGACTGATACCTCCGGTTTCGACCCCGATGGCCCCTTGCCGGCGGATATACCTGAAACCAATGCGAGCAAAACCAGCCGTGATTCAGTCTTGAAGCTCGCCAAGGAGGAAAACCTGACAGTTCGACAGCTTGCCCAGCGTTATGGGGGCTATTCCGGCCTTGCTTTTGTTGGGACACCGGAGACGGTCGCCGACGACATGGGTACCTGGCTGGCCGAGGGGGCCGCTGATGGGTTTACCGTCACTTTCCCATTCCTGCCACAAGGGCTAGACGACGTTACCCAACGGCTCATACCAGAATTACAGCGCCGTGGTATCTTTCGTCGCGATTACGAAGGAACGACATTACGGGATCACTTTGGGCTCCCACGTCCAAAGAATCGCTTCTCCTCCTGAGAAAGTACCACCTTGCCACGTGCAAAGAAGGGCCTTCCGACGTAGGAACAGTTCCCCTAGTCTGTAATGAGCAATATAATCAGGCTTTTGATGGATTAAAGCAATCCTAGCCGATTCCGCTAGCGCATGGTACACTTTCGTCCGGCACAGAGAAGACCCAAGAAGCGAACGCTGATTGCAACCACGCCCAAGACTTTTTTAGTTTTCCATGTTTTGGTCATCTGTCATGGACCATCAATGCGTCAAATCCTCTCGTCATTGTAACCACTTTGTGCAGGTGCGGTAGAAGCTGCATGCGAAGTTCCTGAGTGCGCTCACGAAGCAAATGGCCGACTGACCTTGTTGTGGTCTCATGAACAGCCAAACCCGCAGATATTGATAGAATGTGGAGTCTAGAGAAGGAATGTGTTGTTGTTCTAAGCCAAATAGCCTCACGTGATGTTGCCAAGGCAACGCATCACGTGACTGGCCAACAGATATCAGGCTGGGCAATGGTAGTCAGCTTGTGCCGGAGATTGGGTCAGCCACCTGTGCGTTTAGGCACCCGGACGGAAGATGCCTGTAAGTGTCCTCCAAGAAGGCTCATGTAGATGTACAGAGTGCTCCATCTCAGCCCCTGAAACCCTAGAAAACTAGCAGCAGAGTAAGAGGATGCCATGGATACGCCCACAATGGGGTACCGACTATAGCCGCCCTCAAAGCACTCAATTTGATCCATTTGACAACAGAAAGGGAAAGATCTCGCAATCCTGGGCCGATGTACATCACGCTCACGAGAGCGGCGATTCGGTCTGATCTGATGTGATTGGTTCGGAAATTCCTCCTATTTGCTGGACGAGGGAGAGTAATATGAATGATAGACAGGATGGCAGCCAATGTCAACGTCAGTGATGCCTGACTAGAGTGTGACCCTCGGCCTCCTGAATAGATTTCTCCTTGATTGGGCAGGCCTAGCTAGGATAAAAGAAAGACTCGAGCCTCTCGTTGTAAGGATGAATGCAGGACTACTCTTTCAACTTCATCTTCCACTCTTAACCGCGTGCTCTCCACACGACAGCTCTTCAGCTGTTTCTCTTCTCCCTAGCATGTCGCGAGGCTGCGCCAGGCTCAGCTGGAGTCGACTCAAGGCGGCCCAATAGCTATTTCACCGACATTGAGAATGCGGGGGGGTTCGCATTGCGGCGACTACCGGTTTCCCTCTTTCGACAAATTTGGCCGAAGCTCGGGTATTGAAGTAATGTCAGTTAACATCGTTGCAGCTTCAAGTCCTGGAAAAGCGATAAGTAGGGGAAGAGTGGTTGCCGCAAAACATGAGGGGCCCTACATCTCTTCTCTTCTTTCACTTGATTCATTCAATCCCAGTCCACTCTGAATACTCTTGAACAGCATGGTTTCACTGTTAAGGCATTCCAGTGGCCTCTCACACACATCCGGAATACTCAACTTGTTGGGTTTCAAGAGTATCCGAACGTTCACATCTTCCCCCTCACCACACGCAGAACCGGTATCTATCCGCGCCAGCTTGACGGAGAGAACACAGGGTCAACTAAGTGAACAAAATCTCGAAATAGCGGTGCGTCAAGTACGACATGATGGCCTGGTCGTGGTGCAAAATGCTGTCGAGACAGACATTCTGGACAAGTTGAACACGAAAATGGTGGCTGATGCATTATACTTGCGATCCCGAGGGGAAAACAGCCCTTTCAACTACAACAAGGGGAACTTACAACAAGATGCGCCTCCCGTCAAGGAATTCTTCTATCCCGAGATTTTCCTAAGTAAGTCCCAGCAGTGTCTCACCCTCTCTTTTTCGTCGAGCTACTTATACAGATCACCATGTTCGCATTCAGATCCAATCGCCACTCAAATCACATCCGCCGTCCTGGGTCCTCGTCCCAAATTGACCTTCTGCTCCGGAAACTCGGCGATGCCGGCTACTGCGGACTCACCACCACAAAGACAACCAGTGCATTCTGACGCGGACTTCGCACACCCCGACCACCCCTTCGCACTGGTCGTGAACGTTCCCCTGATCGACATGAAGCCGGAAAACGGGTCCACTGAAGTCTGGCTCGGAACCCACCAGGATTTCGGAATCGAAGCGCAAGAAGGAGCGCACGGCGAGAGAGCCTCCGGGAGAATTCGTGCTGCACTTCTAGAGGAGAGATCCAAAACGAATCCGCCGACGCAGCCCTTCATTCCCAAAGGAAGCGTCATCGTTCGAGACCTGAGGCTCTGGCATGCTGGAATGCCGAATTATTCGGACGATGTGAGAATAATGCTGGCCATGAGTAAGAACGTGCCCTCTCCGTCCTTTGAACCCTTTTGCCAACGAGCCACAGTTCATTTTGCGCCTTGGTATCGGAATCCAATGAAGCTGGAACTGGCGGAAGAAATCAAACCCCTTGTAGGAGGCGTGAAGGATCTGGATGTCAGGGCCCACTTTGTCGGCGAGGATCAAGTGCTTGGGAGTTACCTCGACCGAGGCTTTGGAAATAGCTATGACTTTAGTCAAAGGCCATAAAGAAGCCTGTCTGGGGCAGAGTTTGGTTGAAAAGAGCAGTATCTCGTGTCATTTCAGCCACGAAATGTATCCTCATCACCGATCCGTTATAATCTGCCACAATGATGTCATCTGAATGCTTTCGTAATTGCCGATAGCACCATGTCTGTACCTCTGGTCTGACCAATGCCCTCGAGGACTTCGTCCCCTTGATTTATCTCCACTTTTCTGCGTTCTCTGCGCCTCTTCGCAGCTTACCCCACTTTTTTTCCCCCTACAGCACCCGGGTGTTGAGGATGGGCAATGTCCTGAGCATAACTCTTATTTTCCTCTCATTGACTTTGAAAGCGTACAAACTCTGCTGATATGGGCCTCCTGCCATGGCCAAAACAGTCAGCAAAAATTGTAAGCTCGACAATCCCAATCCGGGTGATCAGAGTCCTTGATATTAATTTCCATCCATAGCTTGGTGAGCATCTTCTCGCGGCTGACACAAGGTATTGATGGAGATTGTAATAGCAGAACGTGCCGACTTCGCAAGTTGAAGTGTAAGACTGCTCTTGGTCACCATTGCTGTCGGTCCTGACCATAATCATCAAGGCGACGAAGGTTTGCCTGTTTGCGCACGTTGTGAACGTGGCGGCCGATTTTGCGACCACTCTACACCTTTGAAAATTCGAGCCCAAAAGAACGTTGCTGGACGAAACGCCCCGAGTACTGCGCACGATAGAGCGGGATCGCCCGTTCATCGTTTTGGCGAGCCTTGGGCAGAATTGCAGAATGAAGAAATTGCGCAGTATTTTGAGCATTACCTCAAAGTGCTGGCGCCCTGGTATGATCTCAATGATCTGGATGACTCCTTCACCAGGCTTGTCGGAGAGCGAGCTCTGCGAAACCAACTTCTTTTAAGTGCTATCATTGCTTTTGCGGCTATCCACAAGAGTCGGACTGGATTTGCAGCTTCAAAACCGTTGGCGGAGAGTCATCACGCAAATTGCTTGCGGCTGCTCATTGGACTTGACGAGCACGACATAGCGACCAAAGACGGTACAGCACTCGCCGCGACGTGTCTCTTGCGTTCGTATGAAATCCTCGCCGGTGGGTGTCGGAAGAAAATGCCTGATCGTAGCTGATGACCAGTAGAGGAAGAAGATCCAAACCGACACCTCTTCGGCGCGTTCTCTCTGATACCACGTATGTCTTCCACGCTTCCGACCGAACCGCTGCTCAGAGCTGGGCTCTGGAATTATCTCCGAGAAGATATCACTTTCTCCTTGATCAACGAGCGCCCATTGAAAATCGAGGTGGGGCAAGTGGACATGAATCTATACCGTGACGATGATTATGCCAATCATATCACTCTTCTTCTGGCTCGAATTGTCAATGCCGTCTTCCGAGACGGGCAAGGACTTGTGGAGGAGCTGCGGGCCGCCGTCTTACGCTGGCATTCGTATCTCCCATTTCGGCCATACCAGGTGGTTCAGCAAGAGACATTTCCGAAAATTCGAATGATCCAAGACTGCCACGGTATGTGAGTCCATTTTTCTCTGCTTCAGATCTAACAAGGGTAGTCGCTGCCTTGCACTACTATCATGTCGCATTGATTCTCCTAGACAAGAAGAGAAAAACTGCCAAATCTGCCTATTTCGAAAGTCAAGCCCGTTTAATATGTGGACTTGCGCTTTCTGCAAATAGTGATGCTGTTATGGTAAATGCATACGGTCCAATCTGCTTCAGTAAGGTTCTTGCCACATCTCGTGGTCCAGAACTAACTCTTCAGCAGGCGCAAAATGGCTGACGAAAGACAATGATCGACGTGAACTGGTTGATCGACTTCTAGACAGCCAGAAGCGCACTGGATGGCCGGTCCAACCCATAATCACCAAGTTGAAACGCTGCTGGTCTGGTCAGGACGAAGACCGAAGACAATAGACAAATGATAAAGCCACATCGCATTGTCCCGAAAAGAGAGAAAAAAAAAAAAAGGGGGGGGATACCATATTCTCATCAGGGCCCATCATGCATTTCATTCGACGTCCATGCTCTCAGCTATCAGCAGCTCCTCAACAGCGATAACCTCATCAAATTCATCAGCGCCATTTGCATGGCCGTTGGTGCTATTTTGGATCATATAATCAAAGGCCCGAGCATCTTCTCTTCCCATGTCCCCTTCTCCCCTCTTCGATTTCTGCTCTTTTTGGAAATTTTCCAGCTCTTTCAGATCCCAGCTATCTTTACCTTTGGTAGATCCGGCTGGAGCCTTTTGACCGGGACCAAGCGGTTGTGCGATACTCCTCAGAAACTTCTTCGCCATTCCCACGGCGGCGTCGGTACTCAAACCAGTTTGGCCATCGTGGATCTCTTCCGCAATCCATCTCGGAAGCTGGGAACGTTTCCTTTGGAAACGGCGGTCCGCTAGGACCATGATGCCGTAGTCGTCTTTTCCTCTCAACACTCGTCCGAGGCATTGGGCCGCATGTCTCATAGCATCGAAGGACAGAAAATCCTGTTCCTTGATTCTATAATTCTCCCGCAGGAATTCCAGACGAGCTTTCAGGATCCTGGATTCCGTGTACTGAAAAGGCGCACCCATACACAGGACAGTCCGTCCGTAGTGGTGGTCGAAATCGATCCCTTCGGATACTTTGCCCCGTGCGACACACAGGAGAATGGCGCCCTTGCCATTTTCACAGGCCGTTCGGTAGGTTTCCAAAGCCAGACTGGTCTCCTGAGCATCCGGCGTCTCCACCAAGATTAATTTATATGTCCAGATCTGATCGAGGATGCCCATCCCCTGCCACATACTGATGATCATTTCCATGTAGAGGTAAGAAGGAAAGAACACGACGATGCCATCGGGGGTGATCTTGGCAAATTCATAGAGAAGGGCGCCATAGTTTCGAACAACGCCCGGATCAGAGCGAGATTGAAAGCCAGAAGTGATCGATTGCTGGTCAGATCCGCGCGTGACAATCAGGGGCAAGAAGGAGCGTCTTGCAAGCGACATCGGGTAAGATTCCTGGGTGACGGTGCTGAAATTGAGCATTTTCGGATACATTTCCAATGGAGAAATAGTTCCGGACGTGATGATCACAGAAGAAAATCGTTCAAACACGGGTTTTATCGCGATCGAGGCGTCGAGACAGGCGAAATGCAAAATTGGGTTGGGCACGGTCGCTTGCTCCGTTTCAAAAGGCTCCAGGATCAGAAGGAACCCGTTTTCGTAAGTCGCAACGAGAGTGGCCAAAGTGGCCACTTCTTGCAGAGGTTGGTAGTCGTCGATGTTGGTGAGTTCCAGCGTCCGCGCGAGCGAGTTCAGTCGTTCCGCACAAAATCGTAGTGGCTTGCGTTCAATGAAAGTCAGTTCTTTCAAGTGGGAAAGGAACGAGGGTGGCGTTTCCTGGATGACATAGAGAACCTTCATGCGTGTCTTGAGATATTCGATGAAGCGTTTGAGAAAGGCAACAAAATGCTCGGCTCGGCGGATATTGCCAGGCACCGCTTCTTTCAGCAAATCGTCGGGTAAGGTGGGATTGGACATGAAGGCGTCCTCTGCTCGAGCTTCATCCGCCTCTCGGAGGCCCTCGACCAGTTTCTGGTACTCACTCTGCAGCTTCTCCTCATCCGAGGCTTTCATCTCCTCGATCCTTCGCTCGAGATTGTGGGCTCCTCTGGTGGCTTTCCGCAATGAGTCCTCGGTCAAATCAATGGACAGCGACTCGATACAGACGTTGTCAATATTGTGTGCCTCGTCAAAGACAACGATGCAATCTTTTGAAAGTTCTTTGGACACCCGGTCTGCGATTTTGGGGTCGAGAAGATAGTGGTAAGAGTAAATGATGACGTTGCAGAACGGCATCATCCTTCGTGCTGAGAAATAAGGACATTGTTGGTGGTCTTCGCCGTACCGTATCAATCCGTCCAAGGTGAACACGCCGGGAGGAACAAGGTGATGCGGTTCGAGGAGATCCAGGTTGTCATGGTAGACACAGACGTCGACATTCTCGCCGCGCTCCTTCTTTTCTTTCACGAAGCCGGCCGTCAAACTGCGGCATCGAGCATCAACAACGGCACCACTCTTTTCCCGCCTGACCGAAGGATGTAGACACAGATTTTTTCGACTGGTCAGTCCTAGACCTCGAAAGTCTTCCACATAGCCAAGTTGTTCCGAACGATATTTCATCAAAGCCTTCAGTTCGGCCAAGGCCTTTTCGATCTCAGACATTGTACGGGAGCAGTAAATGAGCTTTCGATGTTCTGGGTAATGTTGCTGGTATGCCACAATCAAAGACAGCAAGGAGACCGTTTTGCCCGTGCCGGAAGGCATTTCAAGCACACAGTGACCCCCGGCATCGAGGGTCCGTTTGAGATCGCACATGTAAGCATATTGTTCAGGATAGATTCGCGGATAGGGGAAGAGCACGGGGAGGCCACTACGAGTAGTCAGCCAATGTTTAATAGACCCTGTGAGAGCAGCTTTGCATACTCAATGAAGAACTTCATACTGGGCTCAATTGCCCAAGTTGGCCACGGCCTCTCGAGCTCGCTGCAGCATGAATTTGTATTGGCCTCAGTCAAGAAAACAATTGTATCATCGAAAGCTAGGACACAAAGGAGAATGGAGAGTGCGGTCTGTTCATCTGGACAAGCCCTTGGGTAGCAAGTAGTTGGTGGCACGCGTTCGCCCAAGCGAGGACGCAGGCACATGTGTTAGACGTCATCAGAAATTTTGGGGGGATCATTTCGAGATGTCGGCCCCGCGAATACACAAATAAAATCCAAATTTGATCCTTGAGGACGACCACGGCAGTATGAGCAAAAAGTTCAAGTCACAGGCCTCAAGCGCTCGTGCTGCTTCTGCTACCTTGGGATCGTCCTCATTCAGGTTCGGCACTCCATCCAGCGGTTTCCAGACGACATCTTCCTCCTTGTCCTACATTACTGAGCATCCTGATCTCAGTCCTGTTTCTGATCCCAACGTCGTTGTCTCGCTTCGCAGTCTGGGCAAGAAGGACAGTACCACCAAAGCCAAAGCCTTAGATGAGTTGCAGGAGTATGTGACCTCTCTGCCATCGGCCGAAGCCGTTGATCCGGGCCTTCTGACAGCATGGGTAAGTTCCTTACCTTGTCGTCTTCGACCATCTACCGATAATACGTTAACAGGTCAGTCTGTACCCTCGCACTTCCATCGATAATGCCCGAAGAGTTCGTCAACTCGCACATACTCTACAAGGATCTCTCACTGCTTTATCCGGAAAACGAATTGCTCCTCACCTTTCCAAAGTAATCGGACCATGGCTATCGGGTGCATACGACAGCGACAAGTCGGTTGCTAAAGCCGCTCAAGAGTCCATTTCCATATCGTTTGTAGCGGAAGAAAGAAGGAGAGCCTTATGGAAAGTGTATAAAGACGCCCTCATCGAGTATGCGGAGGATGCTGTTCTCGTCCAAACATCCAAATCTCTGAGCGATGAACGGTCAACCAGCCCTGACGATGCAGAGGCCAAGTTGGTTCGGGTCGTGGGAAATGCAATGTTCATGCTCGGCCAGGTCATCAAAAGCAATTTCTCCACTAAAGATGCGGGCGAGAGTCGGGCTGACATCTCGGAGAGCCTCAGAAGGATGGTGACGAGCAAGAAGCTTTGGCAATACGCGTACCACGAAGATCCGAGTTTGCGAAAGGCAGCATTCAACCTCGCGACGATCTGTACAGACACGATGAGGGCCGATCTGGATTGGACGACAATCAGCGCATGTTTTATTGGTAAAGCGTTGCACAGCAGTCAGCTTGGATCTTCACGTCAACTCTGCGAAGCCATTCTCGCTCTAACGACAGTGCGGCCTGAAATCTGGACGTCAGACTATACATCAAAGACCCTGGCGTCACAACGACTGTTCCAGTATGTGAGAAATGGATCACAACGGGGGCCAGCAGAATTCTGGACGAGTTTGGCGCTTCTGATCAAGAAACTACCGCTCAGGGTTTGGAGGACACACCCTGTGAAAGACAAGGTCAGTCTGCAAGATACCACAACTCTGATCGACTCCCTATTAGCCGGCATCACCAGCACCGAAGAACCCCGTCAGAATCTCGAGACGGCCTGGTTGGCTTACGTCGATGTATCGTTCTGGGCCCTTGATATGTTCTTAGATGACGACGCCAAGGTGGCAGTATTGAACCAAAATTTAGTCCCTGTGGTGGATCAATATATTACTCCAGACTCCCAGAAGTCGTCATTCAAAGTCCCAACCTCATGCGATACGAAAATATCGAGTGCCATCCTGCTGAACATCCTTCACCGCGGTTTACACCCCCTTTTTGAGACTACATGGCTCCGTCTGTGCCAGCATCTCGCAGATGAGATGAGGCTATCTCTTCCAGAATCTTCAAAGGATTTTGAAAAATCACAAAATGGTGTTATTTCCCAGTCCCAACGTCTTTTCCGACTCAAGGCTATTCTCCTTGGGTCTGATCTCCGTTCCTCGGAGAGGACCAGTGTGGTTGAAGTGTTTCAGAAATCTGATGAGGGTTTGATGCCCACCGCAACGGAACTCTTGACGAGCCGGAACGGCAAGCCATATGGAGCCGCCTCAGTCCTCGAGAGCATCGTAGCGAACAGTCATTCACCACTGACTCAGCCGCTCGAGGACTTCTTAAATTCTGGCGCCCTGGATTTACTCGACAGTCCATCCGCAACGTATCTGATTTCGATCATCCTACGTACCCGTCAACCCCTTGGGAAATACATCGCAAAGTTAATTGCCCCTGGTGAGGCTCCTTATAGCGTGAACGCTCTCTCACACCTCCTGAGTCAGATTTCTGAGGAAGACATATCGACAAATAGTGAGCTTCAATCGTTCCTTTTACACAAAATCTCTTCAGAACTCGAAGACGCGTCTACCCAGCATATGACAAGATCGGCCTTGCAGAACGCCAATATTCAGTCCTCCGATTTTCAGAAAAGTTGTTGTCAACGGATCCTTGACCGACTGTCTCCAGAAACGGATTCGGCATCACAAGTAACCACTATTCGGTTCCTCATCAGCCTCCTTCCTGGTCCGGAAGCCGTCTCTTTACTGCTCTTCAACGGCCTCAGAAGGAACCTTTTATCGAAGCTTCTTGTTTTATCTGACTCTGAAGACCCGGATATCGCTGAACTCGCCAATTCATTGGTAGGGAAGCTCAAAACACTGGCGACAAAAGATAGTTCCACTGCGACATCTTCTGCAAACGTCATCGCAGATCAACTGTCAGGAAGCGGGACCCCCTTATCCATCTTCGTTCTTATTGATCTAGCCAAAGACACCCTGCAAAACCTGCCCCACGATAAGCCTGACGTGGCGACATTGCTCATGCCGTCAGCTGCTCAATGGACTGAGGCTCTGGAATGTCATATTTCCGGTCGACGACCTCTCTCACTTGCCATCACAAACTCTTTGCAAGGAGTGATCTTCATGATCGACCAGGACCGGAAACGTCCCTCGTCGAGCCAGACGCGGGACGCGGACGAATTTTCTCTTCTCTTCCGGCTGGTGTTATACGTGACAAAAATGCTTCTTGAATCTGATATGACGGACCGGCTAGCCATCGACCCACTCCGGATCCTGTATCATTACTACCCTCTTGCACTACAACTTGTCAATGAGAAACTAACCATGGAGTCCGCGAACGAGATCTGGCACAATCCCAGCAGCGAGGTTACAGAGGAAGCTTCCCATGTTCTGTCGCAAGGTAATTCTCTGATTCAGAAGTGGATCAAAGATGACAATCTTGCCAATATTTGGATCGATTCACTCCGGTCCACGACTGATTTGACTCCTCGGTCATATATCTACGGCCTGGCATTTACGGACGTCGCCTCTCGACTTATCGATGAGCGTGGACCTGCATTGATCTTGTCTTCTTTTGACAACGAGCTAAAACTTGTGCCCAGAGCACCAGAAGTTGTACGCTCCGCAAGTTTGATTTGCGCTTGTCGTGACGCCCTCATCGGTTCGCAGCAAGGCCACAGATTACTCAATGAATTGATCGCCGCCGGGACCGATTTGAAAGTTTCTCATGGCTCCGCCTGGGGAATGCGACCCTTGGTTCTTCTCGACCTGTTCTTGAGTGGCAATCCTGAGCCATTGGATGACATCCCTTCGCCCCGATTGGCTTTCTTCAGGCAGGCACTATTTCGATTGCTAGCTGATAGTGCAGACGCAATAGGCTACCAAACTATGGCGTTAAAACTTCTTGACCCAGTCCTCTCGGCCACGCAGAACGACTACGGAGACCATTGGGAACGGATTCTCGAGATATTGGTCACTCTTTGGAAAACGGGAAGTGATTTAAATGAAGACGTTCCTCTCCTGCATGCTTCTCTCCGGCTCTATGGGCGCCTGAGAACTCTGGCCAGTGCAGAGGATGCAAATGAAGATCTTACGGACGCCTGGAAAGCAGCCAAAACGCCTCTTGAGGAAGGCTTGCTTCATTGTCTCGAAAACTTCAAAGATCTCAGCACGGATATGAATCAACCACGAAGAATTACGGCAGAGCTACTTCGACGGCAACTGTCGTATGTTTCAATCAAACCTTCGACGCATTTGTATGCCTTTCTCTCGTCAATGGATGATGCGGTCAGAAACGCTGCTTATGACCTCTTGCATCGCTCCATTCCCGCAGAACAAGAACAGATGTCGCTAGAGCTTGCGCTTGGAGCAGGAACAGTACACCTCCCACCGGAACTCTTGTCGGTGCTCTCAGAAGCAGCAGGGACAACAACTGCAACAACTGGTCCGTTACAGAGGCAAAGTTATTTGCTCTGCTGGCATTTGATTTTCGACCATTTCATCCTCGCATCATACAAGCTTCGCGAATTATATGCGACCCATATCAAAGAGAAGGAGATCCTTGCTGGACTTCTCGATTTGATTTGTGAAATCTGTCGAATGACCAGCAGTCGTCCACTAGATGCATCCAAAACTGACATTCGGACATTTGAACTCGGTTCCGGCGAAACGGATGAGCAGGAAGAACAACGACTTAGCATGCATCTTTACTATTGCTCTTTATTGTACCTTCCAAGTCTCACAAGAGGTTGGTTCATTGAACAGAAAAATCGAGTGAAATCACCCCTGGACAGTTGGACTCGAAAATACTTCACCCCCACCTTGATGTTGGCCGAGATGGATACAGTTACTGAATGGGTGGCAAACCAGCCGCAAGATGAGTCCGATGCTCCGGTGAATGTCAAAACATCACTGAATGGGTCCGAGACCGTGGCGTCCATTGCCATCGACCCAGAGTCACCACCCATATCCTTAGCAATCTCCCTTCCCAGCAACTATCCTCTCGAATCGCCAACAGTCTCATCGCGCACGCGGGTGGGAGTCTCGGAAAAGAATTGGCAGTCATGGCTCAGAACGTTTCAAATCATCATCTTCAGTACGGGCAGTATCATTGAGGGCCTCGTTGCCTTTCGACGCAATGTTCAAGGGGCCCTGAAAGGGCAAAGCGAGTGTGCGATTTGCTACAGCATCATTGGCACCGACATGCAAGCACCGAACAAAAGGTGCGGGACTTGCCGCAATACTTTTCATGGTGTATGTCTCTTTCGTTGGTTCAAGAGCTCCAACAGCTCGAGCTGCCCGCTTTGTCGAAACAATTTCAATTACGCATAGTCAGCGTGGCAATGCCATTTGAAAGCGAACAGGGGGGACATCACCACTTTGCTTGGCAGGGAGACAGAGCCCGGAGGATCGGTCTAGTCAAAGATACAGGCCTCTCAAACTTCCACTAAAATTCCATCCACCTGCTTTTCGTCTGGACCCAAAAGTCCCAACGCCTCTCGCCGTGTGGGTGCACGGGGATCAAAGAAAGGCGTCTCTGCAAGAGCCGTCACTCTGGTGCCATGGCGGGGATAATTTCCACCATAATCCCAACTGGCATTATGAATTGTGATTCTATCTCGTCAGCCTGTGGACCGAGAGAGCTGATAGGGAGAACTGACCTGTTATCCCACAACGCACTGGTCCCGGGTGTCCATTTGAACCGGACCTGGATGTCGACATTCTTCTCATAGACGTCGAAAAGATACCCCAGGATCAAATCGCTCTCAGCCTTGTCAAGACCAACGATTCGATCTGTCATTGCTCTGTTGACCCAGAGCGCTTTCCAACCAGTTGCTGGATGTACCCGGACTAGTGGATGAGTCCGCTCGATGTACTTGGGACCAGCCGTCGGGTTCTCCCGATCTAGATATGGATGCGCCGACCTGTATACCGCGAGTTTCCCGTCGATCAGCTTGCGAAAATCCGGTGATAGTTTCTCATATGCCCCATATCCGCTGGCCCAAAGAGTGTCGCCTCCGACGGGCGGAACGGTATCGTTGTGCAGATGTGTAATACCAGCTGGCTGCCGCTCATGTACGAGGTCTGTGTGCCATCGAGACGCACCACCGGGTTTTCGAAAACTAGCTGCCACCTCAGTGGCTTGGAGAGCCGGCCAGATTACAGTAACACCGGGTACGCCCGGCACTTGAGGGACCTGAGGCTGCACATCGTTTGGCATGAGAAAAAAGGACGTTTGGGATTCGCAAGAAGAGTGTGTTGATGACTTACATGGATCTCAACTTCGCCATAGAACTCCCCCAGCTCTTTTTGCTGCTGAGGCGAGATATCTTGATCTCGGAAAAATACCACACTGCGCTCGGCAATCAGCAAAGCCAGTTCGTCCCTCTGCTGATCCGTGAGATCTTTCAGTTGAAGCCCTTCGATCTCCGTGCCAATATGCGTAGTCAGGTCGGTCACTTTGGTGGCAGCAGAAAGTAATGCACTCTTCGACTTGTCTGCTCGAGCTCCTGCGTCGATGTGCTTCCGCTCCTTGTTACGGATATTGTACACATCTTGGAGATATAGAGGTCGGTACGGCCGATATGGATAACCATTCGAGAGATCGATTCCTGCCTTGACCAATCTTTTATAAGCCGGCTCAGGTAAGTCGAGTGTATCCTTTTTAGGGACCACGAAGTCTTTGATCTCCGGGTCGATCGGTGCTGGTGCCATCTTGTCGAATCTTTGCCTTTAGCCAGGACACCAAGAAGACGACGATCAGAGGTACATTTGATGATTTGTATTTCTTACCTTTTAATCAACTTCATAGGCATTGCTGACTCATTGTACATGTTCAACTTTCATTGAATTTGCTGACCAATCTATACCCCCTCTCCCATGTCTGAGATGGCGACATTTCCTTCTGATATTGCGTGCAATGCCGGCCATTGAACTTGATATCCATACTGCATATGGATACTACATCGCCTTTGCAGAGGATCTGATGTGCATAGCTGACTATGACCTTCCCATAGGACGGAAAGCTACGATAAACACAATGCTGTATGTCCACCCCGTGGAAGTGTCAACTTATCAATCCAATCAATCTCTGTGACTTCATTCATCCTAGGCGGGCAGGGGAAATCCTCTTCCCTCTCAGGAAAAAGATACGTCGAGAACGCTGCAAAGGAGATCAGGTGATTGTATTGCGTGCTTCTACCCCTTTATTTGCTGCTTGACTGTCGACAAAACTCCCCTGTATCCCAACGCAGCAACATCAGCATAGTGTACGCGCAACCTATCACTCAATAGGCCGTTCTCATCTAATTGGACACCAATACCTGACCTCCGTTCAATCGTCAACTTGGCTTTGAAGGGCGTTAATGCTTGCAATGCTTGATGCGGAGGATCCACGAATCTTTGCCCAATCGGGCCAACAACAGCACGCAATATCGAGGACAAAGATGCCATGTATGCAGCGGAATTCAGCGCGGGCCGTTGCAGATAATGCAGTGTTCTCGGAGACCCTGTGGTTGGAACCATATAAACAGCAAAAATTCTCATTACGAGAGAGCCAAGTGGCAGAATCCCGGGACTGAAGCACAGGCCGCAATGGCGTTCTATGATGACAAAAGCAAAGACATCGACGTCCACCTTCACGCCAGCTCGACCGACGACACATCAGGCTCTGACCGAGACGGTTCCGATGTGATCCAAGCAACACCCAAGAGAAAATGGCAATCCTACCTCTGGGACAGTCTCGACAAGTCTCCCGAAGAGCGAAGGTTTTTGTTCAAGCTCGACGCGGCAGTCCTCACGTTCGCCAGTCTGGGATATTTCATCAAGTACCTGGACCAGATCAACATCAACAATGCTTTCGTTTCCGGGATGAAGGAAGATCTGGGCCTGTATAAGAACCAGCTCAATTACATGCAGACGTGCTGGACCGTTGGTTATGTCATTGGAGAAGTTCCATGTGAGTGTGGTCCTCGGAAATATCTCAATGTAGTTCCTGAAGACATACTCATACTGACGGGATTCAAGCAAACATGGTCCTCACTCGCGTCCGGCCCAGCATTTGGATCCCAGCAATGGAACTTACCTGGACGGTCCTTACATTCTGTCTCGCTAAATGCAACAGTGCCGGTTCCATCTATGCTCTTCGCTTCCTTATCGGCCTCGCGGAATCCACGTTTTACCCGGGAATGGTATACGTGATCGGGAGTTGGTACAGAAAGGACGAGCTCGCCAAACGGTCTTGCATCTTCCACACCAGTTCCGCAATTGGCAGCATGTTTTCGGGGTATCTCATGGCCGCCGTGTACCATCTCAATGGTCGAGGCGGCCTCCGCGGATGGCAGTGGCTCTTCATTGTGGATGGCATCATCTCCTTACCGATTGCTCTGTCGGGGTTTATTCTTCTGCCGGACGTCCCTGAAATCACTCGAGCATGGTACTTTTCACCCGCGGAGCGTGAATATGCCAAGAAACGGATGAAGCTGGAAGGCCGGGCCCAGCGGGCCCCGTATACCAAAGCCAAATTCAAGAAAATCTTCACCTCCTGGAAGATATACCTTCTCGCAACACTCTACTTTGCCTTCAACAATGCCGGGTCCGGCGTGAGTCAGCCAACGTTCGCACAATATCTGAAGGACTCGAAGAATCCCAAATACACGGTATCGCAGATCAACACGTATCCGACCGCGACTTATGCAGTTCAGATTCTCAGCACACTCATATACGCGTGGACGTCTGATTCGGTATTCCGTGGCGCTCGGTGGCCGCCCATTGTTTTCGGTGGCGTGGTGTGCATAGTATGCTATTCGAGCCTTGCAGTGTGGAACATTCCAGTCGGGTGGCATTGGGCATGCTACATCATCGCCGGTTGTGGAGGCGGTCTCAGTGGACTGTGCATGGCATGGGGACATGAGATTTGCTCGGACGACAATGAGGAACGCGCAATCGTCGTGGGAACGATGAACGAAATAGCTTACGTCTTCCAGGCGTGGCTACCGCTCATTGTGTGGCAGCAGGTCGATGCGCCTGAATACCACAAAGGCTTCGTGACCTCGGCATGCTTGGACGCTCTCATGATCGTAACCGCTTTAGTGATCAGAGTCTTATGGAAGAGGGAGCAAGCGAAGAAGAAGCAAACCAGCAATGCCTAAGGACCCAGGTACCTCAGGGTATCGCGTTCGTAACTAAGTTAAGGGACTTGACAACCTCAAACCCATATATACGAACATGAACAAGAAAATACTGCCGCCTTATCCCAGAATGTGCGCCGTAGTCATTTATCGCCTTGCTACTCTGAAGAAAAGACCTAATGCGCGGTCAAGGAGACGGCTCTCTGTGACTTCTACCAAGGAGGGGATCATAGAGCCGACTTCGACTCCACCCAGGGTCGCCTCCTGAAATCGCTGGACGTGACGTCTTGTCCACTTCCGCCCCTCGACTTGACGTTGGTCTAGTCAAACGTTTCTGCACCTTGTCGTCGGGAGAATGTTCACCGACAGACAAATCCTTCACAAGACTTTTGGTCATGGATTGGAAGAAGTATGAGGCAAGTTCTGTCTCTTCCCTTTCATCCTCCTGCACCAATCTAGCTACCTCTTCTTTCGGTAGATTCTTTCGGCGGATTTGACAAATTTCGCGTATGATCCATTTCAAAGCTTCTTCCGGGGCCCGGGTTCGCGGCAGTGCGTACTCCGGATCTCTCACATATCGCCGAGTCACGTCGGCGGCGCCGTCGTGAGAAAATGCGATGCAATATGATATACGTTTGTTCCAGCCTAGCAAAAGTACTTAGTTATCGGGAGAAAATTGCCGTGGACCAACTCACCTTCAGTGTATACCAGCGGATTGTCCCACAGTTCCTCACACGGATCTGCGTGAATCCAACGACGTTGGTGTTCCGAATAGATCTCAACCCAAACATGGTCTTCAGCATTCCAGACCCAACGAACTCTTGCCCCCGCGGCTCGACAAAGCATTGCAAAACAATTGCTGAACTCTCCAACTCGTCCCTCTCTGGTCTCGAGCAGTTTCCAGACATCCGCATAACGAGGAAACCTTCTGAGCTGCCCGCAACCATCGTAATCGCACCGATATAGCTCAACCCTAGTAGCTCCAGAAGCAGCTTCATCTGGCAAAGGTGGTGTTTGACCTTGTGCCGTAGTCGGACAGCCACATTTCGAGCACGCAGGATTGTTGATGAACGTGAAGAAGGACCGCTTAAACCATCTATGCCTTGAATTCAGCAAGGACTCTCTACGATTTTGGGGCAGGCCGACTTTCCCGTGCAGGAAATCACTTGACGACTCACCTCAGTAATGCTCGAATAACGCAATCTTGATAACCCCATTGCGGTTTGGCATCCATGCCGAGGGAGGCGGCATAGCCTTTGAAGATATTATGCTCCTCCTCCGCCTCAGCATAGAGCCTGTCCAGAGGTACAACGTTCAGGGCCTCGTCCAGAAGTCCTGGATTCTCATATTTTGTTGGGGATACCGACAAGGTCAATAAAATGCTGCGAAACTTCAAAGAGCCTCTGTCCGAAGGCGGAGTTGGTATAAGTTCACCATGATCTTGTTGCTCATCGAGTTCAGCTAGCCTCCTAGCACTAGGTTGTGGTCGCAGCTCCAGATTTCGAGGCGTCTCTTCATAAGCCGGTAGTGGTTCCTGGATCTGAGCTAGCACAGCACCCCATTCATCTACTTGGAATAGTTAGTGGATGGTCGAATCAGACTGGCAGTCAGTGGTCTCTCCTCATAGTCTGAGCACTAAGACAAACAAAAAGCGGGATCGTCAACAGCTGTACCTGCCGACAAGGGCTGCTTACCGGCACTGTCCGGTTCTATGTCTGCCGGAGTCTGTGGCAGATGCCCCCTATCTATCTTTGATTTTCCCTTCTGGTCAGTCAAGTCCGGACCGAGCAACTTCTCTGGCTCGGATATAACACTATGAGTATGGTTCTGGAGTCGGGATCTTTGTTGCAGTTCTTCGGAAGCTTGAACAAATGTTCTATCCATAGAAGGGACAAGTTGCATCAACAATCTGATTTGATACTTCAGACTTGGTCCAAAATTTTCCTCACTTGTGTCTGAATCATCCGTGATGAACCCATCGTCTTCCTCATCCTCATCTACTGTATCACGCTGTGAGTGAGACTTGAGGCACTCCTTCGCGTCGCTGAGGTGGGTTCTCAGGAGTTCAGCCTCGGTCAGAAATTCAGCCTTACTCGGAAATTCAGAATCTTCTGAGAGATCTGACGAGGTCCTTTGTCGTTCAATTGATACTAAAATGAATCAGAATCAGGGAATATCCTAGGGCAACAATACTCACAGGGTGCCAAGGACTCTCCCACGGCAACAAGAGTTCTTAAGATTGAGATCCCTAGATCTGCGGAAAAGACCACAATGTCATGGAGTTTGCCATCTTCGAATCCCTCTTTCCAGAGGTATAGAGTAGCAAGCTCTTCCCGCAGGTCATTTCTTTGACAGACCAGCCATCGCAAATAGGTTATACACTGTGCACTCAGTCTTTCACATTGAACAGCAACAGCCTTCGGATCGTAGGCCATGACAGCGCTAAGACGGAGTGATCGTGGGCTCTTTTCGGCCGTCTTCGACCCCAGGGGAGCAGATCTCAGCACTTGATCTGATCGATGTCCCTATGTTCTGTTCACGTTCACGACCTCGTCCAACTGAAGCCATCAGGCTGCTAGAATCTACTCCGTCCGGTGCATCTAACCTGATCTGTTTAGCCTGATGCATTTACCCCTCATTCGAAGACGAACAATGGATAGGGTTATCAGCCTCGTTTTCAAACGAAATTCATGTTGTTAACCAGCATCCCACGGCGCTGACGTTTCACTTGTCCAGCAGGAGCTGGCCTTACTGGTTTGCCATGCTGCCTGTCAGTTTGATTGAATCAATGACGAGTCGAGTTTAGAATTATAAACTCGAAGCGACAGGACAAGGCTGAGGAATGTCCGGACTCGAGGCCGCCGGCGTCATCCTGGGCGCCTTACCTTTGCTCATCGATGGCTACGATAGGGTGATAGCGCCATTCAAAGCCTATCAAAAATTCTCCTCAAAGTTCAAGGCTTTCCACGATGGCTTCGAAGTGCAAAGGACAATCTTTCGCACCGAGTGTATATTGTTGCTGGCGCCCGTCACCACCAGGGCCTTGGCGGTTACGATGCTGAACGATACTCTGCATCCTTCCTGGGGCGATGAGAATCTAAGTGAACGTTTCAATGCGCAACTCGGGTCATTGGGTTCTGCCTGCAAGACAACAATCCAAATGATCGACAGAAAACTCCAAGAGATCGAGCAGAAGTCCAAGGAGTTCGAAGGCATTGTTTTCCCGTCCACATCGCAACAAACCCTCTCCGGGAAAGATTGGAGAAGGGCAGTAGGCAAGAAGTTCAAGTTCAGCTTTCGTTCCGATAATATACTACGAAAATCCCTGGAAGAGCTTATGAAGCTCAACGACACATTCAGGATCCTATCGTGTCAAGTCGTTCGACTTGAGACAGAATGGCCTTTATCAAGTCAAGATTCAAGGCTAGACACCAAAATGGCGGCTAGTTTGAACCGATTTCGCGTCATCCGGGACGCCTCAGAGCATCTGTATGAGTCGCTGTGCAAAGCCTGCAATACCGACCACGAGCATCTGGCTCGGTTTTCTTTAGACGTCGAAAAAAGATTTCCAGCCACTGGTTGCGGCAGTGTTCGATTCTGCCTGTCGTACATGATTCTCTCTGAAAGGAGCAAAATTTCCACACCAGCAGTTATATCGGATCAGTCCCGGACAGGAGGGCAGACTAGCAGTGTCAATACCTCGACACAGTCTCAGGGAAATGGTCAACGAATGAAGAGTGGTGTGTGGCTTGATATTGAGTCCGTGCGGCAACCTCCTGTTTCAGACCACTCTACTGGCATATCACTTTCTCATAATTTGCCTGGTACGAGTCTACCCTCCTCTGCCGTCACAACCAGCAAACCTGTTATACTTGGAAGAGGAGAAAACCTTTGTACAGAGCTCACAATCTCTTCGTTGGATCCAAGTAGCGTCCCGACGGCCCCGGCGCAAAATTCGACAATTGCTCTGTGGAATGTGGGGACTTTCCAACACTTTCTTCATCGCTCACCAAGTACCGACCCAGATGCGATTCCGCTTTCAAGACGGCTCTCTCAGTTGCCTAAGCGCGGTCATGACATGAACCTGCCGGAATACCAGCGGCTGAGCCTGGCCAAAGTACTCAGCGGCGCTGTTCTGCAGCTTCAAGGCACTCCGTGGCTCTCAGAATCTCTTCTCAGCCACAACATCTTGGTCTTAGAGTTGGCAAGAGAAACTCAATTCAGGCCGTCGTCATACGGCGACCAACATTTCTCACTATTCATCGACGTTCCTTTGAGACTTGACACTTTTGGAATGCGTGGCGATTTGGACGTTTCAGGCACAGCAATGATTTCATCCCGAAGTCAGTTCTCCAGCAGACTTCCCAGCGTGGCCCCAAACGACTTTCTCTATCATCTCGGAATCCTCCTCCTCGAGCTAGCCTACCACACATCATTTGACAACCTAGTTGCAGAAGTCCGTCAAGATGATGCCATTCCACTGCCACTCTCAGCAGATGATCGTACGGCAGAATTTCAGATTGCCTGTCGACTGGCCGACAATGTAGGCACCTCGATGGGATCCAGTTACGCACGTATCGCAAAGAAATGTATTCGTTGTGATTTTGGGTGTGGTGAGACTCTTGAGGATGTGGCTCTTCAGAGGCGAGTTTACCAGGATGTATTCTGCACCCTTGAATCCTTGGAGACAGGGTTTAAAAATCTTCAAACTGCGGTCCCTGCCATCCCCTGAAAGGCTTTTTTGTTGAGTTATCCCAGTGATCATTGTCCTGACCCTCACAATAGCAGATGAGTACGCTACCGTCCTTCCGTCAGAGAGATCATGTTCCATCTTACGCCTTGAGACCTACCGTGACTCAGGATAGAGGAAGAGGGATAGGAATATCCAAGAACAGATTCCGCATACAGAAACACCGCATATATCCATTCACATTGTAGCACCCTCCGGCGAAGGCTTCTGTCAAACAGCTGGTGCCTAGTGCCAAGAGCCCCTGTTCCCTGACCTATATAGAAGGGTTTCCCCCTTTCCATGGCTGCAATCTGCACACGAGTTTTCACCCGTCCATCCCCCCTCTCAAAGTTCGACAGCTTCCATTTCTTTTGTAGCGCAGCTCTCGTTTCTCAATTTCTCCTCCTCACTATGAAATCCGTTTGCTCCGTAGAGTTTTGACGACCTGTTTTAGCGACCCGGACAGATCGACAGGCCTTTGTCACGTGACCAACAGCCTTGTCACGATGAGGTAATATTTATATCAACTCAAGTTACACTAGTCCGTCCGGAACTCGTTCCTAAGAGCTCGGAATTCTTGTCCTGTTATACCATACCTGCCGACGTAATTCTTAGTTCATTCGCATGTATCATAATGCTGATCTTCTCCGTTTGCTTGAAACCTCTCCTCGGATCTCTGTGCCTTCCTGTCGGCCTTCTCATTGGCCAAATTACTTCTGAACAAATACTTTTACTCTACCAGAAGACCTCTTCCACGACAAGGATATGAAATTGGTTAGGTTAATCGTTCGGACCGGTAGCCGGCCGTGTCGCCATCAAGGCTCTTTTCGTCCGCTTTATGCACCGAAATCTTGGTCTGGGCAGCCCTGCTATGATCAGAGGGGACAATGCAAAGACAAGCCCCTTTCAATCACCCAACCTGTGGAGCTGAAACGGCAGTCCGTTCTCGTCGAAGCAGGAGGCGCCCCCTCCCCGGTAAGACTTTCCCCCTCCAAACTCCACTATGTGACGCAGAGGTGATGAAATAAGTTCTCTATGGCTGATGGTCTGCGTTTCGTCATTTTTATGCTTATGCTATAGCCGTAGGGTATTTATGATCAGTCTCTCCTCGGCCAGAGCACTCATCTTTGGCGGTTCCGTTTGTCCAGAAGAATCTCTTCCTTTTACTACATTTCAACATGGAGAAAGCAATTTCGTCGACGGAAAGGGCCGCACAGAAAGCAGCCGATACCGTTCACAGCGGAACTGATCGATCCTCTCATGTGCAAGTCAATAAACTCTTGGACGTCGATGGAAGAGTGGCACTGGTTACTGGTAAGCGTGGTACCTTGGACTCTGTGAAGAACACACGCCGCATCACGTCTATTTCTGCTCCCTTTGGCCATGGAACTTGTTTGACGAAGTCTCAGGCGGTGGTTCTGGCATCGGTCTTATGGCCACGCAAGTCTTAGCGAGGCACGGCGCCAAAGTATATATCGTCGGCCGTACTCAAGATAAGCTCGAGAAGGTGGTCGAGACTTACGGCAAGAATATCCCCGGTCAGATTATTGCCTTGACCTACGACGTAACTCAGAAGGACCAAATCGATGCGCTCTATCAGGAGATCAGCTCGCGCGAGAAGTGCCTCTGCATTCTGATCAACAATGCCGGAATTGGAAGCAACACCTTTGAGACCAAGGCCTCATCAGCAGAGGAGATGAAGTCGAATTTGTTCAGCCATCCCAAGGCCACCTTCGAAGAGTGGACCTCCACCTACCAAGCTCTAGTCGCGCAAGTGTATTTCATGACAACGGCCTTCCTGCCATTGCTCCATCGCTCCACCGAGAGGCACGAAGGTTACTCTGGAACGGTCATCAACATTGCGTCAGTCTCCGGCATGATCAAGAGTGCACAGCATCATTTTGCGTACAGCACGGCAAAAGCAGGGACGATCCATCTCAGTCGCACGCTAGCAAGCGAAATTGCCGATAACGGACTTAAAATCCGGGTCAACAGTATCTCGCCGGGAGTATTCCCCACTGAGTTGACAACGGGAGGTAGCGACGAGAACCAGAAGAGTGAGCTGAGCAAAGAGTTATTTGAAGGGAGGATTCCGGCAGGGAGACCTGGTAAAGATGAAGACATCGCTAGCGCGATCTTGTTCTGCGCCGCCAACCAGTATATCAACGGACAGAACTTGGTTGTCGATGGAGGCTACACGCTGGCTGCTGGAATGTAGACAGTGGACATGATAGTCCTGGCCATATCATCTCCCGTGGACAGCCTTGTGTAGTCACCGTATTTGAGCTGATCTTCAAATGGGTAAAGCGAATGAGGATATATGGTGCATGTTTCCAAATGCTTCGAAATTTGAAATGTCAAGGCCAGGAGCAGCAATCTGCCGCCGCATTGAACGGAATTTCTGACGGCTGTTGGGATGATTACCGCGTTATTTGCCCGCCGCCAATCCCGGTTCTAGTAGCACAACTAGACCGGGGCCACGAGCCAAGGCTGAACACAGGGCGGCGTCACATCGTTCCCAAAATGGTATTATTACCTAATTACGGTACCCTTTCTTGGCGCGTTTAGACGGCGGCCATCATATATTAGTAGTGACCAAGTACGACTCCTTCTTGTTTAGATCAACGACGTCGCGATATTCCGTATGTCTGCACCTTCAATACCTAATTTGAACTCCCTGCGCCGTGGAGGATTGCGTGGGCGGGGGCGATCACGGGGCGGTTCCAGTGTCGATGTTGGTCCGGCAGGGGCCCGAAGACACATCAACCACGATGAGATTGTGCAAAACACCGATAATGACGCCGTTGCCTCTCGACTGAGCGCTATAGACGCCGGATACCTCGAAGATCCATTTGCCGCACCACTGAGCACTGGAAATACCGTTTCAAGACGGCTGCCGCTGATGAATCGAGGTAGGCTGAAAGCGTGCTATCGACCGGGTGAGATCTCCGTTCATCATCTACAGGAACCTACGTCAGAACAACAAGCATTGACCGGATAGTTGACACCTTTCTGTCTTCTCCTGCCAACACACGCAAGCAAATCATCTCGCTGGGGGCAGGGAGTGACACGAGATACTTTCGGCTTAAGCAGAAGCGGCGGGAACTCGACATCGTGTACCATGAACTCGATTTCGAAGCCAACACCAGAAGAAAGATCAGCCGATTACGATCCCCTGTCTTTGCAGCCAAGGCCAAGGCTCTGGGGGGGGTTGATCTGCACGCTCCAGAAGTCCAAATTCTTCAGGACGGATCGATGCTGAAGTCGCCACAATATTTCATACATCCGCAGGACCTCCGACAACTGGCATATAATGAGACACCGTTGGTGGGGGTCGACAAGACCCTACCAACGCTTATTGTTTCGGAGTGTTGTCTCATATACCTCCCTCCTGACGATGCCGACGCGGTGCTGCAATACTTCTGTACACTAATCACCAACCCGACCTCGTTGGCCATCGTGATATACGAGCCTATTCGTCCATATGACTCATTCGGGAAGACCATGGTAAGCAATCTGATGAGCCGAGGAATTCAACTGCAGACTCTCGAGAAGTACGCCGGGCTTGAGGAACAAAAAGAGCGGCTAAGAACGTATGGGTTCGATGGAGAGGCGGCTGGGCCCGGCGCCGGAAGAGAGGCATCCGACATCGACTTCGTTTGGCAACGATGGATAGCACCAGATGAAAAAGAACGAGTCGATGGATTGGAATGGATGGATGAGGTGGAAGAGTTTGTGCTCCTCGCGAAGCATTATTGCATATGTTGGGGCTGGCGTGGATATGAGGAGGACTTATCTTGGAGGGAGTTACTCGGTCCGAAATAGAGGGGATGGAGTGGGATTGTTCCGCTCGGGCCTCCAGACGGCAAGACTTCTAGCTTTAACAAAGGGGTTTCTCGTTGAAGTCAACTTTGTCCGCCATTGTGATCATGTGATGTATATCACGTGACTCGTCGTCTGGTGTGCTCGTGCTCAATTGCCGTGGTTGTTTGGCATGCCCGCCAGCTGTCAATCCCACGTTCCTGTCAAAGTCTCGAACGTGGACGGTCTGCTAGTCATGTACCGAGTTTGAGCAAACACTTACTGGACACTGATATTTATTGCGCCGCTCCTCTGGCTGCTTGTTGGGCTCATTTTTGCGCTTCCACGCTTGTCACCGCCGGCGCCCGCCCCTAACCATAGAGACATTCCTTTTTGTTGTCCGCCTCTGAAACTCCGGTTGATTGATTTCCCAACCGTATCAAAGTCGAGCAACTTGCATTTTCGTTATTATTTGCACGAGAAAGAAACCTGTGTACATCCAATGGAGCCAGGGCCTGACACGCAGAATAAACCCCCCATCGACCGGGTCTCGTCCAAACAAAGTTCATGTGTTTGGTGGGCTTTTCAAGAGCTGGAACACTTGCACCGGCATTCAAGACCGCCGTCCAAGAGTCTGAACGAAATTTGCTGTAATTAACATTCCAAGCATGCATCAGGTTTGCAACCCCAGAGCAAACGAGCGGTAAGCGAAATGTGCAGGGCCCAAAGCACAGGGCAATCACTCATCATGATTTGCTCGCAGGGGACATTGCTTGACAAGCTCAAAGCATTAAGCTCAGGTCGGGTTATTTCTGATTCGCACCTTGAAATTTGACAATGCTCATAGCGGACCGGGGCTTGACGTGATGGGTGGCCGACATCCCTGACTGGACCCCATTTGCAATCCGAGCAGTGGGTTGGCAAGTGGAGCTCCAATGCGCCAGCCTTGCATGGCTCCAGAACCGTCTTTTTCCCTGGTTCTGCTCGCTCCTCACAGCCAATTTGCACTGGAGTTTGTTTCCCCTCTTGATCTGCATCTCCTTCTTCTCTGAATCTAGCTCTGTACTGCTCTCCTTGGTTCCTTCGTTGTCGTCGCTGGAGTTGGTTGTCGTCGATTTCCTCTATCGCGCGCTCTGCGAGCTCCCACGTTCTCTACCCAAACAACTGGCCCTAGTCACTCATTTCGAGTCCGAGTTCAAGTTCACTGAACAAAATCTCCTTCGGTGTCGCAAGCCGATGCTCATACAGCAACAGTCATTCCACCGACCTGGACATATCGTCAGAAACAATGCGCAAACGAACGTTTACCTCGGGCGCGAGCGCTCTGCTGCTTCTGACCGCTTCACTCGTTAGCGCCAAACATGGCGTTCATGATCACCTCGAGGTTCTTCACAAACGACATCGCGCACATCGAGAATTGACCGCCCGATCAACCGCTGAGGAGGGTGAGCTCGGAGTGGAAATAAGAGCGATCCCAGAAACCTCCGCATCTCATATATTGGAGAAGCGCAATGGACAGTGCGCTTTTCCCACCGACGCCGGATTGGTATCAGTCACTCCCGGTGATGAAAATGCGGGATGGGCGATGAGCCCTGATCAGCCTTGTACGCCCGGGAATTACTGCCCCTACGCTTGCCCACCGGGTCAAGTCTCTATGCAGTGGGATCCATCGGCGACATCTTATTCGTACCCCAAGTCAATGGTTGGTTCTCTTCTGATATGGGGATAATGTACTGACGTGAACAGAATGGCGGGTTGTATTGCGACAACGATGGCAACATCCAGAAGCCATTCCCCGACAAACCGTATTGTCAGTCCACGGCCACCAACATTGGAGTAGTGAACAATGCTGGCGGTGTTGTGTCCTTCTGTCAGACCGTCCTTCCTGGAAATGAAGCCATGTTGATTCCTACATCGGTCGACGGTTTCGCCACCCTGGCTGTTCCCGACCCAACCTATTGGTGTGGTACCGCAGCGCACTACTACATCAACCCTCCAGGAATTGGCACGGATGAAGCTTGCGTATGGGGTACCAATGCGAATCCTCTTGGCAACTGGTCTCCGTATGTGGCCGGGGCCAATGCGGATTCGTCGGGGGAAACCTTCATCAAACTTGGCTGGAATCCCATTTACCTGGAACCGACCACTCCCTTCCGCAACGAAATGCCAGACTGGGGCGTCAAGATTGACTGTCCCAATGGTGGTTGTAATGGGCTTCCTTGTGCCATTGACCCGAGCCAGAACAAGGTCAACCAGATGGTGGGAAGCTCCAGCGACGGAGCAGGAGGTGGTGCGTTTTGCGTGGTGACCGTTGCAAAGGGATCGTCGGCAAACTTTGTGATCTTCAAAGCTGGCGGTGATAGCAGCAGTGGAGGTTCATCAAGTTCGTCGGCAAGTGGTAGTCAAGGCGGCCAATTCTTTCAGTCCACGACCTCGTCGGAAGCTGCTCCTCCTCCTACATCATCTGAATCTTCCTCAAGCGACACCTGGACCAGTTCCGCTGAGCCTACCTCCAGTGCGTGGACAAGCTCGTCCGTCACCACCACCAGCTCATCGCCTTCGTCCTCTTCAGTCGCTCCCACCACCACCAAGAATTCCAGCAGGCTCCCAACTCACTCACCATACTATTCTTTGTTCAACCACACCTCAACTGCTGGGGCTACGGAAGGAACCGAAGGAGCTTCTGAAACCGCTGCGGGTGAGAGCCCTGCGGCACCATCAGAATCTGGCTCGTCGGTGCAGCCTTCGATTTCACCCGCAACTGGAGCAGCACCAATGGTCAAATACTCCATCATGAGCATCTTCTTAGGCCTGACCTTCTTCGCCTTGGCTACTCTGTGATACCTGGGACCTCCGCTTCCTTCAAGGTTTCACAATCACCGTGCATTTGAGATCCGAGAAATCATATGGACTTTGGACCTCACGCGCAGCTGGCCTTGCAAATACCATTCCTTTGTTCTCAACCATCTTACGGTTGGATATCCTAACCAGGTCTTTTCATTTCTTCTATCAAATTTTATCGAATTTTCGTGTCCAGATATTCTTCGGAACATAAGAATACTTTTCACGTTCGCATCATTCTGGAAATGCCGGCAAAGAGCGACAACAAACACGCTGGACTTGTGTGTGTGTGTGTGTGAGATGGGGGGCTGGCAGATGGAAGGAGATGCTTCGCAAGCAATGCATGAGTTTGGGTTTTGTTGGAACTATTGTTAATCTATTTTTATTCCCCAGAGCATGATGGATTGGAGGCCGGTTATTATTAACGATGCCCACGTTATTTATTGCTGCCACTTATTGAAGGAGGGAATGGGATCGAAAAAGCTAGGGACATTGAGCGTTGAATGTTCAGCAGATTTGAATGGGGAATTATATCGTTGATTTAATGCAATTGTTTATAATTTGATATGCATAAGTACTGGCCGTTCAGTAGTCATTCGTGAGTAGGACTCCCTTTTCAGGTATGAACTCCCACCGGCTTGTACTGTGGATCTTGTACCACTTTCCGTCTAGCATCTGCACAGCGCCTCTGCTCCACCTTTATTGAAGCCATATATCCAGTACTGCAGTTGACGACTGATCAACCAAGGCTCTTCAGATCTCTACGTTTTCCCTATACGTTGCAGATAAAACCCTAGCACACTTCTAATACTTTCCACTCCAGGCCGTCTTAGGACAAGATGCCAGCGGCGTCGCCTCAAACAGTATGTATTTCTTTACTCTTACACGAGTCCTATCTCGGTTTCCGGCTTCCAAATACAAATACATCCCCAAATTCCCAGTCCCCAGACCACCGCCGCCAGACACCCTCCATTTCCTGGCCCTTCCTCTTTTTCAGACTGACTGTGAGTGCAACACGATAACACGGCACAGGTGAAACTTAAATCGACCCTTCGGCTTCTCATCCCCCGCCTGCGCAATGCCCAAAAGAAAGACACCGCCCTCTCTGTAGCTGCGCGCCGCGAAATGGCCGAACTCCTCTCGCAATCCCGCGAAGCCTCCGCGCGCATCCGCGTCGAAAATATCATCCACACCGACATCACCGTCGAGTTAATGGAAATTCTGGAACTGTACACCGAACTCCTCCTCGCCCGCGCCGGCCTGCTCGATGTCCGTGACAAGAATATCAAAGAAGGGACGACAAATACAGGCATGGACGAAAACACAGGCTTGGAAGAGGCGGCTGCCAGCATCATCTACGCCGCCCCGCGATTACCTAGGGACGTACGCGAACTGGGGATCGTGAGAAACATGTTGGTTGAGAGGTTTGGCAAGGAGTTTGCGATTCGCGCGAACGAGAATCAGGACAATATCGTCCCCGCTCGTGTGGCGGATAAATTGAAGGTAGACCCGCCCAGCCCGAGGCTGGTGCAGGCGTATCTTGAGGAGATTGCGAGAACGTACGGGGTCAGTTGGCCACCGCAAAAAGACGAGGTTGAGGAATTGGAACGGGAAGTGGATGAAGAAAGACACGACGAGGACGATGATGGCGTAGGAGGTGGTATGAAGGAGCAACCTATACTGGCGGACGGGATGACGGCAACAACGCCATCGACCCCCGCTCGCCCGGATAAGATTGATATTGGGACGTTGCAGAATGCGACACCGCCGTCGAGCCTGGAGCCCCAGGGTGCGAAGAGTCCTGTCTCCGTGGCTCCGCCGGGGGCCAGGTCGGATAATATTAGTCCGAGAGTCAAGTTGCCGGGGGGTGGGGAGATAGGGAAGAACGATGGGAAGGTGAGCGTTGGGAAGTTGACGGCGACGACGGCGAACGGTGCCGGGAAGAGTCAGGAAACAGCGACAACGACGATATCCGGAGGTGGAGGGACGAGCGCAGGGCCGGTTCCGGGCAAGGTACCGACTGTGGATGATTTGGCGAGGAGGTTTTCGGCACTAAAGAGGTGATGTCGAGAATGCGACCAGGAATGATTATGTGCGCGTTTTCTATGCGATTGCAAGAGACCAGGACCATGAGATGGACGGCTTTTGTTTAACAAGGACCGGAAAGGCAAAACGAGAGAGAAGGTATGGCATGGATATACGATACGTTGTGCTATCTGCATCGGAGAGCGAGTTCCAGATGGCTGCAAACATATCATCTCGGATGCCTTGACTTGCATGGAATATCTGTCGCCTTCCTCCCTCGATGGCCAGTCTCTCCTTTCCTGAAACGGGTATGTGGAGAGCCAAAGCCAGATATCCGTCAATCTCTTTTGCCCACGTCATCTCGAATGCACTGGGTTTTCAACGTCTTGGGAAACGGTATTCGATCCCCAGATGTCCCACGCCCGAGAGAAGATATCCCCTCGGCGTATTTGTGAGTTTGACGTCGCGAAGCGAAGCTTGGAAATTCCTCCGGCATGTTCATCGGCGTGACAATGGAGGTTGAATCAGGGAAAAATGCCTTTTGCTGAACAGTCTTTGCGTGTTCTGTTGCTCTTTGTCCTTCGGCGGCTGTTATATTGGATATGTTCGAACACGGTTGAGAGGGCTGGAGGAACATATGCTATTGCACATCCGATGCTCATGCTCTCCTGCAGGAATATTGTTGATTCCCCTTTTGTGTCTTCGTAAAGGACCTTTTTGGAGGTCTCCCCTTCATCTCTGATTCCGCTGACAGATAACGCCACATCAAATAGCTAGTTGTATCCGCTACAGGGCTCCGTAATGATGAAGCCATTCTTTTGGGGTCTTTTACCACACTTCCTTAGATGTCTTGCTCATTCCAATTTATCCAAATGTTCCAATCTCGTCAAGACAACCTGTTTACTCGTCTCCTCGATCTCGCCGGCCAGGAAGACTTCGTCCAGTATAGCGTAGACCTTGTAAAAGTTGAACACCAGGTCCAATTCACAGACATTGCCGAAAAATTGGTCGAGAACCTCGACGAAGAAATGGATCGCCTCTAAATATGCGAGTTCGTTGTCGTTGGCGTCAACGCAGACACAGAAGAACAGACCGGCGTAGCGCCGGTAGACGATTTTGGTCGAGGACAGGTTCTGGCGGACCAGGGGTTGGGTGTGGTGTAAAGTCGAGCTGGAGGAGCTGGGGGCAGAACGGAACTCCACGAAATTGGATTGGTATTTCTGGTCTCGGGGAGCGATGAGGCGGTGGACCTAGAGAGAGGGAGACGAAAAATATTCAGATTTAGAACATGTCTTATTCGTCGGGAGAAGAACAGAGTCTGGATGGGGAATTGAATATACGTACCTCGCCTTTCAATTTGACCTTCTCTTCATCAGTGTACGGGGCATACCATTTGGCAAGTCGCGTTTTGCCCTGACGGTTCTGAACGAGAATGAATGAGAGGACCATCTTAATTGGTTACAAATAATCAGGAGAATGAGGTTGGGAGAGATGAAGCTGTCCGATCAATTGGCGAGATGGAGGACGGCGTTGATTTCCAAAGCGGAATTGGAGTGGGAAAGCTTTCGCAGGGTCCCGTTGCAGGCCGCGTTTACCGGCAGTCTCCATTTTACATCTGAGATTATGTAGTTTTCACATGCCACCTGCCTGGTATCTTTGCGTATATGTCACCGTATGACACATCCAAGAAATGCCAGGACCCAAGAGCAAATTCGTGACCCTGTTAACTGTTATGCAAAACCCCGATCTCTAGCCACCATCCTCTAAAAGAAATTCTTTCAAAATGGACCCAACACACAAAAGCCACCAGCTTAACTTTTCATCCAAAAATGGTGTTCATGGCCTTATGCGCCAATTCCACGCCGACGAAAGTTGCGGCATTGGCCGGGATGGCTCTGGCCAACGCGGGCCCAAATCCAGGGAAGAAAGCATTGATACCACCACTTCTATAAACACTTTGGATCGTGCCACTCATCGTCGGTCTTCCTTCTGCGGACTGTAGTCTCGACTTGATGGTATCGACGGGGAAAACTGGAATCCACATAGCTACACCAGCAGCACCACCAGCGGTCATGACGGCGGGCAGACTGAGTTCGCCGGTCGCATTGCCTTCAGCATCCTTGGGACTCAGACTGCGTTTGACATATTCGTAAACTGCAAAATAGGCGGCTGAGCCAGGACCGTCTCGGGCAAGCGTCATCGCGCTTCCACGGAAGACGGATCGTACGCCACCCTCCTTGTACAATTGTCGGACGACATCGAGACCGCCGCTGTACTTGGGTTTCTCGCCCGGAGCGAGTTGTTTCTGGCCCTGAATCTGGAGGAGGACCTTGACTCGTTCGAAAGGCGCAGTGATCAAGGTCATGGGTATGGCGGAGAAGAAACCTGCCGCGGAGATTTGACCGATGCTGTACTGAGGCGTGTTGTTTTTGACGGTCACGGTCGTGAAAGTCTCGACCAGTCGCTTGCCCGTATCATATCCCCAGAAACTGACCGCAAACATGGGCGTGACCCCGACGAGAGGCGCAGAGACACCAGCATACAGGCCACGGGCCAGACCTTCTCTGGCAACTGTTTTCTTGACCACGTCTATGGCGCCCGAGTAGACTCCCTTTTCTGCGGTTTGTAGGCGGACCTTGACCAGGTCAAAGGGATGGCCGACAATGACGGCACATACGCCGCCAACACCACCGGCAGCTAGGGATCTCAATCCTGAGAGGGCGCCTTTGGCTGATTCCTTGACTTCTTGTTTAATTTCCTCCTTTGAAGGGAGTTCGTCAATGCTCGTCGGTATCGTTGCAGGCGCCATTTGTGAGGGGGGGTGGGGCAGAACAGTGGCGGAATATGTTAAGCAGACACCACTGGACGGTATATACTTGACGCCCAAGGCCTGAGCTTTGAGATTTCTTTTTCCTCTTCCTTTCTCTTCCTGGGAGAATACGAAACGGACAGACGGTGCGAAAAGGAGATCGACGGTCCAAAGGCGAGTCGCGCGAGGACGAGAGGACTCGTTTAGCAGGGCGGTATCATGGTGGGAAAAATCTGAACAGGTGAAATAAGATTCACTGCTTTGGAAGACGTGACTCGATACTACAGAGGAATCAGAGAACAGTTTCTGGGGAAAGTGTTTCGTAGGGGTTTTCTTTCTTGTAGAAGATTTGTTTTTGGACTTGTGACGGCAACGTGCAGCTCGTCCGAAAAGTCACTGACTAGGGTCAAAACTTGAAAGCCGAGGCTCGGGCTCATCGGCGTAAGGGCGAACTTTCAATCCTCCGTATGGGGGGCCCATTGTACTCGGCTCCCCGACATGTTTTCGTATGTGGCCTTTACGTCGGGAGAGAGCTCGGCTTCAGTTTGTCCAGAATTGTTTTCCCATCCTTCCTATTCCATCCCCTGTGCAAGGCGCCTGATATATATAAATAATATGTTACACAATTCCAGCTCCGATCCGAGGAAAAACTCCTCTTTCCGCCCTCGTCCGTAGTCATATCCAAAAGTGTAAAATCTTGCGATTTTCGCAGAACCGTCTGTCAATACCAAGGGGCTTTGTCGAGTTCAAATACACTGGTTCAATCCAGCAAGTTTAATGAGGGCCAGCAATTCCATGCATCGTCTTCATCATGCCTCCGAGCTTGTCTCCAAACAAAATGTGGGCCTCCGCAATAAGAACAATGGTGAAGAGTAGCCAACAAGCCATCCCAATGAAGGCCACCTTGATCATGAGCTTGAGCAATCGAATTCGACTAGCCCATGGGAAACTTCTCCAAGCCTCCATCAGACCAATCTTGCCCTGACCACCAACAATGGGAGGCGTTGTCTTTCCACCAAAGGTACGATCAAATGGAACAATAGTCTCGTCCTCTTCTGGAAGCATGGATGCAGCAACCCGAACCAAGGTCACGCTGGCCGGGATTTGCAGAAGCACAAATAGGATGATCGTGAGGGTCATACCCATCAATCCTTGTGCACCAACGGCATAGAGATCTTTCCTGCCAGGCTGATACTCAGGGTCGCTCATATGCTTCAAGGATCCGAATGAGCCGCAAACCAATAGGGGAAGAATAGAGACAATCTGATTTGTTGTTGCCCATAAAGCAACGGCCGGGGCGATTTTAGGCCATGTCTTCATCGGTGGAATACGCTTGTACCATCGCTTCTTGCTTGGTTCTGAAATGACAATGTGCACCCACGTCATATGCCAGGTTGCGAGGGCGGTCTCGGTAAGAATGGCAGCGAACGCACTTCCAATGGGGTTGCGGAAGACACCGCCGATCACTGACACCAGGAAGCCACCGGCCATATTCCAGACAAGAAACATCGACAAACCACGGAATCGGGACCAGAAACCTGCGCGAGCTTGGAGGTGGCGGATGGTCTGACGAATGGACGCAGTGTAAGGCTTGTTTCGAACAAGGAGTACTTCGGCGTCCGTGTCCGCGTCCGATTCAGCATCTTCAGGAGGACCATTAGCCGGCTTGGGGCGGGCCGTTGGTGAATAGGCAGGAGGATCTGTAGGCTCAATCACATCGACCGGAACGTAGGCGTCGGTTTCGGGAGACTCGATCATACACAGAGTAGGGAGCAAGTGGCCATAAGTGTAGCTGATCTGGGGTGGGAGTGAGCCGACGAAATAGATCACCAAGAGGGGAAGAACATCACATACGCAGAAGAGGAACACAATGAACATCAAGCCAGTGAGAAAGAAGGTCAAAACAGCCCCAAGAGGAACTTTAGTTGGTTTATCCTTGCCTGGATGACCATGGCTCCCATCCAAGTCGGACATCATTCCATGTACATTATGGACGGCGTCCATGCCACGACGGACGAGGTGGGTTGTGAGAGTCATGGTGGTTGGGGAGGAGGAGTAGGAGAGAGGACGGAAAGTCGAAAAAGATCAAACTACAGGGTGAATGAGATGGCGGGCGTGCCTTTTATTGAACAATGATGGGAGCCTGAAGGACACGCAGGCTGGATGGACCTGGACGGGGCAGCACGCTTATTCGCTCGTCGACCTTATTATTAGGTCAAGTGTGTTTCGCAAATCCTGGGTTCTGGCACTCGGATCAAAAAGTTCCTCCGGTTTGACCAGGGACCAACTTATGTGCCTAACCCCCCCGCAAGCTGTCTGGCAGTTGTTAATTCCTCTCAGTCCACAAGTTCAGGATGGTCCTAGCCTTCTGACTGACCAATCAGCCAAAAGAGTCGAATCCGTAAGAATCAGGAGGCGTTCGGTGCGACGAATATCCATGACCTTCAACCGCCTTTTCCGAGACAGATTCACCGCACCAAGTGAAACACCAAATCCTAGCTCGGCGTATACTATAACCAAGCATCTCGTGTCAGCTTTGCCCCTTGGGACCTGGAGTAACTCGAACCAGTCACTGACGAACACAGCTCCGTTCCCCTATCTTCCAATAGTAACTGTCTTCTCTGGATACTTCCGTGACCATTTTATCCCCGGCGTCAGATCATACGGTCATGTACGGCTATTCTCCACCGATCTTTGCTGCACGATTGTCTCAATGCCACTCCAACAAAGTCCTCAGTTGCGATAGTCAAGAAAAGTTATAATGAGCTGAACGACGACACCGGTCAAAAGTTCGATGATCGCCCGGGCAGATAAGCGCCGGTAGTTCTTGAGGCTACGGCCAAAGGATGGGATGATCTGCGGAAACGCAGCCGGTAAGTTTGGTCTTGCCCATCATCTGGCCCGGAAAAGGAGGGTCTTCAGAACAACTACGTCTGTGAGAGGAAGGAGAAAGAGATGGACAGAGAGATATACTACGAATGGAGATGGAGACTCCCAACGCGGACAGCTCTCGTCAGCCTGAAGAGGCTAGCTTTGATCAACTTCTCTCATTTAGATTGTTGTCCGAGCGATGCCGTAGATACATTCTCACAGCGCCTCTCCCAGCAAGCTGATTATAATATCAGCCTCATAGTCTCGGCGAGCACGTTATTCATTCGCCAGTCCCATATGTGGCGCCCAACTCCATGCGCGGAAACTCCGATGAAAAGCACATTTCGAGATGGACCAGAGCTCCCAAATCGCCATGTGCCACGGGTCTTGCAGATGCTTATAACGATATACTGTGCATCCATGGCCATCCAATCGTTCATTGATATTCCGTTCATTATCCCGATGGACTCCATTGGTCAAATTTTGTCGTCACACTGTGCCACCATATCATTCGTCGCCCAAGCTCTCTCGAACGATCCTCTGACACTTCCGTCTGAATCCCTTGGGGTCCTCTCTCCACATCTTTGCCGCGTCGACGTTGGCTGGGCTCTCGTCATTGGGACTACTGAGCATGCTAATGACCGAAAGCAAAATGGTCTCCGGCGACTGGACGGGTGACCATCTCTCTGCAGCAGATTCATATCCATATTTATCTTCTTCCGGCGGATGGAGGATTGAAATGCAGACTTCTCCGGAGGGATAGATGTTGGGGTGGAAAATGGGAGTCTCGAACTTCATCTTCGGCGGCATCAAAGGGTATTCCGGTGGGAATGATAACCGAGCACGAAAGAAACCACCTAGATTATGGCGGTCAGTTCTCCATGTCGAAAGGAAGAGCGTGGGGTAGGCTAGAGATAGAGAATGCAATAACATACCGCCATAGTATTTGCAGTCGTCATTGATCATGAGCATGACCTCCCATTCGAAAATGTTGTTGTCAGCCAATCCGCAACTAATTCCTGGAATATCCTTGTCGGATTGCATTTGTTTCAATTGCCGGCCCAGCAGAACCGCAGCAGGAGAAGTTGACGACATGCTGGTGGTGCTTCAAAGAACTGGCCAACGGTGGTGGGACAAACGGGGAAACCCAAAGTGTGCTGGCGAAAGTCGTTCCGTTGATGGGGCAAGATTGATCCGGCTACAGGCAGCTGTTTGGATTGAAGCTACTCTCGCAGGACGAGAATATATTAGCAGCAGTGAAAGTCGGTAGCTGGACTTCAAGAAAGGCAAAAGAGTTGCGGTCTTTCACTGGCTCGCCGAGGCCCTCGCCGTCTGACCAAGACGCCACCATCAACTGAGACGCCTCCTGTGCAACTCCAAGGAGGATTTCTTGTCAGACTGTTATTTTTCACACTCGTCAGCCAAGCCAGGTCTATGCACTCGTTATTATACACGCGGAGAGCCTTTGGACTTCTATTCTATTCTATTTTTTGGGAGAACATATCTGCCCGCATTTCTATTTCATATTTCCACTCGTAAATCTTAGGTACGGACGCACTTCGCGCACGTCAGTAAACTTCTTTTGCGCGTCTGATGTCGAAACAGGAGGTGGTACAATCACGTCGTCTCCAGCCTGCCAGTCAACGGGGGTGGTAATCCCCTTCTTATCGCCCGTCTGCAGACTGTCGATCACACGGAGGACTTCGGCAGTATTGCGGCCCGTCGACGCCGGATAGAGCATGATTAATCGAATCTTCTTTGCCGGGTCGATGACAAACACGCTCCGGATGGTGAACGCAATCCCCTTCTCATCAATGTTGGTCAAATCTTGCTGATCCACCATGTCATACAAAAACGCCACTTTTCGGTCGGCATCCGCGATGATGGGAAATTGCAAGTTTGTCTGACAGATGTCGTTTATATCTTTGATCCATTCGTCGTGGCTCTTAAGGTCATTGGCGCTCAGCCCAATCATCTTCACCCTTCTCTTCTCAAACTCATCTTTCATCTTCGCAAACGCGCCCAATTCGGTGGTACAGACAGGTGTGAAATCTGCTGGATGGCTGAAGAGGATTGCCCATGAGTTGTCGATGAACTTGTGAAAATCAATGTCGCCATGTGTGGTTTTGGCTTGAAAATTGGGTGCTGTAACTCCCAGCCGTAGTCGAGGCTGTTCACCAGCAGGTGCAGCATAACCTCGATACAATGTTGTGAACGGAGAGGATTTCAATACGGGAGAGCGCCGAGCGCGCAAGGCTGGGGCAAAGCAGCGCTGAAATTGTCTCGAAGCTAGTGCAGCCATTTTGTGATGCGACAGTGGGCGTAAAAGCAAGATGGGAAAGGAGTGGAAAGTGTATATCGACAAAAATGAAAATGAAAGCAGCTGATTCCCGGGTTTGGTCAAGTTTGAGGCCTTCACGCTCTCCAAATGGCGTCATTGGATCCCCCGATGACGCTAGTCCCAAAACGCATTTTCCTATTGAGTCGCTACAGGGAAATCCGCTTCAAGTTCAAGCGGCGTGCCTGTTCGGCGCCCTTCGATGGACCTGAACGGCCGTCGATTAAAAATTGTTGTATGTCTGAACGCACAGAGTATGGAATGCAGACAAAAGAGGTGATGGTGCGGTTTGGGCACGCTGTAGACCCCGGGGCGATATTACAATTAAGGCGGCGTTTTCACAGAAATCCGTGTCTCTGAAAGGAAAATCTCGGCGAATAACATCCCAGGTCTCAAGATTGCCCACTGGCACTCTCTGATACATTAAAATATACAACGACCATGGAAATTCAACTTTCCCTGAGGTTCATACCCTGCTACACATGGCGGCAGCCAACCAACATCGAATTACGCACATTGTGCTTTTTCGCTATCGCCCGTCAGTCTCATGGACCGAGCTCGAGTACCACTTCGCAGAATTGGCCAAGCTGAAATCAACATGTCTCAAGCCTGCTGTGACAGGAAAGCCATATATGCTCTCCATGCAGATGGGCCGGAATATCAGTTGGGAAAACTTCGGAAAAGGCATGACGCACGCCATCGTACTTGAGTTTGCCAGCGTCGAGGACAAAGATTTCTATTTGCTGGAAGACCCAGTGCATCGCGCTTTCAGCGTGAATGCGGCGCCTTTGATTGAGGATTCTGTGGTTGTTGGTAAGTGAATCCCACCCGGACCGGGTCTCGGTACTGACATGACAATGCGATGTAAGATTTTGACGGATCATCACTTAGCCCTTCACCTCGGTCTGAGAGTGACCAATACCAGTCATATCGAGGCTCGTGTCATTGCGGCATCGTCAGCTTCAACATCAGGTCGCCCGTCGGAAATCCGCCCACACATGTGATCTGCCATTGCGACACCTGCAAAAAGATCTCTGGAGCGCCCTACACATGCAATTACATCACTTCAATCGAAGACTTTGCGATATCCCAGGGAAGTGACCATCTGAAAGTGTATGAGTACCAAGGCGCGAGCGGCAAGAATGTATCGTGTTATTATTGCGAGAAATGTACGAGCCATATCTATCATATCCAGCAAAGAGATCCGAGCAAAGCAATCGTGAGAACACTGCTACTTGATTGTGGTAACGTCATGGGCGCTAGCGGGGAAATCTTCCGGGAAGGGGCGTTGGGATGGGTTGGAGATTTGCGAAGTGCTCTACCGGCTTAGGGAAGCCAATAAGATGACTGGATCCAACCGGGTCATGAAGCTACCATACTCCGTACGTGCAAGTAGTTGGAGGCAGCATGGGCGTTGAAACGCGGTCAAATCAACAGACCGTGAGCCGACATGGCGGCTCCTATACATCCGCACTTTCTTGAGTGCATACTCCAAGTGTTCTATGCCAGAAAACTCCTCTGATCAAATCGCCTACCATTCATAAAGCATCAGATCAAATACCATGGTACCGGTTCCTTGAAGCCACTCAGGAACCAAACCTCCATCCTCCCTCGATCCTCATACGTTCTCGTAATTCGCGATCTGCCCTGACTTCTTCGAGCGTCAATCCATCGCCACTAAAAGCCCAATTGGCGCTACTCGTCCGGTCTCGAAGTCGCTTGAGTCTATCTTTGTTTCCCTTCGCGAAGATCTCCTCCATCTTCAGCGGTGCAATCGGTCCAAAGACAGCGTCTCCGTCCATTCCTTCTTGCCGGATGAGCTGTTCTGTTAGGTGACCAGGAGTGGCCCAGTCGGGAATGGGGAATGCGTTGCCTTCGTCGTCAGAATCTTCGTCTTCCGAGTCGGTTGGAATTTCGGGCAAATGAATAGACTCGCCGTTGGGATATTGTGGTGATGATTTGACGGGCTGGATCGTCCGCTGCTGCATCATCGGGACGGGTGTCTTGGTAGGCGCCGGCGGATTGGGAGCATCCGCGAAAGGAATTTTAGCTCCCGTGGCATATTGCTGCATTTGTGGGGGAGCCGCACGACTGGGAGGCGGAGGAAATTGGCCGAGATGAGACGAAGAAGGTTGTGCCTGTGTGTAAGTGCTGTGGTTGAAGGTCGACGGTTTCTTTCCAAGCTGTGATTGTCGAATAGGGGCACCGGAGACCACCGGGCGAGAGGCAGGTTCAGCGGTGCTTTCATCCTCAGTCTTTCGCCTCTTCGCATCGGCCTGGGGCAACCCCACTCCATATTTCGGGTTGGGGGGTCGTGATGACGTCGCCTCGTCCTCCAGAGGTCTCTTTGCAGGCTTCGCCGGGTTTGTCGGCAGCGGATGGTTGATCAAAGACCGGCTGAGAGTTTGACCACCGAGTCGCGAAGAAGGTCCCGATTGAGCCTGTCATGGTCAGCATGCGTCTCCCATTGTGGTTCGGGGGACTCACGGCTTCGTTTACGGCACGTTCCAATCGTTGCTGCTCTGCCTTTCGAGCGGCCTCCTGACGCTTTCTTTCAATCGCTTGTTGCTGAGCCTGTCTCTTAGCTTGCTCCGCGGCCAGCCTTTCTCTTTCTCGTCTTTCGGCTTCTGCCCGTTGCTTCTGCTCCTGTTTTCGGGCCTCTTCTTGTTGAGCAGCTCGCTTGCGTTCAATTTCTCGCTTTTGCTCCAGCTTTCTCTGAGCCTCGCGTTCGTCCTGTTCCTTCTTTCGTTCGGCGGCCAGAAGAGCCCTCGGTTTGGTTGGCTGACCGTGGACAGATGATTTGAAGGTGCTCGAGGTGGTCGACTGCAGCGAGGCGGAGCTGGCCTTCTTATTCAATCCCGGACGTTTCGGCTCCGCGGAATAGGTCTCTTGTGTGTTCGAGCCCGCGTGTGCAGAATTGATCGGCATTCGTTGTGACATCGTTCCGACACGAATCGATACAGGAGCAGGCTTCGCTTTGTTGACCGGTGGTTCTCGTCCAGGCCTTAACGGTCGAGCGGGCTTTGCAACCGGTGGCGCTGGTTCGACTGGTTCGTGTGGTGCGTGCTCCTCAGCCTGACCCTGGGGCCTTGTATGCTCGATTGTTTTCGACCGCGATATTTTTTCCTGGGCGAGCTTTTGTTCTGCAGCCTTTCGCCGTTCTTTCTCTCGAGCTTTTTCCAATTGGTCATCCATTCGTTGCATCAGCTGGGCTTCTTTCTCTTTTCGTTTCTCTTCCTTTTCTCTCTCGGTGGAACTGCGGGTCTTCCGGCATTCCCTGGGTGGAGTTGCCGGTAAAGGCTTGTCCTCGATCAATTCATTGAGGTTGGGATACAGTCCCGGCATAGAACTTGCTGCAGCCTTCAGCGCATTTGGTGACAATGTCTCCAGCTTCGCAGCGGCGGAAACGCTCGCACTGGTCGTGAAGAGGCCCTTCGCCGTCTTCATGATAGACTGCAGCTTCGACTTGGAGGCACTCAAATCTAAATAGCGTCTCGGAGAGCCTTGTGGAGTGGTCGTGGCCTGTGTGGGATTCGAGACCGATATCGATTTCGCCGGGCTCGCTGGAAGTGTCATCGCCGCTTTCGCTGGCGAGGCCAAAGTGGCCGTCGACGCCGATTTGGTATGGCCAAAACCAGGCATGATCTTGCCAGGTCCAGGAGACATCCGGACCGGAGTCCGCGTCCGCTCCTCATGCGCAATCAATTCGGGGGCTCGGACGTCAAATTCTTCCTCATCCGAATGCGCCTCATTGTTCGTCACCAAGCCCTTTGCGGGAGAATATCTGGGCGCGTTGGGTGAGGTCAACGGCTTTATCCAGTCGTCCTCATCATCATTGGAGGTTGTATGAGCACCAATGCGTTCTGCGCGGTCCGGGTTTTTCACATTAGCCAATGGGGCAGTTGATGGGATGGATTTGGACGGCCGCGGAGGAGGAGCTTTTCCCAGCATATCGATCTTTTCGTGGAGCCTTTGTGTGGACGACTTGGAGTAGTTTTGGGCCGTCTGGGTTTCCTCATCATCTTCCGAATCATTCACGGGAGGATCCTTGCTGTTTTCGTGAGTAGATTTCCGTTCAGCATGATTCAACGTGACAGCTTGTCGGACTCCATACGAATTCGGCCGGTTTGAGCGAGGCGGTTCAAGTTGACTGGTCCGTGATATTCTCGCCCCGATACTAGTCTTCAGAGGTTCTCGTGCGGGAAGGGCAGCAAAAGTAAGACTGCCTTTCCTCACCAAGGGCCGGTCGGGTGTCGACTCGTCAGAGGGAGAACCAATTTCATCCAAGTCATGGTGAATATCGGCGGGCTGCTCTTCAGATTGCCGGTTCTGAACATCCTGCCGGGTGTCATCTTGTATAACTTGCGGTCCCAGTTCCCTTGTTGTAGCTTCCGTGCCCACCACTTTCGTTGTTTGATCCTCTTTCGCCGAGTGAAATGACCCGTCAGTCGTGCGATGCTCTTCGTTCTCAGAGTCCTCGGTGTTCTGATGATGAGCCGCAATGTCTTCCACATCTGCAGCCTGCGTCTGGGTCGGTTTTATTTTGGGGGAGGCATGGACCTCGGTGTCAATTTCCATGTCATCTTGACTGGAACCCTGGTAACCAGAGTCCGTCTGGGATTTACCGGGTGGATGGTTCTCTTCAACCACATCGGTAGCGATCTCGAATCGAAGTTTGGTCTGATTCGCCTGTTTTGGAGGGCTTTGGCGTGGTAAGGGTTTGGACGAGAAGACATCGCTCAAAGGCTGGAAAGTGAGATCAGGGTATGTCATGAGAAAGTGGAAGGGGTAATATTTACTATTCTTGCGTCTTGAACATTGCGCTTTCTCGCTGTACGAGGTGTCTTCCCTCGCATCTTTCCCGGCGTTTTGAAGACATTGGTCACATCACTGTTGGTATCAGCCTGCCTGTCATCAACACCTCACTGGGAGACACACGACTTACACATGGCTTTTGCTAAAGATCTCGGCCATATGCTCGTTGAGCCATTCGAGCTGATGTTGTGCAGGAAACACCACCTCCTCTTTCTCATTTTGCAGCAACTGGACGGCATTTTCCTTCTCGGCTGTGATCCATGAAGCCGACCCAACGGCGGTAGCCTTGGTCGCCATTGGATATATAGACGTCGACGCGCAATGCCACAGGGTAATGAGCGCGAGAAGTCGATCACAATTTGTTCGACTATTTGAAATTCGATGCGGCGAATGGCATTTCCGGAGTAAGAAACACGAGATCTATTTACGATAGACTCGATTGACGAGGCTCAATCGACGGTGAAGGGACGAGCAGAGCGCAGCAGTAGCGTTAGCACTGCCAATTTACCGGAGCTCTGTTTTGGTCTGCCTCAAAACGGTCTTAGCGCCGAGCTTGGCGGGATGCACCATCCCATGTGTAGGAAACACAACTGATTACATAATTGGCGGTATTGTTTGCCGTGACCAGATGGCCGGCCACGCTGACTTTGAAAGAGTCCGTGTCAGACCGCGGCCCCTTCTTATGTACTGACATGCTGCCAGATGGGTGTACTCCAAAAACACCACCTTCTACCGTGACGAGTTGCCAGCAGACGACGGCTGACGACTGGGTCGACGAGGGGGTGTTTCCGAGATTTCTCGAAATCGGGCCTCGCATCTCGGAGATGTTTGGAGAAACTTGGAAGCGATCTCGGAGTTTCTCCTCATTTTCGACTTTGCTCATATATCCCTCAGGTTGATAGGTGCTCTCCCGACTTCATTAACACTCTCCGTCAGTGTCTCTGCGAGCCATTCTCATAGATATTACGTATCCCTGCAGGCAATTCATATCATTCATTGATCATGGCTGCTAAACATTCTGCAACCCGTCTTTCCCAATCCTTTCTTTCGAGTTCTCGGTCAACCATCCTCTCTCGACCTCGGCTATGGCATCAGGCCTGCTTGGCCCAAGGCCAGAGACATTTCTCCGCCAGCGGACGTCGCAGAATAATGGAGATGAGTGGTTTCTCTGAGGAGCAACTGACTGTACGCGATGCGATTCAAAAAATTTGTGCCCAGTTCCCAAATGAGTACTGGCAACAACACGACCAGTCGGAGACCGACCCCAAAGAACTGCATGCGGCTTTAGCCGCTGATGGCTGGCTCGGGATAGCACTTCCTGAAGAGTTTGGAGGGGCCGGGCTCGGGATTTCGGAAGCGACCATGATGTTGCAGACGATATCACAATCGGGAGCCGGCATGGCCGGTGCGCAATCTATTCATGCCAATGTCTACGCCACACAACCGCTGGCTCGCTTCGGCCATCAAGAACAACTGAAATCGACGATACCTAATATCATCAATGGCAAATGGAGAGTATGCTTCGGCGTGACCGAACCTAATACCGGTCTCGACACGTTAAGACTGAAGACGACCGCCACGCGAAAGGGCGATAAATATATCATTACCGGTAGGCCACTCGAACGGCAATCCCCACAGCAGCACTACACCCTCCCTCTAGCCAGGCTTCCCCGTTGACAATGGATGATAGGACAAAAAATATGGATCACGTGCGCCCAGGTGGCCTCGAAAATGATTCTCCTGGCCCGAACCACGCCTCTGGAGGAGGTAAAGAAGCCCAGTGAAGGCCTATCCATGTTTTGCATTGACATCGACCGATCCAACCCCGCCCTCGAACTGAAAAAGATCAAGAAGATGGGAGGACGGGCCGTTGACGCCAATGAAGTCTTTTTCGATCATTATGAAGTGCCTGAGAACACGCTGATCGGAGAGGAGGGCCAAGGATTCAAAATCATTCTTCACGGGATGAACGCCGAGAGATGTCTTCTTGCCGGCGAAGCCCTGGGCCTGGGCTATGCCGCAGTGGAAAAGGCTGCGCAGTACGCCCGAGAGAGGGTTGTTTTCGGCAGGCCGATTGGAAAGAATCAGGCGATCGCCCACCCTCTGGCAGATGCGTATATGAACCTTGAAGCGGCAAAGTTGGCCTCGTATCATGCGGCACGATTGTACGACCGAAGCAAAACAGACAGCGGCATCAGCCAACACGCTGTCGGTGTAGCGTGTAATAGTGCCAAATATCTGGCCGCAGAAGCAGCTTTCCGAGCCTGTGAAAGGGCAGTCATGAGCCATGGAGGGATGGGTTATGCGATGGAATACGATGTCGAGAGGTACCTGCGTGAATGTTTTGTTCCACGGATTGCCCCTATCAGTCGAGAGATGATATTGAATTTCGTGAGCGAGAAAGTATTGGAATTACCGCGAAGCTATTGATTGAAATAGACCGTCTCCAATGCAGGTCCATATCAGAGGCTAGAGGGACAGGTCCTATTTGTCTGGCCTCAAGTTACATTATAACCGTACCGGTGGTCATAGAAAAGAGAAAGAATGGCAATCTTGACTGCGGAGACTTGATTTTGACCCCCGCACCGTCGTCTTTTCTGTTACGAGCATTTTACATCTTTTCGCTAATCACACCATGTCACGCATAAAGGAACTTCCTGATGACTTTGATGAAAGCGTCAATCTCGACGACGCGCCGAGTGCGCCCTCAATGCAGGACCTCTACAACAAACACATCTCAGGGCCTCAGCAGAATATGATATCCGACAAAAGCTTTGAGGAAATTGTGCAAGACATGAGTAAAACTCCTCTTTTCATGAACAGTCTCGACGAAGCAGTCGACGAGAGTACGCTAAAGCCTACGGCGATTGAAATGGACAGCTGAGTAAAGGTGCACAGATGGTGAAAATGTCATGATAGAGGCCATCAAGGCTCTTCAGTACGAGGGCACCAAATCGGAAATCGCCCAGGGTTTCAAAGAGCGGGGGAACGAAATGGTCGCCGAAAAGAATTGGAGAGACGCCAAAGAATTTTACACCAAGGGCATTGCCGTGTTGGTCGACAAGACCGAAGACAAGTGGGACAAGGCTGAGGACGCGGACGAGGAGCAAAAACAATGTGTCATTCTTGAGGAGCAGCTCTATGTGAATCGAGCATATTGTAATCTGAAGCTGAGTATGCTTGGGGATCCCTCTCTGGCGGACGGTTGCGCTGACGGTTGAGAAAACTACCGGTCAACCACGGTCGACGGTGCGGCCGCCCTGCGCATCAACCCGTCGAATATTAAGGCACATTACCGATCCGCCTCCGCTCTGTTCGCCCTGGACAAAGTGATGGAAGCCCTCGATGTGGCCTCCCGCGGTGTCAAACTCGACCCCGGCAATGCCGCGCTCCAGAAGTTGTTGGGGCAGATTCGGGCCAGAGCAAAGACGAAAGAAGCCCAAGACCGACGTCGACTGGCAGAGCAGAGGAGAAAACAGCAGGAGAAGGCGGTGTTGGATGCCACCCTCAAGGCACGGAAAATCCGGGTTCGAATGTCAAACGAGCCTCCGAACCTGGAAGACGCGACAATTCGATTGTCACCAGATCCTCTATCGCCAACGAGCCTGCTAGAATTCCCCGTCATGCTTCTTTACCCAATGCACAACCAATCAGACTTCATCAAGGCCTGGGCAGAGAAGGATGCCATCACTCATCACCTGAGCTACATCCTGCCCTTGCCGTGGGACGACAAGAATGAATACACGCAGTCCACGGTGGATTGCTATATGGATACGATCAGTGGCGGCCTGATGAAGATCGGCAAGAAATTGACCCTGCTGGAGGCGCTGTCGAACGGCAAGAGTGAGGTGGTAGATGGGCTGGTGAGGATATACGTGGTACCGATGTCATTGGCACCGCAATGGATAGAGGAAATGAAGCGGAAAAAGGGCCAATCGAAGTAAATCGTTTAGTTACTTACCGTGATGCCCTGCATCGAGCGCGAAAGTGCCTCTTCTGCGCAGGGCGCAGTGTTTTTGAGACGGATCCAATCGCGGCGCCGTCAATGATTTAGTCGTCCGCATTTTTCCCACTAATGACTTGAGAGCCCTTTCGATTTTTTCACACACCCACTCGTCAGTCTTGATCATCTACCCTACCAAACAGACTTCCCCTGCTCCCTTCGATTCGGTTCACGGTCGTCCCTCTTTGGCCCCCCCCCCCCGGTTGGCCCCTCTCTTGCGTCCTGTCCACGAGCCGAACTCTGCGAGCCCTGCCTGGCGTTCGTTAGTGTCGGCTACCCGCTGCAAGCCCAGGCGCCACTCCGTCTCAGCCAGAACGCAAAACCGCTACAGGCGGGCACCACCGCAATCTGCTCGGAGGGCTTCCCTCGAGGCTACCGCATACGCTTTCCAGCTCTACAAAATCCTTAGCTCACGTCCAATCAAGCATCGCTGGACAATCATGAATAACCCCGCCCTGCCGCCGTATGCTTCCCAGAGTCCAGGGCCATACGCTTTCACCAGTCCACAGCCGGGAGCGCACTTTTCCATCTCCGCTGGCCCCCCTTTCGATGCTGCCCAGGCTCCATTCCAACCGGGTATGATATCAAACCACATGCAACGGCCCTCCCACCCTCAGCAAACCCAGCAGCCGATCCCTCAGCATCTCTATCAACAACATCCAGGACAGGTTGGTGCTTTTTCGCGACCAGAGAACCGTTCCAACTTCGGTCCACCAAACAAAGGCTCGTCACAACACCCCAACCTTTCATGCGACCCAGCGCGGGTTTTATGGCGGTATACAAGGGCTAACCCACCAGCAGGCACTCCCTCGGACGGTCGACCTCATATTCCAGTGACCCAAGGAACAAATCAGACCTTTCATCCCCACCAGACCCAGATCTCCGCGAGTGCCCCTCCACCGCTCCCTGCTTCGTCTGCACCGACCGAAGGGAATATGGCTGCCAATATAGGACTTCAAGGGCAGCAGCCCAATGCCAGTCTAGCGCAACAAGCACAAATTCAGAATGCGGCGCAAATGGCGCGGCCTGCTCCTCAGCAGCAACAACAAGGCGGGCCGCAGTTGTCGCCACAATCGGCCGCACGAGAGCGAGCGCGGGTATCGGTTTTGTTGGAGATCAATGCACATTTGCTGCAAGAGGTTGTATCGTTACAAGCCCAGGGAAAGGCCGGTCCTCCGCCGAATCAAGGCCAACAATCCCCTACGTCCCCGACTTCGGCGACAGATCCAAGCAATGCATTGAACAACAGTCCTGGCGAGCCGGCCAAATCTGCAACTGGCACGGGGACAACACCATCTAAGCCACCTTCACAAGAATACGCCGATTGCATGCGCCGTTTACAAGCCAATCTCTCGTACTTGGCCGCCATCGCAGATGCGAAAAAGAAGGTCACTGGAGCATTGCCCACGGGGCCAGCAATTTTGGTTCCGCCTCCCCATTTACCTCAAGTTCATGATCTATATAAAAAACTGAATGCGCTGTTTCCGGAAGCGGGCCAGTCAGCCATCAATAAAGCAATGGCGCATGCTGCTCAGTCTCAAAATCAGAACACGAGTGCAAAAACCCAGCGGCCTGTCTCGGTTCCAGCTCAGGGCTGATTGATGGCTGCTGGTAATAGAGACTGGTGAAGAAATGGAGCCGAAGTTTGTTATGTGATGCTGATCGCGCCAAAGCCATCAAATCAGCGACATTTGCGGCACAGGGGCTCTTCAGCGGAAACCATCCACGCCGGGTGACATCGCTTTCAGGCGCGCCCATAATAATCAAGACAAAATTGGTCAAACATATGATGGGAACTCTTCTCAGCTTGCCAGAGATGAGAAAGATACTCATTTATTTCCGGGCTTTTATCCCCGTTTGTCTGCCTTCCGAAATCGTTGTCGTGTGAGACTGGAAAATTCCGGAGATTATAGGAGAACAGGGACCAATTTGTCGAGAGGTGGAGGTCTTATGACGCTGATGTCTCTGAACATTGGTCACCAATTGAAGACATACCAAAATACGGAGGTGGATATAAGGAGTGATGATGACACATCTGTGGAGGGAAAAATGATCGCTCGTCTCGCTGTAAATGAAAATTCTTGGTGTTGAGAATGGAAGATTGAAATTGCAGAATGGGTATTTCTGGAGAACATGGAGGCCGTTGTTGGGCAAGCAGGAGGACATGCTGCAACATTTGAAGCAATGAAAGGAATCCAACAATAATTGACAATGATTTGGTCGGGTTTTGCATTTCATCAGCTCTCCCAGCAGTGTCATGAATCCGAACGTGTGGTTGGGGGATCAAATGGTTCCTTAAAGACGACCAATATGAAGATCAAGTCGTCTGGCTGTGTCATACCTCAAAGCTGCTTTACCCAAATCCTTGTATATTATACCAGTAGATTCTTATTTGGAACACCTCTGGCTCGGTGACAGCGCTGGTGATGGCTGAGAGAACCCCAAGATCAGTAATGACTGGCCCAAACTGACCCCCGATTTGGAAGAGGGTGATGCTGCGTTGTACTCCCCCCGGCGTTGGACGCGAGCGGCACATGCCAGATGAGACAACTGGGATTGACCTGTTACAGATCATATGCGAGAGCTCCACCATTAGAAGGGTATTGTTGTCAAACAGATCAAATTGAGAGCTCCGAGGGCCGCTAGAGCCAGGAGAGTATCCATTGCGCTCCCTTGCTTTGCCACCAGTTCTCTAGGCTTTCAAGGGTTAAGACATTACCTTACCTTGAGGACGTTGGATCCAGTCTGGGCCAATCCATAGAGACCCTTGGCGGTGCTAGAGGCCTTGTTGTCGAGTTGTTGCCATCATAAAGGGGTTTAGAACTGCATAAATTTTCCAGCCAATCAGAGCAAGTTACTTGCGGAAGTCACGTGATATATACTATGGCACAAAGAAGTGCCAACACTTTTGATCGTAGCCAGGTCGCCCTCTATCTGGTTGCCGCAAGTGGTAGACAAGGGAACCACAAGTTCAGTAAATATCAATGATGCGACGTGTAGGTGCTGAATAGAGCAAATGCAGCAGTTTTACTGCAGATCTACTCCAGTAGGAACTTACATGCGTGGTTTGATCAGTCGATCCAGGGAGCTTCCTCGTCGGGCCATCCATCTGGAAAAGATTCCATTGCTCTTTCTGACCACTCCCTTCACCCATTGACATAGATGTAGTAAAGTCAGATTCTATCATGACGGGGATCTCCACTGCCCCAAGCCGTCGATGAGTGCCAACTCCACGAGTCTTTGTAAGCACAGCTCCGTGAATGAGATAACTGGTAGCGAACAGAGGTAAGAATGACAATCTTCCTCGTTGAATCAGTTCTTGCACCTCTTCCTGAGGATATTCTAGGCTGATCAATGAGTCGCGTGGTGAATCGCCCGTGCAGAAGCGAACGCCAGCCACCTCGAAGCTCGTAATCCTTTCTTCACACCACAAGACTTTCAGAGGGAGACCCAATCCCCTGATTCGGATTAAGATTCCAGTCGTTGGGGCACTTCTGTCATTCTCGATGGGCTCCAGGACCTCTTCAACCTCGGCAAAATGAGCCTGTACTCCTCCAAAGGTGGATGGGAAAAGTGTTTCGCCGTCAACAGAAGCCCACGACCAGCTGGGGGCACGAAAGGGAGTCAGCCTAATCGGGAGGGCCATGCGAACTTCCGTAGGCCTCCACCACCCGAGATCATATACCATACTTTTCTTCCACATACCGGCAATGTAATAATCGTTCCTGTGTCGAGTCATGCGTTTGGCAATACCCGAAAATGCAATAAGCTTGTCCTCGGAGTACGTAAGTGTACATTTTGAGTACTCGTGTACTAGGAGTTGCCATAACTCAACAAAATGGGTGTCGTCAACACGGTCAGGATTTTGGATCAGTGTCGCCATCGCCGTTTCGATTTTTGGTTTTGAAATAAATGACATAGCGGATGTTCGAGGCAATCCATTCGGAAACATTTCCAAAGCAGCAAGCTCACAGCATTCCCATCCCATTTGATGGCGCCCGAAATGGAGGATCCTACGCGCCATAAAACGTTCTTGGAATACCCAACCTCTTTTGTTGAGTGGAGCATTATCAATTTCGTCGGACCACATGTCACCGTCCACTATCATGAATTTTTGACGAGTATCATTGGCGATTAGTTCGAGCTCTGAAGGGTAGTGAGGATCTGGGGAACGGTCCATAATGAGAGATTCGGAGCCATCGATTGACATTGTTGCCGATACATTCAGAAAAGCGCACGAATATATCTTTTCCATGTCCTGTAATTCGTTTCTCAAGTCTGATCGACCATCTTTGTCCTGCTTGATACACAGAGTATCGATCCAAAGGTAATAAATGCCAAGGTGAAGGGCGATCGTAATAGTATCCTGAAAGATCTGCGGGAGACTGACGATGTCAATGGTCGCCTGAAGTTCTTGTATTGTTGTCGATGTTAGTTTTGTGTACGACTCGACGCCCCAACGATGACTTAGGGTTATATAATGACCTTTGGGAGGATGATCCTTGGACAATACGAGCCTGGCTTTTGGGCCGCGTGGTCTGAGGTATAGCAGACGACTTGGATACCATCCTCCGCTGTCCATCCCACATTTCTTGTGATCTTTTGTGCATTTTTCAATCCAACCATCGACAATGGCAAAGTCCGTTTGAGTTTTTGCGCAAAGTTCTCTGGGGCGTAGTGTATTTCCGGACAAGTCTGTCCTCAGTCAGCCTCATATTCCACTTGAGAACACGAAAAGTCGAGACGGCAATGTTACCAGCAGCGGATGCGAAGTTCAATTCGACTTCGCAGGAATCGTAGCCTGTTCCATAACGTAAGGGAGCTATGTTGATAAACATGGGGAGCAGGGTATTTTGCTGAGGCTCTTCGAGCATGATTTGTCCAAACCTAGAGAACTTCACCCACAGTGATCGCCGGGACCATGCATTGTAAGCTTTCGGATCATGTGATTTTAACCACTGCGAGAACTTGTAGCAAATCCAGCAACTGCGGGCACGCGTCTTGAGAAAAGCAGGAAGCTTCACAGGTATCTCTCTGCTGTTTTGCATCGGCGGCTGATTTTGATGAAGTCGCCGGATCGCCGAACAGCATCTCGCACAAATTCCCATTTTCCCAATGACTAGTCAAAGTCTGAACTGAACTGAACTGTACGTTCACCAGAGGAGTCCAAAATCATTCTGAAGGGACTGACAGGTGCGAATTCTAAAACGCAATGTAGCATCCCAAGGCCAGAAGGCTGGGTTCTAAAAATAGTTGATATTAGGCAATATAACTAGCCTTATACCAAGACCCCCGGAAAATGTGAAAGACCGAAACACTCGCCCGTGGACATTTAGGTATTTCTTTTGAGGCATCTTTATTCCGAAAAGAACATCTCCCGATGTGGCTATACTTTCGAAGAGGTGGCCTGCGGAATCCGCAAGCACCCAGGTCTGGAAACTGAACCACTTTCGGTGACTGTATATATGGCTATGTTGAGGCCTTGTTGCCCGAAGAAGATGCAGCAGCATCTTTCCTCGCATACTCCGGCAGGTCTTCCCCAGCTCTCCATCTATACTGCGACGCGGGATGGTCTGCCCTAACTCTTGGGCCTTTGCCGTCTCCGGTATAATTCTCTCGAGCAGAACCCCCCGGAAAGGCATACTCGTCCCAGAATACGCCACGGCGTCTCAGCTCGGGAAAGAGGTACGTGACGATATCCTCGAAATTACCAGGAGAGATGGCATAGGAGATGTTGAATCCATCCACATCAGCCTTATTGATCCACTCTTGTAAAACGTCAGCTACTGTCTCTGGCGAACCTACAGCCTTCGCATGGGGTCCTCCAAGCGCCAATTCCTGGGCGATTCGGCTTTTCGTCCACTTGATATTCTCTCCGCCAGGGACAGTTGCACTCCATGATTCCAGCATGCCCTGGATGGCACCGGGAAATCCTGGAGCAAAGCGGAAGTCTTCGTCGTCGCCCCAGGTGGAGATGTCAACCCCATACCAACCTCCAAAAAGCGCAAGAGTGCCTTCGTCGTCGGCATAGGAGAGGTACTCGTCGTACTTGGCCTGCGCCTTCTCGTCCGTCTCGTCCACAATAATGATGATGCCTGCTAGTAACTTGATACTATGGGGATCACGACCTTGCTCCACCGCCAGTTTACGGACGGCATCTGCTGTTTTCCTGGTCACATGTGGCTCCATTCCAGGGAGGAACATGGCTTCGGCATGTATTCACTATACCACATCAGTTGCATTCCGTGAGGGCTGATGGAACTGACCCAACGTGGTCAATCCGCCGAACACGGTCCGGCACAGTGTACTGCTTTGTGTTCCGATCTTGAACTACCGCATCGTCCCTCCATGAGCCCTCCCAGAGCTTGTAGGTGACATTGAGATATTCCTCGGCTATGGCGTATCTGACGTCGTGTGGGACCTGGGTATCCAGCCCGAAGTTTTTGGCTGCGTTCTCCAGGTAACTAGTCACGATATTCCATCCCACTCGCCCTCGGGTGAGATGATCCAGTGTCGAGAATCGACGTGCCAGCGAGAATGGATGTTCATACGTGGTGGAGGAAGTAACGCCAAAAGATAGAGATTTGGTTACCGACGCCATGGCTGCAATGGCCGAACTGTCCTCTTTTAGCAACGTGAATTCTCGAGCTCGTCAACGGGACATAATACAATGGGTCAGAGATGGGGAATTGTGCGGCACCGGGAAGTGCAGGCTCGATGTTTCCTGGTCCTTTGTAAACGTCGTATATTCCCAGCATATCGGCAATAAAAGACCATACTGCAATTGGTGGACAGAGCCTCACACAGAAGCCAGAACTGATAATATGGGCAGGTCTATGGCGACATCCAAGGAACAGGTCACAAGAATATCACAATATCGACTATTGGATAGATCTGGCCAAGATCCTTGAGAATGGGAAATTTCAACATACCCGCCGCGACGTGACCCGGCGAGCTCATAGCGAAGGCGTTCATAATCCATGGCTTTTTTCCCACGGGTATGGATCCCATCTTGCTGAAAGGCCGAAAGACCTTGAAATTCTGTCAGAGCTTAGAGCCCGTCGTGTCTGTGAACGACAGCTTGATAGATATACTATGCACACATGAAGGAGGCACCCGGGGGGGAACACGAAGTACCCTTTCACACTGTCTATTTTGTTGGAACACTAATGCAGCCCTGCTTAGCGTTCCATGACTTTGGATACGGTGTTATCGAGGAGGGGTGAACTGATCACATCATCTCTCACTATAATTGTGAAATCCATCTATCAAGAGACTCACTTACTAACTCGAGGAACCGAAAATTGTGGATTCTACAATGCCGCCAAGGGTCCAGTGTGGCCTTGCTGAATCCACTCTCGAGTGGTTCAACATCGGATTCGGATATGGAACGGGTCTAAAGGCCGTCTAGTCTGGATCCATTCGATTGACACCTAACGACGGTTGGTCATCGGTTATGATAATGGTGATATTGCGACCATGAACATTCTCCTAAACGTGAGGCTGCCCATCAATCAGCCATTTATTCTCTAGTTTGACGAATCCTCCGGTTCACGGCAAGCACGAATTCCACCACGTTATCTCCCGAGTCAGAATGAACCAATTGTCGAGAATGATTCTTCCCGGCCGTGGAAAGACGGCACAGGTCTATGCCAGACCATGAATGACGCGATCAAGACGTTTCATGTGTCAATGGTTGTACCCAAATTTTCGCAGCGGTCAATGAAGGTTGGGACTATATATGTGGTCAACAATGATCGTGCCTTGACATGACCAGACCGAGTGGTTTTGAGGCGAAGTTGACGATTCAAGATGTCTGAGAGCGCAATGATCCCGGGCCCCCCTCTCCCAAAGCGTCGGATATGGCGTTGTCATGGGCCTTGGGGTGGCATTTGCCATCGGTTCGTGATTGGGAATTCGAAGAGGCTTTGATTAACCGTCCGTAGGTATGGTTATTGTGACAAGATTATTGAAGAGGACCTTTGGAGAGGACAACAGAACAACGGAAACGTGAGATGCGCAATCTCGAACTGGGGAGCTGTCGACTAATCTTGTCTCAGCTTTATGGTTGCCAACAGAAGCGTCGGAACTGGTCTCACTGAATCGGCGGTGATTTTCAGTACCGCTCTTCTCGGTGCCCCATATCTGACCTACTGGTACGGTATCGCGCTTCCAGTATGGTGGGCCAATGGACAAAGCACCATGATCTGCGCGTTCGGCTGGCTTGCCATTCAAGCGAAACTGAAGGCACCTAATGCGCACACACTCCTCGAGTTAATTAAGGTGCGCTATGGTTACGTTGCACATATCATCTGGATCATCTTATGTCTCATCAACAACATCCTCAACTTCTCGTCCATGCTGGTCGGGGCTTCGACGGCTGTGTCTTCCTTGACGGGAATGAACATTGTCGCCTCTACATACCTTCTTCCACTGGGTGTTATGGTCTACACCTATTTTGGGGACATTCGGGCGACATTTCTCACTGACTACGTCCATACGTTCATTATCATGATTATATTGGTCTGGTTCACCATCAAAGTTTTGACCATTCAAGGAACTGGATCAATTGGAGCGCTCTATGATGCCGTTTTGCCCTTGTCGAAGCAACACCCGGTTGAGGGAAACTATCAGGGTTCGTACTTGACCATGACAAGCAAGGAATCCATCTCCTTTGGCATCATTCATATTGTGTATGTGTCGCATTCTGGTGTCTAATCTCTCTCAGTGCTGATCTCTTACAGCACGAACTTCGGTATTGTCTTCCTTGATACTGGTTTCTGGCAAAAGGTGGGTATTGTCGTACACACACACAAACATCTAAGGCCGCCAACTGACATAGAATCTAGGGTTTTGCCGCGGAAGTGGCAGCGGCCGTTCCTGGCTACATTCTTGGTGGAACGCTTATTTTGCCATTTCAAGGAGGTATGCTCACAAACCAACGCTCTTTCCAGTCCCGCCACGTTCCCTACGGCATTTGCTCTTGTCTGGAAACGGCAAACCAGGGCCACCGCCATCATATCTCCGTTAATCGGCATGGCGTGTGGTCTTGCGGTTTGGGTTGGAACAGCCTACGGACTATATGGTGAAGCAACGATCAAGACTCTGGGGATGACTCTACCCTGCCTCTACGGCAATCTTACCTCCTCCTTTGTGCCTTTGCCTATCACGATCGCCATATCATATATCTGGCCCGACTCAAAGTTCTAGTGGTCCGATCTACTGACCATCAAACGGGTCGAGGACGATGATCGTGGTCAAGTGGGCGCGACCGCCACTCACTTCAACGCTGACGTGTATTTTTCACCTGATCGTGTCGCATACATGAAGCGTGTGTCACGCATTGCGGTGTACTGGGGCATTGCTACTTTCGCGGGCCAGGTGGTGTTGTGGCCTCTGCCGATGTACGGTGCAAGATTTGTGTTTTCCAAAGGGGTAAGGGGAATCCTCTCTCTCTCCTCCCATTCCATCTTCCTTCATCATACCTAGTTCTAACATATGTAACCGATGTCCATAGTTATTTGTCGCCTGGATAGTGGTGTCATTAATCTGGCTCTGCGCTGCCTTGTTCGTCGCCAACTTCTACCCGCTGGTCGACGGCGGCCTCAAAAAGATCTGGATCGTTGTGAGTGGCAAGAAAGATGTGGTTGTTGAGAAAGGGTTGGATGATGGTTCGGGCTCTGGAGGTGGAGTATCCTCGATGGAGACGACGAATACGCCGCCGGGGGAAACGGAAGAGATCGTTATTGGTGGGGAGAAAGGTATTGCTTGATCTGAGGTTTGATTTCCTTCAATGTTAGAATGGAGCAGACAAGGAAAGGGCTGAAGATTGTGGGCAGCATCAAGCCATGTCGAGTGGTTGGCTGATTGATCTGCCTCATGGACATGAAGCTGAGCGTGCGATGATAGACACGAGAATTCTCTCATGAAGTCCTCCGATAATCAGATATGCCGACGGTTAAAGCGGCACGACAAGTCGCCAAGACCCGTCTCGAGAGGGTTTCCATTTTTCAGGCCTTCCCTTTTTCGGGTCTCCCTTTTGGACGAAGGACTCAGCCTGAACGCAGCCTTGTCGCCACGGTTGAATGTGACTGCGGCCTTTTTGTGAGGTCTGCGGTTTAGTCCTTGCCCATTGTCTCTCTCTCTTCAGTTTTCGAATGATATCTGGTATTTGCCCCAAATTCGTCAGGGGACTGTTTGTACATTCTTGTAATATCTCTAGGAGTTCCGCTTCCTTATGCGCCAACCCTCACCTACGAACCTCTACAGCGGTCTCGATATTCATCGCTCCCCAGCCTTGCTCATTTAGAGTGCCCACGGCGGACAAACCTGGAACCGGTCGATCTTTGTACAGTCTTGCATCTCCTCATCACCAGCGCCTCCTTGCTGTCCGATCCTCCTTACGACAAACTCGTCCGTGGTCTACCACCATGTCCGCCAACGGAGAAGCTCGGCCCAAGCGAAGAACAAGCCCGGTCTCGGCCCTCGAGAGACCGAAAAAGCAGCTAAGACAAGAGAATGGAATGCCTACGCCAGGGGATGCCACTCCGCAAAATGGCTCAGTGTACGACATCGAGGCGGACGTGAACTCGATGCCGATCATCAACTCCGTTTCAGCAGCGGGAGACTCTCCGGAATGGCAGGCCACCATAGAAAGAGTGATCAAGAGTGTTGTATCGATACATTTCTGCCAGACATGCTCGTTTGACACGGACCTGTCGACCTCGAGCCAGGCCACCGGTTTCGTGGTGGATGCTGAGAACGGTTACATTTTGACCAATCGTCACGTCGTTTGCTCTGGCCCGTTCTGGGGATACTGTGTGTTTGACAACCATGAAGAGGTTCGTGGGTGGTTCCTGTCGCGCCCATTCGGACCGTCTTGCTGACCGCTGTAGTGTGACGTACGACCTGTCTATCGCGATCCGGTTCACGATTTTGGAATTCTACAATTTGACCCCAAGGCTATCAAGTACATGCAAGTTCAGGCGCTTGGACTCCAGCCTGAGTCGGCCAAAGTTGGGGTGGAAGTGAGAGTGGTCGGAAACGACGCCGGCGAAAAACTGAGCATATTGTCGGGTGTCATTAGTCGATTGGACCGCAACGCCCCCGAATACGGCGAGGGCTACAGTGATTTCAACACGAATTACATTCAGGCGGCCGCGGCGGCCACGGGTGGAAGTTCCGGTAGTCCGGTGGTCAATCTCGGGGGTCATGCGGTTGCTCTGCAGGCAGGTGGCCGCGTTGATGGCGCCGCTACCGACTACTTCTTACCCCTGGACCGACCATTGCGAGCTTTGCAGTGTCTCCAACAGGGACAGCCCATAACCCGAGGCACGGTCCAGACACAATGGATGCTAAAACCCTTCGATGACTGCAGAAGATTAGGATTGACTCCCAACTGGGAATCTGCCATCCGCCAATATTTTCCAAATGAGAACAGTATGCTGGTGGCCGAAATTGTCCTGCCCGAAGGGCCTGCCGATGGCAAGATCCAGGAGGGAGATGTTCTGATTAAAGTCAACGGGGCGCTGTTGACGTCCTTTGTCAAACTCGACGCGATCCTCGACTCCAGTGTCGGGGGAAAGGTGGACCTGTTGTTCCAGCGAGGCGGAGAGGATCACGAGGTCACGCTGGACGTGCGCGACCTGCATGCCATCACCCCGGATCGATTTGTCACGGTTGCCGGTGGGAGTTTCCACAATTTGTCGTATCAGCAAGCTCGATTGTACGCGATCGCTTGCAAAGGGTTATACGTGTGCGAAGCGGCCGGATCATTCAAGATGGACAATGCTCTTTCGGGGTGGATCATCGACACGGTCGACCAAAAGCCCACCCCGGATCTCGACGCCTTCATCGCGGTTATGAAAACGATTCCTGATCGATCTCGCGTGGTTATTTCGTACCGGCACATTCGGGATTTACATACACGAGCGACGAGTATCGTTCATATCGATCGACACTGGCATCCCAAAATGAGGTTGTCGATCAGGAACGACCAGACGGGGCTGTGGGATTTTCAAGATCTCGGCAAAGCACTTCCGGCGGTTGCGCCGGAGCCGAAATCGGCCGATTTTATTCAGCTGGACGGGATCAACGTGCCCGCGGCGGCGGACATTGTTCGTTCCTTTGTCAAAGTTTCATGTTACATGCCGGTCAAGATCGATGGCTATCCCCAAGCGCGCCGAACAGGGTTCGGGCTGGTCATCGACGCCGGGAAAGGGCTGGTGGTGGTCTCCCGAGCCATCGTCCCGTACGACCTTTGTGATATCACCGTCACCGTGGCGGACTCCATCCAAACTGAAGGAAGGGTGGTGTTCCTCCATCCCCTGACCAACTACACGGTCATTCAATATGATCCGACGTTGGTGCAGGCCCCCGTCCAGACGGCCAAATTATCCACCGAGATGATCAAGCAGGGAGCCGACACGATCTTTGTGGGCTTCAACCAGAACCACCGCGTGGTCGTGGCGAAAACCACCGTGACCGACATCACGGCCGTGGGGATCCCCGCCAATGCCGCGGCTCCCCGATATCGAGCGGTGAACCTCGACGCCATCACCGTGGACACGGGATTGTCATCCCAATGCTCATCGGGCGTTCTCATTGGCGCCGATGGAGTTGTTCAGGCGTTGTGGCTCACGTACATGGGCGAACGAAGTCAAGGGAGCCATCGCGACACCGAGTACCACCTCGGCCTGGCGACGAGCATGATCAAGCCGGTGATCGACCAGATCCGTGCGGGGATCATTCCCCAGCTTCGAATTCTGAACATGGAGTCGTACGTGGTCCAGATGGCACAATGTCGCATCATGGGCGTGTCGGAAGAATGGATCAAGAAAGTGGCCAAAGCGAACCCGTCACGGCATCAACTCTTCATTGTGAGGAAGGTCGACTGTGGTCCGGCCCATGGACCCGGTGATGGGCAATTGCTCCAGGAGGGAGACATCATCCTCACCCTCAACGACCAGCTGATTACCCGGGTCTCCGACTTTGATATCATGTACGATCAGGAATGGCTGGATGCGTTGGTGATACGCAAGGGCAAGGAAGTGCGCCTCAGAGTGCCCACGGTGCCCACGGCAGATCTGGAGACGTCTCGGGCCGTCATCTTCTGCGGAGCCGTTCTCCAGAAACCTCACCATGCGGTGCGGCAACAAATCAGCAAGCTTCATTCCGAAATCTATGTCAGCGCCCGAAGCCGAGGGTCGCCCGCATACCAATATGGACTGGCACCGACCAACTTCATCACACACGTTAATGGCGTGAAGACCCCGGATCTGGATACCTTTGTCAAGGAAGTCAGCAAGATCGAAGACAACACCTATTTCCGGCTGAGGGCCATGACTTTTGATAATGTGCCATGGGTGGTGACAATGAAGAAGAACGAGCACTATGTAAGCTTTGTGGACGTGACTTTACCCGTCATGGATGCTGACGCGATCACCAGTTCCCCATGTCGGAGTACGTGAAAGATGCAAACCGACCGAATGGATGGAAAGTGATTTCATACTCGGCCCGGGGGAAGAAATCCGGAACGAAGGATGACGGTGCACCGGTGACAGCGGAGGCGATGGACGAAGAAGGCGAAGACGGAAGTGATGGGGATGAAGCACCTGATACATTGCAGAAGTAATTGGACGAGTGATTCGGAAGATGTTCGCTTCCCGGGACAGATTGAGCGTCTTATGTTTGCCGGGACGGCGAGAACAGTCATAAGACCCCATGCCCAAATGACAAGCATCTGTTAAATTAGAGAAGTAGAAACAATATCATGCCGATGATGATTGAAGCTGGGACCGACCTATGATATCAAGGCTGTTGGGTATTGGGGGTCCCATCGGATGCCAAGATTATCACATGCCAAAATCTGCGACCGAAACCCGGTCCCCCAACTGGAACACGCCTCTCAACTTTCCAAGACGGTGGAATCGGTGCGAGGATCCTCTGGTACCAAATCTGCCTCCGGCGGATGATGGAACAGGATTGGTGCGATGTGATGGCAATGGAGGAGGAATCAGGCCGATGACATTGTGAGAAGATATAGAACCGGCCAGAGTGTCTTCATGAAGCAGACTGGACGGAGTTTGAAAAGTGCACGCGACCATTTCGTGGGAAAAGGAGAAGGAAATGAGAGTGCTGTATCACACAACACAGTGCCGGAACAGGGAGATACCCAATATTAAGAACTTGATACGTACGTCATCGGATGTCATTGCCGGTCATGACGCCGGCGTAACGAAGAATTGTGAGGCCGTCGCATCACCGTATGACACGACTTCAGCCTGTCAGTCAGTGACTGGTACACATCACGATGTAATCTTACAGCGGTAACCCGCAGTAATTGGGGCCCGAGTCCACTTCGTCACCACTAACACAGCTCAAGGCAAAACTGGGTTGCTCGCTGGCTTGCTTCATCTCCTCGCTGCTCCTGTCTACACCACCTTTTTCCTTCCTCTGTATTTCCCTTCCACAATCACCATCAATCTCTCTGGGACGATTGATCGGATTCATTCACACCTCTGTCTCATATCATCTGTTGCATCCACTCGCGTCTGCTGACCAGGACCCTCACGTCAACATCTGCCACCAAATCGACTTTCTGCTCCGATCAAACCACCATCCGTCTTCCGTTGCAGTCTCCTTTACCGAGTCCAAGCATTATCTGTCTGTCCTTGTCTCCTCTTTGATCGTTCTAAAAGATGTCTTCGGAGGAAGTCAATCCACCCTTGGATGTCCAAACATCCACCACCATGTCTGCGGCCGGTAGCTCTGATCCGGCTCCCTCCACCAATGGCACCTCGCTGAAGGACACCGTCGTCAACAGTAAGGTACGCAAAGGCTCTCTATATCCTGGTGGCCATATGAAAACCCCCCCCCGGATCTAACGTATTGCATAGGATCGAGCTTCATCTCTCCCTCTTTTACAACACTGACCCCCTTCCAGACGCGGCGGCTGCGGTGAACACAGTACAAGATCACCCTATCACGCAGAATGTTGTCAATGGTGCGCTGGCCGATCAACAACATCCCCATCGGCCATACTGAATTGCTCCAGGTCCAGTTGCAACATCTATCAAGAACCAGGCCGGCGCCACTGCTTCCGAATTCAGTGATCTCGCCGGCTCTCGTCAACCTCCATCGTACACCGCAGCCAACGAAACCCCTCTGACCGGTATGAAATTTCCCCTCCCAAAGTCACGTCATCCATTCTGACCGGGAACAGATTACCACTCCTTCTTCTACACCCTCTTGAGTGTCCGTTCTGACATCCCCTACCCCCCTCGGCGTTTCTGACAACCTGTAGTGGAAAAACAAACGAAGTACCGGCATCACTTTTGCCTCTGTGGTCGCCTTCATTTTCGCCTGTCGATACCTGCCGATCACGAGATATTTGTTGAAGATCTCATGGATGACTCTGGCGGGTATGTTTACAACAGAACATGTCCATCTGACCGCAATTAACATTGTCCACAGTCGTTACCATTGCCGAGGCTTCTAGCCAAGCTCTCTTGGGCTCCAGTGTCGTCGGTGCCGTGCGACCACGACGATACTACAAAATCCCGAAGGAGACGCTCGAGGCCTCCCTTGACGGTCTGGAAAACCTCATCAACTTTTTCGTCATTGAGGGTCAGCGACTTGTCTTTGCCGAGAACATTCCGGTGACAGCGGCGGTGAGGGTGATGTTCTCCCGTTCCCATCCAGCCGAACACTGACCACGACAGGCTTTCTTGTCCACCTTCTTGACCTACTATCTCATCAAGCTTCTCCCGCTCTGGGGCCTGGCACTCCTCTTTACCTGTGTTATCTTCCTCGGTCCCTTGATATACATTGAAAACCAAGAGTTGATTGATTCCCAGCTCGAACATGCTGGCAACATCATCAGCCAACAGACCAACCAAATCAAAGAGTTGACCGCACAACATACCAGCAAGGGCTTGGAATCCATGAAGCAGTACACGGGAACCTATGCGGCCAAGGCCCAGGAAATGGTTGGAAGTGCCAGACAGAAAATCCCCTCCCCCACTACGAGCAAGGCTCCGGTCAAGGAGGCCGACTTTCCTCCTGCCCCGAAAACCGACCTCCCCACATCCTCTGTTGAGGAACCCAAATCCGGGAGCGAGCCGGTGGCGGCATAAGATTGATCTGGAAACCGCCGCGTGACTATTGGAATACCTTTGTGCTTTGGCAGGCGGAATGTTGGTTAGCGCCCCATGGCCCCAATCGAAGTTACACGCCGGGAGTCAACGAGGAGCAAATGAGACCGCAATACGCAGCGACGACGTCTTTTCCCTTCTCAATTGGCGATTATGGACCCGCCCCACGCGCGACCGGTGGAGTCCATTGTCCGAGACAGAGCTTTCTTTGCAGTTGGTGGAGGACTCGCGACGGCCAGAAAAGTCAGCCTCTGGAAAACCCCCCTTTTTGGTATGATCGACAAGCAAGTATGGATGTTTACCACCAGGAATAGCATGCTTATTGGTAGTTGTTACATGATCACTTGTTCCTTTCTTCTCTCTGTATTGCAGATCCAAATTTTTGTAGGGGACACGGAACTCTTGGTGAAGAGCTGTAGCATTTCTTCCGGACATAAGACATTTCAACCCAATCTATAGATAAGTAGAACCCGATTCTGAGGATATTTACCATTGCTTCCACTCTTCAAGGGCCCCCATGAAGGTCTTTATTGTATCAACCCCGTCCATCCTGCATTACAGCCTCGCTCTCGCCCTCTGATCCGTGACCACGATGCCCTTCTTGCCACTCTTCCGCATGTCCCGGAGGACGCGGCGAAGGATCTTGCCGCTGGGCGACTTGGGAATTTCATCAATGACCTCGACCTCCGTCACCCACTTGTGCCGCACCTTATTGTCCTGCACGTACTTGATGAGTTGGCTCGCGACGGCGGCGGGGTCGTGGCGTTTCGTGGGCTTGGGAACCACGTACGCCTTGGGTCGTTCGCCCGAATAATCGTCGGGAATACCGAGGACAGCGACGTCTTCCACGTCCGGGTGGCCGAGGAGGAGGTCCTCTAACTCAGCGGGAGCAACACCGATACCCTTGACTTTGATCATTTCTTTCAGCCGGTCGGTGATGGTGATGAGGCCTTCTTCGTCGATGGACCCGATGTCGCCGGTATGTAGAAATCCGTCTTTATCAAACGTCTCTTCCGTGGCTTTCTGGTTGTTCAGATATCCCATGACCACCTGGGGTCCGCGGGCCCAGATCTCGCCGGGCTCGTTGAGGCCGCACTCCCGGCCGGTTGCGGGGTCGACGATTTTGACTTCGGTGGACGCCACGATCGTGCCGACGCGGAAGGCGTATTTGTAGTCGTACTTCTCGGGCGGATGGGCTGTGATGCAGGAACAAGATTCCGTCATGCCATAGCCTTGCTTGAACCCGGTTCCGGGAAACCGCTTTTTGAGAAGCTCGAGGATCTCGGCGGACAGCGGAGCAGCACCGGAGGAGAGCCGTCGCAGCGAGCTCAGGTCATATTTGCTCAGGGTCTTCTCGTCGCGAACCATGCGGATCAGGATCGGTGGGACGAGGAGCATTTCTTCCAGTTGGTATTCTTGGACCGTGGCGAGCATGGAGTCCATCGTGAAGCTCGGGAGCATGTAGACGTTGGCGTTGAGGAGGATCGGGAGGTGCATTTGGTGAACGAGGCCGGTGATATGGAACAAGGGGAGCACGGCGAGGATTCGGCGCAGCGTGTTCGGAGAGATCTGCTGTATTTGCAGACATTGCGCAATGACATTCGCGTGGGCAATCATCACGGCTTTCGGGAGGCCGGTGGTCCCGCTGCTGAAGGACAGGAAGCCGCACACGTCCTTGTTCTTCTTCCCAGGTGGGAGTTGGAACGGTTCAATCTGCCCGGAAGGGCCATACGACCGGCCGGCTTCGAGCAGTGCCGACATGGTCGTGAAACCCTCCATCTGGCCCTCGAGGAGGAAGACTCGCTCTTGTGGAATCCCAGCATTTTGGGCCGCGGCCGCGGCGACTTCCATACTCTCAGGGACGGTAAAAAGGAACCGGGCCTCAGCGGTCTTGAGTGCATAGGTCATTTCTTCGACATTATATGCCGGGGAAGCTCCCGACACCACGCCTCCAGCTCGCAGGATGCCGAACATGGCGCAGGGATACCACACGGTATTGGGGGAGAAAAGAGCGACGGTCTGGCCTGGTCTGAGGTCATACTTCTTGACGAGCGCCGTTGAGAGGTGGGTGGTATGGGCTTTGAGGTCGGTGTAGCTGAGGTGCTGTTCACGTTCAGTATCTGATCTGCCGGGTGGGATCTCAATAGATGACAACGCACTTCTTTGGTGACAGCATTGGTAAATCCCTGGATCTCTTCCGGTCTGAAGTGTCGTAGCGGACTATAGTCGGAATCGAATAGCCATGTCCATACCGGGAGATGCCACGGCACTAGAAGGGACCAATGTCAGCTATGGAGGAGCAGGCTTATCGGACACGTGCACACGAACTCTCAATGGGAGGTTGGAGGGATTTGAAGATAGGCATCGTGATGGGGAGGGCTGTGAGCGTGAGAGAGACAGAGAAACGAGAAAGACCCCAGATACTTCAAGAAATATTGGGAGCAGTCAGGAAAAGATCAACGGAAAAACACTTCCGAAATTCATCGTCCAGTCTTTATACTACCAGGAGTGCTCCTTTATAGTAGTACCTCTTGGATGGCGATAGTCAGGGCACGCACCCTCGGGAGAGGGAGCAGGGCTGCAGATTCGCCCATCCGGGGAAAGAAATTATTCCTCGGTTCAAATTCCAACTGCGGAGGCAGGAGCGGTGGGGGGGAACGTGCCCAATTTAGGCAGGTACGCTAGCGAAAAGAAACGCACGTGACAGAGTTAATTCACCGCTCAGCCTTGTCATTTACCGATTGTCAGCCTTGTCAAAACGGCCAACCAGCCGCCAACCCGCCAACTCCAATGTCCACCCAGCACGGTAGCCAAAAAAAAATCTCATGCGCCCGAGCCACTCACCCGTGTCTCCAGCAGAGCTCTATGTTACAGAATTCCCTTTCCATCACCCACGATCCCAAGAAATGCACGCTTTTTACTGTAGTCTGTTCCCCCCCGGAGTCAACTCCTGATTCATGCAAATCAACCCTCCCACCCCCTTTTTCCCTCATCTCAACTCATCAAACGAAAGGCCTCCACTGCCATGGTGGGGGTCTCGACGAGGTGGTCTCGTGGAACACCCTCTTGCTTACGTCTCATGTAGAAACTGCGACACTCATTGAGGACTTGAGCCCACTCCGCCAACGCTCGTCCACTGTACCGCGCCGTACCCATCTCGTGGGGCTGGGGTTTCAACGGCGTGACTTCCTTGGCCCTCGCCTTTCCTTTGGCATCGCCACTGACACTGCTCCCCGTGCTGGTGCTCTCGCTGCTCAGTCGTGCCCGCAGTATACTTTGAGCGTTGGGCGGGAGTTGCGGTGCCGTCAAGACTCGGTTCTTATTTTCCCACGTCGGGGCCTTTTGATACCATTCGAGCGAGAATTTGAATGAAAAGGCTTGATGTGGAGGGGTGGCCGGACGATACGAAGGTTTGTTTGCCGTGATCGCACTGTTGGGTCCCGGACTATGGTCGCTGGCCGTGACCACCCCATTCTCTTCGGGACTTCCCGGTGGCGTCACTTCGCCGGGTCGATTATTTCCTGGGCTGGATCCAAACACGTTCAAGCCGCGGAACAAGCTCCATCGTTTCTTCGTCCCGGGCGTGGGCGAATCCGCCGACGGAATGGTGTTGAGAACGGACGAATGATTTTGATAAGGTGAACTTTGGGTGACGACGGCCGCGGCAGGATATTTGTCATACGTGGTCGCGGGGTTGGTGAAGACCGGTTGGCTGTCCGTTCGGATGATGATAAGAACGCGGCTCGGCGCCGGGGAACACGGTGCGGACGGTGGTGGGACAAGGCCTCGCATTTCTGCCTCTGCACTCAGGTACTGATAATTCGCCCAGCACTTGTTCAACCGGGTGGCCAATGTCCGCAGAATTTCCCTGGTGTCGGGTAAGCATCAGGATCACACAAGGAGAGCGGCGTGACGTACACGTCCAAGTCCGACACTTGGCCATCGTATCTCGCAATTCTCCAACACAACAACCGGTAGAAGTAGTGACGAACCATGGGCGACCAATGGCAAAAGTGCTGTTCGAAAACGCCGGGATCCAATAACCATTCCAAAACCAGCTGTCGTTTTCTTTCCTCATTAAAAATTAAGATCGACCATGTACTGTACACGAATGCGATCAACCGTATCTGCGTCAAAACGCTTTGGCTCTGCATCATGCGCTTGCAGACCTCGAGCCAAAATGGCCAATCGAGAATGGGGGTATCGTTGTCGTTCTGGTGGTATCGCACCATGATCGGGAGAACTTCCTCCATGAAATCGCAAATCACATAACAAGCATCGTTATTGTATAAAGAGATCTTGCGCGTGGCCGCCTTGGTGACGCTGTCGAAGGAGCCGACGAACAAGTTCCGGAACAGGGCTCGATCGGGATCGATGTCGCCCAAGACATCTCGCAGAAGTATGATCAATCGGTTTTCGGCAATGGACCGAGACGCATTGGCCATGACCATGGGCAGGGATGCTAAAGCATCTGGATTGTCCATGTTGTAGCCCGTCCCCGAAGGATAGGGGTCCGCGTTCTGGTTCCCTTGTCGATAAATGGTCGTCTCTAGAACCACCAACGACTGGGCACAAAGGGGGACCAGGCCGGGAATTCCAGCGCGGGCTCTCAATGATATATCTTCGGGGAGGAATTCGGAGACCAAAATGTGGTAGTGCTTCGTGAATGAAAAGAAGAGGTCACTATCCCGTCCCGACCATCGACCCACCCACGGACCACTCCATCGGACACTCTCTGACCCAGGGGGAATCGCACTGCGTTGTTGGAGGTGACGGGACAATCCTGCTTGAGAGCCGACACACAAGCTCCGTACTGGTGGTGGGAAGTGGTTGGCCAGCGCTTGTGAGATGAGATCCAACTTGTCCCCTTGCTCGACCCCCAGCTCATTAAACACCCGCCTCAATGTGCCCGGGCTCAGGCGCCACAATCGTGTGAGCATGTCGGCCACGCCCGGACAGAAGAAAAAGGCGAATGCACAAGTCTTGCCGGCAAATGCCACCAAGCTGGCGGGAGCCGCCCGCAAGGACAACTTATCAATCACAAATGCCATCTGAGACAGCAGATTCTGAACAAAGATATTTCGCACGTTCTGATGAATGGTGTCGATCAAGAAATCCGCCCCGTCGGACTCGAGCGAGTTGGTCGACTTCGACTTGGGAATCGAGCTGCGGCGGGGGGTGTCCCCCGTGGTTGCAAAGCCCGGCGCTCTCCATTCGGGCCGTAACATGATCATACTGGCGGATTCGAGGAACGACGGTCTATCCGTGCCCGTGATGGTCTGGTTATTTGACCCGTGGAGCATCTCGAGCAACGCCGTCCACCACTTATTGAGAATGTTGACACGGCGATCCAGATCTTCCGCTCGAAGCGTGTGGTTCGAAGGATGTTGGGCATATTTGACAAGAAACGGCATGAGAGTGAGTCGAAGCACCTTGGCCTTCTGCAGACTGGGTCTGGTCTGAAAACTGACGAATTCGCCGTCGAGCCCGCGGAAGGCCGTCCACAGCGGATCTTTTCTCCTCGTCACTTCGGCCCCGATAGCGGCGAGGCGATCCGAGGAAAGAGTCGTCGGGAGCGGCGGGACTCTCCCTGATGAGATTTTTGACTGTAACCTCTCGTTCGAAGCTGAACTCTTGAGAGAGGTTGACGACGAGTTTCTCGACAGCCGTCTCAGGCTGAGTTCGCTCTTGTTCTTGACATAGAGAACACTCAGAGGCCTCTGGATAGCGGTCGGATTCTTGTCTCGAGTCTTCCGGTGCGATGGGGAAGGGGATCGCGCGGCAACCGGTTCCGGAACTCCGATCGAACTGACCACGGAAGTGGTTTTATTCTTGCTCGGTGACCAACTCCTCTTCCGTTCTGGTAAAGCGCTGTCGTCCCTGCGGACAGGGGATGAGGGTCTCGATGGCGAGGGAGCCGCCCACGATTTCCGAGCGAAAGTGCGGAGCGTGCCTGCTACTGACCGGCTCAAACTTTTGGGTTGCTCATCTTTGCCGACGCCCACCTTTCCCATCTCCCGTGCCAGGGTCTCTTCTTCATCGCCCGACATAGAGAACTTCGCGCTCGACATCTTCCTCTTTGCTTTCCTCGAGGCCCGGCGGAAGAGTTCCATGTTGGCCATGTGGACGCTGTCGTTCACTTTGGTTTTGGACTCGGGGAGAAGTGAGAGGACATTTTCGGAGAATGTCCGTTTGATCGGAGGGTTGGACGTCTCTTTTTCCAACGTCGGAAGGTACGTGTAACTTGCTGACCGAGTCAGGTCTGCTGAAGGAGAAGAATGGATCATCTCAGATGAAGGCAAAGGAGCAGATGAGTGTCTATGAGCCAGGGCAGGGAGAGGAACTGCGGGCAAAATCTGCCCTTCGACGTGTGCAGACACAGCCATCTTGATGGGCACGGCAGGCCCGCGCTGTCGTCGCCGCAGTTACGCCAGAGCGAAAGATGGATTCTTTTCCCTAGGTCTCGCCATCAGACAAGCGCCAGAGTAAGGACGGAGGGCATCGATGGGAGAGGACAAGGGTTGGAGGTCGTCGGGAGGAACGGAGTGGCCTGCTCAGGTTTGGGGGAGGAGGAATCAGGAACGACAGAAAAGGGATATGACTGTAACAAAACGGGGAAGAAAGACAAAGGATCCGAAGGATAACAACGAAGGACAGATACGAAGAGTGAATAGCGAAAGATGAACAATGGCAAGAACAGGAGTGCGTTGAGAGTTAGCTGTGGAGTCAAGGAAACTCCTTCCATATACACCGTTTAGCCGCGTTGGTGGAAACCAAATCTGGGTTCCCCGTTGCTGTCCAAGGGTGCAGGAACACGGGCAACAGGGCACGGCCGCACTGGGCTCTGGCTGAAAATCCCCCAATGGCCGCAAAGCAGTCGGCATCATCAAGTACCGGCCGACAGTTTTCAAAGTGTGTGGCCCGAAACAGTTGAACGGCGAAGACTTTCAGGGATGCTCCCTAATAGGTGGGGTGGTCCATTTCACTGAACTCGCCTGCTCCCCGTATCCTCTTCAATATGATTACCTCGCAGTTTTCCCCCTGTACTAACCAAAACCTATTCTTCATCCTGGTAAAGCATAGGTTACTGGCAATGCACATACCTGTTCCCCAGCATTTCCCACCCACCTGTCAGTTCGATTACGTAGGCGCCTCACACGGACCTTTGCCACGAATATGTCCGAGCCAGGTTACCTGTGGATACGACCGAACAGGTTGCCTTGCAGAATAACCCTCGGACATGGCATCAATAAGACCTAAGGAAAAGGCTTAAAGGACACGCGTTTCTCCTTGATATCAGCTCAAATGACGGACTTCGGGCGTTGACATGCGTACGTATCAGGGATGCTGTGCAGATCGCTCAATTACATGCTAGTGCTAGGATAATATTTCCATTTGGCAAATGGCGTGCTCTCGATCCTTGTTCGTATTCATTCCCGATAATAGGTGTCATTGTAGACTCAGACATGAGTATTCAATCTGAGACAAGTTGGTAAAAGACCAATCGCCTCCTTGGACTGAATAACACCTGGTGACCGCTCTTCTAGAACCAGATTTCGTGGTGGAGTTAGGAGGCATGTGACAAGAAGGAAATGTTGATGATGACCCTTGAAAGGTGCAAAGACAGCTCGCATTAAACCTCTCCTGACACCAGAATGCAATTGACCAACCCCGTATATGCTGAATGGCGATGGTCCTTTTTATTTCATTCCTCAACTGATTGTACAAACACTTTTCATCAAGGTTCTCCACGATGATTAATGGTGTGCCGGCTCATCGTCATCCTCCTCAATGTTCTCAAAAAAATCCTCCTCAGCCTGTGTTTCTCCGGTCGCACTTTGGCCTTCGATTTCAACCACCTGGTCCTCATATTCCTTCATTTCCTTCGCCAGATTGGCCTCTTCTGGTGACTTGGGAGTGGCTGGCGGGGTGAACTTCTGGACGTGCCCTTCGGCATCAGAGGCTTTTGACGGTGGTGGCTTGTATGCTCGTAGTTCTTTCAGATACATGTCCTGAATCAAATCGGCTGTCATTCATAAGCAAAGTAGTCTCGGACAGAGTATGGATATAACTCACGCATCCTCGCGACCGAAGAAACTGCAAAGCTTCGGCGAGGGGCTTGCAGGGTCCGGGAGCTCATCCGAGCTAGGAGGCGGGTCTGTTTACGTGGTCAATCACTGAAGAATTTCTTTGATTCAGTATACTCACGCCGACTCTCAGTGACTGTGCCATTGTTGTCTCTATGGAATGGTACAATGGTTGCTCATTTCAAACGTTGAGAGCTCAATCTTGAAGCTTTCCATCCAAAGCCTAACCCGTTTTGGTCGAGGCCAGTGTCTCGGTCACGTGGTTAAGCTTGGCACCGCTTTATCCAGCCTCGGATTTCACGAAAACTTTGAAGAGTCAAAACCGCGCGCCTCACTCTTTCCACCGCCTTCATATTCCACTAGGAAAGGAACCATCTCTGCCAACGCTGTTCCTTATTCTATCGCTGACCGCAGTGTTCACGTATCGCCCACTTTCGAACGACGAACTGATAACGACATTTCGTGTTCAGAAACTCTTCTCGACTCACGAGACCTTCGCTGGTTCAACGGTCCACATTCAGGTCATCGCTCACTCTTGCGCTCCTCTCGAATCACTGCCATCTCCTCGTTCCTCTTCTCTGCTCTCTTCCGGTTCCTCGAAGGTATTTTAGATAGCTCGAGCACTGGTTGTCCTCTCTTCGGGTTGTCTCATTCACTTGTTGATGGCCTGACTGACGTTAGAAATCTTAACAGTGTACGACGACCTGCGACCTCAAGTCTGCGTCGGCACTGTCGAACCCGCTCGCTCAAAACAAATAAAAATCTGAAATCACCTTGACTCTTGCAATTTACCGCATGCGATCGCTTCCTCTGTTGCCTTTGCCCGTGACAAGCAGTTACCACCGCCTGGTCTATCTCGAGTGATAAAGAGTGACAAATCGTGAAAAATACTTGTGTGGACTCTAGGTGACAAACGGTCACACAAGCGGCGCGGCCAACCCCGGCAACACATTTACTGTCCTGGACAAAACTTGGCCTGCTAGCCTGCATTCAAACACCGCCAAACTGTATTCCCCGCTGTTCGTCAAGACTTTTGCCAGTCAGCACAACCTCAAGACCACCTACTGTGGTATCAAGAAACGTCAGAACCAGCGCATACGAGGAAAACTGAGTGGGCGCATCACCAAAGGCAACCAGAAACCAAGCGTCTCGAACAAACAAGACAAAATGGCGACGGCTGTAGCGGCTACCGCCGGCGTCGAGAATCAACCCCCAGATGCACCAGCATGGCGTGAAAACCTCAACACACATCTCATCTGCCCCGACTGCAAACAGGTCCCACCCGAATTAGTCGAGGAAAACGCTGATACAATCTGTGCCAACTGTGGAATGGTTCTTGCGGAGCGCCTTGTCAGCTATGAGTCAGAATGGCGAACCTTCAACTCGGACGAGAGCAAAGGCGAAGACCCCAACCGTGTTGGGGAAGCCGACAATGAACTCCTCCTCACCAACAATGCAGGGACGATGATCGGTGGTGGAGGACCAACCCTCTCGAGAGAAACTCGCAAGCTCAAGAAGGCGCAGGCCATGCAGCAAGAGAACAAGGCCGATAAGGCTCTGCAAGCAGCATATGCTCAAGTGGAGGCTTGGGGTGAGAAGGCCAAACTTCCCGGTCCCGCCAAGACTGCAGCAAAGATGTACTTCAAGCGAGTTTATGAAGCGAATGCTCTTCGAGGCAAGCAAACTGATGTCATTCTCGCTGGGTGCCTCTTCATCGCTTGCCGTCAGCTGCGGATCCCTCGAACTTTTAACGAAATCTTCGGATTGACTTCCGTCCCGAAGAAGGAGATCGGTCGGGCGTACAAGAATTTGGAAAAGTTCCTCACCAAGGCCGCCCACGACAACATCCAAGCCGTCGAAGGTAGCGGGGGCATTGCCAACCGAGAAGTTCTCGAATATCGTGGTACCCAATCGACTAAGCCCGAGGATCTCTGTAGTCGATACTGCAACATGGTCGGGCTCAACTTCCGAGTAGAGTCAATCGCGAAAGCCCTGGCAAAGAAGATTCCTACCATCGAAGGCCTGGCCGGTCGTAGCCCTCTGTCCAACGCCGCTGCTTGTACCTTTTTCGCCAGTTGGCTGATCGGTTTCGGGAAACCCAGCAAACAGATCAGCGAGGTTGCGGGAGTTAGCGATGCTACTATCAAGCATGCCTACAGATACCTCTTGCAAGAGAAAGAGCGATTGGTTGAGGAGAGCTGGCTTGGTGAACAGCCACCACCTCTCGGAGGCTTCGGGGATTTGAAGAATCTTCCTGGTGCCTGAACGGTGTTATCGTTGACCAAATTGATTTGGTGGCTGGCCATTTCCAATTCCTCCCTCGAGCATGGACAGATGAGGGGATGCGAACCGCTAGTGCAGTACGTTTATGAGAACACTGTTCTCGACATGTTTTCCGGGCACGGCAATTCACTGCTGCGTTGCCGGTTTCAGCAGGCTGCCCTCAAAGCATTACGACAATATGGATGTGTTCTTGGTGAGGGGGCGTGGGTCGGCGGCTTAGTGCACTTGGATATGGGCTTTGGCTTTCATTGCATGGCTGGCATTTCTCATATACCGAACGGTCTACCTGGCATGGCGTCTAGTGGGGTGACTGAAAATTGGAACGGGCAAAATGGGACCTGGGCAGCTCCTGTCCGCCTTGTGCGTAGTGATAGAGCTGGATACATCTTAATTGCGTGGTCACGAATGGCAATAATTGTGGCAACTTTTGTATCCGGAACCGTTTGTAGTGTGGAACCCACTGCCTGATGCCCTTGCTTGGCTTTGCCCGAACGAACAAATTCCGTGCACCCCGTAAATGCAGCCTTGCAGCTCGGACGTCAATATTTGCCAACTTTCTTTTGCGAGGACAGATTCATAACGTCTCGAGCTTCGTCTGTGGCGTCGTATCTACAATATCCTCTCCCTTCTATCTGGACAGGCAAGAGACGTTCAACATGCCTACTAGCATTGTCCCAGCTTTAGTCGGTACCGATGCCGACAATCAGAAGCTGTGGCGGGTAGAAAAGCCGGGGACAATTCCAATCAAGCACTCTCAAGCTCTGGCAGAAGTTGTGTTCTCTGTTCTTGGTGTATCGAATACCGTGTTGTTCACTACATTCACTATCCTTTTGCTTCTGTCGCTTTGTGGAGCCCGTCCTCGCTGGGGATACAATGCAAAGCCATACGCAGTGGTGCTCTAAGCTCGCTAGAGTGGTAGTAACTTCATTGCAAGTTGACTTAGGTTATGAAATATATGAAGGAATACACAACAGCACCTCCGGACTTCACATCAAGCGAGGATGTGTCCACTGCTTTGATATCTAGATTTGACGAGGAATGGCATCCGTGACCCCCCCACTCTTTTCCCCTTCCCGCGAACCAACAAACCCCATTTTACAGATGACAAGCAAAATCAATATGCGTGATCATTGCTAGCTCCTTTGGCCCAATTTGTCCTCAAGGCCCAGACGCCAGTTATTCAGCGCGTGCCGTCAATCAAATTGGCGTAGATGAAGACTGCCTAGTTTTGAATGTCTATGGGCCAACGGTTGTTTCATCACCGTTTCCGGTCCTTGTGTGGATCCACGAAGGTGGAAATGGCCCTGGAAATGGCCGTCTCGGTTTGTGCACAATAATTAATGCTAGTAATAATAGCTTCGTGGGCGTGGCAATTCAAATTCTGGGGCTTGAAACTACCTAAGCTTATCCTCCGTGTTTTGTCAAGCTGATCTTATCGCACTTTAATTTCTGTCATCAGATGAGGTCCACCGCAACGGTATGGTAAATGCTGGACCTCTTGACCAGATGAGAACGCCCAGTTATATTGCTCACACCTTGAAGCATTTTGCCTTGCAAATGGGTCCAACCATCTATCAGGCTATTCGGGGGAAACACATCCCAAGTTACTATCTCGGGTGAAAGCGTTGGTATGTTACAGTACAGGGGAGGTGTGGACTGGGCATACATCTCTAGGGGCCCCTCGGCGATGCTTCAAGATATGGCATAAGGCGGAAGCCTAGGTCAATCACTGTAAAACGAGGCCGTGCAGAATGCCTGCCGTCATCTAACCGAATCTAGGCCATCGCCGCTTCACCATACCGGCCATGCAATATGGATACAGGGACTGGATTCCTTCGCAAGCCTACTACCCTTTGGCAACAGAAGCTGGCTGTCCTCCCGGTCTTCCCTGTGGGCACAAACACAGACTATTTTCGCGTGTCTAGTTGCCAAAGACACAGATGCCTTGATCAATGCAAGTGCTACCATATCTCAATCTGGAAACGACGGATTTGGGCATTACATCTGCGAATGCTAACCGTATTATACATACGACAGAGCGCTAATCAGAAATACTATTCGTGAAGGGCCTTCGTTCACCCCTCAAAACATTACGACAGAAGGGTGATATAGTTGCTTGGTTGCGATTGACGTTCCCGCTATTCACAAACGACGATGTCGCGAAGGTTTTGCTATACCATCCCAGTTCCTAATTCTTCAACAGACCCAAGCACTCCTATGTACGCAACTTCAGGAGACTCGGGTCCCACTGCATTGAACGAAAGCTCAATGTGAACCCGTCAACAGCAGAGAGCTGATGTACGTGAGCCTTTAAATCCAACTGGATTGCTCGAACGTGCTGACAGGATTTTAGAATATCTATGCCGAAACGACGTTTTGTCCGTCTTTCTTGCTGGATAGCAATTGCATACAACGGTAATGGAAGAACGTCTGACAAACATCAAATTCTCGGTTGAGCCAGCCTTGTACGGCGCCGATACCGGCGCATGTATGTGACTAGTCCCTCTCGTCACCTTGATTCCCAGCATTGCCACTCCATATTATAATGGGCGGCGTGAAGAAATCAATGCTCACCAGGACAATCTGCAGACTTCGGTCCCGTAGCGCAAAGTATAGGTCCGGATACGCGCTTGCATTTAGGCAGATCTGGGGTAACGTCATCACTAAGAATGACCCGAGCAACCCCGTGAGCGGTTGGCCCCCCTTCACTACGAATGCTTCCTATCAGGTCAATTTGAATCAGGTGAGTAACGTCTCCGCTTTTTGTGCGTTCACCTTTGTCGTCATGTAAAGGGTAGACGGACAGTTCTGTCCCATCGTGTAAACTGGTGGAACACCGGCAACCAGACCCGCGGATCGATCTGCGCATGAAATACGCTTTATCCAATCATCAACTTGGATGCTACGCCCTTTATGTCGAGTTAACTTTGGTCCGAGATCGTCTCCAAAAGCCCCACCAGTCGCTCGGTGGCACTCACCTATCTATAGGTATTTAATTGTATCTCGAGTCCTAGGATGGTCAATACTCCCTTCAGTCTACGAAAGTGTACAAGCTTGGTTTGACCAGTTCGAAAGATATTGCTCCGCCAAATCATCCATACACTTGATCTATGGTGTCGAATTGCTCCTGGCCACGGCAATATTCATATCGCTTCCAATCCAACGACTAAGATCGAATCTCTCTCCCTCTCTCTGTACACATCAGATTGGATAGAGGGACGTCTCTTTGACACCCACCGACTAAAACACCATGCCGGATCCAAGCCATTTAGCATGCCACTGCGGCCTCATCACAGAGCCAACCTCCCTTCTACTCTCGCCAAGTCTACCAATTGAATGCAGTATCTGCCACTGCAACATCTGCCGCCATACCACAGGGGCATTGGGTGCCTGGTACGTGACTCTCAAAGATCGTCCAAGTGAGGAATCCATGAGTAATGCCGCCAGCTACAAAGCTTCGGAGAAGTATACGCGGTACTTTTGCAAAGGTTGTGGATGTAATGTCTTCGTACGGTCCGAGCGAGATGGGCGGTGGCTGGCTTGTGCGGGAGTTGTTGAGTTCAGTGGTGCAGATGACAGCGGATACAAGAACGTTGCGAAAGTCATGTTCCACGAGTACATGGGCGACGCGACAGATGGAGGGATCGGCCCATATCTCACGCGGCTGGGTGGACGGGATGTGCCCTGCTACGTGACAGAGCCGCATCAAGACGCCGGCCCCATGAAAGAGGGCGAGCTTCTGGAAATACAGACAAAAACAAACCAAGCACAATCCTCGTCCCGCGGCGACATGATGGAAGTGGCATGTCACTGCGGCGGTGTACAATTGCGAATCGCACCACCACCATACAGCGAGAGCAGTGAAGGGTGGCACGTTCCCGTGGACCACAGCAAATACTACGCACGCATCTGCTGTTGCAGATCATGTCGTCTGACCATTGGCTTCTCCATGCAGCCGTGGACGTACATTCCGCCGTCCCAGATCTTCACGGTCGACGGGAAACCAGTCGTTTTCGGCCCGAAAGCAAAAGAGACTGCGCAGATGGAGAAACTCAAGCACTACCAGAGCTCGGTGGATGTCCTCAGGAGCTTCTGCACCACTTGTGGCGCATCCATCTTCTACCAGTGTTTCGACCGGCCGTATATCATTGATGTCAGTGTTGGCGTGGTCCGATCGAAATTTGGTAATGTGCTGGCGCGAGAGTGGTTGGCGTGGGATCGCGATCTTGTTAGCAAGCGGAATGAAGCTGTGGATGAAGAATTGGTCGATGCATGGCTGAGGAAGTAATCTGGTGGAGGTCCTGAATTTGCTCAATCCACTGGAGGGAGATACCTCAAAGCCAGGAGGCAAGGACGACATAGCCTTGTGGGAGCGGGGGCGATGAAAAGGAGTTACCATTAGGAGCGATGGAGTCATTTCTTCTTCTTGAAAGGAGTCGATTTTCCTCATGCTCGACATCCTGCGTCTCTAAAACATGTATGCCACTTCAGCAAGCGAACTTAGATACCAAATACTCCACGTCCTCTTGCCAAAATGGAGCGAAAGCTGGGTAGCTGGATCGCAAACTGCCTTAGGCAGCTTTGCCGAGGCTAGGCGCTTTTGAAATGTTTGCGACTTGTGATCGAGCTGCATTTCGAGTATGGTGAAAATTGTCACATCCCCAATCAGGTCCCCGACTGCTTCTATCTTTTTGAATTGTTATCATTGTAATACTCGTTCAGTTCTGGGGGTGTTGTTTTGTGAACGCTCTTCTCGTGGCTGTCAAATTCGCCCAGTCGGGAGCGGGCTCAAAAGATATTTCTTCAAAATGGCAGCTACCGCAAAGCCAACAAAGAATCAACTCAGGCGAGCGAAAAAGAAGGCCCAAAAGAACCAGGTATGCTTTTCTTCTCTTCAGCTAGCCAGCGAAACTCATGGCGCTCAGGCAAGCACAGAACAAACACCCGATCCTACGACCAGGGGCGAAACCCCGGGACAATTACCGTCAACAAACGGCGAAAAGGTCAAATCAGAAGATAAACGCGATGGCGATCCCCTCACGGACCCTCTCATTGTCGATGAGGGAAATCCTCTCTTCGAACTCTACAAGGATGTTATTGAGAAATTCGAGGAGGCAGACAAGGAAGATTCTACGTTAAAAGAGCCTGAGAAGCCCGAAGTCTACTATGACGGCGATGACGATATTCCCGATGAAGAAGAAGAAGGAGCAGCACCCAAGATATCGAAGAAGAAGCGGAAGGAAATGACAAAGCTCTCTGTTGCGGAATTAAAAGCTCTTGTGAAAAAGCCCGAGGTGGTGGAATGGACAGACACATCGGCGCCCGACCCGAAGTTACTGGTTCACCTAAAATCCTACCGAAATGTGGTTCCTGTTCCCAGTCACTGGTCATTAAAGAGAGAGTATCTCTCCTCGAAGCGAGGCATTGAAAAGCCACCATTTGCGCTCCCAAAATTCATCCAAGAAACCGGCATTGCCGAAATGCGGGATGCGATTCTCGAGAAACAGGATCAGGCCACTTTGAAACAAAAGCAACGAGAGCGGGTACAAGGAAAGTTGGGCAAACTTGATATTGATTATCAAAAGCTCTACGAGGCATTCTTCCGCTTTCAGACGAAACCCGAGTTAACAAGATATGGCGAGGTGTATTACGAAGGAAAGGAGTTTGAGACCAACCTGCGACATCTGAGACCCGGCGAATTGTCCGATGAATTGAAAGAAGCTCTTAACATGCCACCGGGGGCCCCGCCGCCGTGGCTAATAAACCAGCAAAGATATGGCCCACCGCCTGCATATCCGGCGCTGAAAGTTCCAGGCGTAAATGCGCCTCCACCTCCAGGCGCAAGCTGGGGCTTTGCACCTGGACAATGGGGTAAGCCACCAGTTGATGAGGCAACAAATAGACCACTCTATGGTGGGGACATTTTTGGTGTGCTACAACAGCAGCAAAACACGCAACAGGGTGAACCTATCGAGAAAGAATTGTGGGGTGAATTGCAAGAGCAAGAAGAAGAGGAAGAGGAAGAGGAAGAGGAAGAGGAGGAAGAGGAGGAAGAAGACGAAGACAGAGAAATTGGTGGTGCCGGCCTCGAGACCCCAGCAGGTCTTGAGACTCCCCAATCAATGATCGGCGGAACAGAGACGGTGTCAGAATTCGACCTCCGTAAACGTCGCGGCACAGAGACTGAAGAATCATCCCACCCCAGATCAGCATATCAAGTAATACCTGAACGCCAAACGCGGGTCGAAGGCTTCATGGGCAGTGACCGAGCCTACGATCTTAAAGCCGCACAACAAAATGTTAGCAACCTGCCAGTTCTCGGACAAGAAGAATCCCGCAAACGCAAAAAGCCAGGCGACGTAGATGTGTCGATGGATCCGGATGCTTTGGCGGCACATGACGGTATGGATAAAGATGATATCCGTCGCGCGTATGACCAGCAGCGGAAAGCGGAACAAAATCCTGGGTGGGATTTCCAGGAAGATCTCTCAGAGATGATCGCCTCGGAGTCGCGGAAGAGGCAGAAGAGAGATGAGGAAAGGAGAGGTAAACGGTGATATCAGACAAGAACGGAGGAGCATCATGTTTGAAGGTGAAAGACACAAGGAGATGATATCCCTGTCACAAGGGACTGCTGGGTTAGCTTTTGGAGCTGTATATCAGACATTAGGCAAGGAATAGTGCCGATGGGAAATGAGAACGAACCGATTTTCTATGCCGAATAGTCCTGGGAGCTGAGTCTCGCCCGCTGAATCAATCTAACAATATGGGTCCACTAAATCTCTGGCTTCTGCCAAAAAAAAAAAAAAAGATTCCCCAGTGTTTTTTCCATTCTACCAACATCTGCTTTCCAGCCTTATCGTGTCAACACGGACCTTTTGGTGGCCACCGAGTGACTAACATGTCCTGGGAGGGGCTTGGAGCCACTATGAACTGAAGGCTGAGGCGGAGATGGATGGACAGTCGTTGGGACTTTTTTCACCCCACGGCATTGGTGACAGTTTAAGAAATCGCTCGTATCAGCCTGAGCAGATTGAGTTTTTCAGGCAGACATTGTTATCCTTGATCGAGGTGTATGATCGCGTGCGGATAGTGTCTGGGGTGAAGTTGTGGTTCTTTTGAAGAAGATTGATGGTGATGCTGCTTCTGTTGCTCTTGCAATTGCAGGGCGTCGACGTCTCCTCCAAAATGGCACGATGTGGTTGTTGACAAATAAAGCTTCGCGTTTGTTGCAGACGTATAGCTGGGACATGCGGTGCTTGTATCATGTTGCAATATATGTGAACAGTTAAGCAGGGCCGGGGAAGGGTGTGTTTGATGGTCATGGCACCATGGCCACTGAAATCAAGGCCTCTGAAAAGAGTAGATACAATTTCAGTGGCTCGTATTCAAATTTGTTAGCCGTCTCAACAAGGTAAGAAGGTTGAATCATGTCATTTTCTTTTTCGTTGGCTTTAATGCGGGCCTGAATTATAGGTAATATTGTGATCACGGCGTGTCCCAGGTCTCCAGAATTATCACAAAGATATATCATCTTACCTCGTCGAATACCTTCGTCATGCTCCACACGGTATTATGATCGCGCTTGAGATACATGATGGTTTCTTCAATGTCTTTAGCCATCTGAAGCCTCTCCTCCCACCGCTCAGCCGTCATGCCATGGCTTCGTAGCTTCTCGAGGGTCTTAGGATCTTCTCGTTTCGATGCCTTGTTGCCCAACTAAGAAATAGGGTTTATGCAGGTGCGTAGAATCTGACATCGCCAGCTCACTTGGCTCTAACATCCGTGAAAGATGCTCGATTGACGATGGAGAACATGATTATCAACACATCGGTATCTGTGTATGTGAGAGCCCGTAGCCTTTCGCAGTCTTCTGGTCTAGCGGTGTCGAATGATGAGTTTGTTGTCGACCTACATGTGCAAGTGAGAATCCTCAGATCTAAAACCATTCAAAATCGTGAGACGTTGATAAATATGGATTATACCCACATGATGATGGTAGAATGATCGTCGCATACTGTAGGTAGGTATTCTGCTGGAGCTTTACCGGTCGTGAAAGCTCAGAGGAATTTCGTCTTGCCTGCGATCAAGTAACCGACGACAACACATCTTTTAGCAGGTTATTTGTTGCATTCCTAGAGCACACACTGGTACTTACTTTACAGACCGTCTCGGCCGAAATGGTCTGCTTGGTGTTAAATATGGGCTGAACGGTGATGAAGAATGTGAGACATCCCGAAGGCGCTCAGGGCATTTATCAGGAGCAAATGCTGCACTTGAAGAAGCCTTCTCGTGTCTCGGTCGGGTCGGCTGTATATGGACAGGGAACCAGATCTCCGAAGGTATATTGGAACGGTAACATGTTCGAACCTTTGAAGGACAATGGGGAGAAGCATGAGACTGGACTGGTGACCACGATGATATTGCATCAAGTCCTTAGATTCTGATTTGTTCCAAACAGACTTTGCTCTCATCTTCCGCGTGATGCTTTCCCGAAATTCCCCTTTTCTGATCGACGCTTCCGATAAATGTTTATCCCGCAAAGAAATGATGGATGCACAGGCTACAGTTACCTCTTCAATGCTGCGTAAGATGTCGTTGGCGGCGGCAGGATCTGCTATCCAAGACGAGGCGTCTCTTCCAACAAAAGCGGCTTGAAGTTGGGTCCAAGCTGCATTGACCACTGAGCATTCACTGGCCATGCTGGCCATAGCAAATCCGGCCTTTTTGGAATGTTGAACGGATTTCCTTCGATGGCTCCACGACTTTCATGGGCCCAACGACGAGGGATAAATAATGATGCCACGCTTACGAGATTCATGGCCGACTGGGACGGGGATGTTCCTCTCAAAAGCACAGAAAGATTCGGAAAGAGAGAAAATTATGGGATTGAAATGCTCAGGGAAGAGAGAAGTGGGGAAAGTCGAAGTTCACCTCCAGCCAATTAAAGGGAGGTGCACAGCCACCACATGTCAGGGACACATTGTACAAACATTATCTGGGGTTCGGAGCTGGAAAGTCAAAAGTACAGAGATGTTGATATGTCCCGCGGAGGTATGGGTTATTAATTGGCTTTTGTGTCTGCTTATTCCCCGGTCGTGATCTCAGCCTTGTCTCCACTCTATTCGCGCAAACGGTTGTCAGGTGATTCTTTCCGGCCAAATAACCCGAATTTTATTGCAAGGCAAAATACTAGAAGCGAGCATCATCGATAAATAATCGAGTGGTCGTGCTTCATGGTCCTCGTAGTGGTACGGAAGGTCGGGAGGGGCGCCGGCGTAAAGGAGACGTCCTGGCGCAGCCTCGTTAGTACCCAAATACGGGCTTGGCAAAGATATACCCAGAATCGCAGTTTGGGTTGAATCCATCCAACCAGCTGCGCAAACCAAGCACGGAGGATTCGGGGATTTCCATATGCTGTATTCTGTGTATCCTCCTCTTCTGCCACAATCCCAAATCGAGGTGAAACCCCTCAGGTGGCACAAACTATTCCACTGTAGCTGGTCTTATTCTCTTTCCTGATTTCAGTCATGGACCGCTACCGGGGGCAAGTTCTCCCTCCCCCAGTTTTTTTTTTTTTTTTTTTTGTTAAACTTCTGGCCATTTTTCCGACTGGACTGACACCCATATCAGATCGCGACGATCTCCCCGACCTCACCGCGAACGTGACGATCATCCGGATGTTGAATATTTTGGCGAAGGGGAAAGCTACAGGCCTGGTGGTTCAACCGGCGAGGGTCCTTACCGTCCTCCAAACCGCGAGCGACTTGCAGCGGACTCATGGTCTGCCGACAGAAGAGATTCACGTCGAGATGACAGAAGAGACGATATAGATTCATACGTTCCAGCAACAAGCTCACGGGCTGCGAGACCCCGAAGTCGTTCTCCAGGTTTTCGTCGACGATCGCGAACGCCTCCAAATCGCGGCCGAGAAGATTTGTTCGCAAGTAGGAGATCACCACGACGTCGGTATTCGCCACGCAGATCTCCGATCAGAAGACGATCTAGATCAGTGTACGGTGCCCGATTTCGCAGCCCTCCCGATGCCAAACGATACCGAGACTATTCTCCCGAGCCCTCGCGACGTTCGCCCAAGCGTGAACGTCGAATTTCTCCCGAGCGAAACAGATTTGACCGTCCTCGTTCACCATCGAGACGAGGATACACACCTGAACGCGACCTTGGAAGAGGGGGTGAAAGTTATCGACCGAGATCAAGGACGCCGCCCCGACGAAGACCAGCGGAAGACAATTGGCGGAGACGGTCTCCTTCCCCAAGGAATTCTGGACCTGCGTCGAACAATACATCTCGAAGATCATCTCCGCCTATTCATCCAGATAGAGCGAGCTTGACCGGATCGTTACCTCGGTCACCGGCGTACCTAGCCCGCACTCAGTATGACAGGGCAGAGTCGACGACCTACCGAGACAGATCTCCTCCGCCTGCAGATTCGTGGAACCGCGACTTCAGTACGCCACACGACGATACTCGTTCAAATGGTGAAGCCTTGCAACCACCCTCTGGACCAAGTAGTTACAGAAATGGCAACTATGAACGTCCTCCGCCGACAGGTCCTTCACGCGGTTTTAGCCAACCCGCCCATCAATCACCACCCACGGGACCCGCATCTGCCACCATGTCCATGTCCGCTCACAATCGTGGCGGAGGTGCAGCTACACTAGGTGCTCCTACGAGGCCTCGTGGTGCGGCTGGTCGATTTGACGGACCTTCTCGAGATTTCACGAGTTCTCCGATGCGTGGCCGTGGCAGCTTGACCTACCGAGGACCAGCACCATACGGACCCAGAGGAGGAGGATTTGGTCGTGGTGATTTCGGTGCAAGCAGAGGAGACTCGGGAGGCAGTCGAGGAGATTTTGCAGGCGGCTATCGTGGCGGATTCGGACGCGGTGAACCATCGTTTCCATTTCGTGGAAATAGTAGCTCAAGCACGACATACCCTCGAACGCAACGCTTTAACACTGTCCAACAACACCTCACCACGACAGAAAAGATTGTCCCGGGCGGTAAACTTCTTCCCTCAGGACTTCCACCGGACCAAGAGAAACGGATCAGGATGCTCGAAGCGGAAGCCGAGCGCATGCGGACAGAGATTGCGGAGAAGCAGAAAATCAAGCGCGAGGTTCTGAATGAATGGGAAGTTCGCGAGCGAGAAAGCGAGAGGGAGAGCTTGCGCAGTGAGCTCGCTGACGCCCATTTGCAGCAACTGATGGAAGGAGAAGACGGAATTGGGCGTGCAGCGTTCTAATAGGACGGTTCTCTTTGTCTTTTCTGGCTCTCACCCAAGGGAATATGACCTCCGCCACACGAAGCAGACCGCCTTGCTCATCCCCCTCATCCACACCTCCTCAAACCAAGTGTATAACTCCGACCACCAAGAACCAGCTTCATGCGAGAAGCGATGGGATGAACATGGAATTGAAAGGCATGGCACAAGGAAACCTAAAATGAAATTAAGGGATGATTGATTCGACTGGCAACTCTGGCATAGCGAAATGGGATATCGGGTAGAAAAAGCGTGAAAAAAGGCGGTTGCGGTTGCTTTCTAACCTCGTTTGTTTTCCGGACATGTCCAGTGATCAAAGTGGACGGGTGGCTCCAGGATGATTCTGAAGAAAAGGAGTGGATCAAGTCTATGGACCTTAACAGAAATGGACAGAAGATGATCGCTTTGGAGGCACATGTTCCATTCCATTTCTCTCGAACCTTTTCACTTATGTCTCTTCCTCTCCACATGGCGGATGCGGGATTTTCTCTTTCTTCACCTCATTCATCCCCTCCCACTGTCCACATCCCTCGATACAGCTGACCTACGCTCCTACAGCTCTCCCACCATCCACCTCCAAATTGACACCAGTCACAAATTTGCCCTCATCACTTGCCAAAAAAGCACAAATATTCGCCACGTCGCTAGGATCCGTCAATCTACCCAGGGGCACATTGAAGAGGAACTTCTTCATGTTCTCTTCGGTGTAAGGCACACCCACGAACGATTCAAACAGGCCCGTCCCCGAGAGGAGTGGGCACAATGCGTTCACGCGGATCTGCTCTTTGCCGAATTCCGCCGCGAGACCTTTCGTGGCCTGTCAAGACATGGCGTCAGCTACTTGAGCCCAGGTTCGACGAACGGAACGAAAGAGAGGACCAAAGCACAGGATCGAGGAGAGCAAGGACGAGGGCGCCAGACATTTGCAACAGCACCCTTCGATGCATTATACCAGACCAAACCCGGCCGAGGGCGCATGGCTCCAATACTGGCAATGTTGATAATACTTCCGCCGCCTCTCTTCCTGAGCGCTGGAATGGTAGCAGGTATGCTGAGGAAAATACTCTTGACATTGACAGCCATGACCTTGTCAAACTCGGCCTCGGTGACTTCTAGGGTGGGTTTGTTCTTGTAGCTTGTGCCGGCGTTGTTGACGAGAACGTCGAGTCCGCCGAACTTGGACACCGCGGTCTCTACCATCTTTTCCCAATCTGCGGCGGCGGTCACGTTCGCGGTCAGTGTGGCAACGTTGGCCGAGTACGTGGAAGAAGAGGAAAAGGCCTTTGAGAGGCCATCGCCGTTCATGTCGGCGGCGACGACTTTGGCGCCTTCGGACACGAATTTCTGCGCCACGGCGAGACCAAAGCCTGAGGCGGCGCCTAGGAAAAAGGGATTAGCTAGGAATTTCCGGCACCAGAAACACGCCTATGGTCTGCGAAAGCGACTGTATTGACAGTTATGACACCACCACTTCCCAGAGGGAAGTTGCCTGTTTGTGCTGCGGTCACCTCCTGAGACGAAAGAGTCCGGCAACACTGCAAGGACCTTACGAGGTCTTGGGCGTACCTGTGACGATGGCTACCTTGCCAGCCAATCGACCGGAACCTGTTTGCACTTCATGGAGGCCTGACATTGTGACGGCTTGACCGAGGGAACAAATTTGAGATGATCACGATCCTGGTTTCTTGAACGGTGAGAAATTGGAGATGTTCTCGAGAAGGCTGTACCAAAAACGGCTCGAGAGGAGTTCATATACGCCATCTGGACAATCTTCTCTGCCCCGCATGGGGATCCAACAGATCCCGAGAAGAAGCGAAGGTAATTCACGGTGATCAATGACCAAGTGCCAATAATGGAGGGGTTGAGGGTTGCCGGAACGGACTTGCGGGGAAAAAATTGAGAAACTGATGCGGAGTTGTGATTCGAAAGTTCAAACGGTCAATGAGGCGGCGAATAAGCATCGACGGCGTCGGACGGATTCTTTTTTCGAGACTCGGGACCTCACCGTGTGGTCAATTGCGAGTTGGTGTGCAGTTTGCAGACCGTCGAGCGAGTTTTATGAATATGGAAGCCGCATAACGTCCCTTGGAGCAATCTCCTCGTTCGATCCAAACAGCACCTAGTTCGGTACTCGGATGATGGACTGACCTGGCAAGGGTTGATAAAAGCTGAGTTGATAGTCATAGAGCAGGCTGGTATCCAAAACGCAAGCCTAGAATGATGGGCAAGGCTTAATTTAACAGCGGATGCAAGCGAGCACGCACATTGTCCATCTCCAGAAAAAAGAGGCGGTCAAACCTGGGAGGTAGAATAGTACACTGATGTATTCCATCGTCTTGATGCTGGGTATCATAATGTACAGAAATCCAACACAATCAAAATCCGGGCCTATTTCTTCCTTTTGTTCATTCGACTCTCTGTAAAATTGATCAGTATTTGGTCCGCAGAGCAATGCATCCAAGGACCTACCTGCTGCTGTCCTCTTTTTCTTCGGAGGGCCCTTGCCTCTTAACTTGGCGAGTTGGACGCGTTCTAATCTCTGTTCCTCTTCTTCATTGAACCCTGTCAAATCAAATTTCTTGAATTCGTTTATCACATCTTCCACCGTGGCTGATCTTCTTGGATAATATGCGGCTAATGTTGGGCCCTTTAACCTCTGGCGAAGAATTTTATTGCCTAACCGTTGTCGATTAGGGTTGAAGGTGGTACCGAATATTGAGCATTGAAGCTATCAAACCATAGATGCGTTAGCAAATTGCGTAGGCTGGTTGACCAATTGGGGATGCCGGGACGGAGGTTCCCTAGGCGAGGGAATGCCGGGTTGTTGTATTCAGGCATACCTTTGCAAGTTCGAGTAGCCGGCCTCTGGGTGCAGAAGCCATTGCCGCCCGTTCTGAACGGGAGAGTGTTTGCCGTTGTTAGTAGTTAGTGGGTTGAATATTTGGATGAAATTTGGTCGTGAAAGACTGCGCCCGGTTGAAATTCCCTCCTCTCGGCTATAATTTCCTCGGAAATGCACCTCATATTTCATGAACCGGTCGCTTGTCAACGTCAAATTTCCTTCCCTCTTACATGCCCGCCCTACCACAGCACTTCAATCACCATGCGGTAGCCCTTACACTTCTTGATTTCCTTATCACCATGTCCAGTGTCGACAGGAAAAGAAAACCGACCGGAGGCCACAGCCCTCCTCACAAAAAGTTCCAGAAAGGCAGCCCCAACCACGGCCCCGACAAATTTCCTCCCCTCACTTCATCGTCTGATAATGGACTACTTCCACCACTCCCATCAATCGACGAGAAATTCAGAGACGTTGTCTTCACCCACCAAAGCATGGCAGGTTCCCCTGCCGAAAGTTACGACAGGCTCGAATTCCTGGGAGACGCCTACCTTCAACTCTTTTCCTCGCGACTAATTTGGGATCGGCTTCCATTCCTTCCCGCTGGACGTATGTCACAAGTTCGGGAATCTTTGGTCAAGAACGAAACTCTTGCTCAGTATTCAGATCTTTATGGCCTGACCAAACAATTAAAGAATTTCAAACGATTTCAGAATGGACCTCCACAGACTTGGCTGAAGATCAAAGGTGATCTTTTTGAAGCTTACGTTGCAGCGGTGGTCTTGTCAACACCCGAAGGGTTTGAGCGGGTCAGAAATTGGCTGCTTCATTTATGGGAACCGAAAATAGAAGCAATCACGTCTAAACCAGAGGCCTCGTCGAAGAGCAAGGAGGAGCTTGCGAAGAAGGTTTTGGGCAAAGGTGTCAGGCTCAACTACGAGGACGAAAGGGAGCCCATTATTCATTACGGCCAAGGAAGGGAGACGTATTTTGTTGGGGTTTATTTGACCGGATGGGGCTGGGAGAATCAGTATCTTGGAAGTGGAAAAGGATTGAGCAGAAATGCAGCTGGCCAAGAGGCGGCAGCCGCAGCGTTGGAAAATCATCCGCTCATCGACGAAATCATAGCGAAGAAAACGGCCTTCTACGCCGAGGCAAAGAAAAAGGGGGAGCCACAGCCAAACAAACATTCAAAAGATTGAGCTGTTGAAGAAATTGCTCCCGAACCGATATTGAACACATCATGAGGGCCGTCGCGAATTGGATTAAGGCTTGGAAATTAAACGTCTTCGCCTCACAAGTACGTCTATACCTCGTTCATCTTGGTCTTCCGGATTGAGCTGCAGTATTGACCGAGACTTGGTCTTCTCCTGCGACCACGATGTCTTGTACCCTTATCCGAATCGACTCGATCCCAAACCCACATCTCCCTGCGATAATCTGTGAGTTTAGGTTAGCTTATCAGACCTCGAGCGGGGAGATTGATCTTACGTCGGGAGAAACTTCAAGCTGAATTGTCAAGCCGGCATGGAGTCTGTTGCAGCAACATTCGGTCCTCACCGCTAACATTTGCTCCGGTGAATGGAGACAGCATCACGGGCCGTGACCTGTGAATGTCGATGATGATTCGATGATTCAGAACAGCGTCAACGTACATACCCGAAGGGCAAACCCGGAATCAGCTCCCACCCCGTCGAAGATATCTGAATCTGGCTGTACAATGCTCTTTCCCTTTACCTGGGAGCGTGAAGAATTCTTCGTTCAGCTTCTCTTTGGGAATATCGTCATCAGCTTCATATCCAGATTCCTCTTTTACTGGACTTTCCGGCTTTGTAAACAAAGAACCGAGGACCGAGAATGGATAGGACAATTTGCTCCATGTCACCTGGTATGAAGAAGTCATTATTTTTCTTTGTCTTTTTGCGGTGGACCGATCCAGATGCAAACGTATTCATTCTCTTTGTGGTCCGCAAAATTCTTCGACTCTTGGAAGCACGATCCTCAGGTCCTCATCAGACTCTATGTTGACATAGGTGCGCTTTGTTGGAGTCGACAGTAAGCTTGTACTGGTCTCCGCCACATCTTCGGATTCGTTCTTCGTTTCATTACTTGATTCTATTGATGTCTCCTTTTATCCATACACTACAGTTGACGATTGTCCCCTCCCCGCATCATTCCGCATTGCATTGAAGACACGATGAGCTCTGTAGGCTCTTGAGACACATTGCTTCCGACTCGAATTATGTCTTGCTCGGCCCAAACATATCGACAAGGCAACATTTCGCCGCCTTGAATGAGTTCGAAGACACCCCTAGTGCGACCCGCCCTTAAACGACGCTGTCGACGAGCCTCCCTGCTGTCATAGGCACTTTCCTCCATTGTTCTTTGATTGCCAACGAGAACAGCTGAACCTGCCGACCTTCCTCCCGCCGAGGAATTTGGCGAATATTGGGAGAGGCGCCTATATTCAGGAGCAACCTGACCTGGACCCGAATGTGAGTGGAAGATGGTCAATGTCAAGGCGAGAGTTGTTCTGAACATGATATATGATAATAATCGGTGTGACGGGCAGAAGAGAGCCACAAGGCTATTTGAACGAGATAGGCAAGTGAGAACGGAAAAAAAAAAAAAGTCAGACAGCTTCACGCGTACGTATGAGGTCAGTCACGAGATACTTCTTCACGGGTGCCCGAGACGAACACTTTGCGGTGAATACATGGACGAGAGGTGTCCATGGCTACCATGTTGCTGTGAGCTCCTTCGACTGTGAATTATGAACACCGAGACTATTACATGTTCCCGAGCCGGCGTGATGATATTGGCAACGAGTAATGACAAGATGAAGAGCTTGATGCGTTGATGGGCAGCCCAATGAATACAGCATTAAAATGTCGTTGCCATGCTCCGAGTCCCTGCCTTCTGGTATTCAAACCAATGGACCAGGTTGTATTCTCTATGCAATCAAAGCTCGAACCTGCAACCAACCCTGGGGAAAGGAAACAATATCCAATCACAGCCCAACCCATCATCCTTCATATCTCCTCGCATCACGTTCATCATCATCCAATTGTATAATCACCTCCACGGTGCATCTCAAACAATCTCCAGCTCATCATCGCTATCACCGAGAGGCTGGGCGCCAGCAACACCAAGGCTCTCTCGCCCAGCCTCGCGAATACCCTTCTCCGTAACGAAGCGCGTTTTCTTCACAGGCGACAGGCGCACATCTCTCGCAGTGCGTTTTCTTGTTCCACCCGTGTTGAGGATGCTAGTGGCGCGCGCGAGAGAGGAGCCTTGACTTCCCCCTTCTTGATGTTGTTGGCGATGGTGTTGATAGTTTGCTTCCCTGGACATCGATACCGGATTGTGCTGAGAGATAGAGGTAGAGGCAGATCCGTCGTTGGACTTCGCCGCTGTTTCTCTATCTTCATCTTTGTCTTGCGTTCTATCTTTGGCTTTTTGTCGAAGATACTCAGCACCAGCGCTCCCAAAGCCCAAGCTGTGGCTTGAACCAAGTTTCTCCGCGATCTCTCGCTCTTTTTCCTGAGCTGCGAGGTGTTTTCTCACCCGCGCATCACGGTCGCGTTGTAATTGGCCTTCGGGGATGAATGGGTCGTCCTCATCTAGGAAACCTCCACGTTTCTGGCCGGGTCGGGAACCGTGACTGGCTCCTGTGTTCGATTTCGCGATGTAGAAGTGACTTCCTGAGTTGGGGTCGTATCTTCGGCCATCTTTCGACAATAATCCATTACCTTTGCTGTTCTTGTCATAAAAGTTGTGGCGCCCGTATCCATTCGTACCGGCATTGACGCCCATGCGTCGCGCGCGGGTTTTGTCCAGCTGTGCGTTAAGATGCCATTCGCAAATGCCGGTTTTGGACGCGTCAACCCAGCTACCGCATTCTTTGCCATCTTTTTTAAGCGTTTTGCAGTAGCCTAGATCTCTTGCGGTGCCGATTTCCAAGACTGTGTCATCGCCGTCGTGGAGTGTCAGGCTGAACGCTCCTGTATCTGTCTTTCCGGGCTTAGGGGGCATGATTTGAGGATTGAGAATGGCGATCACTGTTCCGGGAGTGAGTCGGTGGTAGCGTGGGAGAGCGGTGTCGAACAGGTACAAATCAATCGTCCATTTGAGGTCAGTGAGTGTGAAGACCATGAAGAGCCGTTGATTCCGTGATCCATCTTCCCATTGCCGTTCCCAATCGTTGGTGCCTACGGTCGTGGTGTCGGTAGTCCGTTTCTTGTGGTCCATTGGAGATGATTTGGAAGCGATCGCGCCGAAGACAACGTAGTCACACACTCCGTCTGGAAGCTCGTAATCGGGTGATGTCACGGCTTTCAAGAGGTCTGGGATGCGGTAGATTGTGAATCGGTCAGAGGGGAGAGTGCGCTTCAGGAAGGTGTGCGGCAGTATGCGAGAGGATAGGTGGAGCTGGGAGAACCCTTCGAACAGAGCGGCATCTGCGCGCTGTGTCTCAATTTCCTCGGGTTGCTGTGATAGTTTGGACACTCCTTCCTGGATCTCGGATAAACTTCGAGTCTTCCTAAGGTGTCGTATGCCAGAATTGGCCTCTGCTGCAGCCGAGAGCACTTCATTACGACTGTATCCCGCTCGGTGTTGTAATCGCGTGGGTGATCTTGGATGTTCATGCGGGCGAGACTCTTCTGCAAGCAGGCGATAGCTTTCAATTTCTGTTTGATCTAGCTCAAACCCATTGCTGCGGTTTCGGTTGATTGCTTCCCGTTGACTTCCGTTGTTAACTTCTCGTTCGCGAGCCTCTACCATTCGCTCACTGAAAGTCTTCCTGGTCTCGGTACGGGAATTCGATTTGGACGAGACGACGGAGCGTGCTGAATTGAAAGCCGATGATCTCGATAAAGGTCTGTCACCGCCTGAAAGGAGGTTCTCCTTTCTCTGTCGAGTACTGCCAGAGGTAGTGTTTGCCCTGCGCAAAGACACATCGCTCCCTCGCAGTCCTTGATCTATTCCGAGGAGAACTCGAGAGGAAGGCTTCGGTTGCGGAGCGGTTTGTAATCGTTTTGTCGGGGATCCTCTGACTTCGACGTGTGGTATTTGTGTGATAGGCTCTTGATGCATGGAAAGCAATCTGGAAGATGTCGAGTCTGGTCCATGTACCGAACTAGGTCGGGACGAACCTCTTCCTGGAGTAGCAGCCCTGGCTTTGTTTTGTTGCAGCTTTTTCAATTTCAATTTCGCCTCAATGGCAGCAAGCTTCAGCTGTAGCATCTCTTCATCTTCTTCGAGATCCTCTTGCATATCTTGTTCTTGTGGCGAGAAATCTCTGTCTCTGCGAGCTGTTCGCAGATGATCCGTAATACTAGGGGTGGTGGCCAAGTGTTTCGTTGGCGATGCGGAATTTTGGAGGGCACCGTGCTTTTTGCGTCCACTAGGTGAGCTGAGGATGGCGGCATGGGGTGACATTGGAGGCCATGGAATATCATGAGACATGTCCGTTGATGTATCAATCGCAATGGCCTTTAGGAATGGTGCCGGTGTTGAAGATAAGTAGTCAATGGGCTTGCGGACGAATGTTTGTTTATGTATTGGGAGACAGGGGTTCGACGCAGTGTCACACAACAGCGTTCTTCTCTCTGATATCGTCGACTCGTCATACCCCATCAACTCATCCACGATATTGAATGTCCTGGGCCATCAGAAAGTCAAAAGAATTCAGTGGCTTGCAGGATGGCTTGCAGGATAGTTTGCGGAGGATCTCCGTCTCCGATTGGTTCCTCGCGACGCGCTGTCGACGACGCGTCACAACATGCTTGGCAATGATCCCAACGAGGGGCATGCTCGATATGAAGGGAATCCCATAATGCTATATCACACTCCAACAGCAGAGCAATTGTATTGAGTATCTAACCATCAGGGGTCCTGGCATGACCATAGAAACCCGATCGCGGACGAACAGTCCAGTCAAGAACTCCACGGAGATCCCGACTGCAGAAAGCAATCCGCAAAGGAAACCTCTGCAACATTTTATCCTTCCGAAAGATGTATCTGACCGCGCACGATTCATCTTGTTGCGGCATCCCCGAGACTTGACTACACAGCGCTTTCTCTTTTGTCCCGAGAATGGATTGTTTCAATTCACCAAAATAAATGCGCCATCCAACGACCCTCGGAGCCTGCTTTTTGCTGGTTGCGGCGCAGGAGGAGAGATCAACTCCACAGCGGGGGAGTCAACTGGGATCAAATCAAAAGAAGCATTGAGCAATGGCTACGTAAGCCGGGGCGCAGAATTCTTTGTGGCAACCCCATTTGACCTTGCTTTTGTCTTGATTCCCCTCGTCACACCAGCAAAGACGCCGACCGAGAAAATGCTCTTTCAGCCTCTCGATGACATCCTTGAACAACATACTGAGGGAGACAAGCATCTGCGATACATTTGTGAGCAAGGACGAACGATGATTGGGGAGGCGATGTCGAAGTTTTGTGACACCATTGAGGCTGGGGATGAGCAGATGTACAGACCGAACGAGAACAAGACTTTGAAAATGATAATGGACAAGGCCGAAACTGCGATAAGAAATGGGTTGCCAGCCAGTTTGGAGGACCAATTCGTAACAAGGGTATTGGAAACACCGGTGCTGAGCGTGAAACGGGAAGAAACCATTATGTCTACCCGGTCAGAGCCACTTGCGCTCGATGGAAACGATTCTGCCTTGGAAGGCTTTGATTCACAGTCGTCTGCGGAAAGCTCTGCACCATCGGCGGTCTTTTCAGAGGTCTCTACCACCAGCTCCATCAGCGCTGTTGTTCCTGGTGCAATGCCCCCAGAGCTGCGAGATCTACAGAAACAGAGCATTGCTCTGGAATTTATCCTGGCGTCATATCTGCCAAGCTCAATAGCAGAGCGGCTGAAAGCGAGCCTTGCTGCTAAGAACTCGCCAATCAATTTCACACCACTTGAAGAACATCTCAAGTCCCTGGCTGCGCTCAGAGCGGAGGCATGGGCATCAAGATCAATGGGTGACTTTAGCAGAAAAAGAGACGTGGAGGATGAAGAAGCCGCGGGATTGAGGGCTGACAAGAAAAGAAAGCAGGAGGAAGAGGACCGGAAGAAGAAAATGGGTGAATCGAAAGGAGTAAGGGAGTTGAAGAAGGTGAATGTGTCTGGTATGAAGAAAATGAGCGATTTCTTCGCCAAAAAGCCTGCCGCGAAAGCAAATGGATGAGGGGGATCAGACCTCTGCCGGAATCGGGCCGAAATTCTTTATCTACAGAGGATGCTTCCAATATGATGACGTCTCCGGGGGAGCGGGACATTATATCCCCAAAAGCCGAGAAATGTCCAGGGTTTCATTATTTCTGGGAATTGTCTTTGTTTCGGCCCACATATACAGTTACGACGCTGCGAATGAATCTCCGACTGGGAGAGAATGTGACAATGGTTTGTGGAACGGAGGGAGGTAGAAGAATGCGCATCAGGAGGCCCAAGATGTCGAGATGTTCGGAAGGATGGGAGGAGGCACCAGATCACTAGTGTCTGGTGATTATGACGAGCTCGGAACGAAAGAGAATTGTACCAGTTGTAGGGTCGTGATGGAATTTGTTGTGTGACTGTCGGATATGAATCAAGCCGCTTTCTGAGGGACCTGATGCAGCAATTGGTCGGACACAGTTCTATAGTAGTATTGAGATATCACTTCTCCATATCGGCTCTCTATCCGGTCGGTATCAAAGTTCCGGCACCTGGCATCAACCACCATCCCAATCGGAGGCGGAAGAATGGGGACCCGAGTAGACGAACTCAGCAAATGCTACACCATCGTGTCGAGCCAATGCCAGTGCGCCTTCAAGCCTAAGCTTTGCCATTTGCCATCTACGTCATGACCTGGATGCGCTCTTCTACACGGCATGGACTAGCCTCGCCTCCTCTGATGCCTTTTTCTCTCTCGAATTTCAGAGCTACATCAGCAAGGAACTCGGACCTCGAACCATCGATCCATTGCAAACCTTTTCCTCAACAGGCTACTATTGGCCTATCCCGTCGTATACTACTACACGCTGTGCACAAACTCATTCCTATCCACATCCAGCCATCCACACCTATTTCAGGACGTGATGGCGTTTTCAAATTCACACTTCCTCCCTCCATGTGGATAATCGTCGTACTTCAGTGGATACCGATTTGCGTGGGAGCTTCTCAAGGTCTCCATCAGTACTCTGGACTGAGAAGACGACGACATTGGATTCAAGGAGCAGCTCGGTCGAACAGCATATAATTGGCTTTGAGGACACAACCAACGTGCCAACCCCTACTCCATCCAAGACTCAGACTCAGACTCATTCCTGCTTCCCGCCAGCTCCAGCCATGGCTTCGGGACACAACCACACACCCTCATCTGGCGAGACGGCAACGACCTCATGGCAGCCTCCCGACGACCAGCTCCGCAGGGATCGCCAACTGGTGAATGAGCATTCCTCCAGGCAAAGTATGTCGTCCATCTCGTCTGATTGGGACTCTACCGAAGACTCGCCAGTGGGAAGAACCGAATCAAAATATATGCCTCTCCAGGCTGCACCGTCAGCTGAAGGCCCACGACCTGGACTTCAACGACGCAAAAGCATTCAGACTGAGGAGGACCTGTTCAGAGCTCTATCTCGTCGACGTACAAGTGCTTCTGGAAAGTCGGACGCCGCACTCCAAGAGGAGCACGACGAGATTGAACGCTTGATGTCTCGAATGTTTGGAAAGGCACGACGGGACCAGTCAGAAGAGGAACACACTCGCCATAGCGGCGTCATCTTCCGAAACTTGACTGTCAAAGGTGTCGGCCTGGGCGCACGTCTTCAACCCACCGTGGGCGACATCTTCTTAGGTCTTCCGCGAAAGGTGAAAATGCTCTTTACCAAAGGCGCAAGAGCAGCGGTGGGTACGCCACCAGTTCGAGAGCTTCTCAGCAATTTTGACGGATGTGTCCGACCTGGTGAGATGCTTTTAGTCCTCGGGAGACCAGGATCGGGCTGTTCCACCTTTCTCAAGGCCTTCTGCAACCAGCGAGAAGGCTTCCAGGCTGTGGAAGGAGAAGTGACCTATGGTGGCACAGATGCCAAAAGCATGAAACGAGATTTTCGCGGCGAGGTCATTTACAATCCGGAAGACGACCTCCATTATGCGGCACTCACGGTCAAGCGAACGTTGATGTTTGCACTACAAACCCGAACGCCAGGGAAGGAGTCCAGACTTGAAGGAGAGTCACGTGCCGACTACATGAAAGAATTCATGCGTGTCGTCACCAAACTTTTCTGGATCGAACATACTCTGGGAACCAAAGTCGGCGACGCATTTGTTCGAGGAGTATCTGGTGGTGAACGAAAGCGAGTCAGTATAGCGGAGGGTGAGATATTCTTTTGCACACGTATGACGCGGGGTACTAACGTGGGTAGCGATGATCACCCGGGCGTCTATTCAAGGCTGGGACAATTCGAGCCGTGGTCTTGACGCCAGTACCGCCTTGGAATATGTCCAATCCATTCGGACTCTGACCAACATGGCCCATACCTCAACGGCAGTTTCCTTGTACCAAGCGGGAGAGTCCCTCTATGAACTCGTCGACAAGGTGCTTCTTATTGATCACGGAAAATGCCTCTACTATGGCTCGGCCGACCATGCTAAACAATATTTCCTTGACTTGGGCTTCGACTGTCCGGAACGGTGGACCACGGCAGATTTCCTTACCTCCGTCACGGATGAGCATGCGAGATCGGTCCGACAAGGTTGGGAAGACCGAATTCCCCGGAATGCGGATGAATTTGCAGCCTTATACCGCCAGAGTGATGCGTATCAACGAAATCTTGAAGATGTTCAAGAATTCGAGTCACACCTAGAGGAACAACGGAGAATCCGGGAGGAAAATAGATCCGAAAAGAACAAGAGGAGAAACTATACTATTCCGTTCCACAAGCAGGTGATAGCTTGCACTCAACGTCAATTCTTGGTAATGACAGGAGATCGAGCCTCGTTGGTGGGAAAATGGGGAGGTCTTGTTTTTCAGGCATGTAACATTCGGAGCATCAAAGGAAAAGCACGCGCTCACCATTGTGCAGGGCCTCATTGTCGGAAGTTTGTTCTATCAGATGCCTAAAACGGCCGCCGGAGCATTCCCTCGCGGAGGCGCCATTTTCCTCCTGCTCCTCTTCAATGCACTGCTGGCATTGGCTGAAATGACTGCTGCATTCTCCTCGAAGCCAATTCTCCTGAAGCATAAGTCATTTTCCTTCTATCGTCCTGCAGCCTACGCTATTGCCCAAACCGTTGTCGACGTACCCCTGATATTCATCCAGATCATGCTGTTCAATACTCTCATCTACTGGATGGGTGGTGTACGTTCATCTTCAGACTCTGTGTTGCCTTTCTCGACAATGCTAACGTACTCTATAGCTCGCACCCACAGCCTCTCAGTTCTTCATTTCATGTCTGGTATTATGGATGTGTACCATGGTCACATACTCTTTTTTCAGGGCTATTCCAGCCTTGTGTAGAACTCTTGATGACGCAACTCGGTTTACTGGAGTGTGTATTCAGATCTTAGTGGTCTATACCGGCTATCTCATTCGTGAGGCTCCCCGACGCCTGTTCTGAATTTCCTGCTGCTAATTAAAAATCAGCGCCGACTCAGATGAAGCCATGGTTTAGTTGGCTGAGGCGAATTAATTGGCTCGCCTTCGGCTTTGAGGGCCTCATGGCGAACGAATTTACGGGCCTGACTTTGGACTGTGTTCCACCATACCTTGTCCCGCAAGGACCTCATGCCCAGCCTCAGTACCAATCCTGCACCCTGGCTGGCAGTCAGCCTGGCGACACTTTTGTCGACGGTGCTCAGTATATTCAAACCGCTTTCGAATACACCCGTGCCCATCTCTGGCGCAATTTTGGTTTGTTGTGGGCTTTCTTCATCTTCTTCCTCGCCCTGACCGCCTTTGGCATGGAGAGAATGAAACCCAATTCAGGAGGAGGCGCGATCACGGTCTTCAAACGCGGTCAAGGCCCCAAGCAGGTTGAGGAATCCATTGCCACCGGTAGACACGAGAAAAATCCCAAGAGGGATGAGGAAGCAGCTGCCGTTGGTAGTGATACACTAATTGGAGAGAAAACGACAATCCCCGACAATGAAACCAGTGATTCGACGAGCACGAAACAGGACGAATCGGCAGTGAAGCAAGTAGCGAAGAACGAAACGATCTACACATTCCGCAATTTGAATTATGTGATCCCGTACGAGAAAGGAGAGCGAAAGCTGCTCCAAAATGTTCAAGGTTATGTCCGACCCGGCAAACTTACAGCATTGATGGGAGCCAGTGGTGCGGGCAAGACGACGCTTCTCAACGCCCTGGCCCAACGGATCAACTTCGGCACCGTGACGGGCGAGTTTCTTGTAGACGGTCGCCCGTTGCCAAAATCGTTCCAACGTGCGACCGGGTTTGCGGAGCAGATGGACGTCCACGAGCCTACATCCACAGTAAGAGAGGCCCTGCGCTTTTCAGCCCTTCTCAGACAGCCCAGAGAAGTTCCAATTGAAGATAAATACGCCTACTGCGAGACCGTCATCGACTTGCTGGAGATGCGAGATATCGCTGGCGCTACGATTGGAAAGATCGGAGAGGGGTTAAATCAAGAACAGCGAAAGAGACTGACTATTGGCGTCGAACTGGCGAGTAAACCTGAATTACTCATGTTCTTGGACGAACCAACATCCGGTCTGGACTCGGGCGCTGCAGTCAACATTGTCCGTTTTCTTCGAAAACTGGCAGACGCGGGTCAAGCGATTCTTTGCACTATCCACCAGCCTTCTGCTGTTCTGTTTGAACACTTTGATGAGCTTATCCTCCTCAAATCTGGTGGACGTGTTGTGTACCATGGACCCCTGGGTCATGACTTCCAGGAGCTGATTCGGTATTTTGAGGAGAATGGAGGACGAAAGTGTCCTCCCCGGGCCAATCCCGCGGAATACATGCTCGAGGTGATCGGAGCAGGCGATCCGAATTACAAGGGCAAAGATTGGGGAGATGTGTGGGAGCAGAGCAAAACCCACGACGCACGATCCGATGAAATCGCCGAAATGATTGAACGGAGGAGGAATGTTGAACAGAGCCGGAACCTCAAGGATGACAGGGAGTACGCCATGCCACTTGGAATTCAGACAATGGCTGTCGTCAAGAGGTCGTTTGCAGCATACTGGGTAGGCCACGAGAATACCCTTCCGCTCGCCTTCATCCTCTTTTTCCGCTAATAGTTCTCCAGCGTACGCCCAGTTATATCATCGGCAAACTCGTGCTCCATATCACGACCGGTCTCTTCACGACTTTCACCTTTTACCATCTCGGCTACGCCTCAATTGACTTCCAGTCTAGACTTTTTGCATGTTTCCTGACGCTCACCATCTCTCCTCCGCTTATTCAGCAGCTCCAGCCCGTCTTCATTAATTCACGCGACATCTTCCAATCAAGAGAAAACAACGCCAAAATCTACAGCTGGTTCGCGTGGACGACGGGGGCAGTACTGGTCGAAATTCCCTATGCCCTCGTCGCTGGAGTGATATACTACAATTGTTGGTGGTGGGCAATAGTCGGCTATAGGTCTTCGACGACCACTTTCACCTCTGGCTTCCTACTGTTGTGTATCCTCTTCTTCGAGCTATACTACGTCAGCTTTGGTCAAGCAATCGCGTCATTTTCACCCAACGCACTTCTGGCCAGTCTCCTGGTACCCGTGTTCTTCCTTTTCGTGGTTAGTTTTTGCGGCGTCGTCGTGCCGCCAGCACAACTGCCACAATTCTGGCGCTCTTGGATGTATTGGCTTACTCCTTTTCATTACTTGCTTGAGATGATCTTAGGGGTAAGAATCTATTCACTTCTGGACATGACTTGAAGACTAATCATGATACAGGCCATCATCCACAATCAGCCCGTCCAGTGCAACCGAAGTGAATTCGCTCGATTCGTAAGTCTATTCTCCCCCCCCCCCCCTTTTTTCTCTTACGATCCCGCTCGTCCAATTCCGTCCTCATCCCTCTTCTTTCAGTGCTATATCTCTGACGTCTTCTTCTGTAGAGTGCACCCCCTGGCCAAACTTGCCAGTCTTATACCCAAAACTTCATCAGCCAAGCCGGCGGCTATGTCCAAGTTGCCTCGGATGGGCTTTGCGAGTTCTGCCAGTACGCGACCGGCGATCAGTTCGGCCGGGGCTTCAGCGTTTACTACTCGCATATTTGGCGGGATTTTGGAATATTTTGTGCCTTCATTTTGTTCAACTATGCCGTGGTATATTTCGCAACGTGGCTAAGGTTCAACGGGAAGAATCCTTTAAAGAAGGTCTTGATAAAGAGAGGAGGCGTTCAATAACCGGAGGAGGAACGGGCAAAGGCAGAGGTGGAGTTGAGTTGGTAATCGAGACCTTTCTCACAGAGGTGGGTTCACGGTTTTGCATAGGGAGCGGATCAATGCTCTCAGAGTTAGAGGTCATGGTTATCACAGATTCTTCCTTGTCATGATTGATCGACTCGATTATCATCGATAATTCCACAGAAGCTTGATATCACCTGTGCGTAGCTTGAAGGTACCCCTCTCGGCCCTTTGCATGTTCTCGGTGGACTGGGGCTGATACGGACGGCGGGTGGCAGAAAATACCTCGTTGAACTCAATGAGAAAAGACAGCTCTCTGCGTATGGAACACTGGGTGATCGGCACTGATTGATGAATAATGAGTTTGGGAAAGGGGAGCTTTTGACGGATCCTCTTATGATATTCTTGTCCCTTCAGTGCCCCAGTCCTCATCTCCATCCATCTGCATTCTGCTCCGTTCCGGTCTCCGTCTTAGCGGCCTTCTCCTCTTCTTGAATCCTTTTGCATTCTTCGAATATGCACTGCCTGATTGGCTGATGCTTTGAATCTGAACCCTGATGTCCTCGTCTCGCGACATTTGAACCGCTGGGTAACTGCGTAGATGGTCGTGTCGAGCTTGACAGCCAGTTCGTATGCATCAAGCGGGAGACACGGAGGTATCAGAGATTTGTAAAATCAAAGGAACACCGTTTGCCTTGACTTCCTTGTCTCTGTATTTTGCACGCATCTCATGAAGAAACTCGAATCAAAAAGGAACTGTTCCACCTTCTGAGCGAACTCATTGTCTGATGAAATTGTGATTAATTTCAGGATCGAGACATGAAAGGCTGTAGAATTGGATGAAAGAAGCGCCGCGTAGATCAGGATATGGTTGAAAGAGGAGTTCGGATTAGGAGAGTCGAAATTTCCAAGTCTTCTGGCTTTGTTATCGATTTGTCCAGGCAGGCGAACTGCCTGCATGTCGCTCCCAGTATCCTGGCAATCGTCAAAGAATTGCGTCAAATGCTATTGTCCATTTCCTTTTCCTTCTTCAGAAACCTGTCTAGCGTTCATGCTCTAGCCGCCAATGTCGTTTGGCATTGCCGAGGGGGTGTGTCCTCGATCTCGAAAAGCTCGGTTGTCGACCTCGCATCTACATCGGTTCCGGGACGAGTCTCCGTCGAATTGGGAGTCGTACGTCCGGCTGTCACCAGAGTGTCTGTCATTCTCAACTTACTACAAAGAATCGGGAGGAAGGAGATACCATCACACCTATGGACGCAGTGATGCTTGTTCCCACTCCTGACTACAATGCACACGTCACGACTCCGGGGCTCATTCGTGCTTGACATCCAAGCCCGTCTTCACTTATGCATTTTGGGCTGTCGCATCCAAAAAGTCTGATCATTGCTGCCGAAGTTTGTCGCTATGGGCCTTGAATGTCCAGGAGCCGAGATGGCCTGTGTACCCATAGTGCGGCACGTGATGGTGTTGATATGTCAGTCACACCGGAGATGATGATACAAGCTGCGGTAATTCGGGGCGGGGGGAGTATGTATCGCTAATCTTTCTGGACTTTCATGTCAGACTAACCATGCCCTAGAAAAGCAAGTCGATGTAAAGTGTCAGACTACGGAGAAAAGCAAACCGGAACCGAGCGATGACACAATGATTCGGAGTTCAGAGAGTGCGAGAACAGATTGTAAGAGCTAGAGAGGAGCCACAGCTGAGTGAAAGAGACAGATGGCCGCCGCGAATCGTGAAGTGGTATGAACAGAGACGAGATAATGAATTCTGGACGCAGAAGAGGGCAGAAATAAGACATGAACTGAACAGACTTTTGATGTCTTTGACTCTCTCAGCATTGGATATGCATGAAAATAACAAACGTTAATGGCGCGAAATATTTACGAGGTTCAGATTGACTTTGAGATACATTTACTAGTACCGGCGGCCAGCCAGCAAACCCTGCCAAACTTGCCAAGGGTCTATCCTTCTTGTTGCTCTTCCCCATCCCATGCCGACGTCTCCGAGCAGAAGCTGAAGAATCATTGTCGACCGCCTTGAAACCTGGGATTCGAAAGATGAAAATGAATGTTCCCAAGATATGACCGGCACTGGTGGACAAGGCCTGGATGCCTCGGTTGGGCCCTTGTCGCGTCATGGTTTGAAAAAAAAACTGGTTTGTCTGACCGCCACATCCTCGCCAAAAGCGCCATATCTTGTGGAGGGTTGCCACCTGTCAGACGACGCCTCTTGGTAAACTGAGCTCGGCGTCCCTGACTTCATGCCCTTGTTCAAGTAGCGAGCATTACATGGTTTCCTCAACTTCTTGTTTTGACTCAAAACTTGAGATAAATCTGTAGCTCACGACTGGCCACCGATCTTGTAGCCACTGCTAATTGGGCTGCTTCTCCTGTTTGCGGGCTTATCCTCCTCCGCCGCGGTGGACTGACGCGGATGTGTTCCTCTCTCGATCCATCAGATCAAGATGACGGAACCAACGTATCGCTTTGGTAAGTCTCTCGCCGTCTCGCGCAACCCACTCTAGCATCTCTATTGCATCCCAAAGATGTATGAGTTCTACGACAAGGTCGAGATACTAAACCCCAAATCAATATTTGAGAATAAGCTCAACTCTCGCCACTCATTGGCATGTTCGTTTCACACGCTAACCATTGGCAGAGATGGCAAAGTCAAGCCGCGCCAACTGTCAGAATATGGCATGCAAAAAGGCAGGCGATAAAATTCAGAAAGGCGAGCTGAGATTCGGAACTCTTGTTAAGATCAATGAGCACTTCGTCTGGATGTGGAAGCATTGGTGAGTCTTCCCACCGTCGCCTCGACCCCACTTGGAAATTCTTTGCTCACTTTAATCCAGGGGCTGTGTTACACCCGCTCAGATCGAGAATCTCCGAAACCAAGTCGGACCACTGGGAGACCTCGAAGAGAGTGACTTGGAGAGGATCATTGATGGCTACGATGAAATCACCCCGGAGTCACAGGAGAAGATCAAGGTGGCGCTCCGGCAAGGCCATGTTCCAGATGAAGACTGGAAGGGGGTCAGTATAATGCCATCAAGATAGTTCTTCGTTCTCAACTCATCTCCAATCTAGGTGCCTGAGTGGAACCGGCCTGGTCAAAAGGGTATCAACCGACGTACTCCACAGAGTAGCAAGAAGAAGAAGAAGGCCGATGAAGAGGATGGATCTCCAGCGGATGAAGCCGGGACTCCAAGTAAGCCCAAAGCGAAGAGGGGACGAGGCAAGAAAGTCAAGATGGAATCTGATGATGAAGACGACCTTGCGCTATCCCCGCCACCAAAGAAGAAATCCGCACGCCGCCAACGCAGGACCGAGGATGATGAAGACGATGTCGCTTTGCCTCCACATCCCAATAAGACCACAAGGAGAAAGCGCAAGGCTGCAGTGAAGGAGGAAGAGGAAAAAGAGGTCGAGAAGTCACAAGCGAAGAAAGTCAAAACTAAAACCGAAGATGATGACGGCCATGCCGCTACCGAGGAACCTCTGCCAAAAACCAAGTCCAAGAAAGCCAGCAAGAAAACAAAGACGGTCCAAAAGGAAGATGTTGATGACGATGATGTTCCCCTGGCTCCGAAAGTCAAAGCGGAGCAAGCCAAAAAGGCGAAGAAGATCAAAGAGGAGCCTGAGCCCGATGTCGAGTTTGATGTCAAGGCAGAGGACAATGATGATGAAAGCCCACACTCGGCTCCTCCCAAGGCACCCCCTTCTGATCCCGTGGACGAGGAGAACAGAGACGCCGATGTCGACAATCCTGAGCAAAAGCCGAAGAAGAAAGCTGCCCACAGAGCAGCCGGTGAGACCAAGGCGAAGAAGAGGGGTCCCAAATAAGCACTGGGTCAGACTCACAGTTCAAGGAATCACCAGAGGCTTTCGTTGATCAGATTGACAGATGGAATTGGTGGCGTTCGAGTGGCTGGCGCTCGTGCGAAGCGATGACGGCAGGGGGAACCCGACGTACCATGAAGGAGGTTTTTCATTACTCGGGGGTGTGATATTCCCTCGAAGCTGTCAGAGGAGTTGCTGCTATGCGACAGGAGTTGAAGCAAGATTACCAATGGTAGTATTTCTTGGTCGGCAATACATACATGTTGCTTTATCGCACGTATATTCTCTCTATTCATACAAATACATCCGAGTTTAAGCAAAGACGACGTGGGGATGTCTCAGCTTCGAAAATCCCCAATCAGACGGAGAAAGAAATGGCGCTTTTATTTCTCTAGCCAAACCCAAGACACTTCAAAAAGCCTGTCCTGTTCTAGAACTCCCGACTCTCGCCAATATCGCAAACATCGAAAACACCTGTCTCTGGCATCGAGTGATGAGCCAACGCCTTCTTCAGCAACTTGGGCGGTTCAAGGACGTCTTCTTCCGTCAAGACCCAGGTTCCCCAGTGCATACCGAGAGCTTTCTTGCATTTCGTGTCCCTAAAGATCTCGACGGCATCGCGAGGGTTGGCATGCATTGGACTCATGATCCATCGGGGCATGTAGGCGCCGATAGGGATCAGTCCAAGGTCGAAAGGCCCACGGAGACGGCCAATATCCGCGAAAGCCGGGCAATGTGGAAGTGAAGCGTATTCCTCCGCCCAGTCATCTTTGCCGTCTGATTCCTTCGGGACGGTTCGATAGCCCGTGTCGCCGCCGAAGAAGACGGATTTGCCGCCGGAAGAGACAGACCAGGAGGCCCAGAGAGTGGCGGCACGGTCGTGAACGCTTCGCGCGGAAATGTGTTGGCAAGGCAGACAGGAGATGCGGGATGTGATAGTATCAGCCGAGGATATTTGGGCTTTTAGTTCGGGGCTGTCGGCTGAGGTTACGCTTGTTCTCTGGGACGTATCCCTTTCCGAGGATTGGGAGGGCGTCAATGCGAAATCGGCCTCGTCCCACCAATCCAATTCGGTGCACTTCTTGACTCCACAGGCCTCAAACCACTTCTTGTTGCCTAAGGGGACGAAGAAATGGCATTCAGGGTGATGTCCTGCGATCTCCATAATTGTCGGACGTGAGAGATGATCATAGTGGTTGTGGGAAATGATCACTGCGTCAATCGTGGGTATGTCTTTGATCTGGCATGGCATTTCGGTGTATCTTTTGGGTCCCAGCCATGAAAACGGTGAACACCGGGCCGTGAAGACGGGATCGAAGAGAACTCGGAGTCCGGAGGGAAATTCGACATAATAACAGGCGTGGCCGAGCCATGTGGCCCGCAGGGAAGAAGTATGGCCGGCGCGTGAGGGTAAAAATGTCGGAGGATGTACCGGAACGGTCGGAGGAGTGGTGTCTGGTTTATTGGCGGTCCCTTTGAATCTTCTGGCGAGGAGGCCTCCGATGATGGTGAAAAATCCATGCATCTGCCACGACGGCCAGGGATTGTTGAAGCCACCACTCTTTACGTGCCATGCTTTTGATTTAGTGATCTCATCGTCGGGTTTGGCACTCGCCACTGACGGTGTCGCAACGGTCGCGGCGTAGAGAAGGGCTGCAGAGGAAGATGCCATTGCGCGAAAAGGTGCACAGTGTGGGGAAGAGACTTGGAAAGGTGTTCGTCTGTTGAATTGACGTCGGAAGAAGGAGCGCATGGAATGAAGAGCCTTATATGACACGAACTCGCATAATGTCACCGTAAGTCCAGATTGACGGGTGCCTGGGAAGTTAGTGGCAGTAGATATATTGTATCCAGCATGCACAGGCCATCGCGCCTTCGCGTAGGTTGATGCACGTTGCTGATTTAACCCTTAACACCGAGCAACGCTCGGAATCGGGCAAACAGAACATCCCGGCCTTGCTTTTTGTGCTGCGATCTCCCTCGGGAAACATATTTTGATCTCTATCGGCTCGAATGCTTCCATCGACGGGTTTACACAGGGTATGCAGGGCGACAATGGAGTGGTTACCGTCGCCTCGAACCCAGCTTCTGCGCCTTCAGGGTTGAACGACGCCGCGGCGCAAAAAGCCGACCTTGTCCGCCCGCTTGCTGGGGCCACGAACAACACGGAGAGCGGGCTCATTGCGCAGCTGAGTGGGAACCCCTTCTTTACTGCGGTAAGTGTGGTCATGATTTTGCCAGTCCGCTCTCTGACGATTATAGGGGTTTGGACTGGCCGGTCTCGGTGCGCTTGCGACATTGGGCCAAAGAGGTCTCCGACACGGAGCCGCCCTCGTCCGCCGCCGTCTCCTCGTCGATGTCGAGATCAGTGTCCGAGACGACTCCTATCCTTGGTTTCTATATTGGATGACACTACATGAGCGAGCAAGACTGGTGGGAAATAGCGCCCGGAATGGGACCGGCGATGCCGCGCAAGCCCAAACAGGTGTGCTGGAATCAATTCTGCAGCGCCTGACGCCGGGCATGCGACACTTGGCGATCGAGACGGAGAAACGAGAGCTACCCAATGGCGCGATCCACACGAATTTTGTCCTCATACCGGGGCCCGGCCGACATGTCTTGCGCTACCGGAATGCCTGGATCTGGGTGAACAGGCAGAGAGAATCCAAGCAGTTCTCCATGGATGGAAAGCCGTGGGAGACCGTCACGTTGACCACACTTTACTCGCAAAGACACGTCTTCGAATCATTATTCAAAGAGGCTCATGATATTGCGACGCAGTCCGTGGAGGGCAAAACGGTCATCTACACGGCTTGGGGGACAAAGTGGGATAAATTCGGTCATCCTCGCAGCAAGCGACCCCTCGATTCGGTGATTCTGGACCAAGGCGTCAAGGAAAGAATCGTCGCCGATGTCCAAGACTTTCTCTCCTCTTCCAAATGGTACCACGAACGAGGTATTCCCTACCGACGAGGCTACCTCCTCTACGGGCCTCCCGGAACCGGGAAATCGTCCTTCATCCAGGCTTTGGCGGGTCATTTGAACTACGACATTGCCATGCTCAACCTCAGCGAACGCGGTCTCACAGACGACAGGCTGAATCACCTGTTGACCGTCATCCCTCAACGAACTTTGGTCCTCCTGGAAGATGTCGACGCCGCATTCGCCAATCGCCGCCAAGTGGACAGTGACGGATATCAAGGCGCCAACGTAACCTTCTCCGGTCTCTTGAATGCTATGGATGGCGTCGGCAGTGCAGAAGAACGGATCATTTTCCTGACAACAAACCATGTCGATCGGCTTGACGAAGCATTAGTCCGACCCGGCCGAGTCGATATGACCGTACGATTGGGCGAGGCTACGCGATACCAAATTGAGCAACTTTGGGAGCGCTTCTATGGTGATGCTGATCCGAGCGGAAAGGCCAAGGCGGAGTTTTTCAACAAACTCGTCGCGGTGGGAGTCTTGTCCGATACGTCTGCGAGGAACAGTCAGACGAGCATGGCAGCCTTGCAAGGGTTGTTTCTGTACAATAAAGGCCATCCTCAAGGGGCAATCGATATGGCATGGCAGTTGGCGCCAGGTGAATTGCCTAGTGCCTTGACCCAATCGCAAGCTCGTGCCTCCTAGCCGAATTGGGAAAATTAACAGTATTGTGTCGATGGTCTCGGCTGGAAGATGGCGAAAGGAGGCTTTCACTCGTGTTCGTCCGTGATGTCACTACCACCGAAACCCTGGGATTTACTTCTCAGCGCTCCTTCGTTTACTGGACAACAAGTGTAAAAGATAATCGTCTCAAAATTGCGCCAACAGACGGATTGTGTTATTGTCGTCAGCGGTGCCCTAACTTACAACAAAGCTTCACAAACCCGACGTGACCTCTCCGCCCTACTCATACTCACCACCTAATATAGATCAACACTAAATGATCTTCTCGAGATACTGTATGACTAGGAGCTTTGGCTACAAATTATGGAAATATGGCCCTCCCCTCTCTTCGACCTTGGCAAGACAGCTGAACAAACCATTCACCCCGATCGTGCCACTTTTAAAAGCCCTCTGCTCCATAGCCATGGTACTTGATTCTGCTCCCGATTCGTTCAAGACCCAAGGAGTGGTGCCTCTAAACCGGCCACGGCTAGGCTAATCTTCAACATACTTCTTCACGAACCCAAGGTTGCTTGGCGGGACGAGAAAGTAGCTGAACGTGGCAACAAACTCATTAGCAATGGATCGCACCAAACTTTGTTCAGGGAGTTCTTGGGAATTGGTGCCTCACCCCGTCTATTGATGAAGAGACGATTGGGTCTCGTTCTCGCTCCTTATCAGCATTCGTAAGCACATCTCCTTTGCCGCGATATGCATTCCCGCTGACAAAGTGGCTTGATAGAGACTAGAGCGGTGTTGCAGTCTGAATCGCATAAAATCTTGCCACTCTGACACCTCTCGAATCTGAATTTGCTAATCCCGGAAACTTGCGACCCGCTCACAGGACGCCTATATCCCTTACGACATATTCAACCATATTCCAATACTTGATGGCCAACAGAATGCACAGATTCAGTCAGGATGGCTTCATGCGGGAATTCCTCCGTCGTTCCGATTGGTTATTACAATATGGACCCTGGCCTTGGCTCAACAGGGGCGCATCTGACTGGACAGATTTGTCGACATCCTCTGAAATTCGATCGGCGCCATGGACAGTCAAGTTCGAAATGATCTCCATATAGGGCTCTCGAGGCGGCCCGTCTGGCACAGGCAGAGTAGACAAGAGTACGGCGATGGGGAGTATAGCGGTAAGACACAACCTTTCCAAACTACTCGTTTTCTCTAGGTTCTGTCGAGAGGCGGAGGCGTAGTCTGCAGTGGAAATGCTTTGTCACTCACAGATGCTGCCAGTTCATGTGCCGTTCCGCTGCGTCATCCGTATGGAGGCGATTTCGGCCATTGGCCCTGTCTGTTCTGTCCATCCTACGTGAAATATCCCTCTTCCTCCGTCCATTGTATCTTGTCATAGTCCTCTACTGGGTGCCAGACTCTCCACAGGCAAAATCCCAGGCGGCGCCAATACCCCGATTCCTGCATCAGCATCAGGCCAATGAAAGTAGAAACGTCATGTGACCTCTCCCGAGATCTAGTATGTACCCCGAGTTTAAGCACAGCGAGACGACATTTGTGCCGGTTTTTCAGTCGCTTCCCAAATGCGAAGCCACCCGGGTTGCTAACCACTCTGCGGCGGTCATGTGTGTACAGACTGATATATCTCCTGGTGTTTTCCTCCAAATATTTCACGGAGCTTTCCAAATCGGCGAGGACCTCGCTGTCTTTATGGTAGTCAAGAGCAACAAGTAACTCAACCTTACTGCTTTCAGGAACCGCTTCAAGAAGATCAGGAAAGGCGCACATTTGTCCGGAAAAATGTCCTAAGATATAGGACTCTGTCTGGCGGGGTTCGAACTTGCATAAGCATTGGAGATGTGATAGGCCTCTTCGGTTTTGCTGGTCTTGGTTTTGCGAACGCCGGATGTCGAGACGAAGAATTTCCTCGAATATATCGATGAAGCGAGCAGGCAATTTATCTGGCAACTCCGAAAACTCATTCGCATGCCATCCTCTCCCAAAATTCGGTGAGCCAGCGAAGACATGCATCTGGCTGCCCACGGGATAATTTTTCAGAAGTTCTTGCGTGAATTGAATCTCGAGCTCGTTGACATCGTATTGTTGGGTTTGTTTATTTGGTGCGGTGTTGCCAAGTTGAAAGCCGAAGATCTGCTGAATGCCATATATTCTGTCATTTTTATTCGTCGCTCTGCGGCGCGCAGCTGCACCGTAAAGTATAAAAGGATTTCCCGAGTCAATGGCTAGGATCCCGCTCTTTCTCAGCAATGGAACGACATCCCTCGCTGCGGATACTCTGGGTGTGTCAGAGTAGTGATTTAGCCAAGTACATGTCCTGGTGAATGTCTTGAAGGATGTTCCATCACCACAGCCAGATATTTCTGGCAGTTTTGAGCCTGCACGATCCAGAACATAACTATATGCAGGAATATATGCCTCCTGCAGTGTCCAGACAGATCCAAACCAGGGATCATTAAGGATTTTCTCGAATAGGCCTATGTTCTGTTGCAAATAGTCTGGATCTGCTGATTTGGGCCAGTCTTTCTCGGAAAGTGTGGTGAACCAGATGTAGGTTTTCTCGGCCCTTCGAAATATTGCCGCTTGCCGGCCGACTTCTAACCGCCCCTCATCTGAATCGGGACCCTGATTAACGCACGCAACGTCGAGCCAAAGGAAGTCCGTGCCACTGTATCTTCGAATCCGGTTGATCACCCGCCTGAAGTCATGGACGGTGAAATGAGTGGGCTCAATGCGAGGTACTGGCCATTCAGTTTCTCCGATCGATATGGGTTCGGCAGTCTCGTCTCGGTATTTGCCCCAGGTGTATGACAGCGCGGCGTATTCTGGAGCCTCGTATTCTGGGCCTTCCTTGCCCCCGTAGCGATTGCCCGGACGCCATGTAAGCGACTTCATGGTAGGGATGTGAAGCAATCTCCGGGGCCAGTCGCCGGTATCGCGATCAGAAATCTCTGATACATCTTTCCGCCATGGTGACGATTCATCCAAAGCTAGTTCTCGAGTCACGGAGGTCCTCGTCAATATTGCACGGACGGTATCCCCGTTCCGAACACCGTAGTCGTCCAGGCTACGATTTTCTTGAAGTCCCGTCCACGTAAGTTGTCTGAACGACCAGGTTAATAATATTTTGACATAGAACTTGTATCGCATCGGTTTGTCGATCTTATCTTCGATCTTTTTCTTTACCCCACGGATCGTGCTGGTGGACGTGACCTCAAGCAGGGAGCGGTACTGTCGCTTCCCGATTACATATTCGACAACTGGCGTTGATCTAGTTAGCTCAGACGATACCGGAAGCATGCGGAGACGTACAGATATGCATCTCGAGCAGAAAATGACCGGTGCACTCCTGTGAATGTTGTGGTCAAAAATACTTTAAATCGAAAATGTTCTCCTCTCTCCCAGATCTTGTTTTTGATGTCGATTTGGCTGTGATCGCAGCCTTGACCCAGGAATGAGGGAGGGGATGTGAAATATTGTTCGATGGCCGCAGCCACTATCGTCGTCATGTGCGGCGCAGAACCCTGGGCCATCATTGTTTGAACTGGCGTTTGCATGGGATTGGGCGACTGGATGAGCATATCCTCGGTGGCGAAATTCAGACATCTTCTTCTAGAGTACTTGCAGATATTAACCGCCATTCAAAAGCCATATATGCCTCTTCCAGGAAGTGGGGCGAAGCATACAGTATGTGGCTGTGCCTCGGTCATTTCCGACGACAACACGCGCCTTTGCTCTTTGCCTATGACTATCAACAGCACCCTTCCTCCTTCTCCAGATCTTTCAGCCTGGTCCCCAAAGGGTTGGGAACCCTAAAGGCTCCTGTTCGGCGATAGTCGAAAGTTGGTAACTCTGCTTTGAAGCGGACGTCTCGCCGTCTCCCACTGCAGATTTGTCAAGGCTTGCATGCTTCACCATCTAGGGTCCAAACCTGTCCAGAGATTGTCGCAGATTAAACAACGTATCTTTGGAGGAACGTGCCGATTTGGCCCAAGTGTTGACTGAACGACTCAAGAACATGACCTCGGAGAGACTGCTAGGACCTTTCGTGCCATGAAGAGAGCATTTTCCATACGACAAAGATCAATGTAAGCAAGCAGCGAAACAGCACACAAGCAAAGGCTCTGGTGAGATAAACGAAGACTTGGAACGTGTCCACGACCTGGCATTCCGTTGATTAGTCGCCTCGGTGAAAGGTGAGTGTCATCTTTGATGATATAGTAAGACACCAACGTCCCGACCTTTTTCTCGTCTGCAATCCTCGATTTTCGGCGGACAGCCAGCGGTGATTGAAGAGTGACTCCTGCGCTTGTTATCATAAAAGTGGAAATTCCCCAGTTCTGTCAGTTGTATGGAGTTTACCAGATCTTCCAATCCTCAAGCTCGCCGCTGTCGGTTGTTGGGTTTTAGCTTGAGAATATTCAGACCACGGCAAAATGGCAAATGCGCATCGCATGGGGCCTGGAATGTTCTCCAAACATTTTGTGCACGAGTGATATATCTCAATATCGCAGTGTTTGAGGATCCTGTATAGATCTCGGCGGGGGAGACGTCCCCATCCAAAGCCGGAGACAATTCCGCGAGATGCAACAGCGAAGAAATCCTGGAAGACCACAAATCCCGAGTGAATTGAAAGTAGGAAATCGGCGATCGAACAACCGCAGTCGTCGGTTTTGTTGGTCCTGTTGCACCGCAAGACCCCCGACATTAAACAAGAGTCCGGTGCAGGCATTATGCGGCAGGCCGCCATCGAGTCAGTATCCGAGAGATTGCTAGACAGGTGGAGCAGGTGCTCGGCGACACGCCGACGCTCGAAAATGCGGATCTCTGCAAGATCTGTATCGAGGCATCAAGCTAGAGAACGATGGACGGGCCCCCGTTAGGTGCGTGACAATCATGCTACAGGGATTTGTACAGTAGTATCTGATGGACGGCCACAGAGCCGGAACGCACTACATGTTGACTGGGAAGTTCTGCCTTGGTGCCAACTTGGACAATCTGCATGACCCCAAGATGAGACCCGAAACATTTCAAGAATTCCTGGAAGCTCAGAGCGGCGTCTGATTGACTTCTGAAAGTATGGGTCCCTCTTTGGAATACGGTCGAATATGGTGTGGAGACTTTCCGTCTTGAAAGGTTGACGCTCATCCATCATATGGTCCTCACGTTGTAGGATTCTATCCATTTTCCGTTGGTTCTCGGATGGCAACAGATCGACCGGCTCGGTTGTCAGCGTGGGAGTTGTACCATGTAACGTTCGTCTGGTCACTGAGTATAGTCGGGCTTTGCACCGCGCCACATCAACGGTTGAGAGAGGCTTCACAAGACAACACCGGGAACATCGACCAAGACTGAAAACAATCAATTCCCTTTGCTACTATGGGAGGACACGTGTCGCGGCCCAAAGGACTCCGCTGAGAGTTCTGTGTCCCTGTTGAATGAATCTCAGCAAGAGTCGGTGAGGTGCAGTAAATGACTTGAGACCGGATGCCGATGGCTGCAACGAAACTGGCGTCTTGCGGTCAGGGCCATTGTCTGACTGATAAAGAGGCTTTCTCGGAGTCTGGCAGATCCGAGATTCACATGGTCACAGTCGCAGCATCATGAGCAGCTACCGCGGTGAGCTCTGATGCGTTTACTACTTTCAGAATTATGCTGGGTAAAATCCCAGAACAAACTACGAGATTACTCGGACGATGGATGAGTACCATTCCGCCATATTACTGCCCGTCTGGATAGAAAATCACCCTCCACCCCGAAATCATTCCAGGGAATATGGCCATGAGAATCGAATATTGTTCTTCGCCAATCCTGCCATGACAATATCAATGCCGCCCGACTTGATCATCCACTCCAGTCGATGATCCCGATACTCACGCCTCATTAACCCCTTCTTCAGCGCGTCCGTAGCCGCCGAGAATCCTCCCGACGCGGCGGTAAATTCATCATACACCGATTTCACCGACGGACGCTCTTTAGCTTTCTCATACCATCGTCGAAGAGGAGTGCCGGGCTCGGGTTCCACGTGGTACGAGGTTGAACGATTCACCATGGGCCAGACACAGACATCAGCCCAGCCAAACCGGTCGCCGCCAAACCATTCCGCGTCACCCAGCTGCTCGGTCAGCCAAGCATGCAGCTGCCTGACTTGATGCCTGGCCTGTTCCGTCATCTTGCTCGCCTTCTCCCCTTCCGCCCGCTGGAAGGTTTGAATCTCACCCATTCCCCAGTTGACGGCTTCATATTGCGAATCGCAAACATCCTCGATCATGCGGGCTCTCGCTCGTCCTGCTGGCTCCGCCGGGCGAAGCGGTACGTCGGAGTACTTATCTTCGATGTACTCAAGGATAATGGTGGAGTCGAAGATCTTGAGATCACCGTCCACAAGCGTGGGGACTTGGATGCGGTGATTACCCTCCGAAAATTTAGGGTCTATGGTGGCGAGGTTGCCGCTTCCACCGCCTTTCGGAGTTTCGAACTTGAACGGTATTCCCTTCTCCCGCAGCGCGATGCGGATTTTTTGCGCATATGAGCTGACCGGGTGGTCCCAAAGAAAGAGTTCGGTCGCCATTGCGCCGGATGAGGTCCCTCGACGGCGATACACGATTGATGACCTCTTGACACGCAAACGGTAATGATGCTCTTGTGCCAGAACCGTACCCTGCTACCTCCCCGAATTCGAAGCACCTCAACTGACCGGGATGAAAATCCCCAATGAAGGTGGGTCAAACTACGCAGTGCTCGGAGGACGGCGAGGATGACCATGGGATGTTCCGGAGGACCGTCAGACTATATAGTTCTCGAAGCGTGTACAACCATTTCGATCGTCTTTACAAGCCTTGGCGTCGCCGCTTATTACAAATCGTGACCTGCACTCTAATAAACAAGATACAGATAGACAACCACGACTTCTTCAGACAACCTTTGCCGTTGCGGCGTTCCCTTTTCCCTTTTCGTCCTTCTCCGGTTCCGGATACGATACGTACGACTCTCTTGACGGTACTATAGTGTTTCAGATCTCATAAACGCCCAGGATACCTAAATGATGTGGATCATGTATGATGACGCCCAAACACATTACCCCTCTCGAAATCAGAGACCGGAATATGTCATGTTCAAGCAAGGAGAATTCCGTGGTCTCAAAGGTGGTCCGGGGTCCGCTGTTGTCAAACGCCCAACTTGAGTTGTTGCTGACGCAGAAAAAGCCGTTCTGCTTGGGGAAATGTGAGTATTATCCTATGCCATACCACATCCTAGCCTACTGATTGTGCTTTTGTTTTCCGGTTCGCCTGTCACCTGGGCACCTTGTGCCCATTTCACTGCATGTGACGGGTGTGTTCCCTCCCCCCAACCCCCAAAAGGGAATGGATCGGGGCACCAAAACTCGGCATCAAATTCAGCTCGCACCAAATTCGGCTAATTACTGTCAAGCCAATCACGTAAGCACATGGCTTGGCATCATCAGGCGAAAACGTGGCTTGGCGGTGTCACGTGATCACGCGAGCACTCCTACTGCACCGCCATCGGATCCTGCCCTGAGAGACTCGAATCAGTGATTTCAACGTCACCAATGCTAGCCGACGAGTTCCAAGAGCTACACCGTTCCAACAACCTATATTATGACATGACCAGACAGGACCCTCCCTCTACACCCAATATGCTCATGTCAAACTGGGGAACAACTTGAGATGTATTGAATGCTCTGTCTACCTCGCAACCGGTCCTGCCAGGTTGCTTATATATATACACGTTGGGTTGACCCCTTTTCTTCTCCTATTCCTACTCCTAAATCCTGCATAGGGGTGATAACCCCTTTTTCAATAAAGGGGCACTTGCTACTATTCAGCCGTTCAATGAGACCTTGTTCGACAGCTCGGGGATAGGCAATAAGCCTCCATGGTCGGATACAGAGACATTTCCCGTCCCGTATGGCATAGAACGCAAATTGTGATTGGCTGAACCGCCTGCGACAACTGCCTGGTGGCTTTGACTTCATAGTCCCTAGCCAAGCTTCTCTATCCGGAAAAGTCGATGATGGAGCATCCTCTGCTTCCTAAAGCGTTCACGCGATCAACCTTATTTTGCGAGATGTAGACACGGAAAAAGAGATTGATTGAGTCCAATATCCCCGTCGGCGAAAGGTGGCCTGAGGCCACCCAGCCGGAGATCTATAAACGTCAAAAGAAGGTTGATCGTTGAGTTGGGTCTTTTCCTTCTTGAGTTCAGCTTCATTTGCCTGCCTTTCCATCACGAAGAGGCTTACAGATAATCTTTCCGCGTTGATACTTCTAGAAACGCCGGGGAAAACTTGACACCAAACCTGGCATCTACACACGGGAAAGAATTAAAAAAAGAATGGCAAACATGTCCACTCAAACCAACGGCGAAGATCCCATATCCCCGCTACGCAGCCCAACAGTCCACATAACGTCACACAATGCCGCCGGCCAGGCGATTGTGCTAAGCTCGATCACTGAACCCCCGAGTCCTTACCCCGGGTGGCGGACGAGCCATCGACTCGTGTACACAACTTCAAGCTTCCCGGCTGACCTCAACAACGAGAAGGACGTCGAATTGCATCAAAATAGAGTAGCCGAGGGCCAATTGGGCATTGTCAACCCTAACGGCACGGTTTGCCGCATCGTGGACTTTGCCCCGAACAACAAATCTTTGATGCACCGGACGCAAAGTTTGGACTACGGTGTCGTGCTGGAGGGAAATATCCTCATGGAGCTGGACGACGGAAGTGTCACTCCCAAGGGCCCGGGAGATGTCGCGGTTCAGCGAGCCACGAAGCATGCATGGAAGAATGCCAGTGACACTGAGTGGGCGAGAATGCTGTTTGTCTTGCAAGACTGCCAGCCCCTCAACGTGGGCGGAGAGAGATTGAAAGAAGATTTGGGACATGGATACAGTGTTTTCCCAAAGAGCGGCAACGACGATTAGTCCCGTCGACTGGGTCACATGGTGGAGCTCTGACAACGAGAAGAGCTCACCAATGCTATGACAGAGGACGTTCCCAAACCATCAACCATCCCATGTGTTGAAGACATTCATTATTTCTCCATGTGACGCAACAAAACCGGTTCTGATATTTGGGCTCTTATGCCTGGGCTCTTTCTTATGTCTGCTGCCGTGGCCTGTCCACTATTTGGGTAAATGATGCGAACAAAAGGCCCTAATTGGTGCTGGCTACCTCATCGATAACATGGGAGGCCATTCAGAGACTCAGCTTCGGCATCCAAGAAAAACCATCACGGGGTCAGCCATGTTCGGGCTGACGGTTCACCCCCACCCATGGGCCGCCTCGTTCGGAATATTGGCAAATTCGGTTAATCCACATTCCCCATGGGCGTGTTGGCCAATCGTACGATTTTCCATCTCTCTGCTCTTTGGAAAAGGCCTTCGATGTTGGAGGTACGGGGTCGCTTATAAAATGGGATCCATTACTTGGACTTGGACGAGGTCAGCTATTCTTCATCCTTGACTCCTCGCTCTGTCAGAGAAGTCACTCCTTTCTCCAGGACGTGACCATCTATCGCACGAGTATCCATCATGAGTATGGCAGGCAAGTATATTATCAAAAATGCCACGGTGGTCTCGATAGACAGCAACATCGGCAACGTTCCCAATTGCGACGTGGTAATTGAAGATGGATTTATCTCGGCCGTTGGTCCTAATCTGCCGCATTCTTCAGACCACACGGTCATCGATGGCACGAACGCGATCGTGTCACCTGGCTTTATCGACACTCACCGACATATCTGGCAAACTCAACTGACGGCGATCGGCACGGACTATGTCCTGTCCGACTATATCCTAGATCTGCGACATATTTACGGCGCTTCTTACTCTGCTCACGATGCATATATGGGGAACTACTGCGGAGCGCTCGCCTCCATCGACAATGGGATTACATACCTGATCGACCATTCTCATATCATCAACTCTCCCGAGCACGCCGATGCTGCTGTTAAAGGTCTCAAGGATGCGAAAATTCGGGCGACCTTCTGTTATGCTATGTATCGGAACCCACCCTGGGACGGGTCCTGTATGGACCACGAGCGAGAAGAGAAGACACCGGATTGGAGGTTACAGGATGCTCGGCGGGTCCGCGAGACACTTTTCCAGTCCAATGGGCCGGAGGATCTGGTCCGGTTCGGGTTTGCGCTGTCTGAACCGGACCTAACGCCAATCGACCGGCTGGTTCATGAAATTGAGCAAGCCCGAGCGATGGGCGCCGCGGTCATCACGGCACACATCAGTATTGGCAAATGGGATCCGGGCAATTGCATAACACGGCAGCTGGGACAAAGAAAGGTGCTCGGCCCCGATATGGTTCTCAGTCACTGCAACAACTTGCGCGACGATGAGATAGACTTTGTCCGAGAGTACGGCGTCGGGACTGCGACCACGCCGGATACGGAATTGCAGATGGGAATGAACCATCCCATTGCTTTCAAGGCGAAAGATCGGAACTGTACCGCCTCTCTGGGTGTTGACGTATGCTGCAGCGCTCCCGCCGATATGTTTGCTCAAATGCGGTTGTTGCTGCAGGTGCAACGACATCTCGAACATGAGAAAGGCACCGGAGCTCCCTTGAAGATGTCCCGGATGTGCGCAGAGGTTCTGGAAATTGCGACCATGGGTGGAGCCAAAGCGGTTGGACTGGAGAAGGTCATCGGTAGTATCACTCCGGGTAAACGAGCAGACCTCTTGATAACGAGGTGTGACTCTCCGAGGCTGATCCCGGCCCACGACCCCGTTGGAACGCTCGTGCTCTTTGCGAATGGGTCCGACATCGATACCGTCTTTATCAATGGTGAGATCGTCAAGTCCGGGGGCAAGTTGGAAAATGTGGATTGGCCAAAGATTCGCGAAGAACTACGAGCATCAGTCGCTTCAGTCATGGAGAGATCGAAGAAGGCCCCTATGGAGGATGTGGAGGCCGCGCGAGACGTGATAGTGAAAGCGATTGATAGCAGAATCAGTAACCAGGGAGACTGAAATAGCCATGGCTCTTAGAGCTGGCGGTCTTCGAACCGGATGATATTTCTAGCCCCACTGAAAAAGTGCTGTTTCTTACATAACCCCATTTCTTGAAAATGTCATGCCAACCCACCGCTAGGTGGCGATGTCCGGAGTCTGAAGGTGTCGTTTGGGTTAACAGAAGAAGTCGACCTTGCCTTGCTCCCATGAATGAGGTTTCAAGCTCGGAGACAGAGAACACAAACACACCTGTTCCAGGCTCATCCCCCTCTTGAGGCAAATCTTGATCCTTTTTCCGTGTCGTGGCCCCTGCGTGCCCCCCATTCTCCGCTTCCGAGAACCGAATGAAAGCCTTTCCCCAGATTTTGTCACCAACTTTTCTCTTTGTGTAAATGGGACACGGGATTCTCATTATCTTTTTTTCTCAAGCAATTTCCACGCTTACATCACGCGGATTATGTCCCATGTTGACCGGTTCAGGGCGGCCGAGGAAGGCGTGCGGTACCTGCAAGGGCCAAAAGGGAGGATACCGAAAGCAACACGTTGCAACGCCGTACGTTGCTAATGATTCCCAGATCCGCTGCACGGGAGAGCGTCCTAGCTGCAAGAGATGTCTGAGACTCAAACATACCTGCATCTACAGCACTCCGGCACATGTACGAAACCATTCGAAGTGGCGGCAAGCTTCCACTTCTGCGGTGGACGAGTATGCCTCGCCAGCGCCGACAGCGGCTCGAGGAGCGAGACCCACCGAAGTAGCACAACCCGCCAATACTCAGGTCCCCCTACCCTCGGTTCTTCTGCATCAGCCTGCACTGGAAGAGCGATATCTGGGGATACCAAAATCGTTGGTGTTCACGTTGGTGGAAACTTACTACGACAACGCACACCTCCTGCTACACAAAAGACTGCTTCTCGAGTCCGTCCGTGCAGATACCGCTCAACCACATATTGTTCTAGGTATTTGCGCTTGGGGAGCAAAGTATACTCGCGAAGACACCTCACTCTCAAAGAAGGGATACTAACCACGTGAGTCCGGTTTCTACCGAGATGCCAGTGGTCATGCTACGCTAAAAGAACATGGCTTCATGATTGAATGGGCTCAGCGCGCAAGTCAACTTGTCTTTCAAAAGGTCGAAGACCTTCATGAGGACAATATTGTTACATTCGTCAACTTGGCGCTCTTTTGGCACACTCAGGGCTCATGGAGATATGCTATCTCTACAAAGGTTCCAGGCCTGACCAACCTAGGCGACGGAAGCTAATTCTTGCACAGGAAATGCCTTTGACTTACTTCACATCATCGGGCTGGGATCTGAAACCCCCCAGACGCAGAAGTCGTGGAAATGTGAAATCCGACGCCGACGCTTTTGGGCCTGTTATCTGATGCACTGCCACAATGGTGAATGTCTGTCACTTTTGAAACCGGTGGCGGACACAGGTAACCTGGCATTACCGTGGCCCGAGGAAGATTTTGACATTGGTGTAACTGACTACCCTCGGGTGACACTGAATTCCAACCAAAGCAATGGTGGAATTTACACCGAGGTGATCAAGGCTCTAACACTCTGGTACGTCCCACAGAGAGAGAGAGAGAGAGAGAAAGAGAGATGTTGTCGAACCAAGGTTAATGCTTTCGCAGGGCTTCCGTGTTGTCATTCATTAAGAGTTCGGGGCCCTGCCTCAGCGCAAGAGTCCCCGCCATCCATGCACTGGACGAGAAGATCTCAGACTGGTGGCGCCGACTCCCTCCTGATTTCCGACTGACGCCGTCGAGCATTGCGACAGCACCGCAAGAAGCCCTTCCGAAGATCCTGCTGGTGAATATTGTGTATCATCAGTCCCTTTGCGCTCTGCATGCGTCCATCGTCCCCCTTTTCTGTTGGGGGGAGGGCGATGACAGCTGGTCTTCTGCACGACAGCTGTCGGCTCAAATTGCCTATGACCACGCTTGCGCAGCGTCTACCTTGATTGAAGTGGTTCTCTCCACTTACGACCGACTCAGCGCCATGCCGAGCTTTATCGCATATGCAGCATACTGCGGAGCACCTCATCATTCTCGAAAACGAGCCCAAATATATTGATGCCAGGAAATTGACGAGCTTCAAAGCCAATGCCCCTCAGGCTCAAGCTTCAATCCTCGAGTTCAACGCGATCTTACGTTCGAAGAATGACGGATATGTCAAGCCAGGGGAGGAGGCGGTTCTCAGAATTGAGCAGGATCACAGTGAAAGCGGACCTCCGTCTCGGGGGTCGATTTCCAACAACCATGAAGATAAGGCAGCACAAGCGGCTAAGACCATAAATGACGGTAGGGTGACAATGTACTTTTCTCATTTTCTAGATCCTCCTACAGTGAAAAGCCGCTCACGCCCGGCAAGTCGGAATCACTGGTCGCATTCCTATACCACAATACCCTCGCCGCCAGTGTGTGAGGAAGAGAACCCGGAAGGCCAACTACAGCAACAGCCTCCGCACGATCTCTCGGCGACATTGCGATATCAGCACACCGATCTGACGCTTGCCGAGAACCAGACTCTTGATATATTCCATCCGTTGCTCGACCCACAGATGCTCGAGCTCTTTCCCGATGGCGACCTGCCCGATCTCTCGCCATTCGACACGAGCCCGTTCAATCTGGATTACTTTGACTTCGAGAGGCTCAGCAGTGCCACGAGCGCCGTGGTTGGTACGGAAACTGATGCTATTGTCGTAAATCAGTCCGAAACCATGACGTCGTCGGGATGGGGAGGTGCTGAATGACCGAATGCCTCATCGCCGGACTGAAGAACTGGAGACTAGATGGGTGTGGCTGTTCGCTGGTGGTGTATCTCGACAATGAGCGCTCGTATTTCCCTGAGTGTAGTGACAGAGTCATCGAAGATTAAGTAGCGAACAATGTTAAAGTCGTTCGGACGTGCTCTGATTGATCGACTAAGTATGGAGGACGTTTTGAACGATCCCTGATAGACTTGAAAACTGGGGGCTGACAGAATACTTTGAGACCTATCTAACCTGGGAGCGAGCATCTGCGGTGACCTCTCCCAGACAACGATACCAAGTCTCAGCAGTCTCCATCGTATAGCATCTTTCCCGGCTAGGTGGTCTGTCTCTGCGGGATTATATCACGAATTTTGAAGTCCATTGTCGGATACGTGCTCCATAGATGTACATCGGGATCGTGGTCAGGAAGATCAACCCTTCGATAAGGACATTGTAACCGGACGCCTGAAGAGGTCAGCAACGCCCCCATCATACCGCAGAGAAGCAACGGCAACTGTCCTCCCCTTGACAAAGCCATCCTTTGCTAACCAGGGAAAAACCGCAAAGCTGAGACCAAACGCAAACGTGTTCTTGAAAGCCGTCAGAATGGTCATCGTTTCTCCAGCGAGCGGTCTGTAGCTGTCCACGACGTCGGTCATCCCTACTGCCGACACCGCGCAGAGTACACCGTACGTGATAGCCGTACCGACAATCGAGACCATGGACGGTAGACGGTTCTGGATTCCACATCCCCAGAGCATGAGGCCGACAGGTGCCATGATCGACGGCGGGATGAGACACCATAAGCGGAACTCAGGGACAAAATAACCACCGCGGCGCTTTGTGATGAACCTGATTATCTAGTCACTGAGAGGCCCACCGGCCGCAGAACCGATGAAGGCAGCGACTAGATACTGATCATTCGTTAGCAGGAGCAACACAAGAAGGAAGGTTGGGGGCCCTTTGTTGGGGGAATCGTACCGAAAGGCTGATATTCCCCACGGCTTGGACGCTAAAGTTGTACACCTCAGGAAAGACGCCCGAATTCGCGGTTTGTTGAAGTGCAAGCCATCCGAGACATACTCCGTAGGTGAGTGAGCACCAGATGACCGCTGGATATTGCAGTGTCAGCCAGGGCCGCCACCAGAGCCACGAGATGGAGACTTCTCTGCACTTGTTCAGTACCGTGTTTCACTGACTGGCCAGAAGGACTGCAGAAAGCCTTACCTCTCATACCAACCCGTGACGCCGAGGGACTTGATCCAGCTACTGTTCGCTCTAGCGCGAATGGCGGCAAGCTCAGACGGCAGCAAGCCTTCACCAGACTCGTACTCCGCCGGACGTTTGAAATTAGTCTCAGCTTGGAACAGGATCGTGGTGAGGAACAAGAATCCGGTCAAGATGACATTCATCCAAAACACCCAGCGCCAGTCCGGATTGGCATTGGCGACGAAGCCGGCGAAGACGCCGCCCAAGGACGAGCCGACTGTGAACATGAGCGTGTAGAAGCCGACCCAGAGTCCTCGCTCGTGCAGGAAGTAGAGATCTGCCACGACCGCCAGGCCGAGAGCCTCGCTGGAGCTAGCCGCAAAGCCCTGGATGATTCGCGCCGCGAAGAGCGAGCCCCAGCCCTTGGCAACGGCGGACCAGATGCTCGAAACGAAGAATAGGCACGAGCACATGAGAAGGACTGGTCTTTTGCCGATTTCCTCCGATAGGGGAACCCAGAAGAGATTGCCCAGACCCAGGAAGAGCAGATTGAACGTGATCAGCCAGCTTCCTTTGGTGAGGTCGACGTGGAAGTCTTGGATGACGTAGACTAGGATGGGTGAGATGGTGACAGTGATGTAGTTCGACAGGAAGACGAAGAAGCACACGCTGGTCATAGCCATGTGCTTTCGCCAGGGGGCCCATGTCTGCGGAAACAGCAAGTTTGTACGGGAGAAGTGACAGGGACACGTGGGCCATTACTGACCAGAGGATCTCTTGGGTTGTCGGTGGGTCGTGGGAGAAGAAATCTTTCAACGACTCTGCCTTCACTGTCCTCTGAGAACAGTTAGTCAAAGCGTCAGGTCCGAAGCAGGAGACGGTGCTTGCCTTGATAGAGATGGGCGGCATTGGTAACACCGCCCGTAGCGGTATGATATTGAGGCTTTTCGATGGACAGATGTTCGTCGTGAGAAATGGCACTTTTCGACTCCATGGTGGTCGTCATAGCTCCAATGAGTTGCTGGAAGAAATTCAGTTCTGATAGGGAGGTGCCCTTCTGGGGATATTTAGGCGCAATAACCCCGTGGGTAGCCAGATTCCGTGACCGGGAAATTGATGTAAATGTGGGGGGTGTACCACGCGGCCGGAACAGGATGGCACTCAGCCTCGCCGCCCATCGCGAAATGTTTGCCGAATCGGGCGGAAAACTCCACGCCACCTTTCGGTGAGCCCCCGAGCTGACATTTGCCATCGAGTCTTGATTAAGTCGCTCGTATTTATGCCGTTTCAATATCCGCCTGGACCACCATCCAGAAGACGGTACACAAAGACAAAGATGGCCTCCTGGATAACAGTGCGAGAGGATTCGGATATTTCGCTGCGGAACCTACCGTATGGCGTGTTTAGCACGGTAGGATCTGGTCCCAGAATTGGAGTGGCTATCGGGGACTATGTGCTCGATATGAAAGTTCTGGCCCAAGAGCACGTCTTTGCCGATCTCAAATTTGATGCCACAACACTCGAACAGTCGACTTTGAACGCATACGCTGCCCTCGGGAAGGATGTTCACCGGGAGGTCAGGAAAAGACTTCAGCAGCTCCTGCCACAAGACACGCCGCTTGGAAATGACCTGCGGGACCACCAAGATCGTCGGAATCGGGCCCTCATCCCAATAAGCAGCGTCACGATGCACCTACCGATGGTCGTTGGCGATTGTACTGATTTCTTCATCGGACTTCATCATGCCGTAACTGTTGGTGGGAACCTAAACCGTTTCGGAGTCGATCAGAGATGAGCTGACACGATACCTCATGATAGTGTGCGGGTATTGTCAAGCCCGGGGCAACGGTTGAGCAACTTTGCCCCTGCTTCTATAATTTACCTGTGGCATATCACGGCCGTGGATCATCGGTTGTAGTCTCGGGCACACCGTTTCGTAGACCCAAAGGACAATTCCCCGTTGATGGGAACGTGGTATCTGGTCCTAGCCGAAAACTGGACTTTGAAGTCGAGTTCGCCTGTTTCATCGGGCGAGGGAACAAGATGGGCAGCTCGATTGACGTTGAGCAGGCAGAGGATCATATCTTTGGCTTCGTCTTGATGAATGACTGGTCAGCACGGGATATTCAGATGTATGAAGCATCTCTCATGGGTCCATTCAAACGGGAAGAACTTTTGCACCACCGTATCCCCATGGGTGGTCCCACCTGAGGCGCTCGAGCCGTTCCGCGTCGCTCCGAAGGAGACACCGGTAAGTTGCCAAACAGATTTGGAGTTTTCTTTTTCGGCCACGTCTAATCTCCAGCAGCGTCAACTAGCCAAATATCTGACCCAGAAGGAGACAAAGTCGGCGTATAATATTCCCATCCGAGCCACGCTCCAAGGTAAGTGGTAGTGCGAGAAATAGATGAATGGAAAGCTAAGTTCAGAAGTCGACTCGGAGAGATATCACGTAGCACAATGCAACACCAATAATGTGATCTTTTCCTTTGCACAGATGATCGCTCACCACACTCGCGGGGGATGTCCACTGAGAACGGGCGATCTCATAGCCACAGGTACGCTCTCTGGGCCGACTCGAGAAGAGGCCGGTTGCCTTCTCGAACAGACGCGTGGGGGAACCGATCCATATGACATGGTCGCAGAAAATCCGAGAAGGGGCAAATTGCGGCGAGCTTTCCTTGAAGATGGTGATACCATTGAATTTACTGCACAAGCAAAAGCCAGGGACGGTCTAGGAAATGTAGGCTTTGGAGCCTGTCAGGGTAAGGTCCTTCATACCAGTTAGCAGATGATTGAAATAGGACATTTCGTTCAGGATTCCGTCTTTGTCCTAGTTGACAAGGCACACGGTTATGTACTGCAGAGATGGGTTTGAAACGCGTACGCGTGAACACCTGCCCTGCGAAGCAGACAGGCATAATCCTTCTTCCCGCCAATTCCCACAAGCTTCTGTATGGTCGAAAGCGATAGACTGGGATCTAGAGAAAGCACGGTAAGATGGGGGTGCAACAATGCCAAGCCAAATATCTCACGTGATTGGCCAATAATATACAGGGCCCACTCTTTTCGCAACATTGAATCGCAAAAACCTCAACGAGTGCTCTGAGAATACTGTAGCTCTTAATATAGCTACTACGTGGCCTTTAAAAATTGGATCAACCAAAAAACTTCGAGTTTTCCTACTTCGTTGTAGAGTGGTGGGAAAAAGTTGCGTTTCGTACGCTAAAGGATACGACGTACAACTATCAAAAGGGTGGATCACTACGCCAGAATAGCATTTATTTACTGCCATTTGAGCTGAAAAGATGTATGTCTACTAAATGAGTATGTCTGCACAGGATCCAGCAAAAATTTGAATCTTTTACGCAGTGTTTGTGGCGTTCTGTGGGGGTATTGTAGCCGGTGTACAGAATAACATCTGCCCTCCCCCTTGCCGCACCGTCATCGGATCCAATCCGTGGACCACGTGGCCGGGGGAGCACCCTACTTGATAGATGTCGATATCCTCGATGCTGACATGATCCACGCATCGGATCCAGTCTGTGGACTACCCCAGACAAGCCCTTACTGATCACACTCGAGATGGTTCGTAACGGAGCGTTAACGGACGAGCCTCGATGTCGACATGGTATTTCGTCGGATCCAGTCTGTGGACTCAGACAAGCCCTACTGGTCAAACTCGAGATGGATCGCATGGAGCGTTAACTGACGAGCCTCGATGTCGACATGAATCCGATCCCATGATATACCACCGCCATCGGATCCAATCCGTGGACCATGTGGCCGGGTGGGATCGGGCAATGGTCTCGTTCCTTCGGCAGCGTGTCCGGCGCAGCCTCCCCAGCCTGATCGGATCCAGTCCTGGCCCATCTGAAGATGGGCAGACGATGTCGTAGCTGGAATGGCCATCCCGCAAAATTCAATCGTTTTGTGGAGGTACGTACGGGTTTCGTTCGTTCAACACGTCACTAGCATATTCCTGGCATGGACAGAGCACAGATGGATGCCTAAAACCTAGCTCTCGATCATCCCGTCTGTTTAGATCTGCTTGGCGCCTGTACGAGACGAGGTTCTGCAGCCAAATTTCCCTCCTTATTCATATCCCACAACAAGATATGACGTGACTCGACAACAATAACAAGGTGTACCTGCAGCTCCAGACTGTCTTTCTCCACCTTTTGCTGTATTTCAGTGTTCTTGATATAATCTCTTAGCTGCCGGGCCTCATTTGCCAAAACCCATATCTAATTGTTCCTTGATGGTACTTGTCCCAAGTGCCGAAACCAAGCTGAAGAATTTCAGAGAGCTTGTGGTCGCGCAGGATGTCTGCTTTAGCGAGATCCGCATTTCTATCGCCGGCCTGTATATTTAGGAAGTTAATTCGATAGGACTTCCCTTCGGTAACTATCAGTTGTCCAGGAATGTGGAGGATACGACCGTTTGCTTTGGCTACACGACAAGTCAGATATTGCCCAGCTAACAGTGAGTAGTGGATTACCTTTATCACCTTGAATTCTTCGTGTGGAGCAAGTAAATGGTTTCGCAGGAGGCTGAAATAGAAGCTATCCCGATGGGCTGCTTCATGCGTTTTGGTCAGATCTTGGGTGGTGATGTCTCGTTGCATCATCAATTCTCGATAACAACCCAACGTTTGTTCAAGTTCTCCGTAGTCCACGAGATGCCGAAGTGCTTCTGAGAGAGAGTTACACAGACCATACTTTTGAAGGACCGCGAGAGCGATACGATCTGCCGCAACCCTATTCGGTATCTTAAGGTGCGTTGTCGGCTTTTCTGGGTGAAACCTAAGGCCGCCAAAGTAGATAATTAGTGAACGCGACGAAGAATAATCTTCATCCTCATTCTAAAAGAGATATAGGTTAGCAGAAACGGGAACTGGGGCTAGGGTATTAGCGTACCAAGTCTCGAAGCGTAAATTCAGGTCTGAATCGGTCGTATTCGACGGGATAAAGTTCCCTTTTCCGTCACATTCCGGTGCTTTTTCGAAGGCTCTTATCACTGGCGTCGAAGCAGCAAATCTCAAGACACTGTTCAGATACTTCAGAGTTTTCCGGGTCTCGAGTCTCTGGTGTGCCTCCGTCGATACGACACTGAAAATATGCTAAGCACGTCTCCGTGTTGTAAACAGTTTCGACCGTTTTATCTTTACAGAAATGATATCCGTTGAAAAATTTAGTCATTTCTGAAAGAAAACCGTTGTAGACTTCAGGATCTTCGTAGATTCCCTCTAGGGCGTCTTCCAAGTCCGAGTGTGTGAAACCACAAAGCCCGGCTAGGTTCTTATTGAATGACATATTTCTCGCCACATTGAACCCACTACCGAGAACGGATAAGTGCCTCATTCGCCTTCGTAAGGTCCGGGTGGGGGTTGATTTTGGAAAAATCGAATTTCATGACAAAGTACTGTCTCGGTTTCACACAATTTTCCTCTTCTGCTTGTCTTTCGTCAATATCTTTTTGCACATCGAGACCCTAGAGTGATTGAAAGAGAAGTAAGTTCTCAAGTCAAGGCAATTAAGGATATCGTTTACATACCTTGTAGAGTGATTGATGTTCACCTGCATACTGAAGACCGTGGAAATGTTCCAGCATGCTCGCCGTCAATGTTTTGCCGAACCGACGTGGGCGACAGAAGAGGATAGACTTGTCGAGTTCGTGCAACATGAAGATATAGCGAGTACGATCGAAGTAAGCCTGGCCCTCCTCCTGTAGAAGATTGGAAAAATTCGTAAATCCGGATCGGAAGTGCTTCAGTTTGCCGTTAACTATCAGGCGACTATTACCAACTCGGGTTCTCTTTGGTAAAGGCGTTATGTCGGTGTGAGGCGGACTCTTTCTCTTCCTTCTACTAGGGTCTGTAGTGTGTTCTGTTGCCATAATGTGGATTAGTGTAAAGAGAACAACAAAAGGTCGGTGGACATACCAATGCTGGTATCTCGCTCCTTTCCCGCCATCTCCCTTGCCAGATTCGCGAGTACTAGGCTGGGCCCAATAGGTAGATTGCATTTATTTTCGACGAACTCCACGTTACCAGCTTACATCAAGAAAACCTCCCCCGAAATGTCTGCCGCTTTGAATTTTTCAAGTCCGTGACCTTTGAGCTGTTTTGGTTTGTTCTGTTGGATCCACTCAAGCAGCTCGTCCGCATCCCACTCTTTGATCTCCTCGATTGTGGGCTTTGCCTGGCCGGCCTGCTTGGGGCTATGTTCTGGAAAGGAGTCCATAGTGTAGGAGGCAGGTGTAGGTGTGGCGACAGAGGGCAAGCGAGTGAAAAGAGAAGACGCAATTGCCAACCCAGTAGACGATATTAGGGTCGGGATGATGAACCAGCTCGACTGAATCAGAGTGATTAATTCCAAGCTGCTAAAGAGGTTTGCAGCGCCAAGATTTAGCTATGTGACTGAACCCGTCCACAGGAACTCAGAGTTCAGCGGGACCCGCTGCTGAGGCGAGTCACGATTCGTCTCCGAGAGGCCAGCTCTCGATTCATTCCGCGACGTTGCACTAGCTGGAATTGCGGAAGGCACATCGTGGGATGGTGGTCGAGCATCGGAGCGACGCCTGCACGATGGAGATGAATGTGAAAGAATTGGACCGGTTAACAGAATCCAGGAGAATCTGATATAGTAGTTTCCATGGGGTGCAGACGCCGAAGAGACACAGAGAGCACAACTCTGTGAGATGCAATGGCCCACGCTGGGGGAATGTCTCGACTCGCGTATCACAGCGACAATGCTAAACACCAATCGGGCCCACTTGTACAAGCGTTGTCCGAAAGGTACCTGGCAGGAGGTAGAGGCAAGAGAATGCGCACTCACACTGCGAGATACAACCAGGCAAAAGAGCAGAGATTCATTCAGGACTCACAGGAAGCTCACAGGGAGTTAGGACGGCCCTGAAGTGGGTTGGCAGCGAGGCCACAAAGCAACAGAGGCGACAGACAGGCTACACAGGCGGCAACGAGGGTCTAAGACGCCACCACACCAAAATCGAGTGCAAAAAGGCGTGAAAAGGCGAGTGCAGAGGACTCCATCAAAAGAGGTCAACGACGTCGTTGAAAGAACATCAAAAAGCGCCAAATATGTGAGGGAGACAAGGGGATGGAAAGGTACTTCAAACTCCTAGGAAAATGGGGGGGTTTTCAGGTACTTTTCCATCATTGCGGACATTCCCCCCGCTTTTGGAGGAGTTCTTCATCCACTCTTCGCTCATTGCAAGCGTTCATTGTTGGCCAGAATAGGCAATGTTGGCTTGGCGTGTCACCGCGGCTGGCTTGGCATTATCACTCTATAGTGACACCTGAGGCAACTTATACCCTCAATCTTCTCTCATTTCAGTGCTCCCACTTCTCGCCCCAGTACACGCTTGATTCATCAACAACTTTCCCTGCTTGATTCCTCTACCAGCCTTTTCTACTCCTTCAACATGAATACAATCTGCGGACCCAGCGATGAGGCACCTACATGTACGCCCATGTCAAGGTCATCTTCAAGCTCAACTACATCAAAAGAGACTACGACAGTGGAGAGTTCAGCACCGAAGTTATCGCCCTTAGAGGGATTGGAAGACGCTCGTATCTATACGTACAAAGGGATCCGAGACCTAAAAGAACGTGTCAACTTGCAGTCCGCTGCGTTGATGGACGGCCACACGAATCAGCAGTACCTTGTTTTCATGGGTGTCACAAAAGGCCAGCTTGAAAAGATTGACCATCAGCGCGCCGATATAGGGAAGCATACTCGGATGAGCCATTACGCGGATAACAATCTATTAGTTATCAAGCTGATGCCCTCAAAGGAACATGAAGTTACGCACCTCACACTAGCCCGGGAACTTAATGACGCGTTTTCTGGAATGGGCCTCCCAAAAGGCTGCTTATGTCCTGTTGGCGGGACAACGTACAAACTCCCTAATTCCTCCAAAGAGGGTGATATGGGATTCTGCCCCTTCCCGGCTCGAAAAAAGAAATCTGACTGGCCAACAATTGTTTTTGAGTCTGGACTCTCTGAAACACTTACTCGTCTACGACATGACGCAGAATGGTGGATTGTCAACTCTGGAGGAGATGTCAAGATTGTCATCATCATCTCAATTAAGCGAGCACAGAAGACGCTGATGGTCGAAAAGTGGTGCTCTTCTCCGCCTACCGCATATAGACCAGCTACCAGAAGCCACCCAAATCCCAACGCTCCAATTCCGACAAAAGTCCACGAGCTTACTATCACCCAAAATCCCACTCCACAACTTGGTCCTCCTGCTCAGTCGAATATCATCGGTCAACCAATTGTCACCGTTCAGCCAGGCACCGTCTCAGCCTATGACGTTGCCGGAGCGCCTCTGATTCTCGAATTTGACAAAATCTTCCTCCGAGCCGCTGTACCGCCAGAAAGCGACGTCGTCTTTAATGACGCGGATCTTGCGACTTGGGCGGATTACTTCTGGGAGAACGTTGAGTAGAGAGATCGCGAGGGTTATGGCAGGATCGGGGGGACACATTATGGGACTGACAATGGCTAATGGTGGGTCGGACTATGTGCTTCGCTGTTGTACAACATACAGAACAACGGAAGGGTCATCACTTTCCCAGGGGTTTTCTAAGGGCTTGTTCAGGGCGACGAAAGTACCCACCCTTGCCGAGGGTTCACTTAATAGCTTATTCAGGACAACAGAAGCGCTATAGATTTCTGTCAAACAATGAATACCAAGAGAATATGAATTGAATGCTCTACTCTTTAGCAACTGGTTCTGCTAAGTTGCTGATATTCATGCAGGTTTTGTTGACCCCTTTTCTTCTCCTATTCCTACTAGAAGTGATAACCCCTATTCCCAGTAAAGAGGCTCTTGCTACTGTCCAACAATTTCCTAAAAGTCTAGAGGGCCGCGGAAGGGCGGACTGGAAGGAGGCCTGAGAATACAGGGCGCCGGCTGATGATGTGAGGCAGAGCAGGGGCCACAGGATGAAGAGATATGAGGATGATGGAGAGGTCGATGTCGAGGAGGATGGGAGAGCGGTTCTTATAGCGACGTTAAAAGTGGCGGCGGCCAAGAACGGGCAGGCCGCCTAAACCAGGGGCAGATTTCCCGGCAACGACATTACACAACGAACGTATAGGTTAGCGGGAGTTCTACGCCTTCTCTGGCCGCCGAATTCGCTTGATCTTAATGCGATCGAGAAGTGTTGGTGGTATCTAAAGCTAAAGACGACATACTATGGTATACAAGCCTCAAAAGGGGAGGATGAACAAGCATGGTTAAGAGCCTGGCGAGAACTCTCATAAAGGCAAATACAGATCTGGATTGAGGGTGTCTATCATAACATTCAAGAGGTTCTACGTCTCGAAGGCGGCAACGAGTATAAGGAGGGCAGAGCAATGAAGAGAGGGTTCCACGGACGTAGGAAGGTTGGCGAGCTGTTTAAGCATACGTATATACAGGCGGAGGGCGACGACAAAAGCGAGGACGACGAGGTTATATCTCAGTCTTCAGAGTCCTGTACGACTTGTTCTAAAGATAATGTAGAGTGATGCCGCAAAGACTCCGAATTACTGCACCCCATTGCCGTTGCCGTATGCTAAGAGCAGAAATTTACTATACGAGACACCCCCATTTTCGCTGCTCCTTCAATACCCGCAATTTTGCGTGGTGACGCCGTCGTCTACTGTACAATTCTTCTTCTATAGCCAAACCGCGGTGTTGTTGACTGCGCGCGTAGTCACGTGTGTCGTTTCTGTGAGTTTGGCAGCCACCCTGCGGCCTGCGCAGCCTTCTTGCGATCCGTCTTCTTAATTGTTCGACCCGTTCGAGTCGTCCTTGCTGGCGCAGTAGAAGGCGGTGGCTCGGTAGAGGGGGTGGGAGGAGGAGATCCAGGTGCGGGCTTCGCAGAAGGTGGTATATGCTCGCGGTGTTACTCACGGCGCAGTTCTTCAATCATATGATCTCTTGCCTCTCGACGTTCACAACGGTCTTTTTGTTGTTGTTCCTTCTCACCGATGTCGTTTGCCGTCAATCCAACGAGAGTTCTCGGCCGGTCGCTTGCGCTTAAAGGTCCGCTTAGGGATTGTGTCTGGCTGACCGATTGGTAGGGCTGCGAGCTCTGCGTGGCCCTCACCAGTCTTCTGAAGCGTCTTTTGAAGGTCAGATATCTGTCGAGTGAATCGATCCTTCTCTATTGGTAGAGCGTCACGCAGCTGATCATGTCGATATCGAGGCTCGTCCGTTAACGTTCCATACGAGTTATCTCGAATGTGATCAGTAGAGCTTATCTGGGTGGTCCACAGACTGGATCTGATGAAATATCACGGCCCATCGGATCCAATCCGTGGATCATCTCGACGTCGAGGCTTGTTCGTTCACGCTCGGTTACGAACCATCTCGAGTGTGATAGTAGAGCTTCTAGGTGGTCCACAGACTGGGATCCGATGCGTGGATCATCTCGATATCAGGATGTCGACCTCTATCGAGTAGGATGCCCCCCGGCCACATGGTCCACGGATTGGATCCGATGGCAGTAGCCGTTCATCAGATCCGATCCATGGATCATCTCGATATCGAGGCTCATTCGTTAATACGAGCCGTCTCGAGTGTGATCAGTAAGGGCTTGGGTGGTCCACAGACTGGATCCGATGGCGGGGGTCTTTCATCGGATCCAATCTATGGATCACCTCGACGTCGAGACTTACCCACCCGTTCACGCTCGATTACGAACCATCTCGAGTGTGATTAATAGAGCTTCTCTAGGTGGTCCACGGACTGGATCCGATGGGAGCTGGCGCGGAAAATATTTAATCCGATGGCGATTTACCGGAAAATTGTTAATCCGTTAAGAGTGGGCGGGAAAGTCGCATCACGTAATTAAACTAACAGAGATGACGTCAACTTTTAGCCAATCAGAAGCCGGTGTACGGAGGTCGGTTCCAAAAGTTTTTGCCTCCCCCCGGTCATGTGGCGCGCGCTAAACTCTTCGGTCCTTCTTGGCATCACTAAAACTTTCCAACTCCATCGGATCCAGTCTGTGGACGACGTCTACCCCTCCTCTATCGGATCCAGTGTGTGGACGACGTCTATCCCTCTCTCTGTCGGATCCAGTCTGTGGACGACGTCTATCCCCCTCTCTGTCGGATCCAGTCTGTGGACGACGTCTACCCCTCCTTTATCGGATCCAGTCCGTGGACCATATCTATACTCCCTCTATCGAACCCAGTTCGTGGGCCACTTCAATTCCATA